ATATATATTCTTTATAAATTAAAACTTAAAGAAATTAATTATAATTATTAAATAATAATAATATTAAATAATATTTTAAATTAATTAAAAAGGAATATATTAAAGAATTATTTTAATATTAAATCTATTAAATCGATTTATAATAGTTTTAATAATTAAATTTAAATATTATATTATTTTACAGTTTATTCTAATTATTTTATTTATTTTATTTAAATATATTATATATTAGAAAAAATTTATTTTTTTTTAAAAAATTTTAAAATATTAAATTAAACCTTTATTATAATAAAGTTTATTTAAGAATTTAATTAAAATAAATTAATTATTTTAATAATAATTAATATAAGATTAAAATCTTTAATTTATTTATTAATTTAAAATATATAACTTTTAATTTAATTATTAATAAAAATTAGAATTTATTTTTAAAATTTAAAAAATAGTTTTTAATTATTCTTTAATAATAGACTTTATAAAAAATATTATTAATTTAAGAATTAATAATATATTTAATATTATTTTAAAACTATTTATTAATAATTTTTTAATATTATTAATTTAAAAGTTATTTTTATATATTAATTTATAATATTAATACTTTTAATATAATATAATATATATTTTTATTATTTAATTATAATAATATTTAACTTCTTTTAAAAACTATAATAAATTATAATATAATATTTAAATTTAAAATATTAATAATATTATAAAATATAATATTATTATATTTTAAAGTTTAAAGATAAAAAAAGAAGTTTTTCTTATAATTATTTTATATTTTTTCTTATATATAAATTATTTTATAAGTTAAAAATATTAAAAATTACTTTAAATTTAAGCTAAAAAATAAATTAAAATTTTATTAAAAAACTTAATTAAATAATAAAAGAATTAAGAATTAAATAATTTTAAAATAATATTAAATAAGTTTATTAAAATTATAAAAAGATTTATAAATATTTTATTTATTTAAAAATTATAAAAATATTAATTTATTAAAAATTAAAATAAAAAAAATTTAAATATTATTAAATATAATAATAGATTTAATTATTTTAATATTATTATTATTCTATAAAAATTATATATATTCTTATTTTTAGGGATTTAGAATACTCTACTTAAATATCTAATTATTTACTCTACTAATTATTAAGATATTTATATTTTAAAGTTTTTAATTCCTTAGGGAAAATTATATATTAGGTAGGACTATATACTAGATAATTAGGTCTAGTAATAATAGAGATATTTTAAGCAGTATATTAGTAAATTTATTAGCTACTAAAAGAGACCAGTATTAATCTATTATAGTCTACCTAATTACCTTTATAAAAAACTAGTATTAACTAGTACTAACTAATATTAAGCAGCACTAACCTATTGCCCAGTTATAATTAATTGCTTATACCTTCACCTTTCCTTTGTTTTTATCCTTAGTATTATTAGCCCCACTAATAGTATTAGTAATATTACTCTTATTAATAATAATAGGATTATTTTAAATCTTATAAGGTAAGTAATAGCTATTAGTAAGATTAGTAACAATTAATATATCTTAAAATATTAATACTCATTAGGAATAACTGTAATTGATCTTATTACAGGCCTTATATTTCTTATTTATATATAATTTATAAGGACTAGTTATATTAGTAAATACTAATACTAACTAAGGAAATAATATATACTAGTAGAACTATTATATACCTAATAATTATCTTAGGGGATTTTAATCTAATAAAGTTATTAGAGGAATCCTCTCCTTTAGAATTAGTTTCTACTATTTTAAGTTTACTACTACTATTAAATACTAGTATTATAAAGTATATTTTAATAACTATACTTACTAATTACCTTTACCCTTTTTTTTATCTAAAACTCTCAGGCCCTTAAAAAGATTAATATATTTAAATCCCTATTAGTACTACCAGTTAATATTAGTAGAAAATTAACTAAATAAGTATACTTATAATATAAGATATCTTAATATATTTATAAATAATAGAACCTAAACCCTAAATTAACTAGTTTATTCTAGTAGGACCAGTTAGTATTAATACTAACTGGGCAATTATATAACCAATTAATATATATAGCTTATAGATATAATATAAATAATATTTTATATACTTCAGTATCTCCTAGTAGCTATTAGTATTTTTAAATATAATCAATAAGGATTAGACATAAATACTTATAATCTTACCTTTATATAGCTACTTTTTCTTCTTATAATAGGCATAATTATAAATTTTTTTCTTCCTATAATTAATCAGAATAGTACTATTAATAAATACTAATATATAATAGATATATATGATTTTGCTGCTCTTAGACAGGGTAGCCTCCTAGGCATTAGAATTATTAGTTAAACTAATAGTATTAATAATATAACTGCCGCCAGTAGGGCTGGTAGGAGCAGTATAATTAATTATATTAATAAGATTAGTGGTAATAGTAATAATACTAGTAATATCATTACTAGCATTAGTAATAGTATTACCAGTTAGACTAGTAGGGGTCGCTATTATACTAGTTAGTAGACTGTATCTACCTAATCTACTAATCGCTATCTGTTAGTAATTAGTACTTACTAAACATAACTAATATAACTAGAAATATATAAAAAATAGTAAGAAATAGGAGTAACCAATATTAGCTTTTAAGCCTAATTATTAATCGCAGTCGCAACTGCCAAATCTAACTATTACTTTCCTATTCCCTATAAGCTCAAACTAAGGGATATAAGGTTTAAAAGAGATAGAATTAGAATAATAATAAACTCAGTATATCTAGACACTTTTATTAGAGATTAAAAACAAGATTAACTAGGACTTACCTATCTGAAGATAATTAATAAAGGGAAGAAATCAAAAGGGATTAATTAAATATGATTTTTTTTTATAGGCTGAGTAAATAATATACTAGCCTAATTTAGAAATATAAATATCTACCAGAGTAAATCTAATATTGCCTAGTCTACTAGTCAGATATAGCCTATAAATATACCAGTTATATATAGCCTGCCACCAGTATACTAGTTAGATATAGCCCACTACTAAAATATAAGTCAGATATTGCCTGGTATATTAACTGCGACTATCTTATACTAGTATATTTTAGTAGACTAGTTTACTAAGATCAATTAAAATTAATAGCCTATATTTGCTTAATTTTAATACAGATCTAATAGTTATTTACACAGTCTCGCGGGGCAATATAATAATAATTTATAACTAAGCTGTTTTAATAGTAATTAAACTTTACTAGTAAAACTAATAATATTTAGTATAAAATACAGCAATTACAATCTTACCATCCTATAAGATAAGATTTACCTGTACTTACCACCCCGCGAGATTTAAAAATTTTAGATTTTAATCTTTATTAGTATATATTAGTATAATTTTAATATAAAATAGTAATTTACTAGTAATCTACTGGTAACAAAAACCTCGCCACCTCGCGAGACGCCACCTCGCGACCTCGCGACCCATATAACCAAGTACGGTACAGTACATACCGCCTGGTAATTCGGAACTTCAACCCTCAAACATCGTTTGCTTCACTAGCCAACTAGACCTTCCATTCTACTTCCTACTGTCTCACCATTTCTACAACCACTGTTAGATGCCACCTATACTGGTGGATTAGAATGACTTCACAGCCAAGGGAGAATATACATCATTGCCGCCGTCTCTGATCGCTAGGGGTAACCAGTATGCAATGATACAAGCACCCTGACTGATGTCTTCAGAACGCCTGTTGAAACAAGGCAGTTCCCGCATAGTCGTTTACAGCAGAGAGACTATACCTACATGGGACTTACCGATGCACTCCCTGAGATCCTTGAGCACTGGCCATTATACTGACGCCGGTGTCTTGAATCCCGAATCTCCCTGCTGCGCCTCGACAACTCTACCTTTATCGGCTCCACGGTCTGCGGCGGAATTTCCTAGCCTAGCAAGAACGAAGTGTCTGTGGGTAAATAAAGGAGGAAAGCAAGTGTACTGCTCAATCAGCTGCAGAAGAACAGCGGATCGGTAGTGGCTCTGCGATACTTTCTCCGTATCTACTAATATAGACCAGGATCATTATATTATGCTAATTGCGGACAGCTACTGGACGGTCTCAGCCGGATTTCCCTCCCAATGGATGATCCAACGGTCAGAGCACACCGAATATCCGCGGTTGCATTTCAACGGAGATTTAGGGCTATCTAACAGCCGTTGGGCCCTGACTATAACGACTGTACCGAGTCCAGTAAGGTCATGTTGAACCATCTGGTCATAGCCTTGACCATGTTCCAGTCACCCGCTGGTTTGTCAGAATTGGAGCCCAATATGCCGAGGACAGTACTCCGAACTAGGCAGATTCCTACTCTCGCTGCTACGCGATCTGATGCTAGAGAGCCAGGGGAATAATCCACACTCAATGCAAGCCTTGTTTCCCATTCAACCCTTGACTTTATGCTCTTTCCTGTTCCTGCCGGACATCTACGCATACTATGCTACGGCCCACATTATCCTTCAGGGTAACCAGTGGAGACTACCTTCACATCATCCTGTATTTGTGAACTGTGTCTGCATTCTGATTGCACCCTTGGAACAAGACCCTGACGAAAACCTAACATTTCCACCAATCTCTCGTCGTCATTGAATTCATAAGCTTTGCACTTTTGCAACCTGGGGCTGCCTCCCTGACTAGCTCCTTCTAACTTCCTTCTAGAATCCTTCCCTTTTTTACGGAGGCGATCTAGGACTGTGAAGCTAGTTGGGGGCTCCATGGCATCCGGAGTGAATTGCGCCCCGGCTATCTAGCTGTCCGCTCCCCACGCTGCACATAGGGGGGTGTATGATGGCGAATCCGATTGTTCATCCCTCAATCAGTCTTCCCTTTTTAGGCCGCATAAGGTTCTCACATAGGAGTTGGATGATCAATCTATCTTCTGTCCATTTTTAGCTAACGACGAATAGCAGTTCCCAGGCTTCTAGAACCCATCCAAGCCGTTGCGGGCCCTGCTTGACAAGCGATCCCAGGTCCCCGATCACTCCAGGATAGTTATTTGCCACGCTTCCCTTCATGCTGCTTTTCTCAATGACGACTTGCTCTTGTGCTAATATAATATCTACGACTCTCTGCTCTTTTGTTGCTTCTGAACCAACTCTCTACAGTTCCCCGAAGGTCTAATCTTAACGATATACGATACGTGTCAGTGACAGCGATTGGCTAAGGCGGGGGTTAGTGTCGGCTTTGACGTGCGGTATTGCTACTGTATTATTTAGCCATTCCACCCTCATCGGTTCGAGCGCAGACTGAAAGTCAAAACACACGCGATACACTTCACCCACATCGACGGGAGAAGACCTCCTAGTCCCGCGCGACTTGAATTTTTTCTTCCTTTCTTCTTTTTTTTCGATATAACTGTTTGGCAGCCTGCCAGAGCTTTTTGGCTCTAGCGGCGCCGATGCATGACTGCGACACTGGCGGATCCATACCGTGATTACCAGATCGATTATTCCACTCATGAACACTGTAAAGCAGAAGAGCAGCAAGGCCTACTGGTTTATCAGACAACTCAACCGCAGGTGCTGCACCACGGTGCACGGGCGGATGTCCCTTTCCCCTCTGGCAGTGCGCATCATTCTGTGTTTCAGCAACATCATCAGCATGGAACACCTACTGCGCTGCCACATGCGGGGAGCCATCCCATTGCCCAAGATATTCACCAACCGGTGCTGCTCACTTCGCATCAAATGGTATCACCGCAGATGCAGTCGCACTATGGCTCTGCTCCCCTCCATGTTCCCTTCTCCGCACCGCGTGGGACAAAGAGGACTCGGCCGGAGGATGATGGAGAGGGTGACCATGACGACCGCCATCTCGGACTCCATCTTCCAATGCTCCCTCCCGAAGCTCATACAGAAGGGGCGCATCCGTCAGAATTACTTCTTTCCTCTCACGACGACTCGTCTTCCCATCGTCGAACGTCTCTCCACGCTTTTGTGCCTCCTCCGCCACCTCCAGCGCTCTTACATCATCAGCAACACCATCATCACCGGCTTCCTTCACAGGTCGTCTCCCATCAATCTCAGCATCAGGGGACCGATATGACATCTCCCTCGCTACCATCCGGTCCGCCGAGTGTAGTAGGCCAAGCTGGAATGCCTGATCCTGCACCACGACCGCGCGGACCGAAACTCAAATTTACTCCGGAGGAGGATGCGCTATTGGTAGAGTTGAAGGAGAATAAGAATCTGACATGGAAACAAATTGCGGACTTCTTCCCAGGGCGGACAAGTGGCACGCTTCAGGTCCGATACTGCACCAAGTTAAAAGCTAAGGATACAGTCTGGACAGATGACATGGTCAGATTCCCCTCTTGGTATCTTGGGATGATTCGAAAACCTGCGGGTTCTAACAGTCACTAATAGGTACACCGTTTACGAAATGCGATCCAAGAATATGAGAACGACCGGTGGCGGTTGATAGCGGCCAAAGTTGGTAACGGTTTTACTCCTGCTGCTTGCCGAGAAAAGGCAACTGAGCTGTGAGCTTCAAAATCTGCCTATGTTTGGCCTATTATACGATGTTCTTGATTTTACTTAGGTCTTTATATGCTGCTGCTGCTTTCACTTGCCATATCAGATCGCAATCACAGGCGAAGGCGTATTCCCCGTAAGGGGGTTTTTTTTCCCCTAGACTAGACATTTCGTCTCCTTGCGTTATGATGTTTTGTACCTTTCTAATCAGCTTCTCTTCTATCTTCTTTTTGTTTTGCTATTGCACTGTTCAGGCACGGAAAAAGCGGTGAGGTAATGGGATGGCTAGCCGCGATGGCGCATGGTGAGAAGGACAGGTTTTGTGCTAGTTATTGGGACCGTTTCTACTGGAACATGGGGGGTATATATTGCATGCGGTGCACTTTGGAGGAGACACATTGACGACCATTTTTCCTTAGTTTTTGCCATTCTGCTGGATACACATACTAATATCATCTTGTGGGCTGGGAGCGATTATGATCTGTGAAATAGTATTCTGTGACGCTTTCTGTTTCTCACGATACCCTTACACCGCCATTATGCGCTGGCTCTTGTTTTTATTGGTCTTTTTGTATTTTGGATCGAGATGTAATTGTCCTGTCCAGTACGCTGCAGCTAAGAAATCCTATCTTTCTAGTCTTATGCTCGCTCTACCGTCTCATCTCCGTTTCAGGCGATCTGGGCTTTTATGCGGTAGCTGGAAAGCTTATTTTTTCCCACTGACATTGAAACTGACCCGTCCAAAGTCTTCCATTGATCAAAAAAGGTCATTTATTAGCTGCAAGCTTCTGACGCAGACAAATGGATGACACGATTTGATCCTTGATTTATGCGAATGTGTTACACGGACATGGCGAGAGGAAAGCTTCATCGGTTTGATACTGCGAATGGTATAGTGGACAGATGCCTTTCAAGTTTGATAACGTCTGCAATACATGTATGTATACCAGAGCCTGGCAACAAGACGTCCCGTAGTAGTACTTAAGTTGCTATCTACTTACTCGCAATCACAGAACACTACCAATCGGGAAGGTGAGGCTAATCCGAATGCGGAAATACTTCCACGTGATAGGGCTAGCCCTTGAAAACGGCCTGATCGGGCATGACTGCGCAGTTGGTCACTGCCGACGGCCGCAGACGAAGCGAAAGCCAATCAGAGCGCGTGCAAACACACGGGCGGCTGACTAACCGTGACCGCACGACTCGGACGTTGACGCTCCAGCGCTCATCGCTCCATCGGCGGGCCGGGCGGCTTCAAACTCACCTCACCTCGTCTGAACTTCCCAACCTTCCCTTTCTCCCTGTCCATCTCACCACCTCAATCTCCGCATCCACCAGGACAATGTTTCTCCAGCGCACTGCCTTCGCCGTTGCAAGGCGCACGCCCATCAGGGCCATCGCCAAGCGCCCGTTCTCCTCGTCGATTATCCGCTGTACGTGACCCCATTTGACCGAGCTGTTTGCTATGAACAGCACCCCTTCACCTCACCCATCTCGACTCAATTGAGAGCAATCACGATGGATATACATTTCCTATCGCTGTCCGGACTAGTTTAGGGTGGGATTTGTGCTGACGGGTGGTAATCTTTGGTTATAGGCGAGAAGTCGAAATACGAGGTCGACAAGCCCGGCAAGATCGTCTCCTTCGATGGTTCGTGTTGCAGCCCCTAAAATATGGCAAATAATACCCTTTATCGGCACTTCAATCGCGGTTCTTTCACTGGATCACCATGCCATGCCCCAATTGGTCTCGTCGGTCGGTCGGAAAACGAATCCGATTTCTCCCGCTCGTCTTTATATCGCCATATGATACATGTGAAAGGCCCATACGGGAAAGCTAACGTGCCTTTCTTTATATAGAGGTGAAGACGGAAGAGGACCTCCTCCCCCCTGGTGCTAAGCCCGGAACCATTCCTACCGATCTCGACCAGGCCACCGGTCTCGAGCGTCTGGAGTTGCTCGGAAAGATGCAGGGCATTGATATCTTTGACATGAGGCCTCTGGATGCCTCCCGAAAGGGTACGTCAACATACTTCTTTATGTTCCGGAAAACGCGCCCTGTTATCGACCTATCGAACCTATCACGGTCGTTTACCATACACGACATGGATCGCGGTCTCGAGATTTTATGCGACGCTAAATACGAGATTCAATAGGAACCCTCGACAACCCCATCATTGTCAACGGCGCCGGTGATGAGCAGTATGCTGGATGCACTGGCTACCCCGCTGACTCTCACGTCGTCAACTGGCTGACGGTAAACCACATCCTTGACGCGCCTTCATCTCGCGCAGCATTTCCCTATACATCGTTCATTTACTGATTAGACTGTGGTAGGTCTCTCGTGAGCGCCCTATCGAGCGCTGCATGGAGTGCGGCAATGTCATCAAGTACAACTACGTTGGCCCGGAGGAGGACCCCCACGCCCACGACCGTAAGTTGTCCCTGATTATGCTGTTCAGCAGACTGTTGCTGACAGATCCGCCCTCTAGACGGCCACCACCACCAGACCCACGAGGACCCCAAGACTTTCGCCGACTACGTTAAGCCTGAGTACTGGTACCGATAAATTACCAGCCAGCAGCATTATTTGCATGTCTTATACTCGCCTGTAAACCATAACTTGAAGCGTTGGCGCACTTGCAAAGGCCAAATGGGGAAGGAGGAATCCGAGGGGAAACGGTTTCATATCCCGCCTTCCCTTTTGTTCACTAGTCCTTGAGAGTCATCCTGTTAATGCCGTCGCCATCGCTCAAGAGCTGTGTCATTTCCCTTGTCAATTTGTAGAATACTCGCAGACCAATGAAGTTGTAGTAGAGGTTGTCCATTCATGGTTGCCATCTGACACATTAGACTCACCGCATGTCGTTTGGCCCTCACTTGATTGAATATCGACTGAATATCGACTAGAAGGAAGGAAGGAAGAGCTACAGGGCGTAATGTGATGCACATGGTGCCAAATCGATACATTAGTCGCCATCCGAGTGTATTATTTACCAGTTCCTTCCTCCAGACTGATTGTATATCGCCATGGATATCGGGCCTTGAAAGCAAGGAGAAAGCATACTCAAGCGTGCTATATTTTCAATTACGACTCCGGATATATTTTCATGCATGGACGCAGCCATTGGCTGTCGATATAAATAAATAATATATATATAGTGGAGTATATATGCAAGTACCCATGAAACCGTATTTATATGCAACCTCATGCGCAAAATAAAGCTGCATATACATACAGGAAAACCAATATATAAGTATCAGAAGAAAAGGAGACGATCTATGTACTCTTGACAATGCGACGGACCTTTTAGCTCTAATTTTTTCCAAGATGATGTCTAATAATCGAAACCATTCTCAGCAGGAAAAGTTGGTTTATGCACATATCGACAAAACATCACACGTGGATATGTTTGATGGCGTCATCTATAGCAGGAATATATGCTCATGCTGAAGAGAAGAGCGCTAACGACCGAAGAAGCGAAGTTCGATGTATCGTAATGGTGGGTATACGATGGCGGCCCAGGAAAAACCGACGTAGTTGCCCATCTGAGATTCATTCAAAGTTAATATAATCTTTTCGAGATAAGGTAGTGAGGGGTTGAGGAGACTTACATCGGCACCGTATTCTCCTACAAGACCGGCAATAGGTCCTACGTACCAGACCTGTGCCATGCAGAGGACAGCACCGACCCAGCCGACAACGAATGCGATAAAGGCGGCAATTCCAATGGGGAGCTTGGATGGATCGTTCCAAGCGGCCCAGTTATAGCCAGCACGGCGTCGGAAGATGTAACGTTCCTCGAGGAGGATGGCGAACCAGATGGCAACCCAGTATCCCATGAGGGCGAGGAAATTAGTGAATATCTCGGATAGGTGACCACGACCAGCGAGGGCACAAACAGTATAAATGATAACGCCGAATGTGTTCCAGATGACTCGCGGAACCTTCTCTGCGTACCGGCCAAGGATCTGGAAGTCAATACTGGAGGAGTATGTTGGTGCGATGGTGTTCGCGACCAAGCCTAGTGCAACAACCACGGAGCAGAACTTGCCAAAGTTGTGAAGAGGGCCGAACCCTTCGACGATGAGAGCGCCGGCGCCTGTATTCCATGCCGCGGCATATTCAGGATGAGTAGCGATACCGCTTGCTAGTCCAATTCCGACAAGGAAAGCCAATGTGAAGGACGTCATCAGGCCCAACAGCGATAGAATAAAAAGGGTTGGCTTGGAAGTGCGCGTGGGATAGTAGACGAAGAAGTCTGCTGCTAAGGGACTGTATGTAATAGCAGCACTCAAGCAAATTGAGAAGAACGATAGTCTGCAAGGAAAGGCCTTATCAGAAGAGGAATCCCCGGTCTTCAAGGTCTCAGCTTACCTATTGCCAATAAGAGTACGGCGATCTCCTTGGGAAGGCGCTGACAGGTCGAATTTCTTCGCTGATGTGCCGTATAAAATGGGCACCACTATCAGTTGAGGCAGAAACGCGAAACTTTGTATAGTTAGTAAGAAGATCCGATACAATAGTGACTGCGTCCTTACCGTTCATAGTAGTGGAAGATCTGGATACCAAATGTGGCTACTGCCCAACTGATGACGGCCACAATTACAATTCCTGTGGCACTGTTAGACAAGGATCGCAGCGCTGATCATGACTTCTGGTGACTTACCAACAGCAACCGACATGCTGCCTCCAGGCGAAACTGCAGATAGGATCTGTCCTCCAACCACGCAATCGATCATACAGTATCCAATCATTTGAATGAGATTCAGTAAGACCACAATCTTGCTTGGCCACCAACCCATGGAATATCTCCCAAACACCTGCATTAACATTAGACCATCTTCTTCTTGCCTGGTTTAGCAAACATTTAGGACTGCCAACCATTGTTCGATTTCCAGAGACTGGACCCCACGTGGCGCACCATGAAGCCACCAAAGATCCCACAAGCGCTCCAAGCACTGCACAAAGAGCTGAGTCAAGGAAGCTCAGATAATAGACCGCAGGACCAAGCATGCCCAGAGTGATATTATTGGCGGCCAGATTAATCGAAACCCACAGCAAGAACGACTGCAGGTAAGGCAGCCATGACAATTGGATACGTTCACTCTCCTCTACACGCTGTATCCCTCGAGCTTCGAGATTGTAACTAACGAGCTGCTTTTCAAAACTTCTCACGGCTGCCCCGATGCGCCCTGGGAGAGTCCAGCCATGCTGTCGCGAATCATAATCCGGAACACGATCGTCCACTAGGATTTCTCCAGGCTGATCTGAGCAGGCGATACCGAGCTCTGTCTTGTCATGGACAGCCGGTAGGGCGGGACGCCCATCTTTTCCTTCCATTTCTATAAACCTCCAGTCAGTATCGTCCCGCACGGGCGCAATGTGTGAGTCGACGAGACCGCCAGGACAGGACCCAGATTGAAAGAACAGGTCCAGTCTCAGTAGCTAGGGATCACAGGTGAATGCAAAGCAAAGGGTGGGGGCAGAAAAAGGAAAGCACGCATGAGTCCTTTCGCTGGAATTATCCAGATCAAGTTCAACCGTATAATCTCAGAACGACAATGAGCACCAGCTGCGCAACCTTCGGGACAAGCAATTGACTTCCTTTTGCTATAGACGACTTGCATATTTCACTGCGACACAGAATATGTCACACAGCAGAGGCACAAGCGAGTCCGAAGTTGCGCAGAGAGCCTACTTGTCGAACACCGGTCTTCATGCAGGCACGTTACCTAGATACCTTGATCACGGACAAATCCACACTACTCGTCTTCATAATGGCTCTCTTTTGTAGACTGATGAAATAGGAGAGGAGAGAGGTACAGAATAGAGAGAGATTTTGTTCACTCCCCGTCCGCAGAAATGGGAGGTTTCCAACGTTGCAGTGGCGGTCGTTTTGATCGCGGGGGAGCTCTTTGGCGCGAAGGAAATATCTTCCTGAATATCAGTCTCTGAACACAGATAGTTTTGCACGAACAAGCACAGACTCTTGAATTCTGCTGACTGACATTCGATGATATTTCCACTACTCGCTTCACCGTGGAGGCCCGTTGCTGCTGGAAATTTCTCCAAGGCCAAGGCCCAGACCATAGATACGAAAGTGGCGGGTGGGGAAGCGATTTTTTAACGGGGAACTTTTGATGAGAACCGTGCTCCCTCCCCACTCGTTGCGATTGTGAATCATCATGATCCTGTTGATATAGGCACAAATTCCTACTATAGTCGGTTCGCTCCAGTAAGTACGGCGGCAATACACGCGGATTAATATATGGCTTTAAGTAGCCAGCGTGCGCGTCGCTACAGCTGCACGTGCACTTGATAAGGAGATCGCAGGGCATCATACATGGGCCAAGCTCGAGGTTTTTTTAAAGAGCCGGTCTAGATGTCATTGACAAAGATAGAAGAATGATCTGATTTGCATAGACATGAGTCTTCCTGAGATCCAGACAATTGCCACTAGAAATTTCGTAGAAAAAAAAAGTATCTGGGCAAGCTATGAAAGAGATGCATCCATTCATTACCCTGCTCGATGCCCCGATAAGAGTCCTTCCCCGCGAACCATGGCAAGACGACGAAAAAGAACGAGACGGGATCCAGTGAATGGGTGACCCAGGGTATAGTCCATCGAATGCTCAAGGTCCAAGTACCGTTGCTGCTGAAATCCAGATAAAAAAGTGCAGAAGCCACCAACTCCCAAAAGAGCCCATAAACCCGCGACTCCTGACCGTCACTGTTAGAAACCTGTGTCGCCAAAGAACAGTAAGAGCCGTAGCTGACTGCCAGTGGTGCAGAATATGTTGCTAATGAAAATGCATCCAATTCATCACGTCGTCAATTTCGTCAATTTAGAGGTTTTTGAAATGCTCTTTTGCGTACTGCTCGCAGGCCTTCTCGAACGGGTCAGCATGCGGGACTATATAAGTGCCCTCGCAGACACCATGAATGGGCCAGCTAAATACCTTCGCGGGTTTTCCAACTTTCTGTCCAATGACCTTCCACTTATTCGCCTCGTACTCTTTGATTGCCTCGCGTAGCGCTACCGACTGAAGAAAGGATTAGAAGGATGCGACAGTCAGTCGTGCGGGCGCAGTAAACATACCTCATCTTCGGCGAACTCGGCATAATGCATGTCCTGCCAGCAGGGATCAGTAAGAGCAATTGAGTCTTAAGTCTGCACGCAGGTGCTCACCTTGTACCAGTGCTTTTTCACACTTCCCTCGGTTCGAGTAGGGAATGTCTAGAGACGGCAACGTCAGTAAAGGCCAGCCCGGAGCGCATATCGAGACAGACTTTGGCAATTTCGCTCCAGCTCTTCCCAGCGTCGCGCATTGTCTTCAAACGTTGCTCTTCCTCGGCCGTCCACGGAGTGTTGGTCCGTCCCTTCTTCTTCCCTGCCGACTCTGGCGTAGCCGTAGCCGTGGCGGGATCCGTCACAGCGTCTGCTCTGCTAGCCGGGACAGGCGGCGCAGCCATGGTCGTTGTTGCGCCTGATGAGGGTGACGAGCGGCGTTTGCGTGGATTGGAAGGTGACACCTGGGTTGGCTGGGCTGGTAACGTCGGAACACCCTCAAAGGCAGCTGATCCGGGGAAAGCGGGCGCTTGCTGCTGGTTCAGAGATCGGGAAGGAGAGCTAGTTGTTGTCGACGTCTTGATCCGCTTGGAGGTAGGAGGAGACCTGGGACATGGACGACACGGTCAGCAAAGCGATGAAAGCTCACCCATCGCGGTGGAAGCGCGATAGCACATGACACAGGAACCTGGAAGCGACCGCGATATCTTCCCTGGATCGGACGGCAGTCCGACCAGAGCAACGGGACTTGGCAGTACAAGACAGCACTCACGACATGGTTTCGCGACGCAGGCCTGTCGATTCATCTGCACATACACATATAGCAGCTCTAGTTGACGATCAGGAACACGACAGCGGTGGCCTGTTCGGGTCCGTTGACGGCTCCGGGGAACAGTAATGGAGTTGGAAGCGTTTAGACCAGGGGAGCGGCCACCAACACAAGGCCACCGGCCTGAGAGTTCAACGGTTCGGGCAACAAAGAAACCTTGGAGAGACTTCGGGGATACAGAGACAAAGTCGCTCGCGTGGGGTGGCTGGGGAATGGCGGAGAACGGCGGCACCACGGGGAATTCCTTCTAGACGAGGAGAACAGGTCTTGGAGGGGCTGTGGGCGGAGGGGCACGTCACTCTCCCATGGCCTGAAGGCGAGGAGATACAAAGAGTACGGCTGGAAGAGAACCCAGCTCTACAGAAAGAGAGAAGGTCGAGGGGAATGGAAGATGCTCAGCAGAGCGTTTCTGGAAGATCAGGCGGGGTGCCAGTCCAGCCGAGAGGCGGATGTTTTGCGGATTTACGACCCGGGGGAGGGGGGTCATGTTCAGTTCAGTGACTTTCTCGTCTGTCCTCTCTTGTCTCTCCCCTCGACGCTGACCTTGTCCTACCTCAGCGTCCCGACCAGCGATCCCTGGTGTCGAACAGGTCATCCGCAAGCTCCAGCACATCGCCCGCGTCTGGGACCTCCGCGAGCGAAAGACAGAGCGAACGAGATGCGGGAACCATCGATGAACATCATGTCATGTGTCGCGATTCCAGGATATACTCGCTTGACCTAGTAAGTAAGAGGGGCTCAGCAGTCCAAGCGATCCAGGATCATCTTTTGAATCGGAGATTTTCCTGCATCTCTCGCACCATCCAGCGGCAGCGATGCAGGCAGCAAGATCGAACCAGCACTGCTGAAGAACGACTGGAAGCTCAAGCCAGGGGGTCAACAACAACCAGAAGACCTTTGAAGGAATCCAGCGAGTCTTTTAAGGGCCTCCGTGCAACCACTATTTCTCTCCCTGACTGCCGGCGGCACGATAACAACATCATTGCTTGCCGTAACCCGGTCATATCATTTTAGATCGAGCTGACCGCTTCCATCAAGACTCGAATAATCCCAACATGTCAGCCGAGGCAGGGAAGCCATCTAAGTATGCCCCAGTCTATGGTACATACATCGCTCGGATAGTTAGCACTTCGATTTAGCTCTAGCGAAGTAACTAACTTCGCAGTGGACGCCTGGACGGTCATTATTGACTAAGCTAGATCCTGGTTGAGATGTGCGCTACCCGTAGCTAAAGCATGCCAACGAAGAGTATTAATTATTACCCACACGTACGTTGGCGAGGGGCCGAGGGCAGAAGTAAATACTGTCGCGGATATTCTTCTTCTCTTGTTTACTTCGATCTTAGCCTTTCCGTTCCACTACGATCTTCGTCCATTCCTTACTTTTTGACTACTCTATTTCGACTTTTTAAAGAATTACACCAAACTACCTAGTCACCAGCAGGTAGTTATGGGCTTAGTTGAGTAAGTATTGGAGCTACCGCTCTTTTGAGAGTAAACATGACGGTGCGAGGCCCGAGCACTTTGGCAACTTGGTATCCATAGCTAAGGCAAACAAGTCAATTCGCGCCCAACACGCTGGAGATTCGATCTCCATACTAGTTAAATCACAACAACAATAATACTATACCGATGGCAACGACCCAGTGCTTTTGTGGGGAGCAGAGCTGTCGTGGCGAATGCATACAGAAGACGGAGACCCACAGACCACCTAGCAGCAACAAGCTTCCGCTTTCAATTTATTGTCAACAACAGTCGGTCACAATATTAGAATGACCGATGAATGCACAGCCTGTATAGATACTAGACATAATGTTTGACTTCTGAGGACTACGCAGACTCAGTATTATGGTTGTTAGGCCAGTCTAAATAGATGCGGCTGATTTGGATCGTTGAGGGCCTGGTAACTGTTCTCATCTTGAAAAGTTCCCACCAGATGTCATGTTTGGGTGACTGTGAAGAGCCAATTAGTAGGTTCAGTAATTATTACACACCGTATGAGCATTTGGACCTGCTCACTACTACGTAGTTACTGAATGAAAAGAAGCCCGGCTGTCTAAGCTAGTCAAGCGTACGGAGCCAAGCGGAGATATCGATGCTTCCTTTCGTCGACCTATCTCTAGACCAACTGGCTTGGGTTCATAGTCCGTCTAGTTCGTCTCTCTACAGCCTGCTATAAGCCTCACCGACATATCTGGCAGAGTTGGAGAATTTTCCAGTTGCGACACTCAATGATCACGATGCGATGGATCAGTGCATAGTATTACTGCATACAGCAAAAACATTGACGACTTACTTGCGGACTAACCGAGCAGCTTTTTCTAAAGCGTGCACGCTGGCTGGTCCTATAATTAGGGGATGAGAAAGATTTGTCCAAGCTAAGAATTATGTAGTTCAAAATCCCATGTCATCTTTATTATTCATCACAATAATAATCCTAGTAGGCTGGCATGTTGCCACATCGGGTCTTCAGGTTGATCGCGCTTAGCCTTGAAAAGACCTGGAAGACATCGACTGTCTGAATTGGGAATTGCTTTTTCGTAAATAGTACCTTGCCATTGTGAAAATGTCTTAATTCGTCTCCGTACCATGCACTGGCCTTCTGGACATGTTGCTTGATTGGGGGTTTTAGGTCCCTCGAAACGGTCTCGGTCACAACGTCGAGACAAGCGTTTTGAGCTTGCGCGAACCCCCCGGCTCATTCCTAGAAGTAGGCGCCTGCCCTACAACATTTGTCAATCTTGTTTATTAAGGGGACTTGTTTCTCTGCCGTGCTGTGCTATGCGGAAGTTGCTTGTTCCGTTCTGTCCTGCATGTTATGATTTGGTCGATTCGGACCGATCGACCGGTGGGATCGAGAACGCCTTGGTGCACTGCATGCCTCACGCCTAGCGAGTAGACGTCGCTTAGCACGGCTGTCTCTATTTCCCGATTAGAGCTCTCCTTGGGTTGAGAATTTTCTTTGATGATTTACCGTGGATCTACACCTTGCCCTTGGCCATAGTTGAGTGGGTTGTTTTGGTGCGGTCCGAACAATTGAAACAACGGGGTCTCTCTAAAATCATCCGGCCGCTGGGGGGCCCAAGTCTCTACTCCGTAGGCTTCTTGACATTCTCCAAGATCTACAGAGATCTTCGTGAAACCTGTATGACGACTAACACTATCTGCTATGCTGTTAGGCTTCGAAACAAGCTACGACGTTTTCTGGCTATAACAGAAAGGCTTAATTGTTTCGCGCAGTAGGTTTTGCGGAAATGCTGATACTCACTCCGTTTTGGTCTCGCACGATCGACTCAGGGGTTTAAAACCAATTCCTCCACGCTTTTCTATAATCAGCCAGAACAATGTATCAAGCTCCCTCTCTGGGAAATGGGGGATTACTCTTTTGGCCGTGTTCTTCATGCAGTGCGCTCGATTGCCCAGCTGGCCATAGCCGTGTCCCACATTAGCTTGATAAGTCAAACCTCCAGCGACCCAGAGATCATAGAAGGTATGGCACCAAGCCCCGAGCGCCTCCGCAAGGACGCTTTGATGTGGAAACAATTCGCACTCGAGGCAGCGCCACTCTAATCGTCATGCATCAAAAGCCGGAGTCTAAGGGGCGGACGTCAGACCGCTAGCACACCTACTGAGAGGAAATCTAGTAAATAAAGAGACAGAGATAGACTCGTTTTTTCGCTGTCTGTTACTTTCCAAGACCATCGAGGTGATTGGTTCTGAGAAGACTTCTAGTCTGTTTTTACAGCTCCATCTTTTCTTCTTTTCTCCCACCGGTTGGGCTAATTCACATTCTTTATAATCCTTTTGATTGCTGTCTTGACGACTCTGTTCTTCTTGTCTCTTTCAAACCCACCTCTGCAGGTTCAATTGAACTTTATCGTTGCAGTTGGATAGCGAAAAGAAACCATCAGGATTCGCATTCACTAGGTCGTGATCAGAGAGCAATTTGAATCTTATAGCATATCAATATGTCACCTTCAATCAGCGCACCTGTCGCTGGTCCTATGCAGTATGGACCATTTGAGCCATCAGCATCGAGCAGCCACAGGGGTCAATCTGATTGTAGAATCCACAAACATCACCGGAAGACTTCCACCGGTGGTGGCCGGGCATGGACGGAGGAAGAGGTATGTTCTGTAGCTTTGGAGTTTCACCGAGCTTCTAGCTAACGATAAATAGGAAGCCTACCTACTGCGAACCCGTCTTCACAAGATGCCGTACAAGCATATAGCAACTCATCTGAAGAAGACAGAACTGGCTTGTCGACTCCACTACCACCAGATGTCTTATGGCAGCAACCGTCGCAAGCGAACAGACTCTGTGTCTTCTACCGGCTCTTATTCTTCTTATGTCGGCCCACGAGACGAGATCTTGGAGAACGCAACTTATACGCGTCTATCTCCCGTCCCGTCTCCTCCCTCCAGTCCTGAGTATGGCCCAGGAAAGAGCCTCATCTGCGAATCGAATTGCCAACAATCTCGGGCACATGTGCCAATTCTTCCCAAACCTGACTCCTCCGCTGTACGATCTTTCCAATCGACGCCAGCGGATATGCTGAAGTCACTGCGTCTCGATACCTCATTTACGACGACTCAGCCGTACAGACATCAGATGCAGTCAACACAGGTCAACCCTGTGCGTCTTCGGGCTATCTATGATGCCCATCGTGATTCATTCTGGTCTTTGATCGCCTCAGAGTACTCCCAGGGCGTCTCTTTCTCCCCTCGTCAACTTGAGGAAGCGTTCTTCAATACGACACTGCCTCCTACAACAATCCGTGCTCCATCTCCCCCAACTCCGGGGTCGAGCCCTCGTGACACTGCATCAGCTATCTACCATCCTCTCAACCAATCTATCTTTCACGCAGCGGGAAGCCGAGGATTCCAGGCAGTCAATGGCAGCTCCCAGGCGCCAACACGTACTGCGAGTCCCGCCGTGAGCACCCCTAGTTCCGTCGAGCGGTGTGCAGTCTCTGCGTTGTTGACTGTGGAAAAAGAAGTCAGACCGTCAAGGGACACTTGCCTGGAAACGAATGCTTGATTATTTCCAGACATCCTGTTCCTTATGAGATATTGAGTCTGAAATGTTCTAGGCAGGAGGTTTGCTGTGCAGACTTTTCCATTACGACCTTGGATTTTTATGAAGGTGCTTTCATGACATGCAAATGGTATCTACGAGTCTGTCAGGGTAACTGGGTTCACTCTGATCTCACCTGCATACGGGTGCGGGTATAGCTCTTTTCTGGGCTTTTCATTTACTGTAACGGTTTAATTGCGGTTTAATTGTTTTGTTTACTTTATTTCCCCGGGGTACATGGCCTTGGTGCGCTTTGTACATGTGCGTTTCTTGTCAGTCATGATGAAAGGCAGTTCTTGTGCGTTTATTTCATTTTGGAAGACGCGATGGTATCGCTCGATGTCAGATACACCACTTTTTCCTTTCGTTGGGGTTAGATTTGCAGTGTAGCTAGTGGCAGGCATTCGGGGCTTGCTGCCACCAGAGCATATTTAATATGTTATTATTTTCGTACTCTATTTTTCTAGTCGATAACACTAGAGGCCGACGATGAGGCCCAACTTCAAGCATCCATGGGCACCCTTTAGCGGGAACGGATAGATAGTCTAGAGTCTAGACTGTAGTTTTATCTGTTTCACCGCTCTTATCCATGGGCTGGGCGACTGGGCACGTGATTGCCGCGTGGCGCCCGCAGCTTCATACGCCATCCGTGCTTTAGCTTCCCAAAGCAGAAGGTCAGCTTGCTGGCGAGTCCGATGGCGCTGCCTATACACGAATCTCTGACTCCGTTTCTGTTTCATATCTCGATTGTCAGACAGATGCACTTCGAAAAACGATAATAGTCACCTCCATCATTGCATTGCGTACCTTAATACCTTCCATTATACAGCCCAGGAGATAACACGCGTTTGCATCGTTATCGGCTGGTTAACCCGCCGGAGACAGTGACACATTCCCCGTCCTTGCATCTCCCTCCCTAGATAGATACTCGCACGAAACAAGGCGATTGTCGTTCCGTTTCCGAAACGCAGATCGGTTCTCAAAGCTTCCACTTGTCATTGACGATCGCTTGCGAACGTCAAAAGCATTATCCAGAACTCGTTCCTGAAACGACATCTATCCTTGTTCGTGAGACGCATCGCCTACCCTCTCTATCCGATTATTATTAGCTGGCAACCCCGTTCACTTCGAAGCTACGCAGGTAACGGCTTAGAAGCATAGAGAGGGGGTTCCAGACGCGTCATCGCTTTTACATCTTTCGCTATATCGTCAAGAGGGGGGTTTTGTCGAAATCACACTTCACTGAGAAGCATAAGGAACGGCAGGACCGGCGTCATGTTCAATGTCTTTCGATTGTTAGGCGATCTGTCGCATATCTCATCTAAGTGTATCTTGATATGGGCGATTCACTGGAACAAGAGTGCAGAGGGTACGTGAGATCTTATACCTGTCCTGCGCTTAGCCTTTAGATCTTCATACGGGCATGCTGACCTCCTTCGACTTACAGGGGTCTCCCTTCTGACGCAGATACTATACGCCTGTGTATTTGTCACTCGCTATCTTGATATATTCACTACGAGAATCGACAGCTGGGTGAAGACGTACAATCTGTTCTTCAAGATCTTTTACATCCTATCATCATTCTATATCATTCTCTTGATGACCAAGGTCTTCCCACGGACGAGGGAACGGGAAAAGGCGTGGAAGCTGGCACTGTGGTCGGTGATTGGTTCCCTCGTGTTGTCGCCAATAGCGATACTGGTCCTGGAACGGAATGAGACTCACCGCTCATGGTTCCGTGAGGTAAGTTGATTGCTTTCCCGCATCCGAATAGTACTGATTGCGTTGTCTTTATTCAGTATTGGTGGTCTTTCTCCATCATCCTCGAATCGGTCTGCGTGCTGCCGCAGCTCCTGCTACTCCGCCAGACAACGGTCCCTACCGTCATCGATTCGTTCTATCTCCTGACGCTAGGATTATACAGAGGTCTCTACCTCTTGAACTGGATCGTGCGCTATGAATCAGAAAACTTCCGCGATCCAATTGCTGTAGTGTTCGGTATCGTGCAGACAGCTTTCTATATCGACTTCGCCTGGGTGTACTGGACGCGCCAACGGGTCAAGTTGCGACACGGCGGTATTGTCGACTCGGAGGACCTCCGGAAGAGTTGGCTTGTCAACAAGGTTTTCAATTCGCGCGTCGCGCGGGCACGTAACGAGGAAGAGGAGGAGCACCTGGATGAAGAAAATGGAGCAGGTGAAGAGGGCGCAAGCCGTCGTGCCGGAACCAACCGCTGGGGTGCCCGCGGTATCTCTGTCTCCGCTGATGATACCTTAGAGGGACACTCCCACTCGAAGAATCGAGACTCCGCCGATGAGGATGAGTTGGAGGGAATATTGGAGGACGAGGAATCACCGCATGACCGGGAACACTGACAGGAAGGTGTCTAACCACGATTAACCCTGCTAAGCCCGGTCATTGCGTACTATATTCCACTATACTTGGCTGTCCCATTTTTTGGATTTGGCAGTTTCTACGCATTGTCTTGGAGTTTTACATGATCTGTAGAATGAGCGGCATGATTTTTGATGAACTATATTTGGAAACCGAATGACAATCTCTATCTGTTGCTAATCCGCAACCCGGCACAAGTAGAAATCCCAGTATGGCAGTGCATTTGCCATGTCCTGACGAGAAGCTATTTACGTCCATGCGATAGATCGCGAACAGGTTTTCCCACCTATGAAGATCAGAGCCCCAGACATCCGGGGTTTCGAGAGACTCAGAAATCGGCAAGATGGGATCAAGGGAGGCGCAGCAGATGATCTCCACGGAAGAGACGATTCTCTATTTTGGATGAAAGAGAGAGGTGGGTTGTAGAGAAAGACCTTTGACAGAGGGCCGGATCGTCCAAGCAGAGCTCGGGACACGTGCCGGCCCGGGCTTGTTGTCCTTTTGATCTTCGTTAAGCGCCGACAGACACACGGACATCCTCTCGAGTCTCCATTGAGTCCATTATTCCCTCTCGCCCGCACCGCACTGTGGGCCGACAAGACTCGAGTGAGATGCCGTGATCCTATCTACAAGTACTGACATCCACGAGAGCTTGCGATACTACTCTCTTGGACGACACGTGGGCTGTTCCCAGCTGAGGTATCCTCCCAGCACATCGACAGCGGAACTTGCGGCGACGCACCGTTGCTCAGCTCTGTCCACCGTGCAGATACAGTAAACCGTCTGGACTGGTTAAAAGGGCTGTGTTGGGGCCATTCTGGCCAGTCCAAACACCCTTGGTTCACAGCCCCATCGGAACTGAGCGCTTAACGGACATCGCGCTGAGGTCGGATTATTGAACCCTGCGCTTACCCATTGGCCCTGCGGTATTCCCCTTCCTCTCTGGCTGACCACACCGCAGGAGCTGAAGACCATCTCAAAAGGTTGTTGACTAGTATCAGGGCCGACGGGAGCTAGGCGATCATAGTGGCCGCGATCCATGGGTCTGTTCGACGGGTATGATTACTTACTTCCAGCTTTATCGACCCTGATGCCGCTAAAGCTGCCGTCATTTCTTTATGGTATAAACCAATTTTGACTTGGCATGTGTTTTTTGACAGATGTCGTCTGGGAATGAAAGATAAGTCAGTTTCATATCTCCCTGATCGCTGATTTTTCTCTACAATCGTGGTTTCTTTTGTCTGTTGCTTAGTAGTTTGCTTCGCCTTCTGACAACAATGGGTACCATTTTTACCTGTGCCCCTGCTCTTAGAGCGACTCTTCCCTGGCATAGGACGATGGTCCCATTTTTGGAGGGGTTGACCGTTGAAGTCGCTAAAAGTTCCCCTGCCCACTCCAGCGGCAATTGTCCTTTGACGATTTGGTCTTGCCATTTTAGCACCAAATCTTAACATGCTTGTTCTCTACCCCAGAGACTAGAGACCAGAGACCCTGACCACCCGGACTCTTGGGCTCGGATTTCCAGAGCCGTTCCTCTTCAGGTGTTGTGGGCCTATCTAGAGCTGCAGCTCCGGGGCTGGAGATTTCGCACTTGTTCTATGGAACGTTGCTTAATGTTGTCTATAGGCGGGCGCTTAACCGCAGAACACCTCGAGCCAGCAATATCGTTTCTCGGTCTTGCCCGTTGCGGCACAGTTATTGACAGCGGCAAGAGCCTGACAGCTTTCGCTCTCTGGGTTTCTTTTAAAAAAAATGCATCGAGGTCTGGAGCCTGCCTTGCAAGGCGGTTTTGCTAGCTTCTGCCTCTTTTACAGTAACTCCACCAGAGGCGTCCGTGTGTACGGCGTTTGGCCCGTGGTGGATTATGTCTCTGATCTGAAGATCAACTATGTCTTTTTAAAGATCACATCTGTTATAAAGAGAAGGTTCTTTGGCCCCCGTTAAGATAACTCAATCCTGATTCTGTCGAAGGGTTGGATATCAGCCTTCATTTATCTCTATACATTGCCTCTTCCATTGAATCCTCTTTTTGTTACCCTATTCCAGTCTTTATCTGTCTCCGTATCGTTGCAGTGAGGGGGCCATTTCCTCACTCAACAGGTCTCTTCATGCTTTTGTTGAATAGCTGGGATCAGGAGATGTCTTTCCCTCGCGGAAACGCTGGCTCTGAGGGCAGAACGGGAAGGATGGATGAGTATATGACGGATCTAGACCCTCGGTGGTCGAGCGTAGATGCTGTACGTAGTGCGAACCGGGAGAGGAGTCTTGATACTGATGACTTGTTTTGATATCCAGTCTCAATTCATAGGTGTCTCTCTTCCATACAGCGCGGCTGGTCACCCTTCGGCGGCAGCCTTGACTCCAATCAGTCTACCCGATAGCTCTTTTATCGATACTGGCCCGAGTCCAGTACTGAGCCGGCACTCGCAGGAATATCATTATCAGCCCATCGGGGATCCTACTCCACAATACCATGGGCTAGGGATTACTGCACCTTTCCCGGAAAACTTCCCCGTGCAAGCACCTGCGGGTTATGCTTTCACTCATGGAGGGCAAATTATTGACTATGACCCTACTTCAGCTGCGCGGACGATCACATCACCACGAGGCCAGCGACCAAGGCCCGAGACCAAAACTGTAGCAACGCGAAGGGGCACGCCTGTCTCGATTCTTCCGCACCCAGAAGGACTTCGTCGCATGGAGCAGGAACGTCTCCACGGCCACATACCAGAATCACAGCCAAGAGAGCTCCGACGACCGCGAACCGGCACACGAGGTCGACGAGACCCTAACGCAGACGAAGAGGACGACTTTGTGGAGCAGCTCCGAGAGCAGAATGTTGCCTGGAGAGTGGTTGCAGAGCGGTTCCGGGAGCGATTCCATAAAGACACTTCAGAGGCACGTCTCCAGATGCGGTTGCAGAGACGGCGCAAAGGTCGAGCGGCAATGTGGGATGAGGATGATGTGAGTACGTGTGTCGCCGCGACTTGCCCCTTTCTCACAGGAAGGCTGACCTAGATTCCACGTTCAGATTCGACTGCTAAGGAGAGCGTACGATTATTGGCAGGATAAAAAGTACACGATTATCGCGGAGAAGGTAAATCATCCTCCTCTAGATAAGAAAACATAGTCCTGTTGAATGATATAACATGACGTCGATGATACGATATCGTTATCGATAGCCATTACTGACTCACCGGGCAGTTACAGGAATTAGGCGCGAAACGGCCATACACTGAGCAAGAATGCGAAGCGCAGCTGCGAATTGAGCTGGGCGAGGTCGTTGGCCCTTCAGATATCCATGCGCCTCCACGACCAGATGCGCAACGGCGTCGGAAACGAGCTAGTTTAAAGTCATCACGTCGAAGAGGGGAAGGTGGAGATGACTAAATAAGACTCGTCTCTCTTTTGTTGTTCAGGTCTCCTTGTCCCTTTTCCATTCATTTTATTGTTCATTTCTTTTTTACCCCCGAGCGAGCCAATCTCGGTTACACCACAGCACGCATTGTTTTGTTTCTTCTTTCCTATTTGAATGATAGCCTCCGGTATGAATTTTTACACTTCTTTTTTCGGATCCATATGGTCTCTCTTATATCATGGAGTGAATAAGGGGGCGTATACTCGAGTCTTTTTTTTTCTTCTTCTACTTCCACTACTCAACAACATACATTAGCGCATAGATCTATTTGCATTCTACTTTTTTTCTGCGTTGTGACTCTCTTTCTGAATCATAAAGCTTGATAGTCTCACATGCATACATACATACATACGTCTTACATTACATGTTGGAATATATTCTATTCTCCTTTTACTATTCTTGATCCCTTGATGCGGGGCACTTATGCGGGGAGCGTGATGAGATATATAAGATTGGTGCGTATATGTATGTGGGAAAATAGCACTGGAGGACGAAAGGTAGGGCATATCATGTATATAGTCCCATGGCAGATTGGTTTTACTTATTACTAGTTGTGTATGAGGGAGAAGGGAGTTGAAGAAGATTGAAAAGACTCCTTCTTATATAACAGTGGTATGTATATCCCCACTAAATATATTGAGATGATTATTTACGTTAATGCATACATAAAATATAATAACCGCCCCCGGAGTCTCGTGTACACCTCGCTTTCTATTCACATGTATCATGGTTCTGAAATACTCTATTCATTGGAGCGCACCTTCTCATAGATGACTGTGGAATATATAGATAAAGAAGAAAAGACTCGGCCTGATTATAGGCAAGAGCATCTATTGGTCTTTCGACTTCGCGCCCCTCTCCGACCAAGGGAAGTAGATAGCAGGGACGATAAAGAAACTGTTGCTATCGTCTGCAATACCTGATAGGGCGCACCACCAGGCTAGGAATGCAGCGAGGAGCGAAAAGAGTCCTCCGGCTTTGATCACATTTTTGTTTGGGTTCTCGTGTTCGTCGCGGTACATGTAGCCGATTCCGAGAAGGAAGAAGGCGACGTCGACGGTGAGGAAGAGAAGGAAGAAGGCTACGGTCGATTTGACGGTGCAGGTGAGTAATAGGAAGGTGAAGATGAACCAGCCCTGAGGGATTGATTAGTTCGGATTCTTTTCATTTTTTTTTTTATATCGCGGAGAAGAGAGGGCGGAGGATGGGGGATGTTGGAGACGACTTACGAATAAGAATAATGAGAAGGAGTCGTAGAACATTCCAACAGAGCCTTTATCGGCTTGCTCTAGTGAGGACATGATGCCGAATCCTCCAGGAGTGAAGATAATGCCTACTGCGATCCAGAAGCCGCCGTAGGAGGACAATGCAGTAGCACCGAATGTGTTGCCTGCGGCCATTTCCCTGTTGAGAGAACCCCGGTCAGAAAATCTATGTTGACGTCTGGGATGCAGAATTGAGTAAGTACTTACCACATCCCGGCGCAAAGCTGTACCAATCCACCGTAGGAATACGCAAGACCAACAATTATGTTTGGCTCCGTGATGTCTCGAGCGCCCATATTGATGCAACCCAGGACGAAGGTAGTGAGCGCGAAACCGCTCAATCCCAAAGGTGCTGGATTGGCGATCTTGCGCTCCTTAACTGGCCTGTACAGTCCAGGCTGGAACTCACCTCCAAAGGGAGGGAGGCGAGTACTGGTCGTGGTGACATGCGCTAGCGGGCCATAGTTGGCATAGAAGTTCGAGTCCCCGTTACCACTAGAACTCGTAGCGTTTGTCTCGCTCTTGTCCAAATTGGTTTGAGCCTCAAGGGTAGCCATGATGACAGACTCCTTGGTGGTGCGTCGGAATGGTGGATGCGATTCCAAGATACAATACAATTGAGCAATTGATCTTGTTAGGGAAAAGAGAGGGGGGGGAGAAGAGAGGAAGAGAGAAGAGATATGCTATGGTATTTCCACAGACCCTGTTGCGAGAGAGCAGTCCCTGAACTTGGTCCCGGCCTGGAGGGGAGACCCGATTAATATACTCATCTTTGCGACTGCGTCGGGGAGGTCAGACAAACTCATAGTCGGGGGGAAAGGGGATCAGCATTCCAGCAACGTGTTGCAGAAGCACAACAGCTTTAGGAGTTGAGAGTGGAGCATGAAGATTGGCTGTCCAAACGATGACGATATCGAAGTGCATGTCATCCAAGCTGCACAACCGTCGACAGGCGCGCTGGCAAATAACCTGAGTCTAGCACTCTTCTGGCGCCGGACGGGCTCATAGATTGGCCCAAATCGCAAACTGGGGACGGCATAACGCCGTGTTCTTGACCAACCTGGGGTAAATGATGTCTTACGAACGAGAACATAAGGTTGGACCCTCCGTCCCCGCAAGTGCGGAGAATGCTGACTCGGAATGAGAATCATCAAGACTCATGGAGCGGACTGGCCATTTGATTGAACAGGATCAAAGGAAGTTTCCCCCGCGCTTTACCCCAGAAAAGCTGGTCGAGTGGCGGAGATTCTAGAGCCATGATCCGATGATCGCCCCTCAATAGCGCTCTTTGGTTGGGTATCATGTCAAGCTCTGTGGAGATCGGTTCGCTCTCGGCAGTTAATACTGTAAGCACCCTGAGCTTGGCAGTTAAGCAGTCCGAACAAGGTAGATCTACCTGTTCGAGAAGCAGTGAGCAATTGTTCACATCCAGCACCAATTACTACTTACATATCCTGGGTGAACTCGAATATGCAGAAAGAAGTATACTGCCGTTACTGTCACTTGGGGTAAGAAGAGAAGATGGAGAATATACCAGGGACGGAACCTCTCCGGGAGCTGTCATAGACTTCAGGAAAGATCCCGTCATGGCGCAATTAAGTTTCGTATATCTCTCGTAAAGATCCAAATCCTGCAGCTTGGCTAATTAGTCCCGAAGCATAAATGCACGAAACTTTTGTCGGCCGAATAGGCTCAAATCAGAGCGAGATCTCTCGTAGCCAAGTCCTCCGGTCCCTGGGCATCGGTGCCTGAGCAGCGCAAAAATCCCTGCACTCCACGAGGCCAAATGTCGATTCTGAGGGGCAAGCGCGGGGTAGTGTTCTCAACAGACCTGAAGATCTATCCGTGATCTACTCCGTACATAGATACATACAGGAAGGGAGGAGACGGACGGTTCGATTCCCCGTCGAGCGTTCGGGACGTTTTTGGTCAGGTGAGCCATGGCACGTTCACGCCTCAGGCAACAAAGGCCTTTTTGTTTACTTCGACCTCTAATCGGCCCTTTTGTCAGGACCGCGTAATAACCCACAAGCAATCCTGCCCTTTGACCAGGGATTAGAGGGCGTTGCGAAGTGGTAGGAGATTTGGTTCATGTAGACCTTTCCTGATACTCCCTGAGAAGCGTGAGGACCTTTCCATGGTTGATGCCTAACCCAGGAGGTAATAATAGCCTCTAATATCTCTTCATATGTCTGTCCTACCACTTCGCTTTTGGAATTCTGTGTTTATTGTATTAGAATCACGATCATGTTCTGCCTTTTTGGTCTGAATCGAAAGGACTACCGGTTAACATGTTGGGACCTGCAATCCAGATATGTTCTCACGATCTGGTTAGAGCACTCAACTCTGCTGAGAGCGAGGAAACTCCTTCATCTCCAAGACTCTTGCTCTGATAGGCAGTGGCGCAAGGCCGAGGCAATAAACCTAAACGACGTAATTCGTCCTTGGCACATCCTTTGCAGAGTCCGTTGCGGATATATTTTTTATATTTTTGTCTCCTATACATCCTGACACGCTTGAAGAAGATCATATACACCCTGCAAACCTCGAGTTGGAGGGGCCCTCGGCTCCCCACACGTCAATCAATATTATTAGGCTCTAGTAGTGTATTCCCACAAACTGGACGAGTCTAAGATGGGCCAGCTTCCTTGCGCAAGACAAATGTCTTCGTGTTTTTTTCGCCTAGGACACCAGTCGGATTTGACGAGACTGTCAAGGGAGCGTCAACAGTGATATGGATCTCTTGGATATAGATAATCCACTTCTTCATAGTCTCCCAGTCCGGGACTGACTCTCCAAGCTAGATTTGAACAGCATACCTGTTAAACGCCGCACTTAGGATGCGCTCCGTTAAAGGGTCAATTCATCAGTGTCGGTAAAATCTCTAAGTGCTATATTGCCCTGTAATAACGATAGCAGCTGATTCGCACATTGCAGGGCAAACCCTATTTCTGCATTTCATGTTGCTCAACCTTAAGAGCATCAAAAGACTTGAAAAGACTTGGGACTTGACCGCATTCGGTACAAGTATTCTTATCATCCCCGGTCACGTGCTGTCTACGGAACCTCGGTTGCGCGAGACGAGCCGATGGCAATCCGGAGTTCGAGCCGCCGGTGTTCAGTTACGTCTCCAACTGAGTCCTTCTCTCTGCTTGAACGATCATGGTCGCAACATGAGTTCTGCAAATTTCGCTGCTGCTCAAAAGCGAGTTTTGGAGCGCCGTCGCCAGCGTGAAGCTGAAACTCGCGCCCGCATCGCGGAGCAGCAGCGAGCGTCGCGCGTCAACAGAGCTGCTGTGGAGCGGCTCCCAGCTCCCTTGAACAGACTCTCAGGCGCCGGTCTCGCTCTATGGGATACAGTCAAGGGGCGGGAAGGAACAAGGCCTGCCTTTCGTGTTGGTCAGGTCGACGCGGAACTTCTGGATGAGGAGTTGCTGGGACTCTTGAAAGGACAGGTCGGAGAGGCACTGAAATACTTCGGGGTAAGGACACCATTTGGCTCCATGCAGTCTTCTGTCAGATAGAGACAGAAGTTAATCATTTCTATATTAGCCTCATGTCCGGGATGACTGGTCCAGTGAGATCCAACTTGGGCTGCGCGCTATTCTCTTCAAGCTCTCTATATGGGACCATAATGCGTCATACGGTGCGGCGCTGCAGAACTTGAAATATACCGATAGTCGGAGTCAGGGCCCTGTCTTTTCGCCTCCCACGAAATGGCAGAAGATCCTCTATGGTCTGTTCACGGTTGGCGGTCGCTACGCTTGGGACAGATGGGAAAGCTGGTTGATTGACAAGCAAGGTGGTTATGAAGAGGTAAGTGTCTGGCTTGTTCTTCTTATTTTGGTGGAACGGGTTTGCTCATAAGACCAGCCTTCATCGGAAGTGCGGCTATTATCGAAGATTACGGACATAGTTTCGACGTCGCATTCCATCGCGGCATTTGCCTCCTTCCTTGTCTTCCTAGTGAACGGACGATATCGAACGCTCGTCGATCGGATACTTCGGATTCGTCTCACGCCTCCGTCAACTCAGGTTAGTCGTGAGGTATCATTTGAATACCTTAACCGCCAGCTTGTATGGCACGCATTTACCGAATTTCTCTTGTTTCTGCTACCTCTGGTCGGAATCAGTCGCTGGCGTCGTTGGCTATCGAGAGCTTGGCACAGAACTGTCTCTATTCTGAGAGCAAGCGGTGATGATGCAGAGGTCCCTGAGAAGCGAGGAGAATTGGCTTTCCTTCCAGAACGAACATGCGCTATCTGTTATCAGGAACAGAATCCCACGTCTACATCGGAGAGTGACGTTATTGGAATGTCCGCAGCGTCAGGAGGTATCATCGGTTCTGCTCAAACTGATATCACAAACCCTTACGAAACTATACCATGCGGGTGCATATACTGCTTCGTCTGTATTGCGCAGAAACTGGAAGCCGAAGGAGGTGAAGGTTGGGTCTGCTTGCGCTGCGGCGAGATCGTAAAGCAGTGCAAGCCTTGGAATGGCGACGTGTTGGAAGAAGATCGCCGCCCAGCTGGGAATGGCAAAAATGTTGGATTCATCTTGGGGCCAAGCCCAGAGGGTGAGGAAACATCCGAGAAAGCATCTAACTCGTCCACCGGGACAACAGCGTTCGAAGCATTAGATGCAAACGGGGGTCTCCAGGATTCTGTTCACTGGTCGACCGTCGAGAAAGAGGCCAGTGAAGCTGGAGACGCAGAACATGAGGAGTCACAATAGATGACGCCGGGACAACCATTCTGGAAAGGTCGTCTACGCAGAAGCTAGCAGCTCTCTCTAGGGCTGGCGCTAAAAGAACATGTCCACAGCAGGAACTTCATTCTAGCCGATACCCTACAAGGTTTGCTTCGAATATGGTGATTGCCCAGGCGGTACACATATTAGGCTCCCAAGGAACCATTCGAGGTATCATCACCACATATACCATCCGCATTGTATATCTATTTCAGTCTTGCATTCTTCATGAGGTTTTATGAAAGTGGCATTGTTTTCCTTAACGATCGGACGGGTTTATTCACGAACGCACATTTCAAATGAGGGGAGAGCCGAATGAATTTCTCTAATACAATATTCTCAAGTATAAGCCAAACCATATTTTCGTTATCATAAAAAACAAAAGAGATTAAGCAACCTCCAGTTCGTCCTCATAGTCACCCCAAACAGAACCCCAGCAGCCATAGTCTCAATAAAACAACACCGCAGTAATCCCAATCACTGCCCCAGCCAGCGGAAAAACCGACCTCCCCGCATTCAAATAAGACCACTTCTCCAACAAGCCCGGTACCTCCGTATCCTCTCTCGCCCTCTTCGCCTCCTCTTCCGCACTCATCGCCATCCCTTCCTTCCCTTCCTTCTCCGCCGCATCATCCCTCGTAGCATGCGCCTCCAGTCTCTTATTCACCGGTAACATCACACCCAACGTAAACGGCACAATGGTGATAGTCGTCGCGGCCGCGATCAGATACAATCTCCCCACCCTTCCAGCGCTAGCGGTGTGTCGGAGCGTATAAGCCAGATACGAATACGCCACTGCCGAAGTGAGCGCCAGCGAAGGAAAGATTATCTTCCCCTTATCGTAGACATTGAGCCATTGATGCGTGATGTGTGAAGGGCTTGAGGCGGGAGTATCGGATTTGATGGTCTCGGAGCGTCCGGGGAGGGTGAGTGCTGGGATGGTGAGGGTGGAGAGGCTCAATATACCGCCTTTGATGGGGGGTTTGAAGTTAGTCTTTTTGAAATACAATAATTGGACTTGGTGCAGAAACGTACCGGAAGCAAAAGCAGAAGCGAGGATCCCGACGGCCTGAGCGACCTTGTAGCTGGGTGTGTTGTCAGACATGGTTAATAGCGTTTAAGTTAGTCGAGGTATATGAGCTGGGGAGGATGTAATGGCTATGTTATATGGAAGATATAGTCATAGGATATGGTTTTATGGTAAATAGATGTTCAAGCGGGGATGGAATAATAACTAGTTAACGCTTCTGCCTGGGAGAGTTGCAGAGGCTAGATCATCAGCAGATCCAGGTCGTAAGTAAGTACTGGGCTCGTATGATCCGGAATGCGGGTGGAAAGCTTAAATGCTAGATCTGTTAGTATGTGGAAGCTTTGGATTACGATGTGACCACTAATGCGATTTATTCACGATCTGTGCTTTTTGAGTAAACTGGTTTTATGCGGTATTTTAACAGCGTCTGGAAAGCGATGACGTCGATTAAGTATGTACAGTAAGCCGGAAGCTACTGTAAGTAGTCCTGATCTCCACTGTGTTTCTTGTCCTTTCTAGATAGAATAGAAAAAAAAAAATAATACATATATATATTCAACTGGAGGCCCCCCCCCCCGCCCCCCCCCCCCCGCTTCTGCCGTTATGCGCTCATACAATACATCAAGTTTCTCCATTAGAACCAATCTCCCTCAATGATTTTGGGCCCGCTCGAGTATGACGTTCGCCTGTCCTCAATGTGGTCATGTTCACTGGGACAACACGACTCCCCGCATGCTATTCCCGTAAGGAAGGTATAACAATTTGCAGAGATTCTATATATAGCTGTGAACAACTATCTCCGGGCATATGTAATTATCGAATATGACCAATGCCTGTAATAAGTTAGCAAATATTGATTTGCGAGCGAGCAGAATAGAGATGTACCTCACAACGGCGGCGTTTATTGCAGTCAATCTCCGTGCAGCGTTCACTGGCGAGATCTGCTGGACAGATCGACCGTATCAGGTCTGCAGTGACTATCTCAATGCGTTTGACTTTGTGGTACACCGGATATTTCTCCCTTCTCCCTTCTCCCTCCCAGTCGAGCTCGACCGGAAAGAAAGGACCGTTTGCATTATTCGGATGCGCCGATGACTGCAGATATGAGGGAGAATGGAGTGTCTGGAGATTCTCTTTCCTCACTTGTGCTTGTTCGAGAACTGCCGCTATGGAAGGGCTTTGCTCATAGGTAAGCAATCTAGAAAGGGAGCCAGTCATCCTCCTCGCCAAACGAGGCGAAAGGCATACACTCCGCCGCGGCCTCGCGAGCGAGTACGTGGACAGTTCATTGCCGTGCTTCACCTTATTTGGTCATTCGGGAGCTCGTCTGTTCCCACGGTTTTTTAGGACCAGAGGTTGTACTGCTCTCCGTCCTTGACCCTGACTTGCTTCCCTTAACCAGTTGGAAGGTTAGTGGAAGAGATTCAAACCACGAGAGGAGAAAACTCACAATTGGATCGCTCGAAACATTCTTTCCTTTGCCCATTTTGATTCTTTTTGAGAGAAATTGGGGTCTGACACCATAGAAAGTTAAGGGTCGAAGATTCATATTCTGTATCAGGTAATCCTCGTTTTTGGGGATGGGAGCTTGCTGAGCGCAATACTTTTACACTTATGTATCGGGCCCTATTTGCATTCAGCATATGCTCAACGTCAAGCAGAGATGTACTTACTATGGTGGTAACCATGGGCCTTCTTTTGCTCCCATGAAATTGGCCAGGAGTCGTACATGGGTTCACACATCGTGGTAAGTTTCTCGATGGCTATGCCACGAACGCTCATGCGTAGTCCAGGCAACTTGCGAGAGCATTCGATGAAAAATATCAGTCTGTGAACGTCTGGTCGGTGGCTATCTCAAGAAGTTTGGATAGGGTCGACTGTAGGTTGTCCTCTCCTAACCCGTCGAGAATAACTGAAACCTGTCTTCGCTTCTCCCCGCATATCCAATATGGACCGAGGATCATGAGCAGAAGCCCACGACGGAATTCCTCCTACACCAATCATCTGGGATGGCTCCGCACGAAATATGGCAGGTACTTAAACACCCTGCCAAGCCCAGGTTATAATTCGTTATGAACCCGTACCAAACCACGGAAGCACACCGATTGTGAAGTGGATGTCATGCTCGACATCCAAGTCCAGGATGGACTGTTTGTAATGTTTTCCAGTCGCATCGTTTCCATGTTAATCAAGACTTTTAAGATAGCATCCGCAAGGAAGATAAGCTATCCGCCGTCCGATTAACAAGATATATAAAAAGATGTATGCTTGTAGCGAACGTGTACGGAGTTCTCCTGAAACGAAAGAAGAACGATATAGAATAATCTTGGCGAACTCGGTCATCGCGGCACGATCGTCAATTCGGTACGGACCGAACCTGTTCATCTTTGCGTGGCTGGCCCTCAGTCTCGGACTGCCGTTGATATAGCTTTCTCAGGCCCAGTCGTATTCGAAGATTGACACGTAGATTTCGAATCCGTCCTGCGACATGAGAGCTCGCCTTGTTCCATTAGATAGATTTCTCCGCAAGGGCACATTGAGTGGTACTCACCAAGGTCTCGGAGCAGTGTCCGGAAATTCCTTGATCCAGGCGACCATATGGGCAGTCTCCGGAGTTCGACTTGAGAACTGTGCCTCCGTCTTTGGTCCCGCTTGCACTCGACGAGTGCCAGAATCCTTTTATCGGTCACAGCTTGGAGCTGGCCGTCTGTAACAGCAATGAAGCTGTCCATTGCTCCCTAATATATAATATAAAACAAAAAAAGAGACCCGGGCCCCAATAGGGGCACTCTGGGAATCCTGCATATATAGTATACGGAAAGAAGAGAAAGCGAAGAACTTTCCTGGGTACAAGAGGCCTGCTTTATACCTTTACATCTCGTGAGGGGTACGAGTGTGTTTCACCAAATTTGACGGCAATTGGAATCTTCTGGTCCAAATTCAATACAGAAAGGTGGCGCCAGTAAATGAATACTGCAGATCTTACCCATTGAATGTACACAGGTAATTAGATTGAAGGATATGGCGCGAAAGTCGCCGGCATGGACCCGTATCTGCTGTGCCGCAAGACAACCTTGTACCACGCTTCCCATGTCCGAAACAGGGGACTACGCGGGTTACTGCATCGAAGATCATATTCATATAGATTGGGATCACTTCATCTAGCCAAGAGACAATATCCCCGGAAACTTCATTAACTCCTATCACGCATGCCATGTTCCGACATGACTCACATCTCAGAAAGCCTGGTTGTCTCCCTTGATGGATGTCTTTATTTCGAGTAGCGGAAGTCTGGTACACCTGGCCTGGCCTTGCAGCACAGCGGGTACGTGCCTCCAAGAAGATATGGAAATATACATCAGGTTCTCCATCTACGAAGAAGCAAACAGTCCTTGGCCTTCTGTCGGCGCACAAAGCGAACGCCAGGTGATCTGTCAATCATCCGTTTGCGGCATGTTCTTTGACTCGTAACTTATAGGATAGAACCTACTAGATTACTTGATTACTTACTAGATTACTAGTTCTTTGTATGCGAAAGATAGATGTGGGTTCAAAACCCCCTAGAATTAGAAGCAAGTAAGCAGTTCAAGGTGTTCAGGTCAGACTGTGCTTCCGTGCCTTTCAATATTCGAAACCTCCCTTCTGAATGCGCGCGGATCGCCAGTCTGTAGGATGCATGCGGGGATCCATTCATCAATGAAAAACATACGCGTTGCAGTGCCTGAGACTGCCGTGGGAGGTCTCATTGCTGTCGTACGGCGTCACCATTAATGCAGAGATGAATGAGCCAGAGGTATGTATGTTTCAGACGAGGGATCCAGGAAAGGCTGCGGATCAGAAAAAAAAAAAAAAATAGTGTAGTCGAGGAAACGGAACTCCATGAATCTGTTGCTTTATTCATACCTAGTCTCGAGTTCGATTATGACGCATCGGGGCTCGGGAGAAAGTAGATAGATATAGTTTCTAAACGGTTACTGCTCGTGGTTATGTATTGGTGGACATTGAAAACCCTCGACTATTTCGATGATACACACACTACAACTAATTTTTAAACTGCAGTTTCGCTCTCTTAAGTATATAATGAAGAATCTGAAATTATAATAGATTGCTGTCTGATATCAACACCACAAACACCATGAACTGCATGAACTCCATCTATCCCCACCAATGACAGAAGAGCCAGACTCGCTTACTCCGTTTTTCGAGATACTCACCACCAGATGAGCCCCCGACTCTGCCAACAAAAAGCCAGAGAACGAACTTTGCGGGCAGTGGGGTTTTGGGGGTCTCCGATCGCGATGGTTTACTCGTGGAGAAGAGGCCAGTAACAATACTAGTCGCCTGACAGCGGGGTGATCTCCGGCATCGTGAGGAGGGGTTCTGGGGTTGTCGGCATTGAACCGATGGCCGCAATATCCGTTACTTGTCTGCATGTCTTTCCCTTAAGGATCTTGCTTATATCGTAACTCAATCGTTGGTTTTTACTGCTCGACACGGTCTGGGCTGTAATCGAGCCCTCATTTTCACGTCCCTGGCCTTTGTGATCCTGAAGGAGTAGAGCGAAATGGCGTCCAAGACGACGGCAGACGCTTTCCAGGAGGCGCGATACATTGAATTCCCAAGCCTCCCCGCTGATGCGAAACATGAGGATGGCACGCCCGCGTTGAATAGGTACTCTGCCAACATCACAAAGGGCCATGAATTTCCGGGAGCGCAGGTAAAAAGATCCGGAAATCGAGACCGCATGGCGTAACTGCTAACGATATGGGGTGCCTCTGTAGGCAATGCTATATGCTGCCGGAGTACCGGATCGAGATGCCATGAGGAAGAGTCCACAGGTCGGAATCGCTTCAGTGTGGTGGGAGGGCAATCCCTGTAATATGCATTTGCTCGAGCTTGGAAAGACTGTGAAGAAGGCAATATCGGAGAGGGGAATGATTGGATGGCAGTACAATACGATTGGTGTCTCTGATGCGATTTCTATGGGCAGTGAAGGTAGGGGAGAAGCCGCGTAGCTGCAGTATGAAGCAGTTTTCTACGATGCTGACGGTCTGTAGGCATGCGTTTCTCTCTCCAGACACGAGAGATCATAGCCGACAGCGTTGAGACTGTGACCTGTGCCCAGTATCACGACGCTTGTATTGCTATTCCGGGTTGTGATAAGAACATGCCAGGTGTTGTGATGGGTATGGCGAGACACAATCGTCCCTCGATCATGATTTACGGCGGAACTATCGCTGTTGGATATTCCAATCTGTTACGGAAGCGTGTCAGCGTCTCCACTTGTTTCGAGGCTGCTGGAGCATACGCATATAACACATTGCACCAGCCCGATGATGGAGGCGATACGAGCAAGACGAAGGATGAGATTATGGATGACCTCGAGAGACATGCGTGCCCCGGCGCTGGCGCATGTGGTGGTATGTTCACTGCCAATACGATGGCGACAGCCATTGAGTCGATGGGTCTGTCCTTGCCGGGGTCTTCTTCGACACCGGCGGAATCGCCTGCAAAGATGCGCGAGTGTGTGAAGGCCGCAGACGCAATCAAGGTCTGTCTGGAAAAGAATATCAAGCCTCGGGACCTGTTGACCAAGCAGTCATTTGAGAATGCACTGGTCATGACCATGGCGCTTGGGGGAAGTACGAACGGTGTTCTGCATTTCCTTGCTATGGCTAGGACTGCTGGCGTAGACTTGACCCTGGACGATGTGCAGCGAGTCAGCAACAAGATCCCCTTTATAGCTGACCTTTCTCCCAGCGGCAAATATTACATGGCTGATCTCTACGAGGTTGGCGGTATCCCGTCGGTGCAGAAGCTCCTGATCGCTGCCGGATTGCTCGACGGAGGTATTCCGACTGTGACTGGCAAGACGCTTGCTCAGAATGTCGAATCGTTCCCATCTCTGTCACAGGATCAGACTATTATCCGGCCTCTAAGTAACCCGATCAAGTCCACGGGTCATCTCCAGATTCTTCGAGGAAACTTGGCACCAGGCGGAGCAGTCGCCAAGATTACAGGCAAGGAAGGTACCAAGTTCACTGGCAAAGCTAGAGTGTTCAACAAAGAGCACGAGCTCAACACTGCTCTGGCGAAGGGTGAGATTCCCAGGGGCGAGAATCTGGTGCTCATTGTTCGCTACGAAGGACCCAAGGGTGGACCGGGAATGCCAGAACAACTGAGAGCCAGCGCTGCTCTGATGGGCGCAAAACTGACCAACGTTGCCTTGATTACGGACGGACGGTACTCTGGCGCTTCCCATGGCTTTATTGTAGGGCATGTCGTGCCCGAGGCCGTCGTGGGAGGTCCCATTGCCGTTGTCCGGGACGGGGATACCATCACCATTAATGCAGAGACAAATGAGCTCAGTATGGATGTTTCAGACGAGGAGATCCAGGAAAGACTGAGAAACTGGCAGCCTCCAAAGCCGCATGTCACACGTGGCGTGTTGGCCAAATATGCGAGACTGGTCGGAGATGCTTCGCATGGTGCTATGACAGATCTATTCTAGATAGACGGCGGAACCTGTGAGATCGATCCACTTCATGATCGCCCGCGATAACATGCGGTGAGCTGCGACGCTTGACATCAGTATCGGCCTCGTGGGAGATGCATTGGACCATAACTAGTGGTTCTTCGGTTTCGTAATGTGCAAGTATATCGGATATCCGCATCCTAATTGTAGTCGAATGAAGAGAACGGAAAGAGAATGCCAGACAGGGAAACAGGAAAGAAACGACGAAAACAAAGGTCTATGACCGAAGTATCATAGAACAAGGTTTACGATACTCCTATTATTATTATCTGTAGTTGTCGAGATGCTCGAGACGGTCTTGTCCTGCCGAAGAAGCGCTCTAGAAGTTCTGGCGGGCGATCGACAGCCTTGGCAGCCCTGCCTGACGCCATGTGCGCCGCCCAGCCGGTCTGATTCATCGAATTTCTCGGCCATTGCTTCTTGATCGCAGAACTTCCCACGTCCCTTGTCTGGAGCGTCTCAGAGGCTGGAAGGGACAGCAGCATAACCCCAGGTAAGGAGCTCACTTCCGGAAATGTGCACTGGAGCCATCATCACTGCGATCGCCTTTCCCGCTATTCCTTTGTCACCGCCAGGATGAATTTCAATTCAAGCCTGTCGGTTGTTGCCCGCATCACGATTGCGCCAACACCTCCGTCACAACCCCTGTGTGTAACAGCCTGCCAGCTGAGAGACTGACACTCTGCCCAATTGTAGGTAGCCAGCAGTGCTTCATGCCAGCGGTTTCCAGCAGGTTCGCATCATCAACGAGATCGGTATTCGAGTGTTGGCTCAACGTTCTGTAGCCGCGCGCTGCTGGACGACCGCCTAACACAGCGATCATCGGGCCTGAGAGCCATTGACAGACGCACTTGGTGGGAATCGCTTCGCTGATTGGCCTGTCGTCCGCTGTCGAGCTTTGTCCAGTCACCGGAAGCTTGGAAGCCGGATATCGAGTTACGCAGCAAGCGACGTCTCCATTCTATCCGCGCAACCGGTGTAACTATCAGAAGCGATCCGTCCTCTACGAAGCGCCATACCGCCCCCGTTGCTGAAGCTCTCAGGACCGGGTTCCAGAAACGCAGGCGGTGATCAGCGCGCGGGAGACGCATCTGGAACCCTTCCAGATCTACGGAGTCCAATAGTTCTTCCCCGAGGACATCACGTCCCCGAACGAGAAACAGTGAGGCTCCTGTGGTCAGGGCAGTGAGGCTTGCGTTCTGTCATAAATTCGGCCTCGCTCCGCCGACGTGCTGATGGACAGTTCAATCCCATCCTGTCCGGCATCTGCCCCGGAACTTCAGTTATCACTGGCAGGCTTTGCTTCTTCTCTGTCCCGGAAGATCTCGCGCTTCCAGGAAACAAGTCGGACTCTGCTATTCCAAACTTTCCTAGGCAGTGAAGATGCCGGCCTGAGCTGGGGGAATCTGCTCTGTGTGACTACCGTCTTGGCTACAATGGTCGGCTGCGGGTTGCTGTCCACTATCCGGTCCCGTCAGAGGGCCCAGGACCGGCAACAGGAACGTCCAAAGTACAGAAAATCATCTGAAGTCAGCGGGGCGGCGTCATCTTCGGAAGATGAGGACATCGACAGCACTACTTCGTCGGCGAGGAGAAAAGCCATTGCTAAGGCGAAGGCATTCATTCCGCGATACAAAGGCTTAACGCAAAGTGGTGAGTCTTAGCTGTCTCACAAGAATTTTCGGGTGATTCATGTCCATGCTTACTCTCTTTTACAGCGGTCAATACGGATCCTGGGCTTCTCAAGAAGCATTCCTCATACGTATCGTACACCACGTCGGTGGCTACTTATCCCTACATCAGAACCTTCTTCTGTCCTCACCCTCATATGGAAAAGTTCCCATCCAAACCAGCTCCAATCCCCTTGCTCGTATTTGTGCATGGTTTAGGTGGATCCCTGGCTCAGTTCCATCCTCTGCTGACAAGCTTGTCTAATATCGGCCCTTGCTTCGGAATAGACCTTCCAGGATGCGGCCTGTCGTCTTTTGCGCCGACCTCTTGGGATGCCTACTCGATAGAAGCTTTGGTTGAACTGCTGATCACCGCTATTGAAACCTACCGTGACAAGGAGGCCGGGCAGCAGGTTGTCCTGATAGGCCATAGTCTGGGTTGCTCGTTGTCTGCCCTGATAGCCTCTTCCACGTCACCGGTACAGTCGGAGCTGCGAAAGAACATTGCAGGCCTGATAGCGGTGTGCCCGCGTGCATCCCCACCTTCTGCTCACGAAGTCAGGCTTTTCCGCAGACTGCTTTGGATACCAGGACCGATTTTTGATCTCTGGAGATGGTGGGACCGACGCGGTGGTGCGAACAGCCACAGTGTGTCGAGATTTGTCGGCAAGGACGCCGACCCGGATACGAGACAGCTTCAGGTTCGATTTAACAAACAAAGCAGAACTCCTGTCTGGAGACGTATGGCATGGGGTAGCCTTCCTGACTACCATGGTGACAAGCCTACTGGAGGCCTTCCGGGCAAAGAGATATGGTCCGGAGTCCAGGCCCCTGTCCTCCTTGTGGCGGGTGAAGCGGATGCCATCACGAAGGCTTCGGAGATCGCGAAACTGCTCGCCTACTTTGGAAGCAATGAGGTTGATACTAGAATGGACGGTACCCAGAGCGCAATTCTGCCTGACGCATCTAGGGTGCATGATCAGCAAGAAGCACCATACGACGCGCGCGCTCACGACGAGAAGTTTGGACTCGATTTAGCAGACAGTGAGGCTGTCCTTCCAGAGAAGGAGGCGCTGGCTCAGTCCGGACAAGTGAAGCGAGTTGTGAAGACCACCATTCTTCCAGCACCAGCTTCCCATGCTCTACTCTACGATCGAGCAACCTACCGTACTCTTGCGGGTGTGATACAAGAGTTCCTTGTCAAGCATGTTGACAAAAGGCTCAACTTTGGATGGCAGTTGCAGCACCTCAACACGTCTGGCAAGTGGGATGTCAAGAACCTTGCAAAGTGGAAGAAGGTCCCTCCCTTCTCAGAGCCGATCGCAGGGACGTTCCTGGCTCTGAAGATGCTCCGAGAGGTAGACGAGGAGCATAACCCGGTTCTCTTCTCCCAGGCGCACCGAGGTGAAGTTTACGCTGTCATTGATATCAGCCACGAAAACCCAGTCTACAACCCGGAGCAGCTGGAGAAGGGCGGGATCCACTATCATAAACATCCGACCGTGTCGAAGATTCCGCCTACCGTGGATGAGACGAGAGATTTCATCGCATTGGTTGACCGGCTGCAGAGTGAAATAACAGATCAAATTGAAAGAGACGGAAACGGCGGTCGTCCACGCCCGCTGGTCGGCGTTCACTGCCATTATGGGTTCAATCGGACCGGCTTTTTGATCGTCAGTTACCTCATCGAACGGCTCGGTTACAGCGTCCAGGACGCGATCGATGAGTTTCAAAGGAAACGACCTCCAGGGATTCGACATGAACATTTCATTGATACGCTTTTTGTTCGGTATTGTATTGGCCTCAAGAGGGCACCCACTCTCTAGAACAAGTGTAGTTGAGTCGTTTGGATATCTGGCTTAAAGGAAAGGGTTATACAGGCGTTTTGGTTTCTGGTAGAATTATGAGTGACGATTGTTGATACCACCTGTATTATTATGAGTTGAACCGGACTAGTTTTGATTAATAAGGATTAATAAGGATAATTATGATTGTCAGTCAGTTATGACCGTTTTATCCCTTCGTCTGAAAGAGGACGGCGACCTGCCCTGTGTTACAGTAGATATGGATATGGTAGTTAGCGCAGACTAGAAAATCGAGGAAAGAAGGCCTGAGGCAAACAAGGCCCCGTGGCTGCCTGAGGCCGCTATTCGCAGCTTAGGGTAACGCTAAACCCTGACAGGCTAAGCGAAGCCGCCCACACAGAAGCGGACCAACGACACTCTACCCGAGCCCCCAAAGGTCTTCCTGTTTCTGTGTGCGTGCGAAATTTCGAGGTTCGACCTGACCCGACACCCAACGACGACAACATCCGTCTTCCTCGACTTCCTCTCCAAGCCCGTATACCTTCGATTCCCGTTTCGAGGTCACAAGTCGCAATCATGGGTGGTGTCACCGTTCGCGATGTGGACGTAAGTTGCACCTTGAGATATCCTCTTTGAAGAAACAAGAAATCGCTCGCTGTTTTCCCTGGACCTGGACTACGTTGTGCGAAAGAGGAGGGACAATCGAAACAAACGAAGACATGGTCGATATACAAGATCAGGATATACTGGATTGGTTGGAGTTGGGGAGGTTCTCGATATCGACTACACAGAAGATTGTGCTGGACATAATCGGGATTAAAAGGCGCGCAGGGACCGCAAGGGATTCGCGACAAAGCAAAAGGCGATATCAGATGCACACGGACGGGTCTAGGGAACGAGCAGAAACGCAATGGATTCTGGGATGCGACATGTGCTAACAGGATTTATCGACTACAGGCGCAGAAGTTCATTGCGGCCTACTCCGCTTTCTTGAAGCGTCAGGGAAAGCTTCCCATTCCTGGTTCGTAACCACTATGCTTCCTCGTGTCGCCCCTTTTTTTTTTGGTTGTGAATGACTTGCTAATATTTCTTCGTCTAATAGGATGGGTTGACACTGTCAAGACCTCCGCTTCCAACGAGCTCCCTCCCCAGAACGCTGACTGGTACGATATATCTATCCTCTTATCATCTCTGCGAAGAAAGTCCGGTTATCTAATGGATGTCGTTTTCAGGTTCTACGTCCGCGCCGCCGCTGTCGCCCGTCACATCTACCTCCGCAAGACCGTCGGTGTCGGTCGTCTCCGAAAGGTCCACGGCTCCACGAAAAACCGTGGCTCTCGTCCCGCCCACCACGTTGACGCCTCCGGTGGTGTCGACCGCAAGGTCCTCCAGGCTCTCGAGAAGATTGGTGTCCTCGAGCAGGACGAGGAGAAGGGTGGCCGTCGCATCTCCCAGGCCGGTCAGCGGGATCTGGACCGCATTGCCAAGACCACCGTTGACGAGGAGGAGGAGGACGAGGAGTAAATTAGTTTTTAATCTGAACTCCAAAGTCCTTTGAAATGTTGTTTTCTCTTTTCCTTTTTCCTGCAAAAATGAGACCAGACGGATGGGTTTCCGGTCGCAGCGGGCATGTAACGTCAGACGTGGGAATGGATTGAAATGTTGGATCACCAAAAAGGTTCATTCTAACCAATGACAATGGCTTATAACGACCAGACGGGCTACGGCAGAGAGAGGGAGACAAGAGGAACCAAGATGGGATGAATAATTCTGGGAAAGAGAAAGAAAAAGAAAAATTTTTCGATTACCAGAATAAAAAAAGAAACCAAAAAACAACAACAACAACAACAACTTAAGGCCATATTGTGTTTCTACAGCTTTCACCCCTGGGGTGTATACACCCTGCCCTTCTTCCCCCGTCCCTTCAAACAGACATGGCATGGCGTGGCAAAGACTATTCGTCTGAGTTACGTGGAATCGAACCGAATCGGACCAAAGTAAAGGACGTATCCAGCTCTTCTTTCTTTTCCGTCTGATCGATCCTCCATTCTCATTTCTTCCATAACCCTTGTGCTCCTCGTGAACATCCATTTCCCCATCCCGCTGCCTCATGGAGAAGAAGTAAACAAGCTAAAAAGTATTAAGAATCTCTTCCTTCAAGTTAAGTCAAATAGATTAGATTATACCAGCATCCACTCCGGGTCTCAACAAGATGGTCACTGCCTTTACTGATTTAAACTATAACCAATAAAATCTGTAACTTAGCTAACCATTAAGTACCATGTATGTACATTACCACCGCAAGAGAGACCGGAACACAATTATATTTGTGAAACCGGTGTAATTCTTGATAACGATGACTACTACATATATACAATGTATGCTGAAAGAAGTTGAATGATCCTGAAATAAAACAAGAAAATGGGTATCTATCTATCTATCTAATCTTGTGGAAAACGTTTTATCATCAACGAACCAACGAACAAACTAAACCAAAAATACATATTGCGCCTCCTCTACAGATGCTGTAGAATCAAAACTGTGCTTGAGAGAAAAAAAAAAAAAACGCCAAATAAGAACCCCATTTAGTCCAATTTATACCGAGTTATCATACCGAAGTATGATGTGATGTGGAAGTAGGGTCGTAGCATCCGTTGAGTCGACTCCAAGAATGCAAAAAAATATCAATATCAGCCAAATGTTGAACGCGCATATGCAAAATGAAGTCCGTAATTGCTGATATAGGCGATGAGTAAGAATGGTATAGCAGGATGGACTGACTACAAGGCTCCTAAAGCCTCGAGTTCTTCTGGTGAAAGGTCAAGGTCGCCGAATTCGTCGTCATCATCAGTGATTGAGTAAGTTCTCGAAAGGCTCGCCTGTACGGAAGGGTGTGAAGCCGGTGCGCTGAAAGATCGGGATGGCATACCCGCTATCTTATGCATGTCCCTGGGGGTGTATTTCTGGCGCGGTTTGAGGGACGGCGACTTCCGTAATGCGTCGTCGTCGTCTACTTCTGCAGAAGAGTCCCGGTTGAGGAGTGATAGTGGCTCTCTTTCAGCACTTGCTTGAAGCTTGCTATATGGCTTCGGACGACGAGGTGTGTTTCTCACTTGAGGGCGCTGTCCTCGAACAATGTTCGGATGTAGATTTTCCTTATCATCGAAGTCATCATTTTCATCATCATCGCCATCGGTTAGGTCCTGAGTTGATATACCGGCGAGTATGTCCTCTGGATCTTGGTAGATATCAATGGGCATTTCTGGAGGGTCTGCCGCCGTTGGCTCGGAATGTTTATCGACTGCTGCTTCGAGATTTGTCGCCGGTGGACCACAGCTAGTGGCGTTTTCATTATGACCGTTTCCCGATGGATGTTCCATCTTCGGGGTGGATAGAGAACCTTCGTTCGCAGTCATCTTTGAAGTACCGGCAGTGTAGCGCTGCGTATTGACTGCGGACTCTTCTTTCGCGAGATAATCATCAACGTCCAGCTCGTCAGGGAGGAGATCCTGTAGCAACCTCGACGTGTCATCTTCGAAGGAATCACCTAGTGATTGGAGGAGGTGACTGGCAACCTGGTCCCGCGAAGACTGCCTCAATGCAACATGGACAGTGTTATCATTCACATTCTCCTCATTGTGCAGCACTACCGTCTCTGCTTCACTGAAATCCCCCTCATCAGCCAGATCACAGTATCCTTCTTCACTGTCCTGTCCGGCATTACTCCGATCAGCATCCGCTCTCTCCCCTTCTATTCGCTTTTCTTCACTCGCATCCTGTCCCCCGTCACCATTGACACTACCCGCACCCTCCTCACTATCACTATACTCTGTGCCCGACTCCTGTGATCGATCCTCCTCCCGAGCAGGCTGCAGCGACTTCTTCGCCCCAAAGAAATCCACCAACAGCGGCTGACTCGACGAGACCTTAGGAGCATTCGGATCCGGCAATCCCAATCGTTTCCTCTCCTCTCTCGCTTTCGCCTCTCTCTCCGCCTTCTTCTTTTTCTTCTCCCGAAGCTTCTTCTCTTTCTCCCGGAGCTTGGCCGCGCGGCGCTCTCGCTCCTCTTCCCGCTCGATCCGCTCGATCTGCGACGCCGTGAACTGGAACCGCTTATTGCTGCGCTGATACCTCCGACGCACGGTTTTGGATTTCTCCAGAATGCGCCGTGGCTTGTCCGCCATCCTGGTCGATTGGGAGGGGTAGGGTGATTGGCATTGGAAGATTGAAAGAGAGAGAGAGAGAGAGAGAGAGTCTAGAATAATGATAATAAGTTAAGTTGTGTCTGCAAGGGCTGCCGTCCATCGTTTGGGGTTGTTGCGTCAACGGGGATACGTTCTACCGAGAACAGACCAATCATGATTGATTGACGAGGGGGAAAGCCCAGAGCGTCAGCACATACGGAGATGGCGTTGCTTGGATCAGATTATTATTCTCAGTGGCTTGCGCCTTTTATTGGAATTAGTTTAATTAGTATTAACTTTAACTTGACATGCAGTTGTTGAGACCACTCTTTCTGGGGAAAATGGCCTCTGCTCAGGGGGGCGTCGTTGGATCTACTACTTAGCGTGAGTACGTGCACGTATCTAACTATGTATCACTTTTTAAAGTGCAGAAATAGGAATAAGGCGTTTTTTTTTTTGTTTGTTTTTTTGGAATATTATGTGTATGGTTCATCATGCATGTCATCAATTCGGGTCTGTTAGGCTATTTACATGTATAGGCGATGGTATATACATGCCACCATTCGGCCAACCTGTAGGGACTCTTCTTGACGAAGTAGTTCGAAGAATTTGCCGCCGAATCAACGCTCACAGCTTGGACAGCCAGTGAGGGTCCTCAACGGGGTCCCAGCAGACAGGAGCGTACACGTTAGTGTGGAGGGAGTCCATGTCCTCCTTGGACAGCTCGAAATCGAACACCTGGGCGTTCTCGATGATGCGAGCGTCGGTCACGGACTTGGGAAGAGGAACGTATCCCTATTAGGTAGTTGGTTAGGATTATTTGGTCCTGAAATCTGGAAAAAAAAAAAAAAAAAAGAAAAAGAAAAAGAAAAAATAGGAGGGGTTTTTTTGTATATACCTTCTGCAAGCTCCATCGCACGAGAATCTGAGCAGGAGTCTTGTTGTGCTTCTTGGCCAGGTTCTGCAGCACAGGCTCGTTCATGCGCGTGGCCTGGACGAGAGGAGAGTAGGCCTCGATGACGATGTTGCGCTTTCGCAGCCACTCGACCACGTTCTCTCTGGCGCACCAGGGGTGAATCTCGTACTGGCCAACATCGATCTTACCACCGACTCCACTGTTGATGTACGCCTCGAGCTCGTCCAGGTCCTTGACGCTGTAGTTGGAGACACCAATGGAGCGGACCTTTCCGGCCTTCTGCGCCTCCAGGAGAGCTCTCCAGGAGCCCTCACGGTCCTCCTTCGTGCCGCCAGGGGCGTGGATGAGGATCCTGCGAGTTCGCGTCAGCAATCCTGGATGGTGATCCGGATAAGCAGACAACAGGAAAAGGAACCGTACAGGTCAATGTAGTCGAAGTTGGCGTCCTTCAGAGACGACTCGATGGCGGCCTTGGACTTCTCGTATCCCACCTCGGTGACGGGGATCTTGGTGGTGTAGAAGATCTTGGAGCGGTCGATACCGGAGTTCTTGATGGCTCTCGAACATTCACCCTCGTTCTGGTAGTACTTTGCGGAATCGATCTGCGCCGATGGATGTGAGACGGATGGCTTTCATGTGCAGCTGAATGCTAGAAAATGGACCTACGTGACGGTATCCGACTTCGATGGCCTTGAGAGTCACCTTCTCGGTGATCTCTGCGGGCGTCTGGTAGACCTGTTCATTGTCATTATCAGCTTTGAGTTTCATCACACGCTGATCAAGATTGCATGGTTTGGAAGTGCCACTGGCTCCAATTACGGGGTAAATATACTCACACCGTAACCGACGATCGGGATCTCGTATCCCGAGTTCATCTTGTAGGTCGTTTCGAGCGAGAGGGGAGCCATGATGACGGTATTGCAACGAGCTACAACGGATAACTCTACGGCGTGTAGACAAGAAAGAAGGCTGCGCAGGAAATTGGTTTTGAAAAGAAGAAATAAAAAAATTTGTATTGGTCAGCGCACTCCTGCCGGCTTTTATAACTATTGGACCTGATACTGTCTGGCCAAGGCAGTTGTGAGCACCTTGATCGGCCAACTGCGCGATAAAGAGGGGCAGCAAAGGATTAGTTAGCGGAGTCCGATTTCAAGCCGGGCCGAGTGGAGAATAATATCTACTCTAACATCAAGATGCTAACTCCGCGTGGAGTGAAGATACTGTACCTAGTCATGTTCAACGCCGTACTGGAAGCATGATGATGATACATGGTAAGACTGGCCTATTGGGAATTACCCAGGTGAAAAGGGATGAAATCGTCTGTGAGTGTACGAGAGTGTACCTAGTACTACATACAAAGACGACTTGGTTGCGGCGTCTCGGAGGTTGCGTTGATGTCGGACTTAACTCCGTCTTTGCGGAAACTCGGCCGGGAAAGGTCGGACTCAGGGCTTAGGGCTATCCTTATCGATAAGAGGCGCGCTAGTCCCGATGTGGTCGGCATGAAGTGTCCCGCCTTTCAAGTTGCGATCCCCGCGTTCGGGCGTCACCAGAGCAGCGTGTTTGTATCTATATTATTCTTATCGTCCTGCGCAAATATTAGCAAACGAGGTTTCCAGAAGCGGGGAGTTCTGTTTGGATAATATTCTCTCTATACGTACTGGGTACTGTGGTTTCCCATCATGCGCATGATAAAAAGCAACATTGAGCGTGACGGCTCCGGCTCCGTTACGCTCTATCCCGAAGAGCCAGAGGACATGGTATGTTTGCGTGTATATTGTCAGCTATGTACTCCGAATCGGGTCTGACCTCCAGTGACTGCAGTGGCACGCATATAATTTAATTCGACCTAATGATCTCCTGCGAGCCAGCGCAATCCGTCGCGTCACGCATACATCCGACTCGGGCTCGACGGCCTCATCGCGGGTGCATCTGACGCTGGAGATCCGAGTCAAGAACCTCGACTTTGACCCGCAGAGTTCGCAACTGCACGTCTCGGGTCAGATCATGAACGAGACGCAGCATACGAGGGTTGGGCAACATCACACGCTGGATCTGGAGTTGAATCGCAACTTCACGCTGGTGAAAGAGGTGGGCGCGGAGGGCGAAGGCGTGGGATGGGACAGTGTGGCGATCGATATGCTGCGCGATGCGGTGGATGAAGGAGGGAATCGACGAGCCGAGGCGGTCGCTGTCGTGATGCAGGAGGGAGTGGCCCATATCTGCTTCATCGGCCAGTTCCAGACGATCCTGAAGCAGAAAGTCGAGATGTCTATTCCGCGCAAAAGACACGGCGGAAGCGATCACGACAAAGTGTGTGCGCGGAGGGCCCCTCTTTCTCGGATTCTACGGAACTGACGAGTGTTACTTACAGGGCCTGTCGAAGTTCTATCAAGTGACGCTGGATACGTTATTACGGCAACTCGACTTCAACACCAGCTCGACGGCTACGGCCAGCAACGAGGCTGTGAAACCGATCCTGCTGGCATCGCCTGGGTTTGTCGCGGCGGGCTTCCAGAAACACATCCAGTCGGTTGCGTCGACGAGTGTGCCGGCGCTGAAGCGTCTGCTGCCCAGCATCGTGGTGGTGCACTCGGCGTCCGGGTATCTGCACTCGCTGTCGGAAGTGCTGCAGTCGCCCAGCGTGAAGACGCTGCTGGCGGACACCAAGTACGCGCGGGAGAGCAAGCTGATGGACGAGTTCCTGGAGCATCTGCGCAAAGACACGAACAAAGCGACGTACGGCGCCCGCGAGGTGGAACATGCGGTCGACCAGGGCGCCGTGGGCCGCGGCGGTGGCGTGCTCATCATCTCAAACCGACTGTTCCGGGCGCAGGAGGTGGGCGAGCGTAAGCGCTGGGTTGGGCTGGTGGACCGGGTGCGTGAGATCGAGGGCGGCGATGTGCGCGTGCTCAGCTCAGACCACGAGAGTGGGAAGCGACTGGATGGGCTGGGGGGCGTGGCCGCGCTGTTGACGTTTCCCATCGTGGACGATTTCCAATCGGACGAGGACGAGGGGGACGATGCGGGGGAGGGGATGGTGATGGCGAACGGGCAGGAGGTGACAGTCTCGTAGGAAGAAGGAGGAAATCCCAATAAAAGGCGCATCACGTCGTAATCCCTTGGCTGGAGCAGAGGAGAGTACGGAATAGATACTCAGTAAGTACGTATATACATGATGAACCCCTGCGGCCACGTTGTTGGGGGCGAGAATCACCGCGGTGAAGAAAGAGACCATGCATCGATCATCTGTCTGGTCATAATATAGTAGTATAGTATTGGTAGTAGTCATAGTTGCAGACGACCAACTAGGTAGTTTACTAGGTAGCTACGATATATTCCTCTTTTGGAAACCATCACGTCCATCGTCATACTACATAATCCCTCATATAATCCTCATCATCCTCATGCTCATCCCTCATCTTCGGGCAATATAATCACGACGGAAGTAAGTAAAATATGATGGTTACACAGAAAAGACCCGATATTCCCCGGTTTTTTCTTTGACAAGGACCAGGAAGTAAGACTATGCTGTGCGTCCGGTTCCTTTGATTCGGATCTTTTGTCTTTGCCAATCATATCAGAGTCGAGTTAAACCCCGCATCTATCAGTATTACCGTAGAATATAATATTTTGTTTGATATTATTTTATTATACTTTTATTATGTATGTGTTTTTTTTTATTTCAATATGATGATGATAATAATAATGACCGTGATCGTCTACCTGATCGGGGCTGCATTGCATTGGACCGAATTAGCCGCATACATAAGAATATGTATAGAACAACAGGATAGATTTCCATCAGAAGGTCGATCGAAGCTGTCGGGTCAGGTCAGGTCAGGTGAACAGGAAGAACAAACATCCTTGTAGAAAACATTTCATGCCAGTCTGATTATTATTTCAGACAGATATTATTATTTAATAATACGTCAAACGTATAACTAACTAACTAGTTAGTTATCCTAATTAACCATTGGATAGCTGTATATATATCTCAGAGTAGAGGACTATTATTATATTAAATCCATCCATCCATCCAGAGTAAGTAAAATTCCCCTCTTGATTCTTCCGAACCATGCATCTTCACGTCGTACAACCCGCGTCCAAAATACGGGGAAAAAATAAAAGCGCCTGACTGCCTAACCTAACCTAACCCCTTCGAAAAAAAAAAAAAAAAAAAAAAAACCACGCGAGACAAACAACACAAGGGCAAAAAATAATTCCCGCGTTTTAACCAGACTCACTACTCTCGCCCCCGCAATTATTATCCCCAGGCTTTTTATTTATTCGGAATCGGAACCCATGCGCATGCAACCAACCAAACCAACCCCGGATAATAATGCTATGATATGACATGATCGGACGTAATAATTTATCAGGATCAAGTCACATGGGCATCATATCATATCATATCATATCATCATATTCCCATCAGGAAGTTGCGGAACTGGCGGGAACCGAATCGAACGGGGGGGCAATTTAAGATTTTTACACAACATGATAATTATCAACTAGAAAATTCAACAATAATGGAATGGGCGCCGATGATCATCATTATTTTTCTCCCATTGTGACCTGGGGTTTTGGGACCAGACAAGACGAGGGGAAGGCCTTCCCCTTGGGGAAAGCGTTGGAATTAAAAAAAAAAAAAATCGTGGGTTTTTTTTTAGCGCGTGTCACTAGATAATAATTTAAACCCACTGAGTTTAGAGGGTCCTTTGTTTTGCCCCGGTCTTTCGTCCCCGGTCTTCGTTCGCATGGGCAGGCATTCTCCGCGTTGAATGATTAATTACTTATTCCCCGGAATTCTTCTTCTGGGGTTGTAAGACTATACGACGAGTACCAGGGTAATTATTACGGAGTACTAAGGAATCTAAGTTAGTACATGTCCATGAAACCTGGTGAAAGCGTGCCCCCAACATAAGTAACATCCTCAAATCGCTCACGGGTAGGCAAGCTTGGCGTCGGGAAGCAAGCAAGATCGGTCGGGGCAAGAGAGGGGGTGTCCAACAAAAGAGAGGACGAGAGTCTCGGGATTCCGTGGCTTTGGGGATCGGCTTGTAGAAGACAGAAGAAGAGATTGTTAGTTACTACTGTAGTAGTAGTGTACTAGTTACTCCGTATCTACCGTACTCTACTACTACTCCGTACTCCGGGAATCAACCGTCCGGGGGAATGTCCTCCGTCCCGCCTTTTTTCTCCGTGTTGTTCTTGCCCAGTTGTGGGGAGAAGAAACGGGATGAAAGAGAAAACGACGAAGAGAAGATAAAAGCCGAGTGGTTGCTAGTCGAGGGTCTTTGCTGTGATCGGCATTGTTCGGGGGGCCACGCGAGCAACTTGGACGGAACTACATAACTGACTAAAAGGAACTAATTCACAGCTCAGCGTCATCCTGATTGTTTTCTGTCTTCTGTCTCGACTAATAATATAATAATATCTGGGATAAGTAATCCATAATATCTCCATAATATCTATATCTTCTCTTCGGCCTCCCGATGGGCTGCGCGGCTCGGAAGATGACGGTGACGTCAAGGCGCAACACTAGCGGCAACTCTAGTATTGTAATTAATTCGGGTATTACGGTACATGTAATTAATTCATTCTGGTACGAAAGAGAAACAAAATTAATGACAAGAAGAAAAAGAAGAAGAAGAAAATCAATATTGTTGTTGACCAGCAGTCAAGATAATTCTGCTTCTACTTCTGAGATAATAATAATAATAATAATAATACTCTGCAAGGGGTTCTTCTGTTTCCGTCCATCCTCTGTTTCCGGCCATTCCAGCCCGCCGACGAAGCCACCCAATATTATCGATAAACTCACCATCTTTCTGCTTCCCCCAGAGTTCTCTCTCTCGCACTCTACTACTACTAGTTGCTCTCTCCGCCCAGCCAGGATAGCATTACATTCCCCACCGCATCTGCGCCAATGATGCTTGCGGCGGCGAAGAAAAAAAAACAGATGCAGACAAGTTCCCTCGTTTTCTGCGGTGGAGTTGCACTGGCTTCCCACGTCTTAGTCCGGCCAGTCAGCCAGTCAAACTACTCCGCATCTCGACTGAAATTCGATCGATCCCTGGTCGATGCTGCCTCGAACGGGAATCCCGTGGCGTCTGGCCTCGCCCAGTGTCCTTGGATGGGCGGCTGACCCGACGGACGGTCGAACTGGGGCCCCATAGTCTCTCTCTCTGCTTGTTCGATGTTGTCGCCGCAATGCCGTTGCCCGTCTTTCTTATTAACGTCTCGTTCCCCCGGGTTTTCTGCTCCTTTGTCTTCCGTTGTCTTACTTGCCCATCAAATTTATTCAATTCTCCTTCTGGCAGGTTGGCGTTGATCAGTCCAGTTCACCGTTTGGTCTACCTGCCTGTTTGAGGGTCGGTGGTTGCTATATACTCCCCCCCCCTTCCAGTTATAGAAGGAGCTGAGCTGAGATTTCTCTCTCTCTCTCTCTCTGTCTACTTTTTTTGCTTTTTCTTCTTTTTCTCTGGGGGAGGGGGCAATTGGAGTCTCTTTCCGCCCCGGGGACTTCTTTTTTGCTTTCTTTTGACTTTCTGCTTTGAGGGTCAGGATCCTGGGATCACCTTTCTCAGTGAGACAAGAAGCAACAAAAAACAAAAAAAATGACTGAGAAGGTCCGTGAATCTGAGGCTTCCTCGGCCACCCAGGCGGAATATGGCCCCGAGGCCATCGACAAGGCCGCTCCGCCGCGTCGCCATGCCCATTGGGGGGCCGATCCCGCCGCCGAGCAGCAGATCATAGATTCCCTCGAAAAGGCCCAGGCGGAGGACGAACGCGATGATGGCAAGATCGAGATCACCGAGGAGGAGTGCTACGAGCAGCTCGGCTACTCCTTTCCCTCGTGGAAGAAGTGGATGATCCTCACCGTCATCTTCATGGTCCAGGTCTCCATGAACTTCAACACCTCGCTCTACTCCAATGCCCTCGGCGGCATCTCGGAGGAGTTCAATGTCAGCATGCAGGCCGCCCGCTGCGGTGCCATGATCTTCCTCGTCCTCTACGCCTTTGGCTGTGAGCTGTGGGCGCCCTGGAGTGAGGAGCTGGGCCGCAAGCCCATCCTCCAGGCCAGTTTGTTCCTCGTCAATATCTGGCAGCTGCCCGTCGCCCTGGCCCCCAACTTTGCCTCCATCATGGTCGGCCGTGCCCTCGGCGGTCTGTCCTCGGCCGGAGGTTCAGTCACCCTGGGTATGATTGCGGATATGTGGGAGTCGGACACCCAGCAGTATGCCGTCGCCTTCGTCGTCTTCTCCTCCGTCGGTGGTTCCGTGCTGGGACCCGTCATCGGTGGTTTCATCGAGAAATTCCTGCCCTGGCGGTGGTGTATCTGGATTCAGCTGATCTTCGGCGGGTTCGTCCAGCTGCTGCACTTCGTCCTGGTGCCCGAGACCCGTTCCACCGTCCTGATGGACCGCATCGCCAAGAAGAAGCGCAAGAGCGGCGAGAACCCCAACCTCTACGGTCCCAACGAGCTGGTGCCCCTGTCGGAGCGCCTGTCGGTCCACGAGATTCTGGTTACCTTCATCCGTCCCTTCAAGATGTTCCTGACGGAGCCCATCGTGCTGACCCTGTCGCTGCTCTCTGGGTTCTCCGACGCCCTCATCTTCATGTTCATCCAGTCCTTCTCGCTGGTGTACAGCCAGTGGGGCTTTGGCACCATCGCCCTGGGTCTGTCGTTCATTCCCATCCTGGTCGGTTACTTCATCGCCTGGTTCTCCTTCATCCCCGCCATCAAGCGCAACATCAAGGAGCGCGCCGCCAAGCCCGACGACGAGCGGGCCCAGTACGAGTCCCGACTGTGGTGGCTGCTCTACACGGCCCCGTGTCTGCCCATCGGTCTGATCGGTTTCGCCTGGACCAGCCTGGGACCTCCCGTCCACTGGATCGGTAGCATGATTTTCTCTGCCATTGTCGGCATTGCCAACTACAGTATCTACATGGCTACCATCGACTACATGGTCTGTGCCTATGGTCCCTACTCGGCCTCCGCCACCGGCGGTAACGGATGGGCCCGTGATTTCTTGGCCGGTGTCTTGACCATTCCGGCCACACCTTTCTTCCAGAGTAAGTTATTCTGTTTTCCTCTTCTAGATAATGATCTATTATGATGCAGCATCAATCAATACTGACCCCGTCACAGACATTGGTGGCGAGCATCATCTTGAATATGCCTCGACGATCCTCTTCTGTATCTCTTTCCTCCTCGTGTTGGCTGTCTACGTGATCTACTGGAAGGGACCTGTGCTGCGAAAGCGCTCTCCCTTCGCCCAGCAGCTGGATGACGCTCGCCAGCAGACGGCGGCCGAGGTGTCTGGCGATCCCAGCCGTCCTGTCCGCCCTGCCGCTCTGCGCGCCCACTCCTTTGCCCGTTCCGCCCAGGACCTGCGCATTCGCCAGGCCATGGGCAGTCGCCACGCCTCGAGCTCGCGCGTCAACTCGCGGGCTAACTCGAGGGCCAACTCGCGGGCCAATTCCCGGGTCAACTCCCGGGCTAACTCCCGCCGTGGCAGTCTGGCCGAGTCCGAAGAGTAGTTCTTTTTTTTCTGGTGTTTTTGTTTTTTTGTAGAAGAGTCTACAGTTTAATGCTACTCCAGTGTCTGGGGTACGTACAGGCGAAACCCGCCGGGGATCTGCTCTTCTGAGCTATTTGTCATGTCTCACGTCGATTGACGGCCACCATCTCTGCTCCAGCGTTGAAGCTGGCAATGATACCTCATCTTGCATTTCCATTCTTCGCTCTGTCCTTGCTCTATTCGCGTTGCATGACCAAAAAAGTCATACTGTATCAGCTAGACCTGTATGTTTAGTTTAGGGTTGGAGTTGCGATAGAAGCTAGCATGAATTGACGGATTGAACAAACTCGCTGGTATTCGTTTGCGGTATCTAAGTTAGTCCTGTCGTAGTTTCCGACATCGTAGCCACTTTCGTCGGCATCGCTTGCCCAGTCGAGGTGGCAACGACAATCGCATTATCCGGCCGAATGATCACCCATCCCGATGTGTGTCTTCTCGGGCTGCCGAGAGGGCCTGCATCAATTATCGAGTTCCGCATGCTTCTGGCATCTGGACCCTCACCCACCGCAAACGGGACGATCTGGCCGTAGCCGCCTTTGTCGGATCTGGCCGATGCGATGACAGTGCGTTGTGGCTAGATCTGACTGTGGATGGGGGTTTTGTTTTCGCCTCACATTCCCGATCACATTGTGGCGCAGAAGGAGCATGATTGGTGATCGGGGTGATGGTTCCGGACCGGTCGGGAAGTTGAATAGAATAAGGTATGGTATGCGAGAGGCTGAGTCCATGTAGGGCTGGACTGGTCTGGGGAATGGATTATATGTATGTAGTTTTGTTTTGGTTTTAGTATGTTTTTTTTTTTTAGATGATTATAGTTCATAGGTATGGATCTCGTATAGACTTAGTATTTGTGTATGTACCTAATGTGTGTACATACGTAGGGACTGGAGGGAGATACAAATAGCATGTCACTTGATGACGATAATTGAGGTGTTTTATTTTATTTAATTGTTTTCTAGAATCTAGTCCAGTCTATTCTATATACTCTACTGTACAGGTAGTTATTATTAGTTATCACATTATGCAATTTGTCGGCGTATAAAGCAAATGCCAGGTGATCTGTTAATCATCTATTTGCGGCAGATTTTTTTTGAATCCTGATTATGCTAGATTACTAGTTACTAGATTACTAGATTACTAGATTACTAGGATCTAGATTCTTTATATGCTAGAGATAAATATGGGATCAACCCCCCCCCCCCCCCCCCCCCCTCCTAGACCTAGAGTTCAAGCAAGCAATTCAGATCTTGCTTCCGTGCTCTTTAGGGTTTGACACATAATTAAAGCAACGATATTGCATCTACTAGATCAGATCAGATCAACCTTACACCATCAAATCCTCTATACTATAAGTGTACTATTATATTATATTATATGTATATATAAATAAATATAAAGAATAATTAGTCCTCTAGGAGTAGATAAAGGATAAATCAGCACTATAATATATATATTTAGATATAGAGTAGAGTAGAGTAGAAGTCTTTAAGCTAGCTCGCTAGATAATAATAATACTCTGGGGTGATAAATAGTGGTATATAACCTATATTGGGTTAAATATATACTATATCTCTAACTCCTGAGAGTTGTCTGCGAGAATATAAGAAATCCTGAATGGGTACTACTTATATTTTATATGTTTATATTATAGTTAGTTATATATATAGCAATTCTATTTTAATAGGCATAGGAGTTGTCTTAGATAACCTCCGTAATAATAGATATAAAGGCAAAGATGTAATATAGATATAACTATCAAGCTCTTAGATATTAATAGATATATTTCATCTTTATATCTCTTTCTTTTTTTTTTCTCTCTCTTATTTATATACATATACCCATCTCAGGAGAGTCCTGCTGGCAATTCAGATCTTGCTTCCGTGCTCTTTAAGGTTCGACACATAATTAAAGCAACAATATTGCATCTACTAGATCAGATCAGATCAACCTTATACTACTAAATCCTCTATACTATAAGTATACTATTATATTATATTATATATACATATAAATAAATATAAAGAATAATTGGTCCTCTGGGAGTGGATAAAGGATAAATCAGCACCGTAGTATATATATTTAGATATAGAGTAGAGTAGAATAGAAGTCTTTGAGCTAGCTTGCTAGATAATAATAATACTCTGGGGTGACAAATAGTGGTATATAACCTATGTTAGGTTAAGTATATACTATATCCTTAACTCCTGGGAGTTGTCTGTGAGAATATAAGGAATCCTGAATAGATACTACTTGTATTTTATATATTTATATTATAGTTAATTATATATATAGCAATTCTATTTTAATAGGCGTAGGAGTTATCTTAGGTAACCTCCGTAGTAGTAGATATAAAGGCAAAGATATAATATGGATATAACTATCAAGCTCTTGGATATCAATAGATGTATTTCGTCTTTGTGTCTCTTTCTTTTTTTTTTCTCTCTCTTATTTATATACATGTACCCATCTCAGGAGAGTCCTGCTGGATATACTATAGCTTCAAGCCTAGTGACCATGGTGTTGCTTTTGCTCTTGCTTCGATTCCTATAGATGGGGGAAAAAAAACGTTAATATCAATAATGACCCATATATCATTTGCTATTCAGCCGAAGACATGAAGATGAACCCACTTTTCTCGTAGCAGTCACATCGACATTATAGCCGGTCTTGGTGTCATAGGGGAACGGGCTAGTGTAGTTGTAAGTCGGTTCCAGATGACCCCAGGTCTTCTTGACCTGTTCCAGAATGCCGTGTCCGGCAGAGCATTGGCCAGAAGTGGCGGGGACGGGCCAGTCGGGGGTGTACGTGGAGTAAGTGTTGGTTGAGAAGGGACCGGGGAGGGTCTGGTTAAGGTATAAGTTGGTCGTGTCGACTTCGTAGTTGACGTAGCCGGTCTTGTTGGCGACGATCTCGAAAATGTTGGCTCCGCAGTCCCAGCGGCCGAGGGAGGGGAGACCCCAGTTGGCAGATAGGGAGGCGATGGTGGAGTAGTGAGTGTAGAATGTGTTGTCCTCGGTTCCCTTGAGTTCCTCGGGGATGGCACCGCCGAGGAGGATGCTGAAGACCCTGTTTCCAGTCGGGTAGAGGTGGGTTTCGTCAAAGGTGAGCAGGAGCAGAGTGTCCTTCATGAAGTATTCGTTTTCCAGGAGAGGCTGGACGAAACCGCGTTCCCACTTGGAACCGAAGGTGATGGTGGTGTCGTGCGCGTCGTTAGTAAGGTTACTGGTGATGAACGCGTACTGCGGAAGCTTCTCATGCTCGAGATCTTCGTAGAAGTTGGTGAAGTTCTTGATCTGACGGAGTCGGTTGTTGTCTTGGGTGACCGAGTCGTAGAGGATCAGCGGGTTATGCTTCCGCACGTAATCTCCGGCCATGGTGACTTGGTTGGAGTAGTTGAACCCTTGGAAACCGGGGTAGGGCATGTGCTCTTGGTATTCTCCCCAGGCAATCTTCTTGGTATCGAACAGATCCGCGATGGAGGAGATATTGGCGGGCACCTGGTTGAAGTTGTCGTTGTCCATGCCAAAGGTGTCACCACCGGCTGAAGCACAGTAGTTCGGCTCGGACGGATGAGTAACGGCCCAGTAGTTGGTCAATGTGATGCCCTGTTTGGCGAGCCATTGCTGGTTGGGATCACCAGCTGCGGCGGAGTAGTCCTGTATACTTCATTAGTCACGTGCCTGTATAGCTGCGAGTCATATCGACGATTAGATACTTACAATGTTCTCCAGCCAGATCTGGTAGAACTTGTTGAAGGCGACACCCTTGACGTTCGAGACAGGGCTCAGTGGGAGCGTAGTGGCAGCAGCAGCTTCAATCTCCTGCAGGGTCGGCTCCTCGACAGTGCTGGTGGCAGCCAAGGCCAAGCTCGCCGTGGCGAGGATGTTCGCGATGGAAGCTCTCATCTTGGCGTCTGTCAGCGGAGGAGAGTTGGTCACTGATACAGAGGACAATGATCAGAGTATGATCGCTTTTATATGTATATCTATTCAGCGGTCTCCCCGTAAAACCCACCACGTGCACGTTCAGGGACTCTTAGATCCCGGTTAAGTTCCGAGAGCTCATAATGTGGCCGCGGAGTTAATCATTATTAACAGATATCCCAGCAAACAGATGGAGACTGTCCAGGTGGGTTGCCCTTGCTGCGAAGGAATGGCATCGGGAAGCATCACCACGATGTCTGCAGGGAACTTCTTACTTGACAATCGGCATGCCAACTAGCCCTCTGCGGTTAAACATCATCGGGAGCTAATCTGAATACCCTTGCCGGTCCTCTGAGCATCCTCGAGTGACATCCGAGGGGTTTCCCATTCTAGAACTCATGATTTTTAATTAACACAGGCGATTCGTTGCTATATCTGGAGGTCTTCCCTGATTTCGCTGGGCATCGGGGTGAGAGAGCAATTTGGCCCGGCACTAGAATTGCTTTGAGCGGACGAATCCGTGTTTCCAACATGCCGCACGTGCTGGAATGGACGCTGTCCACAGGCCTGTTATATTATTGTTAGCGAGGGACGGCGCCTCGTGAGGAACATATGCTGTCGAGGTCGCTCCGCAGCAATCTTCGAAAGATCTTGCGGATAACCGGCCGCATACCCTATGCCGTTGATTTCTTGTCGCTGTGTGGTAAACGAAGCTCTCAGGAAGCTTCGTATTTCATACTCCAAGAACTTCCACTCCACTTGATTGTCGGCATCTTCCGCACACCTAGACCACGGTCTGGAAACGCGCATCGAGCAATGATGAGCTTCTGATCACCGTCGTGCGCAGCATAACTAGTTCCTTTCGATTTTTCTCTTCTTAGCAATAGTTTTCCTAGACCGATGTCCGGGCTGGTACCTGCAGCGTAAGCAGGCGCCGCAGCGCATATCAGCAAGTATGGGCACTGGGAGTACAGCGCGGGAGAAGAGTTACGGGCAACCCGTCGAAAAGCAGAAAGGTCCAACTCGCCTGGCTTTGATAATATCTGGCGCATTCGCTCTTTTCATCATCATTGCCTCCGGTCTTTGTTCGGGACTGGGTCTGAGGCTAAACCATGAGCGCATTGCCGTGCCTCCGGTAGAAACCAATACAAGCGGCGGCACTGCCAGCTCTCCAACGCTGCCGCCATGGAGACGGGACATGTCCGAGTATGATTTGGACATGGATAGCTGGGATATCGATGCCGAACCTACGACACGAAACTATAACTTCGTACTATCGGAGGTCACCGCAGCTCCCGATGGTACGTATCGAATAGCTCTTGTAATGTGTTGATTTCTATGCGAGCCTGAAGCTAATCGATTGCTCATAGGGGTCGTTCGACAGTTGTTTGTCATTAATGGGCAATTTCCAGGCCCTCTCATTCGGGCAAACCGAGGAGACCGGATCGTGGTTAATGTGACAAACCACCTATCCGAGCCTACTTCTATGCATTGGCATGGGATGTTTCAAAACGGTACCAACTGGATGGATGGCACTGCCGGAATCACCCAGTGCCCTATCCCTCCGGGAAAGAGCTTCCTTTATAATTTCACCGTCGAAAATCAATATGGAACCTTCTGGTACCATTCCCATTATTCCACCCAGTACATGGATGGTCTTTTTGGTCCTCTCATAGTCCACTCTCCGGAAGAAGCTCGTTTCAGAGAGCTTTATGACCATGATCAAGTTGTGATTCTCCAAGATTACTATCACAACGTTTCCTCGACTCTTATCCCCGGGTACCTTGCCCCTGGGAATGAGAACAATGAACCTGTCCCGGATAATGGTCTTCTGCAGGGGACCAACTAGTAAGTTTTTGAGAAATATGTCACTGTAAGACCGGAGCTGACATTTCTAAGCTTCAATTGTTCATCTCTGGCGACTGCCAGTGGCTATATCTGCCACGACAACTCCACCAGAGCAGCGATCCCAGTGCAAAGGAACAAGAGACACCGTCTTCGACTGATCAACGCGGGCGGATTCGCGGAGTTCCAGTTCTCTATAGATAACCATACTCTATCAGTTATCGAGGCAGACGCCACCATGGTGGAACCGTTAGAAGTGCATCGGCTTGAGATCTCTGTTGCTCAGCGTTATTCAGTCATTCTGACAGCTGATCAAGAAGCGGGAAATTATTGGATCCGTGTAGACATGAACACTTTGTGTTTCACGGCCAGAAATCCCCTTCTCGACCCCGCTATAAAGGGTATCCTAACATATACAAACACCAGTACCGATCCGGAAGAGGGAATCTCCACAGACTGGTCAGATGCAAGAAATGTCCTGTGTCAAGACCTAAATTCCACCTTACTCGTCCCAGCTGAGCCGGAATCTCCACCTCCAGCTGATGTGGTCTACTCTCTCAAATTCGCATTTATGATCGGAGCGTATACTTTATCTCGGGCATACGTCAACGAGTCAGTCTCATGGACGGTTCCCGACGTTCCGACTTTGAACACCGCAGTTTCGGGTCTCCGTTCTGGAAACCAGACGTTTAATACGACCGGAGTGGCCCCCTCGTATGGATTCGAGAACCAGTATATTATCAGCATCCCTGAGAACCAGGTAGTCGATCTCTTGATAACGAACATGGACGAGGGAGCGCACCCTTTCCATCTCCACGGTCACGAATTCTGGGTCATGGCCACATCCCCAGAGCAATATTTCCCCTGGCACACATATGGGTCGCTTAACACGACGAATCCTCTACGGAGAGATACCGTGACGGTTGACGCCTACGGATGGGCTCTCATCCGGTTTCGCAGTGATAACCCAGGAATGTGGGCTTTCCACTGCCATATCACCTGGCACATGGAGGCTGGACTCCTGGTACAATTCCAGACGCGCAACGACTTGATGAAAGATTGGACGCTACCAGAGGATGTACTCGGTCTATGTGAAGCATGATTCTGTGCGAAGTTGACGGTTTTATGACTGGAATTTTCAGTATCCGTTCTACGTGCATCGTTGGGAATTTTAGCATAGCTATAGGCGTTGGGGAAACAAGGAGGGCATTTTTTTATTCATGTCTCTATATTACTATTAAGAAAAAGGAGGTATTAATTAAGCAAAGCTCATATTGCCGAATCCAAAATGGCACAGAGTTAATGTGAAATTTATAAATGAGCAATTCCACTGGCCTTTTCGACGCCGGGGTGAAAACGCACTCAGACTTACGGGTAGACGTCACGTAGATCAACGCTCGAGTCGGTCCATTAATCTACACGAGGATATATATAGGGCTGCATAGTTCTTGTGAACTGGAAACGGACTAGACATGAGATGTCCTTCTGATAATAGCTTGTCAATTCAAATTATTCTTCGTGGAATGTAACAGGTTACCTGCTTTACCTGTTGTGAAATTATTGTACGACCGCCCCGCGGCCAGTAAATTACGTATCAATCTCCACCACTCTCACGGGCTATTTCATAAATCAGATCAATGTATCTCATCAAGGCAAAACGGCATTTCGTTGCCAGGGAAGAGGCTGCTCGGCGGGTTTCAACGATCCTAGATCTCCTCCACTAGCACGACGTTTGGCATATGCTTCGATCTCGTCCTGATCGACCCAATTCCCATGCACACCAAGCCCGAGTTTCATTGGGAGACGGATGATAGCAATAGGGCCCTGGGCGACGTTCAACGAGTCGAAGAGCAAGATATCATTCCTCATTTCATCGAGACGGTTAGCGAAACAAATAACCCATCCGACTCCTTCTTCTTGGGATTCTTTCTTGGGAATGAAAACAGGCTCCTGAAGAGTCGAGGTTGGCCCGGCGAACCACACATCACGTTCGCCTGTGTCCCAGTTAAAATGACCGAGGCAGTTAAACAGCCCGCCGGCCGGTGAGCCACATTTTGCACCATCGTAAGGTCTGGTGCCTTCAATGAGTAGCTGCCAGAAGTGGGAGTATCGTTTTCCCATAAACCTCTCGTCAATGCGCGCGAATTCACCGGAATTATCCAGATCCATCTGTGGATAAATGAGCGTGTCGGACGGTAATTTGGGGTCGATCACCCAACGGGTCGTTGGAGATTTGATCTCCTTCCTCTCCTCGGCTTCAGCTGCTGGTGACGGGGGAGTGAGCTTTGGATCTGGCGGGAAGAAAAAGAATACGTTGCCATTTGCAACTGTGAGATCCGCTACTATATTCCCATCTTCATCCTCATAGCTGCCGGCAAAATGGCCCTGGAAGGCATTTGGACCCCGATACCATCTTGCATCTTCTGGCTTTGCATTGCGGCGAGGGAAAACGCCATAGATTTGGTTCTCGTTCGGATCCCACGCGAAATGATTTCCTCCCTCACGAAGCCGATCAAGTGATACCTTGAGCGGCGTCAGAGGGAGAATCACGTAGTTTTTGGTGATCGTGCAATCATGGATGAACCCGCAGAACGGCGCCTGGTACCAACACTCTTCCGTCTTGCGGCCTTCCTTGTCGATAGTCCATATGACAATGTCTCGGGATGCATCCTGTCCGTTTCCACCAGCTTCGTAAGCGAAGGCAACCATCTCACCTGTATCCGGATCGATCTTTGGGTGGGCAGTGAAGGTTGGAGCAAGAATCTGACCCTCGAAATCATATCGTCCAATAGTCTCCAGCGTCACCGGATCCATGGCAAATGGAGGGCCATCCTCCTTGAGAGCGAGCAATGTCCCTCTCCAAAAGAAGATATTTGTATTCGACACTGTCCGAAGGATTCCTCTCACTGCCTCACTATCAGTGTACGGATTGCGGTATTTCCCAAAGAGATTTTTCCGCGCCGCCGTCTCGACCTTAAACCTATCTGTCTGGACGTATCGTTGCTTAAAATCGGCGTGGCCATTCTCGATACGAATCGCGGTGACATTGCCATCTCCACTAAAGTGAATATCTTCTTCATATGTTGGGGGAAAGCGATGGTCAGGCTGGACGCGATAGAAGGTTCCTGAGATCTCCTTTGGGATCGACCCTTCGATTTCCAAGTCGAATATATCTCCTTCGATGCGCGAAGGACGGGCAAAACCGGTGAAGACAGCGGTGTTGGGAAACTGAACTTGATCTGTCGCTTTCTTTCCGTTCACGTAAACTGGTCCAGTTTTGTGTAGGATATGTGCCATTTTTGTTATTATGTAGGTACTGTACAAATAATATAGATAGTTACATACAACGGCTGCGGTTACGCGATAACTTATCGTTTAGTGGTTTCGTGTTTTGGTTCTTTAGATGGAGAGGAACTGTGCTATATGTAATCTGTGCTGTGTTTCATCTCGAGCTGCTTAACAATTCCCGTTAAAGATGCTTTGATTGAAGCCAACTAGGAGGGTTCGGCAGGCTAAGTACCGAACTAACAGTAACTATCCGCAGTCCGACTAGCTAACCCAGTGTGGAAGGTCAAGGGAGATCGCCTACTGCTAGACACCTAGTGCCAAAGTGTTATAGGCGATGTGAGCACTGGTGGAGGATCCCACAAAGCAGAGTCGGTCATGTGGGACAATTAGTACCACATCGCCGAAACAAGAGGTAGAATATCCTTGTATTGTGATCTAAACGGCTACATGGGTCAAATTACCTACTACAGTAGTCTGTGAGATAATGGAGGATTCTTTCCGCCATGTCATGAACGTAGAATGGGTGATTGTTATTCAATGTGAAGCCATGGGTATACTTCTATACCATTACATTTGGTACCGTTGAACACCGGAGATTTTTTGGGAGTTGATCAATGTCTATGATCTCTCGGTATCGAAGCGTATTTGCACTGCTGAATTCCCGGAACCCCACTTCGAGCGAGATCCTGTGAGATTTAAGTATACAATTACAGTGCAAGTGCCTACAACATCGGGCGTACAATCGGTCCGTCTGGATGGACTGTGTAAGTGACGATCCCTTTGATATTATTATTATTGTACTTACCTACACAGTCCCACGTCGTCTAATATCGACGAGTGCTCGTCAAGGTGGAGCTTTTGGAACAATTGTCATCTGTACGTGGCGGTAGCTTGCGTCGTACAATGAATATTCCCCACATTGCTAATTTATGTGCCGAGGAGATGTTGTCGGTATGTGTGTGATAAGTAACTAACGGGGCCTAGAGTATTAACGGTGCGAACCGTTGTCACGAATGTTCGGCCCCACGTCTCCTCTCGCCGGGGAGGTCAGAGTTTCCCACGAGAGGAAAAATAAAGAACTAACATGGAGGATGCGGGAGAAAATCTTGCTTATTGGATACACCCACTCCGTATTCGGATGAGTCTGTAACTTATGCTATCCCTGATTACGGAAATGCTACCTCGGGGCAAGGGTGTAAGGGAGAAGAGTCTCCGATATATTAACAGATGGTGGAGGGGGAAGCATGGGGGGCAGTATCACTGTCGGGCTCGAGAATAAGTATCCTTACTCTCTTCAGTTTTCCCCGGCATATCTTCTTTTCTACAGTACGTAGAACAAGATAAACAGCTTCAGCGGGAGAAGGTAAAGACAGTCCTGCTGCATGCAAACATGGCACCAGCACGAGTTGAACCGTCCATTGAGACGCGGTTATTTATCAATGGAAAAGTGAGTTGTTGAGACGTGTCGGCCAAACAGTGCATCAGGAGAATCCATGTTACTGACAATCTGTGACATCTAGTTCCAACCGTCAAAAAGCGGCAAGACCTTTAACTTGACCAATCCTACAACAAGGGAGGTGATCGCCGAAAGTAAGTTGTAATACGTACATACCTCTAGTCGAAATGGATTAATCTGACTTCTACTTAGTCCACGAAGCGGATGAAGAAGACACCAATGCTGCCGTTGCGGCAGCAAAGGCGGCATTCCCAACCTGGAGAGACCTCGAGCCATGCGAGAGGGGTGTGTACCTGGCCAAATTCTCCAAACTTATCCGCGATTCGATCGACGAGCTTGCCTATCTAGAGGCTATCTCAACGGGAAAGCCCATTTCTGCTTTCGTCGATGGCAATACCGCGGCAAGCAATTTCCAGCACTTCGCCGAGGCCGGTTACCAGATCCAGGGTTCATCGAGTCTAAACACACGTAACCACCTCAATATCACAGTGAAGCAACCTTTCGGTGTTGTTGCTTGCATTATCCCATGGAACGCGCCCTGCATTTTCTTCTCGCTCAAGGTTGCCCCGGCCCTCGCGGCCGGAAACACTGTTGTCCTCAAGAGTAGCGAGAAAGCACCTTTGACGGTGAGTAGTGCTAGCACATGGTATAATGATTTGAATGAGACATGAACTAATTCGTTACTGCCAGTCAATATATCTCGCCAAGTTGGCAGCAGAAGCTGGCTTCCCTCCGGGTGTATTGAACGTAATCACAGGCTTTGGCAGGCCGTGCGGCTCGACGCTCTCGTCTCACATGGACGTCCGCTGCCTCAGTTTCACAGGCTCCCCTGTTGCTGGCCAGCAGATCCAAGCTGCCGCGGCAGCTTCAAATATGAAGAACGTCATCCTTGAACTAGGGGGCAAGTCTCCAGCGATTATCTTCGAAGACGCAGACCTCGAAAGTGCGGCTACAATGACGCAAAACAGCATCCAGTACTTGAGCGGGCAGATGTGCATGGCGAACTCCAGGATCTACGTCCATGAAAGCGTCGCTGATCGATTTCTTGCTCTTTTCAAAGAGAAATTTGGCGCTGCCCGTCTTGGTGACCCCCTCGATAAGACAACTACCCAGGGTCCACAAGTTGATGAAGTTCAATACAATCGCATTAAGTCATATCTAGAAATTGGCCAACGAGACGGAACTATGACACTGGGCGGTGATGCGCAAGACGGCTTCTATATCAAACCAACAGTTTTCGAGAACGTCCCGGAAGACTCCCGGATCATTAAGGAAGAAGTCTTTGGGCCAGTTGTGGTCATAAACACATTCAAGACTGAGTCCGAGGTCATCTCTAAAGCAAACGACACGGAATTCGGCCTTTATGCAGCTGTGTTTACCAAGAACATTGATCGGGCAATCCGCGTATCGAAGCTCCTCGAGGCGGGAACTGTGGCCATTAATTGTACCAGCCCAACACAAGCCAAAGAGCTGCCATTCGGCGGCTTCAAAGGCAGTGGTGTAGGCAGAGAGGGTTACGGAATCAGTTTGGAGAACTATGTGGAGACAAAAACGATACTTATCAGAGTTAGCCCTGAGTGATGCAGAAGAGGATATAAAGCAGGTTTCCGGTTATAATCCAGGACGGGGGTGAGCTGATAAGTGATATATGAGAAGATACTTCTCTTCCGCCGGGGACATACTGCATGCCGAGTCCGCTTTTAGTGCGCAAGAACTACTACGCAGCCATGAATATATATGCTTCAATAGATCTAGATAGTCAAGGAATCACGCGAAAAGGAAATACTGGGAATATTTTCTTTATTACAGAGAAAATTTCTAGCATGCTATGATCAATTATACTCAACGCACGAAATGGAGCTGACGACAAAATGCGGAAATGTTGGTTGTCGAGCACCAGTCCGATTTCCTCATTAATATATTTGTAATGCAAACGCGTTATAATACAATGTCATCATGCATTATGTCTTTATTTGATGCCCTTGTGCTTTAGATCCTGGGGGACCAGGACATCATCGTCTCCCGGTCGTCGCACCGTCGCGGCTTTTATTTTTTCTTCGGGGCCATCAGGGCCCTCGAAGTCCTTCGCTTCAGTCATTCTAGACATAACACACGTCAGGTAAAGTTCACAAGTGGCATAGTCCGAGGGCGCATGAAACTTACCGTCCCCGATCATCGAGTTCACCACCTTCTTCCGGAGGGATCTTTCTGTGGTCGCCGGATGATGAACTGGCGACCACTCCGTACTTTGCGCTTGCCGCACCGCCAAACTGCTTGTCTACTTGTTCATTGACTCCGGATTCGAGGACTAGTTGATATGATTAGTACTAACATTTTCCAGATACTTGCAAGTCAAGAGCCAATAGGTACCAGAGTCACTCTTTCGTCCAATACCCTGCTTGGCCTGGTAGGAGTTGAGATCCTGCTCAGCACGGTGAGCTGCGTCGAGAGACATGCTGGAATAGAAGGATAAAGTAGTTTGACCGTCTTAAACTTGTACTTGAGTAGGGAAAAGAAATTTGTTCTGTCTGTAGTATGCAGTCTGCTTTCTGCTCGATGCGCAAAGTTCGAACCTTGAAGGACTATATGTACCAGTATACGGAGGAATGGCTTCCTGCGAACTGAGGGTATCTTGCATCATCATACATCATAGCGATATCACCACTCCACAACCAAGGAGAGCGGAGTTCGATTGTACCTGGCAAGGCGAGCGGAGCAGAGCTTCCATCATAATCTCTCTGATATCATTGGCATTAAAGAGCTCTGCTGAGGCTCCTTTTCAGTGAGAAAATCTAGGCATTGAAGTAGTCTCTTCGTTATCGCTCTAGGATGTGCCAGTGTGATTGGAGTCGATCAACATAAAGCCGAATAAGGAATGACCTCATACGACCTCAGAGCGGACGCTAACCCAGAATAGGACCGGCAGAAGCCCTAAAGGCTACCCGAATAAGGCTTAGTTCAGGGCAAGACCCTAGGGTGTACCGGAAAGGAACAACATGATTCCAGAGGATCCTTAAACAGTAGGCGGTGAGCTGCGGGGAGTGACGCTGATCTTGCTTGCAGAGGGACAAATGAATGGAGTTACTTTATTCTGGTGTTGTTGACAGCCAGCAGACCCTGAAACAGGAATCCAGAGCTCTGTGGGTCTATCTCATATGGCTTTTCTGTCCTGACGGACGTCTGCCTTTACCAGTTGAGCTCACTTACAGTCGAGCGTTCAACTGATTCGCCATGGCTCAACCAATCGAGTTGGCCGGAGAGGCCAATCCGCTGACCCTCCAGAATGTCTTCAACGCTCTGGTATCTGCAGCTGGCTCAACGCAGATGCAAGTGCAGACAGGTGCAAAACAGCTCCAGACCTGGGAAACGCAAGAAGGATACTATTCTCTGCTGCAGGTGAGAGGTTCTCTGCTCCCTTAGTATCACGCGGGGCATGTGTTAACGATAAAGGGATACTAGGACATCTTCGTCGATTATTCCGTTCCTGCAGAAGTCCGATACCTCGCAATCATCCAACTGAAAAATGGGATCGACAAGTACTGGCGCAAGGCGGCGTCACATGCACTCAAGAAGGAAGAAAAGGAGAAGATCAAGACGCGTGCTCTGGAGGCGGGGATCGTTGAGCCAGCTCCTCTACTAGCTCTACACAATGCTCTGATGATTGCAAAGATTGTGCGACATGAATTCCCTCAAGACTGGCCCGACGCAATCCCTACGCTCATTGGATTTCTCCGTGCCTCCGTTCAACCTGGTGCCAATCCACTGCAGCTACCACGCGTCCTGGTGATTCTGCTGCAAGTGATCAAAGAATTGTCAACCGCAAGATTGCAGAGAAAGCGTGCGAGCCTACAGTCTGTTGCTCCTGAGATTCTCGCTCTCCTGGGAGGTATCTACGTGGATAAAGTAAACAAATGGGCTGGCTTCCTAGAGCAGGGCAATGTTAGTGATGCCACCCTGGCGGAGGCAATTGAGCAAAGTCTGGTCTCGTTGAAAGTCCTTCGCAGACTGTTGATCGCTGGCTTTGAACATCCCAGTCGTGATAAGGACGTACGGGATTTCTGGGCCCTTACCCATTCTCACTTTAGCAAGTTCTACTCCTGGGTTCAAGCAGGCTCTAGTTTCCCACCAGAGATCTTGAAATACGTTGAAAAGCATCTGCTTCAACTATCCAAGCTGCATGTGGAGATGTCAAATGTTCATCCAGCGTCTTTTGCCCTGCTTCCTGACAGTATCACGCTAGTTAGATCATATTGGACATTGGTTGTGAAGCTGGCAGAGACTTATGAAGCTACTGTTCTCAATGCAAGCGAAATGGGCGCTGATTCTGGTTCAGGAGGAGAGAAGACTTTGATGGAGAAGGTGGGACTAAAGGCGCTACTTCTGCTGAGAGCTTGCGTGAGGATGGCCTTCAACCCAGCCCAGACGTTCAAGTATCAGCAGCCCCAGGACAAGGAGGAGAAAAAAGAGTCCATAGCATTTATCAAGTCCCAACTCTTTACTGAAGACATTGTGGTCAATATAATGGAGCTTCTAGTGACCAAGTTCTTCAAGTTCCGTCAGAGTGACTTCCAGGAGTGGGAGGAGGAACCTGAGGAATGGGAAAAGCGAGAAGAAGAGACGTCTAGCGCCTGGGAGTTTTCCATCCGCTCCTGTTCCGAAAAGCTTTTCCTTGATCTCGTCATACATTTCAAGGATCTCCTCATACCAAGACTTCTGAATGTCTTCTATTCATTTGCGACTCCAGAGAATCGCGATGTCTTGCTGAAAGATTCACTATATTCCGCCATCGGACTGGCTGCTGCGAGTCTAGAGCAGCAGTTGGACTTCAACACATTTTTGGAGTCCACTCTTGTTCCAGAGGTTCAGATTCAGCAGCAGGGTTACAATCTTCTCCGCAGAAGAGTAGCAATCTTGCTTGGACAATGGGTGCCGGTCAAACCGGGGGAGTTAAATCGAACCGCCATATACCAAATATTCCAGCACCTACTTAGCAAACAGGATCCATTAAATGATCTTGTTGTTAGAATTACCGCGGGAAGACAGCTCCGAAGTGTGCTAGACCCCTACGAATTCTCTCCTGAAGTCTTCCTTCCGTTTGCTCCGACGATACTTGAATCGCTCATGAGTCTAGTGCAAGAAGTTGAGTTGTCGGAGACGAAGATGGGCCTATTGGAGACAGTGCGCGTTGCAGTCGTAAAAATGGAAGATAATGTAAGTCACCACACTGAAGTGCGTGGGTATCATACTAACTTGCCTAGATTGCTCCTTTCTCGGACCAAATCATCCGACTATTACCGCCTTTGTGGGAACAGTCAGGGGAGGAGCACCTCATGAAGCAGGCGATCTTGACTCTGCTATCTGCATTAATTCATTCCCTGAAACAGCAGTCTGTGCGATACCATGCGGATATACTTCCACTTATCAAGAATTCAGTCGAGCCAGGATCGGTATATTTCTCCGTCATCATTGTGCAGAGATAGAAAACTAATAATGATGTATAGGAGACTTTGGTTTACCTCTTGGATGAGGCTCTCGAACTTTGGGCTGCCATCCTCACCCAGACTCCCGCCCCAGCATCCGAAGATATCATCTCCCTTCTACCCTCTTTATTCCCTATCCTCGAAGCCGCTACGGACAGTGCTCCTTTAGCACTTCAAATAGCCGAGTCTTATATTCTTCTTTCACCACAAGAAGTCCTGAGTGATCGGATACGCTTCCAAATGCTTGTGTCTTTCGAGAGTCTCCTCCGTTCCACCACCAGACAGCGTCTTGGTATTGTTCCGCGCCTGGTGGAAATGCTCATCCGCTCTGTGGAAAGAGTCGACGGTGGAAGCGAAGCTGGATATAATGTCGTCGCCAAGTCTCTCATCGACAGTTCGTTTCTCTCTTCCCTCCTTGAGGGTCTTCACTCAGCACATGAAGCTAGCCAGCAGACTGGGCCAAATAGGAAATCTCCAGCAGTGTACGGCGTCGTCGAGACGGACTATCTATCCGTTCTTGCTAGACTAGCACTTGCGAACCCCAAAGTCTTTGTCTCCGCCGTGTCTGCCGCAACCGGCCAACCCGAGGAAAGCTGTCTGTCATGGATACTGACAGAGTGGTTCTTTCATTATGATAACATCGGCAGCACCAGCCAAAAGAAGCTCCATGCACTCGCTCTTACTCAGTTGCTCTCACTCAACACCCCTGAAGCACCACCCCCTGCCTATCTCCTCAACAATCTCCAGTCTTACCTTGCAACCTGGACGGATATCATCACTGAGCTCGCCGAAGGTACGGCAGAGGAACCTAACGACCCCCGTGGAGGAGATTATCTCATCCATTGGAACAATGCCGAGACAGCGCCATATCACGATAATGAGCCTCCGGAGAGCTTGCGCCGACGTGACTTTGAGAGATCCGACGTGATCCACAGAATCAATATTCGAGACTTTGTCCGCCAGAGACTGCAGACTGTCATTATGGCCTGTGGCGGTGAGCAGCAGTTCCAGGACGCGTGGCTCATCAACGTGGATAGAGAAGTGGTAGCTGCCTTTGGTGCATTGGGACTACTATGAGTGAATGACCTGCTATGTGGAAGAAAAAGAATTATTGATCTCTCTCAACTATTTCTCCCCTACTACACAGGAATTCCTTTGTTTCTGCCAATGAACCAGTTTTCAGCATTACTCGAAGCATAGCCATTCGTCGGGATATCATACAATGCCATACATAATACCCCTTTATGTGGAAGTAACATGTTCCTTATCATTTCGAAAGCATACTCTACTCCCTGAATATCCTATCTAGATCAAAAAGAGAATAGCAAGGAAATAGCATGATGATGACTCTAATCGTTGAAATAGCGACTCCCGATCCGTCCTCGCTCTAGGCTAGACATAGGCATACCTATAATTCAGCATCATTCGAGCCTCACAACTTCGCTTCCTCGATTTTCCTCTAGACATCGCAATTGAGTTCCTGGACAAACGGGACAGCTGGATCAACGCTAATATAGACCCAGAGGCCACCCAGTAACCAATTATCGCAGCACTTAGTTAAGTTAACAATGTTAGTAATACTTACTACAAGTATCCGAAACAGGAAAAATGGAAACATAAGCATAAGCATAAGCATAAATAACTCTACTTAAAACCTCATGACATATACGACATAACAGGATAGTAGATCACACGCTTGTGTAGTCCATATACATAGGTAGGAAAAATAAGGGGTTTTTTTTATACCCTCACAGGCAATTAATCCATCCTGCAATCAACAGTCCTGAGATCACTACCTACTGAGACAGAAATCGACATGTACATCAGGGAATGGTTGCAGTATGCGGTACTTCGAATTGTTCGATGAAGAACCAGTCTTGCATGTCCTTTCCCGTCGATTCTTGTATTTTTGAAGCGGTTTACGAAGGAGCGAGGCTATTCATACTGGCTGAAGACACGGGACTTGTGGAGAAGCCCATTATTGCAAACATCTCTGATGACGAAGGGCCGCCACAGCACGCCCTCATGGAATGGGGTTAACGTCAGCTCAAGTTAACTAATCTCAAGAAGAAAGTAATGTTCTCTGAGAAAGGAAAAAGGTTGAAAGATAAACCGCTGGTTCAAACCATTTGGACACAAGTATTTATTATTGACGTTATGGCTACACTAAGATGAGGAGTAATAATATATGCATATTAATGCCATGCTCGGTTATACAAGCACTCTAGGAGCACTGGTTGGGATATTGTCGGTCCGTCAGAGGCTGGGGAAAGAGACCACCAGCCAGCTGCTTTTGCATGTCCCATTCAGGGGCACTCTCCGTCTTCCAGGTCCAGTAGATCCAGCCAGTCTTCATCTCGAAGGCGTCCAGTTGCGCCTCGATGAAGCGACGGATGTTGTATTTGTCGGCACCTGACAGACCGTCCACAGTGCCTTGGTACTTTCCAGAGCAGTCACCAATCCACGAGCTGCCCGGGTACGTGCCATCGTACCGAGCGCCTACGCCTCGGCCGTTCAGGTACTTGGCGCAGTCGGTGATGCCTCCAGTCCACTCGCCGACAATGGTCCATTTATCGGTGTGGTAGAGATGCGTCTGACCGAAAGTGCACGCCATATTAACGTGCCCGTCAATGTTCTGGCCCAGCTGGCCATTGTCGAAGACCTCGTAATGATGGGTGTCCATCATTACGTGCCACACACCAGACCACGGCCCCATGAAACCATTCCAGGAGTCGACCTCCAGAAAACCATCGTGAAGGACAACAGTGGTGTCATTGTTAGATACGCGGACGTTGCCCCAACCATCATAGTAGTACTGCTTGAGGCTATCCTGGTTAATTCCAGCAGGGATCAAAGGCTCATTGATCAGCTCAATTGCGGTGACGACATCGGTATACTGAGCGTATCTCTGGGCCAAAGCCTGAATGGCCTGCAGGGTCTGAGGTACTGTATTTCCTTGTTGCCAGTCGATTGCGCCTTTGCGGCCACTGTTGTCGAATCCGTTCTGCGAGCCGGGTGCTAAGAGACAGAAATCAGCTATACAGGTCGCGATCTGATTGCTATTTTATTCCACACATACCACCGTGGAGGTCAATGAGGACCTTGAGACCGCTGTTTCGGGCCCAACCGATCGCCTGATCAAGCAGATTGAGCTGTCCTTGCACATATGGTTCCCCGTCCAAAGGAGTGACGGCCCAGTATCCGACTGGGATTCTCACATGATTCAGACCCGCCGCAGCAATCTGTTGGAAGTCGCTCTCGGTGATCCAGGTGTTCCAGTGATTCGACAATCTGTTGTATGCCTCGCTTTTACCGAGAATTGAACATATAGTCCATTCATCTATAGCGCCGCTACCGGCCTGTTCGAAGAGCGAAGGTGTAATCCACGGTTCTAGCACAAGCCAGCCACCAAGGTTCACACCGCGGACCTTCTGATTGTTGTAGTCGAATGTGAGATCCCGTTCTTGGCTGTAGAAGGAGTGTAAGAAAAAGTCCAAGAATAGGAATACACACTCGAGGATTTTAATACTTACACGAATGGGGCAGCCGCGGCGAGTGAGGACAGAATAGACAGCCCCAAAAGCGCTTTTTGCGGGAGCCGGGCGAACATGTTGTATGCCCTAATCCCGTAGATCTGAGAAATGACGGGTACGGAATACGACCAGACTTAAAGAGGCCGACGCTTGGAGATCAGCAGGTATAAGTACACCAGCTTTTGATCCCGCGCGAGTAACCGACCGGATGCAGGCTTAAGGAGGATTGGGGGAAACGCTCCTTTAGTAGAGGTATCTGCCGGATTAAGGGCTTCAAGAACCGGAAACTCTTAAGGTTGCTGTAAGTACTGCCGTACTGAACAGCAGAATTGTCATGCAGATCTCACAGCCCGAACCCGGTCGGTCTCCGATGATTGCTTCAACCGTGAACGACGATAAGGACGATCTGGGATGGTAAGGACCAGGGCTAGAGCAAGGAAACTCTGGATGTGGCAGAATTAGATGTCGCCTAATGGTGACTGGCACCCTTTTAGCTTAACCTAACCTGCAGGAAACCTCCCATAACAGGACGACACGGATCAGGTACAGCAGGGTAGTGTTGGCACTTGGCACCAGTCAACCGGAATGCCAGTGGGCTAAGGTATCGTTAGGTGAAGCCACAGGGCGCCCCACGGTGTACACGCAGTAACAATGCCGCCAGAAGGATGTGGAATGTATTGTTCTCTCGAAGCGGGGGCTTCTGGGGAAGTTGGTTAGTATATTCCGTAGAGTAGGTCTGAGGCCCCAGACCGCTATGTAAAAAGTAGGCCAGCCCGTCCCTCATCATGGGGAAAGTGCTAACTATCTCGAATCTTGTCGTTGCGATGCATTATTTCCGGACTACGGTGCAAAGCACCTTCCAGATTGTTTAGAAAAAAAAAAAAAGATGGGCCAGCAATGCCTTTCGCAAACCATCATACGAGAAATGGCTTTCTGAGCTGTGTTCGCCCTGTAACTTTCCGAAGGCATATCACGAGCAGTCGATTATTCGCTGTTGAGATAGCCTCGGATAGAAGAGGGTCTTCCCCGTTCGGTACGCCACGCGAGGCCGTGCCTGGCTCTGGGCAGCGACCACTCTTAATGCCAGGCACCGTACTGTATCGGGAAACGCTCATCGAATTGTGATGAGTATCATACCTCTGCGACTGGTAGATGACTGTCGCTATGGGGTATTCTCCGCTTGGTGTTCACATGCCCGAGTTAAACATCTCTGTCGAGTATCCAAGTATACAGCCGTACTCCATAAGTATCTTGTGACTAACTGGCCCCAGATTCTCCTCAGTCTGTCTGCTGAGCGTCGCGGCTGAAGAGGCGGGCGTGCCTGCTTAGACGAAAACAGAGTCTCGTCAACTGCGACGCTGCGGCAACTCGTTTCTGCTTCTGCAGTTCTGCATCCTGTTAATCTTCTTCGTTGTCCGCTAGGGTGGAGTCGAATATGATACTTACTTAATGCGACCTTGAGTTTATCGCCAACCTTGAGGCTTGATGCCCGTATTAACCATTTGCCCGAGAGATTAAGCTGACGATCAACTAGGTATGCAAAGACGGGTCAGCCTGCGAGTGATCGTCGCATTTCGCTCCCCCAAATCATTCCATGAGGCTTGGACCAACAAGAAAAGTGGCGATGTCGATGGCCAAGAGATCTCCGTGACGCACAACCACAAGGCTTCCTTGGATGTGCCTCAATAATACTCAGCGGCGGCCTGATTTCACGATGGAGGGAGAGGGCATCCAAGTTCTTGGGGTAGAGTCGGGACGAGCGCAAATCCTCGACCGGGAGCGACTGTCGGGCGACTTGTCCAAACTCGTCAGGGCCGCAGCCGGCACTGCTTCGCTCCCGCATCCATAACTAAGTGCAAGTTGTCAAACATGGATGTTCTGGGTCAATCTCTGAATGACCTTGATGTCTCCGTTAGTTGGTTAGTTAGTTAGTTACAGATCACTGCGGACTCAAGATTGGCAAATCTCGTCCGGTCGCAACCGTCACAAGGCAATTGTAGTTCTTCTCATGCTGTCGCTAACGCTTGCGGGGCACAGCTATTATCCAATATTTTCATTTTATTTCCAGCAGTAAAAACGTCTTTTGCTGATCAGCAGAAGATTTTATGATCACGCGCCGCAAATCTCAACTTTAGCCGTTAAGCAAGAAGACATTATTTAGATCTTAGGGAGAGACTACGAATATCCGCGGATGTCACGATATAGTTAACCCCGCATAAATTAGGCGAATAACCTCAGGATAATTGGTTTAAATCTACTCCCCCGCTCTAAGGTTGTATTCCTCACCATCTTAAATAGACGCTTTCGACGTCATAAGGCAGCAGGCATCCATCAAGCGCGCAAAGCCCATGGATGGCAAAGATGGTCAGACAAGCGCAGAAAATACTGAGACTAAGAGGATACACCCAGAAAGATGCATTGCATAGTTTACCACCGGTGATGATCGTCTGTGCTGCCTTTCGACCGGGTCATTCGTGTCATGGCAGAGCAAGACAAGGCCTGCATATTATTGAATAGCGTACAGTATATCGGGGCAGGGCGCAGCGAGTATTATGACTCTCCCCGACTTTGTCCGATCCAGAGAATGTGACGGATATCTTGGGCTCGCTGATTCTATATGCCTATCTGTAAGATATCACATAGCTTGTAGTTTTCTACTCTCGCATTCTGTGTGGTTAGGTTAATACTGAAGGGCCAGCAGGCTGTCAGAAGTGTTCCTCGAAAGAAAAAGAGTATATAACAGAAGTAGCTATTCGATCATGGCATTGTTATGTCGGATTTACGATATAGACAGGTTAATCACTAGTGGTCCAGAAAATGGACCTGAAATCTGATAATTCCTGAACCGATCTATTTGAAGGGCAAATTATCTATTGCAACTCGTTTACCAATCCAAGCAAGCTATGCTCATATGCATTTACAGTATCTATCTGGTCATCGTAGTATTCAGTTGTCATATCCCCCATAGAAACAGTTGCGCTCAGAGAACTTCTTATAGTTATAGTCCTTTACATGGTAACGAACAGAGTCAAGGCACATGTACTCAATTACGATAGAATCTTTACTAGTGATATGGACAATGTTCCTAAAAGTGATGGTATTACTATATTGTGGGAAACCAAAGTATCAGAGAGGTTTCCACCGCAAAGGTTCCGAATTCGTCCACGTTATTCGCAAATTAGTTACCAAGGAACATTGGATGCACTGCCCATTTCGCGAACAGTATAGAACTATAGGGAGACTATTAATTATTGATGTAGATATGCTGATACTCACAGGAATAACAACACTGGAGACGGTTTATTACCTAGGCATAGCATTATCTGGAACGAAGCTCGCTGAGCTTGAATTCTCTAGCAATTAGCTCAGCATATTTATCTCTGTGGGTGGAGCTAGAAAGGCGTGGGAGAAGCCCGTCAAGAGGGAGGACTTCATGTAGGCGGGCTCCGACACACTCCCCTGGGCCGCGCCGACTGCAACCTAGGTCTGAAGCTATTTACATTGCCTTTTTAGGTAAAAATCTTCCTCCTACATGCTCTTCTTGAAGTCCTTGGTCTCGCATTCCTTCAATTTGATAGCTTATTCCCTTCCATTTTCAAATCCGAACCTTATTCTGGCACTCTGGCATCTCTGGCTCTCGCTTTGGCACTCACTCGACACTTGCTATAGCACTCGCACTCTTTGGCTTTCGCTTTTTTGACTTTTGTATCTTGAGCTCTCGCTCTCGCTTCTTGCCTATATCAATGGCTTCGCGGCAGAGATGTTGAAATTCGGACTTGGTCATCGTGGTAGACTTGTCTTTCGGCCAGGAGCAGTACTGAGCCATTGTCCAGTTGGGTAGTTCATTCTCAAGTTCTCCAAGTAGGAGTACGGCAGCACACCATGGGGTGATGGTGACGTTCAAATTATTAGCGCGTTGCCAGACATCACAGTAGGCGACAACGAACTGTTCTATTGAACCATATTGATGTCGATATGTCCTTACCGCTGCTTTCCAAACGGTTTGACGTTCTATATGTCGTTCACCAATAACGATCGTTCGAATCGCGTCGATATACTCATCGGCGTAGATGAGTTTGTTGGGTAGTTGACGGAGTTCCTTGATAATCTCGACGTCGAGCTGGGCTGTGATCCAACTCCTAATGCACAACGACATCTTCCGCCACCTATTGTACGCGTCTTGGTCCGTAGACGTAGGTCTGGGAATATTCGAATCGATGAGGTCCGCACAGTCCACGGGCCTGAGGACATCTTTGACTAAGTAGAGCCAAGTGTCAAATTCGGTCTTCATAGTAAGCTTTCGAATGCCGTTGATCTTCTCTGGTGCCTTCTCTGGCAACCCAGTCCCTTGATTTGCCGCTGTTGGTGTTCGAGAGGAGGTGGGAGGGTCAAGAAGGGGGATTTGAGGAGGGAGGGGAGGAGAGGGCAGATCCTGCTTTTTGGCAGGTCTGGTTCAGTAGTAATACAAGCTCTGCTGTATCTGGAGCTGTTTAGGTGATGAAAAAACGAAGAAATCCGGGCACATAGCCTCTGGAGCGAAGCTCGCTGAGCTTGAATTCTCCAGCAACTAGCTCAGCTTATTTACCTCTGTCGGTGGAGCTAGAAAGGCGTGGGAGAAACCCGTCAAGAGGGAGGCCTGCATGTAGGCAGGCTCCGACATAACTGTTAAATTTTGCATATACTGTCAACTACCGCAAAATGACGACTAGCTATCCTAAAGTCTTGCCTTTGAGATACCATATTCAGATCCAATCACCAAGCCAATCGAAGTAATCCTCACAGCTGAGCACAAGGACTTGCTTCATCGTCATTTTGTTGGCAGATACTGCGACCATATTCGGGCTGGTATAATAAGTGTTTGCAAAGTGATGCAAGACGTGTGTTCATGAGATCACAGTGAAAAAAGGTCTAAGAAACTTAGCTGTTAAAGAGGAATACGACAATATCTCAATTTTCTAATAATGAGATGGGCAGACTAGACTAGATACCATGATAAGAAGCCGTGATATCAGACTCCAGGCCTAGATCCAGTGATACAGCGAGGACGCGAACAGCTTTACTAATTCGCCTAAAAAGCTCGATGTTCTCTAGCCCTTTATAGATAATAGCAGATAAAATAGCTAGCAAGGATCCCAAGGTAATAACACTGAATAGAGAATTCAAGCTTTCTATTATCTTTAGCCTAGTACCCCCAAGATAATACAAACGTACATTTTGTGCTTTCACAGAAAGGCTGCTCATTTTGGCTTCATCCTCACAGTAAGTAAGGATTACTAGACCCCAGCATCACATTGAGGTGTGAGCAGTTGTTGGGGGCGGAAAAGCTGAACGACAGCAATTGAGGATGATAGGCTCCTGGTTTGAAAACTGAAGAGCTATCTGCTCCTGAACAACAGGAGCAAATGAGAACGCATGGGACTTTTATCCCTTGCATCCTGTTGCTGAACGACAGCAATTCCAATATCACCACTCCTAGATACTCAGAGCCTTATACATAAAAGCCTTATCTCAGTTTTCTGGACCTTATGCAGGATTGGCAACTAGAATCAATCACCACGGTTTTGCTCTTGGGCATGCAAGTGTCTAGATGAACCTCTCTTTAGTAGGATTTCATGGTTGAGATACAGACCTGGTAGTACCTTGATTTTAGATATCCCCTCTGACGGGGCCGCTAAGTTCTGCTGACTATCGCCAACCAAGGTCAGATGATACAGATGAACCGGGTCAGATGCGGCCAACGGGTCGACGATACGAATGGTATCCCCGGTCGCGGGATCTACCAAGGTCTCCTCCCCCGGAGAGTTAATCCCTCACTTGTTAACGTTGTCGGTGACTTCCAAACATAACACCACAATAAACTTAGTAAATAGTCCCATATGAGAATGACCATTGATCAGAAAAGGACCACACTGCTGCATTGTTATAAAGCAAGTTCGGTTATCCTCGTCACAGTCCTTTTCACCATGGAGGTATTCAATATACTCATCGCTACATTCGGCAGCAGTCATAAAGATTTCGTGTCGATCTTGCGAGATAAGGAACCGCCTTGATACCACAATGAGTAAGAGAAAGAAAAAGGTCACGACCTAGTCAGATAAAATAAGGACTTACTTCTAAGTGGCCATTTTCGCTTCTGTTCACTGTCATGCAGTATCCAAAGCATCATCTCTGCTGATTCTTGCATTTGTATTTGTATATACCTTGTCGAATACCCGCTTTTGTCTCGATAATTGCAAATGCTCTCTCTTTGTTGCAACTCTCTTTTTCATTATCTGCTAGTCCCAGATAACCATCTGTGCGCGCCTCCATACTGGCATTTTTGAAATTCCTTGTAAATGCGACTCGTGCCATTGACCACCCGCATTTAACATCTGGGATATTCATTGTGATCGCATCAAGAAATGTTATAAGCGCTTGGTTGACTATCTGTTCGTCTCTTGTCGGTTCCCAGACTCTCTATGTCTGATCACAGGCTGCTGTTCTGGTACTGACTGACGCAACCGTAGAAGGATTCGCCGCAGAGTCAGGTACACTTGGAGATTTAGACGCAGCCTCATGACTGGTGTCTGATGCCGCCGCTTGTGCAAAGTCATCGGCCGGATCCAGCCAAATATTCTGGCTTTGCACCAGAGAATCGTCCTCCATCGGCTGTTCCGGGATGTCAACTTCGACCTGCAGCTGGTATTTTCTTACCGCTTGGAACACCCCCAACTTATCTCCGCCGCTTTTATATGGTGGGATGCTTTTCTTTCGTTCTCTTATATGCTTTATGTAATGCTCGAAGGGTGGGAGATCTTTGAGAACCTTTTGTGCTTTCCTCTGATACCCTATCGGGCGAGGAAGCTCATTGATGCTTTTGGGATTTGGCCAAATAATCCTGAAGGCAAGGAACTGCTCCTCAGTTGCAGACGAGCCAGATTTCAAAGTTGCCATTTCGTGGATGCGCTTAGCTGTATCAGGATCTGCCTCGGGTTCCTCAGCTTTGGCTTTTCCCTTAGATCCTTTTTTACCCTTCTTTTTGGCCTCGGGCTTCTTTCCAGTCTCCTTAGATTCTTCTTCGTCCTGCTTCATAGCTCCCGATCCGGTTCTTTCTTTCCACTGCTGAACGTCTCGGGGCAGAGAATTGTCCTTTCGTCCTGAACTCTCGGCAGGGGCCATGGTTGATTGTGTCTATTTCGACAGACAATCGACAACGGTTTAGAAAACGTGAAATGCTTAATTATTATCAATTGTGAAAAGCTAGAAGCTTTTTCGAGGCGTTTTCTGTGTGCTTTGCAATTGACTGGGATCGTTTGGACCTCTGTTCTGTCCTAAACTGCTACTCCTCCCTGACCCTCCCCATTAAGGAGGGCACGGAGTTGCTGTTTACATGGTGAGCCCAACGAGAGAGTGAGTACAGGGTAGCTTGATTTTCATACCTAAGAAGAAAGGTCTCACCCATGGGCCTTACTGCCAAGGGGTATAATATGCTGTTCGCGCAACCCGTCATCTGTAGCAACCAGGAGAGTCAGAAGGCGACGGGGTATCTAATTCGATGCGGGGGTCCATAGTAATTGCTGCTTCGCAAACTTCCCGGGGTTCGAGGCGTTGAGTAGCGCGTAGTATTGGTGGCATGAAGAGAGGCGGGATGTGAGTATGAAGAAAAATCGGACGATTAACGATTGCTCAACCACTGGTACCTACCTAACTAGGTATCTACCTGCTGGTTACGAAAGCAGCAGTATCGTATGATTCCATGTCCAGAAATGGACGCTGACCCACAAGTTCTCGGGTGATCGACGGGATCGACCGGGATCTCCGTCAGGTAGCAGAGGAGGAGCCAATCATTTCTGCACCGGGGATTTCACCCGCAGCACTCGATAACATGCGCTCTCTCCAAGAGGAATTTGAAGCCCTGACGCCCAAAAAATTCACTCCCAAGAATGGGGAGTTATCGCAGCACCGTGAAGGAATCGTTCTCCTGGAGACAGACCTTGCAACTTCACCACCAGTCTCCAGATGAGAAGAGGGAGTGGGGAATTGAAGCTGTCCAGTTAATCACTCATACCACCCCCTCTCATTCAACTCGGAGACATAATCCCTCATTTCCGCATGGGGCAGCGGTGAATAGGGAATACGACAGTAGATACTGTTAGTTGCGAAATCTCTCAAAAGGAAGGCCCTCCCCCGCCGCCGTTAAGATCTCTAAGTTCACTTTACTACCTTCTATCGGAAGAGCAACAGTAAGTAAGAATCTATCCCTCATATCGCTAACACTAGCTAATTCACAAATAGCCAAAAAATGGTCAACAGTGCAAATATACTTTAACTATAATTTTTATGTCGCTTATACGTATAGCACTCTTGTTAAGATCTCCAGGTTCACTCTTAAGTTCTGACGGAAGTAAGTAAGAATCTATCCCTTATATCACTACCACTAGCTAACACAAAAATAGAAAACAAACATGGCGAACACAGTAAGTATACTTTTATCTATAATTTATACAATGCTTATAAGTATAGCACACTTGCTGGTTCTGCAGGGCCAGGGGCCACATGTACCGCCAGTGCCCCCTCCGGCTTCTCGAGGGCAGTGTTAGTATATAGATTACATACCTATATCTTGTGTTATAATTATGCTAACTAAGACTAGGAGGTGATTATAGAAATCTTGAATCCTTTTCCACTGGCATTAAGAATAACATTGGGATTAATAGAATGTGAGGCGCCACCAGGAGACGAACCGGGCGCGTGGCCGGGGAAGTCGAGCTGCGACCGGTGCAGAGCCCGCCGCCCCTGCTGTCTGCTCCGCCGCCGCTGCTGCCCCCGCCCCGCTACCTCTGTTGGCCCTGCGCCCCCCATTGGCTCCGCTAGCCATGCTGCGCCTGCTGCCCCCGATGGCCCCGATATCTCTATCCCAGAGAGAAGAGCTCAATAACTATGATTTTATGAGTGAGAGTGAATAATTAAGATAATATGATATATTCGGGAACCTGCTGTAAACGCATGATTGCAGATCACCTGGCGTTTGCTTTGTGCGCCGACAAAAAGCAGAATAGGTCAACGGCGAGCCTCGTTGAAGCTTGACTGACTGCTTGAAGAACTGGAGGGTACCGAAATCTATCAACAATTCATGCCTAATCTTGAATTCCTGCTGCCTGGAGCACTTTGTCTACTACCATTCCTGAGCATTTCCGGTTCCCGATTCCGGTTTTAATCATGTATTAGGAGAAATAAGTGGCTTTACGTTGTTTAATCTATATCCTTTATATAAGGCAATAGTAGTACCTTATTAGAATTCTATAGTATCTATTTGCTCCGCATGAATATTCTGTCTGCTCCCCTTCCACTAGAGAGTCTCTAAACTAACTCAGGCGTCCCCCTTGCCTATTCTATAACACCCTGAAATTTGAGTTCTAAGAGCAACCCTATATATCAAGAAGCCTAGCAATATCCAGCATTACCACTAATATGCCATAGCCCAGCATCATCTAATAGACAAAGTACGCACAGATGATCCGACAAGGTTACAAGTTAAATAGCGAATAAAGAGTGCTATTGCAGGATATCTCTCCTCCTCAAAATTTACTAGTGGTGAATATTGCAATATCAATTTCTGTCCATCATGATGAGCCTGAAGAATTCTTCCCTTTTTGCCTAGATGGGAAAAGACAAGCACCTGAAATCAAATCAGTCGAAAAGAAAAACCCGTTGAATTTCGTTGGATAAACAAACTTACCGGCATAGTATCATAGCCTGGATACCACTTCAGATGAAAGCGACATTTGAACAATGCAACGACAGAACGCACCTCACCTCTAGTAAGGCTTGTATCATTTCCTTCGTGATCATGAACCAGATACAATATCCGATGGGGAGAGCTCTTGGAAATTCTGCATTGATCGACTCTCCAACCTCCACCTTTGACTTTAAAGTCCCAGAAAAGGCAGCCTCCGTCCCTTTTTTGTGGGTTTCGATCAAGTTAGCTCGATGCCTTATAAATTCAAATGGAGAGATGATGAATACGTACCCATGCTTCATTGCTTCAATATTCCAGAACGATCCGATCTTATCATCATCGTCTTCGTTATCGTCTTCTTCTTCATCTTCATCGTCATCTTGTTCTTCTTCCATTTCTTCATCATCATCTTCTTCTTCTTCGTCTTCTTCATCATCTTCTTCATCATCATCAAACCCACCAATCCCATCACGGCTTGCATTCAAGTGCAAGGAAACACTTCGCAAATACATAAACGAGTAATTCACAGCGACCATACAATTGCCGATATCAGACCAATCCGAACAATCTGAACTTGAATCGCTAAGAATCTCACCACGTAATTTTTTCTCCTCCTCTAACACGCCTTCATTGTTCCGCTTATTCTCAACGATAGGATAGTCAGAAAGTAAAGTTGACGGTAATCGAGGCAAAAAGAAGCATGGTTCAAATGCAAGAGTGTCCTGTTCGGTAAATCCGACTCGCACGGGACATATTCCTAATTCACGAAGTGTGTCGATTTCAAAATTGGGAGTGTTGAGATCTTCGAGGTTTGCAGATAATCGAGAAGTATCTTTGAGGACATCTTGGATTCGAGTGTCTATGTTCTCTTTTTCAAGCATGTTTGTAATGGAAGAGGGCGAGTTGGTAAGTTCTCTGGCTTGCAGTGATGTGTAGAATGGAATCGATGTTGGAGGTGATGGGGAGGAAACGGTTGGATTTCAAGAAAATCCAGTGAACTCGTCTATCCTATATACATAGATACATTAAGCTATTATTATGCGGAGAGTAACCAAAAGAGGAGAAAGAGCGTGGTGTACGAATCAATCTGGAGTAATAATTAGTCATTAATTAGCTACCTCGTTCGGTTCGGCCCTTCCGGAACTGGCGACCAACAGGATGACGGCCGAACGTCAGCTAGACTAGAAAACCACGGTTCGAATCAGGCCACCAGGGAAGTGAGAGTAAACACAGCGTTTGGAGAGATGACTGTTCCGGATGTTTATCGTGGCTTTTGCTGTCATATACTACGATGTGGGGAGGCTGGATGGCTATCCAGATCAGATGATGAGTCGATTGCCTGATAGCCAAGTTTCTCATACCGCGATGCTCAGTATGGTGGTTTATTTATTATCTGCTTCGAGCGCTGATTCTGTCTTGCTTCTGAAGTATTCATTTCATTCAATTAGGCTTTCTTTGAAGATAGGAATCGTATTTCCTTATTTGGTGTTTTAGCATTCATTGTTTCAAGAGACTGTTGTTCGAAAGCGAGACATTTCCGATCCGCACAGCTGAGAAAGACTGGCTTCCAGAGAAGTATGTCGTGGCAACGCCCCGTCCAACATATTGATCGAAAAGACCTCTACACGAACCTCGAGGCACGTATACAGTATCTACACACCTTCCTGGACTTTAGCTCAAGTATGCGTCTCCAAGCTCTATACCTCTAATGTCAGTGCGGGATGTGTATTCTAATATTTCCCCCAAAAAATAACAGATGACATCGAAGCCCTCATTTCTGGATCCAAATACATCAAGGCCTTGATCCCTGCTGTCGTCAATATCGTCTACCACAAGCTGTTGCAGTATGATATTACGGCAAGAGCGTTCCAGACCCGGAGTACGAGCTTTGAGGGGCCCTTGGATGAATTCCCGGATGAAAACAGCCCGCAGATTCTCCATCGGAAGATGTTCCTTAGGGGGTATCTGAACCGTCTGTGTTCGGATCCGAGTAAGTTGGAATTTTGGGAGTATTTGGATAAGGTTGGGTGAGTGGCTGCGCGAGGGATTTAATTATATTGCAGAATCACGAGCACTTCGAGTTTGCTAACACTCACTTTCAAACTAGAATGATGCACGTCGGCCGTGGTCGAGAACACCCGCTTCATATCGAATACGTACATATCGGCGCCTGCCTCTCCTTCATCCAAGATGTCCTGACGGAAGCCCTCCTATCGCATCCACGACTCCCGCTTCAGCGCAAGATCGCCCTCGTGAAGGCCATTGGAAAGGTGATTTGGATTCAGAATGACCTGTTCGCAAAATGGTACGTGAAGGACGGTGAAGAGTTCGCAGACGAGACTGCCCAAATTATTATCGAGAGAGAAGGTTACTTGCACGGGAAGAAGGTTATCGCGGGAGAGGGGAGTGGGAGTGAAAGCGAGAGTGACAAGGAGAAGAAGGGAAACGCCTCATCCCCGAAGTCACCAACGTCAAGGATTCCAGTCTCGCCCAAGATACCCGTTTCGCCATCTTCATCGGGGTCGTGTCCATTCCAGGGAATGGCCAAGGGTGTAGCCGAGATGAAGGTGCAGGATGGTCGGGATGCCGATGCACAGCAGGATGAGAAAGTGATTACTCCACCGAGGTCCCCGACACGGACGAATGCAAAGACAGAAAAGTCGTGATGGCGAATTTGCAGACAATTTCTGTCAATTGTCAAAGCTAGACAGAATGGTAGTGTACCTACTATACAAGTATGAACAGACCTTTGAGCTCGCAAACCCTCTGAACCGAAAACCGTATCTCCAGATTACGATGAGACGAAACGTTCACGGTGCAGTGTTCTGTAAAGCGGTCCTAGGATTCCCTATCATTGTTCTCGACCCATCCTCGAGCCGGCAGTAATCGACGGTACTTGTTAAGGCCCGTGGGGCTACATTGTACTAGCAGTCTGTCAGGACTCAGAACTTAGAAGAGCTCTACTCCGTACGAAGCTCGATGAAGAAAAACGTGATGTTCCAGAACATCAGCTGGAATGTGACTGAACCAAAGAGTTTCTTCTCCCACCCACTAGTATCCCGGTGCCCAACAGCTCCAGTGCGGAACTAACTACTCTATCTATTATGTATTCCTATGGGTCCTCAAAGCATCCACGATTCCGAGAGAATTGGCCACGTGGAACGGCACGAGGGCATTAGACATCCGCAGTGACATACTCGACAGATCGAAAGTCAGCCGGAATGGGAAAATCATTGGCCACTTCATACATAGTTAGTTAGTAGTACTCAAGTACAGAGTGATGGGTCCGGGTAGATATGTTCCAAAGAAAAGAATGTTCTGAGGGGAATCGTGAACGGGAGAGGTTTTCGGGGCCCGTTCTCGAGCCGCGGGTCTTCTTTTCTTTCCGTTCTCAGAAGAGTAGTACCTAGACTATCTACCGTAGATATGCCCCGGTTTATCCTGAGGACCTTCGCCGGGGAATCATCGAGAAGATAAATGAATGCCCGCACTAGTTATCTACAGCGAGATCGGAACATTGAACGCGAGGACCAAAAAGCGCCACGTGAGGACGATCAGCGTTCTAGTCTAGGGAATAATGATGAACCACTGTAATTATCGTAGCCAGCAGTCATAGTTAAGGTAGTTAATTAATTAATTCTTTCTCCATGAGTGAGACTGACAGAAAGATGATGAATCTTTATCCGCCACTGGATCGCAGCGGCCTTAAGCAGGGAACCAAGACCGTTTAACTCCGGGTTCTGGATAAGGTCAAATTGTCAATGGACAATTAAGTTAACTACTGTAACTAGTCAATTAAATTAGAGTAACTGAGTAAGCGGATAAGAGTCTCCATTAGTTATTATTATTTGCTCGGGAATTCCGCTGTTCTTCCTCGGGATATTATGGTAACTTCTGGTACGTCCGTAAAAACCAGGTCGATCAGACGGGAAGTCCGAGTCGGAGATTATTATTATTATATGTCTATCTATCTTGGAGTGATATTCCAGATACTCCCAATATCGATGCGAACATGAGCGTCTAGGTGTCGCATGAGTATGTACGGTGATAGTCCTCATCGTTCGGTATTCTCCCACGATTGCGATACCGAGGAATCGTGCGTAGTCCGTATTTCCGCTGCTGCACGCGCCGTCCGTGCAGCAAAATCGACACTATCTAGACTAGCCAGGCTAAACGGTGCATGCATGGACCTCTCGAGATATCTAGTCCACCGTTCAGGATTTGAAGATCGCAGCGACTCCTCGCGCCATTGGTTTCTGCGGGAGCAGAACAGCAGACGGGGAGAGAGACCGGCAATTAAATAATAGCTGATCCCCTTCGGCGAGTCAGGCCTGCAAAAGGTCCCTTGCAGCAACGAAGGCGATACGGATCGTCCAGCAGCATGGATTGGATTCCCCTGTACTGTACCATACAGCTGTAAGCATACTCCCGACCATAGACAGCTCAGAAACGCTCCTCGGATCACCAAGATACATACATACATGGGGGAAATAATAATGGACGGGCGAGAACTGACAGACGGTTTTCTCTCCACCACCGAGTGGAGCCGGATGGGGAAGTTTTCTGGCGATTATCATTTGGGAGAAAGATCTGTCGAAACCTTCGGGCTAACCCCGCCGCCACTGCCAAAAGTTCGCCTGGCCAGCATACAAAACCCCAGGAGAGCTATCTCCCCCTAGCCAGGAGATCCTCGACGGCGCTCTCGCACTCAAGAACGGCAGGGCGCGCACATCGCTGGGAGTTGTCGCATACTTCCTTCTATCATACACCTTCGCCCTTCCGAGTTTAGAATTCCTTACCGACGGACGCTCACCATGGCCGCCCCCGCAGTTGTTCCCTTCATCATCAACGGTCAGGACGTCGAGACCGAGACCAAATTCGATGTGACCAGCCCTGTCAACGGCAAGGTGATCCATCGCGCCAGCGCCGCCTCTGTCGACGATGCCAAACGCGCGGCGGACGCGGCGCAGGCTGCGTACCCCGCGTGGAAGAAGATGAAGCCGTCGGATCGCCGTGATATCCTGTTGAGAGCGGCCGATATCATGCAGGCTCGTCAGGAGGAATTGATCCGGATCCAGCTGGAGGAGACGGGTGCGAGCAGGATATTCGCGCAGATGACCTCGATGTTTGGCTTTACTCTGATCCGCGACTTTGCCGGCAGGATCTCGTCGGTGGAAGGTCGAGTGCCCGTCGTGGAGGAAGAGGGACAGAGCGCCATCGTCTACAAGGAGCCTTATGGTGTGATTCTGGGAATTGCCCCTTGGTAAGGGATATACCATACCCGGTCGCCTACGGAAACGATTCGGCAATTGATACTGACAACACTTCTGCACCTTTCCAGGAACGCTCCTTTTATCTTGGGAACTCGAGCTGTCGCGATTCCCCTGGCCGCTGGTAACACCGTCGTTCTCAAGGGCTCAGAGTTGGCACCCAAGTGCTTCTGGGCTATTGGCGACATCTTCCGGGAAGCTGGTCTCCCCGCTGGATGTCTCAATGTCGTCTACCACCAGGCTTCGGACGCTCCAGCCGTCACGGAAGCCTTGATCGCCCACCCCGCGGTGAGGAAGATCAACTTCACTGGAAGCACCCCGGTCGGATCAATTATCGGATCGCTTGCGGGAAAGTACATCAAGCCGGTGCTGCTCGAACTGGGTGGCAAGGCCGGTGCGCTTGTCTTGGATGACGCTGATCTGAACAAGGCTGCTATGGGCTGCACGATGGGTGCCTTCATTCATGTAAGTAGATTGCGATCGGCGATTGCAGGTCAGTGAGACTTTCTGCTAACACATCACAGGCTGGCCAAGTGTGCATGTCAACAGAGCGCATCATCGTCCAGCGCAGCATCCTGGACAAGTTCCGCCAAGTCCTAACGGAGACGGCCGAGAAGGTGTTCGGGAAGGACGCGCCGGCACCGATGTTGGTGAACAGTATCCCGGTCGAGAAGAATCGGAGGCTTATCGCCGATGCAGTCTCCAAGGGTGCAAAGGTCATCTGGGGAGACCATGAGGCCCGGGAGGCTAGCGAGGCGAGTATGCGACCGCTGATTGTCGAGAATGTCACCAAGGAGATGGACCTCTTCGCAACCGAGTCCTTTGGCCCGACCGTGTCTCTGCTGGTTGTAGACACTGATGAGGAGGCGATTGAATTGGCCAATGCCACCGACTATGGCCTGACTGCCTCCGTCTACACGGAGAATCTGGCCCGCGGCTTGAAGATTGCAAAGCAGATCGAGTCTGGGTAAGCACCGTCCTTGGTCCCATCTATGCCACCTCCCGATCGATGCAGTCGTTTGCTAACGGATCCATGCTTGCAGCGCTGTCCACATCAACTCTCCCACCATCCACGACGAGCCTGTGCTGCCTCACGGCGGAGTGAAGAGCAGTGGTTTCGGCCGGTTTGGAGGCTCCTCTGGCCTGGAGGAGTTTATGGTGACCAAGTCGGTTACCTGGATCGACTAATTGCGACGCACTGAACTATGCGTGCAGCAGAGTAGACATTGTTTTTACGAGTGATACCAGTCATGGCGAGGAACAGGGCGGACCGCAGAAGCAGTTGGTTAGCTCAGTCCGATGCTGTAGTTCGTGACATTTAACCAGTATGATATGATATGATTTGGGAGCGAGATCATCGGCATTGAATGCTATCATCATGGAGATTATTAAGTTATTATACTCTAGGTTATGAAGCACTAGGCCGTGAAGGCTGTAGTAATATCCGAGCAACCGAAACGGCCCTCTAGTTTATCTAGTGAGACCTGTTCGACTCTTGCGATCATCACAATAATAATAATAATGGCAACCTGGCCGACTGCTTCAGCCATCGGATGATCGGCGCTTCCCCCCTTTCGATCTGCTGTGGTCCCAAAATAAATCGTGCAACCCAAGACGACCAGAAGAGGCGAACACAACCGAGCTAAACGATCCAGAACTCTCGTTTGCTCGGGCTCATCTCGCTTACGGCAGTTCTGGTCATCAACGAGCTCGCGCAACCGAAGAACAAGAAGCGATGAAAAACCCTACCGGCGCGCCTGACCAGAACGAGCCAGCGCTAACCTGGGGAAATCACCCGGTCCAGCACAGATCAAGCTTAGCTGAAGGCATCTTTGCTATCGATAAATTAATTTTCGCGGGCTAAAAGGCTCGTTCCGGTGCCATACCGAGATTTGCCCCTCATCTCCACCAATTGAGGCGCTCGTGGAGTGGTGTTGCTCTTTGAGTCTTGAGAAAACATCAACGGGCGACAAACAACAGGTAGATATCCTGATAATCCTGGGCCATCTTCGCGACCTCCACGTTCTTTCAACGTTGCTCGCGGGTATGCTACATACTATGTATGTATGTAATGTACAACGGTCCTTCATGCTTTGTCCAGGCGGGGATCTACATGGCTCGCCTTTGCCTGGTAACTGATTACTAGTTTGATTAGTTGTCAGACCTTAAACACGAGGTGAACTTGGGTGCTCGCCAGCCACAGGGAGTCACATTCCCAACAATGGCCCCTCTTTTGCCTCCATCGCGAACTTTTCCTCTGTCTTGGCAACGCCCATGTCCGAAGGGTGCCTGGAATTAGATGGTTCAAGACTCTATTCTTGTTGGCTTGCGACCCATTGATTGGGCCCCTTAAGGCAGGTCCTTCATCAAGTCGCAACGCTATGCCACCGGGGCGCCAAAAGATCGTAACATGGCGCAGGGCCTGATGCTGGACCGTGGCAGAGCCGCAAGGGACGGTGGATTCAGATTGATTTCCCCTTTTGCTAATGCTGTCTGTCTCTGCACGGCCTTGGAACTAATAAAATACCAGGACCTCTCGCTCTTTATTGACCTTTTGCTCTCGCTCTGTTCTCTCTTTCGCCCCTCAGTGATAATCATCACCTATTGTGTCGCAGTCCATTTCTCACTGCAGTCATTCTTTCTTTCCCGCAAGTCGGATTCTGACTACATTCATTTTTATTTCCTTTTGACGTTTAAAACCAAGAGATAGTCCAGATACTCTGCTGTTTCAACTTTCTTTCGCTTATTACGCAGATACCCCCATTGAAACTCTTTGCCAAAACAAAAGAAAAGAAAGGAAAAGGGAAAATATCATTTCAGACAAGATGCGCTTCTTTGCCATTTCTATCCTGTCTGCCCTCGCGGCCACTGTTTCTGCTGCCACCACCCCCGACTATTCCCAGGGACCCTCTGGCAACCCTATCGCTCTTCCCGGTCTGAACGACCAGGTCCCCGTGGGTCAGCCCTACCAGATCAAATGGCAGCCAACGACTCCCGGTGATGTGTCCATCTGGCTGCTGCGCGGCCCCAGCAGCAACGTTCAGCCCATTGCTACCCTTGCCAGCAACATCCCTAACAGCGGCGAGTTCACCTGGACCCCAAGCACTTCGCTCCAGGATGATGTCACCCACTACGGTCTGATCATCATCGTCGAGGGCACCGGCCAGTACCAGTACTCGACCCAGTTTGGCATCAAGAACGACGCTGTCGCCGCAGGCACCACCTCCGCTGCGGTTGCGCCCACCTCTGCTGCCGCTGTCAAGACCACTGCTGCTCCTGTCACTTCCTCTTCCTCGTCCGTTGCTGTCGCCGTTGAGTCCACCACTGCTTCTTCCACTGAGACCACCGAGGCCACTGTAAAGACCGCTATCAAGTCCATCACCACCTCCAGCGCTCCCGCTGAGACGACCCAGACGACCGCCGCTACCCCGGCCATCCCTCCCTCCAACTCAGCGGCGGCTAGCCCCTCTACCGTTACCCAGGCCGCCAGCTCCTCCACGCCCGTGACGCCCACCACTTTCTCCAGCAGCAGCATTACCACCCCTACCAACCGCCAGTCCTCCTCCCCGACTCCCACCTACACCGGTGGAGCGGACCGCAAGACTGCCGGCTTTGGCGCCATCGCTGTCGCCGCTGGTCTGATGGCCGTTTTCGCCTTCTAAGGCTCGCTTGGATACCCCCCCCCACCACACACTTTACTATCAGTGTCTGATACAAACTTCACGCCTTTGTCTCTGATCTGCTATGCCATTGTATCTATCAAATTCCATCATTTCGTCTTCTTCTTACAAGCCCCCCTGCGTGATATCCATGAGAGAACGGTTTCCATATACATATATGATATGATACCGGGCGCTGTTGCTTAACTTCTTCTTTAGTGTCTAATCACGTGACCCGATCTCTGTCTCTCTCATCCTGAGCTGGTCTTGACTCGAATGCGCGCGCGGCTCTACTGTAAATGAGCTTGATATTCTTTCTTTGTGTATTTGGCTAGAGAAATTGGATTTTTTTTTTGAATTTGAAATTCATTTTACTTCATCAGCATTGACATCGATATCTTCTTCCTCAATGAATGGATCAGGTGGCCTAAGTTTATTCGTCATGTGCTTAAGAAGTTTTAAATTAAATTAAAATACGACCTCGCGCGCGCTATGGAGCCAGGGTTAATTCCGTGTATGGGCATATTCGCTATTATCTATGTCTAGTAGTAGTAGTAGTAGTAGTCTTGGTTAGTTTGACTTGGTAACTACTGAATGAAACGTTTATTATTCATTTAGACAAAATTCAATATTAAATTCCTCACTTCCGTACCTAAAAGACTCTGAAAGACGCACGTAATTATAAATACTTAATCTTGTAAGTGATGGATAGCTTTGCGCCAGTAGTTGATTACTGCTGCTGCTACTATTATTTATTTACTGTTTATTTAACTAGAAGCAGCATTATATCACTGCGCGATGTAAGTAGAGCTGAACTTATGTGTCGAATGCTTTAGCACGGAAGCCAAGGTCTGACTTGATGAATAGCTTGCTTGCTTGCCTTTAGGTCTAGGGGGGGGATTTGATCCTATGTTTATCTTTAGTATATAAAGAATCTAGTAATCTAGTAGTAATCCAGTATAATCAGGATTCAAAGAATCTGCTGCAAACGGATGATTGACAGATCACCTGGCGTTTGCTTTGTACACCGACACTATGATTATAGGTATAGAGATATGAGTGATCCATACATATATGTTGTAGTATTCTATGAGATATCAGGATGCTTGGCAATTTGGATATGGTTATGTTATTCTCAGTTATAAAGTATGTATGTACAGGGGATACAATGCAACCAAAAGACGAAAAGAGAAGAGAAAAGAAAAGAAGACCAAGACCTAAACGCCAAAGGTGATGGGCGGTGCCAATGGGTATTATTATACAAGAAGAAAAGGAAGGAAGACCTGCTAAAAGAATGAAAGCAAAAAGCCGGTTCATACCGGTCCGACCCGACGCCTAGTACGCTGTCTAGTGTGCTGGTTGCAGTGCGTTAAGTCGTGTCCGGCTTACCGAGTGTTGGCAGCACGGTTATGCAAAAATTGAGAAAATCGTTAAGGTCGTTAGATTGGTGAGGTTGTGAAAAGGGACCATTTCTCTGTCACTGACAGTCTGGGTCACCATCCAGTTGCTGACTGAAGCTCGGGTCTGATTCGATCGACCACACTGCCTCGCATTCAGTTTTGGTACGGGAGATATAAAACACTCAGGTCGATACCACAATCAAGGCAAAATAAAAAGGTCACTGGCATCGAAGCACGATCAGTAAAGTATGGCCTCCACAATGAAAGCCCCCTGGCAGGGTTCCAGGGCGATAACAGTTGACACCAATAGGTCGAACTGGAACGAATGCTGAAACAAAAATGAATCGTGCGGTCCGCTATGCAAAGGTTCAGTTGCGGGGAAATTCGTGCACGGGAAGATTAGGCGTCCATACATCATCTCCAACGAACGCGGTCGACCCGCTCATTTCAGAACGCCCAGTCCTCTCAACGTGACTTGAGTAGGAACATCGAGATCGCGGTAGGTCCGCAGATCTAGGCGACGAGCCCTTCCCTTCTGACCTACTCGAATCCTGGAAAATCACCGCAGATTGGACTCGCGGGCCCTCCTCTAAAAGACTTCCAGGACCATTCTTGATAGCCAACCCAATAGCAATCACAATGGCAAAGGAAAACTTTGCCCAGAGGCTTAATGATCGGCCGAATGATGATTGCTTGGTCAATTGACCTTTATCGGGAGATTCGTCTCCGTCGTCTCGTGCCCTGGAGACGTCGCACCAGGCTGATCCTGACAAACGGTTGCACGTTTCTGATAGGAGTGCGGTATCCGCGTCTGGCTGCTGATCTGCAGTATGGGAAGCATGTGGTACCTGGAACGTGGCCATTGAGTAACGATGCCAGTCGTAATTGTCCGCCTCAGTCGTCGAAGGCTCCCTGCACCACTCGTCTCGAACCTGTGGTCCAAAGAAAAGGCCCAGTACCCACCAGGATAACTTCCCGAACCGCTTCCAATTGCTATGCCATGCATTCGCAATGATCCTTCGAGCTAGTTCGGTAGGGTGTCGTTGGACTTCCTTTAACCAGGACGAGTACTTCGTGAGAATGTCCACAGCTTCCCCACAGATAGCTCCCGATACAGGCGAGCAACCATTTGGCGTCAGTTGGTTACCTTTTCCCTGTGGTGTCCTGTCTATGCCAAAGCGCTGCCTTTTATGCCTTCTCAAAGAACCCTTGGAAGGAGTCTGCATATAGTCTTCGCCAATCTCGTGCGCCAAAATATTCTGCTGTTGAAACCGGATATGACTGGTTTCGGGCAAACTATATGCACCGAGAGACAGGCCCGGTTGGGGTGAAGTCTCGAACTCCTCATGACCGTCTTCCTCCAGAATAGTCTCATTGGGAAATGGGCCTGATAAGGGTCTAGGGGAGCGCGATCCCTGTTCTCTCCGCTGGGTTTGTGATATGTGGAGCCTCCGTCTTCTCTGTCTCCCTGAAACAGCTTCCTCGAATGATTCATAGTAGCGCGTCCGTCCCTCTAGCGCATCAAGAGAGTTCTGCTGAGCTCCATCGGACGTGCTCTTGTCATCCCAGGCATCATATTCATGTTCGTCCAGAAACCCTCTTGTCGGTGACAAATACTGCGAGTCTCGCTGTGAAAATGAAAGACGATCAAAGGGGGCAGACGACGGATAGTCAGACATGGTCCCAGTGGCTGATGCTAGGATTAATGGCTTCAGGTTGCAGGTACCAGAAGGGAACCGGCGCATGCTTTTATGACGGCTCTGTCTTTTTCCCTGGATGTCGGGGGTAAAGGGGAAAGGCAAACCCCAGCCTGACGTAGAAGAGAATTGCGATAGCGTAGAATTGCGTTGAGACTTGAGCATTGATGATAGCAGAGTGGAGTCTGCGGAGAGGCCGTCCGTCAGCATGGAGTCGGGGCGTGTGCTTGGCGAGCTCGTGTCCGCTGTAACCTGCTCATAGTTCATGTTCTCTGCGGCCTCAACTGAAAGACATGGTACGTCGTCAGAGGTACTCAGGTCAATGGTGAGTGGCTGAAAACTTTCATCGTGCCGCGCTCTGGGCGAGCAAGGAATGCAAGGCATCATTGACCTTGGCCGACGTCGAGGAGTTCCATTCTTGATGGGCGACTGTGCATCCATCCGAGTTGGACTTCGTGCAGCATCTGTCCTAGTCGGGGAGACTGCCAGGAGTTCTGTTAACACATCAACTCTCCTCTCGAGACTGCGATTAGTCAAACTGAGTGCCGCTGAGTCGCGCAATTTCTGCGCTTGTATCTCATTCTCATATGTCAGCTCTTGTATCCTGCGCTGATCCGCTTCGATCTTCTCTTGTAGCGCCGAGATCTTTGCTTTTAATTTGGATTCCGTCTCCAATCTTGACCCAGCCTCTTCCCTGACTCGTGATTCGAACTTGTCCTGCCAGTCAGCGAGCTCCTGCTTGAGAGCCCTGATCTCCGCATTGAGAGCCCTGAGTTTCGTGAGCTGCGGCTTGATAGGGGAAGTCTGCCTCGAGTCCAGCTCGGTCTGGGACGCAGCCAGCTGTGCCTCCAGATGCTCGATGTACTTAGTAGTCTCATAGTCCGCCTGTTGCCGCCTGGGACTTCTCCTTTTCCGTCTGATGACGCCAGCACTGTGCCCCAACGGGGAATTGCCAGAGAGAGAATATTCTCTGCTCTTCATGGCACTATCGAATTCACTGTCGTCCGACCCATCGAAGGATATTGGGGGATCTAGTCTGGGGACTGACTTCTTTAGCGAAGGGGACGATAATGAGCCAGGGCTGTATTGTTGAGGAGAGGGGTCTGCGAATAGTGCTGTAATCGACGGACGTGGTGAGATATGACGACGGCGGGAGCTAGAATTGTTGATCTCTTGCAGTATATTCGATCTCCTCCTCAATGAACTCTCGCGCGAACTGTCGTCATGGGTGGGCCAACTCAGAATGTTTTCTTTGTCTGTCTCTGGCTCAGAACCCCCAGACAATGACCTCCATGTCGTGGTGAGATGATCCGATATCTTTCGACTGGGTATCTGAGCGGCGCGGAAACCCGCGTTCCGAAGCTGCAACCGCCGGTTCTGGAAGCTAAACGGCTTGGAGGGCTGAGTAGGCGACGATGACGGAGGGGAATGCGTCGATAGTGGCGGTGGTGGTGGTGAATAGAGCGAGTAGCCGCGGGAGGATCGACGCAGTTGACAGCTCTCGTGGTGGTTGTTTGGTGGTGAAGTAAAAACGGTATTCGAGGAGACATAGTCCATCCTGGGAAGAATTCCTCCCTCTTTTGCATACCGCGACTCGACCACGTTAATTCCCCTTTCCCAAAGCCAATAATTGGCCAATGCTTTTTTTCGATGCTTGAGCGCTTGCGGTCTAGATGAAAAGTAGCATTCCGTGGACCGAGGAATGAAAACAGGCCCGGTAGTTTCGGAGTATCCACGATGGGGGTCCCGTGGAAATTGGATTGCTTGGACCAAGGGGGGAGGGGTGACCCAGAATAGAATCAGTAATTGCGCTAGAGTTGAATTGACCGGCGATTTGCAGTTGATAAAACCACAGTCGAAGATCACGGAGCAAAGACACCAAGTCGGAATAATAGTGTTGCAGGGAAGCTGGTCAGGTCATAAAGTGATAAGGAACCCCTCTTCTTCTTGTTGTTGTTTGTTGTTTTTGGTTTGTTTCCCTGCCAGCATCCGTTGCCGCCCTCACATACTCTAGAGTCTAGAGTAGTCCCCGACGGGGGCCCATCCAAAGTGAATTGCTTACTTTGGGATAGTCTCTCGATCCTCCGCTATTATCGTTATTGTGGGCTAATACCGTTTGAAAAGATCCACCGGTGGATTCGGATGTTGACTGGAGATGGAGATGGTCGAATAATGCTGAATGAAGGCTTGACTGACTGAAATCGCATCGATGATCGTTGTTGTGTTCTCCCTGGGTGGATCTGCCGGGTGCCTGGCACGTGATGACCTCCCTGGCTGGCGATCCCTGGTTGACGTGCAGCTGTTAGATTAGAGTAAGAATACGGAGTATCTAAGTAGATAAGTAACTAACTAACTAACATATAGTTACCATAGTACGATTCTACGCTACAGTGGATAGATCATGCTGCAGAAAGCCGGACTCGCTGGACATGATCTATCTGGCGTGTTTACACCTCATAAATTATATTTACCTTCCCGAGAGTCCCTTCTGAGACATACACATAGATGGTCAGTCCATTGTCCCACCGTAGTCACTGTTGTCATCAATTCTTCTTCCCGCGTCTTCCTCATAGCGCATTATTACCCCTTCCCTTCTCGGTTTAGGGTGCCCCGACGCTTCCGCCTATCCCGGACTGGTGAATTAAACGAGGCCGTTTTGAAGATCTAATCTAATTCGAGTAGGAGTAAATTCCATGTAATGTAATTCCATCTGATGATGGCTGAAACCCCTGAAATACAACTATTGGTAGTCCCATATACGCACGTGGGATTGCTCTAGTTTTAAGCTCATGTGAGACTACGGGTAACCGAGAATAGACCGGGCACGCAGAAGAGACCAGGTCAATCATCAATCATCAATAATAATCATATATTTCCTGTCGATCGGGTATATCTTCTATATGCATCCTATCGCCTGTATGTATCTAGCCGGAATTTTCACCTTTCCAGGCGTCTTCGTATCAAATATCGTCATTAGTTCTTGCGGGTCGAAGCGAGAGAGTCACAGTGGTCTGAAAGGGCCTGCCGTCCGGAAGCTTCGGACCTCGTCCTCGATGGCAGCATAAAGTGCGCGGTCCCCCGGTGTCAAGTTGGCAGCGTACAGGACCGATGATGGTGACGCTCCGATCAGCGGCTTTAGATCAGCCTGACACACCGTACCCGGAGCTGGGAGTTCCCCTGTTTGAAAGTAGGTGCGGACGGCTTTGGCAACGCAAAAAGAGGGAGCTGCCAGGGTGGTATGCTGAAGATATCGATCGTCAGTTATCATATGTTGGCTCCATGTTTGTCTAACAGGAAGAGAGGCAGCATAGCAGAAGGTTGTCCAGGGGTTCACTTACGCCTTCGGAGTCTTGTTGCAGGACGACAGAGCCAGGAAATTTCAACGACATCTTCTGGGCACTGGTGGTATACGTCAGTTGGGATGCTCACAAGATCAGATCTACCTTGCACAGTTTCATAGGACTGACCTGCGGAGAGGGGTGACGGGGTCCAGAGTGTTCCCGATCCAGAGCAGAGGGTACGAGGTGTTTGCGCCGAAAGGACCTATCGTCATTGTCAGAAAGGATAGATACCAGGATACGTCTTATTCCCGTCAGAACTCACCGGTGAATTTCCACTTGGCCTTGGCCTTCCACCCAACACAGTCTAAACGGGCATGAGCCCAGTAGTCACCAAGGGTTTCGCTGGTTGCTTTAAGAGACTCCCAGTAGTCCTTGAATCCCTGCCTATCAACGTTTCCCAGGTTTTCTGCATCCGTACATAGGATTGCTGCTGTTGCGTAGTTTTCATTTCCTCCTGGGACACTGCATTCTCGAGACCACGGTCCGGCAAGGAGACATTCATCCGACAAGCAAGATGGTTCTCGAGAACCTTGTTTGAAACCAACGAAATTGGTGCCATTTCCCTGTTTCAGCTCTGCGAGAAATTCTGCAAACAATGGGAACACTATCAATGGCTGGTACATGGCGATTCGTGTCAACACCTTTACATCAGTCCACGTGATGACCTCTGGGCCATGTGAGAGTGAAGCGGGAACAGCAAAGGGTTCATCGTAAATGCGAGAAAGAAGTTCTCTGTAAGCCTTCTTGATGGCGTCCGGTCCGCCGGGGTGATGGAAAGGGCAGCCTTCAGAGCCAACAGTGTGACAGTACTCCGCGAAACGTTCGAAGATTGCGTCGGAATCAGCCAGCACGCTGGGACTGGAAGTGAGATAGTAAGCATCAAGGTCGACCACTCCATCCAGAACCACGCGTTCTACCCTGTCTGGATACAGGGCAGCGAATGTAGCACCTAGGACAGTGCCGTACGATCGACCCCAGTAGAGAAGCTTTTCCTTGCCCTTGTTCCATCTAGTCCTTTCCACAAATGCCTGGGAATTATCGTAGCCGTGCTGCATATCTTGTGCCGCTTGGGCAGCCTTTCCCTGGCGTTCTCTCCACTGCCCATGACGTTCGACAATCTCAAGCATATCCGCAGTCACCTGTGGCGTATTGACATGTTCCCCCAGTGCTTCTTCTCCATTGATGCTAGTGGCTATGACCTGCGAACAGCTCTCTGCGAGAGCCATCGATCGTTGCCAGTTGCGTATGAGAGAACCCGGTCCGCTTCCCAGCATCCCTTCAGCCTCCGCTTGCAACTCCCAGTTTCGTCTAGAGAATGTATCTGGGAAGCAAGTAAACCCAGGCGTGGTATTGTTGACGCCGCGTGGATCAAACCCTATAATATCATAATACTTCGGAAGGTCGGACAGTGATCCATCGAACTCAGACGCAGGATCTGCATCCGCATCCGCAATGGTCTGCAGGTTCCTACCTGAAATAAGGAGCTGGGCCACTCCGGAGCCTCCAGGACCACCTGTTGGAAGGTATTAGCACATGTGCATAACTAAAACTATGATCTGTCAGAATATACCCGGGTTAATCAGAATCGCGCCACCATATCGAGGATCTGTGACGGGAACTTTTGCAGGAAGCCTGGCGACGGCCACAGCCATCTTGCGACCTTTTCCGTCAGTATGCCGGTGGTCCATGGGGACCTCAAGGCGCGCGCACTGGAAGCCATCGAAGCAGTCATGATACTCAAGCTCCGGAGACGGCGAGATCTATCTATGTGAGCGAGTGCCTCGGAATTTATGAGCAGTTGATAACACGGTACCTGTCGCCATTGGAACCCAGCTTCTTTGTGTAGTTCAATAGACTCCCAAGGTCGACCGCTGCTCCCAGGGAATAATTGCAGTGGCTGTCTGTAGGAAAGAAATAGGACAGAGCCCAAGGCGATCAAACCACAAACTACCCTCCGCCCTACATTGTGTTGTTTGCGCGCTGTGGTATTCTGCCATTGAGGAGGATACCGTTCCTTTGGAGCAAGCTTGGTCATGGTCTTAGGTATCAGCAGGTCGATGTTCACTTCTACCTTGTGCATCTACGTGAGATAATGAGTAAGAAGACTCCGAGGACCCCGTAATCTCTCACACATCAAAGCAAAGAGAGTGAGTAAAGGCGCCGGCAGCACAAGGACCAGGGCCAGGGTCCGTCGAGCTTATCATAGAGAAGGGATATGTCAGACAGTGATAGACGGGGAATGCTATGGGATGTACTTTGAGAGACGAGCGTAGCGTGTGGGGGAAGTGAGTGTGACCGCCCACGTCGCGACGCCGAAAGGTGAAGCCAAGAACTACTTAAGTACTCTAAGATAAGCCCAGATAAGTTCGCGATGGACCACTCAGAATCCTCAATGCTCCGCAAGGGATATCGGGAGGTTCCGCTCGCGTCGCTCTATATTAACCAGATGGCGCAGCTGAATGTTTTGAAGAGCCAGTTCCGAACTTGTCCGCTCTCGACTGTATGGTAGCTAGTAGTTACTTAGATTGTTGGCTTGAGATCGCCGGGTCAAGCCGTGGGATCCCGTGGGGTAAATTATTACGCCGTAGATAGACCAAGGACTGAATACGAGACTTGATTTTCAACGATCACAATGAGAGACCATGGACTCGGTCTGGTACTAAATAAATCAAGACATGACTACTTTAGCACGTATGAATATTGAAGAAATAGATGTATTCTTGAATGTACATTACATATGATTTTCTTTCTGAATTCCTCAGGTGGAGTTCCTTGTCGACCCCGCTTAAGTAGCGGAACAACAATCTCTTAATCCAGAGATATGGTAGATATGGTAAAACTCCAATTTACAACGTCCCAACTTATTACCTAGACAATTGTTTTTTTTTTTTTTTTTCTTTTCTTTTTTCAGAGACTCTCACCATGTAGTCCTAATCATCCTTCACAGCCATAATACCGAGCACAGACATGCCCAAGTCAGGGGTAGGCAACTTGCCCTCACCGACGATGACAATGTCGAACCTCCTCAGCACTATGGACAACAATATGAGCGTGGCGCGCTTAGCTATGGCGGCCGCTGCACATCGTCTTGCCGCCGCCGAGGGGCCGCCAGAGCTTCTCAGCGTTTGCACCGGCAAAACGCTCGGGGTTAAATGAACAGACATTGGGGCCGTAGATGGTCCTATCGAAATGGAGTAGTCGGTACGGAATCACTACGGTATTCAATCAGTAGTTCGTAATTGAGCACTATACGTGAGTTTAATCGCTTACTGATACGGTTGCCTTTGCGAAGAATCTTGTTTCCTATGATAGTGTCCTTATTTACGAGACGAACAGAGGTAGCGTTAGAGGCCATCCGCAGAGTCTCGAACCAGAGACTCTTCAGCAGCGGACAATTCTTGTGAATGTGGCCAAGATCGACGAGTCTATCTCCATTAAATGCAGCGGTCGTCTCTTTCCTGAGCGGTTCGATATAGGACGGGTTGCGGTATGTCAGCATCCAGAAAGCGGTTTTGCGCGTATTTGTGTTAATACTGCACGCAATTAAAGTCATTCAGTGATATAACCAAGGAGGAACCTACGCTCAGTGGAGGGTGACCAGGATTGTGGCGATGTCGTTGGTACAGACAACGGGTTCTCTGACTCTGGGGAACCTCAAAATATTTTCTAGGAGCACGCTGGGTCTGATCTCTCTTCGCTCTCATTACCTTGGACGAAATTCTGGATACTGATAGATAGCCTACCACGAGAGGTCATCGAAGGCGATGAATGTTGGCGCTAGCGCTGGAGCAATAGTCCCGAGCACGTCACCAAAGTAAGCCAGCCCACCAGCTCGAACAAAGTACTCAGAGCACCAGCGCATGAGTGGTATATCAACGGACATGTCGTCCTAGAAGGACAGACCCAGCGCACTTGTCTTCCTCGAAATCGGTGGCGTCAGATGCTTCTGGAAGTACTCTAGAAATTGGCCCTCCAGCTGATCCGGATTTTCCCCGGGTAACGTTGATGGATGTGCATCTTTCACACGAGAGCACCTCCCAAAGACTTGCCCTGAGGGTTTGAGAAGCCCGGTTTATCGGTTGGTAGGTCCATGTAGCTATATGAGCTTGAGCAAGCGCCATACCATTGCACAAAGCACGAGGCTTCCCGTTTTCCTATTCTGCTTGTCACCCAAGTCCTGAAGTATATATTTTCACTTGAAGTGCTCGCGAATCAAGATCGGTAAGGTGCGTCTCCGCATAATACTGCAGTAGTGCTTACCGGCCATATTATATGCATAATCTGACTGTACTGTATTGAAGAGGGTAGCGGCAGAAGTTCGTGAGTTGTCTGCAGTAGTGCTTACGGGCCGTATTCTATGCATGAACTGACTATACTGTACTGAAGAAGGTAGTGGCAGAAGTTGGTAGGTTGCTTGATCTTATCAATTGTAGTCTGCTGTAGTTACTGATACTCATTTTGGGCACTATGCATATTCACACAGCTGCCATCCTTGTATTATTAGATTCTATCCTATTGGGATATGATCCTCTCATATATCCACCGAGGCCGTAGTTAGGCCGATCAATGTCAGATGCATTAATTTATTATATAATCACGGTTTGGGCGCCTGATTCAATCAGATAGCCCTTTAGGAAGTCTTGATTGTATGAAACTAGTCTCCGCCCCCACTGGAAGTCTGAACATGAGGGGTGAACCGGGGTTCTTGCTGGTCTGGTTAAATATGTTTCCTGTGTGGTTACACGAAACCGACTGCACACGATAATGAAACTAGGATTCCCCGCGGTGCTGATTGGTGGGATCCTTTTTTATGTATAGTTCTCTTACCTACATGCTTCGTACTCCCTCATGGGATGAAGCATCCCAGCTCGATGATGTGCTGTGCTCATAGTAATCACCAGGATCTAACTGCACCACTTGAAACAGTAGCGCAAGAGGAACCAGGAATAGAATCGGAAGTAAAAGCAGTGAGAGAGGATGCAACGCGACGATCGAGCTCGAAGGGACGGAAAGTTGCTCTTCATCAAGCACAGTCCCGAGATAATGTCTTCTGAAATATCAGCCTTCAGTCATTGAGCATCTCGTGTCACTTAGCTTCCCTCGTTTATTGTCTCTTGTGGAACGTCCTATCCTCTACCCATAATGTCGGGTTCGTCACCTCCTGATATTAATTCCTGCGAGGTCCCAGCACTCCAGCCTCCTCCTGGACAGGTATCGAACTTTGTCAACCCGGTCAACCTGGTGCCGCTTACATGGTCCATAAGTCTCGTCTTAACAATATTTGCAGTTAGCTTGGTGATTCTAAGGTTGTTCATGAATATGCGGAAGCTCGATGCGGCCGATTGTAAGCTACTTTTTTTCGCCAAAGAAGGGCAGAACTGACACGGAGACAGACTTTATGGCCGTGGGGGGCATGTTTTCCATCGCCTACACCGGAATTGTGATGTCTCGTATGTAATAGAAGTCCAACAAGAAAAGTCATATTGCTGTTGAGGCGCTTTTGCTTATTATTCTGCTGCTGCAGTGCATCGCTACAACCGACACCAGTGGGACGTCCCAGCCTGCTGGGTGAATGCGCGTTATCTAAGGGTAGGTCTTTTGAAGCATCTTCAAAATAAAATGACAGGCTAAACTAATACTGGTAGCTTATATGCGCTGGTGATACTGTAACCGGAGCCGTCAACTTTTTTCCCAAGTGCTCGATCCTCCTCATGTACCGTCGGCTTTTCCCCAATAAGTCGATGAGAATAGGCACTTGGATCGGTTTCGTGTCCGCGTTTTGCATCTATTTTTCGACGATCCCAGTTTTGGCTGTTTATGAGGTCCCAAGATCCGGTCATACCTGGGATCAATTTCTGAATAACCTCGTGACTTCGGAGGGTCATGCTATGTTATATTTGAGTATTGTCCAGGGATCCTGCTCAGTCGTGCTGGACTTGTATATCTTCCTTCTACCACCGCCGACGTTGTTTAAGTTAAAGTTGCCTTTGCGGAAAAGGCTTCAGCTTCTTGCACTATTCGCTACTGCTCTGCTGTGAGTTACTCGGATGAATCTGTGGATAGTGTCATGTTTGGCTAACCTGGAATGTGCAATAGGGGTGTCATAGCTAGTGCTATATCTTTAGTCTTCCGTTGTGAGCCCCTTCACAGTTCAGATAGTACCTGGAACGACGCTCAATTAGCTATTTGCATGTACGGTCCTCCTTTTGCCCCCTGCTCGAGATTCACGATTAGCTATAACTAACTCCAAATGAATTGGAAGCGTCTTCGAAACCAATGTCGCCATCGCAGTGGGCAGCATGCCCATTATTGCAAAGTTCGTGAGATCCTCCCACATTGTAGACTCATTCCGAAGGCTCCGATCAAAGCTCCTGGGCAGCTCGTGCAAAGATCGATCCTATCCGATCAGCCCGAGTGTCCCTGGGCCGTTCAATCCAAAAAACACACGCAGGAAGCCTCTACAGCTAAATCACTACGACGAGTTCACAGATACTATGTTGTTGGTGCGGACGCAGGTGACGGCTGCAGACGAGGAGAATCCTCCTGTAAGGGAGGCGATAAACACGAATAGGGAAGGTATTATTCAGACTGTAGACATTACTCAACAATCGCAGCTCAGAAATCAGTCACTCTCTCAGGAACAGCGTCCGTGATAGGGATTGGTAATTCAGAAAAATGTCTCTTACGTGATCATGAATTGGGACCGGGGTTTTCAGTACCTGTAGGATAATATTACGCGAATCGATGCATTATACATGTAAAAAACGAATAAAACAATTAAAAAAAAGATGCGAACAGATGTATAGCTTTGGTATGTAGTATGGGACTAGAAAGAGTAATTTGCAGCGTTACCATACAAAATGGGTTCCAAAATTAGTACTGTATCCAATCAGAATATAAGCACTATTTAGTTGTACGTACTCTGAAATGGTCTTAATATGAGACGCTTATGTTTAGCGGAGGCCCTCTCTATCAAATCCCCTCGCTTGTGTAGCACTGCCAGCGCCACAAATACACACGGCCAAACAGAAGTAATAGATACCTACCTTTCTGGCGGAAGAGGCAAGGCAGATTAGGAAAGTGGAATCATTAGTCATGGTCTATGTGATAACTATTGGGGGCCGCTGTATTTCCAGCTCCAAGGAGAGTCGCAATGGCATTATTAAACGCTGGATGAATTCTCTCCTCTTGACCAGCTTCTTACGCTCCCACCTACTTTCTGCACTACACCAGTCAACTCTCGAGGACAGGACTATCATGGGCTCTCCTGGGAGTCTCTGCGTAAGTAAAACAGTCATCCATTTGACTTGGGTGGCCTGAAACCCCTCACTCAACCAGCAATCCCAGAACCCTGCAGCTTATCTTCAAGGCATGTGTCTGACCAGCTCGTCCAGTGTGTTGCCCTCACAGCTCTGCTGGGCCAGCAGAAAGTTGCTGTTCCCGGAAGCCCTGCTTATACGGAATCACTGGGTTCCTACTTCTCGCAGCAGGAGGCTGCCGTACAGCCTGCGTGCATTGTTCTCCCAGAGTCAGCCTCAGACGTCTCGCAGACGGTCGTAGCTCTCCAGCATGAGCGTTGTCCCTTCGCGGTTCGCTCGTGCGGCCACACTGCCTGGGCAGGTGCAGCCAACATTGCAGACGGCGTCGTGATTGATCTCCGTCGTCTAGATGCCATCGAACTCTCCGCGGATCAGTCGACCGTCTCGGTCGGCGTTGGTGCTTCCTGGGATATGGTGTACGCCAGGCTCGACCCTCTCGGGCTGAGTGTGAACGGCGGTAGAGCCGCTGGAGTAGGTGAGTTGGTGCAGGACAGGATGCATGTTATACCCTTTAACTCTCGCTAATGAAATCCTGAAAAAGGAGTTGGTGGCCTCTGCCTGGGCGGTGGCATCTCCTACTTTTCACCGCGTTATGGCTGGACCTGCGACACGGTCACCAACTACCAGATTGTCCTCGCGGATGGCGCTATTGTCAACGCCAACACTAAGTCTAACCCCGACTTATTCCAGGCCCTGAAAGGTGGAAACAACAACTTTGGCGTCGTCACCCAGGTTGAATTGACCACCTTCGAGCAAGGGAACGTATGGGCCGCCACCGTCTACAACGACCTCAGCCTCGTCGACGAGGTCATAGCCGAGTTCGTCAAGCTCAACTCGCCCACGGCATACGACGAGTATGCCTCTCTGATCACGGCGTTCGGCTACTCCCAGGCACGGGACTTGGCGGTTATCTCCAGCAATCTCGAGTACACCAAGCCCATTGAGAATCCGCCAGTATATGAGGCCTATCTGGCTCTGCCCAGTCTGATGAGCAAGTCTGAGATCACGAACTTGACGAACCTTTCCTTCGCGACCCAGGCCCTGCAGCCAAACGGAGCAAGGTGAGTTCCCCTTTATGACTTCTCGAACAAATTGAAATGCGATCGAGGTGATGGAGAACTGACTCACAACAGATCGTTTTCCCTCGTCACCACCCTCGTCTCCTCTGCACCAGTCATCAAAGCTGCGTACGAAGCATGGAAGGCTAGTCTCCCCGCTGTTAAAGATATCCCCAATATTGTCTACGCGCTCGCACTCGAACCGCTGCCACCAATCTTCTACTCCCGGCACGCCAGCACCAACGCTCTGGGCCTAGAAGACCGGACCGCCTCGCTCATCGTCGTGCTCATTTCAGTGACCTGGTTTACATCAGAGCACGATTTACTCGTGAGCGAGACGTCGCAGTCGCTGCTGGACGAGATCAATGCTGCCGCCGCGAAACTGGGTGGCTTGGACCCCTATATCTATCTGAACTACGCGGGGCAGGACCAGGATCCTATTGCGAGTTATGGCGCAAAGAGTGTTAGTCAGTTGCAGCAGGTGAGGGCGAGGGTAGACCCGAACAAGGTCTTTACTGATCAAGTCCCTGGAGGGTATAAGATCCCTTCGTCGTAGAGTAAGTACTGTGACCAGAGAGTATTATTTGAATATATTTGTAGTACTTGAATAATAGAAGCCTATCAGTTTGATGCAGGTCATGGATTCTTCTTACCATACCTCCATACTCTTTGTATATTTAGTAAGGTTCTAAGACGGTAGGTATACACTATCTACTCCCAGTTCACAAGCATCGTCTCCTCACTCTTCAACCCCGTGTACCTCACGCTGTCCCGCCATAGCATCGACCTCTTCTTCTCATCCTTTGCTTCAGGACTAATTTCTGCCCGCTCAGACCCGTCCAGATATAGACCCTGGGGCCGTTCCCCAAGCACGGGGCTGCTATCTAGGGCTGCCGCTAGCACGTCCCCAGCGGATTTATGGGCCGTGCGTATGTCGTTGTTGCCGGTGGGATTGCGCCACGCCTGCAGGGCAGCGATGAGGGGGAAAATGACCTTGAACATGAGCACACGGATGACGAAGGGGCTGCGGCGGGCGATGTTGGTGGGGACCGTGCCTGGGTCAACGCCGAGGATGGAGACGTTGGAGAGAACGGGATCGATGGAGAGACGGCGTTGGAGTTCCCCGCTGCGTTGAGCGTTAATTGGGGAAAATAAAAAATACTTAGTGAGAGAAAGAAAGGGAAGTTTGTACATCATCATGATAGCACAGAGTTTACTGGCTCCATATCGTCGCATTCCACTCATCCACGAAGGGTCTTCTTCAAATGTACTCCAAGTCCCTTTCGCAATCGGGTCAGTGCTGTCGTGGAGGATGGTCTTCCATTTTTCGTCGTTGAATATACGAGCGTTCTCCTTGAAGGAAGTGCTAGGACTGTAAGCATGGCATACTACGGTATAAGAAGAAAGAGTCTCTCACTCATGGGCCCTGCTTCCAAGCACCACGATCCTCCCATTCTCGCGATCCATACTCTGCAGCAGCAAGAGAGTCAATAGCCAGTTGCCTAGATAGTTCACCGCAAACACGGTCGCGAAGCCATCGTCTGTGAAGCGCTGGGCGTCCATCTCGTGGTACCCAGCATTCAAGATGAGGGCGCGAATGGGCGGGATCTCGCCCGCTGTGACGCGCGCATTGATAGTAGCTGCCGCTGCGCGGACGCTGGCGAGATTCGAGAGGTCGAGGGATAGTGCTTCGTAGGCGTGCGCGGTGTTGGAGACCTGATGAGCGAGATGTGTGGATGAGGTATCGCGGACGGTGTAGATGCCATAGTATGAGGAGAGCTCGGGCGAGGCGAGGATGCGCGAGACAATAGCGCTGCCAATGCCGCCGTTGGCGCCTGTGAGGACAATAGTGCCTTTCATCCTATCGTGCTTGTGTGGAAAATTGAAGAAAAAAAGTAAGAAGAGGTATTACTCTCCAGCTGAAAATGAAGTGTTATCTGGCCACATCATACAACTGTGATCAGGCATTCTAGTGGTATAATACTAACAGTAGTTCTGTCAGCGCCAGAAAAGCTTATCCTACCTGCATGGGGAACCTATTATATCGGTAGATCATGAAGTCTAGTAGATCACTAAGATCTGTCCAATAGATTTTACTAATAAAGATAAATTGCACTATCTATATTACTTAACTTGGCCTTGAAATCAATACTAGTTAATTGGTAAACTCAATAACTGGCCGTCTGGCTAAAAATAGCATGCATCTATGGAGCCATCTACATCTCTATTAACGCCTAATGCATTCCTATTCAGGCTTACTGCATGTTGTTTTCTGTTCATACAAGTCAATGCCTGTCCCGCACTGGATCATCGTTTTAGGCGCGGTAAGTTATTACTGCTGAAAATATATACTTGCTGTGGTCAAATACAACATTGCGCGCAGGAGTCACCGCGAGGGACAAATCCCTCTCAGATACCCAGCGCCTGTGCCGTTCCTGTATATTATTGTCTACAGATCTCCCGATAAGTGCTGATATATCCCCAGCGACACTTGGAAACTCGTCTCGAGTTACCACTCAATTGCATCGATAGAGAAGGTCATTATGCAAAATAGGGGGGGGAATTATCGACACAGAGAACAGTTTAAAGTTTAGCCTTCCCTTGACTCTTCTCCCACTTTTGTACAGCCGCTTTAGCCTTCTCAGCCTGCGCCGTCTTCTGCTCTTCAACATTGTCCCTCCACTTCAGATTTGCTTGGTGGCTATCCAAGATTGCCAAACTCTCTCTGTACATCTCCTCCTTCATCGAACCCCAGATACCGGAATTGGGCTTCAAGACCAACTTGCGATCTTTAATAAACTTAAGAGTCTCCTCTAGGCCTCCCACGACATCGACAATGCCCGCCTGGAGGGCCTCAGGTCCGGGAAACCGCTTTCCTTCCAGGACAAGCGTGCGGAATGTCGTGGGTGATATCTTTTCACGGAATATGCTCATCATAGGAGCTTGCAGCGTCACACCGAATTCGATCTCGTTAAGACAGACGAAGCCGCGGGATGGGTTCTGAACACGGTAGTCGTGGAACATAGCCAACATCAGACCTCCCGCGAAGGCGTGTCCGTTTATAAGAGCAATTGTGGGCATGGGGTAGCTAATAGACATGTTAGAAATTGTCTTCCCCAGGTCTAGTCTGGCCCAGTCTTAAACAAATATAAAAGGCATGACTTGCGAATAGCTCATACCAAAGGGACAACTCACGTCAAAAGCCGCCTAAATAGCTTCCACAGGTACCCATCCAGAAAGTCCGGCTGGGACGCAATGGCCGCCAAATCCAACCCATTGCTGAAGAACTTGCCTATTCCACTCGTCGTAATGACAACCCCCTTAGGATATCGGTGTTCGATAATGTCCAACGCAAGGAGAAAAGCCTCGATGAAATCCGTCGTCAGTCGGTTATCCGGAGGAGAGACAAATGTGAGGAGGTAGATATTTTTCTCTGTCTCCCCGCCTTCCTTGGGAGATGGAGGGTTGCTGCAAACGAATGAGCCCCCGGTGGAGGTGATCGGAAGAGTGAAAAGCGTTGTCATTTTGCAGGGAGATTTCTGCTCCGCCTCGGTTGTAGTGCTCACTGTGAACCGCAGAGTCTGATGCACACGTCTCTTTTATTCAGGTTCGACGATCTTAGATCCTTCAGAAGATCAAGACTTGACCCTACTGCCCTCCCTCTCAGTCGTCTAGCTGGGATTTGTGAAACTGATTTATTTCAAGGTTGAAGGTCGAATGTCTAGTTATATGACGATAAGATACATACGGTTTGTACCTCGGTTTGATTATTCTACCTAGGCACGTGTTCATGTGAAATAGCCGAGCAACGCGCCTGTGAGATGTATCATTTGAGTGGTAATAATAAATGTCTGGTGCAATTCAACATCGAAGAGAACTGAAATAAATAATCAAAACGACCGTGCGGTTGTTGCGGCCATGGTCATAAGTATTCGAGTAGAAAGGCCCGAGGTAATCTTGGATAATCACCACGCGCTCGTACCTAGCACCTAAATGTATGTTGCATTATTCGGGCTAGTCACGAGCAACTAGGCTTAGACTCTGATCGAAGGCTGTTGCTTATTATTCGTGAATTTGAGAATCAGAACTGATCAATCACACATGGTTGAGCTTCATGCACGTAATAAACACTTTGGTCTGCAACCGAGCGGCACGCCGAAGCTTAGCCGAGATACATCAAGCTCACGGACGATTGCATTTCCTCAACGTGCTCCTGGGCAGATTCAATTCGTGAGTTAACTTTTCGAGCATATAACTGTATGTGTATGGGCATGGGCTGATTTAGGAAGATTTTAGCTGGCTGGTTCTGCGCGTCAACCGTGTAGAAGTAGTCGTACTTTTGTATATCGAAAAATGTCGGCTTCTGAGATATTACATCAACCCAGGCCGATTTGAAACATGCTGGTGCCTAACTGCTTTGTCGCAATGTAGGCTGCAGTCCGCCGCGATTACCTTGCTGAGTATAAGATAATCAATACCAGCCACTTGATTACACCCAACATAGATCAACAGAGACAATCCGCATTAGGGAAACGCACTAATAGTGGCGGAGTATATCTTTAAGGCATAAATAGTCATATTTCGGTGGCTCCCAACAGTAAAGCAGTCAAGATTATTTTCCTGGACTAGATGTTCAGATTCTATACTGGCTTCTGATTCTTGGACTCAAAAAAAAAAAATCAGCTGATGATACAACACCGGGGGATATTACTATATTGCTCTTTTTGCAGTGCTATTGAGATTATATTGGCACATAAAGCACGCCCGCATGATGACCTGTCACGTCAGCATATGCAGTACGCTAGACATCTATTCTACCCAACATAAACCTTGAGACATGAATAGCCACGGAGAAATTCCTAATTCTGCTTTATGCAATGTGGCACAGTCTTCCGTCCTATAGTATAGGTTTTGAGCACTGCAGCCTAGTCACTAACCTTACACCCTCGCATAGCACGTCCTGCCTGTTTCTGCGATATTACCCAATCCACATATATTACTGGTCAAGCACATGGTGTACTCGAGCATTTCAGTTTCCCTACATCAGCTAATCTCTCTCACAGAGATGATTCATTTGGATTCGCAGCACGTCGGAAGTAGGACCCTGCATATATTTCCTGTACAGTTATTGCCCACCCCGGCACGAGCAATATAAGAAGATACCTGACAGGCTATTGATGCCACTCCTTTTCTTTATCCCTGTTATCGTTATCTATTGCGCTGTCCTGTATGCACGCATGGTCTTCTGACAGCCCCGCAAAGTGCACTTCAGTCAAATATAAGAATGGATCTCATCAGTGGCATAGGGTAGACTATTGACTCCCTTTAAATTTATTTGGAATTGATCCATTTCCCCTTTGCCGCATTTATGGTCTATTGTCACGCTTCTTCGCCAAAACAAGCAAGCTCTACGGACTCTTTTGTAGGGTATACAACGACACCAAACAATTATCTGATTTGGTTGCATATAAATATCCAGAAGCTTTCCAAAGATCTTTGCACACTTTATTTGTATTGAGTACATTACTGAGCTGACATAAATTAACAATGTCACCCCATTCGGAGAATAATTCCTCGGTCGCTGAGAGAGGTAAGTCCTCTACATGGATATGATTTTTCACTTCTTACCAATAAACACTATCTACTAGATAAATGGCTCGGTCAAGAGATCTTTCGTTTTTCGCTCGCGAAAGAGTTCGTCCAATATTTACCTGCGAAAGTCCCCTCCAATGAATACGATGTCAGTCGTGCCTCATCTCAAACTCCTTTTCTCGTACAACGAAGCTGACAGAAATCGCTGAATGAAGAACCTATTCGCGAAATGTTTGGAATGCTACCAATACCGATCCGCGTGCGAAGACCCGGACATTTGCGGTGAATCTTTTCCAAGCGGCTATCGTGCTGAGGAGAGAGAATATCAAGATATCTTGTTCAGTTATATTGGATCTATCGGCAGTACAGAACCGGATGTACTTGCGCGTCTGCACAAATATATTCCATTTGCCCACGACTGGAAAGCTTCAAAGAGCGATCAAGGCCCGGGGGGTAAAGTACCGTCAAGGCCCGTCGAAAGAACGCTTACTCAATTGCCCACTACACGACGACTCTGGGGGGAATCTGGCCAAGATGTGACGGACTCGAGAGATAGGCAGCTTGATAGAATTGCAAGATACACTTCACTGCTGTACGAGCAGGGACAGATGATATGTGCGATGCCCGAGTATGAGGAACAAGGACAATTTTCTAGTACCGGCCTACCTTGGTTCTCTGCTACAGTCAGGTTTCGAGGAGTTGAAGGTCATGGCTCCGGGCCTAACAAGAAGATAGCAAGGCACGCTGCGTCCAAGGATGCTTGCGACAAACTAGGTATTTCTTGAGCGTATCGGCCGTCTCTGTTCAGAGGGACAGGATTTTCATGCAGTAAATATCTATTTGCATTAGTCTCCTAAAATGTGAAGAAAATGCGCGTCTTTATTCTGAGAATAAAAAAAATACTTTGTTTATTTTTGGAGCTCCCACACTCCTAGTACTAGCTTAGTCATCCAGATAGGTGTCAACTTAAAATATCGACCACTGGACGACGGCGAGCTGGGGAGAGCTAGAGCGGGCACCCCCCTGAGCACCGTATCAGGATCTGAACCAAGCATCTTCAGCAGCAGCTCCAAGAGATTATGAGCTCGTCTCAACCTCATCCTCATTAAATAGCCACTGAACAGCGTATCTTGAAGGAGATACAGCGAGTTATACACCCTATCTAGCTGACCGAAGAGCTCGTCAATCCGCAAAGCCCTGGTCGCGAGGAGCAATATCAATATTGAAATCATGTTAACAATAAAAAAGGAGGAGTCGCAGGAGCCGCAGGAGCTGCAGAAGCTACGTCCTTATCACCAAGGATCAAACCTACCAGAGAACATTCCGCTCCAGATGCCAGAAATGGAAATGAAACTTAAAGATGCTTCCGAATTCGACGTTTGGTTTTACTTGGTTGAATCAGCACTTGAAGCGATCGATATGATCGACCTAATCAACCCAGCGATTCCTAGACCTGCAGAGGAGGATCCTGACTACGAAAAGTGGAGGAAGATGAGCCTACGAGTCGAGTGGTGGCTCACGAGCCATCTGGACTCGAGCTTCGTTAAAGAGCTTATACTATTACCGGAAAGGCCGACGTACGCTGATGAGCTCATTACCGCCATACGGAAGATTTCAGGATATCATCCTTCCTGCTTAGGAAAACAGTGGCTGTTACTGTCACAGACCACCCGTTCACAATTTGGAAGCCTAGAACAGTTCGTCAGCACCTATCGGAGCCGCTATATGAAGGCATACGAAATAGGACTCGGTTTAATTCCTTTCGCCGCTACGTGGACCCTCCTTCACAACATTGAGGCTGAGCTACCCTACTGGACGATGATCAAACGAATCCACTACTTTGAAACCGATCCGATCAATGTGACAATGCAAGAGTTCAAGCAAGTCTGCCTAGAAGCTATTGAGATGGACCGCTTCTATGAGCATACCGGAAGAAAAGATATGCGGCAAACCGCCGCCCAAAGAAAAAGACACCTATGAGTACGCCAAGGAACTCTGCAAAAGAGATCTACGTATAACGGGAAGTACGGCCACTGCGGTAAACCGGTCCACCTAATTGCTATTGTCTACCGAAGGAGATACAAGAGGGTTGGAAAGCGTATAAAGGCACATGGCACTTGCCTAACCAACACGAGAGTTATTTTCGGTATCAGGATTGTAAGAACCATATTCGAAAATTAGTTCCTATCTATTCAAATTGGCCTTTGTACATGATAACGTCCAAGCACAGTGTGCGGCAGTCTAGCTGCAACGGATTCCTGTTACCTGAAACGATCAATATACAGCTTGATGGTCAGAAAGTATTTTGACTCAAACAGGACGTCCCGGATGAGGGTTACCATCTAAAACAGTGGCAGACATCCTGTTCATATCCTTTCTGCGTCCTGGGATATAGAGATGAGTAGAACGAGGTAGCTCTTTCCAAAAGAGTTAAAGCAATCTAGTGATACTTTCTCGCATTCGACAGTACTCAGCGGATCTCGAGCTGTATCTTAAGCTGGAGCTTTCGCGTCAGAGTATAGACGACGTTGCAGATAAGGAAATCCTTATTAGTAGAAGATAGGACACCTAGGCCAGTGGAAATTCTAATCGGTAGCGGCATATTATTGTCTAATCTGCAGTAGTATTCTGTTCCCTCAACTCTGGTCTCGTATATAAGATCAGACTAATAAATGACCTTTGGCTCTGCAGCTTGCTGATTTGTGAAAAGGACAGGACATGTCCGCAGTGAGTCGGCATTTGTGTTAGTCCCCTAAAATGTAAACAAATGCACATCTTTATACAGAGAATATTTCCAAATAATTTATCTGTTTATCTAGCTCCCAGGCTCCTAGTAGCAAGCAGGTGGCCGCTCACGCGGCCACTAGCTTCGTCGTCCAGATAGACACGCTACCATTTTCTTCTTCTTCTCCATTTCGACATCTTGGGCATCGGGGCTTCTAATTCTTTGTTATCGAGCGCTGCGGGAAATTCCCTGGTGCAGGAATAATTGGGTTCCCTCTGATGATCCATGACGGAGATCCCGGTCGATCCCGTCAATCACCCGAGAACTCATGGCTACATAATCCTAAGAAAGCTTCCATAAGTATAGGAATTTGAGCTTCCAAGGTCCCAACCTCTACCCACCATCCAAAAACCGCTCATGGACAACAGGTCAGCGCAGAAGGCTTTAAGGCGCGGAGGAAGGCACAAGTGGTTGCCTGAAATACTAAGTACTCCAGCCAACTGGTACCACAACTAGGCTGCTATGTTTCTGTATCTGTCAGTCGATAATCACGAGAGAGCGCCTGTCTCTTCTACACACACACGCTCTGTCTGTTCGCACCTTCCCATTCAACCTGTCAAGCTCGGTTGAGTCGAGTCAAGTTGAGTCGCTGTGTTTGTAAGTCTGCCCGGTCGTCACACTCTTCACTGCAAGCTTCTTCGGTTCATTTATCGATAAATCTTTGCAAGATGCTTACTAACATGCGAACTATATCTAAGTAATCCAAAAGAAAGCGGCCACGTTCCCCAGTGGCATCGGATGCAAAACGCTTGAAAATGGACCACCCGAGGCTCTTCCGCGAGTTCGCAGAGAAAGTCCAGGCAATCTGCGCCACTACTGATCCCCAGGATATTCTTGATGCTTTGAGGGAATTGGCGGAAGGAAGGGCGGCGAAGTTGCAGGATGGGACGCAGGTAGAAGCACTTTCTGGCCTTGGAAATCAAGCTGGTGACCAGAATCCGCATGAATCATACACGCAAACAATGGCTGCATTGCTACGTTGGGGTGTCAATACATTTCCCAATCACCCGTTGCACGAGGAGCCTAACCTGTGGGAAACAATGGCACTCTTTGATGGCCCCAGAGGTTATAATCAGCGGTATGTTAGTGCGATCTTGTTCGAGACAGATAGTGCTGACCATTCCGCTTAGGTTAATCAGCGATGGACTCTATATCGACGGACTCCGCGTGGAATATGTCGAGCCTCCGGAAGCAGGGTTACTCGTCCCGGTAGTGCCGAAGCCAAAAATCCTCGTACCATCTCAACGACAACCAATTCAGCCTTTAGATGAAGATCTTCCGTATATTTCGGAGTTCTTGCGTGGTATCAACACTGCTAGAGCCGTCGTGGCCACCCGCTGCATGTTTGGCTGGCCACAATTGTCATTACACTGTATGTGCCTCTATGTGGATGCAGAGGACACATCCTACCTTGCGAACTTGGTTGCTTCTCAGGCAGAGCCTGGCGTTGTTGTGAAGGCGGAGCTTTGCGACATAGCGGACTATATGTCTTCGGCCCAAGACATCTTGGGGTTCTCAGGCCTCAGCCGTTTAGAGCATAGCGAACGACGGTACTCACTTCGGAAAAATCCCGTCCCACGTTCCGTTCGCGAGCGTGTTCATCATGGACAGTCCATCTCTCTCATGGGAGAAGAATCAAAGGGCTCGGTTGGGGTTTTTCTATCCCCTTGTGGCGTCGAACAGCCCAAAACCTACGCCTTAACCGCATACCACGTCGTACCGTTCAAGGCAGCCGATGAGTCGCGTGCTATCATACCCGGAGGACTTGATATCTTGAGTCAATTACTAAAGGCTCTTGAAGATCCCCCAGGTCGCGATGACGTCGGAGTGCTGGTGAAAAGATGGAACGAACCCTGCGGGAATGTAGAATATGGGAGTATCGGAGCAAATCAACAAGGGTGGAGATGCGATTTTGCATTGGTTCGGCTTGACGAACATTTGCTAGGGAGAAATGGCGAATGGTATAATCATGAAGAGATGACTGATCTATACATCCGAACTGAAAAGTGTTCCAATTTCTCTGGAAGCCATGGTATTGTGGGCAGCATTGACCCACAAGCTGGAGAGATCTCTTACAAGGATGGCGCAGCGACAGGTTGCACAGCAGGAAAGATAGGTTTATCTGAAGCACTGATGTTTGTGCGTGGAACATCGGACATTGCTACACAAGAAACATCCGCTCCTATCGACAAAACCAAGCTTATTACGCTACACCAACTTGGTCACGGTGCTGTATGTGACAAGGGCGACTCAGGATGCGGTGTTTTCGTGCCAGTCCCTCAGGAAGATGGTTGGAAGTGGGCCGGGCAATTAGTTCATATGCTACATGCGAGCAGCGAGGCAGATATAGGCCTTATGATACCGCAGAGCCAAGTTTTTCAAGCCCTAAGAGAGAACACAGGGATGACTTGGATGATGCCTGGAGTTTAGCTAGAAGACATTGTACACGCTACGTGTGCAGTCGTGGGCATTCTTAGCTACCTGAGGATTAAATAGCTAGCCTGAGACTAATAGAATTATTTCCAATAAGCCCGCTAGCTACTACGGCAGCATCTCAGATTCCCATTTATTTGCGTTTCGCATTTTGAAACTCCAATTGTATTGACAACATCGTTGGAATCTCCAACGAGGGGTCGGCGACATCACTTAATCCGGACGATTATACTTGTCCTGCGTATTGGCCTATCCCAGTTTATTATAAGTCATGCGCTGAGACGATTGAATGCGGCATTCATGCACACAATACACTGTAAATGCGAAAAGGGGGAAATTAATCAAATCCAGACAAATGTGAAGAGAGTCAATAATCTACCTACCCTACGCCATTCTCTTTCTTTTTCCTTTAACTAACTAATTTCTCTCAACTTTCTTGCTACTTAGTTTCTTATAACTTCTTTCTTTCTTTCCTTTCTCAAGATCCAGTATACTGATACTTTCCCTCTAGCCAGTTGAATAAACCGCCTAGGACCATTACACTGGCAAAGCAAACCTAGGAAACCTAATAGTCCTAGCAAAGCTGGCACAACTAGCAGACCTAACTAACCTAGCTAATCTAGGAGACCTGGTAGACCTAGTGGAGCTAGCATATTAGTAGAGGTAATAAAGGGAGTGTGAAAGCGATTCTTTTGGAACTAAGAAACATTTACTCAACATGGTATCCGTACTCAGGTAGAGTGCCAGCAGCGATACCGAGTCCACATCCACGAAATGTTTCCGTCATGAACCGAAAAAACGACACCACAAATCCGTCCTTGTCCAGAATAGGACTTCCACAACTGCCATTAGTCGGTTCAATATCATTTCCCAGGTATAACCAGTGGCACTTAACCCACCGATTTTCATCTTCTGGGAGACGAATGAAGTGATCTCCAACAAAAAGTCCGCCAAGCCATCCCAGAAAAGGGTTATCCATTGTGACGATGTCCCCGAAGCGAAGATCCGTTTTTCTGATACCTTTGATGCGTTGACCATCGATGATACCCTCGGGAATATTGGTCGTAAAAGTCTCATTGTCATAGTATTGGTTTGGACAGAGACGGACTAATGAAATGTCCGCGTCAGGGATCTTATACGTGACGTGACCAATGAGCTCACCATCCTTGTTGGGATGATAGACCTCGTCAGCTGGGAAGCCATGGCTCGCCACTGTGATAAAAGAGTCTCCGTTGTCATCGAAAACTTGGATACCAGACGTTGTGAGTAGTTCGGGGCCATGAGTATTTCCAGAACTAAGCATAACCCCCGGTCGAAGAACGTCGTAAGTTGACGAGTCCCACGAGTCTCTATTGGGTTCCGACGGCTTGATGGACAGCAAAGGTTTCGACCCGATACGATATCAAACAGGACGTCCCGGATGCAGAATACCATCTAAAACAGTGGCAGACACCCTGGTCATATCTTTTATGCGTCCTGGGATATAGAGAGGTAGATCTCGGTAGGTTTTTAGATACCTAGGTAGTTAGGTAAAGCAATCTAGTGGATACTATCCCGGCTTCGACAGTAGTACGCAGCAGATCTCGAGGTCAGATAACAATATGATCAGACTAATGAATGATATTTTGCTCCGCAGCTTGCTGACTTGTTCTACGGGGCTATTGTTTTTCGAATGAAGTTCTCTACGCGAATTGGGGCGGAGTTCTTGGCTCTCGTATGTCCGTGACATCACGCCGTCTGAAGCTCCAACTGTTTTGGAACATCTGAACATCTCACAACGAACCACGGGGAAAAGATGGTATATTCCTTTACTCTCCCCACGACTTCTCATCTCTCGTTTCAGAAATTTCTCTCCTCTAGTACACATCCTTCTCTCCCACAAGCCGCTTCGACAGCTCGTCATGCATTGCGCCTCGCTCTCAAAGCTCACAAGCACCTACCCCGCGCGCAACGCGAGACACATCTCCCCACCGTCCTCGCTGCATTGAACAATTACCTGCCTTATCTATTTGCTCTCTCCCATGGACTGAGTGGGAAACCCATTGGAAATGCTCCTTCTGGCGGCAGCGGCGTAGGAGAGGAGGTAGAGATTACACTCCGTGCGGAAATCGAGGTTGAATGGCGACCAACATTGACTTCTGGCTCGTCGATACTGAGGGGTGTAGGCGTGTACGGAGGCAGCACGTCTCGTGTCCATGGACGAGGTCTTGATTTTGAAATCGCTTTTACTCTTACTACGTTGGGATATGTTCTGTCGGGAATCGCGAGGTCTGGAGTGTTAAGGACCTTGTATGCGGCACGTACCCCAACGGCGGAACAGCGTACGGCGGCGGTTCAGACAGCAACGAAGCATTTGTTACAAGCCAGCTCCGTACATTCCTTCCTGGCGTCTTCACCGTCCTTTGCGGCATTGACTGCGCGTAAGTCCAGTCGAGGCCGAGGTGGTGACCGGGAAAGTTCTACGCCGTCAGCTCCCGCGGGGGTTGTACCAGACCTACACCCTGCTACACAGGCAGCTCTGGCAACCCTAGCTCTTGCAGAGGCGACTTTGTTGGCTGTTCTGAAAGACGATGCCTACGTGACAACCTGCATCCAAGCTCGCAACCCTCGCGATAAGGATTGGATGGTCCGGGCACCCGAAATCCCTAAAGTCAGGGCGTTGCTCTTCGCGCGTCTGTGCGTCCGCGGGGCGGAATATGCAGAGCAAGTCGCGGCGGGTCTAGGGACAGTCGGGGCAGATGGAAGGAATAGTGCCGCAGCTGAAAAGATCGACGAGGATCTCGTCAGATATGCGCGTACATTGGGCAAAGTCGCGCGGGCTAGAGCTTGTCGTTTTTTTGGAGTAGATGCGGAGTTATCAGGAAAGATAGGAGAAGGGATTGCATGGCTAAGAGCTGCTAAGGCTGTCCTCGGGTTCAAGAGCTCCCTGGCCGGGGACGAAGAGGCTGCTACAAAGAGTAGTAAAGGCGGGCTGGCCAGGCTAAAGCGGGAGTGGGCGGAACGTAGAGAAGAGAAGAAGATGGAGAAGGAGGCAGGAAGTGGAAACACTGGCGAGAAAGGCGCCTTGGAACCAGGCGATGATGCAGGCCGAGAGGAAGAAGGCCGGGTTATTGACATGCTGGAGACGAAGTGGGTGAAGATGAACGATACTGTGAGTCTCTATCACCATATCTCCTTCTAAAAAGGGTCCGCCTTAAGACTAATCCACAACTAAAGGTCAGCACACAATTAATCCCGGCAGCAACGGGCCTCCTCTCTAACCTCCCGTCTGGTCGAGATATCCATTCACCCCCCGCGCCATATACGCCTCCTTCGCTGGACGAGGACGACCTGGTGCGAATGCGCGCACCACCTGAAGAGGATGAACTCTTCTCAGACAATGATCCGGATAGTGATGATGAGACCAGCCCTGCTGGAGGTAAATATACCCCCGGTGCTTTCCCGGGATCGCGAACACTCTCCCGTGCGGAGTCGACTTCTTACTACTGAAACTTTGGGTGTTCTCGTGTCATACTTAGATCTGCGGACCATATATGGGATGATACAAGGATAAGATACCCCCGTATGAAGCAAGATCAGGTCAAAACAAGTAGGTCCGCATGGAAAATCGAAACCAAAAAAAGAGATGTCATGATTTATCGCGTGCACGCAAGTAAAACCAAGAAAGACGAGCTTGCTCCTGTCACTCCCGATCCTTTTCAGAATTTCAGATAGCAGCCCGACGTAAGAGTATAGTATATGTACACTTTCCATTCCATCAATCCAGCCAAGTCGGAAGGCTCTTATGGACCCGTAACAGAGAAAGGAAGAGAAAACCGAAGTCGGAGCCACTCAACATTGCAGTCGAGGTTGATGATACCTGCGACAGATGTTCTGTAGAAATTTCCCTCATCCATCACTTATCGCAAGTACTCAGTTCCAGTTGTCGCTTAACCTTCTTTGTTCTCTTCAGGCAGATATAAGGCTGAACCGTCACCAGATTCTCGTTCCTCTTATCGTCCAGTCAAACGGAATTCAAGAAGAATCCGTATCGCTCAGTCCTTTATGCCGACTTGGCGGCCTCGCCGGCCTTGGAGAAGTAGTTTTTCTCCTCGAAGAGGTAACCCTTGATCTTGCGCTCTGAGAGGAGTTCGAAGTAGCGTTCTTGATATCGCAGAACAACGTCAGTAACACAGTTCACTAAATAACTTCCAATTTCTCCACGCCTCTAATTCAATCCCAGGCGCAGCGAACCCATGAGAAAGAAGTCCTATGGTCTATCTAGAAACTCACCTCTCAGCTTTCCACATTTCTCCAGATGATTCACTCCTTCTCTCTGATAGCACTTGGACAGCTCCTCGCCGACCAGACGAGACATCATGCTGCGCACCCACTGCTCGCGAATGATAGCATCACGAGCATTGTGCACGGCGACGTTGTCCTCGAAGTCGACACCCTCGTACGTCGGCGGCACGGTGGGCTTCTTAGCCAGGAAAGCGGCGGACTCGGGGGTCGGCATGGTTTCGATTCTTGTTGAAGGGGATGAGGAAGGACAGGAAGCGAGCAATTGGAGTGCTGGTGGGTGGTAGATCCGTCGCGATAGTCCTGGGAAGCTCTGAGCTGAGGATGGATTGACCTTCCAACTAGGTAGAGGGCGGGTTTGCAGTGCCAAATGCGGGAAAGGTCATTGGTCGAGGACGAGGCGGAAAGGGTGGCAGAACTCCCAGACCTTGAGGGACTTGCGCCGCAGTAGATGACACTACTCTAAGAACATCGGAAATGTGAAACATTTCCAGTGAATAACAATAACAGCAAACTGCGTAAGAGGCTACATGGTTCAACGATGTTACTGGATATTCATCTAAGTCCATATCCGCTGGAATCAAAAATTGAGATCCATGACTGACTTTGGGAATACCAGGGCAGTTATCCTCGGACTCGAGAAGAATGAGAGACGCTGTGCTGTTAACCAGGTGGGCTCTAACATGTTCGTGCTGCCTTAAAAAAAAGGGTATGCGGACTTACCAACAGTGACGTCTTCGAAGCAAACATATGCCCATACAGTATATCTGGAGCGAAGCTCGCTGAGCTTGAATTCTCTAGCAACTAGCTCAGCCTATTTAACCCTGTGGAGCTAGAAAGGCGTGGGAGAAACCCGTCAAGAGGGAGGCCTGCATGTAGGCAGGCTCCGACAGTATACGATATGATTTAGTGATGGTGGCAGTGTTCGAGCTCTAGAAACGGGCGATGGATCTCAGTGGTACAGTTCAATGCTCTAGGCAGAACAACCCGTCTAGGCTTCTACACGCTATGTGATTGTTACATTCTGCATGTCATGGCTCTTTCACCTTACCCCTCATACGCTGTTGCGACTTCACCTCAAATTTATCTGCATATTCATTATCTTTTGGGATACATCGTGACCTAGATCTTAGGAAACCCCATAGAGCTACCTTCAAGATGTCTGAAAACGACTTTGAAGATGTTGACTGTGTTACTTTTGATAATGATCCACGCACTTGGATACTGAAGGAGAAAATTCACGAGAACAAATCTCAGCTTGATAAGATGGAGTTCGATGGGCAACACGTTGCTTCTAAATCTTGGGAAGTTTACATTTGTAAAAACTCTGCTGACCCTTCGGAAGAAGCAATCATCAAAATATACAAGCAGTATGTCTTCCTTCTAGGAACTCCTACGGTTGCTAATTCTCTTACAGAATTCCTTATATTGGATCCGAGTTTACTCGACCGCAGGTAAGGCGGAGGCAAGCTCTGCCGATTGACGGGCTCGCCAAAAAGGAACTCGACGCTCTCAGGACGTTTACAGAAAAAGGATGCGCTTCAACTCCCAAGCTTCTGGGATACAAAGAAGAGGTTCAAGGTCCGCAAGACATCGTTCCTGGAGGGTTCATCCTCTATCTATTGATGGAAAGGTTGCCCGGTTCCTGCCTTGATGAGTACGCCTTCTGGGACTTGGACGAATCTGAACGCGCCAAGGTTCTAGAGAAATTTAAGACTGCATGGATGTAAGTTCCTACGTTCATCATCATTTATCTCCTATTCTCAACTATAAAAGTATATATATACATATATTCATAACTCATCATTATATACAGAGATTGTTACAACGCCGGTCTCGTGCCTTCCAACGGCCTTGGCGAAACGATCATGTGGGATCCTGCAGCAGAGAGAGTGTGAGTGGTCATCATACTTCCACCCCTCTGAACGTGCAAATAGCTTGGAGCTAACCATACAATAATAGTTATTTCACGGGATTCAGTGACAGTTTCTCGTCGGAGGAATCTCCGGAAGGATGGAGTGAAAGGCAGTGGGACGAATGGGACTTATTCCAGCGACCTAGGCAACGTCAGAAACCGGTTCCTACTGGCGCAGAAACAGGAGAATCTCTTCTAGCCTCCCGGAGTCGTGCTTCAAATTCAATGGTAGCACATATTTTTGACATGTACACGGGCGCTTCTTCTCCTCGCTTCTCATGATATCTCATCATCTTGGTCGTCTCCAGAGAACAAAGATTGAAGTTTGTGGACGAGAAGATAGAGTATAGGAGCTTCAGGTTGCTTCAGGTTGCTTCAGGTCGCTTCAAGTTGCTATAATGGCTCAATAGGCAGAATAACGGATTTTCTTCCATAGTAAAATGGACGGTTCTGACCCTGGCACTTCGTAGACTGGCAGACTTGGAAAATCTATGAGATTCAATAGAGGACACAGAGACGAGTAGCACAACATGACTCCAGAGATCAGGTTGCAAACTTTCGCACCCATAGACCTTATGCTGAACAGTGTTCTCAAAAAATGTAATGAGGTATGCCTTCTGTTTTGGATATCTTCAGTATATGCATAGTCCCTAGTTATATTACCACTCCATTGAGCCAGGTATTGGGGTAAATGTTGCCCATCTTCCATCATCGGTATAATTAACTTGGAAGCGCTCAATCATATCATATTATCAAACGTGATTATTATAGTTCCCAGTGGCTCATGAGCCATTTTCAAGAACACCTCCAGGGAGCGGGATCGGCTTGGAGATTACATAGAGCAGCTACATCAAGCTAAGAATGCTATTATCTGCTAATACTACCAGTATTGATCGTTGTTACGGTCATAAATCTACCAAATTTCCAACTTGAGCTATTGTTTTCTTCATCATAAAGATGTACTATCGATTTAGGATCGTATTATGTTTTGTTACCCGATGGGTGTTTTCCATTGCCAACCAAGCTTAACCGTTTTTTGACGTCATCAACAGTATGAGGATAATGAAGTCATTTATTTAAGTCCGCAACGTACCAGAGAAACCATTCTCAGAACGTCTCAATTTATCTATTACTTGGTCGAAATAGCGTCTTGAAACCACTTATTATATGGTACGGGCGCATGCGCACACCAACAGCTAATAACATATCGAAACCACCCTTGTCAGTTACTCTAATACTCAGCATACACAGCAATAGCAGAGCCTGTCATCAAGAGAAACGCTACCACAAAACAAGATAATCTAATTGGCATTCTTCGCGAATAAAGACACTGTTACAGCAATAGAGAAACCGACAATGTCGACCGCAACAACTTCACAACCACCTCAACCACCGAAGCAAACCGCTTACACACAAGACGTCAACCCGGTCTCACAGACTCCAGCGGAACAGCGCCCTGGTTCTGGCACCCAGGCACAGCCAGTATATGCCTCTTCTTCCTCCAGCAGTAGTCGTCAGTACGGCGATGCGCCGCCCGCTATTCACCGTACGGCAGACTCGCTGCCTTCTTCGGACGACAAGGTAGCCCAGCTGCAAAAGCAGCGTGAGCGCGAGCGAAAAGAGTCACTATCGGGTGCGGAGGTAGACACGGAATATGGCGTCGAACAACAACCTGCTGAAGGTCGGATCGCGGCTGCAGTTGAAGGGAAGCAAGAGCGTGCGCGGGAACAGGCGGGAGCGCATTCTGGTCCTGTGGGAAGCGCTGGAGGGCCTGGCGCGCCAGGATTCGGCGAGGAGGGAGATTTCGCAAAGAATCTGGACAAGAAGAGGGAAAATCATGATCGAATTTTGGGTCAGAAGGCCGGAAAGAGCCCCCCTCCTCCCGATGAGGTAGAAGGTCAGGAGGCCGCCGAGGGAACTGTGCAAGAAAGGGAGAGATTGAGGCAGAGAAAGCTGAAGGAGGACGAAGAGCTGGATGTAAAGGGCGCAGTAAAGCAGGGGACCCACGATGCCGTCGTTGGACGGTAAAGATGATGGAGGAGTGAGAAGGGAGGCTGATGTAGTTCACTAAGGATAACTCATATTGATGTCCACACCATTCGAGGCGAACAGTATCTTTATACGACTGTGTAGAACTAGTGTAATATACAAGGCTCATGTCATGATAATATAACGTCAAAACGAATAAAGGGTATCAAATGCAATCTCAAGTGTCCATGTCCTCGCCTTCACCAATAGAGACTTTCTTCAGAGCCAAGTCTTGCTTCAGGCTGTGAATACGCTTTCCTACCTTGTTTCTAAGGATAGGGTTCTGGATTTTCTCCCACTTTTCGGTTTCCGCCTTGATGAGCGCTTCCAGCTCTGCAATCTCCTCCCGTTTGAGTTGAAGTTGTCTCTGTTGCTCTAATTGTTCTTCGTCAAGATCTTCATCGGGACCTTCATCACCTTCGGCTTCGCTCTCAGACTCGTCTCCAGAAGTATCTGCAGGCGACGAAGGCTTCGTTGCAGATGGCGTTCCTGCATGATGAATGCCATCCGCTCCTGGTTTTGCTGTGACAACCTCTTCGTCAGCTCCCGCGGCCAGCGCGGCTTCCATCTCGGCCGCAAGGTCATCTTCGAAGTCGGCTTCAGCGTGTGCGTATTCTTCTGCTTCCCCTTCCGCATCCTGCTCGTCGTCATAGTATTCGTCGTAGTAATCGCCACTCTGCACTCCGTTCTCCGCCCGGTTGAGAGAGGTAGTGTCAAGCAACTCAAATCTAGGTGGTCCGAGAGAAGCCTCGTCTTTGGCGATCAGATCAGCTACCTCTTTCTCAACCTGTTCGATAGTACGCGTGCTAATACGTTCACGGAAGCGACGTTTTCGCACCCATTTTAATGGAGGAGTCAGACCATGAGGATACTGATATGTCCTCTCATCTACCACACCCACATCCTTTGGCAACGGGTACTCCAGGGCCTCTTTTTCGTTGCTTACGGGCCCAAGGACCAGTAACATCTGACAGATATCCGCAGATTTGTACCACCCACGCTTGTCCCAGCTTTTCATTCCTTCGATGATACACGGTAGATCCACAAGCGTAGCAGCGTACTGCTTGTCGCGGATTCGGAGAATTGCACGCCGCCCTTCGCGGGTCAGAGGTTTGAAAGAAAACTCAGCCCGATCAAAGCGTCTCTCGTTGATTGCTTGACGTAGATATTCACAGTCCTCTCCAGGTAACATCCGTAGTATAAACTGCTCCTCTAAAGTAGGGTCGATTTCTGTGTCGGAAGCTTCCGAATCGTAGCCAACTCCGGGCGGCCGGTTCGGTACCAAGCCCTTATTTTTGATTCTGATAGACTGTACACCGGGTCTCTTCGATGGAATAAGCTTGATTCGTTTGGGACCGGGCTTCTCAGCGTCGCCAGCACCGCCAGCATCTTCTTCGTCCTCGTGCTGTTCGCGTCGCTTCTTGGAAGCTGCGCCCTCCGCCTTGACAGTTTTCTTCTTCTTCGACTTTTCTTCAGTTTCATCGCCCGTAGGTTTGCGACCGATCTTCAGTTTGAGCTTTGGCTGAGGTGGTTCAGAGGAAGGTTCCCCTTGGGGTGTCGATTCATTCTCCGCGGCCGGTTTAGGTGCCTTCTTCTTGCCCATGGTGAGCTTGAGCGACGGACGCGGTGCTTCAGACATGATGGGCAGACCAAGGCGCCCTGAGTGCAGCCTGTATAGAGGAGAGAAGTAAAATCTGATCTCAGTGTTGGCGTGGTCGCAAAGTCAAGGATCGACCAGCCACGGAGGTTGATGAATAGAAGTGAATGAATGGGCGGCTCAAGAATAGGCATGACGTGCGGCAAAGAACCGCCCGCGCGTTTCTTCTTCACACCAGCACCACCATGACCTCGCACCTGCTCCGCTCAGCTCTCTCAAGTCCTGTCGCAAACTGATATACGGCTTGAATCTAATTGCTCTTCTTCTCCAGTTCTCTATTTGCCACCATGTCCGCGCCGAATCTCTACAATGCCCTTTTGCGACCGCCAATAATCCAGATCCTGCGAGCTACCGGCTTCCACTCAACGCGACCTTCAGTCTTGGACACCCTGGTCGATATAGCTGCGCGATACATACTTCTTCTCGCCTCCTCAGCCGCTGAGCATGCCATAAACAGTCACCCAGACGAGCCAGTACCAGATCTAGAGGATATTCGCCTCGCGCTACAAGATGCTGGAGCATTGCGACCGCAGTTAAGAGAGATGGAGGAGCTGTGGCAGGGCGAGGAAGATCTTAGGGGAATAGAAGCCTTCCTGAGCTGGTTTACTGGCCCTGCAAATCGCGAGATTAGGCGTATTGCAGGATTTGTTCCTAGCCAGGGCGATGTGATCGAAGCGGAGTCGCTCGAAAAGGAGGACTACCTCACGTCCCTCAAAAAGAAACATAGCAAGACAGGCGAAGAGTCGCGATATGCCGGCACCGTCCTGGGAAAGAGTGCAGAGGAACATCCGGTCGTTATCGAGGGTGGCTATCCCAGTATTCGCGACTGGGGATTGCAGATCAAATACCGAGAAGGTTCCTCGGAAAGCGCCTCATCCACGGTGAGCAGCGTACCGACTGATCTGTCAGAGATGGAAGAAATGGACGTATGAGGAGAGCAGTCAAAGCGCGACTATCTACTCGAACCCTTTGCACATGCCTGTCAGAGTCTGTTATTATTCTCTTGGCAACTCAAAATATTGGCTTTCCGAGCGACAAATCCCCATCTCATGGAACTGGAGCATGCTCTCCGGTCTCGAGGTTGGACGGCATGCGGAGGGGATTTGCATTCGACAAACACGTATCTCTACTCGAGAGTGACCGTATCATTACAAGTGGTTCCATTAATCAGATGTCCGGAGCGGCTAAAAGCAGCCACGAAGGCTGAGAGATCAGGCAGTCCCATTGAAAGAAACAGGACAAGACGCCGGACTGGAAAGCATCCAGTTTTGGCATACTATAGGGCAAAATGGAGCTCTTCTGGGAAATTGTGACCTTGCATCGCCTCCAATAACGTGGATGAAGTTCAATCGGAACTGAGCCTAATACGTACCATCGCAACACAACCTCAGTACTTATCCCCGAAGATCAGCTCGACAAAACTCACGAGCCAACACGAGTTGATACGAATACCCCTGTCATTTATCCTCTGCCTTTCGCCCAGATGACAGTGATTAGGACAGCGATGTCGTCCTAGGTGGATTTAGATTCTAGTCAGACTAGTCTACTGGGAACAACGGAAACAAATTTTTTTACAGCGAATCAATGTGCTCTTTTCATGCCCCTAGGATTACGGTCTATATACGCTCCGCAGAGCTGTCTCGGAATTCCTAAAAAGTTTTGAACACTGGATCATAAGGATACTTCCATACAAGTTGTCAATTAAACCCCTTCCCCTTTTCTTTTATACAAGAGGCACCGTATCAAATCAATTAAAACGGTTTTATCGAGACAACACCTACACGATGTGACAACCTGAATACTCTATGCCCTATCTTCTCAGCTTTATTCTCTGCGGATGGCCAAGACAGTGTGTAGTCGACGGATTCTGAAGGTGAGGTTAATCTACTTATGTTCCAAGCCCTGATACTGTTCCCCAGCCACAGTCTAAACAGCGGCTCAACCTGCTGCACATCTCCTTTGATGAAACCACCGTACGAATCATTTGCTGCCTGCCAGTAGGATTGCATAGCCGTTGTTTCGGGTACCTAGTTTGGAGCTACAGATGGGCTCGCAGTATGGCAGTCCCCTTTTCCGCATCCACATTCACTATTTTGTCCCGGGAATGAATACCTGTAGGTTGATGGATGTCAATTCCTCCTCCTAGGTGAAGTGGTTACATCGGAATTCCCCTCCGGGGACCCCTCAAATTTGTGTGAATACAGCAAGGATGGGCAGGTACAAGAAGTCCTCCGGGCTTGAAGAATCTTTCTTCTCTTTTCATTCTGCCAGACATCCTCGCGTGCCCTCGAGAGGGCCCCCGGTTCGTCCTGTTTATAGTATAGTAATGTGAGCTTTATATCTTTGTCTAGAAAAGCTCCTCCGGATGTGTCTTTTCTTATTTTGTACCTTGGGACGTGTTATATTCGAGCTCAAAATCCCCAGCAACTATAATATATATATACTTGCAACCGCTGTGAAAGCCACATCTATATCCGCCGCTCTCGTTAGCCCCGCTGCTCCCAGTGAGCTTTCGAAATTACCATTTTTTAATTTGTGTGAAGAAGATAGTGAGTGAATAGAATTATTATTATTCTATGTATATTTCGCATCTTTAATAAATTACTTTATTCGTTTTTTACTTGCATAATGCATCGATCGCGTGATATTATTCTACAGGTACTGAAACATCCAGTCCTAATTCATGATCACGTATGAGAGAAGTTTTTTTTTCCCTGAAATGCCAGTCCCCACCACAGAAGCAAGACCTGCGCTCCGAAGCGGCTCTTTTCGTGGCGTGACCATGCTGTTCAGAGGGGAAGCCTAGTGCCGTCTAAACCTAGGACTCCAGCACATCGCAAAACAGCAGCGATGTCTTTCTGCGGGTTACAAGGGATGCCCCTAAACTATACACCCACCAGTTCATCGATAAGCATTGACATAGGTTCGTGATGGCATAGAATGGAAGAAATATGGGGCTACTTTGTGCCATAAACCAAAAGGGCCTCCGGGGTATACACCTATCCTTCGCGAACATATTGTTATTTGAGACGAAACCGGTGTCCAAGGATGTCGGGTACAGAATTACATTGGCTATATTACATCCGCGGACCCCGGTATTCACCTAAACACTTTGTTCAAGGTGCCATTGGCACAGCAGAGACATGTCTGTTCGACGGAATACAGAGCCAGATCGAAGCTCACCCGTCGGTCTGAGTCGGCGGTCAACACGTCTTTGGTCTCCTTTCTATAAGCTCTCGCAATGGTAACTGGGCCGCTTGGCAGTGAGTGGAACGCCGATAGAATTCCACTGCGAGCGGACTTTGGGGGCTAGGTAGGCAGCTTTATGGCAGTTACAGATGGCCAGCTCCAAGATGTAACGAGCAAACGGATTCCGGCACTCGTAGAGTGCAAGCGCGGGGAAAGAGACGAGCACAATCCTCGAGGGCGAATAAACTAGATTTGGTGACTACAAAGCCAGCAAAAGGACACAGGGACATAATGATAATGTCCCTGACGTTGTTTGCTTGTCCCCAGTCACCAATGAGCTACTTATTGTTGGGGAGATCAAAGTCCCTTGGATTACAGCCCATGATCTGGAAAGAGCAATGGTATCTGGGAGCAAGTTTCGCCGTATACTAGGTAAGCAATAAGCATAAATACTTATGACTGGCTATTCGGTTAATGCTGACTTAATTTCGCAGGTCAAATCGCCAACTACATGTACAATGCGAGGATAAAATATGGATTTTTATCCAATTACGAGCAAACGATCTTTCTGAAACAGGAACAGACTCCGTCTGGATGGGAACTGCACTACAGTGATATCATTTACCATTCAACCCAATCAGACGCGACTAGACCTTCGCTGCGTGCATGCTTCTGGTCCATAGCACGCCTTGCATTGATAGACCATGTTGCTAACAATAACACTCCCATGGCTCAATGGGCGAAAAAGCCATAAGAGAAAGAAGCTGGACTCGTTCTTGATGTATTTAGTTGACACCAATCGGTCTATTAGACAATATTGCAGTCTAATATTTCTATTCTTCTTAGTTAGAACAATTATAGAATCATGTGTCATGTGATGTTGGAACTGGGATAGGCCAATACGCAGTACAAGTATACGAGACCAGAGTTGATATATCACGGCCGGCGTAAGTATATATATACACTATATATAACTATATCTTGCATTATAATTATACTAACTAAAAATAGCAGGTGATTATAGAGATCTTGAGTCCTTTTAAACTACCATTAAGAATAACATTGGGATTAATAGAGAATGATACGCCGCCGCGAGTCAGTCCAGGAATATAACTAGCACACTTGTTGGTTCTGCAGTAACTACAAGGGGCCATATGCACGCCCTATGCCCGCTTGAAAATTGAAAGCAGGGTATATATTGTGGGCAATGTGAGTATATGCGTCATGTATACCATATATTATAATAATTATGCTAACTAAGAACAAAAGGTAGTTATATGGCTATAGAGGTCTTGGATCGTCTTGGACACTCTCAACCAGACTTGAGGATGATGCTCGACTTAATCAATAGGATACAGCTGGACGACCGGGGTACTTATCCCGCGGACCATCGTCTTTGGTACTTAGTTAGAAGTCGGACGTTCTTGCGGACCCTTTAGTCTGTGGTTTCTCGGCGTGTTTAGCTGTGATCTGACGATCAGTTCTCTACGTTATATCACCCCCAGACAGATGGGCAATCAGAACGAACGAATCAAACCACCGGTACTATGTACATTGGAGCGCTGACGAACCCGCGACATGGCCAGATATACTACCGCAGCTCCAGGAGGGTCTGAATCCGGTGCTGAATTAATGCTTCTACGATGTTTTCACCGCATAAGTTGTCTTTGGTATTGAGATAAATACGGAGTACCCCGACTTCGTTACAGATGCGCCTCAGCGCAGTCAAGATTTACGTGCCGCATTGATACGCTGGAAACGGTGGTGATACTTGCAGTCATGTATATATAAAATCGACGCTACGATCGCCTTCATTTTACAATCCCCCAAATGATCAAGTCCTTCTTCATCTGCACCGCGAGTATAACCTGTCATCAGCAGCGACATTGGGATCACATATCATAGCATAGAATAGATCGTGGAAAGAATATATATATATATATATACATGCAGAGAATAATGAATAAAAAGGAAGCCAGGTCCTTTCTCATGCATATTATAGAAGAGAAATAGCATCTAGTTAGTCACATACACCAGATAAAATAAAAGAAGAAGAAAAAAAGATGGCCCTTCTAGATAGGTAAGAAAACAGACATGGGCACATGATTCTAACATCGACCATCCGAAAAAGAAAATAGATCTAGTTCAACGCCAGATGCGGATGAGCAGAACAGTATAAGTAACTCATGCAAAGAAAGTTGGAGATCGATGGGTGGATGCGCGTATCCCAGAAAGCCTGGAGATAAGAAGAAGAAGAAGATATATAAATTATAATTTCCAGAAAGGCATGACAGACGTTCTCATACATCAGAATCATTGCGTAGCTGATTTTTCGGTTTTTCCAAAGAGATTTTTGAAAAAGGAGCTGACTCCGTCTTTGAACCGTTCCCATCGAGTTCGGTTCAGGTGGTTGCTGAGTTCGCGGTAGTTGTACATCTCTACCCAGCAGTCGCGCCCCCACTCGCATCCAGCCATGTTGACGACAAAGTCACGATCCTTCTCGTGGTAGTGTATCCCGGGGTGAGGTTCATCACCGCAAGCTCCGGGAGGGAACGAATTGATCCGGCGCTGAGGTACAAACGAGACATGTGGTCGCACCCATGGTTGGTTGGCGTACAAATATTCCAGGCTGTCCTGCTCCTTATGTTCCCATTCCATGTGCTTCTGCTCATACATCACTGGGTCCCACCAGATGTCCAACAGGCGGTCCGTCCATGAAGAGCGCCGTACCAAAAAGGAACCCAAGTTGAACCCGGCACAGTCTTGTGGCACGAGCAGATTGATCGAGGAAGGGTCACCGTCGCCATTCACGGAGCGCGAAAGAGGGTCGAGGTAAGGTGCGGTGAGCGGATGCGTGATGTTCAGAGGATTGTAAACATTGATGTCCCGGTAAGTGTGAGTGTCAAGGTGGTTGAGCAGATGGTCTTCGAGAGAGTACGAGTATTCCATGATATAGGTATTGAGATCGAGCCACCAAAACCTACTCCTATCAGTACCATATACCCACGAGGAGATAAAAATTGACCTACCATTCCGCTTGAGGGTATTTTCGCATGGAATCCCGGATAACATCCACCTTCTCCCAGCTCTCACGCCATTCATGCGCATATCTTTTCTTCGTCATCATATTCACGATCTCGAGATTATAACCCCATCGCTTCGCGTATCTCTTCTTGTTTGCGATGCTGTTGCGCTCAATGGCCCATTCACGCGCGCCTTTCCATTCCATCACACCTCCCTCGACATTCGACGCTAGTATAATGACGACCTTCCTTCCTCCTCCAATGGACGATCTCCGATAGGCCTCGAATATAGCTGGGTTTGAAGTCAGATTGTCGTGTACCCCAGATGGGCAAATTACACACTTACAGGTCCAGAACATTAGATAGCCTATAAAAATGAGAATCCCCACCAACAACAGTCGTATCCTCGTCCGGCGCAGAAGTGCACCTAAGAGCGCAATCACCCGTCCTGCCAAACTACTGTTATCCTGCCATCGTCCACGCCCCAGCTTCTCCTTTTCTCGGTAGTCCTTTGAATTCGAGTTCAATCGGAATCGGGGTAAACTCGCGGAGATCCTGCGCTTCTGACGCGAAAAAAAGCCATTGTTCCGCGTCGAAAAGGACGGATAGCCTTTCACTTCCTCGCTTTTGGCCTTTGCGGCCGCCCACGAGATTCCACTGGGCCCGGCCGCGCTGCTGGAATAGACGGTGCGCGGACTCGAGCTCCCGCTGTTGGGAGTCAATCCGGGACTCGACCAACCTCCTCCGGGATGAGGAGAAGGCGATCGTGAGAGCGACATGGGCGAGTAATCAGTCAGGGCAGGAGTTCCGGGGATCGCGGGCAGCGGAGCGCGGGTGAAGGCGCCCGCGGACAGGCCCGACGTGCTTCCCAGGCCCTCGCGTACCGGCGATGCTTGTTCGAGATTCAGTGAGGGTATGGTCACGGAAGACCGTCGCCGGTGATGTGAGGTCCTCGTGGGATCTGCGGACGTTGAGGAATCCAGCTTGAAGGAGAGGAAGACCGAGGACAGATAATAATAGTAGAAGTAGTCGGAGAGCTGGGGAATGCAATGACACCGCCGGGGGCTTGAGCCGAGACCAACCAAGACGGAGGAATGTAAAGTAAGGCCGTTTTCGAACCACAGATTGAGTTCTCGTGGGCGCTGTCAGGCCACAGCGTGTCGCAGTAGTCGTCCCACGATCGAGATTGCCGATGGGAGGAGAGTGAGACAGTCCGACGCGAATACGAGAATGCGGATTGGTGTTTGTAGAAATCCACGGGGGAGGAGACGAGTAAGGGCGACACGATGGTGGAGATACAGTAAGGTGGCGCGAAAAAAAAAGGAGAGGAGGTGGATGCTAGTTCATCAGAGTAATAATTGATCCTTTTTTGGCACGAAGGCTGAGGATAGAAGACGACAACAACAATCAGCGCACGCATACCCCCGAGTGCTGGAAGCGGGTGAATTTGATGATATCTTATTAGTATTATTGTATTATTATTATGGGGAACGGTCGTGCTGGTGGAGTTCGCGGCCAGGGACCAGCAACGCCCAACCAGCAGCAGCTTCACAGCCCGCTAATTCTATTAATCGCGCTTAGTTCTGCTTCGTTGGCCTCACAGGGGAATCAACTATACTCCTTCGTTCTCTAGCAGTGCTTGGACGATACTACTATGGGGCCGCATTTGTTCGTGCGGTCCATAGTCACATTCACACTTTCTTCTGCTCGACTCCAAGGAGATGCGAGCAAGCACTCAGTCAGCAATTCCCCCCTCGTCTCCCCACTCGCATTCCCTATCTCCATCCCAGTTGTCCTAAAAATCCCAGATAAGCTTAAGCCAGCATGCCATCTTCATCCCATTCCCAGCAATACCACTAGCGCTGATTATATTCTAGCCGTGCGTCTATCGCATTGGCGCATGCGGGCTCCAACGGTTACAGGGAAATAATCCTGGCTAACATGCAGCTGAAGTAGATATGGACACTGCAATGATAATGTCTCACACTTGCACATGCAGTCATTTAGTCATTTATCCATGTGTAGGGTGGCGCTATGCAATTTCAGATCTGATTTCCTTCTATGTACTTACAAAAATATGCATTCGTCCCACATGTGTATTTACGAGGCTAGGGGGTATGTCCCACACACACTACTACCTGTTTTTGGTATCTGCTGTAGAGACACACATGCATAACATAAGAAACATTCAAAAATCACGCCTGGAGACCTCCGCTCATAATACAACCATTAATCCAAATCCTCCTCCAGGTCCCATAAAGAGTAGAGTAGCTTCATCCAGAACTCCTGAAAGATTCGCCTCGTCGATGATAGGAAATATTGTAAATCCAACCCAGTTTGCCGTATTGAGACGTCACTGTCATCCTCCATATTATCCTTTCTAGTGTCAGTGGGTATCACTCTTTGGCTTTCTTCTTGTCTGTGTTCTGCCGAGGCAGTTGATTTGCTCCCCGGGGTGTCAACACCTTCCGGATGATGAAACCCTGCTCGTTTTCCGGCCGGGAACGTGCACTGTCTCCGTGGTAGAATTCGCACCGGAACTTGAGGTACCGATCATGGTGCTTGTAAACGGTAATGATGTCGCCTGTATACAGTTTACCAAAGTTGAAGCCTTCGTGGCCGCTATCGCTCTCGGGGCCTCGCCGCAATTCGACATCATTGACCCAGATACACTTGCGGGTCTTCGTCGACAGAACAGCCATCACATTGGGAACTGACATCCAGTCCTCTCCGGCCTGGATACGCTTCTCGATAGCAGGAGCCCAGAAGGTGATCTCTAGCGCATACGCTGGGATTCGTGTATCCATGGGATCCGGATAGCAGATGGTCGCCTGCGGGCCCCGACCCCATGAGGTCATCCGATCTTGCAGTCGGATGGTCAGGTCGAAGATAGAGCCCTCAACGCTGGTGAGTTTACCGAGCAGAGGACCAGGTTTGACAAAATTTGTGGGGGATAGCGCACGCGAGCCGTAGGGGTCTTCCAAGCTTGAGCGTTCGGAACCCGTAGTGGTGGCGGGCAACTCAGAGAGAACCTCCTTGCCAGTTTTTGCGTCAATTGTGATAGCGAGTTCGTCATCCAACTCATCCTTAATGTGCCTGCCAGAATAAACACGCTGGTCCCTGGACTTCCCTCCTTTCGAATGCTCGCTGGATGTCTCAGGTAGCGGTAATACGATCCGGCGGCTGAACGGGACGGCCTTCGGTGTGGTTTCGTGCGCATTCTCTTCCTGCTTGTTGGACTCTGAAGCACCTACATTGACCGGTGTCAGTGCTCTGGTAACAGGACTGCGAGATCTGGCGGAGGCGAGGGCATTCGGTGTTGCGGAGCCCCTATCGAAGCCGACTTCTGACTCCACCTTGAGTTGTCCAACAAGGGCCTCAGTTCCCAAGAGACTAGCAGCAGAGCCACCAAACTTCGGCATGGGAAGAGACACTTCTGAAGCTAGGCTTTGGTGGTCGCTCCTCGACTCATCACTTGATGACATGAAGTCGACAATGCTGAAATCGTCGCCCTCGAGCTCGTTTAGATTGGAGAATTCTGGGGCACCAGGGCTGCGTGCGACAGATCCTGTTATCTCACCGAATAGGCGACTCGTTGTTTGTTGAGCATGTAATTCGGATTCTTCGAAGCTCTCTATGTGCGGGAGAGAGGGGTAATGGATTTGCACGGGTACTTCCTCATCCACACGTTGTCTCTTCGCATGTTGTTCTTCCGGAGTGTTGTGTTGCTCCTCCGCGTCACCCTTGTCATAGAGTGAGAGCTGGGACGCGTCTAGTTCTTCCTCAGCCTCCCCTATCACAGGCAACTCCTTGAAGTCATCCTCCAGGCCTTCATCGTCCGGGTATTCATCCACATCAGGGACATTCGCAATCCATGGATGCTTGAAGCATTCACTCTCCTTTGGCCGTAGCTGTGGATCACGGTTCAAGAGCTTCGCAACAAAGTCAACGCCTTCCTCTGAGATCCCTTCTCTGCGAAGCAAGTCCAAGTCGGCCTCAGTAGTCATGATTGTTCTCAACATCTGTGCACCTCTGTCATCCGCACGCCCAATATAGGGAGGTGCTCCACAGAGGATGTGATAGAGCACTGCTCCAAGGGACCACATATCTACGGACTGGTCATATGGGGAGGTTTTTGGCGGACTAATGAGTCAGCGACTATTGTAAAATGCGGTCAAGGTTCACTTACGGATCGCCCACACGCCGTCTCTTTCGCACCTCGCCTCGTCGATAGGTTTCATATTCTGGATAGACCTCGGGAGCACAGTACAGTAGAGTCCCACAGAAGGTTTTCAAGAACGTTTCTTCCTGCGCAACCTTGGAGAGCCCAAAATCAGAGAGCTTTACCTTCAACGGATCCAAAGACGCAATGAGAATATTGTCAGGTTTGATATCACGGTGGGTGATCTTGCGTCTGTGGAGATATTGTAGCGCATGCAATATCTGCCGTGCAATACTCTTGACCATGTCTTCGGGGATTTTGCCATGCATCTGGAGATAAGTGGAGAGTTCTCCGCCAGCCACGTACTCCATGATGATGTAGATCCAGCGGTCGTGCTCGTGGTGACCCTCATACTGAACGATATTAGGCTGGGAGAAGATTAGCATGAGTCAGCTACAGTGATCGAGTTCCTCACATGTCTCAGATCCTTCATGATCTTCATTTCGTTATCCACCTTCTGATCTAGGACTCCATTCTTCATGAAGCGCCGCTTGTCGAGTTCCTTTGCCGCATACACGATTCCGTGCTGCTTGGTCGCGAGTTTGTAGACAGTTGCAAATGCACCTTTACCTATCTGGCCAGTGACGTTGTACAAAGACCCTCCTGTCCAGTGCATTCCATATGGGTTGCCAACAGTCCAGGATAAGGTGGGTTGCGTGGGCAAACCACGCATCTTGGGCCGCCTGAGATCTGTGCGGTGTTTTTGAGCCCGCTGAAGATATTTGATCAGGTTCTCCGTGTACTGCACGGTATGCCCATCGCGAGGTGGGATCCGGACGACGAATTTGACCTCATCGGCAGATTGAGTGCCCATGACCACTTGGATTACCGACCCGCTGGTCAGCATCCGACTGCAGTCCTTCTGATTTTTCCGAAGCCGACAGCTATCCACCACCGTCCCGTTTGTCGAGGTATCTTGAAGCATAATGATGCCATCATCGGTCAGATAGATGCGGAAGTGAACATTCGAGATCCGTTTGGCACTGTCATCTGCAGAGAGGACGATATCGCAACGGTTGGCGTTCCGACCGAAACAGAATCCCGAAGCCGGGTCTCGAACTGACGACGATAGCCTAAGTGCAATATCACGAGCCGCTATGTCCGAGGTTTCGTATTCGAGTTCATCTCTCTGCAAGATGTGCTGGGGCGCGATATCGGCCGTGGCTGCAACGGCATCGTGAGCCGCCCTCGAGTTTGGGTGCAGAATGCAAATTATGTCGGAGACATCCTGTTCATGAAGACCAGAATTGTTGTGACCTATACGCCGGGGATCTGCGTACGGTTGAGTCGACTCTTGAGTGGCCTCCATGAGGATCCTCAGGCTGCAATAATTGTGCCCGTGCGAGGCAATTGTGAATGCTCAACGATGCACTTATACTTGCATAACACAGTAGGGTAATCGATATGCCTAGTATATCGGTTGCATCAGCAATCTGGCTTCGGAGCTGGCTCAAAAACGCTGTCCTCAGATAGTATTTGACGCGGACTTTCTACGAAAACATTGAAAACAATGGAGTGGTGTTCGGCCCTCACAAGAAACCAGACACACTAAGGCTGGATGAGCCTCTGAGCCTCGAGGACAGACAAAGAATGCTAACGAATATCCGCTGACCTACCAGTTTCAGATTGCTATCAGACAAATAAAACGCTCTATCGTATGCAGGTTCAGCGGTTAATGGGCGGTAACGGCCCAGCGGGGGAAGTTCTTAAAGGCGGGTGTCGTAGCTGGATCCAAAGCCTCCTCGACCCTCGAGACTAATAATGATGGCAGTGCAACGAGCGCCGCGGGCATATAGAACAATGCCCTTGCTGAGACTTGGGATGCAGTGTCCGCTGAGATGAGCAGCTGCCGCCGCAAGGATCCAGATACGTCCTCTTAGGTATTATATTAACTGTCCAGTAACCTCCCAATCTCCATCTGCCTCGCTCGATTGGGAACCGGTGCGGTCCGTTGGTCTGTTGGAATGTGATTCGGATGAGTGGATTCAGCAGCTGGTCGTAAGATCCTGAATGCCCGTACTGAGCTGCGTTAGCACAGCTCGCAATTCAGCACGGAACGTGGAGATTGAGAAAGCACAGACCCCGACAGCTCCGAGTGAACTCCCTGCCAGCAATCCATACGCGCTAGGTATGGCCGTCTGTCCTGCGAGTCGCGACAGAGGAGACGAGGCAGAATCGACCGGCAGGGTCGTCGTCCGAGAAACCAAGCAAAGCGAAGTGGATGGCTCAGCCGTCCTTTTGTTCAGACCCCAGGCATCAACATCATGTGGCCCGTGCGAGCCCGCGGATGTCGTTCCTGAACTCCATAAACACCTTTCCCCTTCGGGCTACAGCTCAAGCCTACCTAGGTACGAGGCAGAAATCTATAAGATCGATATACAGCAGAAGTATTTGACTGGAATGATACAATATACGTCTACTTTGTTCCATAAGGTTTCGTGACATTGTCGCTTCGCTCAAACTTACCGCTGAAGGCAATGTCGAAGACTTCTTCCAGGCGGCTGATAGCCTCATCAGACACCTCTGTACGTCGTCGTCAGCGGTCTTCTTTGGTCCATTGAAGAATCATATGCACTCACGATAGTGGATCACGATTCTCCCACCGGATAGTTTCAGGCCCTTTTGATTCCCGATGGCCGCCAGGTCGTTCGGGCCCAGTCCGGACGCCTCGAGGTCCAGCCAGACCATGTTCGTCTGGACAGGCTTCTGCAGCTTCCCACCGCGGCTCGTCCAAGCATCTGCTACCTTCTTCGCTTTGGCATGAGTGTCTTTGAGTCTCCCACCTTCGCCATTGGGGCCGGGCCCAAAGGTCTCCTCGACGGCAACACGTGCAGCAGCCGAGATGACACCGGCTTGGCGGACACCACCTCCAATGGATTTACGGAACCAATTTGCCCGCTTGATAAACTCCTCTGAGCCAACTATAATGCTCCCAATGGGAGCACCCAGGCCCTTGGAAAAGCAGAGACTCACACTATCAAAGAGACTCGCGTAATCTGACAAGCTACCTGCGCCTGAGACGACCGCCTCCCAGAGTCTTGCGCCGTCAAGATGGACCTTGATGCCTTTAGCATGGGCCCACTCAACAATCCGACGCACTTCATCGAGTGGCAGCACCGTCCCATCCAGAGTGTTTTCCAGACTAATCAGCTTGGTGGGGCAGTAATGAATATCATCGTCGAGTATAGCTTGCTTCTGAATGTCCTCGAGAGTCAAATAGATGCCGTTTTTCGGGATAATACCGTAAACAGTCGCACCCGTCCAGGCACTGACTCCACCCGCTTCATATTGAAGGATGTGAGATTGATGGTCACATAAGATGGAATAGGGTGGCTGCACCAGGTGCGTTCGAATGGCGACTTGGTTGCCCATGGTACCGGACATGACGAGCAATCCAGCCTGATGGCCGGCGCGCTGTGCAACGTATTCCTCGAGCGAGTTTGTTACCGGATCCTCCTTAAATACATCGTCCAGCAAGGTTGTGTTTGTGATTGCCTCGAGCATGGATAGTGTCGGCTTTGTCATGGTGTCGCCTGGAGTTATGTCATGTTCTCGTTAGAGCTTGGGATCATTATTATTAGATGCAAGTTGTCAATGCTCACTCCGTAGATCAAATTCGGCTGCTCCTGCGCCGTGCCAATGATTGGGCTTGCCATTGGCCGCAGAGTGACTGGCTGATATATTCGCGGCCATTGTGAAGCTGCGCGTACAGCGGATCGTCCTACGAGGAACTGGACACGCTGGCCCGCGCGGACGCAGGGCAGAGAGAATGGTACGCCTCATGGAGAGAGCAACGAGCACAGCAGCACGAGATAGATCTCAAGCCAAAGCCTCGATCGAACCCGTGCGGGGCAGGCCGTGTTGTTCTCTCCCCGCGCACTTGGGGGCACTAAAAACGACACTTGGCCCTCGAAAACAGTATGGTCAAATCCACGATCTGACGCTGTTTGCGGTCCAAGCCGCCTAGACTGTCTATCGATAAGCGTCGGCGCTGGAACAACGCAATTGACCAGCCTCTTAGTCAGCGGTCGAGGCTCGTTCGATTTCCAGGCCGATGCTCCGCCTCTCGACAATGGTCTGTCTACTTACTCTCTGAAACTACAATTGCCCACGCCACGCCACGCCAGCAGTGTGCTTCACCCGGTATCCGACCTCCGTCATGGATCTCTCCCGGATAACGAGGCCTTCGGTCCTCTGCCAGTGTTCCCGCTGCTCAAGCTCTCTTGCGGCCTGCGAGAATGAGTGGGCCAAGCTCTCCAGCTCGTACTCGATTGCTGCGGGCTGGCTGAGCTTGGACATCAATCGGATCGCGATCTCATCTGAAAGGAAGCAGATCCCCTTGTCATCCGATCTGAGTCTGCTGCGTGGATGCATTCTCCAAGATATCACCTGCAAGCTCTGCGACCAGAAGCTGGGCGCAATATGCGACTTGAGCCATGGGTAGATTGACCCTGTACCTTCCTTGGTCGCGACTGTACTGACTTCAATAGGGCCAACATTTTCTGGAAGATGTCGAAGGTATCATTCCGAGAGATCGTCACCATGAGGACGGTAGACCCCATTTTCAAGGAAGGTCTCGTGGACAGCCTGTTGTATCCGAAGCAGGACGCGCAAAACGAGCCTGAAGCCAACCAAGACGCAGTCGCAGCGACCTCCAGCTCTCTGGAGACTCCAGGAAATAGCTCTTCTGTTCGACAGGAAATCCAGAACCAGGGATTGAATATCAACCGGATCTCGAGCTCTGTAGACACCTTGCACGGCACGATGACGGAGCTGAAACATGCTTTCACCGCGCTACGGATAGAGCTACACGGCCCGAACCGGGCTTCCCTCGAACCCGAAAGGGCCGATGGGGGCTTTGATATGCTGGCGACGGTCTTGAAGGAGCTCAAATGCAGGTCAGAGGAGGTGGACAGGCTAAGGCTTGAAAATGAAGCTCTGAAATTGAAGAACCGCTACTTGGAGGAACAGGCGACAAAGACCCCCTATTCTAATCCATACCTTCTGGAAAGCAGTACACCCATCAGAGTACGCAGCCCAGGACTACTAAATGAAAATGGAAAGCGTCCCTGGCTGGAAGCGCAACACAGTGTCCGGAGCAATCAAGTCCTGGACTCTTTCGACGAAGGAAATGAGCTCTCAGACACGACCTCCGTCGACGATATCGCTATGCACTCTGTGAAGATACCTCTAAATGATGTCGCAGAGCCAGACGCTCCATTGGAAGATGGCCAAGCCACTCCAAAACCATCTGGAGCGAACGGGAAGACTAAAGACCAAAACGCCCTCGACGCTATGGCTGAAGCAATCTATCACACTCATTTGGATCCCCAGCAACCAGCGAACAAAAGAAGACGACTTTCCCAGCCGACGGATTCCCGTCCTAACAATCCTAGCCAAGAACCGAAAAAGAGCGGACGACCACGTGGTCCTCGAAAGTCTACAGGCCAGACTACGAAGACAACTAATCAACCAGAAACGCCCAATCCGGCAGCACTGCGTGAGCAAGATCTCAACGTGAGTGCTGGCTCTCAGAAGGATGAGAATACATCGAATCCAACACCAGATGCTGCTGCGCCCAAATCGAAACCTCGCGGGCGGCCCAGCCGTGGAAAATCAGGGTCTACCAGCGGAACGCGTACGGCTAGAAATCCTGACGTGAGCACAGATGCTGCAGCCACCATTGAGAAACAACTCATACAAGCCGCCGCAAGCGTCGAAGATTCAACAAATGTGGATGTCCTAGATTCCCACGACCAGAATAGCAGAGAAACTCTTGACAACCCGAATCCTTCTCAGAAATCGGGGAAAGAAGATGCACGTGAACGACGAAAGGCGCAGGTAGCCGCGCGGGATGTGCTCGCCAAGATGGCTATGCAACGGGAAGAAGCAATGACGGAGGAGTAGGATAGTCACTATTGCTAACTATGATATATATTCAGTCTACGCATCGGCAGTGGTGTCATCAGGTTTGGGGTGATTACTTTGGTTATTATTCCAATCTTGACTATTTCGTTGTTCTGGTACATGGAAGTGGAATTTAACACCACCGATAGCATAGCATAGCATAGCATCCTCTTCAGTCTTACAGAAATCCGAATGAAACGCTCTTCTACCGCCATGAAGGCTTGCTTGTTCTGTATCCAAATCTCGGGGAAGAATTCCCAAATCTAAAACATCTATAACCAACCATTGGAAAGGACGAGGACAAGGACAGCGCTTGTACGGATATCCCATCCTGAAATGTGTATATCACTTCAGAGTAATGAATCACATATTTTATTTCACGCACATAAACCCACATCCTTCCCTAGCTCTCTCACATGCCTTTTTCAAGGCCTGTTCTTCTCGATCAGTCCATTTCACACTCAGCTCATCCCATGGTTTCCGTGACTGGAATTCTTCGCGGTATTTCTTGTGCAGGGACTGCAAACGGCCCACTTCACGCGGGTCGCCAGTTCCAGAGTATACGATGAACAGCGTGCAGGACGGGAGCGAATCGTATATTTGAGCAATGTTCGATACCGTGCGAGATACGGTTTGAGATAGCACCTCTGCTGGCGGATCAGATGCCGTGGCTCCAGTTGTGGTAGCAGACGTGGTGGGCGTGGTCTCCTCTGGCGGGGGAACTAGGCTCGTCGACTCGTTGGCATTGTTGGGGTCGGGACGGCGATTGCACCATCCGCGGAGGACTTCGAGCTCGCGGAGTCGAGCCCAGGTGAAATCGGTGCCTCCGGCTGGAATGGATGAGTCGTTCTCATCGCCGTTGACTGCCCTGTTCACGCCCGCTACGACGTCCTCGTCCGTGTTGCAACCGATTGCAACTGTTGCCTGCGAGCCGAAGCCACGCTCGGGACTGCCCCAGTCTACAACGGCGCCTGTACGTCCTTCGCCAGAGCCGACTTTCCCTGATTTAACTGAGCGGGATAGACGGCGAAAGATGCTCTCGTTGGAAGCATCGCTGGTGCCCCAGCGCTCGCCCTTCTCGCATTTCTGCTTGACGAGTTCGAGCACCGCACGCGCATCCTCGATTGAGTCGTGGCCAGCCATGCCCTTCTGGATTTCCTTGCCCAGATATTTCTGAGTAAGCCACTTGAGTCCGCACTTCAGAGGTGGTCCACGCGGGTGGGGGTAGATGATGGAGGTGTCGATGATGAAGGGATGCGTGAGCTTCAACGCATTTAAGTCGGAGTTTAGGGAGTGTCCGACAAGGACAGATCGCGGAGTAAGAATAGAAAGCAGCTTCTGCTGAATATCATGGAGAGTCGTAGTGACGGGATCCAGTTTCTCTTTAGTGATACCAGAGAATCGCGTCAGGTAGTCTATGACAGGTCTTTCGGGCTTGACAAGTTCATCCAGCACTACCTCGCCATCCCAGCTGACGAGACTGATACGAGTGAGCTCCGATTTTCCACCTTCAGTAATGCACATTTCACAGTCCAGAGCAAGTATTTGACGGCCAGCCGTCATGCTCCCTTGCTGAATCTCTGCTTCAGGTACATCGCCGTCAGCCAGGCTGGGGACATTCGTGTCAACCCAGCCTTCTTCCGCAGACGTTCCAGCTCGCTTGCGGGCCTCGAGATCTGCGTCCCGGTCCTTCTCGCTAGGGAAGAGCGCTGGGTGAAGTACGTAGTCATTCTCTCGGAGATCGCTGAGTGAGGCGATGAATGTCGTAACCGGGGTTCGTTGCGAAACGTAATTCTTGTCCACTCTTGGTGGTTTTGGCCCTTTACCCTGATTGCTGCTCTCTTTGGTTTTTGGCAAAGAAGATAACAGTATCGCCTGGAGAGGAGAGTGTACCTTGTTGTACTTCGAATCCCCAGGTGCCTTAACAGGCCAAACATGGGGAAACATATCAGCCAAAGGCTGCAACGGTTGGGGAAGTGTATCCTTTGAAAGTGGCTTTGGACTGAAGCGCTCAGATCGATCTCTCAGAGGTAGGCCTTGCTTCCACCTAACGAAGTCTTCGGCCTTTGGATCTTCTCCCTCATCCTTCCCATCGGCTTGTTTGGGCTCCTCTGCCTGAGTGGTCTCTTCCACTGGCTTTGGTTCCAACTGAATAGTACCGTCAAACATGCCCAGTTCAAGCCCGGGGACCATCAAAACAACGACCTTCCGAACATGACCTGAATGTTTCACAGAAATCCATTGGGGTGCAATACCATCCGCGAAGCAGTAGAGCAGCAGGCCTTGGAGGTCGGCAATGCGTATAGAAGATTGCAACTTGCCATGAATATATGTCAAAGTCGGATATTTGGTCTTCTCGCCATCAGCACCGCGTCTTTTCTTCACGGCTCTGGTCTCTGTGGAACCGTTCTGATCGACAGCTTTCTCTGTCTCTGCAGTGCTATCTGTCTGCTCTGATGCAGCTATTGAGGAAGCCTGGAGAGCTGAAAGAGTCTGAGCTACTCCAAATCCATTTGAGCCTTCGCTAGGGCCCATTGTCGGGTCATCCTCATCCCTAGTATCACCGCGCTTGCGTTTCTTTCCAATAGTCATGGCTGGCAGGATGCCGGCTGATTTGGGTCAGAAGAAGTCCTTCACTCCAAACAATCTATCATCGACTTCCAAAGTAAAAATGAAAGTACGACTGTTGCGTGGTTCAGAAGCCTCGTAGATCGCTCGATTGATATACAGGGCTTTAGAATTATTTCCCGTCTTCGATGTCCATGTTAGAATGGATTGGCCAGAATTAACGGGAGGCGAAAGTTGACTTTTATCTGTATCACGTGATGATAACCGTTCCACTGTCTGTTGCCCTTGGAATATATTGGCCACTACATTGACTTAGGCTCAAAGGCTGTTTAAATAAACTACTGCAATATTAGGATGGCTTTCTTTGAGAGTACCCTCTATGAAAAAACAGTTGCTGAACAATTGCTTTCTCAAATGGCTGACGAGCAACTTGCCGCTGATTGGACGTGATCATCAAATCGAATACTCTGCAAGAAACTGAACCTATAATTGATCTTTTTATTCTGTATTCCTGCAGAAATTCCATTAATAATACATGCACCATGTTTCTCCATAACCAACTAATTTACCATGCCATATCCATGAAGCTTGAGTATGGTAGTTACCCAGATGGCCAGTGAGGGCCGACGGCGATGGCGTCACTCCGCATCAACGATTCTCCGACCCCCGACGAGATTTCTCCGCGATCAGACGCCGCCGGATCGACAAGAACTCACAGCAATTGCCTCCCATTTGGATCTTATCTGATCCGACCATCTGTTCCCGGCTGCTGAGAAAATTCATCCTCTGGTATCCTCCTTCAGTATATTCGCCTCGTTGAAATACCTGCCCGAAAGTGTCCAGCCGGTATTGAGATATCCAGTTCACATCTCTCCTTTAGATACCCCTCCGTCCCCGCCATCGATTCTCACCTCCGCCACACGCGACCACCAACATGTCGACCCTCAGGGAGATTACATCTGAGTCCGACTTCACGTCGCACCTCGCCTCCCTTCAGCCCTCCACGCTCGTCGTCCTCTCTTTCCACACCCCATGGGCTGCACCCTGCGCGCAGATGCGCACTGTCCTTTCGACCCTCGCCGCATCCTACCCAGTCACAGACCCGCCCACCATCTCCTTCGTCTCCATCAATGCGGAAGAACTGCCGGATATTTCAGAGGAATATGACGTTACTGCAGTTCCCTTCCTCGTCCTTCTCCGTGACGGCAAGGTCCTTGAATCTGTAAGCGGCAGCGATGCTATCAAGGTCCGCGATGCAGTTGAGCGCCACGCCGGCAACGCCGCGGGTGGTTCCAAGACCGGAACAACGATCCCTCCTGCTTTGGCAGCTACTCCTCGTGTAGACGGACAGAACGGTGTCGCAACTGAGACCCCCGCCACAAACGGCACCTCTGCCACTCCAGCGCAGAGCAAGGAGCAGCTTTTTGCCCGTCTGGCAGAGCTCGTCAAGGCTGCGCCCGTCATGCTCTTCATGAAGGGAACCCCGAGTGCGCCGCAGTGCGGTTTCAGTCGGCAGCTGGTCGGCATTCTACGTGAGAATGGAGTGAAGTATGGGTTCTTCAACATCCTCGCGGATGAGGACGTGAGGCAGGGTCTGAAGGAATTCGCCGACTGGCCGACCTTCCCCCAGCTGTGGGTGAAGGGAGAATTGATGGGTGGTTTGGATATTGTAAGTCCTCCCAATTGCATTGAAAATCCCACATATCAACTTAGTTTGCAATACTAACCATTTATCGACGATACAGGTCCGTGAAGAACTCGCCGCTGACCCCGACTTCCTGAAGGAATTCGCCGTCAAGCCCGCTGCTACAGTTTCCTAAATGCGGAACTGATTTATCTGATTCTGCACGTATCCAGTACATACCCTCTTTCTGTGTCTTAGATCTCTAAATTCTCCGTTAGCGATGACGAGCTTTATTTGTTTATGATTTCCAATAAAATGTTGGTTGTGTTTAACAATATATTTGTTAGATAGCTCTCTAATGTTACCCAACTAGCTATTGCCTTGATATTTTTTTTTTTTTTTTGTCATGTTACATCATCACCATGGTTTGGTGATCTGGCACTGTACTCTTTTCCCATGCTATGCTAGTAGCATCGATCAATCAAAAGCCTAAGATGTTGAACCTTTTAAAGAGACGCCAAAGTAGATAGATAGTTCAGAGCGTATTTCCTTTTTTTCTTTCTCTTATCTCTCCTATGTGCAGGTTTATACATACAAAACGTTATGTTGATGGTCGAGAAGCATTCGCCGCCTTTACAGCGGTTTCTCCTCGAATGCGTCCAGTCCATAGCCTCGCTGAAGATCTGCTTATGACAAGTTGTCAATCTCATCATCGGCCCGGGTCTGATCGTAATTCCACGCGTCAGGCTGGGTGGCCTTGCAGACACGGAACCGGGACAGGACAGCGTCCTCATCTACATAGGCTCCTGCTAACCAGCGCTCACCTGTAGCGGTGTTGAACGACCGACGCGCATGCACAACACGGCGGTTCTCAAAGATCACACATTCGCCTGGGTTCAGCTTCAGCTCGAAGATGGCCTGCTCATCCTCGAGTTCCTTCGTGAAAGCTGCGAGCGCTTTTCTGAATTCCCGGAAGTTCTTACTCCACAGACCCGTACTTCCCTCAGGACGGAACGGGCCCTGGAATGGAGGCGAGTAGTTGATATGGCGGTAGTGCCTGGGACTGCTTGCACCTGGCTCTGCGGTCTCGATTACAGGCCATGAGTTGTGGTAGATCTGATCTTGGTGGACGTATTCGTAATTGAGTCGAAACTGCTGCAAGAGCTGCGCGGCACGTTCATTTTTCTTGTGCAACCGACTAGCTGCAGCGAAGGCATCCGAGAAGAGAGATTCACCGCCATCACAGGAGTTCTTCAGGCAGTGTAGCAGCTGGAAGCCCGGCGGGTCTTTCATGTACATCAAGTCCATGTGGAAACCGAGAAACTGATTTGTATATGCGACATTCTTGGCCTGGGGTACTGTCCGAACGTCCCACGTTAGCCCGTAGAAGGAATTGCGCAGCGGTCCCATCCTTGTCGCAATACGCTCGACCATCTCGCGTGAGTCGGGGATGTCCTTGACGAAGATCAGACCGAACTGCGCCAATCTCCGCATAGCGGTCGCGAATTTCGCATCATCATTCACGTAATCGTCGAACGAGATCCAGTGCTGATCACGCTGCATCCGCTCTCGCTCCCAGAAGATCCTGTGGCGCGAAGCAGTCGCATTGCCCACGCTGTAACTAGCTGGAGACCTCAGGAATTCCGCACTGTACGTGGAAGTGTGAGATTCATCATAACCAGTGATGTCGTTCCTCCACTTTATCTCCAGTTGCTCACCATCCCATTTCACACTCCGTGGCGTGATAGTCAATGGGATATCGGAGGTCCGGAAGCTGCGCTGCTTCGAATGTGGATCAACACAACGCTCACAGGAACAAGCATCGCGCAGCGTTGCATAGTCTACGCCTCTCTGAATCTTCTGCCCTTCCTTCCCCGCCAGCTCAACACGCAAAGTGGTCTGTTGCAGCGTAATCCCCTCAGGTGTGTCGCCCTCTAGCTCGGGAACTGGTCTTCTGCGAAAGGAGAAACTCCTGGGAGAGGTTTTTTCTTGATTTTGTTTCTGCACGGGATCGTCGTGTGCCACTGGGATCTTCCGAATAGGCGTGTCGTTTAACTCCCCAGGCCCATGTTCACTCTCCTGTGCCGCCCGTCCGGGTATAGATTGTTGGATATTCCGGCGGGCAATGCTATAGCCGGGAGAATAGCATTGAATGCGAGATGGCGCACGCTGCGCCGGGCGCAATAAAGCCCTGAATGATCCTGACATTTCAATTGCCGCGTGCGAGTTGTAAGAGATGAGGAATGCAGCGGAGGTAAGAAAGGAAGAAGATCAACAGGAGGGGAGCTTAAAAGTACGGACCTCGGGAACTTCCGCTCTGGGAAAGCATAGATAGCATATTACTGTCTGATACCTACGTTACGTTTTCAACGGCGCGGATAGCAGCGTAAGTATCGTAGCTACCGTAATCATAATACACCGCGTGCGTGGATCCCGCGACGTCACCGGAGGCTGGACCTGGGAAAGACCGAAAGGAGAAAGCTGGAATTTCCCCGACGCAAGCGGAGCATTATTTCTGGTATCAACAAGCAACATCAACACCAGGTTTTGTTTTTTTTTTCCTCTCCTCTTCCACAGTCGCGTCTCAATGTGCTATCACGCTCAATAATAATTCACACACACACACTCCTTCTCTTGAGGATTCTCCTTCAATAATCACATGCATGTCGGGCGGTGGAGAACACCTGAAAGATGAGGTATGTCAGATAACAACTGTTCGTTGCGCAACCCTGAAGAAGTCCATACTAACCGATTTCCCTGCGGAAAATAGGGCACGAGACGGCAAGTCGTCCTCGCGGGCGGTATAGCTGGTCTGGTCTCACGGTACGAATCGATCGCATCCATCCTTTCTCGAATCTCGCAGAACGGCCAACTGATAAGGAGTCCAGCTTTTGCATTGCGCCTCTCGATGTCGTTAAGATCAGATTGCAGTTGCAGATCCATTCGTTATCGGATCCTTCTTCGATCCATGGCCTCAAAGGTCCGGTGTATAAGGGGACGCTCCCTACAATGCGAGCGATCATCCGTGAGGAGGGATTGACTGTACGTCTTATCCATCTTTACGTGCGCAATTGCTGGAAACAGATAGATTGCGAAATGGCTTAGAGATATGTATCTGGGCTGACAAAATTGATTGTTCCAATAGGGGCTTTGGAAAGGCAACATTCCCGCAGAACTCCTCTACGTCTGCTACGGCGGCATCCAATTCACCACCTACCGTACAACAACCCAAGCGCTGTCGAAACTAGACCCGCACCGCCTACCTCCCTCCGTCGAATCTTTTATCTCAGGCGCCTTCGCCGGTGGTGTTGCGACCGCAGCCACTTATCCTCTTGACCTATTGCGCACGCGCTTTGCAGCGCAGGGGAAGGAGCGTGTCTATACCTCCCTCTGGTCCTCCGTACGGGACATTGCTCGGTACGAGGGGCCGCTGGGCTTTTTCCGCGGATGCAGTGCAGCTGTCGGACAGATTGTGCCATATATGGGCCTTTTCTTCACAACATACGAGACCCTACGGCCATCAATGGCATCGTTCAACGACTACCTGCCCTTCGGATCCGGGGATGCCGCCGCCGGTGTAGTCGCGAGCGTGCTGGCCAAGACAGGCGTATTCCCATTGGATCTAGTCAGGAAGCGATTGCAAGTGCAGGGGCCAACCAGGTCGAAATACGTGCACGCGAATATCCCGGAATATCGCGGAGTTTTCAAGACAATCCAGCTGATCCTTCGGACACAGGGGGTACGCGGGTTGTATCGAGGCTTGACCGTGAGCCTGTTCAAGGCGGCACCCGCAAGCGCGGTCACTATGTGGACATATGAGCACGCCTTGAAGACTCTTCGCGAGATGGATATCGCGAGCGAGAAAAATTAGATTTCTTTTGTTCCTTTTTACCTTTTCTTCCCGGCGTTTTTTCACTGTTTTCCTTTTTAACTTTTGCAGCACCACATGTACAACACAACACAGATAAGAGCGTTCGTTGTTAGTTTCTTTCTTTTTACTACTGGGTCTCAACCCCAGCACCGGATAGATATATAAAAGAGGTACGATAGAAGACCATATCTAATTCTTAATCAATTTCTTTGTTCTTACAGCTACATGCAACTCGATGTCACACATGCCCAGAAAGGTTAGAAAGAAAAAGTCTCGAATAGAAGGAGCTGGAACCGCAAAAGCAGAAACAATAAAGGGCTGTCTTTCTCGACTGGTCCCGAAGGAGAGGAAAGATGATGTCCAAACACACAAGGGTATGGTTCCATTCACAGGAAGTATAAGACACACCAAGCCATTTGGGGGGGAATATGGGAACAGCGAATGGCCAGAAATATTCTTCAAAATTACGCAATCATCATCACTCCGATTAGTATTCGACACCCTCCTCGTCTTCCTCGGGACCGAGGTTGTCGCTCGCGACCTCCTCGTAGTCCTTCTCGAGGGCGGCCAGATCCTCGCGGGCCTCCGAGAACTCACCTTCCTCCATACCCTCACCGACGTACCAGTGGACGAAGGCACGCTTGGAGTACATGAGGTCGAACTTGTGGTCGAGACGGTTCCAGGCCTCGGAAATGGCGGTCGTGTTGGACAGCATGCTGACGGAGCGGTCGACAGGCGCCAGCTCACTGTCGGGGACACGCATGGGCTTCTGGTAGTTAATACCGATCTTGAAACCAGTCGGGCACCACTCAACCAGGTTGAAGGACGCCCTGGCCTTGACGGAGGCAATGGCCGCGGTGCAGTCACGGGTGACAACGTCACCACGGTACAGCAGAGCCACGGCCATGTACTTGCCGTTGCGGGGGTCGCAGACAACCATCTGGTTGTTAGGCTCGAAGCCTGTGGTAAAAGATTAAAAGTCAGACAGCTACTTAATATCATGGGTATAAATGGTCCAACACGTACACTGGAAGGTCAAGTCGGAGACCTTGAAGCTCTCGTGGGAGCTCTTGTTGCTGGAGACAACAGGAGCGTAAGAGATCAGAGGGTAGTGGATACGAGGGTACGGGACCAGGTTGGTCTGGAACTCGTTGAGGTCGACGTTCAGGGCACCGTCGAAGCGCAGACTGGAAGTGATGGAGCTGACGACCTGAGCGATGAGGCGGTTCAGGTGCTCGTAGCTGGGACGGGGGATGTCAAGGTTACGACGGCAGATGTCGTAAACAGCCTCATTGTCGACCAGGAAGGTACAGTCAGAGTTCTCGATGGTGCTGTGGGTGGACAGGACTGCATTGTAGGGCTCGACAACGGCCGTAGACACCTGGGGGGCAGGGTACACAGCAAACTCGAGCTTGCACTTCTTGCCGTAGTCCGTGGCAAGACGCTCCAGCAGGAGCGCACCAAAACCGGAACCGGTACCACCACCGAAGGAGTGGAAGATCAGGAAGCCCTGCAGCGAGGTGCAGTTGTCTACACAGATCAGCCCAACGCCATTACATCTCCAGGGGCAGGAGACCTACCGGCCATACGGCGAATACGGTCAATAACACCATCAGCCAGCTCCTTTCCGATGGTGTAGTGACCACGAGCATCTGCACATATTAGCGGGGACGTTCCTCCATCGAGTCCAAAGGTTTCTCCATACAGTTGTTGGCAGCATCCTCCTTGCCGTTGATCAGCATCTCTGGGTGGAAGAGCTGGCGGTACTCTCCAGTGCGAATCTCATCGACAGGCTGCGACAGTCAGCCAATGTGCCCCTCCTGATTTTTCTTTTGTCTCCATGCGTGCAATGCGTACCGAAGGGTCGAGGTCGACGAAGATAGAGCGAGGCACATATTTGCCGTTGCTAGTCTCGGTGAAGAAGGTCTCGTAGGAGCCAGTTTCACCAATGTCGCCCGCGTCAGGGTCCAGGCGACCATCAGCCTTCAATCCATGTTCCAGCAGGTACCTAACCGAAGCAATCAGTTTGACTTGATACTCTCAGGACACTGAAGGTGGAATGGCGGTGAAACACATACAGCTCCCAAGCGCTGTTACCCAGCTGGATACCGGCCTGACCGATGTGGATGTGGCAGATCTAAATATATATAGATATATATCAGTATACTGGGCGTATCAAAGATGTTGCTGTCGTGTTGAATGGCTCGAACGCTCCCCGCAGAGCATGTCGATATGCGCTCAGGGGTTCAACGGGGGGAAGTAAATATCAACATTCCGTGCATTCGTACCTCGCCTCTCATGATGAATGATGGTAGTGCTAATTGCAAGAGAAAAACACGGCGGTCAGCTTAGACGTCCAGCGTCAACCACGTCGAGATCAAGACGAACCTGAATGAGAAAAATAAAATCCCAGATGGAGAGATGGAGAATAAAGGTGAGCTGGAGACGTAGAGGGGGCAGACCGTGCCAGCGGTGGGCTGCCCGTCAACAAGCCTCGCGAACCAGCCAATGAGCGGCTGCCAGCTGCCCCTGACCAGCCAGCTCTACCACGGCTCGCAACAGGCACTCCCGATGCTCTTCCATGGCTATATATACAGCTAGATAGAGCAAGTAGCTATCTGTATCAGACGCTGGCTGCAAAAATGACTCTCGTGTCCGACAGCTGGTGACATGTATAGCTAAGGCCTGCGAGACATTCTGTCGGGAATGCACGTGGGAACGTGGTATGGGCGGGCGGAATGCGGGTTTCCCTCGTGCGCCCCGGACGTTGAGAGAGCAGATTCAGGCTTCAGCAGAGAGTACGGAGTAGTTATGTATACTCCGCTTAACTAGTTCAACCTCTATTCTTGCTTTGATAATAACCCCGTGTCTAATCTCGTCCAACTGGCGGGCCACGATTGGGAGATCTAGGTGCCTCAGGCCCGAGAAAGAATGCCCGCCACCATGAGAGAGCATCTTATGTTCCCATACCTAACAACAGCCGATGAAGAACCTCCAATCTTCTCCATACGACGTCTCCATCATAATATCTTCCGTAAATCTTGCGCCTCTAACGATCACGGCGCTGCGGAGAAGCAAAGCATCGACGACCCCCGGAACCGGATTGTTCTCAATTAACTGACATGGCTCAATGGACAAGACGCAAGATCTCCAAAAACGGTGCATACAACCAGATCGCTGCTGGATGAACCGTGCTACGCTAGAAAACGTCCTGCTTTCCATTGCGGAGTATTCAAGTTCCTAAAGGGTCTCTGAACGAGGAGTGGTCAAGGCTTCATCACCGTCCTGGAAATTGGACTCGAAGTCGACCGTCTGTTGATTCTCATCTGTGGATAAAAGCATCCTATGCGAAGACTCGAAGCACTGCTTGGCATGAAACGAACACTCTCCTATGGTTGGTGCGGTATGATGGGATCTTCATTTTCACAGTCGAAGAGACCAAGTTCACAGGGCAAATATTGCCGATGCGGAACGAATCCGATTCAGCGTCAATTCCTCGCTTCTTCTCTGATAATGGAATGGGTAAACTAGCAGATCTTGGGCGTGGTACGTAGTTAGATAGTGCACATCTCGATTACGGGCTGCGCTACACGCAAAGATCAGCGCTCCCTCGGCTGGCATCGTTTTTGGAAGCTGTAATTTGTTTTTATTGTTACTTGTTCATGCACTCGACTTCACGGTCTAGGGGGACGTTCCTTAGTGAACTGACTAGGGCAATAAAGCGAAAGTTTATTCGACTCGTAAAACTCCGCTTCCATTCACATCCAACCACACCATACGGTCATCACATGGCTGCATCTGTAGGTGATCGAATGCGGAGAAAATACTATCAACGAGAGGACGTGGTACTGTACAATTTACACCAGTATAGCAGGGTTATAACCATCAAAACGACTGATCTGCTGACGTGAACCACAAAGGAAGCCTCGCTCGAAGTTACCGTCATTCAGTAAGCCACATTGCTCTTGGCAATGGGCGTCATAGCAAGGAACTCTGCGTGCGTATCGAGTCCCAGGGTGACGAAGACGACAAATGGTTTCCACGTCGATACCAGGGAAATTCTCGAGGTCAGGTAAGTAGAGCCTGATATTGAGAGTAGATAGAATGTACGCAGCGGACGGTCGTACAGCCTTTCCCTACCTTCGGTTCTGCGGTCCGTTGGAGAAGTCGCCTTTAATCCTGGAGAAGTCGGTGTGGTGGATGGATGGTAGTAGTAGTAGACTAGTCAACTTGCGAGCGAAAAAAGAAAGTTACCCGCGACTCCGATAGTCAGCGATGATCCGAAACAGCTCTGGAGACTAAAATAACCTATTGCCGGTTATCTTTCTGTTGGGTCCTCGCTTAACTATCTGCCGTCTATCATAGCGTCGGATCCCGTCCCAAGACGCTGTACTCCGTATACAGTGTCGGCATCTGAATAGCAATATAACGACCGCAGTGGAGTAAAAACTACGGTGCAATACTGTTTTCTCGTGAGTACGCAACATGTGCATACCGTATACTGTATTATTATTAGAACTCCCGAGAGAGTGATTGGCAGGTCCAGACCCCTTGGTTGGAACAACCTTCAGGCCGTGCCTGGTGGTGGCGTCGAGGCTGGCGGTAGCGGCCCCTGTGGCTGTTTGGAGTGTGGAAACACAGAACGGGGAACATCAGCCCAGCGGGGAGGTTAATATTAATATTAATTATTATTGCGAATCTCTAACATGAGAAGCAGGGGGGTGCTTTCAGGGTACTCTGGAGTCTGGAGTCTGGAATCGAGATAGAGATGAAGGCTAGAATCGACGTTGGTGGCTTTTCGGGTCGAGAAACGCGATGAAACATCCGTGACCAGCCAACCAGATATCCCTTGGGGTCTCCAACGTCATGGGCTGGGCCCTGAGGACAACCGCGGTCAGAAGGAGTAATGAATAATGATAATAATAATAGTAGTAGTAGTAGTAGCCTTAGTTACTCACAGAGGACATCCATCCAGCAGACACAGACCGTTACTCCACAGAAGAGACTCAACGTCGTGGAGATTGTGGAATGGGGAACCAGCGGTAACCGTTTGCAAAGCAAGATTGTCTGAGGAAGACGTTCTTAGCATAATGATATCCACACAGGTAATAATAATAATAACAATAATGAGTGAGATTCTGGCTCACTACTGCCTCCGACTCCTTAATATCATTATTATTCTCGTTCCGGCTCACTCACTACCTGGAAATTAACGGTGACAACGGTGACGACTGGTGACAGCCGTCAAGCGGGCTGATCAAAAGAGAGTATCACATCGGCCAAACCAGTCGAGACTCGCGAACGGACCGCGCAGTGGGACGGACTGTAGTCTTGAGTATATCTGGGAACTGCAGCACGGCTGAGGCGGAAAAGTTTGATCGCGATCGCAGGACAGTCGATGGACGAACAAGAACCGCTCATCTCCACCGCCAAGCTCGGCCGTCGTGGACCTCTGTCGTCTACCATCTCCCACTTCATCGCTTCTCCCAGGTTCACCTCGACGGCCAGACCCTATCACAATGCTCGCAACTCGAGTACTGGCACCCCGCCGCGTAGGGCCTCGAAGATGGTCCCGAACGAAAATGCCTGTACTTATGCCGGCTCCCGATCTATGGTACAGTACCATGTCCACAGCCCCCAGGCCTTCCCCATCCATCCCAGCTCTATCTTTGGTCTCTCTATCCGTCGCCGCCACGGCTCGCCTCTCTTGCGTTCTGCAAGCCATCCCCGAGCTGCCTCCACCGGGCCTTTGTCGCTGATCTTTCTTCTGCTCTCGCGGTCCTCCCCCCCCCCCCCCCCCCTTCTTTTCCTGGCAGATACTTAATTGTCCATCTTGGTCTGCTTCAAGAAAACCCGTTGGCAGGGTTGATTGTTCTATGCTGGGAATCGTTCTTTACCCCACAGTCGTTACCCTTGTTCTGGACCAGTCTGTTGTAGTGGTCAACGCAGATACCCTCGACCGAGTTGGGGATTCACTTCCTCGTCTCTAGTTCCTCTTGTCTTGTGGAATAGACGGTCCGGAGTCGACGCCATGTCGACTCCCACGGAGGAACTCAACGACCCCAAGTACACAGAAGCGGGAAAGAGGGACAGAAACAGCGCGGACAACTCTCCATCAGACGATGGCACCTTCATTGGTGAAGGGCCAGCAGAGCCCAACGAGACCAACGAATCCAACGAGCCCAACCGCAACTACTTGAACATCGACACCATCGACGTACCTCCTCCGCCGCTAAGGGTTGAGCCTTCGCCATCCCAGGCTCGTGAGCAAGCCAAGCGGCTGGAGGATGATCTCGCCCTGTTGGAGGCCGAGAGGACCGCTGCTGCCAGCACCAGCCAGCTGGACGAAGGTGGGAGCGGACGCTCAACATCAATGAACCGGTCTCGCTCGCACAAGTCCGAGCCGATAGACGAGTTTGATGCAGCGACGAACCCGCTGCATGAGACGGCTGCTCGTTACACGCCTCCGGAGAATCCAACCACTAATTTCGCCAAATTCTTCATCAAAGTCCATCAATCCAATCTCTTCGTCCGCTACTTCACCTATATCGTCCCTGTCGTTTTGTTGCTGCTCATTCCGCTCCTGGTGGGCGCACTACGCTTCAAAACCGCCAATGTCGGCGGTGTCGAGCTAGTTTGGTTCTCGGTTTGGTTGGAAATTGTCTGGTTGACACTATGGGCAGGCAGAATCGCCGCCAAGTGCCTTCCCGGGCCCATTGGGATCATTTCTACTATTTTCACCAATAATTCGAAGAAGTGGCGCGATCTCGGAAAATCGCTCGAATTGCCGGCGACGTTGTTCTTCTGGTGGTTGGGTGTGGAAATTTCATTCCTTCCTACTATGAAGAACCATCACATCGACGGCAATACAACAACGCGGGGTTGGGAAATCACCGTGAATAAGATCATTGTCTCGATCTTTGTGGGGACGATCCTCAACTTTATCGAAAAAATCATCATCCAGTTGATCGCCATCAGCTTCCATCTTCGTACCTACGCGGACCGCATTGAGATCAACAAATTCCAGATCGGGAGTTTGACCAAGCTCTACGCTTACTCGAAGCAGATCATTGCTATGGAAGACACCGAGTTTGAGCAGCATGACGAGAAGAAGTCTGGTGTCAGAACACCGCTAAAGTACGCCAGTAAAGCCCAGAAGGCCGCCAGAGGTGCTCTCAACAAAGTTGGGGACGTCGCTGGTGGCGTAGTTGGTGATTTCACTGGCAAGAAGGTGAACAACAGTTCGCATCCGCACCAGGTCATCCTGGCACTGCTCAGCACCACGTCGGGCAGTCAGGTCCTGGCACGACGTCTGTACCGGACCTTTGTCCGTGAGGGCTTCGATACTGTCTTCTCCGGTGATCTCAAGTCGGCCTTTGACAATTCGGAGGAGGCAGAGGCAGCGTTTGCCATGTTCGACAAGGACATGAACGGCGATATCTCCATGGAGGAACTGGAGGCTGTGTGTGTCGAGATCGGACGGGAGCGGAAATCGATCACCGCATCCTTGAAAGATCTGGACTCTGTCGTGTCCAAGCTCGATGATGTGTTCTTTTTCATCGTCCTCGTCATTACGATTCTTGTCTTCCTGTCGTTGATCTCTACGTCGGCTGCTGGCGTTCTCACGTCTGCCGGTTCTACAATTCTGGCTTTGTCCTGGCTCTTCTCCGCCACAGCCCAGGAGTTCCTCCAGTCCGTTATCTTCGTCTTCGTCAAGCATCCTTTTGATGTTGGTGACCGTGTGACTATCTATGGTAGCACCGGGGCTACCTTGACTGGGGACGACTATTTCGTCAAGGAGATCGCCCTTCTATACACGGAATTTAAGAAGATGGAGGGTCATGTCGTCCAGGCGCCGAACAGTTACCTCAACACACTGTTCATCCTGAATCAGCGTCGTTCCGGAGGTCTTGCAGAAGCTGTTCCCATTACTATCAAGTTTGGCACGACCTTGGAGCAGATCGACGCCCTTCGTCAGCGACTTCTTGAGTTTGTTCGCAGCGAGAAGCGCGAATACCAAGGCAATATCCTGACTGAGCTTCGTACGGTCACCGAGAACTTCTCCATCACGCTCAATGTCGTCTTCTTCTATAAGTCGAACTGGCAGAACGAATTGCTCCGTCTGCAACGCCGCAACAAGTTTATCTGTATGCTTATGGTATCGCTTCAGGAGATTGGTATCGAGGGACCTCGCATGAACCTGTCTGGTTACCGTGTCGACATGCCCGTACATGTGACGCACCACAATGCTCCCCCCACGTACAGTGCAGCGACCCAAGGCAGCCTACCGCCAGGCTCAGCTGGCAGCGACTTTAGTTCCCCTTCCGCTGTCCATCCCGGTAACCCTCCTGGCTCCAGCGGTAGTATCCGTCCCAGCCACTCCATTCTGCGGAAGGGAAGTGACGTGGCCGCTGCTCGCGCCCGTGGCGAAGCTATCTCGCCCCACAAACATGTCGATTTCTCTCTTGGTATGCAAAATGTGGCTGCGGAAGATCTCATGGGTGATGTGTATTCGGACCGTGGCAATTCAAAGTACAATGAGATTGTTCGCAGCACCAACCGTGAATCTGCGGAGCGACGACTACAGGAGGTTCGTGAAGAGGAAGATCGCCAGCGTTCTTTGTCTCGACAGCGAAGCATCCTTTCCAACCAGAGCGGCCCTCATGCCGCAGGAGGAATCGAGGCTCGTGAGTCTGTAGATGCTGGTAGCCGCACCAGTTTCTCGTCTTCGGTCCGTCGCAACCGGTTCTTCCACCGCCAACCCCAGGCAGTCGAACATGAGGACCTCATGGAACAGGGCCGTGTTGAACAGCCCGAGCATATTGACCCTCGCACCGGTACCGTCTCTCGGGCGGCTGTGCGCGATGATTCCGTCTCTGCGGCGTCTCACCAGTACTAGGGGCCGTGAGGATGTATATCCCTCCCTGTTACTCCTTTCTTGCTAATACTTCACATCATATACCGTTCTGCTTTAATGAGTAACCATACCCCTCCTGTGATTATGTTGTTGATGTCTAGCGCTTCCTGCCCGTTGCGGCACTACGCTGTTTTTCTTCCCTCGAAATTCTCGATATGAGAATTTGTGTATGTACAATGTGAACGCTATATGTGTGATATGGTTTTTAAGAACTGGGCCATCTTGTCATGTTCAATGTTTCATGTCTATTTTTCTTCTCCAAGGTCCCATAGAAATACTTCTTTTAGTTGGTACGCCCCATGAGGTGCATTTTTTTACATGCAAGTACAGTCAGCTCCGCGCGACAGCTCGAGCATTATAGAGATAGTTAGAGACTTCTGGGAAATGATTACTAGAGATGATATGCTCTTCCATTTTCACTTTCTCCTACCTACCTACCTACCTACCTAACCTACATAGCACAGCAAGGACGTACTTGTAACTCAGTCATCAGAGGGAGGGGGGATTAATTTTCCTTTCTCTCTAGCTCAGAATCCTAACCAGGAAATATCTAACATGCTACTACGCTACTATATTAGTAAAGAAAGTACCATCATGATTGATATCATTTGAACTCTTTCTTTCCTTTTTAACTTTGAGCTTATATCCTAGACTGTAATATGTATATGTATATGTGTGTTAACGCTACCGTGCAGAAGACAAGACAAGATGCAAGATGCACGATTCAATCAGTACCATTAAACGCAGAGAAGAAAGCAGACGAAAAAAAAAAAAAGTAAGGCAGGAAGTATTTACTATTTCAAGACAATCAAGTACCATACAACTAGGTTACATAAATACCATAGGAGCTTATCATTACACACGTCGTTTTAACAAGATAGTTAGTTACATCAACAAAAAGTAATACAATTTCCCAATTTCTCTTCTGGAGAAACAACTATCCTTGGCGACTTCGCCTGGATGAAGTGAATTGAACAAGAGCAGTGGTAGATAGATAGATAGATACATACATACAGCAGAGAAGAGGTAATGGTAATATACTGTACTAGAAAAGAGAGGGGCAAGACAAACAAAAAGAGCCAAGAGAGAATAAGGACAAACGGCTTTCAAATCTCTAGCAGAAGATAGAACAGATCAGGACGAGAACACGCTTTCTTTCCCTTTTTATTCTTCCTGCTGTTGGAAAAGCTTTTCAATTCTCTCAAGTACCTTCTTTTTGGACACTTTTCGTTGTATTTTGGTACAGGCCGCTTTTCCACGGAAAACAAAAGAAAAGCGGCAGTGATTTTTCTTCTGAAAAAAAATTCCCCCATGAATGGGTCATTTTCTCTTCCAGATTTCCTTCTCTTCACTTTTTTTTTTGGGGTTGCTTTTTTGTTTACCTCGAAAACGATAAATCGGTGACTTACACAGTTCCTTCGGTCTTGGAACAGGCTGTAACAAACATCGCAGAGATGAGAGCACATGAGAAAACTAGGAGAGGAATTTGATAGCAGAATTGGAGAACAACCGACGGCAACTGGAGCCGAATCCGCCCAGCCCAAGAGCAAAACCTGAACACCCCGCTGGCTATGGATAAATAGTACCTGGACAAAAACCAACATAACAGGCCCGATTGTTTGAACATAGAAAATGAAGGGAAAAGGAAATGAGAATGATCGACACAGTACGATGGTGACAGGACAGAATGATAATTGGCATCAACAATAGACATAGAATGGAAAAGAAAAAAAGAAACAAGAGGTCAAGAGTGAAGTGGGCAGATGAGTCGTTAATTGGCTATTGCCAAGTCTAGTGGTAAAACAGATGATGGTAGTGATGGTCCCTTCTCCAGAGGACCACTTGAGAAGTTCTCATCGCCTCTTCCATGGCAGGATGCCGATCCGGCTTCTCTCCGACAGACGTGGGGTCGGATCTGACTCGGAGTCTGGCTCTGAAGGGAGCGGAGTATGCATGGGTCTAGGCGTTGCGTCCGCATCGGCAGAGGTGGCAGCGTCAGTATCAACAGCTGCATCGGCGCCGACATCTGGGCCAATGACTGCCGCTGCTCTACTAACACTCGCAGGTTCCATATCTGTGAAGGCTGCAGATGCCTTTGCAGGGACATCAGAGTTGCACTCGACGGGAAAGATGATTGGGGGCGTGATATGGCCTTTCTTTTCGGTCTGAGGCTCAGACGTGGCACTTGATTCCTTGGTGGTTTGAGGCATCGTTTGAGAAGATGCGTGGACTTGCGTCACGTATTGAGGCAGGAAAGGCCGGTGTGTCGATTCTTGAAGCGCTTCTTGATCCTCTAGGTCATCTTCCGTCACCGTCTGCAGTGCTTCTTCGGGAATATGGAGCCTCTCAAATGTATCTTCCAGACCAACATCAGCTGGAGAGCCACCTGTTTCACGAGACTGTTCGTCACTGGCTCCTTCGGTGTTGCCCGCGCGGATCTTCTCAAGCGCTTCCTTTTCCTTTTTGAGGATTTCTTCACTGCCACTGACGACGCTGCCACGACTGTTCGTCCGCATCATTTCCGTCCCCAGTTTGGAGCCCGACCGTGGAGTCTTGTTGTTTGGACTACGAGCCTGCACTTGAGCGTGCCCCAGCTCCTCATCCTCATCGTCTCCTGATTCCGCACATTCATACCGCTTCTTCTCGAGTGATTCTCGTTTTGCACGGATAGCTTCACTAGATCGCTGTTTCCGAGGAGTCATTGGGCCTGCAGTGGTGACATAGGCAGGGGCCGAGGAAGCGTGGAGCAATTGTGGGACAACAACGGCAGCTGGGTCGACTTTAGGTTCATTCGCTGCCTTTGCAGCTACTTCATCGGAAATCCCCAGACCACCTTGATTACTACTACCCCAGTCCTCGCCGTGGCGACTGATAACGACGGGTACCTCCTCCGCTTTGATAGAATCCATATCCCCGAAGTAGCTACTGCCCACCGAGTCTTCGCGACTGGACCCACGATAGGAACTGGGCACCAATTGTGGGAAGCCAGAAGATGTTGAGCTAGGACTGTCTTCAGCACGCACTGATGATTGCCGCAAGGCGGAGGTCGGAATAGTCAGCGGCTGTGCAGGATTGTAGTCCTTCGGTGGCGGCTTCCAGTGACAGAACTTGCAAAGTGCTTCTGTGAACTTGGTCAAAGTCGGTGGCTTCTCGATGAGAGCATCGAAGTGGTGAGTCTCTGGCAAATCCTTCAAGTAGCCCGTGACAGCTATGATAGGTGTATGCGTGTTGGCACTCCTCGTTTCACGCACCATTCGAGCCACATCGGCGCCGTTGATCTGAGGTAGCTTAAATTCCGTCATGATGATATCGAACTCGACCTCGCTCAGCGCATAGCGTATTGCTTCCGATCCGTTGACAGCTGTGATAGTGCGGCAGCGCAGCTTCTCAAACAGCCGCTCCATGACAAGCCTAGAAACCGGGTGATCCTCGCAGATGAGTACATCAAGGGGTCTGAAGAACGGCCCCTCAGAAAGGTTGATATTCGACAATCGTCGTGAGCTCTGCCTCCGGCGTTGCACCTTCAGTAAGGCCTTGGTACGGGGATCTTCGTTGTCTGAAGACGATGGAGAAACATCAAACAGCTGGCTGCGACGCTTGTGATGGCCTGGCATGAACGTCTCCTTGAGTGTTGTGAAATCTCCATCCTGGGAGCCCAAGGTCTGCGACCTAGTGCGGGACGTCGGGACACTACTCTGGCGTGGACCGGACGGTGTCTTCTCCGGCGACTGCCCGGGTACTCGGATAGGCTTCACAGGGGATGATACGGTAGGTCCAACTTTGATGTTGGTCGTCAAACGAGAAGGTTCAGAAGAAGTGTGCTGTGGAGCTGCGCCAGATGGAAGTGAATTTGTAGACGAGGAGCCCGAGGTCTTTCTGCGCTCATGGTTTTGCCCAGTACTGAACTGGACGAGTAGGGGAGACGAAGGCTGCGACGGTCGGCTAGGAGATGAATTCGCTTGGCTGTGATTCGACGGAGAAGACGGTCTGTTGTTTCCCTTACTGTGTGAGAGCGTCCGCTGGAGCGGCATCGGTACAGGGGGGCTGCCTTCGAGAGATGGGCCAGATGTGGACAATGGTGTTTGCACTGCTGAGATCGCCTGCCTCTGTTGCGTCTGCATAGCCTCCTGGCGTAGCTTCTGGATGACATCCTTGTTGGCCTTTTCGAGAATAGGGAGGTTCTTGAAATTGAAGTTTCCAAAGTCGTCCGCCATTGAAGGTTCACTCAGCCTTCTGCTGCGCGTATCACGGACATGCGGTGGTATATGAAGCGGCATCAGCCCTCGCTTTATGGAGTTCACCTGAGTACGAACTTTGAAAAGCGCATCGTGTGGACGATCTGGATAGTCTGCTGAGGGGAATGGAGGCTGCGGAGAGGGTTGATCTTCTATTTCCTCGGTGAAGGCTTGTAGAGTGGCCCCTCTTGCATCGAAATACTCCGTGTCCTCTGGATTCTCAACGTTTGGCACAAATTGTGCCTTGTCTTCAAGCAGAGTGTCCCAATTGATATCCGAAAACCAAGGATGACTACGGATTTCTGCCCCTCCGCTCGGGAACTTTTCAGCGATATTGGCGCCAAGTCTCTCTTCGGGCTTGACTGTCATGAGCTTGTTCATTAGGTCTATCGCTTCTGGCGAGGCCAGTTCCTCTGCGCAATCCGGCCAGTTGATTCTTCTGTTCAAGATGTTCTCGAAGACTTCATCTGGAGTAGGGGCGTTGAAGGGTGGGTAGCCGAAAAGGAATTCGAACAAAATGCAACCAAGTGACCACCAGTCGCTCATCTCATCCTGTCCAACGCCGTTGATGGTTTCTGGGGCGAGATAATCCGGGGTACCAACAAAACGCCGATTATGGTCTTCGGGATCGAACAGGGCCATGGCTGGGGGAAGCATCGACTGCTGGGGAGGCGTATTATGCAGGGCACCGACCGACGATGCATGGCTGACTGTTGGCTGGAGGGCATAAAGATTGGGAGAGTCACTGGGCTCACTTGGGGCTTCCTCGTCTGGCAGCATCTTGTTTGGTACTACAGGAACGGGGGCGGGTGTATCGCTGCCTTCGGTGAGAGAGAATGTCTGAAACATTGACGCCAAAGCGTCGCTACTTCCGCTATCACTCCGGTACCCAGACGCCCGTCTGGAATTCTCACGATGGAGAGGATTGTGGCCGAGGCTGAAGTACGATGGTTGATTGTAACTGTTGGAAACCTCAGGCGTGATGAGTGGAGTAGATCCCGGCGAACCTTGCAAGTCGAACGATGCTGAGCGCGACGATGCCAATGACATGGCTCGGGGAAAGGGTCCTTGCTTAAGCAGGTCAGGGGCCGAGTCGTTTGGACTCTTCAGCACCCGCTTTTGACGGCCGACGAGTCCCATGCGTGACAGACCGAAGTCCGTCAGTTTGAGGTGTCCCTTCTGGTCAATCAGGAGGTTGTCCGGTTTGAGATCCCGATGAACGATTCCCCTACTGTGGAGATGCTCAACCCCTAGGACAACTTCTGCGATGTATTTCTTCGCCCAGTCTTCGGGCAATCCACCCAAGACCTTGACAAGAGATGCGCAGTCACCACCGTTGAGATACTCCATGACCAAGTAGAGGTAGTCTTTACTGGAGAAAGTCCAGTAGAGCTTGGCAACAAAGTCACTCTCGCCTTGCCACATCATAATTGCCCGTTCTGCTTTGACATTGGTGACCTGGTTTTTAGCGATCATATCCGCCTTCTTGAGCACTTTGATGGCAAAGTATTCGCCCGTGGTCTTCTTCTTCGACAAGTACACGCTGCCGAATGCACCCTTGCTGATGGGTTTAATGATCTCGAAGTCCTTGATTGACGGCGGTGCAGGACGGGGCTGGGGTTGGCTAACTGAAGACAGTCGCGGCGAAACTGGTGGCTTGGCCACCTCTGAGGAGGCCGTTGACGATTGCCTGCGGTGATGGTGATGGTGATGATGAGGGTGCTGCAACGATGGATGAGAAGCCAGCTCAGCAGTGGTGAGTGAAGGCGATACAACGGGGGAAGGGATATCACCGCTGGGGACACGAGGTTTAGAGATTCTCAAGGGGGATTGAGGAGGACCCCCGGTCCGGGCGGGGGAATGCTGCCTCCGGGGTGAGCTGGACAGGCCAGGAAGTACTAAGCTCTTCCTCTTCCTTTCTTTTGAACTGGTTGTGCGAGAAAGACTTCTCTCGGAGGATGGGGAGTCGGTCCGCATCGCACTAGCCAGAAAAGACGACGATGGCAAGCTGCTATCGCTGTATTCTCCGGTGTCACTTTCCGCTAGTAGAGAGCCTCTTTTAGAGGGCTGAGACGTGCCTAGTAGACCGGCGGTGCTCCTGTGAGAACGTGGAGTAGGACATTCCATTGGACTGCTAGATCGAGTCGACACAGCGATCGATGACGTTCTCGGAGACGGCATAGACTGCTCTGAGGGGTTTCGCATCGGTATTGGCATCGGAGAACTCGGCCCTGGTCGTGGTTCGAGAGATATGCTTCGCACAGAACGCCCTGTGTCCGTGTTCTCGGCATGCTCATCATCAGAGCACGTCGAAGACGAATCGCTCAATTGTCCAGCCGCAATTCGCTCCGCCTTGCTCAGAGCAGCGGTGATGCATTCTTCCACCAGAACCGTATACTCGATCCGAATTCGCTCTGCGTACTCGACAATCCTGCGATGACGGATGACGGCATCTACCTTGGCTCTGGCTGCTGCTTCCGTATCAGCGGATAAAGCAGCAAGTCCCTGCTCCTGATCGAGGGTATTGGAACTGGGTGATTGCCATTGCAGGACCTGAGATATCCGAGATTCTGACTGGGGAGAGAGAGTCCGGAAGTCATCACCAGTATCTGCCCGAGATTCCTTCAAGGCGGGTGTACTGATTTCCAGGGCAGTGTCGCAGAGATCGAGGATCAACTCCACAATACGAGATAACGGTCGTCGCACGGCGAACGATCGTCCTCTTGCATGCCCCCCGAGTCCCGATGTAGACTGATCCCTGGATCTGGTTGGTGTCCCAGGAGAAGAGTTGGGAGCACTTGTCTGTCCAGACGAGGGGGCAGAAGATGCTGGTGAGGGTCCGATGGGGAGGCCCTTGTATTCGGGCTGCGGAACAGCTGGAGCACCGGCATCGCCGGTCATTGGTCTACCCTGTTGAGCCTCGAGCGCATCAAGAACTTTGACGATAGCGTGACGGTGTTCGTTCAGATTCTCTTGCGCTATCTGGACATCCAACTCGGCCCGATGTTCTTGCAGACAGAGTTCGGAGTGCTTCTCAAACCACCACGGAGTAATCTGACGCTCACAGATCCGACACAAGACGGGACTGGGAGGGGGGTATGTTGCGGGATCGGCACCTTTACCAGCAGCCTCCGCCAAGTTGGTGAGATAGTTGGCCAGGACCTCCGCCCCAACCCCCAGAGATTCCACCAGCAACGGGGGAAGATCGATCGTCACTTCTCGGGGCTCCGTAGATGGCCGTAGCATCCACATCGACTGTAGGAGGTTGCGTTAGTTTTGCCCTCATCTCTGTTTGATGACGGCTCGAGGAACACTCACATGTCCGGATCCATCTGCTGAGCGGTCAAAGACCATGATTCCCTGGGCTTCCATATCGAGGATGTCTCTGTGCCATTCTTCCTCCTCGTCATCTTGTGTGCCCTCCTTCGCAATCTCTTGTTCTTGACCCTCCTGCGTCTTTTCGTGTTCTTTTTCCGGTTCTGGCGGCCGGGGTTCCGGGGAGTACTTCAGCACCGAGTCAGGCCCCATCCGCACTGAGAAGCGGATGAAGCGACTGCGGGAGTCGTCCTCCTTCATCGCCTCGATCGCATCCTGAAAGGCAGTCGCGTTATTCTCCAAAACATCAGAGATCATGCGGCCTTCTACCGATTCGACCGGGGAGCCCACGACCTGGCGCCACGACGGGCTGACCCATTTGATCCGGCCATCGAGACCCAGATCGAGGATGACATTCAACGTCTGCTCCGCCGCTTCCTTGAGATCTTCGCGTTCTTCCCGCATGTCTTCACTCAGGGTCCGCTCCATGGGAAGCCTCTTCGGATCGGCCTCCTGCCTCAAGGCCATGACGGCCGGCGGAGCCAGGAATTGCGGACTGTCGGTGCCATTGCCCGCCATTCTGAACCAACAAGGGAAATCGACAGCAGTGCCTCCACGCGGAGGGCACGACGTAGAGAGGGGCCAGCACGGAGGAAGAGTGCTGGAAAAGTTCGAACTGGATATTGTAGAGCAGAGCAGAGCAGAACCGTCTGCCAGGCAGATCGGGTGCCCGAGAGCTGGTTACGGCTTCATCCGCGACATCAACAGGCCATGGTGGGGAGGGGGAACCTGTCGCGGAGGGATGCAGTTGAAGATGACAATCTCACTGCAAGCCGGAGCGGACGATCGGATGACTGACGGTGGACGCTGGGAGCGTGCCCGTAAAGAGAGAGAGGGCAAGCAAAGAGCAGGACTTGTGTGTTCAAAACGTTCTTGCTGGGCAGAGGAATGAAGAATGACTGACGCCGGATAACCAGTGACCAGTGGCCGTGTCGAGAGTAGTATTGCGGGAGGGGCGCGAAGGCGTCGACGGGGCGGTGGAGCGACCAGTGAGACCAGGCAGAACGAGAAACCCACCTTCTCAACGATGACGCTCAGCCAGATGGCATGCACGCAGAGGGGGGAGAGAGAGAGACAGAGAGAGAGAGAGAGAGTGAGAGAGAAGGGGGATTTACAACTGTTCTTGGTCTGGAGGGATTGGCGTTGGGGAAAGGGGGATCCAGAGCGAAGAAGAGAGAGGACGGGCGAGGTTTCAACTGTGGTGGACGGCGAGAGAGAGCGAGAGCACGAGACTCACGCGCGACGCTGACAGGGCGAATGGTGTGTGTGTGTGTGTGTTTAAGAGGGTATTGTCACCAAATAACAACAGCTGCAGTAATAATAATTATTTAGCTGCCATCAATTAAAAATATGAAAAAATATATTAGTCTCTAACTAGCACCACAAAAAATAATAAGAAAAAAAAAGACCACTGCCTTTCCACTGAGATTGAGCCAGTATCATCAACTACTACTACTACTGCACTGGTTCCCACCGGCCTTCTTAGTTACTACGGGCTCCCCATCGCCAGAAGGAGGAAGATGCAGCTTCATCTGTACAGGATGCTGCCCCGGTCCTGGCAAACCACCAATGTCCATCCATGGCGCTGCGCGTTCATCCTAGTCAAGACGCCCTAACCCAAGTCAAATCATACTCTCTCTGATGCTCGATGGTCGATGGTCGAGGTCCTTTATCAGCACGCTGCTGCGCCAACCGGAGCATGCTCAACCGCTATCTCGACGCCTTTTTTGTTATTTGTTTTTTGTTTTCTCGGTTTGTTCTAACCGGCTAAGATCCGTCTGCGTTAGAAGCGCCTTTCGTCCCTTGCTGGGGGCCCTCTCACAGCCTACGTGTCTCCCTTCAAACTGCGAGACCAGCCAGGGTCTCCATCGCCGATGACGTTGAGATCATCGATCCGAACAGAGGGGAGAGGGAGAGAGACAGACAGAGAGCGAGAGTCTCAGCGAGAGAGACTCTCGCATGGATCGGATCGGATCAGATCATTCCATTCTCGAGTCCTGTATCTACAGCCGTTGCTGGATCGTTCTCTCCTTCCATCCACGTCTCTGGCGCGGAGGATCTGTCCTGCCCGATAGTCCAGGCACTGGCCGCTTAGTCCCAGGTACGTACTGGCACGCGTCTCCGGTTGATTCGTCCGGGCGCGAGTGAAGCGATGGTGGACGACGGTATTATTATTATTATTGCAGCGACAGGAGACTCCTCGACTCCGGAGCATCAGGCCCGTCGTGTCTCATCGCGGGATCCGTCCATAGATAGAACCCCCTCCCGGACGCCGAAACCAAACAAACACCCGGGTCTGGTAATCTTCGCCTGCACGAAGATCGATGATGTGATATCCGTGAACTTTCATCGTCTGCCTTTGACCTGCCCTTGGATCTACCGTGTGCTCTCTTCTCGTCACTGGTCGATCGTGCTATCTCAGTCCCACATCGCCAGCCAGCCTCCCCAATCCGGATCGAACGGGACTGGCCGACTGATGAAGAATGGCTTCACAAAAGTTATGAAGGCTTGAGAGAGTCAGACAGAGAGAGAGTCAGACAGAAAGCTAAAGATAATTTCTCCCTTCATTTTTTTGCCTTTTGCCCCGTGATCGCATCGGGCTGGTGGCTCACGGCTGTCCTCGTAGGGTTCGCTGCCATTGTTCTCGCCGTGGATGCGCTCGTGGCGTGAGAAGGACTGCGAGCAGACCAGCATCGGATTCGGGAGAACCTCTCCGCACCCACTGCTACTATCTACTCCTTGTCCTGCGCCGACATCCTGCACTGCTCCGACATGTCCGATTGATAATACTATTGACCACACTTTCTGACTCGATGGCGCTTTTTGGCAGAAAAAATCACAGAACTCCAGGTGATCGGTCGTCGTTTCCACAGCACACTGGACCCGGTCATTTTGCAGCCACACAACCTCCGAATGGATGCTGTCCGAAATCTAAAATAACCCCTTTGAGTTCCGTCGACGCTGGAAGACGCCTCTTGGCGGCGACAGTGGTAAGAGTGGCAGGATCACCGCTCCCTGATGGCCACTACAGCTCGTGCCCGCCGCTTCCATTCTCGTTTAACCACGGCTGCACAGCGATCGTCTCTCCCACATACTCACATGCATCATCAGACGCCATCCTTCAACGTAGATGGGCCGTTGGAACCGGGAGAGTTGGAGATCTCCCATATCTTGCAAGTATGTCCCTGCGGGGTGAGGCGGGGTCGCCCAATGTCTACGGGGTGATCCTAATACTCATGCGACCTCGCTGCGTCTGTTTCGCAGTCTATCTCTTCATGGACGTCATGTCTCTGCTCCTTGTAATATGTGCTAGGTTGAACCGTTGAAGGGAAAGCTGATCAATCAAGCCTCCTCGCTTGATTCGGTCATTAAGAGTGCACTACGTATCAGGATCGAGGCCTAGTGTGGTAAGATCAGGTCTTCTGGTCCCGGAAAGGAAGTTCTATGATCTGGAAGACTACCCCCGGCTCCAGCGACCAAGATTTCTATCAGTCAGTACGGTAGTAGGTACGCCGGACTGTAAGCTGAGCAGGAGGATCCCGGACATACAGATGCGATCGCACTCCTGAACCACATTTTCCCCCATCGATCGATTAAAATGATTCCATTGCTGAGTTTGATCTGCAAACGCGTCTACTGTCTTGGTTGGCTCGCCAGCGAACTTGACTCGAAGTCAACTACCCGCGATGCGGATAGAATAGAGACCGAAATTCCGGATTGCAGATCTTCCCCTCTTCTTCAGACACCCCAACTGGGCGGAGCCATCAAGCTCATTCCATTTCGAGGACTACGTCTGGATTACTCCGCAGGAACCGGTAACAAAGGGCTGGCGGTTCAAAAAGCTGGGGTATCCGGGGAAGTCTAAAATAATGTTCTACGAGTGGATCCCATCCGGCCGGCTGACCCTAGAGCAGAACTACCAGAACAGCAGATGCTGCAGCCTATGTGCGGCATAGAAAAAGAAACCAGGTTTTTTTTCTATCACCTCCCAAGAGGAATTGAGTACGAACTCAATGTCGCAAAGTATTATCATTACGAAATCGTTTCTCAATCGCGGCGATGAAGGCGCTGGCCAGAACCGCTGGCCGAACAGAGACATCGGTCTCGTGACACCGTCAAGGCTCCTCGCACATGGAACCTCACAGGGTGGCGTGCCCTCGAGGTGCTCTCTGAACGAAATCTAGAATTCGCGCACCGCAGGCCGCATTGGGTCTACGACGCTACAGCACCGGTAGGCACTGTACGACGCTGGCTTTGGCCGGCACGGTTGTCTTAAGAAACGGTAGGTTTTGAGCGAAGGCTCAACAGCTGCTACAAAGTTTATACGATCAGAGAGCTTCGTCAGTGATTTCTTCGAATCGTCTAGGGATGCTTGCGCTCTTCTTGTGGCTCGACTGCTGGGGAGGCTCAGCCCACCAGGCAAAAGATAGCCTACTGCTCGTCATAGCATTCAAATTGCAGCAATACACTTACCTTAAAATATACTTAGCAGCGGGAAATAGTAGCACTATCATTATTGCTCACTACCGGTTTGATGGAAGCATGCTACCTGCTGTCATCAAGTTGCTCAAGTGTATAAGCCTCTCCATGGTGCTGTGATGTCTCTCAGCTACTAATTGGGCCCAGTGATTCTGAGCGTCTCAGACTTTTTAGCATAGATTCAGTACTGTGCCTCTTGGCGTTATCGAGTGTGCTATGAAGGTAGGTGCCGGCCATACCAGGGTCTTCCCAAGCCGTTCTTGGACGCTGTACTCTGCGGTACTAGTTTCATCAAGTCCACTTACATGGCAGGATAACGCCATTGGACTAATGACCTCCACTGAAAATACCTGTGTATTATAATGAGAGTGGAGTCTATGCGTACTGAGCACTCGATCGGGTTTCTGGTATCTGTTCTGGTCGAGCGTCTCTCTTGCTTGAAACTAAGTTGTACTGGTCACTCAATTGAAGTTTTAGTCTGGGCTAACTACAATATAACCAGTTCTTCTCATCGCGAAATTTGAGGGTCTAAGCTCGTAGAGAAAAAAAAAATCTCCACACATGAAGTCGGTGAGCAAGTATCGGGTGATATAGGGAGAAGGGGAAGGATGGATAAGACGAAATCATCTAGGTACGTCTGAAAATTTAGATACAACAGAAAATGGAGAAAAGAAGAAACAAATTTAAAAGCTGCTCGTTTTATTTTATTTTTATTTTATTTTTTGGGTTTCTTTTTTACCTATCTCAATTTCCCTGCCCGCCCCAAGTGGGTTAGTTTGACGCGCTGTTCCAGAAATATAAATATAAAAAAACAACCCGACCCGACTCAAACAATCGCGAGATTACTCGAATCGATACTCCAACCCCTCCCCTTTCCCCCGATCCCTTCATCTAAACCCGCCCTGCCCATCTAACATGACCACACCAAGAGAATAATAATTAGTTACCTAGTAAAAGAGAAGTCTAATCTGGTCTGGTCTGGTCCAACGACCACCTACCTATCCTTCAACCCATGCATGCATGCATACACATGCACGGTATATCCGGAAAGAAACCTACCGAGCTGGACTGATTGTTTTATTTTAGATACCATAGCCAATCAGCTTCCTCTTTTTTGGTTGATAATGGAATCGAGAAAAGAGCGTGCCATTCGGGAACTGAGAAGCCGTGTGTGTCTCAAATGATGCTAGTTTGATCAATATGGCGTGGTTATTATTGGATATTGAATATGGATGGGAGGGGATAGAAAGGGGAAAGGAGGAAATAGTTGGGATAAGGTCAAACTTGCTTGAGATAAATGAAATGGGCTTTGAAATTGATATTAAAGCAATTATATCTGAAAAGGTTTATACCTACTTTCCAGCCTGGTAGGTTTTCGCGATAGTTATATACATGTACATGCATGAGATGTTTTCTCGGTGGGCTCCCTTTTTATTCATGCGAAATTCAAGAGATTACAACGTCTTCTTTCCCGATTCCTGCCTTTCCCGCTCGACTATGTATCCCACAGCTCTGGCGAGGCCCTCGTCAACCGGCACGATGGGCTTGTAACCAAGCCTGAGCTTGGCCTTGTTACACGAGTAGTAACGCGTCATACACGAGTATCGCACAGTCTGCCTCGTCAGGCGCGGCTTCTTGCCAAATAGCCCCAGTACTGTTTCCGCAATTCCACCCACGACACCTAGGAGTCCCTCCGGAAGCTCCCAGACTTCATGTGGCTCCACCACTTTACCACTCAGCGCCCAAGCGGCCCTGGTCATGTCCCAGAAATATACCGGTGAGTCGTTTGTGACATTGAAGGCCTCTCCGTCTACACGCTCGTGGTCGAGGACCGCACCCAGACCAGACTCGTACCGCAAGAAGGTAGCGAGGAGCGCCTTGGCCGCAAGCATGTGAGCATAGGCCACATTTCCGACGTAGGTAAAGTCGAAGAGGTTGTTGTTTTCTCCGAGTTGCAAGCGGAGGACGGCAGGGGATGCCTTGGAGGCGTGCTCGAGAATCTTGAAGGTGAACGTGGTGTCCTTCTCGCCGTAGATACCAGCCGGCCTGACAGCGCAAGTGAGCATTCCAGACGGCGAGGCGCGGTTGTACTTGAGAATCATCTCCTCTGCGTCCGCCTGCATAGCACCACCTAGTTAGACATCTCCTGTTCCCGCATTTCGCTCAACGCAAACGTCGCGATTGAAACCGTACCTTCGTCTCTGAATAGTATTCCACCTGCAGCCTGCCCCGGATATAAGGCCATTCCTCGTTCACATTAACCAGGTCACTCTGCGTGTCGTGCACCACTGATGAGGAACTCGTGTAGACAAACGCCTTGCACTTTCCACCCCAGTCACCCGCCGCGCCGCCCGCGACTTCCAGCAGGTTCTTGGCTCCATCCACATTGACCTTGCGCAGCAATTCCTTGTTTCCATCCAACATTAATGAAGCCGTATGCATCACTACGTCCGGCCTGACCTTGCGAAAGACCTCAAGCATAGATTCCTTCGACGTAAGATCGCCATCGTAGTATGTCGCTCCCGGCAAGCGATTGTTCGTCGTCTTCAGGTCGACAACGGCCACCTTGGCCTTGTAGCTCGGATAACGGTCACGCGCGGGTGGGTAGTCAAATCGCTTGTCACCCTGAGGTTTGGGGAGGGCAGCGCTGGGGTCCGTTTCCGATGGGAAGTTGAGCAGCTGATCGACGATATGCGAGCCGACAAACCCGCAGCCGCCGACGACCAGGACGGTGCCCAGGTCGATGGGATTTCTTGTCGCCATTTTCGGACCCTTGATCGTTTGCAGGGTCGAGAGCAGTTTCGTGGCGACCTACGGCGAAAGGGTAGTTGTAGAAGATCGAAGCCCGAGTGGACAAGAATACAAACAGGTCAGGGGATCGACCTAGCCCCGGAGTCGAAGCTTGGACCACCGCTAATCCAACGGATATTACTCCGTATCGTATTGCCATTATGAGTCTGAGATCCTCAACATGTCTGACAATCGGCCTATCTTCACGCCTACTTGAGTCAATGGCGCCACCAAATCAAAGAACTTATTTCCTATAGAGTACTTTGAGAATGATCTATTGCGTATGCTGCGGTCAAGAGCGACCGACACTTGGTATCTTCTCCGATGTAAGGAGGGCTCGTTTTTTTAACAGCAAATTCTCTATTTCATGGTAAGATTATTAAATACAGCTCTAATTCATGTTCATGTTTGCTCTTTTCCGGCTCCATTAATTTGAAGAAGTTCACCCGTCTGCAAAGTGAGGACTGTGGAGGAGAAATCGGGACCAGCCATAACCTAAACTCCCAGCCGATGCCAAGGCTAATGTAACAGCAGCGTCAAGAAAACAATCTAGAGAAGAAGTAAGGCATATGCAATGATGGAGACCATCTGACATTCAAGCATAGATCTCCCTGTACAATGTTAGAATGCCCAGCCGTGCTCGGAAGATAGGTTCTACTTACTCCACGCTGTTTTCAACCGAACGGCGCAGGGCGCGGTTGTATTTCTTCCTGTCTTCTGCAGAACCCCAAAAGAGCTTTGAGGCTTCTGGGTGGACAGTGGTTCTAGGGTCGTATGGAGGTGACTCCTCTTCCAAAGCATCCACAATACCCTCGATGTGATATCTCATCTCATCCGGTCGACGAGCGAAGTAGCAGAGGATACCGTCGTCTTTGGATACTCGATGATGGAAAAGGGGAGTGCGAACGAAGACTCGTGGCTGTTCATCAGGGAATCGTGGACTGAGCGAGATCTTGATTTTGAAGACTCCACCGTCCAGATGCGTCATAGGTTTACCGAAATAGGTGAGCTCCCAGAGGAACGGGTTCCCGTCCACTATGGAGAGGTCGATAGTGAAGTTCTTCTTCAAGTCCTCCACTATCTGCTCATGTTGTCGCTGAAGGTTGACCGCGATTCCTACCTCCTGCTCCTTTGCGGCGAGTCCTTCCAGAGCCCACCTCTGTGTTTCTGCAGCAATCGTCTGCCTAATGAACTGCATCCGCTTTTTCAGCTCCGGATAGTCGAAGTGCCCCTCCATCGAATTTCCATGGCCCTCGAATGGCATCTCAGTGAACCTCTCCTTGACACCCACTTCCTCCTCGGCCTTGTCGATAGCTTGCATGTACGAGTCGTAATACCAGAGGAAGCGTCTCTTTCTCAAGTCATTGAAAGGTTCGAATGGTGCTCTCTCTTCCTTTATCAGCTGGTCGTCATCAGCAGCTTCACTTGCCCATTCATCCGCCTGCGCAACAACTGTCCCGTCGGGCTGGATCCCAAGAGAATCTTCCAGTGGTTGAATGACAGCAATACGTAAAGTCTCATGACGGATCTAACGTAACATTAGAATGTTGATGGGATTACGGAAGGTATATCCTTACCTTGGTGACGTAGAGTTCCATGTTCTTTCTGTGTTCCTTGTCCCTACAGTCTTCGTACCCAGGTTCGTTCTCATACGGGTTCGAAGACATCAGACTCTGGATAGAAATTAGTATTGACTCCAAGCCTTGCGCTGATGACCACTGCTCCCCACTCTCCCCGCGCCACGTCCTGGTCAGCGATTAGCTTCCTGCTGTAGATCGGGATACAGACAGTTACCCTAGTATCGACCTATTGAAGCAATCAGCCACATAAGCACTATGACCAGGGACGCGAAAACACGTACAAGCAGACTTTTCCAGTTGCATATATGTTAGGATTGAAGCGGCAGCGACCACCGTTCGTAGTCATTGCTTTGACATGGGGAGGATTGGCCGGATAGTCTGGGAGCAGACTCGTCAGCCATCGCAAAGAAGCATACAGAGACGACACCACCTTTGGGAAATTTGATCGAAAACTATATATAGCTTGATGTCAATATGCAACATCTCTATCGAGGGAAGGGTATCTCTATAAACTTACTTCAAAGAAGCCGAATTCGTAGGGAGTCTCAGGTGGGCCAACAATTAGAGCCTTCACATTGCGGATATCAGAGTCCTCACACGCGACAGCCAGAGCTGACAATTCGATCAGTCTCGCGTCACTATATGGAGAGTAATAATGTCTTTGATTGGTGAAACTTACAGAGGTCCGTTCCTTGCTGGATCTGTCGGATTTCCTGATACCTCATCAAACGGGCGTCTCATCAGCAAGTGGAACTTGGCAAATCATACCATACAGAGTGCAGCTGCAGAGGACTTACGCGCGTGATGCGCAGAATTGCTTGGTCTGACATTTCAATAACAACAGTAGGTGCCTGATGTTCTCGCTCACTGCTTGCTGTTGTGCTCGATGTTGTGATGGTAGAATGCAGAGCTTGACCTGAGCAGGCTTTAAACTCACTCGAAGGTGGGTTGACAACACTCTCGGACAACGAGGAAAACTAAAAAGGGAAGACAAGACGGGAGTTGCCCTCACTCTCTGACGTTCTGTTGCTGTCAATGACAAATTGTACAGTGCCTCCAGAACATAGTGACGAGAGCCGGGGAAGCGCCAGCCTGCCTCAGCCTCAGCCTTGGGAACAGACCTGCTATTCCTGACCCATGGAAGGCAATAACGCGCAGGCTGCAGTCACGGCGCTTCAGGCTGCACAGAGCCTGCTATCTACGAGGTACCAGGATAGATTTTACGGTGTAATAATCGCTGCTATTATTAACAGCAGCCCGAGTCAAAGACAGTTGTAGACCCAACCAAAGAGATCGCCAGAGTAGGCGCTGTTTCAGCCAACCGGCGTTCCCCACGACAGCCATCGTGTCAAAGTACCGCGTCTCACCGTATTCTGTGGTTCAGAGCGGGTTCTTGTACCTGGGAATACCAAAGTTACCGTACCTAGCCGCCCGTCTCCTCCTCTCCCCGCTTTCTCATCAGCGCATACAACAGACGTCTTTTATTTGGCCTCACGTTGGAACAGCACGCCCAATCATGACAGTGAAGCACGTCCTCTGTCAGCAGCAGGACCCTCCTTCACGATTCCATGTTCTCTCCGTTACCCTTGATTATTTCGCTACTGCCGATCTATATCTGTTCAATCTATATACGCTATTTTAGCGGTATGGAAGGCGGTCAACAACGGCTCACGTGATGCTGTCTAGCGGGCATGGAGCAACATGAAGCATAGGGGGGCAACACCAGCATCTTGTCACTCCACAACAACATCTGGTTTCCCTCCTTTGAGTCTCTCACGCGTTCTTTGGGCGGGTTCATCTCCACTGTGTCTCCAGTCTACGAGCTGCGCCTCCCTGAGGAGACTGTCGCTGATATCCCAGGTCACCAACAGGACGGGAATGATTGTTATCCTGTCCGCCAGCGTGCTCCGCCGCCTGTTGGTCTCACCTTGAGGTCCAACGCGTGAACCAGCAAACAGGAACCTGTTGATATCTGGAGACCTCTTCCAGAGTCGTGGCCATTTCTGAGATACCCCATCGCTCATCGTCTATCGACATTACCACTACTTTTTCGATCCAGTCGGCTGAGAGTTATTCCCCAACTTCTCATATCTGCATGTCTTGAGAGGTCGAACACCGGCAGAAATTCGAAAACATTCGAGGATATTTTCAAGGAAGCGGAGTCGCAGTCTATGAGGGAAAGACCTTACATCTTGATTAGTTGAGCGATATCTCCGTATCGGAAGCAACCACTTGCTCGCTCCTTCACGCTGTCCGGCATAAGCGCCTACGTTGCCTACTATCAACGAGCGTATCCGATATACGAGTGACACGGTGGGATTCAGCGGAAGCAGTTGCCATTAGATATTTGATTACACGACGGAGGAGTAGCCGACGGCCATGCCTCCCGGAGGCTCAGCGCTGCCGGATAGCCTCGTGCCTGGCAAGGGAGCAGGAGCAGATCAAGGCTCTCGTCCTTCGTTGTCTACGAGTGGCTATGGCGGGAATAACCAAAACCAGTCGCCAACGTCTCCGCTAGATGGAGGTCTTCCTTTCGGGGGCCTCGATCCTCAATACTCGAGACACGCGGGTGTCACTAGCTATGCGAATAATGCTGCAGCTGCGCAGCCTCCGGCCGGAGAGAGTGGACTACCAGGTACAGATGGACGTACCGGTCGACGAGAGGAGCCAGGAAATGCTGGATCGCGAGACGTGTCGTCTGCACGCGAGCAGTCAGCTCACCGTGACAGATCGGGACAACGTGAAAGGGCGCGCACAAATGGGCGGTCGCACACCAAATCTCCCAGCAGTTCGCCCCGTATTTGTAAAAAGTGCGGGGAGACTCTGACGGGGCAATTTGTTCGAGCTCTGGGCGGTACTTTCCATCTGGAGTGTTTCAAATGCAGCGTGAGTATTCCACCGGTGTGCCTTCGATGAGTCTCAATCATCCCTAACAATAAGTAGGACTGTGGCCAGATAGTCGCCTCAAAGTTCTTTCCAGTCGATGCTGAGGATGGCAACGGACAGTATCCTCTGTGCGAGACTGACTACTTCAGACGTCTGAATCTTCTTTGTCACGAGTGCGGTGGTGCGTTGCGGGGCTCGTACATCACAGCCTTGGACCGTAAATACCACATTGAACACTTTACCTGCTCAGTGTGCCCGACTGTTTTTGGTGCTCAAGATTCATACTACGAGCATGAGGGCAAAGTCTACTGTCATTATCACTATTCAACCCAATTTGCTCAACGCTGCAATGGCTGCCACACAGCTATCCTGAAGCAGTTCGTTGAGATATTCCGCAACGGACAGAATCAACACTGGCATCCAGAATGCTACATGATACACAAATTCTGGAATGTCCGACTGGCTCCTGCAGGCCAGCTTCTGGAGCGACCAGAGTTAGACACCGAGGCAACAGACGAGGACCGCGATCGGGTGCGGCAGGAAGAGGATGTTATGGAAGAGAAAGTCTATAAGATATGGAGTATTCTCTCGGCATTTGAGGAATCTTCAGCTGCTTGCATTTCAGACATGTTGCTGCATGTAAGCAATGGCGCATATGTCGATGGTGTTGTTGTCGCTCGAAGATTTATCGGTCATGTCGACGTGCTCTTCCATGCCATAGACGACCTGGCTGCGGTTATGAAGGAACAGGGAATGAAAGGTAAAAGCAGTCTTTCTGGCGTACGACTTCTCTCAACTAACACTGAACAGACCTTGCGTACGGTCGCGAAGCGAAGCTGCTTTGCAAAAAGATTGTGGCCTTCTTTTCCTTGCTTTCCAAGACTCAAGAGACCGGCGTGCGGAAGCTTGGTGTAACGCAAGAGCTACTCTCGCTGGTTACAGGCCTCGCTCACTATCTTAAACTCCTCATCCGTATCGGCTTGCAAGGTACCTTAAAACTCGAAAGGGAGAAAGAGAGTTCTGCTGGTCTGCACCAATTTCTCGACCAACTGAGCGACGTAGAATCTCTCAAGCCTACAGACGATACCTCGGCCGATGTTATGGCAGGGGTTTCTGGCCTCGCTGACCAGCAGTCCGATTGCTGCACAGCATGTAGAGAGCCGATTGATGACGAGTGCATAATTCTGGGGGAGCGCAGATGGCACTTGAAGCCTCCGCATCTGCAGTGTGCTGCATGCCAGAAGGATTTGACTGTTGACCTCGCAGATGGAAAGTGGAACGAGACCAATAACAGGGTGTTCTGCAGCAGCTGTGCTATCCAGAAGGGCCACGCTCCGGAAGCCAAGGGAGGCTTCGCGCGCGTGACCAAGCTACGCCAGTATATATTCCTGCTTCAGGTCGCTCTTGCGAGGCTTCTTTCAGTCCTCCGATCCGGTGGTTCTCTCCCCCATACATCAGGTATGTATCTACCAGTTGCACTGCGTCAATCTTACTGATCGTTCGCGACAGAGGATCCCAATCTACAACAATACGAGGCTAATGAAGGGCATCGGGTGTCCCCAACAGGCGAACTCACATCGCCGCCTCATAGGTCGAACACACGTTCGAGATCCTATGCTGGCTCATCCAAGGATGCCCCGGAAGAATCATCGCTGGAGCAGACGGTCGGTGAAATGCGGAGGCTACGCTCAACCAGGAACGAACGGACCCTGTCGACCACCTACAAGAAAGCCCGTGCATCAAGGATCATCGATGGTCCGGAAGGAAGGAGTGTCCGACCTGGCTCCTCAGGCGGCGACGGCGCTGAGTCTCGAAACCCTGGATTCCAAATTGTAGAGGAGAAATATGCCAATGGAGAAACCGTCACTGAGCTGACATTCGGTAACCAGGATGCTTTGACACTGGATGATATTCCCAGAATCGTTGCGGCTGAGCAAGCCAAAGAGCAGCGCCCAAACGCCTATAAACACGCTGGTACCAATCTTATCAGCAGCCCAGACAATGCTAAATTCGTCCCCGGCCACCAGAGAGGACTTTCCGGTCCTATGGACGCTATGCAACTGGCCGATGCATCCGCTGGAAGGACTAAGAAATACTTCTCCGAACTGTCAGCCCTTGAATACTTCATTGTGCGCCACGTTGCCGTTTTGTCCATGGAACCATTGCTGGAAGGCCACTTCAACCTGGAGGAGCTTCTTTCTTTGATCGAATCTCGCAAGCCGACCATCTGGAATATTTTTGGGCGCGCTTTCAACAAGGAGAACAAGAAGGGTGGAAAGAGGAAAGGTGTTTTCGGTGTCGCTCTTGACTATCTCGTCGAGAAGGATGGTGCAGAGTCAACCCATGGCGTCGGTCCCGGTGCTCTTAGGATTCCAGCATTAGTTGATGATGCTGTTTCTGCTATGCGTCAGATGGATATGTCAGTGGAGGGTGTTTTCCGGAAGAATGGCAACATTCGCCGCCTGAAAGACCTCGCTGAGCTGATCGACAACAAGTACGAGCAGGTCGATCTGAGCAAGGAAAACCCTGTACAGATCGCTGCTTTACTCAAGAAATTCCTCCGGGAAATGCCTGATCCTCTGCTGACTTTCAAACTTCATCGCCTTTTCGTTATCTCTCAGAAGATTTCGGACCCTGACAAGCAGAAACGCATTCTCCATCTTACCTGCTGTCTCTTGCCCAAGGCTCATCGCGATACGATGGAGGTTCTATTTGCCTTCCTCAACTGGACATCTTCCTTCTCTCATGTGGATGAGGAGACCGGTAGTAAGATGGACATCCATAACCTGGCAACGGTCATAACCCCGAATATTCTTTATTCAAATACAAAGAACGGTGGTATGGATGAGAGCTTCCTGGCCATCGAGGCCGTCACGGCTCTGATTACATACAATGATACTATGTGCGAGGTAAGGTCCATTCGTCCCCCCTTTTTAGGCTAAGTTCTAACGACCTTTGCCAGGTTCCCGACGACCTTCAATCAATTCTCAACGATACGTCATTTTTCAACAACAGCGCAGAAATCACGACTAAAGAGATTCTAAAGCGCTATGGCGACTTCGGAAAAGGCGCCCTTCCTCAAAGAGTGGGCACGAGTGTGGATGTCTCCGGCCAGACAACTTCCAGCCGGGGCAATAACACGCCCGTTGCTGCGCGTATCGAAACCGATCCTTCCCAGGCTACAGCATGGCAAATGCAGAGTTCTGTGCGTCATGTGCAAACTCCTAGTGGATCGACATATCCAAGTAAGACGAACCCGCAATCCGGGTTGGAATCCCAACCATCGCAGCAAAACGCTTATCGTGACCGCAGCGCCAGTGGCGGGAGCCAGCAGGGCATAAACCGTGCTGCGCAGCCTACCGACCAACAACAACTTCCATACAGACCTCGTCCTGCTCCTGGTGCCATGGGTGTAGCCGGCTAATTTATAACTTCTGTTGATGCGTTGATTGTTGCACAGTTGCCACGGTCCGATACAACCTCTTGTACTCTGCGTTCTGACCAACCCTGTGATTGTTTCATATGGATGGGCTGCCGGAACCCTCAACTTTTGAGCGGACGATTGGTTGAATCTCTTTGATTTCTTTTTCTTTTCTGATTGACATGACCCGAGTTTCTTGTACAGATGATGGCTGGTTGGTTACCACGGACCGATGTCATTTCTTTCTTTGCTATTCGCTGCTGTTCGAGTGTGCGACTTTACTTGATTCCCAAAAGGCTATCCGGTTACCCTTTGCCGGGCCTTGTTACTTTGTGTCATTTGAACGTTTTCCAGCAACACCACTTTGCTGGATAGGACAGTTTACTTGATAGTGGTCTCCGGGTCATTATCACAGTTGCAATGCTTTTCTTTCCAGCGACCAGGTGTCTGCTTTTGACGAGGCCGAAAACGCCCCATTTTATTCAATTCTCTTCGAATTACTCAGGACACGACTGCTTATTATTCATCTTGCGACCCCTTTTGTCCTTTCTATCTTACCACTAATCTTCTGTTCTCGTTCCCCACCTCAACTGGGGCTATTGTGCAGAGTACCGACTTTTTCTTCTTCTTGTTTTCTTGACCGGTGGCGCAGATCCAACTGAACTTGCTTTGGAGCCTTTTGTTGCAACTACTACCCCTGAAAGTTTGTGTGTGTTATCAAGTACTATCCCCCTTTTCTTGTCTGTTGGTGCTTCGAATGGACGCTCTCGACAAAAAAAATTCTGTTTGCGTGCTCATCTGTCACGTACCACTACCACTCTAACCAGCCTCATTCTATGAATACCATAGCACGTCATGCAGCTAGAAAGCGGAATCCGCAATCTGCGGGCTGAAAACGGCAAATGTGATTTAGTGAAGCTTTTCCTTCATATTGTCTACAAGACTTTTGTTCCTGTCCGTATTAGCACTCGTTTCCTGGAAGTCACGTAGACTATTAATTTGAACTCTGGATGTTATTGGACATGGAAATTAATCATATCATAATTGAACCAACTGAGACATTCTGTCTATGCCTATAATTTAGTAGCGCTTGTTTGCAAACCCACGAGAAATCGTACATATGTAAGGAAATAGTTAGCCAAGACCTGCAGTAAACCACGGTTATTCATTGGTAACTGATATGATATAACACCCGGAGAAGACTCTAGACAAGAAAAAGCAAGCCCCCATATGGACTGATCGATCCCTTATTATTAAAGCAGAACACAAACGCCTCAAACCCATGCAGAATAAGATAGATACACCAATAACGCTCTTCCAGTTCCCCTGTAATATGATACACCGTTTTGAATGAAGTAAATAATGACACGCACAGAATCGATTCGAGATAGTTCGGATGTCGATATTGGCGGGTAGACGGTGGTTTCCCGGGAAACCACGATCGAGAATCATCAACATGCCAGACAACTGCTTGACCACGTTGAAATCAAGACGTTAGATCTAGCTATATCGTCAGATTTTCCAGGTCTTCCGGTAACGCCTCAACTCGTAATTATGTGACCGATATGATCCCTCTTAAACAGAGTCTAGACTCGTCTTCTCAATACGCGCCGTCCCGTAGCAGGAGTCTCTGAGACTGGCGTTGCTGTGCCAGCCCTTCGGGACGCGGTGGCGGTCTTCTTAGCAGCCGAGGTGGCTGTTGCGGCTTGGCTCCTGGCAACTGTCTTTTTTGTTGCTGCTGTGGGACCGGCCTTTCTTGTACCTGCGCCAGTCCGTGTCGACCTGACGACAGTGGTCCCTGAGGACGTGTTTGAAGCTGTAGTACCACTGCTGACAGTGCGATCCTGTTGGCGGGTTGCTGGACGGGCGGGAGACTTCAGCGACGAAGGTGTCGCCCTCGAGGCTGGTCGTGTTGTAGTCTTCCTCGCCTGCGAAGGAGGTCTGTTGTCCTTGGACGCAGTGTCTCTGGCGCGAGCTCGAGCATTATCAACCATTGCCGCGACCACTGTGCCTGGTTTGATCGGGCTAGAGAGCTTAAATGGAGAGACAGGGCGTGACATGTAGGACAGGTGATGTTTCTCAGGGGAAGCCTTCAATGGAGAGACAGCGTACGTTCGCGAGTTGTTAGATTTCGGCGATAGTATCTTGGCGTCCGCTTCTCGCATTGTCTGCGATATAACTCGTGACGGGCCAGCCATAGTCTTTGGATTTCCACGTTTCTTGGGCACATCAATCTTATCATAAGTATCAGTGGATGCCGGTGCATTTTCCTTGTCTGAGTACAGATTCACTTCGCTATTCTTATGTCAGCTGCCGTCCAAGATTGGATGAAGCGATAGTCTTTACCTTTGACGCTTGATGCCTCGAGGGTGCGTCTTTCCTGGAGAGATAGATGGATATCTGACATCGCCAGAGGAGGCTTTCACATTGGTAGTAGTTTTGGAGGGTTGTTTCTCGAGTGAAGGAGCCGCTTGGCCGCTTTGGTTGGCTGACTTGTATTTCTCAAACAATTCGCCTATGTTCGCCTTTCGCAGGGCAACTGGGATCCGATTGACGCGGCGCTCGATCCGTGCTCGAAGGTCCTGTGCCTGCAGGGCGTAATGGGCACGAAGATTGCGGGCACGCTCGGTGACTATGGTCGTCAGTAATCAAGGGATACAGCTTTGCGACCACTATGGGTTCAAGACAGGGCACACATACTCTCAAGCTGCAGATTGTCGATAAGAGCCTGTTTCTGGCTTTGTGTGATTCTCAATTTCTTCTGTACAGGGCCAGTGCTGGGCGTCCATGAGCCGTCGGCGTTGCGCGACTGGTGGTGTTCGTCCGTAGACTTGCGCTTCCTGGACACGGGTGAAGCCATTTGAGTCGGAAGCGAGGATATATGCGTGCAAGTAGCAGTGCTATTTCTTTCAGGCAGCAACTCGTGAAGGATCAGTCTGGATCGTCGAAGTACTGGTGGAGAGAGATGGAGAGACAGAGCGGCGCGAGTTGTGGAGTGAGTTGAGCGCGAGTAAACAACGCTTAGCTGACTTCATCTTAGCGCCGGCGGGCGAAGCTTCAGGTCGACCTCATCATCATCTCCATAGCAGCTCCAGGCGGCACACCCGATCATCATCCACGTTCACGGCTCATATACTGCAACCACCATACCCTATCTTCGTTTCTCTTCCTAGAACCGCCTCTATCTCCCCGTTCTTCATCAGTCGGAGCTGTCAGTCTCCGAACAGCCGCCAAGATGGTGCTCGAGGCTACCATGGTCATGTCCGGTTCCCTGTTCCCATCCCCACGGAGGAATCCGTCACTGACATCGTTTACAGTGTGGACAACAGTGAAAGCAGCAGAAATGGAGATTATACGTTAGTGCGCATCGCTTCCACTTGCTCGAAATACCACTGACATCTATCAGCTCGACACGATGGCAAGCCCAGGTCGACGCCGTCAGCGTCATCCATACGGCCAAGATGCGCGCACATCCCCAGTCGGCCGTTGGTCTCATGAGCATGGGCGGTAATGGCCCCGAGGTGCTCTCTACATTCACATCCGACTTTGGCAACATCTTGTCAGGTCTGCATGGGACTAAGATCCACGGTACCCCTCATTTCTCCTCTGCCATACAAGTCGCTGGTGTACGTCTCTTCGGCCCTTTTTTGGATTCTGGATTCTAGAACTGACTCCTATGTCCATATAGCTTGCCCTAAAGCACCGATCGGAGAAGTCTCAGCGACAACGCATAATCGTATTCTCTTGCTCTCCCATCGTGGAGGATGAGAAGAGTCTGGTGAAGCTGGCAAAGAAGATGAAGAAGAGCAACGTCTCGGTCGATATTGTCGCTTTCGGCGATCTCGAGCCGGAATCAACCAAGAAGTTGGAAGCTTTCATCGAGAACGTGAAGGGAGGCGACGGCTCGCATCTGGCGATCATTCCCCCGGGTCCCAACCTCCTCAGCGAAGAGCTTCAGGCGACTCCGATCCTGGGTGGCGAAGGCGGTGCTGGTGCTGGAGAGGATGTCGGCGAGGCCGGTGGTGCATTCGGATTCGAGGATGCCGCAGAGAACGATCCAGAGCTGGCTTTCGCTCTGCGGTTATCTCTCGAGGAAGAGAAGAACCGACAGGAGAAGGAGAAGCGCGAGCGGGAGGAAGCAGAGGGCAAGGCAGCTCTGGAGAGCGTTGCCGAAGAAGGGCAGCCGCTTCTCAATCAGAACGGCGAGGCCAGCGGCGATAAGGATAAGAAAGATGGCGGTGACAAGATGGACACGGCGTAGGGTCTCTAATATCAATGCTCCGCCTTGAATGACTTTGATGCATGAATGGCGTTTCTTTTACTGTATCTCTAGAATATGTCCTCGGACGATCTCTGAAGCTCGGATTGACTGGTCTATTATATTATTCGAGCCTACAGCAAGAACTCGTGTGCGCCGAAACATGCCTGATGATACCGACAAAAGTAATTTCCTGATTCGTACCTCATGAAAATAGGATACCCAGCCCTCTTCACACGTCTGGTGCTTGTATCTTCCCATCCATCTTTCTTCTGGTTGTTTTTCTCTGACACCTACGCCCTCCCTCTTAACCAGCCAGCAAGATGTCTATCAAATGCTTCGCAGCGCACCGGCATCTCCAACTGGTAGAACGGATTCTTCATGACGTAGTCTGCGTATAGCTCGTAGACCTTGCCCATCACAACATCGACGTTCGGCATCAGCGGATCAGTAAAGAGCAGGAATTTCGTTCCTGTCAGGGTCTGGAAGCAGGTAAGACGGAAGCGCTCCGACTCGAGCACTTCGATACCCGTCTTGGGAACGCCCGGGTTCGGGAGCGTCGAGACGGTGCCCGGCGTGGGTGTTGATGTCCCTGAGGAACTCTGTGCGGTGCTGCCAGTCGTCGCTGGTGCAACGGTCGAAGGGATATGAGGTGTTAAGGAGCGGGTGATGGCGTGGACACTGAAAACGCAGGACAATTGTAGTCAGTTTCCCTGCGCTCTACCTTCTCCCTGGCGGGATACAATTGTAAGATGGAGTTAACACACCCGTGAAATGTACCGGCTAATACGAGATAATCGTTCGTCGAGAGTTTGCGCAGACCGGCCTGGAAGTCGCGCTGGTAGACAAGACCTCCGGCCTTGTTGATGATGATGAGAGAGTAGACGGCCCTGTTTGCATGCGATCGATCACCGCGTCAGTCTCATCGCACGTCAAGTCATATCTGTGAGCGCTGCAAAGTGCATCGCAAAGAAACAATTCCGCAGAAGATACAGTACAGAGGGACACTCGTACATGGCTGAATTGCGCTGGCCGCAGCCCGCTTAGTTCGTGGTGGTATGGTATCTGGGTCGGAGTGCGGGATAACTCGCTATCGTGTTCGCAGCATCACTCTTCCTCTCTCGCTTTGGTCGCTGCGCGAGAGAGAGAGAGAGAGCCTGAGAGGATATAGCTGGACTGTAGATGTGGGCAGCGAGAAGATGCTTCAATTCATCGTGAGACGAAGCGTTCTATCCGCTGAATCCAATGCGCCTCGGCCAGCGGAGATGTGGTTCGATCCGAGTCTGGGAGAGGTTCTTTATTCTGCACTCGTTGCCAAGAGTATATCGGCAACGGCGATGGATTCTCACCAGGAGAAACGCGTTTGTTGGCAGTTAAGTGGGGTTATATGGATTTAGCCCCCCGCAGTATAAATGGATTGTCTTCTATTCAATAATGTTGTGTATTTTGGTGTATTAGTAGAGATATTACACTCGTTGTTGTATCTCTGATGAATTTCTATGTGTGAGATAATAATTCTCAATGATTCAATTTTGGTCTTATCTTGTTCAACTCTCGCTTATTTATATTCACTCTGTATAGTATACATACATCCTGTAAATAGGAAGGATATCAGCTAAGAAACGAAAGCAATTGTAAAATATAAACAGAGTAAATGCTATGGAAAAAGAGTCCATTCACGATGATCAAGTTGACGCAGGACCTGAGGAGAGAACTCCCCCGGCAGTAACTAACTACCGTTGTCTTCCAGGGGCAGATCCTGTTTCAGCTTGCAAACGCCTCTTTTCCAGGATCAACAGTAGGGAACACGATCATCATCGATCAACCGGACCAGACAAAGACTGCCCTGGATGAAACATGGAATCCTAAGGCAACTTCCCGATGACGAAAAACTCGTCGCTTCGCTGCGAACTAGAGTATCTTCAAATAGAAAATGCTGATCTTTCCCCCTATGGCCAATGCTTGCAGCGTTGACGGCTGACAACGACGCGAAATTGCTCTCGGATTCTGACTCTCATTGGGGATTTAACCCTGTCTACGGAGTAGAGAGGTGTATTCTCTGCTTCTGGAAGTACCCCGGGGAACAGTTGTCCGGTTCGTTGTTCTCCTGACAAGAGCACAGCCGGACTGCATCCAGATCCACGATCCGATCTTGGATCTGAGACGGTGAGCTATTATTACACTCTATTCCCTTCTCATTTAGTTGGGATGAAACGATCTACCGTTCGTGAGGATCGAAACGGACCAGCCCACGCAGCCTGCAGCCAGACAAATATAGTCATTACTACTTCCCCTGCCAGCGAGCTAACCCAAGCCATGGAGTGGCATTGGCAATGAAGCAGGACATGGCGGTTATGGCAGTTTACAAACACTCGCGCTGAAGGGGTAGAGAATTGCCCTATAGGATCTGGAAGATCGCCGTGGTTGACAAGTATCGACTCGCAGACGACCAGTGTTGCCTACGTCGCCTTCTTCCGTCCATCCAGGTTCCTTGTTACTCTCGAGTCGGCGCTCAGAATGGTAATAGAACTACATCAGACAGGGATGTTTGCGCCCGAGAGACCACGACTCACAGACAATATTAATGCCCTGCGCACTGGGATTGGGAGAAGGGGGAGGCGCGGTTGCCTCCATCTAGTGGAATGGCCCGGCGGTTGACAACAACAAAAGCAAGCAATACTCCGTAGCTCGTTCCTAGCGGTATGTCCAACGACGATCCTGAAGACCATCTCAGCTCCGGATTGACAATCCTAGGCGCGTCCGTTGGCGCCCGTCACTTACGAGTGCCGCGAACCGATGCGAGAGGCAGGAGAAGGGCTTGACGACTGGGGCTGGCAATGTCTTGTCTTGGTACTGAGCTTTTCATCCCCTCTCTTGCAACTGCCGGACACCATGGCATTTAAGCGGTCTGCAAATGAAAAGGGTTCTCTCTACCATAGCGGGCTCCCCATCTGCGGAACCCTAACGGCATTGAGAACCACAGGGAATAACTGACGTATGTATCACTGATATATACAGATAATCATGGTGTTATTATGAGATACCTACGCGATCTACTCGGCCACGTGGTGAAAAGGGTGATGCTATTCCGACTGATATATACGCCCGAGGAGCCATTCCGCAGCCACTTCCGGAAACTTGCGGTCTTTCCTGTCTAAGCACCAAGACCGTTGTTGGACGATCGTGGGACTGCACCGGTATTGCGGCTACTAGGGTGTGCGAGGGTACGGGTGAACGCCATGGGTGAAAAACGCCTTGGGGGCTGTGAGAACATTCGAACCTTCCTCCGGAATCCGGATTGGGAGCTGAACCCAGCAAAAGAGCCAACCATGCACCTTCAGGGTCGCGGCAGACACAATGCATAATTAGTGCGTTCAGGCCCTTTCGCGCCGAGAGAAAATCTAGAGTATTCAACTGTCTACGGAGTACGGAGTAATGGACGGGAAGGGAGAGCAGGTAGATCATCCTGTCCGGCGGCTCTTTTAGCACATCATCTGAGCCAGGTCGAAGCGCCCTCGGTTCGCTTGCTTGCGAGGTTGATGGTGTTGATGGTGGACGTGTTGTCGGTACGACACGGAAACAAGATGTGAGGGGGACAAGCTAACTGTCAACATACTGTCTATGTCTAATATGACAACTACAATCCTTGTTTGAGCTTCGCATGGTCGGACCAACATGATACTGAGTTCCTTTCTCAGGTTGGAGCCGCCGTGGTAGAAGAAGGGTGACCGTGGAGAAGATTCACCCACGCGATGGTCGCTGCAGGGGCATCGGGGGCCTAATCTTGCTCGAGCTGTGCTATCACCTCAAGCCTTCGGATTGGCTACCAACGACAGGACTAGTGCTGGAGGATGAGGCTCAATTCAAGCACCCCGTTCTGTTATGTCAAGCAGCCGCCCAGCCCGACTAGGCCCCATGCCGGCCATGATGAGGTCCCGGATATGGTTGCGAAGGTGCATATATATCCCCATCAAGACCCATCCTCCTTGACAAATATTCTCTCATATCACGCATTCTAGTCCTTCTCTTTATGCGGTATTTGCTGATGTTTGTCTCGGACCATCAATCACGATTTATACTCCTTCAATCCCTGACTAGAATCTGGACCCAGAATACCCTATTTGGACATGAATTACATACAGCCATTTGGTGACCTTCCGGGCTGCATGGATCTCACGCGGAACGGCGCTGTTTCGGAAGATGATGCACTTTCTTATCCTGGAACGGATTTATGGTCTCTGGAACCCGTGGAATATCCCACTGCAGAACCAGGTACGGCGTGTTTCCCTATTTCTCGGGAAAGACGATCCTATATTCATCCCAGCCTTTTGGCAAATGGTCTGCCTGAATTACCGCTTTATCCATTCCTTGACAATGATGCTGGATTCATCCCACATACTGGAGCAATGTCTGGAATTAACATGGATATGCATCCGCAGTTCATGCGCCAGGAATTCGACTCTTCACCCAGCTTACCTGGAGACAGCGAATTTTCGTGGACGTCGGAGAGTGAAGGTAGCTTCAGTCCGGCACCGAGTTGGCGTAGTCCAAGTAAGTGCATACGTCAACCTTCCAGTTAATGGGCGCCATGTTTACATAGAGAAGACTCATCCCAGACATTTGACCTTTGGGAACCGGGCCCTGGCCACCGGTTTGAATATGAGCTGCGGTCCGTTGCCATGCACGATCTGCAGAACTTTCCGGATATAGACCGCGAATTACAAACTGTCTATGGGGTTCCCGACCAGAAGATATTAGGCCCCGAAGAGATGGTCCTATCTCAATATATGGAAGATATGAAGGTCGACACCGACGTCGATGCTGGCATCCCTATGAAAGATGGAGACGCGGGTGACGATAGCATGCGGCGAATCTCGCTTGATTCTACTAAGATCCCCATCACTGCTGGCTACCCTCAGATCAGAAAGCCAGATTCGAAGCGAGCCGGGAAGTGCGCCACTAGAAGTCCGAAACAAAGAAGGACTACGTCGAGGTCAGAATCAAGAGACTCGGCGGCCAAACGGGTTTTTGTATGCAGTTTCGCGCACTACGGATGTGAAAGCGTGTTCCCGTCGAAGAACGAGTGGAAGCGTCACGTCACTTCGCAGCACTTGCAGCTGGGATTCTACCGCTGCGACGTCGGCAACTGCAAACCATCCAGTTCCAAGAACAACAGATATATCTCCGTCAATAACGATAATGATAGCCCAGGAAGTGGTCTTAGGAAGAGTCGCGTATACAACGACTTCAATCGCAAAGACCTCTTCACACAGCACCAACGGCGCATGCACGCTCCGTGGCTCGGGATAGCTGGTCCCAAGCCCTCGCAGGCTGCGGAAGCCGCCTTCGAAGCAAGCCTTGAGAGCGTTCGCTCCCGCTGCTGGCATGAAAAACGCAAGCCACCCCAGCGGAGCCAGTGCGGTTTCTGTGGTAAGGAATTCTCTGGTCCGGCCAGTTGGGACGAACGGATGGAACATGTTGGCAAGCATTTCGAGAAAGGGGTGGCTAACGATGAGGCTGAAGATGTTGAATTAAGGGCATGGGCACTCAGTGAAGGGATCATCCGCCCTATCAACGACAATAAATGGGTGCTGTCGAATCTCCATCCAGCCAAGTGTTGAGCTGATCAACAGGAGTGTATAAAGGTGCAGTAATGATCTCGGTTGTCTTATGTATAGAATTCTCAATTTGTTTTCGCTTTTTCTTTTTTCTTTATCTTTAGGAGCCCCCCTCTCTTTACATTGGAACAGATAGGCTATTATATTGTGATACAGATATGCCTAAGGGAATGTGATATTTATATATTACATAGTTATAATGATCAGCAATAGATTTATGCTTGTTATTCAGAACATCTTACTTCTTATTGGTTTTACATTTCCAGAAGCGTAGATATGAAACGGTCTTTTTCTTCTGAGTCAAGAAAGGGCAGGGAGGACTACCACTACACATTCATTCCTATAGCAAATACTACCGATTCTAGCACCTGATAGGAGTAAGGTAACCCGTAGAGAAATAACGATCCATGAGATGAAGTGAACGGATATAAGATATAGGGCAGAGAGCGTCCGGTAGATATATACCACATACATATACTGTACATACGACTAGTAGTTATGACTTATTTTCGACCTCACTACTGAAAGCCTCCAATACTTTAAAAGGAATATCCTATTCTATTATGATTTCACTTTCAATCCTTTCTTTATTTTTACTTGTTTTGTTATTCTAACCTAAGGGCCTGAGGCAACAGGGTCAAGATCCTCAAGGAGGGCGGCAATTATATTCAGGCAACAAGCTATTTAACTACCTAGTTAACTGTTACCCCTCTTCGTGCGTTGTAAAATCTAGAATACTTATTCGGTATTTGGCTCCCTAGGAGGATATCATGTGATGGAAGGAAGGAAGATAGGGGTGAAATGAGGATTGAAAAAATAAATAAAAGTCAGACGTCACCCGATTGAAGGCGATGAACTGATGATTAAACTTGGGTAGGTAACTAATTTCATAGTTAACTATCTGCGTTGTCTGATGATAGTGATGGGATCACGTAACCTTTCTCACTCTTCGGACCCCCCAGTATTATTATTACATCGGAGACGGAACGGAGATACTAGAAAAAAAATGACGAGGAAAGAAACAAGTCAGTTCAGGTCTATCGTGTCGTGTCATGCCGTGTTGTAGCGGTGAGATTTTATCGCTGACATTGATGTTGAGTGATTTAGTTATCTATGTAACTAACTATCTAGAGTGTCTGGTTTGCAGTTCCTGAAACATTCTTCTGACTCTGAGTCATCGTCTTCGGGACTTGGTGTAGTTAGTTAAAGTTACCGGTGTGATAATAATAATAAAAATAAAGAAAGTTCTACGACAACTCATGATGCGGAGGCCTGAGAAACTTGGAGGGGCAACTGAGGAACCGAAAGATCGAGTGAGGCCTTAGAGAGAGATTGGGTGAAAATGTAGTGCGAATTACATCTCGAGAAAACATTATTATCCGATAGTAAGTATTAACGGTGAAGGGTGACGTGACGGGTGGTGGTGGGCGCGGGTGCATAGTATAGTATAGACTTTCGTCGGGCGTCTCGGCCCTTTTCGCTCACTTTTCTATTTGCTTAGTTGATTATTGTCTTCTTAAAAGATGCCGAGGCTTTTTTTATTTTATTCTTAGGTGGTATGTAGTTATGTATGCCTTCGGGAAATGTACATCCTGTCATTTTTCTTTTGCTATTATAGATACTGTATACGTAGTCCAATGGTTATTATGCCGATGATGTGGTCGAAGTCAGCCAGGCCGGGCAGGGCAGGGCAGCCAAATGTCCGTATCGGACGAGATGCATATCTAGATTGGGGGCGGAACCGCGGAATCATACTGGTAGTGGTGGTGAAGATGACTTGTTTTTTTTTGCCCTTCTCTGCCTTGGGCACTTGAGGAGAAAAAGTTGGGTGAAGATGGGTGGCCTCAACATTTACTTACTATTTTAGACCGTCGGGAAGTAAAGTTATACTGGTCTTATCGAGTGGTAACTAGAGAGGGGGGTGTTTGAGCAGAGGGATTTCATTGTTGGGTTGGCAAAGTGGGCGACGTAGTTAGCGAGTAGTAACTAATTAACGTAGCTGATGGTGAATAAGGTGGTGGACGGGCCCTTGAGGAATAATACATAATGATAATAATACGTAGTTGCGTGTTGTCATTCGACTCCCGAACCGATGCCTCATCAGGAGAGGATGGATAGATAGGATGACGTTTCTAATTCACGAAGAGGTTAGATAGGTAATAATAATAGTACCATAGTTGCTGGTCACGGGGAAATAGGATAGATAACCCCATCGCTTAGCTGGCCCAGTGTCTGTCGTTTCTGAATGGGTCCTGTTTTCATTTCCAACAAGTTCCCGATGCAGCGGACGGGAAACGGTCCGAAGGGTGACCACCTCAGCAATAATGAAGGTCGAGACCGTTGCATTAAACAGCTATCTTGTGCCTTGTGTTGTGAGCGGCGAATGATGGAATGACGGATGCTCTCTCGTTTGAAACCTGCACGTAGAGATCATCAACGTGGCATGTGGCATATGATTTACTTACTATGGAGTGCATCACCGCCAGGTACCGGAGTAGTATAGCAACACTTGATTACTCCAGAGAGAAAGCGTCTCACGTCTCAGGGGTGCATAGACTAAGGACTTCTCCGCGAATATTCTGCGCTGGGTGCGAACCCGCCAGCTGGGTGTGGACTGGCAGTGAGTCAACGCGAACAACCAGCTGTCCTGTCAATCATCGTAATGTCAGCAACATTGCCATTTCGGGCAACGACAATTACTTATGACCGATATGCCGTTTCTCCTACACCATGTTTCTACTGGCTGCCTGGCATTCCAGGAACTCTTGTGGGTGTTGGGCCACTCAACACCGTCACCGCCATAGGCGAGAAATATCCATCGACCCTTGTGGACATAATAATCGGTCATGAGCGTGCATACTACTAACTATCACCCACGTAATACTCCGTGAGGATAACAATTATCTGCTAGACTCCAGTTCGATAGTAAGTGGCTTACTTACGGCACGGCTTCGTCGCTTCGCTGATGACGATAAACTCTGCTCGAGTCTAAACTTGCTAATCTCCCGCGCGAACGTATCTGCCTGTAACTGAAGCCGGTAATAATTCGGACTCGTGTTTCAGTCTTCCTAGCTTTCCCTCTTTCTGATCTGGAGTTGCGCACTCTACTCCACGAGACAGCTGTCGACTTCACGAGTGCTTCAAACACACGTACCATGACTCAGAAAATCATTATGATGATTATCATTATTGATCTGGCGATTGCCAAAGACCCACCGCGTATAGTCTTTTGTGTACTCCGTACTCCGTACGCCATCGGCCAATTATCTTTCCCAAGACCCTGAAACGGAGCGAGGACCTTTTTTTGATCGAGTTCTATTCGAAATGACGGACATGAACCGGCTATCTGAACGGTCCCCAGAGCGAAGCCAAGATCTTCTCAGCGCCAAGCGGAAATTATTATTCTTAGGATACTGGTTCTCGGCATCAGTTACTTACTCTTTTCCCGGACGAGAAAAGTAGACGGAGACGGCACGGCGGTGAGATGAGGTGTTTGACAAGTACTTTCGATGTTGTTATGGGGATCCCGAGATCATGCCCCCTTTGGGGAAAGCAGCTCACCAGCGGGGTGGGCCTGGGATCTGGCACGGAGCCCAAATACGGAGTAGCTGGGGGGCAATAACATAATTAACGATCAGGAATGATCAGGAGAACTTCCAGATTTATGCTAAAAAGGCGCCGTTGTTCCGCCAAACCCGCAACACTATTGGCAACCGTCTTTCACTGGTAGATCCCCCATCCTCCAGATGGAGAGGACGGATACGTGGAACATATTACTGGTTGTCGTAAGAGTTGACCCAAAGTCTGGAATCTTTCCATGGGCATAACTCCGTAAACAATCTGTCGGCCATCCGATGGACAGAACTTGTGGAGATCCGGGGAGTTTCGCCTACAACGACCGTATCACAAGGGGGAAAGATCGAGATACTCCGCCAGCAGCGCCTTTTCTTTTTGTTCGATCGTGGGGTCAAAGACGGGGTTGACTCGAGCAGCGCTCGTGGGCACAGAACGTCCTATGTGCCATGTGATGTGAACTCGGTGCAACGGGTTTCTGGCAGCTTAGCTGGTAAGCAAGATGCGGAGATGGCCAACGATGACCGTTATCCCCTTGCGGTGTATACATGAGAAGGTTGCACTGTTTGGATGGGCTTTGTCGTTGCCCAGTCTTGAGATTGATTGGTGACCAAGGCGCTGTTAGTCCCCGATTCTTGCGAGGGGAAGAGAGATGTCGTGCACACGATGGATCCTGTTTGGCCATTCATTAGATACACAGATAGTGGCCGATAGTGGGATCATGGTGCTATGATTAGTAAAGGCGCGAAACTCGGTTAGGACAAAGTGAGCAGATCATCGTGAGGAATTGGCAACTCAGCGGATTCAGGATCTTCGATGGCCGGCCAGGATCAGGGCCCGGAAGCTCTGCCGCAAGCTATACTGGTCTGGGCAGCGGTTGCACCGTCTCTATCTGACTGATCATTGATCATCGACGGTGGTATTACGGACGACAGGATCCCCTCGACTTGGGCGATGCCAACTGGATTCTCTTCCCCCCAAAACGGTTTGAGGTTTGAAGTGAGCCCTTTGGGGGGTGGTGAGACGCGTCTGTAGGGGGTCACACAGCACGCCGTCTCCAACGCCCGATTCGAGTGCAGCGAGATGGACGATCTTGGAGGCATCCGACTGGATCATGAGTTCCCTATCAGTGTGTGGCTCCTTGGTTGTGCGCGCGACGACGTGGCAGACAGAGACTCGAGAGAGCGTCTGGTAGGCGTAGAGCTCTCTTGCTTTTGGCCTGACGATGCCTTGGAGGGGGTTGTCCGGGCCTAGAGAAGGCCCTTGGGGAATCGTCTCGTAGGCATTCCGGGGGCCTTTCGGGGGGCCATCTTGAGCTGGCGATAGGGGCGGCTGCCCGGGCATTCTGGACATTCTGGACTTTGCCCTTTGCTGCCTTTTCGACTCGACGGATCCCCCTGGGATAGGATAGGATAGGATAGAATAGGACTTCGTTAGCGAGCAGCACCGGTTCGTAGACCAACGCACGTTCTCGCTATCTCGCTGGCCCGGCTCTCTCTCTGAGCGATCCGTTTCGCTGCCTCACTTTCCATCATCGTGCACGGCTCTCCGTCTCTCTTGTGCTCTCCATCTGTCACTGTCCGTCGAACTCTCCGCTCCATTCTGCCAAAACTGCCCATCGCCATCATGGCTCGCTCCTGGCCCGTTCACCTGGCCGGATGGCCGTACCTGGATAGCTTCTCCCATCACCAGATCGCTTCTCCAAGCGTCCTGCAGGGTCACTGGAAAAACCTGCGTGCCGGTTCTGCGAACTTTGGCCGTCCACGCCGTTCGAAAGCTCCAGGTCTCTTGCTGACCCACTGCCTCCATACCCTCATGAGCTCTCGTTTCAAGCACTTTGGCTTTCCTTTGGCATCCGCTCTCCGGAGACTTCGTTGCTGATGCTGACTGCTCGTATCCGTAACTGGCTAGCGGCAGGCGTCGTCCTGCTACCGTTCATTAATTGCTCGACTCCCCGGTCATTTGTTTCTGCTTCTCTTCAGTATACTCGACGTTCACTGTTGATGTTCATACTGTGTCTCTGACTCTGCGGACTTTGTTGTTCGCTGCGCTTGCCTCCATAGTCTATAACTACTACCTTGTCCGACCCGCGGATCACCAAAACGACCTAACTATACAGTCGTACCTCAGTGAGTGCGGACCCAAACAAGGCTATCATTAACTATTATATGCCTCCAAGCTGACCGTGCGCTATTAAGACAGAATAAACAGCTTTCCCTCTTCCGATTATAGATACTGATAGCAGCTGCTGGACTACCTGCCCCAACCACCATCTCCCAGAAGGAGCTCACCGCCATGGCCGTCAGTATCACGGACGACGAATTATTTACGAGGGCTATCTCTGGCTACCGGGACGCCTTTTTGGTTCAGCACTCCCACCTTTCGGAATCGGAACGAAATCATCTCTGGAGCCAACGTCTCAGTCAATTCATGACCGTCACAGCCCCTCAAGATGTCTCTACGAACGCTTCCGACATGCTCAACGCCGGCAACGCTTCGCCTCCAGACAGCATCGGAAAGAGGACACGACAAGACGTACCCCGGACGATCCCTTCTGGAATTCCACCGGCAAAGCGGCGTGCCACCGTATGTGACCTTTGGCCTCCTTTCTAAGCATCCGCCCCCGCCTTATCCTTGTTGCCGCTGCTCTCCATCTCTCTCTATCCCTTCTCCAACCTTCCTGGATTGACGTTTGGCAGACTCCGGAACTCCCCGTTGCTATTGACCTGACGCGTGACTTGTCACACGCTTCGTCGCCGGCAGCCCCTCAGATGAACCAGAGACCGTCGACGACGATATCTCGGACTGGAACTTCTCCCATCGCCAGCAAAGGCTCCGCGTCGCGAGCGGCCGGTATGGTTCGCTCGCGGAGCCAGCAACTCCCGGTCCCTCACCGCCAACAGTCAATAGCGGCAGCACGACAATCTTCTGGACCGCAACGATCGCAACTCCGTCTCGACAATGTCGACGAGTACTCCCCGTTGGAGTACACTCAGCAGTGTCTGGAGGATCTCCAGGCCCAGGGTATGAGTGTCCCTGTCGACACCGGTTCTGCCGGTGTGCAACAGACTCAGCAATTCCAGCAGCCCGTCTTTGGCGGCCTTTCTTGCTCACCTATGTCAGATCAACTGACGGTCGCGACGACCGCCGCAACTGAGATGAGTCGCAGTGCGACTACAGAGTCATTGTGCGGAGGAATTGGCATGGTTAGATTCGACTCCACTGGATCGAATCTTGAAAGCAATTTCGATTTTCCTTTTTCTTCTTCTGATTTCGCGAACAAATCATCCCCTCAAGAGGTCCATTTTCCGACCTCTATTTCTCATTCTCATCGAAACATGAATCATGTTCAGTTTCCCTTATCCGATTCTACACCTCTTTTCTTTTCCAGTTCTGCCCCTACCCCTGGCACATTTCATAGCCCTCTCAGTTCTGCTCCTTTGTTGCCACCTTCATCTGCCTCTGTGGAGATGAAGCATTCCCTGTCTGTCGAAAGCGACAGTTCGTCTACATCACAGCAGTCAAGGGCTGCTCGGAGGACTCAAGAACAGATTGTTCAGGGCGCACGACCAATCGCCCCTAAGCTGCAGAGTAACAGCAAACCATCGAAACCAACTGAGCAGCACAAGATGATCCGCATTGCTTCTGAAGACGGCACCTCGAAAGAGGTTGCTGCCATTCCCAAGGCGTCTTTCCAGCGCCCGCCTCGCCCCAAGACGTATTGTACCCTTTGCACCGACCAGCCTGATGGCTTTCACGGTGAGCACGAACTTCGACGACATATCGAACGTGTTCACTCGGTCGTGCGCAAGGTTTGGGTCTGCGTTGACATCTCGCCCGACAAGACGTTCCTTGCCAACTGCAAGGCGTGCCGCAACGGGAAGCGTTACGGCGCCAACTACAATGCGGCCGCACACTTGCGACGGACTCACTTCAACCCGTGCCAGCGGGGGCGGGGAGGACGTGGCAAGGACAGCGAGAAGCGCGGGGGCAAAGGTGGTGGAAATCACCCGCCCATGGAGGTCTTGAAGCACTGGATGGAGCAAAAAGAAGAGATTGTGCTGGAGAACGCGCAGAACTTTATCGATGAAGATGCGCTGGGTGAAGAAATCAATGCAATTCCTCAGCAGCCATCCGCCATCATAGGTTCGGCTTACCCTCCAACGACGACAACAACAACGTCGGATTTCACGCAGGACGCGACTTTCGAGTATGAGCCGCCGTCGTTGGGCTGGGATCCAGCCATGGGTAACGGGTATGACACGTTTAATGCACTTCCCACGGTGAACATTGGTTCATCGTTTGACAACCCTTTCTATGTCGAACCTCAGCAGATGCCTGCTGAGATCGAACAGTATGTTGCATGATCTGCTGTAGAACAGCATGCTTTATTGACTTACGAAGTTTTCTTTTTTCTTTTTTCTTTTCATCTTCTAATTTTTCTTTTTTCTTCTCTTCTCTTCTCTTTTCTCTTCTCATCTCCTTCTTATTTCTATTCGATATTGTGGTTCATTTGGAACTCTTATTGCTTTTGTTGTTTACTTACATCAGGAGGCTTGCCTCCGTATTTCCAGTCATCCTTAGGCCTGAACTCGTCGGCCGTTAATAATCGTCAAAGTCCGTGGCAAGGCCACGCCTGCACGAGTCTATGATATGACGTTTAATGATCTTCTTCCTCATTACACCTTAATACTTCTTTAATGGTCGTCTGTTCATAGCTTGACGTCCGCCTTGATGTATACTTAGCCATTCTGGGCGGTCAGAGAACTGATCACGAAAGAATACGGATAATAATGCGAGTGTTACTCCATTCGATTCCTCGAAGGGTCTTGGAACCTTCTTACTGTTTGTATCAGAAATATACCGGTGGTTAGAACTTGGTGTCTCTCCAAGAGAGACGAAGCTGGGACTGACTGCTTGGGCTGTCCTAGGTGCCTTCTGCACATGGACCCGTGGCTGTGCGGACTTTGGAGTGCACGATGACGTGGCTAACATGGCGCCAGGCGCAGCAATGAATTTAGCAAAATAGATGGCTACTAACAGTTGAAGGTTGTCTTATGTGAAGAAGCAGCTGAGAACTGAAGTAATTAGGTCGCTCACACCATGAATTCAATATTTCCCCGGGTTTTCGGGTCCTCCAACTTGACTTCAACTTAAGCATTCTTATCCACTTTTCTCGATGCCCAGCGCGGCTCACGGGTCGCTCCGTGGATATGCTCCATGATCCTCGGTCGGCAAAGGTGGTTCAGTTGCCATAAACAGACGTGGGGGATCCTGTGTACCTGTTACGGAATCCACTGAGTGCAATAATGAATATTGTCGAATCCTTTAACACGGAAGCAAGGTCTGACCTGAACGACTTGAATTTCTTGCTTGCTTCTAGGTCTAGGGGGAGATTTGATCCCATATTTATCTTTAGCATACAAAGAATCTATATCCTAGTAATCCATCCTATAATCAGGATTCAAAGAATTAGCCGCAAACGGATAATTGACGGATCACCTGGCGTTCGCTTCGTACGCCGACAATATTTATCATGTAAATCACTACTAGACAGTTGCCTATACTGCCACCACCAACCGCCTTAGTAGCTTAGTTATCGCTCCTACCTCTCTGGGAGGGAAGTAGAACTTTCAACTTCTTCCTCCTCAAGCTCCCATCTCACTATGTACCATCTTTTATCGATTCTCACATTTGCGCTATCTAGACTATCTGCTAACTTAGTTGACTTGTGGATGATCTTTTCTTTTTCCGGATCCTAGACAGTACTCTCTAGTGTATTGCTAGTTCTAGGCCACGGCTGGTGATAGTTGGGACCTCTGGATAAGAACGCACTATCTAGTCAAGACCAAGTTGTGGAATGCGATACGTTAAGACGCCTTCTGAGCCCTGACAGTACTAGTAAGAATATTGTGATTAGTTATTGATTTTCCTGGATCTTGGTCATTTATCTCTAATCGTGACTAGACACCAGCCTCTCTCAGAAGAGGTAAGATATACCGTCGGGACGAGCCGGGCGAGTAAGACCGGGGAGGCTCGTGTCGCCCCGTGATTAGCATATTTTCTCTCTGGCCAAGAGAAGAAACGTCAAGCCACAGACTGAGCATGTGGTTCTATTCAGGATCCTAACGCTTTATCTCGGTTTCTAAGCAGATGTGCAATCTACATGGATGTGCTCCTCCGTGAGGATTCTAAAGAGGACCCGCCGGCCACGATTGATTGACCTCCATGCAGTTTAGGAGAGGGGATTATCTAGCCTCTCCAATCTTAGACCTGGAGTGGAGGTGTCAAGAGTGGCTTTGGTGGCTGCGCTGAAGAGTCTGGCTGGTAGGGCTGGTTCCATCCATGTCTTCGCAACATTGGGAGCGGCGCAAGATCAGCGGGGTTTTGTGGCGCCGGTCTGAATTGGTACCGTGGCCTTTTAGTTCTAGTGTCAATCCGGAACGGCTGCCAATGGCCTAAATGACGATTGTCCTTGGGGGTGAGGAGGATAAGGAGAATACAGTGTTCGATATTGCAGCAGAATGAATGGCTTCTTCTGCGCTTGGTGAAGATCAGAGAAATCATGGCCTGGACGATATAGAGAAAAAAAGAAAAAAGAGAACAGAGCCGGTAGGATCTCCTCGGAAGCTTCCACGGTTCAGCTACAGCTTGGCTTCAACGAGCCCTATGACCTTTCGGCCAGCGCCCGTCGGGCTGCGTGGCCCACTGTGCCCTGGATGGTAATCCTGCATTGACCGCCCCCGAGAGAGAAGCTCCGCTTCATCATTCCCTTGTCTTTTTCTCTCCTTCTTCCATTTCATATCTCCATCGTGTTCATTCCGCCAGTGAAGTTGTGTGCGTTACTAGTCGGATAGGCCATTGTTGTCCCCTCTCAACTCGAGTCAACAGGAAAATTCGCCGCAACCATGTCGAACCAGGGCTACTACCAGCAGCCTCAGTACCCGCCTCAGTCGTATGTGGCCCTCCCCCGATATCGTGTCGCACTCTTCCTTTCGGCTTGGTAGTCGTCCTTCAGGCGACATATATGGTCATTCAATCTTATTGTTCATTCTCTGACTGACGTTTCTGTCGCATCTAGATACCCGCCTCAGGGCTATCCCCCCCAGGGCTACGGTCCTCCCCAGGGTTACCCCCAGCAGGGTTACCCGCCACCTGGTGTACGCCTATACCACCCTTGTCCTATCGCGGATCTCGTTTATAGAACGCCAGTCTGTTTATCGGCAGCGGTATACTGATGAGGGATAATGAACAGATGCAATACCAGCAGCAGGCCCCGCCCCCGGAGAAGAAGGACCGAGGATGCTTGGCTACCTGGTATGTGTTCCTTGTTGACCCCTTTCGTATTCGATGTAGATTGCTAATTGGCCGCGCTCCGGCGTAATAGTCTTGCAACGCTGTGCTGCTTGTGTCTCTGTGAGGAGACTTGCGAGTGCTGCTTCGATTGCATCGAGTGCCTTGAGTTCTGCTAGAACTCATCGCGATAAGACACGACCGACTGTCACACCCTGGCTCCATTGTATACGTCCATGACCGCCCTGTTTCTGTTGCTTCACTTTCATCTACGCATCTATTTGGCCGCGGCTGGTTAAGTTTCCGCAGAGCTCGATTGGATGAGCGTGCTATATACTCTGATTTTTCTCTATCCGGCTCAACATCTCTGGGTCCTTGCTCGATTTTTTCTTATATATTGTCTGCAGCTATTCACGCTACGTCCAAAACAGGTGATGGACAAGCCATGTTTGGAATAGGCAAAATGATTATAACTTGTTGATGTTCGCGTCTTATGCGCGCGGTACGCTGCCATGGCTGGCACCGATCAAGATATGTCCTCTTGGCTAGAACCTACACCATTAATCATCTAGGTATTTTGGCTGAGAGGGCATATACACATTGGATAATCTTTCCATGTGTGCCTAGTCCTCATCCAAGCATTTAAAACGATCTAGCTGCTTCGAAACTGTTCAACGTTTGCGCACAGGTAACTGGATCTCTGATACAGTTCAGTGGAGAACCATGACTTATCTTAATCATCATTTCGATGTTGAAAATTTGGGGTCAGATAAAATATGTAGACTAATATGTATATCCTTTCTGAGGGAGCCCTTTCGGAGACAGTTATCGAAGTACGGCTCCTGTGGGCGTTGGGAAATAAAACGCGGATTGGAAAATCGAGTCTGAGAACTGCTAGAGGACCAATTGAACTATTTTGGTTTTATAGTTATAACTATAGCGATATTATTAGTGACACGTTGCGCTGTGCCAATATGTATCTACATGCTGCGCCTCAGCGCGTACTGCACGAGGCCAGTAATGTCTCTTATCACCCAGAGCGCTAAGCCACGGTACTTTTGCCCGGCGGTTATATACCATCGGTTACTCGTCGGAAACGCGCTCAGCATGCATATGGATGCTTTAGCGAGTTTCAGTTTTCGATGAGCGGTTTTCAAGGGATTGAAGGGGAGAGATGGCAGTGAGAAATGGGATGGGTGTTCTTTATAACTTTAGCGAGGAGACGGCATTTGTATCATTATTATTTGAAGAAGTAGAATAATTATTATTGCAACTCCAAAGAGGTCACATGTATACACTCTCTAAATGACCGCCTTCATCTTCTCTGGCAATTGTACAATCCCAGCTAATATCACGCATTATGTCTCCGGCCCTAACACACGCGGAACGCTCGATATCATCTGGAGCTCTCTCTCCATTCTCATTTTATGCGTCTGGTCGATTCAGCACCTTAACCTACCTCCACAATGGCATCTAAACCTGGAAGCATACTATTCCTCATCGGAGGAAAAAGGGAAGAAAAAGACGCCCACTACCCGTCGGATATACAAAATGAACAAGAAAATCAGACGGAAAGGTTACTTGCTTAATCGTGAGATTCGATGGATGATTATGAATCTGGTCGCACCGGAATTTCTGCTGGCGAAGGCCTTGACGGATTTCGTATCGGCGAGGAGCCTGAGCCCACGATTGAAAGCGTATGCGAGTGAGGATGAGGTGGATTGGGACATGGCGCATACTTACTATGCGAATATGGGTGGGTTCATTGTGAGGTTTGAGAAAGATGAGGGACAACTATGGGTAGAAAGGGGCGACGGTGGTGGTTCTCAGGAGGATGTTGAATCCTGTCGCGTCTCTAGGGAACATGGTATATCCAACTCGATGACGGATCAGGAGTCCTTGGTCGGAGGCGAAGAAGAGAATCATGATACAATGAAAATACCCACGCCGGTTACTTCCGTCCAAAACATGCAGAATGCCATCCACGGTCTTATGCAGAGTCCAGCATGGAGTCCGAACCGGTATATCGAACGTGTATACGAATTCCAAGGCTTGACGGGCTTCGACTGGGAGGTAGATTCTAAGAATCGCGAGGCTGTTCTCACGGCCCTTGAAGAGTATCCTACGTCGGATATGCACCATATCAGCTTGATGAGATGGTATCATAACGTCTGTGCCCTTCAGGGTAACGTCTGGTACCTTGATGCTGCGCAGTTGCTTTTGGTGCGCCAGTGTGGTATCATCACTTCTCTACCACACCTTCCTAAGGAGGTTCTCGACGACCAGAGCAAAAGCGATTCTCTGGCCAAGACTTTCACGTTGATCCAGGTTGTCTGGCTGGCTCTGCAGCTCATTTCTCGCCAGACGGAGGGCCTTCCAAGTTCACAAATGGAGATATCTGCCCTTAGCTTCGCGGTCTGCTCTTTTTTCACCTATCTTCTTATGTGGAACAAGCCTCAAGGAGTGGAGGCTTCCTGCTATATCACGGCTAATCGACGGCCGACTGTGCAGGAAGTCAAAGCGTTAGGTATTATCGGCCCAGCAACTTTCGGTCCCCATCGTATGCGCCCCTGGATATCCAACAATTGTTTTCATCCATGTTATCGATGGGATCATGCCGCGTCCTCGCTAAGACCTAGTGACTTCGAAGGGGATCTGAAACGAATATCTCGCTTCCAGCCCGGATTTGTAGTCGGTGCCGTCCTCTTTGGTGGGATTCACTGTCTATCCTGGAACTCGCATTTCCCTACGTCGGCTGAACACCTTCTCTGGCGCGCCTCCTGCCTCCTCTTGACCATCGTTCCTCCGGTCGGTGGGATGTGTACCTTTCTCATGGGCTGGATCAGATCTCGACTTCACCGCATAGGAAGGACGAGAGCAACTGGATATATTGCGAATCTTATGTCACTGGTGCTAACGCTGCCATATATTCTGACGAGGTTGTATCTGAACATTGAGGTTTTCCGCTGTTTGGCGTATGAGCCGCCTGAAGTTTTTCTGGCGACAAACTGGCCCGATTGGCTTCCTCATTTGGGGTGAGGGATGTGTAGCATCTGTATGCGTGTGTTATAGTAGTGGTCGAGTAGAATAATTGGATATTAGTATTGGCGGAATATGCCTCTAAATGACTTCGCATGTATGTAGACTGTTGGAAGTGAAGTGATTCTTTCCTAGGGACGCCAGCTTTGTTTCACAAAAGAGGATATAGGAAATTTTAGATTGAAAATAGCCGTGAGATCAGTAGACGCTTATGGTACTGGACATCCATGCATCGTGCCCTTTGCTGAGAAATTAATTGTTCTGCTTTTCCCCGTGTTGTCTTTCTATGACAGTCACCGATGTCCCAACATCTGCTGATGAAAACTTCCATTGGCTGTAATTAATGGAATGATGGAAGCTTTCTTAAAGCTTGGGTCGGAGACCGCGGGGCCTTGGGGATACACAAGCAGGATGCAACAGCCTGCATTTGCCTTTTTGGGACAAATAAACTGGTACTTCTTACCAGCTCGCTCGTAAAGCTCGTAAAACATCCCCGCTCGTTTCCTGTCATCTGGTGACGTCTTCTGGTAACCTCAGATTCTAATCTGCTACTGACTGGCCTTCTTCGCAGCTGGCTGTAGTACAAACTTCCGAGAAGGACTTTCACTGGTGCTATCAACCGGGGTCTGAAGATGAAGTAAGGACTAACTTGGTGTGCTTGAAACTTATTACGATTGACCAACCTTTCCTATTCACTGTCCCTTTTTACAGAATTCATTAGTTACTGGTCCATGATCTGCTTGGTGGATATGCTGATTTCCGTCATCCGTTTGGGCAATGACCCTGGTCTATGTGAACATAATGCTGGAGTCCTCCGACAATCATAACACTAAGCTAGCCTCGTTATTTGCCTGACGCGTCCTTCGTTATTATTTTCACTGTCCAGTATTTCTTTATCCTTCTTCTGCTCTGACTGCTCCCCATTAGTACTTCTGCACTACCTCGTTCAAGTCACTCCTGAAGCTGGATGAAGTAGCTCCTGCTGCACTATCCATGGTCGAGCCTCAGTTTCCAGCACCCTTCGGGGCTGCTGCAACTTCGACCAGAGCTATATCAGATCTCCATCCAAACTCCCATCTGTCTGGAACGCCAGGGGAAGGGCGCAATGATGGACTTGATGGAGCACTCGCGGGGACGACAGCAACTTATGACGACATTGGGGAGTGCGAAGAGAAGCAAATCACATCTCTCGCACGACAGATGTCCCAGATATCGCGCCAAACCAGTGGTAATCACGCACTGGACTCTCGAAACCCGTTCCTCGAGTGTGATAAAGACCCCGAGCTGAATCCTAACTCGGGCGACTTCAACCCTCGCAAATGGCTCAAATCTACCTTGCAGATTACTTCACGCGACCCAGAACGCTATCCTCGTCGTACGGCTGGGTTGTCGTTTAGGGATCTCAGCGTCTACGGATATGGAACAGCTGCTGACTACCAGATGGATGTCGCTAATATGTGGCTCAAGGCCGCAGAATGGGTCAAAGGAGTACTAGGCCATCGGAAGGCAGTACGTATTGATATTCTGCGGAGCTTTGAAGGCCTTGTCAAGAGTGGTGAGATGTTGGTCGTACTGGGAAGACCTGGAAGGTAACCGGTCCTCATTTGATATGTTGAAGACAAATATTTAACGTGTACAGTGGCTGTTCGACTTTTCTCAAAACAATCGCTGGAGAGACGCATGGCTTCTACATAGATCATGGAGCGGATATTCAATACCAGGGAATATCCTGGGATGACATGCATAGTCAGTTCCGCGGAGAGGTCCTTTATCAGGCAGAGACAGAAATCCACTTTCCGCAGTTGACGGCTGGCGAGACGCTACTATTTGCTGCTCATGCGCGTGCTCCAAAGAACCGCTTCCCTGGGGTCAGTCGTGATCAATATGCACAGCACATGCGGGACGTCGTTATGGCCACGTTTGGCCTCACCCATACCATCAATACTCGTATTGGGAACGAATATATCAGGGGTGTTTCTGGAGGTGAACGTAAGAGAGTCAGCATAGCAGAGGTGACGCTATGTGGAAGCCCTCTGCAGTGTTGGGATAACAGCACGCGCGGCCTCGATAGTTCAACTGCCTTGGAATTTGTCAAGACTGTTCGTCTTTCCACCCAGTATACTGGATCAGCTGCTATTGTGGCCATCTACCAGGCTGGACAAGCCATATACGACGTATGTCACTTCATCTGGTTTGTACCGAATGGGATAGTTTGGCTAACGGTTATCAGGTCTTCGATAAGGTGACAGTACTATATGAAGGACGTCAAATATTCTTTGGAAAAGCTGCTGATGCCAAGCATTTCTTTGTGGACATGGGCTTCCATTGCCCGGATAGGCAAACAACTGCTGACTTTCTGACCTCCCTGACGAACCCCGAGGAGAGGCAGATCCGCCCAGGATTTGAGGCTCGTGTTCCTCATACCCCTGACGAGTTCGCGGCTCGATGGAAGGAAAGCCCTGAACGCCAATCGTTGTTATCAGAGATTGAAGCATACGAAGCTGAATACCCTCTAGGAGGCGAAAAGCTCAAGGAGTTCGCCATCTCACGCGCCGCAGAGAAGGCCAAAGGTACACCGGCCAAATCGCCATATACGCTGTCCTATCTGATGCAGATTCGTCTTTGCATATGGAGAGGCTTTCGACGTCTGAAGGGAGATACAAGCATGACAATGGCAACTGTCATCGGCAATCTTGTGATGGCTTTGATCGTCTCCAGTGTATTTTTCAATTTACAAGACAACACTGGCAGTTTCTTCGCTCGTGGCGCTCTGCTGTTCTTCGCGATATTGTTAAATGCATTTGCCAGCGCGCTGGAGATCCTAACCCTCTGGCAACAACGTCCCATAGTCGAGAAGCATAACAAGTATGCGCTATATCACCCATCTGCGGAAGCGATTAGTTCTATGATCGTTGATCTTCCTTCGAAGTTTCTGGTGGCCATTGTTTTCAACCTGATCTTGTACTTTATGACCCATCTTCGGCGCACCCCAGGTCATTTCTTTGTCTTCTTCTTGTTCTCTGTCTCAACGACTCTGACGATGTCTAATATTTTCCGCTGGATCGGTGCAATATCCCGTACTATGGCTCAAGCTATGACGCCGTCTTCGATTTTCATGTTGGCTCTCTGCATCTATACGGGCTTCACGATACCTATTCGAGACATGCACCCTTGGTTCCGCTGGATCAACTACCTTAACCCAATTGCCTATGCTTTTGAATCCCTCATGGTGAACGAATTTAGCGACAGACGCTTTCCATGTTCTCAATATATCCCATCAGGTCCAGGGTATGAGCATGTTAGTGGAAGCTCCGTCATTTGCTCCGAAAAAGGTGCGATAGCAGGGGAGAACTTTGTAGATGGAGACGCCTATATCAATACAACGTTTCAATACTATAAATCACACCTCTGGCGCAATTTCGGCATTTTGGTCTGTTTCTTCATTGCATTTCTATTCGCATATATCGTCTCCAGCGAATATGTGAGTGCGAAACCATCCAAAGGGGAAATTCTCGTCTTTCCGCGCGGGAAGATACCTGCGTTCATGAAGAAGGTTCACCGCGACGATGACGCCGAGGATGGGTACATTCGCGAAAAGGGCGGAATTGGTCAAGGTGGCCAAGATCAGACGGCGGCGATTGTGAGACAGACGGCAGTGTTTCATTGGCAAGATGTGTGCTATGATATCAAGATCAAGGGCCAGCCTCGTCGTATCTTGAATCATATTGATGGATGGGTGAGACCTGGTACCCTAACGGCTTTGATGGGCGTTACCGGCGCAGGAAAGACTACGTTATTAGACGTTCTGGCAAATCGAGTTACCATGGGCGTGATCAGCGGTGAAATGCTCGTTGATGGACGACCGCGAGATGATTCCTTTCAGCGCAAAACAGGATATGTACAGCAACAAGACCTCCATCTCGAGACCTCTACAGTTCGAGAAGCTATTGTGTTTAGCGCACTGCTCCGCCAGCCTGCTAGCGTTCCACGTAAAGAGAAGGAGGCCTACGCAGAGGAAGTGATCAAAATGCTTGGTATGGAAGAATATGCAGAGGCTATCGTTGGCGTGCTTGGCGAAGGGCTTAACGTCGAGCAACGCAAGCGTTTGACTATAGGTGTAGAGATCGCAGCTAAGCCTGATCTTCTGCTCTTCTTTGATGAGCCGACATCCGGCCTGGATAGCCAAACAGCCTGGTCAATATGTACGTTGATGCGCAAACTAGCCGATCATGGACAAGCGATTCTTTGCACAATTCATCAGCCATCGGCGATGTTGATGCAGACATTCGACAGACTCCTGTTTCTGGCAGAAGGAGGCAAGACAGTGTACTTTGGGGAGCTCGGCGAGAACATGGAAACGCTTATCCAGTACTTTGAAAAGAAAGGGGCGCCAAAATGTCCGCCTAATGCCAATCCTGCGGAATGGATGCTGGAAGTCATAGGAGCGGCTCCCGGATCTCACACTGATAAGAACTGGCCTGAGGTGTGGAATGAAAGCAGCGAACGTACTCAGATCCGGCAGGAGCTTTTCCAAATGAAGGTGGAATTGTCTCAGAAACCCGAAGTTCCAAGAGCTGCTGGATATGGAGAATTCGCGATGCCCCTCTGGTACCAGTTCCTAGTATGTCTGCGACGCATGTTCCAACAATATTGGCGCAGTCCTGGATATATCTATGCCAAGGCCACCATGTGTATCGTTCCGGTAAGGCCCTATGGCTCAATTGTTGGCTGTATACTAACGTATCAAGCCGCTCTTCATTGGGTTTACATTCTGGAGGGAGCAGAACAGTCTGCAAGGGCTGCAGAACGAGATGTTCGCCATATTCATGCTCCTGGTCGTCTTCCCAAGTCTGATTCAGCAAATGATGCCGTTTTTCGTGACCCAAAGAGCGCTATACGAAGTGCGCGAACGCCCATGCAAAGCTTATTCCTGGAAAGCGTTCATGTTAGCCAGTATCACAGTGGAGTTGCCATGGAATATGTTCATGGCTGTACCTATGTTCTTTTGCTGGTATTACCCTATAGGACTCTTCCGCAATGCCTATCCGACCCATACAGTACCATCACGGAGCGGCACGATGTTCTTGCTGGTTCTTGTGTTGATGATTTTCACGTCCACATTTTGCTCCATGGTCATCGCAGGGATAGAACAGGCCGAAACAGGCGGTAACGTAGCGCAGTTGATGTTCTCACTGTGTCTGGTCTTCTGCGGGTAAGTACTGTACATTAAGAGAGGATCCTGACAGAGACTGACAATATCCTTGACAGTGTCCTTGTTCCTAAAGCCTCGCTTCCAGGCTTCTGGATCTTCATGTATCGTGTCTCTCCCTTCAATTATCTAGTATCGGCAGTTTTGTCCACAGGCGTTGCAAGAGCCGACATCACCTGCTCCAGCATCGAGTTATTGCATCTTAGCCCGCCGTCCGGGATGAACTGCTCTGCTTTCCTAGATCCCTATATCAGGTTTGCCGGCGGTCGAGTGCTCAACCCTGCTGCGACGTCTGATTGTGAATTTTGCTCAATGGCGACCACGGATCAGTTCCTCAGTACCATCAGCATTTACTTTTCCGAGCGGTGGCGTAATATCGGCATTCTATTCGGATACGCTGGTTTCAACATCATTGCAGCGGTGTTCCTGTACTGGTTGATCCGCGTTCCTAAGAAGAGGAGTCGAAAGATGAAGCAGGCGTGAGTGTGGAGACCAGAGGGACGGCTATGATATTTCCAGTGCTAGTAAACATGTCTGCTTTTCTGTATGGATGTCATCTCAGGCTGTTTGAACGGAAGGTGAATCCAATATATTCTTTCGAGGCGAATTTGCCCATCATACCCAATGAGGATAGATGGATCGGATGTATGAGCACCAAAACCAGAACTAGGAGAATAAAAAGAAACTAGAAAATAGTTCACAGCAATCTGTCCCCAAATAAGAAGTTGATCGGTGCATTGCGCACCTGTTGAACTGCGGAGAAGAGCCAAGAGAGCCAAGAAGGGATGAACCGATCGTTGAGCTTACCGCTCCGCATTGTCCATCGCTGATAGCAGCTGCAAGATCAACGCCATTGATTGAGAAGAATGGATTATTCCATTGTCTAGACATAATAGCTATGTTTCCGGTTATGGCTACTATGTAGTATAGTTAAGTAGCTAACTAGCTTACCGTATCCGGCGAACATGAAACTGAGATAGCATCGAAACCGTTATAGTTAAGTCAACTAGCTATAGCGATGCCTTATGCGCTGTTAGTCAAACGGCAGCTAAGTTGCAAGCAGCGACGATCACCCCGACTTCAAGTTAAAGTATGTATGTACATAGTTAGCATTGTTAACTGCTTACGTGGTGGTGGTTGTCGTCCATCCATTCCCTGATGATGGACAAATTCGCGTTCGCTTCCGGCGACGCGACAACACCGCGGATCGCAATTGGGATCCGCCATGGCGTAATGCCCTAGGGAAGGGATCACATTCATTGCAATGTGCATTGCAACTGTACCTTTTCCCTCCTTTTTCCGTTATCAGCGGTTCCTGACGCGTATCTCGATCGAATCTTGATCCTCTTCAGACACTCTTTATCTCGGCCAAATAATAAGTCCCTTTGATTATTATTATTGAAACCTTTTTCCCCCTCGGCTCTGTTCCCTCTCCTCCACTCCTTCTCGGCGTCTCAGATGTCTGGTTCACTATTACTTCACTAACGAATTAATACCCCGTACACTTGGGCTTTGGAGGCGGATTTTACTATTTTAGGTTACAGTAATCCACCCTCCCTTTTTCCCGAGGCTCTAAAAAAGCAGTTCGTGTTTCCCCCAGCTTTCCTCCCTTGGTTAAGAAGCCTATGCTAAACCTTCTCTCATAGGATCCTTTTTTTCGAAGCGCCCCAACCAAACAGGACTTGGCAGACAAGCATTTATTTATTATAGGGTAGAATTCCAAGCCGAGATCGAAATCAATGCTAGGCATTTGAACTAATTAAGGGGGCATTTGCGATGAATCGATAACAGATTCCCAAGTGGTCAAGTTCCGAAGTTCTAGCCACATAAGGTGGTGAACGAACAGACGACGAATTCTAGTCGAAAAAAGTAAATTTTGACGTCCCATGTCGGTTGTTGAACACCAGCGATAGCGTGCTTGAGTTGGCCTAGCTACCCATCGCGTTTGCTGTGTGCCCATGATGAAGCTGCTACAGCTGGGCGCGAGTCTGCTCTCGTGGTCGTTATGTGCCACGGCTACGATTCTGGAGAATGGTCATGAAAGACTGAACCCGTGGCCTGGGCAGACTCAGAGCATTGCTCTCGATGAATCTTGGAAAAGTTACGGGCCAGACGTATCCCAGATTTCGTACAAGGGGCGTTGGGATAGTCAGCATATATCTTGTATGATTTTTATCTTTTTTTTTTTCCGTGTCTGATTACTCGTTCATATGTTCGATGCTAATTGATATCTAGGGTGGTCGTTCGTCTCTCTCTTGAGGTGTTGAAATAGCGAAAAGTACTAATTGACTTCGATTCAGAGCCCCCGGAATCAAAGTTGGATTTTCAGGCAAGAAAGTAAGTAATTATGTTTCTTTGATTGAGTTGCCAGTCTTGATAGCAGAAAAACTAACGTCAACTCAGCTTGCTGTAACGTTTGGCCCAAGCACATCCGAAGGAGCCTTGGTAGCTTACCGGTATGTATTCCCATGGTCCGCATCACCATCCATTCAGTATCTAAGAGAATCTTGGTCAGGATCGGGTCCTTTGACTGGTTATTCTCCAATGTGACCGCGGGCTCGACGCACTATTTCGTCGGTCCCGGGACGGCACTTGACGGTGACGATATACCTGATAACAATATTTTCGAGATGCGAGGTAAGCATACCACTCACTCATCGAGGTATATGTTTCATAAAACTAACTTTTTTTCTTAGTTACGAATTGGGGCTTGGGATAAGTATAACTATCCTGCTCAATCGGTTCCTTGCTGATAGTTCCCCGCACAGTTCAGATAGCTGGGGTATCTATTGCTAGCGATGCTCGTCTTTTGAAACCTGTCACGTATCAAAAGAAAGTGGAACTAATAGGAGGATCGTGAGTGATGGAGTATCCTATCCATATTTGACTTCCGCATGCTGACTACTGGACTCGAAGCGTCGTATCTGGACAATTCGCTACGTATGAGACCTTGTCCTCGTGGGCGTTTCTCTATGCAGCTGGTTTAGGCAATGTTGAATATACAATTACTGTCAGTTCTGCCCTTAGTCTGCTCTATTGCTCTGTTTCTCTGCTCCTCTTTTATATATATATACACATACTAACTATATCGAAAGGCCTACCCAGGAGTCTGTCTCGCTGACCTCCAATGCTACGGCGGCGGCACCCATGGCATGGTACACACATCCTCACTTCACAGACCTGAAATCACAAATGAACACTAACCCTCCTCATCAAACCAGACATGGTTCTGGCACCACGCTTCAGACCCCGGCGTCCGCGCAGCTTCCATGTATGGCGGCGAGCCCGAAGAATACGACGTGAAGGCCGAGCAGCCCGCTGACCTCGTCATTATCCAAATGGGCGGAAACGACCATCGACCCCCGAACGAAATCCCAGGCGATAAATTCGCAGAAGCTTATATTGATATGATTGAGGATATCCACAAAGTCTGGCCCCAGGCAGTGGTCGTGCTTATGGTATGTTCACGGCCCCTTTCTCCTAGTCGTTTTAACATGATCACCTTCATCTTCTCCTCCGTATATTCCTATCACATCATATCATATCATACAGCAACAACAACACCTAACCCACCTCCCAGTCCCAATGGGGCGGATTCATCCGCTCCGGAACCGGCTGGCGCGGCACCACAATCTACGAGCCCGAAACGATGCGCGTCCTCGACCACTTCAAAGACCAAGGCTTCGTGCACTATTTCAACACAGACGGCATCCTCGCGCATAACGATATTAATCCCAAGAATCACCCCACGGACGTCGGCCATATCAAGCTGGCAAGTCACCTCTTGCAATGGACGAGAGTGGTTCTGGGTTGGGAATTGGAACCGACGGGGGAAATGACGCATTCGACGCTTTATTGGAATGATCAGCAGGAGTATTGAATCATATCTTGGGAAGAGGGAGAAGGAGAAGAAGTAAAAAAGAATAATGGGGGACAGGTTAGGAACTTGAGTAGCTGAGCCCTGTGTGGGGGGGGGGAGGGGTTGATTCTGGTTTTGACTTTTTTGGACAGGTCATATAATCGATAGATGATTATAGATCTTTGTGTTATTACTTTTTTATTTATTGTCGTCGTTAAATAAAGAGAGTGGATACTGAGGAAGCAGTTATGGACGTGAGCATATTCTTAAAGGCTTTATATCCTGCTGTTACAAAGATAATTAAAAGCACATTGTTACAAATTTCAGTAGAAAATCAATAAATGATTGAAGAGTGTTTAAAGTACCACCCACCTACTACAGGTATGGGTATTGGCAGGAGTAGAGTAGAGTAGATTATTTACAAGAGGATCTTCTCACCGAAACTGGAACCTGCTCAATCTAACCTAATGAATAATAACCCCATGGCAATCTGGTAACGAGAATCAATGGCAAAATCAAAATGTAGAATGACATGGTATCGATAAATAATGACACGCAAAGCTAGTGTAACTGATCATCGACTTCATGAAAGTACTAATCGAGAGATGCTCTTGGGGGAAAATGCAGAAGGAAAAGAAAACAGAACCATCCTTCAGTCTTGCACGCTAGCGCCAGTCAGAACCTCATCCTTCGGGTCCTGCTTCTGCGGAGTCTCTTCGGTTTCCTTGTCCGTTTCGGACTTCTCCTTCTCCGCCTTTGAAGGAGCTAGAGCGTCTGCTTCTTCCTCTGCGATAGTGGAAGGCGTCGTAACCGTCTCTTCCTTCTCTCTCTGCTCCGCGAGATCGCCCCTCAGCGCATCAATCACCCCCTTCGGGCCCTCAGAAATCGATTTCCGAATCTCGTTGCGGACGCTGTTCATTTCCTCCGGAGATGTCGCAGACACTATAGACCCGCGGTGATGTTCCACAAGACCAAGGGCCTCTGCGTTCTCAGCCCTGAAATTCGCACTGGACACTGCAGCCACTTCTGGGACCAGGGATGGGCGACGCGGGTTTCCAGCAATCTCAGCAGCAGGAACAACAGACTTCCTGCGACCAGGGTTGGCCTGTTCGCCTTCTGGCTTTTTGCTCTCCCTCTCCTCCGCCGTCTCGTCGAGTCTGGTTGGCTTCTCCGCCGTTCTAGCAGCTTCAGGTTTAGAGCTGGGCGGTTCTGTGGATGACGCCGCCTTCTCCAAAGCACTCTCCGCGGGTTTCGCGACCTTCTTAGCCGTCTTAGTGTCTTTGGCCTTGGAAGCAGCCTCTTCGCCCGCCAGACGCAACGCCAGGGTGATACGCTCGTCGACCGTGGGCTCCTCAGCGGGAGGACTCTTGATCTGGATATGAGGTGTGTTGCTCGACTTGGGCGTGCCCGTCGTAGCTGTAGTTGCAGCGATCGTCGCACTGGACTGGGTGGCAGGTTTCGAATAGGCCGGGTTGTCTTCTGAGATGAAGTTGTCGGGATCCTCAAAATTGTTGATCTGCATCTTCAGTTCCCCGTATTCGTTCCATTCCTCGATCTGCTCGAGATCCTATAGTAATGACACAAATCATTATTCAGTATGTCCGTGGCTTTTTGTTTTCATCATCCACGGGCCGTGATACTGGCCTGGAGAAAGGTCCGCCATGAAAATGTGAGTACCTACTCCAACAATTTCCCCGTACTTCACCAAGCCTGGTAATTTCTTCCCCTTGGAACGACGGCCCCAGAGCTGACGGGCCTTGTCATCTGTGGCGACATCAATTGCACGGAACGGGAGTTTGTTGGCCTTGAGAATAGTCTCGAGACGCGACGTTGCGGTGATGATGTGCGACGACCCCGCCGTCAGGGACGTGTAGAGATACAGTGTCGGGTCAGAAGGCATCGTTGGGACAAGCTTGCTAGCTCAAAAAGTCTCAACGGTGATATCACGTCAAAAAAAAGAGACAGGAAGATTCGCAGAGGACCAGAGATCTTTAAGGCGGGGTTAAATGGCGAACAGTCCGTGTTTGCTTGCTGGCTGACAGAAAAGTTGACGTGGTTGGTGTTTCAACGCCAGCAACAGATCACGTGGAGTACAATGGATGATCGCAATAATGGACTAGACTAGAGTAGTTCTCGTTAGATCGAAGGGGGGTTGATCTAATTATTCTATCGGGAGAATCATAAGAGAGTGAAAGGACGGGATTGCAGCGATACGCGTTTACTTTGCTGGGGGGCAAGAAAAAAAGGAGAGAAAGCGGATGAAGAAAGCGGACCGGATCCCAGCCAGAGACCGTAGATAATTTAAATATCCAAAGGAACGTAGAGAGGACTAGATTAATACTTTGTACTTTGCAGCGATTTAATAATAATGAAGCGTGGCACTGAGTGACTGAGGGGCATCCCCCGTTCTGACGTCAAGCGCCTCCTTCCACCAGCTTCCTCCACTTGCTTCATCCCGCTGTGTCTGTAGTTAATAACTCATAATTATAATCAATCCTCTACCATAAACCCCCTGTGGCTAACTTGACTATTTTTACCGTTTGCGTTGATCTAGGTCCCATATGCCAATAATCCTCGAGCAACAACCAGGGCTGTAGCAGCCGTACCATATCATTCCCCACGTGTTATGCTGATGTTTTGGTTCGATTCGGCAAGCTTCTTCGCAGCCCACGGCTGGCAAACGGGCACATCGACTGATCGAGTAATAACCATCTCGTATCCGTGGGAGACCAAAAATGCAATAGAAGCTAGCTTCGACTCGTGTGCGTCAGTCTGGATTCCTCCCTCAAGGCGATGTGTACTTGGCTACGACGTCACTTTCTGCGCGGTCATTCTGACTAGCGGGCGAGCAGATACTGGTTGGAGTGGAGCTTATATTTTCTCTCTCTCTGATATCAAGAAGCATGCTTTTCTTTTATATTGCGCCCGGAGCGATCTACGTGGAATTTGCTAATCTGACCGGCGATCACGCAGTATGGCTAATCAGGCTTCGGGCTAGATATACTTCGCTGATGATTGTATTTTTGCCCCGCCTCTGTCCCTACAGTGCTAATGTAATACCGTCAGAACGTATGTAGACCAGCTGCCAGTTTTGAGTGATGCAGAAAGGGGTCTACAACGAAGAGAGACATGTCTTGGTCATGTCCGTAGAGACGTTGTGATATGACGATGGAGCGGCGAGTCACGATCGGCGCTTTTCAACGGCCTCTCTCAGCTTCGCGATGACATCGGCGGGATCCTTGGCACCAAAGACGGCGGAGCCTGCGACAATAACATTAGCACCGGCGTCGGCAGCCTGGTCGATCGTTCCGAGACCGAGTCCGCCGTCAACCTCAATGTTCAGATCGGGATATCGCTCTCTCAGTGCCTTGACCTTAGGCAGCTCGGACGCCATGAACTTCTGTCCACCGAAACCAGGGTGGACGGTCATGACAAGGACCATCTAGAATAAGGAGATAGGCTTAGTGTATATTCAATATCAATCAACAAGGGTAGTAGACTGAGCAGCCACTTACATCCGGTCGCTCCTTCTCGTCCTTGTTCTCCAGAATCTCCCAGAGCACATCCACGGGAGTATCGGGCTTGATAGCAATGCCCGCCTGCATCCCCTCCTCATGAATATACCGGATCAGTTCCTTCGGGCTCGTCTTGCGCGTCGTTTCCTTGTCCGCTGGCTCCTTAGCAGCAACCGATGACACGGCAGCTTCGTAGTGGAAGCAGTAGAGATCGCATCCGGCAGCCTTGAAGTCCTTGACCCATCGTTGTGGCTGTCGTGGCGCGCAAAGCTTGCGTGTCAGTCTCTGTTTGACCAATTTCGCTTCTTTGTTTCCTCTCCAGGGGTAGTATAGGTTCTCAACATCCGGTGCATCCTCAATCCACTGGAAATGCACCCCTCAACGTGGTCCTCGGACAAGACCGTACGTCAAGTCCGATGTAGCCACGGAGCATGCATCGGGCGCTGTACAATCGTCATGGTGCAGGATTGACAAGGCGCTGCTTACCTCCATGATCATCATATGGCAGTCGAAGGTGCCTTTGCCGAGGGGCTGCGACGGACGCTCGACGTGACTGCGGATCTTGGTGACCACTGGGGCGCCAAAGGTCATATTCGGAACGAAATGGCCATCCATGATATCCACATGGAGCCAGTCAGAGCCTTCCTGGATCTTGTTGGTACATTCTGCGCCCAGATTCGCGAAATCCGCGCTCAGGATGGACGGTGCTATGATGGCCGGGGGAGACATCCTGTCACTGCGGGGGTTGAAGCGGAGAGAGGACGAATTCGAGCGAAGCTGGCAAGCGTCTAAGGTTAAAGGGAAACACTGTGAGTGGTATTAGAGGCTCAATAGATATGCACGGAAGAAGAAGAAAAGCAGAGAGCGCAAAACAGATGGGATACGGACCAACTCGCGATGACCCGATAGATATCTCAGGAACTTTCGGACGACGTCAGGCCGAGACCCATAGCGGGGAAGAATCAATGCGGTAGGGCTTCCGATAAGGGCTAGGGTTGGGTCACGGGAAGCCTATTTAGGAGTTCCGATACAAGAACTATTTTATTATTATCGAACAATATAGAATGAGCTGGCTAGGCCTTCAAGGTTAGAATTAATGCACTTGTATGTGGTAGGATAGACACAACTAGATATATCGCACATGTTTTATTCAGAGAATCCATTCAATTCCTCTATATTCCTTGTTTTGTCGGTGCCGTCTTCAAATTCATATCAAACGAAAAGAATCAATATCCGCATGCTGCACTCGAGAGGGAAAAAGAGACACGCAAGTCCCGGAGATAAACCCCATTCGGTGTAACCCAGTTGTAGACGTGCCTTCGCGTCAAACAGCGGCAGAACTCGAAACTCCCCAAATTGCAACCAACCCGATGCCATCTGGTTCAAACATGAAAAATACAGAAAAGAAGGGAGAATTATCCATAAAGAGCACACAATCATCAAGCTTTTGATGGACCCAGCTCATCATCTGCCGGTTCAACCCGGATGAGGATTTCTTCTAGGAACCCTTCGAGGAAAGGGCCGACTTCTCCACCCATCCCGACTGGGGCCTCGTTGTCCCAGCGTTCTATCTCGCTGAAGAGACCGGCAGCCTTGACTACAAGCCTCTTCAGTTTCTCGTGCGCATACTGGCGCCTCTGTTGTAGGTCGATCGCTGCTGGCGGCAACTGCTTGCTGCTTGTGCTCGAGCTCCGATTGAGCATGTCAACATGATATGCACGACGGTGGAGAGCTGCTTCCAGAGCGGGTAGGATGACACCGTTTAACGCGGTAATTTGATGCGATGGTGTTGAAGCTGGCGGCGGAACAATGTTCGAGTCTGTACTTTTACGGGGCCGTAGTTGCCTCTCATTTTCCTGACACTGTGTAGGGCGATGGCTAGTCTGTGGCCTCTGTGGAGATTGTGTGATAGGGGACGGACGCGGCGAGAATGAAGGCGCACCATGCCGTTCGCCCCCGGCGACCTGCCGCTGCGGAGGACTGGGCGATGCTGGAGTCTGTATAGTCGAAGTGCTACGAGAGGAGGGGATGTCTTCTGGCTGTATAGGTGCCGGTTTCCGTAATATAGGTTCTTGCGCCTTCGGGGTCCGTTGGGTCTGCGAAGCAGGTGGAGTGTTTGCTGGCGACCCCAGCTGCAGGAATCCCAGATCCTGGGCAAGAGACCGCTGTAGAGCTCTATCATACTCACTTGAAGCAGGGCTCTCTTTCTGAGGGATAGGCTGCGGCGTGGCTAGATGTGAAGGAGTCCCGGGCGGCGCGGACGGTCTCGGGGCCTGTTTCTGGGGAGATGCGGGAAGCGGTACTTTCGATGGGGATACTGGCATTTGTTGTACTGTCCCAGAGGGAAACATTTGCTTCTGCGGCGACTTCTGTGGTGAACTTTGACCCTTCGTTTTGTCTTTCACAGGCGTATCCTCTCCCAAATCCCAGTCTGGCATCGCCTTTCCTGATTGATCCGAGGGACGAGTGGCGGCCTCGGATGCTTGGCTGCGTGCATTTGCTGCAGAGTCGTTCATCGCCTTCAGCCCGCCCGAGCGACCTGCTGGTCTGACGGTACCGAAATCCCAGAGATCTTCCTCCTCTGGTGTCGGTTTCGGAGCCGGCTGCGGAACACCGTCGTCCTCATCCTCCTCGGCCGATCTGTGACCATGTATGGCCTGCCACCGTTCGTATCGCTCAATAAGTTCGGTCAGGTAGGTCGTTTTCTTTGCACGTTTTATGAACGGGTGTTTGAGTAACTCCTTTGCTGATGGCCGTTCCCGCGGATCTCTTCTCAGGCACAGCTCAACAAAGTCTTTGAAAGATCTACTGAAGTTTCCCTGCAGCGTTGGAGGCGGGTTCTTGGGGATCAGAAAAAGCACCTTCATCGGATGTATGTCCGAATAAGGAGGTTCACCCTGGGCAAGTTCAATGGCGGTAATACCAAGAGACCAGATGTCTGCCTTATGATCGTAACCCGACTGCTTGATGACCTCTGGTGCCATCCAGAACGGTGTCCCAACAAATGTGTTCTTCTTGGTCATCGTAGCTGATAACTGGCCAGAGACACCAAAATCCGCGAGCTTGACCTGGCCATTGGCACTTAGCAGCACATTTGCAGCTAGGGAGCGTTGTCAGCAATGTGGAAACAGACAAATCATGCACAGGGACAAACCTTTGATATCCCGATGCAGCTTCTTGTCACTATGCAGATAGTCCAGACCCATCAACAATTCCCTCAGTATGATCATAATGTACTCCTCGGGGATGAGGCCTGGGCGCATAAGATCCGAACAGCTTCCACCTGAACAGAACTCCATTATGATCCACAGATCTGATCCCTTCAAGAACGAGCCATGGTATTTCGTCACGAAAGGCGAATTGAGTTCCGACAAGATCGAAATCTCTTGGATGATATCCTCCACTTCGTCCTCGGCATTCTCGACGTCAATGATCTTGATTGCCACGGACTGGCCCGTACGCTTGTCGACTCTATACCCGAGCACACGCTAAGATTAGCTTCAATCTCAGTGACATGAGTATCAATGTCATACCCTTTATAGACCTTACCGAAGCTCCCGCCACCTGCATATCAGTTAGTTACCATAGTTAGACCGTTGGAAGGGCACATACCAATACAGTTCTGCTTGGTGTAGAGCGTCTCTGGATCCACTACACCCTGCATTTTGATGGCACTGGAGGGTACGTCAGTACCAGATGGCGATTAGAAGAAGCACGACAAGTCCGTGGGGACTTGTCCCAGATAAATTAGATTACCTATAAACATTAGGAGTCAGCCAAAATACCAGCTGTCCGCAGGAAAGCTGCAGAGCTGCTACTAGCAACCAAGTCCTTGCAGACAGCTTAAGGATCGGGGGGAATGCAGGAGCGAGGTCCAAATGGGACCGGAGCCAACCCGACGGTGAGACTGGTCACTTTCCCTTGGTGGAGCAGAACCGCTCTCTAGGGATAAACACAGCCGCAGCCGTAAGGGTCCAGCTCACAGTGAATCTATCAAGGTTAGATAAATAATAAACATACCTTCGCGTGAAAGTTCACAGGGCAGAGGCTTATGGTGACAGATCGACTAATGGCCAGATGAGTTAATACAGTTATCGCGACAATAATGCTGGCATTGTCTTGTTGTTGAGTCCCTATCGACCTCTAGGAACAGATAGAGAGCGCCAGCCGTTAGAGCGGGACAGCACATACCATCAACAGAACTGCCGTGTTCCATGGATCACCATCTCTTAGAGCGGGATTAGTTCAGCTTGCTGTTCTCCCGTCTTATCTCTCACAACCTGGGCCCGTTATACATGCAGCCATGTAAAACCACCAGACAATTCCACTTGGCGTGTTGATGGACTCTGAAGAGCTGTCAATGAGTTGGCGTGATTGGGGGAAGGCGGGGTTGGTCGGGGAAGCTGCTGGGCGGTGAAGCTGGATTGGAGCTGTCGCCTAGTTAGGTAGTTTGTGTATCTCCGCGCTGCGGGACAAGACTCGGTGTCTACCTAGGTACATTTATTAACAAGAGGAGGGGTTGGTAACTAATTGCAGTCATCTACAAGTCGATTGCAGGTGAAGAAGATAGCTACCAAGACTGCTCATGCAAGTTTCGTTACCATCATCTATCAGGCCTTGGCGTTGAGCTGCTACTAGACGGACCCATGGGCGAGTGGAGAACCAGATTAAATGAAATATCAGCTGTAGCAAAAGCTTCAAATGTAGATTCAGATTATGGTACTCCTTGGTGGTAGTGGTCTCAGTTAAGGATACGATTTCTGAGCTGGAGAAGAAGAAACCGGTCATCGCTGCGGCCACAGGGCGCGCGGACGGCGAACACCCGGGATATCATAGCGCGGCATCGGCTGGAAATCGTCCAAATAAATGCGAGCAGCAAGAGAAAAAAGAAACCTCCCTCTATCACGATCCCACAGGCCCAGGCCCTTCGCTTTAAAAGGACCGCTCCAAGTCCGCGGCACCAGCGCGGGCGGTCGTTGCGGGTTTCGTGTCATCATAACGCCTCATTAAATGCAAAAGTGCGATCCATTACCCATTATGATGGACAGTAGCATCTATGGATCAATCCTCAATATACTGGATCATGACTGTTCCGTTCTTCAAGCCAGCATCTGCGATGGTGGTGTCCAGCTGCTCGATCAAGTTTTGACCCATCGCGTTCAGTTCAAACTCCACGCCCGCCTTCTCCTTCAGCGGTGGATCGGCTTTAAGCCACTCGTAAATTCGCTGTACAGGATCAGACAAAGCGAACCTACGGATGACTCGACCAGATGGGTGGCGGAATTGAATGCGCGTTGTTGTAGCAGGGTCAGCCGGTGGCTCCACGTGAGGACGGTCCGAGGGAATGGAGTAGAAAGGCGACGCAGCGGCCTCCTCTTCGGCCTCCTCCATATCTTCGTCCTCTTCTACGGCCCGATCTTTGCCTTTGCCTTCAACATCTCCCTCGCCCTTGGTCAGCTCATCCGGGTCCTCCACCTTCCTGGCAGGTTCTCCGCTGCCAAGACTGTTTCGAAGAGCCATCTCCATCATCTCTTCCTCTGTCATCGCGTCGATCGTCTTCTCTTTCTCGGGTTTCCGCTTGGCAACAGGGTTACGCACGTTTTGCTTTAGACTGTATCGGTCGAGGAACTCATGGAGCTGCATGAGAAAGTCGGCTGCCTTAACTACAGGCGGTCCCGACCAGACCTTCACTTGCTCGCCGGTTCGGGGGTCGACGATAGCGATATGAGGGTAGTTGTCGGAGACATCGTGGCCGTGGAAATAGTACTGTAGATAGGGAGCAGCTCGCGGGTCGTCCTTGGAGTACTGTAGAAAAATAAAATGCTCCTTGACCGTCTCCATGATTGCGGGATCCTTCCACAGGTCTCGATTCAATACCTGGCAATCAAAGATGGAGGGATCCTGGATATTCACTAGTATCCATTTCTCATTTTCGCGTCCCTCTTCACGGGCAAGATCCCAAGGGAGTCTTGACATCAACTCGAACGGAGGACGGTACATCTCCGCAAGCATGTTGGATTTTGAAGACGCCTCTGACGCACCACCAGTCGCTGCTGCGAGACTCGCACGGTGCGAAGCATCCGAGCTCCCACCGGCCCAGATAGACGAAGTATCTCTCTGGTTGAATATCCCCGGTCGATCTAGAAAGAGGACAAAAGGTCAGCATTTGTCAGTGGAGTTAGTCGGAGATGGTTTCACGGACTGCTTCTTGATTGCCTGGTGCGCAGCTGGCTCAGAATAGCGCTGTGCATGTCGTTATCATCGTAGACATCCGTCTCCGGTCCGACCAGTCGCTCGGTCGTTCTTGCCATGGGAGCCCGCACACCATCCGAGCTGTCTGCACCGGAACCTGAGTATAGCTCCTCCTGTAACCGTCGGGCCATGGCAGCATCATCTTCAAATACGCCTCCAACGGCACCTGACGCACCCGGTCGAGCTGAAGACGATCGTATTTCTTGCACGTCGTCATCGGAGTCGATATGGACTACTCCGGACTCATCCTCATAGCCTGCCCGCCGAGAAGGTCGTTGGGGCTCTGCAGAAGGCTGTTCCCCGATTTCCGCCCCTCCATTTTCAAAGAAGAGCTGTATCGCCTGCTCAAGGTTGAAATCGGCCAGCTCAAGGTACTGAGACGCCAGCTTTGGAGACGAGCCCGTGATCTCGGTGAACTGAGCCACCACGTCGTCATCCATCGTGGGTGTCAGATAAGGATAGACTCGTGCGTGGGTGATTAGTCAAAATAATCAAGACGTCCTGTTCTGCGGCGCGGGGAAATTTAAACAACAGTGTCGATATGTGGTGGTGGATACTGTAGCGGCGAGTCGAAGATGCAAACAGCTGCAAACTATGGGTGGGATGCAACAATATAGCGGAGGTAGTAGACGGATCTCGGGAAAACGGATACGAATTCTGTAAATCTGTTTGAGGAACCGGCAAAGATCCAACAAAAGATGGCGTTCAAAAAAATTTCATGTCGTACAGCATTCAAGTGCTGGCGGTGACAGGCACCGTGTGGACATCGTCATCTGCTCTTGGCGGAGAGTGACGCAGTACTGCGAACCTGCAGGAATAATATGATTTTCCGACTCCGGCCATGGGTAACTCCAACCGGCGCCAAGACAATTATGCCAGCTGCACAATTACGGCGTTCCAGAGAAGCCCAACCTGCAGTTATGCACAAAACTTGTGCATCATCTGCATAACAGGATTATCCGGTCTACCGTAACGATCTGTGGCTTGTGTCAATATAGCCCGATCAGGGAATCCGAAGAAAATTGAACTACATGTACAAGTCTCTACACTAAGTTCACCAGTACCACGGCACTCGTCTGCACCATCTGGAGACGGGAACTCGTAATACATAATCCCCTGAATATAAGGTCAATTGATCCCGAGCCCAAGTGTAAATCATAGGAAATGATTAGGTACATAGCCGTCAAAAAGACCGAAGCCCTTCGTTCCTAGCTGCAGCAGATGATGGAGCGCGCGGAGTGTCCCACGTGACCTCGGACGACCTGCCTCGCGTCGGCTCGCAACGCGCTTCGCGTTCCTGCCACTTTAACAACTTGGACGCGGCGCGCGTGCCTCACGGATACCCCCCCTGGGGATACCCCCCCGTGCCTGCTCTCAAAGGTACATCCTCATCCAAGATCGCTCTCGCCGCTTTTCACCACCACCACAGATCAACAAGCACAATGGCAGCCACGGTCCTGGGAAAGCGTCAACGAAGCGCCATTGGAACAGAAGGTAGGTGTATCTGTCTACTCTGGTATATTTCCTTTTTCTTCATTCCACTCACTGACTCTTTCCTGTCCAGCATTGCCGTTGCGCTCGCCCAGCAAGCGTCGTACGCGAGCACCCCGAATTCTCGAGGAAGTGGGCAACCCATCTATATCGTCGACACGCCAACTCAGATCTCGCACTAGGGACTGCAGCCCGCAGCAGGAGAACGACCCTAACGTCAAGGCTTCAACGGTCGGTAACGTACCCTCGAAACATACCGTTTCTGACGAAAAGCCCTTATCGCCCAAGAAGAACGATTCCCACGTTTCTGCCGCCAAATCTGTAACTGGTAAGTCCTCGTGTCCGTAGTCGCAGATGGACCGGGAAACGACTGACCCGGATGATAGAAGAAAATCCCAGATCTACCGGGTTCAAGACTCCGCAGTCGGCCAGATATCGAGATGCACTTGCACAATCTCCTCCAGTCACTCCCCGGCACAGAGTGCAAGTAGGCGCTGGAAGATCGCTCACGCCTCGCACACCCCGCCATCTTTCTACCCCGACGGCTACCACGCAAACGGTCTACACTCCTGCGAGGCAGTTGTTTGCACGAAGCGCACGCCCGGGTCGCCTTGTTGGACGAGACAGAGAGCGCGAGCAATTGACCTCGTTCATCCAGAATGGAGTGGACGAGCGAAGGGGAGGCTGCCTCTACGTCAGCGGGCCTCCAGGCACGGGAAAGAGTGCGATGGTGGAAGAAGTGTGCAAGGACATGGACCTTGGCAAGACTGTCAAAGTCACACATGTCAACTGTGTTAGCATGCGAAGTGCTCGTGACGTGTACGGAAAGCTGGTCGGCGATCTATGCGATGACTCGCAGGTTTTCAAGAAGACTGAGGCCGACAGGCTGAAAGACATGTTTATCGCCACGAAGAAGCCAGATACTGTGTATTTGGTGACTTTGGACGAAATTGACCATCTCTTGACGACCGATTCCGAAGTGCTGTACTCGTTGTTTGAGTGGTCCCTGCACAGCCGCTCGTGCCTCATGCTCATCGGAATTGCGAATGCGCTGGATCTGACAGACCGGTTCCTCCCGCGTCTGAAGGCGAAGAACCTGAAGCCGAGCATGCTTCCATTCTTGCCCTACACTGCACCTCAGATTGCCAACGTGATCACCACCCGTCTCCGGTCATTGCTTCCTAATGACCAGGACTCCAGCTCAGACTTCGTCCCTTTCCTCCATCCCACTGCTATCCAGCTGTGCTCCAAGAAGGTGGCATCGCAGACGGGAGATCTGCGCAAAGCTTTCGAATTGATCAAGCGGGCTATTGATGTTATCGAGCAAGAGACTCTGCAGAAACTGGACAAGCAGAATGCGGTCCCTGACAGTCCTTCCAAGACAGCTCTGGCGGAAAACCTCAATCTCTCATCGCCTTCCAGGACTGCAGCTTCGAAGGCAGCCTCAACAGCCGTATACACACCTTTTACGGCCCCGAGAGCTACTATTGCCCACATCGCCCGTATCACTTCAGCTGCTTTTGGACAGGGTACGACGCAGAGGCTACAGGGGCTGAATCTACAGCAGAAGGCGGCCCTCTGTGCGCTGATTGCGCTGGATAGGAAGCGTCGTGACGGAGACGTCTACAGCACTCCGACAAAGAGCAGGGCGAGTGCTCCCACCATCAAGCAGCTATACGACACCTACTGCGCATTGTGTCGTAACGACAACGTGCTGCAACCCCTGACAGGAACTGAATTTAAGGATGTGATCAGCAGTCTGGAAACCATGGGTCTCGTTGGAGAGATCCAGGGCCGTGGACGCGGGGGCACTGTGCCTACGGGTTCAGGCATTCTGCGCACCCCGTCGAAGAGCGGTAGCGGATCGTCCACTCCCAGCAAGTCCCTCGACGAGAAGGGTCTCGCGTGCTTTGTTACGCAGAAGGAGGTCGAGACTCATATCTCCGGTCCCGGAGAAGGCATTCTCAGGGCTCTCCTTTCGGGGGAGGGCCTGTAATTTGTTTTTGTTGTCGTTTCGTACAACTGCTACATTGAAGCGCGGCGTCTTGGATTGTTTGACGTTCGTTTCCGCGAGCGCTTTCTACACTGTATTATCTGCATGGGTCAAGGAGTTTTGTCGTTTTCATGTGCATTTATCATTAGCCGGTGTACGGTCTTGTTTTGCATAAGCTGGCTGGTTCTGTCCAGCGCATTGGTTCACGGATGAGAAAAGGTTGTCACCATTCACATGTCTAGCATTAGAGAGCAGCGCCAAATCATCATATACAGATACAGATACCAATTCAATCAGTATCACTATGGAAGATATTGTACTCAAGGACCATGGGTAATTGCAGGATAAAAGTATAAACAGAGCAAAGTTTAGCATAGCATACACATAGCAGAACATAACAAATCAGCCGGACCTAACTATCCTATACCTAGCCTTAAGTAATATAGAACCTCCCGAGGCCCGAAACAAGACTATAGGCAGGCTAGATACTGAAGCTGAAACGTATTCACATTCACGACAAGAAATAAATAGATGACTTGAGGAAAGGAAATAACGCACAAAACAAGAGAAAAAAACAACAAGACAAGAGTCGGTATCAGGTAAAAAGGTATCATGTGGATGACCCTAAGCGTTTTAAACATTCCGGGATTTTGCGGCGAGGTACATAATGATGGAGATGGAGATGAATAAATGGTATCAATCAATCAATCAATTCGCTGAATCGATTTCTCCAGAATGGAATGGTATGGTATCGAATTTGCCCCAAGGTAATACATGAAAGAAAGAAGACAAATAAGGAGAAGAAATTCTTGACATAACAGAGCAAGAGCAGACAAGGAGGCTGAGCAGGAAGGAAGATAGGTTTCCTAGTTCGCGATAGAAGCCTGCTTTTTTGGTATTCTCCTTCGTTTGAGGTGGTTTTTTCTTGTTCTCTGCGTGTCAAAGCCATGCGGACATACGTATGTATAGAGATACATGTCTTTGGGGTTGTAGTAGGTTGGTTAAGGTACATCAAGCGCGTAGATACATAGATTTCTCACCCCTGAGCTAAAATTTACATTGCAGCCATCATTTGGTTGAGAAGCAAGAGATCTAGTCATCCATCGGCTTGTCCTCAAGAGTGACTGGTTTCAGAGGCTCAGATGCTTCGACGACGCTGTTGCGGTTGCTGCCGGTGCCGCTACCCAGACTCGTGACGCTTCCGCGGCTGAGGCCTGGCTTGCGGCTAACGCGACCAGCGATGCGAGTGAGAGAATCGCGCTTTTCGACTTCAACAGTGCCGCTGGGAACTGGGGCCGGAGTAGGAGTTGGGGTGGGCGAGTCATCAGATCCATTAGTGGCTTCCGTCTCGGTGGAATTGGCTGCTGCAGACGTCGTTTCAGAGTTAGCAGACTCGGAACTGGCGCCGTTGATGGCCTCTTCAACGTTGTGCTGTAGCTTGGTGAGATTGCGGTCCCCGGCAGGAGAAGACTCGTTGCTGCTCGGAACTTCTAGGCTGTGTCTGGTCTTGGTCTTCGGGCTGTTGAGGTTGATAGGGAATCTCGTTGATCTAGATCCATCGGTAGAGCGGTCCCGACGGTGTCGGCTCCCCGGTGCCGGACTAGTCGCACGGCTGCGGTTGGCGATGGCACGGTTACGGGCTTCCATAGCTGCCCGACGGTTGCTTTCATCCGTGCTGATTGCCCGGAGACGAGGCTGGCCTCCAGCTCCCAATCCCAGGCTGCTAGACTGGCGCTTGAGTTCGTCGAAGATAGCATCCTTGTGAGCAAAGAGGTCCCTCATCAGTCGATAGCTGTGGCGCTCGTTCATGGTCAAGCTGCTCTCAATCCGAGGGCGCAGAATGCAGGGAGCCAGAGTCTGAGCCAACGCGGCAATGTATGCCTCATCAGCAGAGGTCAGGTCGATTAAACGAGTAAAATGAGTCATGATCGCATCAAGCGTGGCAATGTTGTTGAGACGGAGCTGGCCAAGGGTGCTCTGCAGGACCTTGATCCGCCCTTCTTCGGTGGTCTCGTGGGCAGTAGTGGAATAGATCGTTTTGATTATCTCGTATACTTGGGAAGAAACAAGGGAATCTGCAGAGATGTCAGTACCAATGCGGAGACTGTCTTTGCATTGAGGGCACAAACCTGGTAGTTCAAGGAGATACAATTTCAAAACGCTCGCAACAATGGGTATCTCGTACTTCTCTAACACTTCACGGGCATCGGTTTTGGCGTAATTCAGAGCATTACGAAGATGATGCGTGGCCGCGAGAGGAACGTCGTGAAGCCAGATGGCACGTCGTGCCTCATCACCTTCGAGGTCCGGGTAGTCTAATTCAAGTTTAGTATCAGGCCAGTTCAAAGGATAAGATATCCACCCTTACGGTTGTCAAGGAAAGTCAAAATCGTCGTAACAAGAATAGGAACACGCTTCCGGTCAGCCCTGGCCCTGGCCTCCAAGTCCACGCCAAACACTTGATCTACAATAATCAGTCAGTTCAGCATGACCTTTTATTCTTTTGCTCTAGAGAGAGCAGAGTCCTTACCCTCCACAGAACCATAGTAGTTCTCGTAGGCTTGCACCTTTGGAACGAAGCTACCGGTCCGGTAATTCTCCAGGAGATATCGCAGGTCGCCCAGCGGCTGAATGGTCTCCTGGAACAGCATCATGTGGTCCACAGTGCTCTGCAAGCTGGGGATCACATTGCTGATGGCACCCGAAAAGTCGAGAACGACAGACTTGATCGCCTTTAGACGGTCCAGCTCGCACCGCTCCATGAAACGGAGATTCTCGACAATCTCTTCTTCCAGTCTGCATCGCAACTGATCCAACTTCTGCACAGCCGCCTTGTAGCGTTCGTCGGCCTCGCGGGCTTCCCGGTGCAGCTTTTCAGATTGCGTCTCGTTGGCATACGGGTTATTCAGTGGATTCCAGCCGGCCAGCATCTCTGAGACGGCAGAGATAGTCGGAGATTCCGACGAGCTATCGACGGATCCAGCAGACGCGACACGCGCGAGAGGCTTCTTCTTCTCCGGGATCCCAGTGATCTGGAACACCTTTGGCCGCCACTGGTAGTTCATGCGGGAGCTGTTTGCGAAAGTGCTGCCCATGTTGCCCACCAGGCGCAGGAACCCGTTGTCGACCAAGTCCTGCCCGATCCTCTCCGCATAGCTGATGCTAGTTGCGTTCAAGTGCTTTTGGAGGTATTCCACGATCTCCACGCCTGTAGACGTATTCTGGTAAGTACCCACAACGGGCACCTTCGTTTCTCCCAGCCGGATATTCTCAAGCATATGGGTGAGGAGCTTCTTCAATTCATCCGGACCGTACGTAAGGTCACCAATCTCGATCGGTTCGGGCTCCTCCGTTTGTTCATCGGGAAGAACGATCGTCGGCGGCTTGTTCTTGGGGCTCGAGTCCGGACTCTGGAACGCAAGCTTGTTCTCCTCCTCCAGGTCCTCCACCAGTCGACACTTGTTGAAGTACTGACTGCGCAGCTTCTTCACCAGATCCGCCTGCTTGGTATGTTCCTTGATACGCGCCTGCAGTTCGTCGTGCGAGATCTGGACCCTGGCCTCGTGTTGGTCGCACCAGCGGCTGAACGGGACGACCACCAGTTCTCGGATATTAGACGCGATCTTCTGGTGAGCCTTTGCCGCTTCGACCATCTCACCACGGACGCCCTCGTACGCCTACCGCCCACGCCAAGTCAGTATTCAACTCCAAATGTCCTCCAAGTAGGGGTTCATCAACGAACCTTCCTCACGCTAGCCCCATCATCCTTGCCAAAGCCGTTCGATATCCGATCCGCCGCAGGTGCGATATCACCAATCTTGTTACTGTACAGTTCCTCCGCATCGGCTCGCATCGTCGCAATGGTAAGGATCTGCTTGTTCTCCGCAATCCCCTGCTGGAGCTTCCCGTAGACGACGCCCAGACCACTTGCGTAGTCGGGCGTCCAGAACGAGTCCGCAAATCCAGGCATCGCGGAGAATCAGAGCTCGAGACACGAAAAGGAGCGGAGACAGCGAGGTTGTTTCGCAAAGAGGTAAAGGACAGTGTTATAGGTGAACTGCCGTCAAGGAGAGTAGAGCAGATGATGCACCAAGAACAATCCCTGCCACGAGACACGTTGTCGGCGGCTGGTTCATACGCAAGTGTCGCAGCTAGGTGAATAGGTCACCACACGCAACCAGTGAATGCTGAAGGGGAAAACTGCCTTCCAAACAAACCCAACAGCAACTCTTCGGGGTGTAAATTATATCCGTTCCACAGAATCTTATTGTCGCACCGGTTGTCGTTGAGCAGGCATACCCTGTATGTACTGCTGCGTGTGGTATGCGACGGCGCTAAACAGCAAAATCAACAGGTTTCAACAAGGTAACAATACCTTTAACCAACCGCAAAGGAAAAGAACCCGCAATTTACAGCGCAGGGAACAACGAGTGGGAAAGATCGTATCTCCCAGGTTTCGTGAAGTAGAAACAGGGAACAATGGCGTATTGATTCGAAAGAACGCAGGCTAATGAAGAAAGCAAAAATCACAGACAAGAGTCCCAAGGAACAGCAACCCAGGAGAAGAGAGACAAGAATAGCCAGACTGTTGGAAACTAGAGTAGAGTTAGATTGAGGTTGAGTGGAGTTTTGGGAAGCGCCAACCGCCCGTTCAGCCCAGTTGGAGACGAAACGGCCATTTCTGCTTTCTTTTCAGCCCGTTTGTAAGAACCTGGTAAAATGAACTGTAACATTACCAGCCATTCCACGCAGCTGTTTTGGTTCGGTTTGCACTAGCGTAATCAAATTACCCCCGTCCCATGTGTCGCGTCCCCCTCTCGTCCCTATTTTTGGCTACAGAATGTAATGTAACTTACGCGGACCTCCACCCGCTGTTTGCTCTCTACGGCGACCCGTATAGACCATTATCCACAGTATGGTACGGTCCAGTAAGTAAGTAGGTAAGTAAGTTATCGGAACGTTATTCTCCGTTACGTATTTTATTTTATTTTATTCGTACTACTTGAACAAGCCACAGAAGGCAAACATGCCAAGAACAAACTCCAGGGCCTCGACCTGGATTATTCCCGGAAAATAAATAATACCAACTTCGATTGCTTCGATACTGAGCTCAGCCACACTCCCTTCGTGATGGGCTGTGGATTGAACGGGTCGTTTCTATAGTACTCACCATAAACAGATAACTAGTTGATTGAAACGGCGCGGATCAGTGTTTGGAATCGCGTGGATCGCGCGCTCTGCTGGAGAAGCAATGTTTACATATGTGAACAGGCTGAAAAGCTTCTGTAGTATGGTACTACTCTATGGTAGGGTCTTCTAGCATTCCTGAAGATGGGGCCCGATGGAGATTCCCCTGTAGATACACTGTTTGTGTATGGATGTCAGAAAATGAAAACTAGGTACTCATAGGATAATTGGGATAAGATTCGCCACCTCCTTGGAGGGCCTGAAGTATCATGTTGTTTTTCTACCCTATTATACATACTCCAGGTACATGCATAAAAAGAAAGAAAAGAGGAAACATTTTATGGTTGAGGACAAAAGTCCACCAAGAGAAGTTAAACTGCTCGATTAGCCGGCAGCTTACCATCCAGGGTCTTCCACATCACAAAGATAGCCAGAGCAGGAGAGAAATTCTTTTGTACACATGAGAACTGTATTGATTGGAAAAGAATAATAGAGAAAAAGAAATCACGCTGGTAAGGGGAATCTCGAGCCATACAACTTCAGCAGAACAACTTGTAAACCTTCTTCCAGGCCGGCCAGTTAGCCTGCTCGGCGCGCTCCTCCATCAGGAGAGCCTGGATATCCAGTTCGCGACGGCCAGTACTCAGATCCATATCCTTGGCGCGAATAAATGGCGTCTTCCAGCGAATCTTGTAGTAGACATAACACGCGATCACAATAGGGACACACAGATAACCGACCTCGAAGAAGTTCTCTGCCAGCTCGCCAGCAGTATAATCACCGTAGCCGACCGGTGCGAAACCAGTCCAGAACTGGGCGACGAGGACAAGAAAGTTGAAGATGAACCCGATCCAGGAACCGATAAGACCGGCCTGCGAGCGGAAAGCCAGTTCGTTGAGACTGTGCCCTTGCGTCTTCCAGCCTTTACGGAAACGGATATGAGCCAGGCAGATGGAGCCCCACGTGAGGATGGAAGAAAGACCCGAAAGTGCCATCATCCAAGTAAACGCCTCCTCCTGCTTTGGAGTTGCCGCCAGGAAGCACAAAAGACCGATGGCGGCCGAAAGAATGATTCCAAATATAGGGCGACCCTGGCGATCAATGTAGGCGAGGAAGCGCGGCGCCTGACCTTGCTCAGCCAGGGCGGCCAAGGTACGCGAGGAGCCGTAGACAGATGAGTTTCCCACGGAGAGGACAGCAATCATAATCACCACGTTCATGACGGAGTCCAGGCCGCCTATACCAGCATTCTTGATGGCAATGACGAAGGGCGATGCAGCAGCATCCACATTGGACGACCCGAGGAGACGTGGGTCGGTATATGGGACGAGAAGACCAACAAGACAAAGAGAAACAATGTAGAAGAGCGTGATACGCCAGAATACTTGCTTGACGGCCGTAGGCAATGTCTTCCGGGGATTGGCTGCTTCAGCAGCCGCGAGACCGACCAGCTCCGTACCGGCGAAGGCAAAGGCTGCATTTGTGAATACACTGCAAAGCCCCTTGAAGCCATTGTGAAAAGCACCAGGGTCATGCCAGTACTTGCCGCCAATATAACCGCCCTTGGGGCCGCCGCCGCAGTTGAGGATAATACCTAGAATACTATGGCCAGTCAGAACTCGGAATGAACCTCAATGGGAGAAGGCTTGGGAGGAACAACTCACATGAAACCGACCACGGCAATGACTTTGATGGTGGAAAAGACAAATTCAGCTTCACCGTACCCGCGGACACCGAATAAGTTGATGGAGACGATCAGGACCCAGAAGATAGAAACCCAAGCGGCGTTGTTGACTGGGGAGCCCCAGTAGTCGATGGTCATGGACGCAGCGACAATCTCAAGAGGCAAGACGACCAGCCACTGCAAGGCGTAGTTCCAACCCATGGCGAAACCCCAGGCGGGATCCAGAAAGCGAGTCGAATAAGCGGAGAAGGAACCAGCAACGGGAAACAGGACAGCCATCTCTCCCAGAGCATGCACCGTGCAGTACAGCATCACACCAATCAGAGCATAAGCAATGAGGACCGATGCAGGGCCTCCAGTTTGCAACACGGATCCCGAGCCGACGAAAAGACCAGTGCCTGTGATGCCTATTAGTTATCTATCCTAATCAATGGAAGAACTCTTGCATACCGATCGAACCACCGATGGCAATCATCTGGAGGTGACGGCCCTTCAGACGACGCTGCAGAGGCGAGCTGGCCGTGTTGGCCGCAGCCGTCTCGATATCGTAGGCGTTTCCATCTGCGCCTGGCGTGCCTGACTTCGCGACACGGGCATTCGGATCCCGCTTGAAGCTATCAATGATCCTTCTGCCCAAACCAGGCCGAGCATCATTGACGTCGCCGTATGCTGGAGGAGCGGTGTAGTCGGCAGTCGTAGTCGGTTCCGCCTTGGAACCAATGTCCTTCTCCATGATGCAGCCCTCTTCTGTCTCTGTTGGTTTCTTTTGTACCAATCAATACTAAAAAAGCCCGTTCAAGAGGGCACTTCCTGGATCGGTGTCCAACGAAGAGAAGGGAAAACACCGTCCACGGTGAAAGACGAAAAGAGCAATGGCAGGACGCTGGGCACCGCCTAGGCACGGATCGAAGATAATACGGGATGGATGTCCACTAGAGATCGAGGGAAGAGAAGGGGGACCATCAGGTCAGGACCGGGCGGGGAGAGGAACTATATACGAGTGCCATTGCGACATCACGGCTACTAGAACAACCGACTAGCCAGTGAATGCAGATGCGACAACCCTGTCCGGAGTAGTAGTAGTAGCGGACGTGTCTATACTACTGGGAAGTCTAGATAGTGCAGCCAGCAAAGCTGGTTGGATAGCGGACATCAAAAGACCCTTGGTTCGACTCTGGAGACGGTTAGCGGGAACGAGGGGGCGAATAGATAAGCGATTTGCCATGGCGAACCAGCTGCGACGTTCTTGTGATGCCGATGCAAGTGGCCGCCGCAGTAGGCTTAGATTGCGATGGGAGCCACGCGGGAGCTGCGACGTTGACCTGGACAAGCCGCAGCGGGACATCGTCTGCTCTTTCTCGTCTGGCCCAAGGGGAGAAGCAGAGCAGCGCAGGGATCGCTACCACGAACGAATCCCAAAGCTTTCTGGGGTTCAACTGACAGTTGGGGGAACCGCTAGAGAACTCGAGTTGGTTAGTTAGATTATAGATAGAGCAACTCTGATTGTCGACTCCGCCAATCTGGCATTAGTCGCACCATGATACCCGCGATATTCTGGCAGGTGGGGTCTTGCTATCGCTGCGTATGAATAATGCTCTGCAGTAATAATCATGAGCATAGAGTCGTTCTTTTGCCTTCGAGAACAGCCACCACGCCACAATCCGGAGTCCGTCGCTGATGCTGGTCAAGCCTTCCGCCGGATCAAGCTAAGTAGGTAGTATGGCAGTAACTCGAGATCTTCTCGAGGTGGACGATGCTCTCTGCAACGCGCAAGGGGGGAGGGAGCTGGAACTCTCGTGGCTCACACCGCTGTCTGTGGTGTACGTTCATTTCATTCGAGATCCAGATGATGATCCTCATCCTTCCATCACAGTTTCGTTCTGATGGAGATGACGGACGGTGTCGGACGACTCTGGAGAGTAATGGAGTTTGTCGCTGTCAGCCCGATTTGAGCCACGGGCCATCTTGTTTCGTCCCGCGGGCTCCGCCTACTTTCCTGCCGCCAATAAAGCCAAGGCGTCTGCGTCTGGAGGTGATAAGAAGTTTTGTCGGTCGCCTCAACCGATCCAGCTTGAACTCCGCTGCCGCCACCATCCAAGCCATTGTCTACGGGGACTCCGTGATTGGTGTCCAGCATGGCCATCCCAGTTGTCATGGTGGCAATCTAGCGAACACAGGAAGATCTTCTGGAAGACACCAAGAAGGCCCCTCGAGGAACATGGTTATTAGTTATTACCTTATCTATTGGCACATGGCCAGAGAAGCTGAGATTATGTTCTGACATTCCAATCCAATCCAAGTACGGAGTAGATGAACTTTTGGCTGTCCCGACGCCCAGAAAGGAAAGGCGTTATCACTCACCTTGCCAGCCTCTACCCGGGCCAATCAGAGATGTGATATAGTGCTGCCACTAGAGTAGCGTCACGCGGGGCGCGCACGGTCTCTGCTCGCGTGATAAGTATGGTAGATACTGGAGAGTATTATTATTATTATTATTTGCCACGAGTCTGTATGACCATAATTAATAATAATAATAGTTAGCTATGCGACAGCTTCATGCTGCCTTCAGCCGGTTGGTTAAAACAGGTCGAGTTCGCACTGTCCTTAATTCATGGATCAATCGCTATTGTCAGGATCGACTGTCTCGAAATTGTCGCAATTCCCTCGATCCAACCGCTGTTCTCACCAACGCAATCGCAAACCTCGGCAACGGACAGGATATCTACCAACTGATCGACCTGCAGCCGTCACGGTGACATCGCGCAAGCTCGAACCGGAGCCACCATCGTATTTCAGAATCCAAGACCAACAGCGGAGAGACACATCTAATTACAATAACGCATAGTTATTCGTCGCCCGTTTTTCCACAGGAGCCCTGCATCTCTCAAGAGACAACTCACCGTCGTTCAACCAGGCCATAGTTCCAGACCTGATCATCCGTTCCTCAGGAACACAGAATCTTCTATAAAGCCTCATGATTGCTCAAATGTAGTACCATATTCCATGATCCTCGCTCTGTATGCAGGGGTATCACCAAGACTTCGGGCCTCAAGGGCTCAATTAATCCCAGGAAGAAACTGCAAGGTCCAGGAACTGATCTATGCGCGATCCACCGACCGTGCTGGTCTGGCCTCTCAAACAGTCATTTAAGTTGCCTCTCTTTGTTTGTTTGTTTGGCTACTTTTTTTTAGTGCCGTCTTGTTGTCTAATACTCGGGAGTGGACCCGACTTTTGTTTGCTATTGTGCGGGAACATACAATAGTTAACTAGTACAAGTCTCTTAATGCGGTTTCACTTTTTGGTTCTTTGTTGCAACCTCGTGTAAGTCGGCGTCCGGGTCGAGTAGCACATAACTGCATACGCCAAGAATATACCCTCTCGAACAGGTTAAACTACAATTAAAAACAACGCATACACACATAACATGCAAGCAGCAATATGGTAATCTGTAGAACCAGAATCGTATCCATGGATGTCAACCCAATTCTCCAAATCACGTGCATAGAGTCCAAGATCCCCTCTTCCAAAAAGAGAAAGACAACGAGAATGCCCATCTACTTACCGTCCCTAACCGCCCTCACGTGATATCCTCAAATCCCTCAATCTACTATGCAAGAAACAAATCATCTTATTATGCAACCACGAGGGACAAAAACAGGATATATTGTAGATCAGCAAAGTCAATTTTCCCCGCAATAACAAGATAGAGAACTCAGTAACAAAGACCGAGAGTCAAAATAAGCTACGTACTTTTTTCACCCGTTGTGGAGATCTGGGGTAAAATGGAAACTATCTTGGACCGTGATGAGGGGAAGGCGAATAGCCTTTGGCCGCTACGCTACGCTACGTAAACTTATATGTACCTAATGAGGATGAGGTGGGAAAAAGGTTACTAGTTTTTAGAGGAGGTTAACTTTTAAGTACTTGGTTGGGTGCGTGCGAGAAGGATTAACTAATGTGGGTGGGATGGATCCTGTTATGTAATGGATACTACGCTCTTTTGATGATGGCGTTCAGGTTCTGGGGGATTTGCGTGTTTGGGAGATGGAAATCTGGGGAAAGCGGAGATGGGGATGCACGTGGGTTAAATTGAGATAGGAAGGGTATGGGGATGTGGGAGTTTTGACTTGGTTTTGGGGGGGGTTAGTTGAATGGGATAGATTTGGGGGGATTGTATAGATGATGTGAGGGGTTTGTTGGCGCATAAAGTGAACGTTAGGTGATCTGTCAATCATCCGTTGTGGCAGGTTGTTTGAATCATAATTCTAGGATCGAATCTACTAGATTACTTGATTACTTGATTACTAGATCCTTTGTATATCTATAGAGGTAAATATGGGTTCAAATGCCCCCTAGAACTGATCCAAGCAAGCAATTCAACGTGTTCAGCCTAGACTATGCTTCCCGCTATTCATTATTAACAGATTTCGAAGTGGGTATAAGTTATAGCCCTGGAATATAGGTCAGTTCAAGGAATGTCTGGAGTACTGTAAGTGGACATAGTAGAGTATGTGGAAGAGGTAGGTAACAAGTTAAGTCGTGAGAAAATCTCGAATATGTGGACTGGTTTACGTGATGACTTCTTGCTTTGAATTCTGGTTTATGTATTCATAGTTGCTAGTATGTACTGCACGTTTTCGGATACATCAATTGATAATTGCCCGTGGACCCAGCTGGGTGGTGTGCGCTTTCTAGGTATGGATCGAAGGAATCAAGGGCGCTAGCCACAGGTATGTAGAAGCGCGGAGAGAGTTACCCTATATATATATGTATGAAAGGACAGAAATTTGGACCGCCTGCGAATTGAAAGGAAGAGTCAAAGGGGACTTGGGTGCTTATGATAGACAAGAGATATCAACCAGCTACCTTTGGTACGATAGACTACGAAAATAGTCTTATATCAAGTCTGCTTGAGGCCCCTGGCCTTTCCATGTGAGCTATTCCTAGATCAGTGAAATCCGAGAATGAGAACGTCCAAATTTTTTTCAGGAGAGACCGCTGAACATCCAATCATCGCAACTCGGGAATAATAAATTAGATTCGTGAATACTTTCTGCCTTCCTCTATCTTGCTATGGAACACTTTTTCATCATCATATCACTTGACAGTCTTGCTTGAAAACGTCTTCATGAGCTACCAACCGGTCCCTCGCCTCCAGGAATGAGCTAGACAGTCGTCAGCCAGTGACATCTCAGCTAATTCAGGGGCAAACTCACCATGCAAACATTGTTGCCGTTAAGGAGAATCTTAGGAAGCTTGATCCGGGCACCCGTGTAGTCGCTTTACAAAAATCAGCTACGCATCTCTCCAGGATGACGAGTAACATAAGAGCATTCGAATAGAACACTTCAGATACCAAGCAAGATGCAAAAAGACAACTCAGAGTAACCGCACTTACAATTCTGTCACGTCTTCCAAGACCATGTCTGATTACACTGTTAGCCACCTGAACATGCAGAATCCATGTTTATGGCAATACTTACTCACGTAGTCATCAAAACCAAGCAGAGTCCCCGAAAATTCTGAGGCGCGATTAGTAAAATTCTCGGTTTCAAACTTGATCACATTGGGACCAACCCTTGTCGCCTTTCATCACAACCCAGATTTTCGAACCAACACACTTGTCAATCAACTCTTCCATTCAGTCAGCGTTGACCCCTCTAGGTAGGATATTACGCTGATAGATATTTAGCACTCACCGAGAGGAAGAAGTTGGGAGGCCATTGCGGGGAAGGGGGGAAGAAATTGCTTCTTGATGTAGTCTGATGATCGCTGACACTTGACTATAACAGGATATCTCTGCTATAAAGTCCTATGTCATATAGGTCAAGGTCGATAAGGCGTTTCTCGAATAAGAATAAGATCGATGATCTAGAGTAGTCTGAGGGTTGCGATAGGGCTGCCATCGGACCACTCACGCCGGCCTCGGGAGCGGAGGAGAAATTGTTATGCCGTCCCGAAAGATAGTCTAACCTTTACTGGACTAGTGCGGCATCACGAGATTGGGTGCGCTGTAGCTGTGGACCATTGGTCCACCTCGAAAGTTACCGGAGATCCATGGCTATCTCGATTCAAAGATCTCAGATGATGTCTCTTTCACAAGCAGTCTCTGAAGAAGGCTGTACTCCATAGCTCTCGCAGTATAGGATCCAACGAAGCAATGCTCTTCGTCCAATAGCAAGCGTTCAGACCAACTGAATTGTTCAAGTTTTGGACATCATGATCGTTTATGATGGGGATCCGCCCGCTATTCTCCACGGGCTTAAGGCACCGCCCCTTCGCTACTTCCAGTGTACACAAGGTTAGCAGCTGCTGTTGTCGTCGAAAGTATGGCAGCCTACAGCAGTACGACCTGCACAGTCTAAGGTTGGTGTGCCTTCAGTTGCCCTTTGTTCGCTACTGATCCTGGGTGATAGGCGCAGGAGCAATGGATGTGCAATATCTAGTCGGAGGAAGACCAACGGAGCCGTTGCCCCTGATGCTCCTAGAGCATATACCTCCAGCTTCACGTGCAGGATGTTTCATTCCACTCCTATTCCCCGTATCGAAATCTCCGACGAAACCCAGGAGGAGTACGAGCTTGAGGACTTCGCGGATAATGGTTCCAACAGTATATCTGGTGATCTTGGGGCGATGATTCGGAATAGACAAAGAGCTAGGAAACCAGCGGATCTACTGTCGATACGACAACAGAAGATGGTCGAGACCGGACAACGCTCTCTGCCTGCGCTTCTGATAGCGGAACAGATCGTGAAACTACGACGAGAATACCGCAGACTCGAGTCTATGTTTTCTGCATTAACCCCTGTGGACGAGCTGGTTTCAGAGTACCTGTCATTGAAACATGTCTGGCTTGAGCGTCAATTAGCGACGTGCGCTTCGTCAATCATGGATGCCGAACTCGAACATGGCCGAATCAGAAATGCCCGACTACAAAGGCTTGAAGACCGCTTGGCTGCACTCACCCACTGCATTTCATACTATGATGGCGTGATGCGCACAACAGAGCGCACATTGAAATTGTTGCAGCTCGAATCGGACATCTCCGCACTAGTGCTATCTACCAGTGACTTGATAGAGGAAGTCGGTGAATTTCTCAGGCCATGCATATCCGCTAGAGAAAAGATCAATGACATTCTGGAGAAAATAAAGTCTTTAGGAGATGATTACGAAGACGTCAGACGCATTTTTCGAATGGCCGAGTCTAATCTGATAATGATACAGCTGGATCTCGAGAATATTAAGAATGATAGACGATATTTCACTCCCGCAGTGCGAGAGATTTTCCATCATCATTACATGGCTCTTGGTACGATTATATCATCGACAATGGCAACCTCGCATATCTTCCGCTCATACCATCTTTCGAGGAAACTGTCAGAAGGCCCACTAGGTCGGGCGTGGTATCCATATCTACTGCGCAAGTATGCAACAGAGAAGAACTCCAGGGATACCAAGTCAGAAACCCGGCGAGACTCTATCATGGCTCTCATTTCTCCTCGAAAAGGTCCTCGCAAATCGCCCCGTACAGCAACGGTTCTTCCGCAGACATACGCAAAGATCCTGCAACGGTTCTATTTGAGCAGATTGGGCAAGAGGAGATCTTCTTCTAACTCCTTGTTGAATATATATTGGAGGCAATTGGATGTTCTGGCCCCTTTCGACCTCATCCTTCGCTCTACAAATATCATCTCCAAACGGCTGATGGATCTCGCAAGATCACTCTCCGCAGGGAATAGCGACATGTGGTTAAATATTAGAAGCGATACCCGCGTTATGTTTCGAGAAAAAACCAAGAGACTCTTTCGCCGCTGGACCGCTCATCGTTTCGAATTTCTCGCGGCGTACCAGTCACTGGTTTACATCAACTGGCTGCGATTGGAGACCGAGAATAAGCTTTATGCTCTTGGTGATCGCACAGTCGGTCATGGAGTTCTTACTCCGCCGAGAAATTTGAGTCATGACACTCGAGCTTTCCTTCGATGGACTTATCAAGTGGCGGCCGACGAGGCCGAGATCATCTCATTGACACTAAAAGACAAGCGGACTACGATCTTCAGGATAGCAAATGACGATCCGCCAATGTCCCATGAGCAGCGCCAGACGTACAGTGAGATCATGCTGGACTATGGATCTGAAAGTTCTGAAAGTTCTTTCCCCTCGCCGTATGGACGTACTGCAACGAGCATGCATCCCCACAAGGTTACAGGTCTTCGACTCGGCCCGTTGCTACGAAAGTCGAGAGCAAAGCCAGTAGCTAAATCAAGGGAAGATTCAGACAGGAAAGCGGACCCGAAAGTCGCTACTATGTCGAGGAAGGGTCAAGGATACAAACGCGATGGCTTGAAGAAAATAGATGCGACAAAGACCGAAAAATGGCGCACTTCACCGCGTCCTCCTAGGTATGGGGATCATGGGCAACCGAGCGCTCCTCGCCGCAGACCATCGGACTGGCGGCTGAAGAGGCAGCAGCAGAAGAAGCACCAGTACTTGGATAGTGGGCTTAGGAGGGTAAGACAACCCGTCGATTTCGGAAAGTTCTCGTTCAGCAGAAGATCGTATACCTCTGGATCGGCTATCACGCGCGTAGGCGCAACAGAGATTGGAAGGTGCGATCCAAATCTTGTGCCTGGCCCGAATTCTTCATTGGCACCCGTTGTTAGTTTCGACAGTGAGGGGTGTCGACAGCAGAATACGGCCACATCTGGGTTGAAGTGCGTTGATGCACGGAACATTTCAGGACCATCTCATGTTTCCGAAAACCAGTTACATACTCCACGATTCTGGAGTCATCATTTATATAAAAGGCCCGGGGGGGAGAATATCACGGTCCATTATTGCAAGTCTTTGGAGCGGACTGAACAAGTGTGCAGATATTTCCTCGATAGCCCCGTTGTAGGCTTCGACATCGAATGGAAGGCACAGGCATCATTATCAGATAGTATTCAAAACAATGTATCTCTGATACAGCTGGCAAATGAGGAACGGATAGCGTTATTCCAAATCGCGCTATTCAAACCGGCTAAGACGCTCAACGACCTCGTGGCCCCATCGCTCCAGAAAATCCTCGAATCTAGCGATATCACGAAGGTGGGCGTGTCTATCCGAGCAGACAGTACCCGCCTGCGCAAGTTTCTGGGGATCGATGCACATGGTCTCTTGGAACTCAGCCACCTATATAAGCTGGTGAAATACTCTCAGTCCAATCCAAAAATGGTTAACAAAAGACTGGTGAATCTGAGCCTTCAGGTCGAAGAGCATCTTGGGCTGCCTTTAGACAAAGATGACGACGTGAGGCGAAGTGACTGGACCCGGCCGCTGGATTACAGCCAAGTCCAGTGTAAGTTCAAGTACTCGTCCCTGTCTCCAAACGACTAGCTAACCTTACCTTCAATAGACGCTGCTACAGACCCGTATGCCTGTCTTTGCTTGTTTAACGTCATGGAAGCAAAGAGGAAAGCACTTGATCCTGTTCCGCCGCGCCCGGCTTTCGTGGAGCTGGATCTTCCTATTCGTTTTGCAAGTGGAGAAGCCGTATCCGTGGATGCAACTCCGGTGGAGGAAACAGCTGGTCCTGATCCTGAAACGTCTGGATTTTCACATGACGACCGTCCCAAGGAGCGCGGTTTATAGATGAGTTATATATCCTTGTGCATATCCCTGTCTATATTGAGGTTTGCGGCTATGAAATTCAGCTTCTGTGTCTTGTATAGATACCACGATGGGATTCTAAAGTTGGTATGATATAGAAGTATACGCAGTTTTAGCTAGTATACATTATTGCAAGGGTTCGTCTATGAGAATACCATAAATAGAAACTATATATATAACTCAGGATCTTTCTACGATATGCGGAAACGTGCTCGACGTAGGGGTATATTAAGTTGACATAGCTAATTGTTTCAGATCATACACAACATCAGACAACATGTTTATACAACGACGCTCAGCCGAAAGGGATACACCATAACGCCAGAAATGCACTGATTTTCGTCTACCCACGCAACGGTAGCACCTTCGACGCCAACACCTCCTGTCGACATAACGGGCATTCCGGTTTCTCGCGAACCCAGTCTCGAATGCAATTCCAACAAAAGACATGTCCACACGTAGTCACGCTTGGATCCTTGAACTCGTCTATGCATAGCGTACATTTGCGCTGCTGACCTGCAGGAATCCAGGAAACGGCCGTGGGGTCTTCTGATAGGTCATAGCGCGGGACCGATGCAGGGAGCAGCGGCGTGGAGGGCGGATTCTGGATGGATCGTGGCACGCTTTCATCCTTCCGAGTCGGCGCTCTGGATTCAGAAACAACATCGTCCTTTCCTTCCTGTACAGACGCCAGGGTCTGTCGGATGTGGATGACTCCCTGTACGGTCATCTGTAAGACCAGCAGGACTCCTAGAACTTCGTAGCCAATGCGCTGCTCACTCTCTCCGATTTTCTTCGTGAAGACGTAGCGCAGACCCCAGAAGCGCTTGGAAAGGTGGTAGTACGCCCCTGTAAAGTAAAACGTCGCTAGACTAAGCGCATAGATTGGTGAGAGGGAGGTAATCGAGTCGAGATGCTCGAGAATGTACGACTGCACGCGGAGCTTGGTGAAGAATGTATTCTCTCTCCCTTTCTTCTGTGCAGATAGCTTGACGGATCCAGTCCGTTGAGCTTTCTTCGCTTGCTCGCGCGCGACGTTTCGCTCGAGCTTCAGACGGAGTCGCTGTCGGAACGAGGGCAGGATGCGTTGCAGGACCCATGGTAGTAGAATACTGCTCACGATATAGCCCGCCCTCCGCACAATCGATGGGAATTGTAGCGTGTCATCTTCCAACTGAACGACGTCGCAGTATTCCTCGCCTAGTGTCCGGTTGCCGAGCAGGGTGGTGAGGGAGAAGTAGAGGAGCTCTGTTAGACGCTTGATGGCGTCTGTATGGACGTGGGCATATCGAGCACCGCGCAGAGATCGGGCGATCGATTGTGCTTGGCTCGTCAGTGTACTGGTGATGAAGGCGTCCTTCTCGTGAGAGCGGATGATGTCCGGTGACGTTGCGAAAGGGTAGAAGTGCGGCGCAGGAGCAGGAGCAGAACTCGCAGAAGCTCCCTCTGGAGACGGTCCTGAGCTATCGTCTGCCATGGTGGGTGAGTTGGAGAGAGTAGAGTACGTTGCTGCTCTCAGACGAGCAGAGCGTGGATAAAGGCGGATATCAAGCAGCCCAACCTCGGTCTACTCGGTCTGTATCTATCTCGGTCTAGAGTGCTATGATCTGACTAAGAGGGCGAATCCGGGGTGACCGCCACGTGACTTGCCGCGGCAGCTCCCACGTGATATGATACACATCACGTGAGAGGCGCGGACGAAGTGGGCTCTGGCTTGACCGTCTCAGTAAGGCTTGATCCTTGGCTGGAGTCGAGACCGGCCAGTCCACCGCGACCGGACTCTGCGTCCAGATCAATTATAACTACTAATTGCTGCGTCTGAAACGCCTGTCCGATGTCCCTCACCTCCAGTCGCTCTTTATCTTTCTGATTCTTGTCTTTCTGCCATTTCTTTCTCTTTGCAGTACCGGGGTTTTGCAGCGGACCGCTCGATGTAATGATGGATTTGGATCGACGCGAGATCGAGATACCGCCGGAACTAGATGGCTTCAGTGTATTGTTTCCACTGCCCTACCGGTTGGCATTGATAGTGGTTGCTGGTCCGTGGACACCCCTGACAAGCTCAGAAGGACTCTGAACGGAGCTGACCTTGTGCGTAGGCTTCTGGGGTTGGGGAGTGAATCTGCATTACTTGTCCAAATTGAAGATCGTAAGCGCACTTCCGGAGAAGCAAGAAATAAGTCGCGTGCTAAATAGTAACGATTCAGGATGTCCCAGCCTTGATCCGATACCCTGCGCGACAGGCCCCCAACCAAAAGCCGCATCATGTCTCCGTATACCATCTTGCGACCCTATTGACGATTCCACTCGGAGCTTCCCTTCTCCTTTTCTGGATGCTCACACATGGCTCCATCGAACGGGTCAAGTCACTGGAATGGTTCCCTCAAATATACGTCATTATATTCCTAATCATCCTTATTCTGCCGGTCCGCCGTCTCTCTCGCTCTGGTCGGTATCGGTTCCTCATGACGCTGAAGCGTATCAGTATCGGTGGGCTGGCGCAGCCGCAGGACGGGAAGTTTGGGGATATCCTGTTGGCTGATGCTCTGACGAGCTACGCCAAAATACTGGGGGATCTTTATGTCAACTTTTGCATGCTGTTTACAGGAGGCATGTCCGCCACCGGAAAGCCCAATCGTGCTTGCGGCGGGGAGTTCGTTGTGCCTATTATCGTTGCTGTTCCCAGCTTGATCCGGTTCAGACAATGTCTAATCGAGTTTGTTCGCGTCCAGAAACAGCGGGACAGGGGAGATGGCTGGGGTGGACAGCATCTAGCTAACGCCTTGAAATATGCCTCTGCGTTTCCGGTGATTGCTTTGACGGCTTTGCAGCGCAACTACAACCCGTTTGTCGTGGGACAGATCAGTGAAGTGCAGCTGTATCATATGTGGTAAGTGCGGGTACTGGGAGCACACTATCGATATAGTTATCCGATTTCTGACATACGTAATAGGATCTTCTTTGCATGCATCAACTCTTTCTATTCCTTCTACTGGGACGTGACCAAGGATTGGGATCTCACTCTCTTTACCGAGGCACGGAGCGATCCCCAGCAACCATTCGCATTGCGTCGGAAAAGATGTTTCCCGACAAGTAAGATGTATTATGGCGCCATCATCATTGACTTTTTCCTTCGCTTCACATGGACCTCAAAACTCTCCTCGAAATTCGACCACATCAATGAGACCGAGTTCGGTCTTTTCATGCTTATGTTCCTTGAAGTCGCAAGGCGTTGGATGTGGATTTTCTTCAGAGTTGAAACCGAATGGGGTAAGTAGACTATCTTATCTTGGTCTCAACTTTTTCTATCGATGGTCCTATGCTCACATTCCACAGTCAGGAGTATCCGCGGCCCCGCCCCTGACGACATTCTTCTTGGAGAGTTCAATCGGAAATTGGATGAAGACTGAGAGGTTTGATGACTTTGATAGCGTTTCATTCTTCTTTTGCATTTGGTTATTGCCTATTCCTATGGAGGAATCGACCCAGCATGAGCTCGAAGTCTCACCGTTTGGTGCGAGCACGTGTAACTACATGTAACTATAATCCCGATAGACTTGTCGGTATATTTCATAACAAAGTTCCCTGATGCGGATTGTAACAACGCTCGGATACGAAATATATATAAAGCTAGATGCTATAATTACCCCCTTTAGTTCCTTCAGGCAGGGAAAGTTCTTCCACACATCAAAATACAATCTGATTTCGAGACCATGTTGCAAATATAGCTAATTGGTTCGATTACGATGAAATTATTAGTTGAAGTGGAACAATACGACTGCCGACGCTTCCCCCCCCCCCCCCCCCGCCGCCTTCATGACTCATGATGATTGTCATTTTGCGTGATCGACCAGAGCAGCTTCTTTAGACTTGATTCCATTTCTTGTCTGTATCTAGACACGAATAGCTTGTTTAACATACCTTCTGTGAATTGCATTGGCAATCTTTTCTTTATCCAAGGACATTTCCATCTCATAGCTTCCTGACAAGGTGTGCCTGTAGTATAAGAAATGTGTGGATTTTGATGCGTTGGTGAAATGGAGGGATGGGAATGCGGTTGATATTGAGAAGTTCGGGTTGGTGAGGAGGCCGGGTGAAGATGAGTGAGATGTATTGGAGGATTATGGGAAATGAGACACATAAAGGGGATAATAGACATCATCCAGTGCGGAATTGACGGCCAGTGGAGAGGAGTATATATTTGTCTCTTTTTATAAACTGCAGTTCCGTGTGCAAATAATCGTTTATTGTCGTTATTTGTCGCTATATATTCCGAGACTATGTTACTAATGAGCTCGCTATTATATGCTTGGCTGTTTGACGGAGGGGAATCATTAGAACCTCTAATCCAAGACCATATAGAACCGCATATGTCATGATGAAAAAATAATCACCGAATATGAAACCGGAATACCAGGAGAAGCAAATTGGACCGGATAATCTAGCACTGTACACGGCCAAGCCAATATAGAACAGAACAATCAATAAATAGTTACGCTATGGAAACTAAGTCCATTCCATCCGAAAAGTCCCAATATGTAGAAGAATGCTCGCCGTAAGATACTTTGCATTGGAATTCACCTGCGCTCCATATCGGACCCCGGAGTGTGGCTGTCAAACAGATCCTCCAAGTACGTGCTAGGTGCTCTCCCTTGCGGTGGTACGTTCAGAGAAGTGGTGGAAATGTGCGCCTGAGATCCCCTATACGACCTATCATGGCCTATATGAGGTGACATGAGTGGTGACGCAGGAGGGCTCGGGGCTGATCCGGTTCGAGTGTATCCTTGAGACTGCGGTCCTAGGTTGGAAAGACCTACACTGGAACCATCGACTGCCGTATTACTAGACGCGTAATAACCAGCTGGGAGATAATTCGAAGCTCTGTTTGCATGACCCTGCATTCCCCCACCAGCTGTAGGTGAGTAGAAGAGCCCGCTGGTTCTGGTGGATGACTTGGGTATGGGAGGAACCTGGCTGCTGCGATGGCCTGTGCCTAGCTTTTCCATGGACATGGTCGAACCAGGAGCCTGACTGTACATTGTAGATCTCCGCCTCGAGCGGCGGCGCCTCATTCTCCCGGCCAAGAGGGCTTTCTTTTCGGACCGCGCCTGGAGCCAGGCAGCCTTACGGACTGACCTGTTGACGGACCAGGCTACCATTCCACGCCATGCTAAGATAACCAGTCCGCAGAAACCCAACGCGGCACCAACGGCGATAAAGACAGTCCCTTCTGGAGCTTTCGACTTGCGCATGTACGGGGCGTTTTCAGTGGGAGGAACCGACGGAGTAGGGTAGTTGTAACTGGTCGTAGCCGCTGCTGTAGTCGACAGTGCAGGCAAAGAATTGCCCGACGTCGAACTGGCACTATCGCTAGCACTTGTACTGGTCTCTGTGCTGCTCTCACTTGAGCTGGCAGTAGTCAGCGCTGGAAGCGAGTCGCCTGTTGTCGCTGCAGCAGTGTTTGCAGCAGTCGTGGCGGCGTCATTATTGGTATCAGTCGACGCAGATACACCGGCGACCATCAAAACGAGTAGGAGACCAAGCAGAAAGGCAGGTAGGGCAGTCAGCCCGCCTCGAGAGATTCTCATGGCAAGTCTGATCTTCCTCGACACTCGGGGACGGCCGAAATTCGTACTGTGCTGTTTGGCTTATATTTCGATCCGCCTCCAATTCATAGAGTATTTGCAAAGTCGGGAACGACCAGAATTGAGAAGGATAGTCGTCGTAATAGGGGCCTAGATGATCGTCGCAATGCGATATCCTCAGTCTGACCGGTGAAGCGTCCTCGAAGACAGGAAAGTCAACAAACAAGACTTTCCAGAGCCACTGCTTACACGGTGGTGGCTCACGCAAGCCAGCGACCAAGAAGAGCTAGTGGTGAGGATTCAAACAACCACCAGGCAGACTGGAGGACGACAAGAAGACATCGAGGGGTCGTCCTTGTCGGCTGTTTCTCCCTCTTTCTCCCTGTTTGTCTCGGCTGTCCCTGCCTGAGGCTGACTGCACTGCACGGACCAATAGGAGCGGCAGGATCCAGATGGGTTGTCACGTGGGAGTTATATTTAGTTTCCCCAGCGACACCAGTTGGCAAGTTTATGATCACAGTATATCCTGTCTGATTACTCTTTCTTACTGCGCTCCGAATACGTTGGATATCAGTCTCTGGATATATAGCCATACAAAGTAGCGTGATATCCTGTCGAGGAACAGTTGATCAATTCTATAAGAGGGACTAACAAGTACCTGGATGAACATAAGTTCGTGGATTGAGAACTCCCCTTTCTGGAACAGGACGAAGAGAGCATGACGGATATATAAATAGTGATAGATGGCAAAACTCCCCTGGGAAACAGAGCAAGATAGACACTGCTAGAATACAGAAACGGAGACGTTACAACTAGACAAACAACACGAATGTTGCTACTGCTGCTTTTTCTGCGAGTTGGGCGCAGTGTCCTTCTCGAATGCGGCATACGGGACTTGAAGACTCGTCAGGGCGCTAAAGCCGACATACAGGATAGCCAGAAAGGCGAAACCGGCGATGAGGCCCATGTAGATGCCTATGTACGGTTAGTACCAACATGAAGAAAAAAGGTAGTCAATGATGTGGTTTAGAGAAAACAGACCTGGAGTGAGGAATTGGTACTCTTCGAAGACTGATTGACTGCCGCTGCCCTCCCGGCGGGCGTTCGAGGCATAGTCGCGTTTCAGATCCATGTGGACCGGTTCTTGGCTGTCAACATCGGGGTGATACATGAAGGACTCCGGCTGTTCACCATCAATCAACTCGCGAGGTGAGGTGACGTAAATAACGGTGTACTTCTTCGACGAAATGCGGTCAACGATATCGGCGAGGAAGCCATCTAGAAACAGTGAGTTCATGTAATCAGAATTCCGGCTGGGCTCCGGATCACCAACCGTTATGTTGGAGCTGGTGCCGTCTGTCGGTGGCTGCCGACGGAAGCACTGGGAAGTCGACACTAATCACACGAGGACCTTTTTCAAAGCTTGACGGGTAAGAGCCAGCTGGATATCGATCAGTATATCTTGCTGGATGTAGTCGCTAGCGTAGAACAACTCACTGGAAGCGTCGATGTGCGTCGTCTGAGCACCGCACTTCTTCTCTAGTAGCTCCTGGATGTACTTGGCATCCAGCTCGCCAGATACTTCGCTCACACTGAAGCTTGACTTGATCGCCTTATCCTTACCGGACAGCTTCTCGTATAACCGGGGTGCGGACTTCGGCTTGGAGAAGTCGGAGACATGAACACCAGGCTGGGAGGCCATAACGTAGTAGTCAGAAGGGCAGGTGCTGAGCGCGGATGCAATTTCATCCGACAGAGACGAAGCAGTCTTAAGCTGGGCAGACGAGCCTAAAAGCCTGCAGTAGAGCTCATCGTTAGATGGTCTGTCTGAGATCTGCGGGGACGAGTATCAACAGCAACATGGGAGGCACGTACTCAGATGTCGATGCGAGGATAAAGGGCGAGGTGTCAACAAATGCATTGACAACCCCCGTCCCAAGAGTAAGCAACCCGATCCCTCGTAGATGCATGTTGGCGTGTGTTGTTCCTGGAGAGGGTTCCGGGTCAAGCTGGTTGATGTCGAGGTGGTGATGATGGCCCCGAAGGCGGTCGGCCACTTCAACCAACCACGGCGGGACTTGGCGAGATCTCACAGAAGCTCGAGCCTGCACCAGCTTTTTCCAGCGGGTCTTGAAACTTATCAGAATAATAATATGTCCTTGTATCACGGACAATCTCAGTTCTAAAAAATTTCCCCATTGCCCTGTCTTGTGACTAGACAAGACAAAATCTCATCTATCATGGGCCCACAGTTGAAAAAGCGCAAGTTGACCACTGCGGTCGAGGAAGTCACATTTGATGATACCGCGCGCCATGAATTTCTCACGGGCTTTCACAAGCGAAAGCTGCAGCGGGCAAAACATGCACAGGAGATCGCCGAGAAGAGAGCGCGAGAAGAGCGGATACAGCATCGGAAAAAGGCAGGTACAACCCCAGAGCAACTCAGGAGTCTCTTTCTAACGTCTTGCAGCTCCGTGAAGAGCGAAATGCAGAATTTCAACGGATCCTGGAGGAAAATGAGAGACAGCTGAAAAAGCTGCGGGAAGATACCGACTCTGAGTCTGAAGAAGAGTCGGATTCAAACGAGGAGGAATGGAAGGGGTTCGAAGAGCCTCCGGCGGTGGACTATGAAGCCGAATATATTGACGAGGATAAATACACTACCGTCACAGTGGAGGAGATGGATGCTTCCAAGGAAGGCCTCTACAAAGCCGAGAAGGATGAATCGGATGAGCACAGTAGTCGCAAACGGGATACTGTGCCGGCTGTTACTAAGACCAATTCTGCGACGAAGAAAGCCAAGAGAGCAGGTGATGACAAACCGAAGAAGAAGAAAAAGAAGTTTCGCTATGAAAGCAAGGAAGAGCGCAAACTAGCGCGAACAAAACAGAAGATCAGCAAGAAGAGGAAGGCAGACGCTCGGAGGGACCGGTGAGATGGGGCGTGTATACTCACACAAAGCAGCTTCCGTGCCACACTCTACGGGGTGGAGTTCAATATACCAGGGCAATTTTTCATTAATCATGCTCTCTATGTACCACCACCATATGGCTAATACGGCGGGGGATATTGGGGAATAAGAACTAAACACATATTGATCCATACAGGGACAAGATCGAACCAGTAGGCAGATAAGGGCTTGTGTGACTAGGCTGTCTGCTAAAGAGAAGGGAAAGGGGACGACCCCGAGTCAGATGGTGGTTTGATAGGGAGACTGCATCCGGCATCTTCCAGCCCGCTAATAGCAATGTACAGGTATGCCTTTCTAGACGTTGCTGATGGACACCTCGAGGTCGTGCAGCTCTTTCTGTAGCTCCGCATACTTCTTCGACATCTCTTCGTACTTGCTCTCCCACTGGTCCCGGGCAGCCTCCAGAGCCTGCACCTTGCGTTCGTAGTGACCCGCCTTGACATCGGTTTGACGCAGCCTGCACGCACTTCGTTAATACCAGGCGGGGTGATCGACAGTGATGCATGTGAACTATAGACGTACTTCTCGTTGGTCTCACGAAGGTTCTTATCCGCCTCCTCGGCCTCCTCCTCGAGCAGCTGGAGACGTCGCTGCAGAGCCTCGTTCTGGGTGTCGTGCTGGGCACTCTGGCTGGCAGAGTCCTTGGCCTCCTTGATGCCAGTCTCGAGCTTCTCGATCTCGGCCTCCAGCAGCTGGTTTCGGTGGGTGAGGGAGGTGATCTCCTGCTCCTTTGCCAGGTTCTCCTGCTCCAGCGACTTGACCTTGTTCTTGAGCTCCTCCACCTTCGAATGGGCCTCATCCGCCTCCAGGCGGAGAGAGTTCATTTTCTGGGAGACATGTGGTCAGCCTGGGAGCCATTGCCGCGTTGACCCGTGTTGCCTCGTGGGCAAGGGTCGGGATAGTCTCCTAGGAGCTACCCCGCCATCCGATGGAGTACTCACCTCCTTGATCTTATCCATGATTGCGGGGGGTATCGAAGGCACGAAACAAGAACTATGTATGGATGAAGGGAAGAGGAGTTTCAGAAGGCTTTCGCTCAGCGAGAAACCAGAAGGGCGATGGAAGAAGTGGTGAACGTGGAGTCGTTGGGTTGGAAGGAGAGCGAGTGGAGGGCGAGTTGGTTGGCGGTAAGCTGGCCGATGCACTATTGGCCTTAGTTTGAGGTTTCAGGAGCGGGCGGTGGAGAGCGACGCCAGAGCGATCGTCCCGTCTCCACGGGCAACCGCCCAAACACAAAACTGAGAGAGTATTGGTATATTGCCTCATCTATCTATCTATCTAGAACTAACTGCGTTGCCAGCATCCTATCCTGTCGACGCGGCATAGAGATAGCAGATTCACCTTCTACCGTGGATGCTCCCTGACAACACCACGATCCCGCCGCCATGCTGGCTCTACGCGACCAGGAGAACTTGGTGCACGCGCACCAGACCACCGCCGCCGCGAAGCCCTTGAATCAAGGAACTAGAGGATTACAGCCCAAGACGCCCGGCCTGAGAAACCAGAAGACGCCATTCAAGATCCCCCTGAACGACGAGAACAATGCAGGGCTCTTTGGGAAGAAAGGGAAGGGAAATGAGAATCGCAATGAGAATACGATCAAGCCGGGCAAGGATGCCTTTGTCACCCCGCTGGGTATGTGGCAGTGATACTGGCGATCTCAGGGAATTAGACTGACGGATCCGCGATGGCAGGGCCTCGCAATCGTGCACCGCTGGGGATGAAAACTACCAATGCCAAAGCCAAAGGACTTCAGACGCCCGCACCGCCTGCGGAGTCCGCCAAGAAGACGAACAAGAGGGGTTCAACGGGTCAGAAAGCGAAGAAGGCAGCTCCGGTTGTGCAGCCAGCAAGGACAGAGCTGCTGGGCAATCTGACGGAAGATGATATCCCCGATATCGAATATATGCCACCCAAGCCGCAAGGTAGGATCCTCGTCGACTAGCAGTTGCTCCGTTCCAAGCGTGTTAACCTGTCACAGAGTTGCCTGATTTTCCTGACGACATCACTTATGATACTACCTTCCCCCAGTTCCAAGGAAAGAATATCGCGCTCGGATGGGAGAGGGTGTACGGGAACGAGGAGGTTGGCCCGGACGGTCTGACCAAGAGGGAGCGTAAATTTCAGGAAGACTCGATCGCGTACGACAAGATGGTGGATGAAATGATCCAGAAGCAGGTGGATGCCATGCCATTGTTGGGAATCGACGAATTCCCTGACGAGCCGTGCCTGGAAGAGATCGAGAAGCAACGAGAAGAGGAGCGTCGTGCGAAAGAGGAGGCCAGCAAGAAAAGGCACACGAGGAGTGTTTCAACCAGGAGCATTTCGACGGTGAAATCTCGCGAGGCTGCTGCAGCTCTTTCGCGCCCCTCTTCGTCTCTCTCAAAGGGAAAACCAGCTACTGCGCCGAAATCGCGGCCAACATCTGCCCTTAGCACGAGGAGCAAGAAGACTCCGGCCCCCACCAACCCATCGTCTATGCGCCATACTGCCGCTGCCGTCAGCTCCAGGACCACTGTTGGTTATTCCAAGGGCAGAAGCGTGTCGTCTTCCCTCAATGGCAAGACCGCCAAAGCCGAGACAACCCGTCCGGCGTCGAGCAGCATCATCTCTCCAACCACGTACACGGGACTTTACGGACCTCCTCCCGTAGGCAGCGAAATGTGGATGCGCCGCAAGACTGCTGAGTACTGTGCGCCAGATGAGCCGGAGGAGGAAGTCAACGAGATTCCCCCCTTCTACGAGGAGGACGAAGAGACGCAGAACTTCCAATTGACCCTGTAATAATCATTGATGTGCGACAATTGCAGAATGGGTGTTTCGGGGTATGGCCTGTCTTGGACGATATGTTTCATTAGGTATACAGTATTGGGTGGACATGGTATTTTTTATTGCATCGAGCTTCCTGGGGTGCTCCGGGCGTTTACTGAGCAAGAGCAAGATGTCACTGGCGTTCCTGGAGGCTACAGGAAATAGCAACCTTGGGTCCAGCAAGGTAGATATCAACAGGGCGAATAAATGATAGCATGTATCAAGCTACAAACAAAGCTTTCCCACGGAATCAGTCTCTTGGCGTGCCATAGAAATCGAACATCTGGTCTGAACCACGTAAGCGGAAGTTGATACTGCGGATCGCGATGTTTCAGGGTCCACCAGCTAGCTGTAGCTGGATTCAAAGTCCACTACAACAATTCTGAACTAGCGGCACAAGAGCCCATCCCGATCGATAATCATCAAATGCTGATCCGCCGTGTTGCGGTGTGCTTGTGAATTGAACGAGCCGGCAAGTTTAGCTCAACGCCCCCTAGCGCGCCCACCATCGACTTCCCCAAAACCACCTGTTCTTCTCGCCGTCCCTGATAGCAACTCCCTGTCAGGCTCTCAATTCTCCTCTGACAGCCCTCAATTCGCCTTTCCATCATGGCGAGAACCCACTCAGAGTCCTCTGAGGACTTCGAGTTCATCGAGACTCCTGCTGCTCCCATGCCTACCGCTCCGCCGGAGGATTGTGGTGTGCGAACGACGGCGGTAAGCTCTACCTCGGGGGAAAACAATGGAGCTGCTACGATCTACGATCAGCGCTCCAGCCTTCCATCAATGCCATTGCTGACGCATAGTAATACTTTCTAGTATCCCGCAATCAAGAATGCTCCTCTTCCTGCGGACGCTGCGGGCAGCGACAGCTTCTCCAATGTCCTCCTGATCTCTCTGCTCATCGGTGTTCCGTGGTACCTGGCCCGCCAGGTGCGCGGAGGTTTCTATACTACCATCTTCTTCGCCATCTTCACTACGATCCCGATCTTGATGGTCTTCTGGACTGTTGCTTCTTCGATCTCCCCGCGAAAGAATGAAAAGGCCAAGTACCCGGGTCGTCCTGTCGAGTACTATCTCCACTTCCACAGCGCCCATGACCGCGCCAAGTACCATGGCAAGAGCAAGATCCCCATGGAAACCTTCTACGAGAAGTATTTCGCTGGCGAGGTCGATTTCAAGGGCGATGCTCTCGACTGCCTCGAGTACAGACACGACTGGGCTAGCTTCCGCTTCACCATGGGCCTGTACAAGCACTTCCTGACAGGTTTCATTCCCGAGATGCTGATGCACACCCGGTCACAAGGTACCGCTTGCCAACCCACGTCCTTTCTGCACTGTACTGATGCTTCCTAGATGAGGAGCAGGTCCGCGACCACTATGACCGTGGTGATGACTTCTACGCTTGGTTCCTGGGACCCCGCATGATCTACACTTCTGGTATTATCAGTGATATCAACAAGGAGGAGACCCTCGAGCAATTGCAGGACAACAAGCTGGCCGTCGTATGTGAGAAGATTGGACTCAAACCTGGAGACACCATGCTTGATCTTGGCTGTGGTTGGGGTACTCTGGCCAAGTATGCTTCCGTCCACTACGGCGCTCACGTCACTGGTATCACTCTGGGTCGCAACCAGACTGCTTGGGGTAACAACGGACTGCGCAAGGCTGGCATCGACGAGTCTCAGAGTCGTATCCTCTGCATGGACTACCGTGACGCTCCCTATATCCCCGGTGGCTACAAGAAGATTACGTGTCTCGAGATGGCGGAGCACGTTGGTGTTCGTCACTTTAGCACATTCTTGTCTCAGGTGTACGACATGCTTGACGACGATGGTGTTTTCTTCCTCCAGATCGCCGGTCTGCGTAAGTCGTGGCAGTATGAGGATCTGATCTGGGGCCTGTTCATGAACAAGTACATCTTCCCCGGTGCCGACGCTAGCACTCCTCTTGGATTTGTTGTCGACAGCCTGGAGGGTTCTGGATTTGAGATCAAGGGTATCGACACCATTGGTGTGCACTACTCCGCCACTCTCTGGCGCTGGTACCGCAACTGGCTGGGCAACCGTGACAAAGTCGAGGCTAAGTACGGCAAGAGATGGTTCAGGGTAGGTTTTTAAGTCAAGATCCCCCAAGCATCATTTTGAATAGTCGACTGACATATTATTCACAGATCTGGGAATACTTCCTGGCTTCCTCCACCATCATCTCCCGCCAGGGCTCTGCCACCTGCTGGCAGCTCACTCTCGTCAAGAACATCAACTCTACTCACCGCATTGAGGGCATCAACACCCAGTTCGCCCTCGCCGGTGCTCGCGAGTCCGCTATTCAGCGCGTTGGCCACGGTGTTGTTCCCAGCGCCAACATCCCTCCTGCTGCCGTCCCCGGCAAGGAGGAGTAAATGCGTCCACCAAGCCCTTTTCTAGTTCATGATCCATCTAGCAGCTAAATGGGTTTGTGTTCTACAGGGGGAAATACATACAGGAACTTCGAGTTTCCTTGGTGCGCACAAGGCATGTGTCACACGATCAAAAAGGAGGGTTTTATACTGATTTTCCTGTTCTCACGAACATGTATGGAAGATTGATGTACGCTGTATGCTCTATGTATTGTAGTGGGGTTCGTGGTAGGGCCTATTTCCTGTTCAGCGAAAAGATGGTCTCCCTAAGTATATTATGCTAGTCTGTGTGGGTTTCGACATGACTCTGACGACCAAAAGAGGAAAAAGAAGCATATAGAAATGTGTTCATTCTTCTTAAGTCCAGCTTATTCAATTTAAATATACGACCGTTGAAACACAGTCGAACTATTATAACTACTGCCTGGTAACTAGACATCTCGCTTCAGCTTCTGGGAAAGCATCGCGAAAGGTAAGGCTCAAGAAAGAAAGGGAAAATCGAGACAGAGAGGGAGAGATCAAAAATAAAACCCTAACCCATCCACCTCCAGAACAAAAACAAAAGGCCGTCTATGAATATCATCCATCCGAAAACCTCGATTTCCCAACTCGAACCTCCTCCATCACAGACGCAGCCATAGGCATTGGCCGACTAATAGCCACCATCTTCCTCCTATCTCTCTCAGAATCATCACCGCCCTTCTCCTTCCCCTGCTGCACCCCCCGTCTCTCTAGCCACCATTTAACACCCAATAACGTCCCAAACGCATTAACGCCGCCCACGATCCCAACCCCAATCCCCACGAGGATCGGAAGCGGGATATTCTGAAGAATACAGAATGAAAAGGACCGAAGATCCGAAAAGCCTGATATCATAGCTAGAAAAGATATACCGAGGAGGGTATATGTCATGACTGTGCTGATAGTTGTGATTTTCGCTTTAGCTTTATTGTTATTTTCGAAGATCATGGTGATAGCATGCGAGAAGGCGAAAGAGAGGATCGTTAGGATTAGTGTTATTAGTCCTATGATCTGAGAGGTATCGTTAGGTTAGATTATCTCATTGCTACTGATGTGGCTCTTTTTTTCAAGAAGGGGCGGAAACATACTCCGTGAGCGGTGCGAAGATGGCGAGAGGAACCCATCCCGATGATACCGAGGATAGTTCCGGAGATGGATAAGGGGAGATAGATGAAGTATTCGAGATATTTACTCCAGCGTTTTGATTTGTTGGTTCTTAATGGCTTGTTGCTTAGTTGGGCGATGCGTTCGATTAGATGAAGGGAGAGAATGGAAGGGAGGATGAAGAAATATGCTGATATGACGAATAGAACTGGTTTTGTTTTTTGGAAGTTAGTATGGGGGAGAAAAGAGAAGGTCAGTCGAACTGAGTTATAGAGTGAGTGAGTGTAATGATATATGGTAAACGTACCATGTAGCGCAGTGAGAACTGCGAATTTGACCACCGAAAGTCCGTTTACTGAAAGAGTGATTTTCTGCAGATCGATATTGAACTCGTTTCCTGAATTCTGGATAGTAACAGGGGTAGTTGGTAGACCGAGAGCAGATGAATTGAGGTCGTCAGTGGAGCTTATGCTTTGGGGGAGAGTCTTGCTTGCCATCAGTCCGCTTAGGACACCGAAAAGACCTCCTATGCCCTCGCATGTGAGTGCATCGGAGGACTTTTGTAATAGGCTGTCTATGAGTGTGATGTTTATGGTTGAGAATATGCCGCCTGTTTGCGCTCTTTTTGCATGGACTGTTCTCGTTAGGTCTGGGTGTCCAATTGGACTTGGGGTTGTAGGTCCTGTGAGCCTGAGAAAAGGAGAGTCATCTCTTCTTTTCACAGTGGCAGCTTGAGTCGATCCCGTGGTGCCATTGTGAAGTAAGGACACCAGAAGAGCAACTCCCTCCCCTCCGAGTCCTCGACCGAACCCGGCTGCTGCGCCTCCCACGGAGTCGTTGAATGATATGGCGGACTGTCCAAAGGATGAATTTGGGATGACACTCACAACTCCGTTGCCATCGATGATGTTTTGCAGGCCTCCGGCACTGTCGATGGCATCAGCTGCTCCTCCAACTAATCCTCGGGCTAGTCCTTCTCCAACTTTGCCCAGGTTTATAGTCGAATCTCCTAGCAGGTTTCCAGACTGAGACATCAAGTTGTTGAGAGTACCATTGGCAAGGAACGACTGGGACAATCCCTGAGCGAAGTCGCTCGTGATGGCTTCCACGTCCAAGCCAGAAGCTGAGGAGTCTGTGGCATCTGCTGTGTTTTCTGCTTTTTTCAACCCGAGCCCTATTGCTGCCCCTTTCCCAAGTCCGCTGCCTAGACCCAAAGCAGCAGGTTGGAGGATCTGGTCTATACTGAAATTGCCAAGAGGGTTCTGGCCTCCAATCTGGCTTGTGATGTCGGATAGATTCGCAGTTGAGAGAAAAGATGACGATAGACTCTGTGCGAAATCTTGGACCACTAAGGGAACATTTATCGAAGAGGAATCTCGAGCTGCTATTTGGGCTGACGCTTTAACCAGTCCAAGGCCTTGGGCGCTTCCTTGACCGAGTCCTGTTCCGAGAGCACTGGCTACGCCAGGTAATTGCGAAACAAGCGACTCCTGTATATTACCGGCTCCTGCAGTTATCGTGGATAGGTTTGCTGATCCCAGAAAGGAGGATGATAGGCTTCTAGTAAAAAGCTCTGCGAAGCCCGGTATATCGACACTTCCGTTGGACCTTGCGGATAATGTATTTGCGGGAGACGACTTCGAGATTCCCAGACCTTGGGCAGCGCCCTCCCCTAAACCTTTCCCTGCTCCTCCTAACACGCCAGGCAGCTGTGCTAGGAGTGACTGCTGTCCATCCGTGGAGATGGCTGAGTTCAGGACTTTAGATAGGTTGACACTGCCAACGATGGGTTCGGATATTCCTAGTCCAACGTTACCGGCCAGAGACGCAAGGTCCGAGCTAGTGGATGGGGAGAAGTGTTTCTTGCTCAATCCTAAACCTGATGAAGTGCCGTTTCCTATCCCTTGTGCTAATGAGAAGACCGCCTGGCCGATGTTGAGATTGCTTGTTGACACCGCTGAGTTAAAGAGGGATGAAATATTGACGTTTCTTGCTATTGGTTCTGATATCCCAAGCCCTAGGTTGCCAGCCAAGGCAGCGAGATCTGAACTATTCTGCGGCTGGAAGGAAGTATTGGAAAGTCGTAATCCTGACGATGTCCCATTTCCTATGCCCTGTGCCAAAGCGAAGGCGGCTAGACCCAGATTCTGCTGGTTGGATGGCATAACCGATCCCAAAAGTTGACTTATATTCACATTTCGTGCAATTGGCTCCGAGAGTCCCAGGCCGACATTTCCTGCCAAAGACGAAAGATCGGATCCGTTGGCTGGGGCAAAAGATGCATTGCTGAGTCTGAGACCAGATGATGTTCCATTACCTATACCCTGGGCTAAGGAAAAGGCAGCCTGACCAAGACTTTGTTGATTTGATGGCATGAGAGAGCTCAGTATCTTACTGATATTGACACTTCCCGCAATCGGCTCGGAAAGACCAAGTCCCAGATTGCCCGCCAATGTCGATAAGTCGGAACCCCTCTGCGGTGAGAACGTACTGTTCGTTAGCCGCAAGCCTGATGATGTCCCATTACCTATACCTTGAGCAAGCGTGAAGGCGACCTGACCAAAATCCGTCTGTCCATTCAGTGGCAAGGCTTTAATGGCCAAGGGGACAATAGCAGCTGTCAAGCCACTTCCGAATTTTGTTGTCAATTGGTTTAACCCCGTTGGTTTCGCCCCATTCATCACAGCTGCAGAGCTAGCCATTGTAGATATCTGGTTCTGCGTACTGAGGTTAAGCCCCTGGGCCGTCCCAGCACCCAGACCAACACCTAAGGAGACCGCAAGATTGTCCAATCCACCAGTAAACCCGGAAAACAGCGACCCTACGCCTTTTTGAAGGAGATCATCGAGAATGCCACTGCCCGATGAGTTGGACGTCGGTTGTCCTCCCGAGAGAATGCCTTTGAGGCCGCTTAGGAAGTCATCACTGTTACTTGATGAATCTGATCCTCCTCCAAAGAGATCACCCAGAAAACCACGTTTGGTGTTTTTCCGTTGTGATCTAGTAGCCTCTGCCAGTACGCGGTCAAGGTGAATGCTGGCAGACCTCACTGTTGGCAAATCGAAGCGCTCAGAAACTTCCTTCGATATGTCGCTAAGACCTCTTGCAGCTGCAAATACATATCCAACTATATCTGGATCCGCCCGAGGCGATCTTGAGTCTTCTCGTGGTCGAATCACATATTTGCTGCTGATCTCCGCAGGGACCTGCTGAGAGCATAAAATAAGGAGCGTAAAAAGGATGAGACCAAGAAGACAAAGACGACCAAAGGACACACAGCTGGATAACGCATGCTTGTTCCCACCTGGAGCTGCCATGCCTCGCGGACTATCGATCAAGGAATATTTTCGTGTCCAGCACGTCAAGAGAATGCAAAAGAAAAAGCGAAAAGAATGGACCCGCTGCCCAGAAGTTGGTGAGGAAGAACAGAAAAATAGAAACGGATTCGAAACCAAACATCCTAATGCCTATCCCTAAGATCATGATTCACGAGATAGCGAGAAGCTAGAGCCTGATGCTACCTTGTTGTTATTGTTGTTGTCAGAAGCCTCGGTAAGGACAGACGAGTAGAACGGCCTGGTAATGAAACACGGGATGCTTCGAAAGATCTGAATTGGGCGAACTCACCACCTCGGAAACAAGTCGTAAAGTTTGAAGCAGTCTCAATTCCCTGTACATAAAATCTTTAGGAAAGGTCCAAGGCAGCTTTCACGTTTTGAAATCTAGAGTCAAGCCCGATAACGGGTGTTGATTGATCCGGTCAAGGTCAGCTCCGCAACAATGGTAGGAGACGTAGATCCAGAACCAGTTAGTGCAATGAGTAGGCTCAGAAGCTATGTCTCGTAATCCCATTGTTGTTGGCTGAGCTGTCTGAAGTCTAGAGAGGATGCGGGTGGACTTGAAACACTTCTCATGCTCAGTGCTGCAAGTTGCGATCCGCAGATGCAACCATCCAAGGACCACTGAGGAGCGTGGCTTGGACGGTTACATCAACGATGGTTGTGCACTAATGGAAAGTCTCTCCACCAGTTGCTGTTATTTGCACCTCTTGACAACAGCCTTTACATTGAAACCCACCACGGCCTTATTTTCTAGTACAAAAACAACGTGAATTTCGATTCCTCGCTGGTAGTTACTGATAGATATAAGTGAAATGGAAACATGGGCATTATGTGTCTTTTAGGGCCTAGTTGATTCTTGGAATTCTGCATGGATGTAAGCATCATCCTGTTGCAACATCTTGTTTCGTTGATGCCTAGGGTCGTATGGCGAGGAATATTGCTCCGGCACGACCGGCGTTCCGCATGTTCAGGGCTTGTCCAAAAGCTGAGAGCGTGCTTGGTCTCTGAGTGCCGCGGAATTTTGAAGAGGAATGCTCTCAGGTGGTATTCTTTGGAGAGATCCAGGATGAATTGTGATCTACAAGACCAGCTCAAAAAAAAGTCTTGTGAGTCCTTCCACACAACGAGCGGAAGTATAACATGACAGCAAGAATATATCAGTCAATCAAGTATATACCAAAACTATAATGGTGTATCGTATAATCATCGTATACAAAAGAAAGATGAAAGAAGAAACCGTGAATCGTCATCTACTCAATACGCTTGTACAGCTTCGCCTTCGACGGCGCACCGCTGGCCGAGCAGCAAGATGCAGCATCCACTTCCTGGTGGAGTGTCGACTTGTTGAAGCTCTGGTCCGACGGAGGTACATCGAGAGCAGGGTTCTTGGTAAAGAAGCCATCAGGCTTGAGGTGAACGCTGATGCGTTCAACAGGCATCACGGGGAAATCCTCTATGCGAGGGTTGTGGGTGAGACCGAATGCTGTGGCGGATATTAGCTTGCAACTTGCACAAAGAGGAACTGGACTAGACTTACTGTGCCAGAGGACCACATCCTCGTTCTCAATTGGGTCGTTCCTCTGCACCCAGGTCTCGACACCGTCAGAGCTCTTGCTCTGGTTGGTGAACTCGCCGGCGGCGTAGAGTTCATTGTCCTGGTACTTGGTGACCCAGATGGGCTTTGATGCAAACTTGGCACGCTTGAAGTTGAAAGAATTCTCACCCATCAGCAGCATCTGGCTGGGCAGCGTCTGAAGCTTGTACGCCACCGGTTTGTAAGTGATGGGGTTAATGACGCTGTCGTTGCGGATCTTGAACACACGGTGACGGTCAACGGCCGTGTTGGCAGTTCCGGAGGTCTTCAGAACAGTTTCTTCCGTCACGTAGCCAGCTCCGAACGGGTTGTCCTCGCCTGGAGGCATGGGGACACTGTCCTCATAGTAGATGGTGTTCTTGAATCCATCAATAGCCGGGTCAATACGGAAAGAAAACATGTGCTGGTGGAACGCAGCCACCACTCCCGGCGCAACATTAGTGCCCCACGGGACAGTTTCGCCGTTCTCATTATCCAAAGGCGCTGTCGACAGAATTCCGGTGGCACGGACCTCCAGTTCGATACCGGCAGCCTGGTCGAAGATGTAAGCGAAAATGTATTCATAGTTGGCGACGGTGCAGATCATCTGGACGACCAGCTGGCGGTTGCGCACCACAGTAGCCAGGCCGCTACGGTAATTGGTGTGCTTGTGCTGCAAGCCATTGTCCTGCTCGTGAAGACAGATGACGTTCTTTAACTCGACAGGATTGCCCTTGGAGTCTGTTCGGTAGCCACCGAAGTATTTGATGTGGCCCAGGCAATCGCATCCAAGAGACAACTCGTTGGCCGTGATACCAAATCCGACATCACCGACATCGAAAGCCTGCTTTCGATGGAACGGTCTTCGGGGATCTGCATGGAATCTGTCAGTGGCAATCCGCATCTCATCTCGGAGTATCGCTCTTACCTCCATATGGGACAGTCATCTCGTTGAGCGCCAGACGGTAGAACAGGTTGCGTCCATCATAGGTAATGTTGTAAAGAACCAAGCCTTCGCGGTTGTTGAAGCCGACTCGGAACCGCCATTTCTGCCAGGTCACCACGTTGCCATCCAGCCCATAAGAGGGGCCCTCGGGCTGCTGGACAATGTAGGGCTTGAGATCCGTCCGCAGAGGCTCATCAAGGAGCTCGTGAGCATATTGCACCGTCTTCACCGGCTTCCACGGCTGGGTGCCCATAGTCTTGTGGTCAACGCCCGCGGGGAGGTAGTCCATGCGGACCAGTTCGTGAGTGATGCCATCGAAAACCGGCGAGAACTTGACGGGCGTCGAGTAGTGGTTGTTCTGGGGGTGGTCGACCTCCACGATATACATGTAGCACTGGAACAGGCGGCGGTTCTCATTCGGGTCATCGGTTCCGTAGATCCAAGGGTCATTGCAGACCGTCACCCCTGGCGGCAGCTTCAGCTTCTCGATCTCAGCCAGCACTGCAGGATGCTGCAGACACAGCGACTCGATCTCGATCATCTCATCCACATCAACCGGGCCCTATCCCGATACAGTCAGCCAATGTCCTTCCTCCTAGCACGTCCACAAACGCTCACCTGGATGCTCTTGGGTAGCTCCTTGACATGGATCACAGACTTGGTGTCTGCATTGAGCATGGCCTTGTAAAAGGTCCCATTATCGAGGCGGTGGAACAAAGCCTGCAGCACACGGGCCGGCTTTGGAGGGAGCGGCTTTCCCAAGCGCTCCGCTTCGATATATGGGATCACGTCCTTCTTAGCAGGCTCCTGCACATCAATCTTCTTGTATCGCAGAGGAACTCCGGGGAATGACGCCTCCAAGATCTTGACTGCCAGCTGGATCTCTCCGGGAGTGAGAGGGTCAAAGGGGTGCAGTCCAGCAGACGCTGTCTGGGTGGAAGCTTGAGAGCCGGACATCTTGTGGTCTCCAGTCTCAACAGCTTTGGCGAGAGTGAACAGAGAGGAAGTGGCAAGGACAGATGAATCTGACGGCAGCGAGGGAGGCGACAGGAAACTTATATACTGCAACAACCCGCGCCATCTCCATCGGTGGGACTGAAGTGTCGTGAGAGCTCCGGGAGAAGAAGTTGTCGACATCAGCGTGGACATTCCATATTGGGTCAAAGTTGCGCCGCCCGTGGGTCTGCAGCCAAAGATGGGCAATCAAAGCATCGGAATTTGGCTCTTATCGAGCGTTATCAGTCGGTCGATGATAGTGGGATGTCCGTCGATGATAATAATATAGTAGATGTATCATAGATGTATCATGGATGTATTATAGATGTATTATAGATGCATTCTATTAGCAGCGAACCCATCGATTCTTTCCATTTTATTTCCTTCAATGCCACTGTTCCGAAGTGGTACTGTTCTGGCAGTGTAGCGTCATCTCAGCAAGCATCATTGTCCCTTCCGGAGTCCCTCGTGCTACGCTTACTATCTGGCGATAAGCCTTGCATTGTGTATAATGCTGAGCTTAGAATTCAACTTGAATCTCCCACAAGAAGATTGCCTCTGTCGATTAATTGTTCAACCACTTAATTCTCGACCGAAAAGATGTCCAGAGAAATCGCGCGTATCTTTTGCCCGATTAGGGCTAGCGTATCCCGTCCCCGCGTCTTCTGGTTCTCATGAATCCCCAAGTCGATGCTGACCGCTGTGAAATTTCCTCAGGCATCGTTGCTACTCGAAGTTGGTGCAGGATCATGTCTGGCGTCTATACCTCTCGCCGTTGTGGCCTAGTGGTATGATCTATCGACCAGACAGACGCATCCTAGATCAGGAAATCCTTGCGCCGGCCCTATCACGACGCTCGATAGGTGCATCCGGATTCCGAACACTGTCAGACTAAAGCTAACATGAGTTGAAAAAATGGAGTCGCCTGCCACGACTCCCAGTATCCAGTCGAGCTCTTCTGCGGGAAGATTGCCTGAGAAGGAGAAAGATGCGCAGTCGGACAGGAAGACGCCAACCAAAGGGCGGAAAAGACACCGTAGATCCGGTGAAAACTGGACACGGTCTGGCTGCTTAACATGCAAGAAAAGAAGAAAGAAATGCGATGAAACACGACCTAGGTAGGCTCCAGTAATCACACCCTGATTCCATTGCTTCCATTACTGGAATCGACATCATCAGTGACTGACGTTGGAATCAGCTGTCTCAACTGTGCCAGATTAGGCCGTCCGTGCGAGGGCTACGGCACCATCTGGACTGAGCCACTTAATCCGTTTACTAATGTATTTCAGAAACAGACAAGCAGGAAAAGGCGAAAGCTTAGTTCTGCGTCTGCAGAAGGCCATGGAGTAGTCCAGGTCGAGGCGGGCAGCAAAGATGTGATATCGAGTCCATACACGCCTGGTCATGTTGCTGACTATGCATTTCCAACTACTCCTGGGTCAGATGTCACCGGCTCCGATGCAGGAACAGAAAATGGAACCCCATATCCTGAAATTGACTTCATCCTCCCGAATCTTTTTGGGCCCCCGAGCCATCTGTCCAGTCCTGAGATGTATTACCTCCAATATCACACGGAGAGGGGATCCAAGTTGTTGACAAATCTGGAGATGGAGGAAAACCCCTTACGGGCAATCATCATCCCTAGGGCATTGTCCTCCCCGCTGGTCATGGATGCGCTCTGCGCTGTCTCTGCCATTCACATGTCAAATTGGGCGCTACATCGTGATGCCGGTTCCCAGACAGCAGCAATGCAGTATTACGGTCGAACCATCAGCAGACTCAGAAAGGTTCTCAGTGATCCGGACGCGATCTCCTCTTGCATAGTTACCCCTGAAGAACTCGTTCTCACCATCGCCTGGTTGTGCAAGTACGAAGTCGTTCGAGGAAGTGTCAAGCAGTGGCGAGGCCATCTGGATGCATTACAGAACGTAATCACGTCGTGCGGTGGCTTTTCCGGACTTGACCCGGAACTAGCAGAATTTATCAGCGGGCTGTAAGAGCACTCCCTCAGGCTCGTGGATATACAAATTAACACGTCTGCAAGAATAACCTACATGCACAACATGTCTAAAGTCACCAGCCGCAAATACAACTCCGTCATGGTACCGTACGGCGCACACTCTGGTGCCCGCAAACTCGACACCTATCTAGGCTACACTGAAGATCTCGTCGCAATATGCGCACGAATTTCCAACCTGTCCTTCTTGAGTAGCAACCCTCACGCCTTGGTCCTGGAGATCAGCGCAATGTCAGTACTCTCCGTCCTGAATTCCTGGGTAGACCTAACACTATCCCAGAACCAACGCTCTCGAAACATGGACTCCGACCAGTCGGACATACATCATGCCCAGGGGCATCACACCATCCATCCTCTCGCGACTAGAACTAGTCGCCCTCAGTTTCCGCTACGCTGCATTCATATACTTACACTCCGCCCTTGAGCGAATGGTATCCCAGCACCCTCATGTCCTTTCCATCCCTACCCTAACCAATCTCGTCCCCATCACGAAAGTAGACGCCATACAGCGCTGTCTAGCACTTATCGAAACGGCCCCTATCGATGATCACTGCGAGTACTCTGCTTTCGCCTTCCCTCTGTTCATGGCTGGATGTGAGAGCGAAGATGCAGCACAGCAGGCTTTCGTCTTGCAGTGTCTAGATCAGCTAGAACAGAATTTTGGCATCGGGAATGTCGGACGCGCGAAGGGACTCTTAAGACGTGTCTGGGGGTGGGAGGTTCATGGAGACAGGCATGAAGAAGGGATGGAGACGGTGCGGAGACACTGGCTGGATATATTAGAGGATGCCGGCTGGGAGTTAATCATGGCGTAAAAGTTTCAACTGTGATAGTATTCATTTAATACTTAGACTATGACTATTACTGCAATACACTATATGATGAGCTCGTACATGGAAATCTCTCAAAGTAACTCAAGCGGATAATGTACGGCACGGTCCCTCTTAGAAACATATCTAATCTGTAACGCGCATATATTGATGTTCAAAAGCGATCGTCTCTCCTTCCATCCTACCAGGAGCCAACTCGAAAAAAAGAAAAAGTGAAGCATAAATAAAACATGCCATATTTCCCAAATAGGAAATAACACATCTCACCCCTAGTTCAACTACATTGTAAATTGTAAACCACAAGAACCATACTTATCTACTACGGAACATCCACCCCAGACACCTCCCTACAAATCCTCAACAACTCCTCCTGCTTACCGACATCACCAGCCCCCGAATGCGGCAACTCCTCACCTCTCGTCGTCGTAAAGAACGTCCCACTCTTCAAACTCGCCAACTTCCCCTTCCCAACCGCCCAATCCGCCAATATCTTCGCAGGCTGATCCGTCCCCCTAGGAGCCATCCTACCTCCCATCTTCGTCCTCACCCACCCGGGATGCATACTCACCACCTGAACAGCATCACCCCATCGTCTCGCGAAGGCTTTTGCCAGCATCACATCATGCAATTTACTATCGCTATACGAATGCGACGTAGTCACGTTCCGCAGACTCTCGTCGCCGCCATAGTGGCTATCTGAACTCATGTATAGGAGTCGCGATTTAGGCTTCTCCATTAGACATGTGAGGATGTATGGCGCGAGGGTATTCACGGAGAAGACGGCTGAGATGTGTTCTGCTGTGATTTCGCGGCTGGATGTGGAGCCGTAGCCAATACCTGCGTTGTGGATGATTGTGTCGAAGGGCCCGTGGGCGTTGGCGTCGGCGGCGAGGTGCTTCGTTTCGGAGATGGAGCGTAGGTCGCTGATAAGGACGGCTTCGGCTTTGGGGATGGATTGGCGCGTGGTGGAGGCGCGGTCGGCGTTGCGCGCGTGGAGGACAACTGAGTGGCCTTGGTCGGAGAGGAGTTTGGCTGTGGCGTGGCCGATGCCGTCGCTGGATCCGGTGATGAAGATGCGTGCCATTGTGGTGGTGGTGGTTAACTTAGGTATTCTTTTCTTTTCTTTTGGGTAAGGAAAGAGATGGGGGTATGGTTAATTGGTGATATTGTCTGGATTGTGAATATGAAGTATCTACAGTACGAGTCGATGGATGTGATAGATAGATACGAGTATTAATTGCATCATTCCCCACCCCCGTCTGCGCTGAACCCCACATATGATATCCCAATCTCTATAAACTCTGAAAGTAACTACGTAGAATAAGTATGTAATGTTCACGATAATCCCCAGTCCTGCTCCAAGTCACAGGTAAGAAGGCGAATTAACCAGACGGAAGTCTAACATGCAATCATCATCTCCTCTGTAATCATCTCCAGACAGGGGTTATCCACTCAATTGATGCACCACTTCTCTCCGTCAGTGCTATTACCGTCGGAGTTAGAGGGCGTTTCTGGCCATGTTCTTTATGCAGTGTCTAGTGGTAGAAAAGGAAGGCCGTGGGGTATTCGCATATATTTACCGGCTGGCTCCTTGAAGAGAGATTGGTTGGATTGGCGAAAAGATTCGATTCAGGGTTAACTGGGCAGTGCCTAGTGGTTCCCTGCTTGTAGGTTTTAATCACAACCGATACATGCATAAGGTAGGTCAGGAACGTATGTACATGTGTTGTCCCAGTTCGGTCAGGATTAAAAAGGGCAGAGAACCTGATTGGCTGCGAGAAGTATATAGTTGCTTATGGCTTATGGCCAGAGAACCCTTGGTATGGATTGATTCGATTTGACCGGTTTTAGAAGCCGTTTGATAGAGCCCGTGACTTTCAGGCTGTGTGCAGAGATGTGAGATGGTCCTGAAAAGGTTTACTATAGGTCTATCTATATCCAAGTTCAATATATATACTGGTAAAATTACAGAAGCAATTACAGAAGCAAAACAGTCTACAGCCTACAACTTCGCTTTCAGAAGCTCCTTCTTCGCCTGCTCCTTCAAGATCCGTCTCAGGATCTTACCGCTAGGGCTCTTGGGGATCTGGTCGACGAACCGGATTCCACCGCGCAACCGCTTGTGATACGCGACTTTCTGGTCCAGCCAGGCGCTGATATGCTCGGCTTCCTCCTCTGAGCTGATTCCCGCGTGGAGGCTCTTCGGACTCCGCACGATATAGGCGCGAGGGACTTCGCTGCCGTTGGCGTCGGTCTGGACACCGATGACAGCGACGTCGTCGACTGCCTCGTTGTCCATGAGGATACCTTCCAGCTCAGCGGGGGCCACTTGGAAGCCGTTGTATTTGATGAGTTCCTTGACACGGTCGGTGATGTAGAAGTTGCCGTCTTTGTCCTGGAAACCGACGTCGCCGGTGCGGAACCAGCCGTCGGGAGACAGACAGCCAGCCGTGGCCTGGGGGTTGTTGTGGTAGCCGAGGAAGACGTTGGGACCGCGCATGTAGAGTTCACCAACTTCGCCGACCTTGACTTCTTGCGGCTCGGACTCGTCTTCGGGCGATGTCATGTACTTGGCTTCGATGTTGGGGAGGAGTTTTCCGACAGAGCCGATGCTCTTGTCCCAGTCCTCCCAGGGCTGGGTGTGCGTCACGGGACTGGTCTCGCTGAGACCGTAGCCCTGCTTGACGCGGAGCTTGAGGCGACCCCAGACGACTTCGACGAGCTCGCGGGTAAGGGGAGCAGCGCCGCAGTTCATCATGCGGATACTGGAGAGGTCGTACTTGTCCACGATGGGGTGCTTGCCCAGCAAGACCACGACTGGTGGCGCGACGTACGTGAATGTGATACGGTGCTTCTGAACGAGAGCGCACCATTTTTCGAGGTCGAACTTGGCCATGACCACCGCTTCGAATCCGGTATACATGGGCTGGTGGATGAGCATGTTCAAGCCTGCATATGGATCAGCACTAGACATTCAGGAGCATAATCGTGCGAAGGAGCCCGTCTTACCATAGATATGATAGAAGGGAAGAAACGCGAGAATGCGGTCACCACGGCCATCGGCGCCGCCGTTCCAGGTCAACTGGTTCCCTTCGCCGACTTGGCCCTGGAGGATGTTGGATACCAGGTTGCGGTGCGAGAGCATCACACCCTTGGGCACACCGGTCGTACCAGACGAGTAGACCAGGAAGGCGAGGTCCTTAGAGGGGTTCACCTTCGTTCTGCGGTATTTGGCCGCACCCGAGATGTTTCTGATGGACGTAAAGTGCTTGAACTTGGCCTGCGGATCCCGCTGGTCACCCAGGAGAATGATCCGATCCTCCGGGACTCCAGCTCGTTTGGCAGCCTCGCGGGCCACTGGCAGCAACGGGACCTGGGTAGCGAGCACCTTGGCTCCAGAGTTCTTCAACTGATACGCCAGTTCCTCCGGGGTATAGGCTGGGTTGGCCGGCGACACAACTCCGCCGGCCCATTGAGTGCCCCAGGTAATGGCAGGTGTATCGATGCAGTTGGGAGTGAAGAGCGCAAGGACATCTCCCTTTTTCCAGTTCCAGATTGATTTCAGCCCTTGTCCAAACGCCTCAGCGGCCTCTTTGGTCTGCTTGACCGAGTAGGTTCGGTCCGTATCCGCGTCCCGGAAGATTACTGCATTCGTGTTAATCCACGGCCCTCGAGTCCTCCATAGCGCAAGGGATCTCGTACCTTTGTCTTCTGGAAACGGTCTATCGGCCCTCTCAAAGAGAAAGGTCCAGAGATCGACATCGGGGATGTCAATCGGCGGATAAGTGGATTGGGCAGGCATGGCGTCGCTCGATCGCTCAATCGCTCTCACCGGGACTCTTTTAGCAGCAGGGTTTCTATAAAGTAAAACAACACAGAAATGAATTCAGACAAAGAAAAAGCAGTGCCAGGTGACGGACGCATGGCGTTTCTCCCCTGAGTTCAGACCGGGGGACGCCGTTGAGCCCGTGAAACACTGGGGCAGCTTACCCAAGCTGGGGATGGCGGGCATGGGCCTCGGTACTGGCACGAGTCGACTCGGTTACTCCAATAATAATTAATCCCAGAGGAGTAAGACGGCTGAAGGATCAGATCTAGCGTCGAGGACAGAGACGTGGACGCCGCATCGACCAGTCAAGCCAGATGGCAGATGGCACAGTCTCGGTCCGAATCCGGGGAGAGAGCGGGCATCGTCGGTGATGCTTAACTTCTCCTCGGCTCGGGAGTGGATTATTTTATTATTATTAGTTAGGCGGAGTTTGTCAGTCAGCGCGGAATCGGATGGCTAAGTTAACTATGATTGACTGCGAATGAGAAGGAGATTATTAATTAATAAAGTTCTCGCGAGTTGAAGTGACAGATTCTTGTTGTTGAGGGACCAAACAGTCATTTCTCCTCTTCTTTCTCTTGCAGATAATTCCTCCATAATCCGTCTTGAAGGAGTACAGTACAATATCAACTCTACACTCCCTTGAGAGACAAGATTCCTCAGACTGGATTGCTCGAGATATCATACACTGTCAATGAAAATAATATACCATCCTTTCTATCGTCCATTCTAGTTCCAATTCTCTTTTCCTTTCGTTTAACTATCATTATTACCCCTCTTCTCTCCTCTCTTTTCTCTCTCTGCTGCATCTTTTGTGTCCGTCCCTTTTGGCGTTCCTCCGTCTCTCGCTTAACCCACCAATCAGGACTCCCGTACACAACACCTCCCTGGACATATAAACCACTTTAAAGGTACAGCTATTGCCTTCGGGCATTTGGTCAATTTGAAACGATACAGAGAAGATTAGCATGGCCCCTGCACTAAGGATGACACGCTCAATCAAAGAGAAGCTACCAGTTTTTTTTTTTATTCTTTACAGATCAAAATTGGAGGTAGGAGTGCATGTCGCTTTCTATGGAGTGGAATGGCGGCTCGGGTTCGAAACGGCGGGTGGGAGAAAAGAATTCTTTTTTTTTACGCCAGATAGAGACGGGTGTACATGTACACTAATTAACTGACAACGCAGGGTAAATACACTGTCAGTAATTCATTTAGATGCTGAATGGGTCTTGGAGAGTTATCACTGAGCGCCACTATTTAATTGTGGTTTTCCATGTCCGCTTGATGTGAGAAATATGGTATATGTTATGCTATACATATTTGCCACTGTTGCCTCCGCACGCCTCTTCTACACGCAACTGCCAATATGTTTATCTCAAAAAAGTACTGGAAGTCCCAGAGAAGATTCAAAGACGGCCTTTCTATTCACTGCAGAAAACATTACAGAATCATCTACTAACTAGTACTGCGTAATGCCCGCCTCCAATGCCTTGATCTGCAACGCCAACAACCGCGAGTAATACCTCGCCAGAGCCAAATTGCCTCCCATGAACCAGAACCCAGGGTGTCCGCTTCGTCTCCAGATAGTTCGCACCTCACCCTCCTCGTTGAAGCCCCAGACACTCCCAACTCGGTCGGCCACTTCGTCGCCAAAAATCAGCCGAGTCGTCGATTTCATGTTCTGATACCCCGTCGCGAAAACAATTTCGTCAGCTTCCAACTGCGACCCATCCGCGAACTGGAGGCCCGTTGGAATGACCTTGGTGATTTCCTGGCCTTGCTTGACCTTGATCTTTCCATCTGCGATCAGCTGGCTTGCGCCCACGTCGATGTAATAGCCACCGCCACGTTGGAGATATTTGATAAGAAGACCGGCGTCCATGGGGCCTTTGTCGACCTTGAAACCGGCCTTATCTAGTCCTTCGAGAAGCTTAGCATCATTCTGGCGCATCGCCTCCGTCAATTTGACCTGCAGTGTCTTGAACAGCTCTCCTGGGATACTCCAGAGATACAGATCCGCGTCCTCAGCCACCGGGCCGGACTCCTCGTACAGTCCCTTCAGGCCGATATTCGTAATCGAACCAGAGCTAGCGACGTATGTCGAGCTGCGCTGGACCATGGTGACTTCGTATCCCTTCTCGTAGTAGTCTTGAGCAATGTCGTGGCCTGAATTGCACGACCCAACCACCACAGCTTTCTTCCCATTGGACTCGGGATTGGCACCGGGAAACTCTGAGCTGTGGCAGAGTCGATCTCCCTTGAAGCTGTCGACCCCCTCAAAGTCCGGCACGTTCTTCTTGCCCGAGTGACCGGTGGCCTGGATGATGTGACGCGGGTAGAATGTACGAGTCTCAACGCTACCATCCTCTTTCCTCCGCTCGACGGTGACAGTCCACTGCTTCTTGCTCTCATCCCATGAGGAAGACTTAATCGTCGTCTTGACCCAGACATTCAGCTCCAAGAGCGTGACGTACGATTCGAAAAACTCCGCTAGTTTGTCCTTTGGCGTAAAGATCGGCCATGACGGAGGAAACGGTATATAAGGCATATGGTCGAACCAGACGGGGTCATGAAGGACGAGCTGGTGGTATCTGCGACGCCAGTTATCTCCCACTCTGTCCTCCTGGTCGATGACCAATGTATCAACCCCAAGCATCTTCAAGCGCGCAGCGGCAGTAAGACCCCCTTGGCCTGCGCCCACGATGAGCGCCGCGGGTTCCTTGTCGATGAAGTTTCTCTCTGCGGTCCGACGATCGAGCCAGTTCGTCCGGCCAAGATGTTCACCATGATGCGCACCAACGGGTCTGCGGTGGTTGATAGCCTCTTCGTGACCCTTCAACTCGACAAGGGATGTGAATACCGTGAAAATCTTCCACTCGTTGAGACCCGCCAGTCTCACTATACCGTTTCCTCGTCCAACGTTGGTTTCAACGCTGATGTAGAACTCGATGCCTTTTACTTCCCCGACAACATCGATAGGTCCATAATGCGGCGCTTTCCTAGCTGACGACCTGTCTATGTGTACTTTGGCAGGCGACTGCCCTTCCGTTACGAATCGAGCGACGTTATCCCTGCCCTTGAGCGTGCGAAAGTCCCATGAGAAGCAGAGATGGTCGCGCCAGTAGCCGTCATCGACGTACAGCCGAGACAGCGCTTGGGCGTCTTTGTTCGCGAGAGCGCTGTTCAACTTGTCGATGACCTCGGTCGCGATCTTATCAGGATCATCGGGCACGATCGTGCTCGGGGGAGGGTATTTCCCGAGGGGGATGTTGATTGAGCCTGGTTCAGGTCGTTCGTGCGACTTGACTGCGACTTGGGCGGCGGCCATTCTGTTCGGGTTCGTAAGGATATACTATCTGGAGAGATTCCGTGTGATATAGTTCGTCAAAAAAAGAAAGATATGCAGTCAATACTTGGTACCTGGATCGCTACCGTGAAGGTGCTCTCTCTGTCCGTCTGTTCTATTTCTGCCCATCAAAGCTAGAATCAAGGCTGGTTAAATATGATACGAATCTACAGCGGAACCACCGAGGCTAAGATCTCATTGCGTAGGTACATTACTAACCCCGCATCAGAGCTCGCAGGACTCCAGGAGAGAGAATAACCATGCAGTAGTGAGGGTGGGTTCGAAGCGGGGAGGACGAGGAGAAATGGACCCTCTGATAGTCAACCATCGGTCTCGGCTGATCTGCAAGCGCGCATTCCTCCTCATCTCTATTCTATTTATCTTATTTTCTGTCCACGGTGCGGTATATGTATGGGAACTCTTAATCGAGGATTCAAGGGCTGCTTAGTTGGATTTGACCCGTTGGTTATTGTGAGCGCAATCCATGGATGAGGAGAAGACGTGCTCGTCCCAGGATGATTTCTTGGCTTTTCTCTTACAGGCATTCGAAATTTCCGATGGTTATATTTGAATGGGTGTGGCTGGCTAGTATCTGGTTGCTGTTACTCGTAAGTAAGGGATGGTTCTACTCTAAGGATATACCATGTAGCATCGAACAACATATTGTCCGCATATATATATATATATATATATATATATATCATAGACCCCCCAGACCTGGAAATAAACCAAAAAGAACATATATTATTAACCGACTATATTCTTATTCTAACAAGATCCGAAGAACCCCGTAGAAACGCCAAAGCGCAACAAGACAACGAGCCCTGTGCTTCCTGGCCGGTCACAAGCCGTAGCGCGGCTCCGCATCGGCTTTGTTCCACCTTGGATAATCGAGTCTCTCGGCTCCGCAAACCGCGTGGCCGAGGCAGTTCAGTTAGGCTTGATACATATATAGCTTTCTATAGCTTTCGATTCTTCTTCAACATCTATCGTCTGCGGGTTTTATTCGTAGCCTTATGATTCGTGGCTGTGTAGTACAATACATCCCCGGTGATGTGATTGGCTCTTTGGACATGATATCGTGTACTCAAGTATGTATGTACCCTTTGAAGACCCTCGATGGAACTGAACAATAGAGTAGCAGTCGGTTCGAGTGTGAAATCAATATCCAACAGCGAAAAATAGGAGAGGAGACGGACCTGGTTTCTCTGTATGCGCTGCTTCATGTACGAGAATTTCCTCCAGTTTGGAGTTTCTCATAGAGCATAATATCAGAAAACACTAATATCCCAATCCGGTATGGTGTAGTGGCTAACATCGCTGTCTCTCACACAGCAGCCCGGGGTTCGATTCCCCGTGCCGGAAATCCATCTCTTTTTTGTCCTTTTTGCCTCTGAGTAGTTGATTCCTAGGATCTTTCTTTTTTTTAACTATTTGATCTTTGGGTGTTCTTTAGTGGTAACTTGTCTATGGGATTAGATGGTCATTTCTGGTGTTGCCCCCTGAGAAATGAGAGGACTCGCATAACGAGCAAGCAAAGCTATATAGTAGTTTCTATATTGCCTACTTTTCAGGGCAGAGTCTCTTTTTACTGTACTCTTGTTCAAGGCGTTCTTCATTATAGTAGGTGTATATGTTGACGATTCTTTGTATAAAACTGCAAAGATCTAACATTGTAATTGCTTAATATCTTCTGTAGTCCCGCTACCACGTTCTTTTTAAACCGGACTCGTTCAACATGCCCGGCTATAGTTATATACCGTAATAATTGTAGGTACTTTAGTAGAATGAGCGTAGGATATGCACTATAATACACGAATTATATCAGATCCGGGTCTCTGTCGTCATGAGACACCTACTATCTGTTCTTTTACTATATGGGGGCGAGAGAATGGGGGATGTATATATACTCTCGACACTCCTGGGTAGAGGAGAAGAACTCCAGCGCACTACAGATTCTATCTTGGTTATCTATAAAATTCTGCCCCTGCTTCTAAGTTATAGACGGAGCCCTAGATGGTGAGGACTTAATTGTCATACTGCGTCTGGCTGTCTGTGGGGAAACAGCAATATAGACCATATGTCTCGACAGTCTTATCGAAGGATTTCAAATCAGACTATGTTTCCGTTCTACTAGTGAATATTCGACACACTGGAGACAGGTCTAACTATCCATGGTGTTTTCGTGGCCGTCTATCCCCAGCAGACAATTAGTGTCGAGCCTATCAGCCATAGTACTTTTAAATACGGCCATACAATCCATCATTACCACGATATCTCTGGCATAGGAGCAGCGAGGTACGGTGTATGTGTGCAACTGATGCGTCCTAAAAACATCTACTATATAGGTTCGCGGGTGATAGAGTATCTCCATGAGGATATATATATGTAGACAGTAGTAACCAACAAAGACCATCTCTCTTATAGAAGTCGCATGGTCAAAGTAAGTTCCTAGATAAACCTATAGCACGCATTGTTACTCCGGAAACGAGCCTTTAAATGCCAGCCCCGAGCCCAAGACTGTTTAGTTTCTCATCCAAAATTTTTCTCCTGACTCCTGCACAAGCAAGCAAGGCAGTAAGTTGATTGGCCGACTAAGCCGAACAGACATAGTTCAAGTCTATAAATCACACTAGTGGCAAGTTCTTCAACAAGATGGCCGGATAGTCTAGTTGGTTATGACGTATCGTTAACACCGATAAGGTCCTGGGATCGAGCCCCAGTCTGGTCACTTGACATTCCTTTTTTTCGATCGCGATTTTTTTTTTTCATGCCACTTAGCTATTCTAACCGAGTTAATTTTTTATGATCTTGTCTTCCTTAAAAGTCATACGGAGTCCTAGGTACTAGTAATGGTGCGAGGGTTCGGTGCCGTACTAAGTAGTTATATGCGCTATGCTTGGAAACAGCCCGTTTCGTTGTTAGTATAGAGTATACTTTACGCTAGGCGCGAGATTAGGAAGAGGTTCGTAGACGACTGAAAACTGATTAAGTAGACACACTCTTCTGGATAAGCATTATTGTCACTGTTAACGAAAGAGGTAGTTGTAGCAGATCTGATTATACCCTCTTGCGTCAAGCACTAGGTCGTTCCAGGTAGTCATAGACTCATCATACAGAAAAAGGGGAAATATTTACATTTTGAATCAATAAGCTTATCTCAATATCTGGAATATCTAGCCTATGCTAACGGTAAAGGGAAAGCAGTAACCGGGGTGCAGACAGGTCACAGATGTAAGATAATGGAGAGCTAGCTTATTCCGTGTTCGAAAAGTTCGTGATCAACTTACAATCTAATATCCGGCTTTTGGAGACCAGATAGATGCAACTCATTCCTGCGGGATTTGTATGATTGAAACACATCTTGATGCTTTCAGGGCACTGCCTCTTGACGTTTCGGACTCATTAAGTCCCACGGCAGATCTCTCTCATTGAGCCAGAGTAATTTTATTCCGGCCCCCAACAACGAGGCAAAGGACCAGCCTCCGGTCGATATTACATCCTTTTGAAGACAGCAACAACAGGCGAACATTTACAATGCCGTGGCTGCTTGGTTATGATCTATGTGTTCTCCCGCATCGAACTGACGGATGCCAGGTCGGGTAAACGCCTATGTTTCTCACGTTGTATGCTTCCAAGTACTGGGATACAGCGTCTTTAAACCTTTGCCCTATACATCTTGAATAAGCACTTTCCGCTGACAGAACGCTCTAATTAGCTAGAAGAAAACAACTTCTAGTTACTTCGCCCATGAGGCTCTTACATCCGATCGTTCTCTCCCCAGTTCCGGTCTTCTAGAAGCCATCAACGCCTACTCGGCTGACTTCTACGATGATGCGATGTGGGACCGGGTTCAAGATGATTATCAGAACATGGATGAGACGGCTTTGATCGCCATGGGGATCCTGTTGGAGGAGATGGCACAGGAATCTCTAGGCGAAACTGATGACTTGATCCTGGTCGAGGAAGAGGAGATTCGGTAACATCCTTGACAGCGTGATCAAGAAGAAAAAGAAGCAATAGAAGAAGCCTCGTTTAGCAGCCAAGGCGATACCCACGGATATGGACACAGAAGGGGACACGACGATATTTCCTGGATATGGTAGCGAACTGTATACTAGGTAGAAAATAGAGGTGTCTATACGTAGGAATCCTTTTACTTGATTTGTTTTATATAAGGGGAATATCTACGAAAAATGTAAGCTTTTTTATCTAAACTTAATCTATTATACCAGTATGTATTGTCGGAGCCTGCCTACAGGCAGGTCTCCTGTCGGGTTTCTCCTACGCCTTTCTAGCTCTACCAACAGAGATAAATAGGATGAGTTAGTTGCCACAGGATTCAAGCTCAGTTATAACTTCTATCCGTCAAGTTCTGTGTCGCTAATTGGCTATTTCTAGCTGTTAAACTATTGCCGCCTATCTTGCTTTATATCCTCATCTTAACCGCCTCGGTATATTCCGCCGTTTCCTTCTTACTGTACAGTATTTCGCGGTACTTAGTCTTCGCTTCTCGGCCTTAGTCTACTAGTCTTCCTTGTTTTAATCTTTATTTTCGCGTCTATATCGGATCGTTGCTTATTACAGCATTAGTTTCATTTGCTCCAAGACATATCTCACGTCTCCCTTTGCGTGTCTCTTTGAGTATTTATATCGGTATGTTTACTGTCTCTAGCCGCTGTCAAGACTACCTAGGTAGTAGAGACAGTCAGGTCTTTTGTCTGAGAGAGTGTTGTCTAATAAATCGCACGAGTGGCCACTCTTCCAACAAGATGGCCGGATAGTCTAGTTGGTTATGACGTATCGTTAACACCGATAAGGTCCTGGGATCGAGCCCCAGTCTGGTCACTTGAAATTCTTTTTTTGATCGCAAATCTTTTCAGTGCCACCTGTTTTTATTCTCCTGGATAAACATCTCATATAGTTGTCCTAGAGCAGTTGTATTCTAATATTATTACCAAAGGGGCAAACAGGATAAGGGAATTCTTGTACATAAAGCCCTCAACGACATGTGCGCGAAAGGTTGAAAAAGCTTATTAACCTTGTTCCCTTTTAAATCTAGGGTCCGTTCTAAGATGTGGAGCTATATTCTGGAATTAGAGGACTAGAGGCTCATAAGATTCATTATCTTTGTGGTACATCTATAGTTCTTCTTTTATCATGGGGTTAGGGTTTTCACGGAATAGTGTTCGTTTCAGGACGACGTCTGCAAAAAAGCAAGACCTATACAAACAGTCCCACGAGTCCCTCATGCGTGTTATCCTCAAGGTAGGAATATAGTACATTACCAGGGCGCAAAAGAAAAGGCACGAGAGTCATTTGGTATCGTCTAAAAGGATGTGGTACCTATTTCGCAAACCTTATCCCGCTGTACCCAAACCAAGGCTACAAACTCGCAACACGCCGGAGCCTCTAATGTGCGCGGTCTGCAAATTGGGAGGAATACCTGCTGCGTCTGTCGGAGGATGAACGAAGGGCCACGCAGAAAGAGGTCCAGATCCGCTGCGGAAACCGTGGGACTGAAGAATACCTCGATAGAAAACCAGGTGGACTGCGGGGACATCAAGGTACGTTATTCTCGTCCGGGGATGCAGAAGAGGCTCTGTTCATATGTTCCAGCGGACCCAAATATTGCCACCATATCAAAGGTTTCACTGAGCAAGAAATGGAAAGATCTCAAGCAAGCTGGTATCGACCCAATCGATCATCCTCGCAGGCCAGAGATAGTATGGTCACGTAAATCGTACCTTACGAATCGCAAGGAGTTGGAAACGCGAAGAGACATACTTTTGGCTAATGAGGAGGGCTGAACTACTGAGTCAAGAGTTGAAGAAGAGGAACTTCAACTCAAAAAGAAGGCTGAAGTCTTAGGCAGCTGTCGACATAGGAAGGTTGTGCAGACTGCCCCCATCCCCTCGGGCCTGTATGCGGTACAAATTATGCTGAAGTGAAACCAGAGAAATTCCTGAGTTCTGTGACGAAAGAAACAATATGTCTAGGTTATTAGGCAGACTGCAGATAAAAAATTATAAGCATGCGGGTAACTAAGTCTAGTCGGTGGTAGCAATAGGTCAAGTTCTCCGCAGTTTTGTCCTAGCCATTGTACGGTCCATCATCGACTCGTAAAAATTCGAGATCGAAAAAAAAAAGAAATGTTCAAGTGACCAGACTGGGGCTCGATCCCAGGACCTTATCGGTGTTAACGATACGTCATAACCAACTAGACTATCCGGCCATCTTGTTGGAAGCCTTGGCACTGCCGTGCTTTATCAGAAAGACCAATCTCTGGACAACAGACCTGACCGCAACACCGATAGGTCGCCGGATTAAGTCCGGCACTAGTTATTGCTTTTTGTATATTTCTGATATACACTTATCCTATCGATACTATCTTTATTGTTAATAGTTTTTCCATTCTTATTGTAATATTAGTAACTTATTGTAAAACATAAAGAAATAATAAAAGCTCGAGAAAAAGGATTTAGTCGCTTCCTGGTCTATATAGAGTGTTTGCAGATTCCGTATCACAGTAGTTCAGGATCAAAAATGCAACGTCAAGTCGCACATGGAATTTCTTTTGGCTGATCGTTATCTACCTCCTAACGATATATTTAGAACAGTGACTTTCAACGATTGGCCCTCGCATTCCAACAAGTATTATCTGGCGCCTGTTGGGATTTAACAGGGATACTCACAAGGTTAATGACAAATAACAATGATCCCTGATCAACTGAAACGGGTGTGCTGCGCCGCAGCGCTACGATCTATTGTTATGGCAACATTCACGAGTCAGGAGTTATAAATGTACCTATCCTAGGAGCAGTAGCTTCTGTTTCGTTTTGTATTTGTTTGTATAATAATCATTTTTTTTTTTGATCGTGAACTCGCCATTCTTCTTATCACCCTCTGCAGATACACGATGTCTCATACAACAGAGGACATGGCTTTGAACCAGTTGCAACAAGAACAGTCCAAGCTTCTAGACAAGATCGACGAGCTGCGCACGATCGGCGTCGGCGGTCTCGTGGAGTTGCCTCAACTGATCGTAGGTGGGAATCAGTCCAGTGGGAAAAGTTCTGTCCTCGAGGCTATCTCACGCGTGCGATTCCCGGCGAAAAGTAACGTGTGCACTCGATTTGCGACAGAGGTCATCCTGCGGCGGAGTCCATCATCGAAAATCAAGATATCCATCGAGCCTGGTCCTTCGCGTAACGACGCGCAAGAACGATCGAAACTCCGGAGCTTTACCCACGAGGAGTTCTCTAACGGCAATGACCTGCCTGCCCTGATTGAGAAAGCTCGAGAGCATATGGGTATTACAGAGTCTGTCAATTCAGGATTCAGTGATGACGTGCTCAAGGTCGAGATTTCGGGCCCAGACAAACCGGAGTTGACGCTGGTTGATCTACCAGGCCTGTATTACTCTACAAGCCAGGATCAGGGCTCTCAAGGAATCAAGATTGTCCGCACCTTGACGGAAAAATACATGCAGAACTCACGAAGCATTATCCTCGCGGTGATCAGCGCAAAAACGGATTATCATCTACAGGAGGTTCTGAATATTGCTGAACGATTTGACCCGGACCGCGAACGCACACTCGGAATTATTACACAACCGGATATCCTGGAGGCGAATTCTGAGGAGGAAGACACCTATCTTCATTTTATCAAGAATCAGAAAGTCCATTTACAGCTGGGATGGCATGCCTTACGCAATCGATCATTTGAGACGCGAGACATCTCGGATGACGCCCGCGATGAGCGAGAGAAGGCGTTCTTCAACCAAGGTCGATGGAATTCGTTGCCGCGTGAATGTGTTGGAATCGACAGCCTGCGCCGTCGCCTAAGCAGTATCTTGCTCAAACATATCCGCCATAATCTACCAGGACTGATCACTGACATCCAGGAGAAGATCGCTGATCGGGAGCAGAAGCTTTCAAAACTAGGTCCTCCTCGTTCCACTCTTCAGCAGCAAAGAGGCTTTCTTCTCAACATCAGTAGCAACTTTGAGCGCATTACCGCCCAAGCTTTGAATGGGATGTATGCAGATGAATTTTTCGGTGGATTAGACGATACAACAGATGTGGAAGACTTCAGACGAATTCGAGCTGTCATCCGGCAATTGAATGAATACTTCGCGGATGCAATGAGTACCCGAGGCTCTCGTAGGCAGATCCTCGATCTTCCTGCACCGTTTGGACATCTTGCCTCACACTTTCCCAGGAACCCTTACATGCACGATTGGAAACCAGATCTTGTGCGACGCGCTATTCTGGAACTAGAGGTCAGCAATCAAGCCCGCAAGAACCGGGGTATTGAGCTGCCAGGAAGCGCCAACCAACTTCTTGTTGGAAGCTTGTTTCGTGACCAGTCCAAACCCTGGGAAGCGTTAGCCAGAGAACACTTGATGAAAGCTTGGGAGTCGGCAAGATATTTCGTGTCGCTTGTTCTCCAGCACCTTACGGATGACCACACGTACTCCTTGCTAGTTGGCTCAGTTCTTGAGCCCGAATTTGAAAAATTGAAGCAGGCGCTATTTCATAAACTGGACGAGCTTACGGCGTATACAAAGCGAGGCCATCCGCTACCCGTGGGCAACACATTTCTGACTCGCGTTCAAAAGGCTAGAGACAACCGTGAGCTAGATTTGCTGCGTGCACAACTGAAGTCCACTAAACCTGAGAAAGACGATTTTGATTCTGTATTCTCCATCAGTGACATCAGAATAGCGACACAGAAGTTAGAATCGACTCGTGACGAGTTTGCAGCTGCCGATATCATTGACCAGATGCAAGCGTATTATGATGTGAGACAGGCACACCCTCCCTAATAAGCCGCAGATATATTTATTCATCTCAATTAAGACCTGACATACTAATGACACGGCTATAGACTGCCATTGTGACCTTTGTCGATAATGTTGCAACTCTTGGCATCGAAAATTGCCTTGTAGATCCTCTTCAACGCATATTCACCAGCCAGGTTATTAATGACATGGAGGATAACAAAATCCAAGAACTTGCAACGGAACTGTCTTACATTAGCGAAGAACGAGATCGTTTGGATGCAGAGTTGAAGAAACTGCAAGCTGGTTTACGAGCTTTGAGTCTCTTCAACATCCAAAAGCCATTACTTGGTAATCCACCTGTCTTCGGTATGTCCCATGTCTTACTTCTAAACAATAAAGGATGAAGAATAACCCCAATTTCAGTTAAAGAGCGTGAGGCAACACCATCAAATGATCCAAGCCAGCTCAAGAAACAGAGCAGTCCACAGCCAGCAACTAGTACTTCGCTATTAGGATGTAGGTATATGCTCCTCCTTTGATGAACAGGATATAGCTAATCATTCTCAGCCGGGAAAAAGGTTATGGTTAGGCTACCAGAACGAAGCACACCTCAGTCACGCTCTGGATTTGATTCCGTGCGCACGACTTCTCCAGCTCCGAGTGCAGTTTCCGGGGGCTTGTTCGGTTTAAGTTCACATGACCAACAATCCTCAGGCTTTGGAGGAACAGCTTCAGTGTCTGGGGTCAAACCTTCATTCTCATTTGGACAACAATCTTCAAGCTTGTTTGGACCAAAACCTTCAGGCTCTGGAGAAAACACCCCAAGCTTTGGAGGATCATTTTCAGCCTCGAGTTTATTTAAGATGTCCGATAGATCTTCAGCACAGGTCGGTGATAGTCATTCTAGCACCAATGGACTATTTGCACGGGTTTCGATTCCCGGGGAATCTGATGCAAACGACATTACTCCCCGTTTTGGAACAGACCAGGCCAAATCTCCAAGTACGAAAGGTCAGAACCGGTAGGGGTCCGAAATTTCCTTTGTTTACCTCAGAAATATGAATGTACATATTCTCTTCAGCGATTATTCCACAATATATTGGGGTTTCTTATCGTAACCTTCTATTAAGATAAACCGTTTCTAACACTTGCCTCTACTTGATAGGAATCCAATATTTGTAAAGCTGTCCGAGACTGAGTCCTCTACTTACTCGGATCACCTATCATTTATCCCTCCCTTTGATAAATATTCTCCAGAGGTTTGTTACCTCCTTGAGTTCCTTCCAATCCCTTCCCTTTCTTATGTGTATGGTTCTAGAAAAGGGCTAAAGTTAGCGATCAACAGGAGCTTCGACTCGGTGACTATGCTCGCGGTGACAAAGTGGCACCTAATCCATTAGTTGCTTTCGGGAAACGATGAATAGTCGAAATAATCATAGAGAAAGTACTCCTATACCCAAAATCTGTATATTGTTTCCGACATCTTGTTGCACCACATCCTTACAGCTTACGAGACATCTATGGCGTAGCTTTTCCGGATCCTACACCTGTCTTTAACGAGAATTAATGATTCTTTCGATTTACCTAACATAATTCAGATGAATAACAAGCCTTTTATGCACGTCGAGGACTCCAAAAAAGAATTAGACACTACTATTAGCATGCTAAGAAGAAATATAGGCATGGCCACCTCAAGTCCGCCGCCTTAGCCCAGAGAATGATATCATGCATACTGATTGCTAGACCAGCTGAACTGGCGATCTGTATCATCCCAGGAACTGACCACGGTGCAAATTTCATCTCGACCAGCTGAGACTTTGTGTATGTCTCGATGACATTTCACGGGTATGTCTTGCCCTCTTCGCACACCTTCTTGAACACCTCCTCTGTGTGCTGCACCACCTTCTCTGCTGCACCCTGATCCCTTGTCCTCTCTAATTTCTTGTTTGGCGGAAACACCTCACCGTCCCAACTCACCCAGTAACACCCACTCCCCTTCGTCCCATCGCTGCCAACTGCGACGTCCCCTTCCATGTGCTCTGCCTCGGCTTTCGGAGGATATCTCCCACTTGTCGCCGCAAAGAGATGCCGCTCTCCACTCTCCTCAAGGGGCACCATGAATGGTCTTAACAACGGCGTCAACACGGCCGACAGCACGCGCCCAGCCGGCAGTTCACGCAACACGCCCGTGGACACGCCAGAGGGGTACGCGTGGACGAAGGAAGTATGTGGATTCTGCTGGGCCATGCTCTCCAGGAAGAAATCACCCATCAGACTAGCGTGCCAGCCGCATTTCTTGAGACTAAAGGAGTGCTTCAGACTGAGGTCTGAGTAGTCGAGCGTACCGGAGCCGCCAGCGCGGACGGAGACCATTGGGTCTAGGACAGACACGACGCGGGATAATGGTCTGGCGTTGCCGTTGACGGAGGAGGAGTCCTGAGAGGCTGCGTTCAGGAGGGGAAGCAGGTTGGTAATAAACCGCATCCGCGCGTAGTAATGCAGCACGAATTTGCGGTCCAGACCTTCGGCCGTCTCGTCCCGGCCTTTCAGCGTCATGTATCCCGGTGTCATGAACAGCAGATTCACTTTTTTCTCTCTTGCTGCGATCTCAGCGCAGACGCTGTCGACATTTTTGAGAAGGGATATGTCGGTTTGGAGAAAGGTTGGCTGGGCGGAGGAATTGATGGTTTTCATGGAGGCGATGGCAGCATCGGCGGCGGACTGGCTGCGGCCGATGAGGTAGATCTTGGGCGAAGGGGTGTGACGGGTGAGGGCGAGAGCGGTTGAGAGGGCGATGCCCGAAGTGCCGCCGACTGGGATGGGGAGTTAGTGAGATGGAACGCTTTGAAGAGAGAGAAGATGGCATGTTGGAGCAGATTGAACTTACCAAACACCGCGACGAGACCTGAGGTTAGGGATTTGAGAGTCGCATTGTGCGCCTGGACGGCCTGGAGGTTCACCATTGCTGTTTCGATTGCTTCAAAGGATGTCAGATGCACACAGATTGGAAGAATACTCCGTGCGGAAACGGACTGGACAAGTAGGAGACGAACTATCCGATTGCTAGCGGCACTTGGGGAAGTGAAATGAGGTCTAGCAACCAGAATTGGAGTCCCTGTACTAGGTGCTTATCGCGTATATCAACCAAACACGCAGTGGAATTTGAGTTTGAACAATATCGATGGATTTCTCTATCCCGTGACACCAGAAAACAATGTTGCTGCCTGGAGTGGATTATGTTTGTGGTGATATGTATCTCCAATTCATCCCTGTCGCATTGCTGTATACAGACAGCTGGCAATTGGTGTATATTGCTCGAGTAGAAATCAGGCTGGGCCATCAATGCATTGTGTTATGCTAAGTGGGGAAAGTGGCTGACTTGTGGTACTTTATTTTGGTTCTTTTAGTTGGGGGCGGAATTATTATTATGGCGACAAGTACGGAGTAGATAGATACATAGTCTTTGTTCGTGTCCATGGGGTTAAATGACCAACTTGATCCAGTCAGTGATCAAGTCTAGGAGAGTCTGGACTCTGGAGAGAGGCCATGTACTGTACATAGTTACTTACTGTACAGTACCTAAATAATAATAATGAATTGGTCTGTGCACAGGTCACTGACCACTTCAATACAAAAGTACATAACTATGTAATAAGTATATCCTATCTTTTTTTTTTAGTTTTTACTATAATTTCGAATTTGTCTACTAAGCTAAGGTGGTCGGTGGACTAGGTAGCTTAATCCTCATGCGTACTTAATCTTTATGATCTCTGTGACTGACAGGGATAAGCATATTCCATATTGAGTGCTTCGCCGACTTTCTAGCCCAAAACAGCTGAAACCCGCCTTTGCAGCTGCCTGGATTAAACGCAGCAAAGTAAGCACGCAAACTAAGACACTCTCACTTGATGGGGCCAATAGATGGAAAGAGGTAATTTGGTGGCTGATATAGACAGCTGACAAGGCAATATGCTGCTTTATCTAACAATGAGAACTCTCTGTGTCGTCCTCTGCTCCTGGAAGTTGACAATAACACCATACCACAGCAACCTATGGTCTACCTTTTCAGCTTCAGTCATACCTTCTTTACTACAGTCCCTACTACTTTCAGATTGAAGCGTATCGGCGAGATCAGACAAGGACACCTGCGAAGATGAGCGCGGCGGGCAAGTTTGGGCCCAATGGCGACCGAGAGCTCGAAAGGGCAGAGGACAGCATCTCCAGCCTAGATGCGAGGGAAGCAGAGGTCCACAAGCTGGCCAGACAGTTCACGGAGCAGAGCAATCAATCCATCGCTGCGCTGAATCCCTTTGCTGCGGAGCCTGAATCCAAGCTGGACCCCAATGGTGACAACTTCAATGCCCGCGCGTGGTGCAAGGCCATGCTCCAGATGTGCACTGAAGACAGCCAAGCACATCCACTCAGGACTCTGGGTGTGGCCTTCAGCAACCTGAATGTGCACGGGTTCGGTTCGGATACTGATTTTCAGAAGAGCGTGGGCAACGTCTGGCTAGAGGCTGTCGGTCTGGCAAGGAGGCTCATGGGTCGACAGCAGCGCAAGATCGATATTCTGCAGAACTTGGACGGATTGGTCGAGGCAGGAGAGATGCTGGTCGTCCTTGGACCACCTGGCTCAGGATGTACGACTTTCTTGAAGACCATCGCTGGAGAGACATACGGCTTCCACGTCGACAAGAACTCGGGCCTCAATTACCAAGGTACGGGCGTTGTGATCCACGCTGTGGATTCCTGCTAATCATCGTTAGGCGTGAGCGCAAAGCAAATGGCCAGCGCCTTCAGGGGAGAAGCCATCTATACCGCTGAGGTCGACGTCCATTTCCCAAAGCTCACGGTGGGCGATACCCTCTTCTTCGCTGCCCGGGCCCGCGCACCGCGATATATTCCCGGAGGAGCAACAGTGAACCAGTACGCCGCCCATATGCGAGACGTCATCATGGCAATGTTCGGTATCTCCCACACCAAGAACACTATCGTGGGAAATGAATTCATCCGCGGTGTCTCTGGTGGAGAGCGTAAGCGAGTCAGTATTGCTGAAGCCTGTCTGAGCATGGCTCCGCTGCAATGTTGGGATAACTCCACTCGTGGTCTCGACAGTGCTAATGCCATCGAATTCTGCAAGATCCTTCGCATGCAGACGGACATAAATGGCACCACTGCCTGCGTTTCACTTTACCAGGCTCCTCAGGCTGCCTACGATCAATTCGACAAAGTCCTGGTCCTGTACGAGGGTCGCCAGATTTTCTTTGGTCGCACGGCCGCGGCTAAGAAGTACTTTATTGACATGGGTTTCATCTGTCCTGATCGCCAAACAGATGCTGATTTCCTCACCTCTATGACTAGCCCCCTCGAGCGGGTCGTGCAGCCAGGTCGTGAAAGCTACGTTCCCCGGACGCCCGATGAATTCGCCGCAAGGTGGAAGGCCTCGCCAGAGCGAGCGCAGCTTCTGCGAGACATTGAGGTCTACAACGCAAAGTTTGTTCTCGGTGGTGAATCCCTGGACAAGTTCAAGCAATCCCGCAGGGCTCAGCAAGCCAAGGTCCAGCGTGTATCATCGCCCTACACTCTTTCATATGTTCAGCAGGTTGAGTTGTGTTTATGGCGCGGATACAAACGATTAAAGGCAGATCCCAGTGTCACAATCTCTTCTCTAATCGGAAATTCGATCATGGCCCTCGTCATCGCCAGTATATTTTACAACCTTCAGCCTGACACCAACAGCTTCTTTCAGCGCAGTGCTCTCCTATTTTTTTCTGTTCTCATGAATGCTTTCGGTTGTGGTCTTGAAATGCTCACGCTTTATGCTCAACGAGGGATCGTGGAGAAACACTCTCGATATGCCCTCTACCACCCATCTGCTGAAGCATTCGCATCAATGCTGATGGATTTGCCCTACAAAGTCCTTAATGCCATCATTTACAACCTGATTCTCTACTTCATGACAAACCTAAGGCGAGAACCTGGGGCCTTCTTCTTCTTCCTGTTCACTTCCTTCATTCTGACTCTAACCATGTCCATGTTCTTCCGGTCCATTGCATCGCTGACAAGAACTCTTGTTCAAGCCCTGCCATTTGCTGCGATTCTGATCCTGTCTCTGAGCATGTACACTGGTTTTGCAATCCCAAGACAGTACATGTTAGGATGGGCCCGTTGGATTTCCCGTATCAACCCTATCAGCTACGGCTTTGAGTCTCTGATGATCAATGAGTTCCATAACCGCGAGTTCAAATGTCTCAACTACGTCCCGTCAGGCCCTGGCTACGCGGGTCTCAGCTCGAGCAACCATGTTTGCTCCACAGTCGGAGCTGTACCGGGACAGCCCTATGTTAATGGCGACAACTACATTGAGTCATCTTATGACTATCACGCCTCGCACAAGTGGAGGAACATCGGCATTATATTTGCCTTTATGTTCATCCTCATGTTGGTTTATCTGGCTGCTACCGAGATCGTCACCGAAAAGAAATCGAAGGGCGAGATTCTAGTCTTCCGTCGCGGACATGAAGCCCTGAAGAAGGACAAGTCAAAGAAGGATGTCGAAGGCGGTAGTGACCGCAGCATTGCCGTGGAGAAGAAGATCCGATCAGATAGCCTTGCCATCATCGAACGCCAGACTGCTATTGTCCAGTGGAAAGACGTTTGCTATGATATCAAGATTGGAAAGGAGAATCGCAGAATTCTTGATCGTGTTGATGGATGGGTGAAACCGGGTACCTTAACCGCGCTTATGGGCGTCTCTGGTGCTGGAAAAACCACGCTATTAGATGTCCTGGCTACTCGTACCACTGTGGGTATTATCACGGGAGATATACTTGTTGATGGCAAGCCTCGGGATGCGTCCTTCCAGCGCAAGACTGGCTACGCTCAACAACAAGATTTGCATTTAAATACTTCTACTGTTCGCGAGGCCCTAACCTTCTCTGCTCTTCTACGTCAGCCCGCTCATATTCCTCGGCAAGAGAAGATTGACTATGTCACCGAAGTTATTAAACTCCTAGACATGACTGAATATGCTGATGCCATCATTGGGGTACCTGGGGAAGGCCTTAATGTTGAGCAACGCAAACGTCTCACTATCGGTGTGGAGCTTGCTGCCAGACCGGCTCTACTTCTCTTCTTAGATGAACCTACCTCTGGACTTGATTCTCAGACATCATGGGCTATCCTTGATCTTCTCGATAAATTGAAGAAGAATGGACAGGCTATTTTGTGCACTATCCATCAACCTTCTGCAATGCTGTTCCAGCGCTTCGATCGTCTCCTCTTCCTTCAGGCTGGAGGTCGCACTGTGTACTTTGGTGAAGTCGGTGAAAACTCACACATCCTTATTGACTACTTCGTCCGAAATGGCGGCGCCCCGTGCCCTCCTGATGCTAATCCTGCCGAATGGATGCTCGATGTCATTGGTGCCGCTCCCGGATCCCATACTGACATCGACTGGTTTGACACATGGCGCAAATCCCCCGAGTATGCTCGTGTCCAAGAGCATCTCGCCGAACTGAAGCATGAACGCTCTCAACTTGCCCGCACCAACTTGGACCAGAACCACGAGGACAAGGCCAGCTACCGCGAATTCGCCGCTCCCTTCTATGAACAGCTCCGCGAAGTCCAGCTCCGAGTGTTCCAGCAAATCTGGCGCTCCCCCACATACATCTATTCCAAGACCTTACTGTGTGTTAGCTCAGCTCTCTTCGTTGGATTCTCTCTGTTTCGTACGCCCAATACGATTCAGGGGCTTCAGAACCAAATGTTTGCTATCTTTATGTTGTTGACTCTATTTGGTCAGCTCATCCAGCAAATCATGCCACATTTTGTTGCTCAGCGCGATTTGTATGAGGCTCGCGAACGTCCATCCAAAGCTTACTCTTGGAAAGCTTTCATCATATCTAATATCATTGTTGAACTGCCTTGGAACTCGCTTATGTCGGTCCTGATGTTCCTATGCTGGTACTACCCAGTGGGTTTATACCGCAATGCTGAGCCTACTGACGCTGTCGCGCTCCGTGGTGCGCAAATGTGGCTTTTCATCTGGACCTTCCTCCTCTTCTCATCCACTTTTGCACACTTTATGATCGCAGCTTTTGAGAGTGCCGAGAATGCTGGTAATACGGGTAATTTGCTCTTCATACTTTGTCTGCTGTTCTGCGGTGTCCTGGCCACACCTAAGCAATTTCCCGGGTTCTGGATCTTCATGTACAGGGCTTCGCCATTCACGTACCTTGTCAGCGGTATGCTCTCTGTCGGCATCTCCAACACAAAAGTCTCATGCGCAGCGAATGAATACTTGCACTTTGACCCGCTCAATGGTACCTGCAGCGACTACATGAAAGCATATCAATCTACGATGGGCGGCTATATTCAAGATGGTAGCGCGACCTCAGACTGCAGCTACTGCCCCATTAGCGACACGAATGTGTACCTTACTTCCGTCTCATCCCATTACTCAGACGTATGGCGAAACTTTGGCATTATGTGGGTCTACATCGTCTTCAATATATTTGCGGCGTGTTTGCTGTACTGGTGGGTGCGTGTGCCGAAGGTTAAGGCTCCCAAGAACAACGTCTGAGATCGCAACTGATATTATCATACCTTTGCCTCGAATTGGGTTCGTGATTGGTAGCCGCAGGATTTCTTTATATAAGATTTAGAGCCCCTCTTAGTTTCTCATTTTCGTTAACATTTCGTGGCTTGAGCATAACTAGCTAGCTCAAGTCGGTTTTAACTAATTCTTTCAAATAACAATCCCTCCTCAGTTACTTACTCGACCGGCCTCTTCTTATTCTGGTATAGCTTTGTTTAGTATAGATTTGTCTCAAGCGTTACTGAGTAAACCAAATCTGGACCTACTACCGTAACTTAGTTAGCTGCGAAGCTTACGAGAGATCGTAGCGTAGGAACTCAGCCCTGTCAGCCCTAGGAGCAAGGAGAGGGTGGATAAGGGGCCGGTTGCTGCTGATCAGGAACCCGCTGACAGCGATCCTGCGGCTGATGTTGAGCAAATTGGGACATTGCTGGAGAATGAGTGTGGGGATGAGGATTGCGGACTTGCCGAGAAGTGCAGGAAGGCTTCAACGCACTAGACCTATGTGATGGAACAGAATACGCTCCTTCAGGAATCGGTAAGTCGCCCAATCCGGCGACTCCCCGTGAGAGCTCAGGGCCATTGTCAGAGCTTCTGAGTGACAGAAGATGACAGAATACGGCCTGTTCTCTTCTCATCTAGCAGGGTCTTGGACTATCAGTTAAAATGCAATGGATCTCCCCTGAGAGAGTATACAACATCGACTCACCTTCAGCCTCGTCATCGTCTTCGCCCTCTTGATCGAACGGATTTAGAGATGTATCGCATATCCTCCTTTGTGGCGCTTTCTGCCTGTCTCCTGGCGCCGACTGTCGTTGCTGCTTCGAATTCATCTTCAGCGTTTGATCAGGGGAAATTCCAACCCCAAGACATCATCACACGAGATGTGGCTATCATCGGTGGCGGCTCTGCAGGCACCTACTCCGCCATAAGCCTCAAGGACAAAGGCAAATCAGTCATTGTTATTGAAAAGAAAGACAGAATAGGTGGCCATACCGAGACATATATTGATCCCGCGACCGGAACTCCTATTGATGAGGGAGTCATGATCTTCCACGATATTCCCGTTGTACAGGACTACTTCAAACGATTCGACCTGCCGCTCGACAATTCTTCTGGGTTCTTTCACTCGTTGCTCAACTATGATTTTCGCACCGGGAAACAAGTCAATCTATCGTTTACTCCATCGGAAGCGGAGATATCTGCAGCCTTCGCGACCTATTCAGCGCAGATCTCCAAATACCCCAAGCTGGACGATGGGATATTCCTCCCAGACCCAGTTCCGGAAGAGTTGTATATGCCCTTTGGGGACTTCGTAAAGAAGTATGGGATCCAAGCAGCGGTTCCCTCGATGTACAACTATAATCCAGGCGTCGGAAACATCCTGGATATCCCGACGCTCGAACAATTCCGATACTGGAGTCTGCAATTCGTGCAGTCCTTTACGAATGGCTTCCTGATGACCGCCCACAGGAACGCAAGCGAACTGTACTCCAAAGCCCAAGCAGAGTTGTCTTCGTCATCGAGTCTTCTCCTCGAGTCCCAGGTCGCATGCGCGGATCGAGGCGAAGACGGCGAAGGGATCAAACTCATTGTTAGCACTCCGAAAGGCAACAAGCTGATTCTCGCAAAGAAGCTTCTCATCGCTATTCCACCAAAGCTGGACATCGTGGCCCCGCTAGACCTCAGCAACAACGAGAGGAGTCTCTTTGGAAAATACATTGACGCGGGCTACTACGTCGGCATCATAAAGAACACGGGATTCCCGAATAACGCGAGCATCTCAAACGCAGGCCCAAATACAGAGTACAATTTTCCTTATCTCCCCGGAGCGTATAGCTTCGCCCCGGCCGGACTCGACTCATATCAGATGGTCACCTACGCCACGCCGCAAAGTCGCAAATCCTTTCCCCTGGCTGATCAGACCATCAAGGCGGACATAGTCCGGACTGTCAAGTCACTTCAGAAGCAGAATCCGGACAAGTTTGCCAGCCAAGGGGAGCCGGAATGGGTCGATTTTCGATCTCATGCACCGTATTCTCTTCAAGTGACGGCTGAGGATATCAAGAATGGGTTTTATAAGAAGTTGTATGCTCTGCAGGGTCAGAGAAATACGTACTGGACTGGCGCTGCATTCATGGCGGAGGATAGTAGTTTACTCTGGAAATATTCGGAGGAGATAGTGCTGCCACAGTTGATTGCGAGTCTGTGAACGAATCCTCCCTGGATTAAGGAGGAGTTAAATTGACACTCTGCATTCAGGGGGCTGGTGATGGGGCTTCTGTCTTGGAAGTAGCTGGATTTAGGGAATTTTGTACCCCACTAGAAAATTCAATTGACATTCCTTATTGACTATATCTGAGTTAGCCCAGCAAGTTAGCATTGGATTTTATTTTTAGATCTCTTGGAGGAAAGAATAGAGTCGTAGCACGTTGCCAGATTCAAATCCTAAGTCCTTCGGCCTCATTGACAGTAACTTAGATGAGTCTTCCATTGGTATTTCTGTCGGAAATATCTTTATAGATTCACGTATTCAACGCCTTACTGCACAAGATGCGAAGATTTAGTGGTGAAGAACGAAACAAGACAGCAACACAGCGTTGGTCTGGTTGCGTGCCACGGCCTGCTGATCTGGCCAGACTCTGTACTACTCCAAGTCAACGCCAATTCAACACCAATATCTGCTAACAAGAATAATAGAATGATATTGTATTAGTGACATCACTGATCTACCCTTCTACTCCTTAACTAGGCCCCGGTACCAGGACAGTCCTACACCTTGAGCATCTCCAACATCACCCTCAATAAGAAGTTCTCTTCACCAAACTTATCTTCTAACCTGCCGACTTCCTTTTGCAATTCGTCATGTAACTCCCTGAGGACGCTGAGTGTGTACTCCAGACTTTTTGTCTTCTTCATAATCGCCAACACCTCTCGCTTAGCCTCATTGCTGAGCTTACCGTCAAGTCTCCTCTTCATAAGGAATGCGCGCAACTGCATCGCATCACCCGCAAACCTGGGCTCTGACTCCACGGCCTGGAGGGAGTAGATGAGTGTGAACGAGAATTTCCCTTCATCGAGGTCTTCAGCGAAGCCCTTTTGCTTAGCGTAGTCAGCCGACGCGAGGTTCTGGTAGTCGTCGCGGATTTGGAAGAAACGCCCGATGAGACAGCTCAGCTGGTTCAGAGCATCGTCCGACACGGACATGCTCTTGCTGACGGGGCTTTCGGCGACCATCAAACGTGTCAACAGGCGAAAGAGACTGCCTGTTTTCATATCGACCATTTTCAGGTACTCCGACATGGACGGGCAGAGTATGTTATGCGTCCAGTAGAGGTCATAGCTCTGTCCCACGTAGAGCTGTTGCACCTCTTCGACGAAGATACGAAGGCATGCCGGGTTGCTGAGCTCGGCTGCCAGACCTGTCGCTTCGGTATACTGGTATGTTGCGCTGTTAATTGTCTGGGCGGTGCCATAGATACTATGGGTAGAGGGCTTGCCACGGCGAAGCGGTGAGCCGTCCTCAATGTCGTCGAGCCTGGGCAACGTTAGCGGGTTGATCGACGGGAGCGAATATAAGCAGACAAATACTAACATGAGGGATGCACTATGTAGCATCTTGATAATACTCTTGATCGTCTTGGCCGATGCCGAAGGCACCTTGAGCCATGTGTTTAGGGAGTCTATTGCCTGGTCACGGAATCCCTTCGAAGGGAGAGAGGTAAGGTATCGATAAGGTTCGAGAACGACCTGATGGTCAATATCAGTTTAGAAGGCCCAACGATACGTCTGGCATTCGGAGGTGAATTTCAAAACTCACATTATCGCTCAAGTTTAGTAAATTCTGATCAAGGGCCAGAGCCACTACATCAGAAAGAACGAATGAATCCCGCGAGCCAAGTGCCGGTTTCTTGAAATCATTGACACCGTTCACACCATTGGTACCATTCATTCTTGTGTCGCCATTGTTGTTGTCCCTCTTCCTCTTGAGGCCGTTCGTTTTGGTCGGCTCATAATGACCATTACCGTTAACGACGGGCTCCTTGCGTTCGGCCTTGATGGAATGGCCGTTGGTTGCGTCCTTCGGCGGCCACCTTGCTGGGTATTTTTCCAGGCCATGCTTGGCTCTCAGCAACTGCAACTCATTGAACTTGGTTGGCCCATTGTATCTTGGACAGTTAGTACTCCAAGCCGCGTTGGCGGAAAGGGTATACTGCATGGTGTCAATGTATCTCTTGAGCTCATCACTAACGTCCGTCCGCGTCTGGATTTCCTTGACGTTACGGACATATTTCGCACATTCGATGCGGATGCGCTCCTTACAAACCTCCCTGGCTTCCTCTTCACTACAGCCGTGCTCCCTCATGACCACCAAGACGGCGTTTTGAACGTTGACGTCTCCGCGTTCCTTCTCAAAAGAAAATAGGTCGTTGGTGAGGGAGGCAGTGAACAAAGCAGGTGTGATAAGCCTCGTCGCCTCCTCGGCCTCTTCATCTGGGATGGTAATAGCGCAACCAAATAAGACAAGGCCATGCCAGAGCCTTGATAGGAAGAGAAGTCAGTCCCAGTGGACAGGCGTGATCTAGGATAGGTGCATGAGAGACTCACATATATCCCACGTCAAAGGCCCTGTACGGGAGGTACTCCTCAAGAGTATTGAACTGTGCGTCTTCCTGCCTTCTACTTGAATGCCCAACTCCAGCAGCCCAGCTCTTGGCGACAGTCATTGCTCGCTCAGTGTCAATTACCATCATTTCGCGGAGAATCTGAGCCAATATCTTCTTCTTTCCAGATGCGCCTTTCTCTTCGATCTGGCCGCTCTGACCGCCCTGTTCCAAGGCATTCTCTATTTCGTCCAAAGAGGCATCGTGGATCTCTTTGTCGATAACGTCTGCAGTAATCAACTTAGCCTGCATGCAAGGATATCCGGCACAGGCCTCATGGACAATTAGCACATACCGTCATGAATGAAACCGAACTCAAGCGCGTAAGAGACGATCTCTATTCTCTCTGGGAGGCACTCTGGCACCGCAGCAGTAACGAAGCTGAAGTCGGGACCCAAGAGACCGGCATACGGCTTCTCCAAGGGCCCAACGAAACGGCGCCAGTCTTCCTGGGCTCTGAATGCCCCAACTTCTTCAAGGTCGCCGGCAACATGCTTTCTGAGATCGATTCCAGGGCAAAGACCTTCCTTGTCGTACAAGGAAGAGTCGATGAGTGTTGAATACTTGAAGGCCATGTTATATGCCGATGGCCAAGTCTGCTCCGATAGCGGCCACTGGGTCGTAGAAACGGTATATATTATAATACAGGAACACGTACAGGCTCAGCAACAGCAGATGGATAACGATGACGTCTACAATTGGAGAAATTGCTTTCAACATAGGGAATGTCTCGGCGTCAATGGTCTGGTTTTCGAGGCGATTCGGAAGGCGCCTCTAGGAGCGATCAGCTTCTCTTAAATGCTTCATTTGCTTCTACTACTACTACATTTCCGAATGATAAAAATGGAGCCAGCTATCGTGGGAGAGTATTCGGACGGGATATTCTTCTTCTGGTAACCCGCCCAAAGGGTAAGACAAGGCTGCTAGCTAACAACCCATAATCTCAAGAAAGGCCCCCAGAAACGTTATCTGCGAAGGCCAGCTGATGAAATGGGGGATGTTCCGCCGTTGGTCAGCAAGCCACTCATCTTTGCAGCTGGGTGGCTATATCTAAGGATGGGATATTGCCGTATTGGGCGAATCACCGCACCACGTCTGCCTCAGACTGCGACTGAGTCAGAAAGGCAATACCGGCAAGAAAGTTTGGTGATTCTTGAAACCCTTATAAATCATGTTCAGGAAAAGACACTTCTCTTGACTCTTTGCAACTGGTACGTTGTTGTTGTTGTCCAAAATTCACCATGTTCGAAAAAACTCGCAGCCTCCCGATGATGGATCTATCCCGGGTGAAGGCTTTTATGAACAGCCTACCTTTAATGGAGGCCTACTTGCCCAAAGGGCCCGCGCAGCGCGCTGCTGTCGCTGTCATTGGCCTAGGCGCGCTCTATATCTTTGGTCTCGTCTTTTATCGCCTCTTCTTGTCTCCTCTAGCAAAATTCCCAGGTCCGAAACTCGCTGCAGTGACAGGCTGGTACGAGTTGTATTACGATGTCATCAAGAAAGGGAAATACATATATGAGATTGAGAAGATGCATGACAAATATGGTATGCGCAATGTAGCTCTCAACTTATTTCAGCAACGATAGCTCAATGCAGACGATGTAGGGCCGATCATAAGAATCAACCCGTACGAGCTGTCCATCCGTGACTCGGAATACTACGATGAGCTCTATGTTTCCGGCTCTGTTCGTCCTACGGACAGATATAAAGGATTTGTCGACGGAGTCGTTGACTTCGAGGGATCCCATCTCGCGACAATCGAACATGATCTCCACCGTAAGAGGAGAAAGCCACTCGATCCTTATTTCTCCCGTGCAGGCGTGACGAGGCTTGAGCCTATGGTGGCGGAGCTGTGCGAGAAGCTGATTATTGAACGCTTCGGGAGCTTCAGGGGAACGGGCAAGGTAGTAAGGCTGGATCATGCCTTCACAGCTTTCTCTGGCGACGTGATCAACCGGCTTTGCATTGATGACCCGCCCAATCTCGTGGACGATCCGGAGTTCTCGCCAGCATGGTTTAACCTGTTTCACAGTGGGATCGTGTCATTGCCGCTGTTAATGGGTCTGCCGTGGCTCATCCAGTAAGTAGCACTGCATTCAGGTCATCTCCATCTTAAGCTAATCAAGGGAAACAGCCTCATTCGTCTTATTCCGGAGAGAATTCTCGCGAGGCTGGATGCCCGGAGCCAGACCTTCAACAAGTTCAAGCTGGTATTAAGCCCAACTCCCATCTGATCTACCTTGCTGACGTTGCCTTAGATGTGCGATGACCATCTCCAAGTAGCCAAGCGCGAAAAGGCCGGGTCAGGATACAAGAATCCAACACTGGGTGGTGGACGCATCACGCTCTTCCGGCATATCATCAACAGTGACCTTCCAGCCTCTGAGCTCGCAGACGACCGGCTGTCAAAGGAGGCCCAGGTGCTGATCGGTTCTGGAACCATCACCACTGCAGGGACGATGGCCTTTCTTGTCTACTACATAGCGTCTAACCCAGCGATCAAGAAGCGTCTCCAGGAAGAGCTGAAGCCGGTCATGAGGGACTACCCTCAGACGAAACCGACCTGGGCCCAGTTGGAGAAGGTGCCATATCTGCAGGCGTTGATCAAAGAGACTCTTCGGTATGTAATCCCATCATTTTTCAATTTCAATTTCAATTTCCTTTCTTTTTTCTTTGTAGAAGGTGACTGACATGTACTCATAGCCTGAGCTACGGCACGATGCACCGCCGTCCGCGAGTCTCCCCAAGACAGCCCCTCCAGTTCAAGCAATGGGTGATCCCTGCGGGCGTCCCAGTCGGTATGTCCGCATACTTCGCGCATCGCGATCCTCGCATTTTCCCACGCCCGCAAGAGTTCATCCCGGAGCGATGGTTGGGCAACGTGACTACAGAGATGGATCGCAACTTTATCCCATTTTCAAGGGGATCGCGGCACTGTCTGGGAATGAAGTAAGCGTGTCCTCGACTTCCTCTAGCCATATGAGAAGTGACTGATCTGAATGAATAGCCTTGCGTACTGCGAAGTAAATCACATCATCGCTGCGCTCTTCCGCCCCGGTGGTGCCGAGTTCGACCTCTACGAGACGGATGAGACGGACGTCATCCCAGCCCACGATTTGATAGTGCCTTTGCCGAAGCTGGAGTCGAAGGGGGTCCGGGTTATATTCCACTAAGTTTTTGCAGAACTTTTGTGTTGTGAGTGGGGGAGGGGGGTTTCTTGGTCTAGATAAATTGTTGAAGCATTGGAATACGGAGTAGAACCCTAAAAGAAAGAGAAAATAAGCATGTCACCATGAAAGTACACCCAGTTCTATAGAATGAATATGGATTTCTCAAGTTCGCCGAGCCGTATCTCCGCCTGTGTGAGGCTCGCCATCAGCGTTTCTCCCAGGACCTCGCTCTCCATGCTCTTCACGTCCGCCAACAGCTCCATCACTGCCCTTAGTTGGAGAAGGATGAGCACGCGGACCAGATGCTCCCATTCCAGGGGCGAGCTAATTTCATAGTCGCCCAGGAGGAGTTCCCGCCAGTCAGCCTTGGACGTGGCAAGGCCAAGATCTAGACTCCCATCACCGTTGACCCGCAACGACGAGGAAGGTCGGTGAGGTTGTACGTCTTTCACACGGTACAACCCGACAACCAGACCACAGGCCGCGACGATTTTCTCGAGCATGAAGACCAGCAGCACGAGGGTCTCTCTCCTGGCGATGCAGCTGCTACACTTGAGCTGCGCGCGGCAGCACTTGATGGCTTCCTTCTGGTATGAGACGATGGAGTCCAGCTCAGCGCGGTGGCCGGCGTGGCAGCTCGCCTCGAATTGCTCGACGGCAAAGACGACGGCCGCGAGACAACCACATGGTTGGCCGGACAGCCCAGAGGGAAACGCCGTGGATGTGGATGTGTGTAGAGATGCGGGCGTGGGGATGCAGATGTCGAAGAGGTTAGACGGGTCTTGCGGGTGGGCGTGGCCGACAGGAGAGAAGTATTGGGACTCGTCCTCTGAGCTGAGTGGTGGTGAGAGTAATGTCCCCAACATGCTGGTGATAGAGCTGGGCTCTGGCTCGGGTTGCGTGCTGGGTGAGATTGCAGAGAAAAGGGCAAACCTGGAAGAGTCCTCGCCGCCTCGATCGCTCGACTCATGGTCGAAGTTGGCGAGAAAAGACAGGTCGAAGGTCATTTCATTTACATTTACGTTTCCATCTCCATCGCCATCCTGGGGATCTGGTAGGGAAGACATAGGAGGCTGTTTCTCCATGTCTTTGTGCTCAGGCTCTTCTTCCTCATGTTCTGTGTCTTTGCAGCTCGACGACGCTGACGGCTGAGGAAACGAGTCCAGCCAGTGCGGCGAGTGCTGGTGTGATGTATGCTTGTTGATGCTTGCCTTTTGTATTCGGTGATCGCCTCGATGCTTGCCAGTACTGAACGTGCACGTCTTCCCCAGGCGTACGCATCGGGTGCAACCTTCGTTACCGAGATCCCTGCATTTCACCTACATTTGTATAACCCAATCTGTCAGTTTGAACTGTTTCAGGTCTCTGACAGGTGGGCCAGTTCATGATCACCTTTCTGGCCCTGCACCGATCGCACGCTGGATTCCTTTCTAGGTTCGAGGATCCGTGTGGCCTCTCAATGAATTCTGCCTCTTTACCATGAGGGCTCCAGTGCAGAGTTCCGAACATAATGCCAGTGTTGTTGTCCCAAGGGTTTCTGAACAGGTCAATTCATACAGCATCTCGGAGGGAGCCAAGTTTATATCTATTGTTATTCCTTTCCCTTTTAGTAAGCGCGAGGCTTCGATGCTGGCTGGTGAGAATCGCCCCCAAAGAATCCATCACCAGCTAGGTATGTCTTTGGATTTATTGGGTACTCGCTTCTTGCTAACGGGAATCTAGGATCCTTCATTTCAAAACGACCTAGATAGTGCAGGGGGTCTGGTCCAAGGCTTCTTTTACATGTACAGAGTGTATTACATATTCTGAGCCTCTGGCAGTGCATTGATCGTAGTCTAGGACGTCTATTCAACGACTACACATACTACATACAATACATTTCGCCTATCCTTAAAGAGAGTTCGATATATCAAGGTCCATCTCTGGCTCTTTCGACCATTTTCTCTTCAGCTGCTTCTGTTCTCCAGATTACCCCAATATTCTGCACCCTTTTCAGTCGCTGCCGTTATCTTCTCGCCTTGGGCCATTTCGAAGATGTAAATTTAGGCTGAGGATATAGTAATATCTACAGCCTATCAGCGTCTCGGGGTTCAGCAGGCACCAGTTGAGCTGACCTCGCTAACTTCTCGGCGCGATCTTGAATCCGAGGGGGCGGTGGTGTACGTAAGGCGCGCCATATATCGCTGTACAGAACTGAGATATTGCACCCGAAGGAGCATGGGCCCGAGTCATATACACAGGCAGATTCAAAGTCCACCAAGATCCATGGATATTAGCGAGATCAGCCTAACTGTGAGAACACGGGTTCAGTCTAACCGCATCAGTTTGTAAGCGATATTCTTTAGTTATTAGTAACTACTCCGTAGTCACTGCTGATGTACGTGGGCAAGTCGACTTGGGGGCCAATTCAGCCTTTTCCATGGCTAAATTTCCCTATTTTCCGATCGAAAATTCTGGCTTGCGCCTCCCCTCTCGTCATCCTCACTTCGGTCTTTCCATACTGTCTGCCATTGGCGCACTTGAAATGCCTTCTATGAACATACCAGTAGTCTCCCTCTATGATAATCGCTGAATTGTACGAATCGTTCCCAGCCACATTAGGCTAACGGAATCACTTGTTTCATCCGAAGTAAGCTAGGCTACTAGATACAAGCCACATCGCTAAGTAAATAGCAAATAGGAATGGTGAAATTGCAAGGTATCCGAGGACATGATTGGCACAGACTGCTTGGTTTCTACCAAACCAATCGCAATGTTGCCCTTATTCAGGATAGCAGTCTTCGTTTCTTTTTCCCTGTCCGTCTTGTGCATTCAGTCCGCCGTGACCTATCGAGTTGCAATCCTTCTTCTTGGGTTCCATCCGAAGGAGTCAAATCCCTCCCACATTAGTACTGCACGCGAGATGTAGACCCCTGCACGAGGCGTATTGAAGCGCAGATGTCAAATGAGCATGTGCTTCTCGGCGATAGTCCTGCAGCGATTATTTGCTGGTTCTTTCACTTGGACCATGTGTTTGACTGCGACACGATGTCGTGCTCCATGCAGTAGTAGTTAAACGGCCTTCGATCTGGCTCCGCCACTAAATCTCACCTCATATATGCAGCAGTGTAGCAGCTACTTCCCCTCTCTCGCACGCAGGGAGCGCAGACGTGGCTAGCTTCGATCCGGAGTAGGAACGGGATGCACGAAGTAAGTACGGAGTCTAGACTACCTTGACCCCATAACCCCTCTGCCACGCGATATTCGCTAACCCTCACGAGGAATATAATTTGACTCATTATACGAGTACTGACTAGGAAATATACAGCCCCTAAAATACTGTCTGCTATGTAACCTCAGGACTCGCTCAGAATAGGCGGGCATTAGCCCGGCTATCCAGCAGATTCTACTGGATTATATATATTATTAGCATAGGTAGATGATAAAGAAAGGAATCTATCTATTTGTCGACTTTTCCATTGTTCATCACAGAGCCAAATACCTCAACAGCATGGCTAAGATAATCCTAATCTCCCTTGAGACAACATGTCACTTCCTAGGAGCGATATCTTCTCTTCCCACTAATCAGAGAACCCTGCACCTGGTCAATAGAGGAGGGGAGGAGTTTTGCTTAAAACTGTAGTATCAGGCATATTGGTATTGAAAGTGCTGCAGAGTACTATCAGGGTGCGGATTATAAAGAGGACAACCTCCTTGGCAAGGAACTTGGTGAGAGCTATCAGGCGATTTACCCTTTTCAAGCTCTGTAATCACATCGCAACTTTCGGGGCTGTCCACATCATTTACATCCTTTACCCTTGGACGTCAGCGACTAGTTTAAGGATCCAACAGGAATGCAGGAGGTCACAATCACCCAATAGCCGCCGGCTAGTGCAGGGCATAGCAGTGAGCAGCTAAAGCCAACAGACAGTGCAGATGTGGGTGGGGACCATATCTCTATTATTATTTCAGGGATAAAGGCAATAATAGAGGGTTTTAGGAGCTGCCCCACGTAGTACCACAACAATAATGGGATTACTCTAACCAGAAATCCAAAATTAAAAAGGAAAGCATCGCCTTTTCTCGGTTGTATAAGATCATATGGCTTTAATACATATACATATCAAGGTCCCCAACCAACATTTCAAGCTTTCCCGGATTAGCACCGACTAGTTCTTCGAGCTTCTGTCCGTCTTTAAACACCATATATGTTGGCATAGATCTGATACCGATTTCCTCGGCTATGGCCTGCTCCTCGTCAACGTCCACCTTATAGAACTCCGGACCTGACATCTGTTCCGACAGCTGTTCGAAAATAGGAGACATCAGTCTGCAAGGCCCGCACCAAGTTGCCCAAAAGTCGATAATGATAACATTGCCGTTGTTGATAATTTCATAGAAGGTTTCCAGCCTAGAACATCTTTAGTCTGTGCAATTAAAACAATAATATATGAGAAGCGAACATACCCGCTCAAAGGAGTGACCCCCATTTTGTCTCAAAGAGATAGATAGTTATTGTGATCTGTATAGAGGTAGGTTGCTGAAATCTCTCGTTCTTGATATTATTTTGCACCGATCGAATTGCAGAATGAGAAAGATGTGGAAAGGGATATGAATAGTGGTTGCTTGCTTTGAAAGATTTCGTGAGTTTTCAGATCTATTTATAAGGTTCAGCTCGAGTAGCAGCATACCTGTCGTGCGAAATCCTCCCCCACTTAATACAAGCAACGGGCCCTTTCCTCGGGGCTATCAGGATAACTAGGCGATGGATAAAGAACATTGCTGAGCTAGCTAGACCTCTGTGCCACCTTACAGGCAAGGTAAAATGGAGGTGGACCCAGTTTAAGGAGAACTCTCCTTCGGGATTCTGCGGATTAAGGCTGCGACGAGGACCGCGATGCATGGTATAATCCTGTAGATATACCCAATGCCCCCCCCAATCAAGCTGCTCGTAGAGAGAATGATTGCGTCACAAAGGTTAGGACGCACTGTTGAAATCGCAAAGCAGTGCGGCGATCGCCCACTTTTCTGCGTGGCTGGCTGAAGATCTACACTCCGTTGATGCTATTGAGATCGCAGAGTGGTGCGGCTAGCTAAAGATCTACACACCACTTATTTGTTGATGCGATTGTTTGATAAGTTGAACCATGTATAACTTCTGCAAAATCATAGATAGTCTGGGAGTGCATTAAGGTCACATGTGTCTAGTAGTAATATACGCTTTTAACATAAACCACAAGCGAGTGCCCGGCACTAAGTAGATCTCCATACAAAACCACTTCTTTCAAGTATTACAATAACTTAAAGATAGAATATCAAAAGAAATTAAGACTAGCCAGACATAATACAACCTAGTAGTTATACAAACTAAGAAGACCACTTGTTAAGATATACAGTTCTATCTGTAACATAAAATACCAAGGTAATTCCAGCATTTATGATATCAACATGCATTTTTAAGATTATTAAAAAAAAAAGAGTTATATAGCGAAAAATAGTAACCATAATAATAATCATCTATAATGTATGAATAGTTTTCCCAAACTTCTTCTACTACGCATTTAGCTGTTGACATATTGCAACTTGAAAAGAAGCCCTTTTGTATAGGATATGGCGCCGGGTCACTTGCTACGTTAGGTAGCTAAGTTAGCTCACATTTAACCACTGATCTCCCTGAATTTTGCAAGGGTCTTTCTATCATATCTTTCGCATTTCCAGTACACATACTGCACATGTTCTTTAACTGTTTAATGGAAAGCTATTCTTAGCCTATAAGCATCACTATCGTCAGAATAATAATCTAATCTTGCAGATATGGGGTTCAGCAGCTGATAAAGTCGAATTTCCTACTCCAATTCATAGTGTGAGTGATAAGGCATTGAAACCACGTACAGTCAATCCGTTATGCCTCTTCTACTCGAGCAATCTGGCTACTTAACTCACGCATAGGATCTGGTTCTATTGAAATAGATACTTAAAAAGGAACCGGAACTTGATACATATACTGGAGATACTCCTATAACTTCTTCACGGTCAAAAACATCAAGAAATACAGTTGAACTGAAAATACAACTCGCAGAGTCCGCATAATCTCTGAAAAAGATGAATCTAACACCACGGGATAAGCGTGGTAGTCGGCGATTCGATCGTCTCCTAAAAGAACAAGCCAAAATAGCTATCCGAGTAACTGAGCTCTTCTAGAGCTATTTACTACTAATGAGCATTTACAACGGCAAGATTGACGCAAAAGTATTTTTCTCATACAGTACAGCTGCTCTTCAATCTCGAGATGCAAAACGCAAAATTATGGAGCGAGATGAATCGGAGACGCAGGATACTATTAGCAAGGCACGGAAGAATAGCCAATTCTCAGCTAGTGGAGCAGATGGAGACATTTAAATCACATCGAGAGATGAAGAAGTGGCTGCAAATAATGACAGGCCAGTTTATACAGTCCATCCGTTCCTTGGGAGCTGGTTTTAATTAAAGAATTCATAGCAAATGGTCGTTTAGGCCAGGAGTAAATACAGAAGCGTCCATATGTCTTCCTCATAATCCATGATATTATTCCTCATCCAATCCCTCAGACTATTTAAATAGGGCACTTGTCCTGAATGGGGACCTCAGCGCAGAGCTCCGAGCTAGCTCCGTAAGGATTGTCACAGAGAGTATCGCAGGCCGTGTTCTCTGGAGTGAAGACTAGGTACTGGTAATTCGGGACATTGAGACGGAACTGCTTCGAGTAGTCATCGTTGTCTGTCGACGCCTTGTAGCCGGCACGACAGGCACAGTGGAAGAGCGAGCCAGTGTTGATGCAGGATGTGGTCACATCGCAAGAATTCTGGCCAGAGAGCGGATTGCAGGTGCCACAGTATGGCTGGAGAGGGGCTCCAGGAGCTGCGATAGCAGCAGCGGCGAGGAGGGAGAGAGAAGCGAGCATGCCAAGGGGTGCCATTGTGGATTGGTGGTTTTGGTTTTGATACAGAAAGTCAAAGAATGAGATTGATCTGGTTATTCGCTGAGGATTATTGTGCGATGATCTGGAAAAGCACGCAATAACAGGGACGGTCAGGGGGACTTTATATAGTTTTGGTCGATATAGACATCTGCCACGTTCGATCAATATCAGCCATGAAGGAAACGGAGCTGAGGCATGGCTTTGAGGCCTCCCAACAGATACAGCTGAACCGGCAACACCTGATCCGAAGAAAGTCATGATGACAGCCCAGGTCTTAGGCAGGAAGTCCAGTAACTTTGACCGGCAGCTGAATCCATTCATTCAGAAATCCATCGAGTGCTGCTATTATTGTCTCCTGCTCGACCAATACAAGATGCTGTCAAAGAGCCATTCAAAAGCCGGCCAGTCCGGGATACACTTGGCATCAGGCGGTATATGGTCCTGTTTTATAAATACGATATCATGACTTCAAGAGTTGCATACCCGACATCTGCTTATAGAATGTGTCAGCATTGGCAAATGGAAACAAGGGCGTTCCAGCGGGAATAATGTTGAATGCGGGGAACATCTGGATCATGTGCGCCGCGATGCATTATGAGTGAGACAACCCCAAGATGGGATACGAGAGAGCTGACAGGCTAGACGAGTACTAGTAGTTCAAGCAGTTGCTGTTTCCGGTCCCGGCTAAGGCTGCTGACCTGTTCTGATGGCAAAAAGACCAATGTCAGGCCTGGATACGAGGAAATTGCCGGCTGGTACGGAACACCTGGAGAGTCATCATAGTAAAGATGTTTTTATAGGTTGACGGAAGAGGCGTGGTTGGCTGGAAACCACCGGCTTGGCTCGCGGCGTCCAAGGATAGCACTGAAAATCTATCTTTGGATCTGACCCCGCGAATTCTATTTTGTATGGATGAGGGGATCCGATCCGATGGGAGAATATGGTATGGTGTTCAGCAGATTTCTCTCGTTCCCAAGCTATGTCTTTTGCTATATTGTGCAGATACAGGAACATCCTCAAGCAAAATGTGTAGCGCTGATAAACTGACCAGACGGATCACTAGATCAGTCATATAGGGCCCTGGAAGCTGACCTCTTGCCGCTGACATGATCTTCGCATAGTTTGCACACCGGCATATATGCGATTTATTTGACTAGACTCTCTTCTGATGACTACCCCACGGCCAGCCATGTGTGATTTTGTCAGCGCGAGACGATGGGCAGTTAGTTATTTGGGAATATAGCGACAGTAACCGCCACTCACAAGGGAGCGAAAAAGTTATCAATGAATATTCGCGACTTTATATCGCAGAGTATTATCGGAGAGCAAAGCGCCCACTGCTTCACTGCTTCGTATTGCTCGGTATGCCGAGACGGTCGCGGACGGACACTTACTGACGCATAAAAGTCGAGAATACTACCAAGCACCAGCCACAGACATAGTATAGTTCCGATCCAGGTGAAGATAAAGTATAGACGAGGGTCCTTAGCGCAGCAAATAACCTCAAGCAGGCTTATCTCTTGACGCGACATGCGAATGTCGATAAGTTAGTTTCTTTCGGGCACGGCTCTTGGTTCTTAGCAGGCTCTAGCACGGCAATTGTAGATCATTGACTGAATAGTTGAACCGGCATTCAGATACGCTTAATTCACCCAGGCCCACTCATGGCCGATCGGAGAACTTGTCGGTAACAGCTCCCAAACAAACAGACCTCGACGAAGAGGAGAATGGGTTACGTCTTGGGGGATGCTGTAGGGGTCGGTCGATATCACTAACGTTGTGATTATGTGTAACCTTGGCTCTTCGGAATCCAGATCCTGATTCTTTGGTGATAGGCGCTTGAAGATCGCCGTCAAGGTCCGAGCGACATCGTAGGCGCAAAGATAGACGGGGGACATCGGACGAGGTCCTCATGGTGCGTGGGTCGATTGCTAAAGAATTAGAAAGTCTGTACGGAGTAGCTAATGGCGACGGGATTCCCCCGTTCGATGCTAATTCCCTGCTACCAACACAAGAGCCTCCGTGGTTCAAATGGAAAAAAAGGAACTGTTCTGTGGAGCCGTTGCTGGTTCTATCAGGCTGAGTCCGATTGATCGGCTGGGTCAGTCGGCTTCTTGTCTACGTTCGGAAACGTGCCTGCGATAGAAAGATCGAATGCAACAGTCCACTATAAGCCGTGCAGCATGCATATCTTGATCGAATGGCGAAGCAAGATAGACCGGTACGGTATGAGGTGGAGGTTGTAACTCTGCCTGCTGCTGCCAGGGTCCTGCTGGCGACCTTGGCGATGTCAATGTCAGATCGCACGATGAGCTAAATCCTTTAAAGCGTAAACTAGACTAAAATTCGTTTAAGCAGGTTTATCACCCGCCTGGTGGATGCCGGCTGAACGGGTACCTCTTGGAACTATTCCAGATGGTCCCGAGATTCCGCATGTCGAAAGCTAATGAGATTGAGCATCCAATCTGTATGATGATCATGGTGAGCACTAGGTGTACGATCGACAGTTGCTTTATCAGTGATCCAGCCATATGGACACAGCCCCTGAGTTAGTAGTAGTTAGTGATGTTACCTTAAATCTTCGTACCTTGGAGTATAAGATCGAGACCGGGCCCCTTCTCGCTGATCGCATACTCCAGTCTAGTAGACAGGACAGGCACGCTGGACGTCCGCTGAACTGCCCGCCAACGAAGATGCATGCCTGCACCGCTCTCTTTGTGGTGGTCTTCTATGCCGCTCTGGCGCATGCCTGGTTACCGAGCAGTCGGGACCTGGCAGCCTTCAATGCGACCGCGCGATACGCAGAACTCGGGCAGCAGAAAGCGCCAAAGAAATCGGGCACGAACAACAGAATCCGCGGCGTCAACTTTGGAGGCTGGCTGATCTCGGAGCCCTGGATGATGTCTCAAGAATGGAACGAGACTCTCAAGTGCGGCAATGCGAAATCCGAGTTCGACTGCATGTTGCAGGCCAAGAATACTTCCGAGCAGAACGATCGCTTTGAGGATCACTGGAAGAACTGGATCACCCCCGACAGTGTGAAGTCCGTGTACGACGTTGGTCTGAACTCGATCCGAATTCCTATCGGTATGCGGTCTTTCTGAAATACGCGGGGAATCCTTCCATCTAACGAAGGACACAGGGTATTGGAGTTACAAGGACATCGTCCTCCCCAGTGAGCACTTCCCCGACGGTGATCGCATGCTGCCGTACCTGGACGCTGTTGTCCAGAAAGCTGCCGATCTCGGGATATTCGTTATTCTCGACTTGCACGGGGCACCTGGAGCCCAGCAAGACGATCCATTCACAGGCCAGGTAAGTTGTGTAGATCCGACTGATCTTGGATGATCGCCAAGAGCTTGAGCCACGGATAACTGACCGGACTGCTGGACTTTGTAGCTAACCACGGTTCCTGGCTTCTACGATGCGGCAAATTATGGCCGTGCAGCACTCTGGTTGAGCTGGATGACGAAGAGGATCCACACGAACCCAGCGTACAAGACTGTCGGCATTCTTGAAGTCCTGAACGAGCCGGTCAGCAAGAACGATGGCAGTGCATATCCCGCGTCGGGAGAGAATACTCTGACCTCGGTCTTCTATCCGCAGGCCTTGTCAGCCATCCGGACTGCTGAGAAACTGCTGGGAGTGTCCTATGCTGATGCCCTGCACGTCCAATACATGGATGAGCTCTGGGGTGCCGGTGATCCCGACTCCAATCTGGGCAAAGATAAATCAATTGCGTACGATGACCACAACTACGTGCTTTCTGTCCTGACAGGGGGCAATCAGACCACCTATATGTGGTACAGCTGCCAGACAGATAACCGGAGAACCGACAAAGAGACGCCGAAGGTCGTGCAGGAATGGTCGCTGATGGTTGGCAACAAAATCCAGGACGATCCAGACTTCACCATCAGCAACAACCAGAACAAGGGATTTTATAGCGACTGGTTCGCCGCGCAGCAGCAATTGTACGAACAGACAAACGGTTGGATTTTCTGGACGTGGAGAAGCGACCTCGACTATCGATGGACTTACTCAGGCGCCACCGCTGCGGGTGTTATTCCCGCCAACGCTTCGGGGCTCGACTGGTCAGCGAATGTCGATGTGTGTAAAAAGTGGTTTCCCCATACGAAGAGGAGGAGCGCTGCTGCTGCGACTGCTCCTCATGGTCTTCTTACGATATTGGGACTGCTGTTTCTCCATTTCGTCCTTACATGAGTGGACACTGTTGCCTGAAATACGGACATGATACCACTATTATGGCAGAGACTCACTGTACCCTGGCCTCAGTCAGGATACAGTCACAGTATCAGCTGCACTTGGGTCCAAATATCCCTTCGCTGTGCAGCAATATCAACAGGGGTCTTGCAGCCATGGTCTGCCATAGGCTTCACTGTTTGGGAAAGGGTAAACACTGGGATATACGGCATCAGGTTGTACAGTACATCCCTATACGGAAAGACCAGCATACTGGATAGTACGCCACAGGAAAATTCCACTCCGCCAGAATTCTGCTGAAGTGGTAGTGCCGGCTACTGCTGTTACATCGATCCGGATCCCTTCCATCAGCTGAGCTGAACGGCCTCCCTCAAACAGTGCTTCAGCAGATCGAAGGAACGAAATACAGCGGCATCACCGGAGACGACAATTATGGGAGATACCTTCTCATACCAATTCGTGCAGAGATACTTCGGAAAAGTGGACAGATTTTTCCCTGCGAGAAAGAGCCGATGGTTTGAGATACTAGACATAACAACAAATGAAAACCTTATGATTCATATTATTTTCTTACTATTACAACCTTCCTGTAATATGCCAGTAGCCGAGTGACTCGACCAGCACGTCAAAGCGAGTGGTGTCCATACTCTAGACCAGCAGAAAAGAAGCTGTAGTTCATCTCTATCTAGAGTACACCGGCTCAGCATGTTCAGGAGAATAAAATTGATTACGAAGAGATGTCTGTGCCTGAGGTTATAGTTATACTACGGGTACCAGTGTAAGACTTATATAAACCCCAAAGTAGTACTACCTATCCAACTCCCAACTTGTAATGCAGTTGAGGAGCAAACGATGGCATGACAGCCGCTACGACACACTGGAATAGTATATTGCAGAAATGACACTACCGGATGGCCTTCTAGGGGGCCTAGTAACCTATTCCGCGTCCAGCTTCTTATAAGCACTAGGATCCCAAAACACCGAGGACGGGTAGTCCGGGAGCATCTCAAACTCGCAGTGGAGGTGGCATCTGGTCAGAATTACGGTTTCCTTTTTTGCCTGCTCTGCATCGCATTGCAACCCAGCCTTGTTCCCTTCCCAGGTGATGCTTTGGATCTTTGCACTCCCAAAATCATCGTTGCTTGGTTTAGGAACAATGTGAAGTATGTAGCACGGCTCCTGTAACCAGCTTCGAAGGATGTGGAGAGATATGTTGCCATTTTCGTCCGGATCCTCGATCAGCATGTCCCATTTGTCGTCCATGATTCGACATTTGAACCCGACTTTGAGCTTCTCCACGTCTGCATCGCTGATCGGCAGATCCCAAGGTGCTGTGAGAGGCTTCTTCATGGGCTTTTTCGAGCCGCGCTCGTACTTCGTCGAAAGCCACTTCTTAATCTCCTCCTCGTCCACATCACTGTGCACGTCCTCTTCTACATCGAATTCGCTGTCACTGTCGCTGTCCGTCGTCGGAAGCCCCAGCATAGACTCCTCCTGTTCCGCATTGCTGTGCGGCATCATCATCCTGTAAATTGCGTCGCAGAATTTATTGGCTGTGATGAGTATGAAAACACTGAGGATTCATCTATTAGAAGAAAAGACATAAGCAAACCCCGACCATGTCACGTGACGCAGCTTATCTGATGCAGATTATCAATCCTTCCCCAGGTCTCCGAATGCAACTTGAGTGTCTCTTGCGTCTGTCCAGTCCTCTCTATATCCACCACCCCGACCTTCTTTTTATTATTCTCTCTCTTTCACCAGAAAAAATGTTTTCTCTCCGTCCAGTCACCCGCGCCGCCTCGTCGCGGACGCCTTTCATCCGCTCCTCCGTGCCTCAGATTCGCTCTTACCATGAGAAAGTACTCGACCACTACTCGAATCCCCGGAACAGCGGCTCTCTGGACCGCAAGTCCGCCTCCGTTGGATCTGGCCTTGTTGGCGCCCCTGCGTGCGGTGATGTGATCAGACTCGATATCCAGGTCGATGAGGCGACGGGGACGATTGTGGATACGAAATTCAAGACTTTCGGGTGTGGTTCGGCGATTGCGAGCTCGAGTTATTTGACAACGTTGATCAAGGGGAAGACTTGTGAGTGGATTCTTTCTCGAGGAGAAAAGGAAAGGGGACGGAGATATCCAGAAAAAAAAAAAAAGAAAGAAACTGAAGACGGAAATGAGAGTTATAGGTGGTGGTTTATGATATGGCTTTTGATATTAAGCTAATGGTTTCTGGTGTGTAGTGGAGGACGCCGCGAAGATCAAGAACACCGATATTGCAGCCGAACTATGCCTTCCGCCCGTGAAGCGTGAGTTACTGTCCCTTCTTCCCCGGATTCAATTCATATATTATTTGGTTGTGTGAGTATGGAATATTGATTGGGAAACAAAAACAGTGCACTGCTCCCTTCTCGCTGAGGATGCCATCAAGGCTGCTATTTCGAATTACCACTCGAAGAGAGCGAGCGTTGGTGCCGCGGCTACGAATCTGGCTGGGACTGCTAAGGCTTTCGCTAAGGAGGCTTGAAGGCCTCTTTACGTGAAGGAAATAAGAGGACTGGAGGGAAGGAAAGGGGAATAAAAGGCGGGTGTGATGTGGGCAATGTGAGCGAAGGTGTGGGTAAAAATAAACGGGGTACCCTTTCTGAGCGGCGTTTTGCGTTGGTTTATTGGTGAGAGCTGCAAGCCTATATACCAGAGCTGCTTGGGCAGTCATGTTTGAGCCGTCCGGCTCCAGAGAGAATAGAGCATAGAGCAAGATATGCAAGTCCCTTCCCCACTCAAAGCTGATTCCATAATCTGGTTGATATACAAAGATGTGAAAGAGTCTAGAGCAAGTAGTAAGATCTAAACTGATGCAGCAAAGCCAAATGGGATCATTTTGGAATATAAAATAGCTCGAATAATTTGTCTGTCAAGACACGAACGCCATACCACACCGGGTCCCACTCTACCTGCCATGACGATATCACATGAGATCACATTAATAGATCAGACCGTAATCCAGAACAGAAACAGATATTAAGGGAAACGGGAGAAATAGAAGAGGATGTTTCGCTTTTCCATCTGAACGATGTCTCACATGTCCATGCCATCGTTCTCGACGAACATGAGACGCGTCCCGTTGCCCGTGATTTGCCAGACCTGAAAACAGCAAAAGTCAATATAGAGTAACAATAAATGGGATACAAGGAGACTTACGTCCATGTTAGCGTACTCGTCAACAGTCTGCACGAGCTGGTCCTCAGTGAATCCCTTCGCGAGGACACGCTCACGGATTCTCTTCATGCTCAGTTCTCCCTCCTCGCCATCACCAACAGCCGCAGCTCCGCTGTCCCTCATGGCACGAATCAAGTTGTAGATCTTGGTGGTGGGGCTCTGGTCCTGGCCGCCCTGGCCATCGTTGCGCAGAGATGCCTTGCTAACCTCAATCAGACGCAAGGCCTCGTCCACGTCCTCCTCGACAACTTCCTCGCTGAATCGGAGACGGGCCAACGCCTGGGACAAACGAATAACTCCCAGAAGAGTACGAGGAGTAGTGTGAGAGAACTGCTTCTTGGTGCCGTCTTCCTTCTTTTGCTGGTTGCGCATCCGTACATATGCACCGACCATGTAGTCGGACACCGACTGAGGGACAACAGGGCGGTATGTTCGGGCCTTGGCAATATACTGTCGGACTTCAGAAGCAGTGAACACGACGGCACTCTCCCCGGTGTCCGGGTGCTTGTTATGCATGTGGACGTAGGTGACATGGTTTGCTAGTTCCTCATCCCCGTCGGGAGAAGGAGTATCAAGAAGAAGGAAAAGGATATCAAAACGTGATAGAAGGGCCGCTGGAAGGTTGATGTTCTCCACAGGGGAGACACGCGGGTTGTAGCGTCCATACAGAGGGTTGGCAGCGGCGAGAATAGATGTACGCGCGTTGAGAGTGGTGGAAATTCCTGCCTTGGAAATCGAAATGGTCTGCTGTTCCATCACTTCGTGGATAGCGGTTCGATCGGTATCGTCCATCTTGTCGAACTCATCAATACAGCAGATACCGTTGTCTGCAAGCACAAGAGCACCTCCTTCGAGGACCATTTCGTCCGTGACTGGATCTCGCATCACGGCAGCAGTAAGACCGACACCACTGCTTCCACGACCGGTCGTGTAGACACCTCGAGGAGCCACCTTGACGATGTACTTGAGCAGCTGCGACTTGGCAACACCAGGATCACCCATGAGACAGATATTGATATCTCCACGAATGTGCATACCATCGCCCATTTCCTTCGTCACACCTCCGATAAGAAGTAGAAGGAGTGCTTTCTTCACGTCCAGATGACCGTAGATCTCGGGTGCAATAGAGCGAGCGAGAATGTCGTACATATTCCCAGAGTTCTTATATTGTTCGATCCGCTTAAGAGTGCGAGGGTCCATAATGAGATCATTGTATGCCTTCTTGTGCTGGGTGATATGCTGAGCCTCCAGGTAGGTGTCTGTCAGCAGACCGGCACGGATTGCCCTGAAACCCGTATAGGGGACAGGCAAGAAGATTCCCGCTATATCCACGACATCACCAGGGTTAACCTGCCGTGTCAAAGCCCCATGACAGTGAATAGTCATGGTACGGGGGATATGGCCCACCGGCACTTGGTCGGCCATCTCCTGGATCTTGACTTCCTGAAAAGGGATGAACTTGGACGCGCGGGTAGACAGGAACAGCTGGCCCTTGGAATTGTTCTTCTTGCACTCTTCTGACGGGCATTCTGTCATGGGAATGAACTGTTTCGTCGTGATCGGTTGGAAGACTTCGCATCCACAACGGTCGCAAGTGTAGGCGTTGATCTCAACCGCCGGCTTGACATCTGAAACTCGCGTGGTGATACCTCTGACGGTGATCAAACTGCCGAGATGTTCACCTCTCACATTTCGCACTGCCAGTGCCTTCGAGCTGCGATCACTGCTGGAGCCAGATGGAGTAAGGGGCTTGAAGTTGAGGGTGTATCGACGGGTCAGTTCCGGAGGGAACATTGACGGCGCTGTCATCGCGGCATCCATGTCAGCCTCCATCGCCATAGCCATTGTTTCATTGCGCTTTTCTCTCTGCGACATGATAACGTCGAGAACATCGTCCTTGAAACTGCCGAACGTTAGCAACATTGCTGAATCCATGAGCGGTATTCTACTTCACTTACGTCATTTCCTTGGTCTCTTTTGGCATGACTTCATCCACAGCTTGAGAGAAAATGTCGACATAGTGTTTCGTGTTGCGCTGGACCGTCTCGACAAGCTTCAAATTTGCATCGTCGGGAAGAGTTTTTTCGAACTGCACATGACAACGTCAGAGTCGTGTTCTATCGCATACTCCGCCCTTACTGACCGCTTCCAGATCGTCCAACTCAATCAGGATGTGGTTACGCTCCCGATCTGCCACCTCTTGCAGCATTTGCATATACTTCTGCTTCGGCTCTCGTCGTCTTCTGTTTCTCCCTGTTCCGCCCGCTCCATCCTGCTCAACATCGTCCATGAAGTCATATTCGTCACTGGTTGTATCACCGTCAATATGCAGGTCCTCAATCGCCTCAGTCGCAGCTGACTCTGACGCGGATTCGAAGGTCTTGAAGTGCTTCAGAAAGTCCTTGAAGGCGTCCAGCTGGGCCGGATAATCGACCGGCGCTGGATATTGTAATAAAGCCATGATGCGTTAGACACGTCTCTGCGCACACCGGCCGATTCTGTACGAGGAGGTGGTGATGAGAAACTGTATTTCCCCCCTCAGGTGTCGCAAAATAATGTGGACAACGGGCAACGGGCGCAGAAATCGGAGGTTGGAGATGCCACGACGCGACGCGACACGCGATCAGCTGGATCGAGACGCGTCTGTTCATTCCTTAATTGGCACTAGACCCGAAACAGACTAGCGCAAGGCACGCATCAGGGCCCGTGGCGCGGAGCGGATTAACCCTCGGCCCGTCGGCCTCCCGTGACTCTCCGCGGACTTCGACCAGAGTGCGGAGTCAGTCCGGAGTAGAGCAGAAGCTCAGGCCTGGCATCGCCTTCCCCGCGAGACTTGGCTTCGACTTGCTTTCAGCTGCTATTCTATGTGGTTGTTCTGGCATCAGGATCCTTGCAATGGCCCCCAGGAAACCCACAACCACTGCTGAGGTGGCCCTGGTGCCGCTGAAGAGCTGCCTGGTCAACTTGCCGCCGTCTCTGGTGTCGATGCTGGTCAATGCCAATGCGGTAAGCTTGGATTTGCCCCCATGGACTTGCCATATGAGCTAACTTCCCTTATTAGGCTGCGCAGAATGTCATCGTTGAGCTTCAGTATCGCTCGTCCATCGGATCGTCAGGCTCTCACTCAAACACGGGACCTGTGCAACGGTCTTCATACCTGGGATGGACAGGAATGCCCAGTAAGCGGAGGCTTGCCCCGGTCATCGGCAAGGATGGTCTTCGAGGAGATTCAAGCAGAGAACATGAAGTGGCCGCTATAGAAATAGACTCGACGTTTGGAAAGATCTTGGGCTTGACAGAGGGGCAGAAGGTATGTAGTATGCGCTCGTGCCTTTTGCTGATGATACTAATGGTAATAGGTTGGGCTATTTGTTCACCTCGATCCTCCAGTAGCACATACAATCAATATTGAGCCTTTGACTCCAACGGACTGGGAGAGTATGAATGTCTAGCCCATTTGCCACTGGAACTTCTGCTGACACATTTCACAGTCATCGAACTTCATGCAACCTTTCTGGAACTGAACCTGCAATCACAGATTCGTGCTCTGCCAAACCCCGCCTACAATAGTGGTGCTTCAGGACAGGGGGAGCATCTGCATCCTTTGACACTGCACCTGTCTCCAACCTCTACTGCTAATATCATTATAACCTCGTTGACACCCCCCGTACCGACAACCTCACCATTCGCGAAGGTTGCGCCGGATGCGGAGGTCATCGTGGCGCCGAAGGTCCGTGCCAAGTCGACAAAAGGGTCGCGTGGGGAGACTAGAAGCATCACAGGCAGTAGCCGGAGGAGTACCGGGGGGAGGAGCACGAGTAGTACGGTACGATCTAAGAGCAATGGTGCTGATTCCACAACCAGAGGCGCTGTATATCTTCGAGGGGTCGATCGCCAGTTCGCTGAGGAATGGTTTGATGAGGAAGCAGCAGAACACAGTAATGATGGATTCCGCGTCTGGATTGACCGGGATGTTCTGGCTACAAACGAACTGCGTGGCACGAGCTGGGTCTCTGTGTTGGTGGTCCAACCGGCTGGTTTGCAGGCACCCGTGGACCCTCAACAGCAGTTGCAGCAGAAGGAGCAGGAATCAACCGAAGCTGGCCGTCCTGCGACAAAATTGATTGCCAAAGTGATCCCCTGGGAAGATGCCCCAGATAGCAAGCATGTGGCTGTCTCCTCTGCCCTATGCGCTGCGTTGGGAAGTGAAAAGATGATGGGAGGCATTGTACGAGTGGAGGCAGCCCCATCCCAACTGCAGCGATCCGCAGTCAAGTCTCTGAAGATATATCCGTTCGCCTTGGATAGTTCGAAGAAAAAAGAAGGTCTGAAATTCGGAGGTGACACTGCGGCATCTAGGGAGGCATTGGCGGAACGCATTAGGATCACTTATGGTAGTCCGGGCTCGGATAACGGGCTATTGTCGGGCCCTATCACAGACGGTATGATGATCCCAAAGGTGGAAAGTCATATCGCCACCACGTTTGATGGCGGGATCATTCGTTTCGATCCGCCGTTGAAGAACTCCTCTGACGCCAGCAAACCAAGTTTTGGGTGGCTGCTGGGATCAGAAGGTAAGCTGAATATAGAGGTGCAGGCGGAAATACCTAAACCGGTCGATCCCCTCTTGTCTTCGCTTCCATCCGATGAGCAAATACCGTCCTCACCACCAGAGATGGTGGGAATTGATTCCCTCATTGATTCGAGTCTGGCAAATTTAACCAGGTCCTCTTCTGTACTATTGACCGGTGGACTTGGATCCGGAAAGACGACACTCAGCCACCTTCTAGCACATCGGCTGAGGGAAGAGTATCTGTTCAACGTTACCTACTTCTCATGTCGCAAGTTGGTCACAGATGAGACACGTGTTTCCACAATCAGGGAGACGCTAAACCGTCTCTTCATGTCTGCCGCCTGGTGTGCCCGTCTTGGTGGACAATCAGTCGTGATTCTGGATGATTTGGATAAATTGTGTCCTGTCGAAACTGAGCTTCAGGTGGGAGGCGAGAATGGACGGAGCCGTCAAGTCAGCGAGATTATATGCTCCGTAGTTCGCGAGTATTGTACGATGACATCCTCCGTCGTTCTGCTCGCAACTGCTCAGTCGAAAGAATCTCTGAACAATACTATTGTGGGTGGTCACGTCGTGAGGGAAATAGTCGCCTTGAAAGCGCCTGACAAAGAAGGACGACGGAAGATCTTGGAAAAGCTGACACAGGAGGACAAGCAAGATAGCACTCTAAACGGCCATGCTCGCAGTAGGAGCGCCTCGACACAAGATTCATGGCTGGATCCGTCAAACCCCGGAAGTCGTCCAAGTTCGTCCGGTGCAGATGGGTTCCATCTGTCTCGAGATCTCGATTTTCTCGACTTGGCCGGTAAGACCGATGGCTACATGCCGGGAGACCTAGTATTATTGGTCGCTCGTGCTCGGAATGAGGCTCTTATTCGGTCCGTTCAGGATACTGAAGCAACTTCGACGGGTATTACTTTGGGAACGGAGGATTTTGAGCGCGCACTCAAGGGGTTCACGCCAGCTTCCCTCCGCAACGTTACTCTCACGTCTTCTTCTACGACGTTTGCTGCTGTTGGTGGTCTCCGCCAGACGAGACAGACGCTGCTGGAAACGCTGCAATACCCAACCAAATATGCACCCATCTTTGCTCAATGTCCTCTCCGACTGCGGTCTGGTCTACTTCTATACGGCTTTCCTGGCTGTGGTAAGACATTGCTTGCAAGCGCCGTTGCAGGCGAGTGCGGTTTGAATTTCATCAGCGTCAAGGGCCCAGAAATCTTGAACAAATACATCGGTGCTAGTGAGAAAAGCGTCCGAGATCTGTTCGAGAGAGCAGAAGCTGCCAGACCCTGCATTCTTTTCTTCGACGAGTTTGACAGTATAGCTCCTAAGCGTGGCCATGACTCTACTGGTGTCACTGACCGTGTTGTCAATCAGCTTCTCACGCAAATGGATGGCGCAGAGGGTCTATCCGGAGTATATGTGCTTGCCGCAACATCCCGGCCCGATCTTATTGATCCTGCGTTGTTACGTCCTGGTCGTCTTGACAAGTCCTTACTGTGCGACGTGCCTTCGCATGAAGATAGAGTCGATATTATTCGAGCAGTGAGCAAGAAGCTGAAATTGAGTGATGATGTGGAGGCACGCATCGACGATATTGCATCCCGCACTGAGGGCTACTCGGGTGCAGATCTCCAGGCCGTGGTATACAATGCTCATTTAGAAGCCATCCACGACGTCCTCGGGGACCGATCATCTGAACCCACCAAGAACCAATCAGCCGATCGTTCCTCTAAAGATGCTACTAGCAAGTCCTTTATCCAATTTCTATACGATTCATCTGAACACGATGCCGCCATCTCATCTCGTGGTATCAGATCATCCGCTCTTACGCCGCCAGCGGTTGTGGCCGCTAAGCTCGAAGCCATGAAGCAGGCGCGACGCCGTCAACGTCAGCTTGAGCACGGAGCTGGAGGTGCAGCAGACTCTGCTGCACAGCCAGTCACAAATGGCACAAACGGTATTCATCATGATGATGATGCACGTGATGAAGTTGTGATCCGCTGGGAGCATGTCGAGCGCTCACTTTCCACCACGCGTTGTTCGCTGAGTGAGGCTGAGCGCAGACGGCTCGACGCTATATACGATGAATTTGCCGTTGGCAGAAATGGAGAGATGCCAAACGGAGAGGGGGCAAGAGAAATTGGGGGACGAACGAGCTTGATGTGATCTATTGTCTATTCGTGTCCATTTGCGAACATTGATGCCTTGTACTGTACATACATCCTCAGACCTCATTAGACAAAATCCATGTACACTTACCAATCAAATTTACTTACCATTCAACTGACACGAATCATCTTCGTCGAGAGCCATACTATAACAAATAGCTCGACTCACTCTCCTGAATCACATCTTCTAGATTGTCTGTTCCCTCGGGTAACTCACTCTAGTATATCCCGGATTTCCCCGGCTTACTGTACGTGATCTTGATACAGAAGTCATTAATACACAGTACTGTAAATGCCTGCATCATGAGATACCCTGTCATCAAGTCGTCCCAGCCTTGTTTACCAATGATAATTTCAGCTTAAAGATCTCCATGTGTAAGGACAGTGCGATGGCCTAGCCTAGTAGGATACTACTGATGCCCTCAATCATTCTCTGCAAAGTAGTTAGCTAGTCCTTGGATTATCCCTTTATTCATCTCAATTTAAATAATGGCAAAGATTAGGCCAGATATTGTAGGGTCCTTTTAGTGGTCCAGAAAACCACGGCTTCCGCCCTATCCCGGTCCCTGAAGTTTTTCGGCGCTCACCAATAGTTAACTAGCGTTTCTTCTGATCTTCGTGCTTACAGTAGATATACCCGACTTCTCCGCCCAAGTCAATTTAATACTAGCAGCAAGCTTTGGAACGAACTCCATATATAAGCAATTTCTGTCTCTTCCCTCCTTTACACGAAGTCCGCATCTTCCCGAATTCCCCGGCTGTTCTCCCGGATGACTCTCACCCCGCGGGGAGACGTCCCGCTGAGAGATCATAGCTCAGACACTTCAGAATTGTATTCTAGTTCCTAGGATTATTGATTTAGTTCCTGACGCTGCAGTAAGTTGATTACTGAAATCACAACAACGGATATATATCAAATTAAATATCTCCCAAGGACATATCTCGGACATGACACCGACCGATGGAGACGGTCTTCATGCCGACTGGTCGAGAAAGCCGCAAGCGATTCGAGGCTTCCTACTGGTGGGTTTTACCGAAGAGCTTCAGATCCGAAAGAAGACTGGAAATCAGATTATTAAATGTTGAAATTATTATTTATTACTGCTAGTGGAAGAATTGCAGGATCTCTACTATAAGGATAAGCTCTTATTGTCATAATAACAATAATAATAACAACAATAATAATAATAATTTCTAGATGAAAAATACTAGCAGCGTGACGTCGATCCACGTGATGTGGGGCATAACATCATCGTGAAATCCCATAGAAAACGATCAAAAGTAAGTACTTAATTAATCAATTAAGCAATTAATTAAAGCATCAGAACTCGGGGAAACGAAGCAATCGGCGTGAAGCCTGCTGCTGCTGAGCTCGAGACCCCCAGCCCATCAGCAAATCCTTCAAATATCGCATCAAACCCCCGTTACGACCACATCAAGCCAGCTTAACCCCAACTTTTCGAAGGTCGAGCTTCCCCCCTCGGGCCGTCGGGGATCATCGGAGTGGTGCGTTCAGGAAATCGACATCAGACCCTCTCGAACCAACGTCCACCTGCCCCTCCTTTTTTATCCTCGGGCTTCTTATAAAGCTCAACAGACGACCCCCGCTCTGCCCGGCCATGGAGACAATCCTCCGTCCGCTATCCCGCCAGTTTGTACGATCACGACCGCGATATCCCTACGCTATCCCCGCTGCGTCGTCGTTGTACCCTCGATATATCTCCAGAATGGCTCACACGGTCCCTGCGGTGAGTATGGGAGCTTGATGACTGCTGGAAACACGGATGGTTGGTCTGACTGTCTACCTCACAGTTGAAAGACGAGTCGCTCTTCATCCAGAAGAGCTACATCAATGGCGAATGGGTCACCGCCCAGTCGGGCGAGACCTTCGAGGTCCATGGTATGCGCCGCTGCCGTGCTCATCTTGCGCAAACAGGATCAAGCTGACTGTCTACTCTAGACCCGGCCACTGGAAAGTTGATCGGAACCTGCCCCGAGCTGAACGCGGATGACACGCAAAAAGCCATTGCCGCCGCAAAGGCTGCCTTCCCTTCCTTCCGCAAGACACTGGCCCGCGAGCGCGCCCGCATGCTGCGCCGCTGGTACCAGCTCTGTATCGACAACGCAGAGGACCTGGCCACCCTGATCACCTGGGAAAACGGAAAGCCCCTGGCGGACGCCAAGGGTGAGGTCACTTATGCCGCCAATTTCTTCGAGTGGTTCAGTGAGGAGGCCGTCCGGGTGTATGGAGACACGATCCCCTCCAGTGTGCCAGGTAACCGCGTTATGACCATCAAGGAGCCCATTGGAGTCTGCGGTCTGATTACTCCTTGGAACTTCCCCGCCGCCATGATCACCCGCAAGGTTGCTCCCGCCCTGGCGGCCGGTTGCACGGTCGTCGTGAAGACTCCCGGAGAGACTCCCTTCACGGCCAACGCACTGGCGGAGCTGGCTCACCGCGCTGGGATTCCCAAGGGTGTGGTCAACATTGTTACCGCGTCCAAGAACACTGCGGAGGTTGGACAGATTCTCACGACCCACCAGGATGTCCGCAAGATCTCTTTCACCGGTTCTACCAATGTGGGCAAGCTGCTCATGAAGCAGGCTTCCTCCACCCTCAAGAAGGTCTCCTGGGAGCTGGGTGGAAACGCCCCGTTTATCGTGTTTGACGACGTTGATGACATCGACGCCGCTGTTGCGGGTGCCATTGCCTCCAAATTCCGCAGCTCCGGCCAGACCTGTGTCTGCGCTAACCGCATCTATGTGCAGAAGGGCATCTACGACGAATTCGCTGAGAAGTTTGCCGCCAAGGTTCGCCAGTTCACCATGGGCGGTGGTTTCGCCGAGGGAATTACCCATGGTCCAGTTATTCACGGCCGTGCCATCGACAAGGTCGCTGAGCATGTCAAGGACGCTGAATCCAAGGGTGCTAAGGTGGTCGTCGGTGGAAAGCCGGCCACTGACCTCGGCCCCAACTTCTACCAGCTCACTGTTTTGACTGGCATGACCAAGGACATGAAGATCGCTTCTGAGGAGACCTTTGGTCCTGTGGCCGGTCTCTTCCCCTTCGAGACGGAACAGGAGGTCGTTGAACTTGCCAACAACACCGACGTCGGTCTGGCAGGCTACTTCTTCAGCAGCAACGTGAAGCGCATCTTCCGCGTCGCTGAGGCCCTGGAGGTCGGTATGATTGGTGTGAACACCGGTTTGATTAGTGACCCTGCTTCTCCGTAAGTTCTCCCTGGAAATGAACTCCCGAATCCACTGTGTAACAACCATATGCTAACGATCATACAGCTTCGGTGGTGTCAAGCAGAGTGGATTCGGCCGTGAGGGCAGCATGTACGGTATCGAAGAGTACCTCACCATCAAGAGCATCACTCTTGGTGGCATGAGCGACCCGCTGCAGGGAGCCCGTCTGTAGCGAAGCATATCAGCAAAAATTGTTGTGTTTTAATTTAAGATCCGATTGGATTGGATCTGATGACTCATGTAATGTACATAACTAACTAGTATGAATTATATATCAATGATATGAATATTCGGATACGACTTTATCTATCCTTCCGCCCATTCAATAAATCACACATCATCGGTAAGTCCACGAACGGATCTATCTACTGACCACTATTTATCGCGGCCCATGTCTCTCAGCCGGCCATGCTAAGTATTGGACCAACTGCTGGAAAACCCCGCCGGCAGTTTCCATATCGATTTCAGAATCCGCTAATACGGAAGTCATGGCAGAGCAGATCTCACGCGAAATATCTCGAACAGCACGCACCACAACGGTATCATTGGCGACATGTTTCGGAATAAAGCGTTCCTGACAACGATAAGTAACAGACTCCCAATCACCAATATCACTATAATCAATAAAAGGCTCGAGCTTGCGTTCCAGCTCCTCGCGCAGAGCCGTCACGGACGGAAAGTGGCCCCTGGCCAGTCTGCGTAACTCCTCAGAGTACTCCGCCATGATCATATCGACTACGGATTGCCAATCAAATGCATGACGCGATGGATCTCGCGTTAGGATCATGTGGGTGATATCTTCCCTGATCGGCTGCAGTTCTTCCGTCGAGAGATGGTCTAGACGTGGTAGGGTAGAGTTATTGGGAAATAGGTCCAGGTCATAAGTGTATGCAGTGACGAAGTGTTCGAAATCGATAATCACTCGATGGCCTGCAAGGTCGTTGTAGCGCGGTCGTCCTTCCCTTCTGTGGTCCTTGTGCTTGGGACCGTGTCTGCGTTCGGGGTCTGTCGATGGAGTATCAGGCTTATGCTTCCCTTGTCGCTTGTCCTCGCGAGGCCCTTTACCTTCTGCCTTTCTGTGATCCATTTGCTGTCCATGCTTTTCTCGAGAGAACTTCCCTTGATGCTCGCGGTCTGATGACGGGGTATCGAATTTATGCTTTCGTTGCTGTTGCTGCTTCTCTTCTCGATGCCCTTTGCCTTCTCCCCGTCCGTGATCGTTTTGCTGCCATTCCTTCTCTTGACATAACTTCCCTTGCTGTTCGCGCTCTGTCGACGGGGAATCAGACTTGTGCTTTCGGTGTCGCTTCTCATCTCGAGGGCCCTTGCCTTCTTCGTCTCCATGATCCTTCTGCCGCCATTCCTTTTCTCTCGATGACTTCCCTCGATGTTCGCGACCTTTCTGCGGCATCGTGCGAGTAATATACTCAACTTCCAAATCCCGTTCGAAGTTGCAAAGGATAATCTCAAAGTCAGCCTCAGTACGAATCAGCCCATCAATGCGATCATTCCAGACCTCCTTCGCCATTTTACAAGCCAGGATCGCACGTTCCTGTTCGTCGGGCGGTCCACCAATCCCTGTCTCTCGCATCATCCGAGACTCACTACCTATAGTATCATTGAATAAAATCCGATCTTGCGCATCGAGCGCATGACCCCTCATTCCCGACTCGCCATCAAGATAGAGTAATCGTAGATCTCTCGCCGTCACGTAGGTGTGTAAATATCCTCCAGCAGTCTCGCCATCATCTTCTTCTTCTTCATCAGAGCCCAAAGGTCGCTGAGCCGCGTTCTTCCCAGTATGGCCATCATATCCGCCCCGCTGGTCCTGGTCCTGATCCTGATCCTGGATCGGGAAACGAGGACGTCCATGCTGTTCACTCCTATGCGCGAAACCCAGAGCATGTTCTGGCTCAAAAGCTAACCACTCCACGCCCGTGACGGGGGTAGAGTTTCCCGAGCCGTGGTAGAACTGCGTGCCTTTTGGCACTGTTGCAAGGAAGAAAGATACACCGTTTGGATAGAGTGAGGACGCACGATGTCTCATTGATGCGTAGATGGTGTTGAAAATATGGTTAGAGTTTAGTAGAGGAGCTGTGGATCCATCATCGTTGTTCTTGTTGATGTTGATGTTGATGTTGTTGCTGGGTGCTCCAACCACCAGTACAGGTAGGAAGGACCAGCCCAGCGAAAGGACGAAGAGATTGATGAATGATAGCATCATGGTAGCGAATATGCGATCATCGTCAATAATAATAAAAAGGTCAAGCGAATCGAAGAAACCTTGGTGGTGTCCAGTTTTTGTCCAGTTTTATGGTATCATTATCCATGCTGTCCCGCGACACATCATCGGGAGGGTTTTCTAAGTACTTAACGAGAAACACATGCGCCAATATCCGGATAATCAACCGTTGCTTCTTGACTTGCTATGCTATTATTATTAAGTGCGTATATACTCTCCATCGAAAGTCACTAACTAACTATATCAAGAAGCGGAAAATAAGAACGAACAAGAACGACTACTGACTCTTCGACACTACTTACGCTAAGTAACTACTTAACCCCGATATGTTATGAGTTTACGAGCCGCCCCAGTGAAAGTCCCCATCAACGTTGCACCGATAAATTAGGTACTCAAGATAGAGTTCTGATGTAGTAGTTATCTAGCTTGAATTACCAGTGTGGAAAAAATGTACGGAGGACTTCGTTAAGTAGATTCATTTAAACCAGGATGATAATCTCAATCGTGACATCCTGGACATGATACCAGGATAAACTCAATCCGGTAAGTAGATACGACTATCTACCGGTTATTTAAATTACTTCTCAAGGGCTGCAACTGGGGTACTCTGGAAATTGGCAGTTGACTACTACAGATCAATGACTTGATCGACATCCAACACTGTCGGCCGCGCGGCTTGGTCGACTGAGAATCAGGCTCGACAGATACTTACTTATCTTTGCAGGGATCGCGAACTTTTCACGACAAGCACGTACTTTTGCTCCTCGAACAAATATGAGCCCATGACCTATATATAGGTAGTCAGTAATAGTATACCAAAGATTTATCCTGCTCTTTTTTACCAGTGGAGACCGCGATTGGAAGATGTATCGTGGTGCTGGTCTCGGGCCATACTTAAGGATGCCGTATCCATTACATTAGTGCCATAGATAGGTATCTGATTTCTTTTACTTCTTTGCGATTGCGACAAAGCACGAGTCTGTTCGATTTCTCAGAGTCTGTTCACCTCTATTAACCACAGAGGAGTAGGGACGAGCCGCAATATGAGATAGTATAATAATTGAAGTACTTGTAGTGAAAAAGCTACGCTAGCTAGCGCACAGCCAGTTTATCTTGGTACAGCACGGGAGGAAGCCCAGAAAAAAGGAAATTGAACGCAAAGTAGAGACTGTAGGAAAGGGAATTTGATATCTAAAGCGGCCTATCCCGGTGAGGATTCGGCTGCCAGCATTAATTGCGCTGTTGATACAGATAAGAATCGCCCCAAAGCCAGCAGAATATCCGAGGGCGACGCTGAATTCTGACAGGAATGTCAGTGGAACTAGGTTCCCGCTACTTAGCCTGCAGCAATGCTGTGATAGTCGACAGGAAGAATACCGGCTTCTTGGCTATTTCAAGGTCGATGCGTGTGCGCCGTCTACTGATGAATCTCGAGGGATTAGTTGCGACCACGATAGGAAGTGGGATCAGAAGCGTAAAGAAACATAGAAAGCGTAGCGTCCAGCGTATTCCGACTTTTTATAGTAGTGTCTGAATCAGGAGTGAAAAAACTACTTGCTCCAGGACCAGCTCCTAAGGCTGTAATCATGATAAGACTTCTACATATGTAGCAAGTATAGATCTTAGCTCGGCGTATTAACTTTGAAAATACATATCCATCAAAAAGAAGATAAAAACTGGCGCAATAGCACTGCTTCTGAAACGTGAGATCACTAGCCATCGTCGTCCGTTACAGGGTTTGATTTATTCCCACTCCTCAACGGGTGTGACGGATGGACTCTTTTCATATGCAAGTTCAAATTCCACGTGCGTGTGAAACCATCGGTATGTCTACTGCAACCCTTCACAGGACACACAAGATCCTTCTTGCGGTGCTCTCCTTTGCCTTTGAACGGCCTTACAGCGCTCTGCTCTTCACCGTCCTCTTTCGCAACTACAGACGCTGCTCGACTGCTCTCTCCTTTGGTAGACTGCGCGCGGGACCGCGTACGTTTGAGCTTGGGAGCAGGCGGCTCTTCTTCTTCGCTGGCCGAATACTTCCATAGATCTCTTCCATCCGTAGACTTCGTCTTCCGTACGGCTCCTTCGCTCAATGTCTGGAAAGTCATGTCCTCGCCGAATAAATCAGCACATCGTCGTGCGGCGCGCATTACCACTTCGGAAGGCCACCCGGTCATGGAAGCGATTCCGAGAACATCGCTCCAATCCCTTATAGCGAGTCTTGCTGACCGCCCTCCAACCCTTGAACGACTTCGTGACAAGGAGACCGGTGTCCTTGTCGACTCTCGCTTTGAAGGACGTGAAGTCTCGGAAACAGACGAATCAGACTCAGAAGAGTCTATCGCATATTCTGGAGCCTCTTCGGGGTTTGAGGCAGCTCTTTTTCTGCTTTTGCTGCGAGAGGATGCACGAGCTCGCTTTCTCCCTCTTGATTGACTCCTTTCCAGTGTGCTTGTCCCTCTCCTCTTTCTGGGTGATGATAGACGAGAAGCCAAGCTCTCTGCCTCAGACTGTCTCTCGCTGGCAGAACTCTCGTCTGGGACCATACTAGCTTTCCGCGCGTGGTGTAAACTCATTAGAAGTGAGTCTAACCGACTCAAAATTTGTCGTGTCAGAGGCCGTAGTTGTCGTCGAGACATCTCATCGTCCGCTTGAACTACTGGGCGATATTGGATACCTTCTGCAGTATCCGGTTCACTCTTCCAGCCGCCTTCATTTCCAGATGCCTCCGTAGTATCGTATCCACGAGAACTCTCTCTCTTGTGCCAAACATAACTCTTCGGCATCTCTTCCCTAGCTTGGAACCGTTCCTTCGAAATCTTCAGCATCACGGCTATGAGAGATTCTTCTAACGGAGCACTTGGTCTGATATCCGGCGCTCTTTTAATCGTGTATGGATCATCGTTGTCGTTGATCAGCGATTCATCCAACCTGGGAACTTCCTCAGGTGGCATAGGCCATGCTGTCCACAGCTTGCCTGGGACAAACGCCGTCTCTTCCTCTTCCTGGCTGCCATTTTCAGCAATTCTCTTTCGAATCTCTCTGGCCCGTCGTTTCAGCGCATGAGCATTGAACAGATGAGCTGAGAGATCTCTGGCACGTATGATCTCCAGGGATTCAGCAACTTGACGCTCTTTCTGAGTCCATAAGCGCCAAGTAGAGGTAGGACCATGGTACCTATTTGGTCGATGCACAGGTGGTGACTCCGAACGATAAATGTCTGTATCACTATACGAAATGGGCGCCTTGTATTTTGCTTTCTTCTTTTCCTTGGCTTTGTTTTCCACCGTACTGCGCCTCTCAGGAAGGGGCGCGTCTTCGTCACTCGCGTCGTATGTCGCATCATCAGAGTCATCACCCATAGGAGGTAGCTCCTCATTTAGTACATCTTCGATATCCACGTCATGGTCAGACTCTCTGGCCTCGTCATGTTCAATAGGCTGACTGCTCGATCCAAATATGGAACGATAGGGTTGAGCCGATTGGGGAGGATATTCATGATCTGGACGTTGCTGCGACGACGCGGACATAGCCTTTATCTGAAATCTCTGTTCGAGGGATCACCTCCCGCTCTTTCTTGTCGAATGCAGGAGGCTATCATCACATGGACGATTGTAATATCTGCAGAGTACTTTCGACAAAGAGCGCTCGTGTCAGCAGACAGCCAATAGCGATGTTCAAATTCTCCCCCAAAATTATGCCGTGTCGAGGAGGATTGGACAGCGGCTTGAAACCTGGCTTCCGCGAAATTTGACGAGTATGGCTGGTTCCTGAAAGGTATCCTTACTACTGTACAAGAAAGGAATACCACCGCTCATCTAGAATCTTATGGTGTTAGCTCCAAGGTGCTGAAGTAATTGGACAATATTACGATCCGGTGGAGTCGGGCGAAAATTACGGGTCACGTGATTTCAGTTACCCTTTCGAGGATATCACTGCTTTCAAAACCAAATTTCTTTTACAAGTGCGATTTGAAGAGCGCGTGATGAGGTTACTTCTCAAATGTTGCTTGGATTTGTATGTGGGAGCTTTCATACTGGGTTACTGAGAAGCCATCCGGTCAAAATCAGTCCAACATATATACAAACTCCCATTGGCCGTGTGAGTACCTACATCTAGATTTTCTAATGTAACTACTAACACACGAGTCTCTGCGAAGATTATTACACGAATAAGTTTATGCTATAGCATTTACATTTCCGAACCTTCTACTAGTCACATGTTTTGATATTGTGTGGAAAAGAAGTACATACTGGATATGTCTATTTATTATGGGTATCATCGTCGTCGTCATAAGTCGTTTTCCAGCCCCGATCAAGACCCAGCACCTTTCCAGTGATAAGACCCTTTATAGTCAAGATATGCTCTATTATCCACATCACAACAAGCATGATCAGCAGGGCCGTCGACCAGACTTTGAAGGCTGGTGAATCGAGAAGTAGCCCCAAGTGGACTGCAGCGTTGGTGTAAACTCCCTAGTTTCTTGGTTACTATGAACCTGCCCTCTCCGCAACAATGGATGTGACTTACCCATGGGAAAATCAAGGCCCACGCGGACATGCTGAACTTGGTTTTTCTCCAGCCGCCAGGCTGAGCGATTACAGTATGCACGATACTGATGATAGCAAAGCACCACCAGAACGTCCCGTATCCCCATGAAAGCAAGCCAGCAAACTGACTTGCAAACGCTATTGGAGTGGCCGAGTTCGCAGTCAAGAATTCTCCTTTATTGTACCTCGCGAAGCTATTTCTCGACACAGCGTGGCCGAGTATCTCCAGCGCGAAACTTGCTTGTCCAAAAGGACCGCATAATATCATGTCCTGATAGATCTTTTCGATATCTGGAAACGACTTGTTGAAGAGTCTTGATAAAAATATGGTATCAAAACTCATCGCTAGTGGAATCCCAACTCCCATTTCCAGGTATGCCACGACAATAACTGGGACTTGGAGCCGGTCGCTGATGGCACCATACCTGCATATGATACCTCCTCCAGCGGCTGAAGTGAGAGCTGCAATAAGAGGTAGCAGAATGGACGGGGTAACTGCATGGATTCCTGGGGGTTGTAATTTCACAAATACATAGGGAATTCCTATACATGAGACAACCGCCATGGCTGTATCGGTCCACCACAGAACATAAGCGACAATGCCCCAGGCCGGTCCCCAGTCATGCACTATCGACAGTGCGATCATTTGAATTATTGTCTCGAAGCTGATAGAAATGCTAGCCAGGCATGATGTCTCGATAATGCTCGTTCGCAGCCGATTGGCCACATGTCTCGGGTACAAAAGAATCCTGAGCAGGTAGAGAAAGACAAAGGACGACAGCAGCACAATCGTGTATACCCAGACTATTTGTGATATGGTTTTCAACCCGTGGAATTGATAATCCAATTGGTGAAGTGTCACCGCAATTATTCCTGTGCCTTGCGGAACTAGGAACCACTGCGAAGAGAAATTCCACAAAGCCAGAGCTGCTGGGTTTGATGGGTGTTGCAGTGCTCGTCTTTGACTCCCACCGGTTTCGCTCATTTCTGCGATCCCTTCTTCCAACGCGGTCTTCCCATTTACTGTATATAATATTTACAGTGATTTTTAGCCAAGCGCACAAAGCTTAGCGGATCGCGTCGGCTTCGCATTCCGACCCATTAAGTGATGTACGTGCGTCGCATTGACATCACGTTCCAAGAAAATGTCAGGAATTAATTCCCCGCGTTTCGGGATCTCCGCGGGACTGTTAGTTTTATGAATACCTGGTAACTTATTTGCTGAGAGCGCTCGCCCGATTATTGCTCTGGCGGCATCGGTGAAGCAAATATGGTTCCCTATTACCAAAGCAGAAATTCAATTGAAGATATCTGGGGCTCTCGACAGCCCTATAAACACCAATGGCCTCAAAGAGAGGATGCATATCTTTTGGATGAGCCTGATAAATGGGTGCAGAGTGCTTGCGTTCTGTGCAGGTTGAACTGTCAATCTAATTGTGCACAGTATTGTCTGAGTGTGCTGACTTTTACCATAGTAATGGATGTGGATTAGACATTGGAGTCAAGGACGGAAAAGTAGTCGGTGTAAGAGGACGTGTTGTTGATCGAGTCAACAAAGGCCGTTTAGGACCTAAGGGGCTGAATGGGTAATTGAATCGTTTTCAAGTCGACTTGAGGGTAGTGCTAATCTGTGTACAGATGGACAGCTATCAATCATCCAGATCGTCTTACCCATCCATTGATACGGAAGAATGGGAAACTCGTCAAGACGTCCTGGGATGAGGCAATGTCACTTATTGTGGAAAAAGCGAAAGATATTCGTCGACGCCTGACCAGCCATGGAATCGCCTTCTACACGTCTGGGCAGCTTTTCCTCGAAGAATATTATGCCCTTGCAATGATTGGAAAGGCAGGATTAAATGCACTTCACATGTAAGTCGTAACTAGTATATAATTTATCAGTGCAGCTGACTGCGTATATAGGGATGGGAATACCCGTCTGTGCACCGCTACTGCAGCTGCTTCCATGCGAGAGTCTTTCGGATCCGACGGGCAGCCTGGATCGTACGCAGATGTTGATTATACGGACTGTCTATTCATAGTCGGCCACAACGTGTCTGCTACACAAACTGTTCTGTGGGCGCGTATCCTGGATAGGTTGGACGGTCCCAATCCACCGAAGCTGATTGTTGTCGACCCTAGAAGATCTGAAACGGCAAAAAGAGCTACTGTTCATCTAGCGCCCAAAATTGGCACAAATGTCGCTCTATTGAATGGTATCGAACACCTGATGTACAAAAACGGTTGGATAGATGACGACTGGGTCACAAAACATACAGTCGGCAGCCAGGAACTTAAAGAAACAGTTGAAAAGTATACCCCAGAGTTCGTTGAGCAGATAACTGGTGTCCCGAAAGGAAAGTTGGAGGAAGCTGCTCAGATAATCGGCACAACAAAGACGATGTTGTCCACTGCCCTGCAGGGAGTCTATCAATCGAACCAAGCAACTGCAGCCGCTTGCCAGATTAACAATATTAATCTTCTCCGTGGCCTCATCGGCAGACCAGGGAGCGGGATACTGCAAATGAACGGCCAGCCAACAGCACAGAATAACCGCGAGGCCGGCTGCGATGGGGAATTTCCAGGCTTCAGGAATTTTCAGAATCCGAATCATATCAAGGAAATTGCCGACGTGTGGAATATAGACCCTCTACGAGTTCCGCACTGGGCGGAGCCGACCCATATAGAGAATATGCTGACGTACATTGACGAAGGGTCAATCGAGATGTTCTGGGTATCAGGAACGAATCCTCTCGTCAGCTTGCCAAATCTTACCATGGCACGAAAATGCCTTACAAAGCCGGATCTGTTTGTAATCTGCCAGGATATTTATCTCACTGAAACTGCTCAGATCGCAGATGTGGTCCTACCTGCAGCGCAATGGGGTGAGAAAACTGGCTGCTTTACGAACGCTGACCGGACAGTACATCTGTCGCACAAGGCTGTCAATCCTCCAGGAGAGGCGAGGGCTGACTTGGATATCTTTCTCGATTTTGGGAGGAGAATGGACTTCAAAGATAAGGATGGCAATGACCTGCTACCTTTCAGTACACCAGAGGAGGTCTTCTGTGCCTGGAAGAAGCTGTCTAAAGGTCGCCCATGCGACTACAGTGGTCTGTCATATGAAAAGCTGACAGGAGGCTCTGGCATCCAGTGGCCCTGCAACGACACCTACCCTTACGGAAAAGAAAGATTATTTGACGACGCCGTCTTCTTCACTGACATTGACTATTGTGAAAGCTTTGGTCACGACCTCGAGACAGGTGCGCCGCTTTCCAAAGAAGACTACCAATCGATAAATCCAGGCGGTAGAGCGATTCTCAAATCAGCAAATTACTTTCCTGACCCAGAAGAGCCCAATGAGAACTATCCAATTCGATTGTCGACGGGACGCAATGTCTACCATTTTCATACGAGAACCAAAACGGGGAGATCGAAACCGCTGCAGGAAGCTTGTCCCGAACCTACTATCCGTATTTCCAAAGACGATGCTGTCAAGTTCAATGTTCAAGATGGAGATGAGGTGGTGGTCAGATCGAGGAGGGGAGCGGTTGAGATGAGAGCCTCAGTTGGGGATATCGCTCCAGGACAAGCTTTCATTCCCTTTCACTTTGGATATTTTGATTCTACAGACGGAAAATCCAGGGCAGCGAATGAGTTGACAATAGGTCAGTTTTCCACACCAATATGATTGAGTCCTACGAAAGTCTAACATCAACGCTCCAGAACGATGGGACCCAATATCGAAGCAACCAACCTTCAAGTCGGGGGCAGTTCGCATCGAAAAGATCGAGCCAGGACAGGTTAAGATTCATGCCCGAGAGCAACACTCTGCATCTGTTCGGAAAGTCCAGACGGAAAAACCAACGGTACAATTGGTAAAGCATAAAGTGGAGAGGACACGCAGGCTTGAGCTGTGGCTCGGGACAATTTTCGAAGCCATCCAGATCCTGAAGGAGATCTGTTCTCAGCTGATACCCACGCTCATCCATGACATGGAAATCCCTGGCGGGATGAAAGTCATGGAACGCATAGCTGAGTCTATACAGGAACGGCTCGCCCCAGTCATCGATACATACAAGGAACAAAAAGTCTTCGGTGAATCCGTATCACGCAGAGTTCGCGACAACCTGTTTCCAGCACTAGATCGCAACAGTGACCACGAGCCGTACGAAGCCCTGACTGCTCTGCAAGCTTTCTATATGTATCTCTGCCATATCGATGGCCACCTCGTTGCACTGCACCCCGCGAGCCAAGCGATGTGGGACGAGAACTTCTTCGAGGCAGTCAAATTCTCTCAACAACAAATCACGAGGATGAAGAGTTGGACTACGCAGCAAATGAAGACTAAGTCCCCGCAGAGACTGCTCGTGCCAATGGACCCTATCGACGAGACTGTCGGAAGCGTCTTTGAAGAAGATGCGCGCAAACTAGCAGACTCTTTGCGTGCGTAGGATCATACACTAGATCCCATGCTACTTGAGTCAAAACTTGATTTTAATACACGAGGTATCAAGCTTGGACTGTGAGTTTTGATGTCCGAGCTCGAAAGAATAACCATATGGCGATGGTCTACGCCAATGATATCCACTTTTCCCCTCCCAGGGATAATATCAGGAGAGTTCGGATGACATCCCATAGTTTTAATTACATTAGAATACCATATACCCATAAGCACGAAACCACATCCTTGGAATGCACGTCACTAATCCTGGAAATAAAGAACATCTTCATTGGAGCTGTCGTGATCCGTGCGAGTTGCTGGCTCTTCTATCTCCGCGGAGAGAGCAGAGTTGAAACGCCCAACATCGGACGAAGGCCGCGAACCTGATACTAGAAGTAATAATTCATTTCCATAGAGAATAGGTAGGATTTGACACGAGCCGAACAGCATTGGCTATCTGGCGGGGTTAAGCTTTTGAATGCCCCAGGCGCTTCCCCACGGAACCAGATATCCGGAACCTGGGATGAGGCATAGCTTACTCAACGTCATATATTACCTCGGTGGAAATGCTAGCTAGTCATGTATATGCAGTACCACTTAGCCGTTGACGGGAGTCTAAACTTTACTATATCCAAGATTTATGTCCGTTACGGATAAGTAGATTGTGTGCGAAACGTACGTCACCATGATTGAAGACGTGCCTCGAAATGAAAGTTGGCGATCGCATTTCGGAATTTGCAGACGTGATGAGGAAGGGGGGAGGGGGTTCTCCTGTGGGAAAGTCGAGTCCAGCTGTGCTTGGTCGAAGATGAATTTACACTCATGCTAAGATACTATCAGAAAGAATAGATTGTTTCCTAGGTCTGTCCGTTTGAGCACATTATTCTATTGATACAATGATAGGTAAATCTGAAGGAGCTTCGTTGTCGTATTCCGAGGCCTTAAAAATCATTGAGGCAGAAGCATCTAAGTTATCATCTTCATCTACCAATATCGAGGAGCTCGTCCCTTTGCCATTGTCGCTCAATCGTATCTCAAGTCGCAATTATGTTAGTCCCGAGTCAACACCTAAATTCGACACATCGGCAATGGATGGATATGCACTAAACTCGGAGGTTGCAGCAACTGCGTCGCCTGAGGAGCCAGTGAGATTCTGTGTCATGGGAACGTCGGCGGCCGGTGATTCCCCTGTTGAAGTTCGCGGCGAGCCTGACGGGGATATATATCCGTGTGTGGAGATCATGACAGGAGCTAGGTTCCCGACCTGTGTGGATCGAAGAGAATTTGACTGTTGCGTGAAAGTGGAGGATACGAGGATGGAACCTGGAGGGAAGATTATCCAAGTGCTGAAACCTGCTAGGAAAGGCATGAATCGAAGATTTGCGGGAACCGATTTCCAGCAAGGGGATAACATTATAGATGCTGGAGACTGTGTCAAGATCAATCATCTGATGGCACTCGCGTCTATCGGCGTTGAGAAGATTGCAGTACGCAGGAAGCCACGAATAGCCGTGTTTTCAACAGGGAAGGAATTGCTCCAGAACGATGGTGCTCAGAGTGATGCACAGCGGATAATGGATATCAACGGGCCCTGTATCACCGCTAGTTTGACGGACTGGGGATGCGATGTGGAGTTCCTAGGCGTCATTGACGACAATGCCTCTGCTGTGTCTGGAAGGATCATGCAACAACTTCAGCTTCGAGAATATGATATCCTCATGACAACCGGAGGAGTATCTGCTGGCAAATTCGATTTCGTTAGGAAGGCAGTCGAAAGTATCGGTGCTAAGGTGTTGTTCCATGGAGCTGCAATTCGACCAGGACACCCTGTGTTATTTGCGACTCTACCCTCTGGACGATATGACAGTACAGGAGGCAGAGATTATCCATTGAATAAACAGACAAGCACGGCATTATTTGGATTACCGGGTAATCCTGTAGCTAGCGCTGCTTGTCTCCGTTTTCTCGTGGTCCCTTTACTTCGGCAGTTACTCTCAGAGCAACCAGAGAGACCCATGAAAGCGACTATCAGGGATGGAAACTTACCATGGAAAGGAGAAAAGACGTGTAATATAGGAGTCGCAAGTGATATCATTACGCGACTCCCTCCTAACACAGACGTATTTCGCGCAGGACGCTTCACACTTCAGCAGAGTGATAAGTTTGAAGTTGAGATCATCCACGACCACAGCCCCGGGAAAATAAAGCCTTTTCTTGGTGCGGATTGCTGGATCCATATACCAAGAGGACATACTGAGTTGAAAGATGGTGATGCCTTGGATGTATATCCCATCTGCAAGCAGGAACATGGCCTCGCTGCTTTACTCAGGAGTTGACATTGTCAAGCGGGCATAAGTTTCGAAGCTCTTCCATTCCTCCTTATTGTTGGCATTAAATAGCCATACCTCATGGTCGGGTCGAAGCATCTTCCCTTTCAACTCTTTCACAACGAAACTTGGCCCGCATTTTCCTTGGAGCACGTTCTGCTGCAATCTCTGAAGCGCACCAGGGCTCCAGACAGCCAACAGCGGCTCACAATAACCAGCCGAATTCCGGAAACAAGTCACTGGCTCTTCGAACTCGTGCAGTAATTGCTGCAGAGGAGAAATAGTGAGTAATGGATAGTCGCAGGCCACTATTAGCCAGGAGCTCTCGAGGTCATGGTGATGAGCAGCCAGCAGCCCTGCAGCTGGGCCAATATCGACTAATTTATGAGTCACAGCTCCATCTTGGGAACCAGAATCTTCGTCATATAGCACCCTAACGGTGTATTGGGTCTTTCCAGGAAGCAATAATGTATCGCTAGAAATTAATTCGGCATATGGATCCTCCCGAAGTAATTGCTCTAGGGCCGCCTTGTCCTTCAATGACATGTAGAGAACATCTTGTTCAGATGAAGCTTCACCGAGAAGGCTGAGAAGACGCCTATACAAAAGTTCTCCGTCCGGAAGACGCAGTAGATGCTTTGGAAACCCCATTCGTGATGAGTTCCCCCCAGCCAGGAGAAGGGGCCTCGCTCTCATTTTCGGGTCTGGAATGTTGTAATTAAGCAGTAGGATAGGATGTCCGGTGATGCAGGATAGCATATAGTGGCATGGATGGTATGTAGTGAAGTTTAGAAGACGAAAATAAACCTAGGGATATTCCTTATGAAAGAGAGAATCAAGTCCATGCCAGAAGTTCAAATGACGTCATTTAGTAGATAGAACTAGCCATGTAGCTGGAGAGGGCTCACGGTCGATATGGAGTGCAAGATGTCGATACCTTTTGACTACTTAATGCATTATGCGACGAACGATGGTAATATTTCATAAACACAGCATGAACCAATTCTATATCCACATAAAGAAGCCTCCAGAAACACCAAGGATATCATTTTTCCTTTACAAGAGTAACTTTTGGTTGCCTTCCTACGCCTTTGCCGCGGCCTTCTCGATCTTCCTTCTCTTGCTACGCAGCTTCTGAGCCTCCGCGTCCTTCTTCTTGTTGGAGTAGAGCATCTTATCCAGAAGCTTGCGCTTCTTCCGGCTCATCATCATCTTCTGTCTCTCCAGCTCCTCCTCTTCCTTGCGCTTCTTGGCTGCATGCTTCTTTGACTGGGCAGATTGCTTCTTGCCCTTATCCGCACCGCTGCCTGCGGTGTAAGGAAGACCAGCAGCCTCGGCCTCAAGTTCCTTCTGGTGCTGGGTACGAGCGGCCTCTTCCTCATCTTCCGACTCAGACGCGGCCTCCTCCTCGAATCCGTCGAATTCTTCATCTTCCTCATCACTCTCACTGTCACTCTCATCTTCGTCCGAATTTGCGAGTTCGATATCCATGCCGCCATCGACGGACTCATCGTCCTCGTCATCTTCTTCAGACTCCTCCACGGCTTTGGAAGATTGTTTCTTCTTCTCCTTGGGGGCATCCTCCATTTCCTCGTCGCTCTTGTCTTCCTCCTCATCCTCTTCCTCGGCAGACATCTCGGCTTCGTCTTCTTCCTCCTGCTCAGCAAGGCTGGCACGAGGATCGTAGGCACCCTTGCTCGGCTTCACCCAGGGGCTTAGGTGGGGTGGAAGAGTAGCACCAGGTGCGTAGAGATCAGGACGAAGCAGTTTTTCTTCGTTGATACAGTCCCAAACCCACTGGGGCTGGATGTACGTCCTTCCTGGGACACGCATTCCAGGTCTGATCTTCTGAACAGCTCCATCCTTCTTATCGTCAGGGATAGAAGGGAGAGATGACTCAGGAAGAGGCGGCCGGTCGACGATCTGGTGAGTGATCCTCGGGTCGGACTCGTCCGTCGTGAAGGCACCGTCACCTAGGACTGGATCCCATCCGATACGCTTGCAGCCGAACGCACGCAGGATGAACTCAAGTGGGCCTCGAGGAGCCTCTCTAGAGATGAAAAAAGTGAAAGGCGCGAAAAGGGAACCAGCTTCGTTGCCACTTAGCCCTGGTTGAGGAAGCGTGTCGGCTTCCGGTGCTGCGGGCTCGAACTTATCGATCGCGTCTTCGTTCGCTTCCTCCGCCTCGACCACCTGCTCCTCGGGTTCCTCGTCCAGCGCAGCAGTCTTGATCATACTGTCCACCTTCTCCTGGATCTCACGCGAGACTTCCTTGTCTGCATGGCCATTGGCCTGGGAGCCTTTGGCTTCAATCGCCTTGAGAGCACTGACCTGCTTGCCCTCCAGGGAGAATGCCGCCAGCTCTGCACCATTTTCATCACTGCGAGTGTCGAACTTCGGCGGATACACAAGACCAATTGATGAGTAGAGTCTGAAGTTGACAAAGCCGAGTAGAGTGGTGTAGAACTGAACGAAGGTGGCCATTATCCGGTAGTCGACATCTCCGCTGACTTTCTGGACAAAGCGGTAGGGGACAAGCCACATGATATCCTGGCCCTGGATAGTCGCTTGGTAGTAGATACCCTTGATGGACAGGAACGACTTTCGAAGCGAATTGGTGGTGATAAGGTAGTGCTGGAACTCATGGCACAAGCGCTGACACAGTGCGATCGTCTTTGGGGGCACATTGGCGTCAGACGGAAGGTTCGCGAAAAGGAACAGAAGCGAAAGAGCATCATCGAGATCTCTTAGCGCATCGATGAAGGTCGGGTATCGCTCCTTGATGATGTGGTCGAGAGTGAGCTTGGGGGCGTTGTTCTTTTCCAAACGAGCGGCATCGCCAACTTCTCCTCGACCCAGGGACCGTGCGATCTTCTTGGAGAGCGCCTTCTGATCGCGAAACTTTCTGAGCAGTGGCTCATGAAGAAGATACTGGATATCTTTCGTGTAGTAGAAAGTAGTATTCGGAGTCGCGGTCTTGGACGCCTTCTTCTTGTTACGAGGCTCACGGGGATAGATACCTGAAGATCTCGATATGTGAGCATTCTATTTATCCGCAGGTATGGCGAGGAAAAATTTGCATACCCTTGAAGATGCATAGCCTTCGGAAATCAGGCAGGGAAATCTGAAGCTTGCGCACTGCCTGCGTTCTGGTGATGTAGTTTTTCGCCTGACCAGACGTGCCTGTGAAAAATTAGCAATTACCCTCATGGAGCGCATGATGGCCTGGAACGCACCCTTCTTCTTGATCTTCGCCATCTTTTCGTAGTTGTGGTTACCAGGAGTCGATGGTTGCGGCGACCGATAACGAAAAAAAGTTATCTGAGACTTTTCTGGTGCGGGAGCCGGAGAAAAGCTGGCGGTGGTCCGTGCAGGGCGGAGTCTGGGCGTTCACATCTCAGGACAGCTGGAGAGAAACATGAGCTCCTCGAGCGCCGCGCCCACGTCTATTGCTCTCGACTACGGGCATGGGACTCTCTGAGCGGCGATGGTGACAATGTTTGTCGACAGGAGGAAGGCTGCGGTGTTCGCCGCCGCAGTCGCCCTCCGAGTCCTGTTGTTTTGTGGTTTCCCCTCGCTCCCCGATCTGTTGACGGGCAGAGTGGAGGTCTCGACGCCAGTCAGCAGCTTCAAACGATGTGAGTTGGATAATAAGTGGTCCTGTTCATGTTACTGACTGTTGTTGAAGTGCAGGAAGGTCTGTTTCTTTATACGCGGAACGTCTCTCCGTACGATGGAGGTGTTTACCACCAGGTAAAACTCCCGGACCCATGTCCTTGAGCTGGAGATTGACAGTGACAAGGCGCCGCTTCTGCTTCCTATCTTCGCGTTGCTTCCCAGTTCGAGCGTATACCCATTGGTCACAGGGATCTTCTACTCCTTCGTTGATCTCTTAATCGCGAACGCCCTGATCACCATCTCCGATTCAGGGGAGTCGGTGGAAAGCCGGCTCTACTCTACTCCTCGAAAGAACATCAAATGGGACGGAGTGATTATCGCAGCAGCGTATGTATGAGTGATTGGTGGTTTCCCTGGCAGGAGAACTAAGGACGAACTAGTTATTTATTCAATCCCTTCACAATTGCGACATGTCTCGGCCGGTCTACCACCGTCTTCACCAACACGGCTATACTGTATGCCATCTCCAGCGCTGTCTCTGGGAATGGTTTCAACTCGATGTTATCGTTAGCCGTCGCATCTTACCTATCGCTCTATCCAGCCCTGCTCTTCCTTCCTCTCGTTCTTCTATGCTACGATCGTCAGGCGCGACGGCAGCAAGCTCCTCCAAATAGCGTGCTTTTTGGACTGAAACATTTTGCGATACTGGCTGGTAGCATTGCCCTTCTTTTGGTCGCTTCGTACGTCATCAGTGGGAACTCGTGGGAATTTATTCCTGCGACATATGGAGTCCAGTTGCTCGTGCCTGATCTAACCCCTAATGTGGGTCTGTGGTGGTACTTTTTCATCGAGATCTTTGACTCCTTCCGAGAATTCTTCCTAGGTGTATTCTGGCTACACCTTACTGGTTACGTTGGAGGGTTGACAGTGCGCATACGGCGACAGCCACTGTTCGTAATTACTTCTCTCTTGGGCATTTTCGCCATTTTCAAGCCGTATCCGAGCATCGCAGACGTCTCTCCGTATCTAGCGTTGCTGGCTCTGTACCGACATCTATTCCCTCGTACGTATACCAAATCCTTGCTACCTGCCTCTTCTAACCGCCAATAGTGATGCGATACACGTTCTTCGCTGTTTCCGCTCTCCTCTATGCGACTCTTCTAGGACCGGTATTCCACCACCTGTGGATCTACGCGGGTTCTGGAAATGCAAATTTCTTCTACGCCATCACCTTGGTATGGAGTCTGGGGCTCTCAATCCTAGTCGCAGATTCCATCTTTGCTGCCCTGCGTGATGAATGGGAACATGAAAACCCACACATGAAGGGCAAGCCTGTGAGACAAATTTGAGCTCTCATTTATCTCCAAAGGTTCATGTATTACTACACACGTCATTATTCATGCGGACTATTTTGCGTCCGACTTCGTCTCTTGTTCAGCCACCTTTAGCGATTTAGACAAAATCACATAATCAGGCTCCTTGATGGTCCCATTCCGCAGCTTTCTCGGCTGCGGCGAATACTCGTCCACCTCGTAGCCCAACCTCTCATAAAATTTCCTCGCCACAGCATTGGCCTTGAAAACCGTCAGCATCGCCTTCTCAAGCCCAACCCTCCGTCCGATCTCCTCGTACAGATCCATCATGCGTTTTCCTATCCCCTTCCCCTGCATCGCAGGCGCTAGATGGATCTCGTAACAATAAACCACCTCCTTCCCATCTTCATACGTAACCATGAAAGAAAGAAACCCGAGCGCTATATCTCTTCCTTCATGCAATGCACCACCATTCCCTTTCACAGACTCTTCAACTTCACTCTTCATCTCCCGCTCTTGTTTCTCCTGCTTCTTCAACACCATATACCGCATATCAGGCAACTTCATCTCCTTCCTCTTCTTCGACGGAGACCATCCAATGCTAGAATTTTCATAGTCATTAGATGAAGTCAATTCAACGAGATTGAAACAGGCTTCGAAATCAGCCGAGGGAATCGATGCAGCGCTATGGATATCTAGCGTGTATGTTTCAGAAGTCGTGCTAGGTTCCTTTTCGGTAATAGTCGTGGCGGCACTATCTTTGATAGAGCTTTGGGGGGCTGGGAGTGTGAATTTGAGATATGAACGAGGTACATATGTCTCGATGAAATCTGCGATCGGGAGTGTGTTGGTCCGTTCTACTCTCGGTAGAGGTTTGGGTGTTCGTGATGAGTCTGTGGCGCGTTAGAAAAGTACTGTTCTGGGTGTTGTGTTGGGACTTCTGGGAGGGGATTCCAGTAATTATTGTGTTTATGATGATACTTTATAGTGTTATTGTGGATACATTCATAAGTAAATATAAGGCACAGTATCAATTTGTATGGAGAACATAACGCGACTTGACGCGCAGCATGTAGCAGGGAGGAGCATTCTCAGTCAATACAGGAAATCACCCTTAACAAACCACATCGAGTATTCGGAGAGATGAGCAAAAAGGGTATATACTGCACATCACGCAAATCCAATCGCATCAATGCTGGAAACATTCCTCTACTTACCATCGCCATTTTCCCTACCGCGTTTTCGCTTGCCAAGGCGCCCGGAGGTAGAAGTTGTCGATTGTACTGGCGACTTCGATTCAGGTTCAGAGACCTTATCCTCATGCACTGATGAGACCATTTTCCAATGGTAGATCTCGTGATCGATGATTGGAGTTTCTGATTATGCTGTATGGTTGCAGTAGTTAAGTAGGTACTTTGATGAGTCGTCGGAAACTGTCGGCTTTGCCTGGATAGGTCAGCACTGGTGTGGCTCGGGCGCGTTGTCGCGGCGCGCATCAAGGAATAAATACTATGCATCACCGTCATCATATCAGCAAGATCCTCAACTGATGGATATGGAATTCCAGTTGAAATCATGTAAGTGTGACATTTTAGTAAATTATGTCTAGTACGATGTCTTTCAGATTAGACCATATTTACAGTGACAACTGTTGAATCTCGCATACTGCTATCGTATAAATATAGTTCGGGAGGTCATACAGTACTTAACTAAACGTATTTACCGGATAATCATTTCTATCCTACTCATAGAACTGACATATACATTATTGTATTCGTCTAGAATGTAACACTTAACTATGGCAAAGCAGACATTTATGCCTTTGCTCTTTGCTCCGCAGCAAACTCTTCTGCGCGCCTCTCCGCTTCTGCGTCTCCAATTTCTCCAAAAATATCCTTACCCCAGCGGAAGGGGAAGTTGTACCGTTGACCACGGTCAAGCTTGTTAAGAGCCTCGAAGTCTTCATCGGGAATGACGAAATCTGTCCAGAAATATGCATTAGTTTCCTACCAAGGCCAGTTTGGTAAATTATTGTGTCAAATGTATAGATCTCACCTTGGAAGTTGCTCTGAATTCTAGCGGGAGTGACACTCTTCGGCAAGACGGCCGTACCGCGCTGGATTGCCCACGAGATAAGCAGTTGTGCAGGATCCTTTCCAAGCTTCTTGGCGATTTCCTGGATGGCAGGGTCATCGACGACGCTGGGTTCGTTAATATGCCAGGTCGTTACTGTTTAGGAGATGTTACATACCGAGGCAGGTTGTAAATGTTGTTTCCGAGAGGACTGTAGGCGACAACGAGGATGTTCTGTGTGTGCATTTTGGTCAGATACTTGTTCGAGATAAGTCTATTGATTCTGGCGAACCTTCTCCTTGTGCCACTTCAATAGCTCAGGCTGTTGCAGGTAAGGATGCGCTTCGATTTGGTTCACGGCCGGGGGAATGGTAGCGGTCTTGAGCAGCTTTTCCGTCTCCGTAATAGTGAAGTTGCTGATTCCAATGCTGCGGATCTTTCCAGCCTTGACAAGCTTCTCGAGGGCAGCCCAGGTATCAGAAACGGGAATGTCTGCCAGACGGAAGCGCTTGGTGACTGGGTCAATAGGGAAGAGTGTCTCGTCACTGTGCTCAAAAGCAATTGGCCAATGGATCTGTCATATGCGTATTAGAAATGTGCCATGGCAATGGGTCCAGGTGACACCTACAAGGTAGAGGTCAAGATAATCAGTCTGTAGGTCTTTCAAGGTCTTGTTAAGCCCTTCCTCGACGTGGTCCGGGTGGTGGTGACTGTTCCACAGTTTGCTGGTGATCTGAAATGTATCAAGTCAGATATAATTGCCGTCGCAACCAGACGATTATTCACAACTAACGAATATTTGCTCTCTTGGCACTCCCGACTTCTTCCAGCCTCTGCCTACTTCCGCCTCGTTTTGGTAAACAGCGGCTGCGTCGATGTGTCGGTATCCAGCTCGAAGCGCGACTTCAACGGCATCCTCGACTTCATTTGGTTTAGACAACTTGGCTTCGATTAGCGGGCTATCTCAACTATTGGACAATTTGGATGGTGATTACCCAGGTTCCAAGACCGACAGCTGGAATCTCATGCCCGGAATTGAGCTTGAACTTTCTACCCAGCGACATTGTGAATAGACTTATTTGCGTTCAGGCAGCAGATATAATAAGAAGCAAGTATCAATAACGCAGAGCACACAAACAAGAACCAGGCACAAGTAACTTTCCCAGCATCCAAATTCGCGGGCGTCTAGTCTCTTATACTTAACCCCTCTTCCCACAGCGTTTCATCTCCTGATAAGCGTCTGCTACCACGCAAGCTACATAGCGATCGCGGGGTAAGTCAAGGTGAAGCATAAACAACCCAAGTGCTCATTGGCAGCTGCTTCGACAAGACATTGTATGTCGGGAATTCCTAGCAAATAATCGGCTGGTTCTATTGCGCGTCTTCTCCACAGGCCCCTCTTCTCATACGGCCTAGAGAGAGGTTTCCCCAGCACGCCATTGGACTTCTAAATGATTTTCCCCTGAGATAAAGATTTTCTGTGTATGTTACTGTCGGGGATGAGCGCTTTGTTCTGTGAAGTTCACAATGGAAATATATCCGTACAATCGTCTCTTTTTCCGGGTATTCGACCGTGGGTATGTATCCTCGGAGTTAGTCCGTGTAGAGTTGTAGCTCAGGATGGGAACATTGAACGGGCCGAATAATGTAGATCAAGAGGAAAGTTTGAAGAGTATCGTCGTGCTTAACTATGAAGGACAATTCAAAAGTACGATTTTTCGTAACAATGAAGAGGTTAGAGAACTATGATTAGTTAATAGCAGAACGCGCTTCCAGACTTGAAAGAAAGCACCAGCTAGGTGGTAAGATTACATTGGCTTCGAAAGTTTATCAGTACACGATATAAACACAGACACAAGGAGTGGACATAAGCTTTCTTCCATAAAAAAGAAAAAGGAAAAGAAAAAAATACATAAAGCAACGAGGCTGAAATCGTAAGAGAAAACGTAGCTAGGTATCTGAGAAAGGAGCGGTGCGCATCAAATCATAACATCACGAGGATATCGTATAAGCATTAAACGACATTTTCATGGCCTGGGTACATCCCAGTCAGCCTATTCCTGTATTAGATCTGGAAGTTTGCGCAACTTACGACCAAGAGGCTTGGCTCTCTTAGAAATGGACCTCGCTTGGTCCTGCTTGATCTTGGCAAGACGAGCCCTATAGAAAGATTCCATTAGCATCAGTTCTCGCATTTACTGAAGCAAAACTCAAGCCACGCGAGAGTATAGAACGATAGGGCTTACTCTTCGGCTGCCTCTTGCTCAAGACGCTTGACATGTTCCCTGGCATCCCTTACTGCCTGTCGCGCTGCAGCCAAAGCCTTGTCCGCATCTCGCTCTGCAGCCTCAGCGCTCGCGACTCGCTCACGAGCAGCTACAATAGAAGGGTCTTCATGGTTCTGGTTCCGGTGTAGAAGACTGCGCCCGTTGTTGCTGTTGTTGGTACTGTTTGACGCAGTCGCTGGTGACTGAGATGAGGAACCCGAGTTACGATGGCTGAAGATGGAACCGTGGCGCTGTTCCTGTCTCTGGTGTTGCTCGGTCGTCTGAGGAGATACATCCCTCTCAGTCGAGTGTCGACCAAAGAGACCCATTTTGAAGAAATAGAGTACCTGCTGGGCAGAAATATGTCAATCAAAGAATCTAGGATAAAAAGTGATGCGGGATCCGATAATTAATCATAAATATTAAGTTATCCCATTTCTTTCTCTTCTTCTACCAGAGAGATGGGGATGATATAGTTGTGGGAGATAAGTATGCCAAGGTCTGGATACATAGCCTGACGTCAAAGCGCTGATCAGAATTCAGCCACTGTCATAATCCCTGCCAACGTACGTCGCGGGAGCATCCAGTGTCCTGGATGGCGTACTAGGTAGAAAGTAGATTGGATCATTTAAACCGTTGACGTGACATACCGCAGCATACTACGTGGCACGCACGGGCTGTCTTTGACGTCGAATCTAGCGATGATGTTGTGCCATTTCCTTTTTAGGCTGGGATTCTACTGCGCCACGTGATGCCTACCGGAGAATTTTTATCTAGATTCTACAGTAAGTTATTATGATGTCCAATATTCCTATTTTAAGAAGACTTAGATGATCCAATGATGTTATTCAATGCCGATAATATTTGCTCAAAATGCCATTGTAGCATCCTGGCATGGATTCAGCCAACTATGATCCTTTCAAGTAAAGCACTCCTCCTTTTTGGCCCGCGGGTTATAGAACAATGTCAACCTTAACTCCTTGCAGTTTATTAGGTACAGTGGCAATGCGGGTGGTGATGCTATCTTTCCATGGTAACCAGGAACCTTGCTTTATTCCGTTGATGTTGGCAAGGCAAAACCAAATGTCATCTTGGAGCTGATGAAGATGCTTGATTGAGCAACTATCTAGGGACTCGATCGAGCCCCTAGGGGCACCGAAATGTCAAAACCTATAATCGTCCTACTTGCCTCGGGTACGGCAGGGTAGCTTTTGATCTGCTTTATATGATTTGCAGTAGCAAAATGTCAACACCAAAACAAATTACAATCGTTTTGTATGATAATCTGAACCACTTTAATCGACCTTCTCCTACTTCCCTCTTGGATTGAAGCGAATCTATATTATCGCGTTTATTGAAGAAAGCTCCGTGGAGATCAGGAAGAACACAAAAGGCTATTAACCATTCCGCTTAGGGGAAGGTTCAACGTTTTTAAGTGCCACAGAGGACGCAGAATTAGCACTTGCTGGATCTCGTCATGTTCCGCAGAAGTAACCAGACGTCGTCTGTGTCGGATGGCTGAGCGAAAAAGCGGGAATTTCTTATTTCTGGATGCAGACTTGCCATAACATTCCCGTCGTGTGAGCTGTAAGAGATTCTGCTACCCTATCTATAGACGTGTGTGCATGTGAAACAAACGCGAAGAGAAACTTGGAGTTCTCTAAATGAGGCCGACATGTATTCAATCTTGTATATGAATACAACCAAGAAATATGAGCGGAGAAGATCAGGATGTGCAACCGTCTGACACCCTTTTATCCCAGGGACAGACCTAAACTATGAAGTCCAACAGCTCTAGCCATCGTGACAAGCCCCATCTTGCCAACCAGGTGAATGGCCCGCATATCGACCCAGTACAAGCTCGCTCACGATTATTCCGCTAATGACTGCGGAAAACACGCCGATATTAAACGTCATGACGGCTAACATTCTAGGTAGGTGATCATTAGCTAGGAACGATCGACGTTAGCGGAGGGAGAAGCTCACAGTAGATACCCAATCGAAGCCCGTACCCCTTCGAGAAATGAACATATGCCATCATGTTTCCAGCTCCATGGTCGAGTCAAAGTCCATGCACTGCACAGTCTGCGAAAAGATCTTGTGATAAACGACTGCGATTGATCGGCTCCGTTTGAGTCCAATCTTCTACCATGCTCCCTCTGCCCCTGGGGCCGTAAAAAAGGAGTTGACGGGAATTGCGAACTATTCTCATCATCGTTCTTGTCAATCTCCATGTATAGCGGCAAAGGGCTCATGTGCTCCTTGATATTTCGCGGACGTCGCGCGGCTGCAGATGCTAATACAGGCGCACTGGGAATATGATGTACGGAATGGGCCCTGGATTCTAGTTGGAGCTTCAAGATCCCAAGGAAGCGGTTAAACCAGGCCAATAAGAAGAGGAAGAACAATGTGAGGACATATGATGAATAGGAAGCGGTCGTCCAATCCTTGAAAAAAAGCGTAACGTGCATCCCGGTCGTGAAAATGGCGGGCATTGCCATTCCATGACTCTGGACGGACTCGGTACCATTTGTAGGATTATCGTGTCCCATTCCCATTGTCATATTCATGGTCGGTTTATGCCTCTTGCTTGGAAACAGAGTTGTAGCTTATGGTGAATAGAAGAATGGTGGACGAAGAGATGGACTGGAGCAGGCTATTATACCAGATCTACAATTTCATGTTTCTAATTCTTTAGCCTGATCAATAACTGACAATTACAAGATAGTGGTTACAGCTGGCAGCTGAGTATGAATCAACTGTGTGTTGAGCGCAGTCACGTAAATATCGGTCTGATTGCTTGTAACCTTCGTGAAGCTGTGGTTGTTATAGAAATCTGCTTAATCTTGCTCATATGGCATCGAGATATGTAAGAGATTGGGCTGAAATTGAGCTGCAAGATCCTCGCGATCGGGGACGCTAGATCTTCGCCATCAATAGTGTCTCGGCAACGCGATCAGCTCAACGTGATATTCGCGCAAATATGCTCACCATGACAAACCACCTCAGGAATTTCACTCCAGCAACAGCCATAGTTCCAACTAATATATAGGCCTTATGACTAGACTTGGCTACCGAAAAGCAGAGTCAGTGCTGTCTACCTGGTCTCTTCATCTGAATGTCTAATGATATCATCCTTCTTTAGCAGCCCGCTGTATCTACTAGAACATAATGAGAACGACAATGTATCGCTGCGGAGTGATCAACTTTCTGTCCAATATCCACATACTCGGCCTTTCAGAGCGATCACTGACTCGGCCGTGGCACTGGCTATGGGCCGAGAACGGAAAGTCAGTCAGGTATGAAGTCGAGATATCAGAAGACGTTCAGTAGTGAATATTCGATTAACCAGGTTGTTACAATCTAGCGTTCTCTATTTCAACTCTAATTACAAATAAAGGTATTCCGCACCCACGCTATATAACCATTGCAGCTCGACATCTCACGATACGTCCTGAGGACTCCGTTGGTAACGGGCTCATCTGACAACTCATGTTTAGACTTCCTCTTCCTCAGCGACATTCAGCCCTCGGCGATTTGCTTTTCTCAATCTGGCTTACGAGGATGGCCTTTTATTTTTGAGTGATAATAAATACCGGTCACATTTTTATTCAAGAGCATGGAGTATGGAGATTATCAGAGGCACATCCGTCTCGGAGAAGGAATATTGTTCGCTTCATGGTCCATCGCGTCACAAAATGCTAGCCAAGAATGATAGATGTAGGAAACGAGAAAAGAACGTTCGCATAAACATTGTAGACCGTATTTCAGAAGCGTACTGAAGAGTGAGTCTCATAACTAGTTATATAACTTGTATGACAAAGCTGAGCTGGCGAGTGCTATCCAAACTGGGAATAGTCGGTTCAACCCTATTGATATGATGGATGCAACACATGAATAAAAAGAGGCAGTGCGACTGGAAAGCTAAGCGCTGATGGCTTTTTCGAGATTGCTCTATCGTCTCAGGCAGACATGATATGATTGGTCCTGAGAAGACGTAGCAAGGACTGTGCAATCAATATGAGGATACCGTTTTCTGCATTAAGTGTGGTTATGTAGACATAGTCACTATGAACGCATGAGGGTAGTAGGAAATAGCGAGGTTATAGAATTCTTGTTATGCAATGGGTTCCATTTACATGAATTTGCTGCTGGGAAGAGGTCCAATCCGAATAGATGCATTTTACCTTCTGCTATTATCAAGACATTATGTACAGATGAGTTAAATATGTATATCCACTAAAGAGCCCCAAATTTCTGCAATTCCGCCTCAGTCCACTCCCACAATCGTTTCCCCATGTCCTTGTTCACTGCATAATAATTCTTGGCTTTCAGTATCCCAACTGGGACATAGTATGCACCGTTCATCAAGTTCTCCTTTTTGGCCCCCGCAGCGGCCCAGAGTTGATTATAGGCGCCCTTAGACAATGGAGTAGCGAAGACCCCCATGACCCTCGAAGAGACAGTCGTAAAAATAGAATTTTTCCACATGGAGTCATAAAGGTCAGTCAGGATAATACCAGGGTGGACAGACACCGATGTGAGTGAAGGGTAGCGACGAGCTAGCTCTGCTGCGAACAAGATATTGGCGGCTTTAGATGCACCGTATCGGACCATGCTCTGACTAGTCTTTTTCAACTTCTTCTGGTCCAAGATACTCTCGAACGACGGGGCCATGTTATGTCCTATAGACGAAAGAGAGATAACTCGGACATCGGAGTTCGGCTCTTCTGCGGTTTTAAGCAGAGTGGGCATAAGCAGCTTTGTTAGAAAGAAGTGACCGGTGTGATTCGTGCCAAGCTGGATTTCATGACCCATCTCTGTTTCACCTGGCGGCAGAGCCATGACTCCAGCATTGAGCATCAGAATATCCAGTCTCGAGGCCTGTGATTTGAATGTCTCTGCAGCATTCTTGATAGAAGTTGTAGACGTCAAGTCCAAAGGGAGCCAGGTGATGTTCACGTCCTTGCCAAGGCTGTTCTTGATGGAGTCAATTGCATCCTTTGCTTTGGACTCTGAGCGAGCAGCAAGGAAGATATGCTGCGGGTTGTGTTTGGCAAGTTGGAAGACGGACTCCTTGCCCAATCCCGCGTTTCCTGTATAGTTGCTTCAGTTGAGGATGTTCATCTCCATCAATGATCGCTTTGGCGATCGCACTTATTGACTGCACATACCACCAGTTACCAGAATAACCTTTCCTGTAAGATCTCCAATGTCCCTATCCGGTTCGAAATTAACTGAACCCATGTAACTACATGGATTCACAAAATCTGCGACCAACGATGCCATTTTCAAGGGTAAATTGAACACGTTGGGCCAATACTCTGGGACGTCAATGTTGGCAGACTCAATATGCCGGACAGTTGAAGTGACTGCTATTCATTCCCCAGGGTTATTGCTGCCCTAAAACCACGCCAGTTATTTAATCATGACTGTGAACTGTATCCATCGAGGTCGACCCCATGGCGTAGCGATCAGGTCTCTACTTTGTGGAGAATCGGCGAGACTCAAACGCCCGAGTTATTCAAGCATCCTGGAAGAAGTATCCACTAAAGGGGATTCCATACCAGAGAGCCCCCAATGAAAAGTGGTCTGGGATCAATTAGTCTCGACGGAAAGGTATGTCCAAACGGTTTAGGTTTGGATACATTTGCCTCAGCTACAAATGCCTCGGTACAACGTGCCTGTCGGGCAGTCGGAGGTTAACATTCCGCCGGTCAGTGAACTGTTGGCATTAACTGTTTCATCTTGACTCTAACAGTAACAATATGACTCTTTGTGTTTTCATCTATCTTAAATTATATTCAGCCATAAAGTGTGCAAAACAAAGTTTCCCTTCCACCTAGCTGTAGCGGGTTATATATTCAGCCTAGAATAGGCGGTGTGTGAGTAGTTATCCGGGATGGTGATCAGATCGTGGCGAGAAACTTCAATTTATAAACTGTAAAAAAGGGAATAGGAAAAGAAAAGAGCAATAACAACCCGACAAGGAACTATCTGGTATTTTTTATTTTCAATTTTTTGACACTGTCCACGCATTTTACAAGAAAAAGATGGTACGAACAGCCTCCGCTCATATAGCCTCAAACGGAAAGTTACTGCAAATCGGGTGCTGTGGTCTAGTGAGTTTACCTTTAACCAACCACATCACCAACTTAAAACTAACCCCCCAATTGGTGGTAGGACGTCACGTTGTGGCCGTGCCAGCCTGGGTTCGATTCCCAGCAGCGCCAAAATTAAATATCTTTTTTGGTCCCTTTCTATATCATAGCGCGGGTTACACTCGAGATAGCCGGGACTGGCTTTTTTCTTTTTTTCTTTCTCTCTTTCACTTTCCTTTAAATCAGTTTTGCAAGACCCGTTGTGTATACCAGGAATGGAAACAATCTTATTTGAAGGAGGTTTGAGAATTCTAGAAAAATGCATGTAAGATAGAGGCCATGTCCGTCCACGGGTAAAAGCCGACGTTTGTTCTCTAGGACATGATTCTTTGTGTGTTCTAAAATGTTAAATCTAATCTCGAGCAGAAATAGTCATAGTACATCTATTCTGCTTTGTCGCGATGTAGTAATCGCCTGGATGCGTTCGAACACAGCTTGCCTTGAAGATCAAAAAAGGTGGTGCAACTTCTCAGTTCGCAGTGATACACACAATGTTTGTCGAAACTCACCGATATTCTATCCAGTTGTCCCAGCAGGATCGCGCGAGATAGTATGTTATGGCACATTCTGGTTTTCTTTTTTTCAATCTCAAGGCGTGTCTTATTGAAATTGTTGCAATCGCTGAATATAAAGCTTGAGATGACGGAAGTAAGTACTGAAAGGACATTGTATTCTCTGTTTCAAGGGAATTTGTCTCCATTGCAGGTTCTATTATCAACATGGAATTAATATGGTATGTGAGAATCATTCTCATAATCAAAGTCGTATCTCTCATTGTTGGATATGCTCACATATGATAATTTGGTTCTCAATCTCTTAGTTACGCCAAGTCAAGTCAGTGTTGAGGTAAACAGCTATCCGCTGATATTGGTGGATATCTGAGTAGTTAGAATTCTCTGAATCCGTCGCATTAACAGCGCTTTTACGTTTAATACTGGCTTCAGCCACCACTCGTTTTGCTAGCCTTTGACTCCTTCATGTCTAGCCTTAGATGAAATCCTCCCTCACCTGCTTGAAACCAGATTATGGCCGGACATAGTTGTCAAATGATTAAAGCACGTAATTGCATATCGAGGTTAGTGTTCCCGACTTAGATGGCTCCGTCTCGACTGTCAGTCCAGACGGTGATCTTCTTTACGAGAACGGGTAATTGTTCCGCGCACCGACGTAGCAATTTGGAAAAAGTATATTGAGAAGCACTATAGACATGCTCAGGTTACGGCGAAGTATATGAATATGATCTTCTCTGCGTTGTGGTTGAATATGGTATCATAGACGTTCTTCGCATGCTGCTTGATCATCATTTAGAGTACCAAATTCCGCTTGTATATACGCCACCTGGAAACGATTCAATTCCTGCTCGATAAGAATGGGCTCAAACTACTATTACCCACAGCGAAAGCCTGATTTGCATGCTCCTCACAAGGGGGCTTTGGTTCGCAATGCTGATTCTATCCGACAGCCAGGACAGCAGCGTGAACAACACAGTTCGAAACCGTGCTTGGATGGGCTGCCTCCAGGGCTAGCTATAATTTAGTGTCCCCTCTTATTGCCAACGGGGCGAATGTCCATGCTCGGCAGATGGGTCCTGCAGGTTCTCGGCTTGGTATCCAGCAGGTCACTGCGCTGCATGTGCGAGCTCTTGCTGGAATTATAGAAGCCATGCAGGTACTACTGAATCATTGCGGTCGCGATATCGAGCTTTCAGAGATGGTATCTCGGCGTGGTAGCAAGAGATGTCTCCCACCGCACTGGGTGGCCGCGGGCAACACTCAGTGATGAAGACCTGCTCCCCAACGATGAGTCTACTCACCAGACCATAGAGACCTTCAGGCTGATATTAACGGGCAACGCTCCTCTCGATGAAGGTGTGGGGGTTGGGGCAAGCTCCTGGCCAGGTAGTCAAGGAATAGACCACTTGAGAGGACACATGAGGGCCGCATTTGAGCGCAAGATGGGATGGGTCGGGAATTTCAAGAAGCCGAAGGCTTAATGGATAAACCGAATAATGCGAGAAATGTACCATCACAGCGATCGGAAGAAGTGATGCCAAATGGGATAGTGAGGAAGAGTGGGGAGAAGACGATTTGCCTGAAGGGGTAACCTCCCCATACGTCTATAAGATGAGTTCTACTGCAGCAGGCATGAATAAAACTCTTTTCTCTCTCCAGTTTTCTGCACTGCACGAATGCTACTTGATTCCATACAAGTTTCTCTATCGAACTACTCTTGCTGTTTGTCCCATCTTTTCAAATGGCCTGCTCTCGTTGTCCCGGATGCGCTTGCTTCTGCGATATAGTACGTCGATCGTCGCTCTTCAAGCCGTGCCTTCAAAAGCGGCAAATCTGTGACTTGAGCAAAATGTGGCCACAAGAGACCCTGTCTAGTCAGGTGGATTGAATCTCAGCATTCACATTGAACGCTGCCCAGAAGCACATCGATTTGTTCCCACAATGTTGGGTTGCCATCCGCTTGAAAACGATAATACGCGAAGTCGATGTCCAACACATATCCACCAGGTCTCCCGGTCTCGATTCCAAACGAGGCAACTCAATTGATTTGTATGTGACCGAGGTTAGCGTAAAGTCCCAAAAAGAGTCCCTTGCCTCTTTTGCGTGTATAGCAGAACCCTGTTTCGTACCATTCTTCAAAGGCGGGAAATCGGTGACGAGAAGTGGGCGTAAGTAAGCTAGTCAGGATACAAAGACAGATTTATGACTTCTTAACTTATTTTCACGCGATAGAGTAAGGACAGTAACCCTTGGCTTTTTATTCATAACTAATGCGCGGTCTTAGGATACTGTACAGTGTATGCTATCATTGGCTCGCATCTATCTCTGGTTCACTAGCTTCATAAGTTTCCACGGGTCTGATTAGATCATCAAATCGGGTGCTGTGGTCTAGTGAGTTTTGCCTTTCATCCAGCATCAACCAACTTTAACTAACCCCCCCATTGGTGGTAGGACGTCACGTTGTGGCCGTGCCAGCCTGGGTTCGATTCCCAGCAGCGCCAATCTTGTATATCTTTTTGCATTTTTTCTCTTCATTTTTTTCTTCGGCAAGATGATGGTCTACTGACAAATCGGCACGACATAAGGGCATCGAGGTCTAGATCACTTGGCTTCCACGGGCCTCCTTCAATTTGTGGGAAGGGAATATATGAGTAGGTAGGTAGGTGTACTTGATTGGGTTTATGATCTGTCTGATATTTGAAGCGACGTTATCCTCCAGCCTGCAACAACTGTGGACAAATTCTTTTTCTAGTTTTATGTATATTTTTGGTGTGGGCTGTATAAGTACTTGATGGACTGGATTTTATTCCTAAAAGTTCTAACGTAAACACACCACAATTGACCTTTACGCTCCTTGACTATGGAATCTTTCCAGGTCTATAGGAGAGAAAGCTGAAGCTGTTATCAAATATACCAAGCGTCTGCCTTTCTCCACGTAATATGGAATCTAATCTCACCGACCATCTTGGAAAGATGAGGCTGCCAGCCATTGTATCGTTCCGTAGCACAGTCACGGTATATCTGAAGACTCTTTGTCGGAGTCCAACTCTGGTATGCCGCTTTCAAGCATCCAAAGCCATTGATACGCATATGGATGGTTCATATCCTCTGGTATTCGGCAGAACTTGACAAAGCTGAAGATCTTTGGTGGAACCTGGAACCTTTTCCTTTAGAGCCGTTGGGAATATGATGTCACTAGGGAATCGCAATCTTCAAGTTTGCTCAGAACCACAAGAAGTATGACTGACCTTGTTGAAAAGACATAAGATGTTTAATCAAGTTCTTCTGTCTATTGGATGATATTTCGTATTTTTCGAACTATATCAGCTTGCATTCTCAAGGTAGCCGAAGACATTCGTTGAATAAAGATTCTCTGGTTCTCGATCTATTATAGCAGCCTTTCTCGCTTTCTCTATGCTGGAAATAAAAGTAAATCCAATCCCAGGTTGGGGTTTCCTTTCTACATATATCAGTATTTTCATGCGAAACTCCCTACGCAAGGGCATTCAACAGTGTTTTCAGCATTTGTGCATGCTATTGATTGTGCAGGGGTGGACGAAGAAAACGAAATGCATACTGATATAGAAGAAGTGTAGTTTGATAGGCGATCGAGCACCATATTGGTATTTTGGCTAGGAGACTCAAGGGAATGTGGATGAATACGTCGCTCTCATCAGGTCCAGAACAACGAGTGATTAGTTGAAATGTACTACTTGAGGGCCAAATATAACTTGATACCATTCGAATGGCCATGGGGACCGGCCAGTCTAGAGCAGCATCCTGTCTGGCAGAACCTTCAGGCTAGCTTCTCAGTTCTCATTTTCTTCAAGACAGGAGTCCGCACATATTTCGTACAAATATTACGCAGATATTATCGCGAAGAGACTGTTTGTCGGCAAGCTCCTGGAGTATCTCGCGCTGGCTAGGTTTACCTATTGTTCGAGACGGTTCACCGTTCCACAGAGGTGAGATCAGTGGAGTTGGCCCTTCTGCATAACACCCTCGGCAGCGCGCAAGCCATAGTCAGGTTCTCACAATATATTTTCTCTCAATATAAACATCTAACCCAGAATATAATAAGGCGTCGAGAAGTTATCTAAATCTTGACCGCAACATCCCCTTAGCCCATTGCGAAATAAGGACCTCATGTGCTGTCTATGAGTAGTTTGTCAAGACACAAATGTAGCAATGCTCGCTTTCACCTCGAATAGACATTCATTTTGCTGAGGGGATAAAAAAACAAAACGCAAAAAGATATTTAAATGTTGGCGCTGCTGGGAATCGAACCCAGGCTGGCACGGCCACAACGTGACGTCCTACCACCAATGGGGGGGTTAGTTTTGAGTTGGTGATGTGGTTGGTTAAAGGTAAACTCACTAGACCACAGCACCGATTTTTATTTGCCAGCGACAATTTAAAGATCTATCAATGCATATGGACGTGCCTGCAACTTTGTCCTGTTCAGGATTAGCATAGCATATTAGGAGGTGATAGTTACAGAGTGAAAACCATCTCTTTATTATTCTTAACGTCTACTATAATATTAGCTCTATTATACTAGTAGGAAATATTTCTAATAGCCAAAAGGTCTTAATATCGTGATTAGTATAAGGATATCTGTTATTTATTATTTGCATTCTGCGAGGAAGTCCACAAGCCACGCAGCGGAAAATAACTACCATAACCACTCTGTCTGGGAATACCAATATTATCGAGGGCCACTACTACTAACTGGTATCGGATACGGTCCATCCTCGATCCGATCAGGGTCTGCACTAGTTGAGAGTCTGTGCAACCCCGCCGTTTCGGATCGTGAACAAGAACAAGTCATGCTCTTCCCCGTGGGACAATTAGTGTACCCCGCGTCGAGTGGAGATCCGAGGCATTCCCGACTAGCTGACAGGTCGATGCCGAAATATAGTACCGTTGACGATTCTGTCTACCAAGTCATCGGGTAGGCTATTAAGAAACCGGGCTTAGCTCTGTACGACAAGCCAGAGACCATATCCCGAATGATCGCTGCGCATCCAGCACGGACCTCAGCATCGGATGCTGCTGTCCGTATTCCGATCAATTGAGACTAAAGCGTGGAATGTAGTTGCGACCAGGATAGGATATCATCCAGTACCCCGCGCAGATAACGTAAGTAGGTGATATTTATTACACGCAAGGAGCAAACCCTGGACTATAACAACCACCCTGGCCCGGGAATTAGCTATTGCCTATTCACATCAGCAATATTCCTGTCAGAATGGCTCCTCAACCGGTTGATTCCTTAGTCGATGTTCTCATCGTCGGTGCCGGGCCTGCGGGCCTGATGGCAGCGACTTGGATGAGCCGATGTGGCATCAAGACACGCATCGTAGACAAGAGGAGCACGAAGATCTTCACAGGGTAAGCATCGAATACATCCGTCTGATTTTATATGTATGTACTGATGTACTGACTATAACCACAGCCAAGCTGACGGTCTCCAATGCCGTACTCTAGAGGTGAGAGAAGGCGCTGTTCCAACAACTGATAACTATGCCGTGAAGACCGTTCTAATGCCGTCTCCCTAGATTTTCGACAGTTTTGGCTTCGCAGACAAAGCATGGCGGGACGCGAACCATATGCTCGAAATCTGTCTATGGGTTAGTTATTGGACTGGTTATTGTCACTTACTTGGATGTCGCTCTGACTATTGTCTAGAATCCCGACGAGAATGGGAAACTACGACGCTATGATCGGATCCCCGACACGATTCCCGGTATCAGTCGGTACCACCAAGTGGTATTGCATCAGGGTCAGTTATTTCTACAATCCTGGAAGCTGAAGTCACAACCAGCTAAGAATTTTCAGGACGCATTGAGCGCTTCTTCTTGGACAGCCTGAAGGAACACAGTGACATCACGGTCGAGCGCGGTGTCATGCCGGAGACTTTGGAGATCGAGGACGTGAGTCCCAAGGACAGGGAAGCTTACCCAGTTAAAGTTACCCTGCGATACCTCTCTGAAGAGGAGGCTACTCCTGCCACTGCGCATAGCACTACCAAGAACGGAACAGTCCAGAGTGGACTCTTCAGGAGTAATCTGACGGCCGATGATACTGAGGAGCTCCTTAAAGCTGCGCAGAAAAGCCCCCGTTCTGGTTCAACAGAGGTTGTGAGGGCGAAGTATGTCATTGGTTGCGACGGTGCTCACTCGTGGATTCGACGCCAGTTGGGTTTTGCCATGGAAGGAGAGCAGACGGATTATATCTGGTAAGCCCTTCTTTGTCTCCATGCTCAGGGAGTCAGCGGTATAACTAACTTATATCCAGGGGAGTGCTCGATATCATCCCAATCACTGATTTTCGTAAGATTATATATAGCTTCCCGCAGTTTTCATTTACTAACCGTGCTCCTAGCTGACATTCGCATGCGCTGCGCCATTCATTCCGAAAATTCTGGAAGCGTGATGGTGATTCCCAGAGAGGACAAGCTGGTTCGACTATACATCCAGCTCACGACCACTGAGAAAGGAGGTGGTCAGGTAAGTTCTCGAGGGATCAAAACGTGTAGAGTCCATCTTTCACAGACTAACATCTACTAGCATGACCGCTCCAAGATTACACCGGACATGATTCTCAAGTCCGCCCAGAAGATCATGGCTCCGTACAAGATCGACTACGAGCACTGCAGCTGGTGGACTGCCTATCAGATCGGACAGCGTGTCGGATCGAACTTCTCCAAGAACGAACGTGTCTTCCTCGCAGGCGACGCTGTCCATGTATGCCCATCTAGAAACCCATTACTGAGTCAAATGAGGATTAGTTGCTGACTAGATCAGACTCACTCCCCCAAAGCGGGCCAAGGAATGAATGTCAGCATGCAGGACAGTAAGTCCCTCCACCAACCCCTATCTTCCAGATCCTAGCAGTCGTGTACTCACCCTTTTCTCACCCAGCGTATAACCTTGGCTGGAAGATCGCCAACGTCGTAAAGGGAATCGCAGACCCTGCCATCTTGAAGACATATCAATCTGAGCGCCGTCGCGTCGCTCAAGACTTGATAGCCTTCGATCACCGCTTTTCGCGCCTCTTTTCCGGCCGCCCAGCCAAGGACGTCATGGACGAGACAGGAATCAGCATGAAGGAATTCAAAGAAGCCTTCGAAAAAGGAAACAGATTCTCCAGCGGTATCGCCGTGGACTACGGATCGAGCGTGATTGTCGCAAAGCCCGGCGATGCAGCCAGCCAAGGAGACGGTACAGATGTCGCAACCACCTCTAACAGAGTCGTTGGCAAACAGTCCTTGTCATCTGTGATCCAGCTCGGTATGCGCATGCCCAGCTTCAAGGTCCTCAATCAGACAGATGCCCGCCCATGGCACTTCCAGGAGATTCTCAAGAGCGATGGTCGCTGGCGTCTGGTTGTCTTCGCAGGTGCAATCAAGCAGCCTGAGCAAGCAGCTCGAATCAAGGCTCTAGGTGCTGCTCTTTCCGATCCAAAGTCATTCATAAACCGATTCACTCCGGCAGATGCTCCTATCGACTCAGTCATTGAGATTCTGACTATCCATTCATCCCCGCGTTGGGATGTGGAGCTCCTCGAGGACTTTCCGGAGATCTTCCATCCGTTCAAGAATGATCTCGGCTGGGATTACTGGAAGGTATATGCGGATGATAACAGTTATTACGAGGGCCATGGACAGGCATATAAGAATTACGATGTCGATCCCGTTCGTGGCTGCATGGTTGTTCTTCGGCCTGATCAGTATGTCTCTTGGATAGGAGAGCTGGAGGATGTTGGTGATGCGGATGACTTCTTCAGCGGATTCATGCGGGAGAGGCGCTGATCGCTTGGGCACCGCTAGTTGGATGTGATTTTTTTCTTTTCGAACAGTGGCTTATTGATACATATAAATAGATATTCTTTCAATACTATTAAGTTCCTTTTGCCTCAAAGCCAAAACTTAGACTTGAGACGTCAACCCTCTTACTTTATTCTGTTCAAGTGAGATTTCCTAATGGCTATGCTAAGTACAGCTCACGGCCTCGAATTAAATACCGAGTCTAATTTACTGCTTCTCCAGGAATACTACCGTGCTACCATAGTCACCATCCAACGGGAACTGTAAGCCCATATTCATTAGCGTTGCACCAGAGTAAGTTCCAACCCCGTCAACACTATACGTTGCCTGAGCGTCCAGTCCCTGCAATCTCACCCAAGGCGTAGCGCGATTTATATTAGCTCTGACCTGGAAGTAGAATAGCACTGCTTGAGACCCATCTTCAGAGATGAACAACACAGCGGGCCAGTTGGAATCCTCAGGGAGACTCAACCGCCACATATCTCCGGTAAGCACAATTGGGCTAATCTTCTCTGCCAAATTGATAAGTCCCGGGAGAGCGGCTTTGTCATTCTCATCCAGTTCCTCCGGATTTAGTTCAAGACCGAACCCACCGCCCATCATAGCGACGTGCCCACGGAACTCGATGGGGGTAGTCCGTCCGGTTTGTTGGTTGGGCACCGCCGAAATATGCGCACCCATTGCGCTGGGTGGATACACGAGAGAAGTGCCAAGCTGGATGGAAATACGCTCCAGGCCGTCAGTGTCATCAGATGTCCATATCTGAGGGAAATATTGCAATACACCGGGGTCGAAGCGTCCGCCTCCTGAGGCACATCCCTCCCACAAGACGTAAGGAAAACGGGATGTGAGGGTCTCGAACACGCGGTACATGCCAAGCATGTATTCATGGTCTGCACTAGGGGAGGGCAACTCATGAACACCTCGGTTGTGGTCCCACTTGATATAGGTGATGTTGGCACTTTTAAGGAGGTTTGAGACGAAATCGATAATAAAGTCCTGCACCTCCGGCAAGGCGAGGTTCAGCACGAGCTGGTTCCGCCGCAACGTCCTTGGGTACGGGCCTGCGTGGAGTGCCCAGTCAGGGTGCTCGTGGTACAGGGTTGAGTTGGGGTCAACCATTTCTGGCTCGATCCAGATACCGAATCGGAGGTTGGTAGAGGTGTTTGCCGCCTTTAATTCAGTCACATTGTTCACCAGAGGGTCGAGACCATCGGGGAACTTTTGTCGGTTCGGTTGCCAGTCACCGAGACCAGCATAATCGTCGTCACGAGGGTATTTGTTTCCGAACCAGCCATCATCCATTACGAAGAGCTTTGCTCCCAATGCAGCCGACTCCTCGGCCAGTTGGTACATGCTGCTCTCATTGAAGTCAAAACCAAGTCCTTCCCAGCTGTTGAGGAGAGGGGGTCGGTTGCTGGTAGCGTATCGGCTCTTTATTAAATGCTTGCGATAGAGACGATGGAACGAGCGAGACATGCCACCAATTCCGTCTTTCGAGTAGACAGAAACACATTCGGGAGATATGAGGGACTCGTTAGGGCCTAGATTCCAAGATAACTGTTCAGGATTAAAACCAAGCATAGCACGGGTAAAGCCCTGGGAGCCTTTCTCAACATTGACGGCAAATGACCCAGTATAGACCAACGAGAACCCCCACGTCTCGCCCTGAGACTCTGTTGTAGAGGGTGATACTAGCGTGAGGAAGGGATTGTGAAGATGTGACGAGAACCCAGTGGTACTTCCGAAGCTGTTGCAAGTTAGCACAGTACTGCAGCTTTCTATTCTGCCCCAATGCCAAATAAATACCCTTGGATACCGTATTCCACTCTTCTTCTCTCGCGTCGCCTTTCTCTAGCCCAGTCTCCATTAAGACTGATCATATCAAGGTCCTCAAAGGGCAAATCCACGCTCAGACTGGCCAATGCCTCGATCGTGATGTTCCCCTCCCCTCCGTTGGTTACATTGACGCTCCGAACAATCGCATCGTACTTGGGGAAAATTGAGTACGATAAATCTGCTGCTACTGAGCTGTAGTTGTCGTATAGATGCACAATCAGAGTCGTCACATCGCCCTCGCTACCTGTGGTCGCAGGCAGCCCCGGAAGACCAGGCTTGCCTTGCACAATTGTGTGTGATTGGTACTGCAGGTCTGACACGGTATAACCGGCAGTTTGGCGTATGCGCACGGCAGGAATACGGAAATCCCCGCGTCCTTGGTCGGGGAATTCACGGCGCACACGACCTGGCATGCCAACCCAGCCGTTCACTTGCGGCACTGCTGCCGTTGGGATAGATCCAGTCAAACTGCCACCGAAGTGGTCCGACAACAGATCTCCAGTGCTGTTGTCGACATGGAATCTATAAGACACATTGTCTCCGTTGAGGGCAAAGCTCGTTCCATTGACAACGACCGCTGTGGACAACTGTTACCCAAGTTGAAGCGAAATGTGTAAGACGCGTCTTACCGTTTCCGAAAGAAGACTCAGCCTTGACAATCCGAGGGCCTCCAGAGACTACAAGAGCAGTTGCAGCGGCAACGACAGCCCTTTGTGAAAGCCCAACCATTCTGGCTAGTCGAAATCTCCAGGATTCTCCGCTGCAGACAAAGGTAAGACCACGGGAGTCAAGCCCTCCTCTTAATACCTCTCCCCATGGTAAAGTTATAGTGCACCTCAATCCACTTAGACTAGCATATTCTTAGTATGTCTTGAGGGGTCATACGTTAGATGCCGTCGAGAGTTCAATAGTGTATGCCTAATCCCGGGGGATTTTGCCGGCTAATATGCGAATCAATCAAAGCAAGCTCTTTGGTGAAGCCGGAGTACCTTTTTGGATCTGGCAGGGACGATCAACTTGTACTTACCACTAACTCTGATTCCGTGATTAGTATAGTTAGTAGACCGCGAATTGCGGGGTGGTCCTTGAGCACAGAAAGGGAAGCATGTAGGGGCAATACTTATCGGTGAAATGCTGCCTGTTCGTTCTCTTAGGGCATTAAGTACACGTACTCTTCGCGATACATTCCACACGCTGTCTTCACGTCCTATCCTCAACAGCACGTGAATCTCATTCTTGCTACGAGCTGCAGCATCATGGAAGACACATCAGTGCTTGGACTCGGCTCGTGGATATAACCAGCATAACTCTTTGACCTTCCAGCCAAGACTCCCCCGCGCCTTGGCTACTTAGCATAGCGTCGGAAGCTGGCATCCCTTCATCGGAACTAGATACGCCGAGAAGTCCTCCGGCCCCCAAATTTGCAAGTAGCGGCGCTGGAGTTAGGCTAGATGTTCATTATTGAAGAAAGGACATGGAATGGTGCGCCAGAGCTTCTAGAGGGTCGCATTTCTCGCTGATCGGGCACTATTACTTGAAAGTGTTGGACGAAAATACCTGGAGTCCTGCAAATCTCTTGCAATACCACACAAGAAATTGACTACTGTACGTATTGAGCAGACCGCACGGCCACTTTCATTCCACCTGCTCTTAGAAGAAGTCAGAAGAGTTTCGAGCATCCAGACCATGGATCCTCGAGCTTTATGGCACATCTTCTAGAAGATCTTCAAGACACTCAGTACCCCATATATAGCATACGGGTCACCCTTTCGAGTCAATCCCTTCTATGTTAAGTATATCTGACGGATATCTTCAGTAATGTTTGCTGAAACTTCACAGGATGACTCAGATTAAGTCTCTCTATGCTCTGTTTAAGGGAAAATACAAGTTCATGTAAATGCTGATTATATCTTCGTATCCTCATCATCATAGACAGTTTCTGTTTTATGCTTCATCTGGTCACCTTCCTTAGAAGGCCACACAGCACAATCCATGTCGTCAGCCCAAAGTGGCCTTCGTTTCACTCGGAAGTCGAAAACCTCCGGTCGCCTGTAATGGCCGCTCAAGTCTATGAACACTTTAACCTGAGCCAAGTCTGCTAAATTTAGTTCAGCGCTCACAAGCTTCTCGACAGCTCCCTCATGAGGTCCAGCAAGAAAACTGCAGAAGGGGTGAATCTTATGGGGTTGTTAGTAGCAGGCAAACTAAGTATTGCTTCTCGGACACTTACGATAGCGGACCAACCTCCCCCAGCTTTAACGCTGTCCTGCTCACCAAGATTCTCCTTCATCCAATTCAAGCATGAATCGTCCACATAATTAGAGGAGCAAATAACAAAAGTCTGGCCCGTTAGGGCATGACTTTTCATCAGGGCCTCAATTTGCGCGTTGGCAGAACTCTCGAAGCCTGCCATTGTGTTCAAAGCGGGCCACGCGCCAACATGGATTTCTTCGCCATCGAGTGTGAGTGCTTGTCGCGCAAGGGGCATCGTATTTTCCCAGCAGCATAAGCCGCCGATCTTGAAGTCGCCAAGCGAATCATAAGTTCGCAAAGTGTGTCCTCCGCCTTGGGCCCAGACCATGCGCTCCACGTATGTCGGTTGTAATTTGCGATGTACTCCCTTGATATCGCCTTTAGCATCGATGTATACTTGGCTGTTGAAAAGCGTGTATCCATTAGGAACGCGCTCAGAGATGCCCAGACAGATAGATATCTCCGCTTCACGGCAAGCTGCCTGCACCTCGTGGAGGTCGTCTTTCACAACCACACTCTGCTCTCCATAGGCAACGAGCGCACCAACCTGTTTTATCGGCGGATAGCACTCGATAAAGTAAGGGTAGCCTGGGACGAATGTCTCTGGAAACGCGAGAAGTTTGATATCTTGCGCTTTGGCGTACTTTATGAGCTGAACTACCTTGGTGAGGGTAGCAGCCTTATCCATAAACACCGGAGCGGCGTGGACAGCTGCAGCTTGGACTTTGCGTGCCATGTTCACTGCGCAGCTGAGAAACGAAGAGAGTTATTCAATTAAGTAGCTACCTAGTTTTGGATCTTGTTAGAAAGAACGTGGAAAATGTGGGAATCAAATAGGGAAGGGTACTTGAACCCCCACTTTCACTGAAGCACCTAATAGGTATAACCCGCCGGCACAGCTTGTCGTACAAATGTATATTTTTGGCACTAGGGGCCTAGTAGAGTGCGATCTCGAGCTGCTGAAGATGCTTGATTGAAGGAGACTTAACTAGGAGCTGGAGCTGGAGGCTTCGGCGAGCTACCTACCTAGGTAATCCATGTGTAACTGGCTAACCCAATGCGGAAGATGAAGGGAACCCCCGGGGCCGTCCCGACGTTACTTATTAATCGCGATTTGACAGCATCTAGCTAACTAATATTGAAACAGGAAGCTCCATTTAAGATCTACATTCATCACGACGCCGTAGAAAGGAATCTTGACCAATGCCTGAGGAAACATCCATATGGGAAAAAATGCATAGCGGCAGAGGAAAGGGTAATGATGCAGAGATCTTTTTGGCATCTAGCTTCATTCTACGGAAGTGTCGTCTAGGATGATGGATGAAGTATGGATACTGCTGTCTTGGAAGGGCGGACTATTTTTGGAGTCGGAGATAGGAAAGATACTCTATCATTACCAAACCATCTGGCCCGCTCTCTTTGCCACCCTTTGCAAAGCTCGAAAGCGTTCTGAGTCGCGGCCATGTGAAAGCAGACAAGATACGGACTTTCAAGTTTTACTACTGTATAGCCATCACTCAATTCATTTCCTTCCCATAGCACGCTCAATCTCCGTTAATGCAGCGATCACCTTTTCGTCATAGTGTCTTCGCCCAATGATTTGCAGACTGACTGGCGCATCCTTGTACTTTTCGGGCGTGTACATATCGTAAACGAATTGATCTTCTGCGTTTTTCGGTTTGTAATCCAAGTCCTTCTTGTCTTTCTCAGGATCGACCGTTGTGACAGGGAATACGGCGCCGGGATAATCCAATAGATTCCAGTTGGAGGTGTATCCCCAATAACGCGATTGTTCATGCGGGGTTGCTGCGCCAAACGAAGGTGGACATAGGATCACGTCGACCTCCTTTCCATCTGCCTTGCCGGTGTTAGTCCAGTGTTTGGCATATGCTTCTCGATAAGCATCTCTCTCAGCGCAGAGCTATGTAGTCCTCGATTAGCTTACTGCGTTTATGCACAGGGGATGTATCATGACGTACCTTCCATAGCCCGTGTTGATCCAGCTTCTTCACCGATGGTTGTTCATGAATGATGAATTTCGTGAGCGGAAGGATTGGTTCACCACCCTCCTCTAGAAGACCCAAGACTTCCTCTCCACCGTCGGGCCAGTACAGCGCTGCTGTAATCTCCCAGCCCCTTCGATGATTCAATGATTCGCAGTCCCAGTCAACTACCTCCATTCCTGCAGCCTTGCATGCCTCCGAGACCTCCTTGAGGGCTCGGATCATAGGAGGGTGAGGCATCACGACACCATCCCACCATTGTACTGCGATCTTAAGCGGTCTGGTGAATTTATATGGCGTCCACTCCTTGGCTGTCAAAGACGGGTCCAGACGCCAGGGCTTCACAGACAGAGCGACTTTCATAAACAGCTCGAGTGCCTCGCGGTCTGTTGTCATGGGTCCCAGCGTCGAGAAAATTGTCTCTTTTCCGATCATGTGGGTTCGTTGACCACCAGACGGTACACGCTTAACGGTTGGCCAACGGGACTATTAGCATTATGCATAAATCATCTCCTTCAGATTAACATACTTGAACCCATAGATACCAGTATGCGCAGCTGGACAGCGAATACTCCCCCCGATATCTCCGCCAACGCCCTATAATATTCAGCCACAGCTCGGTAGAAAGATAGTATTATACATACTAAGACACTTCCACGCATCCCAATCAAAGCCGCCTCGCCTCCACTGCTTCCACCGCACGTCAAATCTCGGTTATAAGGGTTAACCGTCCGCCCGTATATATTGCTGCTGGTCTCTAAGTGCATGATCGTCTGTGGCTGAGTGGTGCGAGCAAAGAAGACACAACCAGCATCCCAGAGGGTATCATAGAGTAATATGGAACCTTGTGGCTTGCCGATCCACGCAACATAAGAGGCATTAGCGGTTCCATTTGGTGACTTGGTGCCGTGATGTTCTTTCGTAGAGATGGGTAATCCATGGAGTGGCCCGACAGGCTCTGGCAAGGAGTCAAGATAGCGAGCTCGTTCGATCGCCTCGTCCCAAAGCAACTCTGTAAGGCAGTTCGTCTAGGGAAGTCAGAAAACCAAGCCCTCGAATTCTCGCAGTCATAAGAAATACTTACAGCGAAGTGTGCCAGTGCTGCCCGCCGCAGGAAAGCTCTCGTGACCTCCTCAGCGGAAAGTTCTCTACTATGCAGTTTGGCTAGAAGTTCCGTGACCGAATACTTTTCTGTGATCTCTATCTCTTTGGAAGTTAGGATTGCTTTTGGTAGCTCCTGGGAGTTGAGAGGCAAGGTGTCCGGTAAGCCCTGAAGAGGGGGCTCGACTCGAGCCACCGACTCATCCCGTTTCGTCCTCGCGATAGAGGCTTTCGCTTCCCAGGGTTGGATTGTCATTTCTATCAAAGCAATTCGAGCTTTCTCTCTGTGTCCTGATTCTGCAAAAGTACTGTTGGGAGAGTCACGCAGCTATTCGTCTTTTCGCCTACACCAAACCATCTTCCAGAGAGGACAGAAAGAACGCCTAATATATCCCCCGCAGATATCCTTACTCCTGGCACTAAGTTGGTGTTATCGCGTGGAAAGCTTATCGGTCATACCGACAAGCGGGGTAATCAGCTGGTGTTCCGATAGGAATGTAAGAGAGACTCTGGAGTCTGATCACCGGACAGCAGCGTAACTGCTCAAACGCGAATTCCTGACCAAGATTTAATGTATCTACTATGCAAGTGACAGCTCACGAAGGAACTATTAAAAGCTTCAACCTCTACACTGAAGAACTAAACGTATTATGGATTCTGTCTTGCTATGGCGAACTGACTAGACTGAGATTCCTTATAGTCAATTAATCCAGCTAACAGGAAACAAAAATAGATACAGATAAAAGCCAAGATCACCATATTCTCTCTGACTGGGCAGGAAGCATCACTTCAGCATATATCCAGTTATTCAGCTCTCCTCCTACCTAGTCCATCGCCTTCCAGTCCAGGAAGTCTGGTGTCTTCATTATCTGCTCTATCAGCGCGCACGGCATGCCTTCTGGTTCTCCTCTTCCTCCTCCTCTAAGTCCTCCTATATCTTTACTCACTCTATACCTTTTATTTTAATTAGTATTTCTCTTTTATTAAAGGGTTTCTTCGAAATCTTATCCGGAGTCGTCAGCTTAATAATCTCCAGAATCAACTAGGTCATGTTGTCCATGAAGAAATACCGTCGAAGGAAGGAAATGAAGATAGACGCCAGAGAACCTCAGTTAACTCGCTGAAGAGAATGAGCAACGGACCCAAGCAGGACCTTAGAGGCATTTTAGGAACGGGCTTCCGCCCAGGATGAACGAAACACTGTGCGACTGTCGAGAACTCTTTCGAGTTCGACTTCCAGACCAACAAGGAGTTGAAGCTAGGAATATGAATATTGAGGGGAGATATGATTGCAACAACCCCGGGTCGATGAACAACCTTTGGAAGGCGATGAGACTAAGTATGTCACGAGTACGTTAATGAGCGGCAGTACAACAACGGTAGCTAAGTATACAGATTCACAACGCAAACACTTCGTTCGAAGGCCATTGTGGAATCTTCAGCATTGAAGTTCTTTGTTTCATTTATACTTGTTTTTATTCATTTATCCTGAGCGTCAACCATAACTAGAATCTTGCGAAGCTTACATAAGAGCCGCCTATCCGAGAGGGGATTTTGGAACACTTTGCGGGGGCCAGCTCAGAAAGCCGGAGTTTGCCGGAGTAGCTTGGTAACTCGAAGATTTATAATGACGATTGCTTCTATTAGGAATCCTAACGCTGCACAGGTGATTTGTGATGATGATCAGCCTTCTGGGTGGGCATTTGGTCGGTTTGTCATGGAATCTTTGGTCGACGGGGGAATAATTCACCCGCAGCAAAGATCTTCGATCAGATTGTTTTCGCTTTTGAAACGTTCGACATTACCAGCTGTCTGTCACGCTACCAGTGCTGGGGTCATAACGTCAAGACATCAGCCTGGGGGGAGTCAAATAGTAAGAGATTGCGATGCGCCCTTTTATTATTGCTAATGTGCATTATTCTCGAAGCTTCATCATCTGAAACTCTCCGAAAGCAAATGTCCGCACGGAGGAACTTTGTGGTAAATGGAAGAGCTCGGGCACATTTATCAGCAAAGCCCCGCGAGCCAAATTAGTGTCCGTTGAGCTAGATTGCATGTTGTTACTTTATTTTGCGGTGCGGGATGCTCCCCAAGGTGATGATATGACGCCGGATTGGTAACGCTGCCGTCACTACAGTCCCACCATGTGCCCCGCGCACGCATATAAAGCCCTTCGATGCCGACAGGGCCCATTTCAACTGGAAAAAAGTGAATTGATTCTGTTGAAATTATTATACTGTCAGTGAGCAGATACTACTACAATGGCACCAACAACACAGAAAGTCTGGACCGTTGCCGGCAAGACCAAGGGTTTTGCTGAGCTCAGCCTCAAGGAGGCAGAGGTCCCCAAGGTCGGCGACTACGAGGTTCTGGTGAAGCTGGAGGGTGCTTCCCTGAACTACAGAGATCTCATCATCCCCCAGGTAAGCCGTCGGATTGTTTGCCCTCTTTTTTTCTTTTTACCCCGTGCCGTTTCAACCAGTATTGACCACTATATCTATTGTAGGGAAAATACCCCTTCCCGCTTGACCTCCCTGTTGTTCCTGGCTCCGACGGTGCAGGCACAGTTGTCGAGGTCGGTTCCAAGGTCACACGATTCCAGAAGGGCGACAAGGTCGTCACTCTATTCAACCAGGGACACCTCTACGGCCCTATTGACACCCATGGCTCCAAGACCGGTCTGGGAGGTGTCTACGATGGAACCCTGCGCCAGTACGGTGCCTTCAACGAGCAGGGTCTTTCTCTCGCTCCTAAGAACCTCAACGCTGTTGAGTCAGCCACTCTGACTTGCGCTGGTCTCACTGCCTGGAACGCCCTGTACGGTCTGAAGCCACTGAAGCCCGGCCAGACTGTCCTGGTGCAGGGAACTGGTGGTGTGAGCATGTTCGGTCTCCAGGTATGACATGGAACCTTAATCACTGTGCCTGTGAACTACATACTAACAATTGCTTTCCTCCATAGTTCGCCAAGGCTGCTGGTGCCACCGTTATTGCTACCACCTCCTCCCCTGAAAAGGAAGCGTTCCTGAAGAAGCTTGGAGCCGACCATGTCCTCAACTACAAGAAGGACCCCAAGTGGGGTGAGACGGCCCGCAAGCTGACCCCTCACGGAGAGGGTGTCGATCACGTTCTGGAAGTCGGTGGACCCGGCACTCTGGAGCAGAGTATCAAGGCCATCAAGTTCGAGGGCATTATCAGTATCATCGGCTTCCTCGGTGCCGGTGACCCCAAGGGCCAGCCCCAGATTCTGGATGCCCTGAGCAACATCTGCACCATCCGTGGAGTGTACGTCGGTGGCCGTGACCTGTTCGAGGATATGATCCGCGCTATTGAGATCAACAACATCCACCCCATTGTCGACAAGGAGATCTTCTCTCTGGAGAAGGCCAAGGAGGCATACGAGTACCAGGTAAGAATATTATGACTTCCATATCGATCAGGTGGTGGCGTACTGACATCTTCTGCTACAGTGGGCCCAGAAGCACCTCGGAAAGGTTGGCATCAAGATCGAGTAAGGGACGAATCGGTTAGGTTTCAGTGTTACTCGACACCGACGGCTCTTACGCGGTGGCTATAATGATGATGGAATTTAATGAAAACGTACATCCAAGAGCCCAATAGCTATGAATGAATTCAATGTCAAGCACGATCTTGCCGGAACACGTTTTACGTTTCAATGTGGGATCTGTTATCCCGCAGTTCTCGATACGTAGTCAACAAAAAGAAAAGTACAATATCCTGGAGCTATTTATTGCTGGTATCTCCAACCTTATCTGGTCTATTGATAGCTCTCCCTGAAGGTCGTCGCCATCCGCAGACAAGCTGTGGCCACAGGCGCCAATCACCCACTTCCCCGCTCATGTCACCGCCGAGCCGCTCCACCACAGCAACAACAGCTCATCTTGCATCATGGGTGGCGGTAGTATTTTATCCTCTACACACATCGCATGCAGAAAAGCTGTGTACATTCAGTCAATCAACACAATAAGTGCCTTGGTAGTGTAATTCCGAACCTTTCCTTGCTTCTCTGCTTGAGACCATCTATTGGTCCAAGCCCTTCAGACATGTCTGCTGTACCGACCAGACCTGCTCCTGCGCTATCGACCTCTGGAGCTCGAAAGCCGCAGAAAGCCTCGCAGGTTAGATTCGTGCGGCCAGCCCAAATGAGCTTGTTCGCGCAAGTGACTTCGTACCCTCCGCTGGGCCAGGTGACCTGTGTACCGCGGCTACAGAAGACATTAAAGTCTGAAGATGATGACAAGGTGAGAGTTTCCAGGACCTGGTGAGGGGTAATGTCCTCCGTTAGAGAAGATCGGTAGATATTCACTTGATTTGTATCATCTGATTACGTTGAGTCTGTATATCAGACTCTACATATTGAACTCTTACCTCTAATCTTCATACCTTACTTTATCCCTTCCTGGTTCCTAACCTGTTCAGTGGACGAGATCTATGCATTAGACAGAATTCTTACTAACTTCACACAGCTTCAATTCACTGTGATCTTGGAATCCAGCAAGACATTCCCTGAACAGTCGTGGGAAGCTCAGATTTGGCACAACATCACGGACCCGAATTGGACTGCGCTTCCGTTGAAGAGATCCTTCGATCATTCTATCCCTTTGATGACAGGTAACGCGGAAGAAACATATTATCGATACACTTTCTCGGAATCGATCAGTCTTCACGAAAATGGAGGATATGCCAAATTTACAGTGCGATACAGAACCGGTCCTGACGCGCAGTGGCAGTGGGCCAATCAAAGGTATCCTGTAAACGATGGGGAGATAGTGTTTCCTCCTAGGAAGTCCAAATATGACGGTCCATCTACGTCTGAGATATCGCCGATGGAGGCCAAGCAAGAGCTCAGTCAGTACATCGATGGCCTCGCGAGCGAACTAGAGATCGAGTCACGCAAAAGCGAGGCTCCCGGCTCGGCCCTCTGGGATATTTCCGGAAAAACTGACGCGGCAAAGGAGAATGAGTCTGGGATTACGAAGATCGTTCTAGGGAAACCCTCTGCACTTTTGCGAAACTTCTCGCTGGTGCGTGTCTGGAGCCCGTGGCTAGCTCCTCGACATGGCAAGAAGGAATTCCGACTAACCGAGGATGCGATACTCTGCTCGTTCCTGCGGAGTGATGGATTGCATCTAGTATTTCTCGCGATTTCTGGCACTAATGATGTCTTAACGGTATTCCAGTCCAGTGACAAGGGGGAGGTGGTCATCCAGGCTCGAAATGATAACCGGGAGCCGGCGAAATTCCAAGTTCTCGCCTCGGTCGCTGAGAATTTCGAGGTAGCAATGAGTGCAGTTATATATGAAGCACGAAAAATTGTCAGGTCTCCAGGTTCAAACTCTACCTCATCGCCACCCCCGTCACGACATTCCCATCCTGATTCACCCCTTGGGTCCGACATCGTGATGGTCGAAAAAGATCCGAAGGCGCAGTGGCTATCCAATTGGTACGACGGCCTCACCTACTGCACGTGGAACGCTCTGGGTCAGGACCTGACGGAGGAGAAGATCGTCAATGCTCTGAACACCCTTAAGAGTCGTGGTATCAACATTTCCAACCTCATCATAGATGACAATTGGCAAGCGTTGGATAATGAAGGCCAGAGCCAATTCAAACGTGGCTGGAAAAACTTCGATGCGAACCCCAAAGGCTTCCCCAATGGCTTGAGACATGCTGTCGAAGCTATCAAACGCAATCACCCGAGCATTGAACACATTGCTGTCTGGCACGCCCTTCTAGGATACTGGGGCGGAATATCACCTGATGGGGAGCTTGCAAAGGAGTACAAGACCAAGGAAGTTAAAATAAAAGACCCAGTAGCTGGTGGGACTATACTCGCCATCGATCCAGATGATGTATCGCGGTTCTATGGAGAATTTTATTCATATCTCGAGTCTGTCGGGATCAACTCCGTCAAGGCAGATGCACAGTTCTTCCTTGATCTCCTTGAAGATCCAGATGACAGAAAGCGATTCATTACCGCCTATCAAGATGCATGGTCCATCGCTTCGCTGAGATATTTCAGCAGTAGAGCCATCTCGTGCATGTCAATGACTCCTCAGCTAATCTTCCATTCTCAGATGCCAACCAACAAGCCCAGCATCCTTCTGCGGAACTCAGATGATTTCTTCCCTGACGTCCCAGCATCTCACCCCTGGCATGTTTTCTGCAATGCGCACAATACGCTTCTGACTCGACACTTGAACGTGGTCCCCGATTGGGATATGTTCCAAACCAGCCACCCTTATGCTTCTTTCCATGCGGCTTCTCGATGTGTTTCAGGTGGTCCTATCTATATTACCGATGAGCCAGGAAAACATGATGTCGAGCTTATAAAGCAGATAAGCGCGCCCACTATACGTGGTAATACCGTCATCCTTCGCCCTAGTCTTGTTGGACGCACGTTAGACGCATACCACGATTATAACGAGGGAAATGTTCTCAGAATCGGAACCTATACAGGTTGGGCCATGACAGGCAGCGGGATACTGGGTCTTTTCAATATCAGTCCCTCTGATGCATCGACTATTGTTCCGCTCATTGACTTCCCAGGAATCCACGCTGATTCGCGTGGAAAGTACATCGTTCGCGCCCATACGACTGGGAGAGTCACAGACATGATGCAGCCCTTGGCACAAGATTCTCTGGTCGCTGTTACCCTAGAGCAAAAAGGCTGGGAAATACTCACAGCATATCCAACTCGCTCTTTTACCTTGAGTGGAAGTCGAGGCTGTGACTCTGTGAGTGACGGTGTAACGCATGTGGCTATTCTGGGCCTGCTAGACAAGATGACTGGTGTTGCTGCCATAGTCAGCTCGGATATCTTCATCGTTGAGAACGGTCGACTCCGCTTTGACATCAATCTGAAAGCCCTCGGTACACTGGGTATTTATATAAGTGACCTGCCAAACCGAAACGTAGACAAGAACTTCATGGTGCTCGTGTTTGGTCAGGCTGTCCCCAGAAAGACGGTCTGGAAAGACAGTGGAGATGGCTCCACTGTTCTTGCAATTGACGTCCTATCTGCGTGGAAGTCCATGGGCTTGGACCCTGGCTGGAGTAACGAGATCGTCGTTCAGATCTATGTTAGCTAAGTAGATGTTAGAGATCCAGGCAGACCAACAAGGAGTTCTCCTTTTTGGTCGACTGGCAGAAAGCCATCAGTAGACTTTAGGTAACTACGCTCATCATTAGCAGTATACATGAAAATGACATAATGACTTCAATGCTAGCAATTTCGGTACCAGTTAGAGTAGGAATAATCTGATACCAGGATGCTACGCTGGACCAAAGCCGGTCTAAGTACATTATGCTGTTGGATCGCGACTGCATATTTAATCGTAGACCCTTGCTTGCGAACCATATACTCGACATTCATGGATTCGCACAAGGAGATTTGTTAATAGAAAGTGAGTTGTTTCAAGTAGAAAGTGATTATGACCGTAAGGCATTGACGCACGACATAAAATACTAAATCAAGATAGAATTGCAAAAAAGGTCGACATCTAGTTCTCTCTAGACTATGGTAAAGGTTGTCTGGGACGTTACAGTGGTAACTATCTTATCGGGGCACTCGATGCACGGACCAACAAGTCTCACTCCATCCGCATTATCGATATTCCGTCCAGAAAAAGTATCCAAACTCCGAGGCTTCCCCGGTATATTTATTGTATCGAACAGGTTGAGACTAAAGCTTTCTTTACGGTTTTACTCATCATTTGGTTTCCTAATCACCTCAAGTACCTACCTCAGTCGCAGCCTTCCTTCAATTTGGCCCAATGTGGCCACCACGTTCGACTCTCGCGCGCGCGACTCGTCTCCGCAACCTCCCAACCGCAACAGCTCTCACACCGCGACTATGTCGTCGATCTAAGTACACATTTGCCGCAGACGCCATGCGGCTGCGATCTTTGAACTCTTCATCACATCGACCTACATCAGACCAATCCTGGCGACAATGTGCGCGCGCAGTGCAGACACGATGGATCACCGAGGCGTATATCCAGAGACAGAAGGATATGGAGAAACAATGGGCGGAGTATGCGGAGGAGATCCGGGCAGGAAAGAGGAAAAGTTTTGTGGATGTGTTGGAGGAGAGAGAGCTGTTACATGATGTTGTTGGGTGAGTGGGTTCGCAAGGAAAAATGTTGCTTCCTCGCGGGTGTTTTGCGGCTTGAGAAGACTGGTTGGTTTCGTTGCTGGAATGGAAGAGCTAATTGGTTCTTGTTTTACGGTGTTATAGTGAACGCGATGTTCTGAAGAAGCTTTTCATTGAGAAGAGAGTTGGATTGTATGCTGGTGTCGACCCTACGGCGCCTTCGTTGCATGTTGGTCATATGTTGCCTTTCATGGTGTTGGCTTGGGCATACGTACATGGTTTGCCGGTTCATTTTCTGGTAAGTACTACAGGAATTGTCTGAGTGCATTAATTATCCGCTTGTCGAAGGGACCTGTCTGACAATTTACAGCTCGGTGGCGCAACGTCGAGAATCGGCGACCCGACAGGAAGATTACAAGGCCGCGAGGCCCAGCAAAATTCTGTCCGCAAGGCCAATATGGCCAATATGCACATGCAGCTGAAGAAGCTTGGTGCTAGCATCGAGAAGTATGGTATCCGGCATGGACATGAAAAGCAGCAGTACGTGTGGAAACGGGCATTGGTTAACAACAATACTTGGTGGCACAAAATATCCTTCTATGAAGTCCTACGAGATCTGGGTCAGCATATAAGGTTGGGTCCCATGTTGGGACGGGATACGGTGAAGACGCGTTTGACAAAGGGCGACGGAATGTCCTTTGCTGAGTTCAGTTACCCGCTAATGCAGGCGTGGGACTGGTGGACGCTATTCAAGAAGGGAGTCCAAGTCCAGGTCGGCGGTGCTGATCAATATGGGAATATCTTGTTCGGTATGGATGCCGTCAAGGCGATCAGTAAAAACACGGCTATTGAGATCGAACGGAAATCGCTGGACGATGATATGGAGAAGCCTATCGGTCTGACCACGCCACTGTTAACCACATCCTCTGGCGCGAAATTCGGAAAGTCTGCAGGCAATGCAATTTGGCTTGATAAGGACATGACGACGACCTTTGAGCTCTACCAGGTTCGTGGCACCGGACTAATTTTTATTGGCCAATGCTAACATATTCTAGTTCTTCGTGAGAACTGCTGATGCCGATGTTGAACGTTACCTGAAGATGTTTACCTTTGTACCGATCCCCGAAATCCAGAAGATCATGGAAGAGCACGTCAAAGAACCATCCAGACGTGTGGCCCAACATAGACTCGCCCGCGAATTCGTCGAACTCATCCACGGTGAAGAAGATGCGGACGCCACAGTTCAACAGCATCGTCAACTCTTTGGATCACAGTCCTCTCCTCCAGGGCCTGTTACCGAACCCGCTTTGAAAATCGACCCATCCGTTCTTGAAACAGGGGCAACTCGTTCCCCATCGGCCGGATTTGACAACATGCAATCTGGAAATAAACATGCCCCTCAAACACATTTCGGCAACATGCCCGCACCCCGTATCACCCTCCCCCGCTCTCTCGTGTACAACCAACCCTTAAATAGAGTCCTCTGGTCTGCAGGCCTGGTCTCATCGAAGAGTGAAGGCCAGCGCATTATCGCCAACAAGGGTGCCTATGTGGGCAGCCGCGCTGGCGACACCGGTGAAATGTCCGACGACCTTTCCTTCACACCCATCAAGACTTGGCCAGCAGAGAAAACGCAGGAGTTCATTATCGGCGGCGATCTGCTGATCCTGAAGCTAGGCAAGTGGAAATTCAAGATGGTCCAGATCATCAGTGATGAAGAATTCCGCGAACGCGGCTTCACCGCACGAGGCTGGCAGGAAGTGGAGCAAGAAGCGCAGGATCAAGCGAAGAAGGAGGAAAGAGAGGCGCGAAAAGAGGCTCGCGCAGGAAAGCCAGAGACTATCATTGAGTCTTCTGGCGCTGAAGTGTCTGAAACTAAATGAACAATAGAGGTCGGTTTCTCCTCTCTGGCAATTGGGACGGTGATGTATTATAAGATGTAATCTTCAGCGTGTGATGTATGTATATATTGTACCATATAGATTTATGAAATGAGCGGAATTATTATGCTGTCCCACGTCCTCTTTTCCTCTACCCAAACACTGTTAAATAGAGTTGAGTGGGCCTGGATGCAGAAGACTCTTTAGCAGCCTTTTAGCAAAGTTCAATTCCCAAACTACTTTTAAGCCGACGAGCGCCACTCCAGTACCTAGCGCCTTAGTAGAACGACTAGTTCCGATCCTAGGAGTTGATCCCTCGTTGTACATTTCTTTCTTTCTTTCTTTCTCCATTATCAGATCTGGGATTGCAACGTTGCTCCATGGCACAGAATGAGTGCTAGAGTTGGCCCCTACACTGCCAAGGCCTCGCGACGATCTCATCACAAGTCCCGTCTTGGGTGCCAGAACTGCAAAAGACGCAGGATCAAGGTTAGATGCTTGCGTTGTCGATGATGGAAATACCGTACTCACTTCAAATATAGTGTGATGAAGCGAAGCCCAATTGCGGTAACTGCCTGCGTCACTCCATCGAATGTGATTACAACTCAAGTTCAGAGAGCTCTTCCACCGTCTCACCCACAAATGAGACGACCTCCCTTGCAGAGGCTCCCAAACCGTATGACGATTACACCTTTATCTCTTCATCTCAAGCCAACTTTACTCCTCCAAAGAGAGCGCATAGTTCACGACCACCGTTATCACAACAACATGATGAGCAAAGCTCTCACTTACATCAAGCTGTGGCCAACAAGCAGTTCCAGTTCACAGCCACTGACATGGTGCTCTTTCACCATTTCATAACCTCGAAGGACTTGGGCGGCTCGCGGCCCCATGTGCAGAACCAGCTTTCTCAGCTGGGATTTTCGTTCCATTACGTTCTGCGCCTTCTTCTCGCCTTTTCCGGCTTTCACTTGGCACGCTATTCGACGAATGATTCATCACCAGGCTCGAGCGCTGACTTCTACGCTGCAGCTGAACGGCACTATGAGACTGCCGTGCGCGAGGTCGCGGCCGCAATTCCACTTCTAGACGCGACCAACAGTCCCGCACTTTATACATCGTCAATATTCGTATTTATTTGCTCTCTTGCAAAGGGGCCTCGCCCTGGGGAATACCTAGCCTACTGTGACGATGGCAACCCAGGATGTTTGTCACTATTCATGGGTCTGCGGTCAATTTTGGAAAGATGCAAATCGACCCTCTCAGTCGATTTCTCTTCCATCCACGGCGCTAATGAACAAGATGAGACGCTCCAGCCAGAGGGACCTCCTTTCCATCCTGAAGAACCGGTCTCGCATGCATATAGAGACAGTCTGGCTGAACTTCGACATCTTATATCCGCCACTTTCCCAGACAACAGTCTCGAGTACACTGACTACTCCCAGGTCCTGGATATGCTTTGTTACACCTACGAATTCGTATTTGGTGATGATCCCCGACCGACGGAGCCGCAACTGTGGCCCCAAATTTTTGGCTGGTTGTATACACTACCGGATCTCTTTGTGATGGATGCGCAAAATCGGAGGCCGGCTGCTTTGGTAATGTTTGCCTTTTTTGCCGTGTTGCTAAAACAACTGGATCCAGCCTGGTTCATCCGTCAATGGCCTGAACATATCATGAGTGGCATTTTTCGTGACCTTGATGAATTTCATCAAGAATATGTTCGGTGGCCTATGGAACAACTCGGACGACTGTCTAACAATCTACATCTATCGGAGACTGATAGCCCTGGATGTAAGGCTATTTCGTCATCATTATTGAGGAATTAGTGTTCTTTCGCTATTATTTATTACAAATCTGTCCTATATAATACACTGTAATAACAAAAAAACTGTGACAATTTTGTTCGAGTGGTTTGATCAACAAAGCGGAAGTCCGGTCCGGGGCCGAGATAGACGCTGGTTTGGTGCATGAAACAATATTATGCACACCCATTCGTTGCAGGAGATTTACCTCGATGATCACCCCAAACCAGGCTCTAATGGACACACTGCCAAGTTCCGTTGTGCGAGCCATTTCCACCTCGGCTAGTTGCCTTGGCTGGATACGGGCACAGAATTCGGTCTTGCTCTACTCCACCAGTCCCGTTGACCTGCACTGGGAGAAACTCGGGTGCAGTACCGTTTTCTACCCATGTCCTCAACGCATCAAACAGAGTTGTCGGTTGTCCACCTCTGCCACCAGAACAATGGGCCAAGCCCGGAGACGGGAAGTATCGATAGAAGTCTTGTACTTCAGGTATTATTTTTGAGACCTCTCGATAATAATGCTCCGTGCCCTTTGTTGGAATACTGGGATCGGCCTTTTGGGCCCGTCAGCGAAGGAATCAGATGAGAAAAGCTTGTGTCCGTGACTTACCAGGCCATGGTATGTAAGGAGCTTTCCTCCAGCGTTCTTGAATTCGGTGAGATCAGGGTCATTGGCGGCTATCACGTCAGTGTATTCCTGGACCGCAAGATGGAAAAGCCAGTCATATTCCTCATGACTCGAATTGATGATGTCGAAGCTTTGATTCTTGGCCACAAACAAGTTGAACCATTCGTCCTGGCTACTCGTGCTGTTTTGACCTGGTGCAACACCAAACGCACTGATGTCCGCCCCTGGGTTTACTCCATACCATAGGAACTCTCCTGAAATAGTCCGCGGCCCTGACCAAGCAGCTTTTGCGGTGATCGCTGCCGCTCTGCTGAGTCGCATGGTACTTCCAGTAGCGCTGCAAGAGAACGTCTTATTCACAGCAGTAAACGGGTCGAAGTCACACTTGTCCACGTCTGAGATAATACCATCCACAATGCCATCTAAGGGGTCACAGCGTTTCACAGCCTCGGCAGTAAGGAAATCCAGCTCACACGATAGCGGAGATGCTTCACCAGCCCAGGCAAGAGCAAGAAAAGGATAGTAGACCGCAGAAACGAACTCGGGCCACGATTGCCCTGGTGCTGATGCTGCAATTCCGTCGTACGCCTGCGGATATCGCTGTGCAAGCATGAGGCCTTGACGTCCACCCTGAGAGCAACCGCTCCAGTAGGAGTACAAGGGAGGGATGCCGTAAAAGCTTCGCACCAGATCCTTGGCGATAATAGCCTGGTCGTTCAGGGATCTATAGCCCAGGTTGTGAAGTGCCTCCAAGTTGACATTTCCGGGACTCTTCAAAGCCCATTCAGCTGGCTCTGATGCACTACCTAAACCTGCGTCGGTTGAGGTGGTCGCATATCCCTCTCCAATAGCTCCAGCCATGAAGAACTCTGACAGGACAAAGCGACCTGCCTGCCAGCCTCCTCCGCCTGTCGCTTGGAGGCGTTTGTTCCAGTTCCGTGGCAGCCATGTCTCCACTGTGATATGGTCATCATAACCAGGGTGGGTATAAGTGACAGTGACATTGCAAAAGTCCACATTTTGCACGGATTGATCCCCGTGGTTGTAGTTATAGGTGGCAGGCACATAGAGTGTGAAGTTGTTGACCCAAGAAGCGGAGAGGGAGAGGATTTCAGCGCCAAAGAGTGCCGGCGTGGCAATCGCAGATGGCGAACACGCAGCGGTAGGGGTAGTGTAAATCATAGTTCTCTAAAGGAGACAGCCAAAATGAAAAGATGATATTACAACAGGTGCTTGTTCTTTCGAGTTGCAGCATCGTTCGGCCACGCATATCGGAGTACTTATACTCCTGGCGGGACCTGCAATATTCACTTAGCATCTAGGGAGTCAGGGGCCAATCTAAACTAGCAGTAAAGAGTATGACTTCACGTACGAATGCGAATTGCCATGTTGATTCAAATGGATTATAGCGATGCCACTCATGGTTGTTTTAATCATGAAGGATCCACTAAAACAACCTTATTATTGGAAACGATCCACTGCTCTAACTCCACATCGGGTAAGCTACTTTCTACACGAACACGAACTTCCATTTTGGGTAAAGAAAATCCCGAAGACGGTGATCAGATGTATAGTCTGAAAATTTGTCTTCTCCATCGCATTCTTGTTTAGGATATGGGTCATCACTGAGAGATGACTATATAAGGACGGTCCCAATGGACCACACAATTGCACGCATACCTTCTTCAAATCTCCCCTTGCCAACCACCGAGTGTATACTGTCGATTCTACCACTTGCCGCGCCCCAAACTTGACAACGTTGCCTTGGATTGATCCAAAATGAGTGCAAATGAAAAGGTCTACCGTGCATACCCGAGCGGGCCACCAACGTATCAACAAGCCAATTCGGAAGAGTCGCGACAGATCACCCAGAATCCGGATTGGAATTATTCACTTTTGGAATGCTGCTCGCCATGTTCACTCTGTGAGTGCCTATATGCATCCTTCTTCTGCTTCTAGATCTCGCTAACTCGCTTAATTAAAGGCTTTATGAGTTCCTGTCTTCCTTGTCTTACCTTTGGCAAAACTCAGGCCAGGCTTCAGGATCCGACTCTACAGAACTATAGTAGCATTAACGCGGATGTAGGTTCCCTTGGAATGACACCATTTCATCTTCTCTTCTGCTGACGCTCAATGATCTTATAGTGCATGATTTTCGGTGCCCTATCCCTCGGATACCTCCAATGGATCATCCAGACAATTCGACGTGGCGAGATGCGAGAGAGGCTTGGAGTCAAGGGCTCCTGCTGCGGAGACTGCTGTGCCACATTCTGGTGCGGATGCTGTGCATTGGTACAGGAGGAGAAGGAGGTCGAGTTACGAACAAGGCCTGAGCTTACTGGTTACCAGCCTGCACCGCAGATGGCATACCCTTAGTATCTGGAGGAACGGTTGGTTATGGGGGAAGTAAGTATTAGGTCTCAGCATGGTCGGATAGTACACATTGTACTGCCTGTTATGTTTCTTTTCTGCCCGGTCACTTTTCAGATGCACTATGTCGATTTTCCTTTGTTAATGTCTATCTTTTCTATTTTCCTTTTTGTTTTCTATTCTTTCTTTCTCTTTCTTCTTTTTTCTCTGAATACTCAAGTGTACAGTTTCAGGATATACTCCCATGTATATAAGTGCCTTAGCAAATTATAGAGCCTCTTACTTATTATTCCAGTAAGATCTAGGTTTTATTATTTAGATCTGAAGGAAGAGGTGAGAAGCTTGCTTAATTACTAACTAGAGGGGGGGCGAATCTTATAGGTGCTCTCCTAGTGCTACACGACTAGACAAATTCTTACGCGAAAAAGAAGTAAAGTTCGTTGGTGAAGTCGAGGATTCGTCACACATCAAACATAACGATTCATTTCTTTCTGTTTATCCGCTTTATCTCAGCTACAGAAAATCCCAATTCCCCAATTGACCGTTTCCCCCGAAATCGGTGCATTTTCTCTATGGGAGAGGTGGCCAGACGGGGAACTTCACTGTAGATTTAATAGTACCGTAGCTTCGTCCTCTATCATCGACTTCCATATCCTCAAGACGAAACTTCCAGGCGCTGGCGACCTGCTGATTTGGTTCATATGAAGACTCCGACAGCCACCTAGCAGTAAAGGTCCCGGTAGATCGCTCACAGAAGAAGTCAAACGCGTTTTCAAAGGCAAAATCACCAAAAACTCTGATCCGGGATAGACGAGGCATCCGCTGCACTGCATAGCCTATTGAGACGAATAATCGGTGAAAGGCATCGAGATCCATCAACTGCCGTGTTAGCCAGCCATTTTCTGGATGACAGATTTCCATATCCCAATCATCAATTTCGTCGATCTCGGCCTGGCGTTCTGGGGTGTACTGGAAGAGCCATTTCCCTGTTTTATGGATTGACTTATTAGTAATTATCTGATTTAGCAGATGAATGTCTTCACATACCTGATGGCGTGACCCTCGGAACCAGCTCAAAGATCATAGTTTCAAGACGTGGCCAAATACAAGACGATATATCGGAAATTGGCTCCAAAGAACTGTTCAAGGGGCATAAAAAGTCAAGTGAGAGGGCAGTCTGTTCTATTCTCAGTTCCCGAAGACGGAAACTGAGGTCATGGAGATTGATAGACAAATGATCTATCCCAGAAGGCGGAAGGAGATTTAAAGCGGGCATCGTCTCTTTCCAATTCATCTCGGTCCCGTTCTTATAGTTAAATACTCGCAAGGAATGTGGCACCTTTTTGAGCCCCTCTGCTACAGCTGGAGTCGGGAAGCATGTCAGCTGGAAAAGAACAGGTAGTATTCGACTCAGAATTTCATACCTTGTCGTCTTTGCATCATAAAACCTTCATGGTCCGGTCGGACATATTCGTTCAGATCCAATTCCAATTTTGTGACTGTAGGGCAAGATGCAACGATCTGAAATGCCGTACCAGCCCAGATGCGGTGGTTTCTGTTGACACCATTCCTAAACGACTCGTTAAGAAACAGGAGCCGATCGATACATGTAATCTTTGGCAATATTGATGCATCATCATTCAGAGGAAAGCGGGCCCGGTACGGCCGCACAGAAACAGTACGGCCATTAGTGAAGTCCCAGTCGTAATCTCCAGCATCAGGATGCCCGTCAGTGCATGGTTCTTTACCCAACTCTCGTCCAAACAGACCGAGTTCCAACGCAACACGGTGGCTCCCGCTCCAAGAACTCAGCACCTCGAACAGGCCAATAATGCCCGACTTAAATGCTTCGTCATTGGCGTCTCGAATAGAGTTCTTATAGCTGTAATTTCCAGCTTTGATTATTGTCTTCCAGTCCTCAATAAGATATGGAACAACAATTCGGTATTTGATGTAACGGACCCAGCCCCGTCGCACGGTACCAGTGCCCGAAATCAGATGCGCGAACCGAGAAAGCGAGAGAGGCTTTTTTGTTTTCTTCTTCATAGTCCGACTGGCACTGCTGTACCAGTCGGGCATGGGCGGATAATAGAATTCCGTCCCCCAAAGTTCTCCTAATTCTTTGTGTACCTCTCGTACGTCGCTATGGGCTTCGCCATCTTCAACTTCCTCGCTGTAGACTGTCAGGTTCGAATAAATAAACGACTCAAATGCTGCCTGCCATTGACGGCATACAACAGTGTACTGAGCAAGTGGACAGTCATCAGAATGGAGACATTCTGCAATGAGAGATATGACTTCCAATGGCAGATTCCTAGTCATAGTGATTAGGAAGTAGCGAGCTCGTCACGAGCCTGAGCAGTGCACTGCGGAGAGAAAAGGGCTGGATCTTGGGGGGCCGGTTGCCGATGTCCAACATTATTATTATTATCTTGTCTATCTCGAGCAAGCACAGGCCCCTACTTAAGAACTTAGGCGGCGGGTCCTCGAAGCGAAGGTTTGTGCTGTGGGTCAAGTAATAATTCAGGAGAATGCAGTTATTTACCGAGTACTACATACCATGTTCATACTGTCTGTTATATTTCTTTTCAGCCTGGTCACTTTTCAGAAGCAATATGTCGATTCTCTTTATTGATATCTATCTTTTCTATTTTCCTTTCTATTTTTTTTTTTATTTTCCTTTCTATTTTCTATTCTTTCCTTTTCTTTCTTCTTTCTTTCTTCTTTCTTCTCTAAATATTTAAGTGTATGGTTTCAGTATATACTCCTGTATATATGAGCGCCTTTATAAATAATATAGTATCTTATTCTTTAGTCTGATTAAATTAAAGCTATATTATTTATCTCATCAGAACTCGCTACTAGATAGTCTATATATTCCTGCTAATCGATTTTGCATCCAGAGGAAGTAAGTAAATATCAATATATAACTAAAGCTAGTGAAAAAGAGAATATCATAATAATATTATCAGCCTTCTTTAGTTATTATGATAATATCCCTGGTAATAAGGATGCTAATTAGACAACCTCCTGGCCGCAATATAGGCGCTAGCATAATATCTGCCGTCATTTCTGGTTTCGCATAGCTGAGGAATTCTGCAAGCCAGACTCCCCTTGAATTATAACCTGGAAACTTTATTTTCTCGATAGGATCCTTATTATTCATGGATATAGGTCATAACTGGCATATATCGCTATCTGATCTTCCCTTGAGGCATTTTTGGTCCCGGATTGCAGCGTCTATCGTGATGAGTTGAGGTGGATGGCCAGGTGAATAGTTTTTAAGATTGCTTTTGGTGAAATGATCTAGACCTTTGGGACAAACAGATTGTGGTCTCTTACCCATATAATTTGTCATGCCCCAACACTCATGGATTTCTTAATCAAAGCGCGTTGTATTGATTAGGAAAAAAAAAAGACTACCTTTCCAATTGTTTACCTCCAACTACATTCAGCCATCGTAAATCACAGATGTCAGGGATGAGTTCTTACTGCTGTCGCCAATGGCTCTGCTTTACAGCAACATTTTGATACCCTTTTCGTTGCCGACCTCCTTCGCTGCAAGTAAAGCTGTTCCAAGCTTTCCGCCCTCCGCATCGATATCCGCGCCCCATTCCAGCAGAACATTTGTACAACACGTATAGCATGACCAGGGGCAAAGATTAAATTTTCCTATCGACGCTAGACAGAGTTCTGCCCAATTCTGCGCCATGACTACCATAAGCGGTGTGCCAACGCACTCATTCATAGCATTGACATTCGCACCGCATGATAGAAGGGACTCTGCCGCCATCGCATAGCCACGGAAAGCGGCTGCGTGAAGTGCTGTTCCATATTCACCTCCCTCAAGGTCGACATCTGCGCCCCAAGAGACAAGTCTCTTAACCCCTTCATCGTCATCGCTCTCTGCGGCGATATACAATAGCGTTTTCCCATTTTTGGGGTCCCTTGTGTCGGGGGACACACCTTGACCAAGGAAATAGGTGACCATGTCCTCAGATCTGGAAGGAAAACAATGTGGACTTAGACGGGAGCCAAGGGCAAGGCGGTCTGCGGGCTCCCACTTTTGTGAGTCAAGGATTAGCCGTACGCACGAAACCTGTCTGCGTCGGATGGCTCGTCCCAGTGCATACTCGAGGACATCAGAACTATGTCCAGCATGTAGTAGTAGCAAATTGACAATTTCCTCGTATCCTTTCTCGGAAGCAATAGCTAAAGGTTGTTTGTCGTCAACATTGTCGAAGAAAAGTGGAACATTGAAGCTCAGCAGTTCTTTGATCGTGGGTATTGAAACTTCATGGTGTCCCATAGCAGCAAGTATGGACTCTTTGATGTCTTCTTCAGTAGGTATGTACTTTGTACCCACATAATGAACCCTATCGACGTCAAGACTCCGCGAGGCCGATATTAATGCTGTGGAATAGTGTGAAGGATTTTTAAACAGATTGTATCCATGATGCTCAAGTTTCTTGAAAAGATCAGTAGTACCTCTTCGCGCAATGTACGGAAAGATATCCTCGATCTCGCCGTACAGATCATTACCGACTCCAGTATCAAGCAGGATCCTCAATACCTCCATCCAACTGTGAGAATCAGAGATGCCCTGAAATTTCTTGATTTTACTAATGACCACTCTCAAAAGATCATTTCCATCGTGATCGCGAACATTCACGTCGGCTCCATTCCGTAGCAAAGCCTCGATAACGGAATTCCTTCCGTTCTCAACAGCCAGTAGGAGGCTCTTCGGCCAGTTCTCAACAGTGAAGTACTTTAGGATATGCGCAACAAAACCTTGATGTCCTTCTGAACAGGCGAAGGTGAATGCACCGTCAAAATGCTCGGGGTTGAAGCCAGCGCGAATCCCTTCTTGGACCAGCATTGTTGTAATCTCTGTTGTATTGCGAGTGAGGCTTGTCTTCAACACGGCGGTAGACGTGCCCTGTATATATCCCCATGGACCATGCTGGAATAGCCGTCTTGCAATAGATACATGCCCCTGGAGACAAGCTGCAAACAGTGGGATGATATGATCACTGGGGAAGCCATAATAAACCATGCCGCGTAATTGACCTTTGAGGTAGACGTTTGCCCCGTTATCAAGAAGGATAGAAACGATAGATTCTTGTCCGTGAAAGGCCGCGAGATGTAGAGGGGTTGAAATAAAGGTTGTTTTAACAAAATATGAACTGTCTTTTGAATATGACTTCTCAAGGTTGTCATCAATTGGAATATCGCAGTTGCCGTCCACGTTGGCTCCTTGTCGCAACATAAAGGTCACCAGGTGTTGGTGACCGTTACCTGCGGCAAGACTCAGCGCAGTTCCAGTCCCCTTATCTACATCATCGACCCCTATCCCGTGACGGAGAAGCAGCTTGACTATGTCGATATAACCTTTTGCAGAGGCAGCTTGCAGCGCATTTCCGACCCCTTTCCCAGGCGCTCTCACATTGGCACCCTTATCAAGCAAGAACTGAACGATGTCAATATTTCCCGCATCGCAGGCAACTTGAAGGGCATTGCCGTTTTCGCCGCCTGTGTCTTCGATGTTTGCATTGCGGTCAATTAGGAACCTCACGGTTTCAAGGTGTCCTCGCTCAGAGAAAACCTGAAGGCATGACCCATAGTGAGACCCATAAATACCTGTCCAGTGCTTATCGATTTGAGCGCCTCGAGATAGTAGCACTTCTGCCACATCGAAGTGACCCCCCTCCAAGGCTGCTTGCAGTGGAGTCCCGAGTATCGCACGTTTAGCATTGACGTCGGCTCCATGGTCTAAGAGACTTTCCACTACAGCGCGGTGTCCCCAGAAAGCAGCAATCTGCAAGGCGGTATATGCGCCCCAGGCATCTATACGTGCCCCTTTTGCCAATAATTTATTTACCAAGGTAACGTTGCCTCGTCGTGCGGCGACCTCTAGCGGACCTAGGTCTGTCGGAATGTCGAGGTGTCCACTCCCAGCCCTTGATCCAGGGAGCGCCTTTTTCTTGGGCCGACAAGCCTTGCTCGGGAGGTCACTAATATTATCACGCCGCATGGAATACGACAGATATTTGAAACGATTTGAATCTTTATGTGGGTTCAGCTTGGCTCCGGCCGCGAGGAGCAGATCGACGATTTCCTGGTGGCCGGCATACACGGCAGCTTGCAGTGCATCCTGATAACGCCCGGACACACCACCCCGCTCACTGTGCAATGAAGCACCATGCTCGATCAACAGACGAACAGCCTGCTCATGTCCGTTAAAAGAAGCAGCTTGGAGCGTGTTACCAAAATGGCCACCAAAGCCGTCAACAGATGCGTTGTGAGCCAGCAGCAAGAGCATGATGTCCACATTCCCCAAAGAGGCAGCCGCCTGGAGTGCGTCGCCCAGCTCCTTATCCTTGACGTTGGGATCCAGACCCTTTTCGAGTAGGTATTTTGTGATATCGACATTGTTGGCTATAGCAGCAGCCCGCAAAGGAAAGCCGAATCGTCCACGACTGTCAAGGTTGGCGCCGGCATCGACGACAGCTTGGAGGAGGGTGAGTTTGCCACTGGCAATAGCTGCGGCCACGGCATTCCCAAAATACCCTTTCTCTTCGTTGATATCGCCGCAGACTTGTAGTAATCGCTTCACTTGTCTCGCCCTGCCACCAAAGAGAGCAACTTGGAAAGGGTCGGGCCGGATGTTTGGTTCGAAACTGGAGGCTTGATCACACAAAAGGTGCTCCACCATCTCAACGTTCCCTTTAAAACTGGCAATCTCTAGCGCATCATTAAACTGTTCTCGTGTGACGGGCTTGAATCCAGCATCAATCAAAATTTGAGCGACATGGTTATGACCGTTTGCTAGAGCGGCTTGGAGAGGACTTGAGTATTCACCCTTGTCGCCGGGAGAAAAGGACGCGCCGGAATCGAGCAAGACTTTCACAACTTCTGCATGGCCAGCAAAAGAAGCCGCTTGGAGTGCATTTCCATATTGTGATCCCAATGCATTTACAGCAGCCCCCAGACCTATCAGTTTCCGAACGACGTCTGCGTGGCCCCAGCGAGCAGCTAGGTAAAGACCGGAAGTGTTATGTTTATTTCTTTGGTTCACGTCAAGTGTCTCAATGACGCTAGAACAGTGAAGAACCTCAATTATACCAAAGCAACATGCTGTGAATAGGGCAGACGGCGGGGAGCTGAAGCATGCTTCCAACTTTCTCTCGAGCGACTTACTCCATCTGGGACCCTCTTCAATTGGTCGTTCGTCGAGAATCTCCAGCCAATCTTCGAAATGTTCCTCTTTGGTAAAAAACCTGGTGAGTGATGTCTTGATTGCTGCTCTTTGTGGTGAACCACTGAGCTGCTCCACATGAGCGGGCCAGTTCTGAGTAGCGTAGTTCAGAAAGTCATCATCCTCCCATCCGCCAGCGAGGTATGTGCCTAAGCATCTCTCAACCATCATTGCATTGGCATCTTGAATGGAGTAGCAATCCAAATTCTCAAGGAATCTGCACAGACCGGTCAGCTCTACCTGTCGTGTCTCCAGCTCATTGAAAGGACATACTCTCGGACAGTCAAGTGTACCAAGCGGAAAGTGTCTGCTTCGTTGTCTATTACAACTAGGTTGCAGCAGTAGTCAACGATTGATCTCGGTGATACTCTGGATGATGACTTAGATGGCCAGCTGACGGCAGCCACCAGTTCACAAATCGAGAGCTTTCTTCCTGCATATAGTAACCATTGGAGACATTGCACCGCCACCTGCCGGGAACTTTCGCTCATGGACTGGATTCGTCTGTGGATGGCTTCGTATGACGTGCTCAGGGCCGAAGGAAGAGAACCCAGAGCTTGACGAATACTGTCAATGTCCTTGATGCGGTCGGTATCCCCGATGTTTTCGATCTGGAGAGCAACCCAGAGAAACCTACAGTCATTAACATAAAACATTCATAAGATATGATGTTTCTCTCCCTGAAACTCACATTCCTTGTGCGCCTGTCACGAGTACATTGGTTATATCCTTCTCAAGCTGCTGCAGTGCCGCGGTCGTCTCGTCGTGCATAGTAGACCACCTCCTCATGAAGTTCTCAACCTGCCTCTTAACAAACCGCTTCAGATCTTTCTCATTCACTTGAGAAGTGACTTCTAAAACTTCCCCTTTACGGAAGTAGACAGCAAGATCTTCTTCATGCCGACTCGACACGAAAATTTTGACAACATCACGACACCTTTGTCGGATGTCCTCAAGGGCATTGAGAATGACTCCCCGCTGCTGGGAGCCACACTCATCCAATGCATCAATGATGATTGTGAATGGAGTTAGCCTGCCATGTTCACAAATGAGATCGACGCTTTCTTCCACCGTTAGCGGGGCCGGCCTTTCTCCGACATGGCTTGCTTCTTCTTGTCGCTTTTGATACATTTCCACGGATGGACGTCGTAAACTGGTTCCCTTTCTGCATAGAGATATCTGTTTGACTAGTGATCGGAGTATATCTCGGGGGTCGGTGCGCTCGGGCTCTGCAGGGTTCCGAGAACAAAAGAAGTGAGCTATCGGCGCTGGTTGGGATGTAGTATCGCCGCTTTCCCGATTGAGGCTTTGTATCACGATCGCGCTTTATCCAGTTAACCATAAAGATAATCACAGTAGAACTTTTTGGTATAGCAAACTAACGCAAGTTTTGTCTTTCCGCAGCCCGCTACACATATTGTTAGCTCAGAATGACCTGGTCTGTATCTATCGGCTTTAAGTAATACTTACGAATCCCGTTCAACCAAAATGTTTCGGAACTACTAGAATCTCTCCAACTCTTGAAGCATGGGCTTTCTAGCAGCCACTCACCCGAGTCAGGCAATAACGATGTACATGCCTCTCTGTAGTGTTGCTGCACGGGGACCGTGGAAAGCCACCGTAGAATCTCGTCTCTCTCATTCTCTAGTTTAATTTAGTAACGGTAGCCCAGTCCTGCTAGAGAAAGTACCTTTGAGAGCATCACGAAGCTCAGATACCTGATCAGACATCCTAAGTAGAGGCTGTTCAAGATCCAGTAGTGCACCCTTCAGTCGTGGCTGGATATTGTCAATGCCATCAGTGGCCGTGCTCACTGCCAGAAGCATTGTCGAAACCTTGCCCTGAATATCATCCATGTCTAACACAGATTCAGCGAATTGAGCCAGATTTGTTCCCGGATTGATATTCTTACTCTCGCTATCCACAAGCCCCTTCAGATTGAACACCTTCTGCTCCGCAGCCTGCATTTCCCTAACCGATTCTTGAAGGGACTGCGTTGATATCAAGTTGAGTACACGCTCTAATCACACATCGTTAACACCCCCTGTGAACTCATCAGTTTTCTGAGTTAACCTACTCATGCGCGACCCATCATGATGCTTCTTAGCCTTGCAAAGAAACCCCAGAATAATCGAATACAGCTTGACCATCTCCTTTTCCAAGACCATCCTGGCATCAGTCGCTCCACCACGCCGGAGAAACAGGGCCTCAACAATGCTGCAGCGGGCTATCAATTCCGTTGCCTTCTCTAACCCCTCAACAATAGCGCCAAAGGCCTCAAAAGCCGAAAAGCTCAATCGCAGCAAGAAACGCACCCCTGCCCACGGAAGCGCGGCGTGAACAGGGTCATATTGGACAGCGACATCAATAACTTCCATGAACTTTTTGACATACGAGGCGATCTTGGTACATAGGTCGCGGATGACGAGCTGTTTCCCGCCAACACTAATGGTTGTCCAAGTATCCCGCTTGCAGCGGTCGCGCTGCCTTTCCAGTGCTGACAGGATATCCTGGAGGATTCCTTTTGCATCTGGAGTGGAAGTGGATGATATCTTGAAGATCTGCTGGTCTCTTGGGGGGAGTGACGATAGGGCGCGAGACCAGAGTGATGGCGTTGGAGTTAAGGAGGTTGCCATAATGGGAGGCCGCGTTCTTCGATCGAAATCTGTAGCTTGTCCAGCTTCGTGATATATACTCTCGACTCATGTTATTGTGAAAAATGCCAACGGATGTCACTCCAGTCAATATAAGCTGACAGGAGCGGGGCAGATCGTCGCCGCAGCCTGATGTCTCTTTGCGCCAGTACCTAAGAGTGAGATTCTTATTCGCTCAGGTCAGTGCCCCTGCAACAAACGAGGCTGAGACGGCCATCAAATGTGTTAGCGGTTATCGAGGACCAATTTGTCCACAATAGAAAAGTACCAAGACAACCGCGTCCAACGCTCGAAGCCTTTTTGGTGTGTTGTGATCCCCCTCATGGAGAGAAATAGGCTGCTTGAACCATGTAACGCACAACAGATCGTTCCCAGTTCTACAAATCCTATTACACCTACTTCCCAGCATTCTCCTTGAGGACAATAACTTCTTCTGCTGAAACCGCGGCAGCATTGGAGAAGCAGATTGTAATCGACCGCGAACTAATTCAGGGCATACCAACTGTCTCAGCACTTTCCCTGGTCCGCTATATTGCTGCAGGACTCTGTTCGGGTACGCAACACACTTTTCGCTGGAAGAAAAGCATCTGACAAGGTTGAACCAGCGTACTGCCAGCATAAGCGCACCGAGTTGCTTCGTTAAGGACATTGCGATACCTTTCTGGCACCTTACCCAGGGCCAACACGACTTATCAAGGAGCTCCTATACCGTCTGAAGATACCTCATCTGATTACTGAGGACGATGGAGACAGAAATGGGACTGTTTGTCGGCGCGAGCAATACTGTGGCGCGATTTACCAAAATACTGTTTTTGTCATTCATCATCTCACGGCTGTTCAAAGTAACCATCACTCAACAGAAAAGGTTATCTCTATCGGCATAACGAACTATTTATCTCCCTTTGAGTTGGCTATCACGCTTTGGGATTGCCTTCGATCATTGGAAGTTCCAGAAACTGTCCCATAAGGTCCACCATAAGTGATATCGTCCTAGGACGACGCTCTGAAATAACGTCGTTTCGGCGCAACTTTTTGTTATTCGCCTCAACCCACCTTTCCATTTTAGAAGGGACGCTGAAGTGCTAAGGCCGCATTTACAAGCTGCAGTTCTGATGAGCAAGTCGAGCACTTCGTGCGTACAGGATTTCTGGGGATTCCAGACTTGGCTTCGAGCATGACCTGGAGCGATAAGACGAGAAGAGCCATCATGGCATTCACCAGTGACTCGGCTTGGATCACTTCGATAAATATCATTTCCAAATTTACTATGTTCTAACTCGTCTTCAGTTTGATGTCTTTGGCAATACCTCTCAAACCTCTAGCAATAACATGTCTACCATCCCAGACAGGATATATGACAACCGCAATCAAGGCAAAAAATTGCCATATGAGAGATACAGTCACCCAACCGGAGAAAAATGACTTTGTGAAGATGTAATCCCTGTGCAATGGCATAGGCCAGAGCAGGATCGTAACCGTCCAGTTTACTATCATGAAAACAGTAGCTATCTTCAGCCACTTCTTCACGTGGCGCATGGTCTCCTGGTCAAAGGGATGGACTACCTGGTCCAATGGAAGTTTGTTGAGTTCAGGGCGCACTGTTTGATTCGGGATTGGAGGCTGTACAGAGCCGATTTCAACCTCAGGATTCTTGTTTTTATCCTCGGTCGTGAGATGCTCTTCGTTGACCCCCACGGAGCTATCCTGGGGGGACGGTGCCGTCGTGCTTGGCTTCGACTTATCCTCGATGAGGTCGATTCTGAGAAACTCGCGCCAATCGAATCGTTGTGGCCAAGCGAGTGAGATGATAATAGAGAGGACTAGGGGCCCGAATAAAGATACGAGTGAGCCCCAAAGAGAAGGCATTTGTTGACCAGTGGTAGCGATCGTAATGGCACCGTACCAACGTTTCGAAAGACCAAGCCAGGTACCAAGTCCACCCGCTAGACCAAGGACTGGCGATACGATGGCGGCAAGCTTCGTTTGCCGTGACCAGATCAGGGTCAGGAGGAGCGGACAGATTCCCGGACATGTAACAACGGGCAAAAAGTAGGTACTCCAGTTTCCTGTTTACATGTCAGTAAAGTGTCACTCAGACTAGCAGCCCAGCCACAGCACGATATACTCACCATTTGCTCCACTGTAGTTCATCATCAGTGTCCAACCAGCGATAAGAAGTCCATAGGCAACTACGCCCAAGTGACTGACTGTAAGGATCTGTCTATCCGAAGCGTTCGGCTTGAAGTATGTCTTGAAGAAGTCTAACGAGACGATACTACTGACTGCAATCATGGACGAAGAGACCGTACTGGTAACGGCCATGAAAGCAAGTACTAAGAAAGCCCTTGTAGCACCGTCGCCAAGTAATGACTTTAAGACGTACGGTAAGACAAGCCCATTCGCGACGTCGGTTTCGCTGAGGATATTGGGATAGGATACGAATACTGGAGTGTGCTCGATTGCCCGACAAGCCAGCCCAACCACCGTGCCAATAGTCCATGGTACAGCGATGATCGCAATGGAAGCAAGGTTGTAACCCGGTACCGTCGCAGAGACTTCGGACGCGAAGCTCTTCTGCCAGAACGCAGTATCCTGAACCAGGAAGGTCAGCCAGAATCATGGTGATACCCGGGAAGATTGGTGCCGCACCATAACTACCAACGCAAGATTTCCGATTCGCAAAACAACACCCCAGATAATTGCGTTATGGGACTTGAAGCTCAGAAGTGAGCCCTTGTAGTTCCCATCAATGTGGACATCGAGTGCTTTCACTTTGTCGTAAAGACCTCCGATGCCCCCAATATGCTCGTTTGTGAGAATCGATAACGTGAAAAAGATCAAGAGGACGAGAGCAATGGTCGTGTGGCAAAAGTCCGTCAAGAACGTAGCTTTCAGACCACCTACAGCGGTGTACAGCATGACTTGTTGGAGGTCAGCGAAGGAGATCAAGCTATGCGAATACTTGCCGACTTACCTCCCAACGGGATCAGGAATGCTGCGGCTACAGGATGCATGCCCCTATTCCCAGACACAGTCAGTATCGAGAATTTCGGGAGTGCCAGCTCTGAAAGATACTTACGTTATTCCCTGGAAGAGTAGCATACCCGTCAAAATCATAGATGAGCATCCGAAGAAATTATTTATCAGGTTGAGAACAATAAAAACCCCATGGCCCATGTTTCCGTAACGTTTCCGTATGAACTCCATTGATGTATGGGCATACGGCACCCTCAGCTTGGCGATAATACCCATAAAGGCCATTAGGGCAATCTGGCAGCTGAGCGCGCTTGCATACCATACGGGAGCTGCAATCCCCCACCAATAGGCATATGTACAAGCATACACAGTCTCATCGATCCACATCCAACTTGAGAACACGGCAGACGCTGTCAGACCTATACCAACTGATCGGTTGGCAACCATGAACCTAGAATAACCCCAAACGTCAGATTACACGTCTAGACAGTACGTCCTGGATTCCATACGAACATTTCTGAACGGTTTGTCTCCTCCTCCAAGTAGCGTCTCTGGATGCGTACTGCGGCGAGAATAATGAGGGCAAAGGCAATGGCAAGCCCGATAAGGAGGCCGTAGCCAGTCCCCTGGTTGAGGAGAATGTCGGTTGCAGCCATGGCAGATACCGAGATTCAATTTTGCCTTGTCTTCGCATATGGCAGGTAATCAACGACTTCGAGGAACAGGCGAATTTCTATATCTACATAATGTTTTGCCTGTGGAGACAATGCTCATGACGCGACGTCGGTGAAGAATCTCCTCATCAGTTGGAAAGCTTTTACATCTCCGCTATTATCAGGCTTCGACCAAGCAGAAGATATAATGACTCGTCAAATCTAAACTCGCAAGCCATGTGGAAATGTCATAATGTGCCGAGGACAACGTGGGTTCACCTCGACATTACCCACTAGACTGACTTTGTGGGCTTAGAGCGTATGAGTGCTCACTGCTGCTAACATAATGCTGGCGAAGAAACTAATGAGATTTGTGCACTGCGTAAATATAGAGCATACAGTAAAAATGCGAAACTACCAGGATGCCTGAGCGTTATAGTGAAAGAACCCATTAAAATTGCGCAATCTGCTTATTATCCCTCAACGGATGTTACTTCCACACCCAATTGAAATTGAAATTCTGGTAACTGCAGAGCACAGAACACATAAATCAGTCTCTATCATTGTGAAAATTGACCTGCGTAGCATTTTTTTGATTGCATATGTACTGATACCATCAAGGTGCCTATCGCGTCTTTCCCGATCATGCGTATACTGGAACAAACTTACGCGGAGAACAGATTAAAACATATCAACTGCGAATTTCAAAAATGCCCCACCAGACGGGCTGTAGGAGATGGCCCCGGTTAAATGACTAGTTCAGGCGTGGGACATATATTTCGTCGTCATCTACGGAGTACTCCGCTATGGCATAATAATCTGGCGGTTGAAGGGGATTACCATGTCACGCATGGCGCAATATTAATATCTCTCGGTCCGACAAGGTAGCTTAAGCTAGGCAGACTTGAGGGGTCAGTTCATAAAGATAGCCTTCCTCAGGGATTCTATCTGCACTGTGTGATGATTCTGCGTATCTAATAACATGTTTTCCCGGCGCAATGCCTGCTCCCGTTGAATCGTCAAACATTAGAGGCGGCCATGAACTAGCACGCCCTCGCCTCTCCAGAAACCTTGAGTATTCTGGTTCGCTAGACTCATATTCATATTCAGACTTGACTCCTGTTATCGGTCGAGAATACCAAAGCCTGCAGATTACGGACATATTGGAATCCAAGGACAGCGATCGTTTAATCCGCGATCTTGCCGTGACCAGTACATGCCTTCTGTTGCGTGGAAGATTTTATAGATGATGAAACGCATGCTAACGGTAGAATTGCTGAAGTTTCCGAAAGAGGAGTTATCTTTCTGCGAAATCAGGATGCCTCAACTGAGCAGATGCGTGCATTCATAGAGAAATTGACCTCCTTGGCTGGCTGTGTAAGTACAAGTCCCTTGAGTTTCGAAGTAATCGGGGCTCATAAACAAGTCCTTGCGGCACATTATTGCTGGGATTGAGCATCAGCTAACGCGTTCACCAAAAGCCCGAATCATCAGGTCTACATATCCACCCTTTAACGGAAGAAGGGAGTGAACTCGGCGATCAAATCAGCGTCATCAGCAGTACAAAACAGAAGAAAGGCGGAGGTCTCACGCACCAACTCAGTGATACTAGCCGCCTGGCTTCTGTCGGATGGCATTCCGATATCACTTTCGAACCAGTTCCGTCAGATTATGCCACGCTTAAGATTCACACCCTTCCTGAGACCGGGGGTGACACACTGTGGGCATCTGGTTATGAGATCTACGACCGATTGTCGCCAGAGATGGCTGCTTTCTTAGAGAAATTGACCGCAACACATGATGCTAAGTTCTTCCATGATGAGGCGGCTAGGCTGGGAAATCCATTGAGAACAGGTATCCGAGGATCGCCATTGAACCAAGGTGATGAATTAACGGCCGTACATCCTGTGATTAGGACAAATCGTACGTTTCATCTCGTCCACTGTCTTTGTCAGAGAGCTAATCTTTGCGATCGCAATAGCGGTCACGGGTTGGAAATCTGTATTTGTCAACAGAGGCTTCACTCGCCGAATTAATGGAGTAACGAGAGACGAGTCAGATATGCTGCTACATTATCTGTTTAATGTAGGTCTAAATAATGAACTTGTCTCTCATAGAATAGGACTAACAGAAAGTCTAGTTGGTTACACAAAACCATGATGCTCAGGTTCGCTTCAAGTGGAGTACGGACGATGTCGCTATTTGGGATAATCGCTCAACATGGCACACAGCCACATATGACTATGAAGATGCGCGGGCGGGAGACCGTGTCTGTAGTCTGGGCGAAGCTCCTTATTTGGATCTCCGCTCGAAGTCCAGAAGACAAGCTTTAGCAGAAAGAGATTAAGAATATGTATAGATATCTCTTATCTACATGTATCGGCAAACGCATAGATGCTGTGCGAATACGTCTTACATTTAGTCATTAGCTTAGACACTAATCAGATATTGCCTCATGCTATTGGATATTGGGGATAATACAGAATAATACCAAGATAAAACCAGAATAGTTCTTTAACTGCCTTCTCTTTCAATTTCTCTTAGGATGGAGTTAAATACCTGACCTTCCCCCTGACTACCATCCACCTCCCTCCATATACCCTTTCTCTTATAATAGTCAGGAATAAGTGTCATTCGCTCGCGATATATGTTCAGACGATCCCTCGTATTCTTGACTGTGTCATCTGGACGATGTACAAGAGGCTCTCCCGTGATATCATCTTTCATGTACTCTTTGGGAGGGTGAAAGATCGTATGATATAAACGGCCCGATGCAAGATGGGTCAGACGCCCTGTTATTCGTGACTCTAGCAAACCAGTATCAGAAACTCCGAGTTCAATTGCATGATGAAGTCGCTGGTTCTGGGATTCTAGCATTTGATCTAGAAGCCTGGCCTCGGTGAGGTTGCGTGGAAAATCATCAAGAACAAACCTGGGATGTGTTATTATTCCTCCATATCGGCGTGGTACTGTTTGCGGAAGGAGCGGAGATATACCCATTTTTGCATTCCTTATTATTGTTAATTTCGTCGCGGATAAGATCGATCATAGTCTCGTCTGTAACTAAACTACTATGTCCCATTACATCTCTTGCAGACTTGACTCCTGGAGTTCCTCTAGAGATCTGAGACCGTAAAACTTGTCCAATGGGCTGTAGGATGGCATTAGATTAGCCCTCCAGCTCACGCACTGTTTACATATCCACTTACAAGGTGACATATGCAAAACTTGTTCTTAAGCTTTGTCGCCTGAGTTGACTTCCCTTTGTGGTAATATTCATGTTAGAAAATAGTCTCACTGATGGAAATAATACAACCGACCTGATCCTGGAGGGCCCACTAGGGCAATACGTATATGCTTATCGATAGGACCATTTTTAGGACCGGTGTCTCCAACAGAAATCTTGCTTTCTAGAGTCGAAGCGCGCTGTTCGAGGTCTGAAAGGGTGCTCTGGATGGAGCTGATATCATCACTTCTCCCCATTGATTCTGGTCAAGGGCAACCCAGACTAAGGTCTGACTTCTCCAGCACGTAGATTCGGCAATGGAATTTTATGGCTCAAAGAAATAATAGTGAAAAGAAACCCAGACCGGCAGTTTATACCAACGTGAGGGCGACGGAGTAACTGCGCAAAGCTACACATTTCTTGAAGAAGACGAGCAAGTTAGAAATGTAGCGTCTCCCCGGAAAGAAAATGATACGTCATGATAATGCCCCTCTGCTGAAATCTTCGTAATATGGACCTGGATTTGGCGCGTCACTGGCTTTCTCTGCCAGCTGTAATATGGTAACTTCGCGGATCGCCCGGGCCAAATTACCAGGAAGTAATATTTGGGACCTACTTTATAGATACATGTCAACGCAAAGCTGCTTTCTGCATCGGATGAGCGGCAGATATTATTCTATTTGAAATCTCGCTTCGTTCCCTCCTTCGATCAGTTGCATATATATTTCTCGATGTGTCAATAAACGCTGTAAAGCACGGAGCCGCTTTTACCCATCGCAGATTCACTGTGATCACCTGAGCATCTACCACCGTCAAGCCAGAGAGTAGATAGATATATGGAAATAATAAAGATCTATTTTTAGGATTATCTCGTGGCTGGATCTCTCAGAATTGCCTAACTCGCGTTGATGGTCTCACTGCGATTGGTAGCGTCCCCTGTGGCGTTCAACTAAGCTTCGAATACACCTGAATCCGGATCGGCTGGATTAGGGACTAGTATCATATGTTAATATTCTAGAAGCTCTTAGGAATGTTGTCTTCGCTTAGAGTGTTATTGTCAGGCAATTCACTGACTTGCGGCGCCGCCTGATTCGCCGGATAGCCCGGATAAGTATGGTATGGCGGTTAGCATCGTGTGATGATCTTTGCGCATTCCAGGTATGATCGGTATGATCTCAACCGCAAGCAACGTGCAAGTTACACATCAGATGACGTTACCGCTACTCTCATTCCGCTTTTAGTAAATTCCGACCATGCCACCCGCATGCTGTGGCTGAAATAAATATCGAATACTAGTCTTGTATACCATTATCCTGCTCATTTCTCATCTCCAAAGAATATTATCAACAGTCACTCTACCTCCTGCCACACTGAATTCTACCGTGAAGGTTGAGCTGAAAATGCCGGTATGTTAGCTACTACCTTTGTGATAGGCGACAGAAGATAACGATCATTGCAGAAAGTAACCGTCTACCCAAAGGAGAACGTCCAGGACACAGTTCTGGAGAAAGTAAAACAGTAGGTCAAGCCGCACATTTTTCACCACGGACAGCATCTAATTAGGCCAACAGAATTCTCGAAGGGTCAGATAAAGTTCATGCGATTATAACTGCATCTCGTCCGCCAGTGTACTTATCGTATGTTCATAAGTTGATCTCTTCGAACTTCTCACGCGTAGTGATGCATGACTGATGTTTATTTAGTGGCCGTGATATCAGTCAGAGCGAGGTCGACGAATTAAAATCCCTCCCTGGAATAGAACTGGTGCTCCATGTTGAGAAGTGATCATACCGCACTTACAGGTGTTAGTATGGAATATCGGCTCTGCTTATCATTTCAGACTATGGCTAAAGTGCGTTTCATACAACGTGAGATTTCTTATGTGTTATTAGTACATACCCGGGGAGCGATGTAATAGAGACAACTTTTGTACGGCTAGTTCTGCGGCCACCTCATCGATAGATGTATATAATATACTATTTAGAAATTTCCGGATTATGATGACATGGCATCTGCAAGACGAATGAAATATTCGCTATTACAGACTGAAGAATGTCGTATTCGAAAAGTTCGCCAACGCAGTCTTCATTCCTCTTGCAGAGCCATCACTCGATCAATGAAGTTCAACCGAGGTAGTTTGTCGTCCAAATTATCTAGCATGGTATGGCAGTCCAAGTGAGCTATAGTCTACTGTCACGAAACTTCTATCAACCTCCGCTAGCCCTATCTTTCAGATTAGCTGCGGCTAGTGCATGCAAGAGCTTTGTGTACAAACCTTCAAAACAGTATTGTATGGTCTGGGCAATATCATGGGCTAGAGGCAGAGGTGTCCTTTCATCTAGTGTGATCTCAACCTCGACAATGATACCATCACCAAGATAATAGGCTGTCATCGATTTATACGAATCGACAACAGGAGAGAAACGCCACGCCAGGTATATCAGTTTCTTTGCAGTTTGGGTAGATACCGCGGCACCAGTCAGTCTGTTGATTGTTGTGACTGACGTGTGGGCCCAATCATAAATGACATACAGCGATAGCAGTGCGGCCCCAAGAGGATCGAGATACCAGATATCGAGCTTGTGGCCGATAAAAGGGAATAACAACGATGATAGGTTGAAATAAACATCCGTCTTGCAATCTTTTAAGAGTTATTATATGGGCTAGTAGTGGAAGATGTATACCGACCTTGAACTAGAGCTTGGACCTGTGAGTTCTTGACTCTAAAGTAATACAACCCAACGAGTCCTTTAACGACAATATTTCCTGCCATCGCGCCGATAGCAACAGGTGGCAAAGTGAGAGTATGGTGATCACCAGAAGGGAGTAATTTTGCAGCAGACTCCCGCAGGATCTGCACAAAGGAGACCACCATAAGGATCGAAAAGATCAATATACCGAGAGGGCGTAGACGTTGGCGGCCCGCGGGAAATGCCAGTTTCACCGATGCAGTCTGCCAACTAGCTAGCTTGCTTGTTGACCAAATAATCAGTGTACATAGAAGATCCAATGCCGAGTCTAGAAGCGAAGCAATCAAGGACAGCGAGTGTGTCGATGTCACGGCGACCACCTTTGCTACCAGCAACAGGACATTTGCCAGTACATTTATCTAGAGTCCAGGTCAACCTAAAGAAGAGCAATTGCATTCAGTTTAACTTACATTCAGTGCTCTCTGGGCTGTGCGATTGTCTCTGATGCGCTTTTCGCGCTCTTTCCAGGGCAAGAAAGCCTCTAGATCGTAGCCAGTGTGAACAAGTGGCGTGTTTCTATCCACAATTCCGTCGCGATTGGCATCTGGATCCATGCTATCGACCACATCGTCTACTAAATCCCAGACAAGGCTATCAACTTCAGCCCAATCATTCAGTTTTTGATTTTGTGCTTCATAGAATTCCCGAACGCGTTTGTTTTTAATTGATTTGAGCTCCTCGTCACTCTTCCGATAGTGCTCGACATTGAAGTTCTGTACTCCCGCAAGAATCTTATTCTTGAGTTCTGTGCGTCTTTTCTCTGCTTCAGTGGCCGCTGTATCATCTCTGAGATGTGACGAGTTTCCAAAGTATTCCCGTCTCATCGGATTCGTGGTGCTACTCCGTCTTGCATCCTGGCCATCGGTCGTTCCAGGGCTCGTCCCTAGCATACTCCACTGTCGCGCGACCATTTTGGTGAGAAATTCCAGTACAAAAACTGTCAAGCTTCTTTTCAAGGCTTATGCGTTTCATTTATATGTCACAGTGACTCAGCAAGTTCCTATCCTTATGTTTAATTAGAGTTCCCACAATGCCTAGACCAACCAGGATAGGATGTATCTCGCTTGTGCCTTGCAGTAGTTGCACGGTGGTTATGATCTAATTACCTGTCCAAACAGTCCTTGGCATCCAGCGGCTATCCCGGATATACCGGGGTTTCCCCGTACATATGTATGTATGTACATACGTTACGTCTAAGAAGTGAAGGGAGAAACAACGCAAGACAACGTGAATATTTAGCCAGTTCCCTGTTTTCATCTGTGCCGCCAACATGATGTCACATTCATACTTACGATCGACGGAGATGAGCGAATCAATAAGAGTCGTATTCGTCGTTGCTGAAGCATGGCAGTTATAGTCCTTCTGATCAAGAAGTGGAATGGTACATCACCGGGCCAAAGCCAATTCTGAGCGAAAGATAAGCCAGCAAGGGACCATATTGGACCATATTGGACATTTCACGAGGCGAAGGTTCGGTCTCCCTGGGTTTGTGTAGCCCGGCATCTCCCCGCCATTTTGTGACATTTCTTCGTTACCTACGCAGACTTATACATGTCGCAGAACCCCGTTTCAGCCCTTCGGGGACATCTCGCTGCAATATCTCCATATAGTAACATTTTCAAACAACCTCCCCCTCCATCGTCTGGTCAAGTCTATGGGGCAGTCTACCTTTGTCGTCATGGAAGCATCGAGGTATCCTATCATGACTACGCCCACTTCATGGCGCCATTCCTACAGAAGCTCCGCTCGCTCCAAAGTTCTGGTCGTCCATTTGTGACAGGAAGACTGTCCTTCCTATCCTCATATCAGAGTTGGATTACCGACGCACATGTGGGAAATGTCTCTAACGAAGGGCTCAAACAGAGTTTAGACTTAGGTAGAGCATTTCGTGTCCGGTACAAGCAATGGCTAATACCCGCTTCTCATTATTCTAAACCTGAATTATATACTTGGACTGATTCGGCCATGCGCTGTCGGAGTTCTGCATTGGCATTTTCCAGCGGTATCCTAGGTACGTCTAAATCGCCATATTGGTCCCGTTTACATTGTCATACTGAAGGAAAATAGGGAAGAAAGGCAGTCCTACTGGCAATTATGACGACCATCCTCGTCGTGTTGATGTTAGGGTCAAGGTGTTGCAATGTGAGGACAATTCTCACCAGTGCGATAATCTTCGATGGCATAAAGCTTTCTCTGTCGACCAATCCAGAGGCTCCGACAAATTTGAGAAGCTGATGCAAGTCACAACACGCCCGATCTACAGACGACTGCATAATGATTGGCATACAGCGACTCCCTTGTCAGCGACGGATATATACGCAATGCAATTGCTCCATTGTTACGATGCGGTAGCAAACAGGCCGACGCCGTTTGAAAAATGCTTTGAGGCAGATGACTGGCCAGGATTCGAATATCTGAGAGATGTAAAATATTATTACAGTGAAGGCTACGGCATGCTACAGCCAGGCTTTTACGCAATACCCTGGCTTAAAGCTGCTATGACTGCCTTAAGCAATCCTCCTAGTCATGGTCCCCAGTTACCTCTGCGGATTGCATTTACGCATCGTGAAGAGATTTTGTATCTCTGCTGTTTGCTCGGTATGAATTTCCATAAGAACTGGGAACCCGCCTTGGACAGGGTTGATGAAGATCGACAATGGCGAGCTGCGTTGCTTGCACCGTACCTAGGTCACGTTGGTATAGAATCTTATCCTGGAAGGAATGGCGAAAAGCGCGTACGGTTCATTCTTAATGGCGATGTTAAGCCGGCTTTTTGGGGAATAACACACCCGGATAGTGATGGGGGATATGGCTTTGATCTAGTGAGTCAATGGACGGAGGTACAGTGGCGAGCATGGCAAACCTTTAGCCCTTCTCGAATTACATTCCTCAGATAGGATTTTATATCTATTAAGAGAATACAAGATACCAGTATGAACTAAAATCAACGGTGTCTATATACACGAGGAGCGAGATTTTGATGATAAGAGGCTTCAGCATCGCTCTTTAGGCAAGCACCTAGACCTTTACCGGACTATAGCCTTGCGTTCCTTGGACCCTAAGAGAGCTACAAATGAAATGATTCCGTGCCGTGTCCGACCCAGCCAAAAAGACCCCAGCTAGTTTGGCTAGCCTCGTGATATTTCCCAGCGACTACTCATGTTCAAATTCTTTCCTAGGCCAGAATAATTTGGACTGAACCGGCTAGAATACCTGTTTACGTCCATAGTTCACATTTAATATCCAATTCGCGCCGGGTAAAGCGGTTGGCGCGGTCCCAATGGAGTCGCTTGTAACCGTCCCGCATACTTATATGAATCAAAAGGGATGGGCTCTCTAAGAGATATATGATTGTATGATGTTCTTGCGAAAGCAGAACTCCTCAAGCAACATTATACCATCACATCATAACGGATTATAGAAGACGAAGGACCGAATGCTACAATTATATAATATGCAGTGATGTCAGGAGACAGCTTAACTACTCCGTCTTTCCCGGGCTTCCCGTTGCTTGTCATAGTAGATGAAATATTCAAACGGGATTATCGCCTGTTTTATCACAGGCTCGTAGATGCATGATCCTGTTTTCTACACCAAAGTGACGTAAAAGTAAGGAAAGGATGTATTCTTTTGGCTACTGAGTCTCTCATAAATATGCTGCGAAACCCAACGTTTCGTCCCCGAAAATCTCACCAACTTCTAAATCTAGTTTGATGGTATTTTCATGTCTATTGGTCTACAAAATGGCTTCCAGAATCTTTGTGATACGCCATGGTGAAACTGAATGGTCCAAGGAAGAGCGCCATACGGGATCTACCGACATTCCCTTGACGGAAAGCGGCGAGCAGGAAGTCAAAGCTACTGCGAATGCCTGGGTAGGCCAAGGCAAGTTAATTCAGCCAAAGAATATTTGTCGGGTGTGAGTATACATACATTTTAAACGTATCTCGGAGGCTGACTACGCTATAGCTACTGCTCGCCTCGTGCGCGAGCTCGTCAAACGCTAGACCTCTTAGGCTTGGGCATTGATTCTGGGTCTATCTCTTCCGTGACGCCGCATCCGACCCTCTGCGTCACTGAGAACTTGCGGGAATGGGGATACGGCGATTATGAGGGCCTCACTATAGCAGAAGTCCGGAAGTTGAGAAACTCAAGGGGCCTCGATAAGGACCGACCATGGAACATTTGGAGAGATGGATGTGAAGGTGGAGTGTAAGGGCTTCACTTGTAGAAACAGATCCGGTTTATTCAATAGACTAACCAATAATCCCCTCAAAGATCACCAGAAGCTGTCTCTCATCGACTAGATGAGCTGATCAAGGACATGAAGCGATTCACTAAGGGACCACAAGGAAGAGAGAGAGCCCCCGATATTGTTTGCATCGCCCATGGCCACATTCTGTCTGCCCTAGCGCTGAGGTGGGCTGAACAACCATTGTCGCATGGAATGAGGTTTTTAATTCAAACGGCTGGAGTTGGAATCCTTTGGTAGGTTGCTTGCTTCTCTTGTAATGATCGTTGCTAATTATAAAAGCTTTGAACATGATGACCTGAATGAGCCTGCTGTTCTCCTTGGAGCTTCAGGACGGCACTGGACATCTCGTGGCTAGATATGGCAACTGTGTCTTCTCATAGGTATCTTGAGTATCCAGTTTACTCGTGATAAGTCTAGGTAGCCATTGTGGAGATGTATTTGTTTTATATGTCGACGCCAATGACTATAGGCTAGGAAATAATGAATGTGTGGAATCTCCTGTCCTTCATAGATTGTTATCTATACCATGATATACAACTTTTTCCCAGTTTTAACACTTCACAATATATCCCCTGTTCCATGGTCAAATAATTGGGATATAATAATCAGCTTCCACGAATATTTGACCAGGACATTTATCTCACGCCGACTTCATTGACTCTGTCATATGGAGGCATAATTGGCGTATTTGACTACCTGACGCGTTCTTTTAATGTTTATGATCTCAATGAGAGCGGGAAACTCGTCGGTTAATAGTGTGCACCTTTCTACAAAAACAGAATTGAGTCGAGTGACCTCGTATTGTTTAGGTGGTCGACCAATTATGAATAAACCAAACGCCATATTCGTATGGCGATGCAGCAGATTATTTATTCTACCCATTATTTTCCACGTCCAACACTGAAAATGATTTCAACTTTCACATACTCGTGAGCTAAAGGTCATATGCTTGTAGGTAGCTACTGGGGCCATTAAGCTTGTCCATACCCAAATTAGAAGAATAAGTTAAGGTACGAAGTTCGAGCGAAGAAATAGCGGTGAGTAGATAGAAGTCGTATTTCCATCGTTATTGACTACCAGCCTTCTTCTCCATTGATTTCCATGTGCCGTGAAAGTGGCTTATGAGTTCAAGAGCGGATCTAAGATATTGTCAGATAACATCCGAAAAGAAACTGGGAAGTTTAGTGGTAGTAACCTTCGATCTTGAAGCTGCCCACATAGAGCTACTTCGTTTGGAGGCTTTCCCTCAGGGATCTTATACAAGCAATACCAGTCTTTGAGCTTTCCCAAGAACTCTGGTAGATGAACCTCTACGTCCGATATATCGGTAAGCTTGCTTGAGAGGGAATCGTTGATATCAACGGCAATTATCTTCCAGTCTGTTTGCCCTTGGTCCAAGATGGCTATAGCTCCAAGGACCTTCACCGTCTTGACTTCACCGGGGTAAGCGGGTTCGTTCCCAATCTCACAGACATCCAGAGGGTCGTCATCTCCTTGTACACCGGTTTTACCGTCGAGTATGTCGGGACTTTCGTAAGTCTAGATTGAGGATTAGCAGTTAGGAACATATCCGACCTTTTCCAAGTCACGTTTTACCTGGGGAAATGCTCCATAGTTGCAGGGATATCCTTTGAAGGGCGGTATATCTGCAAGGTATCTTAGACCACCGTGGTTGGTATCTTGTTTGATGGGGTTGTAGTCTTCCTCTTTGGAAATCTAGAGATTTCGTAAGCTAACAACATCGTGACACTATTTTCAGAGAACGCGCCAACCTCCAGCTTCGCATTTGTTCCTTTGGGAATTTCAACGACCATATTTAATAGGCCATTTGCTTCATTGGCGTACAGAGGAATATCATGCCATGGTGATATGCGACGGCCCTTCTCCTCAAAGAAGATACGAGAACCAGTGGGTTCTTGTTCCCCAACCACCTTAATATCATACCTATTATGCATAGTCACATGCGTCAGAGTGAATGACAAATGGTTGAGGTGTTTTTTTCTTCAGCTTCTATGAGGATTGTCAACGGTGTGGTTCGAGGGGAAGTCCCTTTACTTATACAAGATAGCGGGTGCAGCTCAAGGCTATGACGCAGTAATTGTCTGGCGCCTTCTTGGAACAGACAAATTAGTGGTTTTTTTTTTTTCTACGTCTTCCGACATAGGAGTCCGTTCCCGGGATCACGTATATACTGATACAGCGGAATTACGTCTGTCTTTGAGAAGAAGTTTTGCTTCCTATATTCGATATTTCTTTGTAGCAACGCACATAATCTCTAAACATAATGCAAAACGCAAATACTTCATGCCTACTTGAAGCCGATAATCACTCGTCCTTTTAGACATATCTCCTTGGTCATGTTTTCGGTTGATATGTGGCTCCCGCCGTATCTCGAAACGGCAGCAGAAGGATGATACCTACGCTACGGAAATCATCTATTGCGGTGGCTGAGTGAGTTTACAGCACCGGAACCTGTTCAATATAGAGATGAAGAGAGAATGGATCGCCATGATCTTCAGGAGCGTCATCCTCGAATGCTTCGCGTCGGTAGAAGCGTAGTACCGTCCGTTCCGCTCGATCCGGCTCTTCCAGACAATGTCTCACAATCGTCGATTCGAGAATCGAGATATTAGTCTTTGCTTTGGCTAACTATCTCTACGTATCGAAAAGCCAGATCAATAATGAGGTCATGGCGTTCTATTTCCATCTTCATGGCTAGGTGCCATTTGACCTGGCATACAGCGTGGATGGTAGTACATAGTTATTAACCGAGCTGTAACCTGAGTTGGCTCTTGCCTCGCACGAGGCTAAGAGTGCTCGAGCTAGAGGACTATATCGCAAATTTAAGAGGTTCTCGTGTAACATAAAACCCTACAGTAGTACAGCAACGAATTAGCTTAGGGCTCTAAACGCCTAGGATAGACTTCAACTCGTATAGTCCTTAGATTAATGCAATCACTGACAAGCTAGTATACTGGACTTGTACTTCGTGCTCATTGGATGCATGCTGTGTTCAAATCACTTCCGAGCCAGAGTAGTACCGTCTCAAAGGCATACGCCGCCTTAAGCGTTCAGCCTGCGCCGTGTTTCGCATGGGGCATGCCAGTGAAAAGATTAGCCACAAGTCGAAGATCTCATCACATTTTTTGGGGGGTGACAGAATCGTGAAAGCGACATAGATGTAGTGGATAGTGATAGAGAGAGCTGGGTTTGCCGCACATGCCACTTTCATGATGAGTCCGAAGAAAAAAACCCCATTTAAACCCTCAATATATCCTTAGAATTTTTCACTTCCTCGACACCAGCATTCGACCTCGGAACGGGTCTTTTTATTGACGATATTTCATTGAACGAACTCGTTACCTCATTTAACTGTGCCTCTCTAAACATGCTGGTGAATGTACCTCTTGGCGTGTGGATCTCTCCAACCACTTTGAATCCAAATTTTGCGTATAAATGAACACCTGCTGGAGAAGATATCAAAAAAGAATCTCGCCCATGTGCATCTGCCTCTTCAGTTCCCCATTGTAGTAGGATGGAGCCAATACCTTGGCGCTGATATGCCGGGTTTACTGATATCATATTGAGACCTGCAAGAGATACTTAGAATCGATGCACACGAACTTCGTCATGATGAAACTTACGCCAGATATTCTTGCGATTTTCAAGGACCCTTTTCTTTTCGTCCCTAAACATTCTCGAGACGCCCACCCAGGTCTTCACATCCAACGTGCTCGGGTGCCAGTAATCGCGTCTTGGGCATTTATTTGGCTCTTCCCGCTCTTCTGAGACAGCTCCGATATTGGTGGTTTTTCCTTCGTGTGTAGTCTGTTCCAGGCTCCATCCGGCAAATCCAGCAGGTGTGCCGTCCTCTAAGCAGACCTTACGGAATCCTGCCGATCGCGTTTGGAGTGTCTTTTCTAAGCCCTCAATAGTCCACTTTATCTCTTCCTCCTCCATTTCTTCACATGAGTGAGGAAACATTAGAAGATGTAACGGGTTGTCTCGCATTGCTGGAAAATCGCATTTTCGTACTAGGGATTCAGCATCATCAGCATTAACAGGAGAGAGTGTAAACTTCATGGTGGCTAAGGATTAAAGATGAATCTCTCAAGAGATGATAACCGCGTGGGTATTGAAAGAAGTTGATCAGTGGGCTGGGTCGAGCAAGTTATCAGCATAGGTGACTTAGAAACAAGCTTAGGAGATGACAAAAATTCACAAATGGTGACTTGATAACCTTTACTAATTGAGGAAGTAAAGTAATATTCCAAGGTTTGCCTTTATTGTTTTCAAATTAATAAGTTCCAAGTCCTTAAGCTGTGCTGAAGACACGTCCCGGTCTTGCTTAACTGTAGCACTGATATTTAAACCGTGGATAACTTAAGTAGCCGCACCGTCCGCCGTACTCAACGCGTCCGACGCGTGAACTCCGTCACGTCCCCTGGCAGAATAACTTACTTAGCTGAGCATGTCTACATCCAACTCCTTACGATGGGCTTTTCTCTCATATCTCTGTCTGGGGATTATAGTATCTATCCAACAAGTGTATACCGGTATCTCTGCTAAAGGCTTCTTTGCCCCTCCAATCTTCTAGTCCTGTACCATACTTAATCGTTTGCATCCGCAATGGCGAAGGGAAACGGCGCCGCCTCTTCCCCGACCATCGCGACCACGCCCTCGTCAGGACCGCTCAAGCGAACCACGTCTAGTACGCAGAATATGAAGAACCAGAGATCCATTCTGGGCTTCTTCCAGAAATCCTCGCCCTCTACTCCGTCTACAGCACGAAATGCAGAGCCCGCCTCCTCTCCCGCAGAACGCGCGTCGGAGCAGCGAACGGCCAACAGCGCGAAGAGCCAGAAGAAGGGTCCTGCGAAAGTGTCGCATAACCTGACTCCAGTCCCAAGCAGTGATGCTCCAGAACCAGAAGATGAGACTGGCCAGAATTCTGAACAACTAAATGGCTCCACAACACCATCACGAAGAGTGAGTTTACCGTAACTTGGTCACAGCTCTAAGACAACGACATATGCTGATAAGACATTGACAGGCTAAGAAGGCTGTGAAATACGTTGAATCAGATTCTGAGGGCGAAGATGACGACGAGGCGATTTTCCGACCAACGCGAAAAGCTGGCGTTAGTGGCAAGACTGCAAAGAGGAGGAAGACCTCTCCTGAAAGCGAGGACGATTTCAAGGAGGACGGAGATGCAGGATACTCGGATGATGGTAGGCCCTGATCTGATGCCATTTCAGGTTGGCAAAGCTAAATTCGGCCATAGAGTTGGATGATTTCGTCGTACCGGACGAGTCAGACGAAGAGCCCAAGCCGTCGAAGAAGAGAAAGAGGCCCTCTATGCCAGCAAAAAAAGCTTCCTCTGAACCAGCACCACCTCCCTCCGACGGCGATCTTGATCTAGAGCTTCCGGATGCCACGTCAGGGGCAGCCTTGAAATGGATCTACGATCCCGAAAATCCAGAGCCTAGAAAGGAACGGGAAACCACGACCGCACCGAAGCCAACACCAGAACAACGACGGGGCAAGGCTCATATGACGGAGCCAGAACAGCGATACCCATGGCTTGCCAATATCACCGACATAGACCGAAATCCTCCGGGTCATCCTGATTATGACCCGCGCACCATTTATATCCCGCCATTGGCTTGGTCCAAGTTTTCTCCTTTTGAAAAGCAGTACTGGGAGATCAAGCAGAAGTTCTGGGACACTATAGTTTTTTTCAAGAAGGGAAAGTTCTACGAGCTGTACGAAAACGATGCGACAATTGGTCATCAGCTTTTCGACCTGAAGCTTACGGATAGAGTGAATATGCGCATGGTTGGAGTTCCTGAAATGAGTTTAGACCATTGGGCAAACCAGTTTGTCGCCAAGGGCTTTAAGATTGCACGTGTGGACCAGTCTGAGTCTGCTCTCAGCAAGGAGATGCGAGAGAGAGACGATAAGAAAGGCGGAAAGTCTGCTAAAGAAGACAAAATCATCAAGCGCGAGCTCTCGTGTGTCCTCACAGCAGGAACTCTGGTCGACGGATCTATGCTTCAAGATGACATGTCTACGTACTGTGTTGCTATCAAGGAAGCTATTATCGACAATCATCCAGCCTTCGGGATTGCGTTCGTCGATACGGCCACTGGCCAGTTCCACTTGACTGAGTTCGTTGACGACGCCGATATGACAAAGTTCGAGACATTTGTCGCCCAGACAAGGCCACAAGAGCTGCTGTTAGAGAAATCGACCGTTTCCCAGAAGGCTATGCGTATACTCAAGAACAACACTGGTCCGACCACCCTCTGGAACCATCTGAAGCCTGGGAAGGAATTCTGGGAGGCCGACATCACGCTCAAAGAACTTGATGCCAGCGAATACTTTGTATCAGACGATAAGGACAATGTGGAAGCTTGGCCACCTGTTCTCCGAGACGCTAGAAACAAAGAGCTTCTCATGTCTGCCTTTGGTGCGCTGGTGCAATATCTGAGAATGCTGAAGATTGAGCGTGATCTAATCACCATCGGCAATTTTACTTGGTATGACCCGATTAAGAAGGCTACCAGTTTAGTTCTTGATGGACAAACTCTTATCAATCTTGAAGTCTTTGCAAACTCATTCGATGGAGGCTCTGAAGGGACACTATTCCAGCTCCTGAACCGCTGCATCACCCCGTTCGGGAAACGTATGTTCAAGCAGTGGGTTTGCCATCCTCTTATGGACAAAAAGAAGATCAACGCCAGATTGGATGCGGTCGATGCCTTGAATGCCGATCGTAGCGTTCGCGACCAATTCTCTTCACAGTTGACCAAAATGCCAGACCTGGAACGCCTTATTTCTCGTGTTCATGCAGGTAGCTGCAAGGCACAGGATTTCGTCCGTGTCCTTGAGGGTTTCGAACAGATAGACTACACCATGAGCTTACTGAAGGATATTGGCGACGGCGAAGGTGTCATTGGTAAACTTATTTCGTCTATGCCTGATCTAGCCTCCCATCTTGAGTATTGGAAGACAGCTTTCGACCGCAGCAAAGCAAAAGAGAACGGGATCCTTGTCCCCCAACCCGGTATCGAAGAAGACTTCGATGCATCTCAACAACGGATCGATGATATTCACCAAGATCTTGAAAATCTTTTGAAGAAGGCACGCCGTGACCTTGGTTCTAGCGCCATCTGCTATAGAGACAACGGCAAAGAAATCTACCAGCTTGAAGTCCCGATCAAGGTCAAGAATATCCCAAAGAACTGGGACCAGATGTCTGCAACCAAGCAAGTGAAGAGATACTACTTCCCGGAGCTGAGAAAATCAATCCGTCAACTGCAAGAGGCCCAGGAAACGCACAGCCAGATCGTCAAGGAAGTTGCTGGTCGTTTCTATGCCCGGTTTGACGAGAACTACGACACATGGCTTGCTTCCGTGAAGATCATCGCCCAGCTCGACTGCTTGATCAGCTTGGCCAAGGCGTCGGCATCACTTGGAGAGCCGAGCTGCAGACCTGTATTCGTAGATGATGAACGCAGTATTCTAGAGTTCGAAGAGTTACGCCATCCTTGCATGCTTCCGAATGTGGGAGATTTTATCCCTAACGACGTCAAGCTCGGTGGAGAGACGTCAAATATCAACCTTCTCACCGGTGCCAACGCGGCTGGAAAGTCGACGGTTCTCAGAATGGTATGTCATCCCCGAATATCAAAGCCACACTTGTGATACTAATCCAATCTCAGACCTGCGTTGCTGTTATTATGGCACAGATTGGCTGCCATATACCTTGTCGATCAGCCCGTCTGACGCCAGTTGATCGGATCATGTCGCGTCTTGGTGCAAACGACAACATCTTCGCGGCACAGTCCACCTTCTTTGTCGAGCTGTCAGAGACGAAGAAGATTTTGTCCGAGGCCACCCCCAGGTCTCTCGTTATCCTGGATGAATTGGGTCGTGGTACCAGCTCTTATGACGGTGTTGCAGTTGCGCAAGCTGTTCTACATCATATTGCGACTCACATTGGAGCTCTTGGCTTTTTCGCAACCCACTACCACTCCCTCGCTGCCGAATTTGAAGGTCATCCAGAAATCAGACCACGCCGCATGCGTATCCATGTTGATGAGGAGGAGAAGCGTGTCACCTTCCTCTACAAGCTGGAGGATGGTGTCGCTGAAGGAAGTTTTGGTATGCACTGCGCCTCCATGTGCGGTATCCCCAAGAAGGTTATCGACACAGCCGAAATGGCTGCCAAGCAGTGGGAGCATACTAGTCGCTTGACTGAAAGTCTCGAGCGCCGCAAAGGCGGCGGTCTTATTGGACTTGGATGGTGGAGTGATGTCGCCTGGGCTCTCCGCGAGTCCAAGGATGAAGAGACGTCCAATGGCATCACTGAGAGAGGACTCGAGGTCCTCCGGAAGGCCATTGAAGCTCTCTGAAGGGGCCAAACATTTGAATGATGTGCTCGGACGGTTTATTTCGTTGACTATCTTGTTCGATTTTGCCATTGCTGTACAGCCCATAATATTTCGCTGGGGCATGGGGTCTGGAGTTCTATCGGGCATATATATTCCGACGTGCCTATTATCTTTTCGTATCGTGTATCTTGACAAGATTGATGTTTCGGTTGGTACAATATGTGTATATGGAACAGATATAGGGCTATAATTAACGTTAGATCTGGTATCTATATTTATTGTTTCTTCCACGAAAATACCCAATATCTATTATCCATTCAAGTTCTGAGTAACTATCTATCCTTCTCGCCATTTTATATTCATCGATGTCCTATTGTCTAGTCTCGAAAGACAAATAGTGTAGGAAGAGTGAGAGACGCGATGAATGCGAGCGCAGCAATGCGATGATGTGTGGTAACCTAGTCTCACTTTCATCTTCTTGTTTATCAAACGAGGAGGCTTGGATCCTACGATAAAATAGAAAAGCGAGATTGAAAAGAACTAAGACTAAGGTAGCAAACTTTGTTTTCTTTTGGTTTCTGATTTATTTTCCCGAAATCTTTTTCAAGAAAGGAGGATACCCGATTCCATCGATCCCACCCAATCCCAATTCCCAAGTTACATAAAAGCCAGGCTTAGTTATTCTTGTGACGAACCACAAAAAGATATGAGAAGGGGAAAAAAGTGAGGGATTCAGATCACTCCTTTAATGCCAAATAAGATGAGGGATAACAACGCAAAGACGACAAAACGGGGAAGTTCCCGACAAAACTCAAGTGAGAGCTGGATTACATGTCGTGTGTGTGTGATTGGAAAGAAAAACAGAATTCAGGCCTTCAGGACCGCACTTGTAACTCGGTAGATAAGAGTAGACCAGGGGATAAACGCATGATGATCGTGTAGAGGCACTCTAGAAGAGTGAAGTGGCCACGATAACATGATCCGATGCTCTTATTGAGTAGGTTTAGTTCCCTTCGCTCTTGAGGAATCTGTCCAGATCAGCAGAAAGAGCGCGGTCTTCCGCATCGAGCTCGAGAGACGGCAAGGGGTTGCCCATGTCGTCAAGAGTTTCGTGCTTGCCGGTCTCCTCAGCTTTGACCTTGGAGGTTTTGGTGGTCCTATAATCGATGTAAGCCATATTGATCTGTGGTCAGAGTGGAAGAGCGTAAACTCACTTCTTAGGGCTGCCAACCTTGACGGCAGTTCCCTTCTTGCGTTGACGCTTCGGGGTGGGAGTCGGGGTTTCGTCGAGATCGTTCAACTGAGCATCAGTAGGGAGATTGCTGTCAGGGGTTTCGTTGTTGTCGGTGATGGCAGGAGTGGCCTTCTTGCGTTTAGGGGTACCCTTCTTCGAGGCGGGAGTAGCGGTGGATTCGTCATTTTCCCCTTCATTTGCAGCGAGGGTTTTGGACTTTGCGCCGCCAGTAGTAGCAGAGGCGGAGGAGTCCCCGTGCAGTTTGAGCAGCTTACGACGGGCACCGTTGTAGACGGTAGCCGCTGAGTCTTTAGTCTTGTACCCGCCTTTCTGGGCAAGAAGCTGGTAATCGACCTGCAAGGAACGAGATAAGCATCATTCATAAATATGGAGAGGTCATCAGAGCTTTATCACATAGCGGACTGACCTTGCCGTCGGTGGTCGAGACCATGCCGAGGATCAGAATCTTCGCCTCACTCGCGGTGAGACCGAGGACAAGCTCATTCTTGGCAGTAGACGGAGAAGACATGGTGGTAGATCTTAATGGCACGTATGATAATGGAATAGGTGTTTGCTTTGAAGTTACCAAGGGACGACTCTTGAAGGATGGTGATGGTACCAGGTAGCTTGTGAGGAAGAAGAGGGGTGATGAAGTGAAAAATGAGCAGGGAGGAACACCACGAGAAAAAGGCACAAGAAAGTAAACAAGCCATTGTCAGTGAATGAGAGCCCTAGGGATCTTCCCAGTTCCGGAATCTCACAGAAGAGTGCGGCTGGGAGAAAAGCGGATCCTGTACATTCACATAAGGCCTGCAGAGCTGCACGCAGATTTACTAGAACAACCTTCTTGAAGATTTGAAACCAGATAAGGGTATCAATATTTCGTACATTGCATGATTATTAGTTCTTCTTTGATGGTACATTCTTTTGAATCTGGTTGTACACATGTTCCCAGATCTCCGGATAAAAAGTCGATGTCGACTTCGCAGGTTTGCTCTTCTCCGTCGTGTAAAATTTGCGGAGAGTACTCAACTGCCACCAACGAAGCGGCGCTGGGTTCTGATTTCTGAAGCTGACCGGTCGTAGTAGCTCCTTGTCCGGAACGAGATCGGCAAGCCGTACCTCCGTCTGTCGAGGGATGGTGGTGAACTTCATCGTGTTGAGATAGAGCGTCGCGCTTGGGGGAAGATTTTTGGCGTATTCAATAGCCGTTTCCCTGGACTTTCGAGCCGCGACTGGCAGAGCAAGATGGATATAATTCACGAATGGCCCAGAGGTATAGGCCACAAAGAGTAGAGGAAGAGCTCCACCAATAACAACTATCTCAATCAATCAGCCATGAACGATGGCCCATCGAATACGGAGACCACGTACCAGCTGGAGCAATATACCACGGGAAATCCGAAGCAAAGAAGGCCGGAGCAACGACCAAGCACGAGACTCCGAAGATGAATATCGTGGTGATGCGGAGCATTCCCAGGAAGATTGTCTTTCCCGTTCCTCCATGGTATATCAAAATCCTCTCTGGTGGCCCTACAATCCTCTGTCAGCGCCCATTGCTCATTGTGACTGCATCTCGAACCTCATACCTCGCCTAACTGTGGTTTTTGCGTGAGTTGCCGGAGTCGGAGGGGAAGGGCGCGGAGCTGCAGGAATAGCATTGCTTGTCTTTGTGGGAAGTGCTGACTCTTTAGGAGCTCGAGGGACTCTTGTAGTCGTCTTTAAGCGGAGGAATAAACGGCTGTTGAGATCTCGTCGCACCCATCGGGGCAAAGACGACATCCGCAGTTGCGGATGGAAGAGAATCTGCGGTCTCATCGACTTGGGCCCTAATCACTTCAATTGACGAATAAAGAATCTCCGGTATTATCCGGGGAATAGTTAACTCGCAGTTGCGTTGAATTGAAACCTGTCAACTTGAGAATGCGGCGATAAATAAAGATAGCAATAATTACCGTCCAGAGCTCAAGATTCTCCGGCGAAGCTCTGCGGGCCGAAGCACGGCGGTCTTGGCTCGCATCACGGTCTCACCCAGAGACAGCCTATTGCTCTTTCGCGCGACATTACCTCTGTGCTGCTTATACAGGTCTGTTTGGCCTTCAATATCATATCCACAGCATGTGCAGCCTTCTGTCATGACAAGTTCACCCATATACCGTTGAAACTATGGCCTACCCGACTCACTGCGGTGGTCTGCGAGGGGTCCGACGATCATATGCCATATGCCTGGGATTCCTCTGGCTTGCACTCCTCTGCGGAGCATACCAGACCATATCAGACGAGACATTAAAGAACCTCCCGCAACCAAACGGTGAATTCGACATTCACAATGGCGCCCTTCTCGCCCCTATCCTTCGACCTCGTGTTCCAGGCACTCCCGGCTCGACAGCCGTCTTGAACCACTTCGTCGACTTCTTCCACACGCAACTCCCCGACTGGAAGATTGATTTCCAGAATTCTACATCGAAGACACCAGTCTCAGGAAATAAGGATGTACCATTCGTGAACCTGATTGCGCGTCGCGATCCGCCATGGGCTGCGCCAGGAGATGTCGGACGGCTGACGCTGGTCGCTCACTACGACAGCAAGTACGAACCGAAGGGTTTCATCGGAGCAACTGATAGTGCTGCACCATGTGCGATTATCATGCATGCTATGCGCAGCATCGACGCGGCATTAACCAAGAAATGGTCTGCAATGGACGCGCAGGGAGAAACGGACACGGCACTGGAGGAACAAAAGGGCATCCAAGTCCTCTTCCTGGACGGAGAGGAAGCATTCAAGAGTTGGACAGCTACAGATTCGCTATACGGAGCGCGCTCCCTGGCAGAGCAGTGGGATTTTGAAATGAATCCCGCCATGTCGACTTTCAAAACGCCCCTGACTTCAATATCACTCTTCGTCCTCCTGGACCTGCTAGGCGCGAAGGATCCTGGAATCCGGTCCTACTTCAAGACTACTCACTGGGCGTATCAGAATATGGCCAGTCTTGAGAAACGGCTGCGCGATCTTAAGCAATTCAAATCTTCATCCGACAGTGGGAATAGATGGTTCACGGATGCTTCAAAGTCAGAAAATGAGATCATGTCGTGGTCTGGTATCCAAGATGACCATATCCCTTTCCAAGCGCGAGGCGTTGAAATCCTCCACGTCATAGATACGGGTCATCCTACGGGCTTCCCGTCCGTATGGCACACATTAGATGACGACGGGGAACACTTGGACATCCCCACCGTCGAAGACTGGAGCCTGCTCGTTACTGCCTTTGCGGCAGAGTGGATGGAACTAGAGGGATACATGGGAGATACCCCGGAGCCGGTTTCAAAGAACAAAGATTCAAATTCCAAGAGGAAGACGGAGTTGTAAGCTTTCCTTGCTGTTTCTGCTTTCGATACAGTACATATTACTACCATTCCACGTCTTTCTTGTATTCTCATTTTGTTGACATGATGTGACGCTTGCTTTCTGCGTCGAGTGAGTGGGAAAGATGCTAACAGATCTCTTTCTTTCATAGTCCATGATTTCTCTTTCTGTCCCGACATGGTCTTTCCAGCTTGATATGCATAGAAGGCGTTAGGTAACGGGTAATCATTATAGATATTAGTAGTCGTTATTGTATACAACATTATGGTGAAGTTGAGCTCTGCCTCGGGCGCCGTTTCTGTTCAAAGGCGCAGAGTTGAATGGGAGAAGTATCCCGAACAAGTCCATTTCCTCTTATAGGAGGCTTCCCAGCATATAGCCACCCATCCACAGAGAACCCCAGATAGGCTGCAGCACTGCCCTCAACGCCGCCGGGCCTGGACACACTCCGCTGAGCCCCCATCCGACTCCAAATGCTATTGCGCCAGCTACGAAGCGCCAGTCGATGTCAGCCACGGTGGCTGTGGGTAGGCTCCAGGTCTCCCCCAATGTCGGCTTCTTGATCTCCGCTTCGGCTCCATTTTCCGACTGTTCCTGTTTCTTTCCCGGCTTCGCAATGAGATAACTGATCAGCGAAGGGCCGATGCCAAAGAGAATAATGAGAGCCAGGGAAGGGTCGAATCGTGACAGATCAGTCAAGAATGCGAAGAAGCGCTGGACTTTCGCCGGGTCGGCCATTCCAGAGATGATCAGACCAAGCCCGAACTCGATACCCGCGAGATAGGAGAAAATCGTGCGGGATTTCTTCGAGCGACTCAGGACGTGCGGGACCAGGACGTAGTTTGTCAGGAAGGACAGGACAGTGGCGGAGGCGATGAAGGCCAGCTCAGGAGTTGTCGGGTAGCTGGGAGTGTAGCATGGGACTCCGCCCGGACACGCCGGGATGATGCTACTGGAAGTACCGGTTGCAAAGTTGGCTGTGAGAAGAGCGGTGGTGAAGAAGATGGAGGTTGCGATCAGAGAGCGTGGAGAGAGTCTAGATAGACCACAGAGCATGTGGCCGGACGTGCAGCCACGACCATTCTAAGCAGATGTCAGTGTGAATGTCATTTTGAGTGAGATATGCCAATCCTGTTTGATAGACAGGATATTTTGTCGTTACCTTCGTGCCCCAGCCAACCAAGAATCCCAATCCTAGAGTTCCCGCTACCGATCTCAACGAATCCAACACCACCGACGGGTATGAGGGTATCAAGGACGGCGCCAAGAAGTAGACGGGAACCCAGCTGGATAGCAATCCAGCGATGATGGGAAGGTTGTCTGCACCAGGTTGGAAGATACAGCCGGTCAGGAGAGAGGAGATGCCAAAGATCTTTCCATTATGGAAGAGGAGACCGGACGAGCCCTGGAAGAGCAGTAGAGCCCCGAGGGACGTATTCACTGGGGTGAACATCGTGCTATGTCGCTCTTCTCTTTGCGCTTTCGATAACTGAGAATCAAAGGCGGAGAATTAGGCCATCCAGGGCTTGTTGACTTCGTGAAGGAGCGGTAGGTCTCCGGAAGTATGGGAGTATCAAATGCCAGATATCGAAGTATATGCACGGTCTTTCACAGAGCGAATGCCCAAACCTGCGTGCTGCTTCTACCGTTCTGCGCGGAATGTACTGCAGTCCTTCACGCAGAGTGTAAAATTCTTTGAAAGATGCATTATTGTGAACATGCGAGAGAAAAGATATGTACCTGCGGTTTGGATCGGGGACCATTTCTCTTGCGCTGATTGTCGGTACCAGCACGAGTGGTCCCCGAACGATGGGGCTTGGCGAGGGATTGCTGGTAAACGGCGAAGTTATCTTTGCTTCCCCGTACAGCCGTCAAAGTGGCCATTCTGCTCGTTTTGTTTCACCTTGGTATATGCAGAGAAGATTGTCTAGATCGTCTTGACTCTTCAATAATAATAATTACCCCTTGGGGTGGAAGGAATCCAGCCTGGGTTGCCGCATTCACTTCTCATTTGTAACCCGTCGATCAATCATCACGACTCGGTTAAGCATGTTCTGGAATGTAAAGAGGGTGTAAACGGGATATGTGAGTGTCTTCTCATAAAATAGAACGACGATCTTCGATCTCGATGTCGTGGCATGATGTGTTTCCATCTGCCCCAATGATGCACAGATCGCCAAACTTCCTAGCGACAAGAAGACTTAAAGGAAACTCATAACTCGAATCAATGATCTAGTCTAGTCTCTCGTTGTTGCACGCAAGAGAAAAGGGTTAGATCGAATGAACGGATGGCTGTAAAGAATGTTGCGGGTTGCTGCTGCTGCTTGCCCTTTCCAACATCTGAACCCTGTTCCTGCGTGTTTGTTGAACTGCGATCTTCTGTATTGATCCTGCAAGAAGGAAGGTAAGCACTGCAGGAAGATAGCAGGTCGATCATCTGCGATAATCTACGCGATGTCACCCAGCCAGCCGTTGGCATTATAAGGTGTGGTTCATGCGTCGAGAAGCTGACAACAAACAAGCATCAAGTCGTTACTGAATCATCCCAGTGGCTGGACTAATATTAGAAAACTGCATCGCTCGAATCGTGGTCGCATTTAGGAGATGACAGGGATCGGAGAATTTGCTATTCGATAACCAACCCTTGGGAACGAAGATCCTGTAATCGAAGAGAGCGCCAATGATCTCCGCTAGATCCTCTGTTTCCAACTTTCGACAGACTCACTCAACAACGACATTCGCTTTGTTTCAACAAGGCAGTTAGATAGTTATCTAAGCTCTGCAACCCGACGTCCCGCAACCGATGGATCAAAGAGATCAAACTTCAAAGACGGGGAATCAGGGAATTCCCCCTGTCGATCGACCGCTGATTATTGAATTTGTTGAATCTTGACCTACGTGCGCCATAGCCGAAGCCGAGTCAGATCGTCCCAACTCAGCGGTGGGCACCGGTGATCTACCATAAGTAAGCTTCGCGTCGATGCTGGGGCCTATCGGTTCTACAGGAAGCCCTACAGACTTTGGCTGATCACCACGTCAATTCCAATGGGAAGTGTTTATCATGGCGATGGATTGCTTAGCTTCTGCTATCCGTTCCGGGAGCTCCCTCATTCCAAGGAACCTCCCTCCTGTGCCCTACGATGAGAGAGCTGGCCGCCTCGATTTCTCTCTCTGGCTGTATTCATCTGCTTCCAGTCCTGCCGGTACAAATCGAAAATCTCAACACAGGCATCGTTCACAATGGGAAATACAACAAGCACATCCGCAGGCCAATGCCTGTTGTCGGCAGTAGGGGGTAATCCAGCCCTGGTCGCCTTCCAGAATGCGCCGCTCTACCAAGCCGTCGACGTGAGACCCTACAACCTCGATGTTCCAGTTACGCCAGTTGCAGTCACTACCCCGGAGACGGTGGACCAGGTAGCATCCATAGTGAAGTGCGCTGCGGATGCCGGGTATAAGGTTCAACCCAAGAGTGGAGGCCATAGTTATGGAAATTATGGTATGTCTATTGTCCTCACTTATTTTGTGGCGTGTCTCACAGGAGTCCAGGACTTGGTGGCGTCGATGGAGAGGTCGTCGTGGATCTGAAGAACTTCCAGCAGTTCTCAATGAACAATGAAACATGGAGAGCGACAATTGGAGCCGGTACCCTCCTTGGCGACGTCACGACGCGTCTATACAATGCTGGAGGGAGAGCCATGGCTCATGGAACCTGTCCACAGGTTGGTATCGGTGGGCATGCAACCATTGGAGGACTGGGCCCTACGTCGCGATTATGGGGAGCAGCACTCGACCACATTGAAGAAGTCCAGGTTGTTTTGGCCAATTCTAGCATTGTGAGGGCTTCCCAGACAGAGAACCCTGATCTTCTTTTCGCCTTGAAGGGTGCTGGTGCCAGCTTTGGCATCATCACCGAGTTCACCGTCAGGACGGAGCCGGCGCCAGGTGAAGCCGTACAGTACTCTTATACTTTCAACTTCGGAGATAATGCCTCAAAAGCGAAGACCTTCAAGGACTGGCAAGCCTTTGTCTCCACGCCCAACCTGAACCGCAAGTTTGCAGCTACTATGACCGTTTTGGAGGACGCTATAGTCGCGTCAGGAACATTTTTCGGTACGAAAGAGGAGTTCGACGCATTCGAACTCGAGAGTCATTTCCCGGAAAATCAAGGCTCCAATGTCACCGTGGTCCAGGACTGGCTGGGTCTGGTCGCAGACTGGGCAGAAGATGCTGCCCTCGAGGGCGGCGGTGGCGTCCCTTCTGCATTCTATGCCAAATCCCTCAATTTCAGCCCAGACACACTCATTCCTAATGACACTATTGACGACATGTTCGACTACTTCAGTACAACGGAAAAGGATGCACTGTTGTGGTTCGCCATCTTTGACTTGTCTGGCGGTGCAGTCAGCGATGTTCCTGTCCATAGCACATCGTATACCCACCGTGACACCCTGTTTTGGCTACAATCATACGCCATTTCCGTTGGACCTGTATCCAATACGACGATACAGTTCCTTGACGGTCTCAGTAACCTTCTTACCAGTTCCCAGCCCGAGGTCCATTTTGGCGCCTATCCAGGATACGTCGACCCAAAGCTGCCTGACGGACAACTCGCCTACTGGGGTTCCAACTTGCCGAAGCTGGAACAAATCAAAGCAGAAGTCGATCCTAACGATGTTTTCCACAACCCTCAAAGCGTGAAGCCAGCCAAACAGTGATGGTCTTTAGGCGCCCCCTGAGTATATATTCGGAGATACCCAGATTTGGCTATTTACTGTCGGATCACCTTTACTTTCTATGTCGTATATAACACTCAAGACCTGCAAATAGCTATCCTAGCTTCTTACGAATAGTACATATTATGTCCATAATCCACGAAAGTCAACGCCCAATTTCAACCAATCCCATTTTCAAGTCCAACAATGAAAGCGGGACTACTTAATCAGAACCACCTCCTTCAACCTCCCTCAGATACGCCTCATATCGCCCCTTACACATCCTTCTCCACCGCTTTCCCCAAGTAATCATTGGAACAGCCATCAGCATAGACAACAGAACCAGAATGCCAAAGAATGTAAACGCCCAGCCATAGTTCGTCCTATCGATCAACGGCTGTACAGAAAACGACATGGCGAAATTGATCACCGATGAACAGATTGCCAGAACGACAACGAGTTCACCAGATACCTAGACGCCCCAACTAGTTAGTAGCCATCCGCGTTAAACCAGACATGTTGACTCCCCGGGAAAAGAAAATAAAAAAAAAAAAAAATCAAAGCAATAAGAAAGAAATAACGCACCCCATCAAAACACTCCATCGCATACGTCGTCGCAATCGTAGTCGCAGCGACTTGCTGCGCAATCATACATCCGAGTCCGAAAGCGATACCAATCCACGAGGCGCCTGCTTGCGCACACCATCCATAGGAAAAGTATCCAACACCACCTGCGACGAAGGGCAGGATGAACATCCAGAGGCGCATTTCGGGTTCTTTAAATCCGTTGTTTCGCCGGGCGAGGAATATAATGAGCGTGTCTGAGAGAGACCCTATTGCCATTCTGTACAGGGTTCGGTGGGGTCAGTTATGCAAATCCAAAGTACTTAAGTAACACTTGGGTGTGTATCTATAGGTCAAGAGAGTAAATCAGACATATACTACTAACCCGACGAAATCCCCCACGATAGCAGCAAGGAACATTAACCCTGCGGCACTAACGCTCCAGTTATACGGAGGTTCAGTCATGATTTCAGATATGGTATTGAACGAGACGATACCGGCCGTGCAACCGAAAGCGAACTGGATCCCGCTGAGAACGATATTGGGAAATGCGAACAGATAGAATGGACGACGGAAGTATTGGAACCAGGTAGTTTTATCGTCGGGGAAGTAGTGCCAGAGAGCGGCTCTTTGGAGATACTTGCGTGGAGGAACGATGATTTCGCCTTCTCCTTGGCTCGGGGTGAGTGATACAGGGACATGTTTCGTTTTATCGTCGGGTGCTGGTAGAGGCGTTTTATCATCTTGCTGGCTGGGGGGTATGTTTTGAGGCAGTTGATTTTGAGATCGGTGTCGAGGGAACATCGTATCGTCGAAAGTAAATATGAACAGGACGATGAGGATGCCCTATGCTCATTGTTAGATCCATATCCTTCCCAGTCTATTGGAGTGAGTCCGGAACCCATACAGCGGCAATGGCTACGAGAGGCGAACTCCATCTCCATCCAATTCCATCGGCGATATAACCGCCTAGAATGAGACCTAGGATGGAACCTAATTGTTGCCCGAAAATGTATACGGCGACCATTCGACCTCGCTCATGCGCGAAGAACATATCGAATATCTTTGGAATCGTAAGCCTTTCCTTAGAGAACAAGAGATCGCAAGACAAACTGCAGCCTGACTTACCGTTAACTGAATCAGCGCCTGGTAGGCGGCTGTTCCAACTCCATTAATCGCAAGCATAATATAATACTGTCCTGTTCCGTAGAAGAACCCACCCCATATCCCACTAGCCACAGTGAGACATAGACTGAGAATATATACAATCTTCCGTCCCAGTTTCATGGCGGTGGGGATCCAGATAATATTGAGGAACCCCAAGAGGAGATAATTGAGAGCTGATCCTCCGTTCATGTTCTCGAGCGTGACGTCTGCTTCCTCGGATATGGTCGTCCATGCTGCACCCCAGTTGTTTTCGCCGAAGGATTGTACGCAGGCGTATGTAGATATCAGAAATAGAGACCAGTACTTTTTGCACTTGGGCCAGTTCTGTTTGGACATAATGTCAGCGACTGTATATAACCGCATAGTGATTAATATTCCGCTTACCAGAGGATCTGCAGCTGAGTTTGTCGGTTGGGGAATTAATAAGACGTCCTCATTTCTAGCATGTGCAGCGTTTGCTAGACTCCCTGATTCTATCTCCGGTTAGTTAGTTGCTAATCTGCCCAGGGAAAAAGTACTCAAGCGGGGAGATATACTATCCACTAGGTACACAGTGCCAGGAACATCTGTGACCACGTCCTCCTGATTAACCATTTTGATGAATGCAATCCTAGGCGCAAGTACTCATCGGAATCTGGACGACTTATCCAAATGATCCCGCGGGATCAAATGCTTATTATATATTTGACCGCATGTTGCAGCACACTAGATAAGATACGTAAGGTCCAGGCGAGAAGTGGCTCGGAGACTCCCTAAGAACTGTTGTACTCGCGACCTTGAGTTGAGGAGGACATAAGATAGCTAAAGAGGATTCGATAAGAATGATACTAAACATGGTTGGTCCGATAATCTCCCCTTATCCTGGCGTCCCATAAACGTCGATATAGATTACAAGACTGATCCTCAAAGGTACAGAGTATACGAGTTGTAATTATCTATTCAAGCTATAGCCATTCAACTAAGTCTTGTAAGTAGACGTCTCGTGGAGATCAATAACTGAGGGAAGGTCAAGCCGGATTTAGCGTCAACGCCAGTGGTTTAGCATCATCCGTCAACAGACTATGGACGTATGCATTCTAGAAAGAGGCGACTGCACAAGATACAGCTGAGATACCAGAGTCATCGATCGAGTAGAGTCGGCGTGTTAGATCATTTAGCTGCTTGATTTGTGTGACAGGATCATTTTTGCTCGCGCAAAATGTTGATCACGCCTCTCAATCTTATCACTGGAGCTTCAGGCTGATAGAATCCAAGCGAAAGATGTACGCCTCGATTACGCGCCGCGTGTATCCATTCCATGGTAGAGATGTCGCGTCAAAGGGGAAATCTTTGATATCGTCTAAGGCATTTTGATCATCGATTGTATGAGCATGGATACAACATGCGCAGGCTGTGGTGCAGTGCCCCTGGTTATACAAGTGGCGGTTTGTATCTCTCGGTTTTGCACAACATCCGCAACTTCGTGCGCAACAGCCCCCGCGCCCGGCACAATCCTCCTTCAGCCAAGGAAGTGAAGCCCACATTGAGCGTTGGTTCGTAACATCGAATGCCCACTTCAGAGGACCGCGCGGCGCTTCAACCCGAAGCTTCCAATGATTTCGATAATGAATAAGATATTCGCGGTTTATATTTTGAAGCTCCTCTTCGTAAATCCCAAGCTTGTTATGCTGTTCTTTGTAATGCTCTGGAATACTAGACGTATCGGTATCGGAAAGTGAGGACAGATCAAGTGATTTTCGCAGAGCATGCATCTGTTCCTTGATGTATATTTCTCGTTGCACAATTTGGCGCCCTAATATATCTGCTTTGACTACCTCTTGGCACCATGTGAGTTCACTATCGACACGACGATTGTTAAGATTTTTATGAAACCACTTGTAGCGTATAAACTGGTCCAGTTGTGACAAGCCGGAACGCTCCAGTGCTCTTATAAGTTGTCTCATCCCGTACTCATCATTGTAGAAAGACAACGGGACCACGTCAAGCACCCTCACCTTTGCCACGAGCGATAGATCCGATGAAAGACAGGGAGCTATCCAGTCTTTCGTTTTTTTGGAATTTTTGAGTTTTTTGATCCATTCTTCCTCGGTCAACTTCTCGGGCCCCTTGGAGGGTTTTGACTCGACAAGATCCTTGGAGCGAAATAATTTGAAGCGTTTCAGCGGGTGATCTGGGAGCATGATGGCTGCTGCTTATGGATTGTCCAGGTATGTGAATCAGTATCGAGATCTTTGTTTGTGAAACCAGAACTTATGCTTAAATACCGGTTCCCTTCAACGGATCACAGTTGCGTAACACTACTGGGCAGATCCCTCAGTACCAATGAGTTATCTATGACACGAATACATTAGCTGTAGAACATTTCATTTTATAATCATAAAAGGATTTCATTTCAGCCGGCAACTCAATAGTTGTATACGGCGACATATTCTGCGAAGGGAAGACATTGTACCTTCATGACATATATTTCCACATGCTGATGAAGTTGATAGTCAATTTGAACAGAGCCATTACAGAGAACATTTAACCTCTTTAGCGAGTTATCTTTGCAATACCATAACAAAGGTCAGAAAGTCTATTTGTAGTCGTGCCTATTGTATAAAGATCATCCACATGTAATGCTCCGTTGGTGTATTTGCGGCACAAAGTACACTTTCCCGAGTTAGTTCGGCGAAAACTCTACAGCAGCCTCAATATGTTGCTGAGGTTTCCATAGACGTTGTACTGTACATAAACCATTACGGACAAGAGAACTTCATTTTTAATAAGATATCTGTCAAATCCTAAATTGCACGGGAGGATGGATAGATCGAACCACCTAGCCTATACATACATCTAGGTTGCTTGCTTGATTCTAGGTCTAGGGGAATTTGATCCCTTATTTATCTCCTATGACATACAAAGTTTCTTCTGTCCTTCTGTCAGTCTGTACTGCTCACTATGAGACGTTTAGGTCGTGTTCCCCTTCTTGCTGTAGTTGTTGCAGCCGCTCTTGCACATTTCCTAGTACCTGCTGCAGCTCCTGCAATTGCTGTTGGAGCTGATTTATTCTTCATCACTGCTTTTCTTTTTTGGGCCTTTGGCCTATCCCATTCATTATAGCTATTAGCGATGGAAGTAATTACTTTTCAAATCAAACTTACCAAGTTTCCATACTTGCTTGCAGCTCTCGATGTCCGGGTTTTCCACGGACTTCATCACTGTCTCAAGAGAGACATATCTACAATATTAGCACATGCACGCGTAAATCAATGACTTTTGCATACCTGCTGTCGACCCATCGGGTGAACCAATACAAGAAGGCTATGCCTCCTATGACAATTAATCCTCCAATGATTGTGAGGCCGTATATATGGCCAATCTCCCACTGGCTTGCCGAAAAGGAGGCGGTATGAGAAGTAAAGGCGTCCACGGTGTGTGCAGTTTGTGATTTGTAGTATCGAGATAAGCCGGTCTCTTTTATAAAAGGTATGCAGCGACGCTGTTGATTTCTACCCAGGGACCAGGGTATCTGGATGACTTTTGTAGGTAGTCTCGGGTCGGATCAGATGTTTAGCTCAATTATAAGCCTGTTATTTCCCAACGTAGAAGGGGCATACCACCATGAGATGGACTATGGAGGAAGTCTCAGTCTGGTCATTTGTTACAGAACGGGGCGTAGCCAGGGAGCTACCCTATGGAGGGGCACGGAGGTGTCAAGTGGCAGTATCCTATACCGCCTTAGGCTTAGCTAGTATTTAGTACACCTCTCCAACAGGAGGGGAGAATCCAAGCTTCTTTCCTCCTACTATACCGTTCCATGCCATCATTGAACGACATTTTAGGAACTTAATTTTGATTCAAGTTCATTCTTGCCAACTCGATCCTTTCACTGGATAGATAATTCATATATACATACATTCTCAGCACTTGTCCACTAATATAGTCAATGGCTGTCATCACCAATATAATTTTGAATCAAGTATCGATAGTTCTTATTTCTACTAAGTTCAAAGGGTTTAACGGAAGGAAGCAGCTTCGATCAGTGATTCCCGTATTCATCTCTTGACAACATCACTGTCTCCCGGGAACGCTTTCAAATGAAGTGAAACAAACGGCGTGAATGAAGCAAAACAAATTAAGAACTACGGAGGAAAGTACGGCGATCGAAGCAGTTGTCTCCGGTGGGAGCTACTACCCACTACCATAAGAGTAATTGAACGCCTTTCTCGAAGAGCCTGTCTGTTGTGAAACCATCCGTTCACTCTTATCCAGCACAGGCTTCTGGACTCTCCTTGAAACAAGTATATGCTTATGAAGTACCGGATGTTGGGACTTTTCTGGCACCCCCCAAAAGTGGTAGGTGGCTAACCGCTTAAGCAGCCCGTGAGCTTTGTTACTAAGCACTGTAAGCATCCACATAAACCTTCACCTTTGCTTGAGGGCAAGCAGGATCATCACTATTATTCAACCGTCCGAAGCATGTCTAGCACTTCTGCTGGCTGTCCAGAAGATAGGAATCAGCCAAGTTCTATAGAGGCGGGCTCCGGCAGTCGTTGAGCGAAGACCCATCACCGAAGCGAGGCAACGGCAAGACACCACTCATATGTGTGTAAAGAATCAATGTGCACCATGATCCTTTACTTTATAAAACGGTAGATATTCCGCAAGATGGAGCCTTCAAGCCACGCAGCTTCTGACGGCGCTCAAGAATTGAACTCGGGGAAGACTGGCTCAGGCCGAAGAGATAAATACATGATGCATCTTCCATCTACTCTTCGTACTACCGTATCGCCTCCGAGAAGCCGAAGGACTCTAGAACCCAATCGCAGGGGAAAGGAACGCGGACTGTCCATATCTGATGGCGATAACAATGCCTCAAACTCGCCAACGGAAACTCGAGATCTATCGTTGGCCGCAATCGAAGCCGGCGAAGTTCAAGTCAGCGATCATCTTTCTATTTTCTCCTCTCGTCTTTCGAAAGCAACTCGACCAATTCAGCCGGGGATTCCTCGACTGTCTCACTCAGAATGGGTAAACATTTACTTGAGAAATCAACACCCAAAGGGCCATCACTTTGTTATCCATCAACATGATCATCCAGTTGCTGGCCCACATTATGATTTGAGGCTGCAGATTTCAGAGAGTAGTTCTGTCAGCTGGGCAATTATGTATGGTCTTCCTGGAGATCCAAATAGTCGGAGATTAAACCGAAATGCCACGGAGACGAGGGTGCATTGCCTGTGGGTGAGTGTACACTTAACTTCCCAGTGAAAATATTCGTATATGCTGATTACTTTGCAGAATCACCTCATCGAGACAGCTTCACCGGCAACAGGAAGTATGATTATCTGGGATACTGGCGAGTACTCTGTTTTACCGTATCACCCTCAAATCAAAGAGCCAGAAACAGAGGACTCTGTATCAGACATATCGGAGCCTTCCTCAAAACCAGATCAAGAGCTCTCGGAGAACGAGAAACTACGACAGGCATTCCAGAATGTACGTGGCAATCTGCAGTTTCATGACGCAAAATAGTGTCTGGTCTTATGAAGTACTGACTTGGTCATTTTCATAGCGCAAGATTCGCCTACGTCTCCATGGGGCGCGTCTCCCGCCTGATTACACCATCACTATGCGTCTCACAACACAGGATAATGTCGTCTCTGGGCCAGCGAAAACTCCGCGCAAACGCAGGAGACGCACAGCACCATCACTTCGCCGGGAGCCTTCTAGCACCCCATCACGAAGTCCGTCCCCTTCTCCGGATTATCATCATCGCAGAACGTCCTCTGCTGCGGCTGTTCATGTATCAAAGTCATTTTCGACAGATACATCAAAGAATGAACACAGAACGGACGAGGCTGGCTCTGCATCAGCGTCGGATGAGGAAGACATCGATGAAATGACTCGCCTCACAAATGCCTACCCTGGAGCGGTGAATTCTGTCGGATCCATACATCAGCGCAGATGGTTCATCACGCTCGACAGATTAAATTCCGGTTTTGAGCCTTCTACCATGGGTTCTGAATCTGGGAGAAAGTCCTGGACACGGAAACGCACTCATGATGATAATGGGGGGCTCCTTGGGTTTGAACCATTCTACGTTCGTGGGCCAGAAGTTGAGAGAAGCGTCGTGACTGGACGACTAGCAAAAGAAGTTCTAGAAGACGAAGGCGTCGAGGGATTTTCTCGAAGGCGAGGGTGGAAGCCCGTGCTGGAATAACGTGCGAAAAGGCAACTTCCCGGTCATCACGAAGAGAAGACTGAACTTCGGACTATGACCTGAATCCTCTCAATGGATTATCTGGCGACGGTATCATGGCCATTGGTGTGGACCTCGTGAATATAAAGAATCGCCAATACGTTACACATGTGTTCTGCGAGCATTCACAAGAGTATGCGCAAATGACTTGGCAGCGAGTAATAGATCACGATTGTCCGCAATGGAGATGGTGTCACTTCATGCCAGTAGTGGTGCTATTTGCAGGTAAGCGGTTTATACTTGCCTGCGGATCAGGGACACGTGCTATCGCTGGCTCTGAATACTATCATCGCCTCTCGCCCTGGAGCATAAATATGACGATGGACTCGCGCAGCCAGGAATTGTCATCCTCTCTAAAAACGGAGACATCCCGACAGTTGCCTGGGAAGTGGAAGCCTGACGCCCCCTCCCGACGCCACCAGAACGATATTTTGGCAATGACTCACTTAAAATCGCGTGGAGATGAGATGGATGGCGTCGAGTCATCATCCATGTAGCCCTTGCATGGATGCAAGATGGACGATAGTGATTGATGGCGCGGTCAAGTTGGTTGCGGAGACCGTCGCATTGTGACGCCAGCCACCGTTAACTAAGTAGCGGACAAAGCCCAATCAACGGAGTACTAAGTAGTACTAAAGAATCTGTTCCAGCGCTCGACTCAAAGTCTGGCTATGCGATGACCTCGAATGGCGGATGATAATGATATTCATCATTGGAACAGGAAAGAAATAGAAATAATGCAGGTACTCGAATAAATAACACGACTCTTGCACATACCTTTGTTGTTTTGAAAGAGCACAAACGAGACCGACATCTTTGACTCGATGAGACTGGATTTAGTAGGGGGCAAATACTTAAGATGAAGGCATCTTTCACAAAAGAGGAAGATTCAAGGAAGGCTTGGAAGAATCTATAAGATTGACTCACAATTATTTAGCCTGTGAAATGATATGCTGTACGAGGGCAATCATATCCTTGTAAGGATATATTTCAGCAGATCAGCGGGGCTTTTCTTTTTGTTGAAGCAATAATAATAATGCCTACGGAGTATCATTTATTGACTTGGGGGAGGCGGTCGCCGGATTGATAACACCATCTAGTCCCCACCGTTAGTAGCTGATAGCGTGCTCGATAACTAGGCTGCTGCACAGCTTACACGCGTCTATACACGCACCTTACATTTTCTCGCGTTCATATGCTTCAGTTCCTCGTTTGCACCGGGATGCGCGACTGAGTACAATCATTTGTCGCTCCCTCAGATCTGCGTGCCTAGGCACAGCTCTCCAGAGTAGAGCATCTCGATTGTCAATATGGCGACAAGCAAGGAAACTGGAGCACTTATCACAGGTGCTCTGGGACTCTCCATTGTCGCTGCGAGCACAGCACCAGCTCTTATCAGCATTGCGACTCGTTTCTCGCCAAAAGCTCGTCGTCGCGCATCGGAGGCTGTAGAAATTCTCTATGAAGATCAAGATGGAGCTGCTACACCAGAGTCGGTCCAAGCTTTCACAGATAAACTGCAGAGAGCGTCCATCGCCGCTCTCACTGTCATTGGCTTCTTCACCTCACTGGCTATCGCAATGCTCACGACTAGAAAAGGGCCTGAGTCGTATCTAATTGAGGCATGGCTCCAGGTTGGAATATGGGTATGTAGCAATATCGAAAGAGCCTCAGAATATGCGTATAATTGAATTATTGATTACAGGGATTTCATACAATCCATGCGATTGCACTCTTTGTTGAGCCTTGTCCGAAAAAGCGCTTCTCACTAGGCGGTCATGCATTTATTGCCAGTATCATCACCATTGCAATACCATGTATAGAAGCTGTCTTACTGTGGTCTCACGGTCCTCATGAACTGCGCGACAAGGAATTCATAGCACTGTTCTGCACATATATTGCTGTTGCGCTCATCAGGGCTCTCCTTACTGTCAGCTTGCCTCGACGTCCTGATGTCTTCAGAAATGGGAAGATTGTCGACAGGGAGCATACTACCTCAATTATCGGCAGATACGCGTTCTTCTGGGTCGACTCCATCCTGGCATTCGCTATCAAGAACAGAGGTCTCTCCATTAGCGACCTGCATGAGCTGAACTCCGAGATACGATCAAGAAGTCTGCGCGAGAAGCTCGAGAAAGCGAAGGGATCCCATCGCCTGTGGAAAGCCATCATCGTCGCCAACTTTGGCGGATTCACTCAGCAGTTGGCGCTTGCAGGAGTAATCTCCGTGTTGAGCTTCGCGCCGCAGATCGCGCTCCTGGGAATCCTGAGGTCATTAGAAGCCCGCGGAACTGAGTCGTGGAATTCTTACGTCTCTTGGTTTTGGGTATTTGCACTGGGGTTTTTGATGGTTATCACCACTGGTTTTGAACAATGGCTATTCTGGATCATACAGAGTCGGGTCGGACTCCCCATAACGGAAGGGCTTGCCGCTGTGACATTTGCCAAATCTATGCGCCGAAAGGACGTAAAGCAGACGAAGAAATCTCGAGAAACAAAGCAGGCCGATTCGGAACTTCCAGAGGAGGCGTCTGACCAGGATTATGCCAATAAACAGGCAGCGGCGACAGACGATGATGATGACAGCGATGAACAGAAATCTCGCCAGAGCACCGTGAACCTTGTTGCAGTTGACTCCAAGCGTATCTGGGACTTCTCCACGTACTGGTACATGATACCGCAGGCAATACTCAAGCTGTTAGTTGCTTGTGGCTTCCTTAGCAGGCTGATCGGTTGGCGCAGTCTCCTTTCAGGACTCGCTGTAACCATCGTGGTAACTCCCATCAACATTATCGCATCAAAGAAGTATACATCGACACAAACCGAACTCATGAAATACCGGGACCAGAAGATGGCTGTGGTGAACGAGGTCTTGATGGGCATACGACAGATCAAGTTTTCTGCTTTGGAAGCCCAGTGGCATGCTAAGGTCTCAGCCATCCGTAACATCGAGCTGGGGGCACAGTGGACTGCCTTCCTCTGGGACGTGGTGCTTCTTTCTATCTGGATTCTCGGCCCGATTATGCTATCCGCGGTCTCCTTGACCGTATACGCCTGGATCCATGGTGGCCTCACGGCATCGGTCGCTTTCACTGCAATGGCATTATTTGGCGCTCTAGAATCGTCCTTGGCTGTTTTACCGGAGATGATCGCGAACGGTCTTGAGGCCTGGGTCAGTCTCGTCCGTATCGAAAAGTACCTCGATTCGCCAGAGAAGAAGATTACCACAATTCCAGCGGATCACGTTGCCTTCGAAGAAGCGGCCATCGCATGGCCTACGGATGAGGAGGTTGACCCTGAAGATCGTTTTGTACTAAGAAATGTCAACCTGACTTTCCCAACCAAGGGCTTTAGTGTCATAGCTGGTAAGACAGGCTCTGGGAAGAGTCTGCTCCTTGCTTCGATTCTGGGAGAATGCGATATCCTAGAAGGCGCTATTAAAGTTCCAGTACCTCCAGCTCTTGAGGACCGATTTGATGACCGTGCTACACCTGCCAATTGGATCATTGATTCTGCAATTGCGTATGTGGCTCAGATCCCTTGGATCGAGAATGCGAGTATCAAAGACAACATTCTCTTCGGATTGCCCTACGATGCGCGACGCTACAAAAGAGTGCTATTTGCCTGTGCCCTGGAAAAGGACCTTGATATGCTTCCTGACGGTGACATGACCGATATCGGTGCCAATGGAATTAATCTCAGCGGTGGTCAGCGATGGCGAATTTCGTTTGCAAGGGCATTGTACTCCAGGGCGGGAATTCTGGTAATGGATGACCTTTTCAGCGCTTTGGATGCTCACACAGGTCGACACTTGTACGAACATGCCGTTACAGGTGAGCTAGGTACCGGGCGCACCAGGATCCTTGTAACTCACCATGTTGGGCTATGCCTTCCTCGCACCGACTATCTTGTTTTTCTCGAAGATGGAACAGTCAAACAAGCTGGCACTGTGAGCGACCTGAGAGAGTCAGATAACTTTACCGATATCTTATCTCATGAACATGAAGAAGAAACAATCGAGGAAGTGGCAGAGGATAACGGCGATATCCTGGACGCGGAGGAATCCACACTGCAAAAAGTCATCTCGAACAGATCACAAAGAAGGGATTCCATCACTGCGAATGGAGATAGTGACTCGAAGCGACCAACACCAAGGAAGTTCGTTGAGGATGAGAAACGAGAAACAGGATCTATCAAGCTTGAGGTGTACAAGGCGTATTTCAAGACCGCTGGCCGTATACCCTTCTGGGTATTTGTCGTACTTCTATACGTCAGCTATGTCGTGTTGATCATCGGACGGGTGAGTTGATAATCCCTATTACTGAGCTTTTTACGGGCATGAACTGAAGCTTGTTGTGACAGTCTTGGTGGGTCAATATCTGGACGAGCTCCTCCTCTACAAAATCCCGCCAACAGGGCTATCTTTCGGTCGCGCAGTCACAACCGGAACAACACCTTCTAACGGCCTACCAGGCAGCCGAAGGGGTTACCTTAGCAGGCACTGATGACGATCTCTTATTTTACCTGGGCATCTACGTAGGCTTGTCCGTACTAATATGCATTGTCGGGTCACTACGTTATTATTTCATTCTGGGCGCAGGGATTCGAGCATCTAGGAACCTCTTCCAGGACCTCGCTTACGCTGTTCTCCGTGCACCGCTCCGATGGCTTGATACTGTCCCTGTTGGCCGTATACTCAATCGCTTTACCGCTGACTTCCACATGATTGATTCCAGACTGGGCTACGACATCGGCCTCACAGCATACCGGGTGCTTGATGTCCTTGGTGTTATTGTTGCTGGCGTCCTAGTCTCACCGTTTGTAATGCTCTTCGCTGCTTTACTTCTTGGAGTTTGTCTCCGATATGCATTCATGTACTTGGCGGGAGCGAGAGAAGTAAAGCGACTGGAGAGCAACGCTAAGAGTCCTATTTACGAACAATTTGGCTCCGCTCTTATCGGTCTTGGGACTATCCGTGCATTTGGCAAAACCTCGACGTATCTCGAACGGATGTATGCAAAAATTGATGCCCATTGTCAGGCTTGGTGGTATCTATGGCTATTCAATCGATGGCTAAGCTGGCGTATGAACATGGTTGGTGCACTGTTTGCGACAGTCACGGCGGCCTTGGTGGTATCGATCCCAAGCATAAGTGCTTCTCTGGCAGGCTTCGCACTCAGTTTCGCGCTACAATACACGGTCTCCATTTCTATGGCACTTCGGATGTATTCCAACCTCGAGCTCGACATGAATGCTGTTGAAAGAGTCACTGAATACTCCAATATTACCATCGAGGACCAGGGAGGAGACGATGCCCCTGCCGCATGGCCGACAGAAGGTCGTGTCGAAGTTGAGGACCTTGTCGTTGGCTATGCCCCCGATCTCCCACCTGTTCTGAAGGGGCTCAGTTTCACCGTCGAGACAAATCAGAGAGTGGGAGTCGTCGGGCGTACAGGCGCCGGAAAGTCATCTCTCACGCTGGCTTTATTCCGCTTCCTGGAAGCACGCGAAGGTCACATCTACATCGATGGCCTTGACGTATCGAAAATCAAACTGCATGACTTGCGGAGCAGACTAGCCATTATCCCACAAGATCCCGTTCTTTTCTCGGGTACAATCAGGACTAATCTTGACCCGTTCAGCCAATATGGTGACGGTGAGCTATATGATGCTCTGGAGCGTGTCCATCTGATTTCTAGAAACGAAGACGGAACTATAATTTCGTCCACCAACAGCCCCGGTCATACAGGAGGCACTACTACGCCAGTGGGAACTGGCCCATCATCAACGACCGGAAAAAACGCCAATATATTCGCTTCACTGTCCTCTCCTATCTCCGAGGGAGGCCTGAATCTGTCCCAAGGACAACGCCAGCTTCTCTGTCTTGCTCGAGCCATCGTATCTCGCCCCAAGGTCATGGTCCTTGACGAGGCCACCTCTGCCGTCGATATGTCGACGGACGCGTTGATCCAACAATCCATTCGTTCAGAATTTGGCCGCAATTCTACGAGTCTCCTCGTCATTGCTCACCGTTTGAGCACAATCGTCGACTTCGACCGCATCCTAGTCATGGATGCCGGCAAGGCGGTTGAATTCGGTAGTCCGCGAGAGCTGATGGAGATTGAAGGTGGTGTATTCAGGAGTCTGGTGGAGGACTCTGGGGAGAGACGTGTCTTGGAGGGTATTATCTTTGGCGAGCAGAGCACAGAGCAGAATGCAGAGGAGGAGGAGGAGGACGCAGAGTAGATGTCACCACGCGGGCTTGGGGATTGTTGATATTACTACAGAAAGTGCAGAAACCAAAAAAAAAAAAAAAAAAAAAAAAATGGGAGGGGCAAAATGATTGGCGATGTGGGAGTTCATATAATTTATGTAATTACTTTACGAATATAGGTCAGGATATAGATGCAACGGTCTCGGGATGTCGAACCCCTTTCCTTGACTATTATATTGAGAATGAGAATATGAAGGTTTGAAAATTTCCTGGTATTTGATGACTGTATCTGGCAGAGGCGTTTACATCACTGTAATGATTTTAAAGGAAAGAAAGCAAAATCCAACGGCGTAAGCAGTTCTAACAAGTTGGCTATTAGAGCCGACGATTTTACTTTCCTACAGGCTATTTGGGCAAAAGCATCCTCGAGGACCATGATCATGACAATAGGTAGTATTCTATGTAAACGTAAACTCCAATCAAAATAGCACAGGGTATCATCAAACACCAGGCAGCTCCTTTCACAGACACGTCCAGCAAAGGAAGAACGTTGAACGTTGACGAATGCCAAACCTCGCATTAGAAAAGGACAAGCCATCCATTCATTCATCCATCATCCTTCCCACACACAGACATATCTCAAAGAGCCCTAGCCCTAGGAATACACACGAAAAACACACAAAAACAGGACACCTTCCAAGTAATGGTGTGAATCAGAGATGCCTTCATCGCGTCCGCTGAAGTAACAAGGTTGGTGTGCCGAACGCAGATCTCATCCTCCCTCCATCTTAGTCTTCCCAGCCACTTAAGCCGCACACCGATTATTTCTCCGAAAGGAGAAATAAAAGGGCGCAGAGAGCCAAGAGGACCGAAGAGGAGGGATAGGTTCGAATATAACACACTAGGCTTTCATCATCTGTTTTTTAGGAAATGTTAGTTTTGATTCTTTTGAATCGAGTGTTCTGTTGAGAATAAAACAGAATGGTATTGATGTTTGGGGAGGAAATTTAGCACTCACTTGTACAAAACTTGGAAGGATGAAGAAAAAAAGGAAGCAGAAAATGATGCGCTGGGAAACATTTAATTTTCGCTGGCCCGCGGTCGGATCGGAGGAACGTGCAGCCGGGTGTGGTTGGATTGGATTGTTACTTAGCTTCGGAGCTCTGCGGCGGAATTATTATTGATTTCCGTTGCGATTGTTCAACTCTCTGGTTTACAGGGCCTGGATATAATTTCTGTTTCTGTATCTCGTTTCAATTAGTCGGTGTTCAATTGATCAGAGGATCAAGGATTCACTCATTTTTCTAGTCGCAATGCTGCTGAGCAGCGTGGGACGAAGCTCCCTCCGTCTCCGCGCAGCTCCCCGCGAGAGCTACATCGAGATATCAAACTACATCCGTGGCAGACGAACTGGTCTGGTTTCAGCAGTGCGGAACAGACCGCAGCAGTTGCGACAATTCTATGTGCGACAGTGTCTATATGATCAGCCGCATATAGAATCGTCGAGACAGCCGTTTTTGGAACAATACAAGAACGCGGGTATGGAAGTCGGTTCTATAGTCGCTAATTGCAAGCTGATTACTTATTTCAATAGTTGAATTTCCACGCGCCACTTATAATTTCCAAACATTCCTGTCTGAAGCCTCTCCAGGGCAAGAAGTAGTCCTCCATGGCTACCTTGGAAACAGAGTCGACTTGTCGAAGAAGCTCTCCTTCGTCCGGTTGACGGACCCTACCATGAAACAGAATATCCAAATCGTCGCGTCGGCGAAAAGTGGAGCATTTGAGAAACTCAGGTCAATTGCGATGAATAGTCCTGTTGCTGTGCGAGGAATTGTCCAGCAGAAGAAAGGAAGCAAGTCTGAGAGAGACTCGCCGGATACGGAGAAGATTGAGGCATGGGAAATCAATCTGGAGGAGATACACGCGCTGAATGACTTCCCAAAGGACATTATCATGACGTCCGAAACGGTGTTTCCGCCGGAGCAGCGGTATCTGCAACTACGAACGGACGGTGACTTGAGGGAGGCTCTTCGATTCCGAGCACAGGTGCGGAATATCTGCAAAGAGGAACTGGACCAGTGTCAACCTCCGTTTGTGGAGATTGAGACTCCCTTGCTATTTAAGTCTACTCCGGAGGGCGCTCGTGAGTTCCTGGTCCCGACTCGGAGACGGGGTATGGCGTATGCGCTTCCGCAAAGTCCCCAGCAGTATAAGCAGATCCTCATGGCTAGTGGGATTCCACGATACTACCAGTTTGCGCGCTGTTTTAGAGATGAGGACCTGCGAGCTGACAGACAGCCTGAGTTCACGCAGGTGAGTTACACGTTTTCTTTCCTGGCGTCATGAGATTTCTAATGGATTGCAGCTCGATTTGGAAATGTCGTTTGCGACGGGAGAGGATGTAATGACAGTTATTGAAGGAGTCATTCGCAAACTGTGGTCGACTTTGATGAAGGACCCTGTCCCGTCTGGCCCCTTCAGACGAATGCCGTATCAAGAAGCCATGCGCCGTTACGGTTCAGACAAGCCCGACACCAGAATCGGAATGGAGATTGCGCCGATCGACTACCTTCTACCTGTTGATCTGGTAAGCAAGATCACGCCGCTTGTTGATCCCATCGTGGAGGTCTTTAAGTTCGAAGGAAACGACAACGACCCCAAAGAGACGCACCGGTTCATTACAGAGTTCCTAGACTCCCCAGCAGGAGCACCCTTCAATGATAATCCTGAAGGTGGACCGGGTATTTTCATCTATGACGCCAAGAAGCCACTATGCGGACTGCAGCCTTTCGGCTTCGAAGCTGCGGAGAGAATTGAGGAAATGCTCGAGCCTGACCACGGCGATCTCATCGTCCTGCAGGCTCGAAAACGAGCCCCATTCTCTGGAGGCTCAACGCCTATAGGTGATCTTCGTCGGGCTCTGTACACTGCTTCTGTGAAGAAAGGCTTCAAACCAGCAGTACAAGGCTTTGACTTCTTCTGGGTTGTTGACTTCCCTCTCTTTTCGCCCTCGACAGATGCAGAACCTGGCCAGGGAGGTGCTGCTGGAATCTCATCTACGCATCATCCTTTTACGGCCCCCAAGACCGCCGCGGATGTAGACATGCTCCTCACGGATCCGACCCAGGTCGTCGCAGACCACTATGATCTCGTCGTCAACGGCGTCGAACTTGGCGGTGGGAGCCGTCGTATCCACGACGCCAAGGTCCAGGAGTTTATCCTCCGAGATATCCTGAAGATGCCCGCGGAACGACTGGCTGACTTCTCCCACCTTCTGGAGGCTTTGCGAGCAGGATGTCCTCCCCACGCCGGTATCGCACTGGGCTTCGATCGTCTCGTCGCCGTTATGCTGGGCAAGGACTCGGTGCGAGACGTCATTGCATTCCCTAAGACCGGCAAAGGTGAAGATCCCATGGTCAAGGCACCGACTCCCATGACGGAGGAATCCCTTGAGACCTACCATCTCCGACTCCGGGATGAGTAAAAACGGCAAGAAACGACTTCTGCCTGTATTATTGCCATGATACCCAACTCTCTTCTCATGTTCTCCATGTCTGTATGTCGCCATGGAAAAGGTTTCTTCGGGAGAAATTGTAATTGTATGTATATAGACACTGCTACTGAAAATATGAAGCACGGATGTTTATGCCTCCAATTTCCGAATGGTATGAATTCATTTTTTCCATATACTGCTTCCATTAGAGAGACAGCAGAATTCGCTATGCTATGCTTTATCAAATCAACAGAACGTAACACTTCTTCGTAGTCTCGTAACTTTAACCGATCTGAGCGTTCGAGAAATCCATCTCTGCAGAACAAAAATCGTTAGCGCACGCCCCAAAGACAAGAGTGAAGGGGGAAAAAAGAAAAAAGAGAAGATAAAAAAAAAACATACCAGGATGTTCCGCCTGGAACTTCTTCAGAATATCCCTCTTCCTCTGCTCATCACTAGTCAACCCGCCCATCTCCTTCTGGCGCTGATCATACATCATCTTCTCGACCATCGCTCTCGTCTGGCCATCGAGATCGCTCAGACTCGAGTTCTCAGGCTGGATTTTCGACACGTCGATCTTAGGCGCGCTCGTTACGATGTGTGCCCACCATTCCATCTTGTTGACTTTGTCCAGGTGGATAGAGATTTCTTTTCCTGGCGGTTGGGAAGTTGTCTCGAGAGTCCAGGTTGATTCATCGGCGTGAATTGGATGGGGGAAGTCGCCCTATACACCGCAAAAAAAAAGACCATGGTTAATTAAAAAAAGAAACAACCCCCAAAAACCAACTGCAAAGCAGGTAGGTTCTTATCTTACCTCCAAAATCGGCTCTTGTCCCTTAACCCCAACCTTGATACTCGTCTTCGTAATCTTAACATCTAGATCACGACCCTTCAGATTTCCCGGAACTGGAACCGTCACTTCTGCTTCGCTGATGGTCTGCTTCCATTTATATGGCAGTTGGGCTTGTTCGGCGTCTTCTTTGGCTTTGCGCTCCTTTTCTTCTTGTTCGCGTTGGGCGATGTCGACGGGCGTGGGGTCTTGTTCGGGGTCGGACATGGTGGGATGAGTGTTTGGGTATGGGGTTTATTTGGTGAAAATTCTCTTAAGAGGGGGTTGGTCTTGCGAGGTAATGAGTATTTCTTCCGTAGGATGCTCCTGGGGGGAGAAGGCGCGGGGTATGGAGGGGTTCTGGTTAGAAGGTTATCTTCTGTGTGACCTGATAGGGATGAAGAAGGCCAATTCTCAGTCCCAGAACAAGAAAAAAAAGAAGATAGGATCCAAGATACCACTTACTGATCGAGAAGAAGTTAGAAAGCAGAGAGGAATGAAGCTTAAACTTCCAGCTCCGGGACGTCAGGTTCGAGTAACTTCTCTCAGCAAGGCGGTGGGGATCCCCGCGAATACTCTAAGTAATGCAGTGCTAACTTCTAAATAGCCGCGAGAATCACCCCTAACTATATGTATGTACTTGCTACACATCAGTATTATCGTCAGTCAACTGGGTTTGGTTCCTCTGTTAACTTATCAACCTCGTGGACTTTTTGGGAGCTTCTTTATTTTAGGGATAATGCTGAGTATATCAGGTTCACCTTTCCTTGCCCCCATAATACATAATCATCTGTTTGCAGCCACAATACCCGCTATACGTTACGGTATGTACTATGAAGTCTTTAACTGTCTAAGAGATAGTCTGGAAGATGGATGCCGGAGATGAACGATAGTGTTAATGTATGCGAAGTAAAGATAATATCAGGTTCTTAACTAAGAATCAAACAATCATCAGATGAACTCGATACAGCACCGGCTGCAGCTGTGAAACAGATGGCTACTTTTTGTACCAGATATTTAGATGCCTTGAACTCCAGCCAGATAGTGATGTCCATAAAAGTCAAATCAAGTCGAGATAGATGGCTCGACGTCCCAAAGAATCCATACGCCGGGCTCCCTCCGCCGGTATGGCTCCGCTGCCTACCGGGCAGATGCAACTTTGCGCCAAGGTAACGACCAGAAGGTAACGACCAGAATCAAAGGCAGATAGATGACACAAGTGAGAAGTAAAATCTACGGACAAGGACAAGGAAGAAGAGCGATACCCGTCTCCTATCCGTCCGTGTTCGGAGTCGACATGTCCTCGAGATTCAAATCAGCATCCACAGCCATATCTGACACAATATGATGCTGCTGAGGATGCTGCGGACCGCTATGTGCAGTGTCATGCGGCGCAGTGCTCCGATCCCCATCCTGGATATGGCCGAAGAACTGGCCTGCAAATTCGGCAACCTCATTCGCGATCTTCCGCTCGAGGATATCCTCCAACATTTCCATGTCCTTCTTCCACTTCTCCTCCTTCCGCGCTCGTTCTTCTTCCGCCCGACGGCAAGTGCCATCACGCTCCCGTACCTTCAGACAGTTCGGGCAGAGGTAATTCACCTCGCAGTAGGAACATGTGCAGGGTGGGTTCGCCGCGAAGCAATCCTGGCACACGTGGATCGAACAGCTGGTGCACTCTCGCAGGACACTCGCGCAACGTTGTCGTTGGTCTCCCACTGCACGGTACTGGGGGCAGAAGAAAGACTGGCAGCCTTGCCATCTCGGAACGTCCGTGGCGGCTTCGAAATATACAGACGAGGGAGACGACGAACGCGACCGATTAGAATAAGTCGGCGATCCTGCTCGAGATGGCCGTCGATTTCGAGTACTCTGCTCTGGCTCATCGAGAAAGCCTTGCATGCCGACCGGAGTATCCGCGGGATGATCACCGACTACACTGCTGGCTGAAGAATCTCGCATTCTAGCCGCACCAGGAGTATCGTGCTGAGATACAAAGACGTTGAGTCCCGGCAGAGAGGGACCAGCCAAACGTGCCTCCAGACTCGCTGCTGTCGGGGTAGGCCTGCTTTGGATCGCCATCTTTTCCAGAGCTAGATCCTTGTATCCGCAGATACGCAGACGGAGACCGCGGAGGTCATGCTCCATGCAAAGTGGTTTTGAACAGCTCTTACAGTGGACTTTCCACTGCGGAGAATCATAGCATTCCTGACACAAGTTGCGCGGACACGCTGATACCTGGCGGGTAGGCGGGCCTAACAACCAACGCATCATCTCGATATGACCCGTCTCGAGCGAATAGTCCGGGTTCCGGGGGTCACCATACGCATCCTTAGGGAAGGTCTTGCTCCATTCATTCGTCGAATATTCAGGGTCTTCCCAACCGTGGCCCCGTGGCAAGGGAACAGCTCGGACGAGGTCAACGTCTCGATTGGCAGTTCCAATGCTGATTCCACCACCGCCAGAGAAGATGGGTTCAGTACAGCACCAGTGGAACTTGAGGGATGGATACTGGGCAGGGCCCACTGGATTAGCTGTGTTCATTATCACGGCATCCGACGGAGGCTCCTGCATGATGCACGGGGAAATAGTTGCACCAGGCGCCCACCAGAACGTCTCTGCAGGAGCATCATTCGATGTCCGTGGCCTATACCGATGATACGGCCTATCGTAAGCACAGCTTGCACATAGAGTCTTTCGACATCCAACACAGTGCATCAACACGCTGCATTGCTCGCATCTCTCGGAGATGTCCTCGAAGCACGAATCGCATTTGATATTCTCGACAAACTGCCTGTGGCTGCGTCTGAGATGCACAGGGGCCATCTTCCCTTCGCCACGTGCCCTTCCATCTCCCGTTCCCAGCGGTTCTCCATAGCATCCAGACTCATCATGTTCCCAGAGTTTGCCGTCTCTCTTCATCGGGTACTCTCCCTTCTCGCTGACAGGACCAATCCAGTTCTTGGACCTCCAGAGTCTGTCGAACACCACCCATACCTCCGGTGCACCTTGCGGGACTCTCATCGAGACATATCCGCGTCGTCGGAAGCATCGGCCAGCGGGCGTCGTACACCACGCCGTATCCGTCCAGATTCCCAATTTGTGGCACAGGTTGACCAGTTCATGGGTAGGCTCTGAATCCGAGTCCTTACGCAGCAGAGAGGATGATAGATAAGGCCGTCGTCGGTGATGTCGACATCTGTAGGTGTACAGGCTTTTCAGTGCAAGCTGCTTCGTAGACGCAGAGCTTCCGATATTCTTCGACATGTCAACATCATATTGGAGCCCGAACATAGTCAGATATGGAATGATATGATATTTGAGGGAGACATTCTTGCAGCCGCGAACAGAGAGATGTTCCAGTGTTTCTCGTCGGGAGTGTAACACGGTCGAGATGAGGATCTGTCCAGACACCGCTGTATTATCCAGTTCCAAGCTCCTCAGACATGGGCTCAACGGTATCACCACGGTCATCAGCAGCTGATCAAGCGCATACGGACGGGATTGTCGTGGAGTGCCAGGATCAGGACTGCCTGGGATCAACGGGCGAGTCTGCGTCCCCGACGGGAAGAGTAGACGGAACGATAAGTATTTCCATGCTGTGGGGTACGATTTTAGGAAGTTTCGGAGATACCGGGAGGTGTGGTAGAGTTGAAAGATGGTATCAGTGGGCGATTGGAGGAGCAGAGATTCGAGGATTGGGGCATGAGTCGAGAACACGCGCTCAAACGTTGACAGCGGGCGCTCGACGGGAACGGCAGCTGGAGTCTTCGCATTCCCTATGATGGACACCGTCTGCGCGGGCGTCTCAGCCATACGAGCAGCCTCATGTCCGGCGAGGTTGTTTTCCGGAGACATGGAGGGCGTCTCACGTCGAGTGCAGAGTCGATCGGAGGGTTCGAGGGAGAAGCGTAGGGGGGAGCGCAGACATCATATGGCGGGCAGAGAGGACGCTGTTGTCGGAGGGTGGGCGACAGAACACACATCCAGGACGTCCACCCTATCTCCAATGAATCGAGCAAGGGGACTGACCTGGCGAGTCGGGATCTGGTGGCATACAATCGAGCCCAACACGTTGAGCTGGCAGAGCGTCAACAGGAAGTTCGAGACGCTGGTGCCGTCATGTGATAGGGCGGAGGCCCGCCCGAGGTTTCTTTTGTTAATTAGTTAGTTGTTGAGTTAACCAACTTATCAGTCAGTCCCTTGCCAGCCCCCTTGGGGAGAATACGAACAGTGCTGGTGCCAATAGTCGCTGTCGATCGGTTGGTTATGCTCTGGAGCAGCGATAGTTCGTCTCCTTTCAGTCCGATCGGTAGGCCATTTGGGCCGCGTGACATCATATAGCATCAATATTGAGGTTATTATACCTTTTTATCTCTTTGCGTGTTATTGGTCTACTCTATCCAACTGCAGTCTGCAGTTGTTTCCTTTATTAAGAACCATCCTGATTGATTATAGCATTTCAGATGTAACACTCGAGAGAGAGGGGTAAGATGTATTTTCTTTCCAATCCAATGTTGACAGGAGTATGTATGTATCATGCAGACAAAAAACCAGACAAAAAAGCCTGAATCATGCATCATATAGAGCAGAGTTATCCGACCAAAATGCATAGAACAATAAGACCATCTATCAAGAGTTCATCTTCTCTCTTCCTCTCTCCAACGCCCGTTCTCTCAACATCCACACATAAGCCAGCGCTGCAGGGGAGCCACACAGAGCAGAGACAACAATAACAGAAAGGAGACCCCCGCGCAGTTCAATCCCAGGAGCCTTAATACGTGCAAGATCCCAAACAGTGAAAACACTCCAGAGGAAGATAGTCGACGTAAGTGAATTCGACGGTGCAAGAAGATGATAAGCGAGAGAAAGTGAAAGTCCCTCCTGTTGAGCAATCCCCGTAATAATGCGTAACAGAGACGCCGAGCTCGTCAGAACAAGTACAAGCGCCAGCGTCCCCCAGAGATATTTAATATCAGAATTCCCTTTAAGAGCGGAAATGTCACGTTCACTGGATAATCTGAACAACTTCATCGTCGCGAAGACCATCGCAGGGTAGAGCAATTGTGCTGTTCGCCAGGAATAAGTCATGTTACTGAGGAAAGCGCTCGAGTCGGATAAATTCAACTCAGGTGCAATGGTCGTGATGGCCGGAGTCGCACATGTCAAGATGAGGACTGGCAAGAATGTTCGCGCTGTTGGAACGGACATGGCTCGGGGCGCGGGGAAGTAGAATGATCTCTTCTGGCTGACTAGCACGTAGAGGGAAATGTATAATATTGAAACGAGGTCATATCCGAAGATATAGGCCATCGCTGACCAGAACGTAGAACTGTGAAGAAAAGGTCATATGAGCCACAGGAAGAAGCATCTGATGATAGGATGGGAACCACTCACCTCCAGAGAGGGGTCATGGTAGATCCTACTCTATACGACTCAATTGTCCATATCACTGAGAGGACTAGTGGATATAGACTAGAATATACTTGCGCGTTTTGTTGTAGCGAGTGATTCAAGTCTGGTTTTGGTAAAGATTCACCAAACACAGAACCCAGACGAGAGATCAGAAAGGTAAGCAAAAGGCCCAGCACGAAGAGCAAGGTGTGCGTTCCCGCGCGTTGTTGAGGTCTCATCCGTATCTCGTCATCAAACCCCCATGAAGTCGGAATTGAGGGTACCGGAAGGGCTGCAAACCGTTGACCGGCACTGAACCGTGAAGCTGTTTCGGAGATCATGAAGCCCGCCGGTAATTTTGGGATGACCACGAGCTGCAGGAACTTCGGTATGGGACCGTCGAGCATCTGCATCTTTTGCACCTCATGACCCTGAGCAGAAGCACCTCTTACTATTTCCTCTCGGGAATTCTGAAACCGTCGAAACATCTCGGTGATGGAATCCTGGCTAGGATCTGGTTCTTTTTGTAGACCTTCCGCAAGTACGTTTGCCAGCGCAGCTGCACTTTCAATCGCATGGCCGCCACCTGCGCCGATGATGGGATGGATCTTATGAGCAGCATCTCCCACAAGGACCATTCGGGGACCAAACCACTGCTTCATCACGCCCTCCTCCAGGGTGATATAGACGGAGCGCTTCTTGCGCTTGTAGAAATCGCCAAACGTCACGCCGTCCACTACGTGATCACTCAGATACTTCTGGACGAATTCCTGCTCCTCTTCCGCCGAATATCGCTGCCCATAGGGACCTGATGTGACCTCTTTGCTTGGAATGAAGAAGGCCCAGTACGTCATCCCATTCTGACTGGGAGAGATGAGATATGTGCGTTTTTCATGGACGGAAAGGTAAAATGCGGTCTCCGATATGGTTGGGACATCGAAAGAGCTTCCGAATATGCAGCTATAAGTGCTTGACATGGCTATTCATTTGGCACAGATTTTAATCATAGACCTTCCCAGAGCATCATATCGAATTTCGTCGGGGAAATTGCTACTGGGAAGGTAGGTATTAACGAACTTACATTTTGCGTCTTCTTCTCCTAGGAGATCAGATTTATCTTCTCGTGCAATCCTCCACATCTCTTGTCTGACTGCGCTGCGTACCCCGTCTGCCCCGACGACAATATCTCCTGTCCATGTGGAGCCATCCTCGGTCGTGACCGTTACTCCGGATTTAGTCGAGGAGATGTTCTTTACACGTTGGTTCGGATGCACTCTAGACTTATCTTTCAGGTTTTCGTACAAAATCCGAATGACGTCTCTTCGCGCTATAGAAATCAACGGGTATCCTATACTGCAGTCAAAACAATCAGCTAAAAGCCACCGAATATCGAAGCAACAGCTCCCGAAAGAATAAAGCAGTAAGTATATATATCAATATAGGCAAACCAACGTTTCAACCGAGTCCCTTCCATGATTCTTCCCATTTAATAATACCTCCCCCGTCGGCCCGATAACATATACTTCTTGAACGAAAATAGAGCATTCTTTCATCGCATCATAGCAGCCTAGTTGGTGGATGATACGGGTTCCGTCAGGTTGCATCGCCAAGACATAACCCATGTCTGGTGCGATGGTGGGATATGCTTCTAGTAATTCGTACTCGATCCCATGGTGTTCTAGCATGTTGGCGAGTGCCATGCCAGATACACTGCCTCCGACGATGAGGACTTTGAACGGAGCCATTTTTTTGAGGCAATCTCAAAATTCGAGTTTATGTTGACTTGAGCTTGAAATGGCGGAGCTGTGATCGAATGGAGGAATGGACGCTCTATTGTATTTGTACACACGAAGTAAAAGAAAATCATCTGATACAATATAATTTCCAACGATATTAGATCTCGATTGGAGAACGCGTTAGCAGCCCAAGGTGAGATTCAAAAAAATCCCCCAGCTAAATTACGTGGCTCGTCAGTATCCCGAGATTAGGCCAGCTAGTTAGCAGCAGCTAGTGAAGCGATGTCTGAAGGACTGTCCAGTCGATGTCACGAGCTGGTCAAGCCGGCGAATTTTATTTCTATAGTTCGCTGACTTGGGGGCCGAAATTGACGGGCCGGTCTGAGTGTTTGAATTGGCCCCCATTGTCCGTCTTTTCTTATACGCGCGTTAGAGCGGGCCTCACAGTTATGAGCCAAACTACAAAGGGATGCAGAAATAGCTTAACTTGTGTGAAGAATGCAAATCCAAAAGAGATCTATGCACTGGGCACTTCTAATGTTGGATTCTGGTTCAGAAGACCATCAGATGGCGTCAATGGTTCAGATTCATAAGTAACATGCGAGATGAGAATGCCGATCTATATATTTTGAGAGGTATCGCTGATCATAACGCCCTGTGATGCATTCTATAGAAAACGCCCCAAGTACACTTTTCTTTTATCGTAAATGCTGCCAGATGCAATGGGCCATTAATGCTTCTCTGCCGAATCTCCCACCGTGTATCCTCTCGCAATGCCCTTGCGGCCTTCCACCACGAGGGTGCTGTCTCGCTCTTCATCCTCGTCATAGCGAATGTCAAAGTCACTTCCCAGACCCTTCCATGTGCGCTGCGAGCGTAGGAATTCTGCGCCCGGGGACAAAGCCCCTCCAATCATGGCAACATCACCCTTCGCTCGTCGCGCCAGAGCTCGAGCTGCTGCAGGACTCCTGGCAGTACCGTCCGATGCAAAAGCAGCGGAGTCTTGCATCGGCCGCGAATACGAAACGTATCTACCGGTGCGGAGGTCGAATTCAGGCGGTGCTGATTCAGGCTCAGACATATCGTCCTCGTTGACCTCATCACCGGTGGTCTCGTCGTTGCCAACAGTTTCAGGGCCGTTCTGTTGATCTGCAGGCATGTTCTTCCGAGCTTCAGCATCATCCAGAATAGTCTGGTAGTCACTCCGCCATGCGCCAGTCCAGACACGGTCCATATCGCCCTTGAGCGCCAATTCCAGCTCATATGGCGTGATGACCGGCTTCCAGAAGTCCTTGCTGTCCACGAGCGAGCTCTCCCAGCAGCCGATCACGACCCATCCTCCAATCTCGCTAAAGTTGGCTACTTTAGCCGCGTTCAGCTTGCCAACGACGAACATGTAGCTCTTCTTGCCAGCGGCAGCGATCTTTGATTTCACATGGTCCACGATATGAAGGTAGTTCTTCACACTGAGGGTATTAATGAGGATACCCCAGACAGGGACGGTGGTCAAGGAGGTCAGGATGGCATAGCGGCGCCGCAGGGCAGCTGCCGTAGAAGCAGGCAAAGACTTTACTTCTTCGTCTGGCTTGTCCGTCGGATAGATATGAATTGCTGCGACGCGGGAAGACAGCGTCAAAAGGAGCGCGGTGGGTGGATCCGAGATGTGGAAGAGCTGCCACTCTTGCAACGAATCCGCATTCTCTGCCACAGACTCCGGCACTGTCCTATTCGGTATAGCAGACGAGGGCTCGTGCAGAACCTCCGTCGCAAACAAATTGCTGTATCCCTCCTCCACTAGCCTGGTATACACTAACGGCACATGATCAGAGTAGGTCACATCCGCAGCAATGATCACCTTGGTATCTTTTTCCGGATACGTTTCCTTAAATGCCTTTACCAAATTATCCAGCGATAGCGACTTATGCGTAAACACATATATGACCGGTAGTCGCGCCGTCGGGGACAGACAGGACCGCCCGTAATGCACAACCACGTCGGCGTTGACATGTTCCGCAGCCACCTCGTCCACGCAGCATGTACCGTAGGATGTGTCGGCCAGAATGTACATTTTTGGAGACTCTTCCTCCGCAACATCGATTGTAACCTGCGATATATCCTTCTCAAGACTCTGCATCGTCGATACACCGTTCGTCGTCCCGGTCGCATGGTCATTTGCGCTCGCTACATCCTTTCTCTGCAATCCGCGACTCAGCAATTGAAATACCCGCGGTGCATCCGGGAGCATATCATCCGGAAACTGCAGAGCAATACGCTTCCATCGCCCTTGGCGGATCTCTTTCAGAGTACGTTCGATATCGTAGGTGATGGCGAGCTCTTCATCCGATAGCGTCTTGCTCGTATCCGGCGCCACTGCGGGCGTGGTGGCTTCGAGGATATGCGTGTCTGGGGTCGACAGGATGGGCGCTGCCTTCATTTCCTCGGCCATCTTGAGCGTAGGTCGTGCCCCTGGTGGGCGTTGATTGTTATTGTTATTTCGCTGTTGGTGATGGCTGTAGTAGCGGGGTAACTTTTCTGGAAATTTTCCAGGCACTGCCTTTTTTTTTTGGCTTCGGATCGTCCGTGTTCGGGTTACCCCGCGGTCAACAGCAGCCAATCGGCGGGGCTGCGAATTAATTATTCTGCCATGCATGCTTACTGGTGATTAACATATTTATTGTGGTATAGTTTTGGTTTCAATGGCTACGAGTCTTTAATTTCAGCTATAATATTATTCTCGATGAAATATATTTCTAGTTAAGGAACATGTTGAAAAGTGTTGCTGTATCGTAGACAATTATACCAGCTTTGAGTACGCCATGCAGTTGAGGATAGAGAATGTCATCCTACATTCTCAGCCATCACATGTACAGTGAGAGGTTTAATTTTAATTATCTTATGGTTCCTCCTATATATACATCTGCACATTCCATCACAGATCCGCACGAGCAGGCTCACCAGCCCACACACGACGGATCAGTTCGCGGATGGGAGCTCTCTCGATCTCTCTGGGGTTCCAGTAAGGGTTGCTGACGGCAATATCTGCTGCCTTGTCGATGTCCTCCTCCTTCATTCCATAGTCCTTCAGACCCCTCTTGACCTGCAGCTTCTCCAGCAGCACGTTCAGGCCGTGGATAGCATCTCCATTGCTCTCGGGAAGCGCCTCTGCGAGCTTCTTCATGGCCTCGGGGATCTTAGGAGCGTTGTAGGAGATGGCGTGTGGCAGGACTGCAGTGTGCGTCTCGGCGTGTGGGAGATTGAAGCTTCCACCCAGGGTGTGGCAGAGCTTGTGGTGGATAGACATGCCCACGCTGCCCAGACATGTTCCGCAGAGCCAGGCACCGTACAGAGCCGAGGAACGCGCCTCAGTAGAAGATGGATCCTGCACGATCTGGGGAAGAGACGAGGCGAGAGCTCTGGTACCCTCGATGGCCATGAGGTTAATGATAGGGTTTGTGTTGCGAGCGTAGAGCGCCTCGACTATTGCAGACTGTCAACTTCTCTTCTCTTCTCATCACTCCATCTGCAAGGCATTATGTCCTGTACTTACCTGCGTGCGCAATGGCGTTGACACCGCTAGTGGCACTCATCGATGCTGGCAGCGTCATGGTCAAGTCGACATCGTAGATGACAGTACCGGGCAAAATCTTGGGGTCACTGCGCGTCTTCTTGATGCCGTCGGCCGTCTCACCCAGAATGGGCGTCATTTCACTGCCCGCATACGTCGTCGGGATGCAGATATGCGGCAGACCGGTACGGACACTGATAGCCTTTCCCAACCCGATCGTGCTACCACCGCCAATCGAGATGACAGAGTCAGCTCCCTGTGCCTTGGCGTACTCGAGCGCCTTGTCTGTGATATGGGTGGGAGTGTGCATAGTGGCCTCGGTGAAGACACCTGCGACTTTCCCCTTGAGGATCTCCTTGAGTTGCTCTGCTTGGTCGACCTGCTGAGGCGTCGAGAGCAGCAGCGGCGCAGAGAGGTTCAGTCGAGCGATCTCATCAGGAAGCTTCTGCAGCGTGCCCTGGCCGAAGACAACGCGGCCTGGGTTGGGGTTATACTCGAAGGATCCCACCATCTTGAACGGGTGTGGTCGTGTAGTCGCAGAGGAAAAGAATCGGTATCGAGAAGCTGCAGTTCTCTTAGACCCAGATCTATTAGCAGCAATCGTAGAAGCAAGATTGGAACGAGACAACGACAATGTCAAGCAGTTCGTATGCGGAGATAAATATCCACTCGTGGTATTATTATTAGCTCCAGTCCGAGTGATCCAGTACCCCCCAGCAGGAGCAGTTCCCCTCAGACACAGAGTCAGCACCCTCATTCTTCTTAAGTTATTAGCGAAGGCGCCTGTAGAACAACCGTTCTCTTTCTCCCCTCCATACTTAGACCCCACCACTCCTTTTTTTCTTCTTTTTTAAACGTCATTGGGACAATAATATGAAACTTGTGGTCGAGCACGGCGAGGGCAAAACACTTTGCCGTCGATCGTCCCTCTTGCGGGGCAGTTTAAGCACCCCGCGACAGTTCCCACACGCAGTATAAATACTCGGGAAGTGTACGATTTTGTCAGATTTCTATACGTTCTTCTATGATAATTGTGTCATTGTATTTGATATAAAGCTCTTAAGATACCGTCTTTCCTCAATTATTTCTATGCTCCATGAGAAGAAGCATCATGAAACAATACTGCTCGTGTATATTTGCGCGTTTGACCGGCAAAGATGAAGAACTGCATTACCGGAATGCCCCACCATGATCGACTTGGAAGATCTGACTAAGTATTACGGATCTGTCATGCTAAGCTCCAGTAAGTAGTGGAAGCTTAGAATATAGATATTCGTCTATCTATGCAAATGCAAAATAACTGTCCTGGCTCCAGTAGATGCCTCTTCAAGTCCTCCCGATTGATGAATACTTCGCTGCGCTGAAGGATACAATTATTATCCCTTGGACAATGGCGTAGTCTCCCCTAAGAGGCATTTCATTAATCTACGGGGTGAGAATATCGATACAGTTGCCATGCAGCTGTACCACAGCAGAATGGTAGCATATGTAGAGTTTTGGTGGGACGCTGTCCATTTCCCTCTCAAAAATATATATCTGAAGACCAGAATAAAATCAACACCGATGCTATGCTAGTCAAAGGCACTTTTTTGTCCCCGTCGGGAAAGGAGCGCAACTAGTCAAGGTCCTTGAAGGCCATAACATGGTGACCTCCAGAACGGTCTTTTCCCTTGCCCCTCTTCCGCTTCTTGCGTCTTCTCCCGCCCTCCTGTTCCTCGTCACTGTCTTCCATGAACATCCTAGCCTTGGCACCGTCGCTGTCCTCATCGCTGTCACTGTCCATCATCTGCTTCGCCATGGCGCTTTCCTCACTGATCTCCGCTTCGTGCCAGACCTTGACGACCTGGCCACCGCCACTGACCATGCGGCCCTCAACATCGAAGCCCAGACCGACAACGCCCTCAACTTCGTCGTGCATCACCTTCGAGACGACCTTGTTCGCACCGATAGTGACGAACTCCACACGTCCGTCACCCAGGCCGACAGCGATCATCTTTCCCTTGCCCAGCTCTTCTGGAACCAGAGTGAGAGTCTCGAGGGACTCTCCACCTGCAGTGCCGCGGTCAACGATGATTCTCTCATCTTGATCGTCCCACGCGCCCTTCTCCCAGAGCGTCAATACACCACTGGCACCGCCCACAATGACCTTCTCTCCACGGCTGGAACCGGTGGAAGCGAGACCACCGATGTAAACGGAGCTGATCAATTCTTCCTCTTGGTCCTCACTGCGAACCATGACACCACGGCGGAGATCCGTGACGGCAAGAGTCGTACCACCCGTAGTCACCCATTGTTTGCTAAACCCAGAAGTACTAGTTTCTGACGGAGGCAGTGGAGTGAGAGAGGAGACGTAGTCATCGTGAGGGTGATGTGTCTGCTCCGGCTTTGCAGAGACGGCCGAGTAGGGAATTCGGAGATCATAGAGGTGAAGAGCGCTGGAATCTGTAGCAAGGATAAGGGTTTGTGGAGAAAGCGCATGGATAACCGTAGGTGCATCCACTTGCGATCCAGTTCTATAGAGCAGGTTAGCTGCTGGAAAGAAAAAAAATATAGACACATCATGCGTAGCTCTGTGGAGTCCCATTAAAAGGTAACAAATACAGACAGACTCTCTTTCAGTGCATTCGAACCTGCTAAAAGCCATTGGCCACCTACCTATCGTTCACAGGGGGGATAATGATCTTATTCTCCACGACTCCCGTCTCCGTCTTCGCAGCTTTGACAATCCCGTCCGTGCCCGCAGAATATAATGTCTCGCCGTCAATTCCATATGCTAGAGTTCGACAGCTTCCCTTGTGCCGTCTTGTCCGCCACATCGTGTCTATATGGCCGGTGCCATTGGACGACGTTGCGCTGGGTGCGCCTTCATCGTCACTGTCATCGCCATTGGATTGTTCCGTAGACGGTAGACGGAAGGTCTGCACATGGCCCGAGGACAGCCCAACAGAGACCACCGACTGAGTTGGATGGATGGCCTGGGCGAACAGGTCGTGGCTGAGAGGAAGGGTGCAGACCGTGTCGAACATGGCGGACTGGCGGTGCGAAAGGCAAGGCGGACTCGCAACTTCAGAGAGCAGGACGATTTCTTGTGGTGCCTGAGGCGGGAAAAAGTTAATGGGGGAGACTTGGCGGTGGAGCGGGCCGGGGAATCTTCCGGGGTTATACTGTATTTATGCCATCTTGTATAACTAAGAAACATAACTATATTTTATATTTATTCATTCAGACATGCAAGCCATCTTTCATTTAGCGAATTCCTTTCTCTTTTAATCTATTGATTGCATAGCTTCATATATCACAGCTTCACCCTGTTGTGTCCCACAGTCCACTTCCACTCTGGCAGGACATGGAGATATCTCGGAGACGCCCTAGGAGCTCCACCAAAAAGAAGGGCTGGTGGATCCCCTCGGTCGGAGGCTTTATCGTTAGGCTATTTAATCAAAAGCTGAAGTTCTCCCTATCTAACCTCGGCATCACCCGTCACCACCACACGGGGATCGTAGTAATCAATTAATTCACTACCTAACTAACTAACTGGAGACCAGGTCAAAGCACTGTCCGAGGAAGCTGGGATCCAGAAGGGTGCAAAACTTCCTTTGCCCTGTTGATCACCACTGTCCTCACCTACAGTCAACCTTCGTATTAACGGAACAATGGCCTGGTTCACTGAAAACACCTCGTCTTTCCTGTCCGATACCCTTGCCAACCAGCAGACCCGTCTGCCCTTTTTCGCAGTAACGGGCGCGTCGTTTGCCCTGGGTGTATACTTGCACAGCCTCTTGTCGCGGAAAGACGATACGCCTCGCATCCTCGCCTCCCCGCTAAGCACGCTGGTGCCTTCGTTGACAGATGCCGATAAGGCGAAACTGCCCATCCCTCTCGATGTGCTGCCAGGTGCGCGCGACGTCCTCACACCATATGGTTCGATTCGAGTGTATGAATGGGGCCCGGAACATGGAGAGAAAGTCGTGTTCGTCCATGGTATCACGACCCCGTGTCTGGCAGTAGGTGGAATTGCGCATGAACTGGCAGACAAGGGATGTCGAGTGATGCTGTTCGATCTGTATGTCGTCCTTTAATCCTCAACATCGTCTACCCATATCATCGTCAATTTCCCGCGGAAAGCACCTGCTAACAAGTCCAGTTTCGGTCGCGGCTATTCCGACTCCCCTGGAGACATCCCGCAAGACACGCGCCTCTTCAGCACACAGATCATGCTGGCGCTTTCTTCTTCTCCCATCTCATGGACTGGAAATGGCTCCAAGTTCCACTTGGTCGGATACTCCCTGGGTGGTGGAATCGCAGCCGCCTTCGCATCCTACTTCCCCCAGCTCCTGGCGTCTGTGATTCTTCTGGCGCCCGCAGGCTTGCTCCGCGACACCCATATAAGCTTGCAGTCGCGTCTGCTCTACGAGACCAGCATTATTCCCGAGAACATCCTCGCGTACCTAGTTGGCCGACGCCTCAAGTCGGGTCCTCTGATCAAGCCCAAGCCACGGAGCCAAATTAAGTCTTCTGGGGGAGAGGAGGTTAAGGACAGCAAATTGAGTGCTGAAGACGCCCTTACGGAAGAGCTCCAACTCGATGCGCCGCAGCGTCTGTCGAGAGCCTATCCGAACATCACCGTCCCCGCCGCGGTCAACTGGCAGGTGCACACTCATCAGGGTTTTGTCCAGTCGTTCATGTCCAGCATGCGACACGGACCGATTCTCAAATCGAGACAGTTGAAGACATGGCAGCGGCTGGGTAAAGCCCTTTCCGATCATTCCGGATTGAAAATCCTTATCCTCTGCGGCGACCATGATAATATCATCATCAGGGACGAGCTCGTGGAAGACGCGACAGCAGTGCTGGGCAAGGAGAGTGTAGAGTTTGGTTTCTTCGATGCGGGACATGAGTTCCCCAGTACGAAACCAGAGGAGGTGGCTGAAAGGATCCTGTCGTTCTGGGGCAAGGTGTGAGTTCCAGCCTAGGACTCCATCCTTGGTTACGATTTCCTTCATTCATCCCCCGTCTTGATTCTTCCGCGGTTCCATTTCAACTTAGCGCTATGCATTACGGTTCATTATTATTGTCATGCCTTGTGTTCTTTCCCATGTACATACACATACACATATAGACCTCTAGAGCAACAACTTCTGCACATGTATATACACAGTACACAAATATACATAGAGTAGACATTACATACCACATATTATATCTCTATACAGACATACACAACTCCTTTACCTATTCATGAACTACACATACATAAATCACAGCAACCAAAACCAGTCAACCAAGAAGATCCAAGTTACCTAAGTACTCAAACCTCAGGCACAAACCTTGTACAGTACATACAAACCACCATCCACATCACCACGTGTTCACGTAGCATGTACATGTACAATGTACATGTAGAGTACAATACATGCATATATGCAAGTCAACTTCAAGCCGCTGTACATATTACTTGCAGTACATATTACCCGGGAAAAAAAAAAAAAAAACTTAATCTGGCATTCCCGTCTTCACCGCCGCATAACAACAACTTTCATACCCAACCTCAGCTCCGAGAAGGTCCCTGAATCTCAGTTCCCTCGCGAAACCCTGCATTTGGGATCGTATCGTATACTGGTCGATCTGGTTAACAACGCAGCAACTTGGTTCGATTTGAAACTTTGCGGGTGGTTCGCAGATAGATGAACCACGTTGATGCTGGGGGGGTTTGGTTTGTTTTCTCCGGTTTCTCCGGTTTCTCCTACAGGGTGGGCAGTGTGGTTGTGGGCTATAGGCGTTTTCTATGGGTATATAGAATTGAGAACGGCGGTGAAGGAATTTTGAGGGAAACAGGGGGGGGTTGCTACGTCACGAGGAGGCTCACAAGAGCCGCTTGTTTTTTCAGACGAAATGCTTGCTGATATGTCCCAAGGGGAGACGGAACTGTTTGATCGACATTTGTAATATGTGTAATTGTTCAATGCAGTTCTTTCTTGATGCCCAATATCTCTTAGGAGAACATGATGGACTCCGATGTTCATCCCACACCGGAGTTGCTGATCAACCAAAATGAGACCCTAACACCGCGCTTCCAAACCATGTGCCCTGTCGAGATGATATCTAACCGTCATGAAGATGAACCAAAAGGTATATGAGAAAAGTAAAAAAAGAAAAATCAATAATGATACAAGGTGTCAAGGAAGAAAAGAAAAGGTCGAAATGTGGAATCGGAACTTGAGCCCCTCCCCCGCACTAGATAGACCGCCCCCTGCTTTGGCGGCCCCCAGAACGAGTCTTTGGTAACTCGAGCACGACAGCTCACCGCCGGCTTGGGAATAGGCTGTTCACGTTGTTGATTTGCCTCTGCAGCTCTGCGCTGTGCTGTGCGCGGTTTGACATTGCGGCTTTGGCATAGTATGGGCCGTTGCCGGTGTTAACATATTCATCTTTTGTCACTGGCGGGACATGACGGAGGGCATCTGCGGTGAGGCGTCCTTGGCCATGGTTGTTTCCATGAGCCGCTGCATTGTTTGTTCTACCAGGATGGAAAGCGGCCGTCAGTTGCAGGCAAAGGAAAGCAGGCACAGTGACAATCCTGGGACGAAAACCAGAGAGCCATACCCAGAAAAAGCTTGGCCGGGATTTGAAGACATAGTTAGGCACGCAATGTGAAGGGCAGAGATAGATGGCCCCAGAGCAACGAGCCGATCAAGTCGGATATAGCGATGCAAGAGAAAGATAACGAACTCCAATCACGCTGGGAAGAAAGAGAGAGGATGTTATATAGCGTGTTATATAGCGTTGTGAGATCGATTGACACCTTCACGAGTGCAAGTAGTATACCCAAAGAGGGAGGCAGTAGGGGGAGCCAGATGTCAAGAAGGAAAGGGACCCGGCCATGTTCGAAGAACATTATATACTCAGGCACAAATGCTAGCTCCGGTCTATGGGAAAATGAAATCGAGTCGAGGCATCCGCAGGCAACTAGTAGAAGGGAAGGGTGAGAAGGAAAAAAGGATTATAAGAAAGTGCACCTCGACCGACACCGGGGCTCATCACCACGACAGCGGATCAGATTTGTTTGGCCAGCTCAGTTGGTTCCTGCAGACATCAATCCACCAGCCACAATGGCACCCCAGTTAGATGAGCCTGGAGACAATAAGGTATGTCATTCTGCGTTGAAAAAGATGGTCATTGGATGTAATTGGATCGTTCCCCAGGCACCAGCACCCTCGGAGAAGGATATGGAGCGGATGGATGCACGGCCACAGTGAAGCTCCTGTAAGTCGTATTTGCCACATAAGATTTATGCCCGTCAGGCGGAAAAGTCGAAACATCCAGGGAATAGAGGGGTGCAGGTGTCTGTCTGGGTCTGCGCCTCAACTCTCAAGACCCTCAGGGCCCTGGTGGATACCAGAAACCATTTCGACTCGAATGGATCGTCAATTCCTAAGGTAATTTCTCCCGCCTCACTCCAAGGCAAACAGCTATGCCCTGAAGATGGTGAACATTCGGCGAGTACGGGGTTTGGACGGGTGCGATAATGATTCCGCTCCGAGTCCAGACTTTGACGACCCCGGGCGATAAGCGTCAATTCGTCGGGAGAGATGTGGAAAACGAATGCGCAGGTTGCGGGGATAGGTATGCCTTGTGATCAGCCTAGTAAAGAGGGACACCTACTCCGTAGAAGATCATTTGGTCCAGACCGATCATTTGGTCCAGACCGTACCGGCCCATCTGATCTTTCATTCCCTCATCGTCGAATATAACAAGCTACGCAATCCAAGGTGCTCGTGTCTGTGTCGTTAACGGTTGCCGCTATCCCCGAGACGTCATCATACTTGCTGCTAGGCCAACAAGAGAAAGCGTTCGAGCAGAGGCGGACGATCCTCATAATCATGCTCTCTCTAAGTATCTGTCACGGGGTCCCCTTACAACTTCAAGATGGAGCACATCCAAGAGGATTTTGTATGTCTAGGAGAGCGTGTCCTCTTGTATTCTTCGATTGCGTCGTGACAATGTTCAGTTGGTGGGAGTAAACATGCTTACGGCAGGGTGGCCTGAGCTCTTCGTTTCGAAGATCCTTCTTCCCTAGCTGTGACACCCCAATGTATTCGCAACAATTGACCACACAAGGGAAGAGTTCTCCGAGGTTTGAATCTAGACCTGGAACAAAGTCGGATGGTCGAAGAACATCTCGGGGTCACACAGTGATCCGTCCTCACATCGGCTAGGTCTGTGTAATTTGCGTCATCAGTTTGAGAGTCGACAGAAAGCTATCAGGAGAAACGATAGCCAATTAAACAACCTGTGCTTGGCCACCTAGACAATCGGTTTCTGTAAAACACCGATTTAGGGATTGTTGAGATCCGATGCGCGCCGGGACCTAATGTTCGGGGAGATTGGAGAAACGCCTTGTGGGACGTGGGTTCACTTAATGTTCCGGACCGCGCAGATCCTACAAGTAGCATGCATCCTGTTAGGCACCGGGGACCTGGTACCTGATTTCGCGTGACCCCTAGGTTGAGGTCACCTAATGAAATGGCCTGTTTCAACTGTCCTAGTAGGAACAAGAGATGCCCCTGGTAAGAGACCGGAGCTTCATTCGTACTCCATCTGGGTGAGAAGGATATGAACTGCGCCTCGTGCAGGGTATGAGGGTGCTAGCTGTCTAGTCAAATCGTCGGCTATCGAAAACACATGAAGCACGGACTGGGGGTTGTTGATGAATGGATCCATGATGATGATGATGATGATGGCTGCCTACCTAGGTTAGACACCGAGTTTGCAGTTCTAATCAATTGAGTATATGAAACTGTACTGTTTATCATTCATCAAGAGAGATCCCCATTCAACGAGCAGCCAATCATAACCTGTTCACATCTTCTCCAGCATCATTGGTCTAGTGGTAGAATTCGTCGTTGCCATCGACGAGGCCCGTGTTCGATTCACGGATGATGCAATAGAACCACCAATTTGCTTTTTTGCTTCTGCCGCTCTTTGTTTTTGAACCCGGGAAGATCAATTCCAGCATTGACACAGCCAGGGTGACTTTGTAGCGATATGCTGTGGCTTAGATAGCTCACAAAGAGCTATGATTGAAGTGCTGACAGCGTGTCTGCCTCCCGAGTTCCGACTGTTTTGTTTTGATTTTGTGTGGCTTTGTGCCTTGCTGCCTGGATCTGTCCTTCTCCACGTGACGATATATCCGCTGTGTCTTGGCGTCGGAGATCCCACTTATCCAACCGGAAAACAACCTCCAGTTCAGACCGTAAAGATACCTCCGCTGGTAGTGTAGTATCCTTCAGTCATCTATCAAAATAGTCACAGGTCCCCTGATACGTTTCTTCCCCTGTTGAGTGGTGACCAAGGCGCACAATGGTCTTACAGCGGAGCGGGGCAGCTTGAGCGGGATCCAAATATATATTGTGAAGAGGTAAGCCTCTCTCAGATGCACAGCTTCCTAAACAACAAGGACAGAAATGGGCTACAAAGTACTTGGAAACTGATGGTTGCAATATTCTTCTCGCTAAATCTTACCTGTCTTATTAGCCACCAACGAGGAAACTTCATATCATGACGAATCAGACCTTGCCTCTGAATGCTATACAGCAAAAGATATGGGAGGGGAGACTCCCCCTGGAAATAGTCCTTTCTCCACCGGAGTGTCGAACGTACGACCAGGCTGATTCATATCTCGTAATAACATTCCAGTTCCTAGAGAGTGTTGCAGTTATGCTCATATCTTTGCTACAGATATCGTACCCACGACTGTCATATCTCCCCTCCTTGTTACCTAGGTTGCATGCATTTTTCTCGACCTCACTGATAGAACCTGATACGAAGGCCCATGAAGGCTGGTTCTCATTCGAGGGAGTGCCTCTAAAGTGGCATTATCCAGTCGGGCTTCTCTATGATCTCTATGCTGGTGCCGATCCACCTTCGAAGGCCGGCGGAGATGAGCACCCATCTCACCCTGGAGACGACGAAAACAATCGACCGCTTCCATGGCGGCTGACTGTGCATTTCAGCGACTGGCCTCATGAAGATCTTGTCAGGCTCGATCCGGATGGGATAGTCATGCACGACGCTTTCATTAACAGTGTCAAGGAGGCCGACTTCCTTCGAAATGGAAATGCCAAGGGAATCATGAGTCTCTCCAAAGAAGACTCGTCCGGTCTTTGGAAAGCCGTGCAAGAGAGTAAGTGCTTATATACGTTCCCTTTGTTTTGGCGATCCTCTACCTATCATAATATAAATACATTCCGGCTTGTTCAAGACGATAAAGTAGCATTCTAACCCCCCAGACAGATGACTTATCTTCCTATCAACGGATATCCAGCATTCTACTTCCGCCTTCATCCCAGCCATTCCGCAATGTCCCAATTCGAATATTCCTCCCTCTCCCACCTGACTCTGGATCCCCATCGCTCAAAGTCCTCCAGTCACCCCTCCCGCCAATAGCAACGGCGTCCACATCCAGCAACCCGCGCAGTTCCATCATCGGCACCCAAACTCAGACAATCGGTACAGCACTACATTCTCTTCTTCCCAATTTATTTCCTAGCCGGAGGATTCCCGTGCTCGCGAAACCGGTTCTCCATGGTGCGGTCGTGCCGATGTCTGCCCCAATAGAAGAGGTGGTCAGGAGTTCCGCATATGGTGATGGATGGGCGGCAATTGTCATTTCAATGGTTGGGTAGGTCGATTAATGAACCAAGACTTGTTTGTGCATATGAATGTCTATTTTCTTTCTCTTCTTCTAGACACGCAGCATACTATGCCGCATTTAAAGCTTTCATATTCCATATTTTTTTTTGGATTCCCGACTATGTGAGCTCTGTGCATATTGCCTTTGGATGGAAGGATCATCTGGATCATAGCGGAGGATGCGATTGACTTGGATGGGTTAACTAGTCATCCTTCCGTCTCATAGAGCCCTGTTTGTTACAGCCTAGCAGGGAGGTAGAACCAAGAGATGACACCGATAACCTGGTCTGGCCAGTAGGCATGTGAATATAACCGCTGTGGCTGAATCTGGGCGCTTACTTTCCCTGTTCCGTCCCTTGACTACTGGACAAGGGGGAGATGAAGATCCTTCAAGGCGAGAAATTACAGTTCTCCTATTCCCTTTTGTCTTACAGGAGGAATGTGTTTGAAGATTCATAACTCTGCTGATATTCAGTCGCACCCTGGCGTTCATAATTCGGTATTGCTACCGTCTGGTAATATATCTAGATAAAGACCAGTTTCCCTCCAAGATACAAGAATACATATGTAGTAAACCAAAAGAGCGCTCAGGGAGGGAGGCCCGCCAGTCCCAATTTTACCCGGAAATAAGTGGCTGTGTAATGGAAAGTGTCAGATATGGAATCAATGATAAAACAAATATGTTCAGTTGCAGATCAGATATAATGAGATTCGTGAGGGTATATTGGTATCGTATCGTCGTAACAACGTAAATAAGGAAAAATAAGAATCAAACATTGTTGCCATTGACCTGGATGGAGTCACCGTCTTCCTTTCCACGTTTGAGAGCCTTGGCCAGCATGAGCTCTCGCATCCAGTCGATCCGCTCATCTCTTGTCTTCACTGCGAAGTGGTGAGATTTGCCGTTAGTGAAGATCGCCTTGCGATCCACCGTGGCAGTGTTGTTGGTGGAAGGAATCAGGGAGAAAGCAAACGCGGCTTCATCGATCGTGTTTTCCCTACGTTTCAACACGGTCTTCTTGAAAGCAGCGGTCAGCTTGGAGCTGGATGCAAGCGAGGAGCAAGCAACAGCATAGTCGTCCACGTCGATATACTCTAGGGCTTTGGAGTCACGCCGAGAGGCCCGCTCATCGGCATACATGGAGAGCTGAGTGCCCTTCAGTACGAAGTGGTGGTCTTCCCACTCGTGGCGCAGGAGACGCGTCGTCTTGCGCTTCTTCATCCAGCCGCTATGGGTGACATCGTTGGCATTGCGTGGAGCATATGTGAATGGGCTTCTACCATGATTCGTTGCTCGAGGAGTACGGCTGAGATCTTCTGGGGTCTCGATGGGGTCATACACATCGGTTTCATCCAGACGGTCGAGGGTGGGGACATTCTGGGAAGTATTCCTGCGATGGTTGTCAACCTTAGTTGACGATGGTCGCTGAATAGGATCATGTCTGGGCATGAAGTCAGAGCCGAAACGCATGTCGGGCGGCACAGACTGAGACTCCTGGCGGGGTATAGGGCCAATAGGCACAGCAGTGATGGGGACGTCCATCTCTGAGAATGGAGTACCCTGCCGATATACAGACTCCTGACGGTAGTACTCTGAAGGCGACATCATCGAGCCATAGGTAGGTTGGTTATGAGAGACTGGAGTGGCTCCCTGAGGTGAGAATGGACGTCTCTTGTGCAATACGGAAGGGGTAATAGTGCGTTGTGCTGAGAGCGTCGCAGAGAAGCTCCCAGGTGCCGGGTTTCCGTTCATTGATGGGATCCTCAGTTTCGGAAGATTACGCAGGTTCTCAGTCAGAGTGACATTTGTCTTGACGGAATCTGGCGAGTCTGCAACTGGAGACGCAAACGCTTCTTCAGGGGGGCTCGCAGGGTTGTTGACTGGTTGCAGTCGGTTCAGATGCTGAAAGTTGAGGAACTGGCGCACATTCTCCTGGGGATCCCGCTTTTGGACTTCACTGAGCTTCTGCTCTGATATTTGGAACTCAGGAGTGTTAGGCCCAAGCACATCGGACGATGCGACAATAGACGGTGACATATCCGACTTGCTTTGGCGGACGAGGTTCGGTGCTGTAGCGGGATTCCCTGGGTCACCAGTGAGGATGCTGCCGCCAGAGAGAGACTCGAGAGACTCAATAGGTAGGTCTTGAGCCAGACGAGCGAGCTTGCGCTGCTGCCTCTGCCATTTGGGACAGTCTCTGCCCTTAGAGCAGCTGTGAATCTTCGGGAGTAACTGCTCAATGGCAACTATAGACGCCGACTCACCAGGGCGCACATCCTCCGTGTTGCGACGGTGGTGACGATGCTTTCGTCGGCGCTCCCTGGTTGGAGTGTCGGCATTCTTGTCGTCCGACGACGGGGAACCGTTGTACTCTTGGCGTGGAGGTGTAGAGGAGTGGTGAGATGCAGGCTGAGAACTGCTCCTCGACGACTCTGGCGGGGACTGTCGCGAGACGCTGTTTTCCTGGGCCTCGCCATTTCGGAGCTGTTGGATAGAGTTCATCAGACGGCGTCTCTTACCGAATGAATGGATCTCTAGTTCTTTCAGGTCCTCCGCTTGAAGCTCAAGCAGAATTGCACCAGAGATGTCATTGATGAAGAACTTTTCAACAATGCTCTCATCGAAGTCGGAGTCCTGCAGCCATTTCACAACGTCTGTGGGAGTCCAGCTCCCAACATCCGTTTCATGTGATTCAATCGCAGGTTGCGATATCGTGGGTTGCCTGGAATACTCATTCCGCAGTGATATTTGATTCCGGGCTGCTTCGACTGCTGATGTAGACGGCCCAAGACCAACGGCAGGGCTGACTGGGGAGGAGTCCTCGAGGATAAAGTCTACCTCGAAAGATGACTTGATATCCGAGCCATCCAGCGAAGATCGGAAGAGATGTGGCCCGACCGGGCCCATGACGGGCTTTTCATCAAAGTGGAACTGAAACTGATCTAGTCCTGTGGAACCGGGAGTCTGGACCTCCTCTGTAGACACAGTTGAGATACTCTTTGTTGCCAGCTGGAAAGGGCCCCGTTAGTCTAGATTTCCAGTGACAAGGTGATTTGCTGGAACTTACACTTCCCCGTGGGGAATCAGCAGCGTAGAGCTCGACGTAGTCTTCATCATAGTCAGTGTCGAAAATCTCCGTTACGTTGGAGAGAGGTCGTTGTGGCGTCGAACTCCTGGGGTTCATAAATGAGCCTATATCGCCAGTTTGCAGTACTTGCAAGCTCGACCGGTGTCCTGGTTCGACAGCCTGTATCAATGTTAGGAAGGCCAGCATGTTCAGACAAGGACGTAGATATGCATACCATTTTGCGTGTCACGACCAGGGGGCCGTAGTAGAAGGTCTATCCCAAACAAACAATGTGAGGGTAATCTTTTGCGCTAGCAATGAAGATGACAGGAGCCGTCCGTGGCGATACTTGCTTCAACAGGATGGAAGAGTAAAGGGAACAAGAGACTTTACACTTTGAAATATACACTCGAGGGAAACTATACATGAGCGATGGAAAGCAGAGTTTTAAAAGCACGATGTGGGGTAAAACGGCTGAGGAAACAGAGGGTGGATTTTGCACGTTATATGTACATACATGGCTTTCCAGGTCTCTTCTGAATATTGGGATAGCGCGGTAACTTCCATAAGCTAGGACGCCTAGGACTCTGCAGATTCGACAAGATTGTGACGAATTGCGGTAGTACTGTGAGGCTTGCATTAAGCGGATGAAACGAACCCAGCGATGGATGAGATTGCAGAGCTCTTCTTGTCTACCCTTGTCTGCTCCACGCTGGTTGGCGTATCATTTTCGAGATTTAATTATGGCTCTCTCGGCACGGAGCGGCGGGAGGATCCTACATGCTTCTGCAAGCTCGTTGGATGGACTTCGAGAATTTCCGCCTGTCGCTGGGCGCGTTACTGAGCATTGAAGGAGGTTGTGATGCGGGCGGATAGAGAATGGTCCTGACAGGTCAGACGGCGTGCAGCTAAAAGCGCCCAGCACGCCCGTCGACCGTTCAGAGAGCCAGTCTACGCGCCGAGTCCAGCATCCCTGAAGCGCTAACGGCCTCAGCGTGCAGCAGAAAAAGAAAATGAAGACTCTGAATGATCAACGACTGGACAGACAGCGGTATTCTAGTGCAGTAGCTCGAGTGACGAGCAGAATCACCCCGACTGGCGATCGATACCTCTCCGCCAGTCTGCTCGTTGCGATAGGGTCACGCTCAGTAACCACCCGATTTGGCCGCAATGTCGATAAATATAGCTAACTTGGGAAGAATTGATCTCCATTTTCCTGCATGCATGCCGTTAATAATAATATCTCTCAGAATAGCATAATTCGATCTCCAGTCAAACCTGCCAGCCACCAGTCATTCACTGAATAAGCATCTATGCATACTTCCTTAACTTAGTGGACTCATTATCTCCTTCCAAGATGCTATGCATCAGCGGTGACGAATGAAAGGCTGCAAAGAGAGGACTCTTCAGAAGCGAAAATTCAAGGTTACGCTATCCAGTGCCATCATGTCATCTTTCGTTCTGGAGTGGTCGATGGCAGGCAGAGTCAAATGTCACCTGTAGGAACTTTGCTAGTGTGGTGCTGAGCGATATCGCAACCCCAGAGAGAAGCAATTAATACAGTGCGTTCCAAAAATTGCAACAAGCGATCGAGAATCAACTGATCTCTGTGTCTGCATCAATTCCGCTTGGGATCGGCAAGAATCATGGCGATACTCGACTGTGCCGATTGCCGCCCGATATCTAGTGTCCGTCGTGAAGGAAGATCCTCTCCACGAGGACATGCTTCCTTTCCATGGGTCCGCAGCAGATGAATAGGGCGAAACAATTGCAGCCTGTAAAGATAAAGGCGACTGTAGCATCGAAGTTCGTCTCGGATTTGGCCGTGGGGATCGGCAGTTGCTAGCAAAGTAGCGTCTTGTTGCCGCCCAGGGTCACGGGGGATCTCAATAGCAGCCCGATCTGGTAGTCACATGGCTGGGAAATCAACCCGGTTTTTCTCTACGTACGCAGCCCGATGGTGCAAATGTTCTTCGCAAAGATGGCCTTGATAGGGGAATCCAGCAATAAAAGAAGCCTGATCGAAGGAGCCAGTCAGGGTCTTTTTCGCCTCACATTTATGCACCTCTAGTCGTTTTGGGTTGGTTTGAACGAGCAATTTTCACCCTTCTGCTCAATTGATTTGTTCAATAATGACTAACTACCCTGCAGAAAAACCTCATCAATATTATAATTACATGGCCCAAGCTTCCATTAGTCGCCCATCATAAGATCACCGCTGCGCCACTTTCCGCTGATTCTGGGCAGCATCGATACTAGTCCCTATCAGTGCGGGGTTGTCCTTGTCTTATGATGTCTACGGAGTATATAACCAGGAATAATCTTCCAGCCGAGGTAGACGCCTCTGGAGCTGGGACCTCTAGGCGTCAGATGAGTGCATGTCACTTCAGCGCGAGCAAGGTACCAGCAGCGAATCCAAATGTTACTGTTCGAGGGAATTGGACAGTGCGTGCCATGCGGAGGAGCCGGTGGTGACATCGGAGGGGGACAAAAGTACAACTTGGGCACCAGCCATTTTCCACGAAGGGCATATGCTGGGGTTCGTCCAGTTACTTTTCATACTATGGTCGTTCGTCTTTCTTCACCGCTCCTATCAGTCTGATTTTGATGGCTGGGAACCGGTGATCCAGTAATTAGATATTGAGATCACCTGGAAAGATAGTATTTGTGCTTTTCGTTATGTTGCGAAGCAGGTTTCAGCCCTTCACGGTCATCCAAACAGTAAGTCGCTGTCTGGGAGAAAAGTATGGTGGAGAAATAGAAACAACTAGGTATCGCATACGCACTCGTAAGTTCTAATATCGAGGGCCGATCCGATCTACGGAGGGGTTTTTATCGATCATCACGATCGGCATAATGCATACTCTGCGGCACAAATCTACTCTGTAAGTAGACTACTCTTGTAAATTAATGAACATTATTTTATCCATTCCTTGAAGCTATCATCGGACATTATTCATGCACTGTCCTCTATCAAGTCTATATAGTTGGCTATGAAATCCCAGTTGTGAATATTCCGGCCGCGTTCCGCTCTATACTACGCGCGAATCATTATTCTGGTTACCATATCAGCAGAATCGATGAAATTTAACACGTTCTTGACACCTTGGGCAATGATTTATTTTCGTTTAATATCCTATATTACCGCCCTCCTATTTCGGAAGCGGGGTTCGACACCCAATATCCCCCTCATCTCCTCATCTCCTAGAAATTAGAACTGGTCATATGTCTACCAGTGCTATGTACAGTACTTACTAAATGCTGGTACGTACTTTCAGAGATACCTCTATCCGCACCATAGAATCCGTGCAACCTAATTCCCTCCGCTGACAATTTATTATTACTTAGTTAGATAGTGCTAACTATCAAACTACTAACCTACCCACACTAAGCAGAAAAACCGAAGAGAAAAAGAAAAAGCAAAATACAAACCAAACCCCTCCTTAGATCTGACGAACTCATTGACCGGACTATTCCGAGATTCGCGAACTAAGTTAAAAAGGTTTTCTTTCCAAGAATGCATAGTTAAAGCTTTGGTTCTGGTGGAGTAACTGAACTACTAACAGTATTAATTAATGCGCTTGAACTGAATGGAGTTAGTTGTACTGTAAGTAAGTCCATCAGCGGGACGGGTAAGTATGTTCCGTAGCCGGGAGGTCCGCAGTTCGTACCATGGATTTTAACGAGTTTTACGAGTCGCTGTGGATAGGTAACTATGTACTATACAGAGTGCGGACAGTAGTTATCAGGAAATATCATCTGCTGCCAAGAAACGCCACGGGTGATTCTGCAGAAAATTAAGTGGAAGTTGAATTGATGCGACTGTTTTGTGTCATGTTGTAATATTGTGTGAGGTGTGTTTTAGACTATGCCTCCTTTGTTGGAAGCGGGTCCTTTGATATCGGGTTACTCCGTATATATGTGGCAGTTCTGGCTCTTGATGTCTTTAGGTTTTTGCAATAATGGATATAAAATCCTGACATCTATTTAGTTTGCAGCGCACACTCCTTCGCAGACCTTATTAATTGACACATCCTGTCTTGTCTATGTTCAATCACGGGGCGCTACGACGTATTCCAGTAAGTCTAGATGGGACCGAGATACCCAATGATGGCTATATTCTCCCGTCGAAGGAAGAGAGATACATACCATGTCAAAGTCCTTCTTGGTGAAGTCGCAAGTGAGGCTTGATGTTCTGGATGGTCTCGACTCCTCTTCTACAAGGTAGACATCCTTGCATCAACATCAACAGATACGAGTAAAGTTTAGTGGCCAGGGTGCCGTAGCCAAAACTTTTCCGCATTAGGAATGTGAGATGAAACATTGGATGATATATCATGTCCCTTTGCCTGAGGCACTCCGCCATGTCATTATCCAGCGGTCGAGACTTTATTAAAGAGCGGGCTGCGAACGGGGAGTCAGTTGTTAATCCGTCTGTGGTGCACCGTACCATGGATGCGCTACACTTAAATGCCAACATTGGAGGCTTTTCTGTCTTGACAGTAAACCTCCTAGATAGCGGGAAGTAGTAACGTAATTCCCTACCAACCGGATCACCCGCCCAAGCGGATCAGTGCCGTATTACATATAAAATAGCCCTTTTTTAAACCAAAATATCTCAACAATCAAGTATCTAAAGGTTATCAGAACGGATATATACAAAATATATATTATTAAGATTATATATGTCTAATTTTATCTGCTTAAGTCTTGCCATTATCTAGATATCTTAAATAGAATATAATTATAAAAATTATAACGGTAATTTATATTATCTAAATAATAAGCAATTTTTAGAGCCTAAAATCTTAGTATATAAAAGTTTACTATAATAGAAAGCAATATACTAAGTATTATATGCGCTAGATATATGATTGTTGAGAAATCTTGGTTTTAAAAGACATCGTTCTGTATGTTATATGCCACTGATCCGCTTGGGCGGGTGATCCGGTCGGTAGGGAATTACGTTACCGGTTCCATGATCCTGTTTCTATTGTTGAGAACGTCGCTAATCTCTAGTCCTGGGGGAATGGGGAAACAAAAGGACAGAAATGTCAGTGCGCCAGTACTCTAGACTTCAGACGATTTCCCTCTATGAAGATGTTTGCCTCGACGAAGAGGACGAATGTAGGATACACGCCTAAAAGCGTCATTACTTTCCATCTCCTTGTTCATCACTAAATTGAGATCTCCATAGATCGCCTCATCTTGAACGATTAATTAATTACTTACCAACCGGCCCATGCCGGAACAATGCGATGCTACTCCTTCCCCCATGGGAACGAGCCGGGGGGGAAGTCGATAATACGGTTGCTGCAGCCGAGGAGTCCAGTCAATCTGAAATTGTTGCTAATTATGTCCATTTTTCTTTCCTCACGAAAGGGTGGTCGGGGATTGGCTGGTAGGCCATAAAGAGTGTTAACTGCAGATGGTTATTATTAGCAAAATGCACCCAATGCAGATAGAATTAGGGCTGTCGAGCCATCTGCAGCCCAGGTACCAACCAAAAAAGGGAAATTAACAGCATTTGACATGGGCGGTTAAATGCTGCTAATTAAGGAGCATCGGCCATCTTATCACATCGTCCGAGCGTCTTTTTCACGCGAGTTTGGCTGTTGTTTTCCCCCCCGCCTCGAGCCTGCACGGACGGGACTAAATTAGCCTATCTGTATGATGTACTGTACCAAGCCGGCAAGGTTAAGCAGGTTAATTACATTAATTCAAATCAAATTAAATCAACTAGACTAAACTAAACTAAACTAAAAGTCATCCATCACACTTCAGTTCCGTTGGCTGCGGGCTTCCCGTGCTGCATGGCATGGGGCGCTCCCACGGACCACGCCGTTCTGGATATCATCCAATCCAGCCTGGAGAAGATGGAAGCTTGGCATGCACTTGGATCTCACGCTATGCTCATAATCTCCTCGTGCAAAAAGCCCTGGTTCTTTCTACAAAACGAGTTTCCACTCTCGTGCTTTCGACTTGCTGTTATTGGGCATTCCTGCCAAACGAGGTCCTCCAGTACTCGTTCCCTCCAGCCCCCGGATGGAGTCGGGGATGCACGATAGGCGGAATCTAGAGTGACCTCCGTCCTTGTCGACTAACTAGAACCGCTAAGTTAGTCAACTGTTCCATTCAAGATCGGACATCGTTCTGTGCGCAATAATACTAGATGGCCCTCTTCTTCTCCGAACCGATGTCGCCCCAAGAGTGGAGAGAGATGAAAAGATCCACCGGATCCAGATAGGAGAGCCGCTGCACATTTGCTTCTCTATCTACTCCGTACCGGCCAAGTCCCTCGCTAGTGAGATCTTCAGCCTTGTGCCTCCCATACTGGGTTAATACCCAGGCTGGCAGATCGGCAATCTCGTAGAGATGAGACCCTGTATCAGGGGGTAGTGGACAATTATGGCTACTGCTTTCTGGCGTCATCAAACAGTAGTAAATTTGCGGCACAGTCATAGCAGAGAATACCCCATGTCGGACGATTTCAGAAGCAGAATCTCCTAAACATCGCTTCTCTCTTTGCGCGTGACGTTGACAATACTTCTTCTGACCGTGGGATCGATGCAGGGGCAGCTAAACTGCAACTAAACTCCTAGCTTCCTTGGGCCTTGTCCAACTGATAAACAGGGTGTGAAGATGTACATACACTTTGGAGCTCGCACCTATCATATCCTCCATTTTACCCGGCCACACGAGAAACGAAAGGGTTCGTCGCCGCCGTCTGGAAGTCGTCGAGCCATCCACGTCCAGCGGTTGTTGATCCTTGCCCGGCGCTATCCTGCATGTCCTCCCCCCTGTTCATTCAATCGGCACGATCGAGTCTGTATTCTTGAGGTTCACCCAAATTTAGGCTGCTAAGCCGGTCCCTTGACACCTGCTAGATCGTCCCGTAGCGCCATTTTGTTTTTAGACCTCCTTTCTGCGGCTTTCTGGTGAGGTTGGATCCAATTACAGATCTCCCCGCTAGCATCCCATCGACTCGTGGACTCCACAAAGGTCGTCTAAAGGGCGAAAATAGAAACAGTTCTGTCGCTTGTTCAGTCGAAGCACCGACTTTTAAACTCATCATGTCCAAGATCTGGAGAATAATGAAGCGTGTAGAGCCGCACAGGTTTTGTTGTGCTTCCTCTCCCGCCTCTCCCCGTCCTGTCTCTTCCCTGGATAGCCAAAGCTGCCGGTCCAGCTTTGCAATTGCGGTCTGAATAGTCTGGAATAGCTAGCTGGTCTTGCAACTGTTCCGGCCCGTCAACAGTTCCCTGGAGGAGATTCTGAGGGCTACTGGTTTTATTGAATTTATTGTTATTTCTTTTTTTGCTTGATGTGCATGCGCCCTGAAACTGTCAATATGGGCAGCACCAAGAAGCCGACGTCGACCTCGTCAAAGAAATCCGCTGCACCGAAGAAAGAGTCCAATCCTTCCAAGCCCCGTTCTTCAGACAGCAAGAAGGCTGATTCGGAAAATAAGTCCGATGCCAGCCTTCACAAGCGTTCGCGTTCAGGTAAGACAACGCCTTCCTCTCTCCTTGGGCCGAATTCCCTATTGATCCTTAATGCGCCTGCCAGTGTTAGGGTGTTATACCTGCCGATTGCGAAGAAAGAAGTGCGACGAAAGACATCCATCTTGCTCAGCCTGCATCAACCTGTGCGTAAAATGCGAGTATACGCGGCCGTCGTGGTGGGGAACCCCCGAAGAGCGGAGTATGCAGAAGGAAAAGGTGAAGAACAAGATCCGACAGACTAAGATGAACGAGAAGCTGGTGTCCAAGAGAGGTAGGCTGGCCCTCTCCTCTGATGCTGGCTATCCTGATGTCCAACACTATATGGCAGATCGCGCGCGCAGTTACTCGAATGGATCTCCACTGTTTTCTGGATACGATTTCAATAATCCTACCTTGTGCGAGCCTTACGATCCGTTCGCTCCACATCTTTCGACACGGGCCTTCATGCAGGGACCTTATATACACGATGCTTATGAAGTCGACATTAAAACAGAACGGCAGATGTTTGTCAACGACGTGCCTATATGCCATGAATCCTCGACGTCAACCTTTAATACATACACGCCGCCATATCTACATGCGACGCTTCCCGAATTTCCAGAAGAAAATTGGCTCCTTGCGCAGAGTCAGCCTGCACCATTTCTGGAATTGGACCCGGCATTGTATGAAGCGACAAACTCTCACTCTTACTCGTTTTGGCAGACGAACGTTCCTGTAGAGGAGCGCGATCGACCGCTCTTAAACCACTTCCTCGAGAACGTGCTTCGACTGATCTTTCCCATCTTAGAAGTTCACCAGCGCGGCCCGTCGCGAACAAAGGCGATTATTCATTCACTAGAGACAAACAAGTCTTACCTTCATTGCTGTCTCAGCGTTGCTGCGATCCATATGAAGACAACCACAGCTCTCGAGAGCGAGGACATCGATCATGATATTATGCGCCATCGCTATGAGGCAGTATCAGAGCTGTGCCAAGCGTTGGGAAAGGATACGGACCATGAACAGATTCTGGAAGCCACACTAGCAATGATCTTCTTCCACTGCTCGGTAGGGTCTGTCGATGATTATCTCCCTGATATCCCGTGGAGCGACCACTTCCAGGCCGTGTCCAATCTAGTGGACAGGCTGGACCTTCCGGGTGCAATGCTCAGCTGCAGTCCCCATATGCAACCGCCATTCAACATGACGTTGACTGCGTGGATCGATATCCTGGGCTCTACAATGCTGGGGAAGACACCTCAGTTCGCACATATGTACCGGGAGAAGCATCTGAGTAGTTCTTCCTCCGGTCTCCGCGAACTGATGGGATGCGATGATCGTGTCATGTATCTGATCTCAGAAATCGCCTGCCTTGAAGCCTTAAGAGCAGAGGGACGCGTTGACGATATATCTGTCTGTTCCCATGTCCAAGCCTTGGGACAGCAGCTCGACTTCACGGAACCGTACGACCGGACTCTGGAGCTCCCCTATTCAGCGACCGGTGGTGCGATTCGCCCAGACCAGCTGACCAAAAACATGACCGCTGTTTTCCGCATTGCTGCTCGTATCTACCTCTGCAGTCTGGTTCCAGGGTTTGATCGGCACCAGCAGAGCAATCTGGGCCTCATTTCAGCCTTTGCAGATGCCCTTCAATATGTTCCTGCGGGCCCTGACGGGTATGATCGTTCATTGGTCTGGCCACTGCTCATTGCTGGGACCTTTTCGGTTCCTTCTAGTCCTCTGCGCAGCGTATTGAACGAGCGCGTTATTCTGATGGGCGAACACGCAGATTTGGGTAGTTTCGGTCGCATGTGGCTTCTGCTACAGGAGGTCTGGCGTCTTGCAGATGATCCCATACTCCTTGCACCTCTCGACACCCAGAGTGAAGTACCGTCACTAGAAGCACAGCCGTTTTTGAAAGAGGAAAGGTCGCCTACACCTGTTACAGGGCTGTCTGGCATCGAGCCTAGAAATCAACAAGTCCACTGGCGAGATGTTATGCAACGTAACGGATGGCGCTTCCTCCTTATATGAGCTTTTTTTTTTTTTTTCTTTCTTCCGCACTTCAAGGAGTATTGGAAAGGACACTATTTCGGGGATATCTTACCTGGGGTTTCCTTTCAGGATGATACCATGGCGCAATTACTCAAGGATCAGAGGATATACCACATTTGTCTGAAGAGACAAGGGACCGGCAAAAGACAGGGATTTTGTACAGTTGATCCGGATATAAATATTAAATCGCAGTATGTTATCTTATTCCTCATAATACTCATCACAATCAATTAGTTGATATTGATAATATCCTAGTAGGATACAGCTGCTCTCCCGGGTGCGACACGTCCAGCTGTTAAACGACGAGGCCCAGCACATGTAGGTGTCGGACTCCCTTCACTGCAGAAATTTCGAAGCTGATGTCCATCTACTTATAGCACCACATCGGTATCGATAATGCCGTATGAGATGGCTACCCTTCCGCTAGAACGTACATTCGACAAGCACATTCTACCACCGCACCCTCAACTCCCAGTCCGTCTAGCTGTCAACTTTGGAAGGGTAACAGCATCCTGCGACGCATAATACATGACATCCCCACAAAAATACAGCAGTGTTTCGCAATTTACTCAATACCGCCGGCGGTCAAGGCACTTTAACTAATACTTCGACGAGGTCTTCCAGGAGAGGATACGACACCTACCACAAATGCTGGCCATTTGTTACGCACCATCACTTTAATTTTTTCTAATATAATCACAAGCGTGAGAGGGAGAGAGTTCTGAAAACTATTCCATGACGATATATATATTCATGTCGAAGAGGGAAAACACAAGGAGATCAAGTTCTTGATGCGTTATTGTGAGATACTTGGGTATATATCCGGTAGCTTTTTTATCTACCAGAGACGAATCTTCTACATATTATTTTTCCTTTTGGGTCTTAGTTATGCATGCATACTTGGGAGTTCGAGTTATGCAGGAATCGGTGTTTTCCGCAGTCGGTTTGGGTCATTCGTTAGGTCTGGGACGGAGACAAGACCACAATGATGTATACAATGTTAGGTGCATAGCATAGAGTAGATAGCAGGGAAAGATCATTCACTCACTCATCATAAGAACTTCCTATGGAAACCTATCTTCCATGAAAAAAAGAGCAATTACTTAACTACACCTCTTGGCTGTCGTAATTGTCGGACGGGTATCTCATCTCAACCATCCCCCCGCCGCAACCCCTGATTGTCTATGGTAGAGCATGACTGAACTCATGAACCCTTCCCAGTCCTCGTAATACTTTTATCTTTTCCATGGTGCTCTATGATGTCTACAGTATCCACCAGACACAACTAATGCGGAGAAATGAGGTATGAGTAGCCAAATCTGGGCCCCAAGTGATCGCAATGAATGGGGACCTTGTAAGTATGTGCTTACATAATCGCATACTTATTGCTAGTTACAGCATTTCGATTCGAGTATGAACAGAAAGCTGTTCTAATTGCTACCTAGATATCGTTGTTAATTCGAATTCTTTATGGAAATTTAGTCAGGCGTATATATTCAGATAATATCTACATGGCTGAGAGAATCATCTTCTCCTCGGATCGACCCGACGCAGACGGTCATGTTTCGCCTCCCATGTCATCATCCTGATGCATCCCTCTCCACCCGAATGTACCATAGAGTTAGGAACAACAGTATGAAGTCAGTGGTGCTAGCGCTAGAGCCCTGTATTTTTTTTGTTCTCCACATAATAATTCCTTGCTTCTTGATTCTATACCGTGAGATAGGTATATATAAATCGCAAGTTCGTCCAGAGAACAGGGGTCTTCTTCTGTTCAGCAGGAAAGCATACCTACTTACTTATTTGAGGATATATACGACTATAAGTTTACGTTGAGATATTTCTTCGACTACTCCACGAACGAAGTCTTTCATCTAACAATCTTGAGAACGAACATCATAGATATTATTCAAGATGTCTTCTCCTCACCAGGGCGGTTCCCTCTCCGACTTCGCCCAGTCCGGCACCTCCATCCCTAACGACGCCGGTATCCAAAATACTCTACCTTCCGTCGCTCGTCCCGACCAGCAGCGTCATCACCATCAGTTCGAATATGAAGGCCAGGACCAGCCTTCCCTGGCTATGGCGGCGGACAATCCGCGCGACATGCCCCGCAGCACTCGCGACATGCACGCCTCTGGCGAAGTCACCACTGGAACGGGCGATGCGCTTCCTGCAGAGATCGAGTCGAAGCGTCTACACTATGGCGGTCATGACCCCGGTGCGAAGGGTGATCCGAGGAACTTGAAGCATGCGGTGCAGAACCGTAGTCAGTTTGATAAGTTCGCTGGTGAGGACCCAGATGCAGATGCGGCGAATCAGGAGCATGAGTGGAGGAACAGGGAGTGAATCGTTTTTCTCCTTGTTTCTTATATATTTTGGTAAGTTCCAGTTAGGAATGGTGATGGATTTGGACCATTTGTATTATTAGGATGATTCGTGAGGGCATTGTGTATGATTAGTCTGGAAATTCCCAACGAGATATTGATTGACGACTGATCTCTTTTGGCTTCTTTGGCTCCGATGTAGAATTTGACGTAGTTTATCTTGAAGCTATGGTAATATTATATTAACGACGAGGTTAGGACGTGGCTTGAATTCATGTGAATCGCACGGACGGAGCTACCAGTCCCTGGTAGATTTCATCAAGAACATCTCTCTTTCGCTTGCGTTCTTCCAATTCTGCTTCCTCCTTTTCCTCGTCTGGCTCACCTTCAGGTACCCTTGATGCCCAGGCTCTGATCGTTCCGTCTCCATGTGCAGAAAACATTTCGAGACCCTCTCCTGATGCTCCATTCCCGCGCCAGGCGAGAGCATTGATCCTAGCAGCGCTCAGTGCGTTCGATCCGCCACGCTGTCGATGGCGCTCAGCTGAAATAAGACCAGGGACTTTGAGCCGTTTGACGAAGTTCCCTTCTCGTAGTCCGAACATGAATATTTCCCCTCGGTCATCTTGGTCGTTAAAGTTGGGCCACAGCAGCGTTTCCTGTCCCGAGCCCATGATACTTTGTGGGAGAATGAGTGGTGCTCTCTCTGCGAGATGTGACGAGACACTGTTGCGGACCCGCGGTCCAAAATGAACTAGAGTATTCGCGCCTGTGTATGCATCCCAGACACGGATTCGGGCATCTTGACCGGTTGTCACCAGGTGACTGCCATTCGACGTCCAGCGCACTCCAGTCACTGCGCCATTGTGGGCACGAGCATGGCGTGAGAACGGCTGTCGGGGTTGGTATGAAGACGGGGCCGACCTAGGGGCGACAACGCCAACAGCATCATCCATGTCAAGAGTAGCTATAGCTGAGTTATGTCCGCCACGACGGACATCGAAGATTATCACTCGGTTGTCCGTTGATGCGGAGGCTAGTATATGCGGGTCGTGAGGCGCCCAGCACACAGACAGAACCGAGGAGGTATGCCCCGGTAAGGCATGAGTAGACAAGCCAGAGCGGAGATCCAAGAGCCGTACAGACTTCTCGGACGTTCCTACGGCGATGAGAAGAGTTGATGACGGATGAGCAGAAAATGAATGAGAGTACGGAGTCGCATGCAAGGTAAATGTATGCACTGGCGTGATCGCGGTCGGCTCCAGTGCTGACAGCTTCAGCGTACTGTCATGCGCAGTAGTCAAAATCGTCGACGGAACTGGATCAAACGGATAAATCGACAAGGATGTTATAGCATGCGTATGTGCAGATTCATGGGAGGATCTGGTGTGGTCAGCACCCAGAGACCGATCACTTCCCGGAAAGGGAAACTAACTTATCCATAGAAGCAATGGACTGGTGCAGATGGTCCAATTCTGCTCCTCTGCTCTCGAGGTCCCAAAGATGAATCGATGGGTCTGCACCGCCGGATACCATGCTACATAGACTTAGCTAGCGTATCATAGCAATATTGGGTGTGTGAGACGTACTATCGTCCGTCATACTGATCAATTGCCAGCACATTTACACCCGCTACATGAGCAGACACATCCTCGATAGTAGGAACTCGAATGACGCGTTCTGCCCCATCATTGGCAACGCTGTTTGCCCTTAGAACAGTACGCTGGCGACTATTGAACCGGATACCGGGAGCGGGCTCAAGAAGGTGTGCCAGTCGCGATGTCTGAGCAACATGGAAGGCTGAGGGACTAATAGACCCTAGCTGCCTGTTTAATATATATGAATTCATGCATCAGGAATATACCAGCACGAGTATAGCGCCGTTATATGACTCTGAGTTTAAACCATTCAAGGTGCAGGACGCTCTGGTTTCATCCCTGTTCTCGACATCATATCGCGGAAGTAATGGACGTTCTTAGGAACGGCACGCCGGAGCCGGACAAAGATATATTCCGTTATCGGCATTCTTATCGTTTTTATCTTCATCTTCAACACCATCACACTTTCAGAAGGCCTGGCCTTCTAAAGATTGAAATGACAATTTCATAAACGCTCAGTCGGGATGTCTCAGGGAAAGTCCTTGGCGTTAAGCCAAGGCACCTTCCTACAGCCTCCTTCGGAAGATGAGGGAGACGTGCGGGAACCGTCGTTGGAGAGACAGAAACGACACGCTAATCTCTACGATGCCATTGCAGGTTCGTCCATCATGCTATATTTTTCTCGAACTTGACTAATTGTTCAGGACGCGTGGCCGCGGGTGGATTCGTGTCTACATCGCAGAGGGTTGCAAGATACCGCGACCGAACATCTTCCAGCACTACTGCAGTACGACCGGAAGAAGTCTTATTTCGACGCCAGAGCGCCCCTATTCGTTACGAAGAAAACGATTTCTACTTCGCACACGAGGATCTTCCACCGGACTGTTCCCTTCCGGATTCTGAAATGCTGCAAGCAATACACTCTTACTGCTCGGATTTCTACGACAGAGCAACACTGGATCGAGGCCAGGATGATTTTCGAAGTATGGACGAAACTGCATTGATTGCTATGGGTGTGTTGCTCGAGGAAATGGCGGCTGAGTCTCTTGGGGAAACGGGAGACCTGGTCCTCGTGGAAGGTGAAATGGTTTCGGAGAACGAAGGCCAGTCAAGTCTCTTATCACGAGTGAGAACTGGTCGAAAGAGGAGGAGTACAGGCGTCAGCACGATAGGTGCAAGTTCTGGGGAGCAGCTGCCCAGCGTGCTCAAGAAGCAGAGGAAGAGGCGCAAGCTTACCCGCACAGTGTCTGCTGCTAATACAACCACAGGAGAGGAGGAAGGGTGAAGGGACGAGGGAACTAGTTATCATGGCTGATGATTAATTCTAGCCATCTTTTCGCTAGGGCGCATTGCCTTACTAGTGACACAAATCTTGGCTGTGTGTCGGACTTCACTGCTCGCGCCATGACATGATTATTGGCGTCACATCGCCAGCAGCTCTCTACGCCGTCGAGTACCTGGGCTAGCCGCGTGCCACGCAATGCTTGAACCTGGTGCAGATGTGGCCAACTTGGACTAATACGTATCTGCGTAAAATGAGAAAGCCGTGAGGATCAACCGATGAGGCCACAGGAGGCAAAAGAAGTATTAGAGATGCCGGTGGCCTAAGGTCAAGTCCTTGTCGATCTCGGTATGCAAGGAAGAACAAAGGGCTTTCGCTTTCTTCGTGTCTATCAGTACATTCGAAATTGAAAAGTAAGCTCATCAAATAATGATGATAAAAATTCTACCCTCTAAGCCTTCTGTCACATAAGCTGGTTACGTCTACATTGTATGAGTGCACTACTGCATCCTTTGCTCGAGTACAACTCTCGTAGCCAGATTTCCCAGGCTGCAGCCCCTCTCTACAACGGCATCCATCCATCAATTATTGTTGTCTAGCTTAGACCGTTGAACATGACCGCAGTCATATCTTGTTCTTTCGTCAACCTTCTCTAATTCAACTTTCAACAACTTTCGCAATTTAACACGAAGTCGACTTGACATCGAGAAGGACGCTCGAATCACAGTGACTGAGACGCACCTTACTTCCTTCTCTCTTTCTCACCTACCCAGGGTCGTCGCATCATGGTACTGTATATACATATCTCAATCATACCCTATCCCCTCATCAAATTATCTACAAACTCTAACACCTTCATAGCCTCCCAAAGGTCTCTCCCCAGCAGCAAAACAGCAACAAATCATCTCTCATCTCCGCTCCACACGTACATGCCACACGCTCAAGGACCTAGAAAAGATGCTCCCATCTGTAGCCTCCATCAACGGCATGCAAGTGAAAGACTATATCCAATCTCTCACAGACGAGGGTCAGCTACGCGTTGAGAAGATCGGGAGCGGGAATTGGTACTGGATTTTTCCGAGCGAGGAGAAGAGAGAGAAGCAACGGGTTCGAGACGCGTTGCTTAAGGAGGTGAGCAGGGCTGAGAAAGGCGTGAATGAGCTTGAAGCGCAGGTGGATAAGGTCAGGAAGGAAAGGGAGATGGATCGTGACGCGGATAGAGAGGATCCTAATAAGAGAGAAGAGTTGGAGGAGAGGCTTGGGGAGTTAGAGAGGGAGCTGAAGAAATTGAATGAGAGAGAGCAGATGGTGCTCAAAGATGGAGCGGGGAGTGTCAAAAAGATGAGAGAGGATGTCGGTAATTGGAAGCAGGGTGCGAGTCTGTGGACGGATAATATCTATATTCTCGAAGCGTATTTGGAGAAGTTGGCTGGTGGAGATCGGGAGGTCGTTGAGGCTGTCAAGAGGGAGTGTTATGAAGATGAATATATTGAGGGAGAAGGGCTAAGAGAGCTTGAGTTGTGAGCTCTGTGGCGGAGTATTTATCATAGTTGTTCTGATGTAGGAACGTAGACGATGGCTGAATATTGATATCGTTCAAGTCAGTCATTTTCTTCTCTATGGTCCCAATCGGCTGGAACGTTAGATATCGCTGTCATTAAAAGCGTTTCACCTAGGCCTGATGCATGTAATAACAAGGTTGGCGTCCACGAGAAACAGTATACAGGAGTTCTTACACGTATGTATATGAGATTCTGATCTAGTCTCAACAATCATCGATATAACTATGTGCAACGTATCTTTAGAGTATTTGATATAGACGGCAGTGCAGCGATCTGCGTGTCAATCGATCAATCGGATACACTCCGCGTGGATCCTGTCATGAGCCGGAAATGATCGCCCTTTGGCATGTCTATCTACCATAGATGCTCCGTATCATGTCTCACGCAGGATAATCGGCGGAAAGCTACATTGCGGTCTTGTAATCGTTGGATATACAAACGGCAGCCCGGATCTGGACGCTGACAGACAAACAGACCGACAGATAGGACGCCTAAGAAACGACACGCGTCTCCTGTCACTATTGTTGTTAGTTTCCCGCCTATGGATGATTTTAGTTAGTTAACCATACTTTCGATTCTCGAAGCGTTTACGTCCTGGGAGGACATGCAAGCAATTGGCATATGGAATAGGAGCGACCCTTGCTACCATCAGCCAACGCTGCGATTGTATGGTATGGAAACATGCTAGCTATTCCCCATCAGTTATCTAGTAGGGGGCTGTGCCGTCGGGCATCGGGTCGATGAAGTCTCTTACCCCACTTGGCGAAAAAAATAAAAAAGCTTAGGAAGCTTCTTTCATGCGCGTCCTCCATACACAACGTGAGAATTCTTCGACCCGCTCCAGTTAAGACTCAGCCAGATCTTCCGGGGTCGGACGTGCGGAGTGATGTTTTTGGAAAAGCCCAACGACAGGGTTTTCTTTTTGGCAACAAAGATTGTGATGTGTTTAGGATTTCCATTTCCCAGCCAAACGGACCAGTGTGCAAGACATGGGCATCCTATCGGGGAAGGATATGAGAGTTCTCTTACAATCTCGGTTCCTCCGCCAGCCATAGATAGGCTTTTGAGAATCAGAAATGCTGCTTGCGAGCGGTCTGGCAGGTCTGTGGGACGCGCGGACGAGTGTATCCGCTTCATAACAGGACGGTCTCCATGTCCATGACGTGGCTGATATTACCATAGAAAATAGGCGTGGGGTCCAGTAGCATTCAGAGGCTCCTAAACACAAGAATAGTCAAACAAAGGATCGAATTTCCGCTGGAGCAAGACTGAGTAAATAATAATCGGGTATTCTGCGAGTAACTATCCAGCGCTGACTGTGTGGCTGGTTGGTAGTGGAAAATACTGTCGGCCCGACAGCAACCTCGTTGGTGGTGAAGACGCCAGGAAGGATAGACGGAGCACAAATTAGTTACGCTGCAAGAGACGAAAGGGGAGAGCAGTAGGATCGTAGTCACACTTGGGATCTATGATTATTAGCCTTGTGTGAGACAGAGAAGAGTTGAGAAGGAGATGGAGATGACCTAACTAACTGTAGTGATTTTCATCCCCGTGGATGAAGCAATGCTTGGTGTAATAATATACCTATTCTTAATGACAACCAAGACCAGGGCTAGAAAAGCCTCTCAGAACGGAGTGCAGTCATCAATCAGATAATTAGTTAACCGTGCCATCCCGTTAGTTTCGCCATGGCAGAAGCTTGACCGACGCCCTGGCGAACAGGAGGAGCGAGAAGGATCTCCGGCGTCCGCCTTATCGCCAACTCGCTCCATCTGCCCCCATCTCTCCCTCCCACTCTCTCTCCTCTCTCCTGCCGTTCCCGACGCCTCCAGCTTTTCTTCTCGTGCCTGGATCTTCTATTGACAGTCTTGGCTTACCGTCACGGTCTCTTCGAAAGCCTTCCTCAGACATAGCCACCAAATCGTGCCCTCTCGATCGATTGCCATCGTCCTGCAACCTCCCGAATCTCCTCCCATCATCGTCATTCGCGCCCCGGACAACACCGTCGCAGGCTACCCAAGACATCCATTCCGTACCGACATCACGACAGTCAGAATCACTGGCATACCTGATAGCAGTCATATTGCTGACTCGTATCTGCTGCTGATCTTGACCCGGCCTTGGAACGATGCCGTTCTCCGCGCTGCGACTTACAACTCCGTCCTACACCTGATCGGTTCGCGCACTGTGTCTTTGCGGCTGGCTGGACCTGTATCCTCCTTTTCAGACTGCGCTATACTTCGTCGCCGGCGTGTTTATGCTGCTGTTGGTCCCCATTGACTTTGCTGTTGCGTGGAGATACCCGGGGATCGTCAAGCACGCGCTGGTCGCGGGCGTTGTATCCTACCAAACGTCCGCTCGATCCCAATCTCACGACGCTGGCCTGCTGTATTTTATGGAGTTGCAGGTGGCATAATAGTTTGTCATGTCTGTCGATCCCTTACCTCGCCAGTCTCAAGCCTCCCCGCTCTCGCGAAACCGTTCGATTCTGTCCAGGTTCACGACGCACTTCGGTCAGCGGAACCGCAACATCTCAGATTTCTACGTACAACCGGACGACCCCTGGAAGACATACTTCCCTGGAGACACGATAAAGGGGACGGTGGTGCTCACGGTCATCAAGCCCGTGAGAATCACTCACCTGGTGATATGTCTACACGGGTATGTTAAGGTGTTCAAGAACACGATTGCTCCCGGTGAAAAGATTCCAGACTCTGGATTTCTCGGTACCGGAAGAGGACGTAGAGGTTCGGAGTACTTGGGGAACGGGTTCGCGACGCTTTTTGAGGACGAAGTGGTCCTTTGCGGGGATGGCCGTCTCAAGGAGGGGATATACAAATTTCAGTTCGAAATGGAATTCCCTCCTCACGCTCTCCCCAGTAGCATTAACGTAAGTCTCCCTGATTGGCAGTATCTTGTTGTGTTCGAGAGCTTGTTCAGTGCTGATGCATCTCCTCAAAATAGTTCGAACGCGGCACTATTACCTACATGCTCACGGCTACCTTGACGCGACCAAGTACGATTTCTCCTGTTATGTCGTGCCACAAGAGAGTGAATATGCTCGAGAATATTGACATCGCGCCTTTTCCTGCACCAAAGCCCCGGTTAGTCAGTCTAGAGCCGGTCTCCAGGCGGTCAAGAACCAAGTCCAAAGGCCGGAGTCAGTCACTGTCAACAGATCAGGCTCGGGAACAGCGGTCACCAGATCAGTCATCTAGTCTGGCTGTGGCTCACGACCACAGGCCTCCTGTAAGCCCTGCCCCGAGCGATGTCAGCTCATCGAGTCGCCTCAGCCATAGCAGTCAGAGTTTCCAAGTCGTCAGTGATCCTAGTTCGGTAAATGGCACCGGGAAGCGCAGCAGCGATATCCGCAGTGTCGCAACGTCAGCATCGGACAAGACGATTACGGCAACGGCAGAAGTACTACGCGCTGGAGCACTCCCAGGTGATACGCTACCCATCAAAATCACTATCAACCACAGTAAGCAGATACGAAGCCCACATGGCATTATTATCACCCTCTACCGGCAGGGCCGCATTGACATGCACCCTGCCATCCCCGTCGGCCAGCCTGAGGAAGGCAAGAAACCGATCTACGAGGATGTCTATCCCAAGTCCCGCACTGGCCTGGGTGGGTTGAGTTTTGGTACTACACGCTCAAGCAGCGTCTTCCGCAAGGACCTGTCTCAGGCATTCGCACCACTAATTGTGGATCCTGCTACGATGACTGCACAGATGAAGATGTCAATCAGAGTCCCGGAAGATACGTTTCCTACCATAACTCGAGTCCCAGGAGCCATGATCAGCTTTCGATATTACATCGAAGTCGTCATGGATCTACGCGGGAAGTTGGCAGCTTCAGATCGCTTCCTCCCGCGGCTCAATATGGTCTCCGGAGGAAAAAGCTTCTCTTCAAGCGGACATGTTGTTAATGTTCCTGATAACAATTCAAACAGCGTTACAGCCAATTGGGCAGGAAACATCATGGACACAGATCAGATTCGACGCGAAAAGGGAGTCGTGGCACTCGTTTTTGAGGTTGTGGTCGGAACGCGAGACTCGGGTAGACATCAGCGTCACCTAGCCGACGAGGAGTTGAACGCAATGCCCACGAGTGACGAAGACCGACAAGAATACGATAATGACGCCACCCCCGAGGAAGAGTATGCGCAGCAAAATTACTACTCGAATGGCGATTATCAGTCACACCAGGAAGATTACTGGGCCGACTATCCGACCGACAATGTCGAGCAGCCTTTCCAGTCCCCGGACCATATGGTTATCCCACCGCCAACACAACCAGAAGAGCCTGTCGATGAGAAGACTAGACTTCGACGAATGGAGGAAATGCTTCTACCAAGCCAACCTCCGGGCGACGCTGCAGCTGGTCCCTCCACGGTGCCCGCACAAGCTCCAACTGCTCCTGACCTTCCTGATGAAGATGAGCTATACGACTACAACCCTCATCTGCCCGGACAGGCAGTACCCCCTCCACCCACTTTGTCCGTTGATACCGTCGTTCCCGGTCCAGATTTGGCAGCCCTCAGCGGATCAGGTGCCTCTCATCCTCCGACTGAGGATAAGCGCGAACTTGAACGGCAACGACTAATGGCCCAGGCAAGTGCACCAGAAGCAACGGCCGAGGATAGTCGGCCCGGTCCTTCTACTGAGGCTGCTCCCAGCGCTCCTGATCTCGACGAGGAGGACAATATCTTGAATGCGGATGTCGGTACTGATGAGTCTCTACCACAATATCGTCGGTGAATGGGAGAAGTTTGCATGCATTTTCCTGTGTTGTGGCGTTCCATTGTCGCATTTAAATATATTGCATTGGGTTGTTTTTGACTATACATGCGGAGATACCATATTTTTTGTTTCGTTAGGTCGGGAGTCACCGCTCCCGCACCGGATTGGGTCTGGTCCTGGGCGTTGACAGCAGAAAAAGCAGGAAGATTAATGTTCTCTAGGAGTGACACGCGGCGTTATATCTTTGGGTCTTTGGGTTTGTCATATACCATATATACCAATCTCACTTATCATCTCGGCCGTTATTGTCGATATAGGATGGCGTGTGTTATAGTTGGCGAGTTAATAGCACATTCAATGGAGAATCTGCCCGGCTTCGTCAATGATGATGAAGCCGGCAACAAATTTATTGATACATGTCGAAATAAATTCAGATAAAGGAATTCCTATCCATAAGTGCCGTTTCCCTTCTTGTGTATTTCATAGAGAACGACCCAGAAGGGTCCGCACCCCGCCTTTCAAGTACAGTACTTGACGGATTCTTGTCGAACTTGGCGAAGGCCAGATAAGATGAGATGCACGTATCTGATCTTCTGTTAGAGCTTGTCGTATATTGGAATGTAAACTGTCTTACCGCCCACGGACTTTTCCAGAAGCGTTAAAAAAGTGTATCTTAGCTCATCTTTTGCCTGAATTTTAGTAATCGTCTGCCGTCATTGATGCTTATCTTTGGCGCCCATCTTTGGCGCTCTTCGAATCTGGTGGTAATTATTACAGTGGATTGTAATTTGTTTGGCTCGTCTTCGCCAAGCGTCGTCTAACTATTACCAAGTTCGGACTAACCAGCGCTACGAACTTTCGCCCAGCAGAACACCCGAGGGCACTCCCGCGCGATCAAACCCCCCCAAAGCCTCTCCGCGAGAGCAGGGTTCTCGTCTCTGTTAAGGACACTCAGCTGTCTTCGTATCCGGTCCTTATCGTCGAACGATTCTTCCACTTTTCACAGCATCTGACTGTTGTTCCTGGTGCTTCCTAACAGTGACAAGTGCCGGGGATCACATCATAACTACGCCGATTGTGTTCAGCCCCATTACATCAAAAACGGACCAAGTTTGAAAGGCCACGCGACGATTTCTTTACGCTGTCCGTCATGGCGCTCAAGAGCGGGTCGTTCGCGACCTTTTTGATCGTTTGCCGTATGTCCACTGCATTTCATTTCATATTCTGGCGTGGTGTTTCATGCTCGTTTTTGAATCGTTCCTCTTGTTGCGGTCTTATCTGTTCTTGAGATCACTCTCCGCTATGCTTCGCCATGATGTCTCTTCTTCATTGCATCTGGGATCTTCGACCTCTGCGTTCGTTCGACCGGATGTGCCAGTGTGGATAAATGCATGGAAGAGAGATTTGCGAAGATATAGCGGGTCAATGTGCAAGAAGAACTCAGATAAAGACAGATAAAAGACAACGCCGCATCTTTACAACCATGGACTGGATCGAAGCTAACTCTCAGACAAAAATAAACAGCAACATGCTTCTTCCTGGGCATCATCTTCTCATTATTCCCATACGACTACCCTCTCCTCTGGTCAACAGCTCCAACTCCCGGCTCGCATTACGACTACCTAGAAGCACACCTGCGGTTCTTGCACGCCTCTCCGCCGCTGATCCCGCGCATTCTCCACATCGTCATCTTCTTGGGTCTGGCTGGTCTGGTCGCGAAACTGTATAAGCCCTCGGAAGCCAACATGCTCTTCGACGGCGCCAGTCTGGTCCTGTATATGTGTGGTATCACCGTCTACATCGCCAATATCGTCAAGGGTCTCCGTCTCGTCACTGGTGGTCAGTACGGCTCAGAAGTTGGTGATTCCAACCTGGAGGAAGGAGAGCAGATCCTCGGCCGTGAGGACAGTCTGAAGGTTCTCGCCGCGAGCAATACCATTCTGGCCCTGGTCCTGGTGGGCGTTTTGGTCTTGCAGGCTGGTCAGTGGTACGCTGAGCGAAAGGATGCGCAGGAGTACGAGAGCCTGAACCGTAAGACAGAGGAGAGGAAGGAGGCACAAGCCGGGAAAGTGTCGCGGCAGTCGAGCGTGTCGAAGAAGAAGCAGTAGATCAGAGCTGATTTGGCATTCGTCCCTTTTCTGCTGTATTTGTTCTTCTTTTGGATGCTGTGTTCTATTGGCAAGCGTGTGACGATAGATGATGTTGACTACTACGTCTCAGTAGTAGAAGATGGTTTAATTGCTGGTTGGAAAGATAAAAATATGAAAGTTGAAATAGATCCGCTCCTTTTCAGCTATTATTTTTTTTCTTTCTCTCTTTCTTTCCCCCCCCCCCCCCCCCCCCCCCTTTACGGATGGCATTGTCGAAAAGAACGTGTATAATACATCAAAAAGGGGGAAAGGGTGTTGTTTTTCTTTCTTGAATATGTAGCAACGGCTGCGAGTTATACAAATACCAGGGAAACCTGCGCATCACTCTTCTTTTGAGATGAGGACATCATTCTCTTCTCCGCCTGATTAGGTTGAGATATTTTGCTCTCCCCCAGTCCAAAAAAAAAGGAAAGGATAAAATGCAATATCACGAATATTTCCGTACACACATATACATTCTCTCTGTGAGGCAGAAAGTAACAAAAAAAATTGGTATATTTCTCATTCATCGCTAGAAGGGGGAATCTCTAAGAGACATAACATGCGGGCCAAGCAAAGACAGGTTCCTGGGCCGGCGTCCTGAGATACTCAAGGGTAGTAGTAGAAGAGTAGATGCAAGCTACTACTCCCTTGGAAAGAACTCATGGCTTTTGTTTTCATGATTAAGCATTGAAGGGTCGTTTCTGGCGTAAAATAGGTGAGATGGGGAGGAGAACATGGACAGTTTTTTTTCTTTTCTTTTCTTTTGTTTTGTTCGCTCACACCCCTTTTGGTGCTACGTAACGCAGGGTCTCCTCGGGTGCAAACGAAAAGGGACTTCGAGGGATGTCGGGTGATCGCGGACTAAGCGCTTTGGCGAACAGTTCGTTGTCAGAATCAGCGCTTGAGGTACGAGCGATGGTGTCCATTGACCCGAAGAGGTTCTGTGCAGAATTCTGCTGAGCTTGGACCGATGCAGGAGGGTGGTGGACGACGGCTTTTCGGGGAGGTTCTGAGACAGGAGTGTTGCGGAAGGAATTGTAGGAAGATACGGCAACATCGGGCGATTGGGGCGAAAGGAGATGTGCTCCATCATCGACACTGTTCGGAGTATCCATTGCTCCTGCTGTTGCCAGTTGTAAGCACGCGTGTTCTTCGACATGATTTACTATGTATGAAGAGCGATGGATCACTCACCTGCAGCTCTCTTAGCCAGATCCTTTTCACTCGTCTCTAGCTTCAGTCCTTTGAGTTTGTCTGCCAGTTTCCTGCCACTTGTCGGAGACACGGGAGTCGTTGGTCCCATCGGATAGGAAGTAGTTGAGACAGACAGGCTCGTGTTCAGGGATTCTGTCTGCGGTCGTGCAGTAACCCCAAAGTTCGACTCGATCCATTCCTTCTCCTGGATAGCCATGTGCAAGGCCACTCCCTCAGCATTGTTCAGACACTCTTCCCGGATCTCCTTCTCCAATACTTGCAAACGCTTCTTCGCCCATATGGTATGCAACACTCCTTTCTTTCCAGCAGTGCGTGCCGTAGCTCCCAGTTCGGCCGGGAAGATTGCCGGTAGCGGGTTCAGCTGAAGTGAATCATTTTTCTTTGCTGTCGTTGCAGAATTTGGAGGAGGCTCATAGGTCAATGTGATCACTGGCGGAATTGTCACGCCCGGAGGGAGAAGAAAGTAGAAACGACGCGTGTGCTCGCTGGTTTGTTCATCGGCAGGCAGAACAGTCGTTTTGCCTTCCCAGGAAACATGCCAGGAGCCAGAAGGAGATCGGGTCAGGTCGTCATTTTCCCATTCCACCATAAGAATCTTAGTTCCCTCATTTCCCTTGCCAGCTTCGAACTCGAAACGCGCAAGCGCCGTGATGGAGAGACTGCCGTTGGGTGCGCGCGGTGTCTCCAGAGAAGCCAAGTCCGTGGTGGGAGAGAACGCAGGGGCGCTCTGCGTCTGAGACATCTCTATACACTCCTCAGGATCCAGGACGACTCGGGGGGGCGTGTGGGAGAAAGAGACAAAGGGCTTAGTCTAGTCTAAGGGAGAGAGAAGCGCATTGTCTCGTCTCCAGGGCCGGCAGTGGATCACGGGATTATGCGCGGACAGTAAGAAGTTCTACCATAGTAACCATACTTACTTTGACTGAGATCCATCCGTCCTGCCGCATATCGTCTCCTTTCTCGTCCTGCGAATCACCACCGCTGATGTGCTCGATCCCTGTGACAGGCTGACTATTTTTAGACGTGATGTGGCCTTCCGGGTGCGTCTCCGATTCAAGAGCCGTCAACATCTCCTGGGCCCTGGCGCCTTGTCAGAACCTACACCTGTCCCTCCATTGGGTAGGAGATACGACAGCGGCCTTACTTGATCCTTTGCTGTACTCTACTAATATTGAGACTTCCTATAGCATTATCTCGAAGGCAACCAGGGCGGAAATCTCATTGCTAGAAGAATAATATCGGTGGCTGGAAAACCCCCAAACGTGGACCAGCATAATCAGACCCCGCATTGGAGTGTTTAGAACTGCTTTCTAAGAAACACCCGGCCACGAGGCTATGAGCTGCCTGCTGGCGTGAAGATCGGCGCACTGCCACGGACATTTCAGCCTAAGCATCTTAGCATCGAAAAAAGCGTTCTTGGCGCTGATGGAAACAGGCCGTGAGAATGAGGGGCACAAAACGGACAAAGTAGATAGAAGCAGCTCGTCCTAATCGGTCCGTCCAGATTCGAGGAATCATTACGAAGTTTCAATACGCCCTAAAGCAGAGACTCTTAAACCCATTATCAGACCAGGCATCGGGGAGTTGCGCGGGATACAAGAAAGCCAGATCGTAGGTTGTTGAAAGCCAGGGCCCAAATGATATTTTCTGTGTCACTGACGGATCGTTAATAATCATATCTCACTCATCAACTTTCTCTATAACTACATAGTCTGTAAGTCAGAGGAAATAATGACGCTTTTTTGGCGACAATTGTTTCCACTCACGTGATATACGGCTTACCACTTTCTGACCCGATCTATCTACAATTCTCTTCACCTTGCTACCACTCTTCGCGAGATAAAAACCACATCTACTGAGCCCTTTATCATATCTTGCCTCTTGTATAAGGAAAATTACAAGGCCAAATTGACACTAGACTGTTCCTCTCTATGGCTTCTACACTTCACACTGTAGCTGGGTCCACTTTACCTAATTACACAGTACTATTTTGCTAATATATGATCTTAGATCTCACCACCAAATGGATGGACAACAGACACCTATTATCTGGCTATTGACTTTCTTTGGGAAAGTGAAAACGGTGACGGTCACAGATTGGCCCAAAAATACGGCTTAAATTCACCACAACCAATCATGTGCACCACTCCGGAGACAGGCGAGGGTCTATATATGTTTGAGTCTAACAACAGATTTTATATCTGGAATCAAATGGATGGAGATATCTGGGAGATTACCAAGTCTCAGGATTTTGACAAGATCCTGGAGACAATGTGCCAAAAGGGTCTTGAGCCATTGAAATTAAAAAACATTTCATAGTCTTCAGGGAAGGCTGTGGACTCTTTTTTTGCTTTTTGACCTTCAGAAATTCATTTTATAATCTGACTATGGCATACTCCTCGCTCACTAGATACGAAAAAGCATTTCCTTCAATGGAGACGACAAAGTGTTGACATTAATTGGACTGGTGATAGTACTTCTGTAGCTTCTGCAATCTGTAGTATGAATATGGTCAACCGTAGTCACTAAAGAGAACAGTAGTGCCTTCTATTTAAATTATCATATTGAAGACTTCGATGATAAGTCAACAAATCACAACCGGTAATCCTCCTTCTTACGGTATACCTAGGTAGTTGACTATTTATTGCCCGCGCCACGAGAAAAGCCTCCTCGCGGTGGAAAAAGGTGGGAAATTAACCTTATCTGGTACGTGGGGTAACCTGCATCATGATTCTGATATGAAGGCCTAAACGATCCAGTGCACTCGATCCTCCCTCCTGACTTTGCGCAGTGCATCGTATTGTTCTTCCCCGGGCGGCCCCAAGCCTACATTTATTTTCCTTTGCGGATACATGCTGCCACGCTGACTTGGCAGATTATGGTTTGACCAGTTCTCTGAGCCGTTGATCGGGAGACTATCCAATAATACAGCTAACCAAGTTCACGAAGTACCTAACAGTGTGGTTCTTCTGTGATAGATCGTTCCAAAGGCCAAATTACACTTTGCAGGCTAGCTACTGCGGCGGCTCATTCGATATGGTTTCCGAGAAAACGCTTCTTTCAAAGGGATACCGAGCATTAGACCTGGACTATACGCGATTTTTTTTTTTTTTCAAGCCCAGCTTTACATTCTGTACAGGAAAGGTTCTGAAGGACCTGTAAAGCATACCAAATCCCTATTTTCAATGACTATATCCGCCCGTGGTGAGGGCTTTAAGAGTAACTAGCATGCTGACATTATTTGTTCGCGCTTTGACCAATATTTGAGTCTGAGCTAAGTAAGTACATAGATTATTTCTTGAATCTGCGGCTCATGCAGTCATCTACAGAGATAGGTCCTCCATTGCATAATTGCCGAATGATAGCCTGGTATTATTGCGGATCTTATTTGCTACATGCGTGGATATGCGCCCAAATTTGGGCTCGGAAATAATTAGACTGTATCCATCCCAATCCCCTGTCATGCATTACGGATGTAGTCTAGGAGTTACATTTTCCAGGTATAGCGGATACTAACGGCCAATTGTCGACAGCATGCAGGAGGCTAACAAAAAACGGCGCTGCGCAGGGCCATGAATCACTGGCTTTTCCGGGCACACCGCGATAGTTCCCATACTTGAGAAGATCCTGCGCTAGTGTAGAACAAAGAATTGGGAAACCCACCATCCTGCTCGATTCAAATCTTATGTTGGAAGGCCATAACGTAAGACAGGTCTAAATTCCCTGGAAGAACCAAGGAGAAACTGCTTCTATCAAGAATCCAGCTTTCGGATCTTTTTATAGAGAATAAATAAATTACATCTGTTCTACCCCTCAGCCTGTATCCTTTGTCATCTCAATTTCTCCGAAAACGGGTACAAAAGTCCCAAGAGATGGCCGCACCGTTCTACGGACCGGTTGAGGTTGATCTAGCCGCAACAGACAACGATTCCGCCTACGGTGAAGAACTATCCTCCTATACCGAATCACTGAGGTCAACTGTTCTGAGTTATCGCCAAGAAAATGGAAGATTATATCAAGGATACGGTGATGGCACTTATCTGATGCCCATTGACGAGCCCGAACTGTGCCGATTGGATCTAATGCATGAAATGATGCTGGAACTTATGGGCAGGAGACTATACCACGCTCCCATCGGTGAAACACCGCGGGATATCCTGGATCTTGGCACGGGAACTGGTATCTGGGCGATTGATATCGCCGATAAATTTCCCTCTGCTGTGGTTACCGGGGTCGATCTTAGTCCATCGCAGCCGGCCTTCGTCCCACCAAATCTCCGTTTCATCGTGGAGGATATAGAAGACGAGTGGGAACACAGTCGTCTCTTCGATTTTATCCACGCACGCTACCTCGCGTTGTCTATCAAGGACTTCCCTGCACTTATACACCGATGCTATAACCACACTGCGCCGGGAGGATGGGTCGAGTTTCACGATTGGTCTTTCAACCAGATCTCTCAAGACGGGAGCACGAACGGTACTGCACTGGAGCAGTACTACAGAGTCACAACTGAGGCCTATGCAAAGGCTGGATATACCGTCAGTCCAGGGCCGCAATTAGAGCAATGGTTTTACCAGGCTGGTTTCCAAGATATCCATGTCCAGAAATATGTAATCCCCATGGGCACATGGCCAAAGAATGAGCACTTGAAGAGCATAGGTGCTTGGAACGCCTTTCAAGCACAATCAGGATTTGAGGCCGCTGCTATAGCAGTTATGACTCGGTTCGAATCATGGGGTCCCGCCCAGGTGAAGGACCTCGTCCAGAGGACTTTGGACGATGTGCGGAATCGGTCCATCCATGCGATCTTCGACTTTTACGTAGTCTGGGGCCGGAAACCGTGATGAAAATGTCTCGAGCAGATGGATCATATGAGCGTCAGATGTTTTATGCAAAGACGGACCACAAGGGAGTTTGTTGAATTGGAGGATACCCATTTCGATCGTGAGTTAGTGGTTTAAATAGTTCTTTTGTCGATGTATATAGTGGTGGTTATAACAAGTACCTAAGAATAATAATAACATACTATTCTACCTTATTCGGACATCGCATCCGCGGGCGGTGTGGTTGCCGATGCTGCCAAGCTTCGCTTTCTATGGCCGGACAGAAGCTCCCTTCAACCTTCGCAAGTAATAAGCAAACGACACGACATCAGCTAGGAATCATGGGCCGCATAATCATATCCAGAGGGCTCAAAGCTGTATCGCCCGCTCGCGGGTTCTTCTCTACATCACTTCTACGAATGCAGCCCGTTCTTCTTCCCCAATCCTCACAATTCCGCTGTACCATGAGCACGTCCGCGACGCAGCAACCGATCTACGCGCAGGGGGAGGAGGAGAACAGGCTGAATCCAGAACTGAGCAAGCTCTTTGAGTCGGGATGGGAGCTAGATGAGAATAAGATGGGCCTCAAGAAGACGTATCATTTCAAGACCTATACGAAAGTGCTGGTACGAGGGCATCGCATCCGTCAAACGAGTTTAATTCCCCTTCTAACTAGGTGCGGTGCTACAGGATTTCGTCCAAATGGTCGGAATAGCGAGTAAATCGAAGAATCATCATTCTCTTATGCAATTGGTAAGATATCCATCACAGGAAATAGGACAGTGAAGAGGATTGGGTTTCTGACAGGATTCTATGATGTAGGGACATGGACATGTTTCGGTGCATTGGACGACTCATAATCCTCGCGGTTTGACGGCTAAAGATATCGACATGGCGCAATATTGTGATAACCAGGGAGGACTCATAAAGACCGTTGATAGAGGAGAAGCCGCAAAGTGCGGCCCGAAGCCATAAACTGAGGCGTGTAACGGTACTGGACTGGGCACATGAGGACAGTCATTCATTTGTCGAGGAGATGTGCGCGTTATGCGGCAAACTTGTCTCATGGATCGGAACGGAGAAGCTGAGAAGTCGAGACGAACAGGTTATCACAAAACGCAGTACACGATATAGCCGCGTTTTAGTGCTTCCAGACCATTCCCAGTCTCTGGAAGTAAGAGAATAACGACCCCTTCGGCACGTATCCTCCATACATACATTGCCACCGCGCAGCAAAGGTCCCCTCGATCGGCCCCAGCTCCGCAAAACCTAGCGCCTCCAGGCACCACGGTGTCAGAATGACCATGATTCCTAGAGCAATGACTGCGCAGTACACCGGATGCTCGCGAGCAAAGCCCATCGCTTCGTATGTGGCTTTGTCGAAGGCTTCTTTTACAGCCGTGCCCATGGATGCTCCAGCTTTCAGAACTTTTATCAGGCTGCTCAAAAGGGCTTCTGAGACGCAACTGTTCCAGCCTTCAGTGCGGACTATCTCGTCGAGTTCTTTCTTCGTGTAGATATCGACTGACTCGGCGTCGAGGAGGACGGTGAGGACATCGTCTGCAATTTTCTGAATCTGAGCCATCTCCTCTCCTAAGTCGCAGTCGTATGCTCCGCCTGATAGGCAGATGAGGAGTGTATCTTTGAGATCTTTGATGATGTCCATGGTAACGAATATGAACCAGACGCGTATATTTATTTTCGCAAAGCGGGAAGTATTTGAGCATAAGAGAATGCAAACTGTTCGTAATCTGCACTCCACGGGACCTCCCCTCTCCTTATACTTCTGCCCTGGCGGAATTCGCCTCAGAGACCCCAGGCCATGATTACTCTCAGCGGCAATCTCCGTCTGCATAGTGGGATGTTATGCAAATAACGCAAATACTGTAGCGCAGCGGTAAGAGAGCGAGAGAAAATGATGTTATTTTTGGGTGGACTTTTGCCTATTCTTTTAGCTTTAATTATAATGCAGCCGTTCTACACAACGATGGTAACTACACACACATTGCTAGAACTCTCCAAGTTATTTCATAGATCAAATAGCCACTTCACCATTCTCCTTCTTGCAAGCTCATAATAGATCTTCTTCTTCTCATTTCCGCGACGTAGGCCCAGCTTCCCACTGCTCAGCTTCCTGACACCCGCTGAAATAACTCGGCCGATTCTTCAACCAACATTCGATTTCAGGCTTGTACAATTCAAGACTATATCATGAGATCAATCAATAAATATATAATTCACAACAGCCACTTAAAAATTTTGGGAATTCCCTCCCCAGAAGCGACACCTGGATATATCCACTTACCCGTTCTCAATCAACACCGGCCTAATCACAATCGTTCGTCCCTCGTCCGCCAACGGGACAGTGTACAATGTACACCCGCAGCGCTTACAGAAGTACTTTTCCTTTGGGAATCCGCTCCCTGTCTCGGTGATTGTGTACGTCGTGACGAGAGATTCGGGGTCGTTGATACTGAACCGGGAGGATTGGTAGCGTGCTGTCTGTGCAGAGGTCAGCGCATTATACTTAAGACATTATATTCGAGTATTGAATGTTGTTTAGATATAAACTCTATAGTGGAAGTAGATAGGATAGAATCAGAACCACTCAAGGCTCAGATCCAACCTTGCCGTAAAATAAAGCTCCGTAGCAAAGGCCTGGAAGAAACTAAACTCACGATCTGACATGGTCCTCCAGCGCCAAGTGCGCAATCGCTGCAGTAGCAGCAAAACACAATCTTAGGTTCTCCTTCTACGGTGAAAGAGACGCCTTTGCAGAGGCATGTGCCTGTCCGGGTGGCTGTTGACATGGTAACTTGCACTGTATAATGAGTCAGTCCCAATGTGGAATTCTGTTCAGGAACTGGCTGTTGTGGTACCAGTTCTTTATATATTTTTGGTCATCCCGGAGAGATATAAGATGAGTTTTGTTCTCTGGCGATGCATGGGTCAAAAGCTCAAGTGTCCAATTTGACTGACTCACACTCTCACCGGTACTCATTAAAGGCAAGCTTACAACACAACACCACCTTTGCAGAAAATCAAATTTTAAGATAATTCGTCCCCTATGTATACCTTGGAAAAAGATGCGGATATATTCCCTAAACGAGACAGTATTGCTTGTATCTAGATTGTATATCTATTTTGTTTTCAGTTTCTCGTTTCTAATTCGGGAAATATGGATAAGTGCCCGGGCCGTGGTCGTAACGATAGCCTCTCAACTGAGAGGCTGGGAGAGAAAGGATGGCTATACCATTTCCCTTCATAGTGGTCTGATGCGTTCAGCTGTCTATATTAAGTAAATTCAAAATGGAATGAATGATGATTCATCTTCTTAAAGATTTATATTAGGTCTGTTGGATTAGTCGCTGTAGATACACGCAACTGGCACCAAAGTTTATTTTTGAATGACAAGTCATCTTAGAATGGGAGTATAATGGAAAATATACCGCCACGATGAGGAGATTCTCCCATTGCAGCTCAACGAGAACTAACCTAAGAGATATAAACTATTATTCCCCTAGACCATACCCATGAATAGAAATGAAATATTTCACATCAAGTAATCACCCGGCTCTCTCGTAATAACCATCCCAGAGTAACGTACTGTACATACATAACAGGACGATAAACCTGAAATAAGACAGGTCCGTATTAACCAGGAAGAAACAATATAACACGGCCAGCCCATGACACCTACTACTGCAAGCTTATTCGATGCGAGTCGGCCTGTGAAGAAACATGGAAGCAAGGATGTGATATATTCCGGGGAGCGTGCATCTGCACTGCAGGTGCATACGTTATCGTTCAGGAACGGGTTGCTTTTTATAGAAAGCATGTGTCTCTACAGGGGCAGCTGAGCTCGAAGATTGGTCTACGTGTGGTCAATTGGACCGGGGGTTCCTATCGATTCACACCAACATAAGAACCCTTGGTGTTGAGAATGAGCTATATCGCACAAGTTGTACGGGAATAGGCGTTTAAAGCTGCGGATAGGTAGCTATGATTGGCGAGCACTTATCGTCATATAGCCAACTGGATAGTAAACAGGAGTTTTCAGCTGGTATTGAGTCATTTCCGAACTTTGTATGTGATCGTTACATAGCTGGGAACTTGGCAATCTGTATCAGAGCGGCAAGGGAATTTCGTGGCACATCCTGTCCCATTCTACTAGCTTGATAGTTTCGTAGCACGACAGTAGGTAGCCAAGGATCCCGGGCCGTATCGATTAGGAATCTTGACTCTTCCATGCCGCGCAATTGCCTTACATTGGCTTCTGAAACTTTCATGTTACTCCCGCATATCCCAAGGCGGCAAAGCAAAGGACGAGCTCCTCTTAGTCATTAAACGAATCATAACCATTACGGGAGCCCCAACATGGTAAGAGGACAAAAAAACAATCTTACTTCCTCCTCAGTTACCACTGCCAGCGTGAAGTATCTTTATCCCAGTCACTATCACGTTCATCCGTAGAGGGGTCCGGCTTGGCGAGATCGAAATCCGCAATCCAGTTGGCACCGAAGATAATAGGACGTTCGGGATTACCGGCCTTCTCAAAGGGTCCGATAAAATAGCTATATAGAGTAAATTAGTCAGTTCATCACCTTGTCGTTGGGATAATATAGCAATAACGTACAGTGTTTGCGTCTCCTGGTGCCAAACTAGGCTACTTGCCCCGCACACACGGGGGAACCATCCGTTCTCATGCAGCTTACTACATAGTCGACAATGATTATATCCAGTATCGAAAACAGAAGAAACGTTAACTTACGGTAGAGCCTCAAGAAAAGCTAAGCGAACCTGCTCCCTTTCGTGGACTTCGAGAGCCCAAAATGGGTCAGCGCCATTGCCGTCTCCGAGGCGCAGCCCTGGGACGATCTCCCACACAAGCCAGATAATGAACCCACCCGGAACTAGCCCCGAGCGATCCTGTTTATCAGTCTTGTATCCGAGAAGCTTTGGTGTGTGACTCGAGCCCTTTTCAGTGAGGTCCCGGTAGGCGATCAATTCTGGGGGGTTGTATGTTGTGGCTTGTCGGCTTCTGGTATCCGCATCATCCATTTCAGTCTTCCGATGGGCAACTTGAATGTAAATGCGCATGAAAGCTTTCTTAGTCCGGGCTTTGGGATCGCAGCATAGGTATTTGGCCGAGGCGAAAGAACGGAAGCCATACTCATGGTTTTCCTCCTCGTTAACCTGATAGTCATGCTCGTTCAACTGCTCAAGGATCTTCCACCGGGAAGGGACGGGTTGGTCAAGGGTAATGATAGTTCCAGGGTTAGGGTCCTTACGAAACCAGTATGAGGACGACATTGGAGTTGCTTTGGATGCTTTGGAGATGGGTTTCTTGATGCTCACTGAAGCTCATGTGGGGACTGGCAGCTATAGCGCCTTGCGCTAGCCGTATTGGGAGGATAACTGAATTATTGCCTAGAATTCCTGGCCGACATTATTATTATCTATTATTATATTCAAGATGGACCTTGACAGGTCAAGACCCATGGTGCTCATCGCCCTCAGGCGCCACTTCTCAAGAGAACGCATGGTGCCCGGAAAGGTCTCTCGGCAGATGTTCCTCATTTGTCACCTGATGGAAACTAGAGAAACCATTCAGCGCTTCCTGGAGGGATCTTGTACTGCACGTTCGAATGAACTGTGTCGCCATGATAACTTCCAAAAATAACCCCTCGCATGAAACCCCATGGAAGCAGTCGGGTTGGATTATTATTAGGAGGTCACACACCCGCCGGCCCCTCCCTTAAATTTAAAAGCCCATCTAGCTTCGGGGAACACTCTGTCGGGATGACGGTTGGGCGTGAGCTTTGATCCCGCTCCCAGATCTGCGCCAAACACCAGTCCAGCACATCTGAGGCCAATCATTCAGCGCGACAAGGCGATCCGGTGCGCGGCCGCGCAGATGGAGAACGCCGCCAATACAGGCTGGGAAAGGCGCCGGCGCTTAACGATAGACCAAACAACGCGCCTTTGCGGGATGATTGGAGGGAGAGGATGGAGCTTGGTGGCATCGTGTTTTTGCATTCAGCAGGCGTGATTCGACAGCAGCAACGGGAAGACAGGCGCTTCGAGGATGCAGAGTGGTGAAATCCTGCGTGATGCATTTTAGGTGCGTGAGAGAGAGAGAGGGAGGAGGAAGTGGGAGGAACACGAGAGACTGTCGGGGTGTTGGTGACTGCCCTGTTACAGTACAATACGTATTTCAGTACCGGTACCGAATAACATACTCGAAGTACTAGGTGATGGACGGACGACCAACATAGACCACAACGTCAAGCCAGTCAAATAAGCGTGCATGCGCACAGAGCCCTTAGAGATCATGTCCAGTCAGGGGAAACATACTATATTTCTATTTTCAATAAGCTCCGGTCGATAGCGCTACCAGAAATCTCACATATCCCTCGTACTCAGCATACCGATGTAACGGTACGGAACCATCCCGAGATACAGCTCGGTAACAATGACCCCGGCCTTTCGATTCTTCACAACGCGACGATCGCATGAGATAAAGTGAGAAGCATACAGGGACCGTTACTCCAATGAGGGCTCTTTCCATCCCTGCTCATTCTCTGGCCCGCTCCAGGCATCACGGAGGCTGGCGGGTTGGACCGCTGTCACCGAAGACAGTGCTATTGTTGAACAAGGTTTTCTATGGCTGTATACCATATACAGTATGGAATAGTAACTTTAGGGTCTATTGAAATCATTATTTGTATTGATATTGGCGCCGAATCCACCGGCAGTGGCTCGAATCCGAAGGACTCCTAGCGTTCTCTGGAGCTCAATCAGCACTAGATACACGATATCGCGTATTGCGGCCAGATGCGATTGCCCACCTTTTTGCCAATAACTGCCTCCCGTAATTGCTCTTCTTATGAGCAACAGTCCCTGTGCAATGGCATCGAGTATAACCCAGTCACAGTAGGGTCCCTAGAGAGACAAACATAATAACAAAGGAAAGTATATAAGTCCTGTAGAAAGCAGAGGCTGCAAGAAGAAAAAAAAAAGTTAAGGATAGGCCCCATGTCTAATACCCAAAGCCCACAAGGACAAAATTATCAAGACATGAAAAACAAACGCACTTCATAAACGCCTTTTTGCTCCGTACGTATTCGTGGTATCGTAAAGCGGCTGGGGAGCTCAGAAACCATAACGATTCATGGTAAGGCTGTTTCTCCGAATATTCAAGAAACAAACGCGGACGCCATAGTAAGAGCACCGCATAATCTGAGCCGTTCACGAGTCGTCCGTCTTTCGCCTCTTCCCCTTAGGAGGAGGTTCAAGTGGCGTCCGCTTAAGGGTCATAGTCCGAGTGACCACCTGTCGGACACTGACAGGCTTCCCGCCTGCACTTGTCGGGGTTTCAAAATATCGAAGCTTCCACTCCGATGGTGAAAATGGTGATCTGAGTGAAGTCGTACTCCTTGGAGTCTCTGTCACTGGAGAGCAGGCTGCCGATCCCGGAATCCGCAGACGCCGCAGTGTTTCTCTCTTACTTGCTGGCTGTGCCTGCGGGAATGGGCAAGGTGGCGGCAACGAAGATGCTGATTTAATCGTCTCTTTTGCCGGGAACGAGGTACTTGTTGCACTGGAAGGCTGCGATGTTGACGAGGTGACAGACTTTTCCGGTACAAGCTTTGAGAAACTGACTGAAGGGCTCCGCGGACTGGTAAACACGGGAGTAAGTGCCTTCAGGAACTCCGTGTACGCAAGCGGAGGAGTGATCGGGGTCGAATTACACTCCTCTCCTTTGACTTTTGCTGAGGGCTCTGAGCTAGAGCTACTGTGAATCTCAGACGGAAAGGTTGCGCTCTTCGGCGTCTTGAGAGGATGGAGAACGGGTTTAGTCTGCCCCATGGTGTCTCTGGACGGCGGTACGGCAGAGAGCTTCACAGGTAATTGCTCTCAAGTTCAGGATCCGGAGAACAAGCGAGAGGTGCTCTTCTAGATCAAAATCCCGATCAGATAGTTGAGGCAGGCCCGGTGGGCTGGCTAAAGACTCCCGATGGCGAAGACAGCAGGAAGCCGGGTGAAGTGAGGGAGGAGATCGGCTTTAAAGCAGAGCTAGAGCGACCAAAGCCTTGGAGCAAGCTTCGTGCTCTACTGTCACAGGGTGTCCTTGAGCCTGTCTAGTGGCGAATAACTAGCCAGTAGTGGGGGAACAATGGACGTTGTAAAAAGAAGAATCAATCCAGTGACAAGTCGACAGTCTCGTATGGAAACCCCCGTAATTATACGGGTTATGGTGTTCCGGACGGTAAAGTTACCGATCTGTGTATGCTCCTTGTCAGCCTCGGAGTCGCCGTTTGATAAAGAAGCGCCCGCCCCAAATGGCGTCGCATTGCGGCGCAGGCAGTCGATTACTCACCGCAGATTAAACAATGAAAGTGGCAGTTTGCCGCGTTGGTTATCTCCTTTGTCGTTTTGTTCCGACCGTGTTGGGCGGCAGCAGTGATTTGGGACGACTGGCGTGGCTTAGACTATTGGAAAAGAAGAATCCTAGAAGTTGAGACCAGACCTCTGAACCAGCAGATGGTAAGAAGGATAGAGAATATCCGATAAATGATGAGGGTTACGAGATCTCAGAGAATTAGAATCACCTGGTCTTACCATCATGTTTATAGCTCCTCGCAGCTCGACCGTATTCCTTAACGTATACTCCCCTAAATGAATGTTGATTTATCGCGCGCTATCTGTAGCAAGCCTCCTCGAGCGTACTTTACGAATCGCCTCTTGAAGCTTCCCAAGACGAATATGATCTCGATCCTCTAACCCCAGATCGATTACCTTGCAGCTTCTTCCAGGCTTCTGGTTCGCTGCGCACGCGCTGTTTGCTCAACCCGGCGGCTCGCCCACTGACCTTAGACCCCATATCGGGGCAAAAGGGTCGAACTTGTGGCCCTTGTCTCCCAAGTAACCGGAGTCGCAGATTATAGCTTCAAGTGCCAACACCTACTGAGCGCCGAGGAAATACGGTGCAATCCGGCGAGGTTGTAAGCGGCTGTGACCAGAACCAACAGTGCCGGGACTGTCGATAAGATACAAAACTGTGGGTATAGTTTCGATCATTCACTTAGGAATCCCAAATCTCTCCATAGTTATCCCTTGTATCTCTATAGTTGACGGCGTGTTGAAACATTTTGCGTTGTGCAGAAGCTCCCACTTTTCGACACCGTCTGATCTATGAAGAGATTCATCCGTACGATTGGTTTTTGCTCAACTGCATGAGCGTTTACTTGTTTCCTGTTTGGTTCTCAAGATCTCACATTGGGTCCTTCAGCTCATCTGCCTAGCCGCCTGTTTCAAGCGAATTCGTCCAGTAAATTCCCACCTCTACGCGCCCGAGCATAGATGCTCGTGCGTCCAATCAAGAACAGATTAACTTGTTGACGATTTCAATCTGGCACTTTCCTGCAGGGTCTATCCGATGAAACAATAGATCTCTTTCGGATGTCGCAGATCTGCCTTGTGAAGAAAGGTCAGATAGAGAGATGGTGATTGAACGCAGGACGGCGTGGAAGGACTCCGCCATTAACTGCCTCTGTAGGGAGGCTCCAAGGTTGCCTTGAAACCGTGAAATCTACTTAAGGAAGGAGGTTCAGAAGGAACAACTTTCGAAAAGTAGGCGAGCAAAGGGCACGAAATGTAAAATGAAGTACTGGACGGGATCCGACTGAAGTGTTCTCCAAAAAGCGGTAGGCGTAGTACTCTAGAGAGACGTCCGTATACTACGACGGGTAATCTCGATGATATATTATAGGATGAGCTACTAGAAATAGAGTGGGTAGTGAATTGAGTAATGTTCTCAATTGTTTAAACGAATGTATCAGACATTATGTAGTAATAATAAGGCTCATCGTTATTCAACCTGTTCCAGCTAACAATACAAAAAGGGGAACGTGTGGTGAATCGAAAAGAACGTTATGCCAGACCGGACCCAGACACGATGACAACCTGGTAGTAATTGATTACGCCGATTAAGTGAAATTAAACACGGCTGGCATAAGATCACCAGCTTTGTGTTCACAGAGCGACAGCAATGGCGCCGAAGACACCAGCAACAAGAGACAGCGCAATTCCAGCACCAGAGAAAACGGAGCCAGCGCCACCAGTGAAAGGAGTGACAGTGCTTCCAGGAGCAGAAGGCTTGGGAGGAATGGGGTGCACACCAGTGCCGACAGGAGCAACACCAGCAGGGACCGTAGGAGCCGGGCTGGAAGGAACCAGAGGAGCAGGCTGGTTAGGAACCACGGAGATGATAGAGCTCTCAGGCGCAGCCGGAGCCGGAGGAGCGGGAGCAGTCCAAGCAGGGGGAGCGGGAACAGTCTCTGCGGGAGGAGCAGGAGCAGTCCATGCCGGGGGAGCGGGAGCAGTCTCGATAGGCACAGTGCAGGTCTCAGTGATCGGAGTAGGACCGCAAGTGTGGCAGCTCTTCACGGTAGAAGTGAAGCCAGAAGGCATGTGGTGAAGAGGACGAGGGGCCGTGCAAGGGCAGGCCTCAGTGATTGTGTAGGTCTTCGAGATAACACCGGTAGGGCAGAGGTCCTTGAAGACAGTGGTGTACACAGTCTGCTCAGGAGGAGCGGGAGCAGGAGTCCAGACCGGAGGACTAGGAGTAGGAGTCCAGGCTGGAGGAGTAGGACGGTGGTGCTCGCACTCGTCGCAGTAAGTCTGAGTCTCCGTGCGAGTCACGACGGAGGCAGAGACGGGAGTGCTGCACGAAGCCACCTGCTCGAAGGAAATGGCGATGGCAGGGTTTCCGTTGTTGACCTGCGCCTTGACGGCAGCGGCCATGAGGCCCAGAGAGATGGCACTGTAGACAGACTTCATTTTGCTGGATTGTTGGGTGTCGGCTGACGGTTAGTATCGTTCTGGGACCGCGGCGAGAAGAATTAAAGAGGTCAAAAGAGTGACTTTAAGAGGAACCAAAAAAGGTAAAATGAATGAAAGACTGCTGGATTGTCGACTGCTGGTTGATGAGAATAAGCAAGACTTCGGGGAGTCATCGAGCTGCTTTATCTCTTTCCTGTAAGCCCGTGCGGTGTTGTTGTCACGTCGTTGGAATGCTTGGGTGTATACAGAATCACAACACATACTTCCCCAAATGGAAGGACTAGCTTGGAGAGAATGCCATCAAGAATGGACTAGCCGACTGCTCTTGGAGCATTCAGAACGGGTGTTCCTGAGCGCATTCTACCGCAAGTCTTGCCGAATGGTCAGACAGCCTCTTTGGCCACATTCTTCGTCTTCACGAAGCAGGATCACAATGGCGGCTGGTATGGACAGTACAACATGCTCGCACGAGGAATCTTATTCATAGCTCAGTCATGGCCCCTTTGCGACAGGAGTATGTGACGTAAAGCAACCACTGCTTACGATTGAACCGTCCAGGCCTGGGCTCAGGTACCGAGCAATACCCCAAATCTGCTCTTTGAGATATTATGTATGGGGTAAGAGATGTGAACCCCTTGCGGAGAATGACCACCGAGTGGCCGTGGAGGTCCCTACGACATTATTGACACAGCTTTTTCTCGTACAAATTCGTAACCAATGATATTTGAAATCTATCCAGACAGAGTTATTCTGGGAAGCAAGCTATGTAAATCGAGCCTTACCGGCTACATTATACCGGTGTGACCAGGATATGTATCCCGTCATCGACATTCCCTCCTCATCGCCCTCACTGAAGAGGACCCAACGAAGAGGAAACTTCCTATCGGGGAATACGTTCATCTCCAGAACCATACGATCTGAAAAGATCATGGCAACACATCGTCGTAGAGTTATGAGCTGAACGATGGTCGTGGCAGGTTCTGTTGGTTTTTTGATCTGGAGAAGAAAAGAAAAAAATCCCAAATCGAGTTCTGCGGTTGGAGTTTTTATGGCCGGCTCTGAGTGGGTCACGTGTAGCGCGACGGGATTATGTTCTTCCGCCGGCATCTCCGGATCAACTACTATTATTATTGTTGTAGAGAGAAAAAGGATACGGCTGCATTATTATTTATTTTACTCCTGGACTGTCACGTAAACATGATGCTTATTATTGTATGTTCATCGCTATTAACGCGAGAGACGGTGTTGTTCTATACTATGCTACACTGGTTATCGGATAGGTAACCACGATCAAGACTCGGACCAGGAGTCGACTCTCGTCGCCGGCCATGCCCATATACCCCAAGGTTACTGCTGCTGGAGACAGCTCACTCATTTTCAATTCTTCAGAATCGTCTGGCTCTGATGAGCATTCCAGTGTTGAGCTGTGATTTTGATAATGGCAGATTCGCGCTCACAGATCACAAACGCAGTGGGTATCACAAAGTGCGAGCTCTTGTCGCTGACGGACGCATCTCGCTCCGGGATGGAGTGCCTTCTCATGTCTGGTCTCCGGGCACGCAGATGTGCTAGTCACCGGGAGGAGCTGATCGTCAAGAGGATATAAATATAATCGAAGAATAACTAACCCCGTTGTTAGGTGCTGACCATAAGAGGGAATTCTAGGATATCCGTTCACTCACCTGTACGAAGCATCGTTTATGTTCATGTGTGGCTACCAATTGCAGCCTGTCTGTGGTTTGACCTCCACACGCCTCCGCCAACAGCTGCGGTTATGCCAACTGCAATACCAATCATGCCCCCCACGATCAGCAATGCTAGGAACACCTTGACAGCCAATCTCTGCTCCTTAGTCATGGCGTCAAACCAACCGCAATGTCTCTTGTCTTCTTTAGCCCATATCTTGGACGCTCGGTTGAGATCCACGGACTGTTTATAAGCAGAACGCCCACCGCTCTCAAGGTCCTGCGAGGAATATTCACGGCTGATGATCTTCACATCAGCCTTGAGGTGCTCTTCTGAAGGCTTCGTGTCCGCATGGCTGTAGAAGGGAGAGTACGGTTTTGCTCCGACCCTCGGGTCGAAATCGGGCATCTCATCGGCTGATTCAGAGTTGGGGCTGTGTGTATTGGCGGGAGGTAATGTCTGCGCGACTGGAGGAATGGCGATTGTGTCCTCGCCATTGTTGGTCTCGTTTGTACTCCGGATAACGCGCGCACCGACGACTGGTTTCTCTGAATGAGACATGGTGAAGAATACAGGAAAGGTAGGGAATGAGGGGACAGCGCAACCCTAGGCAGCTGTCGGTCGAGATCAACCGCGTCGATGATCGCACGGTATTATCTTGCTGCGATATGTGCAGGAAGTGAAGGAGACGCCCGCGCCCAGGTACAAGACCGTCTCGACGACGAGGAATAATATGTTTTTGCGGTAGGGATATGGTGGTGTAGAAACGACGGGAGTGAAGGGTTGAGACGACTAAGAGAAATAGAACGCGTTGTCGTCGCTTCCGTCTATCACCGCAGACCTCGATTGTCACAACAAGAAGTCGCGGGTCTAGAACAGCGTCACTGTACGAGAAGAGCCGTCTCGAGACGTCCGGCGGATGATATCACAAGGTTTCTCCGACTGCGCAATATGGCATTCCTGGAGGTTCGGACACACGGATATGATCAAGCTGTCTCACTCACAACTCCGCATTCCAAGTGCCTTGACAAATCACGGTTATCGGGCACCTCAGTTTCGGTGACGCTGGATAATACTCGACTCGTTCCAATGGTCTCAACTGTCGACGCACAAGATGATAGAAAAACTGGAGTACGGGGTACACAAGAAGAGTCGGACGTTGCCAGGTCGGGGCCCCATTATCTTTATCTATCTGCGATACGCGCAAAACACCTCCTTAAGCTCGGTCCCGCAGCGTGGGATTAGAGACCTTGTCGATTCTACTCTACTGAGCGCTATGAGCGCTAAGGCTGCAAGCTATGGATTAATCCTGGTCCACCGTCGAGCATCTGCACATCCTTCAACTGCTCCAAGGTTCTTGCCGCTGTCTCGAAAAGGGGTGCACGTATGCAGCGCTACTGGCATCGAGTACGGAGTACAAGTGGTCGCTCCAGGGTTCTAACAGGCCGGCAGCATCAAGAACTCTAGTTTTTTCGCGGTCTCCGACAGTTTGCGCACTGTCCTGTATCTAAGGCCCGCTAAGGCTCTCAGGTTCAGACGGTCGTCTACTCCGTAGACAGGTTCCCATCTTGGCTTGCAATCCCAATTAAAATTATCAATATGACAGGCCGCGACCATGGCCTGACATAAGGACATTTCGAAAAACTGATTAGGAAACAGTTCTGGACCCCGCCGATTCTCAGATCTACGCACTAAAGACCGACGGCGTGCGTGAATCTCTATGGGCGGCAGAAGACATCGCGTGGTACACGTCAGTTACACGGGACAAGGGAATAGGAGGTGGCAACCGATCTGGAAGTGGATGAGCGAGAGATTACCTCTTGCCAATCTATCGGGCCCAGATGTCAATCAGCGATGCTGTGCTTTTCGGGTGCCATATGCTGGTCATGATATGGGCATATTATTATCATGCGAATGTCCAATCCAAAGGAGATCTCTCCGTTTTGCGCTTTGTCGCCCCTCCTGCGAGGGTCCTGGACTCAGGACAGATACAATGACGGCCCTCTCCCCAGAACCGATAATTGACTAGTGGCATATCTAGACTTGAGATGGTTACTGCTCTTTGTGTGTCCACAATTTTTATCTCGCGGAAGGGAGATCCATGTTCCACTGGCGCGGTCTAAAACAGGGGCAAGTTGATGTTATAGGCGGACTCTAAATTAGACAGATAGGGGGTTCAGCTTGGCACTGCCCCAAAAGTTTGGAACCATGGAGCGGTCAATGTAAGGGGCCGTCGCTCTCTCTGGGCGGATATCAATCAAGTATCGTGTTCATCACAGCGAGCAAAAAAGAGCCGACCTTGGCGCCATACACAGGATACCTCGCGCAAGCTTTGGTCTTCGCTGTACTTATGAAGCTTCTCATGATGCAACCCGGGTAGATAACGACCCGGCAACAACATCCAAGACATACTACCGACTATTTCTTGTAGGCTGAGAATATCGACCACTTCGTGTCTCGTGCGCGTTTACAAGTCAATGGTCAGCGTCCAAGTCGGAACTCCATTCTAACGCAACCCGACTGCGAGATCTGCGACACGTGTTGTTGCGGAGCGATGTGTTTTATTAATATTCCATAGTGCCAGGGATTATTATGGACCTCCCTACCGTGTCGCCTTAGCACAGATCATGCTGGTATCCGGTGAGTTATAAACTTGTTTTCTGGACGAGTTCTCGGGCAGGTAATAATGCTGGTCGAGCCTATGCAGCTACCCCGGCGATATTCAAACTTGGCTTTTATAGCCCCCCCGTTAGACTAAACGTCAATAACGGTGTGAGTTTCACAGCAACCAACCACTCCTCTCGCTGTTCCTCGTGCGGATTATATTCGAATTTTGGTCAAAGCTCTAGTGAATACGAGTACGCGCAGGGAGCTAAACAAAGCTAAGTAACCCGATTAAAAACCGAGATAGGTAGGCACTGGTAAACATGCGCCATAGCGCTGTAGGTTCCTAGTTCCCAGGTCGTCCATATTCCCGAAAGCGAGCTCGCTGTCGACGGTCGGACAGATGGCGTTTTTTGGTTTTTTTTTTTTTTTTGGCATTTGGTTTGTTCGAAATTGTGGGGAGAAACTCCGCGGCGGAGTTTTTTAGTTTATTCGAGAATAAGGTTAGAGTAGTATACTTAGATAGGCTAAGAGAGGGCCCCTGCCTGGTTTCGATTGTGTCCGGTTGATCTCAGTGTATGCTCTAGAACAGACAAACAACGCGTATTTAGATAGATAATTTCCTGAAGATGGACGAGTTAATAAGTGTTTCTTCGTATGTATGTAGTAACTAATCGGTTGAATGGTCTTGTGGTAAGTGTTACTGTAATTTCTCACGAAGCGGAGCAGTAATCTGTGTGCATACTCTAGAATATATATTTCGGAACTGTAGACAATATCCATTGCTCCCATATTGTAAATAACTCCACGCCACAACATACAGCGAACAACTGTTGAATCAAACGATCCCAATTACCATAGCTGACTACCTATACTGTAACTGAAATAACTTTCTACACACCTTGATCTGGTGGATGGAAAAAAACGTCTCCAGACAGACAAATATCGATCGCGTAACATCAAAATGCTAACTGTGCAAGGACGAGTACATCTTCGCAACGAAAACTACAAGGAACAAGAAATCTACCAACGAGGAAATACTATTCGATCTATAGTTTCTAAACGAAAAGGGTTACGAGGAAACGCGCCCATTGCGCTACTTACGGGCTAGGTGTATATCTATCGGGATTACGAGTGAGTAATTTAGACCGGAGGCAAGACGTAGCATCTTAGCACAGGACTTAACCGCAGCATATCAAACACAAGAGAAGAGACTATGCAAATTTCCATATCTTCTAGTTGGAATACTGCAAGTTCATTCATGAGTGCGTATAGTAACTAGTACATGCGACGTGAGTAGCCAATTACAACTACAACTACAACTACCTCTATCCCGATCTCTATCGGTTGTTCCAAAGAAAGGGCAGTACTGAGATGGATACTGTATTGATCTAGGTGGAAGGAGATACTAAATGTGAGGAATCGACTTGGATAGAAGGCGATGCTACTACGATGTCGCTACCCCTGGTCCTCGCACTGTACTTTCCTGGCTATCCGGAACAATATCTCAGTCATGAATACTCGAATGGGCAAAGGAACTCTAATTGTTAATAGTGAGTAGATACTTCGAATCATCGATATGGAATAACACATCATATGTACTCTTGATATCTGTGCGATCAAAAGGCGCGGCGAGATGAAGATCGAATTTGTAATAGTAGCCATCCTTATCCTGTGTAGCAGACCAGCTCCATATTCCTATTTATATCTCTGCGACACGACAAATCCTCTAGATCACGAACTCACTCCTGCGTTTACGTGAGTCTTCAAAGGGATATAAAATACCTTGGGGCACGCGAATACGCGTCGCAGGTACGCACTCTATCGACTCGAGTAGCTTTTATTACGTATATCCCTTGCATACCTCTTCATATGCGCTATCCGTGAAAGATAATCTCAGGTGACAGCATCATGGATACAATGATATAATTATATGTGTACGACACAGATGAATGCAACTTGAAGCGATAGGGCTTATGGCATTGTGTGGGTTAATCAAAGTAAGAGATGTGCATGAATTGTTGTTACGCAATGAGGACGACGACGATGATGTATTTGGAATCTACGATATGTTTGCGTATTCCGCTGATGTGCGTGTACCTGGCATTCAATATGATATAAATCGTGAATTATAAATAGAATGTCCTGATGTGAAATGGACTTCTATCTACTGCAATGCTGTGGAATGTGCATGATTCGTGACTGTTCATCGTCCTCATCTCCTCGAGTACCTACGTGTCGCGCCGCGCGAGGAATGCCTGGCACCCCTTCCTGGCTTCTACTTGACGCGCCGCCGCGTCGAGGCTAGTTTTGATCATCAACGAGAAAATATTCCCTTTTAATCCCACTTCGATCGCACATAGAGCGGAAGATGCCATCTCGCTTCTCCCAGAGTTTCAGAGGTTCGTCCATCTCTGCGATACGACCCTGGTCCATCACACAGATGCGATCGTACCCGATGATCGTGCGTAGCCTATGCGCGATGCACAGAAGTGTTTTACCTTTAAAACCGTAGGCCATTGTCCGTTGGATTTTCTGATCGGTTTCAAAGTCCACGGATGATGTGGCCTCATCGCAGACGATGATCCGAGAATCACGGACTAGGGCTCGCGCAAGAGCCATGAGCTGTCGCGCTTGGAATCTTTCACACTTTCTAGCAGTTCATTCTTGGTGGCCTCCAGGGTCTTATTGTCACCCTCAGGATGTGCCGTCTGTTCTGACTCCTCGATGGCTTTCCCGCCAGCCTTTGCACGGCCAGATAACTTCATTGCTTTAGTGAAGATCATATTGATCAAAACAGCCCTTGCTTGTCCGCCAACCGTCATTCCATGATAAAGGTACTGATTCATGGACAAGCTAGTGACAACCAACCCAACATAGCGGTGATACCGATAGTCATACCAATGCCACGACCTACTGAGGGGGCTGGGCCATGACCTAGTTTAGAATAATAAGCATCCGTAGCAAATGCAATCAGATAACGTGTCGTATATGGTGCAAAGATTTGTAGGAGAGCAGCGAGGAGGTTGCCGACTCCGCCGATCCAAAATTCGACTTTGAAAGTCTCATAGACAGCCCAGAGTAAGGGATAAGTGTCACCACGCTCCAAACGTCGTCGGAACGAGACATCGAGCTTCTCTGCTAGTACACCTACGGATCTATCCGGGTTGACGGTCCATATATCCTGGATTTCGAGATGTCGGAGATAGCCAACCTGACAGGAAGATCTCAGCTATGCTCCTCTGAAATAGAAACAGAAGGAAAATCCATACTCACATTCATCAATGGCCACATCCATTGGAAAGTTATGATGCTAAGAAAGTTGGCCCCATATTCCCTAGATACCGTCCGCTCAGATGGAAGTGGAGGTATCTTCTGAAGCCTCAAAGGGTTCAGCAGCGGATACCATTTGCAACCCTGTTTCGCTGGTTTGGCATCACTTGGATCTTGAGTACTATCACTTGTGCCTGACTGGGAAGCGGTTATGGGCTCCAGATTTTCCTTGTCAACCTGCAATGTCTCATCCAGCTCGTCTGTCGCCCGAACAGACCGTTGAAGTGTACCCACCATGGCTGTAGTTGTCGGCTGTCCTATGGTAGTTTCCTACCGGAACGCTTTTGCGCTTTTGGTCCTTTGGCCTGCGTGTGTGTATGGGTACGCAAAAAGACCAGAAAGCGACAGCTGCCAGCGTAGACAAGGGGTACACCATGGGGATGACAGCCATCCTTAAAAGCAGGCCGTCTCGTCTATTAAGCCTGGCAGATATTCTACGTCGGGGGTTGGCGTTGTCACTGACATCCGATAGGCAGGTCCAGGCTCACCCAATCGTATTTTTCTCTTTTCAACTAGTCATCGGTGGCTTTATCGTCCGATTGGGAGTGGCTATCAGGGAGAGCTGCGAGTCAAGTCAAGCAAACGAGATCCGTTGACCGAAGCCAGCCACGATTCGAGAAGCGGGAGGCCTAAAGATCTTGCGACGATCGTCGACATCAAAATCAGCATTTAGGGCAAAAGAAACAATTACCCGGAAGTCAGTCAGACTGTGCAGATCACACCGACAAACCCCCCCGTTCGCTGTACCATGCGGGATGCCCGCATTCGGGAGATAGGGAAACCTGCAACATTGACATTCCTTTGCAGTCTGCATGTACAGTAAAAGAGAGCCCCACATAGACTCCTCTGTCGATACTTTTGACAAGTCTGGCTCGCAATTCTCGCTGCTTAACGATGCATTTGGCGTAGCTCAATTGGGGTGAACAGTGACTCGGGGCTCGCTTCGCTATGTATCTGGTCAAGTAACGCAGTCCAAGCGGATTCCTGTTTAGCAGTCAGCGCCTACTCTAAGCTTTGGACTTAAGATGAGACCGAGAACTTGATGCCCTAGACGCTTGCGCGAGCATTTGTATCTGATCGATTTCCACGACTGTAACCACGACGTGCATGAGATTGTTCTGTTAGCGCATGAAGAACCCAACGTGTATTGCACGCGAGGCCGGTGCATAATGTTCTTTTACCAGAGGCCAGATACCGGTTCTCCGACGGGTCCTCATCTTTGATGCTTATTGCAGCGGGGTTGTTAGTGACTTGATGATGCTTGATCCTGCGCGCTGGTGAGTAGCTAGCACGCTTACGTCGACACAAGACTCGAGGCTTTATCCTGTATGAGACTAATGAGGGGATTATGCATCACCGTGACCTGATATTCAATGAGTTTCCAGCTAGAAACTTGTCTCTTTGTGGTAATTAGCACCGTCGAAACATGAGTGTCGGATATGTTGATGTGTGTTTAGTGCCAGTCCCGAAGTGAGCCCGCATCCCGAGAGAAGAAGAGATGCACGCCAAGCACATCAGAATCAGAAGCGCTGACGACGCCCTACGAAATACCCCTGCCATGAGCGTATTTATGAGATAGTATTCGCAGACTAATCAAGTTTGATGTTTCACTACACATATTTTCCGGCTGCAGCCTGCGGACCATCTTTTTGTTTTTCACACCGCTGGTTTCTATATCAACTTGCTCTATAGCTCTGGGGTCAGACTCTAACCATGCTTGTAAAAACATGACCTGTATTCACTATTGATTACCTCAAGACTACGTTGACAACAGACAATCGGTGACAGCAGGTCAGTAACATTGATGATTATATATGATACATCCCGGATGAGCGATGTCTACTGGGTTATTTTGTGTGGTAACAGATGTTGAGTCTTGGAGATGACACAAACGTCCACAAATAGGGGTATAGCCCTTACGCCTCGACGGTGATCTTGACCTTCTTCTCGGGGGGCGGAATGACTTTGTCTTCTGCCTCACCCTTCAGGTTGGGAAGCTCTTTGACAGCTTGCTCAATGATGCTTAAGGCGGTCTTGATCTCTTCCTCAGTAATAACCAACGGGGGTGCCAGGCGGATGATGTTCTGGTGAGTCGGTTTGGCCTGGCAAAAATTAGTAACGAACTTCCAAGAGTTGATCGGCGAGTTGCGAGAGAAAAGACTTACCAGCAAACCCTTCTCCTTCATCAACATGCACAGATCCCATGCAGTGTGTCCACCAGTCTGGCTTTCATCGATAACGATGGCGTTGAGCAGACCCTTTCCGCGGATAGTCTGGATCACCGGGCTCTGCAGTGCCTTCAGTCCGTCGCGGAAGAGCTGTCCAAGCCTCTCTGCGTTTTCAACCATGTTCTCGTCTCTGACGATCTCGAGAGCTCGAATGGCAACAGCACATCCGAGAGGGTTACCGCCGTACGTTGAACCGTGCGTGCCGGGCTCGACCGTAAGCATGACATCCTTGCGGCCAAGGACACACGAGACTGGGTACATGCCGCCTGAGATGGCCTTGCCCAGCAGAACGAGGTCAGGCTTGATGCCACTCCATTCATGGCAGAGGAGCTTTCCAGTACGGGCAATTCCGGTCTGGATCTCGTCACAGATCAAGAGGGCATTGTACTCGTCACACAGCTTCCTGGCTTCCTTCAGATAGTCTTCATCCGGCACGACAATACCAGCTTCACCCTGGATCGGTTCCACCAAGAATGCTGCAAGGTTCGAACCGGCCTTCTCGAAGGCTTCTCGGAGAACAGCCTTGTCATTGAAAGTGATAGGCTTATCCGTACCAGGAATCGTGGAACCGATGTTGGGAAGGTAGGGGCCGTAGTTGTCGCGCGATTCGGGATCAGACGACATGGAGATCGCTGCGAACTAGCAGAGCATCAGTATACCCACCAGTGTACGTTTATCTGCTCTTGGATGATATCTTACCGTTCGCCCGTGGAAGTTGTCTGCTGCACTCAGCACCACCGCCTGGTTCTCTGGGATCCCCTTCACCTTGTAACCCCACTTTCTGGCGATCTTGATACCAGTCTCGACAGCTTCAGCCCCCGTGTTCATCGGCATGACCATGTCGAATCCGAAGAACTTGGTGACGAATTCCGCAAACTTGGGGAAGACGTCATTGTAGAAAGCTCGCGAGCTCAGCGTGAGCTTGGAAGCCTGATCTGTCAGAGCCTTGACGAGCTCGGGGTGGCAGTGACCCTGGTTCACAGCAGAGTAGGCTGACAGGAAATCGAGGTAGTGACGGCCCTCTGGATCCCATACGGACGTGCCAGAGGCGCGAGCGAAGACGACTGGAAGGGGGTGGTAGTTGTGAGCTGCATACTCCTTCTCCGCCGTAATGGCAGCTTCCGTGGAGGCAGCATGGTAGTTGGAGGCCTTGTCCGAGGCGGTGGATTTGAGGCCAGCCGGCTGCGACCCAGACGTTGCAATTGGAGACATGCTGGCGGCAGCACAGGTCGGTGATGATAAGATCTGGTCGATTGAGGTTATACTCGAGATGAAAGGCGGATAGTGATGATCGTCCCACGTCAGCGGGGAAGTAGAGTAGTTTGGAGACAGAATAATGATCTCAGTCAGGAGGATAGGAAGAAAAGAACGGAACGGTCACCCCGACGCGCAGAAGTGGACTGTTGTCCATTCCGCTGGACGGCGAAAAGTCTTTTCATGGCGTCCATATCGACTAGACCTCTAAGTGCAGGTCTATCCGCGATGCCTCCAGACTGTAATCCTCGGAGGGGCCGCACCGGTTATGATCCACCGCTAACGAGAAGCCTTGACACATTCGCGGAGATGGTTTCCAATTGCGCCTCGTGCTATTCGTCGCCTGAGAACCTGATCCAGAGTCCTTGTATTCCAAGTCTCAGTAGTGAGGCCAACCAGAATAATAATAACATAACTGGACCTTGACCGCGTGTCCGTTCATACACGACGTTAGCGCCGCCACCCCGTGTTGTTGCTGGTGTCGATCTCCGCGGCCAACCTTTGCATTCCGCTCTGGATTTGTGTCCTCATTGGAATCGCTATGAGCGCGCGAGATCATGTCGACAGCCTCGTCTGAGCTGTCGCAGTCTTCTAGCGACACGGATAGTCGCGAAGGACATCCAGTCGCCCGGCGGATCCAGCGCCAGGGGATTCAGGAACGGCTCGACACTGCAGCGCCGCAGAATATTCTCTTGTCCCTGATCGCATTTCGCATCCTCAATGCCCTGTGCGTGCGCACGTTTTTCCAGCCGGATGAATTCTTCCAGTCTCTGGAGCCTGCATGGCAGCTCGCGTTTGGCAAGGACAGTGGTGCATGGATAACATGGGTAATTAGTTGAACGTTGGTTGAGACGGTGCATCGCTAATAGGAGCTTGCCAAAGGAATGGACGCACCATCTGCGGTCCTCGATTCATCCGATATTATTCGCAGCTGTATATTATGTCGCCGATATCCTGTCATGGTGCCTGCGTCTCTCACCGTTGACGCGTGCGGAGGTGCTAGTCGTTGCGCCAAAGATCACGCAAGCGATCATCGCGGCCGTGGGGGATTATTACACTTGGAAACTAGCGGGCAAGGTTTATGGACAAGGTAGCAATGAGGCATGGGCAGTGGTATGTGGACAATGCCGGTTGTGATGCGAAGGTCTATACTGACGGTCTGCAGCGGATGCTTACCGTCGTAAGCCCATGGCAGTGGTTTTGCTCTACGAGGACTTTCTCCAATTGTCTCGAAACAACCTTGACGGTCGTCGCATTGTACTTTTGGCCATGGAGATGGACTATTGCGCCTCAGAATAACAAGAGTGAGGATGAGGACGACGATGACCTCATTACCAACAGTGACATGAACGAAGAGCCAGAGGAGCGCAATGAGTCTGGGAGGTATGTGGTCCACATGAATATAAGTAATTCATCTATCCTCTGACGGTTCTTATAGTCTGCGCAAGTGCCTGCTCCTTGCTGCCCTCGCATGTGTGCTGCGGCCCACGAATATCATCATCTGGATAACGCTTGCTGGCTTCATGCTATCCAAGGCTACCAGGGGAGAATGCTTGATCATTGCCAGAGAGGCTACCATTTGGGGGTAAGTTGCGGAAACCATCATTTCTCACCGATTCTGACGGTAGTAGATCTTGCGTCTTGGGCTTCTCAATTTTTGTCGACTCTCTTTACTACGGAACGTGGACCTTTCCTCCCCTCAAATTTCTATATTTCAACATAGCTCAATCACTGGCTGTGTTCTACGGTCGGAACGATTGGCATTACTACATATCACAGGGATTTCCTTTGCTTCTTATAACGGCGTTGCCTTTCGGACTGGTCGGACTATACCAGGCTGTCTTTCCTTGTACTCGTCCGCACCAGGAACACGCGGCAGCATCGATCAAGCGCCAGCTGGGCTGGGTTTGTATCATCATGCCATCTGTCCTGTCCCTCATTTCACATAAGGAAGTCCGGTTCATCTACCCTCTGCTTCCGTGTTTACACATTCTGACGGCACCTCCATTTCTGGACTGCTTCCTGCCTGCGATCGCGAGCTCGTCCGCGGCGCACACGCCTCGCAGGCTTATCCTTCTTTTCCTTTTACTGGTGAATGTGACTATTGCGCTCTATACTACACTCACGCACGCTTCTGGTGTCATTGATGTTCTTTCGTATCTCCGTGGTGAGCACGAAGCGCACTACCAGGCTCAGACGCAACCCCCGCAGTCATCCCTGACCCCTGTTCTTCCTTCGAGTTCACCAAACATGACAGTAGGATTCCTCATGCCCTGTCATAGCACCCCCTGGCGATCAAATCTGGTCTTTCCCTCCATCCGCGGCTGGGCTTTGTCGTGCGAGCCTCCCGTGGGTCTCGACCAGACACAGAAGGCTGCCTATCTCGACGAAGCAGACCAGTTCTACGCTAACCCGAGTGACTTTCTGCGAGCAAACATGGTTGGGGGTCTCCGACACATTCCGCGAAGACCGTCCTACCTTGCACCCTTTCCTTCCCTTCAGCGACCACAAGAGCTTCCTACGACACTCAAGGACGAAAAAGGCATGCCCCGGTTCATACATGAGTGGCCCGATTATCTTATCTTCTTCGCCCAGTTAGAACCAACCATGCAATCCCTTCTGCGGGGCAGCTCCTACGGCGAGTGCTGGCGAACATTCAACACCGCATGGCATGACGACTGGCGACGCCGGGGTGACATCGTTGTATGGTGCCTTGATCCCAAGCTGCAGCAAGATTCGCGCGACAGTGCTCGGAAGAAGGAGCAAGCCCGTCGAGACAAACAGTTCGACAGGATAGTTGAGACTTTCAGAAGGCAAGGAAGACCGCAGAAGTCGTGGTGGCAATGGCCTTCCTGGTCTTATTCTGGACTACACTGGCCTCGTGCCTGGCCCTTTGCCAAGCAGAAGAGAAGTATATTCGAGCTTCCATCTGACTCGTTCTGGAGAAGGAACAAGAAAACAAACTTCTTAAGCGATCTCAAGCTCCCTTCCTGGCCTTTCTCATCGAAGAAAAAGAAGAAGTCGATTCTCGACCGCGAATTGTGGGAATAGACTGATACCGGGAGATAGCGAGCCCGTGCGCTGTTCCATTTATATATGTCTGAATTTTGTATCTAGCAAACCTACCTCAACTGGTTAATGTAGAAGCGTGGAGGTCAGATACTCAGGACATCGACATATAGAAGTACATAGACAGGAGTACATATTTATCTAATTAATTTTGCCTTTAGGACAACAAAAGGACTTTTCACTTCAGGCAAGACTAGAACTTTTGTGTGTTGAATTTTGCTATGCATTATACTCCGAACAACCGCTGCTGAATTCAACAGCAGCAATTGGCTTTTGGATGGCTTTGTCGTTACAGTTCTATGCGTGGATTGAGAAAAGAGCAGTGGACTTGACTTAGTATAAAATTGACGGTATATAATTAACCACAACAGCGTTGCTGCTCCTAGGAAGATTGTTTTCCAGTTCTCTCCTTCCTGTCATCCCTTCGCACCAACACATCACTGGTAATTCATTGCCATGCCCTAACATCGCCCGACGTTTCTCCCAAATGAAAGGAAGCTAGCTATAATCAGAGTCGCAGGCAGGCTTATTCCAGCCGAAGATTGATGATCCCATTTCAATAGACCTTTCCCGACCAGGTGTTGACACTCTGGAAGGAGATTTGAGCAGTATTCTGCGGAAACTATGATCAAATGATGTGATAGTGTCGAGGTTCATATCTTGCAGTGTACATTCACTGGTACCAAACATCAATATGCAACTATTCAATACAACCAGGGTCCTAGTAAAAGTCAATATAATGATGATCATAGAGGGAATTCAAAGGACGCGAATAAGGGTCCCCACCTTTAATAAAGTTATTTTCTTGTTCCACATGAGTCGGGATCTGTAGTGCCCGTGCATGAACGACATTGATTGCCTGCATGGCATCTTCAGCCTTCACAACAAATCTACACGTAGCGAACAGACAAACATTAGCTGGGGCCAGGATGATATATGTAAGTCGGAGTAGAAAGCACATACGAAATGTTTATCTCACTCGCCCCTTGGCTGATGAGGTAAATATTGATTTTTGCGGATGCGAGTGCCGAAAATATCTCGTCTTGGGATTTGACCCGCGTCAGTTGAGTGTTTTCTTTTACTTATCGAATCTTTTGCAGACGAGTCTTACTTGCAGTGCCAACCATGTTGCGCATTTTCTGGCCAATAACAGAGACAATATTCATGTTTTCCAATATCGTTACCTGTTCTCAGCAATGAGCCACCGTCGATTTGCGGTAGAGAAGAGCAGAAGGACGAATACTGACCGATCCAAATTCCTGCAGATCAAGTACTAATTTATTGGTGATGGTCGATGCTTGGATTGCAAGACTGACGTTTCGCTCACTCGTGGTGACCAAATCCGGAACTATGCCATTTCGTTCAAGTTGACAGAATACAGAAGCCAGGAAACCTTGCGACTTGGTGGTCCGGCTAGATGTGACGTTGATGAGAATGAGACCTTCTTTGCTGGTAATGGCAGTTGGACGTCGCCTGCTTCGAGATTGCCCATGGTATCCGTTGGAAAGCATAAAGATATCGTCTGGCGGACTCTCCTGCACTGTTTCCTTCACCTGGTGATCTGTCTCTGGAGTGGATGGGTAGATCACGGTCCCTGATCCGCTGGGATTGAGTACGTTTTTCAGTCTCAAGACTATCTCGGACTTGTGTAGTTGTTCCATTGTGAGGGGATGGATGACCTGCGCGAAAACATGGCGTAGTGTCAGAACTCAAGTTGTATGCTATTCCTGATGATGAAAGACCCTGCTTTCCGGACTTACCTCGCTGCCAAAAAAGGTCAGTTCTGCAGCTTCTTCTGCAGTGACAGTCGCCAGAACTCGCGCCGATGGTACTTTTCTGGGATCCGCGGTAAATATTCCATCAACTTCTTTCCAAATCTGGTATTCCATTGCAGCCAGGCCTGCTGCACACATCGCGCCACAGAGGTCGGAATACCCTCTACCAACACACCGGAGGAGTGAGTGAGGCATGAGGCCAAAATAACCTGGACACATATGCCATGGTGAGTTGATAAATAATAATTCTACACATCGTCTAAGAGGGTATACATACCAGTGATTACAGGCACCGCATCTGTAGATTCAGATACTATTGACCCAATCCTGCGCGAGAGTCGATGGTAGAATTCTGTTCCGAGACGTTCGAACTGCGATTCCTGTTCTGGCAGAGATCCGCCGAACACTTCTGCAACAATGTTATCCAGGTTGATGACTCGAGCAGGAATGCCCTCCTTGATGGTCAACGCAGCCGCCACGATCTTGCACGCCAATCTCTCTCCTAATGAGAGCACGCGGTCTTTAGAGCGTGCAGACAGATCTCCCACGACCTGGAGGCACAGCAGAAAAATTAGTACAAAGCAAAAAAGACAGTGACCACTGCTCTTTCGAACCAAGACGTACGTGGGCTGCAAGAAGGAATCTGCGAATTTCTTCGCAGTCATTGACCACACTCAGTGTGGTCTCACTGAGAAGCAGATCGCTAGTATCGTTGGAATAGGCCCGAAATGACTGCAATTTATCCAGATGGGCATCGCGGATACTATCAATAGTCGCATTTATATGACCGATTGATTCCACTCCGACGATCTCTGCACATCGAAGACAGTCGAGAAGCAAACTTGTCGTGCCGCTAGCCTTCGTGGTACCGGATAATGCAGAACAGACGACGGCGACATTGTATGTTTTCAGATACGAGGGAATGATCGTCCCACACACTTTGTCCAGCAATTTTCCGAGGCTCGTACCTCCATATTTCTGGACAATCCATGGCTTTGGGTCAGGGCGAATGGTCATCTTGGCTTCGTGAAGGCTACTGCTTAGACTCTCAGTCGACGAATGATCGGATGGCTTATCGCATGTGAAGGAATATAAACAATAGCCAACAAGATGCAGCCGAGTGAGGTAAGTTATCACATATTTGACACTTGTGCCATCCTAAGTCCTAGAGAAACAAAAAGAAAGAAGCAAATGTCGATGACGTACAAACGAGCTTGTTCCAGAGCCCTATCGAGATCACGGTGTTAGAAACTCTTATCTACATACTTCACCCTGCCCGAACTGCAAAGACCGAGGTCACCGATTCGGGCTTCGTATCAAAGGATCGCCGTGTGCAGCCAAGAATCGATCCATGGACTGAACAGCCAACTATCTATAACGACAACAGTGTATTTTGGCTATCTCCAACTCTGACGATCTTCACGTTATGATTAGGCTGACCTGAGCGGGCAATGCTATATGTAGAGCACCTTCTCCAACGGAACCATACTTCTTGTCTATCAAACCAAGGAACACGACAAGTTAAAATAGACCGACAAAGTTATACAACTGTAGACAGCCCAAAGCAATAATGCATTCGACGGACATGTGCGAATCCAAGTCTTCTGAGCTCCCAGTGCAGAATTTGGAGATTAAATTCGGCCTCAACAAGTCCTTTGCGAATCCAACGCCAATGTGAGTCTGTTCCCAGACCTGGTACAGAACCTCATCAAGCCTCGCTAACGTGTATACAAGTGCGGTGTTAGGCCTTGCCATAAGTGTTACGACTCTGGGCTGCGATCTCATGGGATGGAGAGGAGCTGGTGGTGATGGCGCTGCGTCAACGTAGGTTTGCTTGCCCTTTCGCACTCGCAAATTCCTATGACCTTGATGGTTGCAGAACTGATCAATTGTTTTCTGCAGAGGAGCTTATTTCTTCATGGGTGGACTGCTTATGATTCTGGGCGGGTTTCTTGAGTTTATCTTGGGAAACACGTTCACATTCTTTCTATTCTGTGGCTACGGTGAGTGGCTTAAATATATTCACAGGCTTGTGAGTACTAATATGACGGACTAATCGCTTCAATGTGGACAGGAGGGTGGTGGTTGAGCTTCGGTGCAACGCTCCAGCCTTTCTACGGAGCGTATGGAGCCTACTCGCCCGATGTCTCTGATCCTTCGAAAGGACTTCAGACGACTGGATTCAATGCGAGCTTTGGTAGGGAGCGTCTCTTAATTTCTTCTCTTGCACACCTTCTCTAGGGGCGGAATATCCTACCTCTATTCCCAGCGAGGGAGACAGATAACCAACAACCTTGTTGCTAACGACCAATACCAGCATTCCTGCTCGTATTTATGGGCATTTTCTCCCTCGCTTGTTTCTTGGGCTCATTGAAAGTCCATATTGCGCTTGCCGTGGTGGAGCTCAGTCTCACCATAGTCTTCGCGCTGCTGGCGGGTGCCTTCTGGGAGGTCGCTATGGGAAATGCCAGCGTTGCCTCGAACCTCCAGACGGTAAGTATAGTGACTATCCTCGTTTTTATACACTGCGTGTCCGAATATAAATCTAATTTTGCTGCCATTTGTGATAGGCTGGCGGAGCTTTTCTTTTCGTCGCAGGCATTGCGTCCTGGTATATCCTCTTCTCGCTTACCCTGAGCTCTGTGGGATTTCCCTTTACACTTCCCGTGGGCGACCTCAGCCGTTTCCTCACGAAGGAAAGAAAGTTTAGTGACGCTTCAGTGTGAAGTTATGTGGTCCCGAGACATGATAATTGAAGTAGGCGGGGAAAGACTAAGCAATCTAAAAATTGAACTCGAAGGTGGAGTGGTACGCAAGACGCTGGTTGCAAAGGAAATTATGCTGGACGAATACTTTCAAGCTACGCAGTTCGTCCTGTTGAAGGTAGTCATTCTGGATTCTGATTACGGTTTTGTTTTCGGTAGAACTATATATAGCTACGATAATAATTGATAATGGTGGATATTCGGGCACTCCACTCCTTGTTTTGTCTGCAAATAATAAGTATAACTATTTCAACATAGATAACCTAGAGACATATGAATTACCTAACAGACAGCCATAAACTGCGAACTTAATTTGTATGGCGACTCTTTCGAGATTTACATTGCTTTCTCCAATGTCTGTGTCTGAAGCGACGTCAGTACGGCTGAGTTAAGGGTGCAGATACATATGTTGTTTTTATCCTTCCAGGGGGTTGTCCTGATTCCGCCAAGGGGATCAGTTTTGGAACAAGTGGTGCCTGTTTCATACCTACTTCCTCACTCATTATCTTTTTAAAGACGTATCGCATCTCTTTAATATTCCTATCAAATATTTACAATACCACAACAGCCCAAGAATAAAAGCTAATTTCAAATTTCTCCTATGAATCTCCAGGTTAGATCACGTTACCACAAACCTGGTATATAGGCCCCTGCATAAATATTCAGAGATTCAGAAATTTCTTCTGTCTTTTACCTGGATAGCATTCACACGTATCCCCTGATCGCGGCAATTTCGGCGTTCAGAATAGACGAACCCGCAGCACCAATGACAGTATTGTGTGAGAGGCAGACGAAACGGATATCAAAGTAGCCGCCATTGCCACTTCGGACGCGGCCCACACTGACTGTATAGCCGTTAGATATGTTGCGGTCCAGTCTTGGCTGAGGTCGATCAGGCTCATCGAAGACTCTGATTGTCTGCTCTGGTGCCGAGTGAGCACCCAGCCTATAGGCCTCAGATTGGTGCTCTTGTAACGCCTTCTTGACTTCCTCAGCAGTTGGCGGCGGTCTGTTCTTGAAGCGTAGCGACACAAATGCCATATGGCCATCTGTAACCCCGACTCGGGTGCAAGTAGCGCTCACCCGTAGACCACTCTGTTCCTCGAACGCGGTAGAATCACCGTTTATAGAACCGAGGATCTTTTGCGCCTCGTTCTCAAGTTTGTCTTCCTCGCCACTAATATATGGGATTACATTATCCACGATATCCAGAGAAGGGACACCAGGATAACCAGCTCCCGAGATAGCTTGCTCGGTGAAGACTTCCACTTCCTCAACAGGACCAAACTTGGCTTGCAGAGCGGCGAATGGGATAACGATTCCAATGACGGCACAGTTCGAATTGCATACTATGAAGCCTTTCTTCAAACCAAGCTCCTTGCGCTGATGTGGGATAATCTCCAAGTGCGACGGATTCACGGTTGGAACGACGAGTGGCACAAGCGGATGTTTGCGGTAGTTCTTTGCATTCGAGAAAATTGGGATTTCAGCCTTGGCAAATTCCATCTCTGGATAATAATCAGTGAATGAGATCCGTGTGATCTGTAGACTTACATGGGAAGTAAAAAGAGACAAGAAAACGAATGGGGGAAATACCGATATCGCCCGCAACATCGCTATCCAAACCGGAGAATACCAGGTCACAATCGCTGAACTCTGTAGCTTTGCAGGCTTGGATGACAAGTTCGCCCAACTCTTTCGACATGGGGACCGATTGCTTCCATATGACCGCATCTTTGTACTTCTTGCCCGCCGAGCGAGATGAAGCCCCGATCTTGTGTAATACGAGAAATGGGTGATCCGCGAGAAGAAGGATGAATCGCTGGCCGACGGCGCCGGTCGCTCCAAGGACACCTTGTATAGTCAGCGATGGGTCATAAGACTCTCTTAGAGGTTCAGACCTACCGCACTTCTTCTTTGTGACTGCAGGTGACATAGTATATAGATGGTTTTGGCTGTAGAAGATTGCCTTGTTATCAAAGATATTCGAGTCTCTCTACCTATTGAAAGTGCCAGTAAGGAAAGCGCAAAACCAAATGGCAAGGATCGCTATACAATACAACTTTTATGTATAAAAAAGGCAAACAACGCTCGTGTCAAAAGAGTTACACACCAACGCCGCTTTCGCATCTAGCGGATAGCTGGGGTAAAGGCGACGGAGAATATCACCGGCCCCAAAGCTGAGATGCCGTTGCTCATGCTGTAAAAGGAATAGCTAGGAATAATTGATAGTGGTTATGAGCAAGTTTTATTACTGTATCTTCATTTCTTTTGTTTTTATTCGTGTTTCGATCGCATCCTAACTTCTTTCGTTCTACCTCGGTTTCTGAGATAGTTTCTTTCCATTAACCCTCTCAAGGGACGATCTGATGTCATTCATATTCCTATTAGCCCCGTATCCGTGCGGCTTATCAGTTGGCGCCATACTACAATAGAGCGTATAGTCGCACATCACCAAACACCGCGACTCTGATAAGCAAGAGTCCAAATCCCGCATATCCCGGCGATTCTTCTCCAGGAGAGAGATTAGTTCTCCCGACTGAACCCACAATCACCGACACTTCTATCTTTTGATTGAAACTGAAGAGAGTATCAGTCAAGCTACTTGTGTGAGGCCCAATGGACAAACAAACCTCTGAGAAGCCGAAACGGAGCGATACTCGGAAAGGACCAATTGCTCCGCCGGTCAAGTTAGCCTGCCTCGCTTGGTACGCTTTAGTTTCTCGAGTGCTAAGTTTAGCGGATGTAGAGTATTGCTCGGAAACTGACTTTCCGGTGAAGTAGGCGCTCACGGATACGTTGCGACGGCAAAGAAATATGTACAAATGTATGTTGATCTGAATCAAAAATAATAATAACAACAATTATAAGTGACGCGTGCATAACTAATCGATCTCTAGTGCCTGAGAAAGGGACAAGAATGTGCATATACGCCTAGTAGACGCGGAGGCGCTCGAACGAGCCGCCGTTTTACGCAAAACGGCATGCAGAAGAAAAGCGAGAATAAACAGGCTCGACTCCGTAAGTACTCGGATGGAAAACAAAAATATGAAGGAAGAAGAATAGAAACTCTTGTTTGATCCGTGCTGCTAATGGTTTGCCGCAGTCCCAATCGAACAATACATTGAACCGGGGGCCGGACTTAGCAACCTCGATGACAATTTTCAGGACAGCGACTTGATCTTTGACAGCATTTTTCACCATGATCAAGATGCCATTATGTCCGACTTTCAGCCACTTCGACCAGTATCACCGGTGGTGCGGGCATACCAGAGTGATCGTGACGTGTAAGCGTTCTGCTGCCGTGGGCCAGGCGTTCAACAAAGGTCTAACATTTTACTGTAGACTGGAAGCATACTATGTCTACATTCATCCATATTTCCCTATACTGCCTCCCCCAAATTCGATACCCACTGATCGTCCCATTGCCGTTTCTGAAAGCGAACAGAATCTCAACAATGCTGATTACGAGCCTTCGTCACCTCTCAGCCTCGGCATCTTGAGTATATTATCGTTGATTCCTCATCCAGATGACCCGAACCCGGGTAGTGAAGAGGCTGTCTTATTCCGCAGGAATTATGCCGAGTGTCTGGCCCAGTCAGCTTTGGAAAGCATCAACATTGAAACCGAAGTACCGGCGTCCTCGACGTCGCCTGCGCAGGTTCTCTCTGAAGCCTCAGATGTATATCAGCGCGTTCCTTTCCATCAGCATGTGCCAGTCGAGTTAGAGAGCATAATCGCCCTTTCTATCTTGAGCATATATGAATACGCACAGCGAGGAAACATCAAAAGGATGCGTCAGCGAGCCGGACAGGCTATCATGGCAGCTATGGATATGTGTCTCCATAGTGAGTCAGAAATGGAGAAACCGGATGAATTCACAGAAGCAAGGCGCCGGGCTTGGTGGATGACGGTAGGCTCTCACCCCCAGCCCTGGAATAGATCTCGCGGCTAACACCAACCGCCAGTACATCTGTGTATGTCAGGGATCAATTGTCAGTGTCACTGTATGTCGGCCGCTCTCTGTGTCTCGTTTATTGTTGTTTGCGGCTAATCAAGGATGATCAAGGAACCGACAATATCTATTCATGATCCGAGATTTACTACTCCATATCCTACGATTGGTGCAGACTCGACTGTAAGCATGGCTCTAACCGACTTTCACCCGTTTTGACCACCCTCACTTACACTCCAAATACCAGGCATGGTCCTTCTTTATCGATACCCAACGTGCGATCGTTTCTGCAACAGTGGCTGTTGTCGAATTAAACAAAGCTCTGAAAGCGGGAACTGGCCTTCAATCGAAGCTGGAGCGCAACCGCGAGCTTGACAATGAAATGAAGCTGCTAGCTGCCAAAGCTGACGCGTATCTCCCACCACATCGCAGTACGAGCTTGCTAGATCCGGAAGAGTCCATAGTTGCAGATTGCTTGAAATTAATAGGGCGTATCAAAGTGAACAGGTTGGCAACCCCTGATTCTGCTGTTGAAGACGGAGGAACTTTTGCTCACACTCTCTCCAGCGCAAGGATCAAGCTCCATCGATACAGTGCTTTCTTCGATCTTCCACTGTTCTCGCAGAAACACTGCGACTTGCAGCCATCAAAGATGCGCGAGGATGGTTCAGGATCAGGGAAGTCTCCGATATGCTTATGCTCTACCTCGACCGCCTCCCTCCCTCTACCACCCGGCTTGTCCTGGAAAGATATGAGCTTGCCAGAGACACCCTCTTCCCTTGCATCAGATATGGGCTTGGGTGTTAGGGACCTTCTCGGACTTGGCAATCAGATGTCGACCAAGATTTGTCTCAAATCGGCGTTGAATATTGCTCAGTGCTTTGACAGACTCCCATATCCTAACCCCTATGGCTCGCTTGGTGCATCCATTTCTCTAACATCGAGGAATCCAGCATGGAATACGGCGCTGCCTCGCACCATGCCGTCCTTTGCGTGCTGTGCAATGCAGAGTGGTTATTCGATGCTGATGGTCCGTCACAAAGTAGAGCTCATGCACCCCAAGAATTCTACAGCCAATCCCACAGTTGCGAAATTATACAGCCAGCTGCACGAGGGTCTACAATCTGTCGTTGGAGCCCTCGAGAATTATTCCATCGCGTTCGAAGCGCTCACGGGTATGAGGGGTACGTGAAATGAACCATTAACCTCCTGGACACCAAAAATCTTACTGATTGGACTTTCAGATCAAATAAAAATGATGATAGGCTCTTTTGATCCACCTAGCGAGAGATAGGACGCAAGGATGTGTGGAGTAGAGGGGAACTACTAGTTTGGTGTTGTGCACTACTGAGGCAAGAAAGGGAACGGGAGCCACTATGGAGTCGTAGTGGACTCGAATGTTAGTTTTATTTCTACAGTCCATATACTATCTTGTACCCACGGGCGTCTGCAATTCAGCATATTAGTTTAGTCTGAACGTAATCCATCGTGTCTCTTGCTCCGCGTGTTTGTCTTATTCCTCTCTTCAAGGCGGTCGACGCCAGCGGGCAGATGCAGCGAGAACCTTATACTGCATACCTATATCCGTGAAGAAAATGCTGTAGGAACTGTAGTCGCTGCAGATATACATAGAATCCGTAAGGGCTTTATGGTAGTCGTCCAATTCAACTTATCGGATGAGAAATTCCCGGGATGTTGATGGGTTACCCATTCCTATTTCCATGCAAGAAGCATCGCCTTCTGTTATCTTTCGTTGAACTAGACGGAGTTTCCAGATGGCCACAAGATCAGTGTTGTTATGTGGTTAAACCGATCGGTGTTTGGCTCGGGTGTTTGTGATCGGTGTTCTAAAGCCGGTGTTTGGGCAGATAATTACCTATCGATGTTGAGACATCGAGATAACTCACACAAGTTAGATAAGGGACTTGGTTTATTTCTTTACTGAACTCGTTATTATAGAAGGATATATTATCCCAGATGATTCCGCAAATATTAGCACGTTTGACACATTAAGACAATCATCTTCTCTCTCACGATACTATCTCGGTAGCTACTTGCCATCCTTCTTCCGACAAGAAACTACTTCAGCCTCGATGTCTATCTCCGGATCACTTAAGGACGTCACAAAGTATGTTATTTGAATTTGTCCGGCTTTGTCAATAGAGGGCTACTTCAGATCTGACAAAATCTCATCTAGGACGCCTGGATGGGCGACATTGTCGGTCCATGGTGGCCAGGAGCCGGATCCCATTAACGGCTCCCGTGCCGTGCCACTATATCAGACGGCGGCATACAACTTTTCTGATGCTGCCGATGGCGCCAGCAAGTTTGCCTGGTCCAAAGATGGATACGTGTATACGCGCATGGGTAATCCCACGAATGCCGTTTTCGAACAGAGAATGTCCATGCTGGAAGGAGGTGTTGGTGCCGTCGCCACTGCCTCTGGTCACGCTGCGCAGGTACGATTTTATAGTCCATATCCCTCTGCCTGATTATTCTCCCACGTATCCACACAGTTCTCTACCAAGAACAAAAGAGCTGACCAGTCATAGTTTATGGCCATTACCAACTGCTGCTCGCCTGGACACAACTTTGTTAGCACCAGCTGGCTGTATGGAGGAACCTACAACCAGTTTCGCGTCTACATGAAGAAATTCAATATCAATGTTAAATGGGTGCATGGCAACGACCCAGCCGACATTGACAAAGCAATTGACGAGAACACTCGGGCTGTATACATCGAAACAATATCTAATCCCAAACACAGCGTGCCGGATATTGCAGCCATCGCCGCCGTTGCACACAAACATGGTATACCATTGATTGTGGATAACACGTTCGGCATGGGCGGCTACCTGTCCCGACCGCTTGTATTGGGAGCCGACATTGTGACCCATAGCTGCACTAAATGGATCGGCGGACATGGAACAAGTATGGGTGGTATTGTCATTGATGGCGGTCACTTTGACTGGTCTGCATCTGGCAAATTCCCCAGTTTCACTGAGCCCGCAGATGGTTACCACGGCATGCGCTTTTGGGAAACATATGGCTACAAAGCCTTGGCTGCCAAGCTGCGAATGGACAGCATGCGCGATCTGGGTCCATGTATGAGCCCATTTAATGCATGGCTGTTCCTGCAGGGGTTGGAGACTCTCAGCCTGCGTGGGAAACGCCATTGCGAAACCACATTGGCTTTGGCGGAGTGGCTCGAAAGTCATCCCTCGGTCAACTGGGTACTTTACCCCGGGCTGAAGTCACATCCAGACTACGAGCTCGTCCAGAAAGTCATGCCAAACGGTGGTGGAGGCGTCCTTACTTTCGGCGTGGTAAGTTCTAAATGTTCTTTTTAATCATCCTGCCCCTAAGCACTCGAACAATGATGCTAACTAGCCAATTTCACAGGCTGGAACGATCGACGAAGTCCGCGCAGTTGTCAATAATCTGAAATTGTGCAGTCACTTGGCTAACGTCGGCGATGCCAAAACGCTCATCATCCACCCATGGGTCACGACTCACCAGCAGCTGCCCGACGAGGAAAAGATCAAGGGTGGAGTCACTCCAGATTTGATCCGTGTTAGCGTCGGTCTCGAGGACTTTGAAGATATCAAGCATGACTTTGAGCAAGCATTTGTTGCGGCGGGACTGAAGCCAGCTGCTAAGCTGAATGGTGATCCTTTTGACAAGGCTATGGCTTTGTACAAGGATGGATTTATGAAGGATCTAGGCACTGCGGCGCCCAAGCCGGTTGTCGCTTGAAGATCTTAGACTTTTCTTTTCTTTTCTTTTCTTTTTTCTTTTTTTTATTTTTTTTTTCTAACGCAGTAATGCGATTGTCTGATTTTGTCTTCTAGTATACTACAATGTCCATATCCATAACGTGTCTGCTCACGAGATTCTGGAAATTTTAGTTAAGCAAACAATATGTTATTTCCTAAGTCCAAGATATGGGGTTATTCTTTTGAGGTTAAACATGATATTCCAATGTTCTACCCGGTAGATCATGTCATCTGTGCGTTTCCTAATTTTGACAATAGATAGAGGGAAAAATATTCAGCGAGTATGATCCCATTTGTACAAGTCCTGGTTAATATATGTCGGCGCATAAAGGCTATTACATAATGACCTGTCTTATTATCTGTTTGTACCAGGCTGTTGACATAGAACCTGCTAGATCCGTGTAATTAGGAGATAAGTATGGGGTGTACTAGAGCAAAGAAAGCAACCTAGCGATCTACTAGGTGGTTCGGTCATGATCTTACTTCCGCGCCATTTAAAGTTCGAGAGTATATATTGAACTGTCGGAACGAGGACAATGCCTTGATAGATTTAATTCTAGGAGGTTCGATATGTACATCGGCTTATACTCTGGGACCAATCACATACTAAGTGGAATTATGAAATTATTGTTATCCATTGTTACCAATGGCAATTTCTTGATTCACTGGCTTGCAGTCTACCGTTCGCTTCCCAAGTCTCGCTCACTTAAGAACACGCATCAACTCCTCCGCGTTTAGTCCCTTGCAATGAAAATGGATTTTCGAAAATGTCAAAATGCAATGCGCTGAGTTCCATTTGTTCTCTATTTAAGATCCCACTTACGCCTCTTTAAACGACACATTTACGCCTGGTTTTGTGTTGACGGTCAAGGAGCTAGAAAAGAAACATCAGTTTGTCAGCAGAACTCTCGCCAACGGTATCTAGATAGATAGCTTTCTTACAAGATATCCGGCCGTGAATAGCTACCGACAGGGTCGAAGTCCAACTGCGCGAGGTGGATTTTGATTAGTCCAGAGCAGAATATCTAACGCCGTTGGATTGAATTGAAACTCACCCGAGCCTCTACGATATCGGACTTGTTCAACGTTGCGAGTATTATTTCCTCTTTGTCCCACACTGGCTGTGAGACAAAGGTGCCAAGAGGCCCAACCACGCAGGAACCGCCATGACTCAGGATGTCGTCTGGCTCCCATCGAGACCCATCGGGCTTGCGGTCGTGGTGCTCCGGTGTAAAAGGGGGGTAGTCAGAAGGGAAATCGGATACCTTGCGAAGAAAAGTCGGATTAGCGAGGGATCTCTTTTCTCCCTGGCTCTCAAAACAAGAAAAGATTTAAGGAGGCCAGAAGGGGGGGACGAAGAGATTACAAACCTTGCAGAACTGGTTTACTGAAATAACAAAGCATCGCCCTTCTTTCGCAATATGCTGCATTGTTGCGATCCAGCTTGGCAGGTCGTCGGCATTGGGGGCGATGTATATTCTGACCATTGAGTAAGGTTGCGGTCTCGCGAGGTCAAGTGTCAAAAAGGGGGAAGGGGACTCACTCGATCCCTTGTTGGTACAATGCCAGGCGCGCAGCAGGCATGTAATTCTCCCAACTAAATGGATTATCAGAATAAGCCATATAAGCATGACAAAAAACAAAATAAAGGAATGGTTTTGTTACCAGATGAGCCCTCCGACTTTGCCAATATCAGTGTCGACGACATCCAACCCGTCACCGGCGCCTCTACCCCAAACCAACCGTTCAGCCGCCGTTGGGATCAACTAAGAATCCATCAATCAATATGTCAAAGCTAACAGAAGGTATATAGGTAGGTATTGTATACTTTGCGATGTCGGCTCAAGACGGCACCGTCGCGACCCAGAAGCAACGCTGTGCAGTAGAGAGTCCCGCCGTCTTTTTCTATAATTCCCACTGAAAGGTAAACGTTGTTTTCCTTGGCTATCTCACATAACTGATCCATTTCTACCGAAGGAATGGCAACAGCTGAGTTGTAGTATTTAGCATACCACTTGCGGCCTGCTTCCGGTATTAGGCTGGCAAACACTTTCACGATAGAACGCGGGGTCCACACGAACCTCGAGGCTCTCGCGCGCCAATTGTTGCATCAAAAGCGTACCTCCATGGATAGGCCGACAGGAAACCCTCCCTAAGACCCCTTAGCTGCCAATTTTCGCAAAATTCGAGGGGGCGAAAACGCACGGGAAAACGACGAGGTTAGCTCCTGCTGCTGCTGCTTTCGAGGTAAACTCGGCCACTTTCTGTATGCTTTTTGGCAAATCAAATGAGACAGGAGCAGCTTGGATAGCTGCAACCACGATGCTGTCGGACAATTGAGACATGTTGTTCGGGGTGGATTTCGTCTGTGTCGGGCGCCGATATCCTGTCATATGGAAAATATAAGGGAATAATAGAGACGGCTATGGTATGCTATTTTAAATAGCACGCGAAACGAAGGAAAGAGAGAAGAAGAAACAGAAGACTTGAAACCTCTGGGAATGCCGGTAAAAGGTGCAAATAGTTTCCATTGGCTCCGCGGTGATACTGATAGATATCTCGGGGCTTATCAGGAACGAAGATCAACTAAACCCGATGAACGGGCTTTGCAAGGCGAATCAGCAAACGCCGAATGAACAGCCCAGTATTACGTATCGCTAATTGTTCCATTCTATACAAACTGTTAACAATGGGGATATTCGCCCTTGTACAACATGAAATAAAACATAAGAAATATGCAGTGGAAGGTATTCTGCCATCCACGCAATCACCCATCTACGACGTTGCTCTTAGAAGACAGCTATTATGGCTATCGGCAAGTTTGAGATCCTCCCGGATATGCTTTTTACTTCTATAGACAGGACTAATATGAGCTTAATAGCACTTGACTACAAACCAGAGCAGCAAAATCCTTTTACAGAGCTCATCTCTGGTCAGCGCATCGCACTGATCCCGTCTTTAACACTTGAGTCCGGGCATGTGCTGAAGTCGTGCCAGGTGGCCTACAAGACCTGGGGCCAGCTCAATTCCACCCGTGACAATGTGCTGGTAATCTGTCACGCATTATCTGGGAGCAGTGATGTTGCAGATTGGTGGGCGCCTCTCATGGGCCCAGGGAAAGCCTTCGACTATACCCGGTTCTTTATTTTTTGCGGAAATGCGCTCGGATCGCCATATGGAAGCTCATCGCCCTTGACAATAAATGTTGACACTGGACTGCCATATGGCCCTGAATTCCCACCCACCAGCATTAGGGATGATGTAATGTGCGTACTGAAATGGATATCCCCAAGTGTACTATATACGGGACTTTCGTTGCTAACTTCTTCCGCGGAAGAGCCCAGAAGTTAGTTCTCGATGCATTGGGCGTTTCGTCCGTCGCTGCAGTGATTGGAGGGTCCATGGGAGGCATGACAACGATCGAGTGGCCTCTCTGTACGCCGCCCGGCTTCGTTAGGACAATTATCCCTATTGGAACCTCAGTTGCTCAGAGCGCTTGGGGGATTTCATGGTCTGAGGTCCAGAGGAGATGTATTCGCTCAGATCCTCTGTTCCGTGACGGTTACTATGAACCAAACCAGCAGCCGACATCCGGTCTTGCGACAGCGCGCATGGTGGCTATGTTAACCTACCGTTCAGGGGAGAGTTTCGAGAAGCGATTTGGCAGAAAACCGTCCAGCCAAACTAAGTGTTTAACACCACCTGCAGAGCCAGCAGCATGTAACGGCTCATCATCTAAACTGCCAGTGAAACCACCATCACCGGCCTTGGGCAACTCGACTATGAGGCAGTTTTCTGCACAGGAATATCTCGACTACCAAGGAGCCAAGTTTCTGCGTCGTTTTGACGCAAACTGCTATTTACACTTGATCCATAAAATGGATATGCACGATATTCGGCGTGGTCGAGTCCCTGAAGACTGTCATCTCTGTTCGAATGGCGAGGGAACGCTTCCAGACAACATCACGGCCAAAGTACTGTCCCGCGTACCGCCGCATGCCTTGGTCATTGGCATCGATTCTGATGTTCTTTTTCTCCCTGACCAACAATACCACCTGGCCGCTTGCCTTCCAGACGCCACCTTGACGATGCTCAAGTCGTCGGACGGACACGATGCATTTCTGCTTGAGTTCGAACAGTTGAATCATCTGATTATTGACAGGCTGAAATGGTTATTTCCAGCCATGTACGAAGGATTCACGGAGAGAGTAGCTGAGGTTGACATGCCCAATTCGACGAATAAAATCAGTGTGGGTGAGCTGGACTGATGGAGACGGCCCAGAATTCGAATACTGTGTGCATATACCTAGGCAGATGAACATCGTACCACACATGGGTTAGGACTTTAATAAGAAATGGATTGTGTGACATTGGTTCCACCGCACCTGAGTGAATGATCTATCTATGCTACTCAACCCCGTACCAAAAACCCTTCCCGGCATTCGTTCTCACAGCAACTTAATGAAAGAAGAACCCACTTCACCCTTCTTCTTCAATCACCTCCAGGATCTCTACCTCGCTCTTCTTCTTCATCCATAACTCTCGTACACGACCCCTCTTTTCAATCTTCCATTTCGTACTCGACGCCCTCTGTCCAGAACACGACGTCTCAGATCGCGAGGAACCATAACGTTGCAAAATGGTACCATCGTTGCGTGGCCAGTGCTTTTCGGGTATCTTTTGTCGAGAAGAATATGGTTTTCTGTGCTGGAGACCATAGAGGAGACCGAGTGTCCCTAGGATGGGAAGGACGATAATAAGGTGGTTCATGGTCTTATGTTTTGTCTTTCTGGAAAGGTGTGATTTCTGATTATTATTTGGCAGTTTGGGATATTTTATATGCAGATATAAATGGCTGCATGTGGGGAGAGAATATTTAGCACCTTGTCCTTGATGAAAAATCAATGAGACAGGTTTACTTTCCATTGCTGACACCAGTCTTTGTGATGCCATAGAAAGGCTTCTGAGGCGATACTGGATTGTCCGCGATAAAGACCAGCCTTCCTGGGAACATCTTTTGTCACTTGCGACCTGTATTATCCTTTGTATTCACTCTAAAAGGCGTATGTCAGTGCTAATCATTGCTAGGTAGTTCTGGAACATTATCCCCCTTCATGCCAATATCCTTTTACCTCCTGATCGAACTTCCCTTACAACCTATCCTAGAGAACCTAGCTTTCACAACAATCGACTTTCTCTTCGGTACGATCCTTTGAATCGTCATTCCCCCCTCGCAGCATCACCACTACCCTCTACAGCACTACTCTCCGATGGCACAGACTTAGCCTGATCTTCCATTTCTATTACTGCTTCTGTTCTTTTAGACCCTGTGCCATCGCTCCCTTAGACTCGCTCCGTCCGACTGCTTCCTATCAAACGCCCATTGCAAGATCTTCTTTCTGGATCATTGAGATCCCGTGTACCTGGTGGACCACGGCTGATTTCTATATGACCACAAGGGTTCCAGGTGACAAGGACGGGAGCCCGAGAATACTGAAGGGTAGACACTTCTGAAGCTTCTGGCATTGCGTTTAAGGTCCTTCTTTAAGACAGACTATGAAGTAGCGAGCGGAATGGGGACACGTTTAGGGGAAGTTATCAAAATAGCGACGATAGATGGAGGCTATAGAATGCAGAGATTCATGTTTAAGGGATAGAATCCGTGGAACTCGACGTATGATTGAGTATTGGGGTCTGATTAAAATAGCAGTCTTTGTCGAATAATCCAATATTGTGATTCCAGGCAGAATCGACAGGGTTAGTGTGTAGCATGGCTGATACCCGTAGGAACGGCACTTGACAGAGAGAAGCGCTATGTTTTGGAGAAATATCAACAAGTACCATCTTACTATACCCCTCACAACTGAAGCGAACTATCGGGATATACCGATATGGATCACGGGAATATGACAGAAGGAGATCAGCCTATTGTTTATAATTCTGACAGCCGCCTGGATTGCTTATTCCCATACTATGCGGATCAATCTGTGAATACTACATCTTTATGTGCCCATGAGCTACGGAATCTACATCGGGCGAGTACCAGAATACGTTATAGGCAGCCTGGATAATGCACAAATCTTAAATTTGATATTCATTTGTCCTATCTCCCATCTGTAAAATATTGCCCCGGTGGGCCCCAGACATCATGATCCGGATTCCTAATCGACAAAAACTTTAGTACTGTATAAGTCATTCGTCATGTCAGGGGATCAACACACCTCAAGAGAGTCTCCTATTCAGCCCACTGCCATTCCATGGGATCAACCATCTTGACATTGTTCTTAAAGACGCGCCGAAACCACGCCTTTGCCTTGTACCGGATGGATCTTTCGTACTTCCTCCTGGAGATGTACTCGAAGGACATCTTGGCTGCACAGCTGGGGCATGGCATGTTGCGCTTCCAGATATGCGGGACGTAGATCAAGGTCGGAATACGAGGGTAGTACATGCAAATATGACCACAGGAGAAATGATGCTCGACAAAACGTTCGAAATGGCTGTCTGGGAGTTGACGAGTGCCCATGCGACGGAGACGATGTTCGTCGAAGGATGAAGGGGTGGACCGAGCACTTGTCTCTAGTCCGATAGGCATGGCGAGAGAGTTTTGATCTTGATCTTGTGGGATTTTCAAAGATTTGATCTGTTCAAGCAGCAGGGAGAATGAGTAGGTGTCCGAGGAAGAGCTCCGGAGCAAAAAATGAGAGACAGAGATGCTATGGTTAACTCCTCACACTGGACGCTACCCTGTCGGCATGGCGATGGACGACATCATCATGGTAAATAACGAGCCAATGTGTTACCTGAAGAGACAGGGGGCATGTCTAATGAGGTGAGCAGTCTTAAAAGCACCTTCACAGGGATGTGAGGAGGGTTCTTTCAAAGGAAAATGAAGAATTACAGTCTAGTCTGAGATAATGACTGGGTTTATCAGTTACAACTACAGAGATGTGTCCTAGAGCAAGAGATGGAGTATCAAATAGACATTGTTTATTGCCGCTATCTAAAAGCAAGGCAAACAAGTCAAGCTTCGATGGAATTCCAACTCGCCATCCATATGGCATTCCTTAGGTACAAACAGTAAAGCTGGCATCGGTTCCCCAATCGATATCTCAAGGCCAAATTCGTGCGGGAGGGCCGAATTGTAGAACCGATATTCAAATCGTGTCCACCGAACCAAAGCTGTTGAGTACAGGTTGATGTTATTTTTTTTGTTCCGTTTTCTTGCTTTTTTTTGTTTTCTTCTTTTTTTTCGTTTTTTTCTTTTGTCTGTGTTCTTCAGAATCTGCCGACTTGAGGAAGCCGGTAGTCAGCAAAGTCCTTAGATATCTTATATCCAGGAACCAGAAATGAAGAAACTTACGAGGAATAACCGTAGTCAGAAAGGAGGATAAATCTTCGGACTGCTCCAGTACTCCATCGTCTCACTTCTTAACCGGAGAGCCAGCGTCGTGAGCAGACAGATCCTTGCTAGCATCACCTTCCTCGGATCCATCGTCCTCATCGTCCTCGCCGACGTCAAGCTCAGCATCGGTATAGAAGATCGATTCCCAATCTTCCTTCGGTTCAGTGCTCGCGGCACCTTCCTTGCTGAACATGCTCGTCATGAAATTGTCAGTCTGATCGGTCCCGGTGTCTTTCTTCATAACTCGCTTCACGCGTGGCTGGACGCCCGTAGAAACAGAAATGGTCGTCTGAGGGCACCCATTGATAACGCACTTCGGGCAATTAGCGATAAGCATGTTGTTTGAAACAACGAGGCTGGAGTAGATTTTGTTCTCCTTGCATTTCAATGCCTGGCGAAGGGTCTTGGAGTCACGCTGGGCGAGACTGGTCCCAGATTCTCCGAGAGCCTCTGGCTCGAAGCAGACATCGATTTCCCATTTATCAACGTGCTTGCAGTTGGTGTAGCTGTAGACTGTGTGACGGCACATGGTGATGATAAGGAACGTATGCGGTTGCTGGGATCTATAAAAGAAAGCCTGTTTTTGGGGTTTATCTCAACTTGGAAGGAAAAGATACTAAAGGAGTGACAGTGGATGATAAGAAAGAGCAAGCTTTAACATCGAGCGTGTGAGGATTTGAAGAACATGTTTCGTGGGTCACCTGTCATGTCAACAACGACTAAGCGCATGCCGACTAAGCGGCGATGTCATAGAACGTGCCGGAAAGAAGAGAAAGACAGATCTGGAGTGAACAAGAGAAGGGTTACACATATAACTAACTTTATGCCTTAGAACGTGCGGGCATGTCTGCCCTTCAGGCGGGCCCGGTATAGCTATCCTATAAATCTTTATGTGGAGGCAGTATAGATCCAGCAGACATATGGATATAAGTATGAAGTGTAGGAGGGAATGCAACTGGGCCAAGTTACAATTATCAACGGATAGACCACAGCCATGGCACCAGATACTATTGATTAGATTTTGAAAGTCTCTAAGGACAGAACTACAATCTTATTCTCATAATTCCTATTCAAGTAGTCGGCATGCCCCGAACTTCAAGACAATATCCAAGAGACGACATAAAAGGAAAGATATGCAGAGCCCAAGAAAGAATCGCATCTACTTTCACTCGAGACAGCAGACCTCCAAATAAAAATTCAAGTCTTACTCCCTGATATCAATCATTTCTCAAGCCCCTAAACCACCGCCAAACACCATGCCCGCTCTGGCAACCAGGAACCCGCATAGAGTAATAAGAGACTTCCAATTCAAGCCGCTCTTCATGTTCCAACCGTTCAGTGAGTTTGCAGCATTATGATATCCACCGCCTCCAGACCCATAGCCTCCTCCCCCACGCCCGCATGCGCCGCACCTGCCGCCACCTCTGAGTTCAGGTTCGGGGCTTGGTGTTGCTGAGAAGTCATCGGTACTCTTGATCCCATCACTGAACTCAAGAAGTCTATCGTTGTGGTTGTTGTGATTGGCAGTGTATGGAGGAGTCGGCAGGACAATAGCTCGTGTGCTGGTAGGTGGTATGGTTGTATATCCGGCAACAGAATGTCCCGTAGTCATTGGGACCCTGAATGACAGAGACACAGAGGAAGACATTATAGGACTGAGAAGATTACTGGTAGTGGCAGTCGTCTTGCTTCAGGATGGCTGGCTCAAGGGACTTCCAGAAGGAAAGAAGGCTTGATTGAGAAACTATCTCCTGACCAGATGTAGCTTGAAGTAGTTCAATTATTTGATTCGAAGCGGCGATGGGGGTTCAAGAGGGAGATATATCCCCCATAAATAGGCAGCATCCGAAACAGTCAAGGCAAATTCAATCATCAAAGTGAGCAATAAACAAAATAACCTGTAGAGCCACCCTGTGCCTGTATTTGTTCTTTGTGAATGCTGTTTCTCCTTTGTCGGGAATGGCAATCGTTGGATATCCTTTGTTTCACGTACTTCCCGTGAATCTTCAAGCAAACAGAGAATTCCTCTAAGATCACCACCTGGAACATACTAGGAGAGGGTTATCATCTGTGGATGCTGTATATTCCCTAAGAGGAATTCTACTAAGCCAACCGGAGCAAGTAATTAGACAGATTGATATATAGGCCTATTTAACTGACCTACTAGATATCCTCTAGTCCTGTTATATTAGATAGTTCTCCAAGAAAAAAGCAATTCTCTGCGATCTAACTCCATTAGCGCCCAGATAGTCCGCTGTATTAAATCGCCCACTAATCCTGTTGTACAGGCGGAACGAAAGTCTGAACAATATAGAGGGATCGATTCTCTCTGAAACGCAGAACTATCGCAGAAAATCAAGAGCCTCTCGCAGTATTTTCGTCAGTGTACCCCTCTGCGTTTAGCCAAGCCAACAGGCCCCAAGACTGCTTCAATCGATCACCGCCGTAATGTCGGTCTTTATAAACCAGCCAAGTAACGTGACTTCGATAATATATGTCTCTCACATTTGATGACTTCCGCCAAATTATCCATCTTCAGCAGCCTTGATTGCTTTCCGGGCCAACCATCTTCGATATAGGAACAGAGCGAGGAAACCGCATGCGACGAGGAAGACAATACAGAAAACGAGAACGACTCCGGGCTCTCTGGCTGCCCAGTTATGACGATGATGACGACGTCTACTGAGGTCAGGGCCACCGACACCAGGGACAGTTGCATGTTCGATAAGACTGATAGCAGCCATAGCGAGGTTGGTAGAGGAAGGCTGTGGAGAAATGATGGTTAGAAATGATACTTAAATCGGGTTAATGTATCCAACCGACTGAGAGCTAACGGGTTATTGTACAGTGATTATCGTGAGGAGCAGATATGGTGTGAGCATCTGCCAGGTTCAGAACGACCTAAACCGATATATGCAAGGCTTCAACGACAAAACTGCTGGGATAGAGGACAACGACTCGCAATGGAAGTTGAGATCGAATGACATGGGGGGAACGAACCTGCTGTAGCTCCGATCAATCCCTCCGAGGACACACTCCGTTGGATGAACAGCAGCACTTGACGCGAGGCTTTACTTGAGGGGAACGGACGGGAGTGTGATGGAAGAGGATTGAAGAAACTACGTGGGCAGGAGAACTCATCGAGCCAGAGACTACCTAGGTAGATGGTGCAGATGCTGACCGGCTACTAGCAAATCTTCCTTGGATTGGCAGCATCCAGACCGGGGTATTCCATGGCTAGATTTCTTCTCTTCCGGGGTGCACGCAAGTCTTACGATCGGGTGATGGACATGGATAATTACTAGAATATCGTATAGTTAGGTAGGTATCATGAGCTTTTCGTATGTGGCTACATACACCAAAGACTTCTCGTCCCCTTGTTACCAAAGATCCGTATGCTCAGATTGGAATGACTGAAATTGTTTACTTATAAGCAGAAAATTCCATCGTTAATTGTCCTCAAGCCGTCAACGATGCCGAAGAAGTATGTAATCCAGCTCAAGCTCCAGCTCCAGCTACCCCGCAAACCACTCAAGCTTCCCGCATGAAGCTCCATCAAACGGCGTCCACCCAGCCCTACCGAAGCCGAAGTACTACTATGGTATGTTTTCGCAAGACCCCAAATCAATACAACCGGAGAGAGAAACAACGTATACGGGTAACTATGTTCACATTTTCATCCTCAGCGCGCCTTGATTCTACAAAGACATCGGGTCTCATTCTGGTGTCCGACCGCATCCGCCAACCATGGTTCTGTCTCTAGGAAGCTTTTCGCGTGCTAGAAATCGCAGCGAATTTGAAACCACACATAAAGCGACACTGGAACCAGACGGAAGCCAATTCAGGTGGAGAACTCATCTTCTGCGTCATTACTGGATCATCCACCGAAGAAGCTCCATCGTAGAGGAACAATGGGAGTGTTCAAGTACGACAATCGAGGTACTCGTGCGGATCGACAATCTCACTTTAAGCATTGTCTCTGACGGCTAAATTGACTATGGTGATTCGCTAGAATCACCATGACTATCCCCTGGGATTGTGAGCATGAGCCTACGGAGTAGATAGGCTGGCATGGACCGGATGTGGTGCATGCAGACCAGGATACTGACAAGGCTCGGATGCGTTAATAATATGTTATCCCACTTGTTTGCTTAGACGGGCAGAGGAAAACCAGACATCGTTTGAGTGTTTCTCTATGGCTCATGTTGTTCGTATCGTCTTGACTTCACATACATAGTCAACTCAAAGAAAATAACGCAAAACTCCAGATGCATATGCATGTCTATCTATTATGCCACGAAAAAAGGAAAAATCTTTGTTATTCGGCCCCTTCCATCAATAATGCAGGTCATATGGGCGTAATCGTCGTAGACCAAATCCTCCTCTATTCAAAGCTTTATTTGCGGGTTCAACACTGACATTAATCCATTACTTTCTCAACACTTTCTTCGTCGCCCACTCCTGCATATTGAGACCTCTCTTCGCAATAAGAAATGTCAGAGCGCCACCGAGCATAAACATTGCGGAGCCTGTTTGAATAGAAAAGTTAGTCCGCGGACGTAGGATATTAAATAAGGCGGAATCAGCAACGGGGTTAATGTCGCTTACATATAGTAAATGTCCATCCTGCACCGATACTATTAATCATAGGAACGACGGCCGCACTCGCACTCGCGCCGAAGATATACTGAATCACATATTTCCCGCTGATGACTTCAGTCTTGTGAGCTGGAAGGACCTCTGTAGTTGCAATAGAATGTTTAGTTAGAGCTTGCTCGAGGGGGAAGGGGTCGTTATTTACGTTAACGTACCAGCTGTATAAGTATTCAATCCATTAAAAGTCCCCATCAGACCCCAACCGGCGAAAAAGGCACTAATTATCGGAACAGGCATTCCACCCACACCCTCCTGTAAGGTCCAGCCGTAGATCAGGGTTGCGGCAGGTAGCATGGTCAGAACCCATAGTAGACCGCTATGCAGTCGGTCTTGTGGTATTCGGACGCCGTTACGCTTCTTGATGTATCTCTTTACGGTCCGATCTGACAATCTGCCACCGACGAGGCTTCCCACTAAGAAACCGGCGCCAGGGGCAAGGTAGAATAGACCACTAATCAGAGCCGTTGTGAGATTAAACCGAGGACCGAAGATGCTCCGTACAGATGTGAGCAGGGAATATTGGAAGAAGGCGAGTAATCCACAGGTGAAATCCTGGTTGTGTTTCTGTTAACTGCAGGACTCTCATCATCATTGTGGCTCAGAGCGAAGCAAGTACGTACGGCGAAGAAGATGTTCGGATACACGAAGAAAGTGAACACACGGATGGGGTTCATTGCGTAAAGAACCGATAATAGCGACGTGGGAGGTTCTTTCTTTTCAGAATCTGATGTTTCGACGCTGTTTATCTTTTCGATATCCGGGACGAAAAACACCGCCATGACAAAACTCAGTGCGGCCATTCCGAGCTGTACCCAGAAGATGACTCGCCAGTGGGCGAAAGTGACGATGACTCCGCCAATACAGGGAGCTATATTGCGTTAATTCTCTATCATGATCCGTGGAAAGCTATCTTCTCACCAATAGCAGGACCGCTCACAGAGCCGGCCATGAAGAATCCCACGGCGGTGCCTCGGACAAGCTGGCCCTCATATCAGCATGTGCTTGACTTCGAAAGATTGTACAACCATTGATTCGCGTTCGCATACGTACAGGAGGGAAGATATCAGCCAAGATAGACTGGCCGGCAACCATAAAGTACGTGCCAGTGAAACCGGACAGGATACGCATTGCGGTAAACATTGCCATGTTGATCGACAACGCGGTACCGATCGAGCAGAGACAAAGAAACATGACAGCGCAATTGTACGCCCATCTGCGACCAATCAGTCTGCCAATTGGGATCCAGAATAGCGACGAGAAACCCATTGCTATCAGAACGCCCGAATTGGTGGCGGCTATCTTCTCGCTGGTTGTCGAGAACTCCTCGGCGATCTCAGGCATTGCAGTGAGAAAGGCTGTGCTGAAAAATGTAATCACGAAAGTCATCCAGCTGACGGTGAACAGAATTACATATCGACGCCATTTCGGCAGCCTGAATGATGGCTTATCGAGCATGTTCCCGGCCGGAGCCTGGGGGCGTTCCGGATTCAAGCTGGCCAGAGCATCCTTCGTCCCCGGTGTGCTTGGTGGACTCAGACTGTCGCATGAGGGTGTTTGAACAGTCATGAGGAAGGAATCAAGCAAATTCTACGGATCAGTGAACTGCCACTTCAAACAGGATATGCGGAGATAAGACTCCTGTGATCATCGGCAGACCGCGGAATAACCAGACAAAATTGCACCAAAACAGAAAGAAAATGGAAAATAAAACGAATTATCTGAGTCTGTGGCTGGAATCATTGAAGATAACATATATAAAGAACCAATTCCTGTGCAACAGAAGTAATCAATGCGCCCGGTGTCGAGTTTTATCTCGTCATTGCCATCGGGCGAAACGCCGAACTGATATGTATCTCTAGACCAGCTCGTCGGGCCGAATTGTCGGTTTCCATAGCCGGTCCCTGAGATAGGAGCCTATGGCGTGGAAGGGAAGACGGCAATGAATCCATTGTGGGCCCGCTTGACTCATTTCTCACCACAAAGCGAGTTTAAAATTCTGATGAAGCATTGCGCGCGCTTCGGGGTCTTTTCGGGACGCCGACGATGGACCTGGCTGAGAACAAGCGGTGGTACCTGGCGCCAAGAAACCTGCTGCAAACGTTTATTTTCGAAACGATAGTCTATCCAGGTTGTTCTGCTCAACTAGCTGCTTCTTGCTTGGTGTTCTCTGCCAAGAGGATCAATCTCTTGGCTGTTCAGAGGCATTGGTCCACGGCCTTTGCCATCTTGCGGTGAGTTGGCCATGTGGGAAGAAATCCAAGGGTTTTCACCGTTGCGTAAGTTGACCGTTTCTATTCGGTATCTTTTCCGTTTCCCGAAGCGTGGAGGAGTGATCCGTCGGGCATAAAAGTGTAGATATGGACCCACTCGATATGTCTTGGTAGTATAAAAACGACTCTAAATCCACCACTATGCTTCCGCATGGCTGCGAAGGTTGAGTTGTTGCATGTAGATCCGAAGATATTTCCATTTTCCCCTAGTATCTACACTCCAATAAGTTCCATATCTAATGCAGGTATTGGGGTTATACGCAGCCGCTCATGACGTTGTAAGTTGTTACCTGGAGCTGTGCATTACTACCCGTCCTGTAGAATTTCGACTGCATTGCCATCCTCTAGGTCTACGCTGGGATTAGTTCAACCAGCTCGCTGAGAGAAAGCGTTCCTCGAAGAAGACGAATAGATTTGTCGCATCTAGACGAATAAGTATTCCCCCAAGCCACATTCAATGTGATTTTGGCAAGTAAACACTCATCTCAAACCCATTGGTAAAAGGAAGAGTCATATTCTGAAATCCATTCTCGGGGGTTCGTAGATATCCCAGCAGGTCCGCGTATCCCTCAGAGCCAGATATTGTGTTGTCGGTCAGCACAACTGCGCCGTGTCGAAGACGAGGCAGGACAGTCTTGAGTGTTGGAAGAGCAAGGGCTGACCAAACTATATATGTTCGTTTAGCGCAAGGAAATCAAAGACCGATGACACGGTATCACTCACTGTCGAGAAGGAGGAGATCAATCTGGGGCAGCCCGTCTTTCAGAGTCTCAAGCAGATCTCCCTCTCTTAGATCAATCTGGTCCTCAACCATCGCACCACATTGCGCCCAGTACTTGCGTGCGATGTCCGCCTTTTGCTTCTCTTTTTCCGTCGCAATCACAATTCCGGATTTACCTGTAGCGGCTTTCGTTTTAGCGACAGCAAGAGCAAGATAGATGGTGCTGACTCCGAAGCTGGTCCCTGCCTCGATGATATTCGTGGCCCCCATCGCGTTGATGAGCTGGTAGGTGAATTGGCATTTATCTTCGTCCAGTGCGATGAACTTGTCACGCATGAGCTGATCAAATTCATTTTGAGGGCTGCCACTGGGCTTTTGATCTTTCAGATCATCCAGTATTTCTGTTGAGAAGACTTTTCCTTTCTTTGCAGAAGACATGGCAGCTTCCTGTTCCAGTGACTTCTGATGGAGTTCAGAGAGGAGCTCCAGGACATGCTGCGGAGCATCGACGGGCGAAGGGGCTGACATGCTTACACAGCGAATTGGGCTTTTGGGAGCCTTTGGTTCAGCCAGAAAGGAGGAGATCAGGGACGTAGCGATGGCAAACAACAGGAGAATGTTGGCCAACAAGTTCTGCTTGAAGCAAAATGAAGAAGACAATATAATATGCACTCTGCATACCCCAATCATCATCTCAACTGGCGCGGGGACACGGGAGGGTCTAACCCGGAGTGACTCAACGTTGGAGAGTCATAATAACTAAACTGAATTCAGCCTCTTTAAAGAAACTAGGGATGGTTTCCCTCATTGCATATGAATTGCCTATTCTCTGCTTCAAAGGGGTTTTTTTTTGCATTCTGGGGAATAGCACTGTGTCGTAACAGAATGAACTTAAGTGTTGTACGGCATTTGGTCTGGTCCTTGGTCATCTGGACAGGCTGCTAGTCACACTACCCTCGAGAATGATCGTTACAAGTTTCAAATTCATAAGTAAAGCTCCTCCAGCATGGAATTAATCAATTCAGAATGCTAATAGGGCGAATGCCCGTCGAAACAGTCTGTCTCATCCGTGGTCGATGGGCAATTGGCTCGGGATGATGTGACCGTAGTGATTCGTCCACGGTCGCCAAGCGCCTTCATGGTCTGATGCTCAACATACACAGTAGTACCCTGCCAGTTTATCAGTATATGGCATCCATGATTCATACAGGAGAACGCATGATAGCTGGAGTCATGAAAATTCACAACACGCGCTTTATCGAGTGGAAGCATTAAACGCACTACTCTCCAGTTGATTGACCCATCTCCGTCCTGTACGACTTCATTCTCTCCAAGGTCATCAGAGAGCGATCAATTAATCAATTTAACCCAGCAGTAACAATTGCGCGAACTAATTCACAGCCCGTCGCGCTGAACTGACAATCAAGTAGCCTGTCCCGAGACATTCATAGCCCACTGGCGCTTTTCAATATAAGCCGAAGTACCCAAGCCCCGCGACGGTCCAACTTTCTCTACAACATCACCACCAACCCCGCGTCGTCCTCATCGACCACGCGTTTATTTCCCTCAGCCCTGCTGAATGGACATACCACAATTTTCAAACCCAAAGACCAAAATGACGCCTCCAGACCCCTCACAGCAACAACCAGATTCAACAATTCAACCCAACATGATGCTAACCGCCAAAACTCCCGCGTCGGCTCCCTTCCCGCAGCTTCTCTCCGCGCTATTCACTTCCCTCTCGCGACCGTCGCGACCATGGCGTCTGACGCGCACTCTCCGCAGCGATAACCCAGCTGAGATCAATGGGGAATTAACAGGGACTGCGACGTTTAGTTTCCTTAAAAACGGCTCCGATTCTGCGAGAGACATGCTTTACAGAGAAGAAGGTGGGATGCCAAGTACGCTTATTCGCGGGATGGCAGGATTGCGATGGACGAAGAAATATATTTGGCGATTGCGCGAAGATGGGGCTGGGATTAGTGTTTGGTTTGTGAAAGTAGGCGGGGTGGGATCGCAGACTCGGACTGGGACTCAGAATCAGGAGTCCGACGACGAGGCTGATTATCTGTTTCATGAATTCGAGTTCTTGGACTCTTCTTCGGGGACATCTGAAATGTGTGTGCCGGCTTCGGAGAAGCAGGATCAAGATAAAGACTTCTCGTCACGATCGATACTTGTCACCCCGCCTATACCACCTCCTCCAAATCCAGGATCAGGCTCAACGACGACAACAGTCCTGACAGCTCGCGGAAACCATCTTTGCGTTAATGATATGTATCGTACAGCGTATTCGTTTCGCATTCGACCTGAGACGGGCGAGGTGCTCAGCTGGGCGAGCCGACATGTTGTGAAGGGGCCAAAGAAGGATCAGGATATCGTGAATTTGTATACTTTGGAGGAATGAATGATGTAAAGAGGTCTGGTGCTGTTCTCGGATGGCATGTTCCGACGGCTGAAAGGAATGAATGATTTATGAATGGATACCCTTGTTTATTGAGAGTGCGATGAGGAATTTGTTTTAATGCATAATGCTTTGATGGCATGTATAATAAGAGCTTTGATGGCATGTATAATAAGAAGGAAATTCTCCTCTGCGCAATACGGAAGTCCAATGGAAATATATTGGGTGAGGTTATCATATGAATCATATATCATGTCATCGCTGTGGTATATAAACTATCGGTCATGAACATACGTACCCAGACACGATCTCTCCAACCATATCATGTACATGTACTTACAATTCCACGTCGCCCCCAAACGCCACGCTCCTACAACGTGTAAATGAAGTCTGGGCGCTTATCTCCCAGCATTTCGATCTCATGCGGGCTCAATCCCTCGATCCAGTGATCGCGCTCTCCCCGCCGCCTCTTCCCATTTTCAATTCGCAGCAGAACTTCCTGCAGGATGGACCCACCGAGGAGGAACAGCACGAGATAGGCCATAACAGTGCCGTGTCCAGGATAGAAGCGGGGAGCATCTTGACCGCGGTAGATGTTTGAGGATACGACGCCGTTGAGATTACCCCAACCGATGATGATACCAATGGTAACGCCACGTTTGTAGACTCCTTTTGAGAATAGTAAGTGAATCTTTTCCCGTGACTAGCAGAGAAGAGAAGAAGGCAAGACTTACCTTCGGTGTTGTTGCTGGCCCATGCAATAGTGTTGGAGATACATGGGTAGATGCCCATGGCGCCCAGGAATACACCGGCATAGCGAGTACTGGCGGACTCAGCGCCTAGCAACATGGCAAAACCAACGATTCCGACAATCGAAACGGCAATGTTACAGATCCCGCGCTGGCGGGTGCGGTCTGCGATGAGACCAATGGCGATTGTGACAATAGCTGCGGCTGCGTACGGGGGTACACTGAGCAGCTGAGCTTTGATGGACGAGTATCCTGTTTTCCGTCAGATACGATACTTGTGATGCTATATAACTGAAGGGGAATTACCCTATCGAAATATGTCAGCATACAGTCACAGATATCGGAGATGGACAACTTACTAGTTCCTTGATGATGGTGGGAGTGAACAGAGAAAATGCATAGAGAGGTGCATCGGCGCCCATGTAGATCATAGCGCCAGTCCAGGTTTTCCAGTCCCGGACGCTAGCCCAGAAGTACGACATCTTGAACTCCTCATGTTCCGCACTAGACTGCTCATCAGCTGCAAGGCGCCGGAGGACTCGCTTCTTGTCCACTTCAGAGAGGAATTTGGCCTCGTCTGGGAAGTCGTGGACCATCCAGAACGAAAGCACACCAATGACAATGGTAGCAAGCCCCTCGATGATAAAGATCCAGGCCCAGCCAGGTTTGCCGCCGATTCCATCCATTTCACCGATAGCAGCGGCGAGCAGACCACCGAAGCTTCCAGCTAGAGCAGCAGCACTGAAAAAGATTGCTAGCGACGTCGCGTTAGCAAGCAATACAAGGAAATTGCATACATGAAGGGAGCCTAAACATGCACCTACCCATTCGAACACCAAACTCAGAACGTTTGTACCAGCAAGAAAGGTAGTATCCAATGCCAGGGAAAAGCCCAGCCTCAGCCAATCCGAGGAACCAGCGTGCAGCCATGAGACCAGAAAAATTGTGTACAAGGCCCATGGTAGTCATACATATTCCCTAGCGCAGTAATTTGATCAGTGGGTGCTAGACTGCATATCGTGGCTCATCTTTCATACCCAGAGAGACATGATGATCGGAATGAAGACACTAGGCCGCAGTCTCTTAAGGAGCACATTGGTGAGGGGCTCAAAGACCGAATATGAGATAAAGAAGACTGTCAGAGTCAGATTATACTGCGAATTGGTCATACGCAGGTCCTCCTGTAGGCCTTCGAGCTTGGCATTTCCAATATTGGTGCGATCTAGAAAGGACGCCAGGTAGAGTAGACAGAGCCATGGGATGAGCATCAAATCTAGCCGCCAGAGCAGTTTGCGATCCTGCGCCAGTCAAGTCAGCCACGGTAACAAAAGCGGAAACAGTGAGGGAGGACACTACAATTTTCGCCTTCTCTTCCTCACTCAATCCATCATCAGGATCGTCGATGAATTCTGCCCGAGTTGCTGTTGGCTTCGACTCCAGATCCTTTTCCAATTCTGAAGCAGGACGGTTCTTGCCCGCGCCAATCGTTTGCGACTTCTCCATGGCGGCCACAGAGTCTCAAGAGAGGCGCACAGCTAATTGACAGGTTGGAGGGTGTTTACCCGGCTGAGGAGAGGAGAGGAGAGCCGTTTTAAATGCACGCTGCGCGCTGACCGCGTACAGATCACGCACCGGCTAATTGGTCGTACTGCATCATAGCGGCAACAGTCAGAAGGAAAGAAAAATACATCAAGCTTGATTAACCTGGCCTATCATCATACAGAGAGAGAGACCAGGACCTGGCCAGATCCTGTGGTCCGGGACAAGCATTGGGCCATCTTTCTGGATATCTCTCCCCACGGGACGCTAAGACTTTGCACTGACCATCCCCAGCGTGGGGAAGCGGGGTTGGATTTTTAAGCAGAATTGAAACGATCGACATGACTACCTAGGTATGTATTCACAGACGGAGGGCCTCTTCGGGCATGCAATTTGTGGCTGCACGACAGTCGGGGAGTACTCCGTACATGTACTGACGGGAATTCTCCTGTCTCTTGGAGATCAGTCAGGGAATTTCTGAGCCCGTTCATAAAGTCCACCTGGAATAACCAAATCAAATCAAATTGGTCTTCTCTCAGTTTCGCTCCGCAACCGGTGAGCATTCCAGATCTACTTAGCGGCTGGCAAGACGCCTCCTGAGCATCCGGTGATCTTGGCAAAATGCCCTTAACGGAGAAAAGACGGTTGTTCGCTTAAGGAAAGGAGGACGAACTTCTGGATCGCAACCCATGGTCACACGTGTGAGCGATCTGGGAGCAATGCGCAGATCAGTTATTTAACCGGTGAAAGAATCTTGCAGAATGATAGAAGCTTAGCTGCTAAGAGAAACAGGTGTCTTCTCATGGATAGGAGTGCGTACCAAAGAGATCTCATCCCCGAGGGCAGGGCTCATCTTCTCCCAGAAGAGGACAGTGATAAATAATGGTGATTCCGAAAATCGTAGCAATATCTCCGAAGTGGCTTTTTCTCGGTCTAAACAAGGTCCATGAGGCACCATAAGCGGCCGGTCCGTTCTTTTTCTTTTCGCTTCCATGTTCCCTGCGGGGAGAAGGGAAGCGGGGAAGATTTTGGCGGCATCTTTAGGTAGCTCGACTCTGTGATGGCAATAATGCCGATGGGAGACCAAGTGCCGAAAGAAGGGGAAGATGCATTTTGCGCTGATAATAAGCGCGGGGTTCTCAAAGTCGGGGACATCCCGAGGTTATGATGATCCTAAAAATATATTGTCTGGAAACTCTACATAGAGAGTGAACAACCCATCTAAGCCTTACTGAGAACATTACTCGTATTAATATTATTTAACCCGTTTATGAGGACTGCATAGCTTGCCCGCTGCCTGGGTGGTTTTGAGATCTGACTGATTTGATTCGTCGACACAGCGAACCAAAGTGTAAGGGCTGATGTAGACTTTTAAAGAAGAAGCCTCAAAAGCAGCGGCTATTCTGGCTGCATATCTAATTTCAAATACTAAGACATAAAAGGTGTTGGATTACAAAGAGCAAGAAAAGCAAAGCTTTCCTTGTATCGCTATCAAGGCTCCTGGCTAGCGGAATATCTAGATGGGTCCATCTGTCACACAACCATGGCTGGCATCGCTGACCAGGGTGGAATACTTCTTCAAAGTTCCCTTCTGGTATCTGAGTGGAGGTGCTTTCCACTCCTTTCTTCTTTTATCCAGTTCTTCAGTCGGGATCTCCAGATTAACCACTCTTTCCTCAGCATCAATCACGATCTTATCACCGTCTCGCGCCAGCGCAATCGGGCCTCCCTCCATTGCTTCGGGCACAATATGACCGATCAAGAATCCATGGGAACCGCCGGAGAATCTTCCGTCTGTGAGCAGCGCGACGTCCTGGCCAAGACCAGCGCCCATAATGGCCGCGCTGGGTTTAAGCATCTCAGGCATTCCCGGACCACCCTTGGGACCTTCGTACCGGATGATAACGACCGTCTTCTCGCCCTTCTTGATCTCCCCTCGCTCAAGGGATTCGATGAATGCGTCTTCGTAGTCGTAGCACTTGGCTGTGCCCTCGAACCGTAGGCCTTCCTTGCCAGTGATCTTGCCCACGGAACCACCTGGGGCCAGCGATCCGCGGAGGATCTGGAGATGGCCGGATGGTTTGATGGGGTTGCTCAGGGGTCGGATGATGTCCTGATCAGCAGGGAAATCGGGCCACGAGGCTACATTCTCCTTCATTGTTTTACCGGTGATGGTGATTCCTGAGCCGTCGATCAGGCCTTCCTTTAGAAGGTATCTGAGGATAGCTGGTGTGCCGCCAATCTTGTATAAATCGTGCATAACATACTTTCCAGATGGCTTCAAATCAGCCAGGAATGGCGTCTTGTCGGACACTGCTTGGAAGTCATCGATAGTCAACTTGATGCCGACAGAGTCAGCAATAGCAATTAGATGCAGGACAGCGTTTGTGCTGCCACCCAAGATGTTCACCACAATCATTGCATTCTCAAATGCTTGACGTGTCATGACATCCCTGGGCTTAATGTCTTCCTTGAGCATATTCTTAACCACCTCGCCAATGTTTTCACATTCGACCAGCTTCTTGGGATCATCTGCCGGACAACTACTGCTCCCGGGCACTGTCATACCCATTGTTTCAATGGCCGTCGCCAGCGTATTGGCCGTGTACATGCCACCACAGGCACCTCTGCCGGGGCACGCATTGCGAATGATATCGAATCGCTCTGTCTCGTCGATCTGGCCTGTGATATACTGCCCGTACGACTGGAACGCACTGACCAGATCCAACTTTTGACCCTTTGCACTGCATCCGGGCTTAATGCTACCACCATAGATCATGACACTAGGCCGGTTCGTGCGTCCCATCGCCATCAACACTCCAGGCATATTCTTATCGCAACCCGGCAGCGACACGTTCGCATCATACCACTGGGCATTCATTACAGTCTCAATGCCATCAGCGATGATCTCACGACTCTGCAAGCTGTATCGCATTCCCTTTGTGCCCATACTGATCCCATCAGATACTCCAACGGAGTTGAATCGCATAGGGACCAGACCCGCCCGATGGATAGAATCGCGCACGATCCCAGAAAGGTCGTGCAGGTGCATGTTGCATGGGTTACCCTCGAACCATACAGAGGAGATACCGACCTGCGGCTTCGACATATCCTCCTCTGTTAGGCCGGTCGCATACAGCATTGCTTGTGAGGCACCCTGAGATTTGGGTTGTGTTATTGTCGATGAGATTCTGTTGAGGCCATCGTCGGACTTATAACGGCGCGAGGTAGGCAGAAGGCGTCTGACGATTAATGTCAGGTTAGCATTTTTCGCGATTCTGAGGAGAGATTTAACACATTACGATAGGAGATTCTCGTACATGCTGTTGAACTGAGCGCGTCGGCTTGATGCCAGAGCTCTAGCTCTGATATGCGTCGCGAGCATAGTTCGTGCTTGCGGATACGTGCACGGGGACAGTGTTTAAGAGGGAGAAAACTGATGAAGGAAAAAAAAGAAAGAGTAAAAAGGTTCACTGTGTTCAAGAACCAAGCCTGTAAGAAGACTCATGGCCACACAGCCGTGACTAAGATGACAGGGCTCAATAACGTAGGATAGTTGATGTGTTGCTGGGTTGTTGCCCTCATTCCGGAGTTGCGACCCAACTCCGGCCTCCGCCCTGAACAAGCTCGGTGGTGGCCGGACTGGATCTACTTAGCAGCTTGATCTTCGCCCCCATGCAGGGGTTGTCGACTCATACACCAATTATATAACTGGTTATTGCCTTCGTTCCTATTATTTAAGATTATCCACCACTGCGGTGCGTCGCGCCGCTATGTTATATAGGATCTAGACAATCTTGACGATCTGTAGAATAAGGATCCGGTGCGAGAATGCTAGCGGTATCAAGCACCTGAATAAGATTTCAGATCCACGTATTTCAAGTCTACTCCGTACTGAGTGCTTATTGCATCTCAATTATGTGTATTCGAATAATATGCACACACCCCGGGCGCAGAAAGTGGATGATCATAACTAATTTGGGTCGACCTCTATTCCAACTCCGCTGTGTCGAAATAAACCGCAATCTACGGAGTATTGATCCTAGCCGTGCTCATGAGAGATGCAGATTTCCTCCCCTGGGAAGATCACCATTGCTACAACTAGCGTCCGCAGCAAAAGACACGTTTGGATCCTCTTCAGGTGGGTCTCATTAAGATCAATGATCGAGGCTATAATCTGAATAAGCACTACTTGAAGTACGGAGTATACAGGTAATCGGTGTCTGGATCTCCAGAGGCTCGTTTGGTCAATGGCAAACCTATTGGTAAGTGTTGCATTTGATTTGTTCGTAGCCTAAATATTCGTATCTTGGGATGATCTTGGTTCCACAAAAAAAAAAAAAAAAAAAAAAAAAAAAAAAAAAAAGACGCAGGAAGGGGAAATAAAACGAATCTATAAAACGAAAATCTTTTTGTTGACATAACCTTTCCTTTCCGCTGCCTAATGAGAGTTCCCCCTCAAATAACGCATCGCCCATCCAAACAGATTGATTACTGAGCTCGCCACGTAATCCATTTTGTGATACTGGGGTGCATCGACGGAGAATGCAAACGCGTTGGTCTGATATGCCTGTGTCTCAGATCCTTTGGGGGCCGGCCCATCGACTTCAAAGCCTTCGACTTGGCAAGTCCACTCCTCGATATCCACCCATCCCACACCGAGCGCCTTGTCAAAGTAATCGCGGAACTTGACTCCCGACTCTTGTAAATCGTTGCGCTGGTAAATCTCCCGCAATCTGTATCTGAAGTCGCAAATGTGCCACGTTACGTAACCGTGGATAAAGCCGCGGATGGTGGCCAGCAACTCCGGGTCTTTGTCCTTCAATAGTTCCAAAATCCGTATGCAGGCATGGATTGAATCGTCGGTGAGACGTTGGAGGGCCTGATCCATCGTGATTCCGTCCACAGTGCACCAATTGGTAACCAGATTGGCTTCGTCCTGGTCGTATTCTTTGTAGAACGAGAAGAGATCGTTCATCAAGGCAACGGGCCCGTCGATTTGGGCCATTACGCAAGCGATCTCTGTAAAGAGCTTCTGGTCGTCGAATTTGGCCGCGGGGAACAGGGTCCCTGCGACAGCACCACCGAGACAGTTCAACCGTCGCAGGAACAGAGGATAGCAGTCCGCGCCACGGTAGCCCTGGAAGTTGTGTTGCTCGATCCAGCACCCTTCAAAGTAATCAAAAGTGCAGCGCATGATATTGAAGGAGCAGAAGCTGCCATAGTGGCTTAGGAGGCGGGGGAGATGAGCATTGAACAGCACCCAGAAGGGGTGCTTCTGTTGTTTGCCCTGAATGAGGTCTACCCAGAAGGTGGCCATCTGGGTACTAGGGTCGTGGTTGATCTCATCATCCAGAACGTTGATGATGGAGAGATAGATGCAGACGTCTACTTGGGCTTCTCGAGGTAGTCTACTCCAGCAATAGACAATGAAATGGGAAATGGTCCGAGTGACAGCAGCAATTCGGCGGGGAGCCACACCTTTGAGGATTCTCCTTGGAAGAGGCTCAGTAAAGTATTGTGCTGTCTTGGAATAAACATGACGAAGGCCTTCAACACGCTCATCGTGTGTTAGGTTGTCATCATGGTACTCAATGGCATCAAGGAAGCGCACAATGGAGTCACAGTAGGTGTTGGCGGGAAAAGTCTTCATATCCATGATGGAGACAATTCGAAGAAAGTTAAGATGCTTGCTGATATCTTAGGAAAAAGAATGCCGGAACAGAGGCTGCTTAAGTATCTTGGAAACGTAACATAGAGAATAGATGGAAGAATCACACCTCTTGGGCTGGAGCGATTTCGTATACTTACTACTCCAGTGTATCAACATTACCGCGATCCTTTCTTACCTAGAGGCTGGATCTATCAGGAATAACCTTTCTATGGGCCCAGGATGCAACTGAGAGGATACGCTCCATGGCTATGGCACTAACCAGCCGGATACGCATAATCTCTCTTCTGTTGCGGTTGTCAATACAGTCTTAACAGCATATACCTCGCCTATGTCGCCACTGGAATGGGCTATGGAATCAACTCACCAGCTTACGAAAAGCATGTATTGGAGACTAGTCTTTACGCGGCCTTTTCACTGATATTCACTTGCCTCATATCAGATAAGGGCAGAGCCGTCTCCCCTGCGGAGGTGTCCAACGACTCCTAATAGTAATTTTATTTGTAAATTCTGCATGCTGAGCAACATTGGGAATCTATACTTGCGGCGAGGGGCCGAAGATCGGTCACCAAACGAGTGGACATGAATAGTTCATGAGTCCAGAGTTAGTAGATGCTCCATCAACAAAGGTAATCACGACATGGGCTACAGCGTCATTCCAGATTTGGACTTGTCGTGCTTTCAGGCCGTGTTTCAGGTGATAGGATTCGATTCGCGAATGGATGCAATGAGAACTCCTAGGGAATGCGTGTCATGCACTAAACTAGGATTCAATCCTTCGCCCCACCAACAAATACGAAGAAAACGAGACTTTGGTAAACACTCAGTAATACTACTGTCGAGTATGCAGTTAGCGGGTCGGATCTCGGTGGCGTCAAGGTCTAATGGCAGTGGTAAAATTGGTCCTAAGCAAGTCGGTGATTGTCTCATCCTGTATCGCTTGACCAGCGAGTCTTTCTAGACCACGAAGTTCTCTGTATCCCCATTATTTCATGGAGCTTTTCTTTCTGCTTACTTCCCTTTTTGATGCCATTTTCACCATTCTGGCGAACATAATTGGTTCCTAACAGTCCGTTTGTGATTCTTGGCTGTTCCCAGTTACTACTCGTACCTTGGTAGTCCGGTTGAGCTGAATCCCCTGGCTGTCAAAAGTGAGGACGATCACAAGATGGCTGTACACTGTTTGAAACAGGTGTCAAAGTGTCCTCTCGTCACGGAAGTTGTCCGGTTGGTAGTCAATATATCTCATCCTCTACCGTAGTCATTATGGGAGCGGACTTATCTGATAGACTCGTCCCGCACGGTGAACAGATATAGCTATTGATATTATCAAGCCAAGCAAATTGACGGAATTGCAGGCCAATTAAACCTTTCTGGGTTAGGAAAGTCCTACATTGGCCACGCAATATAGAGGATCCCATACTTATGCACTACGGAGTTCTCCGTACTTAGTCTGCGGAAGTTACTTAGTACATCCCGGAGAGACTAGTTGTTTGGGGCGATGTTGCTTACCTGCATAAGCACCGTATTCTTATTTTTACGGACTCCATAATCTGAATTATGATTGATTGCTAACTATGTCTTTGTTTAGTAATCGATTGGCCATTTCCATGTTTATTTCATAGACTGGTCATCCGGACTTGAAAAACGGCCCCAAACTGCAGAAACAGCGGCGCGCTGTAATTTTGGTTTGTATTCAAATCGTATTTGAAAGTTTGTTAGTATTTATCCTGGAAGAAGAATAGCTGTTTACTAGGGCAATTCGAATGGTATGTCCAACTATCCCACAGCCACTACAGCGTTGGGGCGAAGAAAAAAGTACGGGAACAAGCTGTCTTTGAACATCAAACTCAATTCCCTCATTGCGAAATCCTTCTTCCACATCCAATTTTATATATACTCGTCCCAAAACAATTTTCAGTCCCTCAATGTTTCGAGTAAGCAGCTTACCGTTGGCCCGTGCGGTCAGCAGTTGGCGGGCCGTGAGCTCGTCCACAAACGGCGATCATCGTCGATAGATCTAGATCCTGGAACACGCGGGGCTAGCGACCTCTGCATAGCGCCAAAAATGTAGCTTGATGCTGAGTGCTTACTTAGTGCTTACTTGCGCACGCCCGTAATCCTTACCTTGACTGCACCGTCACCTTCCTTAGGAAAGGCGAAACCTCGCGTATGGTACACATCGATATCTTTTTGTGTTGTTTCAAACAGGTCCATGTCCAACGATGTTGCAACTCTTGCGATACCGAGGTAGAGTTTTGCATATGCCAGGCTACGGTAAAGAATTAGTAACAGTTACGCCGTGGTTAAATAACAGTCATGGAAGCTCTTACTTGATACCAAGACAGGCTCTGCTGCCCTTGCTGAAGCTGACCATATATTTGTCGAGGTTGACACCGTCTTGTGCTGCCTTGACCCAACGTTCCGGGTCAAAGACTTGAGGATTTGGGAATGCGGAAGAGTCATTGTTGATCAGGTAGGTTGACTGGCTGACTGGTGTCTGTTTTTGGGTCAATAGGGAGACAGTGGGCAAGATATAGGTGAAAGCAAGCTTACTCCAGGTGGAATTACGAAACCCTTGTATTGCAGAGCTTCTTGGGGGGAGATTCTTGGAATGCGCACGACTAGACCGTAAGTAAGTCGAATTGCTTCCTGGACGACACCTCTCTAGATAGCGAATTAGTAAATCTGCAGCACAGGAACCGAACGATAAGAATCGCACCATGTAGGGCACAGCCTCAAGCTCTGTTGTGGTCCATTGCTGGCCATCCGGCTTTGCAACAGCCTCCAATTCTTTCCGCAGCTTCATTAGCACTTTCTTATTATTGAGCAAGTGGAACAATGCAACAGACAGCGTTCTAGCAGTGGTGTCAATTCCAGCAAAAATGATGGTCTCGCCCTCATCCAACAGACGATCCAGTGTTTTCTCCTCATCGGGCACGCTGGGATCCGTCAATGCGCTCACAATCACAGATTTGGACCTAGCGTCTTTCATAGCCCTTTTCTCCTCATCAGAGCTGTTAGGATAGTTCAAAACCATCTTCTTGTTCCCCTCTCGCGCCGACACGACCAGGGGGAAATTCTGGTTGATCAACCCGAGGATCGGCAACGGGAGGCTCTTGAGTGTAGTTGCAGGGATGGGCAGAAAGCGTGTGAGGTTATATAGATTTAACAAGACAGTCAGAGCATCCTTCAGCCCGTACTTGAAGTCCTTGCTGCTGATATAGTTTGCATGAGAGCCATAAAAGTGGTAGGTGACAACGTCTGCAGTGAAGGCAGAAAAGGCACAGGTCAGGTCGATGGTGCTTCCTTTTGCTTCTGCGAGACGGGAGATCAATGCATCGATACGCTCGTGGATGGCAGGCTCAATGTCCGCAATGGCCCTTTTGGAAAAGTATGGGCTCACAATGGCACGACGCTTGCGGTGGAGGTCATGATCGAGAGTAGAGATAGTGGAATGCGGGAATGTATAGCCACCCACGGCTGACAGTTCTTTGTTAACCTTGCGGCCACTGCCAGCGTAGATGATGTTGAAGTATTCCGGGTCGTGGATATGCAGAGATCTGGAGTTGATGCGAATAATCGGGCCTTTGAGAATGGTTAGTCCGTCTTGCATTCAAGATAGTTGAGGATGAAAACTGTACCATATTTTTCATGCATCTTCTGAATTTCCCAGAGATAAGTGCCATCTTTAATGACGTCGTAATAAAACTCGTAGAAAGACCATATGGCTGCCCGTTTGGGACCGGGAAATTTACGCAACGGATGAAAAAACAGATCGTATATGCATCGAGCGACCACATAGGCAGCAAACACACCAACTGCTGCGCCGATGGTCAATGGAACGGACAGCTCTTGGACTAACATGATGATGACCTTAGGCTGTTCAAGGTGATCAAGAAAAGTCTGACAAGGTGAGGATATCCAAAAAGAAGACCATCTCTTTTGTTCCCTTCTTTTCTCTGGCTTACTACGAGAGCTTTTCATGTGGCAAGAAGCTCCTTGGCTACATAAAGGAATTGCAACCTTGGTTCGTGCGTATGGCTACTTTTGGCCCCAATAGTGATTACGAGGTCATTAATTACAAGTCTTCTCGCCTTTGACTATTCAGTTGACTAGCGTAAAGTCAATGCATGGGAGCGGATTATTGCAAGACAGTCTTACATCCATCGCTCCGTTGCCGGCCAAGACACGATCGTAAGATACGAAGGTTATTATCAATAGTTGGTATTCTTCTTGACAAAAATTTGCTCGTAATTAGGTGTAGTAGACCTGGCCCGGTATTAAGGACCTAGGTCTTCCAGTGACCGCCCTCATTTAAGCGCCAAAGACCCTCATTCTGCTTGAGGATTCAGTTACCTGGATAATTAGTATCCTATACAAGCAAACAGCCCCAAAATATGGGAGTTTTTGCTCTATCCCTGGCCTTTCCTGAAGGGAACGAGACATGGGCTGCAGTGATCGTTACTGCTCTAGTAATATGCACTGTAATTACGATCTATCAAGCATTCTTTGCCATCAAGTATCCTGCAAATCTCCCGCTAGCTGGTGAGCCTGATGGAAAACGGACATTCAGTTGGCGAACAAGATGGAGGTACTATACCGATTGCGAGGCTCTATACAAAGAAGCATATGAAAAGGCACGTTCTTCTACATTTACGTTATGGCAATACTAACATGCATGAAGTATACCAAACGTGGCAAGACAGTCCTCCTTCCAGGTCTCGGATTTCGCCACGACATCATCTTGCCTCAAAGCACAATGCTGGGGATCTTGGCCCGTCCCGAACATGAGCTCAGTCACGCCGACGCCGTCTTAGAACTTGTTCAGCTAAAGTATGCGCTTGGCCATGAGAAATACAAAGCCGATCCCTGGCCGTGTATGCTTGTCAAGTCGGATATCAATTCCAAGCTGGAGGCCGTCTGTGAGGGTATGAATGAGGAATTGAAGTATGGATTCGATAAATATATCGGATGTGATAAAGAGTCATGGAAGGAAGTGCATTTGTTGGAGACTATTCGAATGGTCATGATTGCCGCGGCGAGTCGATTTATGGTTGGGTTTCCTTTGTGTATGTTTCTTATTTCCTACTGGAATTGTTCCCTTTCTAACTGGATAACAATAGGCCGCAACGAAGTGTATCTTCGAGCCTGCTGGAAGGTCAATGATGGGATTGTGATCAACGGTGGTCTCACTGGTGCCACTCCACGTCTTCTGCGCCCAATCGTTGGTCCGTTGGTTACTATGAATCTCCGTCGAAACATCGAACAGGTCAGGAAACAAGTAGAGCCTATTTATCGCCAGCGGGTACAAGCATTGAGCCAGCACAACAACTCCGGAAAGCTCGATGGCAAAGAATCTCAGGATCTCTTCCAGAAAATGCTGCATTACGCCCAGAAAGAGCGACCAGACGAACTGCACGACCTCCCCAGCATGTCCAGACGACTGTGTTTTGCCAACTTTGCAGCCGTACATCAGACAACCCTCCTTGTAACAAACATGATACTCAATATTCTCGCCTCAGACTCGCAATACAATACCATCTCCGTCCTCCGCGACGAAGTCACCGATATCATTGGTCCCGACAGCAACGCCAAATGGACCAAATACAAGGTCGCACAGATGATCAGATCCGACAGCGTAGCTCGTGAAACCATGCGTCTACATTCAAACACCAACAGGGGCGTCTTCCGCAAGGTTCTAACCGAGGGAATCAAGACGGAGGATGGCATTGAGCTTCCCAAAGGCGCATACATCTCCTTCCTGGGTCGTCCACTCCAATGCGACCCCGAAGCCTTTGAGAATCCTCTCGAGTACGATCCTTTCCGGTTTTCTCGAGTCCGGGAGACGACTCCCAAAGATACGAAAGGCAAGTCAATCACGAACCATCTGAGCTTTGTGTCGACATCGCCAGAGCACCTGCCTTTTGGCCATGGACGTCATTCATGTCCGGGTAGGTTCCTGGTTGATTTTGAGGTCAAGATGATCATTGCCTATCTTCTAATGAATTATGATATCGAGTTTCCGGTTGAGTATGAAAGAAAGAGACCTGCAAATCGGTGGATGGCCGAGGCTCTGGTTCCGCCTTCAGGGGTGCGAATCAAGATAAAGAGGCGAAGCTAATATTGCGGGTTTGATTGCTTCGGCAATATCAGATAGGAACAACGGGTCTAGAATTGAATCATGTCGGTGCACAAAGTGAACACCAGGTGATCTGTCGATTATCCGTTTGCAGCAGGTTCTTTGATTCCAAATTCTAGGATAAAGGCTACTGGATTACTTGATTACTTGATTACTAGGATCTAGATTCTTTGCATGCCAAAGGTACATGCAGGTTCAATCCTGCCAAAAATAGAAGCAAGAAAGCAATTCAAGGTGTTTAGGTCAGACGATGCTTCCGTTCTACCCATGATTCGACAAATTAAGTCAGATATTAACGAGATCAAAATGCTTTGTTGCTAGTCGTATATACTGAACATGGCGACGGCTTTGGATAAATACTCGGACTCTATCAGGAAAAATCAATTGAACCGAGGAGCTTGCTACCAATTCCTCATCTCCGTCACCTTAAAGAACATCTAACCTGTAGTGATCACCCCTCCGTCGATCAGTGAGGCCCTTCACTTACCAACAAGCCGACAAGATCTCGCCCTATCTATGTATAGTGTTTTCGCCAGCTTGTTTGGTGCTCTTCTGAGGTTGGCTGGCCGATTGCTAAGGCCCTCGCCCTATTCACCTTCTTGACTTCTTCTTGTTTACCATCTCGACCGCATACGCTATCATTGCTGAAGCTATATCGCTAGGTTCTGTATTGGAAAGCTTGATGGGGAGTGATTGGGGGCCCATTGGGATGGAAATGAGTTTTCTGAATAACTACCCGCGATATCATCAGCCTGGTGACTGGAGCTGCGGCGGTGACAACTTCTTCATTTGCCGTACGGAAAGTACATTCTGGTGATCACGAAATTACCGAGGACAATGCTGAAGAAATGATCTGTCTGGCAGATGCAGATGGTGATGGGAAAATTTGCTGAATGTTATCTTGGAGTATCCCTACTACATGGGTACTTAGCTAGGGAGCCAGCCCTAGCGGAGTCCTCCCGCGCCTTTTCCTTAGCGAGGTCATCACACAGAGATAAATAACTCGAGCTAGTCAGAGATGTGATTATTATGTTCCCCTCGATTGAATACAGGCTTAGAGAGAATTCGTTCTGAGGATGAGGAGTTCGTAAACGTGCTGGGATAAACGTGCTGGGACAAAAATGATGGCGCAAATAGCACGACTCGCAGCCCTTGAAGATTATCTGCTGGTTTCGTTAATCAAAGCATCTGCTTGCTTGAGACTCGATTCTGATTTTAAAACATAATGAGTCGTGGACACTGGCTTGCAAGTTGCAACTGATATTCCAACAACGTGGGGGCGCAACACGACGTCCGTGCGAAGATGCAAGGGGCTTTCTAGGCAACGGAACAAGAATCTTGGATCACTGAAAATTCAGTGAAGTCCATGAGCATATTCATTTGCATTGTCGTTTCATATGTACAGCGTCTGCATACATTAGTCCAATAGAGTGAGGACGGCCCCGATATGGGGAATCTTATACGAGAGGCTGTATCCCGTACTACTACTTGGTACACCGCCACTTGGCTGGTGTTCATACCAACCTTGAACAGAATTGATAATGTAATAGCGCCTATCGTGATCGGTGGGTACTGCTTTGTAGTAATTCGAGCGAAATGATTGAATAAGCTAAAATCTTCCAAGTAAATCTGTGCCAGGGACGCTATAGCGCATATGCATGGCTAGTGCGTGACCATAAAGGCATTTACAAACTAGATGGGAGTTTAACAAAAATATATCAGCAGACGCTGGATTTCAGCCAGCCATGCGCAGTTTTCTCTGACGGAGGATTGCCAATATTCGCTCAACTATTGGCACAATGTTTGCGGCCTATCCTATATTTGAAATTTGAACCTATCCGCACAAGAAAGTAAAAGAATGACCGCTCTCATTTGAGTAATATAGTAGCCCTCTTTGACCTCTTACATCTGTTTCCGCAGAGACTGACGGTAGACCGAATAAATTGGAAGTGGAGAAACAAAATCACCACAGCAAATGCCTACGTCTGGAATAATAAACAGAGCTTTATAAGTGGTGGGAATTGCAATCATCAAGAATGTCCGGATGCGTAATTCGAAGCCGTGCAGAACTGTGGGGGGTCAGAGAACGCTGATTGGAAGCTGCCGTTGTCGCCCTATATGGAAATCGACATGTCCAACATCGAACTGCAAGCTTCGGATGACCACGAGCTGTCTTGATATGCAATAGCAGGGCGGTCTATGAAAATCGTATTAAATAATGCGATGTCCAATTTCTCCCAGTTCGCGGCTGCAGAAAAATGAATCTGCTGGTTACCATCTCCCTAGCAGCAGTAATCCTGCTCTATATTGTGCGGTACGGGCTCAAGTCAAAGCTACCGTTGCCATTACCTCCAGGCCCGACCTTTTTCTTCGGGATACTCCCAGAGAAGAACATTGCAGAAAGATTTCAAAAATGGAACCAGAGATATGGTCCCGTCGTCTCTGTTCGCATCGGTCGACAGCTATTCATAATCTTGGGCACCCGTCAAGCAGCCTATGATCTGTTGGAGAGGCGAGCCCCCATCTACAGCTCGCGTCCGCCTTCATTGTTTCTAGACAAGTACTTGCACAAAGGCCTCTCATCTGCTTTCATGCCATACGGCTCCCGATGGAGACTCCACAGACGACTACAAACTTCCTTTTTGAGCGTCCAGGCCTCCAAGGCCTACCGGAATCTGCAAGATATTCAGAGCAAGAAACTATTGCATGATTTTCTCTCCACTGATGACTTCTCTGAGGTTTTCTATCGGTATACGTCGGATGTCATGTTTACTCTCGCCTATGGAAAGGATGAAGGAAAGGATCAGTGTGATCACCAGCGATTACATCAAATCAACGAAATGGCGATGTTCGTATTGCAGACAGCCTCCTTCGGAATGACCCTGTTGGACCGCTTCCCATTTCTGGATCGATTGCCACACCACATTATGAAGTGGCGTCGTATGGCAGAGAATCTCCACCACAAGGCGAAAGACGCATACACAGACTGCTGCCGTAGTGCCTTACAAGGAAGTTGTTGGAATTGGAGCCACGAGGCACAGCGACGAAGCGAGGCGAAAGAGCTGCCCTGGGAAGAAGTTTGCTACTCTATCGGTGAGCTTTATGTAGCAGGAATTCATACAACAAAAATGGTCCTTGAGCACTTTATCGAGGCTAGTATTACACACCCCGAAATGGTGAGAAAAGCCCAAGAAGAGCTTGACTCAGTGGTCGGGACAGAACGACTTCCGGCCTTTGACGACATGGACCATCTTCCCTATATCAAGGCAGTTATCTCAGAGCTTCTACGTTGGAGGACCATATCCACCATTGGTGTTCCTCACACCGTCATCGAGGACGACGAATACATGGGTTACTCCATTCCCGCCGGCGCTACAGTTGTTGCCAATCAGTTTGGAATGAACATGGACGAGGCTATCTTCGAAGAGCCAACTAGTTTTAATCCAGATCGATATTTTCAAAACCCAGAGCTTCCTGTTTCTGCATTCGGGTTTGGACGACGATCATGTCCTGGAAGTCGCCTCGCAGAAGCGAGTCTTTTTATCGTGATTGCAAGGCTACTTTGGGGCTATCAGATCTCCCCTGCGGAGGGAGACAAGCACCTCGATGCAGCATCAAGCCCAACCTGTTTCATGGCATCAATTCGAGTCCGGAGCCTCAAGCACCAAAAGATTATTGAGAAGGGATGGGTGGAGTTTGAGATAGAGAAGAAAGGAATTTCAAGTGTTATTCAACAGAATGTGCAGAGCCGCAAAGCACATCCACGTGCAGAGTCAGCTTGTACAGTCTAATATTGGTGGAAATGCCCTGTTTATTTTACGGTGTTGCAGTTATATTGCTTCCTATTGTCTACCTTCGGCGTTATGGACCTCAAAAGGTTGAAAAGTTATTGAGAACCGAAAGCTCATTTAATCAAGTTTATCAAGACAGTAATAGAAATGAACAACATCGAAGTATCATAATTATGAAAGAGCACTAGAAAAACGAGTATCAAAAATTGCACGATTATCGTCTCACCTCGATTGAAGGCGGCTCTCATGTTCAGTATTTGCAAATTGCAAGCCCAGGCCCCACCAGCAAGGATAGAACGCAGTATTAACGTTATTGGATTGCGATAACGTTGATAAATCTTTCGTGTCTTCGTAAGCTGTTTCATTATGGTAAGGCAAAACATTTTAAGCATTTCGTATTCTGTTATATATACATTTACGGTGGCCGCCTGCTCAGCTTCCCTAGGACCACAAATAATGTTTGTGGGAATCTAGGACCACAGAAGCAAAGGTTCTGAAGAAGCATTTGAAATGGGAATGGAATCTTATTTGCTTAGAGAGCTGAAAGTGACCGAAATCTATCAGTTATTCATGCTTCCTCCCTCTATGTTGACATTGCAGCTGCCTGGAGCTGAACTGAATCCTCTATTTAAACTGTTCCATGGTTCCAGCTCTGTCTTCTTTGATCCTATACAGTTGGATCTAGGTAGCGTCCCGTTGCAGCTGCGACCCGGTTTGTATAGGATAGGAGCAGCGGATTGCAGCAGGTTTGCAGCTTGTCTCCACAGAAGCCGTGAGCGCCGACAATGTTGAATGTAAACCAGATATCTTTCAACGATTCGTTTTATATTTTCAGAACGCATGACAGAAGAACGTGGAGTCTACTCTAGAGCGAAGCTCGCTTGAATTCTCTAGCAACTTGTCAGCCTATTGATATCTGTGGCTGGAGCCAGAAAGGCGTGGGAGAAACCCGACAGCAGGTCTGCCTGTAGGCAGGCTCCGACATTTTCTTTCCAAACACATCAGAGAAGTACTTGACTGAACTTTCCATCCAGAGCTATTAGGACTCTTGTATCGTACGGATGACCATAGTCTGCAACAATACCCAAATAGAATCAAAGGGGATATGATGCATATAGCAGTTGTGCTTGGAAAGCAAGCACCTGCAAAGGTATCATTAGCAACGAAACTAGGTAACAAGGCAGTGTCGCAGGTAGGCAAGGCTCTCTGGACCCCTCCTGCTTCCAGCCAGTAATGAATGCAACAGAAGCCCACTCATGCGGCGCAGGCGTCTAGAGATAATGATAAGTTGATGTGTTGGTCCAAAGGCGGTAGCGACTGGCTGACGCTGTTTACCGTCCAGCCTGATGGCGCGAATTCACGGCGGCAAACGCATCAACATAACCCCCCCCTGTCCCTCATCCCCTCTTCGCTCTGTTTATTTATCTCGTCATTCCTCATTAAAATTTCATCTGTTCATTTTTTTTAACTGAATCTGCAGATTTACTCCCATAACTGATAGTTTACATTCACGGTTCGATCATCCAACACAGTCAAGCACTAGCGTCTGTCTTGAAGACAGCCCTAGAAGGAACCATCATGAAGTCCAAAGGGCAAGTCCTATCCCACAGATGCACCGCAGAATGTCGCTAATCAAAGGACCAGTATATGCCATGAATTTGCCAGGTCCGGGACCTGCAGGTTCAAAAAGTGCAAATACCTTCACGAGAAAAGCTCTCGCGTGCCGCAGAATATCGACAGGAAGGAGCAACCCAAATCAAAGTCTGCGATACTATCGGATTCAGAGAAAGAACTTCGTGCTTGGCAAAGAAATATCCCACGAGATACCGAGAGCGTACGGCCACTCCGTGGAAAACTCGCTGCATTCTTCCAGGAAGCACGTCGTTTGATCGAGATCGACGTCGGATCGCTACAAAGCGTGATCAAATGCCTTTCTCAAGAAGGTGGTCTACGGCGTGTCCATGAGCTTATCGATCAGGACTTCGATCTCATGTTGATTCCATCTAGAAAAGAGGAAGTCTTCAAGACTCAGATCCTTCCCTTCTTTGAGATAGTCTCCCATCCCAATGTTCTATCGTCCTTGATCATAGAACAATCACTTGGTACTATCTATAACTTTCTATATGGAATTGAGGGAACCAGGGCTTCGACTTTGTTCAAGTACGTTGGTGATGTCTTGGCAAATGCGACAGTGGATGAAGACTATGTGGCACGATTCGAAGTATCCGTCCATGTGTTTTCTCGAATCGTGGACTTGAACTCGAACGCGTTCATACATGAAACTCTGAAGACGCAGGCTACGAGGATTGAAGAAATATTGCTCTCTCTAAACCAATCTAGGCGTTCTCTCAATCTTCATTATGCGACTGTCTACTTGAAACGACTCCTTGACCGATTTGGAATCGGAACACGCTTGCCATCGGCCCTTGCAGCAGACGAAGGGAATAAGAATCAAAGACAGAAGGGTAACAGAAAAGTCCCATCTTTCATTCTTCAGCGCGAGCCACCGGGTGGTCGCCACGACAATGACCACATGGACATATGCGATATTCGTATATTGCCGAGCTATCAAGAAATATCCAGTACCCGCCAGGAGTATTTACCCGTTACTGATCCATCGCAATGGCACGTTGATGGTGTAGACGGCCTCCTGGACCGGAACTTTCGCCTACTGCGAGAAGATACTGTTGGACAACTTCGAGATGCAATCCACCAAGAAATTCACCGGCCCCTTCACACTACTAAGATACAGAGGAAGACTCAACAGCGCACCTATGTATATCATGACGCGCGAATCAATCAGTTCTCCTGGGATCAGATCTCAGGTCTTCGTTTCCAGGTAGTCTTTCCACAACCCGTGAACGTGCGCAATTTACCACAGCGGGAGCTCGAGGCTTGGTGGAAAATGTCTAAACGACTACAGTATGGTGCTCTTGTCTGTTTGATGCTGAAGGATCAATTCATCGTTTTCTGCACCGTCACCGAATCTCGAGGATCCGCACCTCACAATGGAACACAGAAGACACAAACGCAAGAACAGACTGTGAGTACGATACTCTGGAACAACGTACCAATGGCTTCGGTGATGCTGGAGCTTGTCGACAAAAGGGCAAACATTTTTCAGGCAATCCTTGACCAGTACACATCTACGGCACCTCCTTTCGCTCTTATTGAATTTCCTGGTGTCCTCCTTCCTGCGTTCGAGCCAACACTTCGTGCGCTTCAAAGTATAAAAAAGGCCAGAAATCTTGCTCTCTCGGAGCTCCTTGTATTTACCGGTGAAAATTCTACCATTGAAGCAGTTTCTTTGGCTCCACCGGTCTATGCCTTGAAGCCTGGATTCGCTTTTAACCTACGCTGTTTGACTAATACCGAAACGGACTTCCTAGTCTATCCTGATCAGCCAGCAGATACCTCATATCTGCAACAACATTCCAGTCTTGATGATTCTCAGGCTGCAGCTTTAGTCTCCAGCCTCCAGCGTCGCATCGGGTTGATTCAAGGCCCTCCCGGGACTGGGAAGAGCTATACGGGTGTAGCCCTCATTAAGACGCTGCTAGCAAACCGACATGGTGGAACTCACCTTGGACCAATTATATGCGTCACATATACCAACCATGCTCTTGACCAGTTGCTCGAGGCTCTCATAGACAAAGGTGTCACGTCCAATATTGTCCGTATCGGATCCCAGTCTAAATCAGAGAGGCTAGCGAAATACAATATACGGACTATTTCGCGTGGAGTTGAGAGGACTCGGATGGAAAAAGCTCAGCAGTGGGACTTGCACCGAAAGTTAGAAGAAATCGAGGAAGACTTCAACAGACTCCGTCTCAAAAAGAAGATTTCTGGTGCCCGTCTGAAGTATCATCTTCACAACGAACATTCATATCATTATAGGAACCTATTTGGACTGGATGAAGATGGATTTCGTGAGGCTCGCAATGATGAAAATCCAGGTGCCAACATCAACAAGTGGCTACATGGAGGCGCACGGGGAAGTCCGATCATTCGCCCTCTGGAACAACTGGAGTCATTGAACCTTTTTCACATATCTCGTGACGAGCGCCAGGCCTTGTATAATCACTGGATTGGAGAGATCAGAGAAAACTTACATGATCAGGTGGTTCAGCTTTCCTCAGATCACTGCAATGCAAAGGCTGAGTTTGACGGCGTTCGCGACGAACTAAACCTGCGATGTCTGAATCAAGCGGATATCATTGGCCTCACTACCACGGGTCTAGCACGTAACATGAATATGCTGCGAAGGCTTCAGAGTAAAGTCATGCTATGCGAAGAGGCTGGAGAGGTTCTGGAAGCACATCTGCTGACGGCTTTATTGCCGTCTATAGAACATCTGATCCTCATCGGTGATCATCTCCAGTTACCCCCCAAGGCTCAGAATTATGATTTGTCACGAGAGAACCCTCATGGAGGCGAGCAATACTCGCTAGATGTCTCATTGTTCGAGCGCCTAGTAATGCCAACTGATGTCATGGGCTCGGGTCTCCCTTTTAGCACATTGGAAACCCAACGTCGTATGCACCCGTCCATTGCCCAATTAATTCGGGATACTCTTTACCCGAAGTTGAGCGACGCTCCATCTGTTTCGGAATACCCTGAAGTTATCGGCGTCAAAAAGAGGCTATTTTGGCTTGACCACAGGAATCTCGAGATGGACGCGTCAAATATCGATGCTATGGCGACGTCCCATTGGAATCAGTACGAGATTGACATGACTACGGGGCTAGTGAACCATTTAATTCGCCAGGGCACATACAAAAGCACTGATATAGCTGTCCTGACCCCATATCTTGGACAGCTTCACAGACTCCGGCAGAGGCTTGGTCAGTCATTTGCAATCACACTCGGTGAACGGGACCAGGACGAGCTCGAAAAGTCCGGATTTGAAGGAGAGAACAGTGCAGCAGCTCCAGCCATGAGAACTACATTACTTCAAGCCCTTAGGATCGCCACCGTGGACAACTTTCAAGGGGAAGAAGCCAAAGTGGTTGTCATTACGCTAGTCAGAAGCAACCCCCAAAACCGATGCGGCTTCCTGCGCACTTCAAATAGGATCAACGTACTGCTCTCCCGAGCACAGCATGGAATGTACATCATTGGGAACTCACTAACTTATGCCCACGTTCCAATGTGGTCCAATGTGGTTGACATCCTCCGTCAAAGCGGCAATATCGGTACGATGCTAGAACTACAGTGTCCTCGACACCCAGAAACACCAATTTCCGTATCTCGCCCAGATGATTTTCCACGAGTTTCACCCGAGGGAGGTTGTGACCTTCGATGTGTTCACCGTCTGTCATGTGGTCATGCCTGTCTGCAAAAGTGCCATTCTGACAATTTGCACAATGCGGTCTACTGTCTGGAGCCCTGCCAACGACCACTTAAGGGATGTGCTCATGGGTGTCCCAAGAAGTGTGGTGATCCTTGCCCATCGAAATGCACAGCCAATGTCTTCAAAAAAGACAGAATACTCGGATGCGGTCACTCAATGCAGAACCTGCCATGTTGGCAAAGCCAGGACCTGTCTACCGTGCGTTGCACAGTGCTTGTCGAGAAAGAAGTACCTACTTGCCATCATACTGCCAGTATTCCTTGCCACGTTGATGTCGCATCACTTGGATATTCCTGCAAAATGCAATGTCGTCAGTTATTACCATGTGGCCACAGTTGCCAGAACCGATGTATGGACTGCATTACCAAGGACGCAGCTGGTAATGTTCAGATTAACCATGGCATCTGCAAACACCAATGTGGTCGAAATCAATCCACATGTGCACATGTGTGTACTACACCATGCCACGGTGATAGCCCATGCCCTCCTTGCGAACTACCATGCGATGTACACTGCGGCCATTCCAAGTGTATGCGAAAGTGCTATGAACCATGTGCTCCTTGTGCCGAAGAAAGGTGCCTTTCTACCTGCCCACACAGCACGTGCACGATGCCTTGTGCCGCACCCTGTGATCACGTTCCATGCTCGCGTCGATGTGAGAAACTACTTGCATGTTGGCATCAATGTCCATCTGTTTGCGGGGAAGCCTGTGTAACCCCTGCCTATTGCCAGATATGTGCCAGTGAGGATGTTCAAAACCAGGTGGTTGATTTCATCCTTGGAGAGACCTACAAAGAGATAAACCTGGACGAAAACCCATGCATCTTCCCCAAATGTGGTCATTTCCTCACCATGGAGAACATGGATGCGCTGATGGAACTGAGGCGACATTATAAAGTTGACGCTGATGGGAAACCCATTGCCATTTCATCCACATCAGATCCATTCTCCATGGAAGATATCAAGAGGTGTGCACATTGTCGTGGTCCACTAAGAGATATCGCCCGATACGGTCGCCTCGTGCGTCGTGCTCTTTTAGACGAGTCCACGAAGAAGCTGATTGTCTCGATGAATAGAGAATATGTGCCTCTTGCACAGGAAGTCTCACAGCAGATACAATTACTCCAAGACACGAATATTGGTGAAAGGAAACTTCCTTGGCCCAAGTCCATCCAAATCAGAGGTACACGCAGTGAGCAGTGTAAGAAGATGAGGCAAATCATGAATCAACTAGTCCCAGGAAGGTGGAAGGCAATCCTCGATGTCCGCGGACGTATTCATGATTACTGTAATCGTGTCGCTTTGGAGGAGCAACCTTTGATCCGAGTTTATAACATGGTTGAGTATGCACGGCGTCGCAATATCACGTCCAGATCGTTCGAGTTTGACAACAATATGCTACAAACGAAGGGTCTGTTACAGGGGACCGCACTCAGCCTCCGCGTGGACATTGCTTTGCTCTCAGATCTGTTGACGTTGAAACAGCGGACCTCTGGGGCTGATTATCAGGCTAAAGTTGAAATTTCTTTAGAAGAATCGATGACAGACTGTCGAAACTTAATACGTACGGCAGAGAATTCACAACGCGTCCCTCAGCAAGTCGAGGGCCATATCTTCCTCGCACAGCTCCACGCTCTAGAGCGTTCTCATGCTACATCTGCTGCTGCCGGGGAGGAGCATTTCAAGCATTGCCGGGCAGCTCTGGATCAAGCACGATTGCTTTGTGATTCCCATCCTGGACAAGCAAAAGGGCTGTCAGAAGAAGTCGAAGGAGTCGAAAAGATGCTTACCGGTTCCACATTCTATACGACTGTCACGAGCGAAGAGCGAATGGCGGTTGTTCAGGCCATGGCCAGGGAGTTCAGCGGCACTGGACACTGGTACTATTGCCGCAATGGACATCCTTTCACCATTGGGGAGTGTGGAGCTGCCATGCAAAGGGCCGCATGCCCAGAATGCGGTGCACCCGTAGGGGGCCAACACCATCAAGCTGCTGAAGGAGTAACGCACGCGTCGGATATGGAGAGGGAGTTCGCCCGGATGAATTTGTAATCCACAACTTTACATGCAGGAAATATGTTTGAGTTTGATCACGATGTTAGTATTGAGTCAGTTAGAAGCTTCAACCCAGTTCATTAAGTTGAGCATAAAAGCATACATCCACTCTTCCGTTGTTGCCCGTTTGGAATAGAAAGTAAGCACACGATCTGTGTTCAACCTGTAGACCAGACTAGGATGTGAGCTCTATGTAACTCATGTAACTCACTCGACTTTGGATGTTAGCTGATCCTACGTAGGCTGATACTGTAAGGGGGCAGCGCTACTAAGACGGTTACCGTTGATATACTCTTTAGTAGGAATAATCCCGCCACTTTTGCATTTATCCTATGGCATTGACCCATTTAAAAAATATAAAGAAGAAAATATCCTAATCTCTCAGGTGTTCGGCAAACCACAGAAGAGCCTGGATGAAAGCCGCCTCTTTAGCATAGCGGACGACGCTCTTACTTAGATCTCCACGGACCGCGAAGCTAGAAGAAATCAGCACGTTATAAACCACACACACGGGAATACAATAAAGAGGACGTGTAACCAAGTACTTACCCATGCGCGACGCCGCTATAGAGACTGAGATGATAAGGCAGCCCGGTCTCTTTCAAGATTTGTTCACTCTCATGACGTTTCTCCGGGGGGAAGATCGCATCTGTTTCTGCAGCTGCGATTGACAATGGTCCCTTGATATTGCGCAGCTCTTCTGCCTCGAGATAACTCGGATGTGCGGTATAGCCCGCATCCACCTTGCCGGGCTTGAGATGTCGCGCGACGTATTTACCACCAAAGCAGTAGCCAACTGCGCCAATTTTCTTATCAACACAATGAGTGGTTAGCTCTGCAATTTACTGTCTCACACCACAAGATTACTTTAATGCACATACCTTGATTCCGTATTTGGACCGTAGCGCAGTCACGCAAGCATCAACAATCGGATCGACGGTCTCTGGCGTATGGGCAATGCCCTTAGGATGGTATTTCCCGTTGCGCCATCCCTGCATGTCGAAATCCCCTGGACGATTCAGCGGGATGGGGTCGTTGTAAAATAGGTCAGGGACCATCACAACTAGTGGTGATAGTCAGCTCTCGCTTCTCAGCTTGGGGATATTGTGCAGGATACGTACAATAGCCGTTTTCAGCAAATGCATCAGCAATAAGTTGAGCATTGATGAATCTGTGTCCAATCACGTCGGTCAAACTATAGGATGTTCAGCATCAGTGTCTCTAGGTATATCCGAGTTTGCTATGAGCGCGGGGTGTCTACATCAAAATGCCCTTGTCTGTGTCCTTGTTTTCGGGGCTGATGGTATAGATTTCAATGTCGACGAGTTTACTCAGCGTTCCCTTTGCGGTGCCTTCATGCTTGACACCTTGATAGCAACAGAGTCCCGGAGGAAGAGAGGTCATGGCTGCGATGGTTTAGAATAGGTAGAGAAAGACCGAGGAAGATTGCAACTTAGATGGAAGCAGTGGGAGCTAAAGTGATTGTGAAATCCTGGACTAGTGTTTATATCGTCAATGATATGTGATGATTGCACAATTCTTTGTTCTCTGCGATGTAAACTTCGGAGGTCCGATGCTACCCCGCGGACGGAGATAAAATCTATCAGGAGTAACATCGGCCGACATCGCCGAAACTGGATAGTTATCGTTATGTATTACGCGTGTGTTATTATGTTGAACTCTCATTTTTGACTATTTACAAGGATTTAAATGATTCTTCAGTGGCGATGGTTCATAGTTGGATATCCGGAGGCTAATTCCATCTGATGGTCATACCTGAGGTGCGAATACAGATGAGACATAAGAAAGTCGAACTATAAGAGGATCAACCTAACATTGCTTCAATATCATTACTACTATATCATCCAGAATATCATTAAGAAATCATTCAGAATGACAAAGAAGCTACCTCTGACCTTTGCCTGCGGATCGTATGACCGGACAGACGACCTCGCGAAAGGAGAAATACAACCAGCTGGGATTGATCTGAACTACATCTCAATCGACCATCCCCGAGATATATTCGATCGCATGATCGGCGGGAAGGAGTTTGATGTCTCGGAAATGTCCTTATCGGAATATATCTGTCGGTATGCCGATGGAGAGCGAGATCTGATCGCCATTCCTGTCTTCCCTTCAAGAGCATTTCGACATGGCTACATTACCATCAACACCGATCTGGTCCAGAAACCAACTGATCTGAATGGAAAACGCATCGGGGTTCAACTCTATACTATGACTGCTGCTGTGTGGATTAGAGCCGCGCTGGCTGATGCTGGTGTTGACTTGTCCACCATCACATGGGTAGAGGGTGCATTCGACAAGCCAGGACCTCACGGAAAGGTCACGCCAAAGCCTTTACTTCGTCCTGTGAATAGGATAAAAAACGAAAGTGGGAAGTCTCTCAGTCAATGCCTTCAGGATGGTGATGTCGCCGCTACCATTGGTGCTGAGACGCCTCCGTGCTTCGGGAAGGCCCCAAACATCCGACGCTTGTTTCCTGATACTAGGGAAACAATGAAGAGTTATTTTCGACAAACTGGGATTTACCCAATCATGCATGTTGTCGTGATCAAGAAGGAAGTCGTTGACAGATGGCCATTCGTCGCGACTAGCATGTTCAATGCATTGGACGACTCGAAAATCCTTGCCTTGCATCGCATGAAGTTCGGCGGCACGAATAAATACATGCTACCTTTCTTGCAGTCGGATCTGGAGGAGATAGAACAATTGTTTGGAGGAGATCCTTGGCCTTATGGCATTGAGAAAAACAGGAAGACTTTAGAGGCTGCTGTATCGTATCTTTATGAACAGGCAATGATCTCGAGGAAGATCCCAATCGAGGAACTATTTGCTCCTATCAATGGTCGTAATTTGAAGGTTTGATCTTTTTTCAATAATCACTCTTTTCTGGTCTATCACATCGAAGGTTCTATGAAGTATTCTACAGGCTATATATCTTATTATAAAGAATCGACAGAATAATGCGGCATCTTGCGGGAAATGTTGCTATCGCTTCATGAAAGCGACCGTCATCCAGTAGTTGTATGTTTTCTAGTTAGTTGATGAAGTAGCCCCATTCGCCGCCTTCTTCTCTTTAATCCTCCTCTCCTCTCGTTCACTATATCGATCCGCAAAAAGATCTAGATGCGGCCTCATCAAAATCGTATATTTGACAAATTCCTCCATGCAATCCACCAGTCGATCCCTGTTTCCGCTAGGCATAAGCCGTTGATCACCAGGTTGTCCTTCATCGGGGAAATGTGTGTATGCCTTCGGAATTGAAGACTGGTTCGGGATGGTAAACATCCTCATCCACCTCCCGAGGATACGTAATGAGTTGACCGCATTGAATGATTGCGATCCGCCGCACACTTGCGCGATTGCAAGGGTCCTGCCCTGCGTTGGGCGAACACTGCCGGTACTGAGTGGAATCCAGTCGATTTGGTTCTTGAATACCGCGGTCTTTTATATAAATAGAGTGTAAGCGTGAGATTCATCAAGCGTGAGATTCATAGTTGGAAATGGAGAAAAAGAATCACTAACCAAGTTACCATGCTGTTCAGGAGAAACCCAAACATGTCCATCACTCCATACACTCAACTCCCTGAGCTCTTGCACCTTAGGATGATTATGCTCTCTATCATTCTTCACTGGCAACCCTTCCGGATCGAAAACGCGCACATCACAACCTAGCCGGAATAGTATCCGCGAAGCTTCATACGCAACAAGACGCGAATATGATCTCTTGCGAAGACTTCCATATAACACGAGGACTTTCAGTCTCTGATTCGTATTCCGCAGATCTTTCTCCGCCATGTCCAGCACGGTGGTTAATTCTAGGTCGTTAACCCAACAACCCTCGGCTCCGCTGTCCTCTTCGAGGATGAACGGACGATATTTCTGACGGATATCGCGGTCATCGTCCTTTTCTGATATTGCGAGAGATCGATATGTTTTCTCGCTTCCAGCGGTATATCCCATGGTTGTAAGAGAATATCTGTGGCGTGGTCTTGGTAAAGCCGGACGGGTGTTGAGTCTCAGGGATGCTCTGAGACCAGAATACATGAGTAAAGACCGCACACCTCTTGAAATCCAATCCCCAGATATACAGAAATTGAAATGTTTGAGGAAGCTATATTTTTGATATATATACAAAGAGAGATCAATAGCTCGCACGCAACATAGCCATGTCACTAGGAGATCCTGATTGGTCCCGCATAACCAAAAGTAGCAGGCTAAGCCACAAGGTAGAGGCGGATGTGGACGGCAAAAGAAAAACCCGCGATCTAATCGGATCGATAACCAATAAAAACATCATGGTGGCAAGATTTGCTGGTCACCGAATGAGGCTTTCTGCTAATGGATTCTCTGTGGACCTGCAATGATTAGTGATTTTATATGTCTAGATCCTCGTCGAGATTGAGGAGGATCATTTTCAGTGCTGCTGGCAACATCGAATTTTGATGGCAATAATAATGTCGGCTTATCCAACACTCCAGAACAGCAGACGTAGTCATTCAGTCTCTCCCTTCAGCTCTTTTCCTTGCGGGTTTTTGCCTTCTCGGGGATAGCAGGAGATTCAGATCTCAGTGCCTTCTGCATAGCTTCCTTAACCACATCCTCTTTGATGGCCACTTCCAGGAGAAGCTCATCGCGTTCCCAAATGAGCTCGACCGCAGCGGCCACCGGGCCAGCCAGCAGTGCAAGATTAACCAATTTCACTACCAAGGAAGTCCACCCGACCTTCCCCAGGATCTTCTTGTGCGCCGAAACATACATGCTGATCGCCCACAGCAGAACTCCTACGGAGCCAATCAGCCAGTCCCACTGCAAGAAGATGTGTACACCTTCAGTAACAGACTGAACACGAAGCGTGGAATATTTCCAAGGGAATGTCAGGCCAAAGACCGCATTGTGGTGCAACGCAGCCGCGTACTTCTCGCTAAAGAGGACGGGGACAAGGCTAGCAGATAGAGAAAGCACCACACTAGCGACGTAGGTGACGGATGCACTGGCAAATGCAAAGAAGTATACTCTGCGGAAGGCTCGTCGCAGCACTATGGGAGAGTTGGCCTTCTCCTTGGATGCGAAGGGCGACAGCACCACATAGACGGTGGTGAGCAGGACGGCAACGTAGATAGGCCATGGCTGCCAGATCGCAACGACGAGTTGCTTCTGGTCATAGGAAAGGAATTGCGGGGTTGGAAGGACCATCAGTAAGGAAGGTACATGATACGCAATGAGGAAAACGAGCGGGATCGCATTAAGAATCACTGGCGGAACAGCGATCGCGCGAGCAGAAGGTGCTCCGACAATTGGAGACAGCCACAGTTGAAAAGAAAAATACAATGGCGTTGCGAAGGCGTATGTGGCCAGTTGAGCAAGAACGCCATCAATTGACGAACTGTATTTTCCTCTCCCGTTAGACAGGGCCATGTTGATCCACAGAGGCATAATGGGAGGCTTACAGAGATATTATTGACCAGCTGTTAGCGTTTCTCCATGACTCCAGAACAACCAGGACCCAGGCAGCGCCCAGAGAGCCTGAAAAGTTGATTGCCTGCAGGGTCAAGGACGGGTTGCTGCCATCGAATACAGTCCAAAAGAATGCCCCCAGGAGAGTCAAGGTACTGTCAACAGCTTCTATACCCGCATAGATCGTCCTTAAAGGCTCCTTTGTGCCCGGCAGTGTCTTGGCGAGTATCGACTGGTCAACAAGCTCAAAGAGGCCATTGTCGCGTGAGAAAATCCATATCGCGTAGACGGCAAACGCGCTCAGGGCTGGCAGGATGTATTTTACAATTCTCATGGTGCAACCGTGCTATCGCTGGTGGTCTATCCCAGGAAGTTGGAACAAGCTTTAGAGGATGATATTCCAGTTTCCAGCACAGCTTAACTCTGCATCCAATTCGACGGGTCTTGGAGTTGAAACACGCTGCCAATTAAGTATGTGGGCGCAGAATTGTTTGGGTACAGCCACGGTGAAATCCTTTATCATTTCTCCATGTGATGCGTCTGCAGCTAAGATCGGGCCGAGGTGTACTTAGAACAAGGCGGCAACTGTGATGATACTCTTCCGCCATTTTGCATGCGGACTGACTAAAGCCTTGCAGCCCATGATCTGGAGGACACTGGTTGAATGTCTCATTTGCTCGGCAATCGACTTCTTTCCATCCCATGTGAAGACTTCGATAGCGATATACGCGGTTCCCCTCGATTTCAATAAATTGATATATTAATTCGGTAATTTAATCGTCGTCGATACGCGGAAGGCGTTTACGCATATGGACTGGATTAGTACTTAGGTTACTGCAATGTAAAGCGGCATGTTCTCAGTTGTTAGTAATGATCTGACAGTTGTGGCTTTTTATTCAATGGCACAAACCCGTAGGGAGAATTGAAGTATTGTTTACCACTGGTGGTTCTCTCTCTCTCTCTCTCTCTCTCTATACCCTACCTTGCTACTGCTGTATACTTTTGAGAAGTACCATATAGTTGACGAGTAGTTTCCCTGCTGATTGGTCGATAAGCGGTCCACAGGGTGAGGGTCTCATATTGTTTGATTTGATCTCCTTTCCATCCTGTTCGTTCAGTTGTGTTAGTTATAGATGGTCCAGGAACGCAAGAAACATGTGTAAGCAATTGCATGACCAAAGAAATGGAAGTAGGGTGTGTTCGGTCTGTTCAGTGATGGCGGCGAAACACAAGACGACGCTGAATTAGCTGCCAGCTAAACAGAGCATTGTTCCGGTATCTTGGTCCTGTTATTCTCCGATGCGTCCCCGGACTGGACCATCCTGGCTAAGGAACAAAGAGGCTCATAGATAAGGCGCAGTGATCCTTCTTAATCGGTTCTCTGCAGGGTCCCTGGAACTGTTCTGTACTGGTGCCCAGCTCGATAACGAACCTCCACGATCGACAGCTTTCCTGGAGGTAAGTAAGCTCCGGTTTGGGGGTGAGATATGTGAGCGTTGCCCAAACAGGCGTTAGCAAGAGACAACGAGCGCATCCTAGTGGCGAGTGACAGCAGCTAAGACGGCTCTAGATTAGAGAGATGGAGATTAGTGTCGCCTGTGGGAGACTTGGACGACGACAGCAGAATGCGGTCAACGATCAGCACGTCCGGTACGGATTCGTCCATCCCACGGTTCAGACGGACGAGGATTGGATGCTGGACCGGCCGTTCGACCATTTCCTATTGCGGCGTCAGAATAATTAATAACCAGAAGGGAAAGCAGAAAAGAAATCGTAGTGGCGCCCGCCAGAAAAACTTGTGCGCCGTGGGAAACTCGGCGCCTGACAGGCGACGCTCCGCGGTGCGCAGAACTTTGGCGTCCGAAGTCCCGTTCGAGCTCCGCGAAAGAAAGTCTCCCGCTGCAACCCAGAGATCTCCAGCTCTTAAGCTCTCAAGCTACTTACCACAAGCTCTAACCAGCAAGCTCTGCGGCTCTAAGTCAGAACTGAAACGGACGACTCTCGAGCTTCACCTGGATTTCGTCTTGATGGTCCAACCGTGACGTCTCGAAAGTCGCTTCATCGCATGTCATCGATCGGCCTGCCAGCGCGCACGACTTCACCGCGAGAGGGCATATAAAGCAGTCTGCCCGTGTGCCCCTCCGTCCCTGGTTCCTTACTCCTGCAAACCATGTACGCTGTCGAGCAAGACAGGTCCCATCCGGTTCTTACTCCACCACCACAGCTCTCTATGGATCGCATCCCTCCGCCGTCCTCAGCGTATCCTACGCCGGGGTCCGGGGGTCCGTTGCGATCGTCCGACCATCTCGCTCCGGTCTCGACGATACACGATGGCCGTATCTGGTCTCTACAGGTGGTGCAACAGCCCATCCGGGCGCGCATGTGCGGTTTTGGCGACAAGGTCCGTTTCGAAGCAGACAGGGGTAGTTGGAATGGCGTTGGGAGCTCGACTAACGGAGATGCTGTAGGATCGAAGACCGATCACACCCCCGCCATGTATCCGTCTGATCGTTCGAGATGCGCAGACAGAGAAGGAGATTGATATCAAGTAAGGAACATTCCGGGACATGACGCCGGTGGTTGTCTCCAGTGGGAATGGGAAATGGGAAACTAACAGGCCTTGTTCTCGCAGTGAGATCGATACATCCTTCTACGTCCTCACGGTCGACTTGTGGAATGCAGAAGGCACACGAGAAGTGAACCTCGTCCGACACTCTGCGACATCACCCTCGATCTCGACAGCGACCTCCTCTTCGTATCCTCCTCCGCCACAGAATATGTCACCCACCTATCCTCCGTACCCGCAAAATCCATACAGCCAGCCGATGGGCTATCCGCCTATGAACAGCTACTACCCGCAGAACGGACAGTTGACATATCAGAATCCTTACGGAGCCAACCCTCAGGCGGCCTACTATCCTCAATATTACCCTGGCGGCCATATGCCACCCGCAGGCCTGTCGCCTGCCACGGCACAGCAGCCAATGTCCGCTGGGCCTGGTGGCATGTTCACGCGAAACCTCATCGGCAGTCTCAGCGCCAGCGCCTTCCGTTTGACTGACCCGGACAACAAGATTGGCGTCTGGTTCATTTTGCAGGATCTCAGTGTGCGAACAGAGGGCACTTTCCGGTATGTCTGCCTTACAGCTACATTTGCAGTCCCCTTTAACTAGAACTTGTTACTTACGGAGGGAAAAAAAAAAATTAGACTGAAAATGAACTTCGCCAACGTCGGAACGCAATCAGCAGATTCAAACGGCACGCCTGTGCTGAACCACGGCTCTGCCCCGGTTCTCGCGTCTGTCTTCTCTGAACCCTTCCAGGTTTTCTCCGCCAAGAAATTCCCTGGAGTCATTGAGAGCACGCCTCTGAGCAAGTGCTTCGCCCTGCAAGGCATCAAGATCCCCATCCGGAAAGACGGAGTGAAGGGGTCACGAGGACGGGGAGGCGATGGCGACGATGATGGGGACGATTACGATTAGGCTGGAGATGTTAGCTGCGGATGGGGATGTGAAATGACAATGGAAATGTGGAAAACCACAAAAGCAGAGCCCGGTGGAGTCAACATGAGATATCCTTTTCATTTGCAGTGCGTCGGGGTTTCTTTTGGATTCGGGTTCATTTCGGGATCGGGGTTCGGCGGGTATTATTGTTGTTTCCCTTCTCTGGTCGGGTATGCAACGGACGGATTGTATTGCTACGAGTCGGGGCCTATGGTTTAATAGGGTGCTTTTTGTACGGAGCAACGGTGGTTTATATACTTGGAAACGGAACGCATTTTTAGAACCAACCCTCTTCTGGTGGCCTCTGCAGGATCATCCTTGTATCGCGTCGACGTTTTATATATCCAGGCTTAACTATATCTTCGCTCTTATGGTTAGAACAGAAAAGGAGGCTCCTACCCTTACGGACCATGGAAAGAGCTTTCTAGGTACAGTAATCTCGCGAGGATACCCTGGTTCCAACGTCATGATGCCCCTGCGACGACAACTGGTTCTGGTTCTGTCGGGGCCACATCTTGGTCCGCAAGTTTTGATACCGTGGGACGAGAGAGATGATGAAACAACAATGAGGTTGGCCATGATTTGCCTAGATGATCGTCGTGTTAAATAACTTAATTATCGCTATAGAGAAAGATACATGAAATATATCTCCGCAGCATAAAAACAACCTCCATGATCAGCCATATCACTTTAACACTACTCGTGCATACTTATCTATCAGTATCTACTTACACAGTACTAGAAACCCATCAACTACAGAACTAACACATACAATCCTCAATAATAATAAGCCAGCCCCTATCCGGAAAATCCTTCCCCAGACCTATTGCACCCACCTCAAAGACACCACCCCCCTGCGCGCAGACTCAGAGAATGCTAATAACGTCGAATTATCCACATGTTCTACGGAGCGCTCTAGATTTTTGTGCCCGCGTGTTAAAGCAGATTTTTTTTTCTTCCACGGATGCGTTGGGAAGTTTACCCGCGGATATACTGTAAGTATGGGTATGGTAGGATCTGCGGTGCCGCATGCGGAAAGGACGGAATCTTTCTTGTTAAGGTCGGGTGATTTATGCGATGCCAACAATTATGATCTATCTATTTACTAGAGGAGGAGTATCAGATGGTAGTAATTATTATCTTCGATTCGAACATGTCTGGGAGTTATAATGTAATGCCCCTGCCAAGACTTAATTCGAAAATTAATGTATAAAAAGTCTGATATGTATCCTGATATTCTGCCGAGCATCCGAGGGATTTCTGTATTGGGATATCAAGTATTATTATTATGATTAATTTATGCTAAGCAGCCCATTAAAAGCTTCATACTTAGTCCGTATTATATTATTATCTCCACTGTGGGGTGGCGCGGCGGTAATTACCCAATGTATTATTACAACGAGTATGTATGGCATTCTGGATATATATATATACCTTGGCAGTCAAGCATAAACAAGGTCGCACATGGCTGACACAGCTGATATCATACTGTCTCTAATACGATAGATCGAGAGATACATATACAGTACAGTCCATTATGTGGCGTACTTCAGGCATCGGAAACTAGAACTGGCAATACGTAATGGCTACGTGCCTCAGGAGAACGAAAAGGAAGCGCATCCGAGATGCGGATTAGAGGTATAAAGAAAGTCGCAAATAAGAAGGAGAGAAGAGCAGGGGGGTTTAATTGGGGAGAATCTCATATTGTCTCGTGTATCTATCTTTTTCAGACGCCGGTAATTCCATCGGGACCCTATACTCGCTATCATGAGGCCGATAGGGATATATGATTTTATCATCGTTGGCGGTTAGTACCATAAAGAATGAATATTTATATAGAGTAGTTATTTATTTTGTGCGATTGCTTATATACTCATGTGTGTTGCAGGTGGTACGGCTGGGCTTCTGGTTGCCGGTCGACTCGCTTCCAATCCACGGGTCAAAGTACTTGTTATTGAAGCTGGAGCAGGGTAAATATTATCATCACACGTAGAGCCCGTACTGGCTAAGTGAAACAATATCTGACAGCAACTCTAGTGATCCAGAAAGTGTTGAGATGATAACTACACCCGCCCTGGCCTTCCATCTTCGCGAAACAGAATATGACTGGGCCTATGAAACTACATTGATTGACAAGCCTGGATACAAACGTGTGGAGGCAGCTAATACCCGCGGCAAAGTGCTTGGTGGAAGCAGCTGCTTGAATTATTATACTTGGTTGCGCGGCAGTGCCTCGACTTACGACGACTGGGTTGAGTTTGGCGGCGAAGCATGGAGCTGGAACAATTGCTCCCAGTCATTTATTACGGTGAGTTTATAACATCTTGCTTCTACTTTCCGAATTACTTTCCCTTCATCTTCAAAAAGTCATGCTATTTTCTCTGACAAAGCGATATATCGTAACAGCCTGTTACTTTCCATGACCGCCAAAGGATATTAGACAGTCCTCCTGTGAATGCTGCCGCGAATACAGAAGATTCACTACTCCAAATTGGCCCTGCAACTCCAATTCCTCTGGCAGAGCTACTCACGTCTGCATGGAAAAGCAGAGGGTACCCGGTCACGAATGATATATTCAATGGCAATGTGGATGGGATGACACATGTCATACGAACAATCCATAACGGCCAACGGTCGACGAGTAACTGTTTTATCAAGGGCTTACCGAACGTCGAGATCCTTTCAAAAAGTCATGCAGAACGTATTATTATCAAAGATGGTTCTGCCGAAGGAGTATTGGTGCATACACCCCGAGGCCCGGAATACTATAAAGCGGACGCGGAGGTGGTTGTATCATGTGGAGTATTCGAGTCTCCCAAGTTGCTCATGCTATCCGGCGTCGGTCCACTTGATCACTTATCCTCGCACGGACTGCCTTGTATCGTCGACTCAGAACATGTCGGACAGCATCTGCAGGATCATCCCGTTGTGCCGCATGTTTTTCAAGTCAAGGAGGAATATTCCATGGATAGGGTCTTGAGACCAGGGCCCGAACATGAACAGGCGCTGGAACTGTATCGGGAAACGAAGACTGGTCCGTTTTCAAGCGGGTTATTGGAAATGAGCGCTTTTGCAAGGATTGATCATAGACTGGAGACATGTAAGGAATGGAGACACGCTCGTGAAAGCGTTAGAGCAGATCCATTGGGGCCTGGAGGACAACCACATCTGGAGTTTGACTTCTTGGTAAGGATTCCCTTCTTTCCTTCCTTCAGTGCTTTTTGTTAACTATGAACGAACTAACCTGGAAATACCTATCCAAGCCATGCTTTGCGCAACCATTCCAGCCACACATACCGTCTCCAGAAACTGGCGGTCATCTCACGGTCGTTGTATCGCTTCTTCGACCACAATCCCGCGGAACAGTGAAGCTTCGATCAGGCAATGCCGCGGATCAGCCTGAGATATGTCTGAACTACCTCTCCGACCCAGTTGATATTATTGGTCTTCGAGAAGGGATCCGATTCATCGATGAGGTCCTTCTGAAAGGCGACGAAACCAAAGACCTCATTATTGGAGAATATCCGAACTCCCTTCCCCGTGAATCCGATGAAGAAATGGATCGGGCCATTCACGAACGAGTTACAACTGGCTATCGTATGGTGCTATTTCATACATAATAATTACCAAACATTGCTAACTATGTCAACAGATCCATGTGGAACTTGCCGTATTGGGAAAACAATATCCCAAGGGGTGGTCGATCCCCATCTCCGTGTCCATGGTATCGATCGCCTGCGGGTGATTGACGCGTCGGTATTCCCTATTATTCCTGACGGTAGGATTCAAAATGCTGTATATATGGTTGCTGAGAAGGTGTGTTGGTCGTCGCTGAGAATGGAGTTGTATTGGCTGACATTGTCAGGGTGCGCACATGATCAAGCAAGATTATCAGCAATGGTGGCCACAACTACACCAGCCCTGGTCGCTCACAGGGACACTGAGAGGTTGCAAGGAGAGAGCTGAGAGGATATGGTCGTTATCATGGAAGATTGTAGGGGAGAATAGAGAGGTGTTGAGACAAGCTTGGAATGAATAGTAGGAATCGATATATTCTCTATTCTTGCAGTTTAATATGTAGATAGCATTGACTGAGAAGTGAGTCTCGTATATGTTCACTTAACGCTTGACATTTAAGTCTGGATATGATTTCTACATGTACATAAAACATGTCATGGCGGATTATCCAAGGATCAAATAGGCACGTCATGGTCCTTTGCCAGACTGTGCTTTTGAATTCACCAGCAGGTCCTCCAGAACATTGAAAACGAAAACAACAAATAGGAACCACGCGTAGTCATGCTATTCAATCCAAAAAAGATCCCGAAATTCTGTGCACCAACGCCTGTAAGGTAGTAACGCCTGGCCATAAATCGTATATACTATAAGTGGAAGAGGGCCACTGAAGAAGAATAATTCCCCTCTGGTGTTCATCCAATATAAGCCCCACCGGGCCCAAAGAAATTGTATGGCGGGTTCCCTGATCCGTTAATCGCATCATACAAGTCAAAGGCCGAGGGGGCGAAAGGAGATCTGTTATTGTACATATCGGCGTCAAGATCTGTCATGAACGCTGACATTTGAGTGGGTTCGGTGAGAACTGGCCAGGTACCCAGTGCTTCGCATGTTGGCACTGACACCTGGGTGATGTCCAGATTCGCTGCTGAGGAGGTTCCCGATTCTGGTGAGATGACATGCACATTCAGACCTGCTTTGAGTTCACCTATGAGGGCCTGTGGGAACACGTATTAGCTGAATTGACAAGCCTACGACTAGAAACAGGATTGTCGAAGGGACAGGACAAACCATCAGGATGTTTAAGCACTCCCGGAAGGGCTGGCTACTGCTGGTAATCTCAACCAGAACATTTGTCCCCTTTTCAGCAGCATCGAGTTTCTCATATGCTTTGGGATCTCGTCTGTTCGCTAATACGCTCATCAACAGCGTCATCACCGCCGTGAAAGTAACGGAAGGAAGAAACCAATAACAACCCGCAAGAAGACCTTGGGACTGTAACTGCACCGCAAGTGATACCTCTTGCATGGCCGCCTTGATGCATGCCATCGCACAGGCAAAGGAATGGATCTGCGAGCTATTCTCCCCGGAACTGGGTTTGCGAATATGATGCAAGAACGGAAGGTAGAGGGCCATTTGCACACGGCAATGCGCTATGAGGAGCAATATCTCGGCTCGTCTGAGGAGTAATTGAGCAAAATGCACAATAGTTCGAAACAGGATTGCAGCTTACCGTATATCATCATTCGGTACTCTCAGGTACTGCATGCGGCTAACTTCGGAAAACCAAGTTTCCAATTCCTTTTCGATGCTCAGTACCACCTGGTAGTTGACCCGAAACGTGTTCTCGGATACGAAGGAATATTCGTCGACCGGGTAGATACACTTCAAGATCCGTTCCTGGATCATAGTAAGTCGAGTGTGTGCATTGGCAGCCGTCAATAATGCCTTTTCCTTAAGGAGGTTCTCTCGACTTTCTCGAGAATTGCTCCGCGATGAGAGATCGTCTTCCACTTCGCTGGGAAGATCCAGGTCCGTTATGTCCTCGTCCACTAGCCTCGGGAGACCGAGAATACAAGTCAGATAGACATCCAAGGTCCAAAGAGTCCAGAATGAACGCTTCAAAACTTCTTTGGCAATAGGGTCCTCCGTTCCTTCAATGCAGTGCGTCTCGCGCACTCGTCGCATCGCAGCAACACCAGCGCTGACAAAGTCGCGACAGGTCAGAGCCATCGATCTCGACTGTAGGTAAATGGCGATAGTCAAAATCGCTTGTAGTGAGGAGATGTCTCTGCACACGGCGAAATCTAGTAATTGTCGAGCGAGTCTGAAATACTCCTCGCTGAACAGGGAAAAGAAAAGAATAAGAAATCAGCTATTTAGTTCATGATACATCGATCTTGGACAGTCAGCGCACCTTCGGTCTTCACCACCACTAAATAGCTCACCTAGCGCGCAAAGACTAATGAGAAGAGGCAGCTCCTTATCCTCAGTCACGCTTATTCCGTTTGCCGAGTCTTCGTAGAGTCGGTCGATGGCTCGATCGCAGGAGGGTCGATGAATGAACGTGAGAAGGCAGAATGCATTTTCCACAGCAATACTGACGAGCTCCTTTGCTCTGCTCTTCGTCGGTAGTACACCCGTGTCAGACATTATGCGGTTTCCCAGATGGAACGGAGAGATGGACCGATGCCACCCGAAGGCTTCCCGCAAATCCATCTGAAGCAATATTTGTTGTAGCGAGTTGGTGAGCATCTGACTGCAACGGTCTCTGATAGTACAGAGCAGGGCCAGACGTCCGCAATGGCTGTGGTAAGTATTGCACCATGCTCCGCCTCCTTTCCGACACCCTCCTCGTTCAATCATTGTGTCCAGGAATATCCCGCGACCACCATCCCCATTTGCTAACGACCGGAGGGTTCCGCTGACTTCTTCGGTGCTCCATCGCGTGTTGCGAGTGACTTCCTCGAGCAGTTGTTCTGGGTTCTTCTCGCTGATCAGACGGTCCACGTCAATCGAGGGCCAGACGGTGCGGAAAATCGTCTTGAGGTAGAATAGTTGGGTTTCTAGATGTTCGATGTACTCTGGGCGCGAACGTCTCCTTGAAGATTCGTAATAGGAACAGTCTGCACGGGAGTACGCCTAGGTATTAGAAGAGAACAACAGCTGAACCTCGGAAAAGGGCAACAATTGGACTCACCGAGACCGCGTAGATCGCATGGCCGGCACGGACTCTCACCATCGCACTTCCACTTCTTCAGTCGACACCGGTCGCATGCTCTTCTGACACGCTTCGCAACCGTTCGTTTTGCTTTGTCAGTGGGATCAAGGGCGGCGGATTGGTCTGCTGGCGTCGAGTCCTTCGATATCGCGCTCTGCATCTTCGTTTTAAAGAATTAGATATGTTTGCCAAGAAGATGACGGTTGACAAGGGGAAGATCTTATGGCGGGGGCCGTTGTTCCAGCTATTATCCGCATTCTTGGGACAATTCTCGTTCACGTCACGGTCCATCTCTCCAATAATGGTTACGCTAGGAGAACGATAACGGCGGCTTCCAACGACGCTACAGGGGCGCTATTCGAAGCCGATGCGGGTCTGGAGAGATACATTAGCCTGGATGTTCATCTTCCTTGGCGTACGGGGTTTCGGCTTCCTTTAGAAAAAGCCCAGTGGACCGGCTAAACAGCAATTGCTATTGTCTATTGGACTGATTGAGCCTTGAGTTCGGACCTAAATCATCTTCACTTTCTTACCCCGCGCCACCGATTGTCATGGTTAAGTTTCAATATGATGAAATACGCGCGCGAGGAGTTCGCCTAGGTCTTGCTCTGGCATGGTTGAACCTGTATTGTGCATGGAGTATCATGGTCACTTGCAGAATCTCATCTTTCCCTATCGTTTTGGATTTGCTGCGGACGGAAATCGCGGAAGCAGGCTTGATTTTCCATGGCATTTGCTTCGGACAGGGAGAGCATCATGGCAGCGTTTCTGTTAGAATGTCATTATATGGAACGTCATAAATAATCTAACGTACTCTTCGCTTGTCTTAATTTGGTATACATGCATTTTAAGTATCCCTATTGAAGCTGAGTATCTTGGCGTAATTATCTCCCCTGAAACTCGCGCTAACAATCGCAATGATCAAGTCAAGTATGTACTGGAACGACTTTCTGGGACCGAACTGCTTGCTTCTTGCGCCGTCATGTATGTACTCTGTTACCGACACGCATTGGCTGCAAGAGGTACCCGCTAACAAGAATACAAACACAGGTCTACGGAGTAGGAACGCTCGAGAATCTGTCGAACGGGAACGGCCTTCCTATGTACTCCGTAGATATAATACGACCCACCTGGCGTATTGACTATGGATAGGCTAGGTCACATCGCGGCTGGCTTCTTGCTTGGATTCAACTGCTGCTGAACTCGACTATCAGGTCTGCAATGTCCCCGGGTCTCTCTTCGACCGGGTAATGACCTGCATTGCTGAGCCAGATGCCACTTGGGGCCCAGTCGACCATGAGGTCGGCGTTGATTGTCTGGGTGAGAATATGCTTGTAGTCTTTGAGCAGTGGATCATCCTCCCCAAACACCACGACCACTCTGAACGGTGCTTCACTGCCAGCGCTACGCCGCGCTTTCATATCTCCGTTGCGCCAGAACTGTCTCACTTCGTCTCCCCGCGCCGACAGGCTCGTCTGAGCATTGAGACTGCTGAAGTGGATTGGTCCACATAGTCCCTCACCCAGTTTCCAGAGCCATGTCTCGCGGAGGGAACGAAGCACGAACTCGGGCATGCCGGGTGCTATATGTGCGAAACGGAACACCCCTGCCTTGCTGTTGAGGGGAAAATCCCTGTAGGGCGCTTCATAGCCTTCGATCTCCTTCTGGGGGAGATGTGGAGACATGAAACGCATAACTCCAGACTCGGGCAAGTAGCCATCCATGATGCCGGTAGACATAAACCAGATTGCGTATAAAAGGCCATAATGCAGGCTCATGTCACTTGGACGAGGCGGCAGGAAGGCGTTGAGCAAGAACAGACCACGGCAAGCATTTGCTCGAAGATGCGGCAGGGTACAGAGCGCGATACATCTTGTGTGTAGTGAGCATGACATTAGCAGATGAGAAGGTGGAAACGGGTATCAAAGTTGACTCACCCACCCCAGTCATGTGCAACAAGTGTAGCATCCTCAAGGCCTGTAGATTCGAACAATTCGATCAGAGTCCTCATGTGTAACTCGAAACTGATGCACGTCTGTCGAGTAATTTTGTCACTCCTGCCGTGACCAATCCAATCTAGGGCAAAGACCTCGTGTCCTTGTTCGACCAGTTTTGGCATGACCTGTATGATCGCAATTTACCAGGGGTTTAGAAAAAAAAAATAATAATTGCTTCGTTTGTCGCTTCCCTTCCAGGAGGCCTCGCTAAGAATGGGAGATGAAACTTACATTTCGCCAAATATAACTCCAGCTGGGATTTCCATGAAGAAGCACGATCGGGCTTTTTCTCTCGTATTCGCCATGAACGCCGTTATTCTCCGGTTTTATATGGATGTACCGGGCTGTTGCACCGCAAACCGATATCTCTTCAATATTATTTGCAAACGGCATGTCACTCAATGAGCCTTTTCCGTTTCGATGCAATCTCAATACCACATCTTCGGGGAATACATAACGGGTGTTAAATTGTGACTGAGCCTGTAACTGTTCCTGTGCTCGGTACTTCTCCGTATCATTGATCAAAAGACGACAACCGGCAACGATCATAAAGCGAAAGGTATTGATGAAAATGCATGGGACCGATCGCAATACCACTCTCGTCATATAGAGAGGAAGTAGGAGTAAGGCCACTATCAAGCGAATAATGGTAAAGGACATCATGAACCTGCTGAGGCTGCCCCAGCGCTTCAGCAGCATGTCCTCGATTGACATGAGTGACTTCGTGCATTTATTGTATTGTAGTGACATTGTTGAGATGTACGATGCTAGATAACTCCGTATGCAAGAGGCGCTATGTAACGTTTATAATAAACCGGTTCGTGGGGCGTCAGCTTTTGGTGCAAGGACACTGAGGGAGGTAAAAGTAAGGAACAAGGACGAGACAACATAGATAAATGATGAAAGGGACCCAACCAATGACCACGCGCCAATCAACTAAAAGCGACTAAATGGAAACTATCTGGCCATGTGATTGTCTCAATGTTGGGATATTAGACCGGGGGTTGTTGACATCATTATATACGTCTTGTGAATACCTAGTTGAGCCTAATAATTGAGCTACAATATTTTCTCCACTAGATGAGAAATAGGAAAACAGGGAACAGTGGATTCGAATTCTCCCTATCTATTCTAATTTTTAATAATTATTGAAGGTCTCTCCGGAGTGAACTTTGTCCTCAAGAATGTTTCGCATTAACTGGAATAACTCGGTAAGGTTATGTAGTTCTCCATGGGACGGTTGAGAGTCGTTGAAGGTAGATATTTGATCGATGGATTAATCACCCATTCCTGGTGGTGTATCTCAGGTTTCGAAGAAGCGTCATAGGCTGGGAGTTGCAAATGATCAATCACCACTTCAGATGTCCATGGACTATTACCTTCGCCCAAAAACGAAGCCCATTTGGTAGTCTGGGCACCAACACATTGCCGATCTTCAGCATCGAAGCGGATTCTATCATCGCTGCGCCTTGATGAGAGCGCTGGGGCAGGATTGCGATCAAATGCAAACTTCACACATCTCGTCGCAGACTTGACTAAGCGTGAAAAAGCTGTCCCAGATACTGATTTTTGAAGGAGTTCGGGAGAATTATAATTCCTGACAGAGACGGCGCGAGGGCTATATCTGTCTTCTGGGAATACTTGGAGCTGTGTGACTTTCGACTGGACGGGAATCCGAGATGCCTTCTTCAAAGCAGGCTTCTTGGGAAGATTCGCTGATAATGTGGTATTCCATCGTGAGTGATGAGATGGACTTCTCGGTCGTGATGGAATGCTCCTTTGCCACGGGCCATATAGCCAGGTAATATCACTGTCCTTATCCCTGGATAATAGGCATCAGCGACTAACTTACTATGCCTCTTTTCATGTCTGATGACTACTTACCAATTGATCCTCCTGGGAGACACTGTGCCTGCAGGGCAATCTTTCTTGTTCCATGCTCTCCACAGAGCATTCTCTAACCTAACTGAACTTTCCAGAGCTATACGTTTCCTTCGAATATACCGCCTCGTTAACCAAAGATCTTCATCTGACCATGGATGAGCCAGGTAATCAGCGTTCAGCGAGGGCTCCTCCTCCAGTACACTGTCATCCCGGATGGAAGTTGGCATCATTCCTTGACGTGAAGCTGAAGAACGAAACGGAAAACAAACAGGTGAAGTAACCGGCTCAGATATAACTTCTGGAAATGAGTATTAATGACAAGAAAACGGCAGGCTTATCTTCGTCGACATCCAGGGCATATCACCAGCTTCAAGTTGGACGGCCAATGGTAAGAAGGTCGAGTGTATCCGAAGGTTTAGGGCTTTTGTCGCTGACCATACACTATAGTTGAAGCAATGATAAAAAAATAATTGATGTCAATCTCTTCCCCAGTGTGGAGCGTGCCTCTCCATGGATGCCAATATAAGCGCTTACGGTCAGACAGCAAGCCAGCGGGGAACGTCCGGAAGCATCGCAATAATGACAAGCAGCCAGACCAATTACAATAGAATCCAGGTGACGATATCCTCATCCGGTACGAGTTAACAGGTAAGTGGGAGAAAATGCACGGGAGATAGCAGCTTATTGTGTAAAGTGACGGCCGAGGTTCCGAATCCGGTTCACGTCACCTAGGATATCAGATCCGTCAGGATCGGCGGGCCGGAAAGTGGACATTCCTCGATCGACGATGCTTGCTTCCACGAAAGTTCTCGCTTATCTAGAACTGTCGCATAATTCATGGCACTTAGGTCAATGAATCGTCCGAAAAGAGACGACGTCTTCGAATCGTTTGCTGCATTTCGAGGTCATTGATGGCGCCCACTTTTTGTCCCACGATATGAAGTGCGAGAAACCCCAAGGAGAGTCCATTTAACCCTTGCAACATACTACAGAATGTGGCGTCAGCGCTGTGCCTATTCCACTACATCAGCAAGCCAGTTAGCATTGAGAATAAACGCCGTTTCCAAGGCGCCAACAGCCGAAACATCCGCGGAACTTTTTACCGTCATCTCGAGCCCTATGGTATTATCTCTTAAGAAAAATTCAGACAAATCAAGTTGCTGCGATCAACATAGCATCCATATCATACTACCATGCTTTCGAAGTGGGGTCTATCTCCAGGGCAAAGACGTATGGAAAAACAGACGAGCCCGAACAGCCAGAGATAGTGGAATCAGATATCATAGGGAAAACTACCTGCTTCTTCTACATATCTCCATGTAGTCTTAGGTACTTCTACATTCAAGACGTATCTATATGATAATCTTGCCGGTTGTACCGCGGACTTTCGACACCAGAAATGGATCTAGCCACCATGCATTAGACGTCTAGTATCACCATACGGCGGATATTCCACTTACTTTCGCATTGAGACAGGTGTCAATGCGTATTTCGACAGGTTATCTGACTGCCCGACAGTGGCATGAAAGTTTCGACTTCAGCACAACACGAATTCGGTGATCCAGTGTACTAAGTGTTGTACAAGGGTAAAATCAGGCCTGGACCGCAGTCCGTTGTTCAGGTTCATGCTGATACATTGCAAGGTTCTCCATTTCCAAGCTTGTTGGATCCACAGTCGAACGGTCCAGACTAAGGAACGAAGTACTTATTACTTCTACTACGTGATTTCCGTCAGTGGGCGAGAGTGTACATCAACAATCTTTCTACGGCCAGCATGCATCAGATGGAATCGATAGTTCAATTTTCGCAGCAAGAGACAGGAATATCGGCGGGCACTTTCCTTGAAAAGGATCGAACAAACATTCACGCTGCCGAAATCCAGCATTATGTTCCAAGTCCGCTGTCCGAAGAAGAGCCCGAAACAATAGAGAAACTCCAAACCGGATACATGCTTTCCGATCTCAGGCAAGAACCTCTGCATTTCTCGGAGTATTGCAATTACTGATCTCTTCTAGCAATATTGACAAGCGTCATGCTAGCCCCTTTGAATTGGCGGCACATATACTCCATGCTTTAAGTGCCATTCTGAGTCTTGCGGGAACGATTGTCTTCTGTCTATGGCCACTTACTCTGCCGTTGATGCTATTTTATATCTTCTGGATACTGAAATCGAATGATGGATGTTCCGGAAACCTCTGGCGTCGAAGCGAGAACGTCCGTCGTTCACGCATCTTGAGGGCCTTTGCATCCTACTTTCCGTGCAAGCTGCGCCGCACCACTTTGCTATCTCCAAGACGCAAATATATATTCGCGTATCATCCCCACGGCATAATCTGTCATGGTGCTTTCGCAGCATTTGCAACCGAGGCGTTAGGCTTTTCCAAGCTATTTCCAGGAATTACCAACGCACTCCTCACACTGGACACAAACTTCAAGGTCCCATTCTATCGGGAGTATATCCTGTCCACCGGTCTCGGAGGAGTGTCGCGCAGCTCCTGCAGGCGCTTGCTATCATCTGGCGGCCACGACGGCAACGGAGCTGGCCGTGCAATAACAATTGCGGTTGGGGGAGCGCGCGAATCCCTCCTCGCGAAGCCAGGCACAATGCGAATCATCATTCGAGGACGCAAAGGCTTTGTGAAGCTCGCTGTAGAACAAGGGGCCGACCTCGTTCCTGTTCTCGGGTTCGGTGAGAACGACCTATATGACCAAGTCGAAGCCGATCACTATCCTTCAATCAAGCGACTGCAATCAATACTGAAGCAGTCCTTGGGGTGGACATTGCCGATATTCTACGGACGCAGTATTTTGGGTGGCGGTCGCGGCTTTTTGCCTTATCAGAAGCCCGTTAATGTAGTTGTTGGGGAGCCAGTGAACGTTGTGCGTCAAGAAGAACCTGATCCTGAGTATGTTGATCATGTCCATCAAGTCTACATGGATGAGTTACGACGCCTGTGGGACAAATGGAAGGATATATATGCGAAGGACAGAAAGGGAGAATTGGAGTTTCTGTGACTTGTGGAACGCAACGATATTGAGTGTATGAAGGAAAGCGGCAGACGCCGAGGGACATAGAACTGTTTTGTGACATTCCTATTCTAGCATGAATAAAAGTCTCGACAGATAGTATAAATGGCAGTCGATTCGTGCTTGCTATGGAGCAGTCCATTACCTCTCGGTGTACTTTCTCTTTTGTCAAGAAAGTTGTCCTATAGCCACAAAAAAAGAAAAGAAAAAAAAACCTCCGAGGGAGATTCTCCGAATACAAGCCTAAACTGGTTTCGCAGGTGGATGACCGACACCTCAAAAAAACGGGAAGATAGATACATAGAGTGGTCAGCGATATCAGTGCAAAGGAATGGTTAGAGGATATATCCATGGAATCACCGACGGATCCATAGGCCTCGTTTCACTAAGTTTGAATCAGTTACTTCTCATGAATATCCAAGATTTCTTTTTCAGACCATATCAGATGTCGTAAATCTAAAGTGTGGACGATTATTCTACTCTAGTGCTGTGACATCACATCGCTGCTCTGTGGGCCGGGAAGTTCGGAGGATCTATCAAGTTGATGCTTGGCCAACATCCTGTTCTTGAATACACGAGAAGCTGGTTCCAGCCCCGGATCCTTATCCTCCAATCTATACCAAGTAATTAATCGGAACGTCCCAACTCTAGTAAGCAGATATGGGTACCGTGTGCATCAAATGCGAATTGGAAGCTCCCAGGTACAGCACACTCCACAAAATCACAGCTCCCACACTGGGGTTCGATCGGGTGTCTCGGGCTAGTTACTACGGTTTAGTTACATGTTCAATAATGTGAAAGTGACATGCCTTATCGAAGGATGTGCGTTTTGCACAAATGACGTCGCCATGTTTTAAATTTTGAATAAGTATAAGAAAGCTGGCCTGGGGAATCGATGCGCCCTACCATGGTTTCAGGCTCACAATCTCCGGTCCATTGATTCATTTCGGAACTGCAAGATGGGCCTCTTAAACTATATTATATCGTTGGTCTACCAAGTGATCCAGTTTTTTGTTTCAAAGTTCTTCTCCCCTACTCCTCCAGCACCTCGGAGAAGGATCAGTAATGCGCGCCGTGTTGCTGTTATTGGCGCAGGGATTACTGGTGTTTCGTCTGCTGCACATTGTGTTGGTCATGGATTCGAGGTCACAATCTTTGAAGCAAAGGGGAGAGATCATCTGGGGGGTATCTGGAGTGTGAGTTCATCTGAAGAATTATTATAGGGATCAAGAGCTAATGGGATATCGTTTACAGCAAGTAAACCCGACATCATCTTTACAAATCCATAGCCTCATGTACCGCTTCCATCCTTCTGTGAGGTTCAAGAATGACTATCCCCACCGCGACGCCATCATCAGAGAGGTCACGGATTTGTGGAAGAGATATAGACTTGATGAGCGGACTGAGTTCGAGGTTCCGGTCCAATCTGCCTGGAAAGATGAAAAGACTGGGAGATGGATTGTCCAAGATCCTTCCTATGGCTATTTTGACGGCGTTATCGCTGCTGTCGGTACTTGCGGAGACCCTAAAGCACCACATATACCTGGCCAAGAGAATTTTTCAGGCCAGATCTACCACTCCTCTCAACTCGCGGGTAAGGATGTGAGAGGCAAAAACGTCATTGTCGTCGGAGGTGGTTCTAGTGCTGTTGAGGCCGTTGAGTTTGCAGTACAAAATGGCGCAGCGCAGACGACAATATTGGCTAGGGTATGTATATTATCATGACCTGTCAAATGGAGAGAACTTTCAAGCGCTGACATGTCACCATAGTCTAATAAATGGGTCATACCACGAAACCCACTTATTGACGCTCTGCTGTCTCTTAACATTTTTGGCGAAGAAACCGAGTTTGCTTGGGTGCCCGAAATACTGTTGAAGCAATTCTTCTACCGAGATTTGGAAGACCTGATCCCCACTGGAAGAGGCCTGTACACAGATACGCCCATGGTCAACAATGACATCTTGGAAGAGGTGCGTAAAGGGAAGGTTAAGTGGCTGCGCGGTGACATCAAAGAGTTCGCGGAATCGGGACTCGTTTTCAACCATCGCGCCAAAGGTGTTCCTAAAGGCGGACCCGGAGAGGAAATTACCGTGAAGGGCGATATCTGCATCATGGCTACAGGTTTTCATAGACCCAGTCTGGGATTTCTGCCAGGTGATGCCTTCAAGGAACCTTACAAGCCGCCGAACTGGTTTCTCCAAACCTTTCCAGTTGGCCATACAGATATTTGTGCCAACAACTGCACGTACATCAATGGGATCGGCACCGTGGGCAATATTCACATAGGCCTGTATACGAGGTTGCTTTTGATATTTCTGGTGGATCCAAAGACACGTCCATCGACACCCTGGATGCGCATCTGGGTCGACTGGACGCGGATGTGCAAACGGGCTGCTCCAGGTGGCGCACTCGAGTTCTTTACCTACAGCGAACTCATATGGTGGATAATATTCAATATATTCTCGAACCCGTGGAGATGGAGATGGGTCTTCTTTGTCCTATGGGGATGGGGAAGTATCCCAGCCAATAATGCTGGAAGGGAAAATTTGATCATCAATGGCAGCACCAAATCCGGGTCCAACGGCCAAGGATCTAAGCCTGGTAGCTCTGATAATGAGAAGCATTCCGAAACCGACAACAAGCCAACCTATTCCGCTGCTCTGGCATCGAATATGCCGAAAGGGCAACCAAGGATGAAGAATCTGAAAGAAGAGCCGCCATTCGCGGATACTCAGAGTCAGGAAGGTCGTGAAGAGAAGCAAGAAGCAGCAAAGAAAGACGCCTAATCACTCCGAATCCTTCTGCTCAGAAAATGCCAAAATCAGGATCTAGTCTACATCAAGGTGGTTGTCTAAGAACATACTGCCGATTGGGGCTATATCTAAAATCCCATCATCGAAGGGAACAGCAGTGGGCGATTATGGATAGCTCGAATGGGAAGGATTTTTCGGTCTGAAATGCATTGTAAAATAATTCGACAGATGAAGGCCTATATCAATGTAATGAGAGGATTTTGTGACAGTACGACGTTGTAGTCCATAGATACAACGCTCCACTGCTTCTCGTAGCATCTATTGGAGAAGTTAAGGCACTGGAGCTCCTCTGACATGCTAAGGAGAAAACAAGACAAGTTACAGTTTTCAAAAGAAAGATCACATTAAGAATAGCAAAAAGCCCCTGCGCGTCTAAACATATTGTCGTATTTCGGGCTGGATCTCGGTCCAGCGATCCATAAGTTCATCCCACAATCTCCGCTGGAGCTCAACGCCCCTCTTGCTGCAAAGGATATATGGTGGTGCACGTATCTCCGAATCACTCAAATATTGACCGTGTGACTCTCTCCCTACACAGGCAGCATGCACTAACGTTCTGCTTCCAACCTCCGCGGTGCGCGCTAAAAGGGTCTTGATTATATAGGTAGGCGTGGGCAACTCCCGGAGAAGATTCGAGTGGCATAGTCCGGGATTGACATAATTGACCACGACTTCGTCGTGGTCTTGATGTCTCGCAAAATACTCGCGGACTATCATAGCAGCCATGACTTTACTGATATGGTACCTCCTCAACATGTAGGCTGTCCTCTTCTCTCGAAGCGCCCCCAGGATATTGGGTGCTTCCAGCTCCGTGAGTGAGGTATGGAAGATGACCTCGCTGCAGACGAACGACAAATGAGCAACGGTCCCATGATTTCGTGATGTTTTCTTCAGGCTCGGCAACAACATAAAGGCGAGGAGGAAAGTGTTGATCACATTGACAGTTATAGTGGTCTCGTCCCTATCGACTAGTCTGAAAGTCGGAGTTGCCACAGCAGCGTTACATACAACTGCATCTAATCTGTCAAGACAATTTGCCCTGTTCACAAAGTTCTTGACAGAGTCGGATGAACTAAGCTCCAGACCCCAGCACTCGACAACATCGTGGCGCCCAGTGATTGATTCAATTATCCTTCGCGCCTGCTTGCCTTTCTCGTCATCTCGTGCAGTGATGATTACTCGCTGGGCCCCTAATCGCACGAAGTGTGTTGCTGCTTCCAATCCAATCCCTCCACTGGAACCGGTAACAACTACTGTTTTCCCAGTCCAGTAGATGATGGGATAAGGAGGCTCGACGAATAATTGTCTGTAGAGGAACAAAAGACCAAAATAAAAACTGCTGAAGTATGAGAAGATCCAAGAAAGGAGCGTATTTGGTTCAGGACCATGCCCCAGGAACTTGGTAGACATTGTGAATGGATAGATCATATAAGAAATGATTTTGCCCAGGACAGACTGTCTCAAAGATGTAGACAGTTTCAAGTCGATATTCGTACCAAAGCCTGGGGGTTCAGCAATCGATGCTTTACATTTTATCGCAGCGATAGTGACTATCTACCCTTGACCCTGGCATTGGTTACTGACGAATACTATCGTGCCTATATCATACCTTCGGAAGAGCATCCGAAGTTCGAGAAAATGTTGGTTACCAACTTGGAAGGCTTCAAATATGATGTCAGCATGATCTTGTCCCGTCTGTACTTGTTTTCCTCTGGCGGGCTGAAGCAGATTCTCCAGCAAGATAATGATATTTGTCGCCATGCGTGGACAGAGCGCACTGAGGCAAAGGCCTATAACTCCGCCAGGAACCCGCTAGGGAGTCTCCGGGACTTTCTGCATTAGACAGTAGTGTAGCTCCCTAGTGACCTTGCCTCCGAATAATACAGTCCCTCAAGTTTAGTTTCTATTTGTTGATTCACTCATATCGCACTGTAGCTATTTCATCCGATGCTAATAGCGCTGAAATCTCTTCCGACAGACTTTAGCAGCCTGTGAGTGCCGCCCCTTGTCACATTTATAGAGGATCGATGGCCCACAATGCACATCATCCCTGCAATAACAATCCATCGAGCTTGCACAACCAGGGTAATAGCTATATTCAGACTCCTCCATAACCTTACGAAACAGCGGCGGTACAAAAATTCCTCGAGGGTCCTGTTGACGTGCCGTGTCCAGGAAGTTTTCCAGTTCAGGATACTTGTCTTTCATAGGACATTCAGGGTGAAGAAAGGCTCGTTGTGGATTCTTGCCCCAGTGCGCTCGGGCGCCGTATTTACAGAATGTAATCTGCTCTATCTCGTCCAAAATGTCTTGGTGGTGGGCAGGAAGACCTGCAAGGCCCTTCGAGACAAGCATGTCTATGTAGACCGTGTCTCTCCCGTAGGCCATGTCGAGTGGGGCGTCCGAACCTTTTCCAAACCGCATGGCGAAACCTAGGAGCGATGGCAGACATCCTTGATGAGGGATAAGATCAGTGATCGCGCGGACTTCTCGAATCCAGTCTCCGAGGTACCGGACATCCATATCAAACTCAATCAGAATCTGCACTTGATTCTGCCAGTAGCATCCCGAGAGACGACCCCTACAGCTAGAGCCCCCTAGGCGATGTGGCCACCCGATAATGCTTTGATTAAATATCTTCCAGTGTCCAATCTCACCTTCCTTGTACCAGAATGGAGGAGGACGCTGCTCAAAAAAGCAAATTCCCCAGTCGGTGGGCAGCGGCGTGAAGTTGATCTGATCGATAGCGAGCGAGAACTTTCCACCAATAGCAGCCCACGGACGGTGTTCGAAGAAGCTGTGAAAAGCATCCCCTGGGGTATCAGGAGGCACAGATGTATGCCATCGGACAATGGCCGTACGTGCATTGGGATACCACATCACTCGTGCAAACGAGAGTTCCCTCACAAGCATGGCAATTCTTTCTGGAAGTCGTCGATCTGATTCCTTAACCACCTGTAGTAAGAAATGTTAATAAAGCATTGTGGGAAATAGGTACTTTTTGCGACTCACAGTGGTGTTAAGCTTGTACATTTCCGTCCCTTGGATCTCAATCTCAGTGACAATCCCTAAAAGACCCATAGTCCCTATCCACCTTGTTGGATTATCTTCTTCGCGCACTTCGCCTCGACCGTCCACGTAGGTTATTCGTGATATTGCGTGTCCGAACGCCGATGGTCTTTCGGTGGAACTGCCATGGGCGCCCGTTAAGAACATTCCCCCGACTGTAAGTCCCGTAAAGATCGGTATATAGTCCGAAGGCATGCTCATTCCCAATTCGTGCATAGTGTCCATGAGGTGGTCCATCTCCATTGACGGCTGTACAGTGATCGTTTTCCGCCCTTTGTCCCATGATAGCACGTCACTCATGCGAGACATATCAAGTTGCATAGCACAATCCCCAGCTTTGACATTAACGCATGGAAACTTCACAGTACTATGGTAGAGTTGCCTTGAGGCACGAATGCTGAGCTGATCGCTACCTTCTTTGGATCCTAGAGCGATCGGGCATCTGTCAAGGCCACTCTTAACGATCGATGCAACATCTATGGTGGTTTCCGGCATATAAAGTTCTCCGCCGTGAGGTGGACATTTTCGAGGATACCATGCGCTCTTGATGACATTAGGTAGATCCCCCCGGCCAAATGTAATAGACGGTGCTCCCATCCAGTCGTACAAATAGATCAACAGGAGTCCCACCAATGTCATGATAAAAGTGAGACGAAACAGGGCCTTGAAAGCATTCCCCACCAGCCTGATAAGCAAAGGCGGTTTCCGCTTTTTTGATCCCCAGAAACCATCGCCACCGAGACCCCAGCCTTGGGACCATCCTGTTCCTCGAGACCGTTCCTGGGCTATTCTCCAGAAGAGTGACCCCTGCGAGTATCTTCCTGTAAGCGAAAGTAAATACTAAGAAGGCGATTTTCGTTTCAAAGCATATAACCTACATCATATAGCTGGCGGAGATCTTCCTTCTGGACTTTGCCATTTCTCTGGAGCAGTATCCAAGTGGTTCCGAATTCGAAGAAAGCAGCAGACCACTATTCAACGTCAGCCAGCTTTTCACGGTTATCAATTGCGTGATAGAAAACAACATACCCCATAAGGATCGACGGCACATCGGTTACCACTCATCAGATTAAATATCTGCTTAAGAGAGAGATCGTTGGCACCAGGGCTGCTGAATTTCGCGAACAGATTCTCAAAACTTTGAGCTACAAACCGCCCTTCGTGGTCATAGACGTTGCTATCTGATGCATGCTAGTCCGATAAAAGAAACCGTAGCAAGTCAGCGCATCAGCTTCTGGTATCAACACGACATAAGAATAGACTTTTGTAACACCTACTTTGGCTTTATGAATACTGTCCAGGTAGACTCGGAAGAATGGGTCTGGAATCACGCTATGCGCGAGGCGTGTCGGATAGGAGAAACCACCATTGATGACCATTATCGCGAATATAGAAAAGGGAATATTAAAGCCGAGCTCTCGGAAGCCTCGATAGGTATCCAAGGGCCAAATGATGCCATCTCCATCCCGGTCCCAGAAAATCACATGTTGCTGTAACACGCTCTACACGTTTCATCTAGTATTAGCGAGTGTGCTGCAAGGTATCAAGGCACGGCAGATTCCTGATGACATACATAATCTTTGAACTTCTCGTAGTGAGGTCCTTTAGAACCGCAAGGGTTCTCATTCGACACCGCAAGATTGGCTCGAGCGACTCCTGCTTTAGGTACTCCTCTTGGTGCATCAATTTCCATCATTAGATGTCTTGGACTGAAAGTAGATGCGACGCAATACACGGTTTCTGTCTGCGCTATATAGGGTAGAATGAATGGCACTGTAACAAACTCACTCTCCATGTGCACTAGCCCCCTTTAGAGCAGATATCAAGTTTCTCTCCTTGAAATCTGGTCTGTTGTAAGCTTACATAGCCTCGGGTCCGATCTGGCGGCAGAAAACTTGCAAGGTAGCAATGCGGATGGGGATCCGAGATGTCGTTGAGCATTGTTGATATCATGTTGGGGAATAAGTATCGACTTTCTGATAAAACATTTGATTTCACGTGTCACCACCTTCCGAGATTTCCACAGACCCCTGCACTTTCACTCGAAAAGATCCAGATCAGCTGCAACATAGCCAGGGAAATCCATCTCAACAAAGCCACCCTGCAAATGCCTCTGGGTTTCCTTACCAATAATGTCCCCATGGTTTCGAACTGTCCCACCAAATATCGTATCGAGACTACATAATGTAGCCCACTGGACTTGCATTCTCTAAATACGGTCCCGGATTGCTGTCCAGGTCTTCCGCACTGAATTCGACGCCCAAAAGGAGTACGTATCTATCTAAATGGGAGAAACGCTTAATATTGCTGTGAGAAGTTAACATGCATTTAGACAGAGAACCTTGCCAATAATCCCCTTGCCTTCGGGTAATTACTTCCTTTTCCACTATGCAGAACGGCAATTCAGCCTTCGAAATCGCAGTTCCCAAAGCGACAGTAACACAGTCCAGACTGTTAGCAGTTGATATCGACAACCACGTTAATCTTCCTACAGGGGCGCGCGGAAACCTGGGACCATCTATAGATAGTCCGCGAGGTTCCCCAAAAGACTCGCATAAGTACGAAGATTATGTGAGTTCTGGACTGGTGTATCCTGCTTTTCCCCCTTCAAGACTGAAACGTCACTAACATTACCAATTGCGAGGTTAGACACTTCTGCAGCAACACGTACTCTTCTGGGACCGGGATAACGATGGCCAGATTACACCCATCGATACATATATCGGCTTTAGGGAACTAGGGTTTAATATCATATTCTCTCTCCTGGCAGTTCTGGTCATAAATCTCAATTTTTCATATCCGACCAGGCTTGCGTATTCGTGGTTCCCTGATCCTTTCTTCAGAGTCTATGTGCCTAGTATCCACAAGGCAAAGGTTAGCGAGAATACACCACGACAAAGCACTTTTTTTTAACTCTCGATTTGCTCCTCAGCACGGTTCAGACAGCGGCGCAATTGATAACGAGGGACGTTTCGTTTCGCAGGCATTTGAGAATATCTTTGCCAAGTACGACAGGGAAAATCGCGGTTGCTTGAGTCTTGCCGACATCTTTCGCATGATGAAAGGGCAGAGAGTCGCTGCTGACCCGTTTGGTGTAAGTGACCGACTACGTTATGTCCTGAGGACCACCCCCTCAACCAAAAGAAAAAAAAAAAATTAAAAAGACACATACCATATAGTGGGGAGCAGCCTTCTTCGAATGGGGGACAACCTGGCTATTGCTTCAGAAAGGTGGAATGGTCTACAAGGAAGACCTGAGACAGGTCTATGACGTGAGTAGTAAGGTCTTTCTATCCAATTCGTAACTAATTGCTTTCCTGTAGGGGTCACTATTCTGGAAGATTCGCGACAAGCGATTAAAAGCAGAAGGTTGGCGCCAGGGTTTTGGCCTAGGAGGTGATGGATTTATTGGATCCGTTAAGGTTACCTAGGAAGGGAGAGAGAGGCAGGAGGGTGGATGCAGTGGCTTTTGGGGTTATTGCTGGGACACGAAAACACTAAGGTGGCATTTATTCCTCCGCATCGCGAACCAGACATATCGGACTTGTTGCAACAAAGCTAGCCATCCTATTCATGGATAACGCATGGACACACTCAGATAATCTTTGAGTTTTTTGATTTGGACCTATTTTTCTGGGGTAATTCTTTATCAGTAGAAGTTTGAAACGGGAGAGGAGCGAGAACTTCTTGGTTGGGAATGTCCTGCCATAGTAGACCACAAGTCCTTGAACAATATATGAACTTAGGGAACTCGATAATGTTCAGAAATACAAAACTTCTATCACTGGAACTTTCGGCAGGAAACCAAACACGTCATGTATACCTCACGTGCAGCTGTACCCAGTGAGACAACTTAAGGCATTTATTGAAATATTGTGCCTCTGGAAACTCTCTAGCTGATATTCTCTCCAAACAGAAAGACTTTATTAGACTTTGAGACTATGGAAAAGTCCACTATGCTAGACTTTGCGGTTTGCGTTCCCAATAGTTCTGTGACACAAAAGCGCCTCCCTGCCATTTACGTTGAGAATGATGCTAGACGTCGGAACTTGCAAGACACTGCTGAAATCGAGGCATTCAATACGCTACCCAAAGTTGCACGGGATGTAGGTCTGCTAGCTTTATTCTGAAGATAACAGTTCTCTGACTATTGAGCCAGAGCTCATTTCAACGTTATTTGGCGTTTTTCGATCGAGATGATGATAGTCGTGTCTCACTGTTCGATAGCTTCGTGGCCTTTCATGATCTCGGTTTTAACACTCTTTTCTCTTTTTTGATTGCAACTTCGATGCACATGGCTATGTCATTACCGACTAGTCTGGCCACGCGAGGCCGAATTGATCCATTTCTGGCCATATATTTCGGGACGGTCGTAAAAGCCTTGGTCCGCATCTTCTTTACCTATCTACGTGTTTTATTTCAGGCTAAAGTTGTGGAAGTAGCTGCTCCAACTTTGGGGGCATACCTTGTTCGATGCCGAAGGTCGATTCCAAGAAGAGGTCTTTGAGAGGCTATTCTCCAAGAGTAGCAAAGAAGAGCCAGACTATCTCACGTTGAGCGAGGCCTATGACTTTGTTAAACGGCGGAGAGAGCCTTCGAGTCCTATAGGTGTATGTTCCTACCTACCAATTTTTAACATGATTGAATATTTACTCTTTCAATAGTGGATCCTGGTCATTGCTGAATGGCATGTCATATGCCTTCGGCAACGGAATAGGTTACTGAGCCGCACCGGTTTGCGTCAGATATATGATGTTAGATGGCCCATTGTGATTTATAGAGCTCTTTCCGGGGACACTGACTGTGAAGAATCAAGGGATCCGTGCTCTGGGAACTTCGGAAGCAACAAAGATCTCATCACAGATATTGGCCCGATTACCATGCTATTTCGCATCCTATAGAGGACCTTACGAACCCTGCCTATTGGCCGCCCGTGAGTTCAAGCTTTTGTATCGGTATACAATGCTATACTATTTTCGAGTTATTAACGCTTGCCTAGGCGCTTCAGTCTGCGATGGACAAGACTCTCGCTTACATTATACTTGCTCTTTTTGCAGCCTCGTTCGCCGTTCCGTTATTTGCATATACCTGTATTGCTGGAGACCCCGGAAAAGAGTTAAAGACCATACTTGCGGTCATGACATCTAGTTTCTGTCTTACATCCTGGAGATTTGGTAACTATCTGCAGGCGGAGAGACAACGACTACGTTCTTAGGTTTCCGTAGGCACTCTTCCATTCTTTCTGGCATCTAGAAGCTATAACCTTTTGTAAATAAGCATCAGACAAGACCCAATATGAATGCAGGCGTTCCTCTTGAAGAAGATAGGCCAGAGATCCGGTCGCTTATGACATGGATGTTTAGTAGACCCATTCTTACCTACGAGTTCAATCTATAATAGCTCGAGTCTTCCAGTTACCTAGGTAGCTTACTTTCCCTATGTCAATAACAGTTGTTGATGTAGTGATCGGGACGTCTTCCGAACGTCAAATGCCTGACGTCACTGTGAGATTCCCTAGCAGCCGATCTCTGTTAATTCATCAAGATTCAGAAATACACTAGTTTATATTCTTTTCCATAAGTATCGGCGGGGCATTCAAATCCAGCTGAACTCTATGAGAGGCTCGTTCTCGATGCGATATTTTCGCGTTGTTTAGCGTGGAGTGGCAATAATATTGACCTGCACATATGATGGTAGCAGGCATTGAGTAAGGTGACAGGAACAGCATTTAACCTGATCAGTAAATTCCTTATAAGTCTACGTAAGGATCATGGATCAAATTTCAGCTTCTTGGAATCTACGATTCTTTGTTAGTAGATCGTTCATTTTCCCTCTCCGTGGTAGGACACTATGGGCACCTATCATCCACCTTTATCGCTTGTCATATTAGGGACAATCTTTATTGGTCTGGGGCTTATAGCTTCTATTGTAATCGGGCTTGATATACTCCTCCGCCGAGGATGGAGGTCAATGATGGGCATAATGTAAGTTTACCTCCATGTTGTGGTCTCCGGCTATATAAATTCTTGGTAAGGAGTGCTTCGGATAACTGACATTGTTCTTGACCGTAGGATTCCAGTGTACCTCCTCAATTCGTTATATCTTGCACCAATCACGTTATGGGTATACTTCAGTTATGGCCGGCCAACAAAACCAGAGAGACCCTCTAAGTCAACCGGTGAGCATCAACATGGTCATTGCAAGTACGCGCTGGTTGAGATCTCCATAAATCCTACCTATAATCCAAAGCTGATTGCTCCTTGCGGTATAGTCCTGGCGGAAATGGTCAACTAAACCATCATGACCACATGGAGAATAAAGAACTTGAACACGGACACGACCAGAGCCATGGCCAGCACCACAGTGAGGTCCACGGGGAAGGTCACCACCACATGGGCGGCTCATCACGGCCTATGTTCGCAACCACAACTGTCGCAGTGTGCCATTGCGGAGCAGGATGTCTCTTGGGAGATATCGTTGGCGAATGGCTCGTTTACGGGACGGATGCCAAAATCAATGGCCACCGACTATGGGTCGCTTTCCTAGTTGGTACGTATTTCTAGGCTCCTACGTATCTTGCTCTACGCATGAAATCTGATACGCCTGCGCCTGAAGATTACGGATTCGCTCTTCTTTTTGGAATTGTATTTCAATATTTCTCCATCGCCCCGATGTCAGGCGATTATGGTCCCGTGACGATATGGCGGTCGATAAAAGCCGATTTTCTGTCGTTGACTTCGTTCCAGATCGGTCTGTACGGGTGGATGGCAATATACCAGATTCCAATATGGAACTTTAGGTTGGAAGTGAGCAATGTTGTTTACTGGTGGATGATGCAGGTATGCTCCCTCGCAATTAGCCGGATATGTTTTGAATAGCCTTGCCCACCGTCAGAGAGTATCCTATCTGATATGCTTCTTTCAGATCGGCATGTTCGCGGGCCATTGGACAGCCGTACCGATGAATTGGCTCTTGATTAAATTCAAAGTAAAAGAGCCATGCGCGTGAAGCAAACTACATTACGGATACAATGTGAAGCCATTCTTAGGGTTCACTCAGGATAAAGTGTCTCGACTCCAATGCATGATGATTTTCGACCTGCTTGTATAAGCGCCTGCATCTTATTGAGAAATTTGCCTACCCTTGAGGTTTCGACGAAAGGACTTACACGTATCTAAAACTATTTCTGTATCGTTGTTTCCTTCCTTATTGTTAGGTATGTCCAAGTGGCGATTGCTTGCAAAATGATTGTGTAGTCACATTATATCGAGGAAAGATTATCCCCGCAAGTCTAGTGCATAACACCTTCCGCAGCTCCTTTAACACCTGCCTTTCCACTTCTTATTCTGATGATATTTTGATAATGGTATTGAAGTGTTTCATTGCTCACACTGATATGTCTTGTTGTCTGCCAAGCCTCCGGCTCTAGTAGGCACCATGGAAACAGTCCTTCAATATACCTAATTCATGACTGCACTTTCTTTGTACTTACAAATGTCATATTGTAGCAGCAACAAGCATTTATCTGTCCCAAACAGTTCTGTAGTGGCATTGTATAACGGTTCACTTTCACTTCAAAGAATCACGTGCTGAAGACGCCTTGCCCCATGTGGACAACGCGCTCAAGAGGGCAGGAGGGTGGGAGGTGAAACTGCTCCTGTCCTTTGAAAGACCCTTCTCTCTTTTCATCTGTTCCAGTCTACTCTCTTGACATCCAGAGGAGGCTCCATAGAGTGGGTAGGACTCAGAACGAGAGGCCCTTGCGAGATTCTCTATAGTACTCAGGATTCGATATACCTCCGAACTGTGATTTGGCTGCAGGAATCCGTTTTCGTGTCAGTCAGCTTCTGCAGAGTAAGTGATAATCTACAAGCATCTGCGCGTACCTGCATATTCTTTCTCACATAACTGGGAATTAGAGTCTAGCAGAAATGTCGGAAGAGTGCGATCTCGGACAGCTTCTTGATAGCGTTTACAAGCTCCGTAACGCTGCTGTGGAGAATCAACGCTATACTGCATACAGAGTTGCATCGCTCGAGCGTGCTCTTGTCACCATGGAAGATAAGCTGAAGAAACATGAGAAAATGATACAGTATCTTGAGAATCAGCTAAAAGTCAAGACGGACGTCTCTGGGCGCAAGATTGATAATGGGGTTGGACGGTTGGTCGATACCACTGAGTCCTCTTTTCAGCTGAACGTTGGTTCGGGATTCGAGGTGAATGTGAAGTGCAGAATGGATAGCAGTGTGCTCCAAGCCCCTTTCGTGGAGCACGAGTCTCCTGTCGAGTCCATGTTAATGATTGCAGCTCCGCCTGCCACTCCCACTCGACAGGAGTCAGCGGATTGTTGGATTGTCGAGAACGGCAACATTGACTCTTTCCTGGACGACATAAACACCCCAGTTCTAGAACCAGAGAGACGTGTATGTTTATTTCCATTGGTGATATATAAATTCTTGCGTGCTTATAAGCGTTAGGACTTCATGCCAACTCATCGCAGATCAGCATCTAACGTCTCCGACTACCAGAGCGTCATGGGCGATTTTCCCAACAAAATGCCACTGAAGCCTGTTCCATGGGACGGGAAGATTTCCTGGGCGTTCGAATCCTCAAGCATTTTTGACAACCCAGAAGAGGAAACAGACGCGGCTGCTGTCCGCTACGCATTTTTTGGAGGCCGCACCGCCTCTAAGCTATGGCTCTTCCAGTATGGCATCCGCTACATCCCAGGATCAGAAGAAAAAAACGCTTTCCGTACTGTTAAAGTTGAGAACCTGCCGTTGGATATCGACATGAACACTCTGCTTAGCCAGGTCTGTGGTGGCGAGATTGTCGTTGCCCGTCTCCTTAATACCAGCAGTATTACGGGACACCACACTGCCCTGGTTACCTTTGTCCAGCAGCGTCAGGCAGAGGCATTTGTTGACTACGCTTCGAAGTATGGTCTCTCTTTCGGAAAGGATAATGTCTGTGTGAAGATGCTGGAGACCCCAACCTATCCAATGTCGGCGGAGATGGAAGGCCTCATCCTTGACGAGGGTTACACGCGCTGTGTTGTCATACGTGACTTTGAAGAAGATCTTTATGAGGAACTTGTCTCTCTCGTCATCGGATCTGTTTGCGGTAATGAAATCGAAGAGATCAAGCCAGAAGGGAACAGGGTTACTATCCAGTTCCACTCCATCAAGATGGCCGCTGTCGCCTTTGGACTAATTCGCGGCCGCCGTTCCTTCTCAGGATGTCGTCTTGATTTTGCGCCTGACCCTTGTGCTCGTCCCGCTCGCCCAGTCATGGAATAAGTGAACGGCATTTCCTCAGACGCGTATTTGGCTTCTGCGGGCAAATACTTCGGTGTTTGAGCGATGGGTCTGGTTCTAGGTGCGGGCTATCCGCTGGTTGCACTTTCAGGGGCAATGGTGTTTTCGGTCTTGGTTTCTACGGCATATTCGCTATTCAGCGTACCACTACATGTCTTTTCTAAGTGGTTAGTCGCATGTTTTGCAAAGTTGCAAATAATTAGTTCACAACACCAAAAATTAAAGTTTATCATCGGGAAATATCTCCGTACTGAAAATTTCAGGTGATGTTTATATTTAGAGTCCGTTATCTTTATAGTTGGCAAGGATAGATAGTATTGTGTACGCGCACAAAGCGAACGCCAAGTGATCTGCCAATCATCCGTTCGCGGCAGGTTCTTTGAATGCTGATTATGGGATAGAACGTCCTAGATTACTTGATTACTAGATTCTTTGTATACCTACAGAGATAAATATGGGTTCAAACCCCCCTTAGAACTAAAAGCAAGCAAGCGATTCAAGTCGTTCAGGTCAGACCTTGCTTCCATGCCATTCAATATTCGACATATTGAAGTGCGGTCTTCAGTCACGAAAGGTACTGTTATCGGACAGATATCTCGAGCTTTTACGGCAAAAAGGATGCTAATCATATGGATCCCGCACGTATTACCAGAAAAAACCACATGAGGACACAAAAGAAATCATTTCAATGCTATGTGAAAACTATGATATTACACCAGGGCGGTTTTTTGCCTCTACAGTCCTAAGTCTCAACGCTATTAAACAAAGAAGATCGTATCAGATGACATCATGATACCTCACAGGATGAATCTGTTCTTCTTTCGGTTGTAGGCTCTCTGGTCCTTGAGCCACTGGCGGTAGCCCTGGACGCTGCCAATCTTCTCACCATAGTAATCTGGGACAGGGTTGGCGAGGGAGTTGGAAGAGGGGTCCACGCGGTGACGCTTGATTCTGTTGTAAAATTCCTTTTCTTTCTGTTATGGGTTTTATTTAGCACAGTTCATTGTTATATGGGATGATTGATCTGCAAGATCTTGCAGATCAATAAGAGGGGGAACTCACCACCGCAACTCCAGACTTGTATCGTCGGTGGACAAGTCCCCAGACAGCATTTCCGAGGAAAGGACCTGCCAGCCAACCAACAGCACCGCAAGCAGCCGTGGCCAGTCCCAGCACAACGAACGGGTCAAGGCCCATCACTTGTGCTCCCAGGTTTTCTAGGTCTTGGGATGAGAGAATCTGAACGCCAATGGCGGTACTGGCTATGGAGGCAACGATCGAAGAACCAAGCGAGTATCGTCTCCGGGAAGTCCGAAGCTTGAAGAATGTATTCCAGTCGAGAGGAGCGTCTTGGTTGTATGAAGACGTCTTTGCAGAGGCAGTCGAGGTGGTGGAGTTGAAACGGATGCAGGACCGCTGGATAGCGATCTTAGCGATGCTCTGAACATGCTGGGACCGCGATGACTTCAGGACGTTTGCCTGTATGGGACTCTGGAAAGGAAGGTTGTTTTGACATTTTGAAACCGTGCCTGCTGGTTGTCTTCGCTGCTTCGTCGAGATGCTGCGGCAAGACTGCTGGAACGAACTGGTGGAATACGCAAATGGCGCAAGAGGGCCGGAGGAGATCCGGGTCCCCAGCGCAGCGGTGCGCAAAGGTGCGTTGAGAGCTGTCATATGCATTGCAAACCAAGCCTGTCAAACAATCGACTGGTGCTCTTAGCGGTGGTGAATGTCTGGAGCTCTGGTAAAGGCTTCGATGGTCGTATGAGCATCAAAGCGTCAAAGGTTGCGGGAGCTTGACCGTCGCGTTACATAAGCAACAACCAAACCATCATTCGATCATGGAAATGGAAAACCCGGGCAAAAGTGCTTGAAGATGGTAGTTTTGTGGTATTTTTTGTTTCTTCGCACAGGGAACTGGCACACTTTATAACAAAAGGCAGATTATATTTTTCTCCCTCTCTAATTCTGGACTGTTAGGCCTGCTATTTTGTTTACGCATAATGAGTGGATAACGACCGAGTCCGTGCTCAGCTTAAGTACTACCAAATACTTTAGGATCATATGGACAAGAACCGCGTGCATTTCATTGAGAAGACACCTCCGTAATTCCAGCGGAGAATTGACTACATGCAATATGTGACGACATGCTATACAGTGATGTACGGTGTATTTCCATCGTCGTTATATCCATCTACAATGATACAGATCGTCAAAAACTTATATATGTTGCTGGTCGGTTTATATGCTCCCATGCTCTCCATGGACTTTGAGGAAACGGCAAAACGACACTCAATGTCCGGCTCCTTCAGTTAAAAAGACTAGAGGAAGGCGGACCTACAGACCGCCATTCTGTTTGACAGCTCCGGGTCGAGAAGTCGCGCGGGTAGACGTGCCATATCCATTGACCCGACCATAGAGCCACTTCAATGTGCTAGTGCTGAATGCCATTACCACAGCGCTAAGAGCGAACAGACCAATCCGGCCTTCAGTGGGCAACCGCTCGAAGATGGGATACGGGTACCTGTTTATGTTAGCATACGGTGTCCCACCCACGTTCACACTCTGAACGAGGCCTCTCATACCATCCATTGTGTGCGTAGCATCTCTCTATCCAAAACCAATAGCCAAAGGCGATAGTGCTTGACAACCCGATAGCTGGGAAAATCGTGATGGTCCAAGGAGGCGAGAGCAATAGTAGGTCGATCAGCATCACAATGGCGGGCACCGCGTGAAAGCTAAGATCTACGGTAGAGTTAGCAAAATCACCTACGCTGACTGGAAGGGTACTCACCGGCATTGAGAGGAATATATGCCCAGTCTGGGATAACCAAGCGTGTATCAATCTGAAGATCGTAAGAAACTGCCTCATGGATAGAGACGGGTTACAAACCAAACGGAGACCCCAGTACAGAATGCTAATGAGCACTTCCAGAGGAGTACTGCAGATCGAAAGAAGATTTTTTGCCAGAAACAATCGCGGAGAGAGCGTTATATCGGCAAGGAGACCGATCGCGAAGGTGACTGTCGCCAGCGTAAGGCCAATAACAGTCAAATATTGAAAATGCCAACCGTATGCCTCGTTCCTACTGAGGTTAACGGATTGTCCCTCCAGAGCAGGCAGCAGTGTACTCACGCATGGTTTGGATTCTCGATCATACTATTCGTTATGTGAGCGAAAGTCCATTTCATTTATCTCTGTCTGCACAACTCACAAATTAAAAGACCATATAAAGCTTGCAAGACCAGTCCACTGTACGAGAGTCAGCCACGGGTCGAGTAAAGGTTAAGTTTATAGCCGACGGACATGAACAATAGCAGAAACACCTCTCGAGGGACTTGGCAGTCTCTGGAGAGGATGCTGGTTAATGAGCGACTCAGAAGCTTTTGACGATGCCATTGAACAAACAATTTATTGAGGACTATACAGAAAAAACGAAACCGAAAGTGCACACGAACAGAACAAGTATTAAACAAGGGATTAAAAATCTGGGGAGTTTCAGCCGGCGATGACTTCATCGTCCCGAGACTCCGAGCCCGATCAGACCCACGTGTGCTTATCCGCTGAGTCAGCACTAGCAACTCCGGGAAAACATTATCGCGGGGCTTATCTCTGGCTGACTCGTCGCTGATGATTGTCTGAGAGTGGTGTTTGGATGCCTCTTGATGACTGTTCACTTCGGATTGCGTGTCTGATCTCTGGAAGTTAAGACAATCTGTCAGCTCGACTGTTTGGGAGGGTATACGGACCGAGAACTGTTGGAACAAGGGAAATCTCCTCTCCACCGTTCTTATCAGACCAGTTGGACTTCCAGCGCTGGAACCAGAAATCAAGCAATCGATAAGTCTCTGTCTACCTACACGAAGATAGACCATATACTCAACTGTCCTGCCTCATCCTGAGCTGAGATTCAGAAGTAACTATCTACTCTTATCACTGCATCAAGGCTAGATCAACTGGATGGCTGTGTCGTCAGATATAGTTGGACCCTTGTGGAACCGGGGTTTGTACACAGTCACAAATTCACGAAATAGAGATCAGTCGTTACTAAGGCCATATGCCTCGTCCTAAGAGGCCAGGTGCTCCCGAACCCAAACGGAGGAGCCGCAACGGATGCTGGTAAGGCTCCTATATGTTTGAATATGACTGGTGCAGATAATTGACTCAACCATTAGGCCATGTAAGGGACGGAAGGTTAAATGGTGAGTAAATTATATAATTACGGTTACACTATCTGTTATTGACAATTTTCTAGTGGCGAAGAAAAACCGTCCTGCCTTAATTGTCAACGGCAAGGTGAGACCTGCGACTACAGTATTCGCCTGAACTGGGAAGGGAGGACCAAGAAGAAACCTATTGGATTCCAGTCCTATAGCCCCGTTTCCAGTGTAGTTTCATTCGAGCACCAAATACCACAGCCATTTCAGGTGTTTTCTGCGTCCGATCACCAGGGACAATCGTCGATCTCTCTGGATGTCCAGGGGTCACGTAACCCAGCTCAAAATGCAGTATCCAGGCCACACTCGCAGCATGTTTCAACATCTACGATTGCCACTTTTGGAAGAGATGATCAGACTGATGGCGATCTGTTGAGCGCCTCTAATCAAGAACCTCTAAGCGCTGCCAGTGACTGGACTGGACAAGATGCTCCTCCGCCTGGCGGACTTTGGCAGGGAATGGTCGAACCAAGGCCTTCTGAGGCAACACACTCTTGTGCAGTATACGACCAACCATTCAACACAGACATCCACGAAACCAACTGTCCCCGAATGTCACCGTTCAGTATTAGTGAAAGGTTTGTCTCTCAGCCCACGTCATTTCTTCGCCAATCGTGGAATGCGCAGCCCGACACGCAAGAGAGCCCCTCTATCGGCGACGACAGAGGCTCAGAGTATTCTGCCAAGCGCATACGACTTTCCAGTTATCCTTTCTCGTCTTTTCCAGGGTACGACGAGAACAAAATCGTCTCGCTGATAGACAGTCCGGCCAGCATTGGTGACAGACCAGTTCTCCAGGGAAGTAAGTCTGATATACGTTCTGGTGAGCGGCGACATCAGTGTACCCCCCTATCACCTGCAAGCCTTTCAGGGGTATCCGGCGATGTTTATACCAATAGCCTCAGCAAGTCTTTTGCTTTAATTGATGGCTCAACAGCCCTGCGGCGTGTATCTGTCCACTCCTTATTATCTCATTCTGCGGAACCAGATGCTGAGACCAATGCCCTTCGCGCGAGTGCTGGGGATGAGTTGAAGCCGGACAGCGGCACACTTGGTGCTGCTGACAGTTATGGATACGACTATGGCTATCCTGACCATGATCTCAACAAGAATGACGACATCGCTGCTCTCAAGCATGCGAAACCAGAGGAACAAACGGAGGGTAGCCTACAAGTACAATCACCGCAAACGATATCCACTCCGGGAAATGATACTGTTATCAAAGGTGACTATTACAGGCAACCAGTTCCAGTCAATATACCGAGATACTTATCTCCTCTGCCATCTGCACTCCTCGAGAATCCGATCAATCTAATGTATTTTCATCATTTTCTGAACCACACTGCGCGTATACTTGTGCCACACCACTGCTCGGAAAATCCGTTTGTGTCTGTTTTGCCTTCGAGTAAGTACAATATCCCTGGGGTACTGCGCTTTGGCTAACATATAAAATAGTGGCTGTGAGTGACCCTAATCTGTTGAATCTTCTTTTGGCGTACTCTGCCAGTCATCGTGCAAGATATCTGCAGCATCCCGAGCCAGCGAATCGAATCGCACACTGGGTCAGTGATGTCTTCCCAACCTTGCGGCAGGCCCTGAACGATCCTCAAGAGAATGTCACGGATAGCCATCTGGCAACAGCCATCATGTTGCTCTCCCTGAAGATCGTTTCACCAAGCACGTTCGAGGTCCCAATTCCTTGGCAGAGCCATCTGAAATTGGCGCGCGATCTCTTTGTAGCGCGAGAAGAACATCAACTAGCCCGTCTGGGGAACAAGATAGCCATATTCCTTTCCCGATGGATCACGTATCTTGACATATTTGGAGGGCTATCTTGCCGGCACAGTGACCCTCCTCTCTTTGGCGGCGAATGCTGGTCTTCACCCATTCCTGGCTCAAGCATTGAGGAAGAAACGAAATTCCAGGTCGATTGTTTCATGGGCTTCACTCCAGTCACACAGTCGTTCCTCTCTCGTTTAGGTGATCTTACCCACCGCTGCGACAATGAACGCTTCGATGAGACAGGAAGATTTCTCGCAGATTGGGGACCTTCCCCGGATATTGTCCTAGCTGCAGAAAGCTTACTACACGACATGCAGGAGCTCCGAGAGTACGGCATGATTCGAGGAGCGCACGATGAAGACGTGGAAAGTGTGGAGGCTATTTCTATCGATCAAGCCTTCCACTGGGCCGCGATGGTACATCTACACCGTCGAGTTCTCAATACGTCGCCATCTAGTCCAGAATTCCACGCGTGTTTAAAAGAACTCTTTGGCGTCCTGAGAAAAGTCCCCATTGGAAGCCCCCCTGAAATGTCAGTCATCTTTCCCATATTCACAGCTGGTTGTGAAACGCAGGATCCGCTAGAGCGGCTAGAGATTCTGGACAGAATCAAGGGCATGGAGATAGCAGGTCTAAAGCAGGTAGGTTGTAGCTGTCGTCGCTTGTTACTACTGTCTGTTTCCTTTTTATTGACTTGAATCTACTTCAGGTCCAAAATGCACGCACACTTATGCAACGCTGTTGGGCAGAGGACTTGCCATGGATCGCACTCGCAGACGGCGAGTTTCTAGGATGATATTACCACACTGAGCCCATTCAGTCGAGGATACAATGAGATCACTCGACGCATCACGAGAAATGAAACAAGTACATAGTAACATCTATACATAGTTAACGATGTAAATAAGGATGCCATGCTATCAAGCATAACGACAGCCGAACATATTGCAAAACCAAGACGCCATAGATAAGGAAGAAAGCATGGCATTATTACATTATCTCTCAGTCCTATCTCAAAGAAACAATTATACCCAGAAGATGTATCACACAATAAAATAGCATAAAGTGGACGTTGGACGTCTCTCGTAAAAGAATCAAAGACTGACGAACGAAAATCCGTTATTCGAATAATCCCACTTGTAGTCCCATACTTATTCCTTGGGCCATTAGGTATTCCGGGGCGGAGACTAAGGAATTTTTTTTAACTAGTAATTAATTAATCACCGTGAGCCGGTGAGGATGAAGTTCGGCACTTTTGCCCTAGTAGTAAACGAAGTCTAGACTCATGTGGCCCGGAGAAAGACACAATTGGACGTTAGATAGATAGATGCATGGAGTAATTAGATGCGAAGGAAGAATTTTCTATACCCAGGACCTAAGTATTTCTATGGACCGTTGAGTCAACTATCGCAACAGCTAGGATAATCATAGATTCTCAATTCTGCAATATTTCTTCAACTCTTAATATCTAATTAATACCTCTCCACAATTGAGTCATTTCCTTTTTTTTTTTCCCATGCGAATGACCTGAATAAATTATTAGATTCTCCTTGGCGGTCGCGTCATCCGACCATTTCGCCATGATCCACGCGGCAGTAGAAAATTTTCTGATTCGGACGGGCGCGGGGGAGGCGTCCCTGGCGCCGGCAGCCACGATCGACGGCGGAAATGATGGGATTCCTGGGAATATGGGGTATACTAATCGGCACTAATTAGCTGATAGTTAGATCGAGTCGAGTCAGGTGTAGAAGAGAAAAAGGCGAGAGATGTCCGGAGTGGCCGATTCGTGGATAGAAGAAGAAGAGAAAAAAAAAGGAAGAAAAAAGAGAGAAACCGGCGTATAATCCAGGTCATTTCTCAGGTAGTAGTAATAAAGTAGCAATGACTAACCAACCAACCAGGGGACGTTCGGAAATCAATTCTTTATCTTTATCTCCAACGAAAAAAAGCTGCAAACGGGAAACTATCGCGACAAGAAGTTTAGTGAATCGAGAGCTGTTTGGTTGTCTTGAGCGGGACGAGAAAAAGAAGCCCCTCAGTGCTTGGCTGTGACCCAGAGAACTGCGACCGCCTCGAGAGGAAAGCTCATTATCTTCCTGTCTCTCTCTCTCTCTCTCTCTCTTCTGTCTGATCTTGATCTTTTGCGCTCTTCTGTTCGATCAGACCAGATAGCTACACATCGTCCAGATCACCAGCGCAGATATCTCATTCCTCTGGTGCATTGCACCTTGCGCGCCTTCATCTGCGTCATCGACACCTTCGACTCGCCGCCTATCTTTCCCCTCGCGACACTTCGAAACAGCACATTTTTCACTTCACCAATGTCGCGGAATATCTCCCACGGGCGCGGAGGCGCAGGTAAGCTCACTCTCCTTGTCTTGTATATCGCAGAATTCGGGGACTTTTCCGTTAAATGATCGCATCGCTGACACTCCGCTCGCAAGGCAACATGTTCGCCAAAGATGCCCCGCCAACCCCTGAAGACCTGACCACGCCCACAATCAAGCAGGATTATTACACGACCGGTCGCGGAGGCACGGGGAACATGATGCACAACGACAAGGAGCATCCGGAAATCGCGCGAGAGAGCCAGGATGTCGAGGCACCGCCACTGCGATTGGAAGAGGGGCGGCATTTCACGGGACGAGGTATGCTTTTTCACACGAACTGAATGCGCCGTCGACGATCGGGAAAACTGACCTATGTCAATAAAATCACAGGTGGTGTTGCAAATGCAGTCATCCCCACTCCAGAGGAAGAGAAGCATCTCCAGGAACAAGAGCAAGAATTGCGACGAGTCCTCACGGCACGAGCTGATTCAAAAGAGCGCGCTGTCTCGAAGGAGCGGGCAAGAGAGAAGGAGAAGGAAAAGGAAAAGGAAAAGGAGGGAGAGAACGACAAGGACCAGGACAAGGAGCATCAACACCATCATCATCACCTTTATCACCCTCTTCACTTGCACTAGGCCATGTCCCAGACAGTGCGACCTGATGCTCGATCGAATCTTCCTGGGAAACGACCATCCGAGCGATCAACCGATCATCATCAGAATCCATTCGAGACAGAAGCATGGCACGGAACGGCAGGAAGAGACAGTACTGCCGGCGGTGCTCACATGGCGAAACCAGTCCGACTGCTCAGTCACCGCCTTAACGACGAAACAATATCCCTCTGCGCGTATATATATATCACTCGCATCGTGTTCCCTTAATACTCCTCATGAATTCCCTTTCCTCGTCTTATTTCGAAGGCTGGTCTCCATATCACGAACTGTACATATTCCCCCTGCTTTTCGTTATTGTTGGTCACGATACCTAGTTATCATTATCCTCGATCGAGGGCGCTCCATCCTGGGACACTCGGAGGTGCATTGTCTCCTTTTTAGACTGAATAGAGAATATTATTATTGTTTTCGTTTTCCTTTTTGCTGCTGTTAGAGCAAGGCGTGACTTATAGAGACACTGCACAGATGGATTGATAATGCTTCATCATCAATTCCAGACATTTGATAGACACTTGGAAGATCCTGCACGAACTGTCCACGAGATGCAGACAGACATCGACAGGATTTATACCATCTCTTTATCTCTCAACCACCCCCTGTCACTTGACACGGACCAGGGCCAATGCAAGCGCCCCCGCAACCTCAAAGATAAGCCGACGCGCTTTCATACGCCCATCGTCCAGTATCCAGATATCTAAGGCTGACAGAGAATTCAGGAAACTTCAAAATATCATATGAATTTCATTGCTACCAAGTAATGCAGAGTCCATATCTCATATACACTGTAACCGAATGAGTGAATGAATGACAATTCAACCAACTTGGATGAACCCGTCATCACAACAATCCCCTCGTCCATCCTTCTGACCAAAGATAGTCCAGTGACATCTCTTCCATCTGCTCTACATCAACACCATTCCCATACCAGCGCCAAACGCACAGAGCAGGTATAGTCCAATCTGCGCCACGCTCGGGATCGTAATCGTCTGCGATGCATACAAGCTGGATGCAGCTACTCCCTTGGATGGCTTGCTACGTCCCGATCCTGTCTCTTCATCGGTTACAGTACCGGTGCCAAAGCTGCCAGCTGCACTCAGAAGAGCTGCGCAGGTGCCGGTAGGCTTCTGGGCACTGCTGCTGGTAGCAGACCCCTTGAAGTCGCAGGCAGAGGCGCCGTTGCCGGCTTTCTTCTGTTCTAAGTAGTAGGCATTCAAAGCCCAGGCGAGTTGATCGTCAGCATCGCACATCGAGAAGGAGCCGAAAGTTCCTGTGGCCGCATTGCCGCTGATTCCAGTGCACGCTTTCTCGGACAGGCCGCATACAATACCTAGAAGGTTGCCGACGTCTTTCCCTGAGAGGCCCGCTTTGGGTCGACACGTTACAGACTCTGCCATGCAGCTACAGAGCTCCTTATTGGGTGTCGGCGGTAGGACTGTACCAGCCTGCCAGGTAGTATTCACCGTAGGACAAGCAGCATTTGCAGTCACAGTTGGAGTGTATTGGGCCATATTGGTCCCCGTCGGCTTTGCCTTGGCCATCTGGCTGGAGAGGTAAGGGAAGTCTGTAAGTGTGTGTATCGTGTCACCCTCGATTGAAACGACCCCTAAATAGTTCGTCAATCATCGATTGCTGATCATGTGCGTGAAACTATATGATCCTAGAGAAAGGAATACGGACCATAATTGTTATCTTCCTGCTGAAACATGTAGACAATCCCTCCCGACCAAACTTTTGTCATCTGAGGGCCAAAGAGAGCCTCTGCTTCTTTGAACTCTCGCGGTCTGATCGTATTGCAGCCGTACTCAGAGAAGAAGGCTGGGATGTTGAAAGCTTCGAACTCCTTCGTGCGGTCGGCATAGCCAGAGGACTGGAACGAAGAATTGCCGCACCATTCGTAGATATTCAGACCCCAAAAATCAACTCTTTCAGCGTCTGTGCCACAGTCGAAGTACTGAGTGATTATTCCGCGCAGCTCAGCATCGTCATCCGCGGCATATCCAACTGGAATATCTCGATAACCTTTCTCGTAGATATAGCTCTTTGTGTCGCGTACCGCAGCTTTGACGAAGGCACTCGCAGGGGTATAAGACATATTGTTGGTCACTTCATTACCTGCGAAGAATCCGATCACGTTTGTGTATTTGGCCAGTGCATCCACGACAGACGTGTAACGCGTATAGAGTTCGATATTCCATTGCGGGTGAGATCGAACGATGGACTGAGAAGGCTCGGACAGATCTGCGAACACGTAGATACCCGCATCTGCGAGCATTTGCATACATTCGCTATGGTCCCCATCAGGGTCAATCGCGTATACACGGATGACATTGGTGCTCAGCTCCCTGAGATAAGGGATATCCCGACGACATCCCGCTACATCTGTCAGGGGGTCGACATAGCTCTGACCCGAGTCACTTGGCGTGTTTGCTGCGGAGATATCAGAAGAGGTGACGAGGTGAAGTGAAATTCACTTACATTGATAGGCCAGTCCTTTGATGAAGCTGCTACGATCAGCCACGAAAATCTAGTGGACCCTCAACGAGACTTACAACTCAGTACCGTTCGTCTTATAGAAGAAGTGTTTCCCCTAAATCGGTGGTCAGTAAAGTGGTCATGTAGGATTCAGAGTGTATCCTTCTCCTTGCCTACCTTAATCACAATAGGATCAACATCCGCAGCGTAAGAATGAAGGAAGAAGCATGCCGCCACGAAGGCCGTAGATAGTAACTGCATGGCTTTCATGATCCCGTTAAAATGGTCTTAATGAGGAAAGTAAGTGGTCGAAGAGTAAAACGAGTGATGTTGAGAATAAGAGGGACGAAGGTCTAACGAACAGAGAAGAGGCGGCCGTAATGCTCCGTGATGGAAGGAGCCAGTGGTACATGTCTTCCTCCATTTCCAGGCAAGAGCGCTCTCATTTCACTGCGCTCACTTCACGAACTGCTTGTCTGCAACGAGACTCATAATTTCGATTCACATCTCCAGGTAGGATCTGGCCAGACACATCTGCATAGACAGGAATACATCCGTCCGAGAGCACCCGCACGGTTGGCAGCTTTTCATGTCTTTACATTGTGGCATATGCGTAGCATCAGCCGTTTTCAAATCGATTATCCCTGACACTGTTTATTGCTTCAAAAGCACCATGGTGACTATATATCCTAGAGGGGTAGTAGCCATACTCAGCGACTTGCCACAATAGACTCCCAACGCTGGCTTAACATGCTAGTTTGTGTTCGAGGCGATAATCTCAAAACACATCGACTTCATCATGAAATCCTTGGCGAAACCGCTTGATGATAAACCACTTGCAGTTTAGCGACGAACTTGACGGAGTCTACCGCGATTATTCGAGCTCTAATACATGGTCTACCACGTGGAACAAAGCCATTTATGAGGAACAACAGAATGAGCTAGTCTGACGGAAGTCTGATGAGCTTTGGGACTTGCTGTGGATGTCCATAGCAAGACACTTCATCTCAGATGTCTGTCGAGCTTTTCTATATTCCAGCATGTTCGGTTCAGGTATTGACGGAATGGAAGAACACAGAATTATCACCCGCCAGCCCTTCAAGCTAATTGGCATTCGATCCATGGATGTATCGAAGCTTCCAGCTATATAATACGAGTGTAAAGCTAGAGCTGCACCTCGCCTACAGATCAGTCGTGTTGTGGTGAAGCGTTGATTATGTCCCTGGCCGTGGCTGCCGGACCGCGAGATATGGCGATCAGGTGTACTTGATTGCTGCCGGAATCAGTATAGAAACCCCGCATCCATCATGTCATGTCCGCCACGGACTCGGTATTATCATGCTATCTGTCACGTCAATATAAAAGACGATGCTCACGCAAATTGCCTTCCAGGAATGCAGCCTTTCATGAGTGGCATCAAATCTGACCTTCCCCCACTGACTCAATACAGCGTCGACACCAGTAACCACAAAAGAGATACAGATCCTAGTCCCCATGCAGCGCGAAATAGTTTCACAAACAATAAAGATCGATCAATTGTTGACAGGACGATTGGGGACGTACCGGATCGCGAGAAAGTTGCATCCACGGATCTGGGCCGCTGCGTGAGTTACTCTGTCCTTCCATGGTGAACCACTGGCCTTCTAAAACTCCCGCGTTTACCTTGCTCGTTGATTTATCTGGGAGGCTATCCCTGACTGAAAGTAGACCCCTGAATCAATCGACAGGTCCTGTTGTTATCAAGACAGCACCCAAGCTGCGTCTTGAAAATGAACGGACCGTCTTGAGCCACCTTCGGAATCAACCTTACATCAGGCAGCTTGTCGATGAGATTCCAGAGTCGGAATCCAATCCTCCAGGATTGGTACTAAAGCGGCTAGATGATAACCTACTCGAAGCAGCGGATGTGAAGAGACTAAAAAGAGGCGAGGTGAGGCCTATTGCGAGAGATATACTTAAAGGACTGAAGGCGTTGCATGAAGCAGGATGGGTCCATACTGGTACGTTGTTCATCAGTCACATGGAGTGAGAACGCATTAACATTAGAAATGTCAGATATAAAACCAGACAATATCCTCGTCAACTACGGCAAAGGCCTATTACGCTTCAGCACTGTTCAGCTAGGGGATTGCGGTCATTCCTGCCGTGACACTCCCATTGAGAGTACGGATTCTCACCGGCGTCCCGTGAACAGACATACAATTGGTGCAGCATTATACCGCAGTCCAGAGGCCATGTTGAACCTTCCCTGGGATACCTCGACAGACATATGGTCTTTTGGGGTGACTGTTAGTGAACGCAGCCAGCTTTATTTTATCAAGTACCCTTAAGAAGTATCGCTAATATATGGATCTCTCATCAGATCACGACACTTCTCCGTGGTCCCGAACACCACATCTTCTCGCCCTCGTTCAATATCTCCCCGTCTGATGAAACCTATCCGTTCCATGTCCTCATCAGGCAGATAAAGGAATTCGGAGCGTTTCCATCGTCCTATTCGACTGACCCAATCGACGCAGAGAGAATGTCCGTGATGAACTACATCCAGAACCACATGTTGAGGATCAAGCTAGCAGAGGCCTGGAGTCCCGTGGTAGAAGAAGATGAAGAGTCTGAGCTGGGCATGACGCGTGAGGATCGCGAGTTCATTGGCAAAATCTTGAAGATGGACCCGAGGGAAAGGCCTACTGCGCAAGAACTTCTGAACGATAGGTGGCTTGGTCCTGAGAGCGAAGACTAAAATCTTGAGTGCTTTGGATTCCGGCATTTGAGAACAACACTCGCCTTTCTATGGATGGTTACAGTACCTAGTCACGATACAACATAAGAGTCATCATAATACAATAAGTGCAAATTCGAGCACCATCCAGAAGAGATCCATTAAGGGAGCAGTAACAAAAAGTTTCATGCGTTCCAATCTACAATCTAGGGCCCACACAATATAGACATTATCCGGACCGTAACCATCCCGTATACAAGAAAAACAACACATCAATATCATCCACTACGGCAACCCCTGCCTTATATCCGACTTCTCATTCAACCCCCAAGCGGTACTACTCCCATCATGAACCGTCGCCCGTCTCATATCCCTCTTATACTTCCCCTCAAAACTACCCCCTGTCGCTCTATGCATCACACACGTATTATCCCACAAGATCAAATCCCCATCCTTCTCCCACTCCACACTGAGCACATACTTTGGCTGCTTACAATGCTCATAAAGCCTAGTAAACAACTCCTTCGACTTCTCATCCGATAACCCTTCGATATGATGTACATGTGCGGCAATATACAGATTCATCCGACCGGAAGGCTCGTGCATCTGAACCAGCTTATGTCTGCTATATGGATAATCGTCCGGGTTGATGTGCGCGAAGGTTTCGGGCGCGGCGACTTTGCGTGAATGCCAGAGTGAGTGTGCGGCGATGTAGTCGTTGGAAAGGAGTTCCGTTTTGAGATCTGAGGGTAATTCGTCGAATGCGGTGCGTGTATCGATGTATTCGGTGTTGCCGCCTGTTCCTTTTGGAGGGAGTTCGTGTGCGCGAAGGAGAGAGTAGCCTGCCCGACGGGGGTTGAAGCTTGAATCGACGTGGAAGAGGGAGTTTCCCTACGTAGTGAGAGGGTTGGTTAGTGAGTGGTTGATCTCAGCGTTATCTGGCATGGGAGGAATATTGATCTGAGCAGAGAAAGATGGTTGAGACGTCAGTCAGTACCTTATTCCAATCCCTACGGACATTATCCATCGCAAAGACCGATCCGTCCAAATCGACATTTCCAACATCAAACAACTCAACAAATGGAAGTCTATGCGGACGACCACCTACGATGTAGGGTGTCACATCGTCGAGTTCACCGAATTTCCTGGCAAATTGAACGTGTCGCTCATCATCTAGACCAGCTTGACGGAAGACGCAGACGCCATACTATATATATTACAGATAATATCAGCATTGGGGATTCTTTCTGCATGTTGGGAAGGTATCGTTATTGAGAATTTATGTCGTTGGAATTATATACTTACTTTGGTAATAGCAACTAGGACTTCTTGAAAAACATCGTCGTCGACGGGCTTCGAGAAGTCAATGCCAGATATCTCCGCGCCAAAAGTGGGATGGAGCTCTTTGATGGTGATATGCTTGAAAGAGGGCTCTGTTGTTAGGCCTGGCATGTTTCTGTGTACAGCAATTACTTAAAGCTGAGCTTTTACTTGCAATGTCAATTGAGTAAGTATGGCCAGAGAGATTTCGCGATACGCAACCAGGTGTATCTTGAAATCAGCAATATATAACCCGCACATCGGCAACATCTCCGAGATATCTACCTGAATCTATCCCCATCGTACAAGCCACATGACCCAATTAGCTGGGTCGATTAGAGCTGGTCCACGAATGGGATAGAATAGCCAGGTGAACAATACTAACCGGCGATAAGCTCGGCTTCATATCGCGGGGTAAAGAGAACCCATCTCCACGTCGGCTTTTGATGCGAACGACGCATTGAGCAGTTTTTGATCATGGGGGTTGAGCAGGGTTACTGAGTTCATTCCTCTGGGGTTAAGTTACTGGTTACATCTGCATATGACAGTGAACGAGTAGATCTTTCACCTGGCGTTTTCTCCGCATTTGTTCTCCACTGATCAGCGACGACTAAGTATCATGGTTGTGGAGAGCTTTGATTGTCTCCATTCCAGCGGGGAATATCTTTACCAGTCCTGGTCGCAGGAAAGACCTTCATAGTCCAATGTGTCCATGCTACGTATGTATATACTGTTTATGTTTACATTGGAATTACTTCGTGCAAAGAACGTCCGATAATATTAAACTCTCCCTGTTCGCCCCCTATTCTTCTTGCTATCTAAACATATTTCCTAAGCATCTTTCCTCCAGGTAGAGATCAATCTTCACCCATGCATATTGCCTATCTCTTAAAACAATGCTAACTGTAAATGCTGCCCTTTGTCTGAGTCTCATCGTTTCATCCGACAAGAAGACCTAGATGCTCTAGTTCTTGCTAGCATACGCTTCAATGGCAGCCTGCAACGCCCCATCCATCTGCGAGGTAGCCAACGTGATGACCGGAATATCAAGAAGCCCGACCTTTTTCTTGAGCTCATTGGAGACCTTGTTGGTGTCGGCTCTGACGACGTTGAAGTTGTTGACCATTGCATTTGCCATGCCAAGCTTCTGGAATTGGGCTTTCTGTATAAGGGAAAGTATCTCTGTTAGTATCCATCTACCACAAAATTCACTTGGCGGTCTCTTGAGGAAACTAGATACCTTTCTAATGGCACCTTCTAAGGAATCACTATACGCAGACTTCAGTTCGTCCCAAGCGTTCGTGATGGTTACGCTCTCCGATGGACTGAACATCGGCGAATGAGCAGTATTATTGGCCGTAGCTTGCAGATGACCCTCGAGCGAGGTAACAGCTACAGGAACATGTGCAGCACTTGCAGAGCTGCCGTTGAAGAGCTGCATTGCATTTTCAATAGCGCTAAAGTCGCGAGAGACGTTAGAGAGGTCGCCAATGACGGTTTCGCCAGTGCTGCGTCTCGCGAGAGGAGAGCTCAAGGCGAGACTGGTGACGGTAAGAACCATCATAATGTGCTTGGTGAACATCATCTTGAATGAGGTACTTGAGCTGCCTTTGATGAGAGGGGAAGTTGCTCGTTGTCTTGGGTTGGTTGTTGATGGGTGGAAGGAAGAAGAGAGGGAAGGCCTACGCACTATATATGCACAACACAGGCACCTGCGCGATTTTATTCATTGAGGAATAGAAAGGTACCTGACATTAGTGTCCCATGCGGGTGATTATTTGCTCTTTTCTTCAAATGTGACTCGAGGCATTGTCGTAAACTGTCCTCTACGACATGAATCCACTTGGCCTAAGTACCAGCAACATAATCAATGCATAAATACCGCCACAAGAAGATCCGTTACCCTCACAGTACATAATCTAGGTTATACAGTGGAGATACACTTTACAAGAGGTGATTCAGCAATCTATCTCTCGGCTGTTCTTTCATGCCTAGTTACAAATTTGGCTATCATAAGCTTCTTCCAGTAGCGCGCTTGTTCGAAATTGTAGAAGGCTCGATTTGTACTCTGTAAGTGGTATTACTAACGATAAAAGTACATACATAACTACACGTGAAAAATGACTGCTCGTCAATCGATCGAGTAAAGGTCGTACGGGGCAACTACGCTGGAACATTAAGAATTCCAAATACTATGCTGTGCCCGATACAATCTTATAGCTTTCACAAAATGACAAATAATCAGCCACTCTAGTTCTTGAAATGATCTGTTCCTGGAAATCACCTACTCAAGGACTCTGCCATTAAGGGCAGGCTTCCCCAAAGGATGGACGTTGCGTCATGATACGATGGCATATGATGCTGAACTTTTGTGTTTTCTCAAAGCTACAAAGATTGAGCAGAAGAACGATGTATACTTGTAAAATGTCATTAATGCATCTCCAGGCCCATGTACGAGCTATACGCCCCGGGAAGCGTCCTATCATCTCTCGTGCCACGCCCACGTCGCTCATGTGAAATCCACACCTGGCTAAATGAAGTACATATACTCTCTATTTTAGAAAGCCGGGACCCAAACATTCAAAGACCATGTCTCCAGCAAAGTGACAAAGAGAAAAGTAGAGCAGGAACCTCGTGCTGCGGTAGACGCAGGAAATCGAGGCGATAAAGTGGAGTGGATGGAGGGACCTATTCGAGGTGGAGGAGTCGTTGGATCAGCACGTAATATCTGCATCTCTTCAACCAATAACCTCCTCGGTCTCTTCGATGATCTCCTCGACAATCTCCTCGACGATGGCATCGCCCTTGTCCTCTGCGGCGGGAGCCGTAGGTTTGGCGAGCTCTGCATCCTCGCCCTCGGCGGGAAGACCCATGGCCTTCCTCTCTTCTGCGAGAAGCTCCTTCTCCCGACGAATCCAGGCTGTCCATTCGTTGAGGACGCGCTTCCGCTTCTCGACAATTTCTGTGTTGGCGATATCGACGGCGTACTTGTCCTCCTCGTCGAACTCGCGCGAGTACTCACGGAGGTTCTTGCGGACCTGCTTCTGCTCCTCCTTGCTAAGGAGAGTCGGTGGCCGTGGGCGCCAGACGAACTGCTTGAATTTCTCTGTCGGGTTCTCGGACAAGGTGGTACCGGAGAACGTGTGAAGATTCCAGCCGTTTTCCATCTAGTAGAGAAGTTAGCATGATCAATAATGTTACAAGATTAAGCAAATATCAACATACCTGGTGAGTCCAGACACTAGCACTGCTGACGACGTAGCGGCCGGTAGGGTCCCAGTCGATATCCGTAACACCGTAGTGCTCAACAGTCTTCATCAGCTGAATGTTGGCGTTCAGTTCTTTCTCTCCCTTCTCGGTCTCCGTCTTCTCGCCTTCAAAGTCCAGATCCCAGAAGTCGAGATCAAAGTTCTGCTGCGAGTGAACTGTGGCCACCACGACGAAACGTCCCTTCGGTGACCAGTAGATGGCGTTGCTGGTCTTCTTCTCAACGGTGCGGGCAAGTCGGAAGCTGCCAATACCAGCACCCTTAACCTTCTCGGGGGCGAAGAACGAAACGGACGTCTTAGGGGCGACACCAGAGCCAGCGACGGCCTCTCCGGTGGTGATCAAGACGAAACGGTCGCCCTTAGGCTCCCAGGCGAAGTTGATAACCGCATCCTTCAAACTGTCCACAACCTCCACAGGAACACCCTTTTCCTTGACACGGAAAATTTCCAAGTTCGTAGCCATGGATTTCTTAGACTTGGAGTGACGGTCAACCTTAACGCAGACGTAGGTACCCTGAGACTGCCAGTGAAGCTTAACGTCGGAGACATTGAACAGATTTCTGGTTCTGACAATCTCCTTCGATGGGACGCTCATAAGACCGACTCTGGCAGGGTTGCTGCCGATTTCAGGAGTCCAGAATGCAAGCAGCTGCTCGTACTGCTTGACACCCTCACGCTGGGGCGTGGCAGGCGACCACTCAAAGTCCATGACTCCTTCGATCTTGACGGAAGTCTTGCCCAGCAGGTTCATTCTGGGTGCCTCGTAGATAGAAATGGACTGGCCCTGCAGCAGCCTTGCAACATACTTCTCATCTGCGGACCACTTGAAGGCAGGCCACTGAACCTTCTTCTTAGGAACGGCTGCATCGGGGCCATCGGGACCGGCCAGATCGTGAGAGACGAACGATCTCAACGGCTTCCCGGAAACAATATCCCAGATGATGATGTTCTTTCCATCCTCCTCGAAGGTCAGAGGACCAGCCGGCTGCGACTCATCAACCTGAATGGGACGAGCTGACCAGGTGGTCAGATATCCTTCCAGAGGCGAGAACTCAATGAGTGAGACGAAGGGGTGCGGGAACTGCTTCTGCTTGGAGAACGAGGGACCGCCCCAAAGCTGGACACCCTGCGGGTGAATGGAAGCAAGGAACGTTCCTTGAGGGGACCACTGCACAAAGAGCTGGGTCCAGTGAGGTCGGTCGACAACAGGCTCCGGAGGGTTATTCTTCATGTTCCAGTAGACGCCAACCTTATCTCCACGGTAGAGAGCAAACTGGTCCCGGGCAGAGGGATCAGCCAGCCACCAGCGCAGATGCTCCTTCTCCTTGAAAGGCTCGATGTGGGGTGGCTTGTATTCCTCGTCGATCCGTCCTTCGCGGCCGTAGCGGTCGATATCTGTCAGCTTGTTGACGGCGATTGTGTGTTTCTTGTCCAGCGGGACACCGTGCAGGTGCTTCACTGCGGCCACTGCCTGTTCGGGGGTATCATATTCAACGAACGCAAATCTAACGTCTGTGAGCCCAAAAAATACTAATACCATCATATTCCGGGAGCAAAACATACCCCTCCGACATGTTCTTCTCGTTGAGCGGCATGAAGATGGCATCTTCGCTCGTGTGTCCGACAGTGTTGAGTTTCTTCAGCAAGAACTTAATGAGCTTTTGTTTGCTCTCCGCCGGCACAACGGGCAGTCCATCGACGACAACGAAGGTATCCAGACCCTCCTCCAACTTGACTTCATATTGCGCCTTGAGATCTGTTGAGCGACAAAGCAGCGTTAGTTAGAGAGGGGCACAAACAGCCAGGGCGGCAAGGCCTGCCTACCAGAAAAGTCGATTTCTTCCTCCTCCTCCTCGTGCTGGAGGTCCTGCTCGGACAGGGTATCGAAACTGGGCGCCATGGCGAACTCGCAGACCAGGAGCGTACGACAAGCACTCAGGTCGTAAGGGCGATGGACTGCAACTGGCAGATTTCTTCGTCTTTTGTTCCCGTTCGCGCAGGCCGTCTCGTTAGGGCAAAGATTAATCTCGCCGTCTGTGTGCGCCGCGATGCTGAGTCATCCGTCGCACGGCTCCTTGATTGATCCGTGCCGGGACAGTCACCTGACATGCTTAGGTCATCCTTCCCCGGTCTCCGCCTGAGCTTCTGGGCAATCGTTCGCTTTCTAAACCCGTCAACAACAAGAAGCCCATTAAACGGCTGTAGTAGACCGGCTGGCTTTCTTTGTTCTCTCCGGTCTCTTTTTTCTTTTCGTCCTTGCTGATCTCTACACTACCTTCTCTTCCATCCTCCTCACGTTGGGCATTCCTCAAGCGCATCCATATCATACCCCGCCGGCCTTAACCGCCAGCGGTACACTCACTAACTAGATCGGGGTGCCTATCCAACTACAGCTCCTGTCGTCAACCTTTCCTGTGTTGATCCAACCGTCCCCCAATTTCCTACAATTCTTCAGATCTCTCTGCTGTTCCAGTTTCTCTCAAAGTTCTCTCGCAGTTACGGGCAAGATGTCATGTGAGTGTTCTTGGTCTCGAGCACGCGCATGCGACAGGAAGCTAATAGTAGTGTCGCGACAGTATGTCCCGAGGTCCGCGAATCCTATGTCAAGGTCATTGACTCCATCTTGGCCGCCAGTGATCTGAACACCATCTCAGAAAAGCGAATCCGCAAGGGTCTTCAGGAGGCTGTCGGCTATGACCTGACACCGCAAAAGGTTCGTTGTTTCGTCGTGACGGTCGTCGCCAATTGCGCGCGCTTATCCGTCTGGTGATCCTCATGCTGACCGATGGGGAAGGCGGTCATCAAGGAGCTCATCATGGAGCGTTTCGATATCTTCGCCCAGAGGAATGGTGTAGGAGAGTCTTCGGAGAATGCTGCAACGACCTCTGAGACTACGAACGGACACAAAGCAAGCGATGCCTCTAACCCCACCGCGGCACCAGCGTCTCCTACTTCGTCCACGTCCCAGAAGCGCCAAGCTGATAGCGAAGACCCTTCCGAGAATGGCACCAAGACGCCTCCAAAAAAGAAGAGAAAGGCAGACATCGACGCTGACGCCCTGTATGCTGCCAAGCTGCAAGCAGAGGAGAACCTGCGCGCCAGGCCGACTCGCGCTGGGAGCACAAGGAAGGCGGCCCCGATCAAGAAGAAGAAGTCCAAAACTTCCAAGAGGGTCAAGGCAGAGGATGATTCCGATGTGGAGTCTGGATCTGAGGCAGGGACTAAGAAGGAGGTGAATCGATCGGGTGGTTTCCACGTGAGTCCGGTCACCCTTGATAGAATCATATCACCAGTGGCTGACCTTGATGTCTTTACAGAAACCTCTTACATTATCTCCAGCACTGTCGAATTTGCTGGACGGTGAGGTGTCGGTAAGTGGAGTCCCCTACGTCCTGGTCGTTGTTGCCCGATCCTCTGCTAACGGAATGAAGCTTTCCCGGCCCCAGACAGTAAAGCGACTTTGGCAATATATTCGTGAACGTGATCTTCAGGACCCCAATGATCGCCGCCAGATCCGCTGTGATGATGCTATGCGAGCAGTATTCAAACAAGATCGGGTCCACATGTTTACCATGACCAAGATCCTCAATCAGAATCTCTATAACCCCGATGAATAATACCTGACAGCATCTTTGAAGAGCATGACGCCGTGGTTGGGCGCAGACTTGGCTTTCTTATTATTTTTTTTTCTTTTCCTTCTTTTTTTCTTGCATTGTCTATCTCACCCTTATGTCGCGCAGGACACGTGAACCTCTACACACAATTATTTTTGGCGTCATATTTCCTTTGTTTCTCCGGCTATATCTCTTAGCGAACGACGCTTGTACAAGCATCATATCATACTCTCTTTTTGTATCTCCAGCGGGAGTTGGTGGCTTTGATGGGGGGATCCTGCGTGTGGTATCCTGGACTGACTCTTTTGCCATTCACGAGAATTCCATTACGCAAGAATAAAGCGTACCTTTCTCTTATCACAGTCCTGGATTTGCCCAGCCTCACATAACTAACTGCTGTAATCCTAAGCTTATAGTTCCTTCAATTCTATTCTAGTTATTTAGCGTCTGGCAGTAACAATCGCGTATTGATCTTGTTCTGTCCATTCAGCATGCTTTCCCGCACTCACCGCCTTGGGTTCAGTCAAGCCGATTAACAGCGCGTACTCTAGCCATCTTGACTCATAATGACTCTGAAGACATCAACATCAGGCAAATCCTGCCGTTCGAGTTCACTGGAGATCACTCGAGGCTCCTCCCTTGAGGAGGTCGCCTGAAAGTTCTGGCGAATATCAAGTATTTCGCACGTACATAATCTCCTATCTTTCCTTCTGACGTCCCGCATCTGCGGCAACGACTTTTTTATCCGCTGGTTGATAATCTTCCCCACCGGACCGCTGCCACAGAACGTGCCGAGAGTTGCGAAAGCTCAGCAGTCGCCCGTCCTGTGAAGTATCCCCTATCTTGTCGGTCCCGTCTTGTTCGGTTCCTTGTTTGTGACTGGGACACCACAATGGCAGATCAAGCCTCAGCTCAAGGAGGAGCTCCACGCGGTCCGCGGGACTCGAACAACCCCTCACACCCAGCGGCTGACGGCAGCGGGTCTAGAGACTCAAGAGGGAGAGGAAGAGGCGGTAGAGGAGGACGAGGCGGCCGCGATAGGCAAAATCGCAGCCAGAAGAACCGACAGCCAGGTGTAAATGCGACATCAGGAGATGGCGGACGAACTCCTGGCGCAAGTTCCGGAGGCAAAGGCACCACCGGTGATCACTCGACCGGAAATTCAACGACAGAGGGTGAGGATAAGGGCAAGCTGCCGGCTGGTGTCACAGCGGAAGAAGACGCGGATGACGCTGAGGTCTGCTTTATCTGCGCATCAAAGGTCGAGCATACGTCTGTTGCGCCATGTAACCACCGCACTTGTCATATCTGCGCGTTGCGGCTGAGAGCCCTGTATAAGACCAAAGCTTGCGCGCACTGCAGGGTATGTAGACCGTTGTTTCATCCTATCTCTGGTTATCACAGCTGTATACTGATCAGTTTCTATCGAAATTGACAGACCGAATCCAGCTTTGTCATCTTTACCGATGACCCCCTTAAGCGCTACAACGAGTTCAATGAGTCGGATTTCGTCAGAAAGGATGACAACTTAGGAATCAAGTATGAGAAGGACGAAATCTTCGAGGACACTGTATTGCTACTGCGGTACAACTGCCCGGATGAAGACTGCGATGTAGCGTGTTTGGGCTGGCCAGACCTTCATCGCCATGTCAAAACCAAGCATGGAAAGGTGATGTGGTAAGTATCTCTTGGAAAGTACGAGTTTGCAGTAGAAGGTGCTAATATATCTCACAGTGACCTCTGCACAAGGAATAAAAAGGTATTCACACATGAACATCAATTGTTCACAACAGCAGAACTTCGGAAGCATGAGAAGTATGGTGACAATAAGCCTGGAGAGGTTAACCAGAGTGGGTTCCGTGGTCATCCTGAGTGCGGATTCTGTCGCCAGCGTTTCTACGGCGATGATGAGCTTTATGCCCATTGCCGAGACAAACACGAGCGCTGCCACATATGTGACCGCCGGTCTGGGAACCGTCAACAACAGTACTACATTGACTACAACGCACTTGAGGATCATTTCCAGAAAGACCACTTCCTCTGCTTGGATAAGGAGTGTCTCGAGAAGAAGTTCGTCGTCTTTGAGTCTCAGATGGACTTGAAAGCCCACCAACTAGAAGCACACCCTAACGGCCTTTCAAAAGACGCAAGAAGGGACGCTCGTCTAGTCGATATGTCCGCTTTCGACTACCGCGCTCCGTACCAGGCCTCGAGGCCTCGCAGGGAGCGTGGAGCAGGTAGAGGACGTGATCCGAACGCGGAGCCTCTTCCAGTCTCTAGTGCTCAGCCGCTGAGAAGAGACGAAATAGCATATCAGCGACAGGTGGCTATCCAGAGTGCTCAGTCCGTATCGACGCGAAGCTTCGGTGGCCAGCTGACACGTAACGATACTCAGCCTGTCCGCGCACCCGCCCGTCCTGCTGATCCTACACCTGCTCAAGCTGCCGCTGCTGCCTCTGCTGCACGCAATCCTCCAGTTTCGGCGATGGAGAACCTCAATATCAGTGCCACCACCGGTCCTCTTACTCCTCAAGAGCAAGCTCGTCGTCTCCGCCATGCTGCCGTGATCGAGCGGGCGTCTACCCTGCTCCGTAATGATCAGATCAAGATATCCGAGTTTCGCGCCAAAGTCTCCAGCTACCGCACTTCAGCCATCTCCGCCACCGAACTTCTCGACGCATTCTTCTCCTTGTTCGATACGTCTAGTTCCGAACTTGGCAAGCTTATCAAGGAGCTGGCCGAAATATACGAAGATGAGTCAAAACGCAACGGCCTCCTGAAAGCTTGGAACGATTGGCGGGCCATCAACGAAGACTATCCCGCTCTTCCTGGACCCAGCGGTATGGTGCCTGGCCTAACACTTGGTACTGTCAGCGGCGCGGGTGGCGGTGGTAAGCGTGTGTTGCGCCTGAAGTCCTCAACCGCTCAGTCTTCTCGGTCTGTCGTTAGCAGAAGCGGAGCCAATGCGTTCCCGGCTTTGCCAACCGCTGCAGCGAGGGCTTCTAACAACAGGATGTCTTCTAACAATAGAAGCTCCACGGTCTGGGGTAATAGTGGTACTCAGAACATATCTTCTCCTGGTCCGTCTTCTGTTACCGTTCGGCCTGCCTCTCGCCCTGCTACGACCGCGTCGCACGTAGCCGGCAACACCACTCGAGCAGCAGTTCCACGCGACAGCGAGGCATTCCCCTCTCTGCCACCCGCTGCGAAGCCTAACGTCCTCATGGCCGGTCTTACGCGCGGCACTGTCCGCTGGGACGACCGTCGTGGACCAGCCCCAAGTGCCTGGGGAACTGGCAGTTCCAACAGTGCTTCTGCCCAACCTGAGAACGAAGAGTCTGCTAACGACAACCATACTGGGAAGAAAGGAAAAGGAAAGAAGGGAAAACAGACTCTCTTCCACTTTGGTTGATAGCCTCCTTAGGGTCACTGTTTTATTTCCGGGCCCTATGCACGCTGATTCGGTTTCCATGCATATGTTGGAGTCATCAAGGGATTTGTCTCCGTCTTAGTTTCTCTTTTTTATCTTTACTTTGAGACTGGTTGGATGTGTAGAGTAGTATTTCGAGCCAGTTCCGGTGCATGAGCAAAAAGGAAAAGCGTGTTGTTATTTGTAATATGTATCTAGTTCTATTCCACTACAATGAAAGATAAAAGTGATACAGATCCCACCTCTTCCTGAGGATTTTGTCTTCGGTCTTGGGTCATCCTGGTAGGATATTATTCTGAGTAGCTGTAAAGTAACATGGAGGAGTTTATTTGTAAATTCGGTCGCATTACTTTGTATTCTTAACTAAATGATACTATATATTTATACACAGAAGGAATTACATAAAATAAGATATCCCTTCCACCCTCTTGGGCTTCATCCCTCAACCTGATTATCTGTGGAAGAACCACCGCGTGGTCCCGGAGAGTCATCTAACAGATCACTGCATTCGTCACGATGATCACGCTGACTAGATCCTGACCCCTGGTCCATTTCTTCTGTCGAGTAATTAGCATCCTCGGATACTTCTGAGATGAGTTCTTCCTCCACATCATCTTGTTCGTTATCATCATCATCAGAAGATGCAAACTCGGCGTCTACGGCCGCTAGTTGCAGAATGAACTCTTCTTGGAGCTTGCTAAGCCACTCCTTCAAAGCTACATCTTCCATATTGCCATCCTTGGCTTGCATTAGTTGCTCTTTTAATCTGAGGATCAAGTTTCGCCTTCTCGCAATAGCTACAGCTTTAGAGCTACCTTGGCGACGCTCCACGATCTCGGTCAGCTTCTCTGATACGTTTGCAGCTACTTCGAGTACTCTTGGAGGGAGAGCAACGAGTTTGGCCAGAGCGAGTCCGTAGAACTTTTCCTGGACGTGTCCCTCGGCGATTCTATAGAGCATGGTCATCTTCGATGCTTCGGGTGATAGTTCAACTGCTAAGTGGAGATTCACGACGCCGCTTCGCTCGGACATTATACGGGCCAGGTCACGGAAGTGGGTTGCGAACCATACCAGAGCGTGGCTTTCAACGAGAGCTTCTGCGATGGCAATTGCGATAGCGAGGCCGTCGGTCGTGCTGGTGCCGCGACCTAATTCGTCAACAATGACCATGCTTCTAGGCTCGATGTTGTGAAGAATAAATGACATTTCGCGCATTTCGGCAGTGAACGTTGACATATTAGCTTCGATATCGTCCGTTGTGGAAACGCGAGCGAAGAGCTGGTGGACGATTGGGAAAGATGCGTATTGGGCGGGAACGAAACAGCCGATTTGTGCCATTATCGTCATCAAAGCGAGGGAGCGTATGTATGTGGATTTACCGCTCATGTTGCAGCCGGTGATGATTTGAAATCGAGACTGCTGAGCGGCATAGGCGTCGTTCGGGACGAATTTATTGGACTGGATCCTCTCCTTGATCGGGTGTCGACCAGCTTTGATGGCTAGGACGTCTGTTAATTCCGGACGTACGTAGTCTTGAGTTGTGACGAGCTGGGCGAAGGCTGTCAACATGTCGAGAATGGCAATCGCTTCGCTTACTTTGAATAGTACAGATATCTCGGATCTTATATCCTCGATTAGTTCCTGGATACTCCTGTCGCTCATGTTGACAACTTCGTTGTGGGAATCCATGATCTTTTGGTTCAGTTTGACAAGATCTAAGGTCTGGCATTCAATGGTGTTCTTTTTGCGAAACACATTGATGAAGATATCTGGAAGAGGTCCATTCTCCAGTTCTCCGGTAGACATACTGATATAATATTGACGAGCGGGGTCGAACTTCAGGTCCAGGACAAGATTATGAGCCTCTGTAGAGTGTCAATAATTTGGACGTGAATTAGGAGGAACACACAACCTGCGAGAGCAGATACCAGCTCCACAGCATCCGCATTTGCCTCCTTGTATGTCTGGCGTGCGACGTCTAGAAGACTATTCACTCCAGCCTGCAAAGTTCGTTATTTCCTGTCTCATCGATGTGGCTGGAACATTCACCTTGATTGCGTATGTGCGCTGGTTCCTCAGGTCAAGGGGTCTAGTTTGGTAGGTTACATCTTCATTCAACGTTGCGTCTATCAGCTCTTGAATAGCACGATGACGGGTAGGATTGCAGAGCTGGGATTGTCAGTCGAAGATGAATTATTGATCCCAATTATGCCAGACTAACGTCTCTGATATTCAGTAATAGCTCACTCTGCGCGGTGGCCAATGCATCATAAACAGGCTTGATGGATGAGACGTAGGTTTTTAACATAATAACCTTATTAATGCATTGTTCGGCATATTGAAGGGACAGTTTGGTAGGAATCAAGATGAGCTTGATAGTCAGCGTATTGGGTCATTCTCGAATGTGTGTTCCCGACTAACAGAAGTAATAATCCTATCTGAATCCACAAAGTTCTTGAGAGCTACGCAGGGAGAAGTCAATAAGCGGAAGCCTCTCTGAAGCATTCACGGACCTTGTCTGATAGAAAAGAACATGTCTTCATTTGTGGTCAGTTCCTCTAAGGCATCATATCTACCGGTGATCTTGCGTGGCTCCGTTGACGGCTGAAGAATGTTACTACGAAGCAGTCTGGCGCCCATTGGCGTCAGTGTCTCATTAAGAAGCCCGAACAAGGAGTCTTTGGACTTCGTATTCTGCACGTTCTGGATCAACTCTAGAGAAACAACGGTAGCAAGGTCAATCATCATAGATCCCTGCGAAGGTTCGAATTTGATGCGAAGAGAATGGAAGGAAAAAGACATGCCGAGTTCCACTTCGACATACTTCAACACCTAGTAGAGATTAGTTAAGCATTGATTTGTGGACAGCAGCTAACAAACCGCAGCAAGTGAGCACGTTGCGAAATAGTTGCCCTCCAATGTGATTTTAATGGTCTCGAGATCTTCCTGGAAGGCGAGTCGGTCCACATATTCGTGTCCTGTCCTTTCCGACCAGTATTTGCGATCAATTGTGGTGGTCTTGAGATCTGGAAGGTTCTCCTGGACGATAGAATACAACTTAGATTGTATATCTCTGGCTGTACTCATGAACAATATTTCCGTGGGCTCAAACACGTCAATTTTGTTTATTGTCTTGACGTAAGTTTGGCTATCGCATATCTGGCAGAGCACTGCTTCAGAGGTAGAAAGATTGACAAACGCGAGGCCCACGGTTGATGATATTCCTCTTGATTCACTAATTGCGCATATTATATCCTGGGAAGCTATACTTGTAGCTGCCGTCATGGGTCTTCCGGTTCTTGGTCGTCCAGTATTTGGTCTGCCCGAGGGGTGTCTCGACGAAGTAGTAGTCGTTGTTCCTTGGTCATAGGGGTAAGATGTACCCGTCGAAAAGGATGAAGCCATCGTCAGTCCCCTAGCTCATTTGATAGTCTCACAATATTATTGAGATCGATATACGATTATAGGCATCTCCCAGAAATGAAAACGATGTGGTTGATGTCTCGAGACTGTTGAGGACTGTTGCGGAGATAAACCACAGTTGGACAAAACGGGTTTAGTGCGATCATGCCCGAAATTTCTCCAAACCGATAAACTTTGCGATATCAGAGCAATTCAATCGCAGAAACAACTTTTTTGCTGCAAAATGGCCACTGTCTTTCCTCCTCCCAGCAAGCGCCAAAAGCGCGAGGTTGCTGAAAGGGCACAGCAACAACAGGAAATCCAAGCTATCCCGGAAAACCTGGGAAACGTTCGAGTGCAATTCTTCGACCAAGCTACCGGAAAACCCACTGGCCCCGCGGTCGCTGTACCTGTCGCCAATGCAAATGTGAAAAATCTTGAGACACTGCTTAATACGCTCCAGGGTAATGTAGGTATGCCTTCCATTCTCGAGATCGTTAACGAATTTGAGAAAGTACCGAATACCGGATTAGCTGACTCCGTGCCTGTAGGATGAGAATGAGCGCGTGCCATACAGGTTCACGTATCGATCGGACGAAAAAGACGAGCAGACGGTCGATATCCTCTCAGACCTATACTCTTCCTTGCTGAAGCCTGGTCTAAAAACTACCGAAGATATCGTTCACCTTCACTATACCCCGCAGGCTGTATTTCGAGTAAAGGCTGTGTCGCGATGTGCTTCCGCAATCTCTGGTCACGGAGAAGCAATTCTGGCGACACAATTTTCTCCTATCTCTTCGTCGACAATGGTATCTGGAAGCGGAGATTCCACGGCTAGGATATGGGATTGCGACACAGGAACTCCAAAGCATACCCTGAAGGGTCACACTAGCTGGGTTCTAGCAGTCAGCTATTCGCCTAATGGCCTCATGATAGCCACTGGGAGCATGGATAATACTGTGCGATTGTGGGATGCAAAGAACGGACAGTCATTAGGGAACGCTCTTCGTGGCCACACGAAATGGATCACCAGTCTAGCGTGGGAACCCTACCATTCGCAGGAACCAGGAAGGCCACGACTTGCATCTGCTTCGAAAGATTCGACAGTTCGCATCTGGGATGTAGTGACGAAGAAGATCGATACCCTTCTCACAGGTCACAAAGGATCGGTGACGTGTGTCCGATGGGGTGGTACAGGGAAGGTCTACACGGCGTCGCACGACAAGACTATCAAAATCTGGAATCCTAAGGATGGAAGCCTTATCCAAACATTATCCGCGCATGCTCATCGCGTAAATCACCTGGCCCTTTCTACCGATTTCGTCCTACGCACTGCATTCTATGACCACACTGGCAAAGTCCCTCAAACAGATGCTGAGAAAGTCAAAGTGGCTAAAGAGCGATTCGAGAAAGCCGCGACGATTGACAACAAGGTCACGGAGAAGCTTGTGTCTGCTAGTGACGACTTCACTATGTTCCTTTGGGATCCTGCGAATTCGACCAAGCCCGTGGCTCGGTTACTTGGTCACCAGAAGGAAGTGAATCATGTCACTTTCTCGCCAGACATGGCATACATCGCATCTGCGGGTTTCGACAATCATGTCAAACTATGGAATGCTCGTGACGGCAAGTGAGTATCGTCCAGTCTATCCAATTGACAACGCAACACGGAGCTAATCTTCTTGATTTCAGATTCATCACCACACTTCGCGGCCACGTCGGTGCCGTCTATCAGTGCTGTTTCTCCGCTGACTCGCGTCTACTCGTATCCTCCTCCAAGGACACCACGCTGAAAGTGTGGGACGTTCGCACCGGGAAATTGTCCATGGACCTCCCAGGTCACCAGGACGAAGTGTATGCTGTCGACTGGAGCCCCGACGGAGAAAAGGTCGGCAGCGGTGGACGGGACAAGGCAGTTAGGATATGGAGACATTAACGGTCTCGACGATATCAAAATATGGTTGAAAAAGTATATAGCAAAATGACAATAATGATACCCCGGGGTTCGGTGATCAACAAAACTGAGTTCGATTTCTCTTGATGATCTATAAATGCACGCTATTGACATTCAAACTAAGAGACAAAGGCAGTGATCGATGAATGTCATATGCATGAGCGTAAAACCATGGTCTCATCAAATGAACCCATTCAAACTCATCATGACCAACCCTAGTGAGATTTCTACCGCCCAGACACCGGACACCTTGATCCCCTGTACCCTTCCCACCGCGCCGCTCTTATGTCCTGAATCAGTCGAATTACTCGAGTTCGAACCCCCTCCAACCGGCAGTACATTTTCTATGAAATACTTATTGTCGTCCCCCACGACATTTCCAGCCGGGTAATACTCGCAGACAACAAACCAGCCGCTGGCCTTTCCATCGTCGCCGCCCGTGTCCGATGTGCAGTTTACTCGAGCACATCCAACGGTCCTCGAGGCCCTCCAGACGAGCTGCGTGAAGTGGCCTGTTGATTCGGCGTAGCCAGGATCTGAGTAGTTGTATAACTTCTCTTCATCACCCCAGGCTTCGACGGAAGCAGAAGCGTTTGGGTACCCCTCAGCGAGGTTTTCGCCATAGGGGCCATGCTGGAGGTCAGTTAGTCATTGATTGTGACCATTTAACTGGTTAAACTACTGGAGAATTGAAGAAAAACGGGGAGTTTTTTCATGTATTAAATGACAAAGCGGAAAAAAACATGCAGCCCTTACAGAATGTTTCCATAGACATTTCTTCGCCCAATTCTCCGCATAGGCAGTCAACGAGTTATTCCATGTTAGAGCGCTGGCATCGTGTTGCGCGCGGTATCGATTCGTCACGTTCAGGACTGTATCTTCGAACAATGTCTCTGATGTGTATGAACGCGCTGGAGTTGGCTGAGGTGCATAGCTTGTGATGACTACGGTCGATACGACGGTAGCTTCGTCTGATGTGGCCAAGGCAATGCCACTTTGCACAGCGAGATATAGGAAAGAGAGGACATGAGTGCGGTATAACTTCAGCTGCATTGCTGGAGAAATAAAAGCAAAGCCCTCCTCCTCGACAAATCACAATCCGCAAAGCGTAGGTTAACTAGATCTGTTGCTGTCTGTGTCACATATGACGTTATGGTCGTACTGAATATCTATATGCTAGTGCGGCTATGCAGATCGTGGTGCAGATCGGTATCATTTGCAACGGCGTCTGAAAGGACAATTTGCTGAATATGCTTTGAACGCGCCGAAAGTTGAAATTGGATGAGTTAAAGGGAAAAGGAAAATATTGTTGGATCCCCCAGTCAAAAGGATCCAGTAGTAACTGCCGGTGAGACAGGATTTGAAATCTTCTAAATATAGCATTTTAAGACAGCGGCGAACAGCGATTATTATTGAACTTGAACTACCGAATACCTACGTACCATATCTTCTGCCCCGCAATGTGCGGCCCGAAGCTCTCTCGGGATCTCTTTGTCACTACTGGCGACTCATATAAGATAGGAACTTTTCTGGAATGGTTCTCTAGTTTATCTCTTCCGGTTCTCCTTTGATTCCCTTCTGTCGCCGTGGTGCAGCGTCATGCGTACGAGCAAAAAGACGCGGCCCGGGAACCTTTTCCAACCATTGTAAGCCTGGGATGTAGGACCCATGGTTATGGGAACATATTTTCGAGATGGAAGCCTAGAGAACTTCTGTGTCATCAGCCGCCGGGTTCTCTATCTAGATTAGTAGCCGGTGTTTCCGCTTTCCGCGCAGGGTTCCTGGACATCCCATATCGAGGATCAAAAGAAATAAAGGCTATCAGGACACCATTATTACGGTTCAGTGTGGTCGATAATGTGTTGGTATTTCAGGATCAGTGATCAGTATTCTCGTCATAAATTCCTGGCGGCTTGGCCTCAGAAGATGTTCCATCCGGATCCGGGCTCTACCGTCTGGTGCAAAACGGATTCATTCACGTAGCTCATCATGATTTCTATATCTCTGGGTATCTATGCACATTCCGCTCAAGTGAACTCGCTGATGCTATATACGCTTCCTTTTTCTGCGCTCGCAATGAAGCTATGCAGTGTCAAACAGCTCTCTGGGGCTAAGAGCCGCTCTGTTGTAGATGACAGTACTTCGTTCTGATAGCCAAATATTTCGTATAGAGAACGGTGCTGTAGCCCCGAAGATAAACGTTTGTGGGACCCGCGATGGTGTCGCCAGCGGGGCAGTCCTGGTATGATAGCAAGCGTGCCAGTTATGTACGCGCGTCGCAATCGTTTCGGATAGTATGATTGCTCGAGTAGATGAGAGTCGATATAAGCATGTCTCTACATGATGCTACATCCAACACCGTACATGGCTCGCTCAACGTTATGTCGCACTATATACCAATCTGCACGACGCTCGGCGAATTCGTAAACCTCTTCTGCTCGCAAGATGCCGTAGAATCGATCATTATCGGCAATGACGGTGGCCAGCTCTTTCGCATCGGAGGGATGGATGAGATAGATTTGAGCCAGTTCCCGGAGAGCCTTGAAGTAGAGCAGCAGTTCACTGTTCTTCAACGTCTGTATGTAGCGGTAGTAATGGTTCATATCGCTGTATTGGAAAAGTAAGTAAATTGTCGGACGTATATTTCGAGATCTCCCTACCTGATAAGCTTTAGTGAACCTTCGACGCTGATGCGCTGCCGCTTTAGATGCTTGCACAGAGCATTGAAGAGACGAAGTCCAACTTCTTGGTTGAAAACATCCAGCGTACTCTTGTCTGTACTTCCCACAAGCATCTGCGTATGGGATGAGACCACATCCACTACAGCCCGCGCAGCTTCACTAACCCCCACATCCATTGTTTGCCGTTTGGGGTCCATAGAGACCTCCGGGTTAAAATCAGTGGCTACCTGCCTTGTGGCAAGAATATAATCCACTTCTTCCATTAGGACATTGATACCCTTGTTGAGCCCAGCAGCCACCCGTTCGTCGAGCATCTGTTCAAATTTCTTCTTTTCCTTGACTGCAGGGTCCAAGAAGTCGCTTCGGTCAGTCAACTTCGAGCCTATCAGCTCCTGTTCGTAGAAGACGTCCACCATCTGAAGAATCAGATCGCCAACGTTTACTAGTTCCAGGAATGTCACCAGAGGTTCGACCCCAGACGTGTCGCGGTCTCCTTGCTCACGTGGCCTATAGTTGGACAGGTGATCCACTGCCTTGTCAAAGCCTTGGATGACATGGCGCTGTCCTAGAATGCGCAGCAAAGCAACAAATATGGCCTCGCATTGGTGTCTTGCTGCCATGCCGTACTCTCCGCCAAGTTTCACAAACTGCGCCGCTCTCTCCAGACTGTTTTTCGCGGAATGGACAAGGCCTAAAGCGACCTCAATACTGAAGAGCGATCGGATACCTTCCAGTTTTGCATTCATGATAGCAGCCTTTGCTGCGAGTTCTGTGGTTGGAGCCTCCTGTAAGGGAACAGGAAAAACCGGAGACATTGTAGTCGAAAATCTGTTGGGACTCTTCAGCGGCGGGTTCGGGTCAGCGCCGCTCAATTCACCCTCGCTTTTAGCAGTGCTTGATTTTGATGAGAAGCTTGGAAGAATATTCACAGGCATCATGACGACCTTCTTGAAAGAGGACAGGAAATCCTTCTTATCAGCTTGTCGATTCACATTGGACATCAGAAAAGACTCCGTTGACGCTGCTTGCTCGGAGAGCTGCCGATCCCATTCATTAACTGCATCATCAGAACCTTTCTTGAAAAATTCTAGCTCCTCCGCAAGATACAGGTCAATATGTGCCTCATAAATTCCGGCAATGACACGGTTGACTGTGTCATAGAACTCATCACCGGTAATGTGGATAGGCTGTAACGATTGGGAAAAGTTTGTGCATTGCACAAAAGTTCCTGATACAGCTTTGAGGTAGGATTCAACGTCTCTCCGATGCAGCTCCTCGAATAACGCTGCCAGAAACGGGGACATTACATCCACTCCCACCTTCTGAAGAAAAGGGGTAGCAACGTCTAAAGACGGTGGGAAAGCTCGCGAGATTATCGAGACCTCATCATTATAGCCGACACCTAGGCGGGTAAGAAAAGCTTGGGTGTGCTGAAGCTTAACAGCCCCAGTTTCCGAATCGATACAGTCTTTTACGTTGCCAAAGTCAGACTTCCTGGTCACGACATGGTTGTGGTGGATAAAATAGTCGATAGCAGAGCCGCCCCCGTTGAGAATCGTAAGCACATGGGCATATTTGCGCATTTTACCATCAATATCCTCGCTTTCATAACCGTCTCGGAACTCCTTGGCAGCTGCGACCTCAAACATGGAGACTGTATCCTGCAGCTGCCGATGACGTTCCTCCCACCCTGTCGTAGTATCGGATTTGGCAAACGCCTGAAGCTGAGAGAGGATCTGCGCTTGATGCTCTGGGTCCTGGTATTGTTTGAATACCATGTTCTCAGTAGACGGACCATTGCTCACTATATCATTGTAGAACGGAGCCAGCGCAGCATGAACTTTCCCATACTCCTGTCGCGCTTCTCCGCGTATGGACTGGACTGATTTCAATGCCACCAGAGGACCCTCAGCTGCTGGACCTGAGAACTGGTTGGACGTTGTTGGAACTGACAGGCTTATCTTGTCGAAACCATCAATAAGAGATCTCCTGTTATTAGCTGCGCCATTGTCGCCAGCAGAACCATTTGTAACAGACACACTGTCTGCCAGCTCCTGTATTTCCTGTCGCTCCACACTTTCAACCGTGGCAATTGTCCCATGTGTTTTCTCCACATGCTTCCTCGCTTCTATTTCGTTCCAGCAACCCATGCGCTTCAGTCTCTGTACCCATCTGGTGTCATCATAGACCATCTCACGAAGGAGGCGCGAGGAACGTGCGGCGAGGATCAAATCGGTAGGAGATAGGTAGTCAAGAATAGAAGACATGATCTCTAGTCATAACGATATTTCATTAGCTTTGAAAATCCTCTCTATATCATGGACATCTGGAGATGTGGAACCAAAACACCTACCAGCAGGGAGAGCCGCTCTGGACACCTCCTCCATGGAGGCCATCCTCAACGTAGCCAGCACATCTCTCCTCGGCTTGTTCGCCTGGGCTGGCCCTCTCCTTGGTTTTGACATGTTGGTATCGCTGGTTCAGCATCTGGTAGAACAGCTCTTCGTATTGTAAGTATGTTATCGCATTCGTGGGCGACGGGAGCTCGTGGCGGTCCGTGAGCTCATGCGACCGCGTGGATCTTCACCGGAGAAAGGAGGAGACAGTTAAAGGACTTTAACGAAACAGAGGAGAAGGTATAATCATTATCATTATCATTTTTAAAAATCTTCCATGTAGTTCTTGGAGATTGTCAACATACCTACACACCGGACGGCGGAGTGTTTGGGGTACTCGGGATGCCCGCCGGTGGCACTTTGGAGATCGGCAAAATTTCCATGTCGGGCTAGGAAAGGAACTTCTTGTCTGCAGAATCCGGGGTAATCTTCCATCTATTGATCCACTCTCTGTTCAGCTTCGTGAGAATATCCGTCTAGGGATTTGTAAAGTGTTCCAGTTTCTAAAAATCATATGGTGAGGACAGAGAATATGCTGTGCGTTTCCAAGATTATGAGCACCTGTCTTCCGTATTTCATGTGGAATATTTATTCATACTTCAGATGTCACTGCACGCGCCATTACTCGAACAATCATCGCATTGATGTCACAGAGATATTATACTTCCACAGCAGGAGCCAATTAGGTTGATTTGCGCAGCCATTCTCTTTAAGTATTAAACTTCTTCCTATATACTAGAATAACGACTTGGAAGCACCGCGCAGTATGGATTCATGAGCAGCCAGGAACGTGAAAGCGTAAGATGTAAATGTTGATGCTGTAAGCTACTTCCGACGAGAAGAGACAAAAAGAGATATAGGGAGCATCGTGTAAAGCTCGTCGAAGAGTGGCGTGTGCTTGTCCCAAAGTAAGGTAACAGGTGACCGGCTTCACTGCCACCTGAGGAGCGTTCAACCCGCAATCGCCTCGCTGTCAATACCCCACTGTCATCCTCGATGAGGTTATTTCTTTTGAGCTGTCGATATGCCTTCAATTTTCTGTACCTCGCTATTAACTGGAGACATTTCTAAACCAATCCTCCACGTAGAAGCTCGTGTCAAGAGCGATGGAGAGAATGTCATTATCCGTACAGACGTCGTGGGTCTTCTACAGCGCGATACCATTCTCTGTATCATGACACTTACGAGCATTCAGATTAGAGAAGAGATCAGTAAATGGCTGGTCGAGAACTTTGCAGTGCTGTCTTTGGGCCAGGAGCTGCGCTCGTTCGGTAGGGGCACTGCTCTTCTTGAACTGAGGAGTTTATTCCTTACAACTCCGCGCAGATGACCTTAGGGAATCACACGCTCAAGTTCTCGATTCCATCAAGGTTACTGAGTGCACTGGAGGCCAACTGGAATCAGGAGCATACCGCTTGGAAGATGTCCAGCTGGATGTGCAGGCGTACCAGCTACGAGGTTCCGCAGAACTGGAGAGTTCTCAACAAACTATGAGACTAGGAGATAACGGAGAGGATACAGGGCCTCAAGCTAGAGTTGTTGCTCTGCCGAATAAAGAGTTGGACGGTATCTGGGAGTCGTACGTATCACTGCACTGTGGGATTGATAATATGTTAATTTTGGATCTCCAGTCTATTGTTTGAACAACAGATTCCATCGACTCTGCTACGAGCACTTAGCCGCATGGGTTAGTACTCGAGTCCCGGTTTTTCTTGTCAAGACTAACAGTACAGTTTCAATGTCCGCTCGTCGTTTAGACGCATGGACGATCAATTGGAATCGCCTCGTTCTCCTCTGGGGACCTCCAGGCACAGGAAAGACAAGTCTATGGTCAGTACTGCCAGACCGTATTTCTGCAAGTATAGTCCAAGGAGTAGCTGATCAAGGACTGCAGTCGTGCCCTTGCTCAGAAACTTGCAATTCGACTCGGGAAGCAATTCCCGCAGAGCAGGTTGATTGAGATAAATGCCCACTCGTTAGCCAGTAAATATTTCGGCGAGAGCGGAAAGCTTGTAAGCAAGATGTTCGATCATATCGAGTCTATGCTGGAGGAAGAAGAGGATACACTGGCCTGCGTCTTTGTGGACGAAGTCGAGACACTGACAGCCAAAAGGGAGCAAGCTCTCCAGGGGAATGAGCCGTTTGATGCCATGCGTGCAGTTAATGCGCTGTTAACAGCGCTGGACCGCTTGAGACACCGTCCGAACGTGGTCGTGCTCTGCACGAGCAACTTGATTGCAGCATTGGTGAGAGGACTGGAAGCTTGGACCCGTTTTTGATAGTATATAGTCAATTGCTAACCTTATTGTGACTGCCAGGACGACGCGTTTCTTGATCGAGTCGATATAAAACAGTTTATACCAAAGCCGCCATCAAGAGTAATTTACGAGATTTACAAGAGCTGTCTGGAGGACCTGAGTAGATGCGGTGTGATCGAGGGGAAAGCATTCGATGTGATACAGACCGTTCCTGACGACATATGTGCACCCCTTGAATACATCGAGCAGAACGCAGACGTACTGCTGCTTCCAGGATATGATGATATGCTGCTGAGGTATCAGATGTTCCCGGATTCTATTCCCAAGCAGCTTGCAGATGCTGCAAGTGCCAGTCAAGTAAGTACTGCAGCGGATACCCCGGAATTAACGGGATGATGTCTCCTCACATTATCACTAGGGGCTGAGCGGCCGTACACTGCGTAGACTGCCTGCTCTGTCGCTGGTACTGCATACACACTGGGCGACTTGCACGATTCACGAGGCGGCTGCGGCGCTGCGGAAGGGCATTGCAGCGGAACAGCGGGTGGGCACGGAAACGGCGGGGAGTAGCTAAGAGGCCATCTGGGACGGTTCCTGAGACATTGCACGGGGTAGCAGTGCTGTTGATACTGGAATGCAAGATAGAATCACGGTGTTCAGCGGTCTAGACATACAATATAACCATCACCTCGACGCTGAGCCGGCCTTTTGTGTGCTGGCATCTCGCGCTGTCGATGTCGTGCCGTCGCGGTTTTTGCCGAAGGAACCTAACCAGGGCCGGCGGCCAATCAGCGCGAGGGTTTAGCCAATCCACCCCCAAGAGAAACTTGACGAGCTCCGGTCGACAACTTCAACTTCACCTCCAAAGGACAACCTCCTCACCGGCGCCTACCTCCCCCCTCCCCTCTACAACCCCTCTGCGGCTCTTGTTCCTTCCTCTATCCTTGGGTGATCAGAGGGCCTTGGATTCATCAGCATGCTGGCACGCTCTTCCCTCCTCAGCGTGCCCTCGCGGGCGATCGCACGACAGACTTTCCGCCAAACAACCACGGTACGCATCACCGGCCTTCGACGAGCCATTGGCCTTGATGGGATAGCACAATTCCTTGCAAAGGCCGTCAGAAATATGATGAGGGACTTTTTGACTGACAAGATGCGCAGCGGGCGTCTTCCTCCACATCCGGCACTGAGGCCGCCAGCTCCCCCTTCTATCTCACACTCACGGCCACCGCTGCGACGCTCGCCACGATCGGTTCGACCGCATGGTACTACCATCTCTATGGCCAGGAGGCCTTTGCAATGACACCTGCTGAGGAAGGGTGAGTGGTCCTGAACCGCGTTTGATGGGTGTCTAGCCGTTCCGCTTCTCCGAAGCGTGCGACGATGACAACGATGGCAACTTCTAACGTGTTGGAATTAAAGATTGCACGCGACTCAGTACCCGTGGGAGCACCAGAAATGGACAAAGACCTTCGACCACCAGGCGTGAGTCCACCCGATCTATTGTTTTGGCTGATATCAGACTCACCTGGCTCTCCAGTCTGCGCCGCGGTTTCCAGGTTTACCGTGAAGTTTGCTCTTCCTGCCACTCTCTGACCCGTGTCCCGTGGCGTTCGTTCGTCGGTGTCATGCACACCGTTGACGAGATGAAGGCTATGGCCGAAGAGCACGAGTACGACACCGAGCCCAACGACGAGGGTGAGATCGAGAAGCGCCCCGGAAAGCTGTCCGACTACATCCCTCCGCCTTACAAGAACGACGAGGCCGCTCGTGCTTCCAACAACGGTGCTCTGCCCCCTGATCTCAGCTTGATCGTCAAGGGCCGTCACGGTGGCTGCAACTACATCTTCTCCCTTCTGACCGGTTACCCCGATGAGCCCCCAGCGGGTGCCTCCGTCCAGGAGGGTCTGAACTTCAACCCTTACTTCCCTGGAACTGGTATGGGCTCTGAATCTGAATTTGCTGTGTGATTAGAGAAGCTGACCTTCTTCTAGGTATTGGTATGGCCCGTGTCCTTTTCGACGGCCTCGTTGAGTACGAGGATGGCACCCCCGCCACCACCTCCCAGATGGCCAAGGACGTTGTTGAGTTCCTGAACTGGGCTGCTGAGCCCGAGATGGATGACCGCAAGAAGATGGGTCTCAAGTCTCTGACCATCCTGACCGGTCTCTTCGCCCTGAGCGTCTGGGTCAAGCGCTACAAGTGGGCCCCAATCAAGACGAGAAAGATCATCTACAACCCCCCCGTTGGCAGAAAGTAAGGTTGGAGAACGTCTCGATCGGATGATATGCGGAAACGGGAGGGTATGAAGGAGATATCCTAGCCTGCGTTCCATTCCCCCCGTTGGCTGGGTACTGTCGACTTCCGCCCTTCATTGGCCATTGTTACTACTTGTCTGTCTACCTGTTTTTATCTGAACCTACTCAGAAACGCTTGTATCTGTACCCTAGATATCTCCTTTGAAAATCTGTTCGAAGAAAGCCATTTCCTTTGTCAGAAAGAATTCCGTTTCTGTTTTTCAATTCTCGATCGCGTATTCCTGGTATATGGCTGCCTTTATGGGTGGAAGTTAGGTGCACTCCTGTCGGATGCGTCTTGTGAAAAATGCAATGTAGAAACATGTGGTACTTCTCAAGAGCGTCCCTTAAGTCGAGGTATAAAGGTGAAGATACACGGCCTTCGATGCACACTAACCCGAGCAGCGACACGGTAATGTTATTTGAACAAACCATCACTATCATTGCATTGATACTTCATATTTCATATCTATATTTATATATCCAAGAACTTCAAATAGTAGACATATAGTACCTTCTAGCGTGGAATCACATCCTCAATCGTCCGCTCTCCGTCTCCAAAAACCTGCTTAAAGCCATGGTCATAGGTCTTCCACATCGCAACGAAGACCTTATCTTCCACCTTTACAAGCCATTCTGGGCTTCGTCCATCAGAGTCGGCCAAGTATGCTCCCAGAGTTATCAGTAGAAAGATCAACGGCCCCCATAGTGTGAGGAAAAGACCCGATCCGACGCGCTGGCGGACGGTGGTTATGCGATATGGGCGGATTTGCGAAAGGTAGGTTTGGTACGAAATCGGAAGGTCATGCTCGGCGGCGCCTGTTCTTATCAGATCAAGGTAACGCGCGGAGGGTTGGGCGTAAGAAGGGTCCGGGCGAACGAGTGGGTTCGATTCACTATCTTCTCGATCTGGAGAGAGTAAAGTGTGCGCTTTGAAGGGCTGTGTCTTTGGCAGGTCGGGGACTGGATCTGTCGAGTTATATTTCTCGGGGAAGGGATAGCATGTCACGACCATGTCCCGGTATCCTCGTCCTCCGCCTTCGGTGGCTATGATGCGAGCGTAGTCTGTCAGTGTGACTTCGTACACTACGCCGATTAGAGGCTTGTGCCATCGATCTTTGTTGTATTCTCGCTTGGCGAGAAGAGGGCTTCCATCCGTGTCTTCCTTGCTGCTTCCTTCATGGGATCCTGGATGATCTCGGAACTGTGAACCTGCGAAGCATGGCTCTCCGTATGGGAGCCCGGGAAGATCGAATGTCAGTTTCAACTCTGGGACGTAGACATTGATCTCAGATAGCGGCTTGATGCCACGGGATCCGCGAAACTTGGCGGAAGACAGATTCGAGCCGTATGCAAGGTATAAGACCGTTTTCTCCTCAGCCGCTTCCTCGTGTCTTGGTATGTCCTGCTCCAACACTTCCTGGGAGAGGCATGGATCCGAATCAAGGGAATCGCCTTGCGTAGACTGCTGTCGCCGCCCCGCCGTTGTCTGATTGTAGAGGGCGTTCGTCGTGTATGTGGAAGGGCGTGTGAAAGCGAAGACATTCCGAAGGCGCTGGAAGGCTTCATGGCCGGAGCCGTAGGCCTGCTCCCGGGTTTCCTCTCTCATGACGGAGCGTGCTTCTGAATTCGTATCAGTCTTCTCAAGAAAGCTGTCAGAGTTAGCGTCTGCTAGAGAGAAGCTGCGTTAACCCTGGATAATTAGCAGAATAAGCTGATATTGTAATCAATTGGTACGTAGATAGTTAGTCCGTGGTCAGCGCTGGGGCCGTCACAACCGGATGGATTCGTCCGAGGCGCCCGCCTTGCGATTCACTGCAATGAACGGGAACACGGAGACAAATCCACCCGTTCTGGGCGGCGAAGTCTGGTGTGTAGCCGCGTTCTCAGACATGCTAACTGAGCTAGAACTGGCACGCTGGAGATCATGGTTTGCAATTTGAGATGTGATACTGATGTTGATCACCAGAGCAGCTATTATTTGGGACTCCTGGACAGGTCTTTTGGACGTTAAAATAGCTGCCGTGCTCTCCGTATCGGCGTGGTGGCTGATGCCTTCATGGTATAAGCTCCTGGAGACATCAACAAGTCATCAAGTTAGGAGCGATCGAGCGATCGAGCAGAACGCTGTAGACTCCAGCAAGTGAAGATGTGAGGTCGTTGTGGGTTTTATAGGCAAGACTGATGGGGATGGGATAATGCCTACATCACGCAATTTCCCCGGACTCTGACAATCTTTCCAGGAGCAGCTAGTAACGCCATCTTTCCCCAGATGGGCCCAGCACTAAATTACGGGGACAATCCACATATTATTGTGATTCCACTGTGCTGAATTTACTCCTATTGATCTTTTGAAGCGCAGTTCTGTGTGCTTCGCTTCCCCAGGTTTATCTTGTTCAGATCGTTTCAAAATTGAGTTTAGTTGAAATGTATCCCCCAACAACGTCTAGACCCTGGACGATCGAGAGAATGCTGTAAATACTGTCCTATATAATGTCTTGTACAAATTTCCTTCACTAAGCACCATACAATCTCGAAAAGATCAAATTGTCCATGATTACTACGACTCGACTAGTTTAAGTTAACCAGTGAAAGTCGCCAGATTGCTTAGTAAATAAAAGTGACGACGGCATTCGGTAGGTTAACTATAGCTGCTTGACTATCTACTCCGTAGTCGCATTTTGAATTCAAAAACTTGACTTATTATTAAATAGTTCCATTAATCATAAAACTGGTTAGTTATCGCTCTTACTTTTCTAGTCTTTCTCAAAGATCTACGTTTACCTGGTATTGTTGCTTGTAGGGAATACCCGCAAGAGTGCCTTTCCAATTATTGCAATTAGCCGCCGCATTCACTTCATGACTGACTGTGATTACATTATCCACCAGGCAACAACAGATATCTCTATTCTTGTCACCAGGTAGCCTTGCGTAGTGATTTTTTCCCCACGATTTGAGCGAACAACTGAATCGCTGAAGGAGATTTGACATCAACCAAAGGTACCATTTGATAGACAGACAGTTCGATACTCAGAGACTGATGATGCAAAACAGACTGCGACTATGAACCAGAACAAGATCCCTATTATTGTTCGTAAAATGATGGCCGCGAAAAAAGAGGCCGAAGATACAGAACCAGCGCCATGCGATCCTGCCATCGACTACATCCCTTTTCGAAAAGAGTACTACTTTTTTTATGGCACCTTGATGGATCCTGCTACACTTATGAAAGTTCTTGACTTGTCCGAGGAACCGACCCTGCTGCCTACAAAGGTGGCGGGCTATTACATCAAACTCTGGGGCAAGTATCCAGCACTCTTAGACGGTAAGCCGGGAAACTGGGTATACGGTATGGCCTACGAAGTTCAGTCACAAGAGCACTTGGATCGACTGGTTGCGTACGAAACGGACAAATATAGAATTGAGTCATGCGGGATTTATCCCGCGGACTCTGATGAAAATAGCACAGATATCCTTTTTGGTCAAACATTTCTTTGGGACGGGAAGCCCGAAGAGCTGAGTGAAGGGGAATTCAGTTTAGAGACATGGAAACGAGAGGGAAACGAAGCGCCACAAACGAAAGGGGATAGTCTCTAATTACAAAATATTCTCCCTGGGGACATGTGCAATTCCTGCACTATGCTGCAGAACCAGTGAGCAACTTGGAAGGCCTTTAGCCCTGCGATGTAATGCAACCCCAACTCAGAGTTCTAGTACCGAATGAGAATATAGATTCTTCATTAAGCCTCATCGCACGTAATACTTGTAGAAGGCCTATTGCTACCTCAACAGAGCAGATTGGCCCTACCAATGTTAACTCGCTGTTGAGTTTCTGAATATTCGACCAAAAGAGACTATATGAGGCTTAAGTCAGCTATCTAGCGTCGTCCGTCTCATTATGGAAAATGTGGGAGAACTCCTCCTGGTTACCCTGAGATAGGAAACTTCGAATAAACCTCCAGCCAGAGGCTTGTCAAGTCCTAGAACAAAGAAACGAAGGTGGATCAGGGACATAGTTTCGGATCCCATCTCCTGGAACGCTTGATTCTCAAGATGTACTGAACTCAGTCACCAAACTATGCAAGTGAATGTGACCCTAAATGCGTATTCACTGCTCACATATTGATTATTCGTTATCGTATAAAGCCTATTCTCTTCCCACAGAACTCTTAACACCATATTGAGCAGTCTAAGATATCATATCCACCTACGCAAATCTTAAATCCCTAACATAGCTTCTCTCAGAATTCCAACTAAACAGCAGATCTCAAATACCATCAGATATGTCGTCTGCATTCAAATTCGGTGTTGAGCTGGAGCTCCTCCTGTCGGGGAGATTCGAAAACGAGTTTTCAGACCTCAAGCAATTCGCAAACCATGTTGCCAGCTGCTACAATCGCCGTACGGGTCGTCATGATAGAAAGATACACGAAGATTTGGATGGTGATTACAAGGGCGAAGACGCGGACAAAGAATGGTCTCTCACAGAGGACTGCACTGTAAGGGCTGATAGGGCCGACCAATGTGAGTTCTTTTTATCCCAGGGAAATTGTATCTTTTGCAATGCTTATGTTGTGGCTATAGGGCCAATAGAAATTGTCAGTCCTATTCTCGTCTTTGGCACTCAAGAGTGGAGAGACGACATCAGGAAGCTCTTCACTAATATCCGATCGTTTTGCCGCATAGAGTGCAATGACAGCTGTGGCCTTCATATCCACATCTCACCCCCGGGCTCTAGCCAATGGAGTATTGAGACCTTGAGATCTCTATGCCGGAGCCTGATCTATTTCGAGAATGGGTTTCAAGTGCTGCTGCCCCAACATCGTCGCGCGAATTACTTCGCAGCAAGCAATCGCTATGATAACCCCAGGCTCAACGGAAGGAGTTTGGGAGATATCTTCGAAGCTATTGATCAATGTGAGCTGGGGCCCGACATCACAGATCTGATGAACGACGGCGGAAAAAAATACTTCGCTTGCAATTTTCTTAACCTATGGCATGGTAGATCAATGACTGTCGAGTTTAGACAAGCTCCTGGTGCACCACGTGAACAAGACTGCCTTCCATGGGTCGAGTTAATCGTGGCGTTTGTCCACGCTGCAAGAGATCTTGGGACACCTGGCCAGCTCAGGTCGTTCTCTCAAGATGTGCAAGGACTTCATCGGTTTATAACAAGGAACCAACCGTCCGGTATGAACCGTACCATCTTGGACAGTCTTTTCCGGGGGAAGACGGGAGCAATTCATCCGAGAGCTGTCCCTCCTCCGACGGAGGGAGAGAGGTGGATCATAGAAGCGAAGGAAGAGGAAGACGGACGCAAGAATATGATGTTGAAGAAAATGGGGCGTGTATTGCAACGTTGAAGTAGTGCGGTCAATCATGGCCCACTGCTATGTGATAATCACGTTATGCAGCTTAGTCGGCAAATACCCGTGCAGGAAACAGCAGAATGGGTTGCCACAATTGCGAATATACAGGCCATGTTTACCATATTTCTTTGAGCTAATGACTTACCATCGGGACTAAGTCCAGTTTCTATGTCAGTCGTTAGATTCAGATGTTACTATTCTACATTGAGTTTTCGACAAGGTCTTACATTTACCCGTAGATCTAGATAATCATGCAATTCCACATCCACAACTTCCATCCCGTTCCTGCGCCCCGACTGTCCCGCCCAGAGTATTACTATAGTAGATAATCCCTTGGATCGGTGTCCCCCCAATCAGCTCTCCACTGCCGTGCTAATACCTCCTTCGCACCTGTGCGCTCGAGTCGCGACGCATCCCACATAACGTACCCCCAACGACGGATAACGTCTTGCACGTAGTATCCATACAGATTGCTATAGGACCCTTTCCATATTAGAGTCCAAGCAAGCGGTGGATGTTCCCCATTTGCATCTAGCACCTCGTCACCTTGGAAAGGGAACGGATCACGCCGCTCCTGCCTCAAGTCCCGATTCGAGAGTTGCTCCTGGCGTCGCTGGGACTGTGCTGTTTCGCCCAAAGCATCATCCTCGAGAAAACTGCCTATCGGCCATGAAATGTGCTTTTGCATTGTCGAAACTAGTTGTGCGTGGTCCTTAATCTTGAACAAGACAGTATGCAGCAGCTCGAGACCACAGGAGATTGTTCCCTTCAGGAGGCTATCTCTAACCCCTATCATTTTTGTGTGATTAGTTCTATGCAAACAGTAAAGTGATTTCATTTTGTTTAGAATTACGAGGGAAGCAGGAAGGGGTGTAAACTAACAGCTATTGTCGAGGTCAAATGCTCCTTCCGGCGTGGGAGGCCGCTGTGCTGCAAACTTAGGATTCTTTTCATTTATATCCCAACAGATATCGTCGAAGATGTGGTTATACTTTTCCTTGGCGAAACTGTAGATACAAGCAATCTCCTCGACCTCCCAGGGCTCGAATATGCATATAAATATCTTCAAGATGTCCACAGAATCAAAGCCCAACCTCGGTTGCAAGTAGGATCGATAACGGCCGACGCCAAAGAGATTGCAGCATAGCTGAAAACGATAAAGAGCACGCATTAGTCGTGTCTCCTCCGTAATACTGAGAGACTCATGATTCTGCGGGTCGCCGGCCTCCTTGGAGAGATTGTCAAGAGCCCAGGCGGTATAGTGCCTCGCGAGAGGTTTGATGATCGAGGAGTGGAAGGCCACTATGCGTACGATGTCATCAACGGTTAATGTCTCGCTTATTACCGAATATTGGGACCCCGAGCGTCGATCTCGGTAGGATTTGAGAAACTGAGAGATACTTTCACTGGTGCGCGCGTCTGAAAACTCGATCGAGCTGGACTGATAAACGGCGCAAGCATCGACGGTAACGCTACGCAAGGTGACCTCCAAGCATTTACAGAGTAGGTGCCTGCGATCTAGCAGATACTGGTGGTAATAGATAGGAGATGTAGAAACCAGGGCTCTTAAACCATCGAGTTCCAGCATAGAAAGGAGGTGACGCCGGACTTCAGGCGGGAGATTTTCCAGCGGTGCATTAAGATGAGGAGTACTGCCGGATGGCTTTGCCTGGGAATCTTCCTGTACTTGAACTGACACGGATCTTTCTGACTGGGCGATAGTCTGGTGCGGACTGACTTGAGCCGTTATCACTGATAGAGCTGGATCTGGTGTGGAATCCGGCATAGACGTGGAAAGACGCATGGAATGTCTGAATTTCGAGAGAACCTTTTTCATTTCGAATATTCGCTGACGTTAAACGCGAGTTTAGAACAAAGGTGATCGATTCAGAAGTAAAATTAAGAGAGTAGATAGAGCAAGAAAAAGATGAAGTGATAGAAATGGATACGACGGCGGTACTTAATTAGCCGCCTACTCCTGGAGGCGTCAATCGGAGAGATCAGATCTGTCCCCACGCCCCAAAAGAGAAAAACGAAAAAAGAAACGACTAACAAGATCTGTCTAGGTTCATTATTACGACTCTTAAGAGAAAATCTTTTTGTCAAGATCTAATCTACTAATGGTAAATGTCATTTTGAAGATCTGGAACGTCTCCAGGCTCTGTACTTAGCACGTGACGCAAACACTTGAGGGAGTTGCTTCCTTCCATTTTCAAACATTAGCTTGCGAGTCCAAGATATCGCCTTGATACAGAGTGCGCTGTGGCTATTCTGACAGCGCCGGAAAACAAGTATCCGTCGATAATGTTAAAGACAACGTCGTGACAGACACAGGCCGACAATGGATCCCGGTTCATCTCCTCAAGTGCATGAAAGGATTGAGAGTGTCTCGACTCCGATTGGACTTATACAAAGATTGATAGCCCATTTGCATAATGCCTTTTATGGGAGAAACTCAGAAGACCTTGTACTGTCAGTAGTTATTTCTTCCATTTTTACTAAATGCTGACGTACTTACTTCTTATAGCATTCCACATGACATCGTTAAACCGTTGTCTGCAATGCATCTCCCGATAGAGAGCTCTGATATCGAATGCTTAGTGGCACTGCTAGATAACGTCAATGGTTGCTCTAAACTGCACGACGGTTCTCTCTGCTGCTTGATGTCCCTTTTTCTAAGGGCACCCTGGTCATTGGCGCAAGAGCGCGGTCTCTGTCTTCTATTAGTTCAGTGTCATATTTTTTCTTCGGTGACTATAGAATATATTCTAATACAAAGTAGGATGCTATTACACACCTCACAGATTCCACTAGAGGAGGGTCTCGTGGAAACCTGAAGTCTCTTGCTCGGAAAAGGAAGTCACTCCTTGGGCAGAAGATGCTCATACCTCTATTAGAAATCTTTGTTCAGGAGACCAAGACCGAAAGATTACGAAGATGGGTAGGTTGGAAGCCACGTTATGATTCAATTTTGCTCACTAACTCACTGATCAATAGACCGGGCAATTGTTCCTAGAATTACTCTGCGACTCTTCAGACAACAAGGAACTGCTAGCTTTAGGAGCTGAAACTCTCCGGTTAGTCCGTGAGGTCCATGTCCTACGGCTTTGGCTGACAGTTTTCTCATTCCTAGGCGGAGAATCGGCCACATTCTTTGCTATGGATCGGAGTTGACTCTGCGTTACCTCGCTGGGTGTATAATTCGAGAGATGCGTGTGACGGAGTACGATCGGCAGCTTTTCGACAATGTGGAAGTAAACGACCAGCTGAATGATTTCTTCAAAGAATCCGAAACACCTGGCTCTGAGTGGATTACATCTTGTTGCACTTTCATACATGGCAAGAGGAATGGAATGTATGGCACTGCATACCGTGAACTTCTAATGATCGTACTAGACAAGTACGCTAACTCTACATGTCTCAAGCGCCCCGTGGCTTATCAAGTCGATTAACCTAGAAAAGCATATCACGTCTAGGAATAGCATAGTGCTAGTCCATACCCGTGAATCTCTGGTATTCATCATTTTGCGGGGAAGACCCACGTGGCAGCAACCGCGGTTTATAGAGTTTCCTTTTCACTCTATAATTCCCGAGGAACCTTGCGTCTCCTATGACGAAGCCGAAGACACTAATATAAAGATCAGGTTGAAACCCGGAGGCCACTATGTCATGAACGGGAAGAAGATGTACGCAGAATCCATGTCGATCGACTTCGTCTGCAATTCATATTCACAGGAGATAGTAAAAGCTATCACAATTGCCACCAAAGAGGTATTGACAGATCACAAGGAAATCAAACACAGCAGACTATCATACTCAACTGGAGATCAAGGGCCTAGTCCACGGCATGCGTCTCAGGTAGTTGTTCACCTGAACCAGATGGAGAGCGTTGACTATGATAAAGGATCTGTAAGTCGCATAACTGAAACATGCAGACCCGATGAAGCGCTCCGTCAGCCTCTTATACGCAGGAGTGGTTCAATTGTGGTAAGCCTCGACGCTGGAACAGATGTGACTAGGAAGTCACTCGTGTCCCGCAATCAGGCCACAGAGAATAAACGCCCATTTCTGAAGATACCTAGCGGTAAAGGAGATATAGATAATCAGCCTAAGGAGAAAGAAGGTGACGAAAATCTAGAATGGATTGCCAGATGCGAAACGTTTGTGCAAAGCATTTCAAGCGCTTCTGAAGCTGGTCATTTGACGAAAGACGTTGAGCCAGAAGCAGTCAAGTCTTTCGAGGATGACTCTGAAGTCGCCGCCCAAGGGGATAGAAAGGAGCAAGACCAGCGAGAGGGGCAATATGGCGAAGAAAACTACGATGATACCGCGGAAGACATATATACGGGAGCGGACGCGTCTCCATGTGACCCCATGTCTTCTCTGGACCCGCTTCACTCGCAGCAACAGTTTCATCTAAGTCTTCCTGGAACTTTCACATCTGAACAAACTACTATCGGAATAACTGACCAGGTAGGCAGCTACTTCATCTGTTCTTCGAAAACACCATGGCTAATTCAATATCTTGCTCATAGGTTAAAGCTATGGCACCAGGGGTAATTCCCGATTCTCAGGAGGAGCAACGTTCTACCATGAACACAAACATAATCGAACAAGGAGAATGCTCTTCTGCGAATAACTCCGATAAAACCAAAGCGAAAAGTGGTCTGAAACCGTTGCCTAGAGGGCACCTCAAACAACTACTTGAACATAAAATTGTCACGACAGACTCTGTGGATTGGGATGAAGATCTTCGCATACCAGCGAGTGAACTAGAGCTGCCCAACAGCAAGACAAAGAGATCCCCAGCACATCTACCATCCCCTGGTGGCTCGAGGAAGAAGAAACCAGGCCCGTCGAGCAGAAATAAAAACCGGCCAAAGATATCACTCCCAACTCCCAAAACCGGCACTGCCTCGTCGAAGAAAAGTCGTGCCTCGGAAAAACCACCAGTTCAGAATACATTGGCATCACGCCGTCCGCGTCGTGCGGCTGCAGATGAAGCGAAAATTAAAATACTATGCGACTACAATCAGGATGAGGATGTTGATGATGATCCTATCCGAGATTCGACACCTGACGACAGCCTTACATTCGGCAATAGCTTCCAGTTCGACCAGAAAAGAACGTCCACCCCTCGTCTTGCCCATACAGACCAAGCCGGTAATGCAGAGACTAAAACACCCGTCATTGACTTGACTACTGCCTCAGATGGGCTTGACAATGTCGATGAGGAAGATAATCATCAGCAGCAGGATGTATCCCTCCAATCCGTTAGAGATACCCCCGCAAGCAGCGAGAACGCTTTGCCAGCTGTGGGGAATGACAATAGAGAGAATAGCTCGAGAGTCGAAGAGGATCAAGAAGACAGGTATAGAGGAAGAGGACACTTAATAGGCAGCAAGCTCGCAGCAGTGTTAGGTCAACATGGTGTTCTCTCATCCGATCAAGTCGATAAGGATCCAAGGGAGGCTGAGTGCGAGCAACCTCGCACGTCTCCGGCCATTGTGGGATATGACCAGCAATCTGAGAGAAAGGAAAGGTTGGCAAAGATTTCGAGCCAAATTTCTGACTTTATCAGTGGCGGTTTTGATAATGCGCCTGGCAAGATCCACGAAACACCGGATCTCTCTGGGCTGTCAGAAGAAAGTGAGCGAGTTCACTTAAAGACAACGGACCATATAGTCCACAAAGCGACCGAAAATGAAAAGCAAACTGGGGACGGGACTTCTAGTACCGATAATCGGATAACTCTTAGAAACTCAGAAGGAGTCTCTATAGATAGTGACAAAGAGTCTTCGAAGTCTATCCGTCCGGTAGCCTCGAAAGCCGCCAAAATTATTGGACACCCATATGCCGCATTAATCGATGAACGCTTACATAGAAAAACTCAGATTGTGAGCTTTTCTGCTGATGGTCCTCGCAACCAGTGCGAGATACGTCCGTCTTCTTCAGTCAAGAGACTGAGAAGCCCGCAGCTACAGTCTAATGACAAGACAGAAAACCAATTCAAACGAAAGGCAGTAGTGCAGCAACCGGACGATCTTACTCGGCCTACCAAACGGCTCAGATTTGAGTTTGGGGGGAGTAGTGATATGGATGAAGCCATGGACTCTACTTTATCGGCTACCCCTGGTCACATCCATACTATATCTTCTCCTAGCCCTTTGAAGATGAACCAATGCCGGGGAAGCATCGTCGACGAGAATGGTAGTCCTCACCCAGTCTCCCGTACTGCAACACAGATTATGATCCCTGGTGATCATGTTTTACTTAACAGAGATGGCAAAAGACCGACTGTGCCGCATCAAGATAGCTGTGACGAACCTGCAACTGAATCCAGCCCACTCAGCTACGTCTCCAAAGATGCTGGGGTCGATTACCGTATACGGTCCAAAGGACAGTCCGTGGGAAAGCGGTCGCCTCAGGCTCGAGCTCTTTTCCCTCCTTCTAGGGCATCCAAAATAGCTAACAAGCAGAATGATGACGTCGAATTAGCCGGGCGGGGCTCGCAAAGGCAGTCAAACCCCCTTTTCATATCACAGAGACGAATGCCTAATCAAACTAGAGAGGAGAGAACTTTGCCGTTTAGCAAGCGGCTGAATGGTGACCAAGCAGAAATCAGGCGTGTTCAAGGGCAGCATATTGCCAACGAACAAGAGGCCCAACTATCGACATTCTGGGATTCTATTTCAAGTCCCAAAAAGATTGAAGCGAAAACAGATGTCACTGCCGAACCACGCGATGAGATTAACTACGGTCGAGGCTCCACAGTTGAGTCATCTTCCCCATCGGGTCTCTCACAGACATCGGAATCTATCACATTAGTAGAGCCAGAGGGGCAAGAGACGCAATTTGACCAATTGCGTCGTGCCAGCCACGGAAGTACTCTTGATATTCTAGTCGACACCAGCGAGGTCTGTATATTCTCATTACAATATGAAGTTCTAGCTAACAAGTATCCAGCGCCTTGTGTGTCACCTCGTAGAAGAGGAAGATGCTGTCTGGGACGTGCTGGAAACGTACGACCATGGTTGTCGCAGACTCATCGACCAGCTTACAGAAGCACACAACGAATCCCTCGAGGCATACGAACGAGCGATGACGGCTATGATGACTGAGTATAAGGAGGTCCGCGAGAAAACCCTTGAGCGACTGAAAGCTCGCGACAAGGTGCTCAAGGCATTACCTACCACGGACAAACTGGCCTCTGGGATGAAGAAGTGGGAAAAGTTACTCACACGTCTGCAGGATCTCTCGACTGCATACGACGCCAAACTGGATGCACTGGAAGCTCCTGAATAATGCAGTGATGTCTCGCAGAGCGTGCTTCTTCTAATCACCGGGCCGTGCAGATTATGAGATCGCAGTTTGCTGAATTTATATTTCCGGCGCGATGTCTAGCATGGAACATTGCGTGTCAAGACGTACCTATGTCACACACCTGCCTCTTAGGGGGGGAGTTACACTTCCACTGGTTGATTTATATCATGTTGTCCATCAAATACCTAATAAATAGTACTTACTCCTTACTACTGAATAACGATAACGATCATCAGGGGTTCTCTTATAGACAGCTATTAGACCTTTTTAGAAGTATCATGGGCGATAGCACCATGTCTCCTTTGCAGCCAGCAGCAGCACAACCATATCCAGAACTAGATGAGTAAATGAGATATGGCGTCTGCTGTTGGGATGAGTAACTAGATACGGAGTAGTTAATAGTAAGTTGACAGTCGAGTGTCATCGGCGTTTCTTCGCTCACAAGACGAGAAAACGCCGGCGGCGAGAAAAGCGGTGCGATCACGTGCGACAGGGCCGGACAAATGCAGGGACGATGACTCGACGGACCGCCGACCTCGCAGGGCTACTTTTTGGATGGAAAGCTTATAAAAAAAGGATACCCCACGTTTTCGCCCGCATCTGCCATAGTCAAATCATACAAAAAAAAAGTTCTCTTCAGTTACAGGTTACAGTCCATTTAGTTCTTGATTTCTCTATTCGAGCTGGTTCTCAACTGGTCGTAGTTGGACAAAGACCATCCATTGTACCCCGCCACCATGTCGGTGAGTACAGAGCCCTAAGGCCGATGACTGTGATGTGCGCTGACTCAATCATGCAATAGTTCTTCATTGAGAACCCCAACGTGGGCAACAAGAGCCACCCAGAGGACTCGAGAAGTATGTATTGCATGGATTTCGTACCCGAATATCCTTTTCTACCTTAGTCGCTGGTTCTGACAATGCATCCGCTTTGTGAACAGTCCGTGGATACAACCCACTCACCCCGCCCAACCTGCTCCAGCATGAGATCGCACAGAGCGAAAAGTCTAAGCAGACTGTCTTGCAAGGCCGTGATGAAGCCGTTGCCATTGTACAGGGAACGGACCGCACGAGACTGTTGGTGATCGTCGGCCCGTGCTCGATTCACGACCCGGACATGGCCCTGGAGTACTGTGATCGTCTATTGAAGCTGAAGGAGAAGTACAAGGATGAGCTGTTGATTGTCATGCGTTCCTACCTCGAGAAGCCTCGCACGACCGTTGGTTGGAAGGGTCTGATCAACGATCCCGATATCGACAACAGCTTCAAGATCAACAAAGGTCTGCGCACGTCGCGCCAGCTTTTCGTTGACCTGACCAACAAGGGCATGCCCATTGCCAGCGAGATGTTGGACACCATCTCACCCCAGTTCCTTGCCGACTGTCTCTCGGTTGGTGCTGTTGGTGCTCGCACCACGGAGTCCCAGGTTCACCGTGAGCTGGCCTCCGGTCTGTCTTTCCCCGTTGGCTTCAAGAACGGCACAGATGGCACCCTTGACGTCGCGGTCGACGCCATTGGCTCTGTCAAACACCCCCATCACTTCCTGTCTGTTACCAAGCCCGGTGTGGTGGCCATTGTAGGCACTGTCGGTAATGAGGACTGCTTCGTTATCCTGCGAGGTGGCAAAAAGGGCACAAACTACGATGCCCAGAGCATCGCGGAGGCCAAGGCCAAGCTCGAGAAGTCAGGCCTCAAGCCCCGTCTGATGGTCGACTGCAGTCACGGCAACTCCCTAAAGAACCACAAGAACCAGCCCAAGGTTGCTGCTACCGTGGCTGAGCAGATTGCCGCTGGTGAGGAGGGCATCATGGGTGTAATGATTGAGAGCAACATCAACGAGGGTAAGCCGGAACCAACTCTTATTTATTTATTTATTCTTTGTCCAGAGATTCAAGAAACTGACTCGACAATATAGGCGCCCAGAAGGTCCCGCCCGAAGGCAAGGCTGGTCTCAAGTACGGCGTCAGTATCACCGATGCTTGCATCGGCTGGGAGGACACTGAATCGGTCCTCGACAATCTCGCGCAGGCCGTCCGTGCACGGAAAGAGAAGCTTTCTGTTAACGGAACAGCTTAAAAATTATCGACAGATCTTCCATTTAACGAAAAGAGAAGCGGGAAGGATGGATTTTGGGTTTGCTATCGATACCATGGTTAATTTTGAGGCTGCACAACCAATCAGCAGCTTCTAGAACGAGGTTCCAAAAAGTTGATAAAAATTTAGAGAAAGTCTTTACGGCACGGGCTGGCGCAAGATTATTTTGTATTGTACGATTATGTGGACTTTGTCAAAAGACGATACGAAAAGGAGAGATGATTTGAAGAATGGATATTCTTGGTAAATGAATGAAAGAACTCTTCGCTGGTCTTTGCGGTCCCTGTTAGGAATGGGCCAGTTTTGGGGGTCGATCTAAGTTAAGTGATAATCAACTTGACTCATTATTGCCAACCAATGTCCCATATTACAGTCCTACGTGGTTTATCCAAAGGACACAGATTTCTCATGGCATTCATACTAGCATCTGACGTGAGAAAAAGATAAGACTGCGTGATATCCCACTTCCCGATAGCTCGATCCTTTCAACAAGCATACCAAGCTTGATTTCTACAATCCCCATCAGACAAAATTCTTCAAATCTAGAAACATCTCTTACCCATCATCAGGTAGCCACTTGAGCCTTTTCATTATTTCTCTTTACGCTACCGGTACAGCACCTGCCTAGTCGAATATAGTCTAGACGGCATCCTTAAAATCTACATGGCACCTGATGATGACCGCCCATGCGGTACAGCTTTCCTTGACACGTGTACCGTTATCATTCAACTCATCGAATAATTACTTTTTTTTATATATGTACATTGTACAAGTTGGTTAGTATCAAATAGTTCCCTCCTTCTGGACCATAACCTTGGAAAAGGCATGGTTCGTGGCGTTCTATAGTTTCGGACCAAGCAGATACCCAACCCAGCCCCGAGAGCAAGAAGGTCTCCTTTCCCTGGAGGTCACACGACCAGTTCAAATTTAAGGCCCATGTACATTGTACATACAGTACACTAACTATAGAAAAATGGACTAGAACTTATAGTAGTGATGTCTTGGTGGACGAACGATAGCTTTATGGGCTAAGATGGTGTCAATCGGCTAGGCTGGTCCAGACCGCCGGGGATATATAATTATACACTGATTTCTTCTAAGGAGGTCTAGCTTGGTCTAGGGTACATACTTTAGTATGATAACGACTTTTTTATCATTATTATTATCGTGTCCGGGGAGAATATACTCTATGTGGTCGGGGCGAAAAATATGGATGCCATACTTCGCGTACTACTTAGCCGATGAAATCAATCCCGCAGAGAATTACCGACCGGATCCGTGTTTCTGGGCTTCTTGTCTCGGACCAAGCCTGGACAATGATGCTTTCCGTGCCACGCAGCGCATGCCATGTGCATGGGTGCTAAATATACGAAACTCAGGAATGCGGGCTTTGGGGGACCCGAAACAAGATGTCGACGCCGTTTGGGCGGGAGCGGCGGCAAACGGAGGCCATCGATTTTATGGTAAGTCTTAATTCTTGACGGAGGAGTCCGAGACCCCCTTTTTCTTTTTTTTTCGCATGCGCCTCCCTTTCATCCTGGGTTGCCTGCTGGAGATTATACCTATTTAAGCGAGGAGGCTTGTTAGAGAAAGCGAGATGGGAAGGGTCCGAAGGGAGGCGAGGGTTAAGACGAGAAATGGGGAAACATTCTAGAAATTCTTCCGGGCTGTTCTCTCTCAGCTCTTCCGCACTGGTGATCATCTCTCTGTTAGGGAATGTTATGTCCGTGCGAGTGTGGGAGTTGGTGGGGGGGAGTCCGATTTGCGAATTGGCAATAATAATAATGATAAATGACTCTTGTTTTTGGTGTTTATGGAGTTGTACTCGTTAGCTCATACGAACAGTTTCCGGACGACTTAGCCGAACAAACAAACAATAATAATAATAATAAATAATAATGATAATTATTATTAATATCCTGCAGAGACATACCAGATGGGAAATGCAACTCGCTTATCGAGTGGCCATGCACTTGTGCAATGGTTCAGTAGTCAAGTGAATTGGCTGGCAGTAGGGCTGCAACCAGCTGGTACCTCTGACCAACGAGGTTCCCAGTCCGTTATGGAGAAGAACAATAATAATATTGCGATACGGGATGGATGCATATGGGAGGATCGTATTTGCCGCCAGGGATGGACTCCCTGCGTGTGTCCAGTGCAGTGTCGAGGGGGGGTTCTCCAGCGGTGGGACGCCGTTGCAGGCAGGATGAAGCTGGAGAACATCTCCTCACGGCCCCAGTGTTCTCTTCTTATCACACGATTATCGTACTCACTAAAGCAATAATGGATCAGAACATGACGTTGGAGCGTTGATCGGGCGAGGATTGCCGTCTGGGGGAGGATCGGCGAGGAAGATGAGTTGGCGGTGAGAAGAACATTCCGGGCAAGTCATGGTCATGGCCATCCTCGATCATCATCAGTTAGTCACTCCTCTGCTCCTCTACTCATCTCCTCATCTGCTGCTCCCCAATAATAAAAATCATAACAATCATACGGAGCAACGCCCAGCCTGGTTGCTGCTGGCTGCCCGGCCACTCTTCCTTTCTGGTTCTGTGGAGGAGAAAGTCGAATTCGCTAGTGTCCTGTCTGCAGTAGGGGACGAAACGGTGGGCCGGGGAAAGACACGATAAGATTTTCACTAAAGGACGATGAGACAACTCGATCGAGAGCAACTCAGCCAGCGATTGACTCCTTCGCGAGGAATGCTGGGCCACGCGAAGCGTCAGAAGCTGAGACCGCATCGGGCTCTCATCCCGTACATTCTTCGGCTGTCGCAGAGCTCAACGCCATCCTCACCACCTTACTGCTCGTCTCAGAGGTCACGATAGCAAAAGCAAAGCTGTCTCCACGTTAGCCGGGGCGCTAGAGATCTCCAGCAGCCATGCATCTCATCCTGGAGATCCGAGCTAGACTACGCAGTCGTTCTCCATTCCACCCTCCAGGCTCCGCTCCGGTCGACTATCGCAGCGCTGACTCGCGGCGACCGTTTTCTAGCCGTCCATGCGACACGGAAAGCAAAGTCTTATGGTGCAAGTCGTGACGGCGAAGAGTCAGTGTTGGATCGCCATCGCCGCCTGCTTGTCGGCCTCGTCCGTGGATCGTCGTGGATCCACCGCGAGCTAATCGTCCTCTCCTCTCGAGTCTCGCCAACTGCCACAACTTCCTGGTCCCTGGACTCGGTTCGTAGGCGACGTCAGATGGCGCTTACTTATGTCTACCGCGGTCCAAGCCGCTTGTGCCTGTCTGTCCACACTCCCTGATACTAATTCGGGACAAAACGCCCTTTTTTGCTTCTTCTTCACACCTCGTTTTTATATATAACCTGGTGGGCGATCCCCGGAGTCAATCCCCAGATTATCCAGTTTCTGCTCGTATCCTGTTCGACTCCTTCGAGGGGCCCACCACGGTTGCTTCTTCAAGCTTGTTCACCAACATCGGGGTGGCCATATCGAGGAGAAACTCATCACTAGCACACCGGTGCGAGTGAATTACAGGATCAACATTTGAGGTGATAAACTTGACTCCATAATAACCCATGATTCGACTGGTGTCATACCATTTTCGACACTGATATCGAGATCTATTCATCGATCCGCTCGTCGGCGACGCAGCGACTACTACCGATTGGATATAAAGGAGCTGGAAGTCTGCGAGGGCCACATCCTTTGTTCCTCACATTTTTCTTCCTCCTCGTCGGCTTTTCTTTTACCTTATAACCATTAGCAGACGTCTCGATTGGCTGCCGGTGCCGTGGTAACGTGGGTGGCAAACCCGGGGTTATCGGTCGTTAAGCTTTTGATATCGCCAGGCACAATCTTACTGACCTGGATTTTCTCAAGTATCCATTTTCTTTTGACCGTGCAGCCGTATCTATTTCTGCGCGGTCATTGAGGTCCCGGCCTGAAAACGGCCCAGAGGTCTAGCCCTTTCTTCCATCATGCCAGGACTGCCTGATAGAATGGGCCAGGAGTCGCATGTTGTGATTCCTGTATGGGGACAGCAGAGGGAGTCTCGGGAAAATCATGATTTCAGCTCGACAACAAGCGGAGCGTCGGCAGAGACACAGCACGCAATCCCCCAGTGGGATAACGGATTACAAATGGTACCTGGGATCCAGGGCGTTCGGCGGACGAGTCCCATGAGCCGTTCCCCAGACAGCTTCGAGTCGCTGGCCGATTCCGTGAGTGACGATGACTCAGAACGGTCCTCGACACCTATCACGCCGAACTCTTCGACAGAAAGCCTAGTTCCTGCCGGCGAACCCTCTAAACCAGCTTCCTCAGAGATGGACACAACACTGGACAGTCAGCTAGAAGGAAAGCAGGTAGATACAAATGCAATCCCAGAGACACTACGGCCCGCTCCCGAAGTACCGCCGCCTGTTCTCAGGCGGTTGCTGGACTTCTCCCCCCCAGAATCCCGCCGCTCGCTACGATTGACCTGCAAAACCTGGTCCCGGACTGTCGACAAGGTTGTGCCGCTTAACCCACCAGCTGCCAACATTGTCCCCCCTGAGATCCTCTTCCAGATTTATTCGATGCTCAGTCCGCGGGACTTCGATAATGCCCGGCACACGTGCTCGCAATGGATGCGTGTTAGTCTTGATAAGGATCTGTTGGAAGGCATGCTCAAGAAAGCAGGCTGGTGGGACGCATGGCAGCGGGACTGCCTGGCGCGCTCACTCAATGCTACCAAGGAGAGTCATGTCTGGAGGCTAAGCAAGAGATTCTCCACTGAATGCCTGCTGTCTGGCCGAAAGGCCAATGTGGAGCGGTCTGGTTTCCTGACGACTGGAATCGTCGACTTCTCTCACCTCGCCAGAGAATCACTTCCTACGGAGTCCCCTGCATTCATGAAGAACGTCCTCGCTGGTCCTTACACGGCTCCTCGGATCACGGCTGCAGTGCGTGACCCGGCATTTTCACGCACTCCCAGGTTCAGCGCTAGCAAGTGTGGCCGCTATTTGCTGGTGACCACGGGATGTATGATCTACGTTTACCATCTTTGCAGTCGGAAGACTGGGGACAACTGGCCCAGGGCAGAAAGATCGACGGATCAAGAACGACCTAATCTCGATGACAAAGATCTTGATATCATGCCTATTTCCAGCATTGGCTGTCCCTATGAGGTTTTGTCGGCTGCGATCGATACGAGTAACTCCAAGTTGGTCGTCGCAGCTTTGCTGCGCGGTCGGATGGGAATGGTCTGTGATATCAAGCGTGTGTCCAGTCAGTCTCCCTCGGAGGCCCAAGGTCCCAGTCTTGCTGAGGTACAGGAGGCGATCGCATCGAACCAGCCTCTCCGTAAGATGGTACGCCTCTCTCGTACCCCTCGCCATTATTACCATGACATCTGCTCCGCTGAAGACCCACCAAGAAGCGTGTCAATCTGCCCTGGTCGACGCTGTATCGCATTTGGTTGTGGCTCCGGCATTGAATTGCATTGGGTGGATCAGAAGACCAATGTAGATTCTCGCAAACTATTCCCAATGTCGCAGCCGGCCGAAGTCGTGCACTTCTTGTCGAATCCTTCGGTCAACACGCCTGCACAGATCAGACTGATCTCTTCTCTGGCTGGTCCCGGCGCTTCTGGGTGCCAGTGCTACAACTCCCCTGATGGCGAAGAGCACCCTTGCCAGTTCCACCTCTCCTCTGGTGTGCGTTCGTTCACTCATTGGACTCCAAGGAAGAATGGCAGTCTCAGTCTCGTGAAGGCGACTCACTGCCATCACTATCGAGCCATCCCGGTCAATGACGGATTGCACCTGTTGTTCATCGAACCGACCACGGGTTTCCTCTGCATTGGATCAGATGCTCCTATCGGTGGCCCCACGAGCCTGACGCGGGCACTGATCTGTGTTCCGCCATTCGAAGGAGGCACTGCTGATAACTGGAAGGAGGATCGCGTGCCGACTGTCTTCGCGTCTGGCTCTGATCTGAGCTGGGGCTTGCGCATTGTCGCGGCATACCAGGACAAGATTGTCCTGTACTCGGTCCCATCGGACGTCCTCAACGTAATCCAGAGGGAACGCAGACTTCAGGGCGAGGGCGTCATGGGAGACAGCGACCTGGCAAGGGACTGGTTCCTCGACTCTGAGCGCAACAGCCAGCGCCGGGGCAGTCTCGCCCAGAACCAGAACGGCGACTGGGAGTTCCTCCTCAAGGTCAGCTACCGACCTACGGCAATGATGTGGCCCTTGAAGATCTACGGCAAGGAGATTGGCAGGATGACCAAGGTGGTCGACTTCGCGATCCAGACATCGAATGGTGGCGCCCGAGTCTGGGCCTTTGGCGCATCGGGCGAGGCGCGCATTTTTGACATCGACACCTGCACCTCCAAAAACATCTCGGCGCTAGACATCGGCGTCAGGTCACTGTCGGTCGGCCCCGATGGCAGTATCGCGTCTGCAAAGCTGATGGGCCGAGCGGAGTCTGGTCTCCTTTCGCCGCTGCCTGTCCGAGCGACTCGGAAGCGCAAGCAGCTCAGCCAGCCAGCTCCCTTCGACCGAGAAATCTTGACAGCTCAATATCCACCGCGTGTCAAGAAGATCTTGGACGTGGTTGAAAATTCAGTCTTCCCGAAGAACCCCAGCAGCAGCCCGGTGTCGAACGGGCCTGCCAAGAGGCGCCGGCCGTCTTTCGCTGCTTGTATCGTTGACTTGAAGATTCCAGACCTAGGCCCTAATGAAGGAAACTGGCTGGACAACGCCAGCAAGGCCGAGGGTGAGAACAGTCCACCGCAGGGCTCTGATGGATCAGAGTTCCATGACTTTGCGACGTACGATCCCCAGGATCTGCGCAAGGCTTTCCTGTCCACTCCAGCAGCCGGTCTGCATCGCACTGGAACACCCGGGAAAATGCTCATCAACCCCGTAATGTATAACGAGGGATACTCCGCATGGAGCAAGTACTAGGACATTTCTATTCTGTTGTATATCGGTTTTGCCAGTTGCAGCGCTGGCGGGTCTCTGGTTCCACAGTCCACTTAACATTTTCATGACATGTGATGATTTTTTTTTTTTTTTTACTACTACCCTGCATTGGTTTTGCTTTTCAATTTTACGCGGTAGAATGACTTTACTGCAATGGGTTATATAGGTTTTGTTTCAAGTCCGTGTGAGACGGCTGGTCAGCGTTTTTTGTTTTTTATATTTTCCCATATACCATCTCAAGAACTCTATAGACTTTTTTTTTGTTTGTTTGGTTATTACAATCAAGACTCGGAATACCCAGCTCTTCTTTTAAAATGTTTCAGCGTATCACTAGATATAGTAGGCTTTTTATATTCACTGAGTATACGACCTTTTATGATCCTCGTCCCAGAAAGTGCTATGAGCAGTTTAATTTACGTAGATTCCACCAGAGACTAGTATAGTAGTAAAGTATGGAAAAGAACTAGTTACGGGTTACTGACAAACACGATTGCACAACTTGATTGGTTCTTTTTTAGTACAAGATGAGAATTGAATCATTGACGCTAAAAGGAAAGGGATATGAACTATCCCGCGATATATACGAACATCAGATATCATGGTACATACATACAAGACAAGAATGGACATCGCGAGGTGGTATCGTGGGCGTATATCATCTCATTAGGTCAAGTCAAAGTGGACAATTGCAGAGCGCAGAACATAAACCAAAGGTCAGACAAAACATACAATTCGGAAGCGAAGGACACAAGGAAATGAATGCTTCTAATGAAAAATAAAAAATAAACAAAAGGTACAAGTCGTTATTGTCGATAATATGGCGGGTGGATATGGTAAGCGCGCGCTGGAACATGGGAATGGATCTTCCGCTCATACACCATTGCTGACAGCGCTGTGTGCATGGCTAAAGTAGCTTTCATCCAGAGCGCTGGTATTGTCGCGTCCTGGAACCCAGGGCCCGTCGAGTGGAAGAATCAGGCTAGGGTTGACGTATTTCTTCAGCTTCAATCCAATATCGTGACCGCCGATTCGAATGGGGAGTAGATCGCGGTCGAGTCCTGACGGCGGCGACATGACCGATGAGGGTGAAGGTGAGGTTTCGTCTGCAGCAAGAAGGCTTCGGTCGATGCTTCTCAGGGCGATGAACTTCATTAGAGGCTCGTAGGTATGCCAGAAGAAGTACGTGAACCAGACAGTCACGGCAAGGAGGGGAAGCAGGAGAACGGAGCGGGTGATTGCCTTGCGAAGGGCAAGGACTCCGATCATTGCCAATTGGAAGACAATCAGTCCGAGGAACACCCGACTGCAGATGATGGGCCATGCTCGTCCCGTCGAATGCTGCTGGTGGTCCATCGCGTAGAGGAGCTGATATTTGTAGATGAAGTGGCCCAGTCCAAAGTAAACCAAGCCACCCAGAGAAATCATCCACGAGCTGGGGAACACACTGTAGACGATGCAGATGATGAAGACAAAAATGGTTTGCGGAATGGAAAACCCATAGCTAAACACTGGCGGCCTCGTCATCTCAGCGAAATCGCGCGGCGTCGTTGCACGAAGGAGTCTGATCGGGTACATGATGACACTTCCGAGCTCCAACAGTTTGAAGGGAAACAGACCCAGGCCTTGCAGGATGATCAAGTTCATGTAGAAACGAGTGAATGATTCGAGCGACGTGGCAAGCGCAAAGGCAATGGTAGTAGCATCCTTGAACGCATCCCGTATATTCTTCCAGAAACCGTAGAATGTACTTGCTGTGCCGAATACTGTAAAGACCAAAAAGAGATTGAAGAACGAAAAGAAAAAGTTCTTCGACAGCAGAGACAGCTCAATTTCTCCCCGAGACATCATTCCCTGATGACCGGACAGCCCTGAAAGAAAAGTCAGTGAACGGATTTGCTTGATCGAGGCATCTAATGAGAACTCACACTCATAAACATAAGGAACCGCAACCGTCAGCAGAGAGATAGCCAAGGTGGGAAGCGTGGTTTGGACGAATGATTTGAGGATGGAATGTCTTGCGAGCATATCTGCAAGTGAAGGAAAGATCTTGTGGAGAGTCTCGAGCTCCAACAGATACGCGACGGGCAGCAGAAGAACAGACCAAAAGACGGTCAAGAACGCGATTGAAATGGTGATTGACCACGACTGGAACATTCGTCTCTGACGCGGCACATATGTGTTTTTCCACAGAACATCAGCAGGAGCTGGGGCAAGGGTAGCGAGTAGCTGCATGGGATGAGGGTCAAGGATAGCCTGAACAACCATCTGGGCGGCCGCAAGTGACTCCATTGTAACGAAAGCAATAGCGGTGGGAGGATATTCCGTCTGTCGCGCGGTCAGGATCTTCTCGTCGAGCCTGCGCAGCTTCTCTTCGTAGTAGTCGATAGCATCGACTTTCCGGCTCCGCAGCTTGAACGGCCCGTACCAGATTCGCTTGGTCGGGCGCTTTCTGGACGTATTGGGACCTTGAGGGTGACCATTCCCTTCTTCGGAAAGCAGATGTGAGCTCTCAGTGCCGTCCTCAGAGACGACACTTGCTCCGCGTTGATGTGTCCGCACTAGGGGAAGCGTGTCGTTGACTCTTTTCGTTTTCTGATACCCAATGTATTCAATCCAAACGTGCTCCAGTTTCTTTATCATATCCAGACGCTCCTCCATCAGCATGTCCAGTCTCTCCCAATTGTGACACAAGGTGACGCTCTCCACCCTGCCGATCTGCAGGCCATGGATAAAGTCTTTGATCTTCTCTTCCGTCCTCATCTCCGGGGGAACGCCGGAGAGGCGTATTGTACGGTCCGTCGTACTAGTCTGATTACCCAGGTATCTCTGCCTAGTCGTGATGATCTTGTTCGTCTCCTGGATCAGGAAATAGACGGCCAAACCGCTGAAGACGTATGTGAACACGACATAGAGCCAGAGGTAACCAGGATTGGTTTCAATCTTGTCCTCGAGTGACGGCGTCCACACCGTGTCGACATGGGTCCGATTTATATTGTCGCCTGGATCATCCCATCCAGGGATTCCATGCTTCCCAGTATATTTGTAGTGTATAGGAAGGATGATGGTTACACCGAAGAAGAAGGTAACCACCAGGAACCGGAGCGCAAACTTGAAGAATGACAGCATCTAATGAGAAGCTCCATCAGCAGCCTACTCTAACCGTAGCAATTGGATCAACCCCCGATGCAACTTACCACGTACGCATCCATGCCCGCTGATTCTAGGACTTCCTCGTCCGTAATCCTCCAAACGACAGGTATCCATCCAAAGAAACTTTTTGGCAAATCGGGCAGTCTTGAAGCCGCATTGCGCTGCCTTCTACGCGCGGCATATAGTTTACTCCATCTCGGTCGTAGGATCTATCGTTATAATCTGTTAGTTTCCAGGTTGCCATTGCTGGTCTGTGTGCAGCATCGAAAGTCGAGAGACAAGGGGCACATACACAGAACGTGATGAACGCGCCCACGCCCAGCAGACTAGACATGACAAACTGTGTATATAGATGGACCCTGGTTTGTCTATCCCACGGCTTCTGCTGGAATGCCCCATGGTTTCCTCCGGAGATTGTCGCATCGCTCGTTCCTGCTACCGCGAAATCTGGAAAAGCTGCCACAGCTGTCGCGGCCATTGCTGTGGCAGACATCTTGCGACTATATTGGCGCTATGCGCGCCCTGATCTGCTCACCAGTGGTTCTGCCCCTCCGATCGGCGCATACGGGGTGTTCGATAGCTCGTCTGCTAGAGAGATAAGTCCGGCGCAGTAGAGACTGACGTCAGGGGGTGAAAGGGGTGTTCCAAAAAGAGTGAGAGAGGGGCCACGTCTGACGGGAGAAGAGGCAGGGATATTTCTGTCTGAAATGCTCTGGCCTCGCTGGGCGATCGGGGGTCTGAAGAAAAAAAAAGGATGAAAAAATAAGGCGAGGTGATGCGTTGTTTTGGTTTTGTCTTGCAGAGAACTAGACATGTTAGCTTGCGTCCTTGGCTGCGCGATGACGGTGACCGCCGGTTTTGTGCATCTGCTGAGTCAGCTACGTCCTTGCATAACAAAGTAAGAAAGATTCGCAGCAGATCATTCTCTACGGAGAAATGATAGTGCTAAATTTCGGGCGCATAGAGTACGTAGATCGGATCGGATCTTGTTCTTGGCACTCTTTGGAATTGAAGATCTGATTGAGCTTCCTGTCTTCTACCGGTGGACGACAGATTTCGTAGAAGCCAGCCATGAATGTTGGAACTTGGCGCATCGATGATTGTTTTGCCCCCTCGAAAGGAAAAAATATGCTTGCATAAGATTAAAAATACACGAGGCTAATCAATAATTGGAAGTCTATGTCATACGAAACGGGCAAACCAGCACAAGATCTCTCAAGTGCCAATCACCATCCATACAAGCAACCCGATCCAGGATGTGACAAAGCCAGCGGTCAAGAAACCAGCGCCCACTTTGTCGCCCGTGGTGATCGCGGCCAGTTGGGTCGAGGTAGAGTGATCGTCCTGTCCGGCAGTCGGATCACTCGTACTGTTTCCTCCAGTGGTCGCTGTCACTGGTCTCGTCCGGTTGGCGGCAACGAGATTGGCAACGAATATATTGGTTCCGCTGATTTGCTCCTCAATTCCAGTCCATCCGTCCCAGGCTTTGGTGTACCAGCGGACACCACAGGAGTTGTTGTTGTTACCACTGCACGATGCTGCTGCCGCTTCTGCGGACCCCTGTAGCTTAGGGAGAATTTGGTCGTAGGTCGATGGCACCAGGACGCTGGTGAACGCCAGCCACGCGGCAGTTAAGCCCTTGAAAAGAATCTCGTTGGCGTTACAGATCTCAGTGGGTTCGCAGAGGATTTCGGACATGATGTTGCCGCCGTACTGGGTCGGGAAGAATGTCTTGAGAGTGACTCCAAGGAGACCATTAACGGCCTTCTCCCACTTTTCGGTGCCATTTGTCTATAGAAGTGCGTCAGTATTGCTCGCAACAAGACCAATATCGTGAAGAGACTCGAGAGACGGCAGAGAAAATGACACGGGCCCTGGTAGGGTGCCAGTGCGGTACATCGGCCGATAGAACCAGGAAAAGGTTTCATATCACTCACGTAATTGTACATGTAGGCAGCTCCGCTGATAAATGTGCCGTAGTTATAGGACCATTGGTTATTTCCCTGGGTGGTACAATTGTTCCCGACCTCCACGGAATCGGCGACATTCCAGGTTTCGGTGCTTAGCAGCGGGGTGGAAGCACACCAGTCGAAGATCTTTTCGGCCCATTCGGCGTAGGTCGCGTTATGGGTATAATATGCTAGGCGGGCAGCGAGCTGGAACAGACCTCCATTGGAGATGGCGTTCTTGAGATTGTATCCTGCTTCGTAGGCCCAGATCTGCCAGCGCAAACCTCCGCCGCAAGTGGTGGGATCCCATCGTGCGACTTGGGTGTTGAAGACTCCTTGCGCGAGCGACAACCACGAGTATGTCCCATAAGCTGGATACTGGAGCTCAGTTGCTGTCATCGCTGCCAGTCCCCAGAACATTTGATCGTCGTTTCCCTGACGGTTTCGACCATGTCAGACAGGCTCTCTGAACGTGGCTTTGCTTTTTGCTTACCAGGTAGCTACTCCAGTTGGACGGCATGTAGTCGCCATCACCAGCCTGCCACTGCATGCCAACACTGACTTCATTGTTGTAGGTGGTGTCTCCAGTTTCGTGCCAGTACTCGATGGCGGCCATGAACAGTGCTCCTCCTTCCCACCAAGTGCCAGGCAGCTTACCGGGAATGGCGCCTGATGCATTTCCTTGGTACAAGTGCATTTGTCCGTAGATCGCTGTGCTGGCGGCATTTTTGAGGGATTCTGAAGCGTGCCATCACGACCTGTTAGAGGCCAAGCGCAGAGATGATAACACAGAGCGACGCGGAGGGGAGGAGGGGGGGATGAATATTCATGAATGGTTAAACTTACCAGTACTGCTGATGTCCAGGTCGAAGCCGTGCACCAGATTAGCCACCGCTAGTAGAGCAGCCACCAGCTGCCTCCAGCCGTGCCAAACTCCTGGTCTGGCCATATCTGCTGTATATTGCGATGGAGGGAGGATAAGTGAGATTCACAGAAGGACGACACTCACCCAACACCCACCGCGCCTGGTAGAGAAGGGACTGGCGAATAAGAGGAACACGGGGGTCCAGGAGATCAGAGATGATGGCCGGAAGCCCGCCTGACATGGCCTTGTTCCTCTGCGGCATGGTCGATAATGAACACACCAGTCACAGCCCGTGCTCTGGGCCGTGGATTCGTACGCCATACGACCTTCCAGGAGAACAAGGCGTTTCAATTTGGCGCATGGACGAGTCGAGTAAATTCGTACGGATGGCGGCACAAATAATGACTGGTCCGGCTAGCGAAAAGACTAGTAACAACGCCCAAGCACTAAAAATAATATCCAAACCTACCAGAGGATGTAAAAGTCGCCCCCTTGGCCGCACGCAGTAATATTATTAACCTGGATCCCCTCGAGGTACAGTACCAGACTACCAGTACATTTAGCCTGTCATGATACGAAAGTATTTAAGCTGACAGATATATAACTATTGATTATTATATATTACCATAGTCAATAGAAGGTCTATCTGCTCTTGCACACGCCATTCCTCTGGCATGCCATAGACTATCTAGTCTATCTACTATATTACTACTACTACTACTACATCTTCTGCGGCATTCTAGGGCCCGAGAGTGCCGAGATCCAATCTCCGCGTATCCGTGTTCATCAAGCAATATCAGAACCAGTGGAACAGTACGGCACCACATCCACAATATTATTAGTGGAATTCCTCCGTCTACCTATGGTACAGGTAGAGTAGTACCCGCCCTTGAAATTTTTTTATTATTTTTATTTCATTTTTTTTTTTTTTATTATTTCTGGAGACTCGTTCTGGCTTGCGTAAAGCGCCCGTGTTCTCCACCGACCACGTACAGAATCCGTACCAAGCCTCACGCTAGAAAAGCTTGACCCCGAATAACTCGTCAGATCGTCTGCTCGGGATTGTCGGCTGTGTTAACTGGCCGATTTCTGGGTCTTTCGCCTCTCTGGCAGCTCGATTATTATTTGTTCCTTTCAGATCGCAAGTAGTGATGTCGCCAGAGTTTTCCCGCCATCGTTTGCCGCATTCCGCAAACCTGCTTTCTCTGCAGAAAACAACACACGCAGCTGATATGCGCAAGGCCGTCGTTCGACCATCATACGCCAGAATAGGCAATTATTATCTCTGCTGGACGTGATATCTGGAACAGACGATGTTTTGACGAATAATAATAATACGGAGAATACAGAGAATACGGAGAGAGCAGGGGGGAAACAGGGTAAAACTAGCGGCGACGCTAGGTGGCGCCCGTTTGCGGGAAACGATCATCCACAATGACACCTGCATCTCGAACCCCTTGATGGACGCAAGATAGAGGAGAAGATAGGATAGGCCTGTCTCTTCGCAGAAAGACACTTAATAATGTACTTTTCGACATGGGATCCTGGCGTATTAATACCACAAACAGTCATGAAGAGATTATCAAACCCCACAAGACGGCATACAGTGTCAGGTCCACTGAAGTTTGAACTCGGGGCAGCGCAGATCCCCCCAGAGCCTCGAGATCCCACATCTGGGGATAATAATGGCCAGATGGTCGAGATCTGCACATCTGCTACATTTATTTTCTCGTCGTCAAACTCGACCTTAAACAATACTGTAGTAACTACCAGAGGTCATTCTGTGACATTCTCTTTTGCGAAGACCGTCGAATAATAATTCACAGTCGACAATTTCGATTCCAAAACGTGGAATGTAGCAGTCCCTCTGACAACGTGCCCGATAGGTTGACGTTTCAGGATCTCGAGACGAGGGATGTATTGCCATATCTCTCCGTCTTCGACGATTCCATGTATGTACTCCGCTGTATCTTAGTTACGGTCCCCTGTGCCATAACTTTAAGGCTAATACTATGTCAGTGCCAATAGAACAAGAATCCACTGGAGAATGTGAAGAATACTTTTATACTCTCCTTAGGGTCTGAATCCCTCTACGTACCATCAATGTAACCAGCCAACCAGCCAATCCAACAACCAGAAGCAAACTTTTAAATCTTAAATGTAATCCTCTTTCTGGCGCAGCTAAGCTAAGCTACAGACTAATTTAGAACATAAGCTGCAGAACATTTTTTAATGTATGGTATTACATAGCTGTATAGAACTAACCCCCCACTTGTGAATGTGGGACGAACCTTTTATTTACGATTCGAGAACAACCCCAGTCTGGTGGCTTGAAAGGCTAAGTAGTGGTCGGCGGGGTCTTGTACCATATGGAGGGACCTGGAATTTAGAGTATTTATCCAACTACGTAGATTATGTACGCCACGTTCCAAGAATATCTGTCGTTGCTTCAGTCTTGCCTCTTCTGAACAATGTGATGTCACATCCATGCGATTGTCTGTCTATACTCGCCACAGATGGGACGATACCAATCGTAGGCACTCGCTGAGGACCCATTATGAAGGTGCGGCAGATGTATAAATACGGAGTACATGCTTGAAATGTTGCTATTGCTGCTATGAAGATTCAATATTCAATGAAGACTCTCTATTAGAACTGTATCTGCACAGTTCGACTCTTGTGTCTGGAAATTTACTACGTATTTAAAGAAGCTTATTTAAGACAGAACCCTTATGGAGAATAAGAGTAAGCTATGCTCTCTCCATTCCACTTGGCAGTCATAACTGTCTGTACGAAGTCATAATATCATCTCGCATTCTGATCATTTCCACAGGTACACTATTCCACATATTGACTCCCACAAGATCATATCAATTCATTAAACCATATACAACATACATCAAGCCCCCAAATTTATATATACCATACTGACATCAAACCCGAAGACTCGCCACATTTTGCATCAGGAACTGAGCCGTATCATTTCTGAAATCATCCGCCAGCAACGACGACGAATCCGCGAAGAACTGCATGAGAGTCTGACTCTCGCTCCATTGTGGCCACTCTGTCTGGCCTGATCCGTCGTTGGGATCGAGGTTATATATGAACGAGAGATAGTATGAGCGAATCGCATCTGAAGCGTGGTTGGGCAGGATGCCGAAGAATACTTGTAGTATGTCACTGCCGTGGAAAGTGCCAAGGAAGGGCGTTCCGTAGTCATATGAAGATAGGTAGGACCAGAATGGGACGTCCGGGTGGACGCTTTGAGAGATGGTTAGGAAGACTCGTCTCGTCAGTGTGAAGGTCATGTCTCCGAGGATAGCTGCTAGACGCATAAACTGCGGGTACCAGTTGTTCGCATCAGAGGTTCGGAAAGGAGACATGTCGTCGGGGTCATCGGGATATGTTGCTACTAGTTCTTCGATCTGTTCTCTGGTTGCATCGTGGAAGAAGATCGTTGAGAGATACGTGACCACATCATCGATGGTTGTGAGATTGCTTTGGGACAATGCAAATATCGTCCCCTCGTCTTCCTGGTCTCCTATGATGAATGGAACTTTGGCATATTTACCCTGTTTGATAAGGGCGTCAGGAGAATCAGTGAGGACCTTCCCATCAGGTCGAGGTAAGTATGCAAGATCAACTGAGTGGTAGCTCAATATTCCAGGGACAGAGTTCGCTGCGTTCAGCAGGTCGGTATAGTCCAGTTCCCGGAGACATTCGAGGGTATCACTGGCTGAAGAGCAGCCTGCATTTTTCACAACAGTGTCATATACGAGCTGCGCAGAAGGTGTATCGACTGGGTTGGCAGGAACAATACTTCCAGAGTCCATAATCCCGGCACGGAATAATGGCTTGCCGTTATAAGTGTTGTCTCCATCGTACAGCAACATCTGATCGAAGACGGAAATAGAGCCTGCAGACTCCCCCCAGATAGTGACTTTCTCTGGGTCACCACCAAAAGCTTCGATATTGTCTGCAACCCATTGGAGAGCCAGTCTCTGATCGATTAGTCCGAGATTCGATGCGCCATCTGCGAGGACCTCCTTTCCGGGAAGGAATCCAAACCCTCCCACTCTATAGTTGGCAGCGACATACACTATGGGCTTATCTTTGTCGATAGACGCCGAAACAATTGGCTCTCCAGTATACAACTGAGTGGAACCAAGCTCGAAACCTCCTCCAAATATCCAAAACAGCACAGGCAGTTTCGAATCAGCAGTCGTCCCAGCAGGTCGGACTATATCCAAGGTCAGACAGTCCTCCTTGGAATTCTGAACCGCTTGGAATATTGGAAGATTGAGGACTTCTCCCAAGATATTTGTCGGAAAGTCATTCTCGTCAACGCTGAAATAGAATTGTGGACAAGCGGGTGCTATTTCCACTGCATCAACGGTTCCCAGCGGAGATGTCAACGGCTGCGGTGGCTTTAAACGCAAAGACCCTGTTGGAGGCTGGGCGAAAGGAATGCCAACGAATGTGTCGACAGTTAATTCTGTCGCCCCGACAATAGTAGCCTCTGGATGGGCAATGGTAACCGTGGGGGAAGATGCCCGCTTAGCCGGAGCAGCAGCAGCAAGGGAGATACAAGCCAAGAAGGGAACGAGAGTCGTTAACATCATGACAGATCGTTGCACAAGCCTGAAACCAATATTTAGGTACTCTCTCTCTCTCCTTCCAGGGCGCACAAAGGTCCGTGTTATAGAACACTCCGTTCCTACCCAAACAGGCGCCCAGACCGCTCTGCCCTCATGATATATGTTCACCCACAACAACCACAAGAAGAACTCGATCCGTCACAGAGACACATGGAAGCATGTGTGTCCTCGGCAAAGTTCGAGCTGCTCTTAAGCAAGCCTTGGTCAATCCTGCACGATCCTCCAGCCACGAGACCCCGCTCCTCCTGAGGATCGGAATCCGGATAGAAGACTCCCGCGGAAGATCAACAGATCTATAAGCCATTAGTGTCTTGCACTGCAGATAGTAGGTGTCCAGTGGCGTTCCATATATTGTTTTGCGGGAGAAGCATACTCGATCGTGGTTCAGGAACTAGTAGTATGTATGTTCGCGTGACCTTTGCGCGTGTGGTGAGAAATACACTTGACTCGATGCTCTCATCTAGCACTCTCATTTACCTAGTTCTAGTACAGCAAATGCTCCGGGGCTAGTGTATAAGGACCCTGCTTGGAGACCTTCGCGCTTTCGTGGGCAGGAAAAACGGAATAAATAAGCAAACATTCGATGGGGTTACCATAGAAGGTCCTCAGCAGAGAAATAAACACCATTCGCACCAGGCCAAATAGGTTAACGATATGCTACGGAATCCTCACTCACCGCAATTTCAATCTCAACTAAGACGGTAGTCTTAGCCGGCAGAGCATTCTTAGATCTACATACAGTAGGTACTCAACGGCCATGCTGGAAGGGCCGCACACCGGCTCGAATAACGAAAAGCCCTAATATCAAGCTCTAAGCGAACCTAGAACTCAAACACATCCGCTGTCGTATCTATGGATTCCCCAGACGGATTAACATCTCTAGACAGAAGGACAGAGAAGATCACAGGGCCGTATGTCTCGATGCGTTGGGTACGTGGATATTCCGGGGTAGATCGGCCCCAGATTGAGAGTTTCCCCGGACACCTTAATAGTTAGTTAACTAATCCTCTATAGTTACTAGTTAATCGGCCCCTATTCTCTATTCCTGCAGTTAGCCCTCACTCTCCGGCAGAAGATTCGGGAGACGAAAAACACATCCCCCCAATCACGCCGGCGCAAAAGCGGAAAGGGTCTTCTTTTCCAAAACCCTCTTCGGAAGGTATACCTTACGGGGTATAGATCTATCTACTTAGCAGGTACTTTTCTCGAAGCTAGCGGTGTGGATGATTGATTGATAACGCCCATTTCTGGTTGGTGTCCGGTCTGATCGTCTTCTCCGCATTTTCGGCTCCGCGCTTTGTTTTTCTGTCTGTTGACGGAAGAGGGGCTAGGAGCTGATCTGCAATGCAAGTGACTGCCGAGGTGAAAATCCATATTGAAGAAAATATTCTGTACTGTAAATAAAAATAAACTATACTTAACACGGCTCTGTCACTGTACTTAGTCTGCCGTTGGTGTTAAGATACCGAAGATGAGAGTGTGTTTGGAGAGTTGCACCCTTGCATAGTTATTTAAGTCATCTTTAGTGCCGGTACTTAACTAGTTGCCATAATAAATTTAGTAAGTATGTGTGTGGCTGCTTCGTTGACAGCGCATCCAGATATCCTGGAGTAGTATTCACACTGCATGCGATAAAAACGGACGCAGGAAAGGACAAGCAGACATAATGACGCTATATACTGCGATTAACTATCTAAAGAATGCACGAACAAGTTTTATGTGAGAAGGGAAGCTGGATCAACTCGAAGAAAAGAATATCTATCTACACAGAGAGACATGCATATATTCACGATTTCGGATTGTAACCCCTCAAATTAAATTCCTCGTTGTTCCTCCTCCTATGCACGTAATGCCTCTTGGGCTGCATCATAGTATAGATCCAACAGACATCCTGCGGACCAGGCTTGGGTAGGTGACTAAACATTGCCCATTAGTAATGCCAATCTATGACACCGGTTCATAAGATGAAAGGGGGGATATTCACCGAATCTGCGCAGAATGCGCCATCCTTATTTGTTAATTCCGTCAGGCCTTTCCACGGACTCTCCCGCAGAGCCTTTTTGCAGCCGTCCAATCTCCTAGTCACCTGCTGGAAGGTCTCTGTCCGCTCCTCGGCAGTTTGTCGACGCTGGAGATCGAAATGCAGGAGTGCACGCAAGAAGAAGCCTCGTGGCCAGACCCATTCCGGGCCCTGGTGGTAGTTTCGGCCCTTGGCGGTCGCAAAGTCTGTAGAGTCTTCCGAGTTGTTATAATTGGGTCGGTAATTCATGTCAGAGGGGTCCAGAGTAGCCATGCCAGTCGGGCCCATTAGAACAGAGTCTGCAATAGACAGCGCATACAGTGCCTTGGATGGCGTGAAGAGCTCAGGTGCAACGGTCATGGCGATTGGGAAGTTGGAACGAAGCTGGTAATCCTCGTAAGGTTTACCGGATCGGTACAGGTCCTTGTAAATTCCTCTCCGATTGATAATGGAAGGATCAACGTCATATTGTCCGTCTTCTTTCGGATCAAGAGGAACGTAGTAGCAGCGCTCGAAATTGCTCTTGATCTTAGAAGCCCAGTCCGCGAATGTTACCAGTTTTCCACTATCAATATCAACTCCCGGATACGGGTAGTCCCCAGCTTCGTGGAGTTCATTGACCCACTTCAGAGCACTATAAAGAAGGCCTGTGATCTCGATTGCTGCACCGTCACGGGGAGTTCCGGGAATTCCTTTGCTTCGTGCTTTTTCGCTCTCTCCCATTTTATCCTGCCATGTACCACAGTTCAGCTGACTGCCTCCGAATATCAGCCCTGTCTCCCAATCGACGTTAACATTGATGTTGAAGCCTTCTTCCTTCATTTGCATGTCGAGCTCGGGTCCTGCATTGTACTCTTTGAAAGAGAGTCCGCTAGCATGTCTTTGGAAAGCCTCCTGGATAACATCTTCGATGGTTGAAGACTTAGAATAAGCTCTTGGATCGTCGAACGGGAACCAGGTATCATCGTACGGCCTAAAACGCCTTGGTATCTTTTCTTTGAGAATCTGGATGCCGTCAGGCGCCATCTTGGTATAGTCTTGGATAGCCTGGATGAAGAACCACACTGAATCTCGGGAGTTGTATCGCGGGTTTTTGCCAGCGCTTAGCAAGTTCGGTATCATTCCATGCTTGAGGACACTTGCGAATGCAAATATATGTTCCTTGGCCTCCTCGAAACGACCTGTGCAAAGAAGCAATCCTCGAAGGGAGATGAAGACATCACGTCCCCAGCAGCGAGCCCACTCAACTGCGAAATGTGGTAGGCCAGCTGCAAGACTGGGGACACTCTTCATTGGCCAGAGCGACGCCGACTTTACATATCCAGTCATCTGCACACTGACCATGGCAAGCTGATGAATGAACTCCTGGCCGTGTCGGACGTCCTTGCCGAATAAGCTGATAGCTTGCTCCCAAGCTGCCATGTATGCCTTTTGAACTATCATAGCAAAGTATCTTGGCAAGAGAAAGCTGGGTAGCTTACGCACCGCATGGAACCTCTCCCGCAACCACACTGCCGGCTCATACAACCGCGTATAGCCCTTCTTTTTGGCCATCTTTTCCATTCGTTGCACGATATAGTCAAGAGGCCACTGGCCTTGGCGCAGGTGATCGCAAAGGGGGTGCGCCAAGTCATTGTATTTGATGATATTCTCGAGTACACTCCACCATCCCTGCAGACCCGCGTATACCAGCGGACCGTAGTTGGGAATATTGTAGACGCCATCCTGACCTTCACTTGAATCTCTCTCCTCTGCATCGCATCTGTATAGCACGAAGTTAAGATCAACCAAGTCAAGATCGCTGAAAGCTTCTTTTGCACCTCCAGTAATAAAATTGTGCAGTCCCTCGGAGTGCTCAGCCCGTGGAATCCAGGTCTCAAACAAGGCGATAGAACCAGGTACCAACTTCTCTGACGCATAGATGGTCGTGTCATCTCCTTTTTGAGTGGCTTTGGCACCATCGATCGCGACAACCCGGCTGGGCAACCCTTTGAGAAGTTGCTTATCGGCTAATGTCTCATCCTTCTTCTCTTGGCTGGCATCAACTTCCAACAGCCAGCTGCCAAGCAGCTTAGCTTTTGTGCCCACAAGGTGTGTCGGGGCAATCACTCCGTTGCCATTGCCATATCCAGGGAAGGCCGTATGCGCAATCAAAAATATCCCCTTCCTAGTTTGCGGGTGGACTCTGTGAACAGTAATATATTCACCGTCGTGATGGATATGCGTCTCATCGTATCCTTGAACACCCATCATAGTATGCAGTTTATTAAGAAACTTCTTGACGCTGCCAATTCCCCCCTCTGTCGTTCCAGTCGAGAGGTGGGCTTGTTCAGAGAAGGCCGAATGGTACAGACGGGTCTCATGCACTAGATCAACCAGCTTAGGGTATATTTCATCGTAACCCATGACACTTCCAGTAGCTGAGGCACACATGGCAACCAGCGCCGCATTAGGGAGGGTATCTCTTGCATCCCGTTTCTGTGCCGGGACCTCGTTGTCGTGCGTGCAGTCCATGAAAAGTGCATGCACAGGACTCTGACGGATGTGGGAAATAGTTTCCCGTTCGCCCTCTGATTTAGCAGAGCTGACCGCATGGCTGCTGCCCGCAGTCGGAAGGTCAAGGTCAAAACTGCCAATTGGCCGACCTCCATGCCGGTGAACAAGGCGACTCAGCTCGCCGGTACTCCATGCTTGCATTGCCTCACGAATCAGTGCACTCAGACCTAGCCGCTTGACAAAGACGTAGTCGGTCTCCTCAGACCCTGTAAAGAGTTCTGCAAAGACAGTGAGATTCGGACGCACTTTCCTAGCCTCATCAAGGAGATACTCGGCTACCCTGAGTGGAGTGGAGTGGCAATTGTCGATGCGGAATCCAGAGAAATACTTGGCCATAAGACGAGTATAGCGTGCCATATAATCCCAGAGGAAAGGGTTATCATCTGGACCGGAGCCGTACCGTAGTTTGACACAATCACCCCAGACAATAACCTCTCGGCGCAAGTAAGCTTTCGAGTCTGGTCCTGCATTATCGCGCATAGCGTCGGCATTCCAGATCCAGCCATTGTTCACAAGTGCCAATGCTTTGGGGTTGTGCTTCTTGGTTGTGTCGTTATCGGGCAGTCGAGTGAAGTAGGTCTCGATCAACGGGTTTTCCTTGGTGACTGGGCCCAACTTTGGGCCATGGTCATCGATACGGACATATTTGATCCGGTTGAAGAGTTGCTCCAGTATTTCAGCCACGTCTGCATCATACTCCGCGTAGCAAGGGGCATTTAGCTCATCAAGGATCTTTCCAACTTCACTCTCAATTGCAGAAATGTCAGATGATTCATTGTAGCGTCCGAAGATTGCAGTAACTAAACCTGCAACAACGGTTGGTTTCACTTCACGACCGAATCTGCCGAGAATACGGTCCCCATTGACGAGAGCTTTCTCGCGCACGTAAGAAACTTTCTGCTTAAGATCCCATCCCTTGATCTCCTCTGTGTTTTGAACATCCGGCTCATCGCCGGAATTACTCTTCCATTCCTCGGCGACACGCTGGCTCTCTGACTTGACGTCCACGACGTAGAATTCCCATAGTCGGATCGCATCGATGACATGTTTTCGCAAGGCGTTCATCACAGTGACAAGGTCATCGACACTTTTGAACTCTGTAGGAAGACCTAGATCTGCTAGATCGTTTCCGAATTTGATCAGAGCATTATCCAGTTCCAATGCCGATTCTAGCCATGGGGCAGTCTCCACGTTGTATCCCGCCTCTGGATGTTCTTCCAGCCACTGGCTATTATGTGCCGTGTGATTCCAGACCACGTCTGTAAGCGCCAGTAACTGATAATCTTTCTCCATCTTCGCCACTAGATCTGCAATGTCCTCCTCGCCATTTGGAAAGCACTCGGGGTCAAACTGCAGCTGGTCGTAGATGCTGTACGGGGAGTTTGAATCTCCGCGTTTCATCAACGGCGTGAAATGCACCATATTGTACTTTCTCTCGCCAATTCCCCGCAGGTGCTTGTCCCAGTCATCTGGATATTTCCCCATAAACTTCGAGATGACTGAAAATATGGACAGAGCGTCCAACGGCAGCGGCTTTTCTTGCAACGTCAACGCCGGTGAGACATCAACATAGTGTGTAGGCGTCCTTGTCGGCTTGGGAGTCGGGACAGGTTCTAGTGAAAAGTCCGGGAGAGGAGAATAAGTCGTGTAGAAGGCAAATGCGCCAGGGGTGGTTATGGGCACGTCAATCTGGATGTTCTTGTTGAAGTCCGGCTGAAGACTATGAGGCGTAAGTCAGCAATTGGCTCTCGAAGGTTTCCAGGGACTCCCTAGACTTACTCGTATTGCCTAAAATTCGAGCGGTCGAAGTCAACGCCTTCTTCAGGGATGTTCACCCACAAGCTCCCTTCACGGCATATGGAGCTTGTTCCCTCGATCACGAAACGAAGGACATATGGAGGATCCGTGGGGGGTGGAAGGTAGATGTAACCCCCAGGGACGTCCGGCGAGCCATCATCCTTGAGAGGCAGGAGGTATACCTGCCTATCAACACTCATTGTCACGGATGACTGCTCGACAGGAACGACAGGTAATGAATGATAACAAGAGGGGTGGAGATGCGGAGACCAGGTATGTCCGCAGGAGATCGATGAACGCGATATCGCATACAGCGCTCCCCCAGCTGAACAACAAGAATTGAAGAAGGGATAAAATCCAAATCAACTATTTATGGAGGAGAGAAAAGCTGTCCATGGCTCCGGATGAGGTCCAAGCGGGATTGTGCCTGATTGAGGAACCCCGCGGGGTCGGAGTGGGTGACATCATAGTCTGGAACCTCGACTTTATGGTATGTATGTACATACAATAATTTCTATTCCACTACGTACTCCCGGGGGATAATAATAATAGCTCGCACATGGCAGCAACGGGAAAGGAGAGAATTGAAGAGAATTTCATGTTACTTTGGGCTCTTTTAGCAATAGAGTCTTATTCGGGACATTATGACGAATATCTAAGTAAACTAAAGGCCGAAAAGGGCTCATACAACATGGGGGCTAGAGGGAAGCCAGAAATTCTCCATCCTAAGCAATTTGTATCTCGTTACACCCTAGACCCCTCCCCTCCCCCTTCCCCGGACAAGAAGTTTCGTCACTTCTGCTGTTTTCCGAACGGCTGGTTTTCCTTCAGAGGCTTTGGGAAGAGTGGACCCCCGCGAGTTGGCATCTGTATGGCGGGTTCCGGGGCAAAAAGCCAAGAGAAGTCGGCAGGCTCGTTCTCACAGATGAGAATCATCCCAGGAAGGCCGCAAATGCGTAGATATGACAGACGGCTCGCTTCGAATATGAACACCATTGACGACGTCTGTTTCACATTTTCCAGCTTCATGCTGGCACCCTTGATCTTGGGGAAGGTTCCGATCCATTTCACGAGCTCCTTCAGCTCATCGCGAGAGAATGTCTTCGACACGTGGAGTGAAAAAGTCGCAAGGAGGCCAGGAGGGTTTCTCCTCATGGACGAGGTCGAAGGGGTAATAGGAATCTGTGCCAGCGGGAGGGTGATAGAACCCATTCCAACTTTTGCTGCATAGCTGGGGGTCTTCACAGGAGAGGACTTTCTGAGCGTGTCGATCAGGTCTGCGACCTCGATGAATTTCTCGCCGTTCTGGGCGCGCTTCCTAACCTCAACGAGCACTTTGGACGTAAAGGAGAGCTGAGTTCCCGCCGAGAAGGCAATAGGATCTCTATCATCACCAGCAGTCAGGATCTCGACAATCCGGCTTTTGGGGCTAGGGTTTCTGGTGGCCAGAAAACTAAAGCAGCAGTCAAAGATGAGAATGATATCAAGTGGGGCGTCGAACGGTAACACAGTCTCATCCACGAGTAGCGAGACCAAGCGAGATGCCGCAATCTTCTTCCCCGAGGTGCTGTTCAGTATCAACTCATTGCTATCACTTGCACCACCATGACCCGCGTAGTGGATCAACACCAGACTACGGCCGGGAGCAGTACTGGCCTTGCTTATTATAGCTGATATCTTGTTTATGACTTCGAAGCTGGGAGTCGTATGTGCTTTCGGGATAACGTATGTCTGGGGTGTTGGGAAACAGAGAATCCTGGCCAGATTCGCGAAGGTTGTCCCATCTCTGTCCGCTCGTGTATCGTCATCCTCGAATCGGAAGTGGAAGGCATGATAGTTCTGATATTTGTGCGACTGGCGCGCGACCGCAGCACGGAGCGCGTCTTCCAGCTCTTTCTTCGACACGCTGGACATGACGAGAGTAAGGACTCTAAAAAGAAGGATAAGTCTGAGCTAGGAATTTCGAAATCTTGATGATATTGCAGATGAGTGGGGTTGGTTTGGTGGATGGAGAATCGAGAACTGCTTTTGAAGAAAATCTGCTTTAAAAGAAAACTGCAAAACAAAGAATCTAGTGAATACGCGCCTGCCTGGGACACTGGCGGTTGCCAGGTGGCTATATTGATCCGACGGAAGTTTCCAGTTGTTATCACCTGGTGAATTTCCCAAAAAGGTCTAACTCCCCTGGTCAACTTGCGGTTGTTTTTGTTCTAATTAGAATTCAATACTGTTAATTCAGGAATAGAACTAGTACTTATGAATGAGTAACGGAATATGCTAGGCTGCTATGTAGGCAAATGTCATTCGAGCCTACCGAGTCTGCAGAGCCATGGTGCCATAGGTTCTGTTTGTCCATAAAGTGGCTGTCAAGAGGGATATTCCCGCTAGGAAGACCTAAAAATTACTCTTTGAGTCTACAATTGAATGTACTTGTATCAAAAAGCATCTTATCACAAGGGATTAGAAATAGGAGAACTCCTGAGAGAGAATATATTGTCGGAGTCTGCCTACAGGCAGACCTCCTTTCGGGTTTCTCCCACGCCTTTCTAGCTCCCCCACCCACAGGGACAAATAGGCTGAGCTAGTTGCTAGATGAATCCAAGCCCAGCGAGCTTCGCTCCAGATATATTCATGGAGGGTGTTGGAAAGACGAGACAATGCGGCTGCTCTATGCACTTTCTCTTTATACCGCTAATAGCACATTGAATAGAATTATTTACTCTGCGCCTAACTCAATCAGTATTATGCAACAGTATTACCGATTGTTGCCTATTATACCATTACCTGGGTAGTTCCCGGTATATTTACTTTCTGTTGTGACATACTGGAACTAGAACAAGTTAAGCTTTTGCTCTCTGTTAGGGTCAAAGTAAATCCCTACGTATAATTGGCGAAATTATATACTAATGGAGCTGGACCTAGCCAGTCATTTTTTTTTTCTCTGCATAATAGGACTTACGTCGAATATTACAGTAAATGGCACGGAAGCATAGTCTGATCTGAACACCGTTGAATTGCTTGCTTGCTTGTAGGTCAAGCAGAAGATGGTTGTCAAGTGATACACTCGCGGTTCAAGCCCACTTTATACTTTCGAACTAATACTTCTCTCTAGCTATATTCGTATCAGATTTTCCGTAGTCAAATGCTTCAGAAGGAAGACTACCCGTCATTGTCTTTAGAGGTTATACAAATATGTGTCGAGGCCATGTAAAACGGGCCATATTTCAATTGACTCTTAACTCTGTAAACAGAATAAGCAGCGCATTCTATAGATCCAGATCTATTCTAAACATAAACCATGACGCTTTTCCTCGTGCGAACTCTAATATGTCGTTGCCAGACGGTCACTCCCGCCTCCGTCTCTTGACTTTTAAGTATTCTTTCATTTCTTTTCCTTTCATTTACAGTCTGGAGCCGTTGCGTTCGGGGATATCCTCAATCTTGTTGGGGATTTCCTCCGCTCTCATCTTGCCCTCGAGGATTCCTGCGGAGGGGTTAGTCACTGAGCTGAGATATTGATCAAGGAGCAGGAGTGGTTCACTTACTTTGGACGGCGGTAAACAGGGGGAATTCTTCCTCGAGTCCCTGCTTCTTCAGGAACTTGTTGACCTCCTCAGCGGTCGATGTACCCTGGAGCTTCTGTCCATTGAGCTCTGCCTTTTCGACCTCCTCGATGCTCTGGCCCCTCTGGACGCTTAACTTGGCACAGCGGAAGTTACGACCGCCGTTGCAGCTAGTGATCAGATCTGCCACACCCGCACTTTCTTGCAAGAATGTCTTGGAGTCAATGGTGGCGCCGAAAAATCGTTCACCAAACTTCACCATCTCCAGCAGGCCAACGCGCATAACAGCTGCCTTTGCATTGTCACCCCAGCCCAAGCCTTCGACCCAACCGGCGGCCAGAGCGATTATGTTCTTGAGAGCACCTCCCAGTGAGACTCCCGCGACATCGTCCACAACACGAACGTGGAAATAAGGGCGGTGGAAGAGGGTCTTCCACAGAGTGTGGTCAACAGGGGGGTACTCGTTTGGCAGTGCTCGCAGCTTCACCTCCGCGAACTGGCCCGAGGTGTCCTTGTGCTCGAAATGGATCACGTCCTCTGAGGACGCCGAGGGCGACGGGGCCTTAGAGTCCAAGGGGGGCGAGTGATAGGCAATACTGGTCTCAGACCAGAGCTCCTTCGCAACCTCAGTTGCAATATTCGCGCCAGAGAGCGCACCACAGTAGATTCCGAGCTTCTTGCCAATGGTCTCCGAGAACAGGCTCACACCTTCCTCATTCACGTCGACACCCTTAATGCAGGAGATACCACGGGCGTACGGCAAGATCTTCCCCTTCAGCTGGTCGCAGATCTTGATGATGAACTGGTGTGGCACGTTGAAGATCAGGATGGTCGCATCGCGGACTGCGTCTTCCACCGAAGGGTTGGCGTGCAAGTTCGGGGGCAGCGCAATCCCGGGCAGGTACTTGATGTTCTCGTGGAAGTGGTTAATGACCTCCGTCAAGTTCTGTGGCCCCTGGCAGAGAGGGTCGGAGGGGTCGTAGTGCTTCGAGTCCTTGGGTACTTCCACCTTCTCCTCGAACACCCACATCTGCACATCCCGCTGGAAAGTATCACTGTGTGCGGCTGTGTTCTCAGCAGCGATCTTTGCAATGGCCGAACCCCTGTATTTTTGTCAGCTCTCCTGCGCCCTGTCTTCTCCCCCATGTGGTTGGTTCTGCTTACCAGTTTCCAGAACCGATAACGGCCACCTTGTGCTTGCGCTGGTAGGTTTGAGACGGCATCTTGTCGGGTAATGGAGCGTATGTTGTGAACGATTGGGACAAACTACGTTGGAATCGTAGCGCTGAGGCAAGAACGGGGGATTTATGGTAATCAGGGCGTTTCGAGGGGGGCAATGAGTTACAGCACCTGGTGGTCAGGAACCGCTGTAATAAGAGCTTGGGTCGAGGAAATAACGTCCGAGCAGGAAGCCAACGCACTGACACGGTCATCCAAAGGACGATAATAGAGTGGAGAGGATTAATTAAATCACAGTGATTTCACAGGGGCAGAGTTGGATTAATTATAGCCAGGAATCCGTGATGTCAAGTGTGCCAGAGAATAAGTAAAGGACAACCAACACTGGGAAAGATCCCGGGCCAGCAATACAGCTACGTCAGTTGTGGGCCGCTTTTTTTTCTAGGGTCCTCCAGCACGCACGTGAGTGGTGTACCGAATGCGGCACCGATCTTATCGCCTCGGTGAGGGGAGAGAGAGATTTGGAGTTCGGACCACTGTGCTCAGAAGAGAGAGATCTACATATCGTTCATAACTAATTCACTTGTGAGCTCTGATGGTCTGCTCGACAACCGAGGGAACTCCAGATGAACACGGAGTCCATGCCTATATTACCCGATATGATCAACTTCCGCAGAACGGATACGGAATAGCCTGGTAGAACAAGGGCGCAGGCAACTAGATTATTCTGAATTTACAATGCTATTCAGTACCTAACTAACTATGTCCTGAAATGACAATTAGTATCTGCATCTGCAAACACAGTTAGCTCTTTATTTACAATGGGGTATCTCTATCCATGGCTAGGTACATAGCCACGTAAAGACCTAGACAGTAGCAATCACTTCATCGGAGCGGTGCACTGGGCTTTTTGGCAGGCTCCGGCCAGAGTTGAGCCCTGAGTATCAAAAATTCGCCGTCTCTCAACGGGACAATTGCCGTCCTCAGCGGTGTGTCACGCGAGAACTCTCTATTCCAGTATGCAAATGCTCGCTGTCACGCCCGGAGGGAGAAGAAAGTAGAAACGACGCGTGTGCTCGCTGGTTTGTACGATATAAATCAGTAGTCCGAGTCGCTATCAGCGCGAATATTCCATCTGCTCGATATTCGCCTAAGGAGCGTGCTACAACTTGCGAGATTTCGTCTATACTTGGAGTCACTCATACTCGACGCATCTGGCGGTTCATCTGTTTTCCGATCTTATTGGAAGTATCCCTTCGCAGTCCGGTCTTACATGCGTCGATCAAGGGGAATGCTCAAGACCGTCGCAGGAAACACAATATGAAAATGTCGCGCAGGATACCGGCCACAAGCTGACCGTTGCTCAACCATGTCGGCCGACGCCATGGATATTGATTCGGATCATGCGCCGGACTTAACGACGTCTATGGTACGCAGCTCGGTGAGCGCTGACGTTGTATCAGCAGGCTTCTGCTCACCCCTGTTGACTACTCTGCATTCCAGATCCAATGCTGGCAGTCCATTAAGTAGAGTATGGAAGAGTAAACGAAGAAAGTTATCAAAGACAAATAATCCAATTGGATACATCAATCAATACTATGACCATAAGCAACTGCTGGCCAATAGCCAGCATAAAAGTGCCTTGTCACGCGACTACCAATAGCCAGTTATAAACGATAGATATAGTAATTCAAGCAGATAAACAGACCAAGAAATGTTAGATATGATAACCGCTATTACCGACTGAGTAGTCTAAACACCATGGATCGATCTATCAAGTATATTACTGTCGTTCATGTATTTTTGAGCCAATATATCGAGGACCTAATTGAACAGCATTACACATGAGTAGACAAGAGTAACAGCCGCATCGGTCGGACATTAACGGCGACAAATCCCGACCGACGTTCCTCGATGCCTCATTGTCGCTGAAAACATCTTCTACGAGCTTGCAATGACGTATCTTGAACGCAGCAAAGAGCTATCCGGTATGCTGAGCCGTTTTTCGATATTTCAAACACATACTTACGCGGCGGGGCGTCCCCGCTGAATTGGTGCGGAGAAGGTTGGAGTGCGGAGTAATTGGATCGTCTGCTCCTCAGAGATGAGCCCAGTGAGGATACTCAGACTGGTTGCGGATGAGGCAGCTCGGCCATGGGCAAAGGTCACCATGCGCGGTGATGTAGATCAGAAGGACCGCCACGGGCACACATCAACCAAGCGATTCTTCAGATTCGTGGAGGTGAAAGAGCAGATCGCATAGACCGTGGATTAGACGCATACTTGAGACGGGATCTAAAAGATGGATTGAAGGTAAAAGGGCCTGGGGTTAACGTTACACCCGCACGCCTTCATCTCCGTCAACCAACAGAGGTATTATTGCCTAAGATTCGAAAGCTGTGGGACTAGAGCGTCAACTTCTGCAGCAACAGAGACGGCCCGACATGGGTACATGCAAGACATCTGGGTTGCCGGGGCTATGCGGAAGGTGTATACTATTGCGGCTTGAGTAAAAAAGACATGCTTCAGTCAGCAGTAAATAGGGTAGAGATGTGTTGGACTGAAGAGGAAGTAAATGCTGCAATTGCAGATGAACTGAAAGCCATAGACGCTGGTGATGAGAACAAACAGGGTTATCTCCACCGTATGCTACGCATGATGCGCGTTTATCATACAGACTGGGGAAGAACCGGGTGATGTATAGGGATAGAGTGAGGCAGGGAGTAGGTTCGCAATAAACCGGCGGCTAAAAGACTATAGCCCTCTGTCAAACAACAGCCTAAGCTCCTCGAGGTTGTCTTGTGAATACAAAGCAGCCGATATTCGCAGGACTTATATTCGCCGTCATGTGATCAGAATTATGTGATTAGTCATCGAATGCGGAGCCCCACCGGGCACAGCATGCTCTATTCAGTGTATGATCAGTGAAACTTCGGAGCAGATAATACTGCAACGACATCTTGAAGCATGGTAAGTCAAACTCGATCAGATAGTAGTATGTATACTGACTCTGCAAGGCCCCTATACGCCCGAAGCAGCGGCAGACGTCCGCGAAGAAAACCGCCAGCGGACGAGGCGCGCTTTTCGAAGACGAGTTCCGTACAACGAAAAAAGACAAGCGCACCATCAAGCATTCCACCTTCGTTTCCAAGATCGAAAAGACCAATCCCAAGCCTGCCAAGCGGAGACGTGCCTCAAAAAAGCTCGTCGCTAACCTGGACTCGTTGGCCGATGCGCTACCAGATGCTGAGGAGACGGAACAAAATGGAGGCAACAGTCAGGTCAACATCATCAAGCATAAAACGTTGAAAACTCGGCCGGGCGCGATGAAGAGGAAGGAAAAGCTTGAAAAGATTGAACGAGATCGATTCGTAAAGAACATGGCTCAGTTGGCGGGCGTGGAAGCTGCAGCAGCAAAGTCAGACACCAATGCGGAGCAGCCTTCGGTGTCGAACCGGTTCGCAGCGCTGAGGAACTTCATCTCGCAGACGATGGAGCAGCAGCCGGCGTTCAAGAAGTGAACTCCTACGGCTATGTCCGAGATTTTGCATCTCGGTTCCTTTTTTCACTTATGCCATACCTTTTCAGGGATTGGTTCTGTCGACGCGACATCTCAAATTGCGCGACTGAATAGTCTTCCCAGGGTTGCACAATTTCCCTCGATCATTACTCCGAAGACTAGGGACTCCTTCAGCAACTCGTGCCGGGTTCATCGAAGCGTTGCGGCCACGCCCGTTGATACCCATGGAGAACTAGTCCGCTTAAAAATTTGTGCGGCTGCGATAAACCAGTGTAAACCCGACTAGGGAGAGACTACACGAGGTTTCTGGATATGATATGTCATGTATCCGAATAGAAGGGCGGAATGATCAAAACATTATCCTTTTAATTACGAAAGAATAAAAGTAAAAAAACTAATCCTGAAGCTGCTTGCTTGCTGTTATTGACCGGACTGGAGTTCGATCCTGGAGCTTATCAGAACATTATCAAACGTTAGTTAACGATACGTGATAACCAATTATTTCTTCGACCCCTGGTTGAAATCACGTGCTCTCGCTTCGCTTCGTGATGTAGAGACATTCATAAATGGCTAATTCTGGTATCAGAGACAGTTCGAATGGTAAAATAGAGAGCTGCGATGTACTTTAGTTCGAATAAAAATCGTAGTTGAATTTTAAGTACATTCCTGATCGGCACTAGAGACCTTTCCGTTAGGGAGTTTTGTTCCAACCACTCATTTCAATCCCAGGTAGTGTATATATCTCTTGTATTTGGGACTGCGCTTACGCTGCAGGCCCTCTTTTTAGGATATCAACCACATTTCTGGCCCAATCACCGGAACCATGGGGAAAGACAGACACACTTGCCACATCGTCCCTTGTCTTGACTGCGCTGGCGCGGGGTTCTGAGTAGAAATGAAACCACCTGCAAAAACGCCCAGGTCATTTGGCCGCGCAACATTGACAGTTCAAGTACTCCTGTATATCTGGATATTCTTTGATGAAAGATGGCCTGGCGCAGCAGACTCGGTTAGCAGTATTGGATACTGCAGAGGAGATCAATGTTTATCGCTCGGATAAGGGTAACCCCCGTTCTTACCAACAGAAGAACTGGCCATGGGGTCCGTAAAGTCTTGTTTTAGCACGGAGGACCTCATGCAAGGTAAGCAACAGAATCACTGCAAATCAGAGGCACAGCATAGACTAATAGACGAATATCCTGAGAGATAGGCCTGAAAACACTGAACAATGAAATGGGAAAGGACGAGATGCTGGCAGCGTTCGCACCCATCACTTTCTTATCCACCGGGGGCTTCCTTGCTCTCCGCTTCCTGAAGAACCGCCAAAGCACTGGCGATCTCGATTATCTCCTCGAACCGGAGTGGTCTATGGACAACGACATCAAGGCACCCCTGCATGATGCTATAAAGAGAGTCACGAGACGTCTAAACTTTGCCGATGACTGGCTCAACGACGAAATGGCCTTTTTTGTCCCCCTACGTTCTCGAAAACACCTATTCGACGAGGCTCAAAAACAAAATATTGTCCTTTGGCAGGGAAAGAACCTGCGCATTCTAGCCGTGCCACTGGAGTGGGCGCTGGAGCGAAAGTTGAGACGAATCCATGCTGGAGCTCAGGGACCGAAACGAGGGGCAGACATAAGTGACGCCGTCGCCTTGTTGAAACATATCAGGGACCGAAACGGGGGCAGATTAGACAGGGAGCGCATCCGGACTTTCAGTATGTGCTCATATGAACCGCCACCAAACCGACAGACCATGGATCTTGTCGCCTTCGCATATCGAAGGAAGTACAAAGAGGAAGTTTTCGTTTGAAGTGCCGAAGTTACCCACGACAGGACCATGGCACTTGTACTGAGATCACAGGACGAGAGCTTTTGCTCGTCTTTCACGATATCCCTTTGGGGTCGGCGTATAGTTGGAATCCATGAGCAGATTGACAATCGACACGCGGGCAGATGTGGAACAGTGGCTGGGAATGCACTGACACTACCATGCAGCCCTTGGAACCCAGGAAAAGTACTCGAATAGCCGATAAGGCGGTTTCTTTTCAGACTGTGTAGAAATAGCCTGTGTTGGTGACGATGTTTCGTTTTGCGAATATTGAGCTCTCGCCATCGGGTTCAAGCACCAATCTGCCCGACGAGTCAAGCATCTCTGCTGGCAGGTCTGCAATCGACATCAAATCAATGGCAGGGACATGTTCGGTCCAGAAAGGTCCTTTTTCTGGGACAAACGGTGGGAGCGGATCGTCGATCGACTCGCGGTAGATTCCTTTCCCGTTGCGCCTCATCCCAATACTTAGTCGCCAGTTAACGGCCTCAACAAGCTCCTCTATGATACAGGCGATAATGGCGTATCGTACTGGATCATCATCATGGGGATCTGGGATCTGGCCCAACGCCCATGACTTCCCAGCCTGTTTGAAGAAGTATTCAACCTCCTGCCACATTGCAATATGATGTCTCGCTGCCATAATCTCGTATATCCTGTAGACAGCCCGGATCGGAGTATCTCTCCAACGCCAGACCGGTATTGAGCGCATCTGCTTCAGGTTCCTAGCTTCCATTCGGGTCTGGAGCAGAGCGGTGTTGTTCATCATAGTCCTGAACGAGACCTGGTCGGGTAGAGGAAAGTACCATGATGGTAGAGGGATAAAGAGGCAAAACAAAGCTAACCAAGGATGTTGATGACAAGACCTGAGACGTTGAGCGCTTGCACGCAGTTGCAGCGGCGTCTCGAAATTGCGGACGAACCTGCGCAGGCGATATCGCCAGGTTATCCGTGGTTTTTGTCGGCCATTGGATGGCATGTGTACAGCACCCAGAGTGAGCCCGGGACGTCAGAGCGGGTTTACGCTTCCTTTATCGCAGAGAATGAACATGGCCTTTCGAGCAGCTATTTACAACGATCAATAAATAAATATATGGAATAGAACAAGGATGGGCGGTGAACCCTCGCACTACTAAAGGCGGGTCCGTAAGTTGATGGTCAAAAATGGCATAGCGCAATTTCGCAAAGGCTATCGATAAGGTCGGAAAAGCATCAACCCCGCGAGCCTTGTTCGTTTGGTTGAATATTCCTTTTCTTCTATTGCGCGATCGAAGCACCAAGCATGGATGATCTAGAGTCCACGTACGCTTCACTGCGCGCGCAAATCACAGAGACAGAAACACGGTTGGCAGCCCTCAAACGCCAACTAGACAGTGCCGAGAAGACCCTTGCAGAGAAAGGAACGAACGAAACATCCGCTGCGACGTCAGACGGACAGCAGAGCCCACGGAAATGGCCACTTCTTGCAGAGGAGTATAGAAGGTACGGTAGACAGATGATTGTGCCGCAGATTGGACTACAGGGTAGGGTGTTCCTTTCCTCTTCATTTGTTCGGCGCCTGTGCTAAGTCTACCGGAATAGGTCAGTTGAAGCTTCGTTCATCATCAGTATTGATTGTCGGAGCTGGAGGTTTGGGATGTCCTGCAGCTCAGTATCTGGCGGGAGCAGGGGTCGGCACACTGGGCTTGGTGGATGGAGATGTCGTTGAACACTCAAACCTGCACCGCCAGGTTCTACATCGGACAAGGAACGTGGGCAAATTGAAAGTAGATAGTGCGATCGAGTCTCTTAAGGAGTATGATCCCGTTTGTATTTCCACGCCACCTGTTACACAGTATACTGATTCATATCCACTGAACTTAGGCTCAATCCGCACCCGAAGTATGTAGCTCATCGAGCTCATCTTACTCCCGAAGATGCCCCGGAAATCTTTAAGAATTACGATATAATCCTGGACTGCACAGATAACCCTGCTACACGATACTTAATCTCTGATACGGCAGTTCTCTTGGGGAAGCCGCTTGTTTCGGCTTCTGCGTTGAGAACGGAGGGTCAGCTCATGGTGTTGAACAATCCGCCTAAACCCCCTGGTGAGAAGTCCGGGGGACCCTGCTACCGCTGTGTTTTCCCCAAGCCTCCACCAGCGGATAGCGTTGTGAGCTGTGCAGACGGTGGGATCCTAGGTCCGGTGGTCGGAACTATGGGAGTGTTGCAAGCGTTGGAAGCCATCAAGGTCATCACCGGTTACGGCTCTGCGGACAATACGAATGGGGGACTGCCTGCCTCCCCCTCTCTGCACATATTCTCCGCATACTCTTCGCCCCCGTTCCGCACAATCCGTCTTAGACCGCGCCGTGCGAATTGCGCAGCTTGCTCGGCCGATGCCACCGTATCACTCGAATCTCTTCGCAGTGGCTCTACAGATTATGTCCTTTTCTGTGGTTCAGCGACTGCTCCCTCACTGCTTTCTCCAGAAGAGCGTATCTCAGCTAAGGAGCTCCAGAAGACGTTCGGTGACGGAACAGATGGGTTTGAGAACCGCGGACCTTGTACGGTCATAGATGTGCGTGACAATGTCCAATTTGACATATGCAGTTTGGATAAAAGCGTGAACATACCAATCTCGAAAATCTTGTCGTCTGCACCACAGCCCACATCCCATGATGGAAGGGAGCAATCCGGCCTTCCTGATTGGGTCCCTGCAGAAATAGCAACCGGCTCTGAGGGTCCGATATACGTAGTGTGTCGACAGGGAAACGATTCTCAAGTGGCTGTCAAGAAGCTCAAGGAGCTGGGTCTTGACAGAGAGGGATCCAGGTTCATCGGGGATATCCGCGGGGGTCTGCGCGCATGGCGGGATGAGGTCGACCCGGAGTTTCCGGATTATTGAAGACCTCTACATCGACTCCTGTCCCAGATGTGGCTGCAAGTCATGTTCTCGGATTCTGGGATCAACGGATGTCGATTGAATTACATAACATGTGAATCATATACACATTTCAGACGCCCATTAAAAATTAGATTATATGCAAGCATGGTCATCAACATAGGGGTATCACGTATTTCGGAAGAAAAGTCCAAGAGTATAGAATGCTCATGCGGTAACATTCACAGGCGCATTTTCCAACCACGCCCAGTCGACCGTCACCCTCCCCTGCTCGAGATTGGCCAATTTGGAAAAGACACTGCGCGTAGTGTCGATATCAGTCGCTTTGCAGCCGACGCCTGGGTATGACAAATTCGTTAGCCTTCGTTCAATTCATATATCCACCATACCACGGAAGTGGAAAGCCAAAGGCCAAGCATAGCATACATCTATCTACAACCTTGACATCCACACTCTTGCCATCTCGTCGTAGTCGAATTTTCAGTCCGCAAAGCGGATTCTGATTCGGATCCGAACCTTTCGAGGCAGCGTCAAAGACCAGATGTGATACTGCGCAGATGGAATCTGAAGCGGAACTGGTGATGCCGCAGGATCCGAGACCTGGGTCGTAGTAGGTTAGGTCGCCTGTGTAAGGGCCACCATGCGAGGTGGGTAAGGGGAGGTTGGAGACGCCACTACTGGTAAGAGTATGTATTAGTATAAAAAGAAAGGAGGTCCAGGAATATTACAGATGATGTATGTGATGAATGATATAAATAAGAAAGGAAAAAAAAGAGAGAGAGATCTGCGCAAAAACATACTTCTTCCCCACGGTCAAGCCTACAGCAAGACCAATGATCAGAGCCACGAGTATGACAGCTCCAATTCCACCTAGGAGTAATAGACGTTTTCGTCTGTTATTTGCGAAAGGCAATTTGATCTTCTTTTTGAAGATCGTGAATTCGCTCAACGCGACCCATTTTGGGGTTGTCTTTTCGCTGTCGTCCCGGTAGGTATGCGAGATGTCGCCGGTGTCATCTGGAGTCACGACTGGGGCCGTTGTCGCAGCTGGAGCATGCGATGTCTGTGCTGCCGCTGTTGCTCCAACTGGTTTACGCTTGGGGACCGAGGCCAGTGGGTGCTGCTGCGGCCGGCTCTGTTCGATATCGCGTTGTTCCATCGCCAATACTCGCAACTACGGAAGTAGATAGGTAGTTTCGATCAATTGGCGTCGCATTCTACGACAGGCGAGGAGGCGCAATTAGAACGATTGCGCTGGTTTTTGTTGGTGAGGCGCCCAGCAAGACGATGTCATAGCAACAGACCGTCAGGGGCCAGCAGTCTGTGTCTGTCGAGACGATCTTCGCGACGCAGGATATTATTATGTAGATAGTCTAGTTGGGCAATCCGAATCCGGGGAGAGCAGTTCAGGGGCTGGCCAATCATCTTGTCGGCTGAGGGTTGATATGTAGCTGAGTCATCTTATCGATCAATGTGAGGTTTTGCATCGCGTCTTTTGATAATGTCTACAGTAGTATAGAAAGTCATTCAGATACCGAAACCCTCTAGATAGTTATCGTGATCAGTTCCCTAACGTGATACCTGCAGCGCAATATCCAACACGAGCATTGCCATACAGACCGGACCAAGGGCCGGCAAGAATAAGTTAGCGGACATCTCGGCTGGGATACGATGCAATCATGAGAACCGTCTGTCTCGGCTTAATTGACAAAGATCGGACCGTGTGACATGGCAATTATCTGGTCTGACTCTGGGGATAAATGAGACTATATCACCACTATATCCATAACCCGTGTTAATTTAGCCGCGTCGTCTGCGCAGTCGGACTTGCTCCGGCCTGGCTTGTTCGATCGCGGGGTTGTCCGTTGTCGTGGGGGAGCTCGAGCTGTTGTTGCGGCCATGATCAATTGATCGTCAATTCCATCCGGTTGTATGATTTTCTATGGCGACATTTAATTCTCTTGTTTCCCCCACGGTCTCCTTTCTATCGGATACAATAATCATCATCATCAGCGTCAATTGCAGTCTACACGCATTTTCATGCTAAAGAACTGTTTTGGTTTACCTAGATATTATACCCCGCATACGTTATCGTCCTGAACTGCTTCAATAACAATGTCCACAAAGCCGACGGTAGGCTTTGTCGGCCTGGGCGCCATGGGCTTTGGCATGGCCACCCATCTGGTCAAACAGGGATATCCCGTCAAGGGATTCGATGTCTTTGAAAAGTCGCGCGAGCGCTTCCGGGAAGCTGGTGGCATCGCAGTCTCCTCGCTGCGGGAGTCGGCAGAAGGCAACCTGTACTATGTCTGCATGGTGGCCTCTGCACCGCAGGCTCAGGAGGTGTTATTCAACAAGGAGACTGGAATTGTAAATGGTTGGTACAGTATCTAGCTATTTCTTCTAAGGATGCTATGTGGTGGAATATTCTCTTGGCTGACTTGCCTATAGTTCTACCCCAGGGTGCAACATTCCTCCTCTGCTCAACCGTTCCCTCCTCCTATGCGCAATCGGTCGCACAGCAGCTCAAGGAACACGGCCGGGATGACATCTATTTCATCGACAGTCCCGTCTCCGGCGGTGCCAAACGAGCCGCGGATGGCACGCTCTCCATCATGGCTGGTGCGTCGGATGCAGCCCTGGAGAAAGGCAGATTTCTTCTACAGGAGATGTCAGACTCGAACAAGCTGTATCTTGTCCCCGGAGGCATTGGGGCTGGCAGCAACATGAAGATGGTCCACCAAGTCCTGGCTGGAATCCATATCCTCGGAGCCAGTGAAGCCATGGGCCTTGCGGCTAGATTGGGCCTGGATGCGAAGGAGACGGCGGATGCCATCATTAACTCAGAAGCTTGGACATGGATGCACGAGAACCGCTTTCCTCGGATGCTTGCAGAGGACTGGAACCCAGGTGCGAGTGCGCTGACAATTATTCTAAAGGATGTGGTAAGTGTAACGCCAGCTTGGTATTGGTTGTCAATATTTGATTGACATGGTCTCCTAGGGTATTATCACTGCCACAGCCCGCCTACACAGCTTCCCGACTCCTCTCTCCTCCACGGCCGAACAGACCTACCTCTCCGGTGTGCTTTTTGGCTATGGCCCGAAGGACGACTCCGCCATGGTCCGCCTGTACTTCCCCGACCCCATTGCCCAGGTTAGCAGCACGAAGTCTGCCGTCGAGAAGACCTCTGCTCTGAACCTGGTCAAGGCCCTCTTGGTCAACCTTAACATCGTTGCTGCCGCAGAAGCCATTGCCTTTGCACGCCACCTCAAGGTCGATCTGCAGCAGTTTTACGGTCTGGTGAACGAAGCTGCCGGTGCGAGCGCGCAGTTCAAGGCCCGGGGTCCAGAGATGATCGAAGGTCTGGAAAGCGGCGAGGCTCCTGTGGGAACTTTGACTGTAGATGACGCAGTCAACGAGCTTTCAACGGTTGTCGCAGAGGCGAGACTATTGAACTGCCCGCTGCATCTGGCTGCTGAAGCGCTGACCTTGTTCACGTTTGCGCAGAAGAGAGGGTACGGCAAGGAGGCGGCCGCGAGTGTGCTGAAGGTGTGGGAGAAATAGGGAGGCGTTCAATAAGCAATATTTCTTGGTTATATGTATATAGACATGTTCATTAGTGAGAATAACGATTGGCACAAAAGAGATGTTTGATCCATTATCAAGTGTGAGATTTAGTCCTATCTTCTGTTGCAAAAACCTTTCCCTGCCAACTTCTGCTTCAACCTCAATTGCTCTGAGTAGGACCCTCTGAAATCGTAGTTGAACAACAAGCGCTCATCAATTGCCACCACAACGATACCCAATGTCGCATCATCATTTCCACACGGAGCAATCCCCCTCAGCCCCTCTACTACTTATCGCCCCTCTCGATTCCCCCACTCTAATTAATCTTCCACCCCCACGAGATCCATCTAGACAATAAAAACAGTCCCTCCAGGCACAGAATCAAGAGATCAATTCTCGGAGTTACCCCGATCAAAACTCACGGACTTCCATCGGCGATTGACTGTGTCTGTTGATCTCCGTGTGATGTTGTTGTTCTTCCTCCCCCGCCCCCGCGGCATGATCGGATTGTATTCCGCGATCGTCCAGATGGATAATTTCAAGGAGAGAGTTATAAATGGGAATTGACCCGATTTTTACTGGTAAATTGTTTTTATCATACGCACGAGTCGTTTGACGTGCTTTGGATTTTCTGACGCATTATAGTTATATTAACCTATTACGCCGTTATCGGTTTACTTCTTCTTCTTCTTACCCCTCACTAGGCACGATTGTCCGCATCAACTTGATTAATCTGAAAGAAAGAAAAGAAGAAGAAATAACGAATCCAACATGCCTCACCCTTCCCTCAAAGATAACCGCGCCCTCTCTATCCTCGACAATGCCCTGGCTGGCGGCTACGGTATTCCCGGCATGTGCTGCTACAACGTCGAAGGCATCCTCGCGACCGTCCGCGCCGCCGAAGCGAAGCGGTCTCCAGCCATGATCCTCCTCTTTCCCTGGGCCATCCACTACGCCGACGGCCTGCTCGTCCACGCCGCCGCCGAAGCAGCCCGTAACGCCTCCGTGCCCGTCACCGTGCACATGGACCACGCGCAGACGCCCGAGATCATCCGTCGTGCGGCCGACATGGGCGGATTCGACTCTATCATGGTCGACATGTCGCATTACGACAAGGCGGAGAATCTGGCCAAGACGAAAGAACTCACGGCGTATTGTCACGAGCGGGGGATCGCCACCGAGGCTGAGCCCGGACGCATCGAGGGCGGAGAGGACGGCGTGGCTGACACGGCTGATCTGGAAGGCCTCCTCACCACCCCGGAGGAGAGTCAGGAGTTTGTCGATACGGGTATCGACTGGCTCGCGCCGGCGTTTGGAAACGTGCACGGCTCGTATGGTCCTCGGGGAATCCAGCTCGAGTACGATCGGTTGGACAGCATCAATCGCGCCGTGGGCGATAAGGTCCGGATCGTGCTGCATGGTGCGGATCCCTTCACGACGGAGATCTTCCAGAAATGCATCAAGCACGGCGTGTCGAAGATCAATATCAACAAGGTTATGAATAATGAGTACACGCGCGTGCAGGCGGAGAGGTCGGGTAAGGCGCCATTGACGACGGTTATTGAGGAGGCTACCACTGCCATGCAGAAGGCTGTGGAGAGGTGTATGGATATGGTCGGTTCGACGGGGAAGGCTTAGATAGATGGTGGTTGTAGAACGTACGAGCGACTTTTGGTTGTATATAGATGTCTCCACTGCATGAATTATGCTTACCTACTGTTTGGCGCAGAGCTTCTTCCGGAATGAATTTGAAATAGCACGTAGCTAATCAATGGAATATGAATATATTACTTTTCAAAAGAAATAATATACCACTCAGATGATAATATGTATACCCCCCGCATCAAACCAGATATGCACAACAAAGATATGATATATCCACATAGAACTCCCCCTATTCGAACGGGCAATCACAGAATGTTCAGATTGATTGGAATGCAGCCAAAGTTAATGAGTCCATTCTGCATCAATAAGAGTATCATATTAGCCTCTATCCACCATAATATAGAAAATGACCATGAGTGAGTGCGATTCATATTTGAATCCTGAAGGGAAGTAAGTAAGTTAAAAAGAAATCCAGCTTACGTATGTGTTATTCGAACAGCACACAGCGTTGGAGTTGCATCGGGTGCCCATATCGACGACCTCGCCGAGCGTAGTGATTGGTGTGCCTGGAATAGGTAATCAGCGTTAGTTAGCATCGTCGTTAAATATACATAGTAACAGATTGATTGCACTGCGTCGGACGAGCCGCGGATGATGGATATGGTTATACTAACAAGTCAATCCAACAGGACCTTTGGCCTCTTCGGGGCTGACGCCAATCTTGCTCAGAGTCGAAGCGACGTTCGTGTCATCGGTGTTGGCGATCGTCTCGCAGCAGTGTGCTTGCGCGTTGGCATCGCATCCGTCGCGGGCCGAGAGGATGTGGTTTGCGGGAAGGGCAGTCGCCGAGATGGCGAAAAGAGCCGTGGATAGAGGGATGAGGAAACGCATTGTGAATGGATTTTGGTTCACGCAAAAAAAAAAAATAAAGGTTACAGTTGTGGTTATGAGAACGAGTGGACGGGATTCTGGGGAAGGATTGTTTCTTGCACACTCTCGTGGTATTACTTATTATTTTCTATTGACCAGAAAGTCGGTTCCAGGTTTGGGATGCAGAAATATAAGTACTCATCAGAAAGCACCAGAGACTACGTACAAGGCTCCTTATTGTTACTCTGCTGCTAATTCGTATTTGATCGATCATCTCGGGTCCAAACAGGGAACTGGAAGATGGGGCTCGGAGGCGGGCTACTGCTAGTTAATCCCAATCCCCATCGCCAATCCTCCCATCTAGATCGGGCGAGGATGCAAGTTCCGTACTCCCTTGCGAGGTGTATAGCAAGCAGTAGTACAGTACAGTAATAGCTCACTGCTAGAGCTTGTCATGGCTGAGTCTTCCAACCACCCATTGGCCAGTGGTAATACTTTAGTGATGCAGGACGATCGATAGCATCTCACAAAGGCTTGAACTTCAGCATAAGTAAAGCACAGACGTGACGATCATGAGAGCTCGTCCGATCAGGGGAAAATCAGGAACCAGCAGGACTATCTCAGCCACCGACGATGAACCGAGATGCAGCGACCTACCAGAGATGGCGATCGGGAATAGGCTGTGGGGAGCTGCTCGTCTTAGTTTCGAGATCACCAAAAAGTCAATTCTCGGTGCGGACGCACGGATTCTGTCCCGGTTGGTATTATTTATTGTTGGACTGGTTGGAAGTAACAATGACTAGAGTGAATTAATCAGTCAGACTGGTCAGATATATAATTATGTAGTGGGGGATGGATGAGTTGTTGTTATTGTGAGGCGCCCTGGTTTGTTGTTTGATCCTGTGGGGTTGGAAAAGGAGAGATACGTGTGTGCTGTTTGACTGCGCGCATGCTTTTTCCCGTCAATATGTAACCACTCCGTTCTGTTAATTATTTGCCAAGTAAAATTTGTTCTTCAGAGAGTGATATGTGGATAACCTGAAAAAGCTCTGAGCTTTGGTCCCAACATCGAATCGACATGTCTGCAAGGGGTACTTAATTAATCGGCGATAAACAGAGGGATAGTTAGGCTTGGTGCCGAAGGTAGAGCGGTAGCACACTCTCAATGCCTGCCTGATATTAGAACTTCGATACTTCTGTCTCACGATCAACTCTATTCTTTTGATATCATTTCAGGTGGTATGGACGAAGAGATAGATGTCTCTGCTTTGTTTCTGTAGAAGAGCGAATAACTAGACTAACTAGCTTAGTTAAAGAAGTCAATGCCTCAGGTGTCTGATTTGTCAGCAGATCCGTACTCGATGTTATTTTGCCCAGCGAGATCCATGACAGCCATCCAACCCGAAGGAAAAAAGCGGGAATCTCACTTTTGTTATCACTTTTTCTCTAGTCTGATGTGGTGCGGGTGGGAAGGTGTTAAGCATGGTCTCTTGATATGCGCCCGTTCCAAGTCCTGCGATTATCATGGACGACAACCCAGCTCCCTCGTCGACAGAAAGCAACACCCAGCTTGCTGGCCAAGCATGTTCAAATTGCAAAGGAAGTAAGAAGAAATGCGATAGGACTCTACCAAGCTGTAGCCGTTGCGTAAGGTAATACAATTCTTGGTGTCTAGAAATTCTCTCCATACCCCGCACTTCAGCGCTGACTCGTCAGACAGACAGTCGATTACATGCACGTATGATGTGCACTCTTCGAGGAGCGCTGTTGCAAGATTGGAATCCAAATTGGATGAGGTCTACGCTCGCTTAGATAGACTTGAATCGTCTATTCTTAATACTCAAAATGGCGACTCTGAAATGCCGACTGTCGCGCCGACATGCTCTGAGCCGGCAGCTCCCTACCATCACCGTGACGGTGACACAGATGCACCAAAATGGGAATTCAATTCTTCTCTATTATCATCACAGATGAACTCTCTGCTACTTAACAGCATGAGACAAATACTGCAGGAAAATCTCACCACAGAAAAGCAAGTCCTGGAGAAATACCTGCAAACTGTCCATCAGTGGCTACCAATCGTTCCATCAGCAGACGTTTTGAGAGCAGTCGACAACGAAGAGCATAATGAGCTAAATAAAGGATGTGCACTGCTCATATTATCAATGTTTCTTGTGACGGAAAAGCAGTCCCATACTGCAAACGCAGTTTGGAAGACTGACTGTGTATACCGGACATGTAAAAACCAGTTCGCGACGTTTCTGTCGTCCGGAGAGACGAGTCTTTACGCTGTGCAAGCAGGAGTCTTGATCACGTTGTTTGAATATACTCAGGATCTCATTGATGATGCATATACTACCTTGGGTATATGTGCGAGGACTGCTCATACGCAGGGATTCCATCAGCTACGGCCTTCATCCCTTAGCACGCAAAGAGATGTTTCTGCACAAATTGGAGCACAGCACAAAACGTGGTGGGCTATCATTATGCTGGAAAGGTAGATATCTATACCCACTAGCCACAGCGTCCTCGCTAACTGAATGCAAGATATATCAACACACCGGTCCTCGAGAAGCCTCGCCAGCCAATGATCACTGCTACAGAGAATGAAATGACTCTGATAGATATCCCCGAGGCAGCCGTGTTCTCATCGCCTGCTGATTTGTTCACCCTCGAGGCAGAGGCTGTCACCCTTTTAAACAAGGTGCATGAATTCATGCGAGAGCATGGGACAAACGACACTCTACCGTTTCGACAGGCTCTGGATATTGACCGTGGACTTACTGCTCTGCTATGCAAGCTTCAGCTCCGCCAGTATTGCGCGATACCCTTCCGATATTGCTTTGCTAGTCTTACCTGGTAAGTATTTCTGTACGCTATCACCATGCCAACACTGACGGCCGGGACAGCGCTTCACTTCTTCTCCACACGCTCTGTCTTTGCAAGGCCAAGGCAATGGGTGAAAAAAGCTATATCGAGATATCCATGATAAGTCTTCAGGACAATCTATTCGGTTCGACCGCCGCCGTTAAACCTATGCTGGCAGCCATTTCCAAGGGCACTATTGCCATCGAGTCGATCAATCCCTTCTGGAGCCGTATTGCTCTCCAGGCCGAGCTGACACAGCGGGCAATCATCGAAGATCCAACGCAGAGGCATACTCTTTTCGTAGAACTGCTGCAAGTTCTGTCTAGCAGATATAAGATCGCAGGTGAGTTATACCCAACAATATGACGGACGGCAATCCTAACAACGCAGTAGAGAGCTTTCTACGTCTGCTGTGTAATTCGCACCATCACACGGAGCATGACGCTTCGTCTCAGCATTAGTCACGACATGTATCAAACGTCCTTTCAAGTGGTGTTCACAAAAGAGACTTGACAGTGTTCCTCAAGATTTAGATTCTATGATTGTCTTAGTTACAGCATGCGGGAGCATGTCGCATGAGCCCAGTCATGCTTGGAACACGAAGTTCTTGGTTCGTTGTAAAGTAATGCCCCCAGCATTCAAGTCTAACAATGTCCCTCTAGGCGGTACGCTGCAATTCTCACAATGGCGACTTTCTTTATTTATTTGGCACCGACACCGGCGATGTGCTCGTAGAAGGACTTGCCCTGAATCTCGGCGACCTGAAGCTCGAGCTCACTGGGCTGACGACTTCCATCAGGCCCGGCCTAGAGTCATTTTATCAGCAACAGCTTCTTCTAACTAGTAAGGGAATAAACGGATCACGCACAAAGGTACCAGCACCCCAGGGGCTGCCGCCGTGGATCTCCGACAGGTTGCTCAGCAGGTGTCCGGCGGTCTTATACCCCAGAGGAACATAGGTTATTCCGTGGTGAGCCAGAGTGCTCATGGCCGCGAGAGCGGTCGATTCCTGACCACCACCCTGCGTACCCGTTGAGATAAAAAGACCGGCGAATTTGCCGTAGTAACCTCCCTTGGCCCAGATACCACCCGACTTGTCCCAGAATGCCTTCCACTGCGCGGGGAAGTTACCGTAACGCGTGGGAATACCAAGGAGGAAGCCGTCGTAATCCAGCAGCGTATCCGGCTCAGCGATGGGGTAGTCGGGCTTGGGAGGTGCCTTCATCATGCTGAGAACGTTATCGGGAAGGGTCTCGGCGATCCTATGATGAGCGATGTCAGTGGACAATTGCTTCGGGCTGTGCTTTATCCAGATAGTCCGTACTGGAAGATATCGGCCTTGCCGCCCGCGGTGAGAATCCCCTTGTGCTGAGCCTGGGCCAGCTTCACGGTGTGGCCGTACATGGAATACTGCGCGTATCAGCCATCGTTAGCGACAAGGACGTCATAGGTAGATCGCGGAACTGGTCACGACATACGAGGACGATTGCGATTCTGGGCGCCATGGCTGCTGATTTAGTCGAAGGAGAAGCAGGAAGAAAGCTTCAAGATATCGAGGGAAAGAAATGGTTCAGCACTCAGGGTCGTAGAGCTGCGATTGCGAAGCTATATACTCCGTGGACTATCAAAGGAAATACGGAAATAAGTACGTCGTTGAGCTCCACTCCACTCAGACCTCACTATTGCAACACACCGTTTTCTCCAAACTTCTTTCGGGTCGACGAAGACTTCGCCAACCGAGCCCACATAATAATTCAGTCGACGGTTCCAATTTCTACGACTCTTTTCTGCTCCATCTACCGCTCATCGTCGTGAATGGTTGAGATGCTGTCCATGTCTGGAGCTCCGCTGCGGGATGTCCCGCCATGACATCGTCCATGACCGCGTTCGGCTCTCGTCCGGTAGGTAATTGGATACCTTACCACGACGCGATCCTCTTCTATAACGGTAACTAGCACATACGGAGCTAGTGAACTGCTATCTATTAATATTCTCGACCTTGTCGGATTCAGGAGTCCAGTTATCCACAAGAGACCATCGGCGACGGCGGCCGCCCGCTGACAAATGATGCCAAGTCTGGACTCTCTTTTGTTCTCCAGCGACGACTCTCAACCGCCAACTAGATAGTCTACTTATGGTCTCGGATACGTCAAGATAGACAATCCTGGCTAGTTCATCGCTAGAGCATGCTTCGTCGAGGAGCACAAGGTAGATTCTCGCTGGTGCTTGACAGGTTAGATGGCCTTTACCAGATAACTAAAATGACCTCTGTTGTTCAAACTCAACATACAGCATTGCAAGACCTTCAAGATCAATACAATACTTACTGTCATTTTAACTGCTCTGCTATACATTAATATATCATTCTTTCAAACAACCCCCGCATAATGCTAGACCGTCCCTGACCTAAAGCAGATGTGTTATAACTTCATTGAAAAAAAAAAAAAAAAAAAAAAAAAAAACCAGGGACATATATCTAGGGATAAATATAAGTTTAAACGCCCCTAGAACTTGAAACAAGTAAGCAATTCAAGGTGTTTAAGTCTGTGAGAATTTAAGATTACAGAAGCAAAGACCTTGGAAAGGCATTTAATACGGGAATTGAATCTGAATTGCTTAAAGAACTAGAGGGTACTAACATCTATCTGTTTATGCCTATAGGCTTTGTCCGAAATTCCTGCTGTCAGAAACAGATCTGAATTACTGTTTCCAAGCATTCGATAGTTCTAGCGTGTGTTCTTTAATCTGGCAACTACGGGTAAATCTAGGTAGCTTCCCGTTGCAGCTACTATCCGGTTTGCAGCTCGCCCCTACAGAAGCCGTAAGCGCTAACAACGTCAGACCTATGCTTCCGTGCTATTTGATATTCGACACAGTAAGTACTACACATGGCACGCTCAGGATAAAAAATCCGCATCTTTGGCGAATTTAACCCTGTCAGCTAGGCGGAAACATGCTGCTATTGAGACGCTACTTTATATTATCACCCAAACCAAAAGCAAAAGACGAAGGGAGCGGCGATAACTTACACTACTCCAACTCCAAAAAGTCATGGATAGCCCCACCTTCTTCTGCCAGTTCATGTGGAGAGACCAGATAGTTCTTTGCGGCAAGGACACCATTGTATAATATCAGTAATTACTTGGATGCTTACTGATGCCAGCATGACTTTGGGTAATGAGTAGCATTTGCTTGGAAGGTAGAACTCCCAGATAGCTCTGTGTGGGACGCACTGCATGTTTAGGAGGTTATGCAGCAAATTCCCCATACACACCAAACTGTTATGATGACCACACAAGCCCACCAGAATATGTTCCTCGTTTTATTGATAGGGACTAAAAGTTGACACCAGTTAAGTAAAATAGCTATCTTCAGGAGAGGCAGGATAGCCGAGTAACAGCATCCGTATATCAGAACAAGCTAGGTTCCGTCGGTCCAGAGTTTCTACAGCAAGACATGAGAATCTATATCAAATGGTTCAAGCGCAGGCTGACCACGTATAATGTTGCATGGAGAAGAAGTACGGAAGAAATGGAGAAGAAATATAGTAGACTGGGGCCTACACAGAGCCACTCTTGGTATGTCTTAACTTCCAAGGTCCAAGTTGGGCTCGTAGTCCACATCACAGCACAGTCAGTCCCCATGTGTTTCGTACTCCGTACTCTATTATACAATGAGGCTGAATGAACGAAAAGTCGTATTCCTTTGGCCCTGTGGGCCACGTATATCTGCCATCCATCTCTTATGGAATATATTGTGGCATATTGTAGTGGGGTTACTGCAAGTAAGTCGCATAATTATCAGTATCATGTTGAAGCTAATCGCTCACGTTGCAGGTTAGGCTTTTGGGTATTGGCTCTTTGATATATAGTCCCAAAATTTAGCGCAGCGCAATCTACTCTGTAGTTACTTTATCCTTGCGGATGACAGGATAAAAACGCGGCTCATATTTAACAAGTAATAAATTAGTCTACTCTGTACAGTAATGATAGGTTCAACAGAGCCGGCCCAATGGGTTTATCTTCTGCCGGAAATCGCCTTGTGCGGAGCCGTCTTGAGGACTGGGGGAGAATATTTAGTTGACGCCTGAGCGCTACCAGCAATAGGAAACGGCCCCGCGCGGCCAAAGACTAAAACAATGTCGATGCATTTGACCATAGCTATGATTGAGCCTCGCACGGTCCAGTAGTGGTTGCAGAAAAGCGTTAAAGAAGACCCTATTGTGACAGATAGGCAGAGACACTTTGCGATTGACTGACATTGCCATTAACTAAAAGTGATAATACCAGGGATCCGACATTGGCGCGGCCAAAGCCGTTGGAAAGGCACTGAGCATCCATGACCAAGAAGATAGTGCTTACGTCTAAGAAAGAGATCGCCAAATACCCTGACATGCTGCGAGCTTCTGATTCGCTAATAATATGGGACAACCAAAGAAAGGCCGCGGGGATATTGAATAAAAGCTCCTGGAAGTTTACTTGGGTTTTCCACTTAGTTCAACGGTATGCCCAAATTTCGGTTATTTCACTAGTCTAGCATGATGGCCTGCATGATGAAGGAAAGGGTACAAGGCTTTCCAATGGGATCTACGGAGTAGTCAGTCCACCTACACTCAAGACAGGCGATTTGTGGAATTTCTTACTGAAAATAGTTAGTTCTGCTGCTGTCAAATGGTGGAGAAGATGGCTTCACTGATAACATTTACCCGTCCGGTTTCGGCACCGTGGTTAGTTTGAAGTATATATATCATGCTCTATCAGATGAAGTATGATTTATGCCTTCAATCAAGAAGGGATATACTCATGGTACCAGTAAGCTGGTACTCGCGTTCCTGAAATTATATTCCTCAATGGACTAAGGGAGGTCAGACACCAATATGCCCTCGTTGCACGATGAATACCCTCCGGCATCCGGCCTGCGGGAAATGATGGCCCAGAAGCCCTTGCCAGTCATTCCTCCAGGTACTGTACACGATGCCTTTACGCCCGGCGAAGAGTCAATCAAGCAGGCACTCGTGGTGCTAGAGAAATTCAACGCTGCTGTGGTAGAAAGTGATGCCAAGGAGCTGAGAGACTGCTTTTTCCCGAGTCAGGCGTACTGGAAAGATGTGTTGGCGCTGACATACCATCTGCGAACCTTCACCACTGTGGAAGCTATTGTTCCAGCTTTTCTGGAGACTAAGGATTTGAGGGGTATTGATGGCGAGATGAAGCTCGTGGAAGCCCACCTTATACCTGCGAGTCTTGTAAGCTGATAAACCCTCGGTTCCATATCCCACCGCAGATAGGCAACTAACCCTACTATGGTGCTGTAGCAATTCATTGATTGTCGGATAAACTTTAGAACTAAGTCGCCGGCTGCTTCCTGCAGCGGGAGGCTTTTGCTTCTACCTATCAAGAGAGAGGAGACCCAGGAAATCGAATGGAAAATCTGGATACTGAGCACGATATTGGAAAATCTTGATCTGCATCCGGAAAATGAAAGCCTGCTCCAGTTACCTAGCAGAGATCTGCAGGGTCTCGAATACATAGAAACAGATGTTTTTATCATTGGGGGTGGGAACTCGTACGTCGAAGACTATAGCTTCTTCAATTCTTGTTATAATCATCTTTCTGACTTGCTTTCCTCATTCCAGCGCCGCTGCTCTCACTGCCCGTCTCAAAGCGTTGGGTGTTGAGAGCATTATGGCCGATCGTAATGGCGAACCCGGTGACAACTGGGCTCGTCGCTATGATAGCATGCGATTCCACGTTCCAACGTCCTTTTGCGAGATGCCGTACATGTGTAAGAAGCCTTTCGATTCCTCTCAAGCATTATTAATTGCCAAGTAGAAAGAGATACTGACATTAAGATCTATATAGGCTACCAGAAGGGTCCTGACACTCCACACTTACTCACTCGGAACGAGTTGGCCGAGCACCTACGGCGATATATAGACTCGTACAATCTTAATATTATCACATCTGCTGAGATCCAGTCGACACAATATAATCAACTGACCAAGCAGTGGACTGTTCAACTCCAGACCCCTAGTGGGAAACGTACAGTTATCTGCAAACATCTTGTCCAGGCAACCGGCATCGCATCGCAGAAACCTTATATACCGGAGCTCGATAATAGCAATCCCTATGAGGGCATCAATATCCATTCAAACGAGTATCAGAATGCCAGCAAGCTCCGAGAGCAAGGGGCAAAGGTACGTCAAGACGTGTTGAAACATAGTCTTATCTCCCAGAAAGATGCTGGCATCAGTTCTAAACTATTTGTATTTCTAGTCCGTCCTGGTGATTGGATCGGCCAACACGGCATTTGATGTGCTTAGGGACTGTCACTTGGCTGGGTTTAAAGCCACTATGGTTGCCCGCAGTCGGACTTACATTGTACCTGTTGAGTATGTCTGTGACAAGAATAGCCTGGGACTTTATGATTTTGGTGTCGATACAGCCGATAGGTTTTTCTTCACATTACCAATTGCCGTGGAGAGCCAGTTTGGGCGTGATCTATTTGCGATGTTTGCTTCCAAGGAGCCTAACCGATATGATGCTCTGGCGAAAGCTGGTTTTCCTGTTATTGATAGTCGAGATCCTGATTCGTTTTTGATGCATCACTTGGTCGAGCGAGCAGGTGGACATTACATGGATGTCGGCGATACTAAGCTTATAGCAGAAGGAAAGGCTAACGTAAAGGCTGGCGTGGAGCCCGTTGCCTATACAAAGACAGGTCTACTCTTCTCTGATGGCAGCACTGTCGATGCGGATGCCATTATCTGGTGTACCGGATTCGCAGACAGGGACGCTCGTTCTACGGCTGCTCAGATTCTGGGGGGTGGTAACTCTGTTTACGAGAAGGACCTGCTGGGTCCTCAAGAGATTGCGGCCCGTCTAGATGCTACGTGGGGTATTGACTCTGAGGGTGAAATTCGAGGCATGTGGAAGCGTCATCTGCGCATTGACAACTATTGGATCATGGGTGGTTACACGCAGCAACATCGATGGCATTCCCGAACGCTGGCATTGCAAATAAAAGCCGCGCTTGAGGGTGTATTGCCACCGCCATATCGGGAAGTTCCAGTGCAAGGTGCGTAGAATTCGAAGGTGCACTTTCTTCGAGGGATAGCTATTAGAGATTTAGGATTCTTCACCAATAAACAATCTGGCGAACAATGTAAGAGAGATATATTGTTGCACGTAGATGCATCTTCTCGGCTCCGATGTATCTCAGTGGTGTTCCCCGTCAGTTCTGCAACCTGGTACTTTATATTTGTTGGATTAGCGGGTAATTTCAAAAATAACTGCCCTTGTGATGATACTGCAATTCTTGTGGAGCGCGTCAGCCTTTGCTTCGGGCTTTTTCTGCCCTTCTAGTCTTGCTTTTGGTCTATCTAGTTTCAATCTTATTCTTTCGTCTTCCTCTCTCCTCGATATGTCTTGTCTTGTCCTGTCCCATTGTCAGAGATTACCAGATCCCTCGAGGGAGGAGTTGGTCCCTGAGAGAGCAAATCTCTCTATGGAGCAGTGACCTCTGCTCTTCAAGTTCTTGGATATAAGCCACTGCCTTGGTCAGAACCTCAGCCTTGTTCTGAATCACGGTGCTGTCATTTAGAATGACTTTGATGCCCTTGCTCCGTAGGGAGGCGTTCGGCTTGCCTGCACGCAGGCTGGGGATGGCTTTGCCCAGGGCGATGAACTTGGCATTCATCTTGACCCGGTAGCGTCTCTCAACGGCATTGTGGGCGATCTTTCGTCTTGCCTTGGCGCTCTCTTGGGCCTCTTTTGTTAAGCACTGGCCACTCGCGACCTCTAGGAATGGCGTTGAGGGGATACTGGTGTCGCTCATTAGAGTTCGATGTGTCAATGGGAGGGGACAATTGTATCCAGATATTTGTTTGAGATTTGTCTCGAACTGCGGGCTGAGATGGTGCAGTGAAGCCTTCCCAGGCCTTTTCTCAATACTCTGCTGGATTGAAGCTGGGCTTCCCGCATGAGTTGAGGAATATTCAGAGACCGAAGTCGGGACTGGAGATAAGCTATTACTGCTTGAGATGAGTGAGGGTGATGTCGGTTCGCTAATGTGATCCTACAGTCAAATATTGTATGTAAGAGATTGTTTGAACTCAAAGCAGATAGTGGGTAACTTACAGAATATGTTGGGTTGGAAGACATTGTCGGTGGATCATCATATGATTCTCTCTTCAAACTAGATGATGAAGGGTGTCTGTTTATATCATGCGTCGTGTCAAAGATCAAATGATTTCGCTGAGATCCCCACGGAGCATGCCAGGCAGAGTTCCACCACTCTAGACTGTAGGGATCTGCGACGATCGCTGTCTTAATATTCTCCGCAGATGTACTGTTTCCGACACCAAGCGCCATTTCAAGGCGATAGGTATTCACAGCAAGCCTTTGACCGTAGTTATGCTGAGAGGAACGTTAGCATCTATTTCAAAATGGACCGGAATACTGCCTGCAGTGAGTGAACAAACGACGCACCATATCGATATCAATATGGTCTGGGTTATTCACCGCTATCACAGCCAATGCTGTGGAGTTATATGGCTGTAAGGCTGTCCTGCACAACAGATTGATATTCTTGACAGCTATTCAACGGGATAGACAGCAGATGAGTTTCTGAGAGAAGATGCCCCAGGAAACCGCAGCAGCAAGTTCTTATGTTTGAACACACTGTAGAGAACATGCATAATCTCCATAGGTTGAGTGTCTGAAGGCCCATGCGTTTGCCATCTACCCGAGGTATACAAGTCTGGGCCTACAAGCCTGGGCGACTCCCCTGGAGCAGGGGAGTCCTCGTTGAGAATCATTGTATTCGAGGTACTCTCGAGATCCCAACATTCCCCTCTTATCGTTCCAGGACCATCTCTCATCGACGCGGATCTAGATCCAAGCCTGTGGCTTTCGCATACGAACTACTCCCCAGGGGTCCCGTTGACCGTGAGCGAATTGGCGCCAAGGTGAACCGGCTCTTCAGGCTAGAAGAGCTATTGTGGCTCATGGTCTGTCATCGGCTTCTGTTACCATCCAACTGGACCATGTCCGCCGCTATGGGCTTTTCTTTCAATCGAAAGCTCGGGTTCGATACAGGGGTCGGGATACTCCACCGTCACCGCGTTGAAGTCAATGGACAATGCGAAGCGGCCTCTGCGCCGGACAGTTCTCATTGAAAGTCCAGATAGAGGCCCACGGCCCTATCTGACGTTGAAAGTAACCTATAGATTTGGGCAAGCCTGGATATATCAATGGCTCCATGGAAATTCTGAGTTTCACCCTTTGCCTCTCTGGGTCGCTGGTTTTTGCTGGGATCGCTAACCATCCGGGGGAGGGGCACTGCGCATATCTCTCGTCGATAATCATCGTGGAGGACATACAACGCTAAGTTTAGAGTGAAGATATTAGCAGTCCTTCTGAACCACAGCCAAATCTTTCTCGGTCGCAACTTGGGTGTAAGTATCTAGTTCGCCTTCTAATTATTCAGCTAGACAACTTCAAGTACTGCAGCCATACTCAACGTTACGACTGCACCAAGCCGCGCGGTCTTCCTGTCTAAACTAGATGATGGACACCTCATGGAAATGGCCCGTGCATGACCGTTCAGATTAAAGATCCTGTCATGTTGAACGCGGCAACGGGCAGGCATCGTATATTTTGGGAACCATCTCAGCCATCAAACCCTAAACCGCCCTGCACACATTGATACACGGCGATTTCCCGTGATCCGTGCGCTCTGGGATGGTTGGGCAAAGGTTAATTCCTTCCTTCAAGCCTTTCTAGATGCTCGGTTATAGCGAAATACCTATCTTCAGCCTTTCCAGCGGAGGCCGCCACAGGGACTGCCGGAGGCCTGAGCTGCGATGGTGAGATCGAAGATTGAGTTGCAGAAATGCAACAACCATGTCTAGTCCAATGCACAGGGAAGTTTGACTACGAGGCCGAGACTGGCTGATTATAGATCGACGAAACTCATAGGTTCGTGGAGAAGTCAGCACCTGCATAATATTGACTACTCCATCCTGCTGTTTAGTTAAGTTATAGACAAAGTTTATTATTCACGATATTCTCGTGTTCGCGTTGGATCCTTATCGATGCACTAGAGCTCGAATAAGACACAATGTACGGTCAGTGAGCCTCCGCCCTGAGATGGTTACTTGGTAGGAGTTGGATTTGGGTCCATTATCGACGGGGGTTGCCGGTTTCAGTGTATCTTGTGGGGATCTGTCAGACGTACCATAAAGAGAAGGTAGCTTTGATATGACAGATGGATGGAAACTCTAACGTGCGATTCGAGGGACTATAACGTTCTCGTGTCTTTCATGGGAGTTTTGGGAGAGTTTCTGCACGCTAATTCTTGTATCGCAACATCAGATCCTTGTACACTACAGCTACTTTAACAGAATCTTTCCTCCATTATCCGGGAGAGGCACACGATACAGCGCAAACGGCTTCACCCTCCTGTCAATGCCTCCCTGGTTCGCCGGTCGTCTCCAGAGCTGGTTTTCAGTGAAATAGAGATATCCCTTGCCTGACTTCCCAGCTACACTGAAGGTATCCGTCCATTGAAGACGGGGGTCTCTTACGAAGGTCGACACTGTACCGTTCTGGGGGAAATAGACGTAGATGGAGTTGGTCTCGAAACTGCCCGCGTAGACATAGCCGTTAGTGTCCGACTCCAAACCATCGCTGACTCCCTTCTGTGTGATTTGGCTGACGGCCCCGTCAGCGAGGAGCTGCGCCGTGGGTGATTTGTGTGCGCGAAGCCTGGCAGTGGGAACAGAGTATAGATATCGTCCACCAACGTCGCTGAAGTAGAGGGTTTCCCCATCCGCAGAGAGAGTTATGCCATCACTACCCAAGCCGAAGGGAGTGATAGGCTGTCCGTCTCCCACGTTGTTGTAGACAGGTTCTCCCCAGACGGTGAAGAAGAAGCCGGGCTCCTGGCGCACGGCTGGAAGATTCTCTAGATGGCGCCAGGACTCACCGGTACCCAAGTCGACGACAATGATGCCATTGCGGCCTTCAAAGCTCGAGTCCGTGATGTAGGCGATTCCCTGACCCGAAGACGTGATATTGGGGCGTAGATCAAAACGAACATCGTTGGGGTATGACTCCGGGTACGCAACGTCCCGCGGAAACAGGATCGTCTGGAAGATACTGTTATTGGAGAGGTTGACTCCGACTAGTTTAGGGCCACCGTAGGAAGAATACAGGATTGACCCGTCTGGCAGAGCTACTCGACCCGTATCAAGGATCCATAGTCGATCTTTGGGATCGATCACCACGCTTTGCACAGAGATCAGGTGGTCTGGGTATCCTGCAGAAGTCTGTTATTTTGAAAAAATAGACTATTAGCACTTCCTTCTTGGTGGCTTGGAATATGTTGCGCATACCGGAGGAGTGGTGGTATAGTTGATAGCACCTCCTGGCGGGGTGTTGAACTCAGCCGATGGATACGGAACTTCAGTGGTGTTCCCCGTCAGTTCTGCGACCTGGTACTTCGTATTTGTCGGGTCAAGACCGAGTGGATAATTTGAAAATAACCGCCCTTTCGATGATACTGCAATTCCTGTGGAGCGCGTCAGCCACAGAAAGCTTGGTATGTGTCTTGACAGGTTCAGATCTGATGATGGATCCGATCTTACCTGTGGGCCACTCATCGAAATAGTAATGCACTGGCTCTAAGGACGGCCCGGAGTATTGAGGGTCTCTTTGTCCTAATACTGGACTAAAGAGGAGAAGGCTTGAAAGAAAGAAGCCTGCGGAGCGCATGATGACTTGTTTCACCCGGAGTTTCCGTGGGCAAACTATGTATGTACAAGTCCAGTCCGACAGGATTATTAGACTCAGCTGTTTGAACAAATAGTGTACCAATGCTGGATGAAAGCTACAATTGTCTCAAGAAGCTGGCTGTTATTTAATAGATCTAATCCCCTCTCTTCGGCATTTTCGTCACCTTCTTTTTCCCGGAAGTCACAACACCGGATCTCCCGGCTGTCTTCATTGCCATTTGCAGTATGCTGTCACTGCGGCAGTATGCAGGAATCGTCTCGTGAGGTGCAATAAATGATGATCCTTGATGCTGTCATTGCTAATACGGGAAGGCGGTTTGTCCTGACAGAGTCATGATCGACCATTGCGGGGAAATTGCTGATCACGACAATCGAATGATGGATGACGGATAGAACTCGCTTTGAACAGACCACGAGACGTCATGGAGTCACAGAATCGAACCGAAACCAGCAGAAATACACTCCTGCAGAAACGTCGAGCATTGGACGGGATAAAGCGAGATGGATGAACAACGGGATATATAAAGAGGCGTGAGAGTTCTTCGTGTTGTCACGATGACAGAGACGATGGAACAGGATGGCCAAGCAACAACCGAGGTACCTTGATAGATTCAACGGATTGGCGAATGGGAGTAATTGCAACAATATGGAGTCGTAGATGGAGGAGGAAAGGTCCTTTCTATAGCTTCATGAATGTACAGAGATGTTTCAGTCCACTTGCGTAGAGATATGCAGAGATTCAGCTCGTGGCTTTAAATAATGTTAGTATTTGTTCAATGTGGTACTTAGTCGACTAAGTATCTACCCCGCAAAAATAATCACACACATTTTTATGGTGCAAAAACCACCTTGATGCTTCGATGTATGCCGTCTAATGCGACTTATATCTATTATTCGCTCCGCCCCACCGTTGAATTAACTCCAGCCCTCGTCCTGAGCAGATTATTAGCGTTGCGCTACGACATGTTTCGCCAGTAGTAGTGATGAGTATTTAGAAAGGTCCGTTCTGCCCGAGAAGTTTCAAGCAGACGACTCCGGTGCGAAACCCATAATTACTACTCTAACCGGAGAGGATCGCCGAAATCCAAGCATTATGACCCTCTGGTTCGCAAACTACGACTCCTCCTGCTCCGCAGAACGAGAGACGGCGTCGAGACTAACGCTCACCCTGGGCCACAAGGCCACGCGCGAACCCGTCAGTCTGGTTAATCTGATCCTGAAGATACCGCTGACTTGGCGTAGTGCAGACCCTAGGCAGCCTCCCGGATTCTTGGGAATACATAGGGCTCGATCGATCGGTGTGACCATCTCCACGCCGAACATCCCCGACGAAGTGGGAGAAATCGCGAAGCCAAAGCAGAGACTCAAGGAACGCGTGATATCCAAAGTCTGAATTGCTCTATCAGCTCTCCACCAGAGTTCAATGTCGTGTACATGTCAACAGTTCCGGTTCCCCGATCGTCCCGGACCGAGAGGTTATTCAGTTCGTGGACCGTTGGTGATGGGGAACCTCAAGAATTGCGGTTCGGATCCCTTCCACATTCAGGATAGCATTCTCATCGCGATGGGGGGCATCGAACACCACTCATCGTCTCGCTTCCATCAGAGTTTGAGCCGAAGAGCTCTGCTGGGTCGACACTGAACCGGACTCCCCGTCATTTCCAACTTCAAGCAGTCAATAATCAATCATCCAGCCCCGTTAGGCTGAAAGAGTTGATTCACTCTTGTTCGATGGCAGAGACATGACTCGTCCCTAGACAACCGCCTCGCACGACGCCCGCCGGGATTCTTGCTAGCTGTTTCTACCATACTTACTTATCGGCTGCCCCCCCCCGCGGAATTCTCTCCTAGCATCCCTTTAGACTCGCAGGGGCATTGATTGCTCTGTCCACGGTGGAAGAACAATTCTCCATTGGAGACAGTCCTCTCAACGCCGAATCTACTTTGTACTTCAAGCCCGGCCAAAATACCATTACGCTGGCATTGCTCGTGGAGTTTCTGGTCACGAAGCCTTCCTCGCCTCAGCTTTTCTGATAACCCCACTTCGTCTAACGGCAAACCGTGGCGTTCGTTTCCGCCGTCCTCTATTGAGCAGCCGAGAGCACAGTATTATTGCTGGCACCAGACCCCGGACAGTGTGGACAATGCCACCACAGCCTCCGGAGGACGCCGTCCGTCGGGCATTCTCGTCTGCTCAGGATTCGCAGGATTCATCGGGGCCACCATCGTACATTGAGGTATATCGCGGTTCTTCTGTTCTGACTGCTGATGGGAATCCCTGAACGAGTGCTGATCGTAATGGTGCATAGCCTTCGACGGAAGACAGTGACGAGGGCAACTACTGGAGTGATGCGCAGAGCGATCTGACCTCGCTCGCATCCGGGGTCACTAACTACGTCTACGAAAATGGAAGACGGTACCATTCTTACCGCGAGGCATGTTATTCCTCGTAGTCCCCATGTTTGATCCTCTGTGAAGAGCCTGCTAACGCCTTGTAGGGTAAATATGTGTAAGTCTCAGATACGCCGTGCCCTTGGCAGGTTCAATCCTGACTGGTTCCTGAAGACTACCAAATGATGAAGAGGAAAAAGATCGTCTAGATTTGGTAAGCTCAACTAGCCAACTGGTAAATTTTCGGAATTCCGCTTTCTGACATTGACCAGGTACACCATGTGTATGTACAGTACCTCGTTGGTGTTATTCTTGTGTTTGAAAGGAGTCTCATAATCGCAAATCTGCAGGTTCACCCTCATACTTCGGGGCAGATACCACCTGGCCCCACTAGTCAATCCGCAGAATATCCTGGATCTGGGGACCGGGACAGGAATCTGGGCCCTGGATATGGCGGAGTACGTTTACCCCAGCACTGCCTGGACTGCCAAGCTGGTATCTCTAACCGATACCCAGTCTATACCCTTCTGCAACTGTGATCGGAAATGATCTGAGTCCGATTCAGCCTGCCTTTGTTGCACCTAACGCGCAATTCGTCATTGAGGATTTCGAGGAGGATTGGGAGTATCCAGAAAATAAATTTGACATGATCCATGGGCGAACTCTGGCCGGGTAAGTCGATCATATGCTCCCCTAGCTGCGGTGACTAATTGAAAGGCAGGTCCGTGAAGGATTGGCCAGAGCTATTCGCCAAGGCCTACAGGCAAGTCTTTCTCTTGATCCGCGCATTCTCATAAGATGGTGTCAATCCAGGCTATGTTCTCGGCACTAACGAGAAATAGGCACCTGAGACCCGGTGGGTACTTGGAGATGCAGGAAGGTCAGTTGGCCCGCACCATAATTCAGACAAAACCTTAGCTCACTGATATCTAGCTCCCATCTGGTGCTGGAGTGATGATGGCAGCTTGGAGCCCGATTCTGCCCTTGTCCAATTGTGAGTATATCTGCATCATTCTTGTCACCGAGCGTGTGATTGAGTTTCTGCTCACACGTACTGCAGCTTGTCGATTCTCGAACAAGAGAGCTCCAAAGCCAACCGGTCTCTGAACATTGTAGACAAGTTGAAGCCAGCGATGATCGACGCTGGTTTTCGAGACGTACAGGTCAGAGTCTATAAGGTGCGCACTTTCTTCGCCGATACGACCCAATGCCAAGCCATAAAACTCACTCTCCACCGCGTCAGTGTCCTTGGGGTCCCTGGCCTAAAGACCCTCATCTGAAGGAAATCGGCCGCTACCAGTACATCAATGCTATTGAATCCGTCGACTCTTACGGTCTCGCGCTTATGACTCGCGGCGTTGGTTACACAGAAGATCAGGCGAAGATCTTCTTGGCGATTGTGAAGAACCAGCTCCGAACCAAGTCTCTGCACGCATACAATCTGATGTGAGCTATTCCACGATTATAATACCCCTGAAATTAGTAACGCGGGCATGCTGACGTGGCGACTTAGATATTTCGTCTACGGCAGGAAGCCGACCGAAGAAGAACTTTGAACGGGATTGTCTTGAATGATTATTCTATCCCATGACTGCATTCTCTCCTTATGAGCTTACTTTGACCTTGCATACCCTATTCTTTTCGGTTTAGCAAATTCGCGAATCGTGCGGCGCACACCCGTCTGCCCACAAGATATTTCCTCCTAGCAGAGAGCTGCCCGCTCCTCCCGAAGAGAAGAAGCCATCGTGGACCACAAAAAAAGTTCTAGCATCTCTATCCCGTCGACCTTCGCGTCCAAACCAGGGCGGGCCATTGGCGTCTACACACAGGCATCCGTCCAGGTTATCCTGGTTCGTGTCCATTGCACCGATCTGATCTTGGAATATGGAGCGGTCAATGAAGGCATGCAAACTGTATCGACAAGAAGGTCACGTAGCTTAAGGCTTGGGTGGAGGGGTATTATAAAAAAACTAGAAGAGGCCACCTTTTAGAGGGGTCTATCCTTGTAAATAGAATCATTTCCATGTGAATATAGACCCTTCGCATCCCTGCATGTGACTGACTGTAGGTTGCCCGGCTCATCTCCTGCCCTGCTCGTATTGCACGGAACTTTCGGAATACCCATAGCCCTGTCAAGTCTACCATGCCTGTATCGCATTGACAGTTTATACGACAGGTTTCTTTCTTCATGGTTGGACGGAGACTCCTTCGGCTTACTTAAACTGTTGGCTACGGGTGCGTACTTCAACAGAGCATTGACGTCTTTGGTAGTTTAATTTCCCATACACATTGTGTACCTGTTATTTAAGCGACTTGGACCAGGATAGCTCATGAACGGAAGAAACCTTGTTTACTGGTATAAAATGGCCTCACAACCTTTCTGGCTAGACCCCGAGAACGGCGTTTTCCTCGTGGCACATATAATTACCAATGCGTGCTAAACATATCATTATCCCCCTTTGGTCGAACGCCCGCGTTGCTTCGGGGCCAGATCCCTCCTAGAGGCGCAATGACTGTTCCGGAGAAACACTGCTTGTCTGGAGCTAAGTACTCAGAATACGAGGATATGTTAGGTCGTTCATGCAATCGCTCATTGAGCGATAAAGGCTGAACTCGAGCCTGTTCAGAAGGAGACGTTCACTAACAAATGCAGTCTCATATCGAATCCAATTCACATGAAACATCGGATAAGAATAACAGCAGTATGGTACCTGCATCTGTGCGGTGGAACGCCCTTCTGTAGCCACCGGTGATTTAGCTCCTTGTCTGTTAGGCCCATCGGGGTTTTCAAAAAATCGCCGCTCCCTGTTCGACATCCTGTCGACCGAGAATCGCCACCATCGGCCAGACAGGCTTCCAGTCAAATGCAGCGACCGTATTTTAGATGGAACTCTACCGCCAACGAACGAACAAGAACTCCATAGAGCCGGCCGGCGTCTGGTACTCCGATGTACCATGCCTTAGTACGAATCATCGCCGCAGAGAGACCAATAACCGCCGGTTTTGGTGGGAAATCCCATGATGGGCTGTCGTAAGACTCGATCCAAACCGCACTTGCTAGTACTAGTGAGTGACTACTTAACAGTACCATACTAACTAACATCGCCAGCTCGTGCTCTCTTCTCCTAGCGGGGCATACGCGGGGAAGATCATCCGATCTCGCGGTCTACCCCATGGGGTTCATTAAAAGGAGCTCCCTCGATCGCAAGTAGCATGTCTTTTCGACCAGTCCTGCAGCCGCGCCGTGCCGGCCGGGGCTCTTCATGCCAAAATGTCTGTATCTTCAGATAAAGTCTCTCGTCCGACGGACCCAGATGGGTTGGTGGTGGAGGCCTGGGGTCAGGGGATGATGGTGGGTTCGCTGTTGGTAATGGCGGCCATCACCATCTCGAATATGAAGAAGCACATATTGCTGCACAAATTGATTCTCGCAGAGGTAAGCTTGGAATGCAGAAGTGTGATGATCGCGAACAAGTCTGACTCGGCGCAATTGCACATTTGACAGCTTCTGCTCGCTATCCCAAACGGTTTCTTCATCTTCCCACACGAGCCGACCTACGGCTGGTTCTTGTCGGTCACCGCGATCGGCCTCAACATCTCATGGAGCTTGCATAACGTGATCTCATGGATGAAAAACCGACCGTTCTTGTCGCGGCGTCTGTCCGCTTTCTATATCACGACGGTGCTTCTCGTCCAGCCATACTGGGTGCTCGAGATCTATGCGAACTTCACATATTTCAATAATATCAACAAAATATTCCTCAAGACAAGGCCTCTGGAGCCTCTGTTTCGGTATGGTTTCTGGCTGCAAATCAAAGGATTATAGCGCTGATTTTACTTGAAAGGGACCCTTGGTGGATCTTCACAACATGGTCTCTCTTCTACACAATCAAAAGGGAGTATGGCTTCAGCATTTACGAGCTAGTCAAAGTTAGTCCTCGATTCGGTGTCATGCTAGTCTCGATGTGTCTCTCAATCGCCTTCATCATCCTCGATGAGTGCGTTGTTCTCAATGCATTTCATCTGTCTCTTCCTACCGGAATTGAACCATTCTGGAAGGTGAGAATCTCGGCCCCGATATCCCACATCCTGTCGATTCGTTACATGACTGACAGACCCTAGCTCTCATTTATCTTCAAATGTCTCTGTGACAGTGTCATACTAGACGATTTCAAGACCGCGCTCGACCGGATGCGTAATTATTGGCTGGAGAAACGGGTCGGCATGCAGAACCCGGTGGTCCTGTCGCATCGATCGAGATATGATAGAGGCCATGACCTAGAAGCATTGCGCCCTCGAACGAAATCAGATAGTATACCCCAAGTAGTCACAGCAGAGGATATTCATCTACGACGATAATGAAAAGAAGAAAAAAATAATAATAATGTATTATGATGTGATTTGATGGCCATGTCACCATATCTGCAATAATCTCTTGAGATTCATTATTCTTTCTCCTTCCCGCAAGCCTGCTGCCGTATTTATTCCACTTAGTCCTGATAGCTTCGCGCATATACAAGAACTGCGGGTTCAGAGACCGGTCAAGAGACACTTCTACGACTGCAAGGGACAGGTTCGAATGAGTTGAATCTAACACTATCTGCACGTATCATGAATCTGGTAACGTCTCATTCATACCAATATCACCCCTTGACCAAGAGGCTAGAACTATCCGGGCGAAGCACACATGCATGATGTAGCGCCAACGAGATATCCGTCTACCGCACTGCATCGTTACATCGCTTGTACGACTCGGAGAATTACTAGCCCTGGTGATTGGGGCCCTGGCGCCAGGCCATTTCCTAAATGAGAAGAATCTCTCAGGTCAATTGGCTATCCTCGATCTGCCTTACCAGGCCGAAGAGGCTATATCTCCGGTCCCTGAGGTCCTTTCCAAAAGGGGCATCTTTTAGCGGGCATGGGAGAGATTGCCTGTTGAGATCTTCTACATGTGTCCGTGTAAGGTGACAGAATTTCGTCTTTCTTTTCTTTTCTTTTCTTTTCTTTTTCTTTTTTTTTTTTTTCTTTTCTTCTTTTCTTTGATTTTGACTGATATTTCAGGCGATCAACAAAGATATGACTACGATAAAGTTGTGCAATTTCCGATTTCTCTCCGCGAATACAGACACTGCAGGGATTAGGATCATGCCTATTAACCACTATTAAAGGCACCAAGTTCCTCAATGGAAAGACGAAACGGCATCGTCCATTCGAAAGGAATATCAGTTATAATTTATTGCAGTGCTCACGGCTGTTAAAATGTGAGTTCTCTATCAGGCTACTTTGCTCGAGGCAGTAGTAATACTCCTCAGTATCGCGGGAACCTCTAGGGAATGGATATCACTACAGCTATAGGGGACCTCGATTCTTTCATGAATAGTGAGATACATATCGCCTTGCTATGTCAAGAAGATAGGAGTGTGCATTTGTATGGCTGGGATTCTTGCTTTGTGTATGCATCAGCGTGTGAGATCGCATAAAGTGGATGTTTCAAGTTGGTTCTAGATTATCCTCGTGGCATCAAGAAGCGAGAGCACTTTTTTGCCGTTCCATACAGCGTGTAGAGACAGAAGATACGGCTAAGTATGCCATAACACATGTGAGAGAAAGATCCTACTAAGCCTACACCATGAGGCAAGTGTATTTTCTGTTTACCTCTCTCTTGAAGTCATCCATCATTTGACCAGTAAACCAATACTGACCATGAATCGCTGACCTAGATGAGATCCGGAATTGGCGCTCTCGTAACTCTGTAGCTGTGCTAGTAAGTCTAACATCCCACAAACTGGCCGTCTTCCCCAAGTGATCGTCCTCTTCCCCGCCACGTACGTGAGTCCTCGGCATCACATGTGCTCAGGCCTCATAACGGCAAACGCCTCCGGGGGTTTCCTTCAAAGATTTTTAGTTAAAGGATACGAGTCTCTACAGGGGCCGGGAGGTCGGATGTGAAAAGTCTTGTTTATATGTTATCTACCTTTATGGCGTATTTTGGATTTCGACAAAGCACGTCAACAGTGAAGTGATAGTTAACCCTACTGTTACAATGGCTACGGCTCCAGCTACGCGAAACCCCAAAGATTCCATGAAGTCCACATGGTACACGAGCCCTAATCGCTCGTCATGGACTATACACCACTGGTTCTACGAACTGTTGGATCTGTATCCCCTCGACCCCAACAAGCCGGTTCCCATCCACAAAAAGACAGACAAGGTGCCTTATGCGTCTGCATGGCCGCAGCACAGATGGATTCTGCTCCATGTTGGCATTCCTATGCTGCTTCACCAACTCTACATCTACTACACGGGCAACAATCTGAATTCCATTGCCGCCTTCATCTACTACAGCGTGTGCTTCAAGTTGATTGGAATCCATGAGATTCAAGTGCTGCGCAAGATGGGTCACATCTGGGGATTCTTCGATGGCGACCAGCACCCCCGAGATGGAGTCCCTGATGTGGGCGTCACCAAGGTCGTCCGGTCTCTCGTGTCGACATCTACCTTGAGATCGATGATGGCCGTCCTGCTCATCTACGACAAGAACTTCGCCCCATCCTCGATCAACTGGAAGTGGCTTCTCCTTGAGATCGGCCTCTATGGTATCATCCTCGACTTCTGGTTCTACTGGTATCACCGTCTCATGCACGACATCCCATGGCTCTGGAAATACCACCGCACGCACCACCTCACCAAGCACCCGAACCCTCTGCTCACCCTCTACGCCGACTTTGAGCAAGAGGTGTTCGACATCGTCGGCATTCCGCTCATGACCTTCTTTACCATGAAGGCTATGGGTTTTCCAATAGGTTTCTATGAGTGGTGGGTCTGCAACATGTACGTGGTGTGGTCCGAACTGGCCGGTCATAGCGGTCTCAGGCTCGTCGCCCAGCCTCCTTCCACCCTGAGCTGGCTCTTGAAATACTTCGATTGCGAACTCCTCATCGAGGACCATGATCTTCACCACCGCAAGGGCTGGAGGAAGAGCCACAACTACGGCAAGCAGACTCGTCTCTGGGACCGCATCTTCGGCACCTGCTACCCACGCATTGAGGGCACGGAGGATAACATTGACTATACTGCCGATGTCAGAGTCCCTCTGTGGTAAAATTATCTCATGAAACTTTCTTTTGTTTATCTTGTGGTTCAAACAGAAATGACAATAGCGAAGGTTGTGGAGTTTGGAATCCACGACCATGCTTTGCATGTATATATAATGGTGATGTAGCCTCGACATGTTTCTGTTTATTTATGATACGGTGTGATTTCTTTTGATATATTCACGACATACACAATAAGTACGAACTACAAAATCTCTTCGCTGCCTGGGGTGGCAATCCCGTAGTTGGTTCCCTGGAACAGGAGCACTTTCGAGACTTCGCGAAAGAGCCAATGGCAAGTTCACTGGCTGAAGAGCAATCATAACTGCCTTTTTCAAAAGCACGAAGAGGCGTTCATGTGTGTCTTATCAATAAGGCCTTCAGATTAGATTTATCTAGTATAGAATGCACATGCAAAGGGGAAAGCCTCGTTCAGATGGTGATAGATATTTGCTGCCAAATACCAATACCGAGAGAGATTCAATCTTCTCTTGTCAACTAATTGTCGAGGGTATCCAGTTGGGGGGCTATGCATAGAGAAAACGTAAATACATGAGCGTATATCGACGCAGCCAGAAACCGAATCATAGATAGCAAAATTCGCCAAAGTGCCTAGCCTAACCTTCCTGTCCTTCCATTATCCCGAATCCCATCACTACAATGCCTTCTGCAACTTCACTGAGGAGCCGCTCAGGAATTCCAAGGAGTTATCGATCTTCCCATACTTTGCAAACATTAGATCGCTGATGTAGTTGTCGCGGGCCAGCCAGGGCGCCTTGTCGGCCGCCTTGGGCAGCTTCTGCGGGGCAGAGGTGAGATATGTCGATTTCAGATTCAACAGAGGCCGGTCCTCCAATTTTTCGCCTGGCTGCACCTTGGGTACGACCGCAGATGCACCCTTGCTCTCCATAAGTTTGAGCAGGCGGCAGATGAACAACGCCGTAGCATCAGCACCCAGCGTCCATGATGCGTTTGTATATCCGATAACGAATGACGCATTGGGAATATCCTGGACCATCACACCGTTCCAGAGATACTTGCTGGGCGCGTCTATCTCCTTTCCATCAACAGAGACCTTGGCACCACCGGCGAACAACAGCTGCAGACCCGTAGCAGTAACAATGATGTCGGCATCCACACTGTCACCGGAATTGAGTTCAATTCGATTCTTTGTCATGGTTTTGATGGTGTCGGTCTTGACGTCGGCCCGCCCCGAGCGCAGACTCTTGAAGAAATCGCCATCTGGACAGATGCAGACGCGCTGGTCCCAAGGATTGTATCGTGGCTGAAAGTGGGGATCTAAAGGAATATGCTTAGGAAGCTCTCGGCGAATTCTCTGGCGGAAGATCCATCGAGATAGACGAGGGAAGCCTTGACAGAAGAGGTAGAAGAGGCGGGTGGTGATGATCCAAGAAATGCGCTGCAACTTGCGCGAGATCACAGTGGGCAGGATGTATGCGAGCCACGACTTTGAGATGTTCGGAACTGACAAGATGTATGTTGGACTGCGCTGCAGCATCGTTACCCGTTCAGCCTTTTCCGCTATGTTGGGAAGCAGAGTGATCGCAGTCGCCCCGCTGCCAATAATGACGACCTTTTTGCCGCTGTAATCAAGGCCCTCTGGCCAGAACTGCGGATGGATGACCTGGCCCTTGAAGTTCTCGATACCGGGGATCTTAGCTTCTAGAGGTTGATGGTAATTGTAGTAACCCGTGCTGAAAATCACAAAGCGAGCTGTGTATGAAATATTCGCGCCCTCGTGTTCCACGTCGAGCGACCAGGTCCTGCTCTCCGTCAACCAGTTTGCGGTCTTAAGCCGTCGACCATACTGGATATGCTCGTCGATTCCATACTTGGTCGCGGTGTCCTTGAGGTATTTGGCGATCGACCCGCCCTCTGCGATAGGTTTATTTTGGTCCCAAGGGTTGAAAGAGAATCCGAAGGTGAAGAGGTCGGAGTCGGAACGGATGCCAGGATACTTGAAGAGATCCCATGTCCCGCCGATGTTATCGCGCGCCTCGAGGAGGGCGTAGCTGTAGTTCGGAAGCTCGCTCTGAAGGCGATACGCAGCGTTGATTCCGGAGACGCCTGCGCCAATAATGATAACATCGAAACTGGTGCCGACACTAGCGGCAGCGTGGCCGTTTGGTGTAGTCTTCTCGACAGCCATCTTGCCTTTTTCGACGATCTGGTGATCAAGGCATTGGACTTCGTGCCGTTGTCCTGGAGTTCGCGTGCGAACGCATGGACGCGATCTGGCGCAGATATAATCAAGTTACTTGTAGCTTTCCCAAGGAACCGAGGGGGAGACCCACGAATCACGTGTGGCAGCGATCGATAAAGATGGGAATGATTCTGCAGTGAATATCACGTTCTCCTCGGCCCTGCTAAGTATGATAGCCGGGCAGGCAGAAAGATTAATTGCATAACGCGCATCAGACGGTGCTCGACATCTGCTTCCCCGATGCTCCTCGTCCCCCACAGCTTGCGCCAGTCCATTGCCGCGGCTTTTTCACAAGCGGGGGAGCACGAAGGGCCCGTTAAGTATGGACGCATACTTAGAGTAGACCGCAGATTCTCTGCTGCTGAGTCCCAACAATGATGGCAGCATCACCTCGAAAGGACTCCCGAGCACCAATCTTCATGTGAAGAGCGCGGCGCCACAGGGAGGTACTATTTATCTAGACTGGACTTTGCGAGCCGTCTCCCTCGGCTTGCTGGGGGAGTCTTTGGGCCGGTCGGAGAGATCGCCCACTAGCAGCCAGTCCGTTTGCATTTGTAGCATCACCTCTAGATTTGAGCACTGTCTCCAGCTTGTGGGGTAAAAAGAGTCGCGTCATTGATGAGGGCGACATGAGGATGACGATGGAGGAGAATTGAGAGTGAGAATAACTAAGAGTGAGAGTTGAAGTTGAAGTTGAAATTGAGGGAAGAGCAGTCATGTGCCGCGATCGGGGCAGCATCTGCATAGCGCCCTCAGCCCTGTCAGATTGGGTTAATATACAGATCTATATTCGTATATTACTCTTGGCTGGCTCAAATCTGCCTACAGCCATAGGGTGATTTCTATGTACTGCGCCAAAAGGGAGATTTAAGTAGCTACAGAGCTCCTTTGGGGAGAGTACAACATCCAATTGCATCCAAGATTTCACCAAAAGATTTTATCAAAAGATTTCCTAAATATTATCCCATTTTCCTACTCCATAAATTGCAGACACATCATCGCGATTACCGTCATCATTCGTTGATTTATTTAGCTGGCGAAACCTCGACTGTCTTCTGCCACTCCCGCAAATCCAGGAACGCAGCAGAACCCTGCCCACGGATGATATCCTGAAGCCAAGCTGGGAATGCGCGTAACCGGCTGGCACTCGATGCATGGCTAGGAAGAATGACTTGTCCGCCGGTCTGGTTGATGATCTGCTTGACAATCGCAGTCGAGACGACTTCGGGGTCCATAATGGGCTGCTTGAACTGCTTGCCAGCCTCTTCCAACATGGCAATCATGGGCGTGCGAACCCACAGAGGGTGGATGACGCTATGTCCGCCGTCAGTCGTGGTTTTCCAATACTTTTGAAGGTCCCCGAATTGTCTGGTCACTCACCTTGTCCGCACCCGCTTCGCATTATAGTAGTAACGCAGCTCCTGTGCCAATCCCTCATGGAAAGCCAGGGCACCAGCCTTGGTGGCACAGTAGTCCAGCATCTCAGCCAGGCCAAGGAAACTGGCCATACTGGCGACTGTGATGACATGACCGTGGTCCTCCCGGATCATCGCGGGCAGAAATTCACGGGTCATCCAGAAGTGCGAAATGATATTGACCTCGAAGGTCTGGCGAATCTTGTGCTCGGGCTCTTCGAGAAGAGTGCCATCGTTGCCCACGCCAGCGTTGTTGATGAGTACCGTAGGGTCACCATGCTTAGCCCGGATCTCCTCAGCAGCTTTCTTGATGCTCCCCGGGGACGTCACGTCCATCTGGTAGAAGAAGACATTGGAGGCTATGCGTATGCGGCTGCTATGTCAGTTCTCTGAGCTACCTCCTCGGGGATTTTTCTCTTGACTTACGTAGCGTGAATGTCGGCTCCGCGAGATCAGCAATGACGACCCTGATGCCTCTCTTAGCCAGATCCAGCACGACCTCCTTTCCAATACCGCTGGATCCTCCCGAAATCAGAACCAGCTCGCGATGCGCCCGGAAGGGCTTCGCTCTCCGCCAGTTGTTTGTGGACCAGTAATTCAAAGTGCGATTGATGTGACGCAGCACACCGATAGCCAGGACAACCAGCAGTGTCTTTTTGACCAGCGGCAGCTCCAGTATCGCCTGCGCCTGCTCAGGCATATATGACAGTGCCAGCCGGTAAAACTGGCGCACGAGTCCGCCAGCAGATTCAAGTGATGAGGACATAGTGACGGCGTTTATATGTACAAAGTAATCGGCACTGTTCACATAACCAGAAAGAGAAAGAATAAAAACCGGAGGGACGCTCTCGAGATAAATCAATCATTACACATGTGAGATGTTGCGCATCATCAAGTTGCTCATGTTGTCCAACTGAAATGCTGTCTAGGCCTAGGTTAACCTCATTGCTCGCCATGTGTGAACCGTTCGTCGGCTTCTCTCGCTAGTCGTCGGTAACCCCTCACTCTTCCGCCCATCACCGAGGCACCTTTTCTTTTTTTGCTGCTGCCTCTGACTTGAAGCGATCAAGTAAGCTCATATACTGTAATGAACTCGTGTGTCGTGACGAGTGCTTCCAGCAATATTTAATCAGTCCGACAAGCTGGCCAGGTGGAACATCACGAATGCACCGTCCCGCCCAACCTGACACAAACGTCTGTTTGAAGAAAATCAAATCAGCTTTCGTCTATATAGAATGTCCATAGTCGAAGATCAGGAAATTTTCCTGGAAGCTTAGCTGGAATTCGAGGATGCTGGCACCCAACTCGAATCGTTGGCTGCACTGGAATTCCTAACTCTGTACGCCCCTAAGTGGACCATCCTAGGGGCGCAGATTAGTTAAAGACTTCTATGGCCAGCCCCTCAAGTACGACCCTGTGTTCGAAGAAGGCAAAGCCATGGAACGTGATCATCGATTAAACGGTGGCTCCCTGTTGAGTATCAGACCGGTATCCATCGAACGCACCAGGTCTAGCGCTTCGAGTTCCCCGAACTCTAAGCAAACGATTCCCTTGATGAGCCGTTCCACGAAGATATGCACCGTCAGATCGTACTATCTCAAACCATTCACGGCTTCCATGCTCCTGTCATCGACGGCTCTACCGCTTTTCCGGCGAAGTGTGGCTCATTATTACCCTTTTTTTAAGTGGGAACCTCTGTTCCAAGGAAATGGCTATGGAGTCGTTATCAACCCCAGGAACGTCGATAATGGGTGGAAAGTTTGTATAAAGATTTTCACTCATTGTGTATATTGGCATGTCATGTCATATCTCAGGTATCGTAGCTGCTAAAGGCCTTCCAAGGGCCGCATAAAAGGTATCGTGCTGAATATCCCCTTCCCAAGAGAGAGAAGTAACCGAAGCAACACCAAAACCGCATAAAAATTACTAATATGTAGAAAGAAACCAGACGGTTCGTAGGTCTTGATCATAGTGCATAAGGTTCCAATAGTTTCGTGAACAGTGCCGTACTGTTACTGCTGAAGAGTCTTGACATATCAGGCTCCCCGTCTGTATCGCTGCTGAACGACTTGCGGGACGATAGCTCACTACCCCCGTTTCCAGTGAGACCCGACAGGAGATTGGTCCCATTGCCGTGGAGAATGTTATGGATTGTGTCGGCCAAGAAGCCCACAATAGAGACTTTGGCCGTGAGAGTGAGTTTCTTGATGGCATTGTCGTAGTAGGGAATCACTTCGCCGTTCATACTCTCGCCTGTGCATTGGATGGTCAAGTTGAGATACCCTTGTCGAATTGCATCCGCTTGGGTAGAGAGAACTTGCCCGAGGTTGGCGATAACTGTGTGGACATCTAAAATGCCGCGAACTGGTGACGGGGGTTGGTTTCCGGGTTTGAGCACAAGGTTCTCTATTGATGCATTTCCAATAACCAGGCTTCCGCTCAGAATATTAAAAGTCACACGGCCCTATAAAGGCGTAAGCAGTATGTTCAGGCATAGATTCCGCACGCAAAAGACTTACAATTTCTATTGTCAAGATCGACTGGTTGGGCAATGTCGCGTTTGCGACGAGATTTGTGCCGTCCGTCTTATTCGGCAAGAGAAGCGTAGTATCCGCAATGCTGAACCCAGGAAAGTTACCAAGCACTGGTTATTATACGTTAGCTATCTATTTGTGAATTCTCTGGAGAGCTAGTTCTTACTAGGCGTTTCGAGGTCGCGGTTCAACCACACTGGGCACTTGAGTTTTCCCAGATACGCGGTTGTCTTGCCTCTGACCGACACCAAACCCTTTTCAAGGAATAGGACATTCTCGACGAATTGCTGCCACCCTGGCTGATACAGAATAGGCGTATGCTGATCTGTGACGCCAAGTGTTGTGTTGCCGTGAACCTTCGCTGCCGGTATATTGACCTGGGCGAAGCTTTCATCACTCAGTTTGCGGATAAAGAGGTCGAGTGTCAACGGTTCTGTCCTGACGGTGAATCCTTTCAGATTCAGAGCAGATATTACTGTCAGTAGGACAGAGTCCGGCTTGGGGTCCAAAACCTCGCCGGAAACGAGCACCAGCTTGGAGGAGTTCAGCACATCCTGAGCTACAGCAGGAATGATAAGGAGGAACCTATCATGTAATATTAGTACCGGAAGAAAAAAAGTCGTCACGAAGTGAACAGAGTACTGACAGTATAGGTAAAGCGATTGCGCCTAGGATAGTTAGGAACAAGAGGTAGCAGAAGCAAAATCGTCGCATATGACGTTTGAATCCACCCTTCTTCTTTTTCTCCTCCTTACTCGCTTCGCTATCTGCAGACTCGAGATGCTCGATATTGATCTCACTTACTGCCACAGTGTTAGCATGAATACTAGGCTTTTTCCTGGCAGTCCAACCTGAATCTCCAACACCCAAGGGGCCCCGGTTTGCACCGATCGCATTTTTGGCGCCCTTGTCCTTCAGGTACGACGGCTTCTCGTCGACCTTCTTGATATCCTTTTCTATACCCATGATTGGCAAAACTCCAGCATGCTATGCAGTCAGCGGGGCTCTGACAGGAGGACGTCAATCGTACTGATAGACGAGCAGAACACGATATAGAAGGGGAGTCTGACTGGGAGAGAAGAACGAAGCCCGCGTTCCTGAACCAGGTCTCCTGCGAACGCGGTTTCAGGAAACGCTTGCAGTCTTAAGAGCTCTCTCAGAGCCTCAGATAGCAAGAAGGCTGATTCCCGGTCCTGGAAAGTCAATTGCTGGTGTGTAATCTATTCCCACTGGGATACGAGGCTGATAGATGACGGTTCCATGGATCAGTGCGTCTTATGCCACCCCTGGTCATCCAAATAACATCAGTTTTGTATGCTCGATCTTGTTGCTAGCTTTCACAAGCGCGGAAATCGGCTATCGAGTGATGAACCGCAGGACAGTGCTCACTGAAGCTTGATCGACCTCGGATGTCCCGACGATACCCCTCCTTGAGGTTTCTGGGTCCTGAATAGGTGTGGCTAAAAAGAAGGTATTCCACGTTAACATGGATCATCCACGCGGGGATGCTAGGGCCCCTAGCACGGTATACTGTAGTTTTGCGGAGAACGTGGGGGAGAGAAGAGATCGCCAACCCTGGCGTGCATTAGTCGTCGCGATGCGCCCAGATAGAGGAAGTGAAATTCACACTTTCCTCCAGCGTCGGATGTGTTATTGGCTGGTCAGACAGAAATTGACCTCAGATTCCAGTCCGGCCGCGAAGTAAAGGTCCGCTACCGAGGTCATCCATCCGGGGCTATCTCTTGCTTGTCTTATGACATGTGGATCAACTTGATGTTCCTGTTATATCCAACTCTGCTCTCTCGAAACAGTAATAGGGGCTGATTGCGGCAGAGAAGGTTTTATTTTTCACTTATTTGACACCAAACCACATCCAAAAGAAGGCAGCAATGACATCCAAAGACAAAGAGATCGAGACAACAACAACAACAGCCAACATCAAAGAGAAAGAAGATGGCGATTCCCGCGGCAGTTCTCCTGAGAGCGATACCACTGCCAGGCCTGATCTACTAAATGCGCTCAACCATCTGAGAGAAATCCCAGATGTATTGCAAGAAGGCATTCTTTTCGCCGGTAGCGGGCCCGCCATCCTTCTACAGGCGTCTGTTCCTAACATCTTGAAGGAGCCGCAAGGGGGCGACCGTCTTGCGATCCAATTACTGGAGAGCGTCCAGACGATAATAAGCTACATATGCTGTCTAGCGCTGGGGACGAAAAAGGAGAAGAAGGCGTTGCTAAACCTGTTGGATCATGAAGAATACCCTCTGAAAGAAAACGACCATTATTCACAAAACCCAGCTGTCCGCCTCTGGGTAGTTGCTACACTCTACGCAACCGCGACCGATATCTATCAGAGAGTTTACGGGAAGATGGACTATCGCACTGCGAAACGAGCGTATACAGAATATTCTCTCATCGTCTCCGCCCTCAAGGTTCCCGACGACGTGTGGCCACAAAATCGAGAAGAGTTCTGGCAATACTGGGATACGATGATCGAAGATATCGATAGTTCAGCGCTCCCCAAAAATCTCGATAAGGAGCTACTGCACAATTTCAAAAAGGTGCCCGGTTGGGTCCGACCTTTCAAGCCTATTCTACATGCCTTTACGAAAGAGATGCTTCCACCACATATCCGAGAAGGCTACGGTCTCAAGTCGACAGCGAGTTGCAGAGCTATTTACCGGTTTGGACTGTGGGCTACGATCGCCATCTATCCAGCTTTTCCCAAGAAACTTCGTTCTTATCCCCAGCGATACTATCAACGGAAACTGGAAGAGAAACTCAATTGAAGAAGGCCACTCGCTCCACGCTGCGAAAACGATCTCTTTTGTGCACTCGTTATATTGCATCACATTGGTCCCTTTCTTTTGTTATGTTTGTTTATACCATACCTCAGGAGTTACCACGTAGTGTTGGTGTTGTTAATTTTCATAGGGCACATCTTAAGACGAGTCAGTCCAGTTTCTTGGCTGGAAGAAAACAAAATTCAAGCGACTAGGGAACGATACTACACAGCTATTTTCTCTGGTGCTATGATGAAATACACGCAAATTCTCGAGTCTCGATTGAGTGACTCGCGCGCATAATCCTCCTCCCAAGCTGGTGATTCTCGTCCCGACCTTGCACATTCGTCGACCGCATCCGACGCTATTGTCTAGATACTAGCCTAACAGAACTCTATCTCTCAGTAAGCCACTTAGGCTGTCCGTGATATAGAAGCAGCCTTGCTCGATGAAACTAGTTTTGTTATTTTTGTTAATTTGCCCGTTCTCCGCCGGTGATCCGTGCTCTTGGGCCCGCGCAACCCCGCATCTCAACCCCGGTTTTTCGGTTGTATATCCCAACTCTGCAACCCGACCGATAAGTATGTCGAACGACCAGCTCGACCCAACACCTACCTCGAGGCACCGTGACGATATCAGTACTCGCAAACTGGAGTCTGCGATTACCAACCGAAATGGTCATTATTAATTCAAAAACCATGTTGGGTTAAGTTATGTGGACACCACTTTGTAAGAGTATCATGAGCTTTAGAGTATGGTAGTTTTTTTGTTTCTTGTCTTCTTTTTTCTTGAGCTCTAATCCATATCTGGCTCTCTTGTCAGTTCCTTGATATCGCTACTATCCCGACCGGCACTTTGCTTACAGGTACGTGGCGCAGAAAGTTTCATTGAACGCCCTGTTATTCACCCGCTGCTTATGCACTAGGGTATACCTTGCGAGGGGCAAAGACGGGATATCCCGAGGTACTGCAGGTCATGAACTTTTCTATTTTCTCATTCGTCCATGTTTCTATCATCTCTGGTCTATGCGCTGAAGTGGCGCAGGAACAGATTGTGCCGTCCCTTGGGTGTCTAAGCTTTGTAGTATGGTACTTCTTCACGCTGGGTCGAATGGGGACTAGACATCCAAAATCCTGCTAACAAGACATGTAGCACTACTACTCTTCGATATAGTCTAACGATGTAGCCAATCGAAAATACGGTTGAGTGGGAATGGCTTAATCGTGTTGCTGCCACCGACATCACCCAGCGTGCATATCACGCGCTAGACTCTATGTTCCTCGGTCTGAATGCATGATGCAGAGGGGTTATACAGGGGTATGCTGGTAAATTCTGGGTCGAGACATGATAGAGAGCAATTGAGCGCCTCGGATGTATGTATGTATAGTTCTTCCTGTTGCTCTGGGCTGCGGAGATTTATTCGTTCGTTCTCAGGAGCTCCTTCAGCTGGTAAAGTGAAGATGAGGACGTCGGCGGTTCTTTCGTTTTTTCTTCTGCGGGGATCGTCAATTCTTGCGATTCCTCAGGCAGGATCGTCGTTTGTTGCGGTCCCTGCTCAACAACCTTGGAAGCAAGGTAGTCGTCCGACACCACCAATGGCCCTCTGGCGGAGCAGCAAGTCCGGCTGCTGATCCTCAGACGATCCCGGCTATAAATGCACCAAATGAAGTCTAAGGGAGCTCAAGACGCGTCAACTGGATCAGCGGCATCACCGGCACAAGCAAATAGTGCTACTGCTGCCAGTGCTCTGGGGAATAACGCGAATGCATATACACCTCAAGCCAATAATGGCGCCCAGAACGGTGCGGCGACCTCAGCAGCTGCTTCGCCATCATCATCGGAAGAGAGTAACTCGTGTAGAAGCTCGCAAGCCCCCAGAATTCCCAAAGAAACCGATGAAGTGGGGGAAAATTCCTTCTGATAGAGTCGTGAAGCGAATTGTATGATGCAAGTCTTGGCTTCTCCCGACTTTACAGTCCATGATCAGAAGTTATTTCCCGAAATAGCTAGAAGTACAGGCAATATATTTCATGGTTCCTTTTTACCTGGTCTATGATAATCTACAGAATTGATAAAAAGCTCCGATTTCCCCGTGCGGGTAGTTCTGCAATAATGGAAAAAGAGATAGCTAATAATGCACTTTGTTGCTATCTATTCTAGATTCGATTCATAAGATCCATTCATCGTCACAAGTAGATATAAATTGCTACTATTGCGCAGCATAATTGGAACATCTAGTCAGAGTCGAGGGAACGCAGGCTGATGGCCGACGATTCGTGGTTATTATCTGCGTCTGCCTTATCAAAAAGGGCCTGCACCCAGGTTGAGCAGATATCGAAGAATTTGGGCGCCTCGGAGTAGACTGCAGCAAACTGCAAGAAACCGTGTGACACTCCGGGGACTATGCTCACTTCAAGATGGTCTTTCTCGTTGAATTCTGCATCTCTCTCACTGAACTCCCGTGATTTGGCCTCCCTGAGTCTGCCGGCAAATACCACAGTATCATCCACAAGGGGATCCTTGTCTCCGGTGATAATGTATGTCTTCGGGAACCGCGCGAGCAGCGACTCTGGTGCCAGAATGGGGGAGAGAATAAAATCGGTGCTGAAGTCCTCATTGCCGTTAGGACCAATGTAAAGCATAGCCATACGGCGCGCCATGTCCGGTACGAGAACCCGATCGTTACAGTATGCCGCCATGGTCGAAATGAGCATGTGGGTGGTGTTGTCTTGATCTGACTGGCTCTTGGTATCCTTGGAATTAATTCCCGGAACCACGGGAGTCTTTGAAGATGCAATCTTTTCGTAGAACTTCTTCTTCAGTTGGGCAACATTTTCGTCTGTCTTCAGGTTGCTCCTGTCCTGTATCAATGCCATCTGATCGCTGCCCACCCAGGTACCAGCATTGCCGCTCAGAGCAGGATATACCAAGAGAAGTCCGTCCGGCGTTGGAAGTTCCTCTCCGCCATTGTCGCCAGACTGCAGGACCATTAGTGTGAGGGCTGAGGCCAGGTTTCCACCAGCACTGTCTCCCGTAACGACGATCTGGGGTCGGATGTCTCCGCTGAGTCCTATGCATTGTCCGCAGGTAGTCGCGAGCTGGTGATAGACATCGTAACACTCGTTGATGGCGTAGGGATAGGGATATTCGGGAGCCTTCCTGTAGTCAAGACTGATGACCGGAACACCCAGTTTTCCTGCCCAAGACAGAAGTTTATCGTCCACCGTCCTAGGATCCATCGCGACGAAGCCACCTCCTGGGATGTCCAATACCACTTTCTTCTGGTCGCGCAATTCCTCAAGGGATCCGTCAAAATACAGCCAGGCCGTAACGGGCTCCTTATAGGTAGATCCCTCCGGACGAGGGATTTTGATAGGGCGCGGTCCATATTTTGCATACTTAGGTTTTGTAAGGCGTCCAAGAGCAGAGAGGATTGGCGTCGTGCCCTTGTTCCAGGAGACGCGCACATGGTCGACAGTCAGGACAGAGTGTATTCTGCGGACCTTAGCGTCTGCCTGGTCCACAGCAAACAGATAATAAGCCGAAAACACTAATGACGCGATATGTCGGAGGAACGCTGGTTTGATATTCATAGCGGTCCAGAAACCCGCATCCAACGCGGTAAGGATCCAGGTGGCCCGGAAAAAGGACGGGCTGTACATGTTGGCCAAATGCTCTGGGCCGCTAAGACCGAAAATCCTGCTGAAGTTGTTTGAGATATAGAGGGAGATAATGGTCAGAAACATTGTCTGCCAGGGCGTCACAGCACCCGCGAGCTGTGCGGAGTACTTTCGAACTCCGGGAGGGCCATGTTTGCTGCCCCTACAATGAAGAAGACGGTGAGCAGATGAGTAGCCGACAAGTCAAGTGCGAAATCCATACTTGACGAGATAGGCCAAAGAGAGCGAAATGATTGTCAAAATCTGAAGTCTGCGAAGCTTGGCAGAGGGCCTACCCAAAAGATGGTCTGTAGAATCATTAGTTATTAGATAGTTATCACTTGTCAATTGGGTCCGAAGAAGACCTACCGATCATTTTTAATGGTTTCTGACAGCCAATTCCTGCAAGAAGTCACAAATAGATAGTATCAATGCCCTTTTCAATGGAAACACTTCGGGCCAACCAAGGGCCTTGGAAGGGATATGGATATATGGTCGGCACCTTCAACGGTCCTCCATGCAGCTGCAAGATGAAAGAATAGCAAGAGGCCAGCAGTCCAGAGTTATTTAGCTACAGTACACAGAGGTACCGTACTTATGTCCATACCTAGGTAAGGATTCATTGTTCTGGATAGCCGAAAAGAAACCAGGCACGCGCATGTGATCCATGGGAGAACGCTAGTCCTAATCTGGTCTTTGCGGGGAAAGCTCGTTTCCTCGGTCGCACAAGCAAGAAATAATAATACAGTACAGATCATTTAATAATAATGAGTACATATGATATCTATTCATTATCGACATTTCTTATTCCTCCAGGTGTTTCAATCATACTTTTGCGTAAAGTGTTGTTGCACCTATCCTCAAAACATCTGTGATACGCTCGGACCAGTAGAAGTAGAGACCAATTTCTATTACCTGGAGCCCTGGTCTAGTTCAGGTCATACTGAGGAGAGTTTCTGAATATTGACAGTTCTTATATGGCCCAGATACCGTCGATAATAATAATATAGTTAGACTATTCCTTACCAGACATAATGTCTTAATGCACCGCTACTCCTGCAGTAGTGACAACCACAACTAGATAGGAGAGCGACGTTCCATGGATCCTCCGTCGCTTCTCCTCTAAGCCCGGTCTCTAGCGGGAGCGCTAGGCTATTTTTGAGCCTTGCCATGCCCCAAATACGGAGTAGCTAAACAATCTGGCCCCTCAATTCAAGCACGGCAACTCCGGCACTAAGTATCAAGACTCCAAGAGAAACTTAAAAGGCGACAATAATCAAGACCACGATTGCTAGCGTGATGTGACGGAATTTTTCACTTTCGCTAAGGAGACCTTGATCAGGTATTATTACTAAACCACTGAATAGTAACTAAATCTACTCCGTACTCGACTCCGGCGAGAATACGCAGACATCCGAAAAGATGTGACAACCATGAAAGAAGGTATTGTTGAGGATAGCTGATTGTCAATCGACAGAAGGTTCCTTCTCGCCAACGGATTCAGAACTGATTAAGTACCATACAGTTCTGACATCGGAGTTCGCGGAAGGGGTAATTAATGCCAAGGTACGTCGTATTTAATGGATAATATTAATATAGACTTGAGCTCAAGAATAATGACTCAAAAATGAATGATTAGCCACTTGATCTCGGAGAACGGGCCGAATCGACCAGCCTTAAGCTATCTACTCCTGGTTAGTATCGGGCGCTAGGTAAATGAGGAGATTTCATTAGCACGAGGCTCTCCGGCTTGAATGAGTCCGCGATACTTACCTGACTTCCGTTATCCTTGCTGTTTTGCTGCCAAATTTGTATTTCTCTTTGTTCTCTCCTAGAAACTATATTTAGGCAACCAGAGAAACGCCAACAATCAGCATCGCTCCCCGGAACATGCACTTCCTTGCGACGTGAACGAACCAGGACCTCTTTACTAACTTAGGTACTCTCTGGGAATTCAGAACGCCACCGCCGTTAGGGGATATCCGACTTTGTTCTAAGCGAGCTCCAGACTACTCTAGCTCTTTCACTTAAACACCTATCAAGAAGACTCTTTCCACCGGCTCCATGGCTCAGGCGAAGGCCTCTTACTGCATTAGGGCTTATCATGCTGCCAAGCTGTATCGCCAAGATGCATCCTGTCGGCACTCGAGTCAAAAATGGATTGCGGCTCAACCGCAGCCTGAACCATCTACAACGCTACTGCGCATTAGAAAACTCTCTACAGTACCATGAGATTAGGCAGCCCTCTTTCTGGACTAATTTGGGGCGGAGGCAAAAGCCATATTGTTAAATAGGTCCTTGATAGCCACTCTTGGGTTTCGCGCGTAGTCACTCTTCTCGATCGTAACTAGGTATCTAGTACCAGAAATATCATGAGGTCTACGCTCGTGCTGTCAGCCGGTCTCCTGGCATATTCGGCCAAGGCCGTTGTCCTGAATGAACGGGCTGTACCAGCTGTGGTCAGCTTCGATGTCGAGCGGAGCATCATTGAAGACCCAGTGCGACGAGAACAGATGCGCAAGAAGAGAGACAATACTGTCGGTATTGACATCGTGAATCCTGTGCGTATCTCCGCCTGTGTTCTTTTCTTCTTCTCCTTCCTGGCTAACACACTACACAGCAAGATCTTAGCATCTACTGGATCAACGGCACATTCGGAACCCCTGAACAGTCAATTACTCTCGCCCTTGACACTGGCAGCAGTGACACCTGGGTGAATGTCGCCACTTCAGGCTTCTGTTCACAAGACTCTGAGCCATGTAAGCCGTTTGGCACTTATGACCACAGCAAATCGTCTACATACAAATTTCTTGACCATAATCTCGACAATACCTATGGCGACGGCACCAGAGCGAAAGGAGACTACGTTACCGATACTATGAAGTTTGGAGGAGCCACTCTGAAAGACTTCCAGTTTGGCGTTGCATACCAGTCAGGAGCTAACAGTACGTGCTGGTTGTATTAACTGAATGGTAATTTCGATGACTAACTTCCCGGGCAGAAGGAATTTTGGGCATTGGCTACTCTGCCCTCGCTGGTGGCGGCCGCGATATGTACAATAACTTCCCCGTTGCCTTGGTGGATGCAGGCTATATCAAGTCGCCCGCTTTCAGCTTGTACCTCAACCAGCTCCACGCTTCCAAGGGACAGGTGCTATTCGGCGGTGTCGATACATCCAAGTATATCGGCGAGCTTCAGTCGGTGCCCATGATCTCAACCTACGGTCAGCATTACAGTTTGCAGATCGCTCTTACGAGTCTGTCACTCCAAAAGGGTGACAAGAAGGCATCCAGCTACAGTTCCTCTGAGTTTCCTTTGGTGACAACCCTGGACTGCGGCAGTACTTTCATTATCCTTCCCGATTCCCTGGCGAAAGATATCTACGATGACTTGGACGTCAAGTACAACTCTACCGCAAACTGGGGTCTTCTGCCATGCAGCATGAAGAACAAGGATTGGAACTTGACTTACTCCTTTTCTGGCATCGAGATCAATGTCCCCATCAGTGAGCTCGTCCTGGACCCAGTTGCCTACGACGGTGACGTGGTTCAGTGCCTCTTCGGAATCACATCTGGAGGTGATGATACAGTGCTCATGGGTGACCCGTTCTTGCGCAACGCCTACGCTGTTTTCGATCTCGCCAACAACGAGATCTCACTTGCCCAGGCCAACTTTAACCCAGGAAAAGAGCACATCCTTGAGATTGGTACCGGCAAGGACGCTGTTCCAGGAGCGACCCAGGTCGAATCCGCAGTGACTAGCGTCATCAACTCTGCAGCTGCTGCTGCCACCACCGTTATTGGGCCGGTGGAAACTGAAGGTCCAGTCTCTACCATAACCTCCGGCGCGACTACGGGATCTACCTCTTCTTCTGCCGCGACATCGACATCGAAGGGCTTGGCTGCTCTGCCAACCAGCGATTCCAGACACCTCCTCGCAGGAATTGCCGGTGCTGTTGGCCTCGCGATGGCGCTGTGATGATACCCATGTTATGATTCAGATTCGCCTTGCTTTTTTTAGTAAAGAGCATACATATAGCTAATAGACGAGAAATATAATTTCCCATTGTATATACTATTCTTTCGAGGCTTCATCCTCTATTTAGAACTTCAGGGTCAGTGACCACCATCATCAAAGCATTTTGTGGAAGGTTTAGTTCTCAGTAACTACATCCTCGTTCTTATGGTTATTTTTTTTGTTTTTTTCAGTTAATTGGATCATCAATCAATAAGTACAGGCGAACATACAACAAGCCAGTCCCGGTGGTCCAGGGGTAGGGCATGAGACTGCAGTTCTTAAAGTCGCGTGTTCGAGTCACGCTCGGGACTGGATATTCCTGATTATTCAGGAATTCCCTTTTTTGTCTTTTACATCCCCATCTTTCTTTTTCTTGACTCTTAATAATTCTTACCGTGTATATTTAATTTATTCTTTTTTTTTTTTCTTACCCTTCCAAGATTTCTGTGCGCCATTACGGAAGCTATTTGGCGCTTCTGTAGTGTCGTGGTTTTAATGGGGTGAACATCCTTCCGGAGCGCGAACTCTTTTGCAGGAAATATATATTTAACCCTATTGAAACTCGTGCATTGACTATCGTATAATTCCAGGATGATGTCTGGTATTTTGCCCGACCCCCTGCGATTTACTGCTTGCCAAGTAACCATCTCAACTGCTCCAGCGTAGCCTCTCTCCATTTTGCAGCCTCTTTCAACTGCGGGTATAGATTGAAAGCATGGGGGAAGCCAGTGTAGACAGTGACTTTCGTCTCCACGCCAATCCCATTCAACTTCTCTGCGAACAACAACCCTTCATCGCGCAGCGGATCCATCCCCGCAATATGGAACGTCGTTGGGGGCCATAACCCCTTATCGAACTCTTCGTCGGGAATAATAAGGAAGGAAAGTCTCTCGTCGGCTTTCGTCTCCTCGGACGCGTTGGGTAAGTACATGTTTACGAAATCGTTCAGTCGAGACATTGGAAGGAGCGGAGCGTCGGCATTCTGGACAAGGGAGGAGGATTGTCGGTTCGCTAGGAGATGATAAGGGAACAGGTCGGGATGGACAGTCGGAGGAGCAGTGAGGACCAGCCCCTTCACTCGTGAGACTGGTCTCGGGGCGCTGGATCCCTGATCTTGTTGCAGTTTCTGGATGCGTCTCATCTCCCTGACCGCGATGCCGATCGAGAGGTTCGCTCCCGCGGATGTGCCGCCAAGGTAGACTCTGTTCGTGTCTAGACCGTACTTAGCTGCCACTTCGGAGCCTTCAGATGCGAAGAGCTCGAAAGCTGCCCATGACTCTTCTGGTTGTGTGGGGAAAGCGTATTCGGGTGTAGGGTGGTAGAGGGGGTGCAGGATGGCGATACCGACGCCTGTCGGGTCCGTCTTGGTGAAGGTCGAGCAGAGATGAGCGCAGTAGGGCGCCTCGGTCTCCAATGTTCCTAGATGCCAGCCCCCGGAGTGATAACGGATATAGAGAGGCAGAGGGGCTTTGCCAATGTTCTTAGGACGGCAGAGACGGGCTGGAATCGACGAGCCGCCGGGAGTTGGGATCGTGAACTCGTCGATTTGGACATCATCTGTTTATGTAGCGTTAGCCAGGACTATTCAGTATTCAAGCAGATAGTTCCCTGTTCCAAAACACACCTGCTACCCCGTAGAATTCTTTATGTGCCTTTGCTCTCGAAGCATTAAAAGCATCTCGTGCTTCAAACACCGTGGCTGTTGGAGGCACAGCAGGAGGGAGTGTCTTTTGAAACTCAACCCATTCTGCTGCTGGAGTAGCGTACTGTGAATAATCGGCCATGTTTGTATATGATTATGTTTTATATATATATGGAGCGCGACCACTGGGATATCGCAAAGTCTTTTCTAAATAGACAACGGACACCTCGGCCGCGAAGAAGACGTCCGAATTCTGCGGATAAATTGTCCTTGTAATATGAATAGGAGCTTGTTAGTGACGCAGAGCCAAGTGTTTACATGGGTAGTTCTAGCTACCGAGTTCGGCAATTAGCTCTTTATCTTCACCCGTAAATTGTACCCCGCATCGACGGGGAGTCGTTGGGGGCTGGGTACCTATATCGCTTGAGATTGGTCGCTAGCAATGGGGTCTGCAGTAAAAATGCTGAATCTATCTATCAGAGACTGTCAAGCATCAAATTCGGCGTCCTCGACACAAATAGTACATAAAATACGATGGGTTTTGCCAGTGACCAAAAAAGAGAACTCCTACACCGTACTTGGTCTGATCTGATCTGAGAAAACATACTTCCACTCTTGCTATCTATATATGCTTAATCGGTCTTTGGGCCGAGGTTCGGTACTTAACTTACGCGGCCCGCGGAACCAGGAACATAGAATTGCGGAACGTTCACCGGTCCGCGGATATCGGATACAACTGTTTCAGGGAGGAATAATAATATCTCAAGAATCATATACAAACAGAGGAATACCCGTGTCCAGGTAAAATGGTGATAAATTGAACCTCATAGTTAAATCGTCGCTCTTGCTCCCCGAGACCACTTATCACTACTTACCCCGCAGCCATGTCCTCAGAACCAGCAGCGTTCTCGAGAGAGGGACACAGCGATACCCACAATGCAGATTACAAGGATAATGTACTTCGGATAGCAATTATCGGTGCCGGAACCATTGGGCTCTCTTTCGCAGGACTGCATCTATCGCATCCGGCCAATCGCGATGGTGGCCGGAAAGTCGAGATCAGGATCTATGATCCCAGGCCGGGGTTGAGGGACTACGTCGAGAGGACGTTGCCTGGTAAGTTTCCAGGTGATTTATTACATTCTTTTTTTTTTTTTCTAAATATGTATTAAACGTGAACTTGTTAAACAGGATACCTGTCTCCATCCCCTCCAGAAAATATGATCCTGCAGACATCCAGCTCCGACTCGAATACAACAGAACGCATCTCTCTTCCCCCTCCCCTTTCTAGCCACACCCTCATCCTCTCCACATCTCTTGCTGATGCCGTATCCGCCGCAAACATCGTACAAGAACAAGGGCCTGAATCCGTCTCGACAAAACAATCCCTCTGGTCCGAAATCGAATCCCTCGCTCCTCCCACTGCTCTCTTCTGGTCCTCTACGTCTGGCATACCTGCATCCGTCCAGTCGCAAGGTATGAAGAACCCAAGACGCCTCATTGTCGTCCATCCCTACAACCCGCCGCATATAATGCCTTTGCTCGAGTTGGTTCCTGCACCGGGGACGGATTTGGATAGTCCCGGTTCGGATGTTCAGCGCACGCTGGACTATTGGCGCCGTTTGGGTCGGGAGCCAGTAGTGTTGAAAGAAGAAGTGAGCGGTTTCGTGGCGAATAGACTTGCCTTTGCGCTCCTGAGAGAAGGGGTAGAGTTGGTTAATCGAGGTGTTGCGACACCAGAAGAGATCGATCGGGTCGTTGAGCAGAGTATGGGTCCGAGATGGGCGGTTAGGGGGCCGTTTTGGAGTTACCATGCTGGTGGAGGGGAGGGCGGGTTGAGGGGCATATTGGGAAATATCGGAGATACAATCCAGAGGTGTTGGGATGATGCGGGAAAGCCGGACTTGAAGAGGGAGGGCAGGGGGAGTGAATGGGTGGGGAGGTTGTGTGAGGATGTGGAGAGGTCGTATGGCAAGTTGGGCCAGGAGGAGCTAAAGGAGAGGGATGAGAAGACGAGGAGGGTGTTGGATGTTACGAGGGAGGGAAGGACACTATGATCGATACCCATCAAGTGTTCTGAGGTGAACCACGTATATACCAGGATTATTAGACCTGTCATGGTATACACAAAGCATGAGTGCTGGCCACCATGCCTCGAAAGTGCCATTAAGATCAAGACTCTTGTCATTCAGAATTCAGAAAAAAAGGGTATCTAGCTATTGATGGTTCCAGAGATACTTGCCCGAACACCCATCGACCCGTCCCGCGAGGCACCAAAGAACCGGTCTCTCACGAGCCGGACATCATCAACGGTCGTGTCATGTAACTCCATATCGAAGCGACGGAAGATTCCTGCAACGGTGAGGAATAATTCAGCATAGGCGAGACTGCAGTATGAAGTTAGTATCTGCTATAGACGGACAAGGAATTCTACCGGAACGTACTTAATGCCCAGACACTGCCGACTTCCCTTGGTGAATGAGACGATGAAGCGATCGAGCCGTTCTCCCTTCTCCGCGGCGCGGATCCATCGTTCTGGATCAAACGATTCAGGGTTCGGGAAGATCGACGGATCCATGTGCACGAAATAGGAAGATTCACTGACGGGCGTCTAGTAAACTGTGTCAGTAACTGAGTTTTGAGAACGGGAGAATCTTTTCCCTAGCTCACCCCTGGTGGAATGACCCAGTCTTTGTATTTGAGAGCCTCGGTGGGTGCAACACGGGGAAGTCGGGTCGTGACTCCGTATGAGAGTCGTAAGCCTTCATTTATGACGGCTCCCTGTTTGAAATTAGTGTGTTATCAGATAAAACTGGGTGTATGAGGTCGACGATTACCAGGTATGGCAGCTGCTCGAGCTCCGTCCAGGATGCAGTACTCAGCGGTGTCGGCATAACCTTCTTGAGTTCCTCTCTTAACTTGGATAGAAGAGCTCGGTCATTGAGAAGATAGAAAGCGATCGTGGTTAATGTCTTCGCAGTGGTCTCGCTGCCAGCAGCAAGGAGAATCTGTCCCTCATCCTGCAAGCGGTCGATCGTTCGTTCCTCCGGCGGTAGGTTGGGGTCGCATAGAGCGTCGAAAGCGGTAGCTTGTGAGCCTTTATTATCCGCCTTCTCAAAAGACTCAAGCGATTCCAGCGATTGCTTCCTGACCATGTGCTGGATCTCCAAGAGAACGGCCGCTTGGGGATCCAGTTTCTTCAGGAGCCAAGGAGGGATGCTCTTCGAGACGGTTAGAACAGACGGGAAGTGCCTGAGCATGGCGCCATTAGCTGACGCTTCCAGGACTGCCTCCTTCCAGCTGAGCTTGAAGTCATCCTCGTCGAGATAGTTGTAGCTCTTCCCGTAAGAGTAATGCGTGATAATATCCATGGTCAGGGCCGTGAACGCGGCATCTAGTCTGATAACGGCACCAGTCTTGCTTGCCGTCTCGAGGCGCTTGGAGAGTTTGTCTATATTCCCCTGGATCAGAGGTTCTAGGCGCATCACTGACCGTTTGGAGAAATAACTGTTTAGAAGACCACGGCGCAGACGGTGGTGGTCATGATTGATGGTCGTCACCATCGACTGCGGAGTTCCAAAGTGGGCTACGAAGCCAATATACTTCTCCCGTTTCCTCGAACCGGGAGCATAGATCTCATCATAGAACTGAGGATCCTTGATATGGAGCTCATGAGGGGTAATCCGGACAATGGGGCCTGAAGATACACATCAGTTGAGTGCATTTGTCACACTATGAATTAGGCCCAATAGTTACCATACTGTTGGTGCATGCGTTCAATCTCCCAGATAAACATGCCACCCTTGACCAGGTTGAAGTAGAACTCGAAAAGATGGGTTACTGCAGCCAGCTTCGGACCAGGGAACTTGCTCAGCGGATGGAAATATAGTCGATAGATGGCGCCCCCGATGACATAGGCCAGGATCCCAGCTGGGATGAGCACAGCGAGAGGAACGGGCAGGAGATCCATGGTGCTTGCTGGTGTGCTTCTGCCGCCCTCAACAACCACCGTGGAAAACCTGGGGAGTCAACGTAATACGAAAAAGCACACACCCCAGAGGTCGATGCGTGGAGCTGATCTTAAGAAGCTCATAGCTGCGCTGAGGGTGTGGGCCATGAATAATACGGATACTCTCTGTACTTTAGCACCGGTCCAGCCCGCCAGAAGGTAGATTGTCCATCTATTACTCCGTAGAGGGAAAGCTGGAAAGTCAATCAATAGCTAGGAATAATGGACAACGCGGGCGCCGGGCAACCCGTCCGTGGTGGAGATTTCCAGGGTGCCGGTCGAGTTTGTAGGAAAAGCTAACTACCTAGGTAACCATGCCAATAATAATAATACATAGATAACGATCTCATCCGGACTCGCGGTTATGAGGGATTGATGGTGCTGATCTGGACTGACTATGCCACTATGGTATTATGATTATCCTAGGCATCTTGCACCTTGCTTTCCCGACACTCTGGGGCTGCTACTTCAACGAATTACAGTAATTCCCACCTGTTATCCATGATTTCTGCACTGACCCTCCCGTCTGGCGCCGTCCCTGCGAGCCAGGCCGATCGGGAGCAGCGAGACTTTGTGAATCTCTGGCCAAGTAATTCAGCTACAATTTTCCCGACGAGATAGATAAAAGGGGAGTTCTGTCGAGACTCGAGAGACAATAATTCATGAAGGCCCTCTTCCTGAAGACCAGAGATAGATCTGTCCTGTTCGTCGTCTCTCCTCGGAGCACAGTTGCAGACAGAAAAAGATCTAGGCCAGTAAAGAATACGGAGTGACCAGCGAATCATAGATATCCGCCCATTTGTGACCTGTAAGCTGTCAAGACTCAAGCCACGCAGCCGTTGCAACGGGCGTGAGATACCAGTTTTTTCGGCGAACTCTCAACCGACCGTGCGCTTCGATAGTGTAAGATCATGATAGTCACCTCACCTCACTGGTTGGCTAACAACTCCGGACGTATCTTGCAGAGATGCTGAAAAAAAGCACAGGGGAGCAAAAAGAGAAAACAAGGTCATGTGGACTATGTGGGAATCGAACCCACGACCTCTCGCAGATGCGATCATAAAGGGATGCGAAGCGAGCGCTCTACCAACTGAGCTAACAGCCCGTAACATGCGGAAGAATTTCACTATTCGACCTTGTCAGGATGCTACATCTGTACAATAAGATCGAGCAGCGGATCCTACATTCTCTCATAGTGATGAAAGAACATCCATCCTGGTAACTACATGAGACAATCGATGAACCAAGAAATGAAAAGAAATGAGAAGAAATGAGCTTGATTTCAGCTGTGACGAGCTTTTTACATACAGGCCACCTGCGCCAATTATACTAGATACTCGAGAACAACCAACGGCAGCGGACACAAAGGAAATACCATCGGATTCGCTATTTGTGTTTCTGACAATGACACAGGACAAAGGTACACTATAGAAACAGTTCAACTCCCGGCCGGGGAAGAGAAGGAACAAGAGAAAATCAACGGCTACCACGCCGACAATTCATCCGCTAAACAGCAGCCATCATCTTCTTAATCTCGGCGATGGCCTTACCCGGGTTGAGACCCTTGGGGCAGGTCCGCGAGCAGTTGAGAATGGTGTGGCATCGGTACACACTCATGCTGTTGTCCAGGGCCTGCTTGCGCTCCGCCGTCCGCTCGTCACGGGAGTCGGCGAGCCAACGGTAGGACTGGAGCAGGATGGCCGGGCCCAGGTACTCCTCACTGTTCCACCAGTACGAAGGGCAAGAGGTCGAGCAGCATGCGCACAGGATGCACTCGTACAGACCGTCGAGCTTACGGCGGTCCTCGGGGGACTGACGGTTCTCCAGACCCTGTTGGCAGTGGATTAGCGACGATAAGTTCCTGCAACAGGCCGCAGGGGTCGTCACTTACATCTTCGGACTTGGTATCACGCTGGAGGTAAGGCTTGATGGACTTGTACTGCTTGTAGAATTGGGTCAGGTCAGGGACCAGGTCCTTGACGACGTAGGTGTGCGGCAGAGGGTATATCCGGGAAGCCTTTTCGGTCTCAGTGGGGATACGGCCTGGGATCGGTCAGTCCGTGTTCGCCTTCTTCGCGCCACAGGTGCACAGAAGATCACATACACAAGCAGGCCAGGGTGTTGACTCCATCAATGTTCATGGCGCAACTACCACAGATACCCTCACGGCAGCTTCGTCGGAAGGTGAGGGTGGGGTCGATCTCGTTCTTTATCCGGATCAGGGCATCGAGCATCATAGGACCGGTCTTGTTCAGATCCAGCGTGTAGGACTGCATCCGGGGCTTCTCCGTGGGCGTATCCGGGTTCCATCGGTAGATGTGGAAAGTCTTGATTCTGGGGTTCTCAGAAGGCTTAGGATCCGTGACAGTCGGGGACTTCTTCTCAGAGACGGGCTGCGTGCTCTTGGAGGTGGCCTCCGTGAAGCCCGCGACGGGGTCAATGGTGGCATAGGATCGCGAGAAGACAGCCGGTCGGAACAGTGGCCTCGAGGCGGCCATGAGGCGCGAGGTTGATCGCAGGGCAGCCATGGCGGGCGGGCGGAAAGAAATAGAAGACGGCGAAAGGCAGCCAGACACTCCCAAACAAGGAGAAGAGGTCAATGGGACGCGAGTAGCGAAATCCGGAGCGCGTAGAGTAGCAGCAAGCCTGAGGGGCAGCTGAAGAGGGGAGAGTGTAGCTTGACGGGCGACGACGAGGAGATTGAAGATATGAAGTCAGGAAGTTCAAGTTCGCCTTTCGTTCATGCGTCTCGCTCTACCTCGGGTCCATCGGTCGGAAACGGCTGACTCAGCACCGCACCGCCAATCACAAGATTGCTAATTGCAAGCGTCGGGGACAAACGGCAAGCCTCGATGCCTCAGGTTGTCCATCGTCCCGTTGGCCCAGTCAAGGACGCCCTAACTAACTACAGTAATTCTTAGTTGATTATTATCTGATCCGGCTGTCTTTATCAATGGAGAGCGAATAGTAATGACTAGTTAGATCACTCATGGGACATCCGGACGCTCATCCTGCGCATCCCGGTCGCAATGGCAACTCCCAGACCGCTGTGGTCGGGAATCCGGATAATCTGAACATGCAACCAATCACAGCCCTCGTTTAGTTGCCGTCACATCCTCCGAGATGCCTAATTCTGCCTGTGCTGCCTCAGGTATCAATGCCTCTTTTCGGCAGTTCCGCACGAGGATGTAGGCTATTGGAGAAGCAGACTTGTGATAATGATGATACACATATAAAGATTGTTGCTTTTCTGAACATATTCTACAATACTAACATGACTCTTGAAATCTCGCAGGAGTGTCCCCAAGAGCTAAAGCTTCGTTCATTTACGATGTCCATTTGAATACCTATGACCAGTGATTACGGAAAAGCATAGATGGTCTCCTCTTTTCGCCTAATATCATCCTCTCAATAGCTAGAAGTGTGGTAGAAGTTGGGAGTTCAATTTGTCTATCACTATCCTGGTAATGATGAAGTGCGGGTAGTTACCAAACAAAATTCACTGAACCACTACATAAATGATGTTTGCTACCACCAAGACAGGTCTAGTATGCTATCATAATAGATGGTTCTTTCCTACGTTTGAGTGCAGTTAATGAGCGTTATACAGTGACACTACTGCCTGATGGCAGGCATTTATACAGCCCAAATTCTTTCCCTTCTTCAGTTTTTTCCACTCACCATATATATTCAAGCTTTATCTCATCCCCCTACATCCCCTATCCGCAAGGATTCGTCTACAGAGGTAGATCATCTGTCACAAGTCATCGTCGTCCAAACTAATCAGAACCAGGGCAAAAGGAGACAATATATAACTTCTTGAAATTGGGAATTTGGTCCACAATATACTACACTTGGTTATCGTTCTGCATTTTCTTTTCTGATAGCCTACTGTCGGACTTTGCAAGATCTTGGGAAGTAACAAAATGGCGTCTACACATCGCAACCGTGGCTCAGAGGTGCTGCTTGCCTATGCCAGCCCGTCTATCTGCCCCCCATCGTCGGAATCTGATACCTCGCCCATATCCCCGTTTCGAGACGGCAGACGTCGTAAAAACCGCGACTCCAGCGAAGATTCAGACAGTGTAGAGCTTCCAGATGGGCTCATCAATGAAGATCTTCGGGCCGGAGGGCCGTATCTATGTGCGATCCCAACTCGCAGCGTCTCGCTTAGAGGAACTCCTATTTTCAATCAGATTGAGCACCGTATGCAGCATCTTGTCCAGAAAATCTCCCAGATTCTTCACTCGTATAGGATCACTACCGAAGCGCTCGATATATGCGGCAGAATCTCCAGGATTGACCCGGAACCGGCAGTCATCCCAACAGTTTTCGTTGTGACACCGGCCCGTTCAATAATAGATAGCAAGTGGGTTGATGCTTGTCGACAACTCCTGGACTTCTTCAGGAAGGAAGCATTGCCACAATTCTCTGTCGAGATTGCTTGTAGGCGGGCCTTCGAGTCACCGTGTTATTTCCCAGTGAAACGTACAGATGCGATCTATCCAGTTTGGCATCAGGTTCTTGACTGTATCTTCAAGGACGTTGAGCTCACTGGTGTCAACGCTATTGAATGTTTTCGCGTGGGGTATAACGTCAACCAGGATGAGAGTCAGCCAACGATCGTCGTATCCGTGAACAGGCGATTGAGCAGAAATTGGAAGTATATACGCGAAAGGATCGTCAATATTATCAACAGCATGAGTCTCTGGAGCGTTGGGGTTAGCATAGGACCTGGTGAGGTATTGAGACAGATCGCATTCCCTCTCGATGGATTCAAGGCAGAGGCGCAAGCAGGACTCAATCTTGGGGTCCACAGGTCCGAGAAATCCGCCGGTACCTTGTCCGGTTGGATTGAAATCGAACATCCTCGGACAAAGCGGTGGCAGAAGCTCGCTCTTACCTGCTTTCACTGCGTCGATCCTGGGATGGACTCTGTCCACTCTTCCCAACAGAACCGTGAGTTGCCTTCCATCTGCATTAGCACCGATACGTGCTTACATTAAGGCTTTAGGACTGAAATTCTGGCAAACCAATGGTATACAGCCTGAAGACCCGCACGCAAAGACCGTTCTCCGCGTTGATCAGCCCTCAGAGAAGGACATCAAAGCTGGTCTAGAGGAACTCGATCACAGGATACAGGTCATAGCGAAGGACCCCAAATATCTGCGCTTCAAGAATGCCCTGGACACCACGGGATTTCTCATTCCCCCGGACAGGTCATCTTACAATGCAATGAAAGCGCAGAAGGAGAAATACGAGAGAGAGAAGCAGCACATTCTAAACTTCAAGTCCCACAATGAGCATGAACTGGGATATGTGTTTAGCGCCTCTGGGTACAGGGAAGAGAGGGTTGCTACAGTCAAGCACCCGTCTGAAAATTCAATACTCGATTGGGCCTTGATCAAGCCGATGCCATCTCGAACTGGCAGCACCAACGATGTGAGTATCTTGACTCTTAATAACCTTGGACTCCAGAGTACTAATGGGTAAAACAAGATTCTCGGATATGGCACTCCTACCGTCGGATTGCCGGAGCGTCTGATTCTCACCGAGACGATGGGACCAGACATGTCAGAGATAACTACCGTCTTCAAGGCGGGACGTTCGACGGGGTATACGCAGGGCACCTACAACGGTCTGGAATCAGCTGTTATAGCAGATAAGATCGTGAATGGCCAGACGGTCCGTACCCGTACGTTGGAGCATGCCGTGTGTGGACGCCATGGACAATGGTTCGGTGACCGAGGTGACTCGGGATCATTCGTGTTCACCTACAGTGGGACAGTCATTGGGATGATCTTCGGAGGGAATACTGACAGAGCTATCTCCTATTTCACTCACATTGTCGATATCTTCAATGATATCAAGAAGATCACAGGGGCCAGCAATGTGAGGATCTTCGGGGATATCTAAGATGCCGTCAATCTGTGATTGGTTTGATGGCAGCAGGTTGTGCTTTTCGGTTTAACTCGGGTGGCTTCTTTAGGTTTCATAATCATATGTACCTAGGTAGAGGAATGCAATTTCGGGGTTTGTCTCAAAAAATTGGTTAGTAAAAGACTATCTAGTGCGTCCCAAGGTGGCCCGACTTCTCCACGTATTTCCAGTAACGATGCTTGGACATTTCGCGCCAGCCCTTGCCCCATTTTACAAATATCAGGAAGGTAAGAGCTTGTGCCAGACCAACAAATGCTGCAACAAGGAAAGCGTTTTGGTATCCCATATTGGTAACCCAAGGAGTTATGCTGGACAATCTTGTTAGAATGGTTCCTCGAAAGTCATAGATGAGGGAGAGTATGTAACGTACCCGTAGCCAACGGCAAAACTCATAGTGTTACGGATGATAATGACCGTAACGAGGGCCTCACCAGAGAGATCTTTATATGTATCCACGCAGTATGAAACTGAAGCTTGGATGCCGATGGTAATAGTGAAGGCGAGCACTCCCATTCCAAAGATTAAACCAAACCAGTGCACTGAGCATACGTTAGTTTCCAAACTTCAGCATATAGGACCGTGCGTGTTGTTCTTACCTCCATGAGCAGCTCCTACTCCCCATAGGATAAGAGCGAAGGGCGTCAGAAGGATGTTGATTGCAAACAGCCAGAGACGGTGTTCTGACTCATGGATGCCCTTCTTGCGACGCGCCAATCTAATCATGAGCCAGTCTCCAAACTTTCCGCTGAAAAGAGAGCTATATGGAAGAAGTCAGATATCGAAGAGAATGCCTACGACGAGAAGGCGGTTTACCTGAGTCCGACACCTATTATTGCAGACACATAGGACAAGCCGACCATCGAAGACGAAAAGTTGTATGGTGCAGACCCCAGGATCAAGGAAGAAGTCCCGTTTAGGACGTTAAACCAAACCAGATTGGAACCATAAGCGAAACCAGAATAAACAACGATTGGAAAGCTGAAAAGGGAGAGAGGCCGCCACATCATTTGGAAAACCTTGAATGGTCGGGGCCTGTCAAGGAGCCTGAGCTTATCTAGGTAGCTCTTCTTTTTGTACACCTCTCCAGCTTCGTAGTCGACGTCAGCCGGAGGGTTCTCCCGGGGTGTCTTCTCTTCCGTGGTCGTAGGGGCTGTCTGGCTCTCTATAGACTCATCGCTGCTTTCGAGAGGCGTGTCTGAGACTTCAACCGCGAGTGGCTTCCGGTCGTAGTTTGTCTCTTCAAGAAAGAAGAAGAGATAGACAAATGCAACCCCGCAGAATATTGCACACCAGTACTGGGAAACACGTTAACCATGCTCTGCGTCCCAAAGCCAACAGATCAACCTACCAAGACCCATTTCCAATCTTGCCCATCGTTGATAAAGCCGGCCAGAACAGGAGCGAGGAAGTTACTCCCAGCAAGCATGAATGCGTAGAGACCAATGTATGCACCACGCTCATGCGTAAAATACTGCGAAGGCGACGGTCAGAATTTTCTCGAAGTATAATCCCTGTGCGACGTACAATATCTGTTACAGAGACTTCGCACAATGATTCGATCGGAGCTCCGAAGAAACCCTGCAGAATCTTGTTTGCAATCCACTGGCCATTGCTTTTCGTATATGGTGCCCAGATCATCATGGCCTGCGGATAGTCAGTACATATGTATATAGAGACTAAGAAGAGGCATCCACCATGGTTGCTAATGTCGAGAAGAGATATACTGGCCGTTTTCCATACTGCAGTGCCAATGGCTGCCACACTAAGCAGCCCCATCCAAAAAAGAGAAACTGCGCACTGTTAGTTGCAAGCAGGGATAACTTGAAGACTGGATACTTACCATGTAGCCTGTACCCGCGTTCAGGTCGCCAAGTGTCAGACCTGTGTCCTCGGAAATAGGAACCAATATGGAGTATATCGCAGCAGACGCAATGCCGACCATCAACGTATACCTGCACGTTGCACGTCAATAAACCACCGTCGAACTTTTGTGCTCCGCAAGTAGATACACGTACATGCACATGCAACTGGTGGATAGCATCTTCCGCCTTGGCGACCAATTCAACGGATCATCTGGGTCACCAGAGGGCTTTGGCACCAGAACAACATCATGTTGCTTGCCCTCCGCATGCGCTGTCTGCATCTTCCCTTGCAGGTCTGGGTTGAAGCAGTTAGACTCACAGACTAGACAGCACTGAAGACATATCGCGACTCACCGACCAGATGCACCGTTCCTGGGATAACATTTTTGTTCTCGATGTGTGGCTGCGCCATTTGTATCGTCACAATGTTTGTCGCAGGTTGCAACGCTGGAATTGTAGATCCTGTGTCGTTCGTCGTTTGAGAGCCGCAAAGAGACTCCCCTGCTCGACCGTTTGGCTATCTTATATCAGATGCAATGGGAGAAACTATGATAAGCGATTCGCCGTGTGGCTTGCGGCGAATACTAGAGCTGCATACTGGCAGCTGTTGCAGGGTGTCTTCGTTATCATGATTATCAGCACGGATCAAGCTCACAGATACCATCACCTAGTGCCATTGGGTCGCAGGGTTGGAGTAGCTTGATAGCCCGCATCTAGGCTTAAAGTGTGGAACTCAGCACTCTATTTGAAGATGAAGATCTGCAGCCAACGGTGTTAGACTCGCCGTTTCTCCAGCTTCGGACAGTCCGCCGACAATAATCCTTATCGCAAACCAATCGCTTCAGAGTCCGAATCCAATAACTGTTCTTCCAAAACACGCAATAAACAAGACAGCTCTTGAACATTCTGCGTCATGGTAATTTGGCTCTGAGCATCCTAATGGTGCTGCATTGGCCTTTTCCCTGTTTATCAGCCAAGTCAATCTGCATAGATAACAGGTTATCTGCTGCGTTAGTGCGGTTAGTACAAGACCGTTCCCCATCTTCAACTCTCGTGTAGTAAGAATGTTATATATATGAACTCCTCTTCTTGAATATTGCATGAAAATGGACCCCAGAATATACCGCAGGACATTCTGCTAACTAGTCAACACATCCCCCACTGTCCCAAAAGCAAATGAGCTAGTCGCTCGAGTGGGACAGCAGGATAAACTTCTGTTCTTGTTTAAGTAACGTACTCCGCCCGGAGAGTTGGGTCTATTCGTGGACCACATGGTTATAGCCCTTCTGGCTCTTACCATTTCGAGCATCCAGCAATCAGCTGCCGGGGTACTTAAGTATGCTAGGCTACCTCGGGACATGGAATGCATACACGCCATAATCTGCATCACGAAACTATATTATCACGGTAGAATGCATCATTTAGCATGTTGCTGGTGCTCGGAAGGAAACACTAGATGATAATTGTTTCTGCTATAACATGAATCTTGCTGAAATGTCGGTCGGAGCACCCTTCCCATAATATGTTTCTGTCTTCGAATAGCTGCACCCCTGGCGAGCCCTTATTGTAGGCCATAGAAATTGGTCCATTCTAACCGAAGGCCATTGTACTTCCGTTCCCGACGGCCGTAAACAGCAGGGGCTCTTAACGTCACATTACATCACCACATACAGTAGTTACGATGAAGAATTATTGAGCATTAGCGCCTCTTAAGACAGTTCTTCTCGCCCTCGAATTGCATAACACAAATGCAGTCTTACCATGGCAATTTCATGTAGGCCGAGATTGAGTTATAAGATGCAATATACCAAGTTGCAAAGAACAGCTTGCTTGTAGCGAGGGAGTTGGGTTGACAAAAGGTATGGAGGTAGCCCAAGCTGTCCGCTCCAGTAGCAATCATCTGGAGAACAGACTCTATCTAGACCTTGTCAATCTGAAATACGTCCAAGCACATGCTGGAAGATTCCACGGCTGATTATTGCAAAGAATGACTGATTAATCGGCCACATATCATTGTCACAACACCTTCAGCATAAGGTAGCAGTGACTGGGCAAAAATTGCGTCTTCCGACACATCATCGCTACTGCTGACTACCAGAATGCCTTTTCTCTTCTCCTACGTCGCCCCGTAGAGCGATTGCTGATTTTTTTCTTTTTCAAATAGCACTATAATCTCACCGTCTATCCGAACAATGTGGCATTGCAGCCATTAATCTGCTTGCCGGACTCCAAACATTTTTAACGCCAATTGATTTGCGACACAATTTGTCTGTGATTCATAGTTGGACGGTTATATAACAATAGCTGCAGTCAACACAAACTAGATATAATATGTCTTGTGCATGAAGCCATGTGCATTGCGAGTTTAATGGCAATTGACCAAAGAACAAAATAGCAGTATTGCTCAAGAGGTTGCCATGCGCAGACCAACAGTCTCACCGGCAGTTCTGTTGGAGTCTACCGATATGCAACAATATGGAACTCATTCAGTGCAAAGTATCCTTTGGAGATTAGCCTCTTGATGACTTCAGATTCCCATCCCCACTTTCTCCATCGCAGTGCTGAGTTCATCCACAGAATGACTCCTCATAAAATCCTCAAAAGTGACTCTTTTCACATGAGGATACCTCTGGTTTTCCATGTCAATATCGAGATAGGTCTGCCCATTCGTGCAATAATACTGGTAGAATCTGAAACACCTCAGTTGACTGAAATCTTCCCTAGGGTTGCGTTTCCGCACAACACTTACAAATTCAGGTAAGAAAGCACATTCGCCGGATCTTCGGCCATTTTCTGATGCATGAGCTTATACAAATCTTCGGAAGAGCCCAACCGGTTCAGCCCAGGTCTCTTTCCGTATACCGATTCAAAGGTATCAGCGATCTCGACAATGCTCTTTCGATCCCCAAGAACTGTGTGATCGCAGCCATTTAGCATAAGCATTACAAAATTCAACTGGTTCTGATTAAGGGAAGACGTACACTTCTGCAGGCCAACCGCAGTTTCGTCGAGAGCCACCGCTGAGACAAATTCGGCTGCGTTGGCATAACTAGTCGACTCCCACACTTCGGTCCCGGTGCCCCAATAGGAAAGAGTATACTGCGCCGGATCCCAAATGCCAAACCAATGATACCAAAACGTATCCATAAATGCACCGATCAGCACATGGACACCTGCAACGTCCTTGGACTCCAGATACTCTTTCACCAGTATCATCGGATCTTTCGATGGGAGTTGACCATATTGCAATTTGGTGAAGTCCACCGTATAGTCACTGGCGATGTAGCGTTGGACACCTTCTAATTCACAAGCGTCGATCAAGATCTTCTGACCGTCTGTCATAAGCTTGTTATCTCCCAGATAGCAGCAGATGACAACGCTGCAACTTCTTGCAAACGACCGTAATGCCTTCATATCATCCGATCCACCTTGAGTAATGTGGACGCGAGGGGACGTCTTGATGGAATCTGGGAGCTTTGCCGGGTCCCGGCAAAAACCACGTATGAAGACATGTTGTTGTTTGAGGAGTTCCCCAACAATGCAGCGCGCGAACTTCCCGGTAATTCCGGCGATGCCAACAATTGTACTCATTGTGTATCAATAAAATTGAGGTCAATCACTTTCTCATGGAACGCCGCAGATCAGGATAGCCACACATCATTATTGCTGATATGCATCGCTATTTAATGGCATATCTTTGAAACGGTGTAAGCGATATCGGAACCGAACTATCGTCCAAGACACTGGCAAAGTAAGTTTCTGGAAGTGATATCATTATTAATTCGAGCTCTACACGTCGGAGTTCGCTGTTTAACGAGAGTCCGAAGCGCGTAAGCAGCTTTCGGAGACCGAATTGCGATACATAGTATTATGCATGAAGCCCAATAAGCCCGTTATACTACTATATAGACTTTGACGATCGAATAATCTACATTATTAGTCCATGTTTGGCGAACAATTTCTTGGATACCATCCCAATTTGGAAAACATTACGGCCGATATATCTTCCCCATTTGGTGGAAATTCATCGCGCACAGGGGTCTTCTGGTGCGAAGTCCGAGGCTCCGGCTAAAAAAAAGGTCCGCTCCTCGGGAGACATATACATTCCGAGTTTCCTGTATCCCCCCGTGCTTTAGGGCCTAGGTACTTTATATCCCGGTCACTGCTACAAGGAAATAATAATTCTCAATGTTTTCTCGATTATTTGCTTAAGCAATATTCCTTTGTCCTTTTTTTTCTCTCTTCTGCCCTAGCGTCGTATATCTTGCAACGGATTACGAGGCGACCAAAGATGGTTTCTCTAACTGATGTGAAAATATCCAACGGGCAGCTTACAGCTGCTACTGTTCCAAAGGTTGCAGTTTTTGTTGGTGCAACCTCCGGAATTGGCAGGGCGGCCTTGGAGAACCTAATCTCTAAAGGTTTTCCTGTGAGAGTGTATATAATAGGCCGTGATAAGGCCGCCTTTCAGCCCACTTTGAGTGAGCTGCAGGCTTCTAACCCCTCTGCTGATTTGATCTTTCTCGAGGGTCACATATCTCTGATGGCCGAGACAAGGCGTCTTGTCGATATGATCCTCATCCGAGAGGAGTATGTTGACTTGCTTTTCCTTTCGGCCGGTTTCCTCCCCTTTCTCGGACGCCGAGGTATGTGTATCAATGCAGCGAAGATACGGCTTATCGATCACTTGTGCTAAAGAACAATAGAAACCACTGAAGGTATAGAGCTCTCAACGGCTGTTGCATTTTATAGCCGCCAGATCTTCATCAGACGTCTGCTTCCTTTGCTTCGAGCAGCGGTTAATCATGGCGCTCCGAATTTCTCACCCCGGATAGTTAATGTCCTAGGCACGGGCGTTGAGACAGCAAATTTATATCTCGATGACTTAACACTGAGCGGGCCCGGACATTTCAACGTTGCCAGCTATGTTAGCCATGTGGCAACAATGACTTCCGTTAGCCTTAAGCGTTTGGCCGAACAACCAGAGAACAAAAATGTTGTGATCATTCATCATCATCCTGGCTTTGTGTCCACTGATTTATTGAAGAAAAGTTGGGGCGATCAATGGGACGAAGGTAAACGCAATATGGGCGCCAGAGCTCCTGCAGACACTACGTTTTCAACCCCTGAGGAAGCAGGAGAGCGCTCACTATACGTGATCACTAGCGCAAAGTACGGCGGAAGTGGTGTCCCACTGCGGGAAGGACAGGGAGTCGGATTGACTGTGAAAGGGACAGGGAATGGCTCCCTTTTTTGCGTTGGTGATAAATTGGAGACTTTGAAACTTGGTGATCTGCTTGACTCTCTTGAAGACAATGGCAGTGCTGATTTGATTTGGACTCATGTTGACCGGATGATTGGAAAGTACTCGTAACGTCACTGGTAAATGTACCTGAACTAAACGGCAAGGATATTGCATTGTTATCTGGTGGTACGAGGATCCTAATATACCGAAGTATTGGAGAACCGAGATCAGCGATGACAGTTGGACTAAGGATCGAATGGACTACGCTGGCTTCAAAAGGTTTTCATATCTCAAACAGTTCATCGTAGGACTGGGCGATATAGCCTTCTTATTATGGATGTGCACGGCAGACATTGACCTCTGAATTTGACAAGGTATGCTGTTAGAATAATATTATTCCTCTCTGTATTCCAGCACGCTCGTCAGCTTATTGTCAACCTCTAGATGTCAGCTGCTTTGGACCTTTGAAAGGATCGCACGGTTGCCTACTTCAGGATAAGCAACGTCGAGGATTCAATCATATCGACAAGCTTGTTTTTGGAGCATCTATCCTATAGCTCGTATGAAGGAATTTACTTCGGAGACTATTAAAACCAGATTCAAAGCTACTGGTCTATTTCCATTCGATCCAGAAGAAGTGCTTAAACGATTTACTATTCAATTAAATACACATACGCCGCCAGGGAGTTGATCAACTAACTGAACTATTTCCATCTCTAAAATACCGCGAAATCGAAAAGAATTGGAGAAGCAAAAGACTATCATTCAAAGCTTGCTTGGAAGACGAACCCAAAGTCCTCCGTCTTGTGATCGACGAGCCATAGATTATTTCGTTTAACCATATGAACCCTCATGGAACAGGATATCCGGAATCGACGCTCAACCAGCGAAGAACCCCAGCAGAAAAAACGACGATCTATTCATGAAATGAGCAATATAGAGCGTGTATCTATTGGATGGGGTCAAGCTCTTACAGAAAGGAATAATCAGGCTAGTGAAACTCCTACTAGTACCCAGGGGGAATCGGGAATTACAGAGGGTATCTGCACCTGTCCGGAGATTAGTTTCAATCGTCATCTCTTCAATCCATTCCTTTAATTTGTGCAGCCTCAGAATGGCTGCATTTTCTCCCTTTTATTCGAAATTGGCATCCTCGACACCATCACCAGCATCGGCCAGCGCGATCCTCGTTGCATCAGCACTAAATTTCTTGATTGCCTTGCTCAAAGTAAGGAAATTGCCTTCCAGTGCTCATCTTGCTGCCATTTAAGAATAGATGACCATTGGCTCAAATAGCTTAAGGCCAGAACCTCTTAGGGAAGAGTGCAAGGTGGATGTATAGAAAGAAGGTAAGATGATTTAGGATAAGGTCTTTACCGGATATCTGTATATCTAATGGATACCAGTATTCAAACTCGCGTCATACTTTTTAGAATGATTCCTTGCTGATCCCGATCTCTCTAAATAGGCCGTCGGAAATAGGGATATTAGTAAAAATACAATCCCATGCTTTGTCGGATATTTGCTCTGGCTTGATATTGAGAAGTCCCGGTTTCTGTGTATAGCGATCGCCGTAAAAAAAGTAAGAGACAGTATAATATAACATATAGATTGTATTATCGCTTAAGCTCTTAACAAGGAATTTAGTATCCGAGGGTAACTTAGTTCCAAGACCATAATTGTGTGCGCAAGCCCATTAGTTTAACCACCCAATATTAGCTTTAAATTAGTTTTGTACTTCCGGCGTAAATATATTAAGGCCATTTATGATATAATCAAGAACTGTCTTCTGCTACTCAAGATCGCCCTCTCTATAATTAAGGAACTATTAACCCAAGTATGCTATAATATACTTGTCCCCGCTTTAGCTAATAATCTTGCCTGCTGGATTAGTTAAAGCAAAGGCATCTCCACTTTTAATTAAGGAGTGCCGAACTTTCTCCTTTACTTCTTAGATAGACTGGCCAGTAAACTCTCTAATAAGCATTTTGCCTTTATAGAAGCCTTTAGAATAAGCTAATTTCTTCGCAATATCAAGCTGAGCTGTATCCTTTGGGGTGTTGATTTTCATATCTTAAATTAATTTCTTCGCCGTGAGGTTTCTATAAGTAGGTGTCTCAATCACAGGAATAATTTTAAATTCGGCCCATTCCTTCTCAATGCTGTAGTACTCGGGTTTCTTGATAAGCTCTTGAATCATCGTATAGTCGTCTGGATTATCGGATGGCACACATGTGACAACTCCAGTATCTTTTGTAGCCGATACGGAGTCCATGGGGAGTATTCTGATTCCTTCGGTATGAACGGAAAGAAGGGCGTTCATTAAGGTACCAACAAATGCTGACCCAGGGAGGTCAACGACTGGCTGAAGCTCGGACTGAGCTCTGGGGAAATCCTCAAAGAATGTTCCTTGAAATGCTATATTCCACGCAGCTCGCTTTGTGCAGACATAGTACTCTGTGTCGGAGACTTTAAATATCCCATAACGTATATTAGGATCCACGAAACAACAGACCTGGCCATACATCGTTTCCGGCCTCAAAGTCGCTGGAATGAAATAGACGCTCGCGTCCTGAGGTACTTTCCCTCAATAACTTTTGCTACCACTGCTGACTATGTTTTGACTTTCAATTTTAAAGCCGTATACTCAACCGGACCAAGTGTTTCTCCTTCAGACCGATCATGGTCCATGCATGGTTGACCGTCTTTTGGGCTATAGATTGTATATCGGTTCCCATACTGGATCTTGTTCATTTGACGCAAGCAGTTCATCTGCCAGCGAGCGAATGAGCCGCAGGAAGGGTTCAGATCTGTTGTGACAAACTGCATTCGCCAGTCAATCCGTGCTCTAAAATCTTTCAAGTCTCTGGCACAGAGCCCCGGGAAAAACTCTAGCTAGTAATTTCCGTCCGCAAACTTGTGGATATCTTCTAAAGGTATGCCTATGGACAGCATAATTAGAAATTGATACTTTGCCTTGACTGTTACTGCTGCAGCTTTGGATTTCTTGCCGCTGAACTTCGTTATGTCCTCTCTAGTGACATCCTGTGTCAGCGCAACTGCCACCCCACTCTCTTCTGATGATTCGGTTTCCTCCATATAGCCCTCAAAGTATTTGCCGAACCTCCTCATTTCATCCACGAGCTTGTCTGCGCAAGCTTTGATTGCCATACCGGTGCCATGGAACCCGAGAGGGAATAAGGTTCTCTTGCCGATCATGCCCTGAAAACCCACGGTGAACTCAACTTTGAGACCGTAAAGCTGTGTCCAGCATGAAGGACCCCGTTTATGTAGGGATAGGCGAATGTGGCATAGTATTTAGGATGTTGTTCGTGAAGCTCATCGTCAGATATTGAGCCATAGGCTACCTCGTCGATGAACGGCGCATTCGATTAGAATACATCGTCTTCTTGCCATTTTGCTTGGTATTTCTTGTCAATTTTGACGAGGGTGTCACGCTTCTCTGTCTGTGACGGAGAAATGTCAGCAAGCAAAGCATAGAAAAGGTGCAAGACTACTGATATTTTGAAGCTGCAGAGTTGCGGCAGAGCCAGCGCTCGGGTCGACCTTCTCGGTCGGTGCAGACCCTATGACTTAGGTACAGTGTTTCACTTGAGAATTCGGGAGATTTCTTCTTCTGTCTGTACCGTACTGCTCTCCTGGCAAGGTGTCAGCCTGATGGAATCAGTGACTTACTGCGACTCACAGAATAATGAGTCCAGGAGGAGAAGTGGGGGATAGATATAGCGGTATAGGCTGGTCTGACTTACCGCATACCGATCATCTAGTTATGACTCGCGTGGATAACCCAAGGCACTATGAAAACTTCTCAACCCAATTCCTACGGAAATGGCTACTTCTCTGGCATGTGCGAATAACCTACTTTAGAAATCGAGCATGAGTAGGTAAGACTGGCTATCCAATATCCTTTCTCTTTTGGTCATCACTAGAAACGGTCATATGGCAACTGGGACAATAAATGGGGGTATTTGTTTAGTGATTATCAATAGAATTAGGTCTGCATGCAAAAATGGAGAATTCACATGAATCTCAATACTATATGGCATTGTGGGCTATTGTATGAAGAACTTATGGATATTCCGGCGTATTTCGATTTTATTTAAACGATGTTAGGTAGTCATTCTACTTGAAACTTAAACACATGGATATAGTCTGTTGGTTTTGCGTATATTACAGCATGTCAGATCTAGGACCAACCTCTAAGGAGTTCTCCTTTTTGATCTAGTTGTCTAGTCGACTTCCGTCACAGCACAAACCGAAGAATTACCCCTTGCCTTGCAATTTATCTTCATTATTTCAGGCTGCGACCAAACTCAGTGACGAGGCATACTTTCAGACCTCCCGGGATCCTGTGCTCTGAGAACTTTTCGTAGTCCTCACTTATATTTTCAAACTCATCTAGGATCAATGAAGAGTCAGCGTATTCCGAGAAATTATGAGTTTTTGATGACTTTACCCTCATAAGTGAACATCCAAGAAGGGTCATACTTCCCTTCGGTAACCAAATCTAGTAGGAACGGATGATACTAGCAATAGTCAGCATTGCCCATGAAGCCTATATCTTCTATCTTGTACTTACCTTCTGTGCAGTCAATTGCCCTCCACGAATCGTGATCGACTTCTCCATCAAAGTACCAATCGGGAAATCATTCGTGCTGCAGAAAAAGTCCCCTATGAGGGCGATATTTCCACACTTACGAGTTGCTTTCAAGATGTCTGTTATGGTATCTCCGCTATCCCTCTCTAGGCCCAATGCTCTCATCACCTCGTGATCTGGTTTATTCGTACTGCGAAACCCACTCGCTTCGATGGAACGATCAAGCCCATTTGGCTGGATCGAGAGAATATAGTCCGCTACCTCTTGATGCTCAGCAGCATTTATAGGAATCATTCCGAACTCCTCTGCTATCTTAAGACGGTGAGGGTCTTTGTCCACAGCATATACCTTTGCGGCTCCACGGAGCTTTGCCAGCTTTTGTATTGAGAGACCGACCGGTCCGCAACCCCAGACGCCAACAATATCTCCTTTGCCAACCTCAGCTAATTCGCATCCGTGCCAAGCGGTGGTGGTCACGTCTGCAAGACCGAGTAACTTCTTAGCGTCGACATCTTTTGGCGCTTTCACACATGTTAGGTCTGCATTAGGAACTCGACAGTACTCTGCTTGATCACCGGCATAACCGCCTGTGATATGCGAGTAGCCGAAGATCCCAGAAATCCGATGTCCGTACAGAGCCTCCATTTCCTTAGATGGATTTGTCATATCGCAGAGTGAATATTCTTGACGTTGACAGTATTGACAAGTTCCACAGGCGATGATTGGCAAAATGATAACTCTGTCGCCAACCTTCAGGTTCTTGACCTGGTCCCCAATTTCCTCAACGATCCCAATAGCTTCATGCCCCAGAATATCTCCCTCTGACATGGCCTCATCCAGCTCGCCTTCGTATATGTGCAGATCTGAACCGCAAATTGTGCAGTGTGTGATATGCACAATGGCATCGGCAGGATCGGTCAGCGTAGGTTTGGGAACGTTGCCGAGCTTTATGTTTCTCTTGCCCATCCACATTGCAGCCTTCATCCTTTCGGTCGGATGAGGTTTATATGATGTACTAGGTACATTTCTACACATTGTCAGTTAATATTGCTTGGTATAGATCAGGTATAATTTCTCGGACAGACCTCGCTACGGCAGTCATTTCGCAATCGAACGAGTGAATTTATCAGATTACTGTGGAAAGCGAGTTAAAATATAGGTATATCGACGTGTTTATGAGAGCTGATCGGGATTCTGTATCTGTGTACACATATGGGAGGAAGCACATGATTGATACGCAGTAATGCACGAGACCTTCGATATTATCAAAGTATTCTGATCTCATAATGATGACACGTGAACATATTTGTCGGAATCAAAGTCGTGAAACTACTTATATCTGGCTCAGCGAATACGGCCATGCCTACCACCGGCTAAGCGCGATCGAGCTTGTGGTACTGAAACTTAAGTAAAGCTTAACTAAATGCTTAGAAGTAATACATGATGAGGCTTAGGTTTCAAGGAATAAGCTGAAATGAGGCATATAATCCACGAATTCTGGGTCTTTTAGACATCGATACGCGTTTTCCACAACGGATCTATCGGCTATTGTATCAAAAACTTCAAGATAGGAGCTATATAACAGAAGAAGTAGAGTTTGATATTAGCTAGGTGGGGCTCCCAGACGCAGCGACAGAATTTCGGTTCCACTAAATCAATCTCATTGCGACAAACCTGAGATTTGAAAGGATAGAACAGTTTTTAGGTGATGACATTTCGATGAGGGGGTCCCCTGAAAATTCGCATTTCTTACTTACTCGTCACCGCTCATCGGCTGAGGCTGGATTGATCGATTTTAACACTTCGAGGGGCTGGCCAAAGCGCTCGTCCAAGGCTGGTATGGCGTACTTAAGTATAACCCCAGATTCGACGGACTGATAGTCTATCTACCTCGCAGTGTCATTTGCACCTACCACGCACTCGACGCGCAGGCCGCGATGGAAACGCTGCAAGTGCCTTCTTTGGCTGACAAGATCGCTGGGGAGGATAACTAAGACTGTTCTAACTTCTGCGTCTGATTAACTACCTAGCGTGGAGACTCAAGCCTCTTTGGTCCGAGATAAGAGATATGGATGACGTCTTGGCATGCTCTACTGTATGGTCCAAATGCCTCGCGTTTCACGACAGCTGATAACAAACCGCGAGGCTGAAATGCGCCTCTCTCTGCGAGGGATGAGCTGGAAAAACGTCAATCCTACTGATAATCATCTTCTCAAGGCAGTCCATGAACGGCACTCGGAATACTTACATGGCAAGACAGAACTGGAAAAGGTTCTGTATTTCGAATATCTGAAGCCTTTGTCACAGCCTGCAGGACGATACGGATGTTGGCTCACGGGGAACAGTTCTAGAATGGTTACCGAATCACCCACTACCACTCCAGAAGCGAAGCAATGCCTGCAATCTCTACGAACAGTGGTGCTCGAGCCGCTGGAGTGGCTTGCTCTTACCCTCTCACGAGGCTGAACCACTGATTGCCAGGTTGCACTCGCTAGTTTCACAGAGAGATAAGGCGATATGATAACGGTATTGGTGGCAAGGTCATAGTTGACTCCCAGAGTCGCTCCCCAGGGAGGTCTTTAAATATTCGGATAATGACTCCCTGAGGCTTGCTCTTAGAATGCTAGACCACTTTTTCCTGTCGGCTCGTCGCAGTCAGTCCTGCACGGTCTCAAATCAGCGTCTGCAAGGCCTATTCATCCTGTACCCCGATTGACGATGGAGGATAAGACTACCCAGCAACAGATAGGTGAAGAGCCTATCAAGGACAATGCCGTCGAAGGAGAGGTGCTCGCCTACAATGGAGACGAATATGGCCCTGATTCGCAGTTGTCGCGGACGCTGGGTTCGCGCCATCTGCTCATGTTCTCAGTGGGTTCCTCCATTGGCATGGGTCTATGGTTAGGATCTGGCACTTCTCTCGTCGACGGCGGACCGGCTGGTATCTTCATAGGATACTGTATCGCAGGTTCCATCGCCTGGGCTCTGAATCAGTCCATCGGCGAGCTGGCGATCATGTATCCTATGGCCTCTGCATTTCCTCAATGGGCTCGCAAGTTTATCGATACCGCACCTGCTTTCACCGTTGGCTGGGCATATTGGTTCTCCGCGGCTATTACTCTCGCTAACGAACTCCAAGGTGTTGTCACGGTGCTCAGTTTCTGGACAGATAAAGTTCCTACGGCAGCTTGGCTCTCAATTTTCCTCGTTCTTATTTTCCTCATCAACATCAGCGCCGTCAAAGTCTTCGGTGAAGCGGAGGTCATCATGTCCACGATCAAGCTGTTTTGGATAGTTGTGGTTATCATAAGCTGCATTATCATCAGTGCTGGAGGAGGACCAACCCATGAGAAGATAGGTTTCCGGTACTGGAACTCTGATCCATTCACGCATGGCTTCAAAGGGTTCCTGTCGGTTATGGGAACGTGTATCTTCGCCATGTCCGGTTCCGAGATGGGCGGCATCGTCGCCGCAGAGGCCAGTAACCCCAAAAGAGCTGTTCCGAAGGCTGTCAATTCCATCTGGCTTCGTCTCAGTCTCTTCTATGTCATCGGGGCTCTCATGGTCACGATCACAGTCTCACCAAAGGATCCAAACCTCTTTGGTGGGACTGGTATCAACGCCAGTCCCTTCGTCATCGCTTTCCGTAACGGCGGAATACCCGGTCTTGCCCACGCCATGAACGCCATCATATTTATCAGTGTGTTCTCCTCTGGAAACGCGCAAGGCTACGCAGGTTCTCGCACACCCATTGGCCTGGCCAATATCGGAATGGCCCCGGCCATCTTCAAGAAATGCGACCGCCAGGGACGCCCATGGGCCGGTATTGCCATTACTTTCCTCATCGGAGGAGGCCTGTGCTATCTCAACGTTAGCAACTCCGGTGCGACCGTCTTCACCTGGTTCTCTAACCTCACTTCCCTCTGCACTTTGTACACTTGGGGTATCATCTTCCTGGCCCACATCCGATTCCGTCGCGCCTGGAAGGTACAAGGCCACAGCCCGGAGGAACTGCCCTGGAAGACATGGACCTACCCTCTTGGTGCTTACTGGGGACTTGCCTGGTGTATTATCTTGATTATCGTAGAGTTCTACATCGCTGTGTGGCCACTTGGTGAGAAGAGCTCCGCCAAAAACTTCTTCGCGAATTACATTTCAATCGTGGCGATGTTGGTCCTGTATATCGGTGCCAAGATCTACTACCGGGGACCCTTCTGGATCAAGGCTGAACATATCGATCTCAACACAGGCAGAAGGTACTACCCCACCGAGGATATGGAAAAGGAAGCTGGAAACCGCACCAAAAGGTTCGGTCTCGCAAGTATCACCGGATTCCTCACCGGAGAGTCCAAGATATAAGATAACTTATAAAGCATCACTTATGTCCGCAGCTAGGAAATAAAAAAGAAACCAGTTGCAGTTGAAATTTGTACCAAGTCCGTGTTATCGTCGTGTACTATGTATTTCCATATCTTAGTTGAGCCTTTTAGCTATGGCACTATTTTCATAAACTTTGACAGCTTTTGACGTGTATATTAAGACCTTCAAGAGCTTGAAAGCAATCATGCTGTGAAGGATAGATGAAATCGGACACGAGAACTCGCAACCAGGCGATAAGCCGACCATGTGTATCCATATATACAGAAATATGAAAATTTAAGATGTGTCTGCAGAGTGCTCATTCCCGCTATCTAGATTGCAATCTACCTAGGTACCTAGATAGTTGATAGTTGATTTATCCGCCTGTTACTAATTCGCTTGACGGTAACCGCGTATTTGGTAACTTGGTTACTTACCTACCTAGGTAGTTACCGCTAATCTTGGCAGGCAGCAGCGACGTAAGTACAGTGCGGCTAGTACAATTTATTTTTCCTTGCCCAGGTCGCTGGAGTGTGAAAATCAACCATAACATAGACATTCACTTGAGAGATAAACCATGTGTATTGTCAAACTCCCTCTGGAGATCCTCCATGAAGTCGTTAAGTTTTGCATTCCTGAAGAAATCGACCAATTGTCAGAGACCTGTAGGACTCTCTACCATGCGACACAACGGTTCCGTGCGGACCACTTGTTGAAGCGCCGCCAGTATACCGTTTTCCGATATCATAATGGGATGAATGACGATGACGAAGAAGAAGAAGAAGAAGAAGGAAAGGACGGCAACGATGACCATAGTGATGGTGGCAGCAGCGGCAACAATTCCGAGAATCACCAATTGCGCATATCCCACTGTGTCGAATTACTGCTAAAAATTGCTCAAGAACCGCTTATTGCGCGTTATATCCAAATTGCAGATCTTCGCGGGGATTTTGAACCGTATTGCAGGCCCGACGAAGAATATCACATTGCATATGACGAACTAGTTTCACGGAAGACAACTATCATGGAACTGATCGAGGCGTGTCCCTTGTTGCGAGAGGCGGAAGCCGATGCAACTACATTCTGGGAGCATATGGTCGATGAAGACACCAAGACATTTTCACCATCATATGTCACGTTACTTATTCTGTCCTTCATGACCAATGTCAGAAAATTAGCGCTTCCCATGCACATGTCAAAGACAAGCAGTGCTGAGGATGCTCTGTTCAGGAAGGTGGCTGATACCATGGTCAGGATAGCACAGACCACGAACACAAAAACTGGAAGCCGAGACATAGCTCTAGCTAAACTAAGAACTTTACTTCCCATGACTGGGGCTGACTATGAGGACAAGGTCGCTCTGCAGACTTTGGTACCTTTTATGTCTATTCCTTCAGTGGTTGAAGTTCTAGGCAGTAGCTGTGTTGCCCTCGACGATGGTTACACTGGCTACCCTTTCAATCCTGACTACGAAAGCTTTGGGAGAAGCCTCGAGCGATTGGAACTGATGAGTAGCACTGTGGGCGTCCGCGAAATAAGAACACTGCTGCAACAATGTTCGAAAGTCAAGGTGTTCAAGCTTGACTACACAGTCAAATGGCATGGGTGTGGGTGGAATTGGAATGCAGGTCATTTTATGCGTGCTATCGAGGATACCTGCAGTGATACTCTAGAAGATTTAGGTATCGATATTGGTGGGGATGTCAATGACATAGGTACGGGTATTGTCTCTATGAAACGGTTCAGAAGCCTCAAGCGGATCGAGCTCGATGTGCAAGTGTTTCTAGGCGTCCCTTGTGGGGGAGATATTGACCAAGCCTGGGATTATGACACCACCGATGAGGCTCCCATGGGTGATCCGGAGATTCCGAAAGTTACGGATTTGTTGCCTGCATCTGCGGAAAAGCTATTGCTTTTTGCACAAGATTATGATGAACATGCGGAATGCCTTGAAGCGTTGTTTGCCGGTGTAACACAGGCGGAACGCGAGAAACATCTACCAAACCTCAAAACCGTCGCAGTCAAGGTCCGAACGCATAGTCGTCTAAGCCTAAGTTCTCCTGCAGACCGGGCTTCAGACTCGGAGGAGGCCAGGACATTCGCTTCTAAAATTCGAAATAAATTCGAGGTCGCTACGAGCGCAATCAATCGCTTTGGAGGCCGCATGAGTTACGTCCGACATTCGAATATGGTCAGCTTTACTCCTGAAATATTCAGTTATCTTTAGTAGCAGGAGAACTATCTGTATTAGACCTATACGGAGGATATACATATGAGCATTGAAAACGTTTCATTTCCCGACTATGGCTTGACAAGAGCATTCGCGGCATATTTACGGCATCTAACTCTTTTCTATTCAAATTTGGATTTGATTGAAGTGCTGCATTATCACTGCTTGAAAATGAAATCTTCGGGGTTAGCCAAAATCGCCTCGCCTCTTAGATCTTTCCACAAATCATTCACCTGATCGACAGCTTCCTGGCATAATGGTCCCTTCTTAAGCTATCCAAGAGCTGCAGCGAACTCGATCCTGTCCCTGGAGGCAATGATAATTACCTCCCGTTATCAGGCTTCAAGTTCGAGTGGTACGTTACCTACCTGCAAGCAATTATTTCCACTAGCAATCGTCCCAAACCCAGAGGAAATGTTTAGCGTCGCAGGGGTGATGTAGAAACTGTTGTACATATTTCAAAATAATCCGATCTCTTTATTGAATCGCCCTTTGCCATAAGTAATAATCTCCTCGGGAGTCTTGCTATGTTTTTGGTCATCATATATTACGCTCGAAATTATGACTTCAGCTTCTCTAACAGTACAACGGGATTGCTAAATTAGACAGACCATAAAACCCTAAGACTGGTTAGGTAGTTCCAAGAAATCTTGTGGAATCACCAATAAATTATTGATCCGTTTCTCGAAATGTGAATTCATAAGTATATGTCAGCACTTGTTTGAGAACTCATTTATTTATGGCTGAGCTGCTCGTGTGATCTAACAACGCGATAAAAATACCTCGAACTTAGTCAACGTGCATAGAGTAACTTAATTATCCCATCTAAGTACTCGCCTACTATTACTCCGGGGCAGTTATTCGTTGTAGGGCGTGGTCATCTGCAGATCCCGCCTTCATCCGTTAACAAGCACAGCGTGATCCTGTATCCGTTCAGAAGGTTTCTGTCCTTGCCGAAAGCATCGGAAAGTCGATCTTACTAGGCCACAAGAAGGCCAAGATCACCAAAATGTCTGAGACTTTGAGATTCTTGGCCTCAGACTTGGCACTGTCGGTTTCCGTTTGGAGCAGTCGACCTATGATTATTATCGGCACGGGCAGCAAAAATAGATGGCGCAGCATCATGGCTGTTCCTATTCCGCCATGGATCGATCTGTTACTCCACAGCAGATTCTAGCAGTCATACAGTACCTGATCCTCAATGTAACCCTCGCCATCTGGTAGAGAAGCTACCTGATTGCAATGTCCACCTCTAATGCAGTAGTCTATGGTACAGTCTCAAAAGTTTATGTGCTCAACCGAGTAACAAGACTCCACATGCATGTCTTACCTGCAAAAGATTGACCTTATATTCTATTTTTAACCATCTTCAGCCTTCGCGACAACTTACCTTGACACAGTAAGAACCTGTGAAACTCTGTTACTGACACCCTTCCACTTGCAACAGTGGGCGATGTGGTGTAATTCTGTAACTTTGTCTCACATTCTTGTTCTCTCCTCTCCGCGACTCACCGCTAGAGAGTGTAGCGGCGATATATAGAGTAGAGTCTCTGCTACTTTCTTTACTTGCTATTATTTTCCTATTCATAAAAATATATTATAACAAAATCTCCTCGCAAGTTAGTAGATAACATTCTCCTCACGAATCTTTTTAACAGCCCTCGCCTGCAATATTCTCTGTTATCGAGTCCACGTCGCTTCTCCGTTCCGGAATATATCACCACGAGTGCACTAAACATACTATCTGTCAAAGACTTCAATAATAACTCTGGAATCAAGATGAAGACCTTTATCGTCTCCGCTCTTGCGGCCCTCGCCCCAATTGCTGCTTTTGCCGCGCCAGCTAATACAAGCGTAACCGTCTCCTACGACACGAAATACGACAATGCTGGTCTGGATCTTGACACAACTTCTTGCTCAGACGGCCAATACGGACTCGTAACAAAGGGCTACAAGACTGCTGGCGCGCTACCCTCTTTCCCAAATATCGGCGGTGCCTTTACTGTTCCCGGATGGAACAGTCCAAACTGCGGCAAATGCTACCAGCTCAGCTGGGAGGGCAAGAGCATCTATGTTACAGCAGTGGATCACACAGCGGAGGGATTCAACATCGGACAGAAGGCCTTGGATACCCTGACCGGTGGACTTGCGGTGCAGGTCGGAAGAGTGACTGCCACTTATTCTGAGGCGGATCCTTCGAGCTGCGGCCTGTAAAACGATCGGAAGTACGACGAAGAGACTCGATGGGAAGTGGTATAACGGAGGCGTAAATAGTTTTAGAAGATGGAAGCTCAGGGTGCATCATTTCTGGCTTCTTTTCTTTTTTATTCTTGTTTTCTTCCTTTCTTTTCCTTCCCGAGATTCTATGGCAAGGAGATTTCGCATACCCTTTCTTGTCATATCCATTCCTTGTATAATGCGGTGAGAAACCAATTGTTGCATGATGCATGATCTAGGATCTTAATTTGATGTTTTTTTTTTTTTTTACCGATTCTTAACCCTGGATAAAGAATGTAATCCCTCGTAGATCAAGACAGGAAGTTTTCGAATAACGTTAAAACCAAAAATGCTAGTTTTCGACGAAACGTCCACAGGTAAGCTGTCCATTCGAGCATAAGACGTTTTTAGTGGCTCTTCTCATAGATCTTGTAACGGTTTTTATAAAGTTAGAGATTCATATCAGTGAAGCGGATCATGTGTCTTAATATGGCTTTCAATAGTTATCAAATCGCGATTCCCAACATAAACCTCACGCATTTCAATTCATACTCACAGACCTCTAATTATCCTCATTGTTGAATTATCGTATCAAGCTTAAGTATCTTTGACACTCTTATGTTGTCGATTAGCAGTACTTCCTCGGGAACTAAACCTCGACATAAGCTTCGTCGCAAGTCACGAGTGGAGATATAGTACGAGATAGACCCCGTTACATAGTAACCAACGGTCCGGGGTCGAAACAGATCGGGAAATAAAATACGAACCCTCAAATCTATCCTTGTGGCCTTAGGAATACGGCTTTCGGCCCGGACAATTGATGATTCAGCCAAGCATGATTATTAACTATATTTCAAGGTCCTGGCTGAGTTATATCCCTTACCTATTATAGACGTTATTCCTTTCAAAATGGTGAACAAAATGTGCGGCTATTTCATTTGGCGGGCGTCCCAGCAGATGATACTGTACCTAAGAAGCTATGGACAGAGTCTCGAAGGGTCGATCAAACAAGGATTATCATTTAATCTACGTCAATTCTTTTTTCTGCAACCGGTTGCACATATGCCGATCTAAGTATGCAACGCGTACGCTTCTCGAGCCCAGACGCATAGGAGAAATTGAAAGGTCCTTTTTGCCGACCCTCGTCGCCATTTTATAAAAATTACGTACTGGCTCCCTCCGTTTAACGTAGTGAGAGCACCCTGGTAAAAAATCCTAGTACAGTGAGTGTAGGTTCTGGACTAGCCATGGAGCATTATACGATTGGCCGAAAAACATTTGCCATAAATTTTCCAAATCGTAGGCAGCCAATGAAGCCATTATGGACGACCTTATAACGAACTTTCAACTAGTTGGACCGAACAGACATGGACAGGCTAACAACGTCTGAAGCGTGCAGGGCGCATGTACATACACATATATTACAAAGTGACCCAAACTTCGAGTCATCAAATCTGAATAATACAAGACTCGTCGTTTCATTCGAAAATGTCTCCAATATCGTAATCCATGCCGGCTTACTTCGCCCTCTTAATCACCTTTCTGATCTTCGTAGCGCTGCCCGTAGGAAGGATATCTCCGCGATCTTCGTCGCTACTGCCAGTGTCGTCTCCGCTATCACTATCACTTTCGCTTTCAGAACTGCCGGATGGGGAGAAGATGTCCTTCCTCGCGGGACGGTTATTCTGGTTTGAGAAAACGCGCTGTTTGGAGTTCTTTGCTCTTTCGGCTTGTAAGGACTTTTGCTCAGCTAGCATACCTTTCAGGCTCGCACGGATGCGTTTGCCGGCTGAATCGGGTTGGGATGAAGTAAAGGATCCGAGTGAAGATTGCGCGGACGGAGGTAGCGCAGGACTATGTCCATTTGGGAGGATCCCTGTACCATTCAATCGTGCTGGGGCGGTTGATGGAGGCGGAGCACTGTTTTTGCCCGGTGGAATGGTGTCATCATCCGACTCGTCTTCAGATTCGGATTCGGACTCTGAGCTCGACGTCGATTCTGATGCCGAGGACTCTTTTTCACTGGCCGCCTTGGGAGGCGAGGCCTTACTGGGCTCCTCGGCCTTCTCAATGGGTTCGGCAGTCGGGTTCTCATGAACTTCGCCAGCACGTCTCTCTATGGCATGGCTCGGTGACTTCAATGGTGAACCTGTCCAAGCAGGAACAGAACCAGAGCGCGACCGGGCCGGTGATCTGACCCTCTCAAGCATTTCCGCCTTGGCCATTTCAGGACCTTCATCCTCGTCATCTTCATCCCCATGCTGCTCTTTGGCGGCAGAAGTGTTATCTTCCGAGGCCACTGCTGGCTCCGCCACAGCAGACTCAGAATCCGCTTCATGATACGAGTCCTTCTCTTCGGACGCCGACTTGTTTTCAGGTTCATCTTCGTCATCTTCCGACTCAGAGGTATCTTCCGGCGATATATCTGCCTTCGTAATTTGTCGTTTGGCGACAGTGCTAGTTTGTTTGGGGGCCTTGCTGGTAAGCTTGGTCTCCTCTGTAGAACGTATCTTAGGAACTGTGGGCAAGTTGATATCATCTGAATCAAGCGAGGAGTGTGGAAGCCCGTTGGCATTTGTTGCCTGAGTCACCTTCGGCTGCTCAGGAAGTGCTGCTGCACTTGTCTCTTTGGCCACAGGTGATTTGGACTTTGTGGCAGATTTAGACTTCGATGAAGCTCGAGAACTTAGACGATCTCCAGGATCAGCTTTTGGTTCTGATCTCTTGGCAGAGAGGGTCATGGGTTCTTCTTTCTCTAGAAGGAGCTTCTCTTTGTTTCGAAGTTTGGCTCGGAGACGATTGAGACGACTGCGCTCGTCTCTCTTGTTGCTCTTTTCTAGCTCCACGACTTCTTTCCAGGTGAAGAAGACATCCCGGAGTAAGCGCACATGTTCATGATTGCCACTCTCCTCGGCAGCCTTTATCTTCCTCTCGTATTCTGCCGACTTCTCCGCTCGAATGGCCTCTTCCTTCTTGGTTTTCTCAGCTGCCTCATTTATATATTGCTCCAGGCGTTCCCGGGGTACGTTGGCAGGGAAGACCATGGTCTGGCTGGAAGAAAGCGGCGTAGACCTCGGAGTTGATTGGTCTGCTTTAGAGCCTGTTCGCGGAGTCGATCTTGGTACAGATCGTGGTGCAGGTGCAGCCGGTGTGGTGACTATGTCCGCTTCCTCTGCAAAGGACACAGAGCGCCGTTCTTGGCTTCTTTCCAGGGGCGAATCTTTTCGCATGGCTGACCTCTTTATATGTTCTACGCCAGGACTCTGAGCCTTCGAGGGCGTGACATCAGCCTGCTGACCGAACGAAAGACGGCGAGCCACACTACTGGGAAACAATGGGGTTGTAGATACAGGATCCCGGTTGGGAAGTCTGTCATTAGTTTCAGCAACTGGCTGCTTCCGTGGTGGGCTCTTAGTGATTCCCAGACCTAGGCCAGGTTTCACTGAGTGATCAGTGAGGCTTGGCCGCCTCTGTGGACCCGAGAACGAAGGTGCCTTCTCACGTCTCCGTACAGGCGAAGACGCATCTGTGAGCTCGATGCAGTCTTGTGTCATCCTAGGTTCTTTGCTCTTTGACCTGGTTTCGGACGGGCTGCTCGTTAGCTGTAGACGAGGCCCCTTTTGGGGAGGTAGCTGTTCGCTACTCTTCTTCCTCTTCCGCGTTGCCGCTCCCTGGGGCTTCTTCTCTACTATGGTCTGGAGAACAGGGTTGTCTATCACAACGACGGGAGACGCAACACGTTGCTTCTCCCGCGGTGATTCAGGCTCCACGTCTGTCATGTCAACATCATCCTGGGCTGTTGCATATGTAGTAGCGGCTTTTAAGTTGGTTTCTGGCTTCTGTTGCTCAAACGCAGACGCTGTCTCAATCTCGTGCGCAGACTCAGGTCGCAAGCCTGGTAGCTGGAATCGTGTTTCGACCTCTGGAATCTCTGGGCGGGCGAAAGGGTCAGGGGCAAGCTCGGGAGCCAGCTGACGAACGGGTGTCGGTGATTCTCCCAATTCTTTGCTCTCCATCCTTCTGGCTTGCGGAGTAGCCGCGACCTCGTCAGCTTGCTCTTGTTCTTGAGACGGAGGAGCCAGGGCAGGCGACTCGCGTCCCCAACGCGGAGGCGTCAGCAGAGGCTCGTCTCTCTCCACAGAGCGTACCGGAACATCGCTCTGCCTGCGACTGCCATTCGAACTGTATGGACCCTGAGAGAAACGGGACGATACCGGGGTGGTCTCCTCCTCGATGGTCTCGAATTTAGGAACCTTTGGTTTGTTCTTCGCTTCCTCCTCCTTCATGCGTTCATAGTGCTGTGCAGCCGCGTCCCAGTCCTGGACGACAGAGCTGAATCGAGTAGGGGCATATGGCGCGGGTTTCTGAATAACGCGCACGGTGCCGCGCTGGTCAAGGCCGTCAGAGCGCGCCTTGCCATTGTCGACGAAAACGTCCGCCACGGTCATATCAGGATCGAGATCCTCCGAATCATGTGCATCATCCACGAGTTTCTTGATCTCCAGGGGCCTGAGATAATCCGCCGGTTAGTGTATATCTTCCCTTGAGACTCACTCCGCAATATGTCGAATGCCTTGGAGACTTGTTCGAGTATGGCAGTCGTATCCTCACTAGCACAGGAGGGACTTACTCCGCATCTGGCCTCAATTTCTTCCACTTGGCCTGGATCATGCCCGCCAAACCACCCAGTGTAACCTCGTCAGGATGCTCCAGGACGAGCAAAAAGCTCGCTGGCTTCCCGTTGCCACCTCCATTGCCATTCCTGTCCGAATCGTCTTTTCGCTCGGGAAGAAGACTGCGGAATAACGATAGGGCTGGTTGTATCTGCTCGCGAGGAAGGATCTTCACGGTGAGGCGAAGGAACACCATGATGGATAATCAGAGTTGTCATGCGGGGGTATCAATAGCTTCGAACGAGGGAGAACTAAGGTATCAGTGTGGGACAGTAAGAAGAAAAGACATTGGCATAATCAGTAATGAGGAATGTAGATGCTGGCGTAGTATGTCTGGGCGACAGCTTCGTAGCTATCGGTTTGCAGTTTGTTGGAGAAACAGAGAAAGGAAGAGGTTGAGAAGGAAGTGAGCTGGAAGAGAACGGGATTGATTGTGTTGCTCCCAGCACTGGATGGCAGGATATGAGCACTGTGCCCCAGCTCTGTCACGCTGCAGAAGATGCAGGCTGGCTGAGCTGCCTGTGAATACGCAGAGACAAGCAAGAAAGAAAGTGGTAATATTGAAACACCGCTCGATGCTGCTCCCGCTCTCGGCCTCCACACCCACGCGGAACCGACGCGTCGGGCGCGGAAGAGTCTCGCTCAGGAGAAAAAGGATTGTCCGTCGCGACTCGGACAAAGCGCCACACTCGCACAGACCGAGCTTACAGAGATCAAGTGTGAGACAGATAACTAACAATAACAATAATGATAATTAATAATACTAATAATTATAATAGAGAAGGCTTATAACTGCAAATTAAGATCTCTGGTGTGTTTTATAACAGAAAGGGCTTAGTGGTGGTATATCCGCGCTGTGCCTGACAGCACATTGTAACTGTCGCAAAACTACATGGCAGATGCTATAATCATCACATTTCCGTAACACATAGTACTGAAATCACTAATCGGGCACACTATCCACACGCGATTCAGTCCGGAGGAGCGAAGTATCGAGTGAATCGCTCCTTCTTCGTAAGCCCCAGCTCGGCCACCACCCAGTGGCAGCTCATGAGAAGACTTGGAAACCGGACCGTCCAGAATTGGAGATAGCCCACCGGAAGGCCGCCGATGTGGGCCTTGAGGTGCTCTGACATATCATTGTAATGGTGCTTCTTATTGCGGAGAGCCCGCAGCAAGTCCAGCATCTTAGAGCCGGTGTACTTGCGTTGTTTTCCAAGACTGTCTTTGAACTCCTTAGGAAGAGCTTTCAGGAAGTCCATCTCGGGACCCATAACATTCAGCGCAACGGACTCAAGACACTGCAGAGCGGGGGACGGCGGGTCTCGAGGCTCAAATTCGAAGTGATCCGAGACATCGCAGAGAAAGTTGAGGCGTTCTGCAGCGGACCAGAAGAATGGATGCATCATAACGGCAGTTGCATCGGGTCTGGCGGATATGAATCAGTTTATCGATCATGATAGGTGGGGTGAGTAAAGTACTTACCGACGACGAGGGTCAAGTGAAAGCATCGACCCGATGAGATCGTCCGCTTCAAACGCATACTCCCCCAGGCGCTGAAGATCGTCCAGGTTGTGATTACCCTTGACAATATTGGCTTCACGCATGAACTTGCCATCCTTATCGAAGGGGTGCCCCCCACGCGTCAGGACATAGTAAAAGACACAACCAAGAGAGAAAATATCAATGGCCCGCGTGGCTCGTCGATTCGTCTGAGGATCGACAACTGCGGGCTCCGAGGACTCTGTATTTTGGGACTCTGCCGCCGCAAAGTTAGGGGCGTTACTGTTTTGATCATCGTCCACCAGCAGCTCGGGCGCCCGCCAACCAGAAGTGCCAGCTGCGTGCGCCGTTGTTGCCCTGAACGAGCTCTGGTTGTCTTCCAATTTCTTGCAGAGCCCAAAATCCGAGATGAGGAGTCGCAAAGAGTGAGACCCCATCCGACCACGAGGAGCAGCTACAAGGATGTTCTGCGGTTTGAGATCCCGATGGACTATTTTCAATGAGTGAAGGTATCGCACGCCAGCCGTGATCTGACGCAGGATGTCCGGGACATCCAGGCCGCCGTTAACCAGCTGCGGATAATCAGAAGGCCTTTCAACGAGCTCCTGCAGGGACGCAGGGCATAGTTCTAATGCGATGTATAGGAATCCCGCTGCTTGCTCACGGCAGAAGTATCGGATCACGTTGCCATGATCGTCACTCTCCTGCAGAAGACCCACTTCATGGGAAGCGATGTCGTAGAACTCGACCAGCATCCGCTTGACAGCCACATCTCTACCGTCGAAAGAACCTTTGTAGACAACAGTACCGTGGCTACCATGCCCCAGTACCTTGTCAGTGTAAACTTTCAGCTGGCCAATGCGAATTGCACCGTCCATCTCGACTATTTCGTTGGATACAGTCCTTGACAACTGAATGTCGGGTTCCAGTCTTGGCTGCGGTTGGAGATTCTTGACAGTCTCCACAACCTGGTCCGCTTGGCTCTTTGTGGCTTCTGTTCCTGGCTTCGCTTTGCGTTTATGAGCCTGGCCGCCGCGGCGGCCTCGTCGAGCTTTCCTCTTCTTTTCGGGCTCTTGTAGCTGTATGTCGTCCACATCGTCATCTCCATCCGGGCCACGAGACGGCTCACGAATCCGAACCTTGGGTGTCGCGTCAGGCGCTGGGACACTGGTATCCCTTTTGCGCCTAGGAGTGGCATTGCCGTCATTCTGTTCATGGGCAAAGTCGACGTCGATCGTCATATTCTGCGCGGATGCCCCGGGGCTGGCATCTCTGCTGAACGAGGTACCGACAACGGGTGTAGGGGGGGTCGATAGAGGTTGTCCATAGGATGAAATAATGTTCTTGAGGTCAAGTTTCTGTTTTGCCAGCTCCTGCAGATTGTGAGAGTTGAAATAGACGAACGCGCCGATGAAAAGGAAAAGCAAGGTCACGAAGATGTCAATGGCATTATCCCAGCCCTTCCGAATGATCACACTCCTTCTCAAACCGGGGGAGTACATGGGATCTGACGGGGATCGCATCAATTCGCGGGGAGTGTCATTCGACAATTCCGAGGCAGAGGGGCCAGAGATACTGGGGATGGTGCGGCGAACACCACGAGGTTCATTCAGCAAATGAACACCGGCAAGCGCAGCCTTCTGCTGAGCCAGATTAAGACTCGAAAGTGGCTGCCCGTCACGGAAATAGTCCTTCTCGTAGCATTGGGCCATCTTGGCGCGTCCTGTAACTAGTGGGTACGTAGTTTCGGACATGGCGTACCAACCGCCGCCTTCCGTGCAATCGATGAATACACGCGAATCCCTCTCTTCCAAACCGGTCGAGCCGTAATCGGGATCTGGGGGTTGCAGTGGCTGTGATAGCAAGACGAGTGGAGTTCGTGCGTCTGGGTTCTCCACACTGACAGGGCGCGCGATATCGAAGACACGGACAACGGGAGAAGAGAACCGCTGGGTGTACCGGGGACGCTCCATGCGCGAGTGATCAAAGCCTAGCACGACACCATCGTGCATACTATAGATGTGACTTTGATCCATAGTTTGATAATACTGACTTTGCAGGTCGATGTCCCTGTTGTTTGCGACCCACTCGGAGTATCTCAGCGTGCAAATGGGTGTACCAGTTTCCGTGTTCTGGATTGCAACCGCATATTCGATCCGACCCAGCGTCAGGGTACCGGTCGATTCACAATCCTCCTCGTCCGTCTCTAAACCATCCACTTTCCGACAACTCTCCTCCGGTGTAATCGGCCCGCGGGAACTGAAAACACGCAATATCGTGCCAGTACGGGCATCCACTGTATACAGGGTAGTCTCCTTTCTGGCCGTATACGTAACGGCCGGATCTGTTCCCGAGTAAGGAGTCTCGTCAACCAATTCTCTGACCGTCAATCCCAACTTCTGGAGCCCCGCATTGGGGCCGGGACTATAGATGTACAGGCTGCCATCCCGGCTGGGCTCGACAATCCAGAGGAAGTCGTCTTCTGGTTGTGAATCATCGAACTGGGTGCGGTTGGCACGGTGGTAGATACTCTCGACCATGGGACTGCTGGGCACCTCGAGAGCCCATCGGGGCGCCCCTGTCTTGCGGTCTCGCGCGTGGATGGTGCCGTCAACGGTCGCCAGAAGGACAAAGTCCTCTACCTCCCAATCCTGCAAGGACCGCGCGTGAAGCTGCGGAGCCAAACCAGCGGATGGGCTGGTCTGGGCAGGAGGGGCTCGAACGGCGCGGCCGGAGCCCGCCAGAGCCAGGGTTGCCAGGGCGCTCGCATCGTCGGATGCCACTTTTACATCGAGAATGGGATGAGTGTGTCGAAATTGAGCATGAGGAGAATCAACGGCGTGGCCGGTCGGCCCTACAGGGACCGAAATGCTCGAGGGTCCCTCATTAATAGCTGACAGCTGCTGCGGAGCTGCGAAGAGAGGGAGGAGCAGGAGGGCGACGCTGGCAGGGAGGGTCGGGAGGGCGCCAGGCCGCCACTTCATCGTGGGAAGACTTCAAAATCAGTCGCCTCGAGTGTGGAAAAATAGATGGCTATGATGGTGATCGTGTCGAGGTCGGCCGTCGCAGCGTGTCATATATGGTAATCGTTTGGGGTTCAACTAGAGTAATCGATGGAGTCTAGTGAACGGACGCCATCCTGGGTCGAGTAAAAGTGAGATTGAATTAACCAGGCCTATAACAGAAAACGACAAAAATTGCCCGTCAGAAAAATAAGTCGTGTGAGAAGAGCAGGATAGTCGTGGGAGAGATTGTGGGATGAGATGGGGAAAGGGAGTAAGACGGAGAGAATGTGAGCGAAGGAGGTCGAGAGGGCGTTTGTCGCCTGAGGCTGCGCTGACTTGTCTCCAGCCGCTCTGGACTGACACGCTTAACCTTACCAAGAATAGAACGGTTCTTTAAGCACGAGTCTATCCCCACATCAAAAGATAGAAAAGGACGATGAGTAAGTTGCGTTCTTTTGCTTTCTTTGAGAAAGTCCATATTGAATACCTCTGTCCCTTTTTCTTTCGCCTTTGCTTTCTCTTTCCATCAATTATTGTCCCGTCTGCTTTGTTCCTTTGTTGCTTCCTGACCGACCAGGCCGGGGATACCGGGTGACAATACGTGACGCTTCCTGCTTACGACTCCACGTTTCATCCGGATGGGTCGTCGGCGGGGCCGTCGCCTGGTGTCCGGTATCGCTGTATTTCCTGGTAAATACCCAAGTAATCTGATGCTGCATCTTCCGTGAGCTTACGCAATGCGCGCACAGAATTCATACTAGCATGATACCGAATATCGTTTAAAAAGGACGCGCCTCCCCCGAGATGCCGCTGTGGTACTATTGCCAGTGTTATAGACATCGGAAAGGGACAAGGGTATATGGAGCGTATAGAGGTACAAGCCAGTGCAAAACCCTCAACGTCAGACAGATAACCGGGAGAACAATCGAAGCGCCCTATGAGAAACAATAACCATATACAGATACCTGTCAAGAGCACCCAAAAGAAAAAGAAGAATCCAAATGGAAATGGAAATGAAAAAGGAAAAGGGAAAGTGACCTCCACCGCAACTCAACCGCCACGGATCATCCAGGTCATCATCCCGACCCATCCGGTCAAGAATATTGCTGTTACAATGCCCGCGCCGGCTCTATCACCCGTTGTGATCTTTATTCCTAATCCATCACCCTTCGGGGTCTGGTTGTCGTCCAAACCGGCATTGGGGTCACCCTTACTCTTGCCGCCAGTGTCAGCGGTGAGTGGAGCCTGGTTCTTCTGCGAAAGGAGTTGGACCGAAAATATACTCGTCGCGCTCATCTGCGTCTCCAATGACTGAGTACCATCAAAAGTACTCTGCCACCAACGACGACCGCAGTGCTTGCCATCAGAACCGCCCGAACACTGTTTTGCGGCGGCTAGGGCCGATGCTTGCAGCTTCGGCATAATCACGTCCGTCTTGTAAGGTGCAACAGTGGTCAAGAAGGCAAGCCAGCTCGAAAGGAAGCCTTTGAAGCAGTCTTGGTTGCGGTCACACATCATGTTTGGCTCACAAGCGACCTCCGACATGATATTGCCGCCATACTGCTGCGGGAAGAAGGTCTTGAAGGTGGTGTTGAGCAGACCGTCAATGCCCTCTTGCCATTTCTGTGCGCCTTTGGTCTATTTTCCCAACTAGTCAGTGGGCCGAGGAAATTCTTCAATGCAGGTTTGGTAGGTCGCTTACAAAATTATACATGTATCCTGCGCCACTGATGTACGTGCCATAGTTATAGGTCCACTGCAGGTCACCCTGATCCTTACACTGCGTGTCCACGTTCGTTGTATCGGCGACATTCCACGTCTTGTTGTTCATCAGCGGTGTCGTCAGCGTCCAGTCCCAGATCTTTTCCGCCCAGTCGGCGTAGGTCTGGTTGTTGGTGTATCGCGCCAGGCGTGCTGATAACTGGAATAGACCTCCGTTCGAGATTGAGTTCTTTGTGGTCCATCCGGCCTGGTAAGAGTTCTGCTGCCAGCGCAGACCACCGCCACAACTGCCCGTGTCCCACCGCGGCACCTGCGTGTTGAAGACACCCTGCGCGAGAGCTAACCACGAGACCTGGTTCGGTTGCTCGGGGAAATTCAATTCGGCCGCCGTCATTGCGGCCAACCCCCAGAAGACTTGGTCATCGTTGCCCTGTCATGATGCCAGTCAGAATTGAAAATGCGGAGAGGAAGCGCCCTTTATCTCCTTACCAGCCACTGGGTCCAGTTCGAGGGCAAGTAGTCGTTACCGTCGCCCTTCTGCCAGAGCATACCCTGGGTGGTTACGTTGTTGTAGGAATCATCACCGGTAAAGTACCAGTATTCGATCAACGTCATGAACATAGCACCTCCTTCCCACCAGGTGCCGGGCAGCTTTCCGGGAATCTGCCCGGTCTTGTTGCCATCATAGTAACTCATCATATCATAGGCAGCGGTTGCTGCCGCATTTTTGATCTGTTCTATAATTAACGTCGCAAGGACCTCAGTCAGTCAAGGGATTCTCAACAATATCCGCCACCCTGTATGCGATTCTGGACACCCACCTGGATCATTGATATTGGTCAGGCCGATATCTGCGACCGCTACCTGACCCGCAAGTAGAGCGGTCCAGAGAGCGCCCGTGAGACCGCAAAGCCGGCCGAAGAAGTGCATGGTATAGGGCGACAGACGAGAATAAAAACGAGCGACACACCCTCTTAAGGACTCATCGAAACGAGGGTTGGGCGGAGGAAAGATCAGACTAGGCAGTAAGCGAGCGTGATAAGAACGCGGTCCAAAAACTCGCTGAGATGGTTGATAATGACGGGAGGGGGGGAAACGAGAGATGAGCAGTTGGAGAGAGCGCGACTGTAGAGTTACAACCGTAGAGTAGAGCAGAAGGCGGCTCGTGTCTCACAGCAGGGAGAGGGACGATTGGGACTGTTTCCGTCATTCCCCAGCCAAGGACGCAGGATGTACTCTTGTTGGCTGGAGGCGAACAACAGATCTTCTGGCACAGGCACGCATCCCAAGAATGGAGGGTGGATCAGGGGCGCATTTTCCCTTGTCTTCCCTTTTTGAGTACTCCGTGCCATTCGCTTTTCTTCCGCGTCGCCCATCTTCGTCTTCGTCGTTTGTCCGATCGACTGGCAACGGGGCCGACGATCGTATGCTTCCATCCAACATCACTGGTGGCTGCGGGGGAAGACCCAGCGATTGTCCTTGGCGCTTCCACGCAAGCTCCAAAATAATAATACATAATAATAAGCTGGACCCCTTCCGTCATATGACACTACTCTAGATGGACGACACGGTTTGTCGCGATCGGGAGAAATTGCATAGTATGTAGCGCATATATTTAGTCGAGCAAGTCTCTTATCATGATCCAATGCGATACAATAATAATCATAGAAACTCTTCAGCGCCAAGAACCCAGCAAATTGGTGCGATCCGTGCACGTCTCCACCACGGAAGAGCCTTCAGGGGAGCGGGCCTCTTGGCAACATGGCGATCTGACATGGATATATATAGATTGACATGTACAGAGTGGAAGGTTTACCAGAGCGGTAGCCTGCAAGCACGATTATATATAACACAATAAGGCGACGAAACAAAATACTTCCTCCGTACATAGAGAAACGGAGAAGAAACAAAACAAGTCGGCGCAAGAGTTACATCTACATGTTCTTCTTTCTTTCTCTAATCCTCAGTCCAGACATAAAATAAGATATCATACCGAGTTAAGATGCAGGAATAAGATAGGTCGCTCTTTCTTTAGTTGCAGGATTTTTCTTTTTTCCTCTAAACTTCATATGAAGACTCTTCGTGATAGATATTAGATCGTTTTTTCCTCCACTTTTCATCCAGTGGTTTCATCTTTCCCAATGCGAGTTCCCTACTGGACAACTGCGTGATTCATCAGAGAAGATTGTATGTCGTCTACATACGTTCACGTCGGCGTGGGGCGCTGCGGATAATGTTGTCGACCCGGAGAAGGAGCTGCGTCACTGTTAGCATATGTGCCATAGCTGGTCACAGCAAGTAAGGAGGATCGAAAGTCAAGGGGACGGTCTTACCTCGGCAGCCTCAGAGGCCGACGACACAACGGCCCGTTTGAGCTTGTAGCTTTCCACGACACCGAGTTCCCGCATATCGGCGATTCCACCACCGGGGGTCAGCAGGTCAAGTCCAGAGCTCGTCATGCCGTTGTTGATAGCTTGACGTAGTCGTGTCACGAGGTCGCTCGAGTCCAAACCGGCGTTGTCGGCCAGAATGGTCGGTAGCTGCTTCAGAGCCTGCGCGAAGGCATCGACAGCCAGCTGTTTCTTGCCTGTCGTGTTCTGTGCAGCGTGCTCGACAGCCTTGGACATCACCATCTCCGCACAACCACCGCCAAGAGTCACCTTGGGCTCCTTCACCGTCTGTGAGAGCACTGCCAGAGCATCATGAAGAGATCGCTCCGCCTCATCCAGGAGCTGCTCGGTGGCACCACGAAGCACAATCGTGCAGGCTTGGCCGGCAGCAACGCCGGAGAACTTGATCAAGGTATCCTCACCAATGATGACCTCCTCAATTAGGTCACAGTGACCCAGCTTGACCTGGTCCGGGTGGTCGAATGTAGAAGCAATCTCACCACCAGTAACCAACGCCAACCGTTCGATACCGTCGAAATCGGCGTGCTCAATAGAGACGATGCCTGCCTCCGTGAATAGCTGCTCGGGCCAGTTGTAGATGAGCTGTCGGTTGACGAAGCAGTTGATTCCGTGTGCCTTGATCTTCTCGACCTTGGCACGCATCTTCTCGCGCTCTGCCTTCTCCAGCTCTGCCAGCTTACCCGTCGATTCCACCTTGACCCGGGCACCGAAGATCTTGACCTTGTCCGTATCCATTGCGGTGTTGGCAACGAGGATCTTGGCGTTCTCCAAGCGCTTCGGCTGGTTGACACCGATCTTCTTGTCCAAAATGAAGCCCTCGTCGAGGTAGGAGTCGCTTAGCTTGCCACCAGCTTTCTTGATGATCTGAATATGGCTCAGATCGGTCGAGCCCTTCAGGCGGAGAACTGCTTCACACGCAAGAGTAGCGAACTGATCCCGGTCCTGGGCTAGAACCTTGGAGCTGAGAGTGGTACGGGCAATGGCCCGGAGGTCATTCCGGAATGCCTCTGGATCCTGACTGCGGTCCACAGCAGATTTCTCGAGAGCAGCTAGAGCAGCCTTGCTAGCTATCCGATATCCTTCGATAATCGTTTGGGGATGGATCTTCTTCTCGACAAGCTTCTCAGCCTCTCGCAACAATTCCGCGGCCAGCACCGTAACGGATGTTGTTCCATCACCAACTTCGTCATCTTGCACCTTTGAGATATTCACCAGAACCTTTGCAGCAGCATTATCAAGAGCAATAGCTTTCAGAATGGTCGCTCCGTCGTTCGTGACCAAGATCTCTCCAGTCGACCTATGATAAGGATATGTCATCAGTAGCGGTCCTCAACCCGACCCCGCAGACTCAAATTTCATGGACATACGCAGACTGCAGGATTTTATCCATTCCTTTAGGTCCAAGAGTACTCTTCACGAGGTCGCCCACAGCGATAGCGCCCACGAAGGCGGACAATCTCGCATTCTCACCCTTCTCCTCGGTGACATCGTCGGCAAAGATCTGTGTGGGGTTGTTGAAAGAGGCAGCCTGTAGAAGAAAAAAACAGGTCAGTGTCTATTGTTAGATGTCCTCACTGTTGAGAGTGACAAACCATGGTGATTAAATCCGGGGTATAAACTGGCGGCCGTCGTGTCTGCGAGAGAGATATGGAGGTTCAAGCAGCACCGCACGTCCTGATGATGGTGGACTGCGGGACGGCGACCACCAAAAAAGTTCGCGATGTGGCCCGAGCTTCCTGCTCCGGACAGCGCTTGTATCACAACGTGTCTTGAGGTCCCTTCCGCTTAAGGCCGCTTTATTTCTGCTTGACGCACAACTATAAATATGGCAGAGACCGAGGAAGTGAAGAGTCCAGCTTCGAACAAACGTCCGCTATCGGATGTTGAAGGCGAAGCACATGCCAACGGTAAGTTCTTGGAAGTCCCCATCATGCGACAGCTGATCCCAAGCTTGATACTGACCATATCGAATAGGCGATGAATCCTCCTCAGACGATGATTTCGGCCCTGCTCTTCCCTCTGCAGCAGCGCCAAAAAAGAAGCGACGCAAGCTTGCGTTCGAAAAGGTCTACGTGAATTCCCTTCCAGCGTCCTCCCGCTACTCGAAGTCGCTCATGCACAAGGACCAACTGTCCTTCATCACAATTACGCCTCATACAGACTTTTTGATTACAAGCTCTGTGGATGGATTTGTCAAGTTCTGGAAGAAGCTGGCTGTGGGTGTCGAGTTCGTAAAGGAGTTTCGCGCGCATACCACGGAGATTACGAGCGTGAGTGTCAGCGCCGATGGGAGGAGCTTCGCGACAGCCGGGGCAGATAAGACTGTGAAGATATTCGACGTGATCACATTCGGTACGTCTGCTTGGTTAGTTTTGGAATTGCGAGTTCATGCTGATGGGGCTTAGATCTCCTCTCAATGTTGCAGCTCGACTTTACACCGCGTTGTTTATGCTGGGTGCACCGACGGGGGGCGTCTCTACCTATGCTCGCTGTCACAGATGAATCAAGTAATAAGATTCTGCTCTACGATGGACGAGGCGAGAATACTCAGCCTCTACATACTCTCACCAACATCCACAGGAAGCCTGTGGTGGCGATTGCCTTCAACGACGCCTACGGCTGCGTTATATCGGCGGATGAGTCGGGGATGATTGAGTACTGGCGATCCGGGGACGGGTCATTTGAGAAACCAGACAACGTGTTTGAACTGAAGTCCTCGACGGACTTGTTTGAATTCAAGAAATCCAAATCCGTGCCTGCGTCTATCACGATATCGCCTTCGGGCCAGCAATTCTCGACCTTCTCCTTCCCTGATCGCCAGGTCCGCGTATTTGACTTTCCCACTGGAAAGCTCTACAGGAAATACGATGAGTCGCTTCCTACCATTATCGAGATGCAGCAGGCTGGCACAGCATTGCAGAAGCTAGATGAAATCGAATTTGGTCGACGACTGGCCGTCGAACGGGAACTCGAGAACCCTGTTACGCAACCCAAGGTGAATGTGATTTTCGATGAATCAGGGCATTTCATTCTCTATGGCTCTGTGTTGGGTATCAAATGCATTAACACCTTTACGAACCGGGTTGTCCGGGTGTATGGCAAAGACGAGCCGTTCCGTGCGCTCAATCTTGCCATTTATCAAGGCCAACCACAGAAAAAAGGCCTCGTAACTGTCAGCATGGCCGCTAGCTCAAATCCACTACTTCAAGAAGCTGAAGTGCGCGATCCGATGCTGGTCAGCACTGGTTTCGGTAAAGTCCGCTTCTACATCTTCACGAACGAAACCGAGATTTCCAAATCATCTCGTGATGTTCAGAACGAAAAGCCTCGTCAGGGAGGCGACCGCGAAGCTACGGTCCAGAAGCATACAGAGACTGGTACTTCGGCCATCCTTCACACTACCATGGGTGATATCCATCTCCGCCTCTTCCCGACCGCAGCCCCCAAGGCAGTCGAGAATTTTGTCACCCATGCCCGTAATGGATATTACAACAACACTATATTCCACCGTGTGATACGCAAATTCATGATCCAGGGCGGAGACCCGAACGGTGATGGTACAGGGGGCGAGTCCATCTGGGGTGGTGAGTTTGAAGATGAATTCTCAAGTCTAAAGCATGATAAGCCATACACGCTCAGTATGGCCAATGCCGGACCCAACACAAACGGTAGTCAGTTCTTTATCACGACAGAGAAAACGCCGTGGTTGGACGGCAAACATACGATCTTTGGCCGGGCGGTTGCGGGGCTGGATGTGGTGCATAAAATCGAGAATACGAAGGTATACAAGGAGAAACCAGAAGTGGATATCAAAATCGTCAGTATCAGCGTCTCTTGAGATGCGTTTTGACAATTTTTCTTTTTCTTATTAGTCAAACGGCTGCTATTTACTCTCAATACGGTCAACTGGGTAATGTATTGTAGGCAATATCACGTGGAACTTTGTACGCGGCGTATTTATATATATTGCAACCCTCTTGGTATTCATATTCTAAATTGAATGGAGATGCTAATATGATACAACGGAACCCAAATATCTGGATCTTGAAGTAATTATGTATTTAATTAGCGGATGCAATGTGAATAAATATATATCACTACGATGTGCAAAAAACATATCAGGACCATTTCTATTCAACTGAGTAGCTTCGCATAAAAATATAAGCTCTGGCGTCTACTTGAAGATAAAGCATATGCATATATAAAATATTTTCAGTCCTTTGAGAGCAAAGCAGGCAGGCAAGATAGTGCCATGTATTAGTATAGCGAAAGATACCGCTTGATATAACTATGTGACGTATTAATGCAGGCCATGACGGAGAAAAAGTGTATACATATGTATGTATGGCACCTGTTTGTCCATAATAACATGGCCAATTCATTTCTGGCTCCAGTATAGTATACTGTTCGATGCCGAACACGGGTAGTAATGCCAACAAGTGCCGCTCCACGCTTTCCTATAAGAGTTTCAATGCCGACTCTTTTTCTTCTGGTTCTGCCAGAATATAATGCAATGGATACACCGGTACGCCGCCTTTCAGAGACCACATCCAAAAAGATAAATAGAAAATGCAAGACAATTATAAGATGCAGATCCGCTGCAAAAATGATGGGAATCCAACATGCGATGCATGAACATTAGATGGCACAGCGCAACTGAGAGCGCGAAAGAAAGAAAATGATATCAAAGACCATTTCAGACCTCATGGATATCGATGTCTCCTTCCTGCGAGGGACCGGCAACTTTGTGTAACCGCGTGGACAGCCGGCTGTTTCTACTCGAATTCGGACCGTTACGCGTATCAGGCGTGCTGGTCCCAGAGAACTCCGATTTTGAACCCGCTAATGCGACTGCTGAGTCCATATTGACGAAGTCAACGCTACGGGTTTGCGGCGGACCCCATACCTCCGATTTCGGGTAGGGAACGCCAGCGACGCCTTCGGCATTGGGTGGAGGTGCTGTGCCGTCTGCAGTTGAGGTATCTCCATGGTAGAGTCCGGGGCGCTTCGCGTCGTAACGGCGCTTGAGCCACATGCCAGCAAGGGCGATTGCCGTGAGTCCCACGGCCAGGACGATAATCATGATAACCCACTGGTAATGGGTCGAGATCCTACATAAAGAATGACCACGTTAGTGGGATCCCTATCTCAAAACGGGCGGCCGTTGACAGCTGATATAGCAGGACACCCTGAACATACCATGACGGAGGGCTGGGATAACTCTTCACATGAGTCGCAGCGGTTGTTGTAGCAGCAGCATTGGTGGCAGTGGTCGAGGTGGAAGTCGTGGTCGTCTGGACGTCTCCTCCCGTAGCACAGAAATTATTATACCATTGCTCCAATGTCTGGGCATCGGCGGCCGAGCAAGCAGTACAGACACTAGCGGGAGATGAGCGCAATTGCGTGAGAAGGGTGGACTGGCAGAAGCAAGAGACGTAGGTCGCCTTGTTCGTCACTGGAGCTGCTGGTGGTACACAGGAACCCTGAGCCTGCTCAAGGGTCTGGCAAGTGAGAGCACAGGCGGGGAAGGTGTCGGAGGCGGCGGAAGGCAGCAGAGTGACACTCTGTGCAGCGGTCGAAGAGGCAAAGAGGGCTGGGACGAAGACGCAGAGCAGGGAGATGGCGTCGATCCACAGCAAGGAGGGGAGCCACGCTCCCATGATGTCGTAGCGAAAGGCGCGAGGGGGCTACAGATGGGAGTCTGGGACAGACAGAAGAGAAAGGAGACGAGGACGTGAGAGGATTTAGAGACTGACAACCATGCCTCCCACAGCAACGAGAGACAGGGCCCAAAAGAGGCCGGGTTGGAGGCGTTTGCAGGAAACAAGACGGAAGGTTGGCGGCGGCGGAGGAGAAAAGTTGGAACGGGATGATTGACGTCTGATCTCAACCGGCCGCTCCGGGCATCCGAGCAAAGATGGCAGAGGACGAGGTTATCAAGACAATAGTAGAATAATAATAATCCAAAAAGGCCGTCCATTCTCTTCTGACTCTATCTACTATGATATGGACTTCTTAGGACGACCCTCGAGGAATGCACCGTCATTTCTCGTCACGCATTCTTCCTCCTCTCCTATTTCCCTTCACGCCTTTCCGCTTCCGTTCTAACTGACTACGTAGTTATCCAGAAGGACCAGAACAACCCGGGCTGAGCCAGCGCTCAGTGCGCCACATTGAAAGCTCTCCGTTGTCAGAAGAATCCTAATTCCTCGACGGGATCCTGCCCGGAGATCCAGAGATCGTGTGGGGGAGATCCGTGGGTTCATCTCTGCCTGACCCGCGCGGCTGGTCGGATCTAACCTCCTGCAGGACTAAGATCTTACAGTCCCGACACGCGTGAGGAACGATAATATACCATGGCCGTCCATTATTCTGTGCGAATCGGTCACATTCCCTTCTTCGACGTCACGCCCAGCTTGGCCTTCAGGGAACATCTAGGAGAACCGAACCCGGAATGTTCCAAGACCTGCTGGTTCAACCTCACCGGATGACACTGCCCCAAAAGTGTCGAAGAATGATAGCCACGGAGTGCAAGGGGGTGCGGGAGTTGATTATTTGGCTCAATCTCCCGCTTTCTCTAAATCAATAAGTTAAACGACTCTTGATGTTGTGGCGCAGGGTGCTTTACACGGCCGTACATTTCTACTCCGTAGGCTACTTTTTAACTTCTGTAGGTTCACTCTACGGGCTGGGAATGATACCCCTGACCAACCAGGAAGTGGCTGTGTGATGCTGGTCGAATAACTAGGGGAGACATGCTCTAACTAAGTCTTTAACCTTAACTATATATCGTAGCCGAATCGGTATTCTGGGCCTTGTCCTTCTGAAGTATATGCGACGAATACGAGTTTCGATAATCTAACCAGACAAGTATGCAGAAATAGTGATAGCCGTGTCAATACTAGGGCATCTTTTACTTTTCACTCACATCGTCTCGACTTATCCTGTAATTATTCTTAGCTAGTCATTACTTCTATATTGCCAATGTCTGCCGTCGCTCCCTTCTCAAGCTAGTCTTCGCCTCAGGACGCCGCTGGACCAGAGTACTGGAAGAATTTCGCAAGACTTTTCCAATGGCTAAGTACGCGTTGGCTTCCACTCTTCTCTATATTACTTGCAGACCTGTGTTCAATGATTGTCACAAAACCGATGCTAATAGGGTTGTGCCCTTTCTCGTTTATCAGATAAGACTATGTTGCTTTTTTCCAATCCTCAGCCTTCAAAGCGTCTATGATCCGTCATATCTGCATCTATCTCTTCTCAACGACTGGCTTGCCAGTCAATTTTTGCTCAGAAACCAAAACGCCCCGATAGCGCATTCGGCCTTCTTCGAGAGTCTTGAACGCGGCCTCAATGCCCCCTTTATTCAAGGGAAACTTCACGATGATGGGGCGCATTCCATGCAGCACGACAAATCTAAGCATCTTGCGGATTGCGAGTCGAGATGCGACAGCGGAGCCTTGGATCTTGATCCCATTGGCAACTAGCGTGAGGATAGGGACACTGGCAGGCTCGAAGCTGATGGTTAAGGGGTAGACTGATCCATCATTGGCGACAATACTGAGAATTCTGGGCATCTAATGGTCAGTATACGGTGATTTTTGCACTCTGTATGTATAAAGGAGATCCACTGACTTTGAATAATCAGGCCAAGAACTACCGCACCAGAACAAATGGTTGACCTTTTTGATCGGGTACTCTGGGATGTCTCCTTTCGTTACGTGGAACTCCTTCGCGCCCAGCTGCATGGCCTCATCTTTCTTCGCGGGATTACTTGACAATGCCACAACGTCACATCCGAGAGCTGATGCGAACTGAATGGCCATATGTCCCAGACCACCAATTCCTGAAATAGCAACGCGATCACCAGGCTTCAGGTCGTACGTTGTTAGAGCGCCCCAGACAGTTGCACCCCCGCACATCAACGGAGCAGCATATTCAGGTTCCAGCCCGTCCGGTAGTTTGATTAACATGCTCTCATGCCAAACGGCATGACTGGCGAAAGAACCGATTTCAAAGCTATGTGTACCGTATTGCTCGCGCTCATCGCAGTATTGGTCCTTGTCTGTCGCTTCATCGTCAATATCTATCTCCCCGGGGCCCACGAGTACGAATTATAGCATACCACTGACACAGTAGTCGCAGTGCCCGCAGACCTTCTGAATCCACCCAAAGCCCACTCTGTCCCCGGGCTGCAGTGAAGTTACCGAGCCCCCAATCTGACGGACAATACCGGCGCCTTCATGACCTAATGCTATATCTTTGTTCTTGAAGTGTCGGTCTGTTCCGCAAAGACCGGCATGAGTGATCTCGACGAAAGCGTCGAATGGACCTAGAGTACATCGCGAGGTTTGAGGGATGATCTCACCCGACTCCGAGCCATGGAAGACGTTGAATTCGACGCTCTTAGACATTTTTGGCAATATGCAAAATTTGACACGAGTACCTTCAAGTTCTCAAAATTGATGAATCGCGGGACCGGAGCGACGACACTGTATATACGTGGACTTGGGACACCTTTAAGGTTTTACAGACCCTATTGAATGAGATCATCTTCACGCACCAAAGGTCAGACAGGAATTCTTATCACAGGTGGACCTGGAATGGCCAGCGCGCATCGTCTATGGTAGATATGGGGCGTTCGGCAATTGTTAATGATGTCGGTACCAGCAATGGAACCACGGGAGTCGTGGTGACGTGGACCGTGGGCCCAGCGTACTGGTATACCATACTTTCAGAAGTAGCGGGACAACCGTTCCACTAGATGCCGCGAGGAAATGTTCTCCGATAATGACCGGTGGTGTGATCTTGCCATCTGGCTGTAAGCGATAGCAACTATTTGGCTGAGGAGCCGCTTCCGAAAGACAAGTTGCTCTGGGAGAGCGCGACATTGACTGGAGAAATTGCTAAAGCAAGAATAGTATGATCTATCACGGTGAGATATATTTATCTACCATATGAAGAACCTAGATTATTTAGTTTTCTGGAACCATTTCCGAGACAAGAAAAACGAGTCTAAGATTAAAACTAGGTATACACCGTCTGCTAGCGTATGGGATAGAAGGACCTACCTATCTCCATCTTCTATCCGATGCGTTGTCGATTTCTAATCATCTCAAGATCAATTGGCGCATGCCCCACTACTGGTCAAAGATCGTGCTTCTGGCGACCTCTTCTTATCTCTTCCGTTTCATCCAAGTTCTTGCTGAATTCTCCGACTTCGGCCCTTGCACGCAGCAGGCAATCTGGCCCTAAGTAGCGGCAGACGCAGAAGATGCTCCTTGTCAGCACCTATGCCAGTCCCATTATTCACAACCTCGATAACGCGAGCAGCGGCCTTGACAGAGTCTCCGGGCTGCTTTCCATTAGAACCATTGGGATATTTCAGCATACCTTCAACGACAGTGCATTCGTAATCTTTTGTCAGACCAGCTGCCAGGGTAACAAAGGCACCTAGGATGTTTTTTGTTCTGAACCCGCCAGGCTCCACGAGTAGGACATGAATGTTGCATGGAGCGACTTCCGCCTGGAGCGCTTTCGAGAAACCTATAAACATCCTACATATGAGTATATTCATCCCCTAAGAATGTCAAAATGTAGATGGAGATTTTTTGTAAAACTGCCTCCCAGGGCAAACTTGCTCGACGCGTACAACGCTGACAAAGGTCGACCGGTGAGGCCAGCGATACTACTAACGTTGATGATAGTACCAGACTTCTGCGAATGCAGGTATGGAAGAGCGGCTTTAATGACGCGCATAGGTCCGTACACGTTCGTGTTAAACTGGTGATGTATTTCCTCTTCACTATAGAAAGCAGTCAGACGGTGTCTTTCTCAATATCTGCCAAGAGCCGCGTACCTCATGTCCTCAACACTTTTCAGGATCGAGTAACCAGCATTGCTAACTACCACATCGATGCGCCCTTTGATAGCTGCCTCCCCGTTTTGCTTCGTTTTTGGAGAGTCCAAATCGAGCTGCAACCATTGTCCTCCTAGAGCTTCGATTTGGGGGGTGATCATGAGCTGCCCTGGCTGGATTTCGGGCGGTTGCAATGACTTTGTAATGACTTTGTAACCCCGTTTGAGAGCCTTCTCCGCTAATGCTTCAAGTACTAAAGCCGGAAGAAGCACCAGTGATCAGCCAGACTTGCTGCGGTGCCATGGTTGGCAACTGTTGGTTGCCCTTCCTTGTCCTGGTTCGTATTTATGACGGATAGTTTCCTGCCAGCGAGAAAGTGACTGATAAAGGCTCGGAATGCAAATCCAGAAGACTGATATATTACGTTGCTCCTCCTTCTGCGACCGCTAGTTTCGGAGAGATAGACTTGATAGCTCTCGATACATAAGTGCCATATCTCCACTCGCCCCCACATGTTGGCCACAAGGCGGTAGCGGGGTTTCTTCCGCAGATCTTGGATCAGATTCCACCACGGTCCTTACCAGTTTATGGCTTCGCTGTGAGGATAAAAAAAAAAACAAACAAACAAACATTCGGGGATGACGTTTCTTTCTTTCTTTCCTTTTTTGTCAGGTACTAGTCTTTAACAGAGATAAAACCTAGCCGGGAACTGCTCTGGAGCTCTAACTTGACTCTGCCTTGACGACTGTATGATGGCAAGGATAAGAGGAATAATATGGACTACTTGGTGAAGGTATAATTGGTACCACGGAAAGACGGTAATGAGATGATGACATGACGAGAGGTGGCACCATTGTATCGTTCTGGTCATACTTGCCCACTAACTTGGCTCTTCTACTTTGGAGCTGCCGAGCAAACACCTGATAATTTATCTCTATGAAAGCCCAAGTTTTATTCATTAGTTAAGCCAGACATAATTCATTCTAGCACCTCTGTTACGGCACTCGCTTTGGACTCTAAACCGTCGGTCTCAAACTCTATACCGATCGTCAAAATATCAATAACTGCTAGACTCTGTCACTCCTCACGTGAAGGCAGACATGCAAGGAACTTGGGTAGCCGGGCCGAGAACAAGGCTATGAGAACTAGGGAGCATTTCAATTACAGAGTAGAAGGCTCACCGCACTCTATCTATACAACAAGCGAAGAAATCCGAGCAGTGTATTACTATGAATTAAGGAAAGAAGTAAAACAATACGACTGTATATATACGTTACATTAAGTCATTAATTTTGTAGAGTATAGCTCTCCACAGAGTAGCTATCTGCAAAACATAAATAAGCGCCTTGGCTGGAGCCTAGGAAAAGCATTATATACGTGACTGTTTGTGAGTCTTGAATGCGCCCATTATCGATGTCGTGCAGTAATTTAGAAAATCATTGCTCATGAAATGAAATAACGCTTCCCTTACAGACGTCCTAGCAACTCCTCGACGACCGGAAGCAACTGTAATATTATGTTAGCATGGTTTTCTTCGAGGGAATTCAAAGACCGGGAATGCTTACGTCAGACACGTCGTCAATGATCATGGTGGTCTCATTGACGAACTTGGGCGTCAGTAGCGTGTTGGCGTTCTTCAGGAGAGGACCAAGTCCCTTGAGGATGTCGGGAGTGACCGTGCTCGAGAGGCTTTCGACGAGTGGAGTGGCGTCGCTCAGCAACTTGGTAATTTCCTGGGTAGTCTGGTTGGTCAGGAGGCCGTTGGCATTCGTCAACAGACTATTGATCTCTTTCGTGGTCTCGGGGGTCAGCAGGTCGTTGGCATTCGTAACAAGACCATTAATCTCCTTAACAGAATTAGGCGTCAGCAAGTCGTTGGCGTTATTCACCAAGCTAACGATCTTGTCTGTGCCATTAAGCAGTTGAGTCAGCTCCTTAGTGACTTGAGGAGTCAATAAGCCGTTGGCACTGCTCAATAAGCTGGTAATCTCTTTTGTAGTCTCGGGCGTCAGCAGATCGTTGGCATTCGTGACAAGACCATTGATCTCCTTAACAGAGTTAGGCGTTAGAAGGTCATTGGCATTGGTTAGGAGACTGTCGATTTCCTTGACAGAGTTAGGCGTGAGCAGGTCGTTGGCGTTGTTCACTAGGCTGACGATCTTGTCTGTACCGTTGAGCAAGCTAGTCAGATCCTTGGTTACCTGAGGAGTCAACAAGCCATTGGCGCTATCCAACAAGCTGGTAATTTCCTTAGTGGTCTGAGGAGTCAACAGATCATTGGCATTGTCCAATAAGCTGACAATCTTGCCGGTGCCATTGAGTAACTGAGTCAGCTCCTTGGTAACCTCAGGAGTCAACAAGCCATTGGCGCTATCCAACAAGCTGGTAATCTCCTTAGTAGTCTGAGGAGTCAACAGATCATTGGCATTGTCCACTAAGCTGACGATCTTGCCAGTGCCGTTAAGTAACTGAGTCAGCTCCTTGGTGACTCCAGGAGTCAATAGACCATTGGCGCTGCCCAATAGGCTAGTAATCTCCTTCGTGGTCTGAGGAGTCAACAGGTTGTTAGCGTTGTCCACCAAGCTGACAATCTTGCCAGTGCCATTGAGCAATTGCGTTAGTTCCTTAGTGACTTCAGGAGTCAACAAGCCATTGGCACTGGTCAATAAGCTAGTGATCTCCTTAGTGGTCTGAGGAGTCAATAGGTCGTTAGCGTTGCCCAGAAGTCCAGTGATCTCCTTGGTGGTTTGTGGCGTGAGAAGACCGTTGGCATTGCTAATAAGAGCCTCGATCTCCTTTGTGTTCTGCGGCGTGAGCAGACCGCTGGCAGCATTGACAAGACCGATGACTTGGGGCAGATCCGAGAGCAAAGTGCTAAGCGATTTGATATTCTTCGCAGTAAGCAGAGTGTTGGCGTTGTTAAGCAAGGTAACAATCTGCTGGGCGTTGTTCTTGGTAAGCAGGAAGTTTGCGTTATCAAGTAGATCCTCGATCTCCTTGGTGTTCTGCGCGGTAAGAAGACCATTTGCATTGTTGATAAGGGTGACGATCTTGGGCACATCTCCCAGCAAGTTACTAAGAGCATTGGTGTTTCTCGTAGTGAGAAGACCATTGGCATTGTTGATAAGATTCTCGATATCCTTAGTATTCTGCGGCGTAAGTAGACCATTGGCGTTTTGGAGCAGCTCCTCGATCTCCTTGGTGTTCTGGGCGGATAACAGGCCGTTGGCGTTGTCGATGAGCGTAACAATCTTGGGCACGTCCTGTAATAGAATCTCGAGTTCTTTGGTATTCTGAGCAGTGAGGAGGCCGTTGGCATTGTTAACAAGGTCGACAATCTTAGGCGTGCTCTGGAGCAGAGCGCTGAGCTCGTTGGTGTTTTGCTTGGTGAGCAGGGCATTGGCGTTGTTAAGCAGGTTCTCGATCTCCTGGGTGTTCTGTGCGGTGAGCAGACCGTTGGCATTGTTAATAAGGGTAACGATCTTGGGCACGTCCTGCAGCAGAGTCTCGAGTTCCTTGGTATTCGAGTCGGACAGAAGGCCATTGGCGTTGTTGACAAGGTCAATGATCTTAGGAGTGCTTTGAAGCAAGGTTCTGAGCTCATCGGTGTTCTGCTTGTCAAGCAGCGTGTTGGCGTTGTTGATGAGCGTGACGATCTGCGGAACGTCTTGCAGGAGCTTGACGATCTGTGCAGTGTTCTGATCGCTGAGGAGCTGGTTGGCGTTCTTGACCAGATCAAGGATATTGGGCACGTCTTGCAGGAGCTTGACGATCTCCGCGGTGTTCTGGTCACTAAGGAGCTGGTTGGCGTTGTCAATAAGGGTGTTGACCTTGTTGGCAAAATCCTTGGTGAGCAGCCCACCAGCAACGTCGATAATACCGTTGAGGACAGGGATGTGCGCATCAGTCAGCACCTGCACAACGCGGGTGAAGAAGTGGACAAAGTCCTCCAAGAAATTAGGGGTGAGCACGGCTTCAATGCTACCTAGGTAGCCCTTGAGGGCACTACCAAGGCTGTTAGCGATGGCATTGCCGATCGCGTTTCCAAGATTGTTGCCATTGCTGCCGCTCAGAAGGCTGGCCAGGTCGATGCCGCCGGTACTCGACGAACCCGAGGACGAAGCAGTCGAAGTGGGTGAGCCGGTTTCCGCGGGAGACGAAGCAGCAGAGGCCGCACTGGAGGTGATATCAGGAAGGATGTCGGAGAGGAGCCCGCCCTTGGAGTTGGAGTCCGCGCTCGCGCTGGCGGCGGAAGACGCAGAAGTGGCCGGGCTGGCGGCGGGCGAACTGTTGGCGGAAGCTTGGCTGGCAGCGGCAGCGGCAGCGGGAACCGGACTAGCAGCGGGCGACGCAGCAGCAGCAGGACTGGCGGAGGTTTCTGGTGCTCCTGCTGCGGAGGAGGCAGGCGACTGGCCAGCGCTGATAATGGAACTGAGTGGATTGTTGTCGTTATTGTCGTTATTGATGTTATTGTTATTGTTGCTGGTGTCGGCCGCAGCAGCGGGCGAGGCAGCCGGCGCCTGCTGCTCGGCGGAAGACGCCCGGACAGCGGGCGCTGAACCAGCCACCGCAGCAGAGCTGGGCGTGCCGGCCGGACTAGCCAGGACGCCCGCGCCGTGCAACAGCAGGACGGGGAGGAGAGTGGTGGAGGCACGCATCTTTGCCTAACTCGCGCGCGCGCTCGATCGGGTCCTTCTGCGTCTCGTCTACTCAACTACTTACCTCGACGAGCTGACGACAAGAAGGCTGCGCGTTCTGGGACGAGCTTTTATGTCTCTTATGCGCCAGTGCTATCTACCCCGGATCGTCCCTTTCTCCGCACCTTTTCCTCCAGATACTGCGCAGGAGAGCTCAATCCGACTACTAACTCGACCGAGGACTAACCGGGTCCACATGTGAGCAGCGCAAGATTTCATTTTGGCGTGATGTCAGTGGCCGCGGACAATGTCCCCAAAGTGTTTAAGCTGAGCACGCTTAGGCCTGGGACTATTGACGGTGGTGGACGCGATGGCCGCGATGCCTGCGGTGCAGCGGTAGTCGAATCGTCGACTGGCCCGGTTCCTGTCCTGCGAGTTCAACTGAGCCGCGCCGGTCAGGCACTGCGAGCCGTGCGGGTCAGGAACTGCGCACCATAACACGAAGCCCGCCTATTATTATCGATCAGGTATTGTTAGTCTGCTGGAGTTTGACGGCCGTGCGGGGGGGAAGCATTAACTAGCAGCTTTTCCCTGATCGGCTGTTCTAACTCGGAAACACAATGAGCATAAGTATTGGGACAGCACATGAAAAGCTGTAGCTAAACCTCGGACATTATAAGGTCAATGCGTCCCTAGAGTGCGGGGTCCGTCCCTCGAGCATTTGTCCTCTTCTTTGCGAACTTGACCGTCAAACATCGCCTTTCACTGCAGCAGTGGTACGTGCACATGGGGCATATTGGTTCTCGGGTAGCTACTCACAATGCCGTTCTTCTTTCTTTCTTTCTTTTTCGCCTTCTTTTTGCATCTAGTGTACAGACATCGGATCTCACTAACTGCCCTAGTATGTGCACATGGGATGACACCACGACCGCTATGAATTGATCTGAAATACCGATCAAAGATTGGTACTTCTCCACTGGCCACTTATCCCGTCTCGAATATCCGGGAATAGCAACCGTGGAGCTTATTTGCTGTCCTCGTGGCTGTCTATGACTGATGGCCCGAAACTTGCCAATTCATTGGTATATGCATATACGTCGAACTAGCTAGCCAGCCGGAGTAGTAGACGTGCGAGATGAGAATTGAGATAGCGTAATAGCTTTATCCGTTATTAACAGCATGGGCTGCAATATTGTGTCACTTATAACTAAGACAGGCGATTGTTCTATAGACTGTTACCTTGATTCGTACTCGTACAACAGACAACTACCGTGTACAGCCGTTTCGTGCCGCATTCAGAATTTTATTTTTCTTGGTTAATTTATTTCAAGTCTATAGGCCCAGAATTATAAAACGCTTTCATTATACTCAGTAAACATCAAAGTATCTTCATTTTATTCATACCCGCCTAATGGTTTAATGGCTTAAGAGATCTGTTGCCAATTTCCGCAAAACAACCGACTGCCACCTCCCCAGTTTTCCCTCTAGTATAATCGCTATATGGCATCAAAGGAAGCGAATATTCCGCGGTGTTGAGCTCGCACATTGGACGAAGAGCATGCACCCATGGCATCAAACAGAATCCCAAAAAATCACAGTAATGGTACTCGCAGGCATGCGTGACCATGAAAAGCGGGACCTGCTGCGAGATCAGCGCGATCTGCGAGCTCTAGAGCAGCGAAGCGGGGGAGGACGGGGGAAGACCGAGGGAACCCGCCAGGAGTTGACTATCGTAGCCGCAGCTTGACTTCGTCCGTTTTCTCTATGCATATGGCTGGCTCGCCGATATTTGATCTCGTTCGCTGAATCGATTGTGCCAGAGTTCCCTAGCTTCGCTATACTCCCCTTAGATAGGCAGCTATGCGATACATCCTTGAACGCGGGTAGGCGACGGCGATTTCCCGCGCCTTCGAGTATTCTTGGGATCCCATCGAAGCTTTATGTGAGAAAAGTAGGATGGACAGATTCAAGAAACCTCTTTTTCAGGTTTCCAGAATGCGTCGGCCAGTGCAAAGCTTGTTCTCGAACAATCTGATACACCTTGCTCCAGGAGCTCGTTATCCCAAAGGGGTCACCCTCATCTACTGCTCGGATTGATCCTTTTTCAGCAGATCCAGGAGGTACTTTGCGAAACTACCGTGTCTTCTATCGGATTACGACTGACATATCTAGTAGGCGATCCTAACTGGTATACACATGGTCGCTGGCTCAACCAAGATGCACGATGCACTACACCGGAAATCTCAAATCATGAACTTTCATTTCCCTCAACTATGCGAGACGGTCATCGGTCTTTTGCCTGACACGACTAAGATTATCAACTGCAGGGGGGTTCAATAGAGTGTTTATTGTCACTTTAGACTCTGGGCGACGTGTAGTTGCCAGAATTCCGACAAAGATTGCTGGCCCACCACGGTTGGCAACCGATCCGAGGATACAACAATGGAATACTGTATGAGAATCGATGATCGTGATAGAAAATTTGCTGATTATGTCTACAGTGCGCCCGAAGATATCAATCCCGATCCCAAAGATTTTGTCATGGAATCATAACCCCTCAAACAGAGTAGGATGGGAGTACATCTTAAAAAAACATGTTGAGGGTATTTCATTGCACGAGAAATGGCCCTTTATGGACATGCGTTTTATGTACGAAAGCTGTTTCGTTGTAAGTCAAGGAGATGGTATCCTCAAACTTCCCGGCTTATGGCAGTCTGTAATTTCCGGATGTGCTCTTTGACGAATCTAAAAAGGCAGCCCTCGATGATAGGTTCTATATAGATCCGCACTGCAGTTCACTTATTTAGAATTGCAGCCCCGGTGAATCAGAGCTATATCATGGACCAAGTCCTAATTGTGGCCCGTGTAAGCAGACGGGAATTCGTACACACTCTGTCACTAACAAACACCTAGGGAAAGAAATTTCTTATTGCTCAGGCTTGATAGAAACTGGCCGCGCACGCATCCATAAGCGAAGAGAGAGCGAGGTGGGTTTACTGCCTTATCGGGGATCAATTAAGGATCATACTCGCTTATTAGACATCTGTCAAGATGCCTTGCGAGTCTTGACTAATGATCCTCGTATCCAAGAAGCTGCTCTATCGACGCCACTCTATACGGACTTGCACAAGCGAAATATATACGCCTCTGTAAGTGACACTGCAGTCATCGTCGGGATTATCGATTGGCAATCTACAAGCACCGAGGCCTCGTTTGTGTATTCCAATGAAATATCTGACGTCGCTTCTCTCCACAGCGAAGACTGCCCCAAGGACGATGCATCGGCCTCTCCACAGTATGAACGGAGGGTTAAAGATGCTTCCATTTGTTATCAGACCTATGACGTTGCCATGAAAGGTTTCGTAACAAAGCTGCGTCTTGCGAGGAATTCGGACCCGACTTTATTCTGCCCGTTCCTCCAAGTTACCTACTGCTATACATCGTGGAGAGACAGTGCGACTGCTCTCTGCCAGGAGCTGATAGACCTTTCAGCGCGATGGGCAGAGCTTGGAATACAGATCCCAGCCCTTATTTCCCCAGTCAAGCGGAATTGATGGAACATTCCCGCCTATATAATGATTATCATTTTGAGGTTAGCGACTTACCTCACAGTTGCTGCTTGAGTCGCTCTACTCATGACATCACGGGTCTTGGCAGTCCCCATGCCCTAAGCCAGGAACGGAAATGTGCATGAATTTGGGGAAAAAAGAACATGTGTAAGTGCCCAAACTTCTTCTTAAGAACCCGCAGATGGTGAATGTCTTAAGGCTTGTATGGTATCCTGGCCAGTAGGCCTATATATCCCTTGTCTCTAGTTCTCCACATGTAATTCCAGATCTCGGGTTGACCGCCGCGCGGCCGGAATGGCGGGCGATTTTCGTGGTAATTGAGAAAGGGGTAGACATAAGAATCATTTTTAAGGGATCAAATAACCAATGATTGCAGTTGGATAACTTCGAGACTGCCTAGTAACAGGTTACCCGAGGCCATCCTCCTATAGACTGCTCAACATGAAGTTCACACTTGTTTCAGTTGTCGCTTTGGCGGCCCACACCGTTTTCAGCCCTGACGATCGACTCATCGTCAGAACAACCACGGGAAGATACACTGGCTTGATCGATCTCAAGTACTCCAAGACACGCCAATTTCGCTTTATTGCCTTTGCGGAACCACCAGTCCTCTCACGTCGCTGGTTGCCACCTCAGAAGCTCTCCCCGTCCACCGAGCACCATGATTCGTAACACTTCCCGCCATTATGTCCACAATTCGTATCGAAGATTCTGTTATTGAAGAACAAGTACTTTGCAGGATGCACCCTCGTCAACAATGGCAACAAAAATGACACATCTGGGCTTATGGGAGCGGACACGTCGGAAGACTGTACCTGGCTGTGTGGACGCCCGCGAACGCGCCGTTTCAGTCGAAATAACCCGTTCTCTTCTTCATGCCTGGAGGATGCTTCACCGCTGCGTAGCTAGGAGGTTAAAATCACATTGTTGCTTCCGTGCCTTCGAGGATCTAACGCAGGTTATCTGTTGTTAATTGCATTTGTTGCTAAGTTAATATGCTAAATATATCAATCTAAATTTCCCGAGCCGTCGCAATAGGGCATCGGGATATAGCTCGATAGCGAGGTATAGCATTAGCATTCTGCATATGTAATCTTCCTGAATCGAAAGCTTTCTCTTTTCTTCTCGCTAACTTTAATTAAAACGGTGAGCTTATAACTGTTCCGGTACGCGTTTATTTCTATACGTATCCTACTTCTACTGTAAGCGCCCCTATATTTATATTAAGACGTATTACCCAGCGTCTTAGCGGTAAGGCGGGCCGCAGGTCCGTAGATAGTGCACTATGCGAGAATGGGAGGAAAATGCATAAGCATTATTCGTAATCGATACTATAAAAAATCTTAAGTTCGGATGAGTGGAGTAGCTACATCATCGTGTCTATATGCACCGCACGAATCACAATGTCACCGTAACTCACGAGCAGGCTTTGGTAAAAGAGAAAGATGGCATTAGTATGGCCTTATCGCGAATATGCCAAGATGCCAAGATGCCAAGTCGCAGTATATCGTTGATCTACGATGATCTACCCGATACATGCCGACTACTAAGTTTGCAGGGTGGTCATCGATGACCCGGACAGATTTGCTTGCAGGAGATTCCACAATAGACCCTTCTGTCGATCTTTACATAGCTGGCGATCAAGGGATCCTATCTGAATTGTATTATCCCTATCACCGTTTTAGATGCCCAACCGACAGATATATGGTAGAGTATGTGGGGCGACTGTGACCCAGTTACTTATAATACTGAGGCAACGACCTCGTATCACTCTATTCTTATTTTTCTACCCTTTCTCGTATATTACCTTGAGTTCTGTTATCGGTCTGGCTAAGCACGCCGCTTCGTTATCAATAATATTGTTTGGAAAGAAGCCCTGCACACCGATGGCTCCTAAGTTTGATAGTATGCAAATACAGCTTCATACCTGCTATTCTCCAAGGGAGAATACTGTGTTTTCAGGATTAGAATCACGCGTTGTCTCGGACGGAAGTCGACGGCCGCGATTTGGCTTAAAGCGGTATTTATTTTCTGAGATCGAGACGAAATGGGCAGATATACCTTTAATTGTATGCTCTTTTATCGGTGGCCTTGTTGATGGTCTCTCGTACAACTACTGGGGGAACTTTTCCAATATGCAGACAGGTATTTATGGAATCTATTTCTATGGACAATGAAAGGACTAATTAATTATTCTTTGAGTTTGATAGGAAATGTTATCTTTATTGCCCTCGGAGTGGCTGGGAAGCCGGAGCAGCCAGACATGCTCTGGGCTAAATCCCTCACAGCTATCTTCGCTTTTCTGACAGGCATCATTATTTACGTTTACGGATCTCGAGTATTGGGGCCAAAACGACGCATAACCCTGGTCCTATCATTCGCCCTTCAGACTTCTACCCTCTTTGGTGCGGCTCTTCTTACACAACTGGTACCTCCAATGCCGGACGACCCAACAGCGCTGGAATGGCGGAAAGCCGTCGCGATCTCGTTACTTTCCTTCCAGTCAGCTGGCCAGATCGCTGCATCCCGGTTCTTGGGCTACCCCGAGATCCCCACCACTGTCTTGACAATTTTAGTGTGTGACCTATTTATCGATGCGAATCTCTTCCAACGGCCATGGAGCGCCAACCCCAAACGAAATCGGCGAATTGCTGCCCTGTTAGCACATTTCCTGGGAGCGATGACTGCGGGCGGAATGGCGAAAGATATTGGTCTGTCCGGAGGACTATGGCTTGCCGGATCTCTTAAGGGAGCCCTTGCACTAGCATGGTGTGCATGGACTGAAAAGAAGCATACCAAAGAGATAGGGTAAAGCATAAGCTTCTCTTTATTATAGCAGATGATTATGGAAACGAAATTTCTGAGCAGAACAGTGGATTATTATCTTATTACATAGAACAGCTAGAATTCTTACTATTAATATAGAGAATATAGATTTAGTCGCTACCCTTATGACTTATTACACTAGGAAGTTTTTTATTTACTACGAACTAAAATAGCATCCCCGCTAGCAACTAAGCTCTGCTAATTACTGACCGATAAAAGTAGAATAATAACCGTCTCCGACATAAGTATATTGAGGGCTCATAGCTGGTTATCCTCGCTGTCGGCGTTTTGATATGCGGTCCCAGCCTATTTGCCCTCCGCGGACTGTTCTAGGCTTTGAGATTTAAAGGCTTATCACCGAAGCCACTTACCTTGTAGCTTTACGATTTTGCGGACTGGACTTCTACTGGTACTAGAAATAGACGCTACATTGCCTTTATTATTGACGTTAACACTACAATTTAGATATTTTAAACCTCCATCGACTGTATATGAATAAAGGAGCCATCTACAAGAGTGGTAATTTATTTATATAGCTGTCCTAGACTGAGCTATTAGAACACAAACGACTTTTCCAGATCTCACATTGTAGGCCACCCCATATCAATTGGTTCCAAATTTCCAGCGCCCCTGAAATCCTCTATTATATCTGCCTGTTCGCTTAAAAGTACCCGGTCTGCCTGATTTGCGCCTATTCTGGCCAATTCCCTCCACCGTGCAAGATCCTGCGGGCGACGCTTATCACCGTGAGCTGCTTCATTCTGGGTCCAATGACCCTTTGAGAACCCGAGTAAAGATGTCATGCGTTTGTTCGGAATGTCGTAGACGAGCGAACAGATTGTACCCGTCTCCTCGAGCCAATTACATTGCCACAACTCTCCGGGGCGAATGCATTGATATGTTGCCGCCTGATAATTTTTTCGGCCCGCCATTGGGCCTCCATGGATCTCGTAGACAATGCGGTCTTCGTTATAGAACCACATCTCGTATCGCCACTTTTGGGGTTTCCCCTGAGCGTCATGGGCTGCATAGTCGTAGATTAAGTGGCGATCCCGGATGTCGGTATCGAAGGTTGAGCCTTTAAGAGACGGGAGGACAGGCATTTTGATTATTTATTTGCTGCTAGCTAATTCGTCGAGGGAATTAAAGGGAATGAATTAGTTACATAAATGCGAATTAGGAGGGGAAATAACAGGACTTTATAGAGTTTGTGTCCCTATTCTTGCAATCCCGAAATTAACCATATCGTCTACCTGATTCTGGAAATTTTAGAGACTATCAAAGATGATGATATAAATGCTGTCTCTATTAACCTATCGGATCGCCTCGGGTCTATGACGGCACGATATCAGCGCTGCCGAGAATCGGTGCCGATCTGCTAAAACTACCGCATTACAATACTGTCACGCTTCCTTTCAAGTATAAAGCGAGGCTTAACTTTAGTGTCGTTACATTATCTGAAGGCCCAGTTAGTTATAACATGTATAGTGGGAACTTAAGCAGTAATGTAGGCAATCGGTACCCAGGAATATATTTTCACAATACTGACCCTAAAAATACGAAGATAAATGTTCGGCATGCGGATATCCCGCATGTTAACGCCACATCGAATAGAGGCAGATTACAGGATAGCTTAGAACCGTTCTGTAGACGTAAAGACAGCGAAAACACCGGGATAATTTACATTATCCTTTCGAGTCTTTCTAATTGTGTACAGTTATAAGAAGTATTTAGGTATTGTAGTAAGCAGTAGTATTGCATTAAGACTAATCGCTAGTTTTCCCTAGATGCGCCTCCGGTGCGCTATTAACGTGTAATAGGATGCGGCGAGAAGTTTGCTTAATTAGTGGGAATCTAGGATTACGGAAGCAAAAGTTCTGAAGGAGCATTTGAAACTAGAATAATCTCTTGATTGCTTAAATAATAACTGAAGAGGACTAAAATCTATCAGCTATTTATGCTCAACGACTCTATCCTGACTTTACTGTGGCCTGGAGCTAAACTGAACACTGTCTTAGATGTTATATAGTTCCTGTTCCGTTTTCTTTAATCCCGTAAGGTGGATATAGGTATCTGTCCATTGCAGCTAATACCCAGATTGTATAGGATGTAAGCAGCGGCTTGCAGCAAGTTTGCAGCGTATTTCCACAGAAGCTGTAAGTGCCGACAAAAAGTAATATTGTCTAAAGCTACTTATGTTATAAGTGTAACTATTAGGCAATTATAGAATAAGAGTAAACCCAAAGGCGATTTAAGTATTATATGGAATTGGGGTGTTGCTGTCCTGTTTTCCGATAGTTTAATTAGGATTACTTTCTCTTATAGTTAAAGGAGCACAAGGGCATATTCCTGACAATAGTTGCAATTTTGCGACCAAGAGAGTACGGTCTGATTAAAGTTTTTAGGTTTTTATCTTCAGTTCCCTTAGAGGATGTAATTTCTCTAGAAGCTGCTGTGAAAAATAATACTGTTGCTACCGTCTCAAAGCTACTCAAAGGAGCTGTCATAAGCGTAGCTTTGCCCCCTTCTCAGCAAGATTCAACAGCGTTTGGCCCTCAGCGTTGGTTTTACCTTGCCGTTCCGCCCTTCTTAAGCAGAAACATACAAGCTCGATGGAATCTTTCTCTTCTGGTGCTTCTTTCAGAAATCTTGTCCAGTGAGAAGGATTAGGATGAAGTGTGGAGTGATTGAAGAGGCTTGATAAATCTTCTTGTTCTCCGAACAGTGCCGCAGTCAAAATTGGATCAAATGTCTGCCGCGACTTACAGTACAGGTTGGAACCGTGACTAAGAAGAATTGGAGATATTTGACGCGATCCAGAAATAGTCGCTGGAAGAGTTAAGGCTGTCATTTGACTCTTATCCTTTAGTTGATCTCCTTTCTCACTTGTTTCATGGAAGTTGATGTCGGCTCCAGTAGAACAAAGAATCACATTGCTTCTCTTGAATCTATCGCACAGAATAGATGAGTCCCCTTTCGAACATTCTCGTTGGCGGATAAATGATTCGACAAGTAAAAGCACCGAGCTCGAAGGTGAACGACCCCCTTCGCCGCAAAGCAAAGCTATTGCATCAGGCTCAAGAGCTTGAATAGCTTTTTTGTTCGAAGGTGTCAGATCAAAGTTGGAAGGGAAAATGCCCCCAAGCTTTGAAAATACGTGAAGGAGCTTCCATCGCCCCTCTATCAGTGACATAGATAACGGGGTAGGATTGTAATCGCCCACTATCTCTGAGCTGCCTGGCAGAGATGAGCTATGCATCTTCTCATTCAAAAAGTCTCTTGGACGAGAGAGCATCTTCCCAGCGGTAATAAAAAGAAGAACAGCTTCTTTCAAGTCTTCCATCTTACACTGGGTGTCGTCGCATCTTGTCAAGGAGTGCAAAGGCGCTTGACCATAAGGACCAGCGGTATCAATAGGAGCGCCGAATCCAAGCAAGATTTTGATGAGCCGAATATCACCAGACGTAAACGCACGCTTAAGGCTGTCCCTTCAGAATCGTCGCCCATCCTTGGGTCTGCTCCATTTGACAGCAATATTCCTACCATCTGCACGCTACTGCCAGCAAGAATGAGAGGAGGAGCACCGACCGGAGGATGACTGAACAAACTATCGAGCGAAAGCTTTCCTTTACTGGATCTCGCATATGTAGCCGATCTATAGCTTGGCATATATTGATTCACATTAGATCCACCATGAATCAGAGCAGTCATCGTTTCCACAAAGCCATCGAGAATCGCTATGTGTAATGCTGTCCTTCCTCGTCTGTCTGTGGCAGTTGCGTCCGCACCGTTTTGGAGTAAGCACCGCATATAGCGAGGATCCTTGCGATGTGCTGCGATATGTAGCGCGCCATATAGTATAATGTCCACACCGGATTGAGCAAGCATCTGAGCAGATGAAAGTTGATTATCACGAATTGCAGACACCAGTAGAATCGACTTCCAGCGCAAGGGGTCTGATCGCGCATGTTCAAGTCCATCGGGACTAAAGCAGTAACTATTGTTAATGTTTGGAACAGTCGATTCGATTCCATTAAAATATTCGCTCCTAGTGGGAGTTCTCGAAGGGTTTTCAGATACTGGAGTGTCAAACTTAGCAGTTTCCCAAATACTGTTGAATTTGGCATCACCCAACTTTCCTTTGCGGGCTTCCAGATCTTGCACCAAAAGGGTGAATAGGTCGGCATCTCGTGTATCTGCAGCAAATTCTATAGGAGATACGGTGCCTGGAGAATAGGACCTGATCTTTGCCCTGGTCTTCGTCTAAACTTGCGGAAGTGCCTTCATTGAGCGCGAATGGTGGTCGAGAAGCTTTTGAACAACAGAAGGATGACCGCCAGAGATGGCCCAATGGACGGCCGTCCATCCGCGTTTACTTCGAAACTGGTGGACTGCTCCGCTGGAAAGAAGCAGACGAACAAGCTCGACATTTCCGATGAAAGTGGCCCAGAACAGCGGGGTCCATCCTTGAATATCTGGAAGAGTGGAGTCTACTCTCCTCTGAACGAGAATACGGGAAACGGGAAGTTGGGCTATCGAGCATGCCCAGTGTAGAGGAGTCCATTTGTGAGAATCGGTTATAGACACGTCTCCCCCGCTTCCAGATTAATCTTGGAGGTTTCATTTAGATTCCAGTAGGCCGTTATATGCAATGCATGCTGACCTTTAGGAACGGAATCAAAGGTCTCGTCCGCAAGGGCACCTCTAAATTCCCGTCGGAACTGGAGGGCTTGAAATGCAGCGTTTCTCGGCTTTTCATCATTAAGTAGCCCCATGATCGAAGCTTGCAACCTTTTCTCGGAATCCTGATTGCAGATATAATAAACCCGGGGTTTTGCAGAATAGCTCAGGAATTTCAAGTTATCGGAGCGCGCCATAAGCTCTTTCGAGCTATTACACGGCTTCGGTATCAGACTCTTCAGCCCGAGATATCTCACAGACATTTGTGCAATGTCGAAATGCGACGTCTCGGGGGATATAGAAGCGTAGACATACTCGTAAGCTGATGTATGGACCAGACCAAAAGTGCTGTCGTCTCGATTGAAAACAACCATGCCAATGCAGATATAAAGAAGAATTTCAGGAGTAGGCATATTCTCATAATGTAGCCCATCCTCATCTATCGCAAATTCAGTTTGAATCTCTTCGACTCTGAGTCTTCTTTTGGCATAGAGGATCCAGGAAATTAATCGTCGTGCCATTGAGCTTCTCGCTTTTGACTGGTTATCAATGCGTTGTATGGTTAAATCGAACATTTCTTTTGCAAGCCAAGAGCCCCCTTTTCAATGTCTTTCTTATCTGACCGACCGTGGCAAGATCAAGTAGCTCATCAAGGGTAAGCCGAGCAAGAAGAAATCGTGAAATAATCAGCAGGTGCAATCGGGAGTCTAGACTGTTTATTGTATATCACATACAGATTCCCGCTCTTAGACACAATAATATTAACCATCGCGTCGTCTTCGGCAAGCTCATCGTCGAAACCACCTTCTTGTAGTCTAATAAATATAAGTCTTCGGGTCCTTCGTGCTCCCTGTAATTTCCAGCTGACTGGCCGTAATCATCTTCTGGATATGCGGAAGCTTTCGACTTATTACAAGTACATGGATCCTAGATGTAGTAAGAACCAAGCAGTGGTCCAAAAGCTCATCAGGAGCTTTTATCTCGTCAACAGCATCGAGCACTAAGTATATCGGCTGCACCGAGCCAGCCTGCGAGGCATATCAGATCTTGTGCAGGTTTCACATGATTAGTCATCTAATATAGATGCGATTGACGCAGATGTAAAGGCTGAGAGGATATAAACTGAAATCTGGAAGCTAGAAAGGCGGCTCGCCATGTGTATCAAAGAGACGGGATATTTTTGGAATCGGTCTTGGTTAGAAGGACAAGGCAACTCTATCATGATATCAGCAACAAAATTGTATAATAAGTCTGAGGAATGTCTTAAGACATTTCCCAGGATTTAGGGTTGGGACTGTGATAATGTTCTTAAGGAAGAGTGCTCCATAGCCTATTCTGGAGACGAAAAGGTCAGGAGAATACTAGCGGGAACGAGCCCACATTGCAATTTGCTAGACCTAAGTATTACGGTCCTTGAATATCAGGATGCCTATCATGAAGTTGCTAGAACCACAAATATCGCGTCAGATATTATCTCATATACTACCCAAGTGAACGATGGCGGAGTCACATATTCTATCTGAAGTAGAAGTAGATGCCGTAGATCGCGCGCCTTTCATACGAGGAATTCTCATAGGATCTAGGTGACAGAGAATGATTCAAGTTATGGAGACGAGCTCTTGTTGTCTTTCATCCTCTCATTACTGTAGCATGGCACTAATATCACTACAGATCAGGCCGCACTACCTCCTTAAGTTCCTCGATACACCGACATAGACACGAGAAAGACAGACGCTATCATGCCTTCCGCGATGGCAATTATATTCTCCCAAAGGATGACGACGGATATGACCACCTGACATCGGCCAATCACCTGACGTCGAAGTTCATGAACGGGAGATCATACCATGCACCTATTGAGAAGCCGTCAAGGGTCTATGATATAGGTACAGGTACCGGAATATGGGCCATAGACTTCGGTACGTTCTTTCAGTTCCGTGTCTCTACTGGTTATTAACAAATAATTGGATTTAGCGGACTAATTTCCTTCTGCAAGGTATCATATCATCTCCTGATACGCTATGCAATTCAACAGGAGATATACCAACGATTTACGTTTAGGTTATCGGCTCCGATCTAACTCCAATACAGCCGAAATTAGTTCCTCCAAACGTCAGATAGATCGTAGAAGATGTGGAAGACTCGTGGATGGATCTAAACCAACCATTGACTTCGTCCACGATCGTTATCTAGCTTCGTCGGTCAGAAAGATAACCCGAGGCTATTTCGCCAAAGTTACGAGTCGATTGTATCTTATCCACGATATCGATTATTTGTCTAATCAATGATTCTGATCAGGAACATGAGAACCTGGTGGCTAGATTGAATCTCAGCACTGCTATACTTTACCCCTTCAGCCACGAGTTCCTCACCAAGGCCTCGATGCGTCATCAACGAAGTGCATGGCGTGTGCAGACCTGCGTATGACGACTCACAGAAGCCCTGCTACTATCAAAATGGAGTAAAACTCTGGACAATAGGAATTTACATCTTGCAGGTCTAAAATCCATTTTTAGTCTTTTGGATATAAAAATATACACAGGAAGACAGAATGCTTAAAAGAGCGGAGATATCATTCGTTTATTTTGGAGTTCAGTTATTCTTTTATGCATAGATAGTGTAAGGAACGGGGGTTCCTGGAGGTTGCTGGCGAATTACTCCGCCAGCGATTATAGCGAAAGAGATAGCAGCTTTGCGCATCTAGCTCAAAGAAGGGTCTACCAGTAAAATAAAGGGTTAATTATTATAATAAAGGGTCTAATTAATATAGAAAAGGGTCTATATTAGAAGGGTCTAGTAATAAAGAATCTATATAAATAAAGAAATAGTAAGGTATATATTATATTAGAATAAATTGCTAGCTTCTAGTAAAATAATAATTTAGAGCCTATTTATATTCTAAATCTTAAGCACTTTCTAGCTTTATCTTATATAAATTCTAAAAGCAGAGAGAGTAAGATTTAATTAATTATCTTAATATTATATTTAGATTTAAGGCTTTACTATAGTCCTATAAGCTTATACTTTAGTAAAGAGCTAGGGGTATAATAATATCCCCCCCCTTTTTAAAGGCTTATCCTTAAGCTATTATAAAGTTATTATATTAAATATAGAATATAGCTTTATAGAGATTTATAGTATAATAAATAAAGGAGCTTTTTATTATTTTTATAGTAAAAGGTTAAGAAGTTATATAAGCTAAGAGTATTATTTATATAATATTATAAGGTTAAAATTCTAATCTCTAATAACTATCTTTTTACCTTTTGCTATATATAGCTTTTAGTCTTAAATATATTTAAATAAAGATCTAGATATATTTTTAAAATTATAATAATACTAATAATATAATAGTTTATTAAACTTAAAAAATTAATTATTTTTTTATTAGTTTTTAGAGCTTCTTATTCTAAGGGTAAATTATCTTAATTAATTATATTAATATAAGCTAATTTAATATAGATAATACTGCCCTAAATTTATTTTATATTTAAGTAATATAAAAAGATTCTTTAAGTAAATATTTCTATATAAGATTTTATATATTATATGCTAATTTTTATAATATTAATAGCCTAAGAATATTACTTCCCCTTTTAAAGAGCTATTTCCTTCTTCTATCTCTAAAATAGAGAATATAGCTGCTGTTATTATAATATAGCTAAATCTAATTACTACTATAATATTAGAAAATAATCTCTTAACTATTATTAAGATATTAAAGACTTTAATTACTATTATAATATTAGAAAGAGCGCTTTTTTAAATAAGTATTACTCCTTTTATAGTTATTAATAGGTTAATATCTTTATCTACTAGTAAAAATCCTCTTATAAAGGATTTATTAGATAAAATAAATATTATACTAGAATTAAGGCATATTTAATTTATACTCTTATTAGATTAACCTCTTACTATAGTCTTAGTAACTATATAAATAAGTCTTTTTTCCTTAATAATAGTACTAAAAAGCCTGCCTAAAAGGAAAAGGACTTATTTTATTACTAGGCTAGCCGCTATAAATAAATTAAAGATAACTCCTATTTATACTGTTAAAAGGCCTTAGAAATAAAATACTAAATATAAAAAGATTATTAATATAAGAACTTAAACTAAACTAGTTATTATTAAAATATTAATTAAAATTATTATTATTATTATTATAAATATAATAATAAAAGATAGTTTTACTATCTCTAGGCTAAATAAAAAATTTCTTTTAATATCTTAAAAGATATATCTTTATTATTTAAAGGGGCTAATTAAGAATCTAGTACTTTAGTATACTTATATTAATACTAATATTAAATATAACTACTATAATTATAAATATAAGCCTTATATTTTAATCTTATTAGTTTATAAAAATAAGCTTACTTATTTATAAAGCCTTAGCTAAGAGGCTTATTTCTTAAATAACTATAAGTTTTTTAAAAAGGCCTATAATAAATATAAATCCTTTATAAAAATATATTTATATAAAGCGCTTACTAAGGCGGATATAAATAAGCTTATATCTATTATCTTATTAACCCTATTTTTATATAAGTAGTTTATAATATAGCTTTAATAGAAGTTACTTAAATTATTCTATTTAATAATATTAGATCTATAGTATATATAAAAAATTATATATATTATTTATAATATTCCTCCTTTCTTTAATAAAGAGGAAAATAAATCTATATTAATAAGATTCTATAATAATAAAGTAAATAAGTAAAAAGATTAATCTTAAGCCTATATTTTTAATTTTTACTAGGAGTAGCCTAGTTAAAATAAATTTATTTCTAAATAGACTAGCTTCTTATATTCTTATTAAAACTCTTAAACCTTTATAAATAAGTAAATAAAAAAAAAGTAATATAGATTTAATAATAAAATAATTAAATAAAACTTAAAAACCTAATAAGAAAAAAGAGAAATCTTATTAATTTTATTAACCTCTTTTTTTAAAGCTTCTTAAAGCCTTTCTTAAAGAGGTCTTATTAATAGCTTATATTATTACCTTAAATTTAACTAATATATTTTAAGTATATTTAAGGTCCTTCTTAAGCTATTATAAATTTTTATAATCTAGATAGCTCTTTTATTTAATTAAATATTATTTCTTCCTTTATATTATCTATTTATTTAAAATAGCCTTAATCTCTTATTTTAATTTATTATCTACTAAAATCAGGTTTAAATACTTAAGTTTAGCCTTAAATCTCTAATAATAGGGCTCTAATAGAGAGATATAGAAGATTAAATATATTCTGCCTAGATTCTTTAAAAGCTTAAGCTAATAGGCTTAAATTTTAATTCTTTCTATAACTTTATAAGATCCTAAGTATTTTATATTTAGTTTTTTAATTAATTAGTCTATCTTTAAGTTCTTTATTAAAAGGCAGATTTAGTCTCTTACTATATAGAATCTAGGCTTATATTTCTTATTATAATATTTCTATTGTATAATAATAGCCTTTTAAAGAAATTCTTCTAATTAAGTATAAATTTTAATAAGTTCCTTTAATTAATT